ACGCTGAGCGTCGGAATATCCCTAGGGAGGTTCCGAGGAGGGATCGAGGCTAGCACGATCCCTCCTGCCCGACGTTAATACTACTACTACTTCTCTTGGTCAGCTTTCTTACTGAATTAATACTCCTTTTGTTGCGACAGCCAAGAAACAAGGCCATCAACAGACGGAAAGTATTTCGGCCGAAAAAGCTTCTGCCAAGACAGCGACTCTGGAACTAGATTAGTATATCACGGCATCCTTGAACGATATGCATTCATCGCAAACGACACCCTTGAGCGATGTGCATTCGCGACAGCGATATCCCGTCTTCACCGTCTCTTCTGTCTCGGACGAATGTTGACATTCGTCCAGAGCAGAGGGGCACCCATATACTATAAGTAGCTAGTTCTTTCATCAATGAAAAAGCAGACTTCACAACAACTGCAATATTCAACTAGTAGGAATCCACTACCAGATCGGTGGATTTTCTACGGTGTTGAGTAGCGGTTTGTTGGAGCTCACAACGTTTACTATTCTCAGTCAGATATTCGAATATCGCCCTTTCGAGCGACACCTTTAGCTTTCTTGACTTCATTAGAAGTAATGATATCTATAATCTATATATATCGATGAGAAGTATTAAATTAGGCGTGGTATATTTTATAATAGCTGTTATGTTATCGAAATCCCGCTGTAATTCTATATCTAGAGTAGCCTGAGCCTTGGCACTTTTTTGATATTTTCTAATACTTGTTGAAAGCGTAAAGAGCTATGACTATATTGATCGATCTGATGATTAAGTTTACTATCTTTTTCTACCATCTTTGGAGTACTAAAAATAGTATCCTGTGGAGAGTATGAGGGTAGAGAGGGGTTTATCGAGATCATCCCTTAGAGTATGGATTATAGGAGAGTAGATCCTCTATGATTAGCTTCGGATTAATAGGCTAGAGATCTGTTAATCTAGAAATAAGCTTAATAATTCGAGGACGAAAGGGGGTGGGGGGTTTTTTTCCAGATTTTGGCGATGGAATAGAGGAGTTCATTTTTTATAAACTTTTGACATCCAGCATTATTGCAACTTCAACAGCCTCACTATGCCAATACTTATAGACGCTAAAAACACAAACATCGAGTGATTATAGTATATGGCTTATAATATGTGTGATTACCCAAGAGCTTTACGTTCCTGGTGGAGAAGAGCAGTTTCTTAGCATAGAAAATTAGCACCTTTTACCAACTGAGTACTATAGTAAAGATTTACTAAAGTAAGTCACATACGACTCGTGAATTTCATTTTTTACGCGTCATTTACGTGTCTTACTTTTTCAACCACCCACCATGCCAATGCTCAAATAGCCTAGAAACGGGTTGAACAGTATGGTAGGATCTTATTGGCTATTATTAAAGCTATAAAAAATGGTAAAATTACCTATACAAACCAAAGCTGCATCTACCTTTAATGTAACCCGCTCAACCCTCCACGATCGCCTATCTGGTGTTAAATATCACCTCGAGAAGCGCGCAAATGGTCATATATTATCAGTGAACTTCTTAAATATGTTTCTGGAGCTAATAACTCAGTTGCTAATTGTTCTGAGCAATTTTATCGTATATTCATCTCTAAGTTTTCATAATAAGAATATTTTCAGCAAAAATGAAATAATTAGCTTTATTATTTTTATTTTGGTCATTCTTGATCACAGGGTTTTGAGATCTTTTAATACATAGTAAATACTATGATTTCTTATATAACGATAAGTTATGTTTACTGTAATCAATGCTCCCTAAGATACTAATATCTACTAATAATGTAGATTTAAAGATAGAATTAATTTAGAGTACTGAATTAAGAATAAGAAGGCTCCTACGTGATGATTCTTTACTCTATTTTTAATCCTTCTTTTGAAATATTATCTTTCGATTTCCGTTTCAGCGCTATACAATATGGTTCCTAGTTCGTGGCCACGCCATCAATATTTCCAACCTCTATAGCAACCCTTCTTTCAATTGATTCTTATAGATGAGAAATAATATTAAGAGTCTAATATCTATCGTGATTTTCCGCCGCTCCTTTACCCCATGAAAATTTCAACAAAGTGTAAATTTCAAACCCATGTTTGAGGACCAAAATATAATCAATTCGATTAAATAACACAATTGCGACACTGATTGATCTTATGCCTTCTTTAACCACACCCAGAACCAGAACAGGTTGGCTGGCGCCTAATTATAGGCATTATAGGCAAATCAGTTTCAGTAGACACATTCTGAGCAGCTTCACCAATATTGCTCTAAATCTTCTAAACTCCCTAGAATAGCCTTGAACAGAGTGTATTACATAGTGATAGTACCCTTAAGCGGAGTCTATTTGTAAACAGTGATACCTCACTTCTATCTTGGATAGTAGAGGTGTCGCTCTCTGGCGAGGTAGCTAGCTATTCGCCTATAACTGAGAATAGTGTTGGGGTTTACTGCCGTAAAACAAAGAGTTGGTGAGCTCCAACTAACCACTCAACACCGTAGACAAACCACCAAGTGTAGTGGTTTCTACAGTACTGAATATTGTGGTTGTTGTGAAGTCTGTCTTTTCATTGATGGAGAGAACTAGCTACTTATAGTATATGGATGCTCCTCTGCCCTGGACGAATGGTTACATTCGTCCAAGACAGAAGAGACGGTGAAGACGGAACATCCACTGTCGCGAATGCACATCGTTCAAGGATGCCGTGATATACTAATCTAGTCCCTCCGATGGTTATTCCGAACCGAGAGTTTTTAGCATGAACTTTTCGGCCGAAATACTTTCCGTATGTTGACAGCCTTGTTTCTCATACGGCTGTCGCAACAAGAGGAGTTTCGTCTTATAAATACCTTGTCCGTAAAATAAATGAGAGGATAGATCTTACAGCTATCCTATATTAACTATTCGTAGGAATCGTATAGTTACCGACGAGTAAGTAGGTAGTAAGGCTCTTTGTACTTCGTGTTACAGGGTGAACCACAACGCCATACCGCGTATATGGCTGTAGCACGTCACGTGTCTTCTTCCCGCTTGCCTATATCAGACTCTTGCCTTGACCGCTGTTTTCTAGTCCTTAGTTAATTCTTCTTGAATGAATCACATCGGACTATTACAGCGCCTAATTTCCTGTAATATCGTCCCGTTACACTTAGTGCTCTACCTTATATACTCTCTTCTTTCCTTTTACTGTAATAAATGTCGGAAGTGACACTCCCACTATAACTTTCTTTTACTAAAGTAAAACACATACGGACCCATGAAATAGACCCACTTTTATTTCATTATTTATATTATTTGCCCATAACTCTATTTAGTTCAGTTGAACTATGTAAATAAACTATTGAATCGGGCGCTATGGACACGTCTCTCTTCTATGACTGGTTTCCCGACATATCTATCCCACACCTATGTGGCCGATGGCCTGGTTGAGAAGAAGCCGGGGTTAGCCAAAGTGTTGGTTTACACCATTACTATTTACAACAACACCCTTAATTGACGCGTCGATAAGCCGCTGTGCTTCCTGGAGCACAAGACCATCTTCAACCATTCGGCGGTTAGCGCGTGCCTCAGGAATGTGGGATTTGGAATTTACCTGTTGGACAGCAGTCCTATTTCTTTTGTATTTGATTTCTCAACCGCGTTGGGCACAAGTTCCTGATTCGGACGGTTGAAGCACCTGCATAGCATATACGCGACTAGTATAGCTCGACCGGGTTAATAGAACTTTGAATTGAATTGAATTGAATTAGCGCGTGCCTTTTTTTCTTCTCTTTATATTGGCTTTGCGAAGAGCGGCTACTTCCTGACCATGTATTGCCATATACAATAGGCGAACATCTACTACACCTTTCAAGAACTGGTCTAAGATCTGCTTTGTTTGTGTAGATGGCGATCGCGATACTGTACGTGATAGAGCTTTATGTTGGCAACGTATATCCTTCTGTCTCATCGGTGTCTTTGGAGTGTAGTTCTGGCTAGAATTGCTGCCCAGGATGGTGGTGGTGGTGTATAAAGCGAGATATTAAGCTTTGAAAGCACCTTTTCTAGATCAAATGGGTATAATTATAGTAGTAGCGAACGCATTACGGAGGTTTATTTCAAAAGTTTTTGCAGTCTTGCTTTTTTTACTATACCGAATTAAGACTAGCTGTTTTATTGACGGTAATATCTTGTATGATTTGATCTAGTGTTTTGCATGATCTCTGCCCTCCTTATACTCATTACCTCCTTCCAAGCGAATAATCTCTTCAATATGTCTCGGTATCCGCTCAATCCACTGCTGAATTCGTTTCTGGGGTAGTTGATTCCATGCTTCACTCCATACTCTAATTGCTTGAGCTCTTGACTTAGGTGCACCCTTCTTAGTAGTTTGGCGTTTCAAGAAGAACCATGTTGGCTCAATAGCATTCAAATCAGGCGAGTTTTCTAGCTAAAGAAGACGTTGAACACCAGATATATCAAAGATATGTTGTTGAAAATGATGCGCATGCGAAGGAGCTTTATCTTCTTGAACAAGAGTATTAGGCCTTTCAACCATACATTCTTGCGCAAAAGGAATTAGTTTTGGCACCAAAATAGTAGCATTATAGCGATACCAGTCGATTCCACCTTTCGACTTAGTGCGTCCAAGCTTTCCAGTTTTCGATGTAAAGCGCCAATTAAGCTTCTTCCTAGGCAGGGTTCGTCGAAGATCAAGCCGTCGCATACCATTTTCAAGCTCCCAAGCTTCACTTAGCTTAGGTTCTAACCTCGCATTCCAAGACTCAATAAGAGTATCAGATACACATTTTTCAGCAGCAGTTTCAGGAAGCCAGCAGTGATAAGGGCCTTTCTTATCATAAGAAAAGGCACCCCAAAACATAAATTCAGAGCTTCCTTTCCAACGCTCGCGAATACGGCTTCGGAGAAAACGTTAATCTTTAGTACGCCATATTCGATAGCCACCACGATGATGGAGTAGAATAACAGAAGTTTCATCAGTCCAGATAACATTCTTCTAGTCTTCAAGTGTCCAATCTCGATGCTCAAGACACCAGGCTAATTGATTAGCACGCATCTTGGCCGTCAAACCAGGTTTTCGTGTAGGTTTCGTCTTTTGTAAGCCTGCTTTCCTTAAGACTCTCCAAATAGTCACATCCGATATAGCAAGACATACCATAGCTCACCAGCAATATCAGCACAAGTCTTCTCCCGTCCGTATCGATCAAGTCGCACCTTAGCTAGCGCTGAATCTATAACCTCAGGTGTCTGCTTCTTTGGCCGATCAGAACGACTAGCATCAGCAAAATACGCATCAGTGATTATTAAAGGTCGCTATAAAGGGTCAAATCCACGCTTAATAGCTTTATCCCAGATCGAATGGATAGTTCGAGTAGGTATATCAGTTATCGCAGAGATTTGAAGGGGTTCTATCCCTAGCGCTTTCATAACAATAACACTTGAACGCGTAGCAATATCATATTTTCCCCATTTTGACGAAGGTAAATAATAATGAAATCTTAGAATCGAGTAGAATGAGGGATAAGTGTGTATTGACTAAAACCAAGCTAGTAATCTACAAAAATACGAAAAAAAGCAAGACTGCAAAGACATTTGAAATGAATCTCCGTAGATGTAGATCTAATAGCCTCTTCGCGCGAATAAAGCTCCACCCTTAATGAAAAGAAATGGGTGAAACTGTAGCCAATTGGGCCTATTGTAAGGCCTGTATCTGCGAAGCTTAGGAAGCCATTCCACAGGCTACATTGTAATTGATAGCCTAACCAGGTCTATGACACGCAGATTGGCTGCTGTACGTAAAGCTAAAGGATATTATACTATATACTGAATGCAGTCTTATTCCCCTGTCATTTACCTATTATAGTATATAATTATATAGCTATAATACATAATAATAATGGTGGAGGTATGAGTTGTTGATATCAATATGTATATTTGGTGGGTCTCAATCCCAACTGTACTAAAATTTCAAACTTGTGACCTCATATAGGGCCCGGTTAGAATAAGACCCTTCTGAAGTATAGAATAGAAAGACTAAGAGAAAGATTACTATAAAACCTTAGATATAGAGAATATTAAAGTCATGTAGCTTTAATCAGGAGCTTGCGCTAGGCATCAGAGATAGGATAAAGGAAGCTAAAATATCATCAGGTCAAATAGCTACGATAGCTTTGATATTTAGATTCTAAACCTAAACATAGTAATATCTGGAGTTGGTAAAGAGTTAGTAAATTTGGTTTTTGAAATTAAATGCTTTTTTGCTTTCGGCCCAGAACTACATAATCACGCTGCTAATATTGATGATACACACTGAAGGACAATTAAACAGCTCTCTCCCAAAACCAACTCCTATGAATGAAGAATCATTATAAAGTTAGTATAGCCCCTCACAAGATCTATGCTTCCTTAAGAAATATCTATAATTATAAAGCTTCCTTACAACTAAAAGGCCTAAGCTAGATCTAATATCTGTAAAACAAATACAGAAAAGAGTAATAATTGATAGAAATATTATTCTAAACAGAACCCTGAAGGCCATTTCACTTGCCCCCCCCCCCCCAGCTGTGAGATCGGACTTCTCACAAGGGGCGGAGGTAGAGGTCTTCCGATTGGCTGCCGCAGCACGGTGCGTACGGGCCAAATTCAAAGAACGGTGGGCAAAACAGTGGGCGAGGGAACGCACGGCAAGGCCGACACGGCGGCTAGTGGAGGCGCCGATGAAGGTGCTACGACTCTATGAGGGAATATCGAGGCCATATGCGTCGATCATCATCCAGATGCGATCGTTACGCATTGGCCTCCGCCACTGGCTTTACAAGATCAATGAGATTGATTCTGATCGGTTTAGCTGCGACGAATGATCGCAGACTTCGGTGCACATCCTTTTCCAATGCCCGCTATTCGCTGATCAGAGGGTATGGCTTAGGAGGAAAATCAGTGCGACCGATCTTGATGGATGCGCTGATGTCCTACCCATAGACGATCCGCTACATCGTGAACTTTATGCACCAAACAGGCCTGCTGGGCCAGTTCCGGCATGTTGAAATTGAGCCGGACCCGGACCAGGATGGCCACAATCTATAGGCCTAGCAGCTAAGGGTGTAGGAAGGGAAGATGATGGGTAATGACACCGTGAACAACCTGGGCACCGAGTACCCAAGGCTACGACATTAAAAATACATCATGAACAAGATCAACGAAGGGGAGTGGGAAGGAGATACCAACCAACTGGAGAATACAAAGATTCTACAGGAGTTTGGCACCGGGAGAAGGAATGTAGGATTCGGAACTTACCTATTGGACAGCAGTCCTATTTCTTTTGTATTTGATTTCTAAATGGCGTTCGTTGGGCATAAGTTCCTGCTTCGGACGGTTGGAACGCCTGCATAGCATATAAGTGACTAGTATAGCTCGATCGGGTTAATATAACTTTGAAGTGAATTGAATTGAAGGCCATTTCACTTTCATGTTTTTCACTATAAAGATTGTCTTCAGATATTATTTACTCTGTATATAGCATATGCATGAAGATCTACTTACTAAAAAGCCAGATTCCCTTATGATGGTATTTCGATCAGTTTGGTCAATCTGAAGAGGTTTTAACACAATCGTCTATAGAAGACGAGTATAATACTAAGCTTTCAAATCTAGCTAAGATTAATATTACCTCCCTCTATCCTCATTTTATGAAAAAGCTAGAATAACCTGGCTAACCTATCATTAGATCTTTACTCGGGCTTAGATTGGCCATCATCTTCATCTTGAAAATAAACCTCTTGAGGAGAGTCTTTATACCTTTTTAAAGTAATTTATAGGTAATTATAATAGGACTATATTGGACTGACACAAAATATACAGCATGGGATAGTGTCAGAAGATATATAGTGCCACCCCTAGTACTAGCAGTTGCTAAATAACTAGGGTACTCTCATCTAGACACGTGATATTTAAAGATAATATTTTATAATATAGAATTTCATATCTATATGCACAGCTCTACAAAAGATAAAACATCTCATCTATATAGGTAGCATCAAACTGTATAAAAGAGTAAATAAGAAGAATAGCGATAATACATTTTGATTATGAATTTTAAATCATAAGAAATATATCATTTTTAACAAATTCAGATCCCAATTAGAGATATTAGCTTGTTTGGATTTTTATTTGTTACGGTCGGGTACTACGTCCTTATATATATTATCTAGAGACGTGCTAAAGTTACTACACACTTTACTTCTACCACAACAATGCCTGAAACCTAAGGCCTACGTAGTGGTTTTAGCAATGTGAAGGGCTAAAGCTGATCTTAGATTCAGAACTAGCTAGGTCACAAACTGTGTACAAAATCCTTAAGGGATGCAAAAGAGTCGGCGTGGAGTCGAAGATAAAAGGTCATCGAGTCACATGATCTTACTGCAGTAAAAGTGGATAATACCAAGATCCCTTTGGCGGGCATCAGCCCGTTACAAGCAGAATAATAATTTCATAAAGATATATTCAAAAGGCTCGCGAATAATTAAATTGGATTATGAAAGAATTAAATTATCTTAAGTAGAGAATTATAATATTTTATCATCTATATAGAACATACAGATAGAGTGAGTCTTTATGAAAAATGATAATTTTGGAGTATCAACTAATTTAGCATATGAAGTTATATCCTAATTTAAATATTAGAATTAAACCTAATACCAAAACCAGTAAAGTAAATCGCATACGACCTGTGAATTTCATTTTTTAACGCGTCATTTACGTGTCTTACTTTTTCAACCACCCACCTAAGAATGCTCAAATAGCCCAAAACGTGTTGAACAGTATGGTAGGATCTTATTAGTTATTAAAGCTATAAATAAATAATGGTGAAATTACCAATACAACCAACCCAAGCTGCATCTTACTACCTTTAATGTACCCCACTCAAACCCTCCACGATCGCCTATCTGGTGTTGAATATCGCATTGAGAAGCGCGAAAATGGTCATAAATTGACTGAATCTGAAGAGGGAACTCTTCTATAAAAGATATTCTCTTTGGATTACCGCCCTAGACCTCATTATGTCGCTCAAATCGCCAATATTCTACTCACCGACCGCAGAATCGACCCATCTTTTACAATAGGACGAAATTGAGTTTCAAACTTCATCAAACGTACACTTGAAATTGACACTCGCTATTGAAAACGTTATAATTTTGAGCACGTAAACAAACAACAAGACCCTAAGATTATTCGCGATCGGTTTATCTTAGTTGAAAAAGACTATTCGCGAGAATGGGATTCATGAAGACGATATTTACAACTTTGATGAAAATGGTTTCGCCATGGGACAAACTGCCACTGCCAAAATCGTTACTAGAGATAGCTATTATGGCCGACAAGAGAAGGTACAACCCAGGAATCGCGAATGGATTACGGCTACTGAATGTCTAAATTCAAACTGGCTGGGCGCTTCCACCATGTATCATATTGAAGGGCAAAAACATGATGCAACGTTGGTTTTACGATGTCAATTTACCACCTGATATGCATTTCAAAGTGAGCCCTAATGGCTGGACATCAGACTAAATAGGCCTTCGTTGGCTACAGAAGCTATTCATCCCCTCTACTATAACACGTACGAAAGGGCGATATAGGCTATTGGTTCTATATGGCCATGGTAACCACCTTACGCCTGATTTTGACCAGATATGCCAACAGAACAACATTATACCAATCAATATGCATGCCGCCACCACCATCCCGGGGCAGCGACTCTAGCTAGAATAACACTCTAAAGACACCAATGACAAGAAGGATATACGTCGCCAACATAAATCTCTATTACATACAGTGTCGCGATCGCCATCTACACAAACAAAGCAGATCTTAGACCAGTTCTTGAAAGGCGCAGTAGCTATACATCAACATACTGCAATACAAGATCAGGAAATAGCCGCTCTTCGCAAAGCCAATATAAAAGAGAAGAAAAAAAAAGCACGCCCTAACCGCCGGTCAGGATGTGGATTGGAAGAAATGGATATTTTCGAATAAATGTCCAGAGAACTTCATATCTAATGGACATGGATGTTTAAATTAGAGATTATTCAAGTCAATTCGTTAGTCCTAAAGCCTCTGTCAAGGACGTTTTGGAGATTGTACTTAGGGTTCGGAGGAACATAACAAAAGTATCTAGCCTAGAAATTTACTCCCATTTCTAATTAGGAATAGTAAGCTTGGTTTAAAATAACCGAAATATCACATTAATAATCTCTCTGATGCCTATGATTACCGTCCCCTAGCTCTTTTTCCCTTTGTATACTCATTCCCTCCTTCTAGCTTAATGATTTCCTAGATATGGCGAGGGAGTCTTTCAGTCTAAGCCTGAATTTTTTCTTGCAGCATCTTGCGCTATACCAAGGCCGGGCACACTCAATAGCGTTTAGATCTGGAGAGTTTAGGCACCAGAGTAGACGTACTACTTCAGAGATATCATATACTGTCTGCTGAAAACGATGATTATGACCAGGAGCTTTATCCTCTTGAATCAAGGTGCCCAGTCGTATCTTAAGACATTCTTTCGCAAAAGGAATCAGCTTCGGGAGGATAGTGATTTTCAAATAACAATACTAAATAATCGATGCCTCAGCACTAAAATCTATATTATTATATCAAATTAAACTAAGCCAATATTAAGCTTTAAAGAGGAGTAGAATAAAGAATAACTTACCTACAGGTAAGTTTCCCATTCTCAATAGTAAATATCTATTTAGGCTTCTTCGGCCTAGGTGTCTTCTGGCGGAGATTTAACCGCCTCATCTTAAAGAAGCCTTCTTTTCAGCAGCAGTCTCCGTAATCTAATAATTATATGGATGACCAGACCATGGAGCATCTTCAACATAGCGATCATAAATAGCGCAATCAATATTATGATCAAAGCCACATTCTTTCGCTTGAAGGCTTACCTGGGCGCGAATAGCAAGGTCTGTTTTCATGATAATTACAGAGTAATGGTCTAGAGAAGAAGAGAGAAGTGAAATTCAGGAGAAATCGTTTTAATTACTAGTATATGGTGAATGCATCTGTATTCTACAGGTCATATTACCAATATGCAGGTGGACCGGCCAGATACTTTGTTATGGTCCTCCGTATAGGTGTATATGGACTGGTGGTCGTTCAAAGTTCTACACCCCGAATTAGTAGAAACGCGCCAAACTACAGCCGATTGGGCCTATTTTAAGGCCTGTATTTGCGAAGCTTGGGATGTCATTCCACAGGCTAAACTATGATCGACAGTTTAATTAGGGCTATGCCACATTGATTAGCTGCTATACGTAAAGCTAGGCATATTATACTAAATGCTGAATGAAATCTTATTCTCCTATCATTTACCTATTTATAATAGTGGTGGAGAAACCAGCGGTTCCCACGTTGAAACTGAGGTTAATGAGAAGCGTCACTTTAAGACGGTCAACCTCAATAATGGAGTTTGAAGGGGTTGATGGTCTCTTAATAATGTCTTGTCGAGCATTTCTTGCGTCTTTTTTATAATCTGTTTCGGTATAATTGCATAGGATTGCGGGACCGATTTGATTTTAGCGTTACCCACTTAGCCTGCTATCCGATACGCCATCCCTTCAATCATGTCATACGCCGTATCCGAAAAGGGATAAGCTTATCTGGTTTCCCGTGAAAAAGATACCAGTCATGTGACTTAGCCAATCACAGAGGGCGATATTAGTATTACAGGTCAGAATACATTATCAGCTTCGGTTCCGGTCCCGGCACATCGGCTTGTCCGCCACAACGCTCTCCGTTTTCATACCACCCAAAAATATTCTCTCACTTTTTGTTCACTGTCTAATCCAATATGTCTTTTTCAAATCTCGTCTCCGACATTGCATTTAGGGATTCCCAGGGGGATGACCGTTCGCAGATTTCTCGTGCCCAATCTCGCACAGCTAGATCCTACACAAGCACGGCTGCTACAAGTGTCAGCATCTCTGGTGACATCTCCAGCCAGCTTCATTCTGGATATAGCCACCCATTGAGCAGATCATGGCAAGCGGAAAGGCAATTGACAAAGGTCTATACTCCTAAATGATTGGACTCTGGACTTAACCCATCCTGATGCTAACTGAGTCACCAGGATATGTTGATCTACCCCTTGTTCATTACCGACAATCCTGACGAGGAGACTCCTATTCCTTCACTACCTAATCAATATCGTCGGGGTGTAAACCGACTAGCTCCATTTCTGGCCCCACTGGTTCGCAAAGGTTTGCGATCAGTGATCCTGTTCGGAGTGCCGCTACACCCGGCGGCCAAAGATGCCCTGGGCACTGCTGCAGATGATCCAGCAGGCCCTGTTATACAAGCTATTCGGATTCTTCGGGCTCGTTTCCCTCAACTTTATATTACCACTGATGTCTGTCTCTGCGAGTACACATCCCACGGCCACTGTGGTATTCTGCGCGAGGATGGAACGCTGGATAACGCGCAATCAGTCGATCGGATCTCCGATGTGGCCCTAGCATACGCCATCGCCGGTGCCCATTGTGTCGCACCGTCTGACATGAACGATGGAAGAGTGCGAGCTATCAAGCTCAAATTGATTGAGGCAGGGCTAGCACATCGCGTGCTTTTGATGTCCTACAGCGCGAAGTTCAGCGGCTGTCTATATGGCCCCTTCCGTGATGCAGCTGGCTCATGTCCCTCATTTGGGGATCGCCGTTGTTACCAGCTCCCACCAGGTGGTCGTGGTCTTGCTCGACGGGCCATCCAGAGAGACATGGCCGAGGGTGCTGATATCATCATGGTCAAACCTGCAAGTAGCTACTTAGACATTATTAGGGATGCCAAAGATTTGGCCCAAGATCTTCCTGTTGCAGCTTACCAAGTCAGTGGTGAATTCGCCATGATCCATGCCGGTGCGAAGGCGGGGGTGTTTGACTTGAAAGCCATGGCCTTTGAAAGTACAGAGGGTATACTTAGGGCTGGAGCAGGAATTGTCGTGAGTTATTTTGTTCCTGAATTCCTCGACTGGCTCTGAGTACTATATGTATCTTCTTACAGCGGCACATAAAATTAAAAGATACCCATATGTGAAATATTAATGCCATCCTCTCTTCTCTTTTTGAAAGAATATTAGCTTCACTTGCAACAAGTAGGATATTTATTTGACACGTCAACATAATGATTTTCATCGTAAAGAAATTGACATGCTTCTCCCATAATAACACGCCTGCCATAATCAGTCCATCCATGTACGAGAAATGAAGCTCCCCAAAGCGCCAACATATCCCTCAAAATAAAACCAGGAAAACTCCAGCCCCGGGAATATAACGTTTGTCACTGAATCACAAATCGAGAAAAAAAGAAAAAAGTAAAAAAAGTAAAAAAAGAGGGAAAAGTAAAGATAGTCCAGGGCACAGTTGATCACATATAGCCTGGTCTATACCCCTGGAATCCGTAGGGTAAGATGTGGCTTCTTACAATCTCCCCAGGGGCAATATAAGCACCTCGACCAAGTGTCACACCAGGGTAGATTGTACATCCAGCTCCCAGGTAAACGTCCTCGCTGATTATAATTTCAGCCCCTTGATACCGGCTCTGAGAACCCTTACGCTCCTGCATACTGGAGTGGGCAGTTGAAGTGATGAGAGTGACTTTCGGACCAATCCAGGTATGTGCACCAATTTGAATTAGACAGTCATCAACAAAGAGACAGTCATGTGATATCATGACATCTTCTCCAATTTTAATGTTGTAGCCGTAGTGACAGGAGAATGGAGCTTCCACAACAGCCCCCTGTGAGATGCTACCTATTCTCCGGGTAGCTGATGCACCAGTGGAGGGGGAGTTGACGACGGAGCTGGAGGGTGGAATGAGAACCTCTTTGAGTAAGCGGTTTTGTTCCTTGGAGTTCAGACCAGAGACGGGACTACATGCATTGTTAAACCGCCACAGTGCAAGCTTACATCGATCTCTCTCCTCTACCAGTTGTATGTCAAATGGTCGGTAGAGTTGGCCATGAATCATCTTATCCTTCTCCGTTTCATAAACAGTGGACACTGAACGACCTGATATCTGGTGCTCAATGCTTAGAGCCATCCTGGCCTGGGCTTGGGGACTGTTCGCATCGATTGCCGGGGCTGGCAAAGGCCGTTGTTCCACCGGGGCCTGAAAGAGAGGCACATTTGATTTTGCATGTGCGGCATGCGAGATGTCACGAATTGGGGGCACTGTGGGATAGTCTGGCTTGGGTGGTCCGTCCCTCGCAAGCTCATGGACCGTTGTCACATCCCGAAAGTCCTTGACTGGATGCTCCAAAGCATATGTGGGCTGACTGGCTGTAGGCCAGTTACGTTTTGACCATGATGGATGGCTTGAGCCGGTCCCGGTGGGGCTCCCGTTATTATATTGCGACACCGGGCGATCAGCGTCTTCGACCACCACAGGTCTCATCTTACGCGCATCCGCATGTTCCGTCGGATTTGACGGACGATCGTGATGTTGTGTTGCTTCCGGAAGATACTGTGCACTGATTTCTGGATAGCCCTCCTTGGACTGCAACGGAATGGGCGCCTTCGAGCCAGAAGGCTTCTGCCAGGTACTTCGTGATGTGTAGCCCTCACAGAGAAAGCCACCACGAAGACAGTTGTTGCCTGAAGGACCTACGGTTAGCTCCTTGGTCCCCACCTCACAGGTTTCACTATGTGAATACTGGTCAAACTCACATGCAGGATGTTGCTCGTCGCATTTCTTTTTGCGGCGGCGGCACGTCATGCAGCCTGTTTTGGTTCGGTTGCTAAAGATTCTTTTCCGTTTTGCCACCTGCACGGCTCCTGATCTTTCAGATGAATATACAGGAGATGATGCAGTCTGCATATTTGGCGGGGTAGGTCGACCTCCGCTTAAACTTCCTTGACCGGATTCCTGACTCTGCGTCTCTCGTTGGAGGGCATCCACCAACTGGACATCAGATGCATCCATCTGCTGGGCTCGTTGAGCCTGATGGACGAGCTGTGCATCGTATTCAGGCCAAGGGCCATTTGAGGCTGGGGGAGCCTCATTAGTATCTGAGCGACCAGACGTTGGTGGATTACCAGTTTCAACATCCGAGACGGATACAGAGCCGTTGGAATGGGGAAGCGCATTCAAGTCACTTGGATGATTGGTTAAGACCTTTTCTGGGTTTTGAGTGTCGGCAATTTGATCCTGCTCCGGTTCCCCGGACTCTGATCTCCTTCTTTTATACCTGATGGGGGCGGAGGCGCTGTGGGGTGAAGAAACACTCTGGGACCGGCCATCCCGATCCCCAGATTTGGTAGAATCTTCAACAGGAGCTCCCCGATCCTCCGAATGATGATGATTCGGAATAAGATTCCCCACAGGTGCGGATGAGTCTCTGCCATTAACCGCCGTAAAACGGGAGGGGCTGTGCTCCGTGCCTGTTTCTGTACCTGAGTCGTGGTTGGTCATCACTGGAACGGTTGCGATGGCAGTCATATTTCACTGTCCACCAAACCGAAAGAAAGAGGAGAGAAAAAGATGAACAAAAGAAAAGAAAAGAAAAAAAAAAAAAGAGAGATGAGCTGGAAAGTGAGCTGATACCGCGGCTTATCAAGTTTGTATCAGTACTTCTCCAAACAAACGCGCTTAAATAACACAAACTTATACACCATCGAAACACCAGACTCAATTGAAGAAAAATGATCAGAAAATCACCAGAGAAAGAGATCTTAGTATTTTAAGGCATTCAAGGAATGAAGTCCCAGGGAAGATCGCGGTAATCCCGGCTGGAGTGGGGCGGGACACGGTTTCAGCGTGCCCAATGAAACCAAGTCAGCTAGGAGAAAGGGAAGAGGTATAAAATACGAGAAGAAAAGATGGAAAGACGCATGGAATATAGAGAAGGGGATAGGGGGTGGGGGGAGAGAAATGGAAAAGAAAGGGAAAGGAAGAGAGTTGGGGGGTTGGGGGGTGGGGAGAGAGAGTAAAAGATGGGAGTTGAAAGGAAGAGAGCAAGAGGGTCAGGAAAATACAAAAGTCACAAAAATGACTAGATCAGTACAAAGTCAAAGGAGGGGAAAAAGATGAAAAAGGAAAGGGATAGAAAAGAGTGAAAAAAAAGAAGGGGGGCTAAGAATAATAAAGACTCTAGTATATACAAATTTTTATAGTAGGACCCCCTCACTATGTCTACTATAATTTTGAATAATTCCTCGCACAAATAATTGAATTACATATAGAGTAGAGCTATTCCACCTAACGGGTATTCAATAAACAAGTAAAAGAAGAAAAAAAAAAAAAAGAAGCACTAAAGGAAAAGTAGGATAGGGGGAAAAAGAGGAAAAGAAGTTGGCGCGATCGGCAAAGGACGGCGTCACCGGCCCCGCCAATCGGAAGAGACAGACGCCGTATCCGTGAAGTTGCGCGGGTCCGAGACACAGCGACTATTACACCATTAATTACCACAATACCGCGCGGTCCCAGGGCGGTAAGTCTGGTCTCAGGCGCCCCGTCTTTAGTGGGGCTTACTCAGGACTAGGTCTTTTGCGGTACTATTGTCATATTCGCCATTACCGCCCGCGTCAGCGCATTGGGCGGTTATCATCGCTTATCATTATATTCAATATTCAACCTTAGTACTACTCTTCTCCCACTTCAACATTCTGGTATTGTGATACATGATATTTGATACATATATTACGTACCTAGATAAGAAGCACCAACTCTGTTTACTGAATATTATTACTACGTATATGCTGACTATATATACACTTGTATACTGTCTACAATGAACGATATTCTTTAGTTCTTCAAAAATCCAGTCTTCAGTATTCAGTCTCATAAATAGTAAATAGTAAATCAGGATAGTAAAATATCAAGTGGTAGTACAGCCTAACATCTATATGAACCCTGTAGTAGACATGATATTACTCTGTACTCGTACTCACTCATGACTTTGATCGGATGACTAAGCCATCAACACGCGCCTCACCGCCAGTATCATTCGACTCAATTCTCATTCTTGTCTTCCCCTCATCCACTTTGAAGCTTCTTATGCTCTCTAGCACCAATCAGATTCATCTGGATAAAAAAAAATAATTACAACCTCCAAATTTCCGACTGAGTGTTGTTGACCCCTGCACTCCTCATCTTCCCTCTTTTTCTTACCCCACCAACTGCTTCCTTCTTCTCAAAACACAACATACCTTTTCACCCCTCATCCATCCCCCACTGTCCACCGCCCTGTCGCCAGTGACGTTGAACCTGCATCAATCCCATTTTCAGCTTCACCTGATACACGTGGTAGTTTAGTGACACCCTCTTGTGTTGTTCCCCTCCTCGGGCGAATTCGCCATGTCGATTTCGGTGCAAGAGCTGGACAACACCGTCCGAGCCTTCTATGAAGGCAAAGGAGAGGTGGTAAGTCTTATGCCTTAGCTCTTCCTTCTTACCCTTTGCTAACCCGATGATGCCATAGCAAAAACAAGCCCAGCAGAGCCTCACTGAAGTATGCCAGAACAAACTTCTCAGCTTCTCCAGCACCACTTCCTCGATCTTGCTTGACTGACTCCATCTAGTTTAAACAAAATCCTGACGCTTGGGTTACCGTGGGAAATATCCTGCAGGAAGCCTCCTACCCACAGACCAAATGTATGTCTCCAGCTTTTGAGCTTCCGAGAGGTATGCTCTGCTAACCCGTAACCACCAGACATCGCTCTTCAGGTCCTCGACGATGTTATCATGACACGGTGGAAGGTTCTTCCAAGAGATCAGTGCCAAGGTAATTAATCACCGTCGTTGAATGAAGCTATTCGGTCTACGCGCTAACGTCCACTTTTCTTTCCCCAGGAATCCGCAATTTCATCGTCAATTTTATCATCGAAAATTCCAGCTCTGAAGAAAAGCTCCACACCGAGAGGGCCTTCTTGAACAAGCTTAATCTAGTCCTGGTCTCCATCTTGAAGCAGGAGTGGCCTCACAACTGGCCTACCTTCATCAATGAGATTATCACCTCTTGCCATGCCAGTCTATCCATCTGTGAAAACAACATGGCCATTCTACGCTTGCTGTCAGAAGAGGTGTTTGACTTCTCTCAAGATCAGTTGACTTCCGTCAAGGCTCGGAACCTGAAAACCTCCATGACCCAGGAGTTTGCGTCCATTTTCCAACTTTGCTCAGAGGTTCTCAGTACCGCTAACCAGCCTTCGCTCATCAACGCTACCCTTGAGACTTTGCTTCGTTTCCTCAACTGGATCCCTCTCGGTTATATCTTTGAGACGCCCATTATCCCTACCCTGCTGGAGCGATTTTTACCTGCCCCCGAATTCAGAAACATCACCCTCAAGTGTCTCACGGAAATTGGTAGCTTGCAGATTAGTGCTCCCTTCAACTGTGATGAGAAACTGGTGCAGATGTTCACCGAAACTCTGGGCGCCGTGGTCAACGTCATTCCTCTTAGCCTCAATTTGAAAGAGACATACGCACAGAGCAACGGAAACGACCAGGAGTTTGTCGCCAACCTCGCTCTTTTCCTGTCCAGCTTCTTCACTACTCATCTGGACGTATGTGAAAATCCGATTCCCAACTTCAAGGTATTGTCGATACTGACGGATTCTGCCTCTTATAGCTTATTGAAAAGTTACCAAACCAAGACTACCTTACCCATGCACACTACTACCTGATTCGCATCAGTCAAATCGACGACCGGGAGGTATTCAAGATCTGCTTGGATTACTGGACTCGATTGGTGCAGGAGCTCTATGAGGAGATGCAACAACTTCCCATTACCGATCTCAACCCACTGGTCACAATGGGTGTCAGTGGCCTGGCCAACGGTGGAGCACCTCACCCCAACACTTTGGCCAACTATCCCCTCCGCAAGCACAAGTACGACGATGTTTTGACCAACCTGCGTACCGTCATGATCGAGAAGATGGTGCGCCCAGAAGAAGTTTTGATCGTGGAAAACGACGAGGGTGAGATTGTTCGCGAGTTTGTTAAGGAAAGCGACACTATTCAGTTGTACAAGACCATCCGAGAGTGCCTCGTCTACCTCACCCACCTGGATGTCGTGGACACCGAGACCATCATGATCGATAAGTTGGCTAAGCAGGTTGACACGTCGGAGTGGTCTTGGGTCAATTGCAACACGCTATGCTGGGCAATTGGATCCATCTCAGGAGCCATGAACGAGGAAACTGAAAAGCGTTTCTTGGTGACCGTCATCAAGGATCTCCTGGGTCTCACAGAGCAAAAGCGCGGGAAAGATAACAAGGCCGTTGTCGCAAGCAATATCATGTATATCGTTGGCCAATACCCCCGGTTTTTGAAGGCCCACTGGAAGTTCTTGAAGACCGTGGTGAACAAGCTCTTTGAGTTCATGCACGAGACTCATGAAGGTGTGCAGGACATGGCCTGTGATACGTTTATCAAGATTGCCAATAAGTGCCGACGACACTTTGTGGCCCTCCAGCCTGGCGAGTCAGAGCCTTTCATTGAGGAAATTGTGCGAAACATGCAAAAGATCACTGCGGATCTGTCACCGCAACAGATTCACACTTTCTACGAGGCATGTGGTTACATGATCTCTGCCCAGGGCCAGAAGGGTGTCCAGGATCGTCTGATTGAGAATCTTATGGCGCTGCCTAATTCTGCTTGGGACCAGATCATTTCCGACGCAAATCGAGATGCTGCCACCCTCCAGGATGCCAATACCATCAAGATCATTGGTAACATCATGAAGACCAATGTTGCTGCGTGCTCCTCCATTGGAACCTACTTCTATCCCCAGATTGGTCGCATCTATCATGATATGCTAAACATGTACCGTGCCTCCAGCGAGCTCATTAACACTGCAGTAGCTACTGGTGGTAAGTTCATCATGTATATGTTTTAAATCACGCGACGTAACTAAAGTTCATATAGGGAGCATTGCACCAAAAACACCCAAAGTTCGTGGGTTGCGGACTATCAAGAAAGAAATCTTGAAGCTCATCGACACCTACGTGGAGAAGTCCGATGACCTCATCATGGTTAATGAAAGTATGGTTCCACCTCTTCTAGAGGCTGTCCTTGTTGACTACCACCGGAACGTTCCCGATGCGCGAGAGGCAGAGGTCCTCAATGTCATGACTACCATCATTCACAAGCTTCACGTATGTTTTGCCATTTTTATTTCTCAACTTGAAGATGGACTTCTATCTAACCTTTACTTCCACTTGCTTAGAATTTGATGGAGGACAAGATTCCAGCCATCATGGAGAGTGTATTCAGCTGCACCTTGGAAATGGTCAACAAAGATTTCCATGAGTACCCAGAACACCGTGTCGAGTTCTTTAAGCTTCTCCAGGCCATCAACCTGTATTGCTTCCAGGCCCTTCTGAGACTTGACGGCACACAATTCAAGTTTGTCATTGACTCTTGCATGTGGGCCTCGAAGCACGACAACCGCGAGGTTGAGAACACCGGTCTCAGCATGTGTCTGGAACTGATGAACAACATGGCCGAAGCTGATGTGCAGACGTCGGCCATCTTTTTCCGTCAATTCTACATTTCAATTCTCCAGGATGTTTTCTTTGTTCTTACTGATAGTGACCATAAGGCCGGTAAGTTCTCCCTCCTCTTTTTTCCGATGTTTTTTTTTTCTTTTTCTTTTGCTGTTTACTAAGAATCCTTTAGGATTCAAATCTCAAGCCATGCTCCTGTCTCGCATGTTCTACTTTATAGAAGCTAGCAAGATTCAAGAGCCCATCTATTCTCCTGAACAAGCTCCAGTTGGTACCTCGAACAAGGAGTTTGTTCAGCAGTATGTCGCAAATCTGTTGCAAAACGCGTTCAAGAATCTTCAAGAGTATGTATTTCAAGTATGCTCAGTCAAAAAACATCAACTAAGCATGGTTCTAGGGTGCAAATTAAGCAATTTATTCTCGGTCTCTTTGCATACACCGATGACTTCACCAAGTTCAAGACTCACCTGCGGGATTTCCTAATTTCGTTGAAGGAATTCTCAGATGATAATGCCGAGCTCTATGCTGAAGAGCGAGAACAGGCTGTGCGCGATGCCCAGGCTGCTGAGAGAACTCGTGCCATGAAGGTTGGAGGCTTGCTGAAACCATCTGAGATGGACCAGGAAGACGAGCTGTGACTTGACACAGAGTTACGCAGCGAGTTTCTTCCGCCTGCATTTGTTAGTCCTTTGGAACGAACGGGAAACCCTACGTTCAAATCTGGGAATGATAGCTTTGATGGGTGGTCTCTTTACGAGATCTAACCATCAGGTTCCTGGATTTTTTTCTTTAATAACTGTGAAGAGTCTCCATAGAAGTTCTTAAAACTACTTGGAAGGTTCGCGAAAGACGTGCCATGATGCAACCATTTACTCCTTTTCACTCTTGCCTTTTAATGTGGTCCTCTTCCATATTTTCTGAGATCGTTTCAATATTACTTATTATCTAGGATTCTGAAGTGAATCAAGAAAAAAAAAAATCATATTGCGTGTAGACGTAGACTCTACCTCGGCTGGCAGAATACCTAATAGTAAACGGGCGGTAAGACCTTATCAGTTGTATCATGTTATCCTCGTTTCTGCCTCATTTTTTCTTAAAAAGCTCATTTTAAGCGCCTGCTCTTATTGTTTCGCCTGCAACTATTTCAAGGCATAATGTCTCAACATGTCCAACCAGCAAGAAACTCACACCTCCAAACTACCACAGAAACATCCCGAGAATCATCCGTTGTCAGGCTCACAGGGACCCTCCGATTGAGGGGAGATGACACACCAAGTACATCCACAGAACCAGCCCGACGTATCCGTTGGAGTGAGGATGTAGTAGACAATGAAGGAATGGGAAGAAAAAGTTCGAAAGGTCAATACACCAAACTTGAAAATTCCCCGGAATCAAACTGACAAATCCAAGTGTGCTGTATCTACCATAAAGCCCGACCAGTGGGTGAAAGCAGTTCAGAATCCGAGTCTGATTCCAGCACTGATTCCGACAGCGATGGTGAATCAGATAGTGGCAGAGCTAGGCCAAGTCATTCACACTCGCATTCTCGTGGACGACAGCCGTCAAGAGATCATCCGTCGGAACAATCATCGGAGCAGACTGGTACCTGTTGCTCAGAGCATAATCCCAAGAAGCGCCAGAAGAGAAAGCCCAGTCCGAACGCATATGAAAAGATGCCCAAGCCGTCTAAGAACCCATCGCGGAGCACATAATGTCAACCGACTCAGTGAAGCATGTATTCATTACTACGATCAAAAGTCCCTCCACTACCATCATTTTAGCATAGCAAAGCTTCAACCCTCAGTTCGCTCAAAATATATTAATCTTCATTAACGAGCGTCTTCTTGGAGCGAACGTTCGAGAGGTGGCGACACAAGGGCGCGTGGAGTGCTAGAAGCGGCCAAAGAAGCTAGGTCTTGCAAATATGTTGACGAGGTTGAAAGAACTAGATTCTTTTGTTTCCAAAATCGCATGGCGCGTCAGGCTCCTTGATTAATTCATGTTTCTTGAAGAGTCATGAAAAAGAAAGTAATCATTGGTGCTTTGCTTAAAAACTAAGAGGGTATATGTACTGTGACTGCTAAGAGCGGGCCCCTGTAAATACAAGGTAATTTTGTTGAACGCCAATATTTGTATCAATGCCTTTCAAACCATCATACTCTTTCGTCTGGTTGCCACTCGAGTTTCCCGATGGTTCCAGACATAGTCGTCATTCTCCGAAGTACCTTCAGTTTGTGCCTGATCTGGGGATGCCTCCAAAGAGGAATCTCCACTAATGTCGGTTTCACACCGCGATATATCGCGAGTGCTTCTCGAATTGGCAGAGTGTCGCCGAGACTTCCTGAATTGATCTGCGGATTCGCCCGTCTTCAGGAAGTTGATAGCCTGGTCTGTCATGGGCAAGTCTGACGTGTTGCTTCCATACGTGAGAGCTAGGTGGCCATTTTCATCACCTAAACTCTCGCGAAAGCTGGATGATCTGCGAGACCCATTGTTGGCCACTGCGTCGATCAGATCCTTGGTTGGGCGACGCATCTTGTCTCGCAAATTGGGCTCTGCATAACTGACCACGGCACCACGACGCCGCGAGGGTCGAGATGCACCTGTTGCGTCCGAAATATCAATCAAGTCTTCAGACTTAGCAGCTGGAGAATCACTTGTCACAGGTGCACGTCGACTTGGTGCCTCTCTTCCGACAGTTTTCTCGCGATGTTCCTTTTGAGACTCCACACCTGTTCGAGATACCCGTGTTCTAACTGTACTCTTCCTCTTTGCGTTTTCGATCCCGATCAATTTCTGGGGTGACATCATATTCTCATTCCCCCTGAGGCTTTGTGAAGGATTCTTATCGGGATATAAGGATGCGCGGGCTTTTTTGGGCGACCCAAGGTTGGAATTTGCACTCTCTGTGAGTGACAGGTTAGTATATCTGAAAGTAATAAGGGAAAATGGGATTCATACTAGGCTCCAGAACTTTTCGCTTCATGGTCCCGGCAGAGCCTCGATTCATGGTCACAGGGGTTTTGCTGGGAGATAAATCTTGTATCGTCTCGAATAAGCTGACCGGTTTAAGTGATTTTGGAAGAGGTCGGTTAAACTGAAACTCGTCGTCCTCTGAGGCCATATCTGATAATATACCATCCTCATCAGGACTAAACTTGCGCTTCACGCTCAATTTTGCGCGCAGCATGGGCTCAACGCTAGGACTCGGCTTTTGATGTGGAACTACTTCCTCACTTTGAGGGCCGGAAATGGGCTTGTTCTTCTTTCTCCGAGTTTCAAGATTAGGTGGGAGGAATGGATCGTAGTCGTCATCTTCGTGAGTTTCTAGGCGAATATCATGTATCACAGGACTAGAACTTTCCACTTCAAGCTGATTTTCGGTGAAAGGGAGAGCCAATTCTGAGAGACTATCATCGGCTTGGACCAGGCTGTGAATTTCTTGTGATCTATACGGGTCAGCTCATAAATCGAGGAAGTTGACTCTTTGGCAAAAGACTGAGACTCACTCCAGGGTTCGTCGGGGGAAATATTTATCCTCGTGGATCGATGGTAGTCGTCCATCATCAACCCCGTCATCGTACTCAGAGTCTCTCGGTCGGGATCTCGGGTCTCGAGCGGTCGCTTTCGGCTGATCGAACTCCTCCGAAGCTCTGTTTCTAAGCTTGGCAGCCTTGCGAGGTAACATTCCCAGGTCTGATGCGAGGTCATTCATTTCGGCGAGTTTTTTATCCAGTCGGGCCTTGATCTCGTAAATTCCGTCATGAAGCATTTTGCCTGCCTCCAAGCGTTCCATCCCCTGAGTCAAGTTGATAACTTGCTCACGAAGGGAAACATTCTCAGCCAAGAGATGTGTGACTTCTGATTCTAGGCTTCGGATTCGAAGGGATTGTATAGAATTGACTCTCGCGATCTCACGGTTCTGTCGCACAAATCGCCGCTTTACTAAGGAGTATGAACGCGTCAATTCTGGGATGATATTATTGAATTTAATTTGCAACTGGACTTACGGGCTTCAATAGACTCCACAGGAGCTGCGACATCATTTAGCCGAGCCATGATGGGTTGTGGCTTGTAAAGAGGGGAGGAACTGGAATTGTTGTGCAAAAGAAGGCAAGTAAACACACTCTGTTGATACTTGTCTTGATCAGGACTAGCGCGTATTTAGATGAGTCAGCCACGTCACTGAGTCAGGCAAACCCCGTGACCAAAAGATGTGAGGGAATTCAATCTTCGAATTCATAAAATAAATAACTAGGAAAAAGCACATCTCCATACGCCACATTCTTCCCCTCTGCTATAATCTCTCACAGTCTCCACAATGGCGTACTCAGGACGCCCGACCTCTATGATGCCTGGGCTTCGGCCGGGCTCCCAACCCTCTTCGGCATTGACGACGCGCATTGCGGCTAAGAAAGCCGAGCTCGAGAATCTTCGACAGCTACGTGATTTGAGTGGTACTCTTGCAATTCAAATGGAGGCACTGGAAAGCAAGATTGCCACGTTGAAAGATGGCACTGAAGGTATGCTCCTTTTTCTTTTCTTTTCTTTTTCCTTTACCCCCGCGATTTCCGACCGAATTAATTTTATTCTCAGCCGTAGCATGCGTTCTTGCTAATTGGGACAATGTCCTCCGTGCTATCACTCTTGCCTCCAGTAAGCTTGAGAGATTTCCTTATCAGTTCGATCAAGAGATGAAGTACTAATTGAATCTTAATCTTCTGTTTTGCAGCCAAAGCTAGTGGACTTGATAGCGTTGATAACGAACGCCTACCAGCCACATTGGTTCGCATTCCTACCGAGTCACGACAAGGCGAATGAACGTCTTTTTGTCTATGTAGCCGACCCAAAGTACGAAATGCACAAAATACGCTGGACGTTGGACTTGGACCTGGCCTTGGAACTCGACGGTGCGAATGATGGAGTACCTGACTCGATTTTTACCCCCTTGCACTTCAAGGCACGTTCCTCAGATTAACTTATGCAAATGGGAAAAACAAGTGCATGGTTTCCCCGCATTTGAAAGGACCGTCTCGTGTGACCATCAGTATATCTTCTTCTTATTCTGAATTGAAGCGGTGATCGACAACCATCTGCAAGAGGGCAAAAGCCACCGAAGCTAAAATGAAGCCAGTTTGATCGCTTTAAAAGCCACTTGTGAAGAAGAAGAAGCATCATTCGTCAGGCACAGGTTTGACGCTTAGGCCGTGCGCAGATGACAGGCTCGACAGAGATACCAAGTGGAGCTCATCTCCCGTTCGAGGTTCCTGCAGCTCGCATTATTACTCTCTTGGGTTGGTCTTCCCACCTTTTTTGCCTTTTTCCTTTTTTCTCATAAGCGCCCGAACCACTTTGAAAATTGAAAAATGGCCCAATACATCCCAAAACAGCCCCCTCCCCGCACCCTCCAGGGGTCATCCGTGCGAGGGGTTTTTCTTATTAGTCGATGGCATGATACCTTGGTAGATTTTGGTGATACTTGAGTGGATCTTATGAGGTGATCCATTTATATTCCTCCTTGCTCCGACTCATTTTTTTGCTCTTCTTCATACAACGCTCATCTTCTTACACTTGTATACAACCATGTCTACTGGATGGTTTTTGGATTTCTGTCTGGTCTGTGACAAACAGACCCCAGGTGGTCCTTACTGCTCACAATTGTGTCGTCTTGTCGAACTAGATCGTCCCCAGGATCGAGATCAAGATCAACGTCAAGGTCATGGCCTCAAACCTGGTCATTCTCGATCTACTACTTTGGATTCTACTCACTCTACCGACTCCCATTCTACTCCGCGGCTGTCGGCTGTCTCCTCTCAATCCTCATTATCGTCACTGAGGAGTCATTCCTCTAATTCCACCCTATCCCAAGAGCTTCGAGATTATGCCAGCTCCTTTGATCCTGTTCGCGACCTCAAACGACGATTGAATACAACTCAATAAACGTCCAATTATATTATTCTTGAGCTCTCTCCTCATACTCGCCATCACCCACCTCTATGGCCATCTCCACTACTACACCACCTCACCATCACCCCATCGCTACCACTTTATCTATCTCTCTCTCTCTCTCTCTCTCTCTCTCTCTCTTCCTGTTCCCTTTACAGCGACATTGCATATCGGAAATTCGGCGTATTGAATTTGAGATTGGAACTCGATTTATCCTTTTACATTTACCCCACTCTTCGAACCTATACCCCTCAAATCATTAAAATATTGGAGTTGTGAGACAACATGGGCTCCCGGATGTACCCTATCTTCATATCTATTTGTTATTACAGAATGTAGATTAATTCAAGCTCCCAGAGCATTAAGCGCAAAGTATAGACAGATCAATACATTACTTCCTAAATTGGAGTGGGGATTCGGGTAAATGAACAGATCAAAGTGACTCAGACATTGATCAGTCCACTATGAACATTCACACCTTCTCTCTTCGCCTTTTGTCCTTCACCCCACCACTCCGTACCTACTCCCGACCCTTCCGTGTCACTATTACTCCATACACTCTGTATTGTTAAGACAATCCCCGGGGATCGTTGGATCTCTAATTTATCAATTCCGTTCTCTTGGGCACAAATCTGAACCCAGTACCTTTGTGGGATGGCCACTAAACTTGTCGGATCCGAGTTCCCTTGAATTGAGTGCCAATCAACATGCTCGCTAGGCTCAATCTGAACACTATCCAGGGTTCGCATGAAGACATAATAAAGCTCACGATTGGCCAGCAAAAAGCCAGTACACATCCGTAAATAGCGGAGCATCCGGGTGCTCCAATCACCTCTCCGGTCGGAACACGTCTGGATCGGTCCATACGTCTGGGTCTATTCCTACTTGGTATAGAGATGGTGATGCATACGTGTTACAAACCCAGATGTTCAAAATAAATACGGTGCCTTTGGGGATTGTAATGTCTCCGCAGGTGATGTCCTGAATTGATTTCTGGGGAGGGGGAGAACCAGTCGAAGAACAGTGGAATACATATGGTCAGGGGTGAACGACTCCTTGAATTTGCCTCCTTGAATGTGAGGGGATGGATGATACGTACCGGAGACGCTCCCTGACGAGTGCTGCAACGTATACACACTTTTGATAATCTTCAGCCGAGCATATGGGCTCACCAGGGCCATAGAACTAATCGTCTGACCCGCTTTTTCCTGAATTTCGGGCCGGGTGGAGAGGAAGCAAAAACTTCAGGCAACCAGGTTGGTGACGGTATCTAACCCACCTGATAGCATCATCAAGCTAATTTTACTTGGCTTCCTTGTCGAGGATCACACTTACTTGGATGCGTGGGTTTCTGGGTGCCCTTTTCCATCAGGTGCTCCAGGTCCCGGTTGAGATATGCCAGGTATTTATCCCGCCATCTGCACATCTCTGCCCTCGAACACCTCAGCTTGAAGTCAGAGCCAGTCTCAGTCTCAGTCTCAGTATCATGGGCATGGGGTTGACCGGGATCTGGACCCCTTCACCATAACCAAGCAGCTTCTCCATAAAGACATTGGACTCGACATCCAGATTGGGGACGTAACTCTTCACCAATGGTCGATTCAGAGCTGGAGCTGTTCCATTTCTGCGCCGTTTCAGCGAATTATTGTACAGGGGTGTTTCAATAGTGGCACTGGCGGTACTAGAGACAATCTATTCACCTTTTTCAGTTTATAAAGCGCTGAGATCAAGGTTCTAGGGTTTCACACAGCGAACTGAAGGCCTGATCATAATGGCTAATAAACACTTTCGCAGTGGCTGCAGAGTTCACCACGACCACAGGGATGTTGCCCAAGTGGGTCTGGTATACATGACCGATCTTCTTGGACCAGTTACGGTACTGCTCAGCGGTATTGACTCTGATCTGGGCAAGGTTTTCAATCAGAGGTAAACACGAACGGACCCCTACAAGGACTGTGATGACCAGTGAATTCCAAAAATTCTTCATAATTGTAGCAAGCAAGGAGTGCACTCATAATGGCCATGCTGTTTGACTTTGGTCTTCACAATGTATCAGCTTTGGACTATTATACATATAGATAGATGGATAATTGGCCTTTACCCAGATTCGGGGTAAAATGCAACATTTCTGTCATCCAGTAGTTGGTTTTCTATATATACATGACCATATACTAGAAGTATATAGAAAGGTCTAACCCCACACTTTTATTTCCCCAGATTATAGTTCCGCGAGGAAAGGCTCCGCTCTTCGGGGAAACGGGGTTAAGACCTTATTCTATATATATATATATATATATATATAGATTAGATTTGGACATTTTTCATACAATGGAATTTGTCTTCTCATCCCTCGTATTATAACTGAGTACAATTCCTAGGTAAGTTGCCTCATCCAACCAGAGAAGAAAGAAAAAGCAAATAAAATGTAGAAAAGAGCTATCGAGGTCTAGGTCTGTCTACTAAATATGAATCGATCCTTCGGGAACCCTGTCCTATATCCTAGAGGGGGAAAAAAGAAGAAAGCTCCACTGTTCACGGGAGACCTTCTTAAGAATGTGACATTCTATGACTTAATTGGGTAAAAATTAGAAAAAGTAGGAATCGTGGCCTGGATAAACAGGTCGAGTGGATCAATAGGTTTTATCCCCTGAACACACTAAGAAGTGGAGAGCCTCATACGTCGGTCAGCTGGTCACGAAGAGATTTGCTCCTTACTCATACTTGACCTATAAATATATCCATATAATTAGCTGGACCATCTATAGGAGACAGTGAGACTGACAATATCAATTACGTATATATAAATAGAAACTATTTTGACGTGTCGTATGGTCTCTTACTTTGTATATGTGCAAAGAATAAAATCTACATAGTCACGGGATACTAAAAGTGGACATCAGAATAAAGCCAATTGCAGCTTCTGATTGGTGGGATTTTAAATAGTAAGAAGATGACGCAGGAAGTATTTCTCAGCCTGTTTTTGGTCAATATCGGAAGGTGTACCGATAACGCCAATCCTTGCCCTGGATCCAATCCAACTGGACTTTAATTACTCCCCTTTCCTTCTCTTTCATCACTCATCATCACTCTCCACTCTCCCTCGCCATCCTAATTAAACGGCCATTCAGTCGAGAGATTCACCTCGCAGCATATCCGGATAATGGCCGCTCGTCATTCTCGTAACTTCTTGCGACCGCTGCTCTACACCTCAGCGGCTGCTGCTGCCGGAGCAGGTGTCCTTTACATCTCATACCGTCCTCGTAATATTCCTGGTCTCGAAGCCCCCGCCGTGCCTCCGCCTGGATACCATGAAGGCAAGCTGGTACCACCTAGCTTCCCCACAATCAAGTCTCGTCTAGAGCAGATACAGGATTTGAAGAAGAGCCAGGATGAAGAACCTTATGACCTGTTGGTGATCGGAGCTGGTGCTACCGGCTCCGGTATTGCCCTCGATGCTGCGACGCGTGGATTGAAGGTCGCAGTGGTCGAGAGAGATGACTTCAGCGCTGGAACCAGCAGTAAGAGTACCAAGCTGGTGCACGGTGGTGTGCGCTACTTGGAAAAGGCTGTGTGGGAATTGGATTATAATCAGTGAGCCTTGGTCTGATTTTTGAAGATCTATTTATATGCTGATCAACGTTTTTGCGCCCACAGATATGCTTTGGTGCGAGAGGCTCTCCGTGAGAGAAAGTACTTCCTGAACACAGCTCCACACCTCTCTCAATGGCTACCTATCATGGTACCCTTGCAGAAATGGTGGCAGGCTCCCTATTTCTGGGCGGGCTGCAAAGCGTATGACTTGCTGGCTGGTTCAGAGGGCATTGAGAGCTCTTATTTCTTGACCAAAAGTAAGGCTATTGATGCCTTCCCCATGCTAAAACGCGAAAACGTCGTCGGTGCCATGGTTTACTATGGTAAGATGCTAATTCCCTCACTGGAGATATATTGGAACTCGCGCTGATAGAACACAGATGGCGCCCACAACGATTCTCGCATGAACGTTTCCCTCGGCATGACCGCGGCCCTCTACGGTAGCACTGTTGTGAATCATATGGAAGTGACTGGCCTGACCAAGGATGCCTCCGGTAAACTTAATGGCGCTGTTCTGAAGGACATCATTCCTGGCAAGGACGGCCAAGAGACCCAGGAGTTTACTATTCGGGCCAAGGGTATCATCAATGCCACAGGTCCCTTCACTGATTCCATCCGCAAGATGGATGAGCCCACCACCCAAGAGATCGTGGCCCCAAGTTCAGGTGTCCACATTATTCTTCCGGGATACTATAGTCCGTCTAACATGGGTCTGATTGACCCGTCAACTTCGGATGGTCGCGTCATCTTCTTCCTGCCATGGCAGGGCAACACCATCGCTGGTACCACCGATGCCCCAACTGAAATCACCGCTCAGCCCGAACCCTCTGAAGAAGACATCAAATGGATTCTTAGTGAGATTCGTGGATATTTGGCCCCCGATATTAATGTTGAGCGAAGCGATGTCCTGGCTGCTTGGTCGGGTATCCGTCCTCTTGTGCGCGACCCCAAGAAGACCAGCTCGCAGGCTCTAGTTCGCAACCATCTCATTTCCGTTTCTGCTTCTGGATTGTTGACTTGTGCCGGTGGTAAATGGACTACATATCGTCAAATGGCCGAGGAGGCTGTCGATGAGGCTATCAGCGCGTTCAAGCTGAAGACAAATGAGGTGAAATCGGCCCCTGATATCAGTGGTGTAGGTGGCAGCGGCTTGGTGGCTGATGGTGCAGTTCTGGATGGTACCTGTCAGACCCACCAGGTACGCCTGATTGGTGCCCACGGTTACTCCAAGACCTTGTTTATCAACTTGATCCAGCATTTCGGACTCGAGACTGATGTTGCCAAGCATCTGACTGAGTCATATGGTGATCGTGCTTGGCAGGTGGCTGCTCTGTCATCTCCCACTGGTGCCCGCTACCCTCTCCGCGGCCAGCGTATCTCTCCCCTGTACCCCTTTGTTGACGGTGAAGTTCGCTATGCGGTACGTCATGAGTATGCGCAAACCGCTGTTGATGTGATTGCCCGCCGCACCCGTCTGGCTTTCCTCAACGCTGAGGCTGCTTTGGAGGCTCTTCCCACCGTTATTGACCTGATGGCGGAGGAGTTGAACTGGAACACCAAGCGAAAGGACCTTGAGTTCAAGGATTCACTCTCCTACCTCAAGTCAATGGGTCTGCCCACCAACTTTGCTGGCCTAACCCGCCATGATGTTGTGCAGGGTAGAGTCAAGGACCTTGACGTTGCCCAACACAAGTCTTCTGCTCGTTCTGGTAAGTGTAGTTCATGATACCAACCAAATTGAGTCCCTTGGTTTTCTGACAGTGATTATAGATCCCCCAGCCGATGTTCTCCAAAGTGATGCCCCCACTCCTTCGATCTCATAGGTCTCACCAGACAATAAATAGATCTGATACATATTATATCAGCTGTACAAATATAATCCTTTTTTTTGGGGTTTCATACAATGTCCTCATAACAATCCCTGGCTCAATATAGAAGACTAAGTATGTTCATGATGTTTTCCATATGAGTTGTACTTGAAGTTGGATGAGAGTAGGTCAAATTGAGGCCATATACTAGTTCTAGATGAGGAAGTACGTAAATGCCCATGCTTCTGCCCTAAGCCAATAACCTTAAAGATCGAGTCCTTGATGGAGGTTCAGACAACAACATCCCTCTCTATCTATCATCTGATCAGTCGTCCAAATCCCCACTATCTCTCTCTCGCCGTGATCACCTCATCTCTCACCTCTTAGTGTTTCCACTTCGGTCAAACATTGACCTCCTTTCTTTGAAGAACGTCCAAAGTCTGTCACAACAATATCTCCACCACCACACAATCCAGTGATAGTGTTCACTCTATGGTAAGTGTCTGTGAATTTGTGTATGACTTTATAACAATTTCTGAAGGTTGAAGCCATCTGGACTGAATCAAATCTAGTTCCAATCCTGAGTACGCTCTACCTTTCCACACCATGGCAGTCAATCTCAGTGAAGTAACTGGCCGTCTGGTTCTGCTCTCCTACCTGGACATTTACATGTGGTCAGTCTTCGAAAGCCACCTCTACACCATTTCTATCATGATTCATATCCTGGCTGGAGAACCTGATAGTCTCATCCTGTACCTCTCCATTATCTTCCTCATTTGCTTTTTCATTAGTTTTCCCCTACGACAAGAGCTGAGACGGCACCTTACGTCCAGCTGGGTTAACATAATGAATCTATATCTGATTTGGATCTACCCTAGCTACTTTCGATATGAGATCCCCCAAGTTCTTGGTGTTTCATTCAGAATAACCATTATCTTACTTGTTTACACCAGCACAATTGTTTTTGTCTGGTCAATCTACGGACATAAAGTGACGAGGGTTTACTGGAGCTCGGCAGCCTTGCGAATCTTTGTAACGCTGGTATATGTACTGCTGGGATATCTGCTTGATCATTACAAGGTGTCTGACATGATGCAACCTCCTCTCACCTTGCGTATCATGATTGGCATTATCTTTCCTCTGGTGAGTTTCATCTGAAATGCGTAGGTGAGATGAAGTCAATATTGATTGAATATATAGCTCGTCACGACAGGGCTCTGTCACCTCCACTCTGCCGGGATGCATCTCTTCCAGCTGCAGATTTTTGGTTCATTCAAGAATGTCCCAATCATTACACACTCACCACAGTGGGTAGTCTATCCTGCTCTCTGGCTCTTGGCTTTGGCCATTGCAGTGGCCATTCGTTGTGTTTGCGCGATCATAATGCCGTATGTAAGTTTAAATCATCAAAAAAAAAAAATCCCTCACACTTTTCCATCCCTCCAAATCACTTATACAGTGTATAAATAATATGGCCAAGACTAACACTCCAACCAGGGCGTGGTCAATTTGTGTTCGTTCTGTGCAACTGTCCCAGGTGGCATCTCCATAATCCGAAATAAGTATGTCTTGTGGAATTCCTGGGGAAAACTCCACTGGCATAGCGGAGACACAATTGTGGTGATTTTGATTTCAGGATTGGTAAATCAGCAGCTGATATATGCTTCATCAGGCTCAATACTAACATGTTAACTAGTTCATGATCGGGATTATTTCGGCCATGAAAACAGTTTTTTCAGGATTTGCTGGTTGGTTTGATTGATGCAGTGGTAGAGATCACGGGTTAAGCATAAAGGGCAAGCCCATAGCCAATATTGATATTGTCCCTTCATATCTCTATATCTCCATATATTCATACCTACGTGATAAATGGGAAATGGCTTGAGAATCCACTGTCTTACATTCTTATCGACCAGTCGGAATTATGCTGCGGGTCCATGCATGTCACACAGCGCGGCTCTTTTAATACTTTCATTTATTATACATTATCATGATTAATAGGTAATGGGGATCTTATGTGCGGAGATGCCCGGATGCATGCAGTCCCAACAGGGATCTAAAACATGCCTATAATGCACCAATCCAGCTGCAGTTCAGGCTTCCGAAGGCGAAACTGCCTGCAATTATGCTCTCCCCTTTCCCCTCTCTTCTTTTTCTCCCCCCTCTTTAAATAATTTGGAAAGTTGGTGATCTGACCGGCAGAACCTTCATGTCCTGAGAATTATAGCCTATGAGACTTCATAAACATGGTCCACAATATGATTGGGAGAAAGTGTCGGTGTGGTGGTTCCTTCTTTTGGAAAGATATTACTTCTTTCTGCTTCATGCTTCTTCACCGTCCTGTAACAAACAAGGACAGTATGCAGATGATATACCACAAGATGCGACTCCTTCTGTGCTGCTGCCCAGAAAGCAGAAAGGCCTGACTCTCTCTTTCCCGGGAGCCCTAATTTTGAAAAGGCTATTTCTGACAGGCTGTTTTGGAAGGGCCATGGTTACAGCTCCAGAATCGAGCCACAGCCCGTTGGGCCACATCACGGCCTCGAAACCGTTCCATAAAATAATTGAAGAGAGGAAACTCATCCCAACTAAGTATATATGTATCTGGTTGATCTTGAATTCGATTCCAAAGATCAGTGATGGCAGCTTCAAGGATAGCAGAAGTTTGAGGGTCCACAGTGCCATCTTCTGAGTTTCGAGCACATTCCAAGGCTTGTTGAATGGTAGCCTGATCTTTAGAGGAGTTGGGCATGATGGAAGAAGTGGCGTGGTATGGACGAAGTGGGGTGGTGGTGGTGCTTGTGATTTTTAATTTTTTTTATTTTCCTCTCTTTTTTTCCCTTTAGGGCCGATGGGAATGGTGAAGCGGGTATAGGATATTAGAGGTAGTAGAACCCAAAAGGAAGTAGATTTGGAAGATAGGCAAGAAGAAAATGAAATTCAGTATGCGACCAGGCGGAAAAACCGAGTCTTTTCAATCCTCAAGTGGAGCAGGGGGGCAGGGGTGGGAAAGGGGGGAGGGGGAGAATAAAAAAAAAAGCACCCGTTGGAGTTCCGAGATACTGAGAGTTTTGAGTTCATCATGGGATTGCTGCACAAACAGGCACAAGTCGGAGTTTATACCGAAATGGTATGGATGGATAAAGAGCCTGGATCCATAAAAAAGTAGCGACATCAGGCTTGTATGGAAAGTTATGGAGACTTGGAGACTAAGAGACCATTTAGAGACGAAGAGTGTCCACAAGAGTCGGCCGAAGTGGGAAACATTCAAAAGAAGACGGCTGAACTGACTAGTCGTTGAATAGAAATCAAAAAGAAGGTTTGAAGTGGGAACGTCCGCCATTGAATGGCGTAACGGTTTTTTCGGAGCGCCAGGCTAGAGTCGAACTAGTGAAATGGAGCTAAAGAGGATCAAAACTGGACCAACGAACGGCATCTGATTCGTAGATGCAGTATAGGGTTCAAGGGTCGGAAGTTGGGTCGCTTAACAATCAGATTATTAAATAGAAGGACCAATCCAGTCTCATGAAGAGTAACGGTGAATGTGCCGGTCATATTTCATGCAACTTGTGCATCAGTTTGAGTGGGGATCTTCTATGATATGCACAGAATAGTGAGGCTCATAGACTCGGTTGGCTCTTCCGGAGTACTCATAGCTTTAGCGCTGTTCCTTGTGAAGTGACGGTAGGTAAGCTTCGTGAGGGGCGGTTGCAGATCCCGGCCGAAAGCTGTCGGCAATTTCGAGAAGCTTTGGTTGCCTTGGTTGCCTTGCTTGAATGGACACAGCTGGCAATCCTATTTAGTGGTAGAACAGCATTCGACTCTGGGCTCTCTCGCTGGTGAGATGGTAAGATCTGCAGGGTCAATGGGATAGCCGCGTCCATCTCCACCAATAAAGGCTCCCATTCTATGAAGCATATGAGGAGAGCTGGAATGATATAGGGGGTTTCTGAAATGTTTCTGAACAGTTTCCAAACTGTTTGGGGCCTTTGGGGCCGTTTGAGGTACCGCTAATGAGAAAGTTTCATAATGTCTCGGCAACGCGGATGAGAAAGCAGTCATGATATTATTTTGATAGATGATCGGACTTATGTCAGCAAATGAAATAACGGGAACTCGAACGAGTATAGATTGCCTTTAGAAGGTTCACGGGATGAAGAGGAAGATGTGTGAGGTGGAAGGAGATGAACATTCGTAAGAGACGGGAAAGCCTGAAGTCACCTCAATAAATGCCAGAAAAAGCTACTCCGCCGAGATTTACATATCCATCCTCCATCCACTTGTTAAATAGCATACATGTATATATGTATATTCTTCTCAATAAAGACGGGAAATTTGGAATGGAAAGTATACCGCGTAGCTTAAAGTATTCGGCTTTTAAAGTAGGCCGATTCTTATTAAGTTCTTCTTCTTCTCACGGCTTCACCTCGGCTTCACATGGAAATTAGGAACTAGCACAGACTAGGACTTGATCGACTTGAAGATCTATATTCAGTATCTACGGGCATCGGAACTATACATAGTAACGGGAGACATCTCGAGTAGTGGCTGAGTAATTTGAGGATAAGGTAATGATTCTGATTTATGGCAATTAAATTGGACATTGGTTCCAATGTTGTCTTTGGGCATCTTATATACCGAAATCTAAGTCAGTAGGAGATCTAAAGCCTCCGAATGTCATAGGTAGGTACGTAACTATCTATACCGTGATTTAGTATACCGGGATGAGGTATAAAGACCCCTAAGTGCCTAGTTAGGTATATAAAGTAGAAGTCTGAAGTATACATATGTATGTTCTGTACCTATGTCCCTTTCGGTATTCTTCAATAACTCACTTTTGCTGTAGAATATAGATGGAACAAAATGTACACGGCTCTTTAATTCCCAATTCGGACTAATGTTGATAAGTAAGCACTAGATCTGTCCTTACCCAACATCCCGAGTTCCTCTATGCTAAAGGATAGAATCAGAATCAGAATCAGAATCAGTAGAATAGTAGAATAAGAATAATAGGGGCTTCAATTCTACTGTTAACTGACTATTCCGTTGAATTGCTGGAAAAGAGACCAAATGGCCCACATCGAAGGATTTACTCGTACGGAGTACAGAGTACATACTTAGATATGAATGTCATTATTATGAGGATACTTGTGATTTTTACAAAATATAGTCTATATGTAATTGATCCAAGATGAATAAATATTTCAAGAAACAGATTAATCATCGAGGGCGGAAACTCCCTCAACCGCGCTAGGAGACGCTGTTGACAAGCTTCCTTCGAACCTCAGCCATTCGTCACCCTTTTGCATCCACAACCGCCCAGAATGACTGGAGAGAACCCCTCATCTGCGGCTCAAGGTATGATCATTGGCAAATTCCACTGATGACTGCCGCACTCACACCCCCGCTACCAGGCGCGAAATCCAAAAAACCCAAGAAGAAGGGCGCAAAGGCCAAGGGCAACCAAGCCACCGATCATCCAGAACCTGCCAAGAATCACGATGATACCACTCTGGTAGTTTTCGATCTACCCTTTGTCCCCGTGACTGTTTGTTAACCATCCCAGGATAATCGGGATGAACTAGGCGGCTCTGTAGAGACTTCGACCACCGGCGGCACTGAACCCAGTTCAGAAAACAATGGCGCACCTACAGAACGCGCTGGTGATTCGGATCCCGCCGATGATACAGAACGCGCTGGTGATGCCCATCAGAAGAATCACAACCCCGCACCGTCCGATGCCGAGCCGAAGGACCGGTTTGATGCGCTCGTTCGCGAACGAGACTCGCTACGAGCGGAAGTCACCGACATGCGGAAATCCTTAGAGGGAATTCAATCCAAACACAGGGCTGATATGGAGGCCTTACAGCAGAAATTGGACGACTCCGATACCAAGAAGGAACATGCAGAAACACAGTACCAGAAGCTCATGGAGCGAGTGAACACAATTAGGTCTCAGCTTGGGGAACGGCTCAAAGAGGATGCGGTACGTGAAATTGTCTTCTATGACTTGCGACTGTTTTGCTCATTTTTATCAATTTACAGGAGGAATTGGCCAACGCACGGTCTCAAATCGAAGAACTTGAAGACGACAATGCCAACATGAAATCACAGCTTACAGCCAAGTCTACGGAAATAGCAGAGCTTTCGGAAGAGTCGGTGCAAAAGTCTAAGGAGATCTCCACCCTTCGAGATCGATTCAATTTGTCTCAACAAAATTGGCTGAAGGAGAAAGAAGAGCTCATGGCGCAGGAGTCGTATCTCCAGGCTGAATTTGAACAAGCAAAAGAGGCTATGCACAACTGGGAAATCCTAGCCATGGAGGAAAGATCTATTCGTGAGAATTTGGGGGAGAAGGTTGTCGATCTCGAGGAGCAACTGAACAACCTCAACAATGCCTATGAGAAAGCCTCCACTGAACGTGACAGCCAACAATTCACAGTTGATGGGCTACAGCGGGCATTGCAGGAGATCCAATCAGCCCGAAAGCAGGAGCTGCGGGAGCTCGTAGAGAGTTCTGATTCCCAGTTGGAGGAGTTGAGAAAGTCCCTGCGAGAAGCACAGCAGCAAGCTACGCATGCCGATAAGGGTCTTCAATCTGCACAGGATGAATTGGAACGAGTGCGGCCATTTGAGAAAGAGGTCAAGGAGAAGAACCTGCTCATTGGAAAATTGAGACATGAGGCTGTCACGCTGAATGACCATCTAACTAAGGCCTTGCGATTCCTCAAGAAGGGGAAACCAGAAGACAACGTAGACCGGTGAGCCTCTTTTTGCTTCGAACCCACAGGATCAGAGTTGACTATTTTCAGACATATTGTTACCAACCATCTACTACATTTCCTTACGCTGGATCGGTCAGACCCCAAGAAGTTCCAGATTCTCCAGTTAATTGCAGCTCTTCTGGGCTGGGACGATGGTATGTGTCATCGGACCCGCCGTTTGACCTACTTTCACTAACCCAAATCTCCCCACAGAGCAACGCGAACAGGCAGGCTTGGCTCGACCAGGAACTTCAAACATATCTGGCAAGCTCCGAGTGCCTGGCACACCCCTGCGTACCCCCAGTACGACGAACTTGACGGACTTTATGGACAGCGCTTCAAGTAAAGAGACGCTGGCAGAGTTATGGTCCAACTTCTTGGAGCGGGAGGCAGAGGCTGGCAAGATAAACATCCCAGGACGAGGAAGTCATGCGGGACCGGCTAACTCATAGCCTTTTTTCAATTTTCAAGTTAATAGTGCTAGTGATGTTGTCTTAAATAATAGTTCAGTAGAGATAGATATCACCGCCTTCAATTCTGCCGGACGCTTACATCGTTGTGCAATACAACTTTCTCCTATGTGTCATTTCTATGCATTTGTTCTCGCCCTTACGTGCTGTGTATTACTGCTCTCGATATTCATTTGTCGGCCGTCGTTCTGCATTTACAATGTCTTCTAGTGCTGGTATGATAATATCACAACAAGGCGATTATAGCTAATTTATGAACTCTCGTCAGTCGAAAAGTTTCGCCCTGTGGTGGTTTCCGGTCCCTCTGGTACTGGAAAGTCCACACTACTCAAACGTCTTTTCGCTGACTACCCCGACAAATTTGGATTCTCAGTATCCCGTTAGTCTAGTCCACACACAGCACGAAAAATAGATATAGTAAACTGACTATGACTTGTCAAATAGACACCACTCGCCAACCTCGCGCTGGGGAAGAAGAGGGTATCTCATATTATTTCGTGACCAGGGAGAGCTTCCTGGATCAAGTATCCCAGGGTTTGTTTATAGAGCATGCGCAGTTCGGCGGCAACTACTACGGTACAAGTGTGCAGGCCGTCAAGACTGTAGCAGAGAAGAACCGGATCTGCATCCTCGATATTGAAATGGAGGTATGTGATTCCGATACTGCCCAGCTGTGTCTACGAGGCGTCGAGTATGATTCTGACCATGTTAATGCAGGGTGTCAAGCAAATGAAGCAAACTCAGCTTAATGCCAGATATCTTTTCTTGGCTCCACCATCCGTGGAAGAGCTGGAAAGGCGACTGCGCGGCCGTGGTACCGAGACCGAGGATAGCCTGAGCAAGCGGTTGGCACAGGCCAGGAACGAACTTGAGTACTCTCGACAACCTGGTGCTCACGACAAGATTGTGGTGAACGATGACCTGGAAAAGGCGTATGCCGAGCTACGGGATTGGATCGTGGATGGCGGCAAATTCGGAACATCGAACTGAATTCACCAGTTATAACTAGCACGAATTCAACTAGATCCTAATACAGAAATCGCAATATCAAGGGGACCTCGGGAGGTTCGCCCTTATCATAGGAATACTGTTAGGAAACTAGAATCCAATAGGGGAGCTTCTCGTCGGAGCCAATTAAAGGGACCACTAAGTACATGGAATAAGACTAGGAAAACTGGATGGAAGGCTCTTTTTTCTCAAGTAAAAAGCCCTTCGCTTTCAATAAAAAAAAGCTTAGGGGTACAGAACAGTATCAGGAATAGAAATGGGGAGGGGGAAAAGGAAAAAAAAAAAAAAATAAAATCAATGGGGATATCTGCGAGGGCATGCTGGCGTCGAATGAGACAATAATGTTTTCGTCGTGTCCCGCGGGTTTGCTATCGTTGGCCTTAAAAGCGCTCACTTCACCGATTGAACAAATCCAACGCCGTCCGAAAGGAAGGGAGAGATATTAGTATCCGTTCATGGCTGCGCGTTGCGAGTTACGGCTGAGCTCCCGGTCCGCAGAGGGGCTAATGGGACGACTGCCACCGGTGTGAGGACCAGCGCTGTTCTCCTTCAGAGCCAAAAGCTGCTTGGCACGGAAGGTCTCATAGTGAATCTGGCTGGTGGTCTCAACCAGATCCTGCAAGTGGGTGCGAGTCAGGAAGTTGCGCAGGTAGACGAACTCGCAGTGGTTCTCATCTTCAACGTTGATGACACCCCAGCGGTTCTGGCGACCCCGAACTTGCTTGCCATCGACAACGATGGTCTTCTCACTGCCGACAACAGAGAAGGGAATGATATCCTGTTCGTTCATTTTAGAATTTCCGTCAAAAAAGATTGAAAGATGTCCGGCGCTTTTCGTACCTTGATCTGAGAGTTAATGGCCCGCTCCTCATCATCCAATTCGTCGTTATCGTAAGGGTACATCTTCAGGTTGTGGAAGGCGAACTCCTCCTTAATGCGCTCCTTGAATGCCTGACGCTCGTCGAGGGTCAAAGAATCGGACTTGGCAATGACGGGGACAACGTTGACGACATCGGACAGCTTCTTCAGGACGACGATATCAATGGGCTTGAGACTGCAACATGAATGTATGTTAATTGATTTGATTCGAGGTAGGTTGATATTCGAGGAGAGGGAGTGACTGACGAGTGGCCTGAGGCCTGGATGAAGAACAAACAGCAGTGGATACGGGTATCTTGGATGTAGCGCTCACGCTGAGCAGTGAGTTCCTTGCGGAGGTACGCCGAGTGCTGATCCTTGATGTATTTGACAATTGGGTCCCAGCTAGAAAGCATGTTAGTCCGGAATACCGCAGACATCCTCATGAACAGAGAATGAGGAAAATATCCTACCAACGGTCATTGTTGACCTGGTCACCATAACCAGGAGTGTCGACGATGTTCAGACGGAGACGCACACCATTCTCCTCGATGACTAGCCGAACCGTTAGTCATTGCGCTCTCGTGCGCATTTTGAAGAATCCTCCATGGCAACGTACTGTGTGATTCAGTCTGGATCTCGGTGGTTGAGCGCACGGGCTCATTGGGAGTAAGACGACCCTTGGAGTCGATTAGGTGGGATGCGAAGATAGTGTTGATTAGAGTAGACTTTCCCAAGCCGGTTTGACCTGATGAAGGTGAAAAAAGTTAATGTCATAAATCCCCGGATGATTGAGAGCACAAATAAGAGGGAGATTAATGCCATACCGACACACATGACGTTGAATTGGAAACCACGCTTCAACAGCTTCCGCTCGATCTGGGAGGTGATGCTGTCGAAACCGACATGGCTGTGGGGGAAGACGGTGGGCTGCTGACCCGAAACAGCACTGGTAGCGGCGGCCATGATTGTAATTGTGCGTAGAAGAGGTGATGATAAAGAAGCAAGCCGTGAAGTTCGAATGCCCCTTAAGTTAAGTTGTTGTTTCCCTATCGAACTCAGGGGGGTTTGAACTAATCCTAATCGGGACTAGTATGGTTACCTCCGCGCAAAACGATTTTCGGCGCAACTCTTGAACTTTTGTATTATAATATACCCGTCCTCTCTGCTTCTCATAACCATGGCTCTACGTCTCTTTGCCCAGCCACCACGGCTATTCCCTCAATTTACAGCTTTCTCCTTCGCCCTCCCTGTCGCCATTACTATTCCTCCCCTGCTGGCCGACCTATGGGAGTCCGTTCTCCGTGCCGTCCCGAAAAAGAAGACTTCCCACATGAAGAGTCGTCATCGTCAAATGGCCGGAAAGGCATTGAAGGATGTACAGAGTCTCAATAAGTGTCCCAGCTGTGGTCAGATCAAGCGGGCCCATTTGCTGTGTGCCAACTGCGTGAAAGGTACGTAACTCGGATATATTGCGCCACACTGCGGAATGATTGAAGACTCGCTCTCATGAAAGAGATTGCGGATATCATATTGGACTTCATACAGAACATAGAAGCCAACAGAAGCTAACCGGAGTCTAATAGAAATCAAGCAATCGTGGAAGTCGGTGGAAGCCGCATGAGAACCATGATCGAATGACCAACGACACCTTGATAACTACGAGTACAACTGTCTGGATGTTTGAAGTCTTGGGGTCTTGAGGACCAATCTGCGTGTATTTCTAGAATTGGGATGTGTTTATATATCTGCTGCTGCATGGCACTTGGCGTCTGGTTGGGGATTCAAAAACTTGCGACTTATTTTACCCGAAAGTCCAAATGGACTCTGAATTGAATTGAACGAACTCCCCAAATATAAAAGAAGTAAATATATCAAAAACTACAAACTACGTAGGTAATTCGTTGATGTGAACAAAGTCCAACGAATACGTTTTTAAGGCGGAAAACCATGCCTTAACTCTCACTTCTCCCCAAAAAACGTCATGGTCTTTCTTGCAAGCTACACAACCCCATTTTCGGAGAACAACATTCCCTTAAGCGCATACAGACGGCATTGACCATGGTAAATCAATACAATGTCGCGTCATTAATTGAATCTGCAGCTAATAATCTACATAGTCGAGACAATATCTCGCGTGGGGCGCCGCGGAGAAAGGTGAGTGATGAGTTCCCTAATGAAGTCTCGCAGTCTAGCTAATTTGGCGCAGCGCACCCCGCCGACATTTTCTCAGTGGCAGTGGGAGACAAGCAGGTTCTGACCGCTTCTGGTGGCCCCTCGATCAAGGTGCACTCAACCGTAGACACGGAATTTCCCCTGGTCCAGTCTTTTGAGGCTCACAAGGTGGGCTGCCACCATGTGGTGACCGATGCCTCGGGTAAACACGCCGTGACTACTGGATTCGGAGGTGAATCTAAGGTCTGGTACTGCGAGGACGGCCATTGGTCGGAAGACCTTCCATTTTCAGGTGATCATTCTGCTAAATGAGAATTGCCTCATTATGCTAATAGAAACTACAGCCTTGCTAGCCAATGAAAACTTGTGGGCTTCGGTATTTTCTCTCGATGCTCAGCTTTTGGCTGGAATTACCCCCGAAGGCCGCATTGGCTTGTGGCATATGCCTTCTTCTAACAAGGCGCGAGACTATGAGACCAATGGCAATGTTGGTACTTGCATTGATATGGTATGTTCTCCAATTACTCTCCATTGGTCTGTTATTGAATTATATAGTCTCCCGATCAAAAGCTCATTGCCAGCGGATACGCCAATGGTGCTGTATGCATCATAAAGACTGAAGATGGTCGTATGCCGTTTTCTCTTGCAGGTGTGTGATGCTCATTGCCAACTTGCTACCGAATCTAATAAATCTACAGGTCTCGTGAAGCCTGTTCGTACCGTAGCCTTTTCCCCAGGTGGTCGACTCTTGGCTGCTGCTGGAGACGCTGGAGTCATCGTACTTTACGACACCACATCTGGTGAACAGATTGCTACTCTGTTGGGCAATACCGCGTGGGTCATGTCTCTTTCATGGAGTGATAGCGGAGAGAATCTTCTTAGCAGGTACAGTTCATATCATGAAAATAAGCTCTTAGAAGTGAGCATTCAACTGATAATATATAGCTCATTTGATGGCAAATTAAAGGTCTGGAATGTTGAAACCAAGACCTGTGTTGCAACAAACTCGATAAACTCCAAGGCAATCTGGAGCGCGAAATGGCTGCCCAAGAGCATCAGAGACAACGCATTTGTGGCTGCAGGCGCACACCGGAGTGTTGCATTCTATCGCGAAGCCACTGGGGCTTAGAAGGAGAGCTGACCCAAATGATCGGAGGACGATCTACAATGAATGATGCCTATGCGTAGAGCTCAATTAACAATTCTTATTTCATATCGTAAAAACACCACAACATCCCTCTGATTTTCTTATTCAATTCATTGTCTCTACAAACAACTTGCGCATTCGCTTAAGGAAGGCCCCGAAGTCTCGATCATCGTTAACTAAATCAACCACGCGCTCCAAAGCCTCCGGATTCACCTTGGGCTTCGTGCGAGACACTTCGTAGTCGCGACTGGCGGTACCTAGTTCAAACCAAGCTTCAGCCTCCCAGTCCTTTTCGAGAATATGGCTGTAGATGAATTTCAACCGATCCTCGCGCCCTGCCCCCTCGATCCTTAAACACAGATAGTCTTGCCAAAATTCCAATTCAGGAAAGTTGAGCCTAGACTGCGCATCCAGATGCTTTGCATGAGTTTTCTGTGCCTCTAATTTCTGGTTGATGGCCTGTTGTGTTGCGGCAATCTGCTGCTTGAGACGATCGCGCTTAGCAAGACGTGCGTCGCGTTCCAAAGTGATGGATGAGATAGCTGCATGCATCTCAGCTGCCTCAGCTGCTTCCTTTTGGAGAGTCTGCTCGTGAGTTTGGGATTTCAAAGTGACGATCTCAATATCGCGTTGTCGCATTCGCTCGTCCTCTGGATTTGAGTTAGTCTCATGGTCAGGAGGGGACAGGATAGGTTCCTACCTTGTAACTCAGCGAGGTTGATGTGAAACTGATTTCTCTCTTCCAAGACTTGTTTACGCCCTCGTTCGATGAATGCGTCGAATTTGGCAGTGAACTGAGCCATGCGGTTGCGCAGATCCTCAAACCCAAAGTTGATATTGGGGAGTGAGTCCGCCATAGACGGGGCATCTGCTGAGGCAAGGGGAGGTCGCATGCCGCTAGTCGATAGGGAAGGCTCGAAAGAAGACATGATGTATAGAAGAATGGGTATATCTCCTCAAATGCGGTGGTGAGTAAAAGATGGGTCGTAACGCGTGAGAGATCAAGAGTTGTTTTGTTGTGGTTGTTACCACAACCTTATCGATAAGCAAAAAAAAACCTGTGGTTTACTTCATCTTTGTAACTTCACCTTTCCTTGGATTCAACTCTCCTCTATTTGTCAGTCCTCGATATGATCTGGCTTGGACTTTCACATCTTGTAAGAGACAAAGCTAGATCTGATGGATGAACATCCTGATTGTGCTCTACATTACGGGCATGTCGGTCGAGCTGTCTATATTCCGGAGTCAAAGGCTTGGACATTTTCGCGCTCCTTCGCGCGACCTACCCCGATTACATATACAGGAATAACGACGAACGCAATACCGTCGCCTCATAATGTTTCCAAGTCTGAAGTGTACGGTCCTTACGGTCGACCTCCAAACCAAAGACTGATTTCATATGCACACCCTGATCTGGCTGCACACTGGGTCTCGATTCATGACGATGCCCTTTCCAACTTCGTTTCAGTGACATCAGATTTCTATGACCCCCAAGTCTCTACACTCCTTGACCTAGGATCCGCATGGAGTATCAGACATTTTGATATGGGAGCGCGGGTCTCCATTGCAGCAGCTGTGACCGGTGACTGCAGTACCACCATTACTTTCCGCCTCATGAGAGCTGATACGGTCAAGCTCACAAATCAAGGTCTTGTACGTGCGCCAGCCATCGGCGACTCAGAATCGACCGAATGGTCGACCCAAGGAGCCCGTATTCGTCAAATTTGCTTTGCGCGGCCTGTGGAGGAAGAGGAAGAAGGCGCCACTTGGATGGCTGCTCGTCTCACGGAGTCAACGGTTTTTTTCCGGCCTCTATACCGACAAAATCCAGCAGCCATGCACATATATCACGATGATCCAGCCGCATTTCCTTCAGATCTCCGCAACTCTAGGCTTGATGCCAATCCCACAGTGGAGATCTTTAGCTCGTATACGGGCGGGTTCCCGCATGCGGACGTATCATTTAATCCGTGGTGGCAGAGACAGGTGGCTATTGTTGATAGTAGAGGCAACTGGAGTATATGGATTATATCGGGTAAACTACGAAAGGCTAATTGGCTTGTTACGCCGGGTCAGAAAGGCTCACTGCCAATACTTGACTCGACCAACGCCAATAGTCCGCGACATGATGGATGGGCATCTATTGAGTGGGTTGCTGATTTCTCGACCATATTAGTCGCTGATCGCCGCTGTGCTATGCTTTTCCAGATGGTAGGGGAGGATACCAGATCCAGCACCATTGAGCTGTGTCTAGGCAAGCCTTCCGAATGGATCTTGGATATGCAAAGAAGCAGTCAAAATCCATCTCACTTTTTTATTCTCACTACAACCCGACTTCTCTGGTTTGATGTTGCAATGTCTGTTCCTAATGCAGCGGGTGTACGGCCACCTTTACGACCGCATACAGCCTGGTGTCACTTTCGAGATGTCGAGGACACAACATTACGGATCAGCGAGTTGTTGGTCAGAAGTGGTATGTTCATTTTGGCTCCCTTGGTCAGAAGTAGTTGCTAATTGAATCAGAACTGCATCTGGTTTTATACTCCCGTGTTACAGAGGTCGTGCAGGTGTTTCCATGTCCAGTTACCACGGATGAGGGCGCGGAAACAGTTGCAGTCTCTGATCCTTTTCTGCTTTCTGTACCCTCGATCAGAGACCCTTCTGCCCCCGAGAAGAGCACGCGCTATTCAACATTTATCTTCAAAGAAGTCGGTCATTCTCCTGGATCCGCCTTAGTAGAGGAGAGCTACAGCCCTAATATGACACTTGTCAAACTCTTCTGGATCGACTCTTCTCTTGCCATCCATGAAACGTTTTACAAGGGTCCAGATAAGGACCCGGATGAACAGGATACGTTTGCCAATAACAATAGCATTCTACATGTCACGCGACATTACCTACCCCGGAAGGAAAAGGATGTCGCCGATGACAGTAATTTCGTCGTTGATGATTGGGATGATTCTGTGGTTGTTCCACGGGTCATACCCATGGCGGTGGCTTCCACAGAAGTTGAAGAAGACCTGGAATGGACTGTGGATTTTTCTCGAACATATAATCTTGCCGTGGCAAATATCACGACCCAAAGTGGTGGACAGTCCAATTTTACATTTGATAAGATGATTGACAACCTCAAAAGCGAGGAAGATTCAGCTGGTTGGAGGGCAAGTGAATCAATGTAAGTTCATTTCAAGCTTGTTGACTTGATTCCGTAATAAGCTGACAAAAAATCAGACTCGAACAGTGTGGTGGCCGACCTATATTAGATGACATCGATCAGAATTCCCAGGACTTGGAACAGCTCGTCTCAATGGCTCTGGCTGGAAACCTCAACTCTCAAGGCAAATACCCATTTATGCTCCTCTCGATGCAGTTCTCTCATGTGTTTTTCGGTATGCCAGCTATTTCAGCTGGGAACCAATTCGGGTTGAATCTCCTGGAAACATACGATTATCTGATCAATGAGTGGATAACAAGTCTACCAAATGACACACCCAATCATACTCGCCGAATGAAGGAGAAAGTAGTTCGTGGCATTGCCCTTGATATCATCCTGGCACGCCTAATCCGCATTTCCAACCGAACTAGCTATCAAAACTCATCACAAGCGATCGAATCTGTTGACGATGATCAGCAGATGGAGGAACCTACAACGCCTCGTGATATTGGAGTTCAACTCTCTTCACAATTGCACTCCAGCCAGAGCGTGGTTGCTAGGGATGAGGCCTCCCAGCCCTGGGCTGACAAAAAGGCCACCTCTGCCCCATTGTACTACCATTTGTCTGCATTCACCACGTTCAAGAAGCCTCGTACGACGGCGCGGAATGTCAGTAGTCTGCTCTCTCATTGGCAGCCGGGCTCTGACCCTTCCACATACGTGCAACAGAGTTTGATGGTTGGTGAGGATCGGACATCGACACCGAGTACTCCTAAACATCGGACACGCAAGAGACGATCATACTCGCAATCGCAATCAACTGCAGTCGATGCGACATCCCTGCCTCCAACCCCCGTCGTGCCCATATCCCGGGTCTGGGGCACTCAACCCGAGCATATACTATCATCTTCACAGTACATTCCCAGCAGTCAGCCCCGGAACGAAACGATGAGTCAAACAGAAAGAGGAAACTTCGGAGCGCGTGAAGTCAAGAAGAAAACGGCAAATAAGAAGAAAAGAAGAGCAGCTGGATTCTGAATAATTCTGAAGAGTGAAGAAGAATAATGAGAGAAACGAGGTTTTGCGAAATCCACTATTATAGACAAGTAAATGACCAATCGCAGAATTCTCTCAGAAAGGAAAGATTATAAATATAGAATATAATCACGTAATTTGTTCCCTCTTACACTTTACTTCTTCTCCATATTCCATACCTGAGTACTGAGGTCTACACTCCATACTTCGTGCCCGCCTTTTGTTTATCTTCCTCTTTCCCCCGCAGCCCCGCGATTCTTCACTTCCAACTTCCAACTTTCAACTTCCCAACCTACAAACATGTCGGACGCAGACCACCAGTACAAGTTCAACGTTTCCATGAGTTGCGGTGGCTGCTCTGGTGCGGTGGAGCGTATTTTGAAGCGGCTAGATGGTATTCCATCCTACAAATCCCACTAGTCAAGACTTATCACTAACTCCTCCAGGTGTCAAGTCCTTCGACGTCAACCTCGAATCTCAAACAGCACTGGTCTCCACTGAACCGACCATATCCTACGATACTGTGCTAGCTGCCATTAAAAAGACTGGCAAGACAGTCAATACTGGCGAGGCAGATGGCCAGGTCATGAGCGTTTGAATGAGCACGGTCGCAGGCTCTAAAGCGCGCTATGACACGAGTGGGCTTCATCTGACAACTTCTTGGTTGCATTTAATATATCAGGGCTGACGATATTGTCGTAGGTGATTTTGGAGCATTTTTATGAATAATATTGGCAATGCATAGGAATGTATTTATGTGATAGACAATTGACTAGACTTGACCTGGAATTTGTCTTTGTTACAGTACTTCCGGAAATAAGTGTCACCACTTTTACTCTTTCATACTCTGTGACCATGATGCCAAAATCAACTAGATTCGATCAAGAAGAGTAGGCGGAAAATATCTCCATTGTGGCTGTCTGCGCCTTTCCAGCACATAGTGAATACATCCATCCCAGCCTGACAGCATTGGTTGCAGGACTCGGATCTTCAAAAACCCTATGCACTTATTGAGTTCTCAAGTCTGTTCTACCTAGATGTCCTCATTCGACAAAGATGATCTGCTCAGTTCATCTTCATAACTAAGTGCCATTCTCCACTTTTTCAGGAACCAAGGAGCAGCTTTCCAGCTTCCCCAGTCCCAAGGAGCACACGAACTCCTTTTTAGCATCAGTGCGTCCCTAGCATATACATCCACCTTCAATTCCCATAGGTTGAAGAATTGCGGCAAGGCAGCCGCTGCCATAATGGCCCTGTCCCGAAATTGTGGCAAGGGAATCAGGTCAAGGCTCGCATGGTGCGGTATCAGGATCTGGGCTAGCGTGGGACGGAGGCTCACTGGTACGGTTGACGATGGAAGGGTCACATCTTTCAGAGCTGCGGAGAGTAATATTTCTGGGTTATCCAGAGGCGTTGCGTCGGGTCGGTAGAAAGGGGACATGTAAAATGAGCCTGGCCCGCATTTGGCGGTCAGGTCATGGAGGTCGAAGCCTAATCTTATTGCGTTCTCGAGCATAGCTGCAAAAATTGTTGTGTGAACGGGCTCAGACAATGCTTGGTTTGGGGATAGGATGGGGAGATTATAGAAAGGTGTTGTATTACTTGGAAGTGTAGATATAGTTGTAGAGGTCTGGGAGTCCAAGTTTGTAGTACTTGGTGTATTGGTCTGTATAAATGGCGATAATGAATATTGATCCAATTGTTCCAGGGAGGGTGTATGGCCCAGGAGTAACAGCTCACTGTTTTCAAAAAATGGATCTGTTTCTGAAAACATTGTTGTACTTGACTCGCTGGGTGGCATTGGGTTGGGCATGATGCCTGTCGTTGTCAACAAAGATGGCCATGGAAGCGGAATATTGGTATCGAATATCATATCTGATATCTCAGAGTGGCTAAAATCTGATTGCTTAAAGCCTAGCTCTCGGGAAAGGCCTTCACTAGGACTGTGTAGTTGCTCCACCGTAACCAGCGTGCCAGTTGGACGCGTAGTAGGAGTTTCAATTGGATATGGCCGCAGTTCAACCTGTCTGCCTTCGCATCTTAATGTCTCCTCTCGGAGTCCCTGTAGCCTCTCTCTTCTCCTTTGCCCTGCAACCAGTGACGGTCTGTCAGATAAGCAATTACCATAATGATGTGGATAGGGCTTACTATAGACTCTCTGTGCTGCTCGATTCTGTTCTTTGCGCGCTAGAGTTATGACCCGTTTAGGTTTATCGACAGCTATAGGCCTTTGTTCGTAACTGCCTACCGTTGGTCGCGATTTTGTAGCTTGTGACATGCTATTAATAATTATATTGAGCCTTCAGAGGGAATAGTAACGAGTTATTGGACGGATGAGGTCATGAAATGTAGTTACCCACTTTTGGCTTACTCACCCGCTTTTCGGCTTACTCCCTGCCAGCCAATCAAATTGAATTTCAGTCCTAATCCTCCTGCCACTATTTCCAAAAATTGCGAAGCGTAAGCCAGTTGCAAACGAAGGATCATGCTGTATAAGGTGTATAGGGGGAGAGAGACGCTGGTCTCGCGATATTTCCACTATAAATAACGTTCAGTCCTTATGTGAATAACTTAAGGCTAAAGCAAACATATCTCAATCTTGGAAAATCACCCCCAGAGAGTCATAACAACCACAAATATGAGCACTCCCACCAGAACTATTGCCGTTGTCGGGGCCACGGGCATTCAGGGTTCCTCAGTCGTCAAGACCTTCCTGGGCCTTCCTGGCTGGCACGTCCGCGCCCTGACACGGTCTCCCGGGTCCGAGAATGCTCAATCTCTTAAAGTCCTGGGCGCTGAGATTGTGCAGATTGACCTAGCAGATCCCACCTCGCTAGAGCCAGCCTTTGATGGTGTTCATGCTATCTTCATGAACACTAACTTCTGGGAAGTTTACCGGAAGACTAAGGACGGTAAGGCCGCCTACAACAGCGAGATGCGGAACTCCAAGAATGCCGTTGAGGCCGCGGCTCGCGTCCCCACGCTCCAGCGCTTTGTGTATTCGGGCTTTGGGTCCATGGACAAAGGTAGTGGCGGGAAGTACAGCGGTTGCTATCATTGGGAGAGCAAGGCCGACGTCGTCGATTATGTCGAATCAACCCATGCGGATGGTCTGGCCAAGAAAACATCCATAATATACATGGGTGCTTATGCCTCTAATGCCTTCCTGTACCCAAAGGCTAACCCAGAGACTGGGGAGTACGCCATGGTAATACCTAGTGCTGAGACAATGCGGATGCCCATCATTGATGCTGTGAACACCGGGCTATTCGTGGAAGCACTGATCGTGCATGAGGAACCCGGTAAAAAGCTGTTGGCATATGACACTGATAGCTATCTCACTGCGACAGAGCTAATCGCACTCTGGTCTAAAATTACGGGGCGAAAGGCCAAGTTTGTCCAAGTGACACTTCAGGCTATGTATGAGATGACTCACTTGCCTTTCGAGATCTTGAATGGGCCTGCTTACGTTTCCGAGTTTGGGTACACAGCGGGCGTTGATGGGATTATTGAGCCAGAGCAGCTGAAGCACAAAGTTGTGACGCCGAGCTATGAGGAATATTTGAAGAAACAGTCCTTAGAGCAACTTCTTGGGGTAACACCTCCCGAGGGATATTAGCATCTTGATAACTAGATAGCTTCTTCTATCTTCAACCAGTCTTACGCAATCTACCATTCGTCCTTTATAGGTTTCAACAAAAACGAGGAATTTTTGATTATAGACACATTATTCACGCTTTATTTAATAGAATCACGTTGAATTAAACGCCAGGCATGCTTTTTCTTAGCCTAAACCTGACCGCCTCCTAGAGTTTGAGCAACTTTCCTGAGTAAAACGCCAAGGGCAGGCAGTGAGAAGTAAGGAGTCTCACCAAAGACTGTCCCTCAATAAGCTGGGCCGAGTCCGTGCTCCGGAAGAGGAGCCCTAGAAATGAAGCGAGATGGTGTGGTAGAGATTGAAACAGGACTTGGGTAACGACAGGTGTTGAAAAGATTCCCCGAAAGCTGCGCTTTCTCTTGGGTAAGGATCCAAGGCCGAAATTTGTCCAATCGATAAGTAGCACTTGACATATCGGGTGCAGAAGGAAGGGGTGCTCAGTAATTCAAGCTTTTTGACTCCTATGAGCCTGATCCAACTCCTCAGCAACTGAAGCTTTTCGCTGAGGACTACATTAGATCAGCAAAAGGATCCACGTCTTAGAGATTGGCCTGTAGTAACCTCATCGGTTTTACCTTGGGAACGAGAAATCTCCCGATCTATTCGTGAAGTGAAGGAGGATGTTCTAAATATGAATAGGGGAGGACTAGCCTCTATCTTGCGATAACAGGTATTAAACAAAGATTGAATTTGTATAATACATAATCTGGTCTTTTAAGATACAGGCCTAGAAAGCTAGGGTTCAAGAAATAGTAAAAGAGTGTATGTGGTGACCCGATTTTGTACAAACATATACATATTTTGCATCCTATTTAAAAGGGTATCCATTACATCTCGCCCTTGAATTAGGATATGTCGCTGGAGGATGAATTCAAGACAATTCTCCACCACTGCCAACTTCTCTAGGTGTTTACTCCCGATGTCTTTGCCAATCACGTATATGGGGAGTATATGTCTGTGGGTTTAGCTCGGCTTGGTCTACCGATGAACCATATTTATTTCTCACTTCCATGCTCGGTGGGTGTAAAGGCATAACGATGTATTGGTTGAAAGGAACAAGCTTCCATTAAAGTTGTTACTCAGGTGATGATGACGTTTAAAGTATATGGAAAAAATGAATCAGAATATGGAATATCAACTCCGTGGAGGATAATCGTGCTAGAAATACAACAATAGGGGTATCTTTACCAAAAAAGGAAAACCAAAAGAACTCCCAATCATACACTAAAAAACAAAATACACCAATAAAAACCATGCTTGAGTGTTGCTCAACCTCACATGCGTCGTCGAATACGCGGAGGCTCAAGGGACTCAAACCAACGGTCATTCAAAGGGTTACGACGTGGATCAATGCGAGCTCCGGGGGGAATAATCTCAACAGGTCGGACGTATCCATCGGCGTAATGGGTAGTTAAGGGAGCTTCGCGGTCTACTGTGATCTGGCCAGGGACTTGTCGGGCTGGAATGCCCGGACGAGGATACATAACATATTCCACTGCAATAGGGAATTGCCCGCCGGGCATGTGGTTCATGCCGGAGCTCATATCGACTCCAGGACCTGCTGTTCTATCCCATGTGTCATATCTAGACCCATGTGGGGATCTTGTGGCGTGACTGGCAAGAGTCACACGTTCCTCATTAGCGTAATGAGTAGCCAAGGGAGATTCGCGGTCCGCTGAAATATAACCAGGGACTTGCCAGGCTGGAATGCCCGGGCGAGGATACACAACATACTCCACTGCAATAGGGAATTGCCCGCCTGGCATGTGGTCCATGTCGGAGCTAAGATCTACTCCAGGAACTGCTGTTCTATCCCATGTGTAATATCCAGAGCCTTGGGAGGGTCTAGTAACTTGACTGGCAACTCGTTCCCCATCTTGCTGCTGTAGGTCATCATATCCATTCACGAAGACAGGCATATTACTGTCAATTCTGTCAGCTGGCCTGACGGAGATTCCCATGTCCCATTGAGAAAAGTTGCGGGAAACAGCATTCGCTGTTGAGTGAGGGTGGTCAGTTGACCCGTTACTATCTGCTGGTTTCTGCCTGGTTAGTTCCGATGGGACTTGAACTCGCGCATATCCAGAAATTGGTCCCTTGCCATCCAACGGAACGTATCCAAACTGGATACCGACGGGATTTTCGTCAACCTGGTGGTCTTTCGCAGTCGAAGAGTCAAAATGTGATGTGGACGTTCCAAAAGCTTCGGGAGTATGGCTTGCCATAGGAGAGACGGCATCCATGTTTTCCGAATATTCTTTCTCAAGCTCACTTCTTCTTCCACGAACAAACCATTCTTTGTGCCCGGGCCGGCTTCTCTGAAAATCAACCCATTCTTTGAAGTGGCCGTCGGAATCGTGTTTTCGTTTGAAGTTTTTGTTAGCATTGGCAGGCGTCTTGCTAGAAGATGTCTCGGTAAACGGATTGTTGTGGACCACTGTGTTGCTGGAAATGTAAACAACTTGGCTATCCTGTGAATCAGCCTCTTCGTCTTCCTCGAATTCATCTTCATCATCCGATATGACAATTATTTCACGAAACACGTCCTCCAGTTCTGGTAGGCCATTTTCATCAGGCCCACGCCACAAAATGAGCTTATCCACACAGAGTGGCTCAATTTGACTCCTCGCACCGTGATAGTTCCCACGGTTTCGCCCTGAGCGCTTGTTGCTCTCTCGGAGAATACTGTCATAGGCAGTGTATTTGTGGCGAATATGGGCTAATACGGCCATTGATGCTCTGCGACCCCAAGATAAAGTTGAGTTGGCGCCGACTTTATCTCCTCCCTAGAATCATGTTAGGTATACTTAATTGTCAAATTTCGCGGTAAGTGAATACGATACTTTCTGAAAGGACTGTTTAATAACTTCAAGTAGGTCTGAATCTGGAATGACTGGGAATAAGTCCTTGATGGCATTCCTCGCCTTCTCGTTGATTTCATCTTGTGACAGAAACTTTTCCATGGGATCACAAAAATGATCATTAGGGAGAAAAGCATGTTCAATTGCCTGGTTTATACTTCGAAGAGTAATACCAAGTTTTTCACAGGATGCTACAACCACTGTGGTAGGGAAATGGTAGCCGATGCGATTAACATGCTCAGAAAGTAGGTATTTTTGTGCATTTCGAGAGGTCTGACTTCGCCGGAGATGATCAGCCGGTTTCTGTAGAAAATTCGAGTTTAGAGGGAGTGTTAAGGCGATTTTCTTTCTTACCGTAACTACATAGACTGGAGAACCGCTTTGTCGACACATCTCCTTGCAAGCCGTCGTCAGCTTTGGATTTCCCGCCGGTATCAAAGTGTAGTCGCGTGGAGAAATCAAATCGGATGTCAACACTGTTCGAAGTGTCTTCTTCTGCTGCGACACTCGCTCATGGATGACCTTGTGTTTGCGTTTGGGAACGGCCCGACGTAGGCGAGCCATTGTGGCTGTCGCTTTGGCGTCAGAATTTTAAAGAGTTCCAAAGTACATGTTAAGTGTGTGGGGTTGGATTGGGGTGGGGGAGGTGGTGGGGGGAATCGCGTGAGTAATTGTAAAAGTCGCGTTTTCAGTCTCACGGAATGGGATGTAAAAGATACGATACGATCCAAGTTGGACGAGGTTCAAAAGTGAGAGAAAAGCTTGAAGGACAGATTGATGATGGGAAGGTGGAAGGTGGAGAAGAGAAAACAACGAAGTGAATTATAGATTCGTAGATAAGGGTGATGATGAGCTTGTTGCGGCCCAATTTGGGCTAGTGTTGCCTGAGGCACCCGAATTCTTATTTCTCTCCGCTCTTTATGTTTCATTACAAATTACACAATGCATTCATCCATGGCCCAACAAGAAGTGGTTCATGCATACCGTCAGCTTTATCGACAAGGGTTGAAAGCTATCCGGTACGCCACTCCAGCCCGACATGTCTTACGATCGTCCTTACGTGATTCCTTTCGCTCCTGTCCGCGTGAAGAGTTTGATTCTTCGAGAGTCTTCAACACGATTCGATTTCTTGAACGGGCCACCGAATACACAGGTTATGAACACAAGATTTTGAGGAATCTTTTGCTTATAAAATACTGGGCGATGCCCAATATTGCCAAAGAGTCTCGCGTGTAGGTCCATCACACCACCCGGATGCGGATGCAAATGTGGAAGTGGAGTCTCTGACTTGGTCACAGATTAAAGGTGTTAGGTCTTGCAAATGCCGAGGATAGACTACGCAAAAATGCGTATGAACACTATTACCTGACATTGGAACGACTGAATGAGAGCATAGGAACCTGCCTGAAGTGAGGACCAACGAAATTGGATGTGAGAATGTTGATCCTATTCGCTACACCGCAAATCCTTCGTTAGGCACTAGTACTTTCCCTTGGGCATGAATCTAGCATCCGGAGTACTAAATAAGGTGACAATATGGGTGCTCTTCTCGGTGGACCTGGAAGTCGAACTGTTGAGTGTCATACTTCGACTTGTCTCCACTATTTTATTTCGGTATATGTACTAGTACATAGACTGGAGAAGTCAGACGACATGTCTTTGAACTTCAAGCATCTAATTGTGACCGTCATCTGTCCAGGAAATGGGAGATATGAATAACGAATTGAATTTGTTGTGCGCATTATGGAGATGGAGGTGTAAATTACCAAAATTGAAATTGAGGTGACTCACAGTGTAAATTTCAATCTAAATATTTCCCAAAGTGCAATAACCCAGTATGAGTAGTAAGTTCTAACCAAATAGGCTATACGCAGTATTACTCCGTATACTTATCCGTGTGGAGTACAGGATAAGATGATAGTAGTTCTCGTAGTTAATAAATTGTCCCCACGATTGATGATTCAGCAGGTCGACGTCACACGGTAACACCGCCTCACTTTCCCCTTTTGCTTTCTTTGACCGTTTTGTATGTGGAAGTTCTTGCAATATTATAATATCTAGATATCTATGAACATATTAATATCTTCATTCAAACATCCTCTCTGACTTTGGATTCTAGTGAACTTTCACAACCCCCAGCCATATCCCGAGGTGGAGTCCCATCTACAAACAAAGTTGATCTTCACCATCTATCCTCAGGTTCTCTTGTTGGATTGAATTTGAAACGGCGGAAATGCAGTGCTGTGTACTGGTATTCCACTTCCCACACGATTAACAAAAGAGATGGATATGCCGAGTAATCAGGATTCAGGAACCCCAAATGGCGAGTCAACGATACCTCGGGACGAACCACCACATTCAGGCTTAGGGAACAGGGAGTCTGCTGAAATACAAGCTCATTCTTTCCGCATGGATGAGCTTGGGCAAATTTCGCTGCCAGCAGACGATGGAATGGGGTGGCTCAGACGGAAAATACACGCTATTCGGGACCTTGATCTCAGCAGCAATGAGAAAGCACGGATGATCCACGATTTGATGACAGAGAGCTACAACTCCTTCAGACCTGCATCGCTTCATTCTTTGACCGCTAAATCTCCTCCGTCAAGTCCTCCGGTCTTCCATCATGCTCCTGAAGCACAAAAGATTTTAGACCCAAGCCCGACCAGCCCCACATTATCATTATCCACCCTACAAAATGAGAGTCTGCTTTCGGTCACACCCGAAGACCAGCAACCTACATATGTTCCAGTGGTAGAGCCTGACTCCCCGGTGGTCGAGGCTCGAGATGAAGATCCTGATACGGAAGAGTTAGAGGAGACATCCCTAGGTTGTGAACACTACATGCGAAACGTTAAACTTCAGTGTTATACTTGCAAGAAGTGGCACACATGTCGCTTCTGTCATGATGCAGTCGAGGATCATCCTCTGATTCGCCGAGACACTGAACATATGCTATGTATGTTATGTGGATATCCCCAGCCTGCTGCTCAGGATTGCAATCAATGTGGCCGACAAAGTGCCCAGTATTACTGTGACATTTGCAAGCTCTGGGATAATGATAGCAATAAGAGTATATACCATTGCAACGACTGCGGTATTTGTCGGATTGGACAGGGACTTGGGAAGGACTTCTTCCATTGCAAGGTAAGTTTACATTTCTTACGCGTGATATTTACTCATATCTTGACCATGATACTGAGAATTATTTTTAGACATGTTGTGTCTGTTTGCCTATCTCAATCGAGGACACTCATCGGTGTATCGAAAGATCTACTCAGTGCGACTGCCCTATATGTGGAGAGTACATGTTCACTTCTCCGGAAACAGTTGTTGTAATGCGATGTGGCCATAGCATTCATCACAAGTGTCTTTCAGAGCACTCGAAAACTTCCTTCCGCTGTCCCATATGCAGTAAAACCATCACCAACATGGAATCGACATTTAGAAACCTAGATCGCACTATCGAAAGCCAACCTATGCCCGGTGAATTCAAAGACACCAAAGCCATAATTTACTGTAATGACTGTGGTGCAAAGTCAGCTGTCAAGTATCACTGGTTAGGCTTGAAATGTGATTTGTGAGTACTAGCGATGTCTTGATACGAAGATGAACAGAGTGTTAATAGAATCAGGTGCGAGTCCTACAACACAGCTCAGATCAGACTGGTACAGGGAGATGAATCAGGAGTGCTAGAGGAAGAAGGAGTCCTTGATCATTCCCGACAGCGATCATCCTCTTTCACAGAAGAAACCACGTCTTCGGCAGCACTACATCTAAGCACCAGCCCAGGCTCGCAATCAACACTTGGAGTTCCGATACCAACTGGCTCAGCCGGACGATTCGTATCTTACAATATGACTCATGGCCGTGCAGTTTCACCAGTGGTCAGCAATTACTTTGGTCTTCCCCCTGATCGTGTATCTGGGAAGTCTTCGTCGTTACCATTTTTCGGTGGTAACGAAAATGAGGTCGAATATGGTGCTTTGAACTACCTAAGCAAGAAGCTTCGGGACCGATATGGCTTTCTCGCAGGCGAGGCAGCATTAGATGAGGCGGCTTCAGATATTGAAGAGGAGGAAGAAGAAGGCACTCAATCCTCAGGTTCTTCTGGGTCGGAGGCCGAAGAAGAAGGGGATGAAGCAGAATACATGGACATTTTCGGTCACACATGATCTCGTTGGAACATCTTAATTTTATTCTATCTTCCAATAGAAAAAAAGAACAGCTCATTGAAATTGGAACTGCGCTACCGGAATTTCGGGGTACTCTTACATAACCACAAAGGTTTCAAAGATTTTAGCCAGGAGCAAGTATGGGGGCTCATACAAATTTCCTCAACGGCATACAGCCGTTAGAGCTTCGACTTGGAGCTCATGCGAAAGAACCGGTCTGATCCACCAAGTCATGACAAGTTTGCTTTATCAAGTGCCATTTACACTATCACCTAGCTCATAGAACTTGATTGATCATACAAGTCCCCCATACTCTTATATGCAATAGTTCCTGAAAATTCCATAGATCTAGATCATACTAGCTATGAAGCTGATAAGTTTCTATAGAGCTGAAGCATACGGGGACCTATCATAATTCATATGGGCAGTCTTCACCAAATACACCGAAGGAAAAATATGTAATAAATATGTACTAAACGGCCTTAATAAATCTATCAAATAAATAAATATTTAAATATTAGTTAACAAGAAGGAGTACTGCTTAGCTAAGCGTTGACATCTTCTGCTTGCGGCGATCAGATTCCATCTTGGTCAGCCTACCTTGTTTTGACTAGATTGACTCTTGATTCTTTCTTTTTGCGTGATCAATCTATTTTTTAGTTTCTCCTTATCCCTAATATGAACTACTAAATCTTACTTCCTGGGAACTGAAACAAAGCACGGATCTCTCCGTATTCCCAGCCTTAGAGAGAGTATGTTCAGTCATTCTTGGATTCCTCTACTCCGCAGATTACTATACTCTTCTTCCTTATTTTGGCCGTCACCGCAATCTGACTGAGAACGTGTGACATTATATGAAGATACCGTGTTGAGTCGTATAACAACGCCACGGTCTTTCGTCTAAACTATCTTATCAGTTAAGCCCTGCCCCACAGTTCCTCTCTCCTGGACTCTGTATTCCGTACGCAGTACTCAACTTGGAGGATGATGCGTCGTAACTCCGATATCGAGATACGACTCCCCGATGCAGGACCAAACCCCCTCTCACCTCTCTCCCCTGGCTCTGCTACTACCGAGCCTGACGTGGAAATGATATCTGAGCCGGCACCGCCGCTGACTCTTCCGCCACACATCGCAGCTCGTTTCTCCCACAATAAGGTGCGCCGCTCCTCTGCTGCCTCATCTCGACGAAGCTCGATTTCCTCCCTACATTCCCACCATTCAAACGCTTCATCCCATGGCGCACCAAGTGCGGACCATATTGCTCAGCACCTCCGACGCACTTCCATAATCGAAAGCCGCAAGGCTAGGCTGGCTGATCGTGCGCTTCACGCCGAGAAAGTGAGGCTTCGTGCTGCTTTGGCGAAAGCGGCAACCAGAAACCTGCAGATTGAAGCGCGAGCTCTTGCGGCTCAGCAAGCCCGAGAGCGCCTTTTAGCGGATATCACGGCCAAGTGTGAAGACCAAGTCAAACGAGCCAAGAAGAAGGCCGAGGACCAGAGAGAGAAACAGGCCGCCGAGCACGCTCGTCTGCGACTGGAAATGGCAGAAAAGTTCGCCGAAGCCGAGAAGCGTCGGGCACTCTACCAGCAAGCCCAACGGCGCCAACGCACCAGCAGCGTGCCACTCACAGTGGAAAAGAAGATGACTCGAGAGGTCACCAAGTCTCTCACACATGACGAGGCCGCTAGAAAAATTCAACGCGTATGGAGAACTCATCATGCACAGAATATCATGCACGAGTTCCAGACTTTGAATCTGTCGATTGAAAGAGCGCGCACGATGTCTTTTGAGGATGTTGGAGATCTTGTTGCTAACGAGGAAGTGCTCAATACCATGGCAAAGGTTCTTCGGCTTTGCGGCTTGCAAGATCTGGAAGGCGGGGCCATGGGTGAACGAGGTGCGGTGCGCACATTCCTCAGCAGCTACCTCATCGTCACTCATTCGACTGAGGTCATGACCGGCGACGGTGAACAGGAACAGGATCTGATTTCAAAAGCGCGTGAGCTCTTAGGGGCCTTTGACCAGGTCACTGCATTGCTTTTATCCGGTTGCTGCTCACCAACTGTGATCACGACTGATCTTCAGACTTTAATTGAATCTTACAATGTGTTTTTTTCGGCGTTCCACGCATGGAAATCTCACGATTCGACGGTATTGATCGAGATCATGCTTGCACAATTTGTGGAGTTGGAAATGATTTGGCAGACAGTCAAAGGTGATGTAGCTGGCGGGGTTGCCGAAGACTATCGACAGGGTATACGCCAGAATCAAATCCTTCTCCTGGCTCGGCTCAAGCGGCTCGCAGGATCTGACCGCGCTATGCAGATGGTGCGATCTTCTCTTCAAAAGGCCAAGAGAGAGAAGAAGCGCTCTTCCAAGCAAGTTATCCCGCGTTCGGCTGAAGTGGCGCCAGCGTCAAATGATGCACTGACGGAGAGCGTCACAACTCCCATCAGCGAGTCGTTCAACAACGTTGATGCTGCAGTCTTTCAAGAACTGGATAAGCAACGGGCTTCTCCGCATGAACGATTCACCAAAATTCTCACTGCGCTCCCTGAGAATCGGGTCTTGGTACATGAGCTCCTTCTCAACAAGGAATTCAAAATCGAAGAGTCGTCATATACAGAACCTCGAAGACAAGTCATGGAGCATATGTGTGAACAGATGAGGCAAGATGTTGAAGCGGGACAGGGCACAGCTTGGACTGTTGCGATGGCCACTGTGATCCAAGATCGTCTTCTGCGCTCCCTTCGCCCCGGTAACTCACTTCACGTACTTATTAGCGAAGTCCTGGACCCCAAACTGGTGGAGAGTCAGTGCAGAGCCGGCATATTCTCATATGAGAACTTCTTCGACTTTATGAACAATATTTTGCCTCGACTGTGTGCTCCATATCGTGACCGTGTCGTCATGGCATTTTCTGGGGATGTATCTGGCGATGCCATTGACCGACTGGCAAGACTGATGGGTATCATTGACCTGCTCTCACTGGATCACACGAATTTCATGATTCAGGTTGCAGCACCGCAGCTAATACAAGAAGCGCCCGGGTACGAACAGCGGACATTCGATCGAGGTCTTAACGATGGATCTATCAGTTTAGGAAAAACTCGAAGATTTTGGCGAACTCACCGACAGATTATTGTTGATGAGATGAAGAAACGAGACCCTGAGAATATTCATGGAGAGCCTCGTCCCCCAGCAGCACGGGTGTATGCCCACGGTCTGATAGACCTGGTGTTCAGCAATGCCACAGTATCTGAGGATTTGATCCCAGAAACCTTGGCACTAGATCATCAACGATTGGAGCGCTTACACGCCCGAGCCTTCCAGATAGTGGCGACAGCATCCATATTACTGACGGCAAAGAATTTGCTGAAGCGGGATGCACGATCTCAATGGAAGCCAGAGGCTGATCGAATTCTCTCTCTGGATTTCAACGAGATTCGAGCAGATCGTGTGCAGTCCATCTTAGAATCCACACATCCCATGCCACCCAGTGCCAGTGCTCAACTTAATGTCACAGTCAAACGAGTATTGGATCCTGTTGCAACAGCCAGCACTGCAGCTACGTCTCATAGTGCTTTATACGTTGGAGATAATTGTTCCGAAAGATCAAGCGAGTCTACAGGTGCACCAGCTCCGAGTTTCTCGGACCCCGTAGCTCGACTGATCCTCTCACGATTGCGGAGTCACGTCCTATCTCGACTGAGCGCATCTAGCGCCTCGGAGCGAGTACGAGCCACGACAACAGCGAGTCAGAGTCTGGCTGGGGCAGGTATGCCAGAATTCGTCAGTGAAGTGGGCCAGTTGGTAGACGAACTTGAGAAAATACGTCAAGTGGATTGGCTTTGCCACGGAACAGTCTATGAGCAGCTGTATTCCGATTCAACCCAGTAATGAGCTTTTTGAGGGCACATAGCAGTAATGATGTGGGTGTTTGAGATTTATATGATTTATGTTACTGGGACTATATCTATCTATGTCCTGGGAAGTTGACTGATTGGCAGGACCAGGATTGGCATTTGTATAGGTTTTAATTTGAGGTTAGTCTATTATAAGCATTTGGAATTTCAATGTTAACATGAAGTACATTACCTGAGCACATGGGCAGCATGGATATAGTCATATATTAAATTGCCTTGTCAAGACTAAACTAATCCATGGTAGTTTCATGGTTGTATACTCCATAGCTACGGAGTAGAGATCTTAAGATGACAGCAGGTCGTCTCTAGGACTGCTCCAATGGATATGCAGGAATCTACAGCCTCTTTCCTAAGGCCATCTTAGCACCCTCAGATGAGCTTGTCCACTTGATAGGTCTCATCAAGTGCTATCATTTTCCCCGATGTACACTTAGCAGTCAAGATCCAGTCAATCTTTCATAAAAACAACCATCTATCGACTCAAAGTTCAATGTCTCCCATCCCTTATCTCCTGACTGAGAACATATTAGGTCCGAAATGGCAATAAAATGTCTCGTTGACGAGAGCTCAACTGACTGCTATCAAAGCCCTGAACAGATCTAGCGAGTCTCAAGGAGCCCTTGGGTCTTGGTCAAGCCCAATTGCATCGAACTCGCAACAAGACCAAGGACAAAAATTCCAGGGCCAACTCATCATTTTATTCTGGCGGTTGATGAAAGAGTCCTCCTAATCTAGCATTGAGTGATAAAACGCAGGGAAGCAGGCGGGTTATAGAGAAATAGGGACGGTCAAGTCGAAAATGTCGAAAATTGCGATATATGAACAGACTTCCAGCAAATAATCATTCTTTTGCTTCGGATAACTAAGCTTTCACTTTCGAAGTTCTACTTCAAGTATAGAAGTGTAGTTATAATGAAAAAGATAGATGGAGTACTTACGCTGTATCTGAGGACTCTGGCTCAGTAAAGTAGTGAGTGAATAGTTAATCTTTAAGATAGTTGATTGGGTCTAGCAGTGCCAAGTATCAGCAACATCATTAGCATAATGTTCAGCCTGCGCCCATTCCAGACTCTTCCATTTGGCTGGATTCTCAACCGAGTCGATAAAATGCTTCAGGGCCAACACAGTCTGCTCAGCCCACCGCTCCTTGCTAACCTTCCCAATACCAACAGCCATCGGCGGCATAAGAACTTTTTGAATCCGATTCTGGCCCGAATGACGATTATGTCCCTCAACGGCACACATCAGGCTCCACACACACTCATACACGATTTCACGGTCCCAGCGTACATCACCCGGATCATGCATGGTCGGACAAATAGCTACCCAGCGACAGTCAACCGCGTTGGCTTTCAGGTTTTCGGGGAACTGAACCAGTGTACATGTTCCTGGCGGGGCGAACCCGCGCCATTTCTCGTATAGCTCCAGTTGCACTACACGCGTGAGAGCGTGATAATCATACTTTGGACAAAAGAATCTGGAGATTGCACCATCAAATGCGCCATCTAGACGGCCGTAGCTGTTGGCGGGTGAGACTACCAGGTCATACTTTGTATTTGGCGGAAGACTATTTAGACGTTCGTTTATCGTCGTTATTTTGATTTTCGTGCCATTTGTTGGCCATATTTTGTCGAGAGCGTTGTTTATTGCTGTTATGTACTCCACTTCCATGCAGAGGAGTAGTATTTCAGGGATGTTGGATGTCATATTTTAAATATGTTGAAGCGGGTAGCTTGACAATGAGATGAAGAAAGTGTGAAAGTGTAGGAAAGAGAAGAGAAGGGCTGTCAATCACGGTCTGTAGCTATAAACAAAATCTTTGGATTATGTTAAGCTGAAGTGAAAGTTGAAGGTGAGGTCAAGTGCAGTGGCTGACAGAATGAGTCTAAATTAGGTAAGAATCGGCAATGATATATCAACGTCATTAGGCTACACTGAATAACTTCGAGTGTTTGATAGTTGTTACTAAACCTATTATGGCAGTTTTCAGAGGTTCAACTTTTAAGGAAGAAACAAGTCTTCAACCTCCTACATTTAGAGTACCTGGATATATAAATCATCAGGGTGCATCCGTATATCATTTCTCATAAATTTCTAAAATTAAAATTCTTCAATACCCAAATCCTGTTCTTTTCGTAAAGTCGGTTCCTCGCCTTCGGCCGCAGCTCGACCCTGTTCCAGTGTCGACACAAATCGAATCAAACTCTCGCAAAGCCGATCAAGAACCCATTCGGGCTCCGTCTGCTGGGCCAGCAAAGGACTATTCTCACCGATCCAATCCCAGTTCAGAACACCGTACTCATCCTTATCGATCGATAAGCCCGCATCATTATTATCGGGATTATTTGGTGTGAATTTTGGGTCAGTGAATTGGATTAGACGGGTGAATTCTACCCACTCTTCGTAACTATATCGCTTTCGCTTCCCGCCGCGTGAATCTTGTGTGGCGCTTCGGATAGCGAAGGCAAGTTGTTGGGCTAGTTCGTATGGTGAGGGGTTTGAGTCTTTGGCAAGTTCTTCGATTGTGCGTTTTGGTCGGTCCGAAGAGGGCTTTTGCTTTGCCTTGATTAGTTGAGAAGGTTCGTCTTCTGGATCAACGGTGTCGTCTATGTCTGTCCCGACTTCAAATCCATGACTGAGTCGCTTCTTCTCTTCGTGCCGTTGTATGTATTGCATCAAAAACGGCACGCGACCTAAGAACTCTTTGTATGTGCTGGCCTGCGGCATGACGAAGTAATTGGCAAACGTCTCAGTGGAGGTTTTGAAACCAGCCACGACTGTGTCACTCATTTGAGAAATGAGCATGGTCATGGTCGGGATGGCAATAAGCGACCACATGACGAAGAAGGGCCGTCCTGCATTTGATTGAGGAGTGAAATCACCATACCCTATTGTAAGGAGGGAGCAGAAGCAGAAGTAGAGTCCCTCGAAGTAGGTGATGTCCTCTAGCTTCCAGAAGACGACTGCTCCGCAGCTCCATACTATTCCGAAGACAACAATACTGATGAATAAGTCGTTCCATCGGCGGAATCGCATTGTATCGTACTGAATTGCTCGCATGGCGTCGAACCGGTCCTTTTCTTCTCTCATAACAATCACTGGGGGCCAGTGATTATTCCCGAAGGCGTGGATTGTGTTTGCGATTGGTCGGTTTTTTTGGAGTGGTATATCATCTTAGCTTTAACACGAGGGTCTTCCATATCAGCGAGTGTGACGGATCGGTTGAATGTAGACTGTCTTTTATGCTCGATATGTTTTCTGATCACATTATCGTAGTGGACCTCGCGGGCGAACTGATGGATACTCCCAACTACCAAACCGAGCATGATGATGCCAATCGTCGCATAGGGCCATATGATACCCCTACCCACGGCCGTAGAAGCGGTCACATCGCCAAACCCTAAGGTGAGCACAGTGATGTCGCAGAAATACAATGCGTCGGCGAAGGAGATGCCTAGTATGCGCTGGAATATTGCCGCTCCAACAAGGAGCCATACTACCAACGCTGTCATCTGTAAAATTAAAGTGCGTTGATCATTCGTTAGGACAAAATGCTGCGGGTACCTGCCCAGGAAATAGCCTAGCATATTGATCATGAGGAGAAAAGCCAAAATGAAGTAGAGAATCGCCGCAAGGACAGCACTCCAATATGCTTGTGAATATACTTCATCAGGTCCAATAGGCGGACTGTAAATTGCCAGTGAAGCAGTCAGGCCACTTAACTATAGAACAAGGTCAATTCAAAGCAGATTACAACGGGAAAGATAGTCGATAGCCCAACATACCATGCCCACGGCAAGAAACCATAGAATAATAGTCACTGGCAAGGCAATGATATAACGCACGGATTGAGTGAAGTTGAGTAGTAAAAAGATGTTACCCACAACACCACAGAAGACCGAAACCGCATTTACGGCCGTAATCCTATCAATCTGTCAACTATACCGAAGGCAGTATCTCGGGTCGCTCTAAATCGTAATCTCACCAATGGGGATCAGGATAGCCTTCCTGCATCCAATTTCCAGCTTTCCCATCTATTCTGGAGATGATCGTGCTCCTCCACGGCATCACTAGTGCAACGATCGACATGACATTGGCCAGCGGACCGGCGGCTGCAGCCACTAGCGGAATGGCCGTCGAGGCAATCCACCACGACTGAGGCTCATCATCTTCAGGCGGCCTCATGAAAAAGTGGCTACACAAGCGGTCCCAGAGACTGGGGTCAGCTGGGGCTCGTGTACAAGGATGTATACTCTCGAGACCCATTCTACACCATTCTTCGGCCCGTGCGAGGCGACGAGGTCACTGCGTTGGACCAAAAATGGGCGGAGGGCCTGGAGTCAGTCAACAGTAAGATTAGTAGGATTTGTCACTGTTTACTCCAGCAGAGGTGAAGTGGTGTTGGAGATTGAAGCTATGATCTGTCCATGGCTTTACCCCAACCTATCTCCATGCGGCCTTCATGCAGGTCATGTGAGATACTAGGTTTGTATAGAGTATGCAACTGATAAAGAGTTGAGTCAGTTGACTAAAGTCATAAGATTTCAATTTCCGATTTAAGTAATAAGCTTGAAAAGAGTATAGAAATGAAAATACATTTACTATTCAGTTGAAGCGGCATTACTCGGCCTATGATGTCATCGTCAATTTGAGCCTCGAAATCCCGTGACTTCCCCACCTATTACCATGGTTCGAAGGTTAATATCGACTAAAACATATAAAAGTAGGGCTAATGGGTAGATTCAATGGTGAGAGTCTTGGATTTTGAGTTTTACGGTCTATCTTTCTGAGATCACTTAATCCTCGAGATATGATATATCCCACCGTCAGATTACAGTCAGAAGTTACTATGGCTGTCCTACATCTGGTCTAATAGCATTAAATGCCTACTTTAACCTCTTAAAGAATATTTTATTTCTACGAGTACAGGGAAGGCCTAAGACACACCTAGGCATCTGAACATCAAGTATGGGCTAGAATTGACTTGCATTTTACAAAGAGTACCTATTAGTACCTAGATACATGGTATTTATGACAATAAACTAACCAAGCATCTAACTAGACAACGAACAAGCAAAATCACCCTATGGCTAAATCAACAAATCATAATCATATCATTCAAAAGATATCACGCTCCAACAAAGAACATTGGACCAGCACCAGATCCAATCAAAAAAGCCACTATTTTCCATGTGCCAACCTTATCGGCTTACACCATGCATGCAGAACGTGCATGAAAGGAAACATGGGAAACATGTGTACATGTAAGCAGGAACCTATGAAACAGGTGTACCGAGGCCTATACTGTGTCTAATCCAATGGGGAACTTGGATGAGCGGAGGCCCGAGGAAACAAACTTGGGTACTAAAGTCCAATACATACTACATGATAGGCTCGCCACCCCATGAATAGTACCCCTCCAAACCATCTAGACTGAACTCCCCCTCTTTCTTCCCCTCTCATGTTGATTCCAAGAGCCAGCTGAGGAGAAGTCTGTGGGGCTTTGGTCTGTGCAGACTGTGCAGTTGGTAGTGGGGTGACATCGTCATTTTCTTTGGAGGTACCTGCTTCTTGGGTACTTCTTACCCATCATCTACACATGCAGCGAAGCGCTTACGCTAGTCACATCACTTACCCCATGTAGTATATGATGTACGTGGAAATAAAGCTGGCAATATTGAAACTAGAAATAGTGATTAATTGTGGACGGTCGTGGTTCTATATACAACCTGGTTCGACTCGACGTGGGAAGATTGCGTAGCACAGTGGTGCTACGGCAGGTAACTGAGGGACAAGTGTATCAAATCAAGGCGGAAAAGTAGGAACAGACGTAGTATCGAAAATCAAAAAAAAAAAAAGTGGAGGTGAACAGGAACAGAAGCAGAAGCAGAAGCAGAAACAAGAACAAGATGGTATCATCAAAGCAGATTGACGGACATCGACAGAAGGAAATAAACAAACAATGAAAGGACCCGTCAGAACAGAGCGCAGCTGACGCCCGAAATCAAATAAAAAAGACGCCGCCCCAAGGGGAATCTGGTATCAGGGAAATCAATGAGAAGGAAGCGCCGAATCCATGGTTCTTTTGAGATCCAGAATAGATCAGAGTAAAGGGAAAAAAATAACTAATAAAAGCCAGCCGAAGCCAAACCATTGCTCCAAATGCATCAACAAATGTCAAATGCGCCAGGTATATAAAGGACGAAAGTGAAAAGGAAAAATATATCTTCTCAGTCAGACTCGGTTGTTTTCAAAGTTCAGTTTTAGTTTTCAGTTTTCGGTATGTTTTGATGCGGTCTATTTGGCCGACGGTCGGCGCAGGATTTCTTCGCAGTTGGCATCAAATCGCATGTTCCACAGACGAACACTATTCATCAGTCTCTCGGTGTTTTCGAGTTCCCGATCGCGACCAAAGATGGAATCGACAAATTCACAGCCAGCGTTACGGCCCATCGAGACTGGGCCTTTGCCGCCTTCTCGCTTAGCAGCCTTCCACATGTAGAGTTCACATCCCTTGAGAAGCTTCTTGAATCGTGACCAAAGGCGATCTCCGCTTTCCAAGAAATCTTCGACTACTTCTTGGGCATCGATGTTGTGGATGCGCGGAAGACATTCGTCGGCCCGCTTGACTTTCCCCGCAAGTTTGATGAGCAGAAGCCAGAGGTCGCCTGCCACGTCGGCCATGGGCGTTGAGGCGCCATGGTGGAAAACAGTCCAGTCGTATATCCACTTGCCGAGGGAGTTCGCGTCAAACACACTGCCCAGAAGAATGATTGGTGCTTCGGTTGGATCCCAGTTCTTGATCGAGTAGCCTGGTGGGATTCCGGCGCGCTCGGCATCTTCCTCAGTAGCTGTAGGTGGAGGCTTTGATGCAGGAGCTGGCTTGGGCTTGGACGGTGTGCGGGTGGAAGTTGATTGGCGACGGGCACGGGTCTGGCGACGGGCTGCATCTATATCATCTTGGTTGGGAACCTGGTTGAAGTAAAAATGAGAATCAGTGGCTGGATTTTTGGGCTGGGTTTTAGGTTTGCTGGTCGAAGCCGTACGACGCGGATCTGGTCCATCTTGTTTTATATTTGAAGCCGGGGGATAGCCATTGCCGTAAGGGCGGGGCTCGCGAAAGCCGTAGGGCGGAGGATTCACATAGTATGCATCATCGACCACATCCACAAAGATGGGTCGCGTCTGCCATTCTGAGTTGGGTCCGTTGCCGAAGCCATCCCCCGGAGGATGACCAGTTGTTGACTTGCGATGGTGTTTGGGCGGACCCGCAAAGGAAGCACTTACATGATCGTGCTTGCGTGGTGGAATGCCATAATCTGGCATCGCCTCATAAGTTTGCGGGTGAGCCGAGTACCATCCTGGTTCCTTGGTCGTTGTGTAGCTGGCCTTGCGCGTATGGCGCCGGGAGGTTCCTCGTGGCGAAGTGTATGCGTTTGCGTATTGCGAGGCGTAGTAAGCGTAGTGAGGCGATGTTGGTGGCGACTGAGTGTAGTCGTAAGAAGACCACCCCGGTGGTGGACTGGTGTAATGATACATTATCGACCGAGCATATGGAGCTTTCCAGAGTTGAATCGAGAGAACTGATAGAGAGGCAGAAAAGAAAAGAAAACAAGAACCCGGATATATTATACAGGATATCGTGCTCCAAGCGCAAAAGACAAAGGATCAAGACGCCGATGAGAACTTGCTAGAAATAGGTAGAGTAGGACCGTCACCGTGGTACGGTTTCCGATCGGAAAGAGGAAGGTTGACACTGAATGTGCTGAGAGTGCATTTGAACGTTTTTGGATAAACCCGAGAAGAAAGGGATTTACGCCTGGTAGGATCTTTAGATCCAAGTTTGACTCTCAAGACAAGAGTCGCAAAGGGTTCAGGTGAAAATGACCCGGAGAATACGGGTTTGAAGGTCGATGAAGAGGGTGGAGAGAGGAAAATTCAAATCCAAGGAAAGATAAAATGGATCGCTTTAAGGACGATTTTCCTTCGGAGCCAATTAAATTTGGCTCCAGGGGTGGAAAAAGTGCGTGTTTTTTACTCTATTAGTTGTGGCATTAATCTACTTTTTTTGTAAGCGGATTTCAAACGCCGTTTCTTTCCTTTTATATTCCCTCCCTTTTTTAATCTATATGACTCTACATGACTCTTTATTTTCCACTTTTTCCTGACTCATATATAATAATGTAGGCAAATGTCATATTCATGATTGAAAATGAATCTGCATCATCTCTTTCTCAAAAGGTCCTTGGAAATACGGAGTAAACCAGTCTAGATGCAACATGGTAGCCTTTCTCTAGTTGATTTAGGCATCGGACAGCTGCATTCTGCCTATCGTTGGGTGTGTCAAGGCATAATACATGACTCTTAAAAAATGACAGCTTATCATTGGTTGCTCTATCATAAAATAGGAGGGTAGGAATGGGGCTGATGCCGCCACCGAGTCCTAGATTTGTTCTAACTGGTCCATTCTGAAAATACTATCGTAAGAGCAATATCACAATATTATAATCTCGTGTCAAGCTTCTGTTGGATAGTGAAATGGTATTTTTGTTAATACCATGTGCTAAGCTTCCAAGGTTCCAGAATGAGCGCCCACTTCTCGATTTCCCATGCTTTCTTAAGACACATCATTCCTGCATGAACACATTCTTAGCTGCATATCTCTCTCTACAGGTGGAAGGTTATTGATTTGACTTTGGGCTTGTTCAAAATGATCAGTGGGCAAACTAGCCTACGATCAAATGTCCGATAAATTCAAGACTGGTACCATGGATCTACTTCAATATTTCACTGGAATTTACGGATCATCCCGTCTTATTTAGTGGGTTTAAGACTCCACCCATGATCTAAAACCATCCCAAACCCACTATGTTGCATGTTGTCAAACTATTTACACTCTCTGCGTTGGGCATGCTAAGGCTTTACCGCTGGTCGCTGGTCGCTGGGCAGCAACCGTTTGGGCGAGAAAATGAAGAGTTTTCTCATGAGCAGATGGAAATTGCAGACCGCAACTTACTGAACAAAGCTTCACCTGTCATGAGAGGCTAGATTTCCATAGGGCTACTGTCTACAGGGTATGAGCTCGTATAGATCGAGTTTTGGACCATGATCTATGACCTCACTGTAGGGCTGTGCACTTAATACCAGGATTTACCTAGTGATCTCATAATTCATATGTCAGTCAATAGAAAGAAGTATGTAATTTGGTAGTGTCTCTATTTGGTTCATATGCTAAACTTCAATTTTGGTGGGGAATCAATGTCTGACTCAAGAAGCCCTAAGACGCGATCAAACGCCCTGTACTCCGTTCCCGTCTCCGTACTCCGTTCTCTGTATTAAAAATCAACATCTTTACTCTCCACGCACAAGGGATGGAATATTAAACATCTTATTTGGATTCCTTGATTTGTGTATCAAGGGCTTATCCCATTATTTGCTTTTTTTTTTTTTTTTTTTTTTTCCTTTTCATTTCTACTTTGTTCCAGATCAGTAGACGTCTTTCTAGAAAATACTTATGTAACCCCTTTCTAATTATCAGCCAAGCAAAGTGAAATCCTGCGCCACCAGAAGGCAGTGCTGATCTTTCAGCGTGCCGAGTTTGCAATATGGTTGATGTTTTTTTTTATCTCTTAGAACGAGAATACTATGTCCACGGGTACTGAAACTGTATACTTTGTTACCTGCAATAATTGGTTTCTTATGTCTAACGCTTTTGTTTGGAAGATGCAGAGCTCAGACATCGACGTCCTCAGTTCGTTTCATTCTTTCAGCTCTCCTAGGTGTCTGCCTAGTGTGGCCGGAGCGAACGGGTTTAATGGGCCACACTAAGTGGGGCTGTAGCTAGAGCTTCAACGGGCTATCATCTATGAATATCACGGACCTCGTCTATCCGAATACTACCACGTACTATATACCTATGTATGTACTTCTGCTATGTGATCCCTTTCTTTTGGTATTCTGGTATATCACATCCTTTTATAATAAGCTGAAGGAATGTACTCCGTGGGTATAACAAGGTTTCCATGTCTATAGAATGCTCATAAATGGATCTGTATCAAAGTACTGTAATTTCATTTAGACTTCAGGTGTGCTTATAGAATGCTTTTGAGCCTCTCCCCATCCCTGCTCATTTGTTTGAGACATATGCAATCTCACTCAGCCACTAGTATTAATTTCTTCTTCTCTGTGGTACAAGTGTGTGTAGATCTGATGGATCATATGCTCCCGCCCCTTGCTGGAGATCAAAACAATCATTCCTGAAGAATGTCTCACATGTCTATGAAATACAGAAGAACTCTTTTACGTCCCTTACCTGTTAAAATCACAGTTGTGTGTGCGTGCTCTGATCGCGCATTGATCACATAGGGTTCCAGGGGTGCCCTTGCCCTGAGCCCTACTGCTTTTTTTGGAATATAAAAATATTTGATAGAGATAGCCATGATGAGTTCCCATGTAGTTCCCGTCTGGTGAGGGTTCTCATCCTTCGGCTCCTACAGATAATTGCAATCAGGAATATCATTTCATACACCACTATCTATATCAAACCACCACAGACCATGATCGAAGACATTTTTATCCGTCAGAGCTTTTCTATAGAGATGAGAGAGATAATTCCACTTCCAAGGGTTGATTTCTTGAATTAGAGCGGATTACCAACCTCAGAAGTCTTCAGACTAATGGACAAGAGAAAATCTCATACCCTCCAGAGTCAGAGCCTTTTCGGAGAAGACGATACTATTTTATATTGTTAACCTTGAGAGCTAACTGGGAAATATCCTTGGGAGAATTGCCACTTAAAATCTAGTTCTTTTATTATTTAGCAAATGGTGGGCTGAGTTTTTTGTAGATTCTGATCCTTCTTCGTCCTGATACCATCGGCCATTGTATTTCCCTCATCCATGGGGTATAGGGTGGGCTGAATGTCGTTTTGGTCAGCGGAAGCTGTGGGATTTGGTTCAAGATAATTTCTCCATCGTCTATTTATCTTTTTTCGGAAAAGATAATGATTTCAAGGTTTTGTCGTTAGATTAATGTCGATACCACTAGACCAAAGTGGGGCACAGGACCAATGGTTCCGATACTGTTGGTTCGACATGAAGTGAATCTAGCGAGTTTTGTCTATTTAGTTACAGCGAGGATAAGATTGAATAACACACCTCTTACAACTTCGCATCGACGCACCTAGATCTATTCCATCGAGAATACTAGTTGCATATGCACCGTAATAACGTCACCGTTCCGACAATTAAGGTGAGAGCTCTCTACTCGATGCATATGCGTTCTTGTAGATGTGTGTAGGTCTGTCTGTTTCTAATGCTCAACTGAAAACTAACATACATTCGTCCCCACTTTTATCCTCCAATGAGCACCAAGTAAGATCCCACTCGAACGTTACCGTTCGTGCGTCCTCATTATACGTTCGTTGAAACGTATTCAGACAGGTTTGTATTCCATGGTTAGTAGAAGCATAGCGGCCACGCCGTAATTAGTTAGGTAATAACTAGGTACGACCGTCCTATTGAAACCAATCAGTCAGGAATACCACCGCTCTACATCTGATAGCATTCTAATCTAGTTACGTCGAATCTAATTATAATGCGCACATTGTCCCCCATACTTAAGATGAAACCCCAATTAAAATCCGCCGCACTACAGTAATTCCCGTGGATAGAGAAAAGCAATCTATGAATTGAGGTATTACAAACATTCCAGCTCAACATGATGAAAGGATGACAGGACCAGCACAATGATGTCACTGGAGCATCTGCACTAAAGGTCGTGTAATTCCAGACGAGCAGCTTGAAGGGCATTTCGGACATCTTCGAGCTCCTCACCTTGGATGTGGACGGCGTATACCCGTTCTAACAGTAGTTCTAAATTATCAATGTTTCCACTTTCGCAAGCATTCCGGAAGGCAGGTCCACTCTAGGCGTTGATATCGGCTCCCCGCTCCAACAGCAGTTCCACGATCTTATCGTATCCTCCACGATAGGCAGCTTGGAGGGCATTTCCGTGCTTTCCACTCTGGATGTTGACATTGGCTCCCCGCTCTAGCAGCAGTCCAACGATCTTATCGTATCCTCTAAGACAGGCAGCCTGGAGGGCATTTCCATGCTTTCCACTCTGGGCGTTGATATCGGCTCCCTGCTCTAGCAGTAGTTCCACGATATTATCGTGTCCTCTAAGACAGGCAGCCTGGAGGGCATTTCCATGCTTTCCACTCTGGATGTTGACATCGGCTCCCCGCTCTAGCAGCAGTTCAACGATCTTATCGTATCCTCTAAGACAAGCAGCCTGAAGGGCATTTCCGTATTCTCCACCCTGGGTGTTGACATCGGCTCCCCGCTCTAGCAGTAGTTCCACGATCTTATTATGTCCTCCACGACAAGCAGCCTGGAGGGCATTTTCGTAGAATCCACCCTGGGCGTTGACATCGGCTCCCCGCTCTAGTAGCAGTTCAACGACCTTATTATATCCTCCACGACAAGCAGCCTGGAGGGCATTTCCGTACTTTCCATTTTGGGCGTTGACGTTGGCATCCCAGTTTAGTAGTATTTCCACGATCTTATTATGTCCTCTAAGACAGGCAGCTTGGAGGGCATTTCCGTACTTTCCACTCTGGGCATTAACATCGGCTCCCCGCTCTAGCAGTAGTTCCACGATATTATCGTGTCCTCTAAGACAGGCAGCCTGGAGGGCATTTCCGTACTTTCCACCTTGAGCGTTGACATCGGCTCCCTGCTCTACCAGCAGTTTCACGACCTTATCGTATCCTCTAAGACAGGCAGCCTGGAGGGCATTTCCGTACTTTCCACTCTGGGCGTTAATATCGGCTCCCTGCTCTACTAGCAGTTTCACGATCTTATAATGTCCTCTAAAACAAGCAGCCTGGAAGGCATTTTCATAGAATCCACCCTGGGCGTTGACATCGGCTCCCCGTTCTAGCAGTAGCTCCACGATATTATCGTGTCCTCCACGACAAGCAGCCTGAAGGGCATTTCCGTACTTTCCACTCTGATCATTGATGTGGGCTCCTCGTTCTAGCAGCAGTTCAACGATATTATCGTATCCTCTAAGACAGGCAGCCTGGAGGGCATTTCTGTGCTTTCCACTTTGGGCGTTGACGTTGGCTTCCCACTTTAGTAGTATTTCCACGATCTTATTATGTCCTCTAAGACAGGCAGCCTGGAGGGCATTTCCGTACTTTCCACTCTGGGCATTAACATCGGCTCCCCGCTCTAGCAGTAGCTCCACGATATTATCGTGTCCTCTAAGACAGGCAGCCTGGAGGGCATTTTCGTGCTTTCCACTCTGGGTCTTGGTATCAGCTCCCCGTTCTAACAGCAGTTCAACGATCTTATCATGTCCTCCACGACAAGCAGCCTGGAGGGCATTTTCGTAGAACCCACCCTGGGCGTTGACATCGGCTCCCCGTTCCAACAGAAGTTCCACAATCTTATCATATTCAGAAGCAGCCTGGAGGGTATTTCTGTACTCTCCGTCCTGGCTGTTGGAATCGGCTAGTAATACTGAGAACTTATTGAATCCACCTAAGCAAGCAGATTGGAGAGCATTTCTGTACTTTCCACTCTGGGCGTTGATATCGGCTCCCTGCTCTAGTAGCAGTTCAACGATCTTATTATGTCCTCCACGGCAAGCAGACTGGAGGGCATTTCCGTACTTTCCGCTCTGGGCATTGACGTCGGCTCCCCACTTTAGTAGTATTTCCACGATCTTATTGTGTCCTCTGAGACAGGCAGCTTGGAGGGAATTTTCATAGAATCCGCCCTGGGCATTAACATCGGCTCCCCGCTCTAGCAGTAGTTCCACGATATTATCGTGTCCTCCACGACAAGCAGACTGGAGGGCATTTCCGTGCTTTCTACTCTGGGCGTTGACATCAGCTCCCTGCTCTAGCAGCAGTTCCACGATTTTATTGTTTCCTCCACGACAAGCAGCCTGGAGGTCATTTTCGTAGAATCCACCCTGGACATTAACATCGGCTCCCCGCTCTAGCAGTAGTTCCACGATCTTATCGTGTCCTCCACGACAAGCAGACTGGAGGGCATTTCCATATTCTCCACCCTGAGCGTTGATATCGGCTCCCCGCTCCAACAGCAGTTCTACGGTCTTGTCATGCCCATTTAATGAGGCCCACATGACCGGGTATGTTACTGTACTGTCAGGTGTGTTGATATCACTTCCATCGACATCGAGTATAGAGTATATCTCTTGTTCGTGGCCATTGAACGCTGCCAGATGTAGTGCACTCATCATAGGCGTTCTGTCGTATGGCCTAGCTGCCTTCCAAAAGATGGGAAACCATATTGAAAATGATTTCCCACTTACATCATATAATCGATGTATTCGTTCGGTTTCTTTTTGATATGAATCCAGAGTCATCTCTCGTACATGGCCAGCCCAATGTGCTCCTGAATATTCTAAGAAACTTTCAGCATGTGAGCCTGATTTGTCTTTATTATATTCTAAATCATCCATTAACAGGAATCTCAAACAGATCTGTGCCATTAGATCTTCCGCATCATATAGGCTGCTCCAGTATTTATAATTGAGATTGTTGAAACCTTTCTTAATGAGAAACTCCCTGGCCGTCTGATGTATGAGATAGATTTTTGAGTTGTGAGTAAAAATAAATAAGCCACATAGTTGCCGAAGCTTCTCTTCTAAATCAACTGGATCTAGTTCAGCCTGTTTTATCGTTTGCGAATCTGAACTAGTAGCAATACCCAGCGCAATGGCCATCTCTTGTATTGTCAGAGGACGCCGTGCCGCCACAATGATTTCCAAGACCTTCTTGACTATATCCATTTGATTAATTGGGACTCGGTAAAGGATTTTTTCATATGCTGCATTCACAGAAGACGGTACTAGTCTAATCGAATTCTCTTTAGGCCGAAGGCTGTGCTTAAAAGTAGCGCGGATGTCATCGATGGCTAGATGTAGCCAGAGATATGTACGATGACCCATTTGCAAAAGCTGATCTTCAACTTGTCGATGTAAATCTGTTGATAGTGGCACTGTTTCGGCAAGTTCTCTCGCTCGAATCTTTATCACTAGATCAATCTCTTCATGGATTCGATCATTTTCTTCCTCGCCTTTAAGATGTATTTGTGGGAAAGAATCAGTGATTGCTCGGAACTGATCTTTTATATGATCATAAGGACGACTAGTGACCAGAAATTTCAAGTATGTATCCTGTTTTGATGAAGATGGTTGGCGTCGAAACAAGTAGAGCTTCTCAATTAATCGACCCTGATCGATTTCACGACTTTCATCAAGTGCATCAAATATACAGATAGTTTGATGTGATAGATCGGCTGATGCAGCAGCTATAAAGATCCGCCAAAGCTCATCGACCTCTTGTTGTAGTCTCTCCCCATACTTTTCCCAGGACGGTATAGCATAGTGTAATAGACCAGGCCGCTGGCTAAAGAGCTGATGGAGGACTGAACATAATGCATAAGCAAGCTGATTTTGTTCGTCGTTGTCCTTAAAAAAAAAGTAACATATAGTCTTGACTGGATTAGAAGCTTCTAAGTAGTCGTCGATTATCGATCTGGCTAGCACAGACTTCCCACAGCCTGGGTCAGCCGACACCCAGAGGAGGTCGTTTTGTTTACTCTCCAACCAACAAGTATATTTAGGGCTCTGTAGGGCCCACTGACAGGTCCCTTCCTCTCTTCTCGGGATGATGTTTTTTTGCTGCTCGTAGCTGCTCGACAGCTTAAAAACTTGATGGCAACGCTTTTGCTGATCCGTTAAAGCTCTTATGACTTTCTCACGATGGTGTTGTTCTCGTTGATTATATGCTTGATCCAGCAATTTATTTGTTCCTTTTACTTCATCCCTTAATCCACCTATAGAGAATATATAAGTAGATAGCCATGATTAAAAGCCAAGGTCATGATAATTTCACTTACTACATGCATCCACCACTAATCTCTCTTGCGAAACACGTCCCAGTGGTATATATCCAAGTAGCTCTTTAGCATATGATGCTGCTGTTAATGCTGCATATCCTTGCCACTGTTTATTCTTATGCGAATCGGCGTAATCACATATCCCACGGATGATAATACAGGGAAAGTCCAGCATCAACCCGGCTGCCTCCATCTCAAAACACAATGCTCCAGTCTGTAGCCTTAACTGCTCCCGAGTCCATGCATCTTTGATGACGGCATTTCCAGAGGCAATAATACCGTAATGTGGTTGTGGATCGCTGCTATCGCGTTCACTTCTTGCCTCTTGCCATTCTGCTAGACACCCACAACAGGTGCTGGCAGTCGCTGGATGATTATGCTCAGGCTTAAACAGCCGATCTTGTTCTATGCTAGGTCGGCCAAAGCTTTTCTGGGTTCGTCTATTTCTTGCGATTGCACTAGTGAGATATTCCAGGAAGCGGGGATCATCCCTTAGCTCAGAAGCCCTCATCAAGTTGACTGCTGTCAATAGAGATCTGGGGGCGCTATTTAAAGACCCAATTCGATGGAACTCCCCGCCCGCACCGACTTTCCCCATATCATACTGTAGTACCCCACCGGTAGTGCCTTCTGGGCAGCTAATCACAACATCACCAAGCCGTATATCACGAGTAGCTGATGGAATCCCACCTCCGACCCCAACCATTAATCCAATGCGGAGTGATTTCGAAAAAGTGCGGACCATATTATTTGCGACAGTGGTGGCTGAGGTATTGCCATATTGTCCTGCAGGGAGGCAGGCGATCACAACGTTGTGTTGCCCAATTCGGCCCAATGTATAGGTATTTGAATCGGATATATCTTGAGAACCGAGAAGACCAAAGGTTTCATCCAGCATTTCCATGGCTGCGGCAGCTTCAATCGGAAGGGCACATATCCACCCGATTTGGAATGTTTCGAGCGGGGGCCTCAGGCCGTAGTTTATGAATCTGCGACGTCCAAGTTGACCCAATCGGTTGAACGAAATGGAATCGGAACAAGGATACTGTAGTAAGTACCGGGATAGTACTTTGAAACTGGAACCTGAAGTAGATGAAATAGAGAAAACAGTCTTGAAGAGTGGGTGGCCCGGGTGGGCCATCTCGGAGATCTGATCTAATCAGGATAAGAATAGAAAAAGACAGTTACAGATATTGATATGTTATCTGGGATATTTCGATGAGAAGAGAACTGTGATGGCATGGAAGATATAAAGGCCATCACCAGCCACTTGTCCAAATACAAAGGGGCGGCAAGAGATAACATACTATTGGCCAAGTGGAGAAGAATACATATGTGATATGTATTATCACGAAGCTGTTAGCTGAAAGAGGGCGTTACGGACCTGAATTTCTAGTTCGATGCTTGCCAATTTTGAAACCCTGTAGCTCAACAACGACATATACGATAGTAAAAATAATGAGTTATTCAGTATTTACAGGCAATTATGTCTAGTATAAATATAGAAAATAGTTGATAGACTTGTTTTTAGGGCTTAGTTAACACATTCGCCACCTAGCACAGTTTAATACAGAATATCCCCTCTTCAACCATCAACTACATATTTTCAACTCCATTTACAGTATCTCTCTCTACACAGTGACTCCAATTCGATCAACCACTCCTAAGCTTCATTAGAAGCAGCTCTCTCGCGATGAACGCCTTAGAATCCTTGCTTTTCAGGAAGCAGGGAAGAGTATCTCCTATATTATGGAGAAGATTGGTTGTTCACGAGGCCAGGTTCGCTATACCTGTAAACATCAACGCATTACACCCCAGAAGAAATATCGTGCGGGACGTCATTCAAAGCTCTCTGATGAAGAGATAGATGATGTTATTAAGTGGATCGGATCAAGCTCCCATAATCGAATGAAAAGCTATGATCTAATCTGTCACCAACTCTGTCTTCCTATATGTGGTGAAACTCTTCGAATTTATCTTAAAAAACGTGGAATGACCTGTCATCCGGATGTTGAAAAACCACCACCTGATAACCCTGAATGCTGAGCGAAACATCTTTGGTGGGCTGCTGAAGCTCGTAAAAATTGGACGTTAGATGATTTTCGTAAAATATCTGAACTGATGAGTGTTTTGTCTGATCTGGCCGGTATCGGCATCCTTGGATCCTTCGTTTTAATGATGGGATGTATCATGAGACTGCTGTAGAACAGCAGTCTTCGCAACAAAAGGGCTTTATGCTATGGGGATCATTTAGAAGCAATATTAAAGGACCATCCTGTGTATGGCGACCATAATGGGGCTCTGTGAGTTCTACTTGACTCTGTCAACGAATTCTACCTCTAATATGTCGTTTTATTGTTCTGCTCTTTACTTATGGTGTTGATGTATTATTGATGCAGGATGGTGCTAGATGTCATTGGTCTCGGTTTACACGTGGTATGCTCTATGAGTATGAGATTAATTATACTGATCACCCTCCATACTCTCCCGATCTGAATCCTATGGAGAATGGTCATATATTAAGGATTGGATGTCTGTAGAGTTTGGCTTAGAAGATATGGAGCTTTCAAGATTACCAGATCATATTAGAGAAGCTTGGGATTGGTACCACCATGGATATTAGAAAGCTATATTCAATCGATGCTTGACAGAGTTAAGGCTGCTATTGAAGCAGGTGATGGACCAACTAGGTAATAAATGTATTTTAAAACAGAATATTACATTGCAAAGTTTCAGATTATACAATATAATACAGGCAGAATATATTTTTTTGTAAAGGGGGGGGTATATCATCCACCTCTAACTGAGATGGTCGAATTATCGCTGTTCGGAGACATTTCACGGATACCGTGCATTTGAGAAACGACCTGATGAAGTTGGACGATTCAAGAGCCAAATGCAGGATAATCCAGTCCATTGTGCTATGGTGGCCTAAGTTCGGCACCGCTACATAATGTGTGCTCCGTCAAACAATACCTCGAGATTTTGCGAAAAAACAAGGTGACATGGGTAGCTTGGAGGAAGAATGGTACCCGGCAACATAGTCATATTTGCTACGATAGTAGTCTGCAAAATCCAGACTACCATCCATACACCTGGGTAGAGTTATGGAATTGGCTTTCTGTGCAATTGAACAAGCGGCATGTTCAACCCCTTACGAAACGAGCATGTGAAGATAGATGGCAGGAGATATTTTTCTAATATGTGCAATCTTAGACTCGTATCTATATATCGTCTTAGACGAAAGAGTCCAAAGATTCAACTCGAGAATCATATTAACAAAGCGAAAGACTGGTATCATGTTCATCAAATATCATCCCTAATTGCCGTGGTCCAATAATATCCATATGGTCCTGCCACAGAGAAGAGAAACGTGCGCAGCGTGAAAGTTTCAGGTCCGATGCTGGCAGGGTATAATTATGTGTTCTTGGAAAAAGGGGCCCAAGGCTTATGCCACCATATATTCGCCATCACCACGTTTTGCCTGCATAACATGGGACCAGCGGAATGCGTGGGCGGTGATGGATGAACCGCTTTTATCCAGTGGAGGGGGACCAAATCCAGAAGGGTAGATTGGATGGGAAGATTCGTCAGAGTGCTCTGCCCAGATCCTTTCCAGAAGGTCTAGGCAGGAAATGTTATTCACGAAGCCAGAGTCTTTGGAGATGTCGTTGCAGCGGTCCCGAATAGTGGCACGGTGGTTTTCTTGGACACATTCTGAGCCTACAATGAAAAGCGGCCAGAGTAGGTAGACATCTGACTGCACTGCGCAGAGACAATGCATTGCCAGATGTACGAGATGTTGGATACGCGGATGTTGTGATGGAAGACCTGGTTCTGCGAGGCGTTCGCAGTAGAGAAGTGCTGCGTGGCGGAAGCATTCGGAAATCTGGTAGACATCTTGGAGATTTTCCTGCGCCACTTGGTACGATTGGGAGGGAGAATATTCTGGAATGAAAGTTGGAGGGTTCCAGGCGGTATTTGAGGAGGATGGGGATGGAGAGGGAATCGAAGCTACGGATGGTGGGTCAAATCGCCAGGATTCAAGCCGCTGCCGTAATGAGTACCACTCCGTCCAGAATTCCGGAGATGATGATTTTCGCGCCTCGTCGGTACTGGACGGGGGTGTCGGCAAGGAGAATCCATACCCACTGTTTGTCAATGAACCCGGTGGAGAAGATGATGTGACAGTATCCCATCCGGGGAACAGCATGTTTGGAGGGAGCGAGGTTGATTGGAGTGTGAAATCAGCTGAGCGAGATTCATTGGGCTGCTGATTCTGACTGAGAACGTTCAGACGTCCCAACTGAGAGATCATTTTGAACAAGCGACCGTCACAGCCTGCTAGATTTTCCAGACCCCACTCGCCATCAGTCGTTGAAGTAATCTCCAAGCACTTACCGCGAAGTTGAACATCGCGATCGTTCGTAGTTGCAGTCAGCGTATCCAGCCAGGAGAACATACGGATGATCCATTTGAGGTCATCCGTAACAATAGAAGAATGACGCATCCGAATGGCCAGCAGCCTTGTCACTCCAGCGAACTGGGATTTGAACTCGGCAACTCCCGTATCACAGCCATGAAACAGACACAGAATCAAAATAGTCGCCAAAACTGAGTCAGAAAGCCTGCGCTGTGGATCTGCTAGATCGGCATTCAAAGCCTTCACTGCCATGCCGCGGTGATGGTTTTCCTCCCGAGCGTAGCCTTCTGGAACTGAAATGCCATATCTATCCTGAAATGCCTGGTCGGTGAGAGCCCGATGGGCCATAGATGACATACGCGCAGGTAGAGTTCTCTCTGTTGACTGGCCGTTTCCTTGTCGTCGTCGTCGTAAGTTGTTGGTTGCCAATGTAGCGATCGCCTCTTGCAGGGCCTCGCTTCCCATAGCCAAGCGTAGGATCTGGGTCCGAAAAGGGTTATTTGGGCTATCAAAGGCCACTACCATGGGGGCAATAACCTCGGTGTAATAACTGATGAGGTATCGGAGGCGCGGCGTGCGTCCTACAGCCCTTGCTAATAGCATCTGAGAGTAAGATGGCGAATGAGCGGCACCCTGAATCATAATATTCTCATGATTCTCATGATCGTGACTTGAGATCTCTTCATCTGCATCCTGTTTTGCAGTTGTATATTTCTGTTCTAGTCCTTCGGTCGCCACGGGCTGACAGATATTTGCTTCGATAGGCCAGATATCGAAGGTAGTGGCCTCCGAGGGGAGAGGAGGATACTCCATCAAAGCTTCTGGGTCGAGAATAGGACTCGGGCCATTTGAAACCATTGGTCGACTGGGAAGAGGAAGTCTATAAATCTGAGGTGGTATTGAAGGTGCGTTGGACCATGTGTGTGGATCCGGCATGTCCATCGACCATGATATGCCATTGGATAAATCAGACACGTTGGACCCATCTGATGGACGCCGCAGATCAGAGTTAACAAAAGTTACCCCAACTGTATTTGTCCCAGAAGATGCGGTGGTCGGAGGATTGGAGGGCAGGTGTGAAGGCTGGCTCTGAATCGGAGGAAGTGGTATCTGCTTCTGCTGCCGCTGCTTTTGGCCCTGGCGTTGGTTGCTTGTACTTTTAGTTGTCGACTCCATCACTGGGAGCTTTTGGCCCCGAAGCTTCCCGCGACTGGCAACTCCCATCCCCCATGTCAAAGTTGTTTTGTATCCCGAACATTCGTGGCCAAGGTCCAGACACTGCGAGCAATACGGACGACGTCTGTCGCATTTTGTTCCCCGTTTGGCACATGTGAAGCAGTCATCCGGGGCACCACTGACCACAGTCCTCTTTCGTCGTTTTCGAATCGGTGCCGTCGGATCTGTCTTGCGGGTCTTGCCCTTGGACGAAGGTTCCCGGGCCTGTATTAGATTCTCAGTCATGATGTGAATGAATGGCAGGTACCCTGCAAGGATTCCATCTGGGGTTGAGAGGTTGAAAGTGGTGCGGTGTAGCTTGAAGAAGTATTTGCGGCACGGGTGGATCTAATAACGTCAAGAACGTCAAGAACGTCAACGGTGGTGGGTCTGATGGAAGAATTGGATTAGATCGGATATTCAATCTCTCTATATTTATGATCGATCGGAAGATATGTCTAGTGAAAAGTAGGGATTAAAAGGGGGGCAGATGAGGAGGTTAAAAGTGGGAAGAGAAGAAGAGAGTCGGGGTCTGCGCCGTTAAGTGGAGACTTCCCCAGTGGAGGATGATCAGCACATTTAGTTCTGCTGACAAGATATTAGGAATATTCGATAGTTGTTACAGACTATTTATGACCTAAAATATCATTAGTTGTTAGTATAGATTTGAGTATATACAAAACAGAAATAGAATTAAAATATTACAAATTATAGGCCATAAGCTTACAGTAGCAATTATTCAGGGTTAGGTAGAGGCTATTAAGATCGAGGCTGAATATTGAAGAGTCCAGTCCAGATAAAACCCGCGATACTATCTTCATTCCTTCAAGAATTAGCTCCAACGAGACCAGTCTATCGTGTTTAGTCACGTTTTACGAGATTCTAGTTTAAAAAAAAAGTGAGATGATTGTCGCCAAGAGTCCCGACGATCTTCACTCTCCCCCTTAGCAACTACACTTCAATATCAATCACCCTCAGAACCACTTCCAATTGATCCATTCAAGCATGACATGTCAAGAAATGTCAGGCTGATTCACTAATTCCCCCTTATCCTTGCCATTCCTCTAACCACCCCCGAAACAATCGGCATCGGCTTTGATTGGACTTTCCGACCCCATCGGCTTTTACCACACAATGGTTGTATTCAGGCCTGCTCGGGCGAGGTCCATCCTGCTGATCGCATTCGCCTTAATCCTGGTCTGCACTGTGTATCTGTACTGGACCCCAACCAGCGCGTCATCAACGGTTTCATTAGTCCCAAGCACTGCCTTCGAAGTACCGCTCGTCGAACGCCAGAAAGATTTCTGGAAAGTCATTCATCCTATACTCGAACGCCATAATCCCAACTGTACTGCGCCGAAAAAATTGAACGATGCCGGTGCCGTTGGCTTCGAGCGCGTCAGTGATGACATGCCGCGGCCCGACTTGACGACCTTGAGTGAGGAGGACCAGAAGACCATGGAAGAAGCACATGCGAACTTTGTGGAGGACATTAAACAACTGCAAGAAAAGAATGCGCTCAAGTCTGCTCATACTCCAGGGAAGCGGGGGCTGGTTTCTACGGCTGGTGGGACCTACCTGCCTGTCTTTGTAAACTCGCTGCGCATGCTTCGTCGCGCAGGGTCTACCTTGCCCGTTGAAGTATTTATGAAAGATGCTAGCGAGTTTGAGAAACAGATTTGTAACGAAGTGCTGCCCGAGTTGGATGCGCGTTGTCTAGTGCTCGGTGATGTTCTCGGCGGCAAGGATGCGAACGGAAAGGATCCCATTTCGCACTACCAGCTCAAAATATTTGCTGTTCTGTTCTCCTCTTTTGAGGATATCGTCTGGATGGATGCTGATACCTTTCCTCTGGGAAAACCGGAGGACTTGTTGGACGCTGAGCCCTTCACGTCGTCTGGGTTGGTCACCTGGCCGGATTTTTGGGTCTCGTCGGCTTCTCCTCTATACTATAAGATTTCTCGTCAGGAGGCTCCACCCATGTCCGCTCGCCAATCCTCCGAGACTGGTGCTTTCCTAGTCTCCAAAAAGACGCACATGCTGCCTCTGCTACTTGCGGCGTATTATAACTTGTATGGCCCATCTCACTACTTTCGACTTTTGAGTCAAGGAGCTCCAGGAGAGGGTGACAAGGAGACATTTCTCCAAGCGGCTACTGCGGTCGGCGCAAGCTACTATGCCGTTTCCGAAAAGGTTCAAGCTATTGGACATCAGAACGGAGCAAAGCTGTCCGGGTCTGCCATGGCCCAATCTGACCCACGGGAGGATTCTGTTCATAGATCGGATCCATCCGCTCCAGTATCACACGTCTTCTTTATCCATGCGAACTATCCTAAATTTAACCCTGGAGAGAAAGTCTTTGGGTTGGCCTGGGAGACCAAACCTACTTTGAAAGAAGACGGCTCAGATGGCCGAGCATGGACTGCCCCGCCGGACACAATCCAAAGATTTGGCTATGATGTGGAGAAGAATTACTGGGACGAAATCAAATGGGTGACCTGCAATCTCCAATTCAAGTCGTGGGAGAAAAAGGCAGGTCTTTGTCAGAAGGTCGAGGACTATTGGAAGAATGTATTCGCTGAACCGCATGACGATGATCCAAAGTTTGAAACCGTCTGATAGGCTTGCCCTTTTTGACCCGTAGAAAACAGCCAGTGTCTGGCACCCATGGCCGCAGTGATACCTCACTTGTGTGCCTCGCTATACGTCTAGCCGTCTCATTTCGAGTTCAGGTACCATATAATGCTTTGATGTTGAACGATGGCATGAACTTGGTCCTCATTGTGCCTCGACTATATGGATTTTGTTATCTAGCGTCATTTATCATGTATATTACAGCAATCGACCTCTTCGTCGCACATAATCATAATTCATGACATATATCTTAACAGATGCAAGTTCATCATCTCGTGAGAAGAGATTAAAACTATCCTTTGAAGGTTGCGCTCAGCTCCTCATGTTGAAGACTTTTTAAAATTCATTTCTTCACATGTTTGGATGCTAAAGTAAATAATTCATAATATACAATCCATGATCTCATTTCAAGCCCTGGAGATTCATCTAAAGCCATTTGACGACTAATATTTCGCCAACAAGTCATTTTCGTTGTCTGTTCATAACGTCATATCTAGTAACTTAGTGCTTCTGGCCCTTCTGACGAAGATACTGCTCCTCCTCAGCCTGCAACTCGGCATCAATCTTAGCGCCCTTGGATGGCTCATTACCATGCAATTTGGCCTGGAAACGAGATCGAATTAGCAATTGCGAAAGTGTACTTAAATGGGATGACTCGGACTTACAGGCTTGGTGGGATCTTGCTGGCTGAACTCGGCTTCCTGGTCGTAAACGCCGTTGTGGTGGTGAGAAGAGTTAGGCTTTCCCTCCTGGGAAGCGAGCTTGTTGGCAATTGAGCGCTGGTCCTTTGAATCGAGGTTCTTGTGGCTGTGGGTTTGGCCCTCTTCGAAGCGGTTGCGCTGGTCGAGGTCGGAGTGAGGCACGTTGCGCTGATCGCCGGCCTCGTATAGAGAAGAGTTACCAACACTGGATGAACCGTGCATACTGTTTTTTTTTTTTGGTATGATGGATTTGGTAGTAAATGAAGAGAGAATTAATGTTGAGGAGAAATAGATTATGTTGGCTGTGTTGCTTTTATAGCATTCGAGTGCTCGATGTTATACTTGCCTATCATATTGTGATGTCATGCCGGAGTCTCTGAGATCATAAATATGGGCCAAGGTCCTGAGTGGCTAATAGTGATCATTCATCATCCTATCAAATTATATTGGAAATGATGAACCATGTTGCATCAGACTCATTACTCAATCAAGGCAGAAGTCATTGATATGATGCATTCTTGAAGCAAATTACATGGTTGCCCCACTGAAGCATTCTATTTCTCCACTTCCAGAGCTTTCGATTTCGATTTCGATTTCGATTTCGAGGTTCGTTTCGCTTCCTGGTCCATGCGTTTTTCATGAAATCATTTTCCCACTTTGAAGACCAATTAGGCCAATTGGTGGTGTAGTTGGATCTGCACCACTGCATACCCCCTGGATAATGAACAGCCTCGGCTTGACCGGGTCGCACCTGTTTTCCCTCCACATTCAATTAAACAGGGCATTTATATTATCAGCGCAAAGATCAAGACCGCGATTTATGAACCTCAGCAATTGCCATTCGCATGCAGCAATGAGTACCACGCCCCAGCCGACGGTTGAACCCCGCTTCCAACAACTATTCACCGAGCTAGAAACCCGCTTCCAATCAACGAGCTTAGGTAGCGATAAATGGTATATTCTGGCTACTTCCACTCTAGCAGCCAGTCCAGACCCAGAGAGAGCAGACCAGCTATACCTGCACCTACTCAGTCAACCCACTTACTCGACGTCACCAGCCAGACAGGCTCTGATCCGTCGTCTGCGCGAAGCTCTCATCAAGGCAGTCCCTATAGTAGGTGTCTGCAAACCTCTTGAGGCAATCCTGGCTATCAGCAAATTCGAGCGTGACGAGGACAAAGACTACACTTTCACTCGGGAGAATTGGCAGTGCGACCAGGCCAACCACGATCGCGGGACTGCTTGGCTGCAGAAGCTATATTCACGAAACACCTCTGGCACACTGGATTTGTTTAGTGCCCATAAGGACTTTGCGTGGTTGTCGACTGAGATCACGTATGGTCTGTATCTTTCTGATCGCCAGGTTTTGGATGATGTTGATACTCAGCTTGTCGTTCTTCCTGGGATCATGAGTCAGAATTTGCCGAATGAGACTCATTGGCATATTCGTGGAACAAGACGGTTGGGGATTCCTAAAGAGGAGGTGCAGGTTATTTGGGATTGTGTGCAGCTTGTAGCTCGGTTCTTTGATGTCAAGTTGAATAAGGTGCCTACTGTTGAATCAGTGGAATATGACATTTAAAGCCAATCTCCATAAAATAGAAGTAAGCATTGGAAACTACTGTATGCTCTGATTTGAAAGATCCAGGTATAAATCGAGCATCTGGTCGTATTCACATTTTACACCCCGTCCTAAGTAATCTCGAGGCTATTCAGAAAGAAATCTTGATAAGCGATAAGCGGGAAAAAAGTTCAAAAGCAGCCGTGGGGCAACAAGCTCACATCTTCAATCCTCAATTACATACTCATCAATAATCAAATACACAATGGGTAAACGCAAGCAAGACCTCGGTGATGTGGCTATGGGTGGCACGAATGAAGCAGACGGCGACAGCTCTGACGAGGTATGCCCGCCCACCGGCGCAAAGATTCACCAACCTAACCTCAGTAGGACACTGACATGGTCAATGTCGACTTTGAATGGTTCGACCCTCAGCCTGCTGTGGATTTCCACGGCCTCAAGAACCTTCTTCGACAACTGTTCGACAACGATGCTCAGATTTTCGATATTTCCGCCTTGACCGACTTGATTCTGTCGCAGCCCACTCTCGGATCAACGGTGAAGGTTGACGGAAATGAGACAGATCCATATGCCTTTTTGACCGTATTGAACCTTCAGGAGCATAAAGTCAGTGTATCATATTAAATCGTAAATAAGCCTCCATACTAACAGCCCACAGGACAAACCCGTTATTCAGGACTTGATCAAGTACCTCTGCGGCAAGGCTGCCGCCAACCCTTCTCTCTCCGCCTTGAACGATCTTCTCTCCCAGGACCCAGTGCCTCCGATCGGTCTGATCCTGACCGAGCGCCTCATCAACATGCCTCCCCAAGTCATTCCGCCCATGTACAACATGCTGCTGGAGGAGATTTCCTGGGCGCTCGAGGACAAGGAACCCTACACTTTCACTCACTACCTCGTTCTATCAAAGAGCTATAAGGAAATCCAATCTAAGCTGGATCTTGAGGAATCGCGGCCACAGAAGAAGTCCAAAAAGGGCGGCGACTCTGCCCAGCGATTCTTCTTCCATCCTGAAGATGAAATCCTCGAGCGACATGCTCTGTGCTCTGGAGAGTATGCTTACACGCACAAGCAGGACGACGGCCACTCGGACTCCAAGCGTGCTTTCCAGGAACTTGGAATTCGTACCGCTGGTAGCTTGACCCTCGTAGATGGAGCCAAGTTCGAGACTGCGGTCAAGGCACTCACTGAATTCATGAGCTAATCCTCAAGTAAAAAGGAGTTTGGCAAATAAACCATCCAATGTCTATTTGCGTCATGTTATTTCATGTCATTTACGAAAGTATATATCTCGCTGTTTTTTTTTTTTTTTTTTTTTTCCTTAGCTCTAAGACTCGCTCATCCCCTGTCCTTCAATTGATTCTATAGATGCCAATGAGCCAAAAGTTCATATATTCATGATGAATCAGTTCCTCTTTCTACTCCCATTGAGTGCCCTTCAGACGCTGCATGAGATATTCAACCTCGACAACCTTAGTCAGTGGGATAACAAATTCCTGCAATCCATTAGCGCTGCCTCAAATACCCTAATAACCTTCTTACCTTGTACATGGCAACGACGGCATCAATGTTGATCTTTGGCCCGTTCGAATCCGGGAAAGCAGGATCAGTACCGTAAGTCTTCGCCTTCAGACCTAAACGCTCAAGCACCTTAAGCTCAACACGAGCATCCGTAATAGCAGCGTCAATACCATCGCGGTCCTCAGCCTTAATCAGACGAACGAAGGTCTCTGGGTCCTTTCGGAATTTGGCCTCTGCAACGAACTTGCCAAAGTGAATTCGACGCGACAGCGCCTGCAAACAGGCGACGTCGCAAGTTGCTGTGGAACCATAATTCTCTTGCGTCTCGCCGCGGTCCTCACGTCCAAACTGGAGGCATACGGCTGGTAGCCATTCGTCAATGTACCTTGTCTTGATAAGGTTGTTGACATTTACGTCATTGTCGTGTAGGATGTGCGGGTACTGCAGCGGTTGCAGGATTGGTTTCTCGACTGCATCTTTGAAGAATGGGTATTCGTCTGGAGATTCAAAGCGACGCACGCGCGACTGCAGTCTTTCTTGTTCACGGAGTAGGTAGTCTAGTAGGCTCAGATCGGTACTTGGGAGCTTTACCCCTCCTGGTTGGTAGACGGTCTTGTTTAGAGGGAATTGGACTCGTTCGATTAGGTGGAAGGTGATTGTATCCTCTAGTCGACTTTTGTTCCGTTAGTCGAGTTTCAAGTTTCGAATTTATTGGTGTGGAGAGCTGGTTGGTAATCGCAACTTCGCAGCCTGGTGAGGTCTTGATTATGGTGGAATGGTGGAATAAGCTTACATTAACTGGAAACGGATGTTAGCAAGGTCGAGTGCCTTGGAGGCATCGGATAGATCAATGACTGTATCCATAGTGTTGTTGTGTGGGAAGGGATGGTAGTGTGAGAAGTCGGGCATAAGAACATAAGAACTTTTAGGTTGTACTAGTTCCCAGTAGACGGCTGGCTTTATTTATACGACATCTAAATAATGATGATTTGAAATGAGATTTAGGTTTATTTTTTTGGATTAAGCAGGGGTTCCCTGCACGTGAAATACTACTTACTATATTGATCGAGTGTAATAAATGTTTGTTTTGCTCGAGCTAGATGCGTTGTTAACTGTGTCCGGTTTTGGAGAGATACTTGCACGGTACCGAAATCTCAGTACGAAATGCTAGATCTAGCTGGTACCAACAAAGTATCTGTACTAAATTCCACTAAAAAAAAGAAAATATAAGAAGCACCTTGCAGGCCTTGCAGACTTACCTCACATAAGTTTTTTCACATACTTGACCGGTCAATTTGGGTGATATTCAAGGGTGTAAAGTACCATACTTGCTGTACGGCTCGTACCCGCGGAACGCGGTAAATCATCGCGTGAACTCAAATGACGATCGTCTTTCCTACAACCTCCGGTCTCCAAACAACATATGGGTCTTGGTTGAACCAGGACACCACTTCTTATGGCGAATCATCGCAACGACTCGCCCTCCGGTCTATCAGATATTGAAGAGGGCGACGGCCTGCTCGGAACCGGACTGACGGTAAGCTTCTTTTTTTCTCCGTCATTGGGCCAAACCACCCCTCATTGACTCATGTGAGCTCTTTCTAACTTCTCTGTTATGGGAATAGACCCGTCATATCGAGGCATTCGGCCGTACAGTCACCTCAACCGCTGGACACTTGATCGGACCGGCTGAACCAAACGGCACCCATTATCACAATGCTATAAGCGATATTCACCGCGAGTTGCGCAGGCCGACGACGCAGCGCAAAGTCTTTTCATTGACTCAGACAACTGCGACTGATCTTGTCCGGTCGAAGCTGTCGACGAGCGAGATTCAGTCTCGAGCCCTCTCTTCGCTTTCGGACGACCTCCTCGCCAACATTCCCGACGATACCAGCTCCTACTCCCTGTTCCAAGGCTTCCAGGCTTCTCTCCCCGAAGATGACCCCTCACAAAAACGATCGCGGCGGCGCAATTCGAAAAGTACGAAGCGTTTGAAGGATGTCGAAAAAGGCGGCACTTTGACTGCGGGCCCGGTTGCGCTGAAGGAGCAGCGGAAATCGCTGAGTCGGCGATTGGACTTGATGGGAATTCGGAAAAATATGTGCAGTGCTGAGATTCATGAGATTGACAACAAGATTGCCAATTTACACAAAATGCGTCAGATCGTGCTTGATCGATTAGCGGGTTTGGAGAAGGACGAGGCGTCATTGGAACACGATCGTGAGTTTGCAGCTTCTACGATGCGAATGGTTGCTTTTTGGCTAATCTGGTGAATCGCAGTCACGGAACTCGATAACAAACTCGAAGACCTAGAGGAAGAGGTGGAGACGCCTGAGCTATCTGTCACAGCCGAAGCCACCAAGTCTTCGGAGGGCCAGGAAGGCTCAATTACGTCTAGTGATCCTGCCATGGATGCATCGTTCATGTCAGAATCGATATACGAGAAAATACCTGCATCGTCACCGAAAAGTCTGAGACAACGTTCGATACGTATGAGAATCCACTTTAGAAACCCAAACAGAGTGAGTCGTTGACCAGAAAATAGGAAAACGCTCGATGCCAATCCTCCATGAACATTTTGCGCCAGGATCTTTAATCAAGGAAGTCAACGCACACACCGACATGATCACAGCAATCGACTTTGATTATCCCTTCGGCACTATGGTCAGTGCCGCATTGGATGATACTGTCCGAGTTTGGGATATGAACGTCGGTCGATGCACAGGATTTTTGGAGGGCCATCATGCCTCCGTCCGTTGTTTGCAAGTGCAAGATAATATAGTGGCTACGGGATCTATGGATGCATCTGTTCGCCTGTGGGATTTGAGCCGGGCTCGACCCGCAACACGAGACAGTCGTTTGAACAACCATGAGCGAGATCAATTGGACGACTTTGACGTTCCTTCACCTGCTTCTACTGCCTCTAACCTGGAGGACTGCCATGTGTTTTCATTGGACGCGCATGTCGACGAAGTGACTGCCATTCACTTCAAGGGTGACACTCTCATTTCCGGCTCTGCTGACAAGACCTTGCGACAATGGGATCTTGTGAATGGGCGTTGTGTGCAGACCTTGGATATCTTGTGGGCGGCGACCCAGTCATCCTCTTCTATGGGTGATGGAAATTGGCGACCATCCGGTCGTCTTCCAGATGCATCAGCCGATTTTGTCGGAGCTGTGCAATGTTTCGATGCTGCCCTGGCCTGTGGTACTGCTGACGGTATGGTACGTCTTTGGGATTTGCGCAGTGGCCAAGTTCATCGAAGCCTAGTGGGCCACACTGGTCCCGTTACATCTCTACAATTTGATGATGTGCATATGGTGACGGGTAGTCTTGACCGCAGCATTCGGGTAAGCATTTCAATAGAACTCTCCTCTCTACCATTTACTGATACTCGATTAGATCTGGGATCTCCGTACCGGCTCGATCTACGATGCCTACGCATATGACAAGCCGATCACTAGTATGATGTTCGATGCCAAGCGCATCGTGGCTGCTGCCGGTGAAAATGTCGTCAAGGTCTATGACAAGGCTGATGCTAATCACTGGGACTGTGGCCCTGGTGTTGGCATCGATGACCAGGGTCCAGCTCCAGCGACAGTCGAGCGTGTCCGGCTCAAGGACGGATATCTCGTCGAGGGACGCAAGGATGGCACGATGGCCGCCTGGACGTGCTAAGCTGAATCCTATAGTTAATCACTGCTCCTCCAATCATTGCTGTATTCTTCTTTGGGGTCTCTCTTTTTCCCTCTCTCTTCCCCTGCCTCATGCCTTCTACCCGTTGTATAGTATTCCCCCCGTAGAGAGCTGGATGGAGTGGTGGGAGTATAGTTATGATTCAACTTGTACTACAACAATTCCAATTGATTCTTTCAAAAGATACCAGAACAGCAGGTAAAATATTAAAATATTGAGAAAAAAAAAAAAAAAAAAAAAAAAAAAGGGTTGAATGTGTCTTTGTATACTTCATTGCTTTGACGCACAAAGAGACTCGGTGGAAAGAACAAACGCAAAAAAAATAAGAAATGAGGAATAAAATATTTTCAGTCTCCAAACGATTCTCAAGTCTAGCTTTCTTATTCTATTCTATTCTCTCCTGGGGTTATATTTTTCTATTTCTTTTCCTCTCCACGTTCATAGCGTAAATAGTATACAGTGAGTATAGATAGCAGAGCCCCTTCCGCTAATCGCGCCCGGATCCACCTTCAAGTCACGTCGCGTTCTCGTTCTCGAACCTCTACACCTGACAAAGTCCAACACTTAATATCCCCCAGAATCTAGTTCAGCTGGATTCAATTGATGGTCCAAAGATAATATTCATGCTTGCAATTGCATCCCCTGTAAGTATCGCAGAAAGTATCATGCGCTTGACCGAGGCGCAGTCCCTTGCCCTTCGTATTTTCATCTGCCTATACCTACCTTTCCACTCTCGACCCTCCATGTTAGTTTGTTCTTTTGTCTGACTTGGTCTAGTTTCATTTGTTTCTTTCATCTCATCTGGACTGGGCTGACCTCGGTCCGCAGAGTGGCTTGTTTCAAGTCGTCTCTCAAGGTTGACTCGCAACAGTATGTGGTACTTTGATTTCACCTTTGATATCAACAAGCACATTGTTTGTGCTTGACTTTCGATTTATCTTCTTATTATAATCTTTTCCTTCTTGTTTATCTACTGCTGTCATCATCAATGGCTGACTCGCGTGATCGAGTTGATACCCTTGTTCCTGTCTCTACCTTGATTGAAGCAAAGATATCCAAACTGAAACTAATCAACCCGTACAGATGCCTAGACGGGCGAAGGTAGATCCTCGAGTCGGCAAAGGATATGTGCTTGAGGAAGAATCGGAATATGATGTCTTCATGGACCAGGCAAATAGGGCTGTCCTACCTAGTGTTCCTATCCGCGAATCTTTCGGCTATGGAGCCCAGGGCCCGGTAGCTATGCCAAAACGTGCTATGGTACTTCCAACCAAGAATCTGAAGCAGATGGCTCGCGCGATAGATGTCACGAAAGAAATCAGCGAGAAGAATCATATAGCCAAAGCCCAGGCCAAAGCTAAAGAAGGCGGTCGACGCGTTAAGCGAGAGCCCACCCCCGATGAGACTCAGCTGTTCGACTCACTACGAGAGGCTGCTGAAAGGGGGGAAAGAGACAGTCCGACGCCTCCTCCCCCTGTTCCGCGCGCCGTGTCTACTGATCCTAGCTCGGAGGCTGAACCTCCGCAAAGACGGATGTCCATCCCAAATACTCCCCTTTACCCATCACCACTCAGACGAAATGCGCATGAAACGTTACTTCATAGCACTCCAGATCGTGAAAGCTCAGTTGATAACGCTTCCGAGATTTCTTGGAATTTGGAGCGCGATGTTCATGAGGACGACCTACAGCGAACAAGACCAGGCAAATATCGCGGAGTCAATATCTCTGCACCTCCTCGACGTCCGTCTGGTCTTGCAAATCTTGTTCAAGAGACAATCGAAGAAGAGGAAGAGGAGGACGGGGAGGAGGAACGCCCACTAGATCTATATGACTCTGATCAAATAGACCATGTGGAGGGGTGGACCTCACGAGTGCGAACAATCGTTCCCCAGATTTTCCGCTCTGAACCCAGGGAGAAGACTCCTGAACCGACATCTCACAAGGAGGGGCTAACACGTCAATGGCTTTCGGCAGTTCAAGCTGAAACTCAAAATAGACGACCGTTCACGATTGACTGGTCTTCCTGGATACGAACTAGCTTTATCGTACTATTCTCCTTGTTTCTGGCCATTTTCATTCACAGTGGACTTGCAAGTGAACTTGCAGGAAAGCTTCTTCCATCATTCTCATTCGACGATTCTCATTCGACGATATCTCCTAATATAACTGATGCGGCAGTTTTCCACAGCATGCGAAGTCAGATTTCGAAAATGAACTCGCAAGTGACTTCCCTGTCCCGTGAGCTAGTCGCTGTTCAAAATGCCCGCGGCTCAGCCCCTACTAACGCCGTGCCTATCGCATTCTCTCCTCAACAACCAATGAACAAGATCAACTTTTTGTCAAAACCCCTAGGTGCTATAGTTGACCCTTACCTCACCTCTCCCACCATAGGTCGTGACTTCCCAGAATACATACACTTCCTGCTCAAATTCTCTCCGATTAAACCTCGGACTTCGAAAGAACCCATCGCTGCTCTGCTTCCATGGCAGGAAGTTGGAGACTGTTGGTGCAGTGCTCCGCACAACCACAACGGCGAGTCTCAACTCTCCGTTGTACTCGGTCGTGCCATTGTGCCCGAAGAGGTCGTAGTCGAACACGTTCCCTTTGGAGCCACTTTAGACCCAGGATCCGCACCTCGAGAGATCGAAGTATGGGCCCGATACAAGATCAGCCACCCAAAGCGGTCAACCTGGTTTTCAAAATTCGCTCCATGGAGCTCGACGAGGAAGTACACGCCCATCGAAGCCGCATCTAAAAATGAAAATCCCAAAGACGACGTCCTATCTGACACTCTTCACGACGTACTGATGAATTCCCTTTCCATCTCAAACACATTCGATTCACCATCCGCCTATTCAGACGACCCATATCTTGGCCCCAGTTTTTACCGCATTGGAAAGTTCGAATATGATATGAGCTCCTCCCATAACATTCAACGATTTGCACTGAATACTGTCGTTGATATCCCGACTATTCGGGTGGATAAAGTTGTGTTTCGGGCGAAGTCAAATTGGGGCTCGGATATGACTTGTATCTACAGGTTTAGATTACATGGGCATATCTAAGTAACTGCTCTATTTATGACTGTGTTTCATTCTTATTTTTTCTATTTTTCAAGTTGCTGTCCGAGGCGTGCTGATTTTAAGTGATGATACCTTGCAATTAGCGCTTTTCCATGATAGGAGTCGGGATGTAGGATTGGTAGAAATTGAATACCAATCTTTTTTTTATCTTTTTTTTTCGAAGTCACTTCTATCTAACTTTCAATGATCTACTTGATAGTAGTCTTCTTCAATTCTATTCATGTAGGCTCATTAGTCTAGAAAGAACATGGTGTAAATGTCAAACAATTAAGTATATAAGTCCACAATCTATATACATAGGTATATTACAGTACAGTACCAAGGTACCAACAAAGAAGTGTCATTCATAAATTATAATTGATTTTAAAGTACAGTAGTTACACAGATAATCTAAATTTCCAAATCATAGAACCGTAATGTCAACCTCCATGGTAGGATTGCTCGTGGCTGCCGTAGGCCATACGACAAAGCGCACGCCATTGCGCCCCGTTTCCTCAAACGACCATCGTCGTTGTTTTTCAATATTGGAGGTAGCAAGTCTGGAGCGGCCATTGTGTGCTAAATTATTCAGCTTGAGCTTGAGCTTGGATAGCATCTGAGTCAACTCTACAGTGACTCGGGAATTGTTATATGGGGGCAGCGACTCAAGCGTCCTGGTCGGCACGAGTTTTGGCTAGGCCTGGCTTGCTCTGGCGCACGTCCTCTCGGTCTGTTCAGATGTATCGCGGCGCTATGAGAACCAATCATAGTATCAGATACACACCCATCATTCAAAGAGCTACGTCACTTCTGAGTTGCATCACCCAAAGATAGGGACGAGATGCGTCGTCTTGCTCAAAGTTCCCGCTTCCTCGAGCTGGTTCACCCTGGATATCATGGAGCTTCGGATCTTAACATCTAAGGCATCAAATCAAGCACATTGAAGTCGTCAAGCAAATTGAAGTCAAGCAAATTGAAGTCGCATCGAGTAGAGATGGCCGGTTTGCAAGTTTTTATGAGAGAGTTTGGAGAGGTCATCACGGATTCTTTGGAATGAGACCTTTTAGGACTAGAACATGCATGTGGCGAGAGTAAAGCGGACACAAAGCAAGCGTGCATACCGTTCAAAATAGGTAAGAAGATATGATATCCCCTTATTAAGGCTGCTTTGATATGTCACGATTTCAATCCTCATATCGAAGAGGACATAGATTGTCAAGAGGTTATAGGTCGCCAAGAACATATTAATTGCTAAGAAGCAATGGAGGATAAGAGAGGACAAGGAAGAAGAAGAGTAGGAACTCGCATATATTCTCTTCCAAGGTCAGGTTTCAGCACGTGCGTAATTATTCTGTTTCTTCAATCAGGACCAAAGTAAAAGTGAAATCAGATTGAATTGAAAGTAAATTGAGCATGCACACCGTTCAAAGTTGGCTAGGCAAAATCCCATCGGCCTGCTTCGATCTGTCATGATTTCAATCTTGGAATTTCTGGTGAAATGTGGGACCAAACTTGGCAGTATAGCCCATTGGAGGCTTATAAGTCACATACCTGTCATTCAAAGAGATGTAAACCTGGTTGATCACATTGGTCTCAAAAGAGAGGAAAGACTCAGGCTTTCATAGTAGCTAAGATTCGCATACTTGAGAGCCTTGGCTATAGGAGTTCACATGACGCAAATAAAGTTCCAGTTATAATAATGTTTGAGCTGCATCAGTTTCAGGAAGCAGTTGGAATTCCATCTTTCCAGACTTGGGTCAGTGAGCTTTGACAGTCTAGATCTTCAAGTCAATTGGGCTAAACCAAGTCCATTGCTCACTGATTAGCCCTTATAGTCAGGTTGCAGTGGGTCAACAGTGTTGGAGTAAGAGAGGGACGGATGAATGTAGTGGTAGAAGTTCCAAGCGATCAGTTAGGTTCTAGTGGAGGCATGTGGCTTTTGACATAGTGAATGATGATTGGAATGAACTCTGGATCAATACCATCGTGAAATAGAGGTGAAACTGGCAAGTCTCTCACTTCACTTTCATGCTGTAGAATAAACTCATAAATTTGAGTCAAATTATATCTTTCAGAGACACTCGGTCAGATGAGCAAATACAGAGAAGATTAGCATGGCCCCTGCACTAAGGATGATATGCTCAATCAAAAAGAAGCTGCCATTTTCCCCCACTAAACGGACCTGATTGGGGTATTATGAGGTGATACTCATTTTGAATCTTTTGATGAAAATATGAGGTTAGACGTTCGAAACCGACTGCGCGCTTTGATCTTTTTGCATATATTTTTGATATTGAGGTATTCGATATGTAGTTAGGGTCTAGATTCTATATTTATGCCTTGATAATCAGGCTGAAAAAGCATGGACCACCGCGGGGTGAGAAACATGAAAGCCGGAGAAGGATGAATGTATTATTCATTCTAGCTATTCCAACTTCTATTTGTAAAGAAAGAGAATGAGCTATATAATTGAAAATCAATCCAGTATTATTGCGATTTACTTGTGGATTGTAGAATAAATTCTCATACCCTCGACACCCCACTTTATCATGACGAAGGCGGAAGACACCCGGCCTCAACTCTCTTCTCTTCCCACTTACAATACTTTCATCATCCAATGACCTCCCAAGAGAGACCAATCGACCGGGAAGAGCGACATGGCCTGGTATGTTTCGCGAACCTTTCTTTTCTCGTCATTCTCGGATCCGCCTGAAATTTAAAGATCTGAGATCTGACGGCACACGGAGAGGAGACGGAATTTCAAATCCCCTTCGTGGGTGCACATCCAGATCTTGACTAACGCAGCGTCAAACAGAGTGCCATTCGCAACTTCCTGAAAGTTCGTAACAGCTACGACGTTCTCCCTCTCAGCTTCCGCCTCATTATCTTCGATACCTCCCTCTCTGTCAAGGAGAGCTTGAATATTCTTATACAGAATGGCTAGTCTCTCCTCTCACTTCCATGGAGTAGCTTGCTGACGAGATGAGTCGGGAAGTACAGGCATCGTTTCAGCCCCGTTGTGGGACTCCAAGGCTTCGAAATTCGCTGGTCTCCTGACCACTTCCGACTACATCAACGTCATTCAGTATTATTTCCAAAACCCCGCGGCTTTGGATCAGATCGATCAATTCCGACTGGACAGCCTACGTGGTGCGTGCTATCCTTGCTTTTGTATTTTTGGTCTTGCTTTTTATGATTCGTGGCTCAATTCTAATCGACGCGCCTTGTTCATAGATGTGGAAAAGGCATTGGGCGTCGCGCCGCCTGAGACTATTGCGATCGATCCCGAGCGTCCCCTCTATGAAGCTTGCCGCCGCATGCTGGAATCTCGCGCGCGTCGTATTCCCCTCGTTACCAACGACAGCCAGACCGACCGTCCCCATGTTCTCAGTGTTATCACACAGTACCGCATCTTGAAGTTTGTCGCGGTCAATGTTCCCGATACACAGAAGCTGCGCCGTCCACTGCGGGAGCTCTTGATAGGCACGTACGATAATATCGCCACGGCGTCGATGGATACGCCTGTCATTGATGTGATTCATATTTTGGTCGAACGCAGCATTTCCAGTGTGCCGATCTTGAACTCTGAGGGTATGTTTTGTTTCTGTCTTATGTTCTGTTCTCGTTGCTAAATTATGATCAGGAGTCGTTTACAATGTGTTTGAGTCGGTCGATGTCATTGCGTTGATCCGTGGAGGCGTCTATGATGACTTGGGTCTTACTGTGGGAGAGGTTTTGAAGAAGCGCTCACCGGTAGATCAATACCATACTTCCTTTACTTATTCAGACTAACGATCGAGCAGGACTTCCCCGGTATTTACACCTGCTCAATGAATGACGGACTCGATACCATCTTCGATACCATTCGCAAGTCCCGGGTCCACCGTTTGGTAATTGTGGATGAACTGTTCAAGCTGAAGGGAGTTCTCACTCTCAGTGATATCCTTCACTACATTCTCCTGGAAGGAGTCAATGACGAGACATGATCACAGCTTGAAGCTGGTTTCCTTTAGTATGCTTGGTGCATGAACGGGCGTTTTATTTTATTTTTTTATGACGTTTTGCTATTTGATTCTCTTCTCTCTGGATCCTTGGGCTCGTGAATGTACAAAGGTATTAAAATGGTCTTACGGTGCGAACTCAGTGCGGACTGCGATAGATTTACTTGGCAATTTGACTGTCCTTGTTCTCAATTTCCTTCCAAGGTTGTATGGTCTGTATGTTCACCCAACATGGAAGGAAGCAGCGCCGGCGCCAGAAATACCGCAGGAAAGAGCGCACGTAGAATGCCATTTCCCACAAGAAATTTGATCTGACCTATTCATATTTTTAGTTTCTTCATCCTCTTTACTATCTTTTTTTTCTTCTATCCTTCAGCTCTGAATCTCTTCAGATATGCCTCTTTTACAAGGCCTCTTCAGGTCTAAGCCCAAGTCCAAAGATGCTCAAACCCCTCGAGCCCGGGCATGGCCAAATCTGCGCCGCTGGAATTCAGTTATTACCCCACTTGGACGTACTGAACGAGGCTCTACCTTGATGAGGGAAGAAGTCGAGGCAACAACCACGGAAGAAACTGAAGTGGTTGTACCTCAATCGGTCGTTCCTAAAGCTCCAGTAGTCGTTCCGGTGGAAAAGGGTCACTCGCAGCATGGCTCTAAGCGTCTGAAGGGTATCATCATGTCGCGTCTTCATCTGAGCAGATCCGAGGCTCGCAGTCAAAGTTCGATGTCCGAACTGGAACTCCCTCCACCCTTGTTGAAGATAAAATCCCCTCCGGTCGCGGCGAAGGTCAAACTCCCTCCACCCATGGTGAAGATGCCGACTGTTTACAGGTCACCATTGAATAGCAATGGAAGCCTACCCAGTATCCCGATTAACGATGATCCTTCTGGCCCTTCTGGTTCTGGGACACGGAATGTCAGCACTCAGACGATGATGTCCCAGGTGTCGGCGACCACCGATAGTACCATCCGTCGCCATCCATCACTGCATGCGCCAATGCCAATTCAGGAGCTGGATGAAAGCGACTTTCTCTGGTCAAACCTAGTGAATTTCAATCTTGACAGGGTGTCTGCGGGCCATGCGAATGAATCTTCAGACCCGTTTTCTGATGACAAGGAAGTTGCTGTCGAGCCACAGTCCGTTGCAGCCCAATATGCGTCCAATTTGTACGAAAGCCAGCCAGATCATGATCAGGGACCGCCTGTGACACCGACTAATGTCTCTAAATCGCACAACCACCAAAATTCTCGCAAGCGCCGTCAGATCAGCGCTGGTGGTAGTGATACGAGTCGTTGCAGTCAAATGTGCCGATTAAACCCGAAGAAGGCCGTTGTCGCATTCAACATGCTGGCAAGCCAGTTGAACGTCCCCATTACCATCCCTCCGAATGACCCAACGACTGTCACCGCTGCGAACACAATGATTGAGGGAAACAACCAACCTACGTACCGGGGGCTGTTTAACCTTATACGGCCCGTTCAATCAAGCATGGCACTGGGGGATTCTTTCCAACCACTGCCTGAGAAGGCGACTAACAAGCTTCGTCGAAGCAAGACGTTTTCCAACATCGGTCGCCGTGCAAGGCCGATGAGCTCTCTGCGAGGCAGATCCCTGGAGAACATTGCCCGCCTCGGAGGACATAGCTACCTGATTCTTCCGAATGACCTTGCGCCGGCTCCCTTGCAACTGCCTGTGTGTATCGTGGCGCCTGTGCTGTACCTGCGCCAGTCTGGTATGTGAAACTTTCTTATCTTACGTTATTTTCTTTTAACTGACCCAAACTGACCCATCTGTAGGTACTTTTTCTGCTGAGCTTTTTATTAATCCCGGTAACATGAAGGCGGCCGTCCGCCTTTATGATCACTTCGCGAGCCAAGTGTTGTCGGTGCAAAACGACGAAAAGATCGCGATGACTATGCGGGTGGTTGGAATGCCCCACTGGGAGACGGGATCTCCCAGTACTACGCCCGTGCTCAGTGTGGGGTTGGTGTTCAAGGAACTACTGGCAGGATTACCCGACGGCATACTTGGATCTCTTCCACTTTACCACGCTCTACAGGGTGTCAATCGTGCAGCTCCTGAGAATCCTGCCCGAGCTCGACTGATCACCCTTGCCATCGTGGCGTTCACCAGTGAGATGCAGTGTGCACTTATTTGCGCTGTCTTTGGGTTCCTGTCAGGACTGGTTAGTAAAGCGGAGCATTCCGCCGAAGCTCAGGATGCCGGGACATCAGACCGAGTAGTGGCCACATTGGACTCTGCAGGATTGGTGCGGACATTTGGGCCGTTGTTGGTTGGTGTTCAGCAATCCGATCCGCAGCGCCAAGTGGAACAAGAAGTTGAGGATAGTCGGGTGATGAAGATGCTGCTCGGTGACTGGCGGGAGGTGAATCGCCAGATGCGAAACTGGACAAGTGGATATTCCAGGAGGATTCATGTTTGAGGGAAGTTGAGTATCAATTTCGGGTGGCAAAAAGCGATCGACAGCGGGGAAACTAGAAACACAAACTAGTATTTATAGCTCTACTCTAGCTTACCTTAGCTGTACCTTGTACCTTGCCTTTTCTCCACTTCTGTTTCCTTTTCCTTGAATGGGATGAGATCCCGATAACAAACTAACAGTATCTGTAACTCTTGTTTCTTGTTCTCTCCTTTCTCTTTACCTTACTTCTTTTGATTATTTGCTCGGATCTACTGGCAGGAATTCCTGTCCGACCGTGGTTCCTTCCAAGCTCTACCAGACTCAAGCTCTGACAGGTTGACCGAGATAACCTGGACTTTTACTTCCCAGGCACCGGCCGAACTAATCGACCGTGGTTCTGAACGCTCCCTGAGTTCTCCCAACTTTACTTGCCGTGGGGTGGGATTTGACTATCACGGTAGTCTGTATCTCACTCTCTTCCTCTTGTGTCTGATCTGTTGACACCAGTGAAGAGCGATAACTATCCTACCCTTCCCAAATAATTCTTTTCATTAAAAAAATGTCTACTGGAAACCTCAACCCTCTGCCTCCCGGCCTTGTTGACCCTCTTCACCCCACATTCCCAGTGCAAAATCTCTTCCCAAGCGAGTTTCTCCCCTTGACAACTTCAGACGAAGAACAACAGCTCTGGGGTCTAAGTCCATCAAACTGGGACAGTCGCGCTGGTGATACAGACGCAGCAGCCTTCGCTAGCTCCTCAGAGCGCGATCTCAAAAACGCCCAGGTCCGCAACGGACAACCGACACCACCACCCTATGAAGATCCACCTCGTCGTGCAGATGCAAGCAGACGCCGTCGCGAACAGGAATTAAAAACTGCCGCTGAAAGTCTAAGCCCCAACCTTGACGGCCCGCTTGAGAGCGGGAAGCGGGCGAAATTCCTTGAGCGCAATAGACTCGCTGCTAGCAAATGTCGGCTCAAAAAGAAGGAGCATACGCAGAAACTGGAGTTTCTTTTCAAGGAAGAGTCTAAGAAGAAGGAGCTGCTTCTTCATGATATTGCGCGTCTGAAATCAGAACTCCTGACTCTGAAGAATGAGGTGCTTAAACATGCTCAGTGTGGTGATGAGCCTATTAAGCTTCATCTGGCCCAGATGGTTAAGCGCATTACTGATACTGATACTGACGCTGGTGCTGGCTCGATGTTTTCTGATATTTCTGTTCATCCTGAAAATCCTACGTCCTCAGTTTATGTACCTACAGCTACTATTTCGGCTTCTGCTTCTGGATCTGGATCTGGATCTGGATCTGGGTCTGTGTCTGTTTCAGCTTCGACTACAGCCACTTCTGCTAACACACATGTATCCTTCGGCTTTGACGATTCAATGCTCGCACATGCTGCTTCAGCCCAAGCGGCGACAAATGCTCTAGAGCAGCACCTACGACGAACCTCAGACTCTCTTGCTTCTGAGTCCTCATATGGCTTTTCTGCCGATGATACCTTTGACGACTTGATCAACGTCTAATCTGACCACTGATTATTTAAATTTCCTTAGGAGCGTGTTTACGGAGCGGGGGTATTTGAAATCGGCTGTTCACATTCTTATTCATCTGACTGGATCCGGTTCCTTAGCAATGGCGTTTTTGGTGCTTACAAAATGGTACCAGGTTGTGTTCAATTTTTTTGGGGGTTTTAAGTGTGAATGCTAAGGCTTCCTCTTGCGCTCAGTATCTTTACTTGCGATGCCCAGATGGTACGGGGCGGTGTTATAAGGCTTGGAGTGTGGTCTTAAGTTTTTACTTGGCTAGGAGGTTTCGATATTTGTGTATCTTTTACTTTTGCTTCAAGGGATCCGATATCACAATGATCATTTCCGGATGGATTCTTTCTATCAATGCCCTATTTTCCATATCTTCGATGAGCAACTATTGTCCCGTTTGAACAAGGAAAAGTTCAGCTAATCTTGCCCCATTGCCAGTAAGCCACGTGAAATGGTTTGCAAAACGATTGAAATGGTATCGCCACAAAAGGCTATGGGCCATTTATGGCGTGAGGTCCTCTGTATTTGAACAGTCAATATCTTGATACCTTGCAAAACATCATGAGTAACAACTGGATAGATGGCTTTCTTAAGCTTGTTGCGTAATTTCACAGAGATACTATCAGATAGAATGGGGTTGGTTATGTTGAGCCTGATTTTGAGTCTTTTCACTTGATGCTCAAGCCCCAAAGCCTTCTAGGATTTAATTTGCACTCTCAGGGTCAGACAGGTGTCCTCGATAAAGCCACAAAGTCTTTTTGGAGGTGCTGTCAGTGACTCGGCCTTCAGGCCGATACTTTGCATGTCTTCATAGCCCTGCCATGCTTCTGCGTAGATGGTAATTATTTTAATCACTGGATGCCTAGTGGGATAATTGCACCGCTTGTTATATAGAATGGACGAGGCATGATAAGGCCAGTCATTCCTGTTTGTCTTAAAAGAGCTCGAGATGAATGTTGAAAGGCAAAACATTCCAAGGTTGGAGAATGAGGCAGATCAACACCTGGAGGTAGATAGAGAGACGAGCAAAAACGTAGACATATTTCAGCTGCATAATCACTAGGGTAGTGCTTAATACTTTCCAACATTCTGTCGATTGTTGATAGGTAGTCGTGTGGCTCCAATGAACCTCGAAAAAGGGAGCGGATATGTTATCTAGGTAGATACCTATTTAGGTACAAATTAAGCGTGGAATAAGCTCTTAATAGATTCATGCCTCCGACTCTCTGGTTTTTCAGTAAGCCTAAGTCTGATCACCCTCATAAAGGTGGCGGCAGCTAAAATAGGACCACCTGGGTATAGACATGTTGAGGCCACGATTTGGATTACATATTTTATTCAGAGCAGTACCTCCAATACCTTAGACAGTCTCTATGTAGAATTAAGAAGTTAGAACTTGCCATGAAATCATGTAACTACGGTCTACCTACGGTTTGTTAAGTTACTTGGCCTATTCTCTTGATCGATGAAACGACGTGAATTATTTAATGTGAACAGCGAATATCTATACCTATCACTAGGCATGACGTTGAATATATGAAAGAATGCCAACTGACTATAGACCCCTCGGTCATATTGGTATAATTGATCCAGATGACCCAGAATAAATGAAAAGATAACGAATGAACCAATGACTCCCTTAAACACCAAAAGCTTCAAGTTGCAAGATATACCATCCACTGAAGGTACATGTGTTTCAGTGAAACGCGGGGACACTTCTACTACTGGCAAGTCGCCTGCGTCGACTCAAAGTAACATTAACCCTTTTCGACCGACTCCAAACCGGCACTGTCAAGCCCAAACGGGATGATGCAGAACGCGAAGAATCAGAACCACACTCATCACTATCAGACACACTTGTCATTGTAGCTGCACGTGGGAAACGAGACGAAAGTGGAGAGTCTGTCTGTATGCTGGCATTCCTCAGCGCAAACTGTGCCAGACTCTCAACAGTGGCACGATCTCTCGGCGTGAAATGGCTGCCGTAGTAGCGCACAATCTCATAGTAATTGAAGCAATGTGCGAGGTCCATTGTCTGGAAATGCTCAACTACAGCGTCAAAGGTAGCGAGCGTATGAAGACTCGGCGTCTGCAGTGGCCATCGGTAAAGAGACCAGAAATACTCCCCGCAATATCCGGCCACGCCGATGAAGAACCGCAGTGGCTTCTGCCCAGGGAGATGCAGGAAATCGTCTACGGGTAGACCTTGTGCACGGATTGCTGAGATCTTGTCTGGGTTGTCATGGCATTCAAGCAGCGAGCAAACCATTCCTGCGAGTGCACTTCCTTGCGAATATGATACGATGGCGTGGATTGGTCGCCCGTAAATATATTGTGCCACGTGAGAGAGGGAGACTTCGATTCCTCGATACTTGCTCACTGTGTCTCGGCCATACCACCAGCCCAGCAGCGCCGTTTCTGGATCGTCTTGTGCTCGTAATTGGATATTGCTTTTGTCGGTTTCTTCGGGGAGTGTGCCGATTGGAGCTTCGAGCATCCAGGGGGCATCTATGTATAGGAATTCGATACCACCTGGGAACTCAGAAAGAATCTCTGGTGTGACAAGCTCGTTAATACGTGCTGAGATAGGACTTGATTTTGCACGGAAATCTTCGGCGCTTCCAGCAAAACCTGCAGGATTCTCGTTAGTTCCGTAGGTAGGAAGAAAAGTGAAGGAAGACAATTCTTACCGTGAATCATTAAGATTCGGAATTTGGTAGGATCAACTAGATTTTCTTTCAAATGCATGGTGATCTTTTCTTTCAATAGTTCAAAGCTGGAGAATGGAGGTAGAGGAAAGCACCGTGAGTACCTATGTAAGTATCATATGTCTATTATTTCCAATATTACTACACATCTGGGTAGTGCCCTAGCAAAAATCAAGGAGAGTTCTACTTTAGTCCACTTTGCTGATCTTTTAGCCACCATACTCCTGATGGAAGATGTGGATACTGTTCGAGAAATTAAGGATACTTATTGAATGCCGATCTATATACGTTTATGGAGCACAGATACGAGCTGTGGGAAAATTTACGGTAGATGGAATACTCAGGTACTTCACGTACGCTTTGAACATACCTGGAGTGGGTTATTTTGCCTTGTAAGGGTTATACATCTTGCAATGACTATGAGTGGACAGAGCGGCCTTGGAATGAATAAGTCTGCAGCACTCTTTACCTCTACCTGAATATGTATGTGTTTTCAGTTATCAAATGACCTAATAATGTCCATTAACCAAATCACATAAAGTACAAAACGCTTCAAGCGCCCGATACATCGGACTATGTGATGTTTCATACCCAAGAGTTCATAGAACCAAAAATCGGAGATAAGATTCAATGATTAAGACAAAACGTGATTGCGGAGTAAAGATAATTGCGCCTCCTGAGTCAATAATGAGCCAATGGGACGAAAACCACATGATTAATGGAGCTCATGAACGCCGCTTTCGTATACCCAAAGCTTAGGCCAACTTCCTGAATAGTATAGAAGATATCGGAAATTTCCCTCCAAGAGCTTAGTTTGAAACTGATGGAAGGATTATAGCTTTGCAACTGAGCATGACGAATAGTGAGATCACTGATAACAGTCGATATTTGAATGAGCATGGAAATGAAGATCGGAATACTTGCTCAGGAAATGGAGTCGATCGTGGTCCAATTAGGGTTCACCTAAGTATTATCGCGACGATCAGTGGACAAGTGGGGTATGCTTTGGATACATAAGTCAATTAGGAGGGGTAATAAGGAGAATGATCAACATATTACTATATCAATATTCTTTAATAGTTATTATTTTAAAGTTGTAGTCATATATCTAGCCAAATCATTCGGAAGTAAAGTAAAGCTATGTTGCGCCATGCGCCAAGATTTGCAGTTGAAACTTTAAATTAAACCTTAAAATCTGGTTTCTCTAGCTAGTTCCGTGCATTTCTAAAATATTGCTGGTTCATCGAGCTAAAATGTCGATCCTCCCCTGTCGATCTTAGTTCCTGCGCCATTTACGTAAACAGTACAAATGTCAGTAACCTCTTTCGTACCAATATTGACGACGTCTCTCCACTACGGGGTTTCCATGCCATGGATTTTGAATCTGATAGGTAGCAGATACTTGCAGAGGGTAGATCACAACTACATACGATCCTGGGCTTTCGTCTGATGTTTGCCCCCCTGTCAATCACACAAGTTGATTCTTTGAATTTTCTCCATATTTTGTTAAGATAGCAGAGCTTCTCTTATCACTAGCCTATATTTCAATACACGAAGTCAATTGAACTACCTAAAGGAGCCTCGAGGTATATAGCTTCAAAACTGAATTGACAATGATCGTGCTGTTAACTTGATTCCACGCTATAGTTGACAAAATGGCGGGCATCGTCGCGCGACAGTCGATCGCGCAAACCAAAGACGAGCGACAGCATGAACCGGCAGAAGATTTAATCACAATATTCGATCGAATCGCCCAAACACAACCTAATGATACGGCCTTGGTCTCCCTCCATCAGAAAGATAGCTTGGGTATCAGCTCTTTGCGCTGGACGTATTCCGAGCTTCGAGACGGCAGTATCCGTCTAGCTCATCGGATGTCGGCTGCAGGTGTCCGAAAAGGAAGTCGCATAGCCACGTTCCTCTTCAATGAAATTGAATGGTCGGTTCTGTTTCTTGCGAGTGCGCGTTTGGGATGTCATTTCGTCCCATTAGACCCCCGTGCACTCAACACACCTGCAGATGCGATATACCTCCTGCGAAAAGTTTGGGCGGAGACTATCGTCGTTTCAAATCTCAGCATGGCCAACATGGTCCAACGAATTCTGGAAACAGAACTCATGCCTCAAATCCAATTAAAATGTCTCGTTTCGCACAGTACTGGAGATCGACCACGCGGCTGGAGGACTCTCTCTTCGCTTATGACTGAGTCGAATGATGAGATAGAGATAGCGCCCTTACCGGTGTTGGATCGCAATGATACAATTCTCATGTTGTGCACCAGTGGCACAACGTCAAACCCGAAAATCTGCCCTCACACTTCTGTTTCTATCGTCACCCCCGCCCTGGGCATTGCTGATCATTGGTCACTCACTCGCGAGCAAAGCCTCTGTCAGCATTTGCCGTCTTTCCATGTTTTCAACGTTGCCCTGACTCTCTCCTTCTGGGTAGCTGGCGCTACAGTCATCATCCCAAGTGCTGAGTTCAACCCTGCTGCAACATTCGAGGGTCTGGCTTTTGGAAAGCATGTATGGATTGCCAGCGTACCTACAATGGTATATGCCATGCAAACATACTCGATGACAGTCGACAAGAAGCTTGCCAAACCATACGGCATTGTTCTTGGCGGTGCCCCGATCACCCCCGAAGCTTTGCGCTCGTGCAAGGAGCTTGGCGCGAGACGTATTGTCGCGGGATATGGAACAACAGAAGGTGTCGCGACGCTATATAACGTTATGTCGGCAACCGACCCCAGTATTGTCAACATGCAAGATGGCGATGATGTGCGTTTGGGTCAAGCGGTTGCCGGATCACATCTTCGAATTTGTGCCCCGGATAGTAGAGTGCCTTTGCAACGTAATCAGATCGGTGAACTCCATCAAGGAGGATACCCAATCTTCCATGGTTATTATGAAGCTACCGAGGAACAGAACTATACCTGCTACCGAGAGGGTTCCGTTCCTTGGTTCGCCACTGGAGATCGCGGATACATGGACGAGGATGGAAACATCTACCTACTCGGGCGATATAAAGATCTAATCATCAGGTCCGGAGAGAACATCTCCCCCTTGAAGATCGAACAATGTCTCTCAGGACAACCGGGAGTCAAAACTGCTGTGGTGGTTGGATCGCCGGATGACATTGCTGGAGAAGTGCCAGTGGCTGTTGTCGAAACCTATGGCCCTCAGAGCGATACTTTTTTCCGAGAGCTGAAATCTGCGGTTGTACAGGCTCTGGGTCGCTCGTTCGCACCGAAGTTGATCCTTCATCTGCAGGATGACCTCGGTCGTGAGAAGTATCCCTCCACAACCTCGGGCAAGATAAAGAAAAATGTCCTCCAGGATTGGGTAGCAGATCATCTAGAGCTGTCCCGTGCAGAGACGCCTCTAACGCCCCAATCTCTCCGAACTCCGGTTTCAAGCTTGAGCTCAAACACAAGTGTGGGCACAAACGTGAGCTTAAACCCAATGAAGTCAGTAAAATCAGTGAAGCCGGAGAGTATCCCGGCCCCTAATAGGATGAACATCGCGACCGAACTGGCAACCTGTTGGTCCTCTGTATCTGGATTGGATCTCTATGAAATCAAACCGGACATGCCTATCCGCACTTTCACCGATAGCACTATGCTGATCCAGTTCCTACACTTGGCAAAGAAGAAGGGCCTGAAGTTGACACTGAAAGACTTGATTACCGCAAATACCATCGAAAAACAGGCTCAGCTGCTTGGCCAGACTGGAGTCGAAAGTCAATTACCAGATTTCTCGGCACCAGTATCAGTACAAGTATCATCTCAGCTCAAACTTCTACCAAAGACCGATACCAAGAAGCGGGTTGCTGCTGCCAGTCTAGGGATCAATGAGAATGACATTGAAAAGCTATTGCCAATGACTGATCTCTTCCAAATGCTCGCTCTCGACCGCCCATTCCCTGGTGCCTGGGATATGCGCTTGGCCTTTTCGGTCCGACGCGCTCTCAACGCGGACGAAATTGCAGCAATCGTCGAGACATGGCTGCGTCGGCACGAGCTCCTCCGCAGCATGGTTGCAACAGTCAAGGATGAGCCCCCAGTATGGGCTGTAATGCATCCCCGGGCACCATGGCTCAGAAACCAGATTATACAAGGGCCTGCTGTCGATAATATAGACGCAGTAGAGCACTATCATCCAAATGATTATACCGACGTTGCCTCAGGGCCTCTTTGCAAAGCAGTGATTCTGCCAATCCGGGGTACTACCCATTGTGGACTTATTATTCATATACACCACGTTATATTTGACGGAATGGTCATGGAGCGCTGGATTCGCGACCTCAATCATCTTCTAGATGGACAGCCACAGTTGCAATGGTGTCCGTACAACTACTTCTCCGATAACTATATTGCACATCGAGCTTCCCCGGAGGCAGAGGAGTCGGTGCAGTATTTCGTCCGCAAGCTCACTGGAGTCTCAGCGTCGAAGAATGCCATCTGGGATACTCAGCGTATTCTTCAGAGTATGGACAGACTTGCCTCGCCTCTAGTGGAGAAGGAGAGCGATTTCACCATGATCAACGCCAAGAAAACCCCAGCGAGAACCCATCCCTCAGTCCTCCCCAAGCGCTTCGTCCAGCTCCCCAAGCTTGCTGAGATGCGTTCGCGATTCGGCATCTCTGCCCCTATCATAGCCTTAGCCGCTTGCAGTTTGATCAACTGCCGTTATACCGGTGCTGATGAAGCCATCTTTACAAACTTGCAGTCTGGTCGTTCATGGCCTGTTGAGGATGGACCTGGCTCTGAAGACGCCTCTCCACTCGAAGTTGACGGCCCTACAATGGCCAACCTCCCTGCTCGCATCGCCATCTCACCTGAAGACTCCGTCCTCGACCTGCTGAACAAAGCCCGGTCCGAACAGGATGACATGCTCGTCCACTCCCACGTCCCCTCTGCTCGAATTATCGAGGGCGTCGCACGGGGACCAGGCGGCCTGGCTGATGCCGCCGTCCTAGAGGGTCTTCTGAAAAGCCAGCTCTTCGACTGGTTGCTGGAGCCATACAACCAGGATCTCGAATCTCCGCTCGAACTACTTCTTGACACAAGTCTTTCGCAAGGACAGTGGGTTTGGCTGCCTCGTTTGAGTGATGGGAATATCCTACATATGAATATCTATCACGCCGATGCGGACTTACCTCCAGAGAAAACAGACTACATTGCGGAGGAGTTCCTGTGTGCAGCTGCTTGGTTGGCTGATCCTTCGAATGCGCAGAAGTCCATCTCGGAGTGTGTGTTTGACGGATATGAAGTTAGGTATTCGGATTATACTTATAATGTGTCTCAGTAAATAGTTATTCTAAATACCAAATTAATATGACTTTTTTTTTCAAATGAGCCCCTTATGGTATCAAGCAAAACTCAAACGATAACGCCATGACTTTCCAAGTCGTTAAATGATTATGAAAAAGTCTGGAAATAGCTCCCGTCGTACGTACCGCGAGTCTGCCCATGTGCGCGATGTATCCTGTCGCCTAGTCATCTCTTCTAACAGGAGTATGACTTTTTCTGCATTGGGATGCCGACTGGCAGTGGACTCTGACTCAGCCATACGCTGCATTTGTTGGATAATCCAACGGCGCTGCTCTTTCGAGCCCTCTAGACCAGCGATAAATAGTGGCCACAGGAAACTGACGGGGAGATGACCTTGTGCAGCACTCACAAACTCGACAGCAGCTAGTTGGATGATCTTGTCAACAGCGCCGTTGACCCGGTCAGTGCGTGGGTATATGGCGAATGCGACTCGGTGTAAATAGATGAAATTAGCCAGGAAGCTGGCTACATATTGTCGAAATGCACGGCAGATTTCGTCCGCTATCGGGCCATTAAGCATGCCGGTCAATGCATCTGACTGTCTATACACATCTATGACGGGTGGTCGGCTGTGCCAGAGGGTTTCGAGATCTGCTCCCACTTTGTGGGCTATTTGAAGAACCTCAAATTCGTCGCTGAGAGCTCCACGACTGCGGTGGTGCAGGTCGATATGTACAATACGCCGGACAACTTGCTGCGCTTGTACGAAGAATCGGAATGCTGGACCGACAATTGCCTCATACACTAGATAGCTCGGGCTGCGGAATGGGTCGTCGTTACTCTCGTCTTTGAGATCATCCGTTGTTTTCGATGTTCCCAGACCATTCTCATCTGTAGGCTTAATCAATCCTGGCGCTGGCGCTGACGCAGGGGTGTTTCCTAGTTCGGTCAGAGGGTCGCCATCACGGCCTGCGATGAGAGATTTGACATCAAGCAGCAATACCCACGAAACCATGAGGTTCCCAAGCCCCGTCCATGTCCGATTACGGCCATGAAATCGTTGTAGTAAAAGATATCCTGAATGAAGATAGGATGTGCCTGGAGCACATAGTTCAGGTGAAGAAAATAGCTCGGACAGCATCAAGAAGAATACCGTCGTAAATATATTGAGTAGCGTTGAGTCAGAAACATCCTCTAGTAAGCATGATTGAATACCAGAATTCGCTATTCGGTAATATGTTGGAGCCCATTGCCACTGCTTGCCCTCTGTCGTAGCCTTGCGAATATCTGAGTAGCAATACAATGCGTTTAGAAGAGGGGCAAAGTCTCGCGCGTGAGCCATCACAGCTGGTCGAACATACTGCCATTCTATAGTCACTGGGGCAAAAATGCCCGCCGGAGGATCTGCGGCTAAAAAATGTTGTAATAGCTGTTCTTCATGGGAAGTACCGCCCGCATCTGACCAACTCCCTCGGGTTGTTGCATCCGAAGCACTTGCACTTGCACCTGCACTTCCAATTGACACATCTACCAACGATGAGCCCTCCGGATTCAGAGTCGAGTGTCCGTCCGTGTCGAACTGCGCTTTCTCTGCACTATTTGTTGCAAGACCCGCTGCTGGGAACTGTTGTGCGGAGCTGGTAGCAAAGCCGGCCAGTCCACTCGTTAAGTCAAGATGCTTCTGTTCCAGCCCCGACGTAATACCACCCATGAATCCAAGCATATCAAACTGACCTCCCAGTTCGGGCGGGTATGACACTATATCAGCGGGTAGCCGTCTTATTGCATCCGACGCATGAATCGTACGATGCTGATCATCCGAGCGGAGAACAGTGCCGAAGAAGTTCAGATCTTGCGAACGATGTGATATAGACGCAGAAGATGACGCAGGTGTAGATGCAGATGCAGCGGGTGACGGCGATGAGGTAGACTGGGTCGCATGCGCTGACTCTTTAGATCGAAAAGAAGGCCAGGGGCCATCGAGGGCGATGGGCGGCTTATAAACACAGCTTATTCGTAGGCGATCGCAGTTTGAACAGCTCGGTTTGGTCTCATCGCACTTTACCTTTCGAGCGCGGCAGGTTAGGCAGCCTGTTCTGCGACGAGGACCTGACCTACCAGCTCCCCGGGCTTTGGGCACCTGTAGTCCGAGCTGCGTTAGCGGAGAATCAGATTTGCGCGATCGTTTCAATCGTTGTGAAGGTACCTCCATGATGAGACAACCCTGTTGATAAAGCCAAAGACGAAGACATGGTAGTCGTCAATATTCAATACTCGTCAAGTCCGAATGTGTGGAGACTGGGTTTCCCCGCAATTGGCCACGGATTGCGACATTTGGATGATTTCGGGCCCATTTTGAGGTTGATTGCAAGCTTATTACTGATTACTTGTGCCCAGTTACATAGGCAGTTATTTGATAGCCCCAGGTCATTGGGTATTCTTATTTATGAATCATATAATTCACTGAATATCCTGAAGAGTTCCAAGATCGAAGGTATTATTTGTATAGATCTCATGCTGGTATCTCTTCCCGATATACCTTGCTACCTTCCATGCATTTCGATAGATGCAGCAGATGCCCCCGTTCTCGCCGTACATATGCAGCAAAACAAGCCGCCGCCACAGTTACAGCCCCAGCACTGATCATCACCGGATACTGAAACTGTTCCGGCAAGGGCCATATGATAGTCGACGCAAATGAAAGCATTTCGAAGACGCTCTGCAACGCAATTTCCGTGGTGGAGAACCTTGCTCGAGCATGTTCTTCAATGTTCTATACCCTATAAGCATCACTTGAATGAGAATTAAGTGAATGAAACTCACCTCCTGTATAAGAAACTGAGCAGACAGATCAAAGCCCCAGAGGCCAACCCTACTCAGAGCAACGCCTATTGTCAAAGCAGCTGCAGCTAGTCGAGAGTTCAAGGAACATAGCACAAATGTAGTGGTAGCACCGGCCAAGCAGCAAAGTTGCCAATTCAAAAACCACAGTCCGGATCGAATGGGTCCAATCCGGTTCATGATGACGGGTGCTGCCCAGGTGCCTGACAACTCTCCTATTATAGAGCCGATGCGCATGCAGCTTACCTCAAACGAAGTAAAGCCACTATCCAGCAAGTATGTGACCATTGTACCCGCAAAGGAAAGGACAGTCAGGTAGAGTAGGCTCAGTGACAATGATGCCAGGAACACCGAGCTTGCGACATAGCTCTTCCAAGGAGAAATTACATCGCGCAGGTAGTTCATACCTGATGAGGTTTTTTGTGTAGATGACTGTGTCACTTCGCTATTCTCACGTTGAAAGATGGCCATTGGTCTTTTCAGAGCAGGTACAGATCGGTATACGTGAGCAATAGTGACATACTCCACCAGAACAGATGCAATATTCAGGACAAACACTGTCCATATTGCGACTGTTGTCGAGAAGCTATCCACTAGAGAGATGAAAACCGGCGCAATCAACTTGCAAAATAAGTCAATCCGTCTCATCGACGCATTTAATTCTATTGTTTGTTAGAATACCTAGGTACCTAAGGTCAGGGGTAGATCAGTGAGCCTATATAGTGCTCCGTGATCATATAGTAAGTTTCAGAACTCACCTTGTCGGGGGACATGGATGCTGTCCGAAATGACGATTGCCTAAATAAAACTCAAGTCAACAAGATGGATCGTAATATGTGTTTGACCAGAGCATACCCAATCTCGTTCAACAGCTACTGTATTCACGGTAGCTGCCAACTTCTCCAAGCAAGCAAGAAAGCCAGCAACAATGAATAAAACAGTAGCAACGCCACTACCACTTGTTGAAAATAGATATGCGAAACATAAGCAAGATGCCGCAACCGGAATCCGTTGCCAGACTGCGAAACTGTTAGCTGACTAGCCATTTCATTGGTAGCGCGCGATATCACCAATTGAATGCCGTAGAGCTACAAGTCGATCTGACTGATCAACTCGATCTCCTAACCACGACGACAGGGCAACCGTTGAGAAAGACCGGACGAGCGCGTAGATCGAAGCATACAGCAGAGTGCCGGGAAAAATGGAGGCCAGGAATAAGACAGCGCCGAACTCAAACATGCGCGAATTCCATGTAGAAATCGTATGTGAGATGTACAATCGCTTGAGCACCGATTGGGGATCGACCTCTGATTGACATTCCGATGAAGATTCAGAATTATCGGCAGGTAATAATCGAGCGGACTCGCATTGAGTCGAAGAACTGATCGCCATGTCAGACACTGATAGACAGCTTCAACCAGAGAAAGTTGAACCCTTGTTAACAATGCTATTATTGTGTATTAAGAAACCTATGTAACTAGTGGTGAAAATCGGAATCAAAACACGGGTAAGGAGGTCTCTCTCCACTATGGTATCATACTACCAACTGCACTAATTTGGAAAATTCGGCTAGAATGGATCCCGACGTCCCTAAATAAGCAGATAGTGCTAGTAATGGTGGTAGTTATATTAGTAGTCATTGGAAAAATAATATTTTCGAGGTTGAAAAGTTGAAAAGTTGAAGAGTAAAAGTTGATTGTGAGATGATCTGATAACATCTTTAAAGTACACTGAAAATAAAACTACATGATTTTGATATGCAAATGTATACGATATCCAAAACGGGGTGAATTCTAATACATACAGATGACAGGGGAAAACTTGTCATCGCAAGAAGCAAATATATTACGAGCTCTCGCTTTTGCTCTTGTCCTCGCTCTCAGCCTTGGTCTTAGTCTCGACATCGGCCTCAACATTGACAGCCTTGGCCTTCTTTTCTGAAATCCATTCAAGAAGACCCTTAGCGTCTTTTTGTACCCTTCTCGCCAGTACGTCCTGGACTTTCACGGCAACACCCTCCTTGTGACCCCATCGCTCGACGAAGGTCTGTGTGATGGCTTGTTTCGATTCCTTCCTATTTTCACGCACGTACTGCTCAATTTCGCCTTCTGTAGGGAGAGCGAATCGCTGGTGGGGGTACTTGAAATATTTGACGTCGCTGAAAAGTTCCAAGCGATTCTGTCCCTCAGGGATCTTGAAGAAGGTGTCGACGGTCTCGTGGGAAACCTCGCTCAGAGAAGCCGGTTGCCAAGATGCCTGGCGTGCAGGCTTGGACACCAGACGGGCCTTGACACCCTCGACAAAATCGGGGTGGCGCATGAAGTTTGCGGCGATCTCGTGCTCCCGCTGGAACGTCTCGGAGATGTTCCACTTACTGCCAAGACGCAATTGGCGCAAAGTCACCTTCAACGAAGTTGGGGAGCGAGCTTTGAGGGTTTCCAGCATCTTTTGTGCCCATTGGACGTTAGTGCTCTCGTTCTCCAGCGACTGGAGAATCTCTTCCACAGTGTTGAACTTGAAGTTGCGGTCGATAGCACGTCGTGAATCACCAAGAACGCGTACACTCTCTTCTTGAGGTAGGCCAACCGAGAATTCAGCGAGGGTCTTGTTCACGATGTTCAGGCGCTCGGGGAGCTCCATGTGGTCGGGGAAGACTAGCTCAGACAGACGCTGGGTCGCGCTGCTGAGAACGCTCGAGTGTAGGTAGTGGGTGGCAATACCGGTGTATAAAGCCTCTATGCCGTTGAGGCGCTCAGAGGTCAGAGCCAAGTAAGTGCCGAGCTCGCCGTCCAAGCGTGGCAGGAAGAATGAGGCACCCACGTCAGGGAAGAAGCCGATAGTAGTCTCGGGCATGGCGAAAACAGTTCGTTCGGTCGCAATTCGGAATGGAGCGTGCATGCTCAGGCCGACGCCGCCGCCCATGGTAATCCCATCCATGAATGAGATAACCGGCTTTGTGTAAGTCGCAATCGTGTGGTCGAGGGTGTATTCAAGTCCGAAGAATTCTGACGATGCTTTCTGTCCAGCTTCACCTTTCTCGTTCTGGAGTGCGAGTGCCGCAACATCGCCTCCGGCGCAAAGCGCCTTGGATCCTGCTCCAGAAATAAGGACCATGTTTGCCAAGTGGGACTTTTCCCATTCCTACATCAATCAAGTATTTAGTATATCCAGTCTTTGTCTGACATATGCCAGCTGGCTACTAACCTTCAGACGGGGCAAGATCTTTCGCGCCATGGAGCCATTGAGAGAGTTGAGTTTCTTAGGTCGGTTGAGCTCGACGCTGCGTAGACCGTAGATGGAGGTAAAGAGAACATCGTCAGGCTCGTCGCCGGGGAGCTCTTTGGGAAGGGTTGGAGATGTCGACATCTGGCTCAGATTAGTGCCTTTCTCATAAAAGCCAGGTTTGTTCGTTCATACCGCAGCTGTCCGGAAGGCAGGGTTAGTTACCTTAGCACGTAGAGGCATTGCCGAAGGAAACCGCGAGATCCAGCTCGGCGGCGAGGAAAGACGGGGAAGGGAGTGTCGAAGTAACATGAGTACAAGACACAATGAGGGATACGTGGGAGGAGGTTATAAAGGCAATTCAGATGTTCTCCGCACTGTCGACCTCGGGAGTTTTTTTGGTCTGGATTTTCTCCGGTCCGAGGGCCAGCACTTATCCGCCCAACACCAGCACTAACACCACATTTGTGTATGCAGTCCACATTAAAATTGCATAAATTAAGGGCTATTATAGGACCAATGGAGGGCAGTAAGACGCAAGAAGATAGATGAATGCTTTACTAGGAAAGCTTTATCTGGATATATTCGATTATTGTTCCAACATCTGATCAAGTTCGAAGTGAGCAGTTCCTGGTAAGATTCATATTCTATTTGTACAGATACGGAAAGGAAGGTATCAAAATGCAATACATGTTCGGATTCTCCGTTCACATCAATTGATGTATACCGCTTTGGCTGGCTTCTGGGTCAAATCCCGAGAATGATACTTCAGCATTCGGTCCAGCGCTCTCTTCTCAATGATCAATCGCGCTGTCGACAACAAATTCTTCACATCCACATCCTCCCGGTCCATGATAGTCGCGAACTGGTCCAGATTGGACATCTGTTCAAACAGCGTTTCATCCACCTCTTCGGTAATGAAAGTGGACCGACCATTCTTCGTGGCCCATCCGTTCCCAGCCATAAAGTTTTGCAGGTAAAATGGTGTGGTATTGTACGGGCAAGAGATCTTGTTATCAATGACAATCAGCTCTCCGCGCGAGAACCGGTAGCTGAGCGCAGTACGCCAGGCCTGGTCGTAGACCTTGGCTGGCAGGTCGGTGGAGAAGTCACGAGGATGAGGTCCATGGGCAACACCACCACCATTGCGAATTGGCGATTGTTTGTCGCCAGCGCGAGCTCGTCCAGATCCCTTCTGGGGGAGGATCTTCCGGTGGCTACCGTGTACGTCGTCCCTCCACTTCGTGCTGGCGGTACCTTGTCGAGTGTTATCACCCTCGTAAATGACTGCGCGGTGCAATAGATCTCTCCGGAGAGGCATCAGGAGTTCCTTTTGCGAGTATTCCACCAATCGAGCGGGTTCCATTGACGGGAATCTGTAGGTCATGACGGAGACGGGCTGATCCCACGGTGCGGGAGACGCAGCTTTAGTAAGGTCGGAAGTTGTGGAGGCATTTATTTGAGCCTCTGTAGCCATTGATCGAGCGATGCATCGTCTCTATAGCCATTTAATTGTCAGCGATTAAATTGTCCGTGCCTGTAACGACGCAGGCAATGTCCATACCGTCATGTTCTCCGATCCGGACAGTAGACCACTTGAGCTGCGTGACAGCAATCTCAATGCCCGAAGGGCCTCACTACCAGACATTTTTAATAAGGACTGGAGAAATATACGTGGTTTTGATGGTATGCGGCGTCGGAATGGGAAGAGCAAAAGTTGCTGGGGAGGGCGGTGGGCACCAGCAGAAGTCTTGGCTCAGCAGAAAAAGTTGATAGCCCGAAGACAACAATCGACCGCCCATTACTCGGCTTTCCCACCCCCAACTCAATCCATCGAGAAGCCTTTTCATCATGGCCCACTGCGAGCGAGCTTCCAAGCCGCTGCTTCAATGCCTGCGCAAATCCTACACTAAAAGCCTTCCGGTCATCCAAAAGCAGGCACGTGGCTTCCAGTCCACGGCCACTGTCGGAGAAGCTCAAGAAGAGAGCCTACCATTCCACAAGTCTCCAGATCCAGCCCTTGTGTCGAGTCCCCGATTGGAGAGACGCTTGATGCGCCAGGGAACCACCCCAATTGGATCCCGTCGTCGCCGTGCTGCCCTACAGGATTCTCCCAACCTCCCATTCGAGCAGTTACCCTACCAATGTTTCCAGGAAGCACGACAAGTGCTCCTTGCTGATCGTACAGAGAAGCTGAAGGAGATTGATTCCATGCGTCAAAAGATTGCGAATGTAGTCGCCCAAACCCCCAAAGACGCTGCCGGGAAGCAATCACAGAAGTCCCGAGTGACCGCAATGCAGTTGCATTTGGAGCGACTCAAGATTTTGGCCGATATTAACGATCCATTAGTGAAGAGGAAGTTTGAAGATGGCCTGGGTATGTTTTTTTCAACATCAATATATATGGACATAGACTAATATTCTGGTGATGTAGGCGACATGAGCAAGCCCATTTACCGCTACCTGGCTGACCGTAAATGGCGGGAAATGCGCCGTAAGATTCTGGTGCAGCGTATCACACAGATGAACCTCGTTCCCGATGTCCTGCCTCATTGCGATCCTACTGTTGATACCAAGCTGTATTTCGGAAAGCGACAGATCCAGCCCGGAGACTTTGTGCTGTCGAAGGACAGTGCCACCGCGCCCAAGCTGGATGTGCAGCTGTTTGAAGCTGGGGAGAAATTGGTGACAATTGCAGTCGTCGATCCAGATGTTCCTAATGTTGAGACAGACAGCTTCGACTATAAGGCGCATTTCCTCGCCGTCAATGTTCCCCTTTCGGCCATTAATACCAAGGTCGATCTCTCTCAGCTTTCGGCAGACTCCCAGGTTGTTCTCTCCTGGCTGCCACCCGTCGCTCAGAAGGGTAGCCCGTACCACCGTCTGGCTGTCTTCATCATGGAACAGAAGGACTCTCAGTCGCTTGACTTTGCTGCTGTCAAGGCCAAGGAGACTGAGCGGGAAACGACCCTGCTCCGCTCTCTCCAGGCCCGTTATCACCTCAAGGCCATCGGTGCACACCTGTTCCGTACCCAGTGGGACGAGACCACCCTGGAGGTTATGAAGGAGATTGGCTTCGAGGGAGCCGAATTGGAGCTGCGTCGGAAGAAGGTCGAGCCTCTTCCTTACAAGAGGAGAAACCCCTCCAGCTTCCGTTAAATCCGTTCGCTAGTTCAGGTCCAGTCCCAAGATCGTTGTTGAGTCTTTTATATTTTGTATTGTACAATTGAACATGTATGAATATGCACAGCAGAGGTTCCTTTTTTCAAATTCAATCCAAACCCAAACTCCAATTACAAATGCTTTTCGTATTCCAAGATTATCAGGCTTCAACCGGCTCCAGGGTATTCTTGATCCAATTCGCTCTCAGAAACGGGAATACCCTTGCGACAATCTTCCCATTTATAAGCCCCATTGGAACCGGCCCAGTACTTCTCGAATCTCTTGACCAGGGAAGGTTATCACCGACAAGAAATACGTGACCCTCAGGAACCTACAAGAAAGAAAGAGTTAATGACTTTAAAATACAGGATGACAGCAGGTATTATAATCTCACCTGAATCATATCCGGAGTTTTACCAACCCCATCGCTGTACTGCGCATCACGACAAACAAAGTCCCCAGGCATCCCAATAATCCTCTTGGCAGCATGGACACCAATGAAGCTAGGATGAGCATATCGCACAATATCACCGACAGCAATGTCCTTGCCATACCTGGCTCTTCGATCAATGAGCAAATAATCGCCTGCGGTTCGGAACGTCGGGTACATCGAGGGACCCTCGCATAGCTGGACGGTCGCGATGTTCTGCCATGCTAGGGAGACGGCGCAGAATATGCCAGTGCTATTCAAGGCGATCAAACCGACAGAGCGCAGGTTGCTGCCGAGGACTTTGCGTAATACGTTTTCCATTAAGAGTTGTGTTTTTGTTCTCGTATTCGTTTCAATGTTTCGATGTTCAATATCATAGCTTTGTAAGGTTTGATAGGTCATGTGACCGCACCGCAGCTTTAAAACTCAATTTTCTCTTTTTCTCCTTCCCTTTTCATTTACCCAAGTCACGAGTCGGTTTACCACCAACAGTCCTTCTTCTGGACATGCTTGGACATAATTGGACATGATTGATAGCTGTGTCTTCATTGCATTCGCCTCGTCTACCATATCGGCGTATCATTTATGCTGTGAGCGCCTATATAGTAGACGTCCGTAATGTCTTGAATAGTGGAGGAATTACCTCGACACAGGGTTACAATAGTGACCAGACTAACTACGTACCACCAGCCTCGTCTTTGCAGCAATCATTTATCTATACAAAGTTGTCTCAGCCCGTCGCTGTTGGAACTAACCCTATCTCTACGGAGTACCCATCGCTTTTCCAAACGCTAGAGCTTGCCGTCGCCGATACATTCAACTGGACGAAGCAAGTGTGGATTATAAGCAAGATTAACGCAACCGGCCAATAACTTGTTATTGGTCGTCCCCCTGTCCGTCTCAATAATGACCCCATTTCATTATGGGACTGGGTCTTTGAGACTGGCGTAGTGGGGAGACATTCCTGCAATCCTATATAGTAGAATTGAATATATGAATATATTTATTTTGAATTCCTTGTCAGCGCTAACTTCGGATATGTATGTAAACGCCCCTCTCTTGTTGCCCGATGCAGGTCAACGTCGAACATTTCAGTACCATGTGCATCAAGTCTGGACTCTTAGACGATCAGATCAAGATTACGCAACTTGGAAACCTCCTTGCACCCGGGCACCTGCTAGAAAGAAAAAAAAGCTGAGCGCTACTGCCAGGTGGTTTCATTGTGCATACAGGTCAGATGGAAAGTCAAGGCTGGATGCATGTACATTGCAGCGGGGGTATATTGAAAATCCCGAGGTACAGAGTACTCAGTACAAACTAAATCAATAAATTAGACCAGATGGGAATGAATGCAATGTAGTAAATATGCACAATGTAGTTTGTTTTGAATGTTTCATCTGATCTTCAGATTTACATGGTCTGTGTCCGTTGGGACCTAGTCCATCCGTCGTACTCCGTTACTCCGCTCTATGTTCCGTCTTATGAGTTACCTGCGTCGTAGACAAGAAAAACTAGAAAAACTCTCCGACACTAAAAATCCATAGCGTAGTTCGAGATCCTTAGCCGCGGACTTTCTAAAATCAAATGAAAAATCAAGGGCCAAGGAGGATCAAGAAGAACCAAGGATTGGAATTGAACTAAAGATAAAGTAGCTCAAAAGCAAGCAATGCACCCGACCGCCGATCTCGCTGAGGTATGAAGTACTAAGTATACAATCATAGAAACGGAGCAAAGATGCTCTCCACTTAAGAAGATATAGTAAAACTAAAAAGGGAAAGGTAAATGAAAAAATATGAAAAATTAAGTTCCAGTTTACACTTTGTTTTCAATTTGGAATAAGAAGTAAGAAGGGGTTAAAGTGTAGTATACTCCATATATTCCACCTCGGCCCAACACTGTTCCATGGTTGTTGGAATCTTGGAACATGGAAACTCGCTGACACGAGGTCCCATTTCTTCTCTTAGTTCCATATCAGCCGTGCATAGTACATACTGAACAACAATGCACAGCACATCACACGGAGGGATCGTACTATGTGTGTATGTGGATGTTGGGATGTGCCGGCTGAGCGGGTTGAGCGGGTTGACGTACTTCAGTGGGACATGGATCCAAGATGAAAAGGAAGAAAAAGAAACTAAGACGGTGTCACTCATGGATGGTTACCTACTTGGAGTGACCTAACTATGGATTAGCCATAAGCCATAAGCCACCTTTCACACTCTTTTTACTCTGACCGATACTACACAGACCACCGTACTAATGAAGCGCTAAACTAAAACCAAAAACTAGTTCAGGTGTTCTGTTATTAGTTTGGAGTCTAAAAATCTAGGTCTAGGATACTAGAAATAGATACAGGCTTTTACTTATTCGCCCTCGGTGTGATCACATTGCGTGGCGCCTCTGCATAACCCTTGCCCATCCTGTGATCGTCCTCTTCGTGGTGTAAACATTCCAACTGGCCCCCTATGCATGGGCCATGGCACATAGTCTACGAATAGCCCTTGACTGAAGGGAATGATAAGCCGCGGATTGGTTAACTAACTAGTTTACTCCGTACTCTGTGGTGCATAGGCTGGACTGATAGGTGGATCTAACTGAAGTACCATAGAAGAAACAGAAACCTGGGTCCAAGAAATGTAGCACATAAATTGGATCTCAAGTATGGTAAGCACTCCATAGTAATACGGTGTTCTCAATCAAAGGTCAAAGTTTCCCTGACCGCTTCCATTTTCTCATACTTTTACTTCCACTCTTCAAAGTACGGAGTATATCCGTGTGACTTATTCTATTAGGCTTCCCTTTGTTTGAGTCGCTGGTCAGATCTGACCCACATACACCCAGGCCTTCTGTGGCGTCGCGCCTCAAGACCCTCGTACAAGCTGTTGAAGATGGCATAGCCCTGCGACGCACGGGTCAAACCGAACTCAATCATGGGGTGCATTGTTCAAGGTACGATGACGTTGAGTCTTGTTTACTGCTCTATTTTGAGTCAATACTATGGATGACTATGTATCTATGTACTTATCTAATATTTTTAGTATAGTTCCAGGCTACAACCTAGTTCAAGGCCAGCTGTCAAGTTAGGAAAAAAAAAAAAAAAAGGGGGGGACAAGGACAATCCTACCGAGGCTGTCCCTTGAGTCTTCATTTTTCCGCCTCCACGTATGGGCCGGTCCGGCATCCTACACCGCAAGAAGATGACATGCCGCTAAAGTAAGCCAAATGGACTTAGCCCTTCCGCTGCAGACTAAATGCCAAGGACCCAGTAAACAGGTCCCAGGATTCAACCCGGTCCTCTTTTTTTTTTCAATTTCCGTCTGGAAGACGAAGGAAGGCTGGGTTTGGATCCACAGTGGAGGATGAAGATGAACGAGTCGGAGAGAGAGAGTGAGAAGGAAGTAAAGTAAATTACTATTCAATATTGTATGGGTGTGCGGAGTATGATTCCTACCATTACATAGGTACTAGGTTATCACTATTGATCACTTACACAACTCTGGAGCCCTAGTCTACGTATCACTAGTTTGTTAGTACAACACTGCAACTGCACCAGGCTCTGAGTGCACAGTCGTCCTGTAGTAAGGCCTGTACGCTGTAGAATGTACGTACACCTCCAAAGATCGACCATGGGATGGTGCCCAGGTGTCAGCTCAGGCTAGAAAAAGGAGTAGGTGGCATACTGATTGGCTAAATTTCGGGATTATACCCACCCCTTGCCCTACTAAGTATAAGCCGGTGGGTTCCTGCAAAGTAAGAAGTAGGTAACAACGGAATAGGACAAGTTAAGACTGCAAACTTGAAACATGGGAATTTAGATTGAGAAGTAAAGTCCAATCAGGAGTAATGATTAGGGTATAGACTCGTACTAGTAGACTAGTTAGTTCTTTCCGAACCTTGGAAAAGGAGGCGCTAAGTACGATCAGATCCCACGTTGTGAATGGTCTTCCTAATCCTAGTAAGATTTAATTTAATTCTATTTATCAAATTTTCACCTAGAAACTAGCTCCGAGCTCAGAAATGAGCACGATTCAATTTGCCTCAAGATTCATCACATTTACACATTTGCACATTTACACATTGTCTTGGTCCAAGAAATAATAATTCTGTCTCTCTGTACCGACTCTTCCGCCCTTGATTGAACATGATATTCTCAATAAAACCCACTGTACAACGTTATGAAGTGGATGGAGAATGGAGAACGGAGCAATGCATGGCAGTTTATAGGAAGCCCACAACACCCCCACAATAGTCAGGCTCAGACTTGAACTTAAGACTTAGACTCAGGTGATACCTTGGTAAACTGGAGAATGACTGTTGATCTTTGAATGTGCGTAACAGGAGCATAGTTCCTACTAAGCCCTGGAGGTATAGAGAGGGGCGGGGTCTATACCTCATTGGTTGAAACAAGGAAGGATCGGAATAGAATACCTCCTGCATTGCATGTAATATATGATGCGGAGAAATGAGAGAAATTACTGGGTATTACTACTATGAAGTTGAAACCCTTGCGTAATAGACACAGACTCGGTCGATGAAACGAAGGGAAGTCTTGATTGCCGATCGGGTCGGGACAGCATTCCTGTACTAAATATCCACTTAGAACGAAATAAAGTGGAAATTTTAAATAATTAAATTATTATCTCCATTCCCAATATTCCCCTGGTCACTAAAACGGTGGAACTTGCATGGAAATGACCCGTTCTATGCAGCCTGGTCTAGTCTCCTTTAGTATCAACGTCGTGTCATCGGGATCGTGGATACTAGATCGTCCCTTCCCTTTATATTGCCTTTCCCTCCTACTTTGTTATAGCATACCTAGATAACCTACATCTTCGCCCTTGATTAAGAACCGACTGTTCCTCCTATATTACTGGAGGGAACATCGGTTTATACTCTTCACTACATTTCCACCTTTCTACTACAAATTCAAATCACTTTATGGCCGACTACTGCTGGCAACAACAGGCCTCTTCAGGCTCACAATGGCTTCCAGAGAACGTATACTATAATGAACAGTCCACCATGTCTGGACAGGAATGGCAGTCTTTTCCTCAGCGACGCACAAGAGTCACAAAACCTCGAAGTGCAAGCAACAGTCCATCAACGACAAGCAGACGGAGACAAAGCGCTATGAATGCTAGCCAGTATCAACACTCACTAGAAACCGCTCTTCTCGCCTCTGCACCTCGGAACTCTCGCCCGATTAGTTGGCATCCTACTCCAGCAAGGACTAGAGGTCTTTCCAACCCAACTATCTCGGATAACTACGCCCACTTGAATATGAACATGAATCAGATCCCTAATGATCTCAATTCCAATTTCTCCGTCTACAACGACAACATGATGTCCTACCCCGTCTCTGCCGGCCCTCCCTTCTCGCCAACGAATTACTTTCCTGTTTACGACCAGGATGCCACCATGACCATCTCACAGGCTATCCCTGATTATATGTCGACTATGGATCCCGAGGGCTGGTCGATTGATATGTTCTCGATAAACAATATTCCTCCTGCCGCCACCGCTTGCCCTAGTTATGCTAATGTGCCATCGCCTGGCGAATTAAGTGGACCATCGACACCGGACTTCCTTCCTATCCAACAGTTCGACGAGCCAGCGCCGTTGAAGAAGGCCAAGTCGGACGAGGAGCTTGTCGGCATGGGGTTGTATAGTCAGCCTGGTGGAACCATTCAGTCACAGAAGGGTCTATTAGGCAAGGGTCTCAAATTGGAGGAAACCTTCAAACCGGACGACACGGACGACAATGATGACGAAGAGGATGAAGTTCAACCCCAGGCTCAGAGCTTGACCTTGAACTCGAGCTTCAACGAGTTTATCCCAGTCTCTATACCACAGATCCCTCAGAATATGTCGATGCCTAAACAAGCCACAAAACAGGCTTTGAACTTCCTCCAAAAATCTTTCTTCTTTGATCACGATTATTCCCGGCAGGTGGCGCAGCCTAATCTGAACCAATCGTGCATGAGTTATGGATGCGGGTGGATTTGAACCAATCGCTTCGAAATCCTGCTTTTTTATATATATATTCATCTTTTCCAGCGGCATTTTGGCGGAGTTTCCAAGGTTGACTTTTTGGCTTTGGCCCTTTTTTTTTTTTTTTCTTGGAGTTGCATCAACATGGATCATGGCTAGGTTGGATATTGGGTTCGGTTACTTGATGGATTTGGATACCCTGGGAAACTTATTTAGATGGGACATGTCTTTGTTCATAGGTAGATAGCAATAACAATATTATCTTATCAAGACTTTAAGACCATTATGTACTTAGTTCCAGGGTTACTACTTGATTCGGACTAGCCCTTTCCATTTATAACTGATGTGTACCGCGTACCTACTTCCCGTGCTATCTAATGCTTTGTACCTATGTACTTAAAGGTACAACATGTTCTAGACTCAAAATTGTTTAATGGATTGAACCTGGAATTAAGTCCGGTACTTAGTCACTCACTCATGACTCGGAGGAAGCGATAGGAAGGTTGACCGCATCTCAACCGTTCAAATTTTGTCCAGGTAGCTCCGAGTTTCGATCCATGCTCCTTTCATCATTGGAAGGTTCGCTACTGCAACCATCGCCCTACCCTGGTCTGCTGTTCCCATATATATGCATGTCGCAGTGTTAGTGTATGTCACATCGCTCATCACAAGGGACAAGTCGTAGTATGGAATTACTTAGGTCTGGACAAGTGGTCTTTCCATGCTCGTCATACCAGAGCCCTAGTCTGGAATGTGAAATGACTGACTCATTGAAAGCCCTGAATCTGGTGGCGTTTGGATGTTATTTATTGGCGGATGACGCTCACAATCCGGTTAATTATAGGTATCTATCTGGCCTATTTTTGATTATTTATCCTGAATTCCTTGGGACTATTGACAGAAGCGGGCCATGACAGTCGACGTGTTCTAGAACTCAGCCACGCCTCCGACTCGCGATTAGTGCCCTTCACCATAGAAACTCACGGCCATCTGGAAGCTCCCCAAATGGCCACATAAAATGGCCACATAATACCATTCGCGGGAACAATTTCCAACGCAGCCAGAGATTCCGCATGCTCCACCAGAATTGCGCGTCGGCGCAGGGTACAGTTCCGTCACCTTGATTTTTGAAGTTGAAGATCGAGCCGGGCAAGCATGCTTTACGAATGTAACCAACGGGTGAAGAAGCCACGACTGCTTGCGCATGCTCTTTCGTCATCCTCGGAAAGACTTCTTCAACGCCGCGGCCAAAATCCCGGAGGACAGTGAGAATAGCAGGAGAATGTGAACTATGTATACCGAAGCCGACGAAGCCTGGCTCTGGCTCCCCTTGGCGCAGAATCATAAGAAGCTTACTTACGAGACTATCGCGACGGAATCTAGAGCAGACGCATAGCTGTGTAATCCACCACAAATCTCGACCTCCGTAGCCCCAGCTTGCTGCGAAGATGTTTCTGGCTAGCTCGCCTCCAACCTTCACGCGGATGTAATGATCGTGCGCATTTTTCGGGTATACATTTCCTCTTGAGCCACGTTGCCTCTTGAGTACTTTCGGGCTCACTCGCCCTCGTTTGGTTAGATGCTCTTGTGTTATGTCACTGTCTTCGAGCTTCTCAAATTATCGGTTAACTTCATGGCTTTCCATGAAATACCTTCGTAGATATAACCTGGGGTCCTACTCTATGGACTCGGAAATTGATATTGAAAGATTGACCAAAATTCTTGGAAAGTGACGAGGCTCTGAGTCCTGCATCTTGACATGGACCTATTTCATCTCTAGGTCTATCCATGGCTCGGGATATGTATATTTTGACCGTGTGACCGCAGACGGACAGAACCTAGACGCGGCAAATTTTTATTTTTTTCCAAAATTATCAGACTTGTTATTTTTATTCACAATTCAGCTGATAGTGATAATTACCTAAGAAGAACTTCTTCTCAAGAAGCGTTATGATTTTGTTGTCGAGCATTGATATAAGTGGAGAGCTCTGTATCCCACTCTTATTGGCTCGAAATTGAATTATCGGAGAAATACTCCAAATGGATCAACCTTCATCCGAAAATATTCTCTGCAAACATAGAATTGACTTCAGGTCTTGATATTCAATCAACATTAAAAATGGCTAAGGTCGTCTTCACCCCATGGAAAAACAAGTCCCAACTGCTCGAGGTTCGGGCGGAATTTTACCCTTCACCATCGTATGAAGGTCCGGATCTGCGGTCTCATGCTTGTGCCTTGGTATGCTTTTCTCCAATTTTATATCGTCTCAATTTGAACTGTCAGTGCTCATTTATCACCTAGGTTGAAGCTTGGAAGCTGCGTGGTAATATCCCTCATCATGTCGAGGCGACTGCGTTGTTGACGGATGCTATTCTTCATGATGATGTACAGAGGAACTCAATTTTCTCCATTCGGGCTACTTACTCAGCTGCTTTTTGTCGGTATGTTTTTGATTCTTCTTTGATCCCTTGGAATTTTTCTCTCGCATCAGAAGATACTCCCTGATCTACGTAATTTGTTACATGAGACTGGAACTAACAGACTACCAGCTTCGTAACGGGCCTTGTGGACACGAAGATTCACGGCCAGCGCAGGACCATGTTCCAGCGCGCCATGGACCAAGGTCTTCCAGCCTCATTTGTAGAGCTGCGCCATGAAGCAACTCACCGCGAGCCACCGTCGCTCATAGTATTACGCAAAGCGTCCCAGCGATCTCTTGAGTGGCTATGGCATAACTACTGGGCCGAAATTGACTCCACTGCTCTCCCAGTTGAAAATGGCGAAGGCTTCTCTGTCAAAACAGCACTGGATCGTGTTTTGCGCCAATGCTCTACTGCTTCAGAGCCGTCCAAGAAGCGGAAACGTGACCATGACTCGGTCTCTTCGCAGCTTATTGCTATCTGTGATTCGTTGGAGGGAGACAGTGTGCGCATTTTAGCTTCGACTTTGGTAGAGGGGTATTTCTTTGATTCTAATCGGGAGTAAGTCTGCATCATTTTCTACTGATTCTTCCTGCCGCTGACACGCTCATATAGATTCGGAGACTCCTTGCAAGATTCATTCCGCAACTGGGACTCTATCTTGCAAAAGGTCACTCAAAGCCATCCTACGTTTTTGACGTATCTGACAGAAGAGCTTATACACGGTCTTGTCTTTGCTGACGATTCACCCGTCAATGCACAGTCAGAGGCTCGTTATGAATGGCTCAGCCATCTACTATCTGCACCATCGTGGGAATCTCAGCGGCATATCATCCCTCGCGGCTATATTCTCACTGCCTGCAATGAACATCCTAACCACTGGAGTAAAAAGCTTGGGGACCGTTTGAGGGAGAGTGAGAAGAAGACTATCGAATCTCAATATGCCGCAGCTGCGACTTCTCAGGAAAAGTCTGTGCAGAATGGCTCGGTTGTGTCGGATGAAATGGTGAAGTTGAGGGAACATGGATGGGGGTATATTGAGAAGTGGGATAGTCGGCCGTTGGGCATCGCGTCCAACTAGTTAGATTGTAATCTATTCACATGTGCTGCTGGCAGCACCAAAAGAAATTATTTATGAAATACAGGACCCGTGGAGCCGGTGAGCCTCAAATTATCTAGATGTACTGTGAAGATCTGAATTACCGCGAGCGTAAAAGCGTGTAAAAATTAAGAGGATATGATAGGCTGAACACCCAGATACCTCTGGCCAACTGACCTCGGGCTCAATGATACATCTTCGCCTTGATATGCTTCAGATTTTTTGACTTCGGAGTTACATTTCGGCTTGTACAAAGTACTCTCATTAGAGTCATTACTGGTGAAAATGGCAGCAAGGTGGAAAGGCTACTAATATGGAAGGGATCGGAGCGGGAGATCTATTATACGAAATCGTGATATGTAATCCAAATTGATTAACAACTGATAAGTTAGGACATCTTCTTCCCCGCACCTTTTTTAGTTATGAATCTTGCAAAAGCAATCAGATCATTTGCATCTCCATCCTATCTAAAGCACACCAGAGCCATGCATATCCAATCAATTCCTATGTGTAGGGACGACTACTTCTATTATCTATATGATCGTAGGTATGATGATCAGCGCAAACTGACATGTTTACTTCACAGGGACGGGGAAGGGAAACAACTATGCCTATCTGGTCACAGATGAGCTGACCAAGAACTCCGTGATAATTGATCCTGCCAACCCACCAGAGTTCGTTCCTCCAGGGCTGTCCCATCTGATTTCAACATGAATTGCTCTTACTAAATGTGTTTCCCTAGGGTTGCTCCGGAGTTGAAGGCTCAAATCAGTGCTGGAAAGATTGAATTGACCGCTATAGTTAATACACACCAGTATGTTATACTCATGTCAACCTTCAATGAACATTTGACTAATCCGTCTCAGTCATTGGGACCATGCTGGAGGAAACGAAGAAATGGTAGGTCTATACGATGTATGAATCCTACTCTTGAGTTGACACCCTTTCAGTTAAAGCAATTTGGCAAGCTCCCTCTTATTGGAGGTAAGGATAGCCCATTTGTTACCAAGACACCAGCCCATGGTGAGGAGTTTAAGATTGGAGAACGTATTACCGTCAAGGCTTTACATACACCCTGCCACACTCAGGACAGCATCTGCTACTTCATGCAAGACGGGGACGAACGTGTAGTTTTTACCGGCGATACATTGTTCATTGGCGGTATGTTTCAATTCAAGGCTTGCTTCAAAACCTAAGAAGCTAAGTTTTATACAGGATGTGGCCGGTTCTTTGAGGGGAATGCTGCAGAGATGCACAAGGCTTTAAACGAGACGCTTGCCTCTTTGCCAGATGATACCAAGGTTTATGTCAGTTTTTCCCCCTTGAGCTGGGTGTGATGTATACTAACTTCTTCTAGCCTGGTCATGAGTATACCAAGGGGAACGTCAAGTTCTGTCTTGCTGTCTCACAGTCAGAGCCGATCAAGAAGCTAGAGGCCTTTGCGGAATCAAACAAGGAGACACAGGGCAAGTTCACTATTGGTGATGAGAAGGTATGTAACCAGAACCCATTAGTCTTAAATAACTACGTACTGATCTTAATCTCAAGCTCCATAACGTTTTCATGCGCGTCAATGTAAGTTCGAGGTTACTCATTTCTTTGAGCAAACACTTATATTGTACTAGGACCCCGAGATTCAGAAAGCTACTGGCAAGACTAACCCAGTAGATGTGATGGCTGCTCTGAGAGAGATGAAGAACAATTCTTAGAATAGAAAGAAAGGTCTACTGAATTAGTATTCTAGAATTGTTCTATTCGGGGATCATTATGGGCTGTAACTGTACTTAAAAACTATGCTTGAAAGGTTACGTAGTTCTCTGAGACCAAAGCTTAGTCTCCCTAAAGAAATAATACGAATATCTTAGCTCGTATAATAAATCGAGACAAAAAATATTAAATTTTTTTTCGTGATAAAATGGCTGAACTTTGTAATGTGGAACGACGTCATATCCACTTTCTTATCAACTCAGTTGCATTGCTAGCTATTCCTCCAGCTCTCCGCAAACCACCATGCAAGCTTGATTGACTCACAAGAAATTCCCAAATCTATAATTCTGAGCTCAGTGAGCTGCAATGGACCATGACCTTGTGATCCACTCGGCCGTGGACGAGGTATGTGTCCCCGCAGTGTGCGGGGTCTAATCACTCATTAATCGATTGCGGTAGAACCACCCCAGCGACAATGAGTCCCAGAACCAACTTGAGGTAAGAAAAGAAGAATACCAAGTTTATATCCTTCTAACTAATGATATCCTAGGTTGTGTTCGGTCCCGACTCCAACCACCGCCGCAAATCGTCCCTTGTGACGATGGACAAACCGCGGTTCAAAATTCTCCAAGATGCCCATGACAAAACTACAGCTTGCTATGTTCATTCCTTAATTGCAGGAGAATGGGCAGGCCTCCCCCCTAGACTAGGCGAGACGCAGAGTGTGACACCCACGGTGAAGGAGGAGGAGCCCACTTTTGACGTAAGGTCTCTCCGACAGGATAATGTGGCTGCTGTAGTTGACGGTGAAAATAAGACGCTGAAACCTGTGTCGACTATCATACAATCTAGACATTTGACAAAACGACAGCTGTCCGATATGGCGTGGAATGTGCGAAAGCTGTCCAAGAAACTGGGTAGCATCAGACTCAAGCTCACAGTCAAGAATGTCTTTGTTGTGAGTAAGGCATATGATGAATCCATGGTCAGTTTGACGAGGAAAATTACCCGGTGGCTACTTTCTAAAGATCGTGATGCGCCGTATAACGTTTACGTGGAGAAGCGCATGGAGACACATCCAGACTTTGGAAAGTTGCAGTTATTGCAGGAGGAGCCAACGGCAAAGAACCGATTGAAATTCTGGGATGCGAAGCTTGCACAGGAACAGCCCCATCTATTCGACTTTGTCATTACTCTCGGTGGAGATGGCACGGTTCTCTACACCAGCTGGCTCTTTCAGCGAATCGTTCCGCCGGTTCTCTCATTTTCGCTTGGCTCGTTGGGATTTCTGACAAATTTCGACTTCGCCGATTACAAGAAGATCTTGGAGACAGCTTTCCGTGATGGAGTGGTCGTGAGCCTTCGACTACGGTTTGAATGCACCATCATGCGAAGTAAAGCTCGCTCGAAAGATCCCCATTCACGGACTCTCACCGGGCGCGACTTGGTGGAGGAGCTGATCGGGGAAGAGGGTGAGGATACATTAACGCATACTCCAGATGGAGTGTATGAGATTCTCAACGATGTCGTTCTTGACCGTGGACCAAATCCAAGTATGTATAAGGATGCAGATTGCATGCATTTCAATGCCTCTAATTTCTATCTCAGCCATGTCGCAAATCGAACTATTTGGCGACGACGAGCATTTCACTACCCTTCTTGCAGACGGTATCTGTATTGCAACACCAACAGGGTCCACGGCGTACAACCTAGCGGCTGGTGGCTCCCTCTCTCACCCTGATAATCCTGTCATACTTGTCACTGCCATATGCGCTCACACTCTATCATTCCGCCCAATTATCCTCCCCGACACCATTGTCCTACGTATGGGCGTACCCTACGACGCCCGAACCAGCTCTTGGGCTAGCTTTGATGGTCGTGAAAGGTGAGTTCTTTCATGAAATTCGAAACAAGAGAAATAGTACTGATCTTCCGTGCAGAGTTGAATTGTTGCCTGGGGACTACGTAACAGTCTCTGCTTCAAGATATCCGTATGCCAATGTTCTAGCCCAGGGACGACGCGGCGAAGACTGGGTGCACAACATTTCCAAGACTTTAAATTGGAATTCTCGAACGAAGCAGAAAAGTTTCAAGTAGCTCCGCTTCTAAAGATGGGATATGGCCTGGTAATTTTGGTTGTTACAGCTGCTTTAGGAAATTTCATACAATATCTAATCAACAGAATTCCTACCCTTGGCGAATGTAACGATTTCTCATCTACTATCCAGTACGTAAATAATTGAAAATTTGCATCGAGTGGATATATAGAAACTAGTCGAACCAATTTTTTGTTTCCGGGGCAGCTTAGCTTATCAGTCCCGCCTATAAAAACCCACTGCGGTTAAAAATTTTCTTCTTCCTTCCACAACCTCCTTCTTCGATCTTCACCGAACATAAAGACTTTAACTCTCCACTCTGATTTCACTCTTTTTCTCTCATTCTTCTATTTATCTATCTTATATATTGACTTGGTATGTTCTATCTCTTCCTCGACCTCATCACGGGCAGCCAGCCTTTCATATGATGAAAACGCACCTACATTCGCAGTTTCCACGCTAGCCTCCACCGAATTCGAACTCACCGGAGAGCAATGGGCGCATTACTTCCTTGGATGTCTGATTGAAAACACTGGCTAGCCCTTTTGGGGTTGATTGACTTGGTGTTATTGAGCCTCTACTAACGTGGTTTTCAGAACAGTACTCAATACGAATAGAGCGCGTCTCATTCGATTGTTCTCCCATAGAACAATTATTATCAATTATTGAAAATATCTGCTATTGCTCCGCATCTCCTTGCGTCGCCTAGTTGCAAGGGTTGTTCCCTTGGCTGTGGGCTGTCGCCGGGATATGTGGATTATAGTACTTAGTCCTAGTGCCAAGAATGAATTAAAACTTCTGATAATACCCAGACTCAAGTAAAATCAACGTAGCATTTGAAGAATCTCCAAGGATTCTGTGGGCGACTCTTCTTTATACGTACTCTGTTTTGCATGTGCGAAATTCCCGACTTGCGTCCTCGGGTACTTGTACTCCACCGTAGATTGTATCGCATCTCCGACCCTTGGCACTCACTAACCACAACCACCAACAGAAACAACCACAACAATTCCTCGTCCCTACCTTTCTCGCTCATCCCAAATCCGCTTTTCTCCACTCACCTCATATCTGCCTCAACACACGTCTTTATGGCTGCGCCGTCCAGGCAATCCGCCATGCTGTCGCTCGGCAACAACACGCCCACATCCAACGAGAAACCGTCACCACAACTGCCTCCAACTCCACAGCCAACAACAACTGGTCTCCGAGTACCCTCAAACAGAAAGACTATCTATGACCGACACCTCAACCGAAGCCGGACGGGCGAACTTAGCCGCGCGAGCTTCGCCTATCTATTCGCCGAGATGGTCACATATGCCCAGCGAAGAGTAACAGGCATACAAGACCTAGAGAAGCGGTAGGTCCCTGCCTCTGACTAAATTTGGGGCCTCAAAATCGGAAGATTGAGAAATCTTCTCAAATGTCGGCTTTGCGGGACTGAACTAAGTATTGTACAGATTAAACGAACAAGGATATCCCCTAGGTCTTCGTCTTCTAGACATGCTCTTCTACAGAGCTACCTCAACCTCATCCTCCGCCCTCTCAAGCTCATCAACTACTTCATCCCCTCCAAACCGCCCCTTACGCATCCTAACTCTCCTCCATTTGATTCATGGTCCGCTCTGGCGCCTCCTTTTCCAGCGCGCGGCCGACGCCCTCGAACACTCTGTCTCTCCCGACACACCTAACGAATACATGATTACCGACAATGAACCCCTCGTCAATACATATATTAGTGTTCCGCGGGAGATGAACATGCTCAATTGCGCTGCTTATGTCGCTGGTGTCATTGAGGGTGTTTGTGACGGCTGTGGCTTTGAAGCTAAGGTTTCGGCTCATAATCAACCTACCGATATGTGGCCTAGTCGGACTGTGTTCCTGGTTCGCTTTGGAGATAGTGTTATGGAGAGAGAGAAGGTGCTTGAACGGTCTGGTATTAAATAGATGCTATTTTTGGGACTGCTCGGGTATGAGCTTCACAGGTTTAATCCTGCTCTTCATTTTGCGAACTGGGATTTCGTCTTGGGAATGGATGAGAGAACCTATGTACAAAAATCTCGGATGTTACTAACGGGATATCATTCAAATTAGAGCCCCTCCAGGAGAGGGAATGATTTTAAATGCCGCACCATAAAACATGCATTGGCGATACCAAAGGAAAAGCCTTGTTTCGTAGTATCATGAACGCTCCTCCACTCGTCGCCGTTTGTCCCGATCTTCATATGGTGACGGACTGCGCTTTCGTCGCGGAGATCTAGATCTAGACCTCGATTTCGATCGTCGCCGTCGAACAACACTGGCATTCGCGCCAGTGGGCCCAGATCCCTGACCGCGGCCATCGCCATGATAATCAGGCTTAAACCGATCATCAGAAATACCGACAGGGGCATCGCCGTCGCGTCGCCGACGATTGTCAACAAGTCCGCTTCCGAAAGTCCCTGTATCCTCACTCCTCAGATCACGATAACGCGTACGACCCTTCTTTCCCAGCTTGGTCATGTCGCGAATCTGCATATACTGAGGCAAATTCTCGCGCGCGACATCGTCCACAAATGCACGGCCCATGAGAGTCCGCTGATCCAGCCCCTCGCTCTCCTGAGTGTCGCGGAAGAAAGCACCCTTGTGGAAATATTTTTGCATATATCCCGTCTGACCGCGTGATGCATCGCGCTCTTCCCTCTGCTTGGCGACGAAATCGCTGTCTTCGCGCTCTCGTTCTGCCGCTGTGAGATTTTGGCGCCGCTCCTTCTCCGCTCTCTCTTTTTCGGCTTCTTCGAACACAGCCCGTGACCGCTGCACTCGCTTCAGTTCTCGGAGCTTCCATGCTGCGTATTCCGCTTCGGGGTCTTTGCCGTCCGTGTCGTCAATGGCTTCTTCATTCTCGCCGATCTCTTCATCGTCGTCCCATGCTTTTTTAGCTGCTGAATGGGCAATCGCGTTTTTCTCTAGCTCGTCTCGGATCAGCTGATCGACCTGTTCTTGTCGTTGTTCGTATCGGGCGTCGTTTTCTGCGGCCGAGTCGGCCACGCCCGTTTGAGATTGGCTTTTGATTGCATCGCGCTTGTCCTTCTTAATGAATGTAGGCCGTAGTAGGACCCGGGGCGCTTCATCTTCCGAGCTGCTCTCTTCTTCCGAGCTTTCCTCCTCTGATTCTTCTTCCGACTCTGATTGTGGTACAGCTTCCGACAGAGTATTTGGTTCAAGTCCTGCCTGACCCGGCGCGACAACAGAGCCGTCTTCATCTTCGTCCTCTTCTTCAGTCACGAAACCATCCTCATCATCATCCTGCTGTTTTTCGGGTTTCGGTGCCGCCGCGGAACGTTGTCTCGCTTGTTGTTGTTGCTGCTGTCGTCGGCGCTGGGCTTGGGCCTCGGCCTCTAGCCGTTTTTGTTCTTCTTGTTCTTCGATATCGTCTTCCTCTTCATCTGATTCGGGAGATTCTACCAAGGGCTTTCCTACTCTGTGTCGATTGACCGGCTTGAGTGGATTTGCGGTCATCCGCCGAGAGGACTGCGGAAGAGGCATTGCTGTGGATTGATCGATGTGAAGAAGGTGGATGAAAGAGACTGATGGCTGAGGTGAAAAAGGATTGTCGTTGGAAATCTACTGTTTCATTAAAAATAGTGGTGTAAACTTGAATTTGCTGTAGCGTTGACGTCGCAGCGCAGAAGAGCTTCAAGATTAAGAATTAATATCACGTGATTTGATCGAATTACTAGTTGTGAAATATATCGATTTCATTTTGTTATTCACTCTATAGTCATAAAGTTTAAACAGAGCAGGGTCTTGAATATATATTCTTGGCTATATAGGTCAACAGAGCTACGTATAATGAGATTCTATCGTCCTCCCCGATTAACCAATTAGTAAATTTCAATATCACGTGCCCACGCGTCTTCTCGAAAGCGCGTTTTCAAAGTCCGTTGCATCAGCACTTTGACCAAAACCAAACCAACCATCCAAAAAAAAAGACCTGTGCCAATTAATACAAGATTCAACGTCCATCATCGAGAATACCCCTCAAACCTACACAAAACAAAATGTCCCTCCAAACGCCCCGCATCCTCCCCGCCCACCTGCACGCCTTCCATCCATCCAGCGGCAAGAGCTCAACACATACCATTCGCATCCTGGGCACTGTCAGTGCGCTGCACAGTGACACAGCCACTATCACATGTGGCAATAATGGCGATGTGACTCTAATCCTGAAGCCTGATTCGCATCTTCAGATGGGGAAATTGGTCGAGGTTGTGGGGAAGGTGGCTGATCTTGAGAGTGGCCAGGTACGTTAGACTTGGATCTGTCTAGCTAGTCTGGATTGTTACTGACTACCGACAGCAGGGTCTTGGAATTCGTGTTTTGGGAACTTCTGATTGGGGCAATCCTGCTGATTGTGGTGAGTACTTTCTTTTTTTTTTTTCGTGTTGAGTTGCTAATATTTGTGTAGATTACAAGATCTATGAGCAACTGGTTGAGGCTACGCATCGTGTGAAGCCTATCTTCTATGACGAATAAAGTGGTAGCTGTGATAGAAATGCATATGCTCTGATGTTCCCGGTAGACTAGAGCTCTCTGAAATACTTGAAATTCTAGTATAATAAGCTCAAGATTCCGTTTCAGGCTCATCTTTAGTTTGCCTGTCTAACACCGAATTTTTACAGATTCTCATATTTGGCTTGGTGAGATGCTAGAGAGTCTTATCTGATTCTTTTTGTTCCATACTTGTTGAATTTTACATGATGTTATGATTAAGTCCAATACATGGCAATATAGTAAATAAGACTCGGGCGACTATTTGCCTATCTATATATTCATGTCTAAATAGAGCTACATGTAGCGTTTATCAATCGCGTAGAAACCTTTGACATCTTATTGACGACGTCTAGGTATACCAAAGTTCTAAAGCTGAGAAATATTATCTTTGAATGCTTGATTGGTTTGATGCGATATTTTGATCCAGTTGAACTGGGATCTCAGTAGCATTTAGCACCTGTTGCGCAGATGACATAGCAATGGGGGAATAAAAGAGGCAAGGGAATTCGAGTCATAAAGTCGGATCAACAGTAACAAAAATCTCCCAAATAGAAAAACAACAGATGTTGACAAATAACATCCGACCGAACGCCGTCGCTAAAAATCAAAAGAAGCAAAGAAAAAAGTAAGGGATGAGAATGACAAGTGTTGGAGATATGAAGGTGAGATCATGCGGTGCTGGGGTTCCCATTTGTAGATTGAGGCTTAAATGATGGATCTGTGGAGTGGAAAGCATCTGAGCTGAAAAATCCCGAATCAGGGAAATCGGAAATCTCATCGCCATACTCGAAGGGTAGACTTCCTTGCATCAACCCAGGATTGGATAGAATCGCATTGTACATATCCTCATCACCAATTGGGTCCGATGGAGAAGACACGAGGCCTTCAGGAAGCCACTTTTCCCAAGCATTCTCACCATGTTCGCGGTTAAACATCTCGATGATCATACTGTCGAGGGGAACATTCTCTTCAGACTGCAGACTGGCTTCTCGTAAGGAGGCTATGCCGTTCTTGGGGGATCGCTTCCGTTGAGACGATTGAGAAGTCTTTGAACTTTTCGGGCTTTCTTGGATATGCTGCAATAGCTTCGCTGAAAGCCGAGTGGGAGTCAGATCAGCCCTATTTCTGGTAGGAGAACCGGTGAATGAATGGGGTAGATCCTGCACTACATTGATACGATGGTTGCGCCGACGGGGCGTTGGACTGGCCGAAAGGTTCAAGTCCATGGAGGGGGATTGGAAAAGATCATCGAAACAATCACGATCCACAGTGGAATGGTTCTCCTTGCCATGGGTTCGCTTGTCTGCAATACGAGGGCTGCGTCGGGGAGATTGTGCCAGATTGATACATTCTGTCAATGGCCCATTACTTGGGCCCGACGGAAAAAGTGCCCGTCGAACGCGCTTCGGTGTCAGAAGGGTCTCGTCGATATCGCGAGCTACCGTTTTCTTCATGGGACTGGATTGAATGGCACGTTCCAAGGATACAACTGGCTTCTGCATGATATGGGCAGTCTCGATGGATCGTGAAGGCTCAGCACTGTTAGGCCGGTGGCGTTTATTAGGGGGTTGCTCTGTCTTGATCTCTCGTCTCTCGTCTTTCTGAGCATCATCATCCTCTACCTCATCACGGTGATCTTGGGGAGTGGGAACTGAGGAAGCGTCGGTAGGGGCTGGGGATGAGGCCGTCTGGCCAAGTGCGACTTGGCTGCGAGTGCGTGTTGATAGCGGTCCTCCCGTTGTGCGTTTTCTGATAGGGCATTTTTTCACTTTGGCAGCTCCGTTCCATTTGTTTTCAGGGCGCATTCTCTTCGCCTTGTAAAGCCATAGTCCACAAGGGTTGCAGAGCAGAAGTTGCGCCCACTCCGTGTCAGTTACTGTAATAGTCTTCTTAAAGACCCTGAACTTGGCGACTGTCTGACCAGTTTCCACTTTGCCCAATTCGTAGAACAGCGTGTTTTCTTCGCTCGCCATGATGTCCTTAGCATTTTGTTCAGTATCAACTTCTCTCAGCCACGCCCGACGCCAGGTAGGGGTTTCAATACAGCCGCAATTGGCACAATATGGCGGGACCGTTCCAGACTGGATGGCCTCATTCAGACGGACTGCGATCTGCTGTGCCCTTTTGCCAGAGCATTCCTTGCGGGCGCGCTTAGTACTGACTGGAGGTGCCGGTGCCGACGATTCAAATCCTATATCACTCATTGGGCCACACCATGTATGTGCGTGTTGTAAGGGGGGGTGGGAAGGTTCAACGGGATCACTGGCTGGGAAGGTAGCCAGGATCATGTTGTCAAACTCAGCTTGGGACATAGGCGCCGGAGCCAGTGCCGGAGCCAGTGGTTTAGGAGTTGATTGTCGGGAACAGGGCCTAGAGACCGGACGAACCGGCTTTCGTGGAATCATATGATTTGAATCTGTCGCACCAATCACCAGCATTGAAGCATGGGTGTTATCCATCAGGGGACTGACGGCACTGACAGGGGAGCTGCCTTGGGCAGTGTAGCGAATAGAACGAGAGTGCCTTTCATCAGTGGTTGCTTGCGATTCAGTCCTTTCGCGATCATCCACGGGGGTGGCCGCCTCATCATCCATGAAATCTTCCACATCACCGCTCATGAAGCCCGAGTCGGTGTGAAGATGGGTGGGTAACTTTGGAGGACTGGATTTGGAGGAAATACGGCGCTCCACAACAGGAGGAGAAGATGGCATATTGAATGGAGGTTCAAAGACACCTTGGTAACGCACATCATCGGGGGATTGAGCAGTCTGGTCAGTGTGAATAATATCATCATGTTCGTACGGTGATGAGTAGCCGCTACCTGCGACAGAAGATTCGCGAAGTAGACTAGAGGCAAGTCGTGCACGTCGAGGCGGAGCACTACGAGAAATGGGAGTTGGTGGACGAATAGGTTCCTCGATGGATTGTCCGACATTTATGGAAGGATGCACTGGGGTGGGGCGATGAATACGAACAGAGGCAGCGGTGCTTGCAGCTACCCGCAACGAGTTATGCTGCCTCTCAATGTTCATGTCAGATTTGTCCAAGCCAGATTGGTAAACCTTGGCTCTCTTGCGCGGCTGCATATCGCCGCCATCTTCACCGCCACTGGCATAGCCAGACTGAACAGATTGCTTTCGAGCCTTGTAGGGCTGCGCTTGTAAGTCGCAGTCGCGCATGGAGATACTCGAAGAAGGACGTATCATGTCTATATTTTGAGGAAATCCCGAGACAGATTGTAGGTGCTGATGATGCTGAGGAGTACGAAGTCCACCAGGTGTTGAGGCAGCACAGTAGGAGTGTGTAGGCGATGCGGAGCGAACAGACTCGGTCTGTCCGTAGGAAAAGTCTCGTGGTGTAGAACCTTCACTCAGGATTTGGTGAAATCGTTCAATGCCAAACTGTCCCACTGGAGAGCTGCCATGATCTTGCTGCTGTCGTCGATAGGCATCAATAAGACCAGGATTTTGGCGCACGAAGTTGGACCAGGATTGTCCGTCGAAGCCGCTGGGAATGCTGCTATTCGAAATACTATCGAGTGATTGAGGTTGGATGGCAGTACGACCAGGCACCAACCGCAGTTTGACTTCTAAGGTCTCATGTGCGGCACCTTTCGAGAAGATACCCATCGGGTTTTTGCACACACGACCTGTAATCATGGTTTTAGACTGTGGCGGGACATCAACGGCGGAAGCGAGGACCCATGAGAGCATTCCTTGGCCAACGAGAGGTGTATCAGATTCGGAGTAGTCAAAAGCGTAAACAGTGTAGTCGTTTCCCATGTGTCCAACCAGTTCAGGACTAAAGATATTTTTGTCAGCCATTTGAAAATCTTCTTCACTTTCAGATGACAAACCTGGCAGACACTATTGCCTGAATGCATGTTTTCAACTCGATGACACCGATGATAGTATTTTCATCAAGAGGGGCGGTCTGAATATCGAGCACAAGAGGCCATCGGGCAAGGCAATTCGTCTTATTCTCGTTGTCAAATGTGTACAAAACCTTCACTGGTTTTTTTTGAACAGGTGAGCTTCTATTCCCGTTTTTTCTCGAAAAATATATACGTACACCTCATAGGGCGGACGGTGATTCCATCCTGAGATTCCATCTCATTCAACTTCCGTTGCTCACCATGAAAATAAGTATGTGACAGGTTGTTGATAAGAGAGGATTCCGACGGTCGGTGGTCTCAGGAGGTATTGTGTAATTGGGGGTCGGAGGATGGTGGGGGGAGGGATACGTGAGGAATACGGTCCGACCTTGAAAGGTCTACTGGCACAGGGGAAGCAAGGTAGCAGCTGGTCTGCTAGCCAAGCATATCCGTCAACACTCGTTGACAAGGAGAATGGAAAGATTATGCAAGTAGTAGGGGAATAAGGTCTGTAGGGCTGGAATGTTAGCCGGGTGTGCGAGAAATACTCAAAAAGGAAAGTATTACCAAGGAGAGTTAAAGTAGAAGAGTATAAATTATAAAGCAAAGATGGAAATAATTAATAATTAGGGATAAGAAGGTATAGTTGTAGAGAATGCAAGGTGGGGGAAGTTGGGGAGTATTTAAAAGAGAAACCTTGCAGCACGGTTGAAGCTCTCTCGGCAGATCTCTGAAAACAACGTGGACGCGACGTGACGCCAAATCGCGGTACCACGGGATTCAAGCCTTAATATTCAGGCAGGAGCAATCGACAGCATATTAATCACGTGACATAAACTCCGAACTTGAACTTCTAGACACTGCGGGTCTCTCGAGCTTTACCTTCCTTTTATACCTTTCCCATCATCATGTCTCCCCCTCAGCAGATCCAGTAAGTTACTCGCAATGACTCACACATCATATATTTATGTAACCTCCAGCTAACACAATTTTTTAGAGACCTGCTCGACAAGCCTAAGAACGAGCTTACGTATGTAACCCCCACAAAATTCATTTCCCAGTCGCGCTTCATTTCCATATATTCTCTATGTTTAGAATGATTTTTCATCACTATCTGAAAAAAATACCGTGAATGCGGGGCTCAACCCGCATATTCGGATGTGCTACCTCAATCACATTCCCCATGCATTGCGCAAAGACATACGTGAGCTAGAAATTAAAGCTAATCGTGCATCCCGCTTCGAACAGTGAGTATGAGGTATCTCTAATCGAAGAATACGAGCTCAGCTCCGGACCCCTCTCCCTGCTAGAGACTGCAGCACGCAACAACCTCGCCGTCTTGGTTTCCACCCGCCAGGACCGCAAAATCCACGGTCGCGTCAAGGCTTTCGACCGACACTGCAACCTGGTTATGGAGAGCTGCAAGGAGATCTGGACGGAGAAGTCCAAAGGACCCCAGAGCCGTGGTGTGAACAAGGAACGCTATATTAGCAAATTGTAGGTCAAGCTATTCTCTCTCTCTCTCTCTCTCTCTCAATGCCCTTCACCTCTCACATATCCCCGATTTCAATTGCTGATATATTCCATCATTCTATCAGGTTTGTCCGTGGTGACTCGGTCATCATGGTTATCCTTGCTTCCCAAAACTAAGCGCATGATCGCATTTGATCCCATTTCGCACTGTTGGCTCTCTCTGGTCAGAGGATTACTCGAGTTTGGTTGGCCCAAAATGTTCTGCGGGGTATAAAAAAAGAACACCAATATGGTTAAATTTCATGAATATTAATGACTCCCTGAAAGGTTCATATGAGTCTTGTAGCACTGCTACCAGGCAACGTACAGTCAGCGTTCACGCAACTGATTCCAATGGCCGTTGCAGGCCTGATCTCCTTGTCTGGTAATTGAGTCCAGAAAAGCCTTGCAAGACGATAAACGCTAGAAGCTACGCAATCAAAACAACTCGACTTGGTGAAGCGATGTCAGTTGGCCGAGTTGATGTAGATCTGTGGGGAAGTTTGATCTCCTGCTTGCATTGCTAAATCACGATCACCCGGCATAGGTAGTTACAGGAGGGTGATTTGCAGCAATATTCATGTACTGTGTAATCAACTCCCTTCTCAGTCCCAACAATATCTCGAACCCTTGCTTCTGGTCACCGCTAGTTGTTAAGGCTGATTTCTTATCTCTCCCTACCTGCAGTCCAAACTCGAAGTCACACTGGAATGCAGCGTATCTTTCTGATTTACTGGCTGCTTTTATGAATGTGTTGAATGGGGTTAAAAACATAAATCAATAGAGATAGCTCGCTCAGTCATAAACTGGGTACATACAAAAGAATAATGACATAAGTTGGATGATGAGAAAAGAGAGCAGCCTCAAACAGAAGGGCTGATGACATCTATAGGTATTGATTTCCAAGTAGGTATTTCATGAACTCATTTCCACCGGTTGTGACATACCCCGGGAGCCCGCTTGATTTGACCTGCTATCATAATATCCTATTTGACTGTCCGATCTCGCCTGCACTTGCTCTTGGGGAACGCTGCTTGCTGTAGAGTTCCTCCAGTATACCAGCGCATCAGCAGATGCTTGCCTCACAATAAGCTGCCACGATGATTAGTGATTGTGTTTGAATCTGCCCAGTTCGAGACTTGGAACTTACCCATCTGAGTCCTCCTTCTAGACTGTCTACATTCTTGGTCTTCTTGCCTTTCGCCATCTCCTTCTCTGCCTTCTCTATTTTCTTTTGATTTGTGCGACTGGCTAAGCCTCGGCCAAGCATGGCTATTGGGTCGCTGCGACCGTTTTGCTGTAATGGAGGTAGCACTCGTGAAAGAGGTGCGATGAGACTGCCAAAATATGCTCGTCTTTCCTCTGGTGATATAGCGAAGGATTTTGGTTGTTGAGAACCCGGGGCAAGACCGACTTCGTTGTTGACATCTTCTGTTTTTCCAATACTATGACGATGTTAGATATTGTTGCTGGAGGGGATCCAGGAAGGTGCTTTACCATATCTCGAGTCCCTTTGGAAGAAAGAGCTGCAGATTAGCAGTCGATAGGATCCGAGCAACTGCAGATGCGTGGCCGAGAGATGTGCCGAGTCCGACACCGATTTGTCCAAGTGTGAGGCCAATCGAGGCGGCGCCAGGTCTGTAGAACGATGGGTCAGTAGATGAAGAGGAAAGCGGTTTGCGGTGAGACTCACAGGAACCAGCCCGCGATATTCGCTCCTTTTTGGAAGATCTGATTCTCTGGATTGGGAATTATGGCGACATTGATGGCGTCCAACAATCCTATGAATTGCTGCTCAGAGATCCCATATTGACTCAGGTCGTATGTGTATCCTCGAAGGAAAGGCTGTTCATCTCCATATGCAATCTGAGGCAGAGCAATTGGATGAAAGCTACCATCTATTGACCCCATGTTTCCACGACTCATATAGAACTGAGGTTCGTTGTGGAATTGCCCTTGGTACGAATCCCGAACATCAAATGTGGGATTTTCGTAGCGAGGAGGCATATCTGAGTACTGATCATGATAATCATCGTACCTCTGCTGTATTAGGTTCTGATGTCTGGCAGAATCGTCATAGCCAGATCTCATTCCTCGAGTTCTTTTCCTTTGTCCCTGCATCTCATTTGACGACACGGAGTCTCTCTCATCTCTGTAATCGTTGCAAGAGTATCTTCGAGAAGCACATTGTTGAGGAGGTAGAGATTGTTGGTATGTCGAAGGTGAAAGCCATGCGTCGTTGTTTTTCTTTCCAAAAGGCAGTCTCCCCGTTGGCCCGGACAAGCCATTGTTCACTTGATTGACACCTAGTGCTGAGCCAAGAGCGTCACGTATCAAACCCATGATAGGATGTTGTAAATAGAAGGCTTAGGGTAGCTGTAATACAGTTGGAATGTAGTTAATTATTGGATTTCAGTTGGAATTGGAGTTTATTAAATATTCGAATTTTCAGTATGAAGGCCTGTTTTCCCTCGACGCACCAATTTCCCAATCGGGAAGTCGTTTCGACCTAGATGTTGGAACGTAACAGCCGTTAAAGCCCAACAGATATTATGGTTTCTACATAGGGAGATATCAAACCAAGATTATTTACGTGAATATTCAGTTTGACTCAGATGTTCTCAAGGCTACTAGTTCAATCCATATTCTTAATTTCTTAATTTAGTGCCCGTTGGTTGATTTACAAACTACAAGAGTGACGAGACAGCCTCAGACCAACCTCCAAGGCTTGGAAGTAAGCGGTAAATTTATTCATTTATTTCCAAGTTACTGAGCGGAGGAAGCTAGAATTAATTGACATATTTATGATTAGAAGTTGCAATGTTCACACAAAGAATTCCATTTTAGGCAAGAGATTCGTAGGAATAGCTCCATAAAGGGAGGCGATCGAAAGGACGTCAAAAAACACGAAAGAATAACTTGTTATCTACATGCCAGCTAATGAACTTCAAAACGATTGGAAAAGAAGGGGAAAAGAGAAAAAATTGACAAAAACTCACAACTACTACACGGACTCCTGGCAGACTGCAGTTGGTACTAAAACTTATATGACAGTTTTTGGAGCTTTACGAATGAACCGCGACTCAAGTCACAGACTCACAGATATATCATATTTTTATTCCAATTGCTGAACATGTCAACTGTGCCACATGGTCTTTGAAATATAGCCATTTTGTTCCTTATCACTCTTGGAAGTCTGATCTACACATCTACTTACATAATCTGCCGATCTATAACTAGTCTCGAATAGCACTAGCGTCTCCACATCTAATGAGCCGCATACTGTAAATGTCAAGAAATTGGTTTGGTCAGTTTGCATGACCCACTTTTTGGTGGGTATTTAGGGCAGATTCCGAGTTAGGAAATTCAGTTTCATTCATTTGTGACATTTGAATGATTGGTCAGGTTGGGTTCTCTGACTCATTCTCTCCGGACACTTAACTTACCTCTTCCATCGATTCCGCCTAGATATTGCTGGTATGCTCTTTAGAGACCCCCTGGCGACCATATTCTGGTGAACGACTGTTTTGATATTATTGGAGTGATCGACTGGGAGTGGACACAAACTGTCTCTAGGGCCGAGGCATTCCGCTCCCCTGTGGCCGGTCTCCAAGTTCTATGATGGCTCTAATGAGCTAACCATGGACGAGTTACGACTAGCAGCAAGTTTTCGGGAAAGAGGCTGCGCAGATCTTGCCCACTATGTCATCGAGGGTAGAAAATATCAGAGATTTTTCTTTGCTCTTGGCACTGAGAGCTCTTTTCTAAGCACAAAGGAACTTATTGATTTGTTCAAGGGGCTTTGGCGGGCCTTTAGCTTTGAAGACGAGGAGTGGGAGTCTTGGAAGAGAAAGGCCCTCGAAAATTGGAAAGATGACGGCTCACTACTTAGACTGCTAGAGCTATAATAGAATAACGAAAGCGATAAATGGCACAGTAGGGGGTTGAACGATACATATATACATATGAATTTTACGGATTTATCTAAAAGCTGTTGGAAGGTGTTCAAATTGTCGTGAAATCGGGCATTCTATTAGGACATGTCAGGTGGCTCGCAGGGTGTAAATAAATGGTTTGCTCTATCTTTTAATAGGAGGTAATTCTATGTTTTGTAAATGGTTCATTACTATGTTTTTGCAGTGGAGAAATAACCTGAAAAAATAACCTGGACAGCTTCCAAGGTTTCTCAAACCGCCTCGGCCAACCCAGTCAAAAACTCACCAAGACCACAAGCCCCAGGATCGGGAATTTTACCAATCCACTCCTCTTCACCACCGACATAAACTGAGCGACCAAGACTGGCCTTCATACTCTTAGTCGACTCAGTGCCCAGCCTCGCAGCAGCAGCCGCAACCCGCACATCAAGCTGATCAAAGAGAGTATCGCTGAAGGGCACAAGAGCATCGATGAGCGTCCGGTCACCCGGTTTGGCAGGTGTGTACTTGCTCAATGCGGTCACAGAGTGTTTTATCGCTTTGGCCCACACTACTGTGTCTGCTTGCTTTGGTGTGTCTGAGTCTTGGTCGCGGAGACCATGAACTAGTGCGTTTAGGAATATTGCGTAGATAGCGCCGGATGTACCATCCATTACGTTCTCGACTACTGTTGTGATCCGATTCACTGTGTTCACTATGTCGGCGCTTAGTGGTGGGTCGGAGGTTTCTAGGAGGGATTGGATTGCCTCTGCGCCTCGCTTTAGTCCTATACCGCAGTCGCCATCGCCGACTATAGTGTCGTAGCGAGTAATTTCGGGCTCGGCGGCGATGACTCGCTCCAGGCCTGCTCCGAGAACCTTTTTCACGATGTAGGGGTCCACTGGTTTTGTTAGTTGATATCATTTCCCTTCTACGTGGTCGACTGGAACTTACATTTCAAATTGCTGGGTATCTCCTCAGCTAGGTTAGAGACTTTGAGCTCAACAGGGGTGTCGATACGGTTGGTCCAGGTAGAGGTAGGAATCGGGGAAGACCAGCCCACAGCCTCTGCTGGAGCATCTATCAGCTCAACCATTGACTTTCCCGCGCCGAGCCCAGTATCAGCCAGCTTCAGGAGCGAGATGCTGAAACCGAGTCCATTCAGACTGGTGAGGAAGGTGCCCTGAGTGACACGGATCGGCTTCACCCGGTAGTCGCGCTCGAGTTGACGATAGACCTCATCGGTGATACCAGCCAGTTCGAGCTGACTCACGCCGCCGAGGTTATTAATCAACAAGACAAATTCATCCTCATCTTTGCGGGTGATGTAGCAAAATTCAGGTTCGTTTTCACCGAGCATTCGCTGCAGCATGGTTGAAACCAATGCGACAAGGTCTGCCTTTGCGCGGTGAGAACCAGGCTCATTGTGAATGCCCATGCCCACCTCAGCCTGTCCGTGTGGGATACTGTCTTCAGGAAGACCGCGGCCTGGAACATGGACGTGTTCCAAGGACGTTCCAATGGAGACCAGGTTTTGATTGGCTAGTTGGGCGAGGCCATGTACCTCCTCCAGGGAGCCGCTATGAGGGTCTCCGTTAATATAGTCTTTATCTTTCTGTTCAGCGGGACTTACCCAGACTCTGCCAATGCCCCAACCATCTTTAGGATGAGAACACCACCGCCAATACCACGACGACCAACTTTACCACCCTTTTCGCGACTCACACCCACATCGTCATTGATAGCAAAGAACTCCGTACGAATACCTGCAGCACGACACTTTTCAGCAGCCATACCAAAGTTCAGCACATCACCGGTATAGTTCATAGGGATGATAAACACGCCATGACCGGTGGGCACGCGGTCAATTGCAGCTCGGCGAATCTGCTCTGCAGACGGCGAAGCAAAGATAGTTCCTGCAACTGAGGCATCGCAAAGACCATGACCGACGAAGCCTGCAAAGGCAGGTTCATGGCCTGAACCTCCGCCTGTCACGATTGAGACCTTGTTTTTCTTGCGCGGTGCATCTGGCCGGCGGAAGATGACCTTGTTCTGGGCATCTAATGCTAGAGATGGATTTGTAAGGGTAAGAGAGTGGAGTGCTGTTAGAACCAGATGATTTGGATCTGAGAAGAAATGTTTGGCTGGATAGGGTTAGTATAGGCTAGACGAGAACGATAGAGCCTGGAACACGTACTCTGCATTGTTGGTCAATGTTGATCAAATGTGGATACCAGTAAGAATCTTGTATATTGAGAGTGAAATCAGATGGAGATTGAAGTATTTAATGCGGATATCGGTATTTCGGTATTGTTCTCTCCGTAAGATGTATTCTGATATCGAAATGGATAAGGATTTCGCGGGGAAGAAAGTGTGGGGGAAATGTGGGGAAGTGGAGATCTATATCTATACAAAGTACTATAAAGTACAAAGTACAGAATAGAGTCCGAGAAGAATATGGGAGAAGAAGTCAATTACTCCAATTGAACTTCCAGTGATGCTCTTTATAGTGATTTCCAAGATTTATTTCTCTTTTTTTCCAATTTTTTTTTTTTGCTCACATGAGCCTCGTCTATTTGGACGGCCTCAAAGACTTCGGATTACCGTTTACGGTAATTCCGTTTCCGACATTCCAGCATATCCGGGCCAGACCGAAAGTGCTCCTTATATTTCTCGCCCGAGTGCATGATGGATAGCTTTAACACTCGGAAGCATAATTCCTACCTTACTTCCCGAGGTCTAAGTATCTAGGTCAATTACCGTACTTTGTCTTGGCCTTTCTTACTCTATACCTTGCCTCTCACAGCTTTCATTGTGTGCCCTATAAGATCTAATGTACTTATTCAGGTTTAGCTGCATCTAATCCAGCCAGGAATTCACTCTTATAAAACTCATTACCCCACTTACGCCGAGGCTGTCCACACGTAGAAACAACACGACCATAAGAAACTCCCCCAAGTTGACCAACCGGCCGCAGCCTGTCCAAGTCAATATGGCTATAATCCGCATCAGCAGTGCCCTCTTTAACCCAAAAAAAGAGTAGCACTGACGAGAGCGTGTAGGGATCGATTTCATGTTGTCTTTGAGCGAGACTCGCCCCGTTGTCTGTTATGCCTTCCCCATACTTCCAATTGGGATATGGTGACTTGATGACTTCAATAGGCTTGCACTGGTCAAATCGGGGCTTCGGTCTCCGTAAAATTGCGTACGTCTTGCATGATCTTGTAGCTTTTCTGAGCTGTTACAGTATCATTCTCAGCTACAGACACAGAAGAACTCATTCGGAAACATTTCAATGATTAGTTTTGCATCTGATATCCGGTTCCTCTGAGATTGTGAGATCTACGACAAAGGTTAGCATGGCGCGAAGGAAGAGGAATTGGATTGCCTTGAATGGCAGACATTTCATCAAATAAATCATATTGTACCCTTGTTCCTTGGAAGAGAGGTTTTCAAGATGAGTTGTTGCTGTCCAGGAGATTTTATAATCCAACTCGACTCTTCTATGTAGGTAATATGCCCGATGTCGGATGTTCTCGCTCTTTCGCGGACATCGTCGGCTAGACTCGGCTCCCTTCACATTCCGCGGTCTCTAATCACCAGAAAAAAGCAGTAAGCACTCAGTACTAAAATGGAATGGGAAAGAAATTCTAGTAGGTTGTGTATATAGTACGAAGTAGATAGGATCGGCCTGATGCATCCGATCGGCTTGAACGATGGGCTTCTGACTTGTGGTTGGGTATGATGGCACTTTGACTGGTCTGGTGGAAATAAGCTGGAAAGATGACTCTCTACTCGTGTTGAGATGTTACTATGGAATACTTCCATGTGATATTGTATACTACAGAACACCTAAGCCATGTAGATATAGGTGTTATCATCGCCACGCTCAATGTACTCCCGCTCAATCAATCTGGTAAAGAGTTAGCGTGTTAAACGTCGAAAACATCGAAAACCGGGTTCAAGGGCCTACTTCTCAATGTTCTTCTTGATATCTACAGGCTGGAGTGTGCCCCGTGTGCGAGTTGCCTCGATGACTTCCGCAAACAATTCGGCGTGTGTGATCTTCTTGCGACTCTTCATGATGCGTACAACAGCAGCTTGTGTTTCAAAGTGTCTGTCTGCTGCCACTCGTTCGTGCATCACTTTGTTCTCCTCCTTAGTTTCCTTGAGCTGGATCTGATTGATCTTGATTCGCATCTTTGGGTCATTGAATGAGGCATTGTATGCAAATTTATCAGTTGTCTCTACTTCTTTTCCTTTTGGACTCTTGGTTAGAACCCGATACTTGGCACATGCAAGTGACTGTAGCGTTCGCTTAAGCTCCGGATCAGCTGTGCAAAGGTTAGTGGAAACCGTTTTTGATGGATTTGGAATAAGCCATCTTACAGAGTCCGGTGCTTTCCTGAATCTGTGTATAGCTTAGACGCACTCCATGAGAGACGTCATTAAACAATAGCAGCACAATTGCCTGGAAGGAGCTGACCATTAATTCTTTTTTGCCAGTAGGAAATTGGGCGCGCAGTTGGCAGTGTGCGAGTTGGTGTTTCCAGATAAGTTTGCGGCCGGTGTGTTTGCTGTGATAAAACTTTTCAAAATCACTGATCGACGATGTCACAGCTGGTGGGATCCGAACTGGGATATCCGGGTATGTCGGCCAAGCGGCTGCAGAAAGCACACTGACGTGAAGGTCAATCGCAGAGCGATGTCTACTGCTCCTTTCCTTCAGAATGGAACTGTAGTTACTCATCTCATCGCGTGCAACGTCCATATCCTTGAACATTGATTCAAGGTTATGAGTGAATCCAGAGCCGCATTCTAGAGTATGAAGAGGGTCAGAATTGGAAGGTCAAAATATAGTCATGGTACAGACCTTTCCTTAAACGAACGAGCATGCTTTTTTCGGCATCTTCGCTTGCGCTTCGGCCCAATAGCAAACGTCGAGCAAGATCGGTCTTGTAAAATGCCTCAAACACCGCCTTGCCTTGCACAAATCGAAACAGGTCGAGCACCTGATCGAGCTGTCGATGAATCTCGGTATCTTCATCTACCGCACCTTGACCAGATGACATCTTCCATCCCCCTTTCAACAAACGGTCGACATATTTAGCAATCATCTCTCCCGTCTTGGGGTTATCGGTACCACCAGTGGAATCACCAGTTTTACTCAGATTCATAAAGTGACCAAAGGATTCCCGAAGGGTATTGCTGAGTTCTTGATCGCCGTTAAAGCAAGCAGATTCGATCGAGTCTAGCTGCTCCTTGAATTCAAGCAAGCGGTTTACCATCTCCCCTTCATGCTTCTCATCAAAGACAATCCGCTTGCCTTCTTCTGAGATAAAGGTACCAAATGGTGCTTTCAGCTTGACAGAGAGGCTGCGACGGCTGAGTAGACCATATAGTTGTTTCAAAGCGATCTTGTTACCTGATCGCAGCAAGCCTACCACTTCATCTTGTTTGAGAAGGACATTGTAATGCCGGGAGATCAGGATATCGTCCAAGAGTTCAGAGAGCTTTTGCTTCGTGCTTCGATTGAGGGAGAATACCCCGCATCGCTCTACTTCGCGTTCAATCAAGTGCTGGCTCTTCTCGACGTATGAAGCAAGGGATCCTTCGGTTTCCCGAACAGCCCACGCGCTAACATAACTACTCGTATGAGCCATAAACAGAGGCTCGAAATCCTTATTGTAGACATCAAGTTTATGAAAAAGCTCGATCGCATTCCGAAGCAAGCTCGGGTCCGAAACAGTAGCGAGCTCTGGGTCCCGATCGGCTGCAATAAGGTCACAGGCACCTTGTAATGTCTTGGGCTTGAGACTCTGGTCAGCGAAGAGGTAGGACTGGAACAAATTCAGACCCATTTCATGAATAACAGGAAACTCTTTAGAATGCAAGAGGAAAGATTGGTCCAGGTAGTAAAAGACCCAGCGAACAGTAATCTGAAGCAAAGTCAGCTGTTGTATCTATTTAACGAAGTGTTAGCCACTTACAAGCTTCGCATGCCATGATGCCCACGCCTCAATCACGGTCCGCAATGTATCCACAGCACTTCCACCTCCTGCTCGGGTGACCAAGCTCTGGCGAAGTTTTCCAGAAACGTATTGTTTACATCTATCCTGGACCTTATTGGCAAGCAAAGCTGCCTGGTCCTGTCGACAAATGTTTTCAGCACCTTTGTAAAGCTCCTCCAGAGAAGCCTCTGGCTTCCGATCATTAAAGATGTCCGTCAATGCTGTATCCAGTTGTGCCCATGTTTTATCAAAGTACGGTTCGTGGTTGGCGCGAGGTCCAATGCGCAGATTCTTGACAACAAGTTTCTTCGCCCCAACATGGGGACTGAACCCACGAACAGACGAATTGGTTGAATTTGTTTTCAGCGCATTATTTGAACCTGGTACACTTTTGCCAAAGGCAGCATTATCCGGGGACTTGGATCCGAAGAAGTTATACATCGTGGTGGAAGGGTGCGTGGCGGAGAGGGAAGGTGAGACGGATAAGCGGGATCGCTTGGAATTAGGAAAGTCTGACAAATGGTGGGATTTGTTTTTCTGCGACAGAAGCTCTGAGATGGTCGACTGCTGCGATTGCTCTCCTTGATCAGACAGCTTCCTCTTGCCGATCGATTTGCGCTTACCGCTCCTCTGATCGGCGTCGCCCGAATGTTGCATCTACCCGGCTCAGTCACTGGTTGAGAAGTTCTTAGCGTGGGGCGTGTATGAATTTAGAAGAATTTATGATAGATCAAACTGGGAGATGATTGGGTTAAGAGGGGATTTGATGTCCTTGTTGAACTTCCGAGGTCACGATAAGAAATCAGATAACAGTCGGGCCTCCACCTTTTCCCTTCCACTTTCTACTGTTATTCAATTTCATACATCTCATAATCAAACCAAAAAGTCCAAACTACCGAGTTACTTGAACTTATTTTTTTGGACATAATCCTTCACGAACTGCACTTCCAAGCAAATATGCCATCCGAAGGAGACAATAAGCGCCAGGCGGCACGTGACGTGATCGACATCCTTGAGGACATCTCCAAGATTCTGGTATGCTTCATCTTTCCTATAAATCACGAATTTAAAAGGGTCAAATCTATTCAGTGCCTCACAATATCCTAGAACACCAATCTTAACCGCACGGAGCTATCCCTGTGTGTATCTCTGATTGAGAACGGAGTGAATCCCGATGCTCTTGCGGTATGCGCATGTTTACGGTTAAGCTACAGAACTTGAACTAACTGGTTTAACTATCCAGGCTGTGATTAAAGACCTGCGTGAAGCCTCATCTCCCAAGCGTGTTATGGAGTAACTGCAACACCCATGGTGTCTTTTTTCTAGTTTCTTTGGGCTTACGGCGTTACTGGTCGATTTGACCCGATCTGAATATACCCATGGCGTTGTTCTTAGTAGATAGAAATTAAAAATCTGTTATATTGACCTCTAATCAGTATCGTAAACTAATTTGGTGGAACTCCATCATGTTTCAAAAGCCGTGAAGGGAATTTTAAAAAAAAAAAAAAAAAAGATATTAGTGAACAGCTCGCCAGCGACAGGAAGTGGTCACCTTATTTCGAAGGTTCTTCGGACTTCTTGCTATCCTTAGCGTCAGAAGTGGTTTCACCTGATACGGCCTCCGCGGTACCCTTCTTAATCGGCACACTCTCCGATACATGTTCCTTGGTGGTCGTATCCTTCTCATCATCACTATCTCCGAGACTGAAGGGGTCATTCTCAGCCACGGGAGATGGCTCGACGTTGGCCAAGGGCTGCCACTTGTTGGACTTGCCCGCACTAGCGGTGTTGCGAGATGCATCAAAATTAGTATTGATCTCTGTAGGTGGGCCATCTTGAAATGAAACCGTTCGTCGATCAGGTGACGGTGACTTTGTTGTTCTTGGGACTACGCCTGCCAAGGGGCGTGGTGGACGGGACGGGGGAGCTGATGCGTAATTAGCGCGATATCTCAAATTCAATTGAGGAAGTGACTAACCTTCAGAATCTCTCAACTCGAGAGCGGAGAAATCATCGGTGAACAATTGAGGGTCTGCGTCGTATCGCTCTCGGTCCCCACTGCGACGAGCAATGTCGCCGCTGCGCCGTGCTGTGCGGCCATAGGTCTGAGGTGGCTCGTAGTTCTGGCTGGATTGCGCTTCCTCCTCCTCCTCACCATCAAGCTTCTTCTTCAGGTTTGTGACCCAAGAGTTGACCTTGGACTGTGTTTCCAAAAATCCCTTGCGCAGATTCTCGCGAATTACAGGCAAATCATCTAAACGCGGTCAGGAACAATACAAGATGACTAGCGAGTACAAGTCCCTTACCGTCAAAGAAGCTATATTCCCTTTCTTCTGAATCTTCACTTCCTCGTGGTTGACGGAATCGCGGGTCGTTCTCCCACCCTGGAGCTGGGGCCTGGCGTCTGGATCCAGATGCGTTGTAATGTTGAGCCAGTTGGCGCGCATACTGTTCGTCGGCCTCCAGTTGTCGTTGCGAGGTCGAGGATTGGGTGGGGCGAGGCGGCTTAGGAGGAGGTACCATTTCCTCTTGCGCAGTGGGATCAGTCATGCCTGTAGCCACATGTTAGTTGCCAATCTTGATATATCTGAAGATCACCGACGAACCGAGGAGGGCATGGAAGGCGCGTTCAACATTCCAGTTGCTAGCTTGTAGTATAGCCCTGACAACTGTAGCATCAATCGATGGGAATGCCTCTTGCAATGTGCTCAACGACTGTTCTCTGGGGCTCGCCGGGCGAGGGGGCTTTGGCGGGATAGCCGGGGAGTCGGTGGCAGTCGGTCCTGCATTGGTAGAGGCTGACCCAGATTCCTGGGGTTCATCATCAAAGTCCATGGGTCGCGCTGTAGTTGGTGACTCGGCACGGAGGCTACTGGGTGCAGCTGAGAGCTTGCTGGGAGTGGACTACATATACTAGAATGAGTCTCTAATTCGGGGGGGTTGCAGATAAGATCTGGACATACAGTCTTTTCCTCCTCCGACATTTTGGACAGTATCAGGGTTTTATATCAAAACAGAAGATAAAATGGACAAAAACAATGATAGAAATAAAATTAAAAGTTGGATGGTGTTGCCTACTGAAGCCCAGGAAGGTAGGCAACAACTGGGGAAGCTGACGCGCGGGGCACGTGATGAGGCGGGTAGCTTTTTATAGTCGTCGCATCCAAGTCTTGGTTGTTTAACACGTAGATTCTCGCCAAATTTAGAAATAAAGCAAAATTTCTCAGAATGTGCAGTCTGGCTGCGACAACAATCTGGATTTATGATCATTGATCTCAAGGTTAAGGGAGAGGCAGCCTCTCTATTTTATACATATCATTGATTCAAAATGGCTTCAGAGATGGAGCTCTCAAGCTCCTTCATTTCGGCATTGTACAAGCCAGCAGACTCATTGCCGATTGCAAAGCATAAGGAAACACTTCTCTACCTTGTTGAGACCTATCCGGTCACCATTGTGGTGGGCCAGACGGGAAGCGGAAAGACAACCCAGCTACCACAGTACCTGGATCAAGCAGGCTGGTGTGAAGATGGAAAGGTTATCGCCGTCACACAGGTACATCTTACACAAAAGTCTTTGATAGAAAAAAAGCAGCTGACCCTTACTCTCAGCCTCGCCGGGTGGCTGCCACGACAGTTGCGACTCGGGTTGCAAAAGAGATGCACACCAAGCTCGGTGAAGACGTGGGGTACTCAATCCGCTTTGAGGATGTCACATCCCCTGTAACCCGAATCAAGTTCCTCACAGATGGAATGCTCCTTAGAGAGGCTTTGGTTGATCCGTTACTATCTCGGTACTCCGTGATTATGGTTGATGAAGCCCATGAAAGGTCTCTAAGCACCGATATTCTTCTTGGCATTCTCAAAAAAATTAGAAAAAAGCGCCCTGAGCTTCGTATCATCATCAGCAGTGCGACTTTGCAGGCAGAGGACTTTTTGCGGTTTTTCGCTGGTGATGAGTACCAACCGAATGCTGAGCCTGATGATCGGGGCGGCAAAGTTGGACGAATTATAAGCATGGAGGGTAGAATGTTCTCTGTGGACACCTTGTTCCTTGAAAATCCCGCAAACGACTATGTCGAACGAGCAGTCAAGACGGTCATGGATATCCACACCCAGGAAGCAGAGGGTGACATACTTTTATTCTTGACGGGCCGAGAAGAGATTGATCGGGTTATCCAGATGTTATCGGAACGCGCAGCAGATCTCCATCCAAAGATGCCTTCATTACTCACACTGCCTCTATATGCCGGTCTTACAACGGATCAGCAGATGTACGTCTTCGAACCAGCGCCAGATAATTCTCGAAAAGTCGTCGTGTCGACCAACATTGCAGAGGCATCTGTGACAATAGACGGCATCGTCTACGTGGTAGACTGTGGATACTCCAAACTGAGGGCCTACAATCCGAATACCGGCATTGAGACATTAACAGCGGTGCCAATATCGAAAGCATCTGCTACCCAACGAGCCGGACGAGCGGGCAGAACAAAAGCTGGCAAGTGTTTCCGTCTGTACACTCAGCAAAGCTATGAGAAACTCCCCCAAGCAACCATCCCCGAGATCCAGCGGTCCAATCTTGCTCCAATGATCATGCAGCTCAAAGCTTTGGGTATTGACAACATTGTGCGATTTGACTTTTTGACATCACCACCAGCCGAACTGGTGATTCGTGCCTTTGAGCTTCTGTTTTCACTTGGTGCTGTCGATGATTATGCCAAGCTCACCAAACCACTAGGAATGCATATGGCGGAGCTTTCGGTGGATCCAATGATGGCCAAGGTTCTACTCACTGCGCCGAAATTCAATTGTTTGAGCGAGATCCTAACCATAGCCGCTATGGTCAGTCTCCAAGGCACTGTCTGGGTGCAACATGATGGTGAGAAACGGATTGCGGAGAGTCATCGGCGAAAGTTTGCTGTTGAGGAAGGCGACCATTTAACCTACCTCAATGTGTACCAGGCTTTTGTCACGAAGGGCAAAAAGGACTCCCAATGGTGCCGCAGGAATCTTCTAAACTACAAGGCTTTACAGCGGGCAGTGAGCATTCGTGGTCAGCTCAAACGATACTTGGAACGTTTCGGGATTTCGGTTGACGAAACCCTTTCGTCTCGACTGTCAGTGGTTGATCCCAGCAAACAGCCTGAACAGATCCAGCGCTGCCTGACAACTGGGTACTTTGCGCATGCGGCAAAGATGCAGCCAGATGGAACATTTAAAACAGTCAGCGGCGGTCTTACTCTACACCCTCATCCAAGCTCTTTGATGTTTGTAAGTTGTCCAACTGCTTATTCCGGGAGAATCGTATCCTCGCTAACTTTGATCTAGAATCGAAAAGCAGAATGGGTAATCTTCCACGAGATCATGCAAACCGGTGAAAAGACGTTCATTCGTGATGTCACAAAGATTGAAAAGAGTTATCTGTTGGAATACGCCCCGGAGTACTACCGGGTCAGATGAATGAGGATGATTCTGCTTTTCTCACTAGATACCCAGGCGTTAAAGAGAATTCAAGAAGACAGCTAAAGTAAATTTTACGAAATAAATAAAGAGAATCTTTCGAATGAAGTCTCAAGTTTTATTAGTATGTTAGATCGATCAATTTATGTCACGGGGTTCTAATGTGGAGAAGGGCAAGAGCTGTACGGAGTATATAGTATCGCGTCCTTCTCTTTCCATCTTCTCTTTTCAACTTCCCCAACTCAAACCAAACAACAACACTTCGTAAAGTTCACCATGTCTGATCATCACCACGATCACGGAAATGGCGGTCACTGTCACGATGAGCATGACCATTCTGATGATATTACCCCGGCCATTCAGTCTTTGCTCTATTCGCAGATCACTTTTGACTCCATCACGACATTGAACGGTATATCAGAGACCATTTTTGAAAATTAACATTGAAACTTGATTAACAAATATTATTACTATATAGAGGCTACGCCAAATGCTGGAGCTGCTATTGTTCGGAAATCATGGACTGAGCGATTGAATGATCAGCCCGAACTCGAGAGTGATGTCGATGAGCAAATGCTGATGAACATTCCGTAAGTTCCCTTCGCGTTTTTCAGTTATCATGCCCCCTACAAGTGAGAGCTCTGTGTTCTTTTTTATGAGAAAAAGAACTAAATCGATTCCCCTCCACCCCCCTCGTTGTTATCGGCAAAATCTAATCTGAAGCTTCCGACAGGTTCGCCGGCCAAGTCAATGTGCATTCCCTACTCATTTACACCGCCCCGACCCCCTCAGCCCCACGTACCTTGCGATTGTTCAAAAATAAAGACGGTCTCGACTTCTCAACTGCCTCCGAGCTCACCGCGACCCAGACTATTGAAGTCCCTCGACCCGTGGCTGGTGTTGATGTCTTTGAGATCCACCTCAATCGCGCACGTTGGAATGCAACAACCTCTGTCACTATATTTATGGAAGACAACTGGAGTGATGGTGAAAATGAGATCACTAAGGTCGGATATATCGGCTTCAAGGGCCAATTCATGGCTCTCAATCGTCAACCTATCAGTTTCTCGTACGAAGCTGCCGCCAACCCAAGTGACCATGTTGCAATCCCCGGCGTGAGCAGTGTTGGTCGCGCTATGCCTGGTCAATAGATTATCGGGTTGGAATGAAGTGGAATTCAGGATTGAGGATTGAATCATGGGAAGACCATGCTGTCCAGCCCAATATGTATTAATAATGTCTACATGTGAAACTATTATGAATGATGAAAACACTGTGCGAAGCAATTGACAATACCGTTTAACTCCATGCAAATGCCCTGGCTAGTCATACCAGTGACCAATCCAGATAATAAGAAGCTAAGATCATACAGCCAGCATCGCCGTCCGGGCGTTAGATTTGGATTTGGATTGATTGGCGGCGAGCGTCGCCTGTTCCGGCTCTGGGATAAGAAGTTCGGTTTTGGGAACATTCGGCAGCGGTATTGGTTCAGCGAGCTCACGCTGCAAAGCCTCCAATTCATCCTCGACGTCTTCCTCGTCCTGGTTTGTAAGATTACCCTCTAACATCTGGCTCACCTCCTACAATCGAGGCATTAGCAACACATTCGAACAAATCTAGCTCTGTTGACTAGTTCACATACCTCTTGGTAAGCGCGTGCCTCCTCTGTCTCTCCTAATAATCGCTCCACAGCCTCGATGCCTCCCATTTCATTGTTGATGGCCTTGAGCACTTCGGTACCCTGTTGCAAGCCGAACAAGACATCCTTCTGTACGAGCGCAAACTCCACCTGGCCTGCTAGTTGTTCCAGTTGCTCAAGTTGGCTGTCTGTCTTGTCTAGGAGCGACTCTTGGTATTTCTTGCGACGGAGGGCGAGCAGTGCCCGTCGCCGATCATTCTGCGCGAGACATTCTTTCGCTATTTCGGTCTCGCGATCCGTGAGGACTGTGATGCGTTTGCGGTACTGTTTTAGTTTATCGCGCTGGTTTTTGAGGTCTAAAATCGCGCTACGAGGGTGGAAGACAGTCAGTTATGCAGCCATGTGGATCATGTAAGAGGGGTTAATATCGGCTTGGCGGGGGACACAGTGCAGAGTATCGCATAGTCTATTTGTCAAGGTCTGTGGTGTAAAAGGGTCAACTCACCGATCTTGCGAAGAGATCTTGTGTGTACTATTGGTATTTCCCATTATTGAAGGTTGCTTTAAGAGGAGATCAAGTCAATGGGAAATGACGTGAGTTCCACTTTGGTCACCGATAACCGCAATCACGGGTATTTTTCGCTTTCCGCTTCCCCATTTTTTTTTAAGTTGGCATCACATATTTTTTAAGATCATATCAATCATGGCTCCCAGGAATCGCGGGGGTAGACCGACCCTCAGCCAGGGCCTGGACCGTGAGGTAGGAGCTATATCTTCTTTTGCACTTTGTATTTTGTACTCACACCTTTGTCCAGGTGTATCAAGTCGTGCGCAAAATTATTGACGACCAACCCGAAACCGGTCGTATTCGTCTTTCAGTCCCAGCTATTTACGATCAATTAAAAAAGTCAAACTCAAGTTTAAACCGGAAACCAAAGAAGTTACTAGAAGACAGCCTGGAACGAGTTTTAGAAGTGGTGAAGAGCGATCTCGGTGAAGACGAGGAGGACTCGGTGGACGGCGACTTTGAAGGCCTGGAAGAGCCTCCCGCTACGGTACACAGGATATATCGTGACCTCATTTACCCAGAATATGAATACTGATCGGAACTCTGCCAATTAGGAGCCAAATGGTGTGAATCAAAGCATTGTTGGCATGTGGTCTACAACAAAAGCAACCCCATCTCGAAAGACCGATTCGAGCGGCACACCTGCACCCCCCAAAAGACGACGAGATGGTGGTGAATCTGCGTCCAAGCGGCGCAAGGGCGAGCCGATTGATCGATCCCCACCTACACATGTCAGTCTTGCGGACTTGGGTGGACTAGACACTGTGGTCCAAGAACTCGGCGACCTTCTCATCCTGCCAATGACCCGACCCCAGGTATACCTTTCGTCGAATGTGCAGCCGCCTCGTGGTGTGTTGCTACATGGACCACCAGGCTGTGGTAAAACCATGATCGCTAATGCGTTCGCAGCGGAGTTGGGTGTACCGTTCATTTCCATCTCTGCACCCTCCATTGTATCTGGCATGTCCGGAGAATCGGAGAAGGCTCTGCGAGAGCACTTTGAAGAAGCGAAGCGCCTTGCTCCCTGTTTGATTTTCATCGATGAAATCGATGCCATTACACCAAAGCGAGAGAGTGCTCAGCGAGAAATGGAGAAGAGAATTGTCGCTCAGCTTCTCACCTGTATGGATGAAATCGCTCTGGACAAGACAGACGGCAAGCCCGTCATTGTCCTCGCGGCTACCAATCGCCCCGACAGCTTAGATGCTGCTTTGCGTCGTGGTGGTCGTTTCGACAAGGAAATCAATATGACCGTGCCCTCAGAGCCAGTCAGAGAGCAAATCCTGCGGGCTCTCACTCGCAAGATGCGTTTGGTAGATGACCTTGACTTCAAGACTTTGGCCAAGAGAACCCCCGGTTTCGTTGGAGCTGATCTTAACGATCTGGTCTCAACCGCAGGATCAGCCGCTATTAAGCGATACATGGATATTCTCAAGTCTAACAGCGGCGAGGAAATGGAGACTGAAGAGACGGACGAGCTTAGCCCTAAGGTCCGTGAGTTGCGCCGCCTCATCGTACACGCAAAGGAAACTCCCATTGGTGAAGAAATAGAAACAGTACTCGTCTCCAATGCAGATTTCTTCACTGCACTCCCCAAGATTCAACCCTCCTCGAAGCGTGAAGGCTTCGCGACCATCCCTGACACCACTTGGGCTGATATCGGTGCATTGGGTGGGATCCGCGACGAACTGGTGACTGCTATCGTCGAGCCAATCAAGAACCCAGATATCTATGAGAAGGTAGGTATCACCGCTCCCACTGGTGTTCTCCTGTGGGGCCCACCAGGTTGTGGTAAAACACTACTGGCCAAGGCCGTGGCCAACGAGTCGCGAGCCAATTTCATCAGCGTCAAGGGTCCTGAGCTTCTAAACAAGTTCGTTGGTGAATCTGAGCGCGCTGTCCGCCAGGTCTTTGTTCGCGCTCGCTCTTCCATCCCCTGTGTCATCTTCTTCGATGAGCTAGACGCCCTAGTACCCCGTCGTGACGATGCCCTTTCTGAAGCCTCGGCCCGAGTCGTGAACACTCTTCTCACCGAGCTAGATGGCCTTGGCAGCAATCGCCAGGGTATATATGTTATTGCCGCGACCAACCGTCCCGATATCATCGATCCCGCCATGCTTCGTCCCGGCCGTCTCGAAACACTGTTGTTCGTCAACTTGCCCTCCCCGCTTGAGCGTGCAGACATTCTGCAAACTCTTGTTCGGAACTTGGCTATTGAATTCACCGATGATCTGCGGAGACTTGCTGAGGAATGTGAGGGCTTCAGTGGTGCGGACTTGGGCAGCTTGCTACGCCGCGCTGGTTACTCAGCTATCAAACGTCGTGATACTATTAAGCTTGAGGACTTTGTGGCTGCCAAGACATTTATCCGACCTAGTGTTACTGATCTGAAGAAATATGAGAAACTGAGGAGGAATTGGAGTGGTGGTGGTATCTAGTCTGTCATCTTGGCTTTGGTATGAGAATCTTGCAACTATACCACCGAGTACATAAAACAGCGTCAACTTAGCCATACGTATTCACGGATATCTAGGGAATAATTCATGGGATGAAAGGCGAATACACGAATAAAGATCCATTGTAAAGGTTGTCAAATGCCCGCATATTCTGGTAGTATAGGCCCAGCTGGTGGTTGAAGAATGAAGGAGGAGGAGCGAATGAAAGGATATGGCTGATTACGAGGCTCATTCCAGTTGCTCAACCACGGAGATCTGTATTCCTTTTCCACAGAAATCCACCACACGTGAGACCTCACGCTTCCTTGACGTTGTGGTATCTCTGTACGAAATTCGAGTCCCCTTCTGATATCATCTGCTGAGAACTCTTTTGCGGGAACCCAGCCATCCATCAGCTCTGAAGGATTATTTTCCCAGACGGGATGCAGGTTGATCTTCCGATCTGCTGCACTCAGCGTTGCGAGATAAAGTCGACTGAGATGAGGCATTTTCAATGAAAGGTGTGCAAAGATAGGAACCCAAGAGTTTGAATCTTCGAATTCGATTTCACATAGTGTTAAATCAGTGATCTGTGAATGATTGGAGAGAAACTGGAGCAAGTAACCCTCGCTCAAATGGATGCCTCTCAGACTGCACTGTCGAAGCAAAGGAAATCGAAGTTCCTTAGCGACCCTGTCAAACATATTGTTATAAGGTCTATTCTGTTCCAGCAAAGTGCTGTAAAAATGAAGTTCAAGTGCTCTGAGATTAGGCATGAGCTTTAGAAATCGCGCAAGTCCGTCAAATTTCTCCTCATCGAGCAGATGATCTCCACCAATACCAGCAACATAACTAGGCCTTGTTATTCTTCTTGCTGAATCCTGATGACATCCCACAGGAACTCGAGGCGGGCGCTCTGTCGCACCAGTGATAACCTTAGTCGATATACTTAATGCTAGCTGTTCCATGTGCTTGCCTGTCATCTGCAAATAGGTGGGATCGAGTAGTTGAAGCATTTCAATATTGGTCGCAATATCATAGAGTGGAACGCTGCACCTTGGTGGTATTTGATATACACTTAGGGATTTTAATCGGACGTCACTAAGGGCAATAGCCTCCATGGTTATGCAGTAGTTTCGTGCTGCCCGCATCCATACTGGATACCAGTTCGCTGGCCCCGTATCTGTCGTGACCTTTAGACTGGGAGCTTGAATGATAGCAGCATCAAGCTCAATAATGTCAAGCTTCTGAATGTTTTTTAGACAAACAGTAAGATGAGCGACTGCTTCTTCGTAGGATATCTCATCTAATTCTTGCTGATGGGCTTGAAGCCACATGCAGGTAGGGTCATTTTGTGCTTTGAGATAAGCCGCAGCCTGTAAATTATCTTGAGGTGTCCTATTCTGCCACCTCTTCTGTATCTTTTGCTTTAGGGTTTGATCATAAATAAGGGCCATGATTGTTAGGCTCTTGACGGCAGAACCCAGAGGATGAACAATCAAATCTTGAAATGACAAGAGGGAGGACCTTGTCAAGTCTATCGTATATTGGTGCAGAAAGCTTTTGAAACGAGGGCCAGTGCATTTAACATGGAGATTGTGATTGCTAATTCGCAAAGCTTTGATAGTATTGAGATCGAGGTACTTGACGATATCCTCCAAGCACTCAGGAGGTAGAGCATCTAGGGTCAGTGGGGCGCTTGAGTCCATTTCTTCTGTTGGCCCTTGGGAACGCAACAGAAGATATCATTGGAAGTTTTGCGAAAGAGAGGACTCATTATTCCCTGAGTTGGCTTGTAGAGACTAGCACGAAGATGCGTAAGCGGTGAAAGTAGATGAGGCTTCTGAGTGGGGGCTGACTGCCCGAGGTATTAAGTAATATACATACTCCCTCTCCCTCTGTCGTACCTAGAGATATATGAGCTAATCAAAGTTCTAGATCCGGTCCCCCAAATTTAGGGCCCGGGGTAGTCAAAACATAATGGAAAAAGTACTTTTTATGGCAGTATGGGCTATACAGAACAAAACTATGCACGCATACATACAGCAAAAAAGAAAAACGCCTAAACAGAAGAGATATCGTGCACCCCTCATAAGAAAAATTACATCCACAAGCGACATGTTCCATCCGCACCGGCACTGACACACCACGCCTCACGAGGATGCCAGTCGATGTCAAGAACACCCAGCTCACCAGTGACTTTGTGACCTCTGAGAACCTTGAGCGGAACAATAGTAGCATTGCTAAGCATATCTCCAGTAACGCTACCGTGGAAGATTTGCAACGAGCCGTCGTCACTGGCATCTGCGAACAGTGGGTACCGACCACCAGGGTGGAACTTGACGGCACGGATAGCCTTGCGATGGTAACGCAGGGTCTTGTAAGGGCGCGGCGACAGGTCGAGATCGTGCCAAAGCAAACGGCGATCGTAAGAACCAATGATGATGTTGTCACCGCCTGATGCGGTGGACGAGGTCGGATGAATATCGAAGGAAGAGATCCAGCGGGCACCGGGTTGCAAGATCTTGACCAGTAATTGACGAGACAGGTCGTAGGCACGGATAGAGCGCTGGTTGGCGACGAAAAGAATCGGTTTTGAGGGATGGAAGTGGGCTGTCTGTGGGGGGCCACCACCCTTGAGGCGTCGCCGGAAGGGGAATTGGGTGAGGTGCTTGGAGAGCGTATGGATTGAGATAGCCACAGATGCCGGAGTAGATGCGCCTGAGCAGACAGTGACAAAGTAGTCACCGCGGCGGTGCCAGGAGATCGACTTGGGTACGTAGCGGAGAGGAATAACCGCGCAGATGCCAGCCTCGGCCAGAGCTGTCGAGGGCCGAATCCACCTAGGCGGTGTGTTCTTCTTGAGCGCATCGGCGGCGCTGAGAGTAGGGGCTGATGCTGCATATCCCCAGCCAGCATCAAGGATATCCAGACTGGCCTTCTCGATTTCAGGGTCGGCAATAGGAGGAACTGCGAGGAAGATGTCATCTCCGGAGGCAGCAGCAAGGATGACAGCGTCTTTTCCAGGACGCCAGCGGACCACGTTGACCGCATCCTCGTCACTCAGCTTTGCGCTCCACAGCTGTCGGCCAGTGAGCAGCTCCCAAACCCGAACTGTTCCATCATCACCACCAGTTGCAAGCCAAATTCCAGTTGGGTCCACGTTCAGCGAACGAACACGACCCTTGTGACCACGGAATAGTGTAGCACATGTAGTAGGGAAGGGCTTCAACTCTTCGGGGCTGGGCAACTTGGGAAGAAGACTTTCAGGATCGATGTTCAACTTGCTTCGTCGGACTCTGGGGGCAAGGTACAGATCCAGACAACGCTCAAACTTCTCCTTGACGAAGCTGTCGTATCCAGGCACCTTGCGAAGGGAGCCAAAGTCGTTAGGCAAGAACTTAGACTCACGGTCCTCAGGATCGGTCTGCTCCCATTGCTGGCGCTCCTTCTTGTCGGGAAGATATTCAGCAGGCGGGTGGTAGCTCTCCTCGTATCCAGGGGGAGGAAGTTTGGGTGCGGGGACATGCATTGGGTGGTCAACACGCTCAGCCTCGTCAGCCCACAAATCATAGTTGATGAGATTTTCATCCTGCTCATCCTCCTCTCCCGGTGGCTTGTAAGGAAGAATACGGCCCTCGCGGATGGCCTTCACGAGCTTCATCACACGCTTAGCTTCATGCTTGGAGGGCACAAATCGACGCTTCGGTTCTGGGGCAGCACTTATAGGCATGATCTCCAACTTAGAGGAGAAGTATTCTACCAAAGGCTCATACTGGTCGTAGCCTTCACCGGGAATCTCATTCATTTGAACCTTCTTGATCAGTTCCAGCTCCTCCTGACTCAGCTCCAATGGCTTGCCAGTTGCGGGATCAGTAAGACCGGTCCATCCCTTGGGAATTTCAATGCTATCCAACAATGCATCCAAAGCCTCACCCTTTGCTGGGCGCATGATTTTTTTGCCATTGATGTTGTAGCCAATGTGGGGGTACTGGTCGTAGAAGGTCAATGGAATATCTCCAATGGTGTTGCCATTCTCTTCGACGTCCGAATAGTCCGAGTTGTCGTCTGGGTGGATCTCGTCGTAGAGGTAACGAGCGTTGCCATTCGCATCTTTGACGATACGAACATTGGGCTCGTCGGCATTGGAAACCTTGGCAGAGTGTTTCTTCTCGGCCTCATCATCGACATCGGAGGGGATCTCGTCACTGTCAATTTCATCTTCCTCTTCTTCGTCCTCGTCACTGAAGTCGTCAATCAGTTCAATCTCGGAGTCGCTCTCATCATCCTCGCTCTCTGACAGATCGTTGGCATTATCCGAGAGGGTGCCATCCAGGTTGTCTGGGCTCAGCTCATCGCCTGAATATACTCCAGCTTCCTCCTCCACATCACGAGTAACCGCTTTGCGCTTCTTTGAGGCCTTAGAGTCGACCATGGTTGTACCTTGAATTTGGTACGTTGTTGGTCCGCGATTTTTTTTTTCTTTCCTGGCACTCTGACCGCCCGCAGGATTCAAGTTATGGCAATTTGACTTCACCGCCTTGGCCATATTTGGCCGTCTTATCGGTAACTAATCGCAGAGTCGGTTAGGTCATTGCCTTGGAATAACTAACTAATTAATCACATTTTCCAAGACAGAAAAAGAATAAAAATTTGAGAAAATGTCTGAATATATGGGGAAATTTATGCCATATAGTACTTCCACATCAACGTCAGCCTCCGAGCCAAAACGACATGCAGCATGCGACGAGTGTAGTGAGTTTTTGTGGGCTTATGTTTCGTGCATGAACAGCGCTGATTCCATCCGAATTGAACAGGGAAACGAAAGCTCAAATGCTCAGGAGAAATTATGGGGTGCTCTCGCTGCTTGAAACAGTCAATACCTTGTCAATACTCCCTACAGAAGACAATGGGCAGGCCCCCCAAGAAAAGGGCGCCAGCTGACGACGGACTCGACTCAAACAATATCAACCCCGTCTGGCCTAGTCCAGAGGATATTCCTAATAGTCCTTTTCCCATGATGACAGATCCCGCCAATGTTGCAGACTCACGGCATCTTTGTCCACTACTTTATTGGCAGTCAACTGGCCAACTGCCCTCCTCAGAGCCTGTGACCAAGCTACTCGATACTCACAAGAATCATGACCATAGCTGGTTACCAGACCAACTCCGAACCCCAAATCTGCCGGTTCCTCAATCTTCAAGTCCATGGCCGGATTTTGCAAGTGTTTCCGAAGCCTCGGCTATGCCATTCCTCTCCCTGGGGGGTTTCCCAGATATGAATTCCCTCCCTCTCACACCACAATCCATTTCCTCCGACTCCGTCGCTCCTCAGTGCACTTGTTTATCATATCTATACCTCTGCCTCAGTCATATCTCATCTCTTGCCGCCTTTCCCGTCAACTCACATACTATCTGCTCTCTCTACATAGCCGCCAGAGCGGTTCAGGATGTAATTAGCTGCCAGGTGTGCCCTAAGAACTTTGCCTCGCGCATCCAAAATATTATGTTCACGGCCACTCTACTGAATGTTGTGGCAGACGCTTGGCTACGCGTGTACAGCAGTGAGGCTCCCGAGCTGGGTATGCAAACTGCAACGCCGGAATGTGTCTCGCGTGTACTACAGAGTGACGATCCAGCGCAGACTTGGGAAAGTTGGCTCCATCATGTGGTTCGCCGTGCTATCATTGGTGGACCTCGCGATCCAGACTTCACGAATTCTCGTTGTGCAAACCAACCGGATGTCTTGACTCTTGTACAGGAATTGGAAGATCGCCAGCGAAGGTGGCATGAACCTGGATCGAACATATTCTCGAATGATTTCCATGCTCGAAATTTTGAATTCGGACCTGACCTCCATCAGCATGATGAACCGCTTGATGAGAAGGAGATGGTTTGTTTACGAGTCGCTGGGAGCACACGACGTATTATTGCAAAGTTCAACTTCGAGCCTCATGAATTCCCTAACGGGTTTATCCCTAACAACTTGAAGCGTGAAATTAGCCCATAACATTCAAAATTCATTACAGGAGTTGAGGTTTTTTGTTTTTTTGCTTGATTTATGGATGGAAGTATATACCATATGATACACGGAGCTTCAACGTTAGTGATTTCATCAGTGCGCGGGTTTATTGTTTGATTTCTTCAATTTTTGTTTACCATTACGATTATACATCAGTCTAAGTTTTTTTTTTAATAAATTTCAAATAATTACTCATGATAACTCGTCACACCGATTCTGTCATCAAAACCAATACACGTGATGAAAACATCAACTGAAGAACTTGACCTCCACATCACGACAGCCTCTCGGAGTACCAAGAACAGCGCACAACAGAATACGCCCAAATTGCTGCAATCTAGAATGTCTTCCCAGACCACACCAATAAACCCAGCCGCCTTTGCCGAAGCAATAACAGAGCTCCCTCTCTCGGCTGTCTACAGCAAAGTTTTAGAGCTCCGCAACTCAATCGCCCACCTCCATCGCTCAAACGCCGAACTCCGCCTCTTCCTGGCCGAATACCCACAAGGCACCGAGGAAGAGAAAAAGGAGATGGAGGGTTATGTTGCCGAGAACGAGGGCGTGATCGCGTCTATAGAGGAGCGGCTGTCGCTGCTGAAGACTGAGCTAGAGAATCGTGGGCAGGCCTGGGAGGACGTGAACAAAGGATCTGAAGTTACAGCAGATGTGCCGGTCACGAATGGTAATGGGAACGGGGACGTGCATTCTGGGGATCAAGATCAATCGCAGACCTTGAATGCGGGGCAGGAAGAGGGTGGGGTTTATCTTTGAGGGGTGGATTGAACGCTTTGTGATTTGCTGGTCATTTTTCATGAAGCTATGAAATGAAGCTATGAGATCATGCAGCTCTCTACGGTACGATCGGGCATTCTCAGGGATTGTCACTCGGAGAATCGAAAAAAGGTCTTTCTCCACACCGCAACCTTGCATGGAAAGATAGATGTAAAATAGGAGGTGATATACCTAAACAATCCAAAATTACATATACTATCAACATGGATGAGGTATCAAAATACCCGGAAATCTATACCCACACATTCTATAGCTAGGAAAAAGGCAGGCTTGACGATTTACATCGTTAGTGGAGAAAAAAACAAGGATCTAGATAAATATTCAAAGCACGATAATACCTAATGCTGAAACTAAACGGAGAAAGACATTGAACTTCATCAAAAACTAAAAGATCCTCACTCCCGTATGCTAAACTCTTTGCATCGTATCATAGGCGAATTCATTCAGTATTTTCACGATATGGTAGGATATCAAAGGTGAAAATGCAAACGTAAGAAACAGCGCGGCCCAACGCCAGGTTGAAGAACACGTCATGGTCGTCAATTGTTTTAGTAAGAGCACCAGGCCCGCGGAATCTTTAGTTAGAAGCCTGCTGGGCCCAGTGACCACCATTGAGAGCCTCAGGTGGGACACGCTGTTGCTTAATGAAAAGATCGATGAGAGGCTGCATTGGCTCCATCTCCTTGTCCGAGACAAGTTGGTAGTACTTGGCGACAGTCACAAAGTGCACGAAGCACATGTTCAGGATGTCGTGCTTGTTGATGTGCCAGAACGGGTTCAACCAGTGGGCGTGGTACAAATGCGCATAGCAACGGAACATCTGCTTCATAATACCCTGGCAGTCCTTGTAGAATGTCTGGGGGAAACCACTCGACTTGCCAATCCAGTCGTCGGCGCTACCATTTGGTCCTGCGGGGTTGGTCCCATCTGCAGGAGATGGGGGGATCTCCGTCGTAGTGGCAGTGGCGGCCTTAGTCGCAAAAGTCTCAGGGATACCGTTCACCTTTTCGGTAGGGAACATGACCGGGTCATGAATCTTGGTGACAATCCATTTCTCGACACGGTTGATGAATTTTGGTGCGGAGATCTTGGCTGCGCGGCCGTCAACTAGCCAGGTATAGGTCAATCGCCCAGCAGACATCGTCGGACATGTGCTCTCATTGCAGATTGGAGCACCAGTAACACTGTTTGTCTCCTGGATGACCTGGAGCATGCCGTGGAGCAAGCGATATTGTTCAACAACTAAACCAAACGATATTAGCATGATTCTCACCCCAACAATTTTATCATCATGGCCTACGTTGGTGAGCCAGCCACTCGCCAAGCTCTACGTTTTTCGGACAGGCACAGAGAGTCAAGAAGTTACCCCTGACGTTGAGCGGGGCATACTTCTCCTGGAAGAAGTACTTGGGGGCATCGGGATCATTTGCAGGGACGTTGTCGACAGACAAGCTGCCGGACAGTGACATGGAATTTGACATGGTACCAGATCTGGGTTCTTGGGGAGCTTGTGCAGGGCTCTTGGGAGGATTATTCTTGTTGCTTCCTCCCCTGCCAAACCCTTGGCGACTATAAAAGGCTCAAATTAGCAACACGTCCGATAATCATCCGTCCAGGACGAAACGAAGACAACAAATTGAGGTGAGTTCTAGTGCAGGGTAGCTATCAGGTCCAATAGGAGATGAACAGGAATCCTAATTATGTATGTGGCGGTGGAGTGCTTCTTGATGCAGTATGAGGAAGGGAGGGGGCAGGTGTAGGAGTTGCTTAAAATAGGAGTCCAGGACCACGAGAATGCAACAAGGATCTGCAATTGTTGAAAACTCACACGCTCTGAAAGAAAGTCGCCATTCTGAAAGACTGAAGTTCTTTACTTTGAATTAACTGAGAGACGTGGACAAGATGGTGAAACTGAATCTCCCTGTTTGGCCCACTTGATCACTTACATAACTAGCTCAGGACCGTAACCGGATCATTATGTTTATCCGGAGTGGAAATCAATGCGGCTTTTAGATTAGAAGTGTTATCGCAAGCTCCCTCTCTCTTTTCCTTTCCTCGTCTGTTTCTCTTCCCCACCTTATTTTTCTTGCGACTAAAATTATCATTTGTTACAATTGACCTCTTCTAATCATCTCTTTTCATCATGTCCTCTGATGACGAGGATATCCGACGCCCTGGTCGACGTACCAGTCTTGGTCTCGAGAGTGATGCTGGAAATGAATCAGCTGTTGACAAAAGTCCCTCTGCAGATCTAGGTCAGATGGATGTGGATGATGATGATGATGATGATCGCGACCTTTTCGGTTCAGATGGTGATGAAGGGTTAGATGATATGGCGTATGAATTCATTCTGCGAAGCTGAGTCTTTGAAGAGAGTACTAACTTATTATGCTAGCCCTCAATCATACGCCCTGGAAGATCACCTAAGCGACGATGATAGCCATTCTCTTCTCGACCGTATGGACGTAGAGCCGGCCGGTGAAGTACAAGTATACAACGTTCGGGACTTGGACTATTCGCGGTCGCCAGCGCCTGCAACCAGTACTGGAGAAGTATGGTCGAGATGAAAGGGTCAATCCATTAAATACTTTCTAATTCGCTCCTTTATAGGTTTACGGTATGCGAGTTCCCGACTTTTTGACGGTCCAGAAGGAAGAGTTCAGACCCGAAACTTATTCCCAGTCCTACTCCGTCGCATCCACGTCTATATGTTGGCGCAGAGACCCTAACAACAAAGATCTCTTGCAATCAAATGCACGGTTCATCCAATGGGAGGACGGCTCCATTACCCTCCAGCTCGCGTCGGCCCCGAAGGAACAATATCACATTTCATCTAAATCCCTGCAACCTCTCACCAAATCTGGCCAATATGATAGCAAGCTCGACTCGCATGTTTATCTCAGTTCTGCTTCGGAAACAGCCGGTATGCTCCGAGTGGCAAGCCGTGTCACCCATGGACTTACGGTCCAGCCGACCATTAATGAGGCCGACGACGCCATCAAGCAGCTACAAGAATCGTTGGCACGGGCCAATGCTAGTAAGAAATCTGTTGCGGAAGTTGGCACACAATTTGATAGGGTGGATCCTGAACTCGCCGCGCGCGAGGCCGAAAACGCGGAGAAGGAGGCTGCGAAACAAGAGCGTCGCCGCCAGCTGGTACTTGAACGCGAGAGGGACCGTTCCCGTGAACGTGCGCGCCGCGCGACTTACCGCAAGGCGTCGGGTAGCGGTGGTCTGGACAGTGGTGATTTGACTACACGCCCACGCAAGCCCCGAGTCACGAACCGTCGTGGTGAGATCAATACCGACGATGAAGCTGAGTACGACAGTCGTCGCCGCAACCGAGAGGATGAGTACGATGAGGACGACGGATTCCTTGTGAACAGCGATGAGGAAATCGAGCAGGAAGAGGATGAGGAAGAAGAGGAACTTGACGATGATGTCGATGCAGAGGGTGAAGTCGATGATGAGATTGCCCCCGTAAAGGCTGCCAGTAGCAACACTCCTGTTGCCCGAAGCAAACGCCGTCGTGTTGTGGACGACGACGATGAAGATGAACTGTGATTCAACAGGACAAGATGAATGGCTGTTTACCAATATGAATCTACTAATACAAGAGAAGCCAAGAATATGTCAATCTGATGATACCAATTGATCAATCTTATAAAAGCAGTAATGATAAGCACGTTGAAACGCTTGTATTTGCCAAGACTAGAGGAAATTAATGTGGAGTCTACTTACGTACTTTGAAAGTGTGGACTTTGTAGAATAGAATGAAGACAATTGCTCGATATGAGTATACATCTATCTGGGCACAGATAGTAATAGCATATTCAGGTACATCAGTAGCACTTTGATCTATAGCGCCACTCTTCGCCACTCCGCCATAAACAATATTCCGAAACCGGAATTTTGTGGCGCTAGACGGATGATTTGTATAGTACATGATTGGTTCAAGTGGGAAGCTCGTTGATCCAAGCATCATTAATTTAATAAATAGTTTTATTGGGTGACGTAGATGAGCTTACTGAGCTAGTGAATCCCTGTAATTTAGGAAATTTGAAATTTATTATAAATTAAAAGTACCCCGATATGGTTTGATCTGTTGGATCTGCAACCGACTTTCCTTCTTTTTAGCCCTACGACGCTTGGGATCTTAGGCTATAGCCTCCCCCCCCCCCTCTTTCTTTCTTTAAATCTCATCCCTACTTTTATAATTCCTTCTTCCATTATTAGTGTGACAATTGTCCACTTTTCAGTTCTTCTCATTTTGCTCTCATTTATTCTCCTCCTTCCTTGACATTGAGGCGCAATCCGCGACTTGCGCCCATCGTTTGATATCATGGCGGACGAAACCGTTTTCTCGCCGGCCAATGGTATGTTGTCTCCAATGCGCCTGAATGCGCTGTACAAAGCAAGCTATGCGCAAAGACTTATTCTTCCATGATATAGGGGCGATCGTATATGGTGAGCCAGCAGATGCAGCATCTGTTGCGACAGGACCCACTGGCAACAATCGATTCGAACTTATTTCGGGCCCGCTGATCAACTTGAAGGGTATGGACTATGGGCAGTCGCCAGTATGGAACGGTAGTGTGCTGGTTGTGACCAGGCCTGGCCAGGCACAGCCCCAGCTGCAATTGCGCCAGTTGGGACCTGTTGCGTCACAGGGAGAATTTCAGTCACACGCTCAAATCAACCAGACTGTTGACGGTCTAAAGCTATACGAAGACCCATTAAAGGCATTCTGGAGATTTTCTTTGACCGTTCCAGTCGAATCTTACGAGGCCAGCTGGGAATATGATATTCCGGGTCTGTACAATGAGTCTGGGCAGGTGAATGCTCCATGGACATTCGTTGTTCCTGCGGAAGAGCAGTCCATGCGCATTATGTTCCATTCCTGTAATGGATTCTCCGTAGGCACCGACTTGAATGCTTGGCTTGGGCCGAATTTGTGGAATGATGTCTTGCGCGTTCATAGCGAGAAGCCCTTCCACGTCATGGTTGGCGGTGGTGATCAGATCTATAACGACGGTATCCGTGTAGATGGACCCCTTAAGGCCTGGACCTCGATTGGAAACCCGCACAAGCGCCGTAACTACGACTTCGATAATCAGATGCGCGCGGATTGCGACGACTACTACTATGCCAACTATGTTCGGTGGTATAACACCGAGCCATTCCGTGCCGCCAATGGCCGTATTCCCCAGGTCAATATCTGGGATGATCACGACATCATCGACGGATTTGGCTCTTACACTGATCATTTCATGAAGTGTGCTGTTTTCCGTGGCATTGGCGGTGTTGCCTTTAAGTACTACTGCTTATTCCAGCACCACATCGCCCCACCGAAGTCGACTTTTACCACCGATGCTCCACAAACTATGCATGCGATCAATGGGACTGCCGGTGCCGATCCACGCCAGCTAGAGAACACTTTTGTCCTCGACAACCAAGTGGAGGATGCAAGCTGGATCATTGGCAAGCGGCCCGGCCCTTATGTGGAAGAGCGCAGTCGCAGTCTGTACATGCGATTCGGAAAGCGTATTGCCTTTGTCGGTTTGGACGCTCGTACGGAGCGTACCCGGCACCAGGTCAACTACCCCGACACCTACGATCTGATTTTCTCGCGACTGGAGAGCGAGATTGAGGCAGCCAATGGCGAGATTAAGCATCTAGTCGTTCTACTGGGTGTTCCAATTGCCTACCCGCGTCTCGCATGGCTCGAGAACATTCTTCAATCTCCAATCATTGCTCCAATCCGTCTCTTGAACAAGCGTTTCGGTATTGCCGGAGGGCTGTTCAATGAATTTGATGGCCAGGTCGATTTGCTTGACGATCTGGACGACCACTACACCGCCCGCCAACACAAGCACGAACGTAGGGAACTCATCCAGCGTCTTCAGGAATTGGGTCGTGCCAACTCAGTTCGAGTGACCATTCTGGGTGGCGATGTCCATCTGGCAGCCGTGGGTCGCTTCTACTCGAGCCCCAAGCTGAACCTGTCTGGTGAGAACGACCATCGCTTCATTGTGAACGTGGTCAGCAGTGCCATCACCAACAAGCCTCCGCCCAAGGCCGTGGCCAACCTTTTGGCCCGCCGAAATAAGATTCATCACCTGGATCATAGCACCGACGAGACACTAATGCCCTTCTTTGATAAGCAACCCGGTGGAATAGAAAAGAGCGCTGCATTTAACAAGGTGACCATGCCATCCCGCAATTTTGCCATCCTGACCGAGGCCATTGCGCCGGTCGCTACTAGTGCCGAGGGCCTCGAGACTGCTAAGCTCGACAAGCTCCCCAAGGATGGCCATGCACCCCTGCACAAGGGCGAGGTTGCAGCCGGAACGACCCATAGTGCGGCAGATGGTATCAACACTAGTACCATGTACGGTGGCCTAGACGTGGCCATCCGCGTTGAAATTGATCCTCAGAACCGACAGGGAGCCACAGAAGGCTATGGATTTAGCAGTAAGTATCATCCTTTGCTTCTTTTTCGAGTCTTCCTCTTAACACGTCTCCAGTTCCCCCTCTCATCGCCACTGAGGGTCCTCTCCCCTCCAGTCACAGTATGCGCTCGCGCTTTTCTCGCCATGAAGAACGGCCGGGACGCCCGTCTACTGCTCTCTAATAATAGTAATGTTTTGATCACCCCTTAATATACATGGGTTTTGTTGTTTTCGATACCTCTTGCTTTTTTCTGCACATTATATCTACCTTGCCCAATCGATGCTATTATCAATGCAATTAATACTCTCTTGACATCTACTCATATCTTTTATACTGTCCCTCTTATTACAAGAACTACGATGTTCTCATCTAGCTGGTCAAATTACCTAGGTAGTCTTTAGTATCCTGCCTAAATTACGGACCTACATATTAGAAATATATGCCTAGAAATATTTTAAAACAATGTAAGATCCGAAAGATGTAAGATATCCTTTCAATACTGAAGCCTTCAGCACGTCATGCAAAGATGAAGTTCTTGATAAGAGGACAAATCTCAGTTCGGGGTTTCCCATGTACAAGTCACCTCCCTTTGAGAACCCAGAAGATGCAAGCAACCACGATACCTCTTTGAAGAGCGCTGGAGGACGTTATGGGTGATATTTCCTTAAATATCGGAACTTGAATCAAAACCATGGGACTATGACTTGATTGCGATGTAACCAAATTACCTTCCGAAGCCCATGGCGGATAAAATTGACATCTGCCATTGTTCGCAATAAGACGGCCAATTCTATATCCAGGGATAATTTGACAGCTCAAATAAACTTGGATAGAGGGCTATGTATACTAAGTCAGGGTGCCGCCTAAGTAGATAACAAACAATACTTTAGGGACTCTATCAGCCACTGAAAGAAAAACGAGATTAATTCAGCAGGTCGAGAATGAAATGTCACCGATCTATAGCCCAGAAACTCCATACTATTACATCAAGATTTACATGCAAAAGTGGGCCTACAATTAAAGAGACAACACATGTTTGTCCTAGAACGACCAGAACTTGCCCCTGTTGGCTGATCAGGTAATGACTGAGTACTTTGTGGGCGTAACGCTTTGCGGTCCGGTTTCAAACATCCATTAATAGTTCAGTCGCGAGGTCAAGATGAGAGAGCAGCCATTGGCCACTGAGAAACGCCTCCAGAGCCTTTCATTCCACGTTACTTGAGGAGCCAATGATTACTTACCGAAAGGCCTTCCGCGCTAGGGTTTTAGGGTTTTTAGGGCATGTGTATCTTAATGGCCTATCTATATACTTACATGTGGAGACAGAGCATAGAGTGTAATAGGCAGTAGCGACTTAGCCCCCCATTCTCTTAGATATCATATTTCTCCAATCTTCCAAGGTTGGAATTCCATCGAAATTAGTACTGGTTCTCGACAGCTGTGTTTAAATACTTGTCCCTAGCTTAAAATCTAGAGATTCCACCTACATAGGCAAGCATTTGACACCATATACATCTCTGTGCAAATCTTCATCTACATCCACTCGAAAACCTTATAACGAGGCGCAGTTGAGTGCCAGAAGCAGCTTCCACCAACATACAACTCAATAGCCTCGAAATATTGCAAGATCTCCTTCGAAGCCGGCTCCTTCAACCTTACCCCCTTGAGCTTTGTGGCCTTGCACTCCTCTTCAATAATGATTCTAAAAAGCATCCTCTTTGCCGCATCTGCCGGTATATCATGCTCCTTCATCAGAACCAACACTCCATTTCTCATCCGATCTGTCTTCTGATCCTTCTCGATATTCCAACTAAAGAAGTCATTGGTCAGACCGAGGACATTTCCCATTGCAGTATCGTATTGCTCTATACTCGCGTAGTCCTCGTCACTGAGGGTCATACCCATTCCCCAGCGGACAAAGTACGAGGACATCCTAGATATCGATATGAGACTTCCTATTTTGAGCGTTCTTCAGAATGGAGCCACACTTACCAGTAACCGCAGTTGGAGATACGGTAGGGCATGTACTCGTCCATCCGGGTGAAGTCACTACCGACGCTGTCAAATGTTGCCAGGTAAGTTTTCAACATGTCGATCATAGCAGGAGCTTGACTGAGATCTATATCGATTGCCTTTCGAAGCACGCCCGCTAGTACTTTTTGTCGCAAATTGATCGACTCGAGGCCGGGGGCCGTAGGATCTATGTCAAGTCGGAGGACTATTGCCAGATCTGCATGCTCTCTGCATGCCTATAGACTGGTTAGAAGAGCATTCATCACAACTGTTCATGTCTCTTACAGCTTTGTGGTCCAATTCCTCTGTTACGTCTGTAGATACTTAATGTCGTGAATATATGCATCTTCTGAACTTTGGAGTCTTACCATCATGAATCCACATCACCTCGATCAAGCTAGCTAATAGAACCAGCCTTTCTGGAAGAGCTGAGCAGTGGCAAACGGCAAATGGATCTCCATAAGGATTGGTATGTCTGATCAGCGCTCGGCGTCGTTCCCGTGAGCCTTCTTTAGAAGCTTCCTCGCCAATGCATCTGAGTACCTCTTCAACGTCCCTGGCTGCAATGCTGATTCCAACAGGGTAGCGAGAGAAAAAGACAGGAACTTTTTGACTTTCCACGTTTCGATAAAATTGAAGAACAGCCGGAGGGAATATCTCCGTCATTTTCGAGTTACAAGGAGTCGACCCTAAAGGTGAGAGATTGATTAGATTGAATGTGGACTGCAGGAGATTGAATGTGGACTACAGGAACACGATCTCACTGGTCGATAGGGGGTCAGAGCTGACATCTGGTCAATTGTGATCAGTCTAATTGCCCAGGTGAGCAATTGGAGGTGAGGCCCGTCGACTATGCAGACTGCAGGCATTAGGACCTCGTGTACTAGCCTCAGTTAACTGGGAATGCTCAGGACCATTACTACCGAATCATTCATCCATATATGGTATACTTTGTACTATTATCTGGTAATAACATTTCAATTGATCCATTACTTATAAAACATGACGAACCTTGGATGACATGTATGTAAGGAAGTCCATTCAACTGAACCAGTTCAGCTTTAAATGACCAAAGCATATTTAAGCGAGAGATATGACGTCTCCTATCATTATCCCCCCGCAGTGTTGATGGTCCCACTTCTTCCCTCACAAACCATCTTCTACTCGAATTACATCCCATAACTCATCATGTCTGACAGCTATAGCTACAAGGGCTCTGGCACCAACAGCCAGGTAAGTAAGATCTATTCTTTATATGCTTCCTTTACTGATAGCTGCAGGGCAACCACTACTGCTCCCGTGACTACGGCTCTGATGCTGCGAACCAGAACAGCTACCACTATTCGAACTCGTAAGTGCCCTTCTTCCCTACCTGTACGCTGAACTGACCTTCTTCCAATAGTGATGGCTCTTACTATTACTCCAACTCTAATGGAAGTACTTACTATAACAGCGGCAACGGTGATTCCACTTATACTGCTCCCTCTGGATCGGGCTCGTCGGGATCGTCCGGTTCTTCAAGCTCTGCTGGCCAGAAGTAGGAGGCCCGGCATGGCATGAGCTACATTATTTCCTCTTTGGCAGGAATTGCTTGGCTCTTGGTTTTCGGACTGGAACTTTGAAATCGCTCGAGAGTCAAAGCTTTGGAATTGATCCTTTGACCTTGTATGTTTTTTGCTCACTCTACAGAGTAGCTTAAATCAATTTATCAATTGGAAGCTTCTGTCCTTACTTGACCATATCAACTTTGTAGAGCCCAATGCTGTAGCATGAGAGACTTTATATGTAATTATATTGAGATGTCTTCATTCACAAGCATCATTCCATTTCCCTACATGCTCATTGTTTTGCCGTCGTTGACGAGGCATCTTCTTAGGAGAGTGGTGAGCTGGCACCGGGATTGAAGGGTCACTCGGCCGACGCCGACGAACAAGCTGGTATCCCCGGTCCAGCTCAATTTCAATCGCTTCACGGACCTTCAAAGCGCTAACAGCTGGCCAGACACCCCGCTCGCCTTTCAAAGTCCAGTCTGCGATGCGCTCTCGGGTTGTCTTCTGGAAGAGTTTGGCCATGTCGTAGAATGACAGATCTGGAACAAGAGTGAGGTTTGGGCCTGGGATGGTTTCGTCGATTAACAGTCTGCTGACTGAGCCTGGGAGAAGTCCGATATAGTCTAGCTGCCGAAGTCTATGGCGAAGCTCGACAAGTACTAGTCGCATCATAGATCTAGATAGATTGTTCCAGCCCGTTTGGCGGCGGTCAAGAAGATTGAGCTCGGATCGCAGGATTGGGATCAAGTACGGTCGTGCTTGTGAGACGATGAAGTGGTTCACGTTGAAGAGTTCTGCGATTCGGGAGAGTGGTGATTCTCCGTCGCTGTATATGACATGTCTCCATGGTTGGAAGACCGTATCTTCCATGTGTGGCCAGGGTATTATGGCCCCGGTCTCGTCTTTGCAGAGAATGACGACTGGAGATGAACGAGATAGGGACGAGGCATTCGATGCAGCAGCGGCTGATCGAATCAACTGAAATAAATTAGATGAAACGAATAGGAGATCGATGAAAAGATAAGACATACCACATTAGGCGCAGTGAGATAGTTGAGCAAGTTCGGTGTGCCAGTTTTACCGGCCGTTGCAACCGTGATGTTCAAGATACGCTTGGACCGGGCATATGCCTCTTCGAACGTCAGATCACCCACATGGCTGTGTATGCTATCCTCTAGCAGCTCCATATCATACAAGTGACCCGTTCGAATCAATCGTAGTATTCGCCGTAAGAATGTTCGCGTCCAGCTCTCACCATCGGAAGTAATATCAAAAGCAGAAAGGTCAATCGTTTCACCATCTATCAATGCAAGCAGTTCGCTCTCCGGGTGAGTGCCCACAAGAGCAGCGATCATAGCTCCCGTGGCAGTTCCGGTGATAATCCTCGGTAAGAGACCCTGGAGATGTAGTGCTTTCACCACACCCAAGTGACAAATCCCAAATGCCGACCCGCCCTGCAAGAGCAGCGTCGTTCGTCCAAAGGCTTGCCGGGTATCATGTAACAGCTCCAGTTTTGCCTGCGACGTGAATTCACTTGCCCATACTGGAGCTGGCTGCAAGGTGGCCACATATTGGATGGAGAGCGCGACCTGAGTAATGTAGTCGTCAATCAGAAGCTTGGTGCCTGCATAGGCGTGTGTGAATAGTTTCGTTGACGTGATGTTGCCTAGGTTGCGTACGAGTCCTGACCGGAGAAGATTGGCCAGTGTGAGGATGTCGTCGCTTTCACGTGCGCGCATCAATGACTCCATTCGGCCCAGGATGAGCCGGTAGTCATAGTGTCGACTCACTGAGTTCTGGCGCCTGTGGCATACATGTTAATGAAATGCGTCGAAGCTGGGGATCGCCCGAGCCTTACCATAGGTCCTTGCTCAGGAGCTCATCCAGTTCGAACGCTGCCTCTTCCCACTGTTCATAGCTTTGGGCTGTCTCAATGGTGTGAAAGAGCCTAGCGCGAGGCGACTTTGAGGTCCACCACGACAGCAGCTTCTAGCCCTTTGTCAGTACTGCTGATTTGCGTGGATGTCGGGCTGAAGCTATCTCGAGAGGGGAGGTCGGAACTGGCCACTCACATGCTTCCAGAACTGTGCGACATCTAGCATCATACTAAATATCGCAGCTAGGAGACTCCCTAGTCCAAATAACCAGGACATGATTTCGTGTGAGGAGCTGCAAGGTATCGGAGGTGAAACCTTCCGGTGGGGGCATTCACATGCTGTGGCGCTACATGTTATACGCGCTTGTAGGTTGACAGTCGAATTATTAGTTGCTAGGTACGAATGGATATCCAAAAGGTGAATATGTAGAATATCGCGAATATAGAATTGGGATGAAATGGAGGTTAAATTAAGAGTGAAATGGGGTCTGAGATGGAAAGAATGCGGAGCAAATTACGAGTAGAAATTAGATTCGAATTACAGCAAGACTTCAACTTCTACTGTTCATAAAGTAAGGAAATCATGAATTTTGCAAGGTCGTTTGATTTTTTGTGATTTCGCCTTGCCTTCCCTAAATGCAAGTAGGCGAAATTAAAAAAGAAGCTTTCCCAGACACCCGAACCCATCAAGCGTCAATATCTATGCCTCAATAATGTTTCCCTTCTCCGACACGTACAGACCGTCCAAGAACTTACGGATATCCTTGTTTCGGACACGGCAGATCTGCTGGATGTCGGCGGCGCTCTGGGAGACGTTCTCCAGGGAGTTACCAGACAGCTGGAGCTCGTCCTTGACGTTGGGGGAGGTGATGATCTCAACACCGGGCTGAGCAGTGACACGGCGAACGTACTTCTCTCCGAGGAAGTTACTATATTAAAGAAAGACCCACGGTCAGTAAATCCATCCCATTCATGACACTCTCCTGTCGTCGAAAATCATTCAGGATCGGAAACATACCGGATCTCAATCTCAATGCGGTCGGTCTCGGCGTTCTTCTCAATGTTGACATTGATGGGGAAATGGGCGTAGACGTAACGCATCTTGTAGAGGAAACCGCGGGTAACACCGATGATCAAGTTGTTGATCAGGGTGCGGACAGTGCGGAGGGTAGCGACACCCTTGCGGGCACCGTGGTGCAACTCAATGGAGATGACTTTCTCCTCGGGGCGGCCGAAGGTGACGGCAAGGTGGGACAGGTCCTTGACGAGCTTGCCACGGGGACCCTCGACGGTCACGATGCGCGAACGGATGTGAATCTTCACTGTAGACAAAAAAAAATCACGTATCAGTTTCCGACTTTGGCTGAATTGTAGATGAATTCCAGGTTGCCAGGACGAGACCAAAAATTCCTCCTCTTATGTCGTATTCTCCAGGGAAAATAAAATGTCATTTTCCCCTCCCAATACATGGCCGTTGAAGGTTCATGAAAAGATCCAGGTCCCGTCTCGCTTTCCCGATGAATTCCTCCAGAACGTAGAAAAAGGTCGAATGCTCACCATTGTCCGGAATGGGCAGCGTCTCCTCGGAGTGAATGTACCGCATCTTGACTGCGTGGGTGGTGTTGGCCGAGGGGTTGAGTTGTCGATGTCGGGAGGATCAAAATTCGGGTTGGAGTTGGTGGTGGAGCGAAATTGAACATCACGGGATTGTGCGTCGCTTAAAGCTGGATTGGGTTAGTGTAGGGTTTCTTATCAACTCCTTATCGTCACGTGTTTTAACTATTGCTTAGTCATCGTGTCTGCCGACAGTCTAGATTCCTTCCATATTATTAGCTGTTTTTAATGTACAGTACTAGCCTACTGGGCTAATAGCCAAGGTGACCGGAAATAGTGGGATGTCTCGATATTCACGGTGGTTGAAGCTTGCTACACTTAATTGGGATAATAAGTATTAGTTTCAATGCCTCAAGAAAACAGAAGCTTCAATCGCAAAATGGTATGTGCAAGGTTGATGACCTCCGGTGCCATCGGTATATCATGATTGGGAGACAAAAAAACAAATAATCCGATCAATTTGACACACCTAGGTATCTACCTTGTGTGATCCCCGAGATACCTCCACCCCCAACTTTCCGACCATCCCCTGTAACGTTGACGCCAGGTCATCGCTTTGGTCTAAAGAAGCAATATCATCTCCACCGCCGATACTCTTGCCATTCACAAGGACGTTAGGAACCGTGCTACGACCTGTTTTCTGTGCCAGAAGGCTTTGGATTTGCGGTCCAATCGGATGCTGGTCAAGCTCCACGACAAGTGGTTTCGGCGTGATAGAGTATCCTTCCAGCAGAATGGTTTTGGCTCTCTTACTGTGGGGGCAATACGACTTGGAGAAGATCACGACTGGAATGAGAACATCGCTATTAGTAAAGGTCCTCCAACATAGTTGGCCATCGTGGCCGTAGCGCAACACGGGTGAAAGTGTAAACATACTAGGAGATCTCTTCAGGATTGAATCTAACTCGCTCTTAGCATCTAGAGGATCGGCCTCCGCAGCCTGTTCTTTGGGTGTGGAACCGGACGAGGACTCCTGTACTCCCTTCTTTGGAACTGTCATTTTTGTCCGTCCTGCAATGGGAATCTCCTCCATCTCCTGCTCATTCTCTAGAACAGCCGGTCGTTCAGCCTCGACATTTTCGACCTTTGGGACAGCATGTTGAACAGCTGGCTTGGCAATGGCCTCTTGGATCTTCTCTTTCGTCGTGGAATGTTTCGCTTCTTCCTTGGCTCTCATTGCTTCAAGAGTCGATTGGTAGAACTTTTGGTTTTGGATCTTATTTGCTTCACCCTGTATAGAGATTGCACATGTCAGTATATCGAAACTAATGCGATGCAGGGTAGCAGCAATGACAAAAGCCGTGGATCTTTCATACCGAATAGTAGAACATGAGCACAACAACTGCGATGAACGCAAATGCGGCAAGTCTTGTACGCCGTTGGGAAGGCATGATTAATATGTCACCTCTGAATATTTGTGTTGAAAAGAAATGAAGATTGGAATGGAGCCGACGCGATGCGGACAGGATAACGTGATAAGGAGTTCCCGAACGCCAAGAAGCACTATCACTCGATTGCCAAGTAATGCACCTGCGTTCAGTGTGTTGGAGTGATTATCACACTAAAAACACCAGACACAGTGTTTCTATATTAACGATTTCTTGTGTTACAGAACAGTGAATGGGAATCATGTGGGGAGTGCCAGGAGTCAAAGTTATCCCTGGACGGGGCGAATTGGTCTGAGCGGGATGCTTGGCAGAGTTAAGTTACAACGTATTTATATTGATGTACTAAATAGATATTGTAATGAAACAAGAATCTGACATTGGGTATTTTGCTAAACAACAGGGGAGGATGGATTTATAGACTAGAGACATCTCTGCGTGATAACTCCACTCCATTGAAGTGCAATCAGCCGTTATTAGGACTATGCATTGAAGTAGTAGTATGAAACAGGTGAGTGTCAGATGTGACAGGGGGCAAATTAACGTATTGACCACAGATCCAGCTGTGGCGTGGTAAATGAGAGTGATTAAAGACGGTAATATGTCAATCAGGGCCAAAATATTGCGAAGGACGTAACGCATTGGTGTTCAAAGTAGTGTAGAAAAAATGGAAGAGAAGAAACGGCACTCATCTTTGAGCAAGTCCAGGTCGTGCATTGGGACGAGCTGTGACTGTCGCTCGGCGTTTGCCTTGGACAACAGTAGTCCAGTCTTCCCACTCCTTGGCAATTTCTGTCAAGACGCTGCCCATGACAGCGGCAGAAGCCATCAGACCATGGCCTTCTCCTTCGAGAACTCGTACTTCACATCGGCGCATGGTCTTGCCAAGCCACTGGACACTTTCCATGGGAACACGAGTATCCTTGCTGCCGTGTTGAATCACGACAGATCGTGTGATGTCCACATACTGGAATCCGATGGTCTGGCGCCGTTCCAGACAGATCAAGAGGTCAACTGCTGGATTGGCATTTGTTGTGGCCAGACCCCAAATCTTGTGAGTGAGTCGAATATCATAATCTTGTTGACGTTCGCGCTCCTCTTCAGGGGATTTAACGGGAGTCCCGATGGTGGCATCACTTTTTTTGTACCCGGCGGCATTAGGGATAGCCGATGGCTGCAGGCCAGTCAATGGCGCGATATCCTCATTTGTAGGATTTGTTTGCACGTCCAAAGACCCCGGTGAGGAGACAAGTTCCTTATCCGTAGTCTCTTTCCCAGGCTTCTTCTTTACTCGACGCGGGGATTTGGGAAGACTGGTCGTTATGCTAGCACTAGTGGCACTCATGAAACTAGTGTTGGCTACCTTGAGAAGAGATGTTGGAAGAGCACGAAGAATCCGTACAGAATAAGGAACTGCGTTTGCGGGAGCAGGATCCTTTTGGAAGCCGATCCTGGAAAGTTGTGAAGGAGGGATCCATGGAGCCAAGAGGTGAATACGCCCACGTATATGCTGGGGGATTCGAAGTGCGGTTGCAAGAGCGTAAATTGCTCCGGCTGAATGAGCAAGGATAGAGAACTTGGTCACTCGCAGATGATTACAAACGATGGCAACATCATCTAGTCAATTTTAGCGTTGAGGTCTGGGGACCAGAAGTTGCAATGTACTTACCAGGCCAGCTCAGAGGACTACTCGATTCGTCATGCCGATGTGCTTCGCTCTCGCCGACACCAGGGCGGTCCAAAGTCACCAGCCTCAAGTTCAATGTTCGTGCCAGTTCATCGTAGAAGGCTGGGAGATAACGAGTGAGACCCATGCCGAGACAGCACAGTACAACATGGCCCTTGGGATCACCGACTTCAGAAAACGCAATAGTACGGCCTGAGGCGGGGTGTATCACTTTTTGGGTCAATTTCGGGGACGTAACATAATCATATACTGCCAAATCAATGGAGTCTGCACTGGACGGTCTCTCGTTATTGAAAGAAACTCGATCAGTCAAGATCGGACCAGATGGTGTGCGTCGGTGGTTCTTTGGAGTTGTAGCCTGCTCCATAGATCGCATGGACGGTTCATACAAGGGCTTTTCTGTTGGCGGAAGTGGGAATTGAGTCATCTTGGATACTAAAGGCGCACCACCAGGTTTCCCCTGTCGGTTCTTGCCCGTCATAACGGATGGCGACGGTGCGCTCTCATTTATGAGAGATCCAAATGTTTTGAGACTCTGTGCACTAATTTGACTGTGACTGGAGCTACGCGGGGTCTGCACCTGCTTCGTATGTGTGCGAGAGTATTTGGCAGGACTGTTGTCAACTTTAAGCTCAGTCTGGATTCGTTGCTGCTGATCTTTGACCTCTTGGATCCTGCGTGTAACCGGGTCCGCATCATTGCCCGTTCCTGGTGATCCATTCCCCGCGCTAGAGTTTTTAATGGTAGCGGAAGAATATCGGCGATGATGCATAGACAGGCGATTCCTCGATGGAGATCCACCATCGCCCTGTTTCATGGAAAAGTTGCGCTTTGGAATGGCGCGACCGCTTCCGATTCCGCCGGGGTTTTGATCAGGGGTGTCCTGGGGCGATGAGAATTCCCCAGACGACGGAGTACTTGCGACACGATGGTCGCTTATCTGTTTGAGGCTAGTTTCTTCTGCCACATCCCCCATTGAATACATAGAGCGCAAGCTAGCTCTATTGCGAGGAAAGTTCTGTCCCGCATTTTCATTCAGACTGCTTGCCTTGTGGGGGCGATCGCCGTGTGGTTCCTTATCATTTGTCAATTCGCGCGACGATTTTCTGAACAGCCCAATTGAATCCCTGAGACTCATGCGTGAACCATTTGACTTGATACTGGCAGCCCTCGAGACAAGAGGACCCGGTTCAGTACTTATTGTCCCAAATACAGTACTATCAGATGCTTTTAAAGAGGTGTAAGAATCCTTTGATGCAGGACGAGAGGACTCAGATGGTTTGACGGGCTTGAATTTGGGCGAGCGGGGGCTCTTTGGTAATGGCGCTGCTCTGGCCATGCGGATAACAGGACCGACTGCGGCATCGTCCGGGTGCAAAAAAGGGCCATGCGGCGGCTCCTCTGCCAACGCCTGATTTCCGTAGCTCATTCCTAGGCCATTCTGCTCTGATGGAGGAATTGTGAAACAGGGTGCCGTATGTGGTACTTCTGGCAATCCAGGTGAGCTATCCTTCGAGTCAATCCGCGGCACGCTATCAAAATGGGAATTCAGGGGCACGGAAATCGCAGAGAGGGATGAGATCAAAGACGAAATAACTTCCGGAGAAGTTGGATCAATGGAAGAGGCTGGACCATGGGCACGTTGAGGGAGGGACTGTCGGCGACGCCTTCGATTGTACAGAGCCGAATCGACCTGGGCTGGAGGCGCCGCGGCATCACCATCATGCTGCATGGCGTTCAATAGTTCAACAACTTTCAATTAGTAAGATTTTAATTAAGAGATTAGCTAGATATGCAATGGCTGGCCAGCACACATCATGCGTTCCAGACTGTACGTAGTAGGTACGTAGTAGCCCCAGGCTGGTGCAGTTTTCGGTTCCCTTGCGAGTGCCCCCTTACCGAGGTGGGGAGGAACACAATTGATAAGAGAAGAGATGATAGATAGATAAAAAAGATAGACGATCAACGAGTGTAATTAATTAGGATGAATTAAAGGCATGAAAGGGAAAAGGAGGGGGGAATGGTAAAGAAGGTTAATTATGGCGATAAGTTTCCTTTTCCAGTAGCGTTCAATCTTCATCCTCTTTCCACCCTTTCCCTAAAGCTCCACAAATGGATCCCGAATTTCCCACTGGTTTGTGTATGTTCACGATCCAATGGGTCCAATCATAGTGTATGCTTGTTTGGGTCCGAGCTCAATCTTATGCATCTGCATTCCTTTCCATCCCCCGTTCCACGTGGAATTGACATAAGAGCTTTTCTCAGGTTCTAGAAGACCCCCTTCATATTTCCAAGCGTGGAAGTGATCTGAGGGGTAACAATGGATTATTTCGATTGAGGTAGCTTGTTTCTATGGAGATATCAGGTCCCTTCTGTGCCCACATGAGCATATGGGGACCATTAAATCGCCACTTGCAGCCCTGGTCTTTCTGGGGAGACCTTCCAAGGTCAATTTGATAATCATTTCTCGGAGGTTCCCAACCTACACTTGTCCAGGTGAGCATCCATGGATGTAGATAGGTATGTGCCTGGGTATGGATAGTGCTGCAGGTGGTAGACATTCTTAGGATACATATTCCTGCGTGGACAGTCCTGTAGCTTCAACTGGTGGAAATGCACATGTGTACCTGGGTATACCAAAGCAATGAGCAGATACCCATCAGCTTTGTTAAACCAGAGGACATTTTATTGTCATTTTATGCAGTCACAAAACACGTAGGTAACCTTGGAACGCTCTGAACATTGCTTGGACGGCAGTATGGAGTATATATTTACTGACCGCCTACTAGGAACTGGCAGTATCTTGTTGTATCGTCACATTCCCTCAGCTGTTCTCTGACTCCAACTCACAATTTTGTGCCTCAAACTATTCTCAAAGTGATAGCCATCAAATCCAAAGAATCTTGAAACTGTCAAAATCTAGAGATGCGTTGACCGAATCCGTGCCCCAAACCATTGTCCGCAATGGACGCTTATCCAGAAGACTACGTCAACCACAACATTCCCTTGGTCTTGTTATCGGGGCTCGAAGCAGACCATGAAGATGAATCAGGATCTAATATTAAATACCCGCTGCTTGCAGCTAGGGGACACAAGATCTTCTCAGACTTCCCTCCACTGAGAGGGGCCGTTGCGGAGGAGCTGCGAAATGTGCTTGTTGAAGAGAATGGCTTGAAAATGACCTGGAGATCGAGTGTCAGCTCTAATGGCGGCTTGACTTCACCACAGATTCGCTTTCGAGTCAAGAGTACTGGCCGGGTGTGTCCCCTAATCCCTGGATTATCCCCAAGCTGGCCGCTAATCCCATCAACAGTCTTATCAGCTCCCGCCTCGAAAAGCAGACCCCCCGCATAACTCATTCTTTGCGGGCTCTCTTGAAGCCACAAGTACGCCATTTGTCCTTCACTCGCCCATATCACCTCTCACTCCGGGTTCTCCCACTTTTCCCGATGGCCTCCTCACGCCGTGGTGGGTGACAAAACACCAAGATCTCGTCCCCGCAGCGGTAATCAACTTTTTCCCTTTTGCCTTGGATTCCAATATGAACTCTCTTCGAGACAATCAACTAAAAATCGAAATCAATGGCCTGAAAAACGAGTGGTCTTCGTCGGGGTTCAAAACCCTATTTCTAGTCGTCTTGATTTCCGAGGATGGCGATGGTTATGTCGGAGAAATCGAAGACCGCGTTGCAGGAATACGGAGAGCAACAAATTTGGATCCGAAGTCCATATTTGTGATCCCACCGGACGCGACACCCGCAGAGTTGAGGGACTTCGCAAAATCATTGTTCTCTCTGTTGCAGCCCTCAGTCGTAGAGTATTACCGGGATTTATCAAAACATGCACGGCGCAAACGAAATAGAGGTACCATTCCTCCTCCCACTGCACCTCCTACTAGTGGAACGTCCCAGACTTTATCATCACAGGGTTGGAATGTACGATACGAGTTCAAACTTGGAATTTTTGCCGAATTTAGACAGGAAATGGATGCGGCCTGTCGAAACTACGAGGCCGCCTACGGGATCCTCTTTGGACAGGAGGTTTTCGAGAATATTGCAGGCTGGGATCCCCGTTTCAATGACGCCCGTCTCCTAGGTGATGCTCTCGCAATTCGCATTATTCGCTGTCTGTTATGGGCAGGCAATACAACTGTTGCAGTAAGATACTGGGTCGACCACCGAGCTCGCACAAAGGATATCATCAATCGAAGAGGAAAGGGCAGTAAGAACTATGGATGGGAGGCCTGGGAGGCACGATGGTCTACGGTTATGGCCCAGCTCATACGACGCTTGGAAACGTCTCCTCTGTCATCCAGTACAGATCAATTACCCGAGTCTCCTCAGATTTACATGTCTCCCGAGAAAACTATCCTCCCTGGGGAACAAGTCAACCCATGGGAACATTTGCACCATGCGGGATACTGGCTGTACCGCTCAGCTAAACATACCATGTTCCGGCGAGTGCTCGCAGAGCAGATTCCTATCGAGGATCGAGCATCTCCGGACCAATCTTCTGCTTCTAGGATTGCTAACAAAACCTACCTGTTTGATACCTACCTTGCCCCAGAGACGCATGTTGAAGCTCCTCAGTCTGGACAGACGGGGTTTGACCATTCTGGTCTGATTTTGAGCACAATGAAAGATAGCTTGGAAGAATTCTCCAAACGGCAACAAAATCGGAAAGTGGAGAGCCTGAGTCTTGAGATTGCCGAAGAGTATATGCGTAATGGGGCATGGACCGAGGCGTATAATTTCCTCAAGCCTCGGTGGTCAACTCTTAGCTGGCGCCGCTCTGGCTGGTGGCTACTGATGGAAAAATTTGGATGGGTATTGAGAGAATCTGCAGTTAAAGCGCAGGACAGTGAGATGATTCTCAGGGTGGACTGGGAACTTCTCAACAAGGGTCAGTTGTCATATTTTCATTCCTTGGAGCTAGGTTCTAACCATGTACAGTCTTTCCTTCAAGAGCCACCCAAAATTATGACATCCATAGAACGTTGGAGAGCTTTTCCTCTGAGAAGCCTAAGCCATCTGTTGTTCTTCGCGCTGAAGACACTATGGCGCCTTGTGAGTCAACAATAAGACGTAATATCTGGACCTTATTCTGATGTGTATTAGTGACCGCGTCGGTTGTCTTTGGAAAACCCGAGGGCAATGTTGGCGAGCCCCTGCAAGCTCAACTCATTATCACTTCCTGTGCTCATAAATCAGCGGCCCCCATCAAACTTGCCAATGTGAAGATTGTATTTGAAGGGTGTCTTCGCCCAGTAAAACTTCAATCTGACCATGATGAAAATCCCGACATTACAAGCAAGTGCTGTATTTCATCAGTATCACTCCGTGAGCCAAGCAATCCGGGGGATCATGGGCTTCAATCTCCAACCAGTGGCCTGTCTGCACTCATCGGCACGGCTGATTTGACAATTGGATTTTCTCAGACTAAAGTCTTTAACCTCACATGTACTCCTCGGGAGGCAGGAGAGGCTCAGGTTGCGTCTATAACGCTGCTTGTGGATGAAGAGAAGTTTGATCTTGCATGTGTGATCACAGATCAAAACCCTCACGAATCGTATTGGTGGCAGCAGACCACCATCGGTCCATCTCGCAGACGGATCGGTAAGGACCGAGACACTGGGAAATGCAAGGTCATGCCTAAGCCACCCAAGATTCGCATTTCCACCCCCAACCTTAAAGAAAATTACTACACTAACGAACGGGTTGCGTTGACGATCAGTTTCTTCAATGAAGAAGACGAACCCGCCGATGTCTCTTCCGAGATCAGACTTTTTGGAAGCCCAGATTCCACAGCTAAACTTGAGTGGCTTGATGCAGAGGCAGAGGCAGATTTAGATCCTGAGTCTCCTATGTCGGGCATGAGTTCCCCTACTGAGGGTCAATATCATTTCTTGAAGCGAACTGTCGGAATTATGCAAAGTTCTTCCAACAGAGATCTCATTGTAGCCTTTACCGACACTCAGGATGCAGCAAAGTACTCTGTGGAGATTACCGCTACGTATAACCTTGTTTCAGATGCTCAAACGCCTATAATCAAGACCATCACTGTGGATCTGTCGTTTATTCGGCCCTTCGAAGCCAACTACGAGTTCCTTCCTTGCATACATGATCAGCCTTGGCCGAACTTCTTTGCAGTCAGCGATGAGCTGCTTGGGAACGAGTCCACACCCACTGCGGGAGGCTTATTACAAAAATGGTGCCTCAATTCTAAGCTTGTTTCATTTGCCGTTGACCCTCTTGTCATTGAAAAGATGTCTTTGAAACTCATTACCCAAAATGGTGGAGCCGTGAGTACCATTGAAAATGAGGTTCTCATCAGTCAAGAGACCCCTCACATTAGTCCAGAAGAGCTTCGTGAATCCAATTTCTTGATAGATATCCAGAAAATGACTCTGGGTGACCGTCGGCCATCGGCGCTCAACTTTGCATTGGAGATTGAGTGGAAACGTTACACTTCCACAGACGAACCCCCATCTGAAAATGACAGCGACATCACTACCACTACCCTGGATATCCCTCGGTTCACCGTCCCGATGGGTGAACCTCGAGTCCTAGCCTCAGCGACGGCTTCCAGTGTCCTGTCAGGACTGATTCATCTTGAATATGTCCTGGAGAACCCATCCACGCATTTCCTCACATTCAACTTGATCATGGAGCCCAGTGAACAATTTGCCTTCAGCGGTCCCAAGACGACTGCCGTTCAGCTCGTACCATTGAGTCGCCACACCGTGCGCTACAATATTTTGGCTGCGAAACGTGGGCTTTGGATTCAGCCGCAGTTGTTGATTGTGGATACTTACTTCAACAAGACTCTCCGGGTGCTTTCTACAGGAGAAATGCGCTCTGATAAGAAGGGCGTATTGGTATGGGTGGATGCAGATGATTAGCCGAAGCCCAGATATGAGCTGTTTTCTTCTTTACTCCCCGTGGCCAGATGTCTGTTTTATTTACTTCCCTTTGTAATCTAGGTGACTTCCACTCGTCAATATTAAAACTGTATTTAGATGAATCCAACTTGCAGACAAGGTCATAAAGTTTGCTTGATCAGTTACTTGCTTGTATTAGACTAGGTATGAAGACTAAAGATCCTAGTATTATCTGTAAACAGTGGTGTATTAAAGTGAGCCAAAGGGTTTCTCACGTGTTGCCATACTTCGGATCCAAAACGGGTTAGCGGCGATCGGGGCGTTACAGCTCTCTCCATGAACTTCGTCACTTCTGCGCTTCATAACGTGGATATAGACTCCTCGGAGTTGTGAATACTGGCTTTACTTTCCGACATTGTGTCTAGATTGCTTTCACTGCAAAAGATTTCTTCAATTATTTCTCCCCCAACACGTCTCTTACTTCATTTTTTCAAACATTTGAACCAACAGCCTTTGTCAACTCGCAACCATGACAACCCAGGCAGCGCTAATATTTGATACAATTATCGGTCTAAAAAGAGCATTGCGCCGAGAATATGAAGGTCAGTGGCACTGCATTGCTCTTCGCTACTATTCTTTAAAGACACTGACATTCTGTTCCTCACAGATGCTGGCCCAGATGATCCCATCACTCAGCCGACGAATCGCGGGAATAAAATGAAGGCAAATGCGAAGTATGTGAGTCAAGGAGCACTGGGGCATATCAATGGCGAGGAATTTTACAAAGAGGTACGTGATTTTTTTCTGAGAAATTCAGCCTCGGCGGGTTCTCTGTTGTGGTGACTTGAAGGACTCAGAATAATTGACTTTGGTTATTTTATCATGCAAATAGAAAGTCGAACATGCCGGTTACAAAAGATGCATTCTACAACGTAATCCTATACGCTACGATTCAGAGGGTGAGGAGCTTGATGAAGAGGAGGAAGATTCTGAGGCCGACGCTGCCGCAGCTGAGGAGAACCCGTTCTCAGGGATCGCGTTAGAAAGTTTGTGATCCCACTTTTGATTGTTTGATTAATTGGCCTTTAGAAGTCCTGACTGTTCTATCTCTTACAGCACTTTTGTGTCCATTGAAGCACCCTTCTGAACTCTCGACCCACCCTTCGTTGTCCCAGGCCTACAGCTCCCAGGCTCTTGAACAAATGACCAAAAAGGTTGAGGAGAAGTTACGTCAAGAACGGGCTCTTTTGTGGCGCGCCCGCAATCTACATCGTGAATTCTTGGGTGATATCGGATGGATGCCGTGCGGTGCTGTCGAGACACCTGAGGACCGTTATATCTTTGACCCGAGGGTTATAGACGACTCACAACGCATGTCTGGTCAACAACACCCCATACAGAATGGAACCTCCTCTGCTGGTGGCGTGACTAGCGCACCACAAGAGATCCACACTCAATTCACGAACGGGGATCAACAAACACAGAATCAAGTGGGGAATGAATCACGGACTGAAAATAATGATGTGGCGATGGCCGAGGTCCCAGCCGGAGATTTGATTGTGAACAATTATTCTACAGGGCAGAACATCTCTCTCAAATCAGAGGAAGCCGATGCAGCAGTCAACGATCTTCCACCGCACCTTGCCAATGAGGAGGTGGACAAGGATAGAGAGATGGTTGACCCCGAAAGCACACATTCAAACCACAATGAAGGAGACGCTGAGATGCACGATGGATCTTCACCTTCACCGCCTCGTCGTATGACCACTCGTGCACGGGCTAGTGCAGCAAATCCTCAGGACGGCCAGTCTCCGTTGTCTTCAGCCGACACTGCCAGCACCATGCCCACCGCGCACCCACTGTTCATAATCCCAGACAACATCCGTCCAGATCCAAACTATGGTCTCCCAGCACTTGAAGCAGAGGAGACGCGTCGTCTGCTCTGGTCCTACATCCAGAAACAAGAAGAGACAGTGCGAGGATTCGAGCACATGCTCGACTCCTTGCTTCGCGCATGCCGTATGAAGGCCAACGTGTTGGAATGGTCTAAGGCAGAGGGCCATGTTGGAGAGATGAGCGATGGCGAGGACTGGTATGATCGTGAGAAATGGGGTCTTGCAGAGGGCGAGGATCTCAAAAAGGGTACTGATGAGGACGAGGTCGAGGTGGCGGATGATAGTCGGACTACAGCCAAGAGGGGCCGTGGACGACGAGCGTGATTTGTTTATAATCACTACCATGTTGCTTCATTTTCTTGTCCATTCTCCCCCGAGGTCTGCAATGCCCTCAGTTTCTCATAGCGTGGTGTTGTTGGTGTTGGGTGGTAATGTTTCTTCTATATCTCTTTGCTACGGGCCCTGGATATGCCATTTCATATATACCATTGCATTTTAAGATTGTAATTCAATAAGACGAGTTTCATTAACGCCTATTGCTCCAGTGCTGCTTTTACTAACGACAATTTGATCCGGAGCTCTTCGGGTCCTTTCGATACAACCCACGAGTTTCAAGGGTTTTATTATTAATGTGAAAGCATACATTTTCCGTAAATGATTTGATGTGATTATTCAATATCAATGTTGATAGGTTGTTACGCAGATATTTCCACCTTGAGTCGTCTGCTCAGGAAGCAGGATATAGATGATAACAGGAGGTCTCATTGAGATCATGGGCTTGCTTCTTGATCCAACTAGGAGAATAGGGAGGGTTTTTGCATAGGGATTTGTCGCTTTGGGTGAACGGGAGGTTTTCTTTGTCGCATGAGGGGATAGTGATAAGAGGGATGCACTCGGTGTACATCTGGGCGAGGATAACGTCTATGTTTTACGTTTTCCATCATCGTTGAAGATTTGGATGGATCCAAGGATCCTGATCCGGCGATTAAAAGCGCGTCGGTATCGTCGAAAATCGTCATGTGAGGGTTATGGTGTTGAAAGTCCATGCTGACCCTGTCGTACATGCCTATCGCTTACAGGTTCTTAACATCCTTGTTTCTGGTGCGCTGACGCTCGCGCTTGGCATAAATCTCGGCAGTAAATGGGCTAGTCGCAGTCAGTAAAAGTTTCGTCTTTCAAGGAAGCAAACCCACTCTTCCCATCGCAGAGCGAAGATATATAAAATCAAGACTTCAAGAGTCAGCAACAGACCGGCCACCTTGCCCTTCCACAGCGTAACACCAAGGAAGTTCATGGTACTCCCCCAGTACATTGGAGAGCCGGTGACATTGAAGGGAAATCCGGTCACCGGGGCATCCATGAGAATGCCGAAGTAGTCACCCAGGTAGGTACCAGTCACACCAAGAGCCCACATGCTCGAAACAACCAGGACAGAGCCACTGGCTATCAGAGTGGCGCCAAGGATAGGTTGGTGAACCGGAGCGTAGAAGGGTTGCTCATCCAGAGCGACCGAGAAGACATGGTCACGCAGAATTCCAAGGGAGAAGATGGTAACGGCGAGAAAGTAGCATCCACGGTAAGGACCGCCGAAAATACGCGTGAGAGTTCGGTTATTGTATTCTGTTGTTTGGATTAATTATCTGACTAGTCAAATATGATGGTTGCGGATACAAAAGACTAACCTGCGCGAGCGACGATGCTGCAAAAACAAATTAGTAAATGCTAGATCGCAACAGTTTTGATTTTAGGTATACGGTTGACTTACTTCCAGAAAATCGGGTTAAAAGCAATGGTAGCCGCAGATACTTTTACAGTCAGTCCGCAATCACATGCAAAATATTGGGGGGCCTGTTAGACAAGACCTACTAAGGAAAGAAGTCGATGATAAGTCGACAATATCAACCAGATGAGTCATGATGAAAGAAACGCTTTGGTGGAAATGACCAAAAGGCTAAGAGTGGAGAAGGCTACGAAGTAAAAGAGGGAGGGGATCGAAGAGAAGTTGGGGTTGGTTAGGTTGGTTAAATTGTGGGCTTAAGTAAACAAAATGACGTCTCTCCTCGCGGTCACGGGATTTATGCTTCTTAGCCAAAGCTAATTTGCTGCTTCACCGTCCACTGGCTTGCGACTTGTTTTATATCAAATTCTAGCATATCGGTCACATCTTCCTGGCCCACTTCCTCTCCTTAATCGCCACTCTTCCCGCGTTGCCGATGTCGAAGCAAGCTCCCCACTCTTGACCCACGCCGACGGCTGGCTGCCAGACGTGGAGCTCCTACTTATATTCGGGGAGAATGGAGCTTCAACGTCGCGATCTTTTACTCGCAGGTGTCGGTGGATTCATTGCTTGGGGACTATTAGTGAGCTGGTGGCCTGTCCTCCGGTACCTGGGATATGCGCTGGCGCTGGGTGTCGCCCTGTCATCTGCTAGCTTTATCGCCCTAGTGATATTGACTACCCGAAATGAAAATGGAAGGCCTAGAAGAACAAAAAGCGCTTCCATCGCATTCATCAAACCAATACACTGGCGCAAAGAACTGTTCAATGTGCGTAAAAGCACACAATATCGCGCTAAACCTCTTTATCCCCAATCCTTTGTCGTATCAGAAAGCATCGACGAACTCCTGTCTTTTATAACCCGGGACTTCATCTCATCATGGTATCACAACATCACTCCGAGTCCGGTATTTGGAAATGAAGTCGATCGAGTCATTCGTGTTGCCCTCGAAAAGTTTCGAGATAAGCTGCTGGCTGAGGACCTGACCTCTTTGGTTGTGTCGAGGATATTTCCAATTGTGACAACCCACCTGAAAGAATTTGATGTAGCTGAACGCTCAGTGCGCGGCCGAAATCTCAACCGTAAAGTGACCGAATCTGAGGAGCTCGATCTGGCCATTGCCAATAAATTTCGCGAGGGTCGCTTACATCCAGTGGTGGACCTCTCTTCTTCTGATCCAAAGCCCAGACAACAGGAGTATTTACGCAAGATGACAGTGGGACTTCTCCCTCAACTATTTCCAGAGAGCGTACTGAAGAGCAAAATTGTCTCCGTGCTGGTTCGTGAGATTATCGCATGCGCGATTCTTGTTCCACTGGCAACTGCCTTGTCAGATCCTGATACCTGGAATCAACTAGTGGAGGCATATGGACGCACGGCTCTTCAGGATCGGAAAACTGTGCGGAAACTTCGAGCTGCTCTGGATGAGCATGCGTCTGTTATTCCCAAATCCAAACGTGGACAACCATTTCCAAAACTTGCAGCACATGATTCTGAACGGGCCTTTGAACGCTTTGTTCGAACCATTAGGCGCTGCCAGAATTTATCTGATGCTCGCCGATTCCGGGCCCTCGTTGCCAGTCAGTTGAAGCGAGAGAGCATGGTTGTTGATCAAGATCAGGTCTATCTTCGGCGCTTAGAAACCGGAAAAAGAGTTCTGGATCAAAAAGTAGCAAAACTCTCTACCCCGGGAGATGCTGCGCATATTCTCCCTCCCACTCCTACCTCTCATGAACCAAATCCTGCCCTTCACAAATCCTCCCTAGTGGATGTGATGCACAACGCGTCAGGTCTTTCATACTTCATGGAGTTTATGGATCGCCAACATATGATGCCGCTTGTCCAATTTTGGATCGTCGTGGACGGCTTCCGCAACCCATTGGAGGATGACTTCGGAGATGAAGGCTCACCCACTTCATTTAAGTGGACTACTGCCGATCGAAATGACCTTTCACTCATCTATGAGACATATCTCTCAAAGCCAGAGCTCAAGGTTCCCGCGGAGTCCCGTCGTACTGTCAAGATCTTTCTCAATGCCGGGAAGCGTGCAACTCCCGAGCAGTATCACAAAGCGCGGACAGTGGTATTGACTACGCAGTCGGCTGTTCTTGAGGAGATGGAGAGCATTTATTACTCAAAATTTAAGGAATCAGATCTTTACTGGAAGTACCTTGCATCAGATCAAAGCGCAACTTGCCAGCCATCCCCCAAAGCTGTTTCATTTGACCCTCCTGAAAGACGACCTCTTCCTCCTCTTCTTATACGAACATCTTCTCAGCAAGCTCCAAGGGGAGCAAAGGACCTCCGAAGAGCTGCTGTCTCCTCCAGTGATGTGCGAGCCATGGGCAAGATGTTTGACGATGATGATTCCTCACGGCGATCTATAGACTCTGAACGATCTGCACCTCTTTTTGACGACGACTATGATACAGATAACCTGGCAATGTCCACCAATAGCCTGGGTAGGGATTCTCAAAATGGTGATAATGACGCAACCCGAAGCCGGGTTCTTGAAAACATGGAAGCAGCTCTCAATGATATTATCACCAACGAGCCAAAGAATGGCCGAGTAGAAGAGCTGAAAGGCAGCGAGGCATCCTCTTCCTCTTTGTTTGGGTTTGAACAACCCGACAACTCTCGCCGTCGAGGCTCATCCGATTCTTCGCGCACTGACACCCGATCAAATGAGAAGACTAAGAAGAGTATCTCATCTTTGGGCCTGATCGACCATGGATCAAGACAGGGTGTTTTCGAAGATGATCTTTTCCCAGATCAACGGAAATTCATTGAGGATGAATACGATGAGCCCATGGGGACCGATGAAAAGGATCCAGCAGACGATATTCACGAGGCTGCACCCGGTGACCTTGGGCTCACTGAGGCGATTGAAGCTCTCACCACAGAAATTGACAAGCTTACCTCCCAAGACTCAGTGGTCGAAGCGCTGACGCGAAAGGCTGAACTAACCAATAACACATCTGAGCTACGAATCTTGCGCAAGTCCAAGGCCAGCATACAGCGTGAAATCCACCGCAAGGAAATGCAACGACAGCAGTATATCATTCAAGAGAGTGATAATAGTCTACACGGCCGGTCAACGGTTCGCATCAAATCAATCGTGGTAGGAAAGGAGGAGGCTGATGGTCGTGAATTTGCCATATGTGAGACTCTTTCCCGAGCTGTTTTCCCTCTTTTTCAGATCACTGATATCAAAATCTAGATGTTGTTGAAGTTCAACGCAACGCCGGCGAGCAAATGCCTGCTGCTTCGTGGGCGGTTGCACGCAGATACAGTGAATTCCATGAACTCAACCAGAAACTACGTATGAGCTATCCGTCAGTTCGACAACTGGAATTTCCTCGTCGACGTGTTGTTATGAAACTCCAGAAGGAATTTCTCCAAAAACGGCGATTGGCCCTCGAAGCGTACTTGCAGAAACTACTTCTTCTACCAGAAGTCTGCCGCAGCCGTGACCTGCGTGCTTTTCTCTCCCAACGCGCTATCATACCTCGCAAGGAAGTAAACTCTCGCGGCGGTGATGGCGAAACCAAGGACCTTGTGACTAGAATCTACAATTCAGTCGCAGACGGCATGGATGACTTCCTTGGAAACTTCGGCGTCCTCGACCAGCTCTCAACCGCCGGCCAGAATCTCATATCGGCTGCAACCCAACACTCCAACTCTCTGACCACTCACGACCCCGCCCTTGCGACAGAAGATGCCGTCACAACGGCTGAGGCAGAAGCCGAGTTGAACGCTTTTGAAGACCGCGAACTTGAGCCCTTCATCAAACCTATATGTGACCTTTTCCTCGAAGCGTTCGAGCTGAACCGCGGAAATAATTGGCTGCGTGGCCGTGCTGTTGTCGTTGTGCTACACCAACTGCTCGGTGGCACCATCGAGCGCAAGGTTCGTGACGGTGCCCGCTCTCTATTCCATGAGGATTCACTGCTCCGGTACATCACCCTTGCCCGCAACGTGATGTGGCCAGGTGGTGTGCTCCGCAAAAGCGCCCTTCGCTCCACAGCCGATCGCAATAAAAGCCGTGCTGAAGCTACCGTTGTTCTAGCCACTCTTATCCCAGACTTAGCAGGTAACGTTGTCGGCCGTGCCAATGCGCAAGCTGCCGCACGCCGCATCTTTGCTATGTTGAACAACGAACCACTCAATACTCATCTTGCTTTTACCATTCTTGACGAAATCATCCTGGTGCTCTTTGGCAGTCGGGAGACTGGCCGCTCTCGATGAGGCCTGTTTTACTCATATTTCACCCCTACCCTATACACTAATTCACGACTTCCTGTACGCACTATGATTACATCGTTTCATTGTTTCTTTCCACAGGGCACTTTTGGCTCTTATTATGTTTTGTTTTTGCCTCCATGGCCATTGGTGTAAATATTCATGATATCGCATATACTGCCTATGTAATAATGCAATTTTATAAGCATACGTCTTCATGCTCTGTTCTCTCTAATTTCGATACCAATGGGTCAATCAAATGGGTCAATTTTCCAGATTTAATAAGGCGAATAGCTTCGTAGACTGGATGTTTGGATTCAGATTATCAGATGACGCAAGATACCGACAAACTGACGCATTTTCCAAAAGTCATCTAATGAGCTTCAAAATGATTGGGAAAAGAAGGGGGAAAGAGTGGGAGTTGGCAAAACTACCAGGCGTGATAGTTGCTACTAACTCAAATCTCCAACCTATGGTGCTCCGCTGCTCACTGTTATCAACTACACCATATCGGATATTAGTTATTCTTATATTGACATTATGACCTTTGACCACCTAAAGTTAGTATACTGAACCTTTATAGCTCCCCGTGCGTGGTTCTATAGGGGTCTTATTTTCCACCTAGCTTTATGTTAGTTTACCCCTCCTAATTTCATTCTTACATAGGTACATGGGAATGGTGGGAAACTGTTTCTCACAATAACAGAATGACTAGGAACTCAGAGCAGCAAGTACGCCTTGCCGCAGCTACTGCTTCCTGTTAAAAAGGCGCTTCGCCATAACCCCTGCAACCACCACTCGCTGGATGAGGCGGTGCTATGCGCCAATTCCATTGCGCCAATAGTAGTATACAATCAACCAACACCTCTCACTTACCACTTCAAGAGCGCATAAGACACAAAGGATTGTTCACCTACGCCGTCCCAACATGACGTGGCAGCTGATTTTGGCGTCCTTTAACATGACTTAGCCAGAAGTCGGATATGCCATAAATCAAATATTTAAAGGGCTGCCTTCACTAATTTTATTTCCTCGCATATGTCACAGTTAACACTTCGAAAGCGAGCGTAATGTTGGATATGACAGAGCTGAGGAGCAGATATGAGACCGTGAGGGTCACCGAGGATAGCAAGGATAAAATCATCGAGGCATGCTTAGTATATACAACGTTGCGGACCTGAACTGACAGGATTTTATTGAGCATAGGAACTTCTTTCGTGTGTGCAAAGCCTTGAAGGGGACCTTCACCGCGAGAAGAACGAATATCAAGACCAGAAGGTGCTGGTTGAGAATTACAGGGAAAAAGCCAAGGGCTTCGAGGAAGAAGCAAAGAATTCCCGGGTTGAGCTAGAGGAGAAGTCTCGCAAGGAAGTGAGTATTGTAATGACCTCTCTTTACTTGATGAATCTGTAAGCCTAAATCCTGGAATCTGCTATTAACAATATGAGTATAGGCGAAGTTGAAGTTTGCATCGGTGCTTGTTGATGGTGATCACATGAATGTCAGCGCAATGTTTCCCCACAATATTTTCACTCAAACTAAATCATTGCAGTTCAGGGACAAGTTTGTTCAAATGGGACAGAAAGGCGGTCGACAGGCAGCGAGAGCTCTTATCGAAGCAGTTCAAGATCATGTCCAAGAGGTCGTATCTGATGCCAGCCCTAACATCTGCTACAAGATTAGGGTGTATGCGAATATGGCTGGTCTAGCAAACACATATTGCAATGCTAGTGTTGTCAGTTCTCAGGGTATAGTAAGATCTTTCATCCAAGGTTTCAACATGGAAGATGCTCTATGTGACTTTGTGGATGCAGGCAGTGGGAAGGAATGCTCCGATGTGAAGATTGGAGGTAAGATAGTGCTGTCCTTTACTCTAAGGACAAAAAACATATAACTTTTCCCTAGCACTCCTGGAACGCGATTGTCTCGACATCCATTGCCAACGCATCATTTTCTGTGGATCTGCGGACAATGGCTATGCCCGTATATTGGGACCTCATCGCAAATCGAATCGTATTTCACTGGTAGAAGGTCCACCATTCGCTGATGAACTAAAAGATCTGGCATCTGTCTTCGCGACAGCCTCGTTTCCTGAAGTTTTCAGGTCGGAGAAGCTGCCAAGAAGAGTATCCTTTGGGGGAATAACAGCTACCAAAATACCCACACCGCCACAGACGCCGGCTCCGAACTACGCTGATATAGCCAAAAATACGCCTTCAATGTCAAATGATAGCTCCCTGACGACTAATTCGCCCACTAAGGCTCTCCCAACCGGCGGTGTGAAGTTATCCGTTTGCAAGAACGCGAATGGTGAACGGGTTGATAGCCCGCTACAGTTTTCCACGAAGGGCAAAATCGACGTTCTTAAGCAGCATAAATTCTGCAACCAGTTCCATATATTGGGATCCTGCTCATGGGGAGAAAAGTCTTGTATCTTTAAACATGAGCCAGGACTCGTTGAGAAAGAGGTATTTGATCTGATGTGGATTGCTCGTTTAAGTCCTTGTCCACAAGGTTTACAGTGTAATGATGTGAGCTGTATCAATGGTCATCGATGTCCACATGGGAATTGTGGACGGGATTGCAAGTTTCCTCACAATGTTGACACTAGAATTGTCACCCGGATTTGAGGGTTTGAATCACTCTAGCTATAGTTTTTCACTTCCAGTGTTATTCAACGACTGTGAAGTATTTCTTTATCATATCAAATGCTCTTTTTCTCTAGTAATAGTATTCATGAATTCAATCCCAAGAATTATTGTAGTTGATTGGCGAGCTCAGTAGCTTTCAACATATCTTCCAGCTCAAGATGCCTACAGACCTTAGCTATAAATTTTTTATGACAGTTGCAATCTTGACCACGTGCGGTATTGACATGACGTTCGAGGTCATGTTAGGATTGGCACGCATCCGTCTCTATAAATTGTCAAGATTTCCGACCAAGTAATCAGTAATCTTTCTTTAATAAGAGGGGACGGGCTCGTCGTTTTTAATTTCATTCAGTACCCTTTTAGCCAAACCTAGGTAAACTTTCGTGCTTCTATTTATGTACGTTTAACACGCGTCAACGTGTACTCTTTTTTAATACTATTACCAGGTCAAAAGTCTGATCCCATGAATACTTCTTCTACCACCTTGAAAGAGCAAACCTGACCACTTTTGGTATATGTTATTCAAACACTACATCTATAGTTAGGGAAAATTTCTGATAATTTTGCAACACAGCCAAGGGTCTAAAATCATTTAGCACTCAGCTCACCTTAAAGCAACCATAGCCTCCAGTGTGCGAAAAACTAGTAGATTAGATGGAGTAGGGATAATTATTTTTAGGTAATCGTTCACGGGGTAGCCGATGATGCCTTTCAAGGCCTTCCTACTATAGGTGGTTTCCTTGCTATGAAGCCACTTAAGAGGAGAGATTTGTAGACACTCGAATAGAGCAAGGATGCGAAAGATCGATCCTTCTATAAGTTCATGGAAGCTGATGGCCGGGACAGTGTTTGCCAGGCATTGAAGATGATAGACCTTATTAGAGGCCTTCCGCCCCAAGAAATGTATTTTATCGGGTTCATCGTGTTAAGTCGAGAGCATGTAGCATGTAGCAAGTATGCAAGTTCTGGCAACTTTGGTATCCAGATTTGATCTGGAATCTGTTCAGATATATGCCTTAACATAATTCCAGTAGTCTGGGTAGAAGCCGCTCATCTCCCAGTCCAGTATAGCTACGATATTACCATCACGAACCAGAATATTTCTAGGAGCAAGATCATTATGCGTCAGAACGATTTCATACCCATTTAATGAGTTGATAAAGCGTGTTACCATCTGAGACCACAAGTTATCGCCTCCTGCTAGTAGTATCTGCACTAGGCTCTCATGAAACTCTCTCATAGTATCGTAGGGTCCATACGTCGAGCTACTATCGAAGAACTGGTCGTGGCAGGGCAAGGAGCCGAGAGTTCCAATAAAGCTCCCCTTAATCGAGCTAGGCTCGTTCATATATTCCCGAAGTTGAGTGAGCACTCGCTGCTTCTGCTCAGGATAATAGTTCAGCCAGGCCGTATCAATGCATTCCTTCAATAAATTCCCTGAAAATCAAGCCGCGGCCTTCTGGGTTGTTGATATATGCATCCAGAACTCTAGTAACAGAAATATATGTTTTCTCTGCCACGAAGCGCATTGTCGCAGCTTTTGACATTTCACAGTCAATCTTCGTAACAGTCACCTCATTCAGGCGATAAGTTCCAGAAAATGAGGCGAGAATCTTGCACTTCTTAAGAAACTCGTAATCGACTTCTAAACGTCACCACCATAATGTATAGGGTACCCGACTCCATCACCAGCTGATACATTTTGCTGAATTCTGGTGGTATTGCTCTCCCGTTTCAATAGTTTTTTCCATGGGGTATTCATTTTTCTTTACTGAATCTCGAGGTACAACATCAACAAGTTTCTCGAAGGTATTCAACGTAAAAGTGTCAAGTCGACTGGTTCAGACTGGCCAATCATTCAAATGCCACAAATGAATGAAACTGAATTTTCTAACTAGAGTGTAATCTGGCTTAAATACACACCGAAAAGTGGGTCCCAAATCACTTCCTTTGACAAAAAGTGTCAGCAAATTGGGCGGAAGGAAATGTTAACGATTGATTGATTGGCTAATTACGTGGGAAATCCACAGAAACTAAATAGTCCAAATAACATGCAAACAAAGCAAACAGTAACCGTCTGACACACCCCTTCAACTTTGGATGTAAGCATCGAAGTTGCCCAGCTAGACGCGAAAAGTACACTAATATCACGATAAAATTGCACAAAAACGAGGCTTTGTTGAATGCCTTTGAACAAGTGTTGAAATTGACGCTGTTGGAGCTCAATTATGGTATAGAAACCATATTCCATAGGTTCCTACATGATTGGTCTTTATAGACCGACGCGGAAAATCTTGATGAAGGGGTTTTACTCGATCAATTCTTCCACATCTTCCATATTGAGTAGCTTTACCCAAGATTCGAACCGTTGTCTGGGTAAGATCTTGGTAAAACCATCAGCTACCATCCGGGCGGTTGGGACCCAATCCACCTTAATGGTACCGGATTGCACCTCCTGTCGAAGCTAATATCGATGAATGTCGACATGCCTAAGCTTGGTTTCGAATCCATCTTCCGAGGTGAGTAGGGAAATGGTGCGTTGGTTATCGCAGTTAAGGGTGACTTGGTTAAAAGGCATTTCTAATCCGATGTTGGTCAGGATCCTTCTCCACCAAATCAGGGTCTTTCCTGCGTCGGACAACCCCAGAAGCTCTGCTTCTATAGTTGATGTCGTAACAGTTTTCTGTTTTGACGCTTTCCAGTCTATTGGTCCACCATATAGGGAGCAGACGAATCCAGCAGAGCTTTTCCGATCAGGATGATCGCCGTACGATGTATCGCTTGAGATCTGAAGAGCTAGATCATCTATTTCTAGTTTTGGGGTGCTATAACAGAGTGCCTGATACCGCGTTTGGTATAAGTAGGTGATGACTCTGTCTACTGCTGCATGATGCTGAGGTCCTGGATTTAAGAGGAAATATGAAAGCTTGGTGGCCGCTTTTGCAATGTCTGGGCGAGTAATCGAAGCAGGGTATTGGATTGATCCAACCTTTTCTTGATAGAGCTTCGTTTCTGCCGTAGTTGCTGTTCCTTCAAATGGTCTTATGTCTTCAACAGGGAGCGGTGTTGAGACTTTTGGGCGACCATTTAGCCCAAATTTGGCTGCTAAGCTAGTCAAATAGCTATCTTAGCATAGCCAGAGTTTGTGGGTTTCTCGATTCCGGATGATGCGAATATTTAGGAACCATTCTGCATCTCCATGATCGGTCAATTCCTAATGCTCTTCAAGGCGCTTTTCAATCAGCTTTGCGTACATATCTACGCTCTTATGACTTACGATCAGGAAGTCATCAACATAGAAGAAGATAATGATTCCTTGTCTAACGAACACACAGGGGTCCTCGGCCAGGCACTTTAGTCTAAGCTTAAGAAGAACACGCGATGCTTCCTTTTGCCATAACTTAGGCGCGATACGTAGTCCATATAATGCTTTCCGCAGCTTCCAGACTCTGCCTGACTTCCCTTGAAAACCTTTAGGAAGTTGTGTGTAAACGTCTCTTTCTAAGAAGCTGTTCAGAAACACGGCTACTACATCTCTCTGTCGCAGATCCAGGTTGAAGGCTGCGACTAGTGCAAAGATCATTCTTGTAGTTTTGATGGCAAGTGTAGCTGATTTGACTTCGTCCGGAGTTATCCTCTCTAAGTCTCCGCGGACGCAGATTCGTGCCTTACATTTCAAGAGGAGGCCATCTTCGTCAAATTTGTAGGTAAAAACCCATTTAAGCGGTAGGACTTGTTTTAAACGGTCATTTGGCCGATCCACCTCTTGAAAGGTTGCTTTAGCTGTCAGAGCTTGCACTTCTGACTACATTGCATCATTAAAACCATCTTCGAATTAATGTCCTTTTACTTCGCGAAAGGACTATGGAGGAGGAGGCAAATCGTCTCTATGTCTTCGCACATATTGATTCGAAGAGGGTTCTACCATTCTGGTAAAGAGAGCGGTTTAGTATAGAAGTAGAGCTTCTTGCTCTTCTTCATATTCCGCCTGAACTACTTTAAAGTACGACTCATCTTTTATAGTAAAGCTGGCGAAACATGCAGATCCACGGGTTCGCCTACTAGGGATGATATTAGACTCGTCTAGGTCTAAACCGATCTCCTTATATGTTTCAAATTCCCATTGAAGTTGACCTGCTGCATCCCGTGGAAGTTGTTCTTCATCCGGTATCAGATCCTGCTCGATTTAAGGATCTTCTGCGTCTCCTACCCCTTGATCTGAAACCAGGTGTCTAATATCTGGTGTAGGCACAGATACTAGAGAGTCAGGGAGCCTTATTAGTGGTGTTTCTAGGGCTTATGGAAGTGCTCCAGGGACTGATTCCGATCGATCTGATCGTAATCTCTGCTCGTCTAAACTTGGTGGTTCGTTCGAGTCTAGAACTTGGATGGGATCTGGCGCAGATTTGGGGTTTGAAGCCTTATTCCTATCTAATTCTGGTGTCATATTTAAATCTGCTAAATCTAGTGTTAAATTCACTATATTCAGTGTTGATTGTGTTAGATCTTCGCTTAGATCTTGTACACTATCATGCTCTGGCATTGGTTCGTGAGTATTGACTCCAATTTCTTGTTGTAGTGCCTGTTCCCTTTCTGTATCATCCAGAATTGTAGGCTCTTGGTCGAATTAAGCAGGAAGAGGCATCGGAATTTCCTCCCAAGGTTGGAAATTTGGTGAATATCGGCGTTTCTCGTCAAAAATAGTGTCTCTGACTAGCTCTACCTTTCCGCGGTGAGGGAACCAAATTCTCCATATATTAGATGCCATATAACCAACAAGAAAACCAATTTCTGCACGACGATGCATCTTATCCTTCTTCGCAATCTTTTGTATACAGCAGTACGCGAGGCTACCATAAAGTCGTAGATTCGAGAGGTTTGTCTTCGGCATCTTGTCTCCTGCGAACGGACGAGCTTCCTCCCAAGGAATTATCCATTTCCCGTCCACTTTGGTTGGTGTACGGTTTAGAATATAGACTACAGCTCTCACTGATTCAGGCCACAATTCCGCTGGGAGCTTCCCTTCCTCAAGAAGAGCTCTTGAGCGTAGTATAATGACTCCACCTGCTCGCTCTACTGGTCCGTTTTGCTCAGAATGTCCAGGGATTATATGACTAACGGTGATACCTTCTTGTCCAAGGAATTTCTCTGCTGTGATGTTTACAGCTTTCTCATTATCGTAGTGGAAAGTCTTGATTAGTAGCTTCCACCAGTTTTTGACTATGGCAATAAACATTCTAATAGATTCGTTTGTCTGCCATTTGCCTTTGAAAGTAGTCAGCCAATGTATATGGATACCATCAACGTAAAAATAAGATATCCATTGCTCTTCGTTGTACGCAATTGACATATGAATCAAATCCCATAAGATTTGTCCAAATCGTCCGAAGTTGCGGCCAAGTGGGCGTCGACTGATCTGTCGAGGTGCTTGTATAAGATGACAGGTTTCGCAGAGAGATTCAGGTTCGTCTGATCGCTCTATCTTAATGCCTTCTACTAGCTTTAGAAGCTGTAGGATTGGTTCCTGATAGACATGTCCAAGGCGTCGATGCCAAAGCTCTTGGCTGCCTTTAGACGTGAGCTGCTTTATCGAACGTCGCGTTGATAAGGTGTTTTGGTTTGATGTGACCAGAGCAGTTTGTTTAGCTGGAGGTTCAATCAGAATGAGTCTTTCTTTCTTCAATCTAATGGTCTTCATCAGAGGTTTCAAATCTCTCCCTATCAAGTATTCTTTGTCCGGCATCCATTCCCCTCCTTTATCCGTAAATGAGTAGTAGGAGAAGAGGTTAAGGACAAAATCTGGAGCGTATACTACATCTGCGATAGTAATATTCACTCTCTGGTCTGTCACTGGGTGGACTCCGGAAATGACATAGGTTCCTTGTCCAAGAGTCTTTATAGAGCCTTTACCCATGTTTAATCGACCATTCATCGGTTTGAAGTTGATGAAGCTTTCTCTGTTATTACACACATGTGTCGTTGCTCCTATGTCCAGGATCCAAGAGCCTTTCAAGCCTTAGGAGTTAGGACCAGTCAGGAGTGTGATCTTAGCCTTTAGATCGAATTTAGAATCATAATATAACTGTCGAGTAGATTCTATGCTAAAGCCGTTGCCTGTGAAATAGGCTGCTTCCATCGCTAGGTTGGCTTTATCTGTCGATGCGGTATTGGTTGGAGTTGATTTTTCAGAGGACTCAGAGATAGAACTTGTCTTTGATGCTTTCTGATTTGCGCGGTTTATTCTTGAGAACACCCATTCTTTCCACTTAGGATCGTCCTTGAACGCAGCTTCGACCGCCTCTTTAACAGAATTATTTGGCTTGTAGTTTAGCGGACGATTCGACTTCTTGTTTAGGAACCAGCAGCGTTCAACAGAGTGTCGCATACCACATGGGCATCCTCTTTCTTCAAAGCTTAAGGGCTTTAAATCTATAGGAGGTTGGTTCCCGGCTTCCGGGTTGCCTTGCCAGGTAGCGAATGCTCCTTTAAGGGCTGTTCCGGGAGTTGTTTAGGTGTTAAATGCTTCGTATATAGTCCTAAAATCATCAAGAATAGTCTGAATATCAGAACTATCTCCTTGAATGACAACTTTTGAGTGCCATTGCTGCCACCAGAATGGTAGAATCTCGCGTGTTAGACGAATGAAGAGAGAACGTAAGTCTTTGCTGTCTTTTGCAAGGACAATACCCTCAGATTCGGCTTCCTGTCTCTTGGTTTCCCAAGCATCCAGCCAGAGTAGTATGTTCGTTCCTTCTCTTGGCGGATTCGTCATGACATTCATCCATTGTTCAAGAATATTGGTGTACTTCGACGTCGATTTTCCAAAGCGTTTCTGGAGAAAGACAAGCTTTGCGTACGGACCTTTCTGAGATAGAACTAGATCCTGGAGGGTCTGCTCAAGATTCGTAGTAATATACTGGTTCAGTTCGCCGATTGCTTTATGCTTCTTGTCCCACTCATTCTTATGGTATTTGAATGTGTCGACATCGTCTCTCCATTCTCTGCGAGCACGTTCGTTCTTTCTGTGTGTCTCTTCATCGTCTCCTCTCCTCAAGGTTGGTTTCTCAGGGAAGTCACTGGGTTCTGGGCCAAGTTGCCTAATCTCTGACTCAGAGAGATCTGGGTCAATATATTCCAGTATACCTTTGTCTTCCGCAAGCGTGGTCACCCTCTGTAGCCATTTCGGCCATTGAGTGACGTTTTTGAGCTTTTCGCTGCTCATTACGGAATCGAATTATCGTATGGTCCGATCTTTCAGGAGTAACCTAGTGATAGACACTCAGGGCTACTCAGGACTACTCAGGGGTAAGATTCGGGGGTTTTCCTTCACAACACGCCAATTGAAGCTGTTGAGGGTTATTCGGAGGTAAAATCGAGTAGAAAATAGTATAAACCAGTGATTTCTATGGATTTAACAGCGAGCCGGGCTCATAACTGTCAGCAAATTGGGCGGAAGGAAATGTTAACGATTGATTGATTGGCTAATTACGTGGGAAATCCACAGAAACTAAATAGTCCAAATAACATGCAAACAAAGCAAACAGTAACCGTCTGACAAAAAGTTAGAGTCATGTGATATCTATATTAGGCTTAGCGTACTAGCTGCATTTATTATGACGTCACTACATACTAAGCTTTTTGACGTTCTCCTGCCCTAAACTTGGGATTGTATTAATGCTCACTCTAATCTCATCCGATCTCACCCGGCTAACCTGGCGCTCACCCTGTCTATTGTGCACTCACCTTGCTCACTAAGGCGATACATCCCCTGATTATAGCAGCTTTATAGGTTACTTTTAATGTAATCCTACCACATACGACCACAGGGTGTGGAGAACAGGGCTTCCCGTCCGCTCAGCCGTACTTAAGCCACACGCCGGTCAGTTAGTAGTATGGTGGGTGACCACATGCGAATCCTGACTGTTGTATGTTTTTGTTTTTTTTTGTTTTTTGCTACTCTACTCTACTCTACTCTACTCTACTCTACACACGGCTAGTCTATACACCTCTAGCACCCCGGCCTCTACGGCCGAGTCTTGAAGCCTTCTTCAATGATCCATCACTGTATTATTACATATATACTGTTGATATATATTCTTATATAACTCTTTATACCTGTTGCGACAGCCGAGAAACAAGGCCATCAACAGACGGAAAGTATTTCGGCCGAAAAAGCTTCTGCCGAGACAGCGACTCCGGAACTGGATTAGTATATCACGGCATCCTTGAACGATATGCATTCATCGCAAACGACACCCTTGAGCGATGTGCATTCGCGACAGTAATGTCCCGTCTTCACCGTCTCTTCTGTCTCGGACGAATGTTGACATTCGTCCAGAGCAGAGGGGCACCTATATACTATAAGTAGCTAGTTCTTTCATCAATGAAAAAGCAGACTTCACAACAACCGCAATATTCAGTATCGTAGCATCCACTACACCCGGTGGATTTTCTACGGTGTTGAGTAGCGGTTTGTTGGAGCTCACAACGTCACCATTCTCAGTTAAGATATTCGAATATCGCCAAGCGAGCGACAATACCACTTATCTAATTACAATTTATTTTTTTGGTTTAGGGACGCAAGTAAGCCAGTGACACTATTAGTCATATTTCTCTGGTACCAAAAGGCACTTAGTTATAGATCTTAATTACTGCGTTAAACTATATAGTGGGCATATAAGCTACATGGAATCAAGAAAATACATGATCCTGAGAGGAAGGAGTGAGATCAGTACTTGGGTTCAGAAAATGTAGACGCAAGATTCGTGAAGTATCAAGGGCCAAGACTGCACATCTATAAAAACCACCTCTAACAATGGGGGCTAAAAGACATAACTATAGAAAGATCTTGAGATCTGTCATACTGACTATGCTGGAAAGATTCTGGAATATTTTTCAAGGCTCGGTCATAGAGGCCGGGGTGCTAGAGGTGTATAGACTAGCCGTGTGTAGAGTAGAGTAGAGTAGAGTAGAGTAGAGTAGCAAAAAACAAAAAAAAACAAAAACATACAACAGTCAGGATTCGCATGTGGTCACCCACCATACTACTAACTGACCGGCGTGTGGCTTAAGTACGGCTGAGCGGACGGGAAGCCCTGTTCTCCACACCCTGTGGTCGTATGTGGTAGAGTGATTACAAAAGTGAGCTATAAAGCTATTATAGTCAGGTGTATCGCTCTGGTGAGCAATGGGTGAGCAGGGTGAGTACGGACAGGAGCTCAGATTACATGAGGTTATACTTCTACACCGCCTTCGGCGGAATCGATCGGCAGGAACGGTGTTAGCCCTAACTCCAGCCAGCACCGTGACAATATCTACTCTCCAGCGTTATCCTAAAGCCAGAGAGATTCTACGACAAGGATAGACGACGGAGAAATATTCGCTATTCAACCCCATCTCTAAACGCATCACCACGGTTGCCATCTTAGACGGAATTCGCTACAATTAAGCTTACCAGTCCCTCTGAGCAGATCACCAAGATGTTTCAAGAGATTGCTTTTTTTGCTCTTGGTCGCGGCAGGGGAGAAAGAGAGAGAGAGAGAGAGAGAGAGAGAGAGAAAGAGAGAGAGAGAGAGAGAGAGAGAGAGAGAGAGAGAGAGAATACGAGACTCCGCGGAAGCGAAAGGGCGCAGTCTATGACAGGCCAAAGGAAAACGCCTATATCAGTTTCTGGTCACAGTGAATGTTTACCATCCAGTATACTGCCTTATTTGTATGTCACAATTACTCTCTTCGTACGTAATTCATAGCCACTTACTGACTTATTCATTATTGCCGTCAATACATCCATAAGCGTCTTCTATATACCAGATGGATAGAGTGTGCTCCCAGCCATCACTAGCCATTTGCCTCAGGCATTCTCAACAAAAATGACCTGTGGCCTGTAACAAAACCCTCTCAGCTTCCTCTTTGCTACCAATCTCATTTCCATGCCACGACACGAAACCATCCGGGCGCACCAACACCAGTCGTGCTCCCCAGATCTGCTGGGCATTGGATTCCCCGACAAGGGACATAATATGAAGGGGAATCTGGTGTTCGCCAGCCGCATCCCGGAAGGTGGACCCGCCAGATGACGATCCTGGCACTCCATCGACAAACTCCACCAGGGTCAGATTTTTTCCGTATTTGTCAAACATCGCAGAACTGTCGGTGAGGAACACATGAGGAGCCCGGAAGCCCGGATGGGTGGTTGGAGTATATGAGCGTGAGTCGAAGGGCGGATGACTGAACGCGCTCTTTGCCGTGATGTCCGAGTGATACTGATAGCCGTGTTCGACGCCAAAAGACTGATTTTGCGCGTCATTCGACTGCACATACTCATGGATATTTTGTCGCAGTCCTTGTCCAAGTGCATCGGACGCATCGATGATCGTAGCGTCCAGCGTCACTGCAGACGCAAGCCCCATCAGCTTGCCTGCATGTAATTTGCCCCAATGCTGCATGAGCTCGGCAACGGGACGTCGTTCCTGTTCATACGATGCTAGCAGCTGTGGTCCTCCCCAGCCCTGGATTGTTCCGGCTAGTTTCCAGCCCAGGTCAAAAGCATCTGCGATACCCATGTTCATGCCGTACCCGCCGGACGGGATGGTCTGATGGCATGCGTCACCCGCCAGGAAGGCCCGGCGCAGGGGCCCGGTGTAGGACTTGGCGAGCGCAATGGTGGGCGTCCAGGTTGACTGCTGGATGATCTCATCAATGGTAATCAGGTATGAATCTTCCATTCCTCCTAGGACGCGGTAGATCGTTTCCTCAGCGGAACTGGTACTTTGTTTCGATCCAGGAGCACGGAAGTCATGAACTGTCCACGTATCAACTTCGTTTTGAGCGATAATGGCGCCGCCCACTGAGTTTCCGCTGATCGAAGGGTCTCTGGGGAAGAAGGTATGCCAGAATCGCCCTTGCCGATAAAGATGGGTTAGGTCCCGGGACTTGAAATGGATTAACACCACGCTGCTTTGCCTATGTGGAAGTCAGTCACATTCTGGCAAAGAGATCAACATTGCGGGGATGCATACAAGGGGCCTCCTTCAAGATTAATTCCCAGGCTTTTGCGTACCAGACTGGATGCTCCATCACATCCCACTGCGTACTGGCTGCGCATCACTTTCTCGCCCCCTATGTGAGGATTTCGGACCCGAGTTTCTACTTCGGTGGCACCCTCGATGAGCTGTGTCACACCCCATCCAAAGCGGACCGTGATCAGAGGGCTTTTTTCACACTGTTCCTTTAGGAACGCCTCCATCAAATCTCCTGATACCCGCAGCCAGGGCTCAAGAGACATCGTCCCATCATTTTGGTACAAGATGCGCTCACGGAATTGGTCTACACTGGGAAGTTTCCACTCCGAGAGAGGATGTTCCACCCCCAAGCCACTAGAAAAGCGTACCGTAAAGGGGTATGCAGGGGCCACCCCTTTGGCAATGATGCGGGTTAGCTGACGATCAAGATTGTAGGAAAGAAATTCGCACCTCGGGCACGTAGTCCATCAGCCAGACCTAACGAGCGCAGAATCTCCATCGTTCGTGCGAGCGTCAAGTCCATTTTGGGAAATCTGCTAGTGTCAACGCAAATCTAAGGATGTATGCTGCAGAGGAATGCCAGACTGTGTAGTGGTGGTATTCTTCTCGAACAGAACACTACGCACATCGTGATGTGCCAGTGTAAGGGCGAGAACCATACCAACAGGCCCTCCGCCCACTATGACAACGCTGTTGTCTTTACTTTCGACATTGAGGTTGTCATTCATTTTCACGTCTCGTTAAATGGTAATTGGATCAATTGATGAAGTGAGTTGGTCGAATAACCTTGGTCGCGGCCATTCCGAGTCATCTTTTATACATCCGGGGCACATCTCCATCCTTCACTCTGATACGGAGTTTCTATCGGTGGATCGGTTCTACGGAGCTCAATTCGGCTTATTCTAACCGAGCTGACCAGTGCAATTCCCGAGAGGATTTTCCGTGGAAATTTCATTCGGAAATTTCAGTTCAGGTCTGAAATCCCAATTTTAGTCAAAAAGGTTCTACCCTCTGACTGTGATTGCAATGGCTGCACTCTATATTACTCGATGACACAGTTTCAAAGCGGAAGCAACAATGTGAGACTCATATTCTTCTAAACCGCATACACTAGCTTGTATCCATTGATCTCGCCTTTGCGGATGGCGTCCATTCCCTCCGCTATTCCAGCCAGTCCACCTCGTCGCTCCTTGTAAGGATGAGATTCGATCTGACCGGCATCTAAAAGCCCCTGAACCACTCCATACCAACTCTCGGCAAATTGCCGGTCTTGCGGCCGCGGATCCAGATTAAATGGTCGCCCCCAGTCAATTGCCTGATCAAACTGAGTAAACATGCAGATCCAGTCTGGTTGAACACTGCGGCGGGTATGCGTGCGCAGCGAAAATGGGTCCAGTGCAAGGTACTGCCCACCCGCCTTTCCTATCGCCACGTAGCAGAGCTCCATGGACCTGGTATCTGTGATGCAATCCACTGCCAGGGTGAGCTGGTTGTGGGTGTACTCGCAGATATCCGTGCCACAGGCTGGGGAATGGTAGTCAAAGGCAGCCACTGCCCCAAGTTTCTTCACACGGTCGAAACTACGCGGCGAACAGGTAGAGATGGGGGTTAAACCGGACCTTGGAAGATTAGTCTCTGTTTTTTTCAGGGCGATTGAATGACCTACAATCGTAGCAGTTGAATTACCAGGGCGCCCGTTGCGGTTCCCCCTCCATAGACCAATACCGTGGTGGGTACTTCCGGCGCAGACAATGGAAGAGGTAATCGAAGACTGTTATAAAGAGCCAGACCAGCCGTCGCGAGGCCGATTCCCAGTGTTGCAGCCGTTTGGAATGACATCTTCGCGGGAATCTTCCACACCAACTGCACAGGGACGGCTACATACTCTGCGAAAGCGCCATTGTCACGCCGGATGGGATTGTTGCCGAACACGCATCCGCATACGCGATCCCCCACTTGAAACCAACTCTTGGCTGAAGACTCTAGTACAGCGATAGTTCCTGAGAAGTCGCAGCCTGAAGTCGCTCCAACACTCGGAGATATGTCGGCGGATTTGCCATCCACCGGATTGAGGGACACATAGGCCACGCAGACCAGCACATCGCTGTCTTGTCTCTCTGGGAGAGAACAGGTCTCCATGAGAGAGACATTGCAGGCGCTCTGGACTTTCAGGGCACGTTGTGTGGGTGGGAGTTCCATCGTCAGGATACTATGCTTTCGCTGTTGTGCTTCCGTTGTGGCCGCGATGGATTTGATCTGATCAAGAGGAGTCTTTACGAACCAAACCGGAACCAGCTTAGTAGTCCTTCCCGTGATTCTATTGCAATTTTGTCGATTTGTTCACCCGAGAAGCATGCTGTTGTAATTTTGGCCCCCTGTATTTCGGCTTTCAGGCCTCCACTGCAGGGAAGAGAAAACGGGAAATTCACCTTTATCTCCGTTAGAATGTAACCTGACAGGGCTTTGAGATCTAATTTCCGTTGTAATTCCGTTATTCCTAATTTTCTGTCCACCTTGCAGCTGCACTGGTAGGAACATGTCACAGATGCCTGCCCTAGTTAGGTATCGATTTAAATCATTTTCACTTAGACGTTCATCAAATCGACATACGAAAGAGACTGATCATGGGATCCCATAATCATAGTATTCCTATCGTTCTCTCTCCGGTTGATTCGATTCGAAATTATGTCTCTTCTCCAGAGCCTTCAGAAGTGTGGCTGCGTTTATTGATCTGGAGCGTGATCGTTGTGGTCGTTTCGGTGATCTTGCGTAAAATGAAAAAGAAATTTGTATGAATCCTACCTAGGTATATCGCCCCAAAAGCAAGGATTAACGATGCATCAGGGGAGATTTCATGATCGACATGGACGGCGAATAAAGGAGCTGAAAGGGGATGCTCGTTTTTCCAAATTTATTTCAAGGTGATTCAATTCAACTATCATCTGATATTCCAGTCCCTTGATGAAGGCTAAGAAAAATCCGTCGACAGTTCAGAATTATCTCACCTAGGCGAGACCTTGGCTGGTAGTGAACCCTACATCATCCGCTCCGGGCCATTTCGTGAGCTGGTCATAAGCCAGCCAGCCCATGTCCATGAGTTCTATCGACACGATACCAAAGGTCAGTCCTTAATACCTTGAGAATCTGTGTTCGAGACTCATTGCCCTACACAGCTCATAGTAAACCTCCAAACTTCAACCTGGGCAAGCCCTTCGGCTGGTAAGTATCCTTTTCGGAAGAAATGTTCGCCTCGCAACTGACATTTATTCTCAGCCTCATGGGCAATGCCGTCGGGATCAAATATGGGGAGGCCTGGCGAAGAATGCGCCAATATTTCGACCCGGAGTTCGCCCTTCATCGGATAGCGCAGCAGATTCCCTGTCTGTCACAAGAAATTCATCAATGGGTAGACAGGATCATGGTCACTCCGAGTGTTGTTATTCATGCCAAGCGGTCATTCCAATTCCTAACGTTTCGCCTGCTGGCGGTACATCTGTATGGAGAGGCATTTAGCGAACTGGTTGGTCCTTGCCACTACTCTTTGGAGTTGCGAGTCCGTTGCTAATAAGAGTAGCTGTATGAACGCCTTTTGGAACTTAATGCCCTCCATGAAATTATCATCCGTGATATGTTGCTGAGCAAGTGCCCCGACTCAAAGCTCTGGAACATCCTTCCAACCGCTGCACGAAGACGACTGCAAGCATATATTAATCAGTGGCGTAAATTTAACCAGGCGATTATTGGAGAGGCTCGAATGGTGAGTATATAAAGTCATGTCTTCATCCCTTGTGTGGGCCAGTTCTGAACGAGAACAGCGAAATTTATCTTGTCCTATCGAGCGCATCTTCCGCGGCGTGGACCAGAAAAAAGATATGGAAGAAGATGAGGTATGAGCGCTCAATCCATTGGGTAAATCACTTTGTGGCTCATTGGGCTCATTCATTTTTCCAGTTTTTGCAAACATTAGACGAAATTCTGTTCACGAATGTCGATGTCAGTGCCAGAGTTCTGGGCACGCTATTTACGCATTTATCTATCCGTCCATCTCTGCAGGTGTTGTTGCGAGACGAGATCCAGCACTGGAAGCATGACCCCGATCTCAATCTCCCCAAGTATATGGCCCAATCGGATACGCTACTCAATCGAATGGTTATGGAAAGTATGAGGCATTCGCCGGCATTCGGTAGGTCTCTTGCTGTTGACGAGTAACGAGTAGCTTCCTGACTATGACAGGATTCTCGATGCCAGAGCGCACGTCCGCCCCGAAAATTATCGGGGGGTACTTCATTCCTCCACACACATCCGTGGTCATCGACACTCGGCGTCTCAATCTGGAAGATGTGACGTGGGGCCCAGATGGCGCTGAGTTCCGACCTGAACGCTTCTCTGAGATGCCGAAGGATAAGCTGCGATGCGGTTTCATGAGGTTCGGGGCGGGAGCTGCGTCTGGTCGCTGTTTGGGGAAATATGTTGCAGATGTGGTGTTCAAGTTGACCACGATGATCTTGGTTGAGCAGTTTTCTCTCGGTACTCGGGACACCGACGGGGCTGGAGATATTCAGGTGACACGTATTGAACAGTTTTGAAGCTATTCTGGACGGAGGTAATTGAGTTGGGAGCTGTCCATACCGAATAGGTCACCTAAGTCCTCGGTAAAATATTTCAACATTTGTTGGAGAATATATATGGGTACTATACATGCTCACTCTGACCTTGGGATAAGGCTAAAAGCCACCTAGGATGTGATGTAATTTCTTATTGCTTCAGCTGACTTGACAGTTGAACGATATATATACATTTATACCTCAGTTGACTCGAGGACTTTCCAAGTACAAATATATATACAATGTCCGACCTCGGGAGTATAAGGGCACTTGGATATATTCTATGGCGTCTTTTCTCAAAACCAAGGTTCAGCGCAAAATGTATGTATATTTGGGAAATCTTTAACTACTGACAGCAAGAAATAAGACACGGTCAAGAACAGCATTGGAAGTAACGCGGTTGAGACTAATTGATAAAGGCTAAGATAAATTCACACGATCCTGAAACTACCCTCTCCAAATGTCTCCTGTTATGTTTTAGTTACGCACAAGCTCAAGACGCGAATGGACGCGAACATACTTGCATCACCTCGTTGGGGAAGATCAGGATTCCCTGTACTGCTCCCTAATGTGACGCTGGGATAAATTTCCATGTGGGCGTACTCATTTATAAAGCGCTACCTGAACTCCAGTCTTGTTGGAAGGCCCAATTCGCATAACTGCAGTGTAGGGAGCCGGATCCCGAGGTTCAATACGTCGATAGACCTGCGCCAAGCGAGCCAACATGTACGAAGCCTCGGTGGTGACCATCCATTGCGCAGGACAACGTCGGGGTCCGCCCCCAAAGGGGACGAAGTTCCAGAACGGACGTAGCCCATCATCCATCCACCTCTCGGGGCGGAATTCATCAGCGTCTGACCCCCAAAAGTCTTTATCGCGGTGCAAAACCGTCTTGGTAACCTGCACAATATCTCCCTTGCGTACGTAAATCGGCGATTTACCATCCTGTCCCCCGCCTACGGGGAGGATGGTGTCGTTTAGGCACTGCCGCACTTGGATGACATTGTTGGGATTCAAACGGTGGGCTGCGGAGATGTTTGATTAGCATTCTCATTAATCCAAGGGGCGAAGTGGAACTGACTTTCATTCAGAACACCGTTGATGTACTTCAATCCGCGCAGAGCTCCGAAGGTAAGAGGCGCATCCCCATGGGCTGCGATCTCTTCACGGCACTTATCCCATGCGTCCAGATTGCGCGCGAGATGCCACACGCAATTACTGATGAAGATAGATGTCGTATCATTATTCGGCACAAAGAGCAGGCACAATTGTGACCGCAGCTCCTCTTCGTCGCGACAGTTCGAGGCCATGTACCACAGAAGGTCTTGACGCTCAGGTCCAACTTCCAAGCTGGCGTTAATATGGGCTTCTCGCTCTTGAACCTCACTGTACGCTTGACGGATGTGCCCGTTCATGAAGTCGTGGACAATGGTAATAGCATCATACCACCACCCCCAGCGGAGCAGCCACATGCATCTCCATATCTGAATTCGCAGTCGCCCACCACGTAGAATGTCTAGCATGGCCCAAGTGATGTTCGCCCGCTCGGGGTGCGACATAGCATCCATGGCTTCGCCAAATATGAACTTTGTAGTGACATCCAAAAACTAGAAGCGACTGTTAGCAGGGATTCTTCATAGCTATCTTCCGGTGATAACATACCCAACGCTGTAAGTGAGGCTGGATATCGAATGCCTTGCCATCATCAGGCAAGAGGTGAAGGAAGTGATCCACAAAGGGAGCGATGCGGTCTGTGCTGGTGTAGACCTTCCGATCGAAGAATGGTTTGATCAGAAAACGGCTGAAGACCCAGTCCTCACCGTCGACGGTATTGACGCCCTTGTCAGCAAAAGGCATCGAGGCCTTAGAGTTGCGTCGAATCGGACTGATACCAAAGTCCTTCCAATTGATAGCTGTCAGCGCCTTGAGATTCTCCGGCTCGATAGTATAGATTTGACGCGTTCCTAGAAAGGTGAAGCTGAAGGTTTTGGGCATATTGATATGCATTTTGGCGAGCCACGGGATGAAGTAGTGACCGCGCAAGGCGAGAAACTGGCTAAGAGCCACATCGAGTCCCCAAAGCGGCAACTGGTGACGCTTGGCGATGGGTTCACACCCGTGGACTTTACGGTTGCGCGCATCCCGAAAGTAGATAAATAGCGTCCTCAATAGAAGCCCAATGATGGTCCAGTAGAGGACTACCGTCGGGAGATCAGGTAAGCTTGCTGGGAGGACCAGCATGATGAATTGATTTGGGTGTCTATTAGGCACGAGAGATGTCTAAGGTGCCGTTTGTCGGGAACAATGAAATCCTCTTCGAGCGACCCAGGAAGCGTGATGGGGAGGCTGTGATCAATATGCCCGCTCCGCTGGCAGTCCGCAGAAATAGAGAAGCTGACTGCCAGTCGTCTGGCCACCGATTGGCCCCAAAGAGGAGAAATTGTCTCCGGCCCTGGCTACCCCTGTGGGATAATCCTGAGGTGTCCGAATTTTCCGAATTTTCCGGCTTTGTTTCATGGGTGCGACAAGGATGTTGGTCGGATGCTGACCGGAGCTTTGCCGTATATGGCGTGCATGTTGCATCGGACTTAACACCTTGTGAATTGTGAGAGAGTTCGTGATGGGGAAAGACGCCCAATCAATGGAGATGGCTATAGTAGGAGGCGGAGATGTAATAGCAGTTTGTTAAATCAAAGGTACTATGCAGATGAGGGCTAAGACCGCCGAAAGAATGATACTTGTCGATTTGACATATAATAAGACATGATTCAGAGCAATATACAGTTAATTCTACATAACCCATTACACTTATTGACTCTCCGACTTGGTTTTGGACCTGAAGACTTCATCATTCTACTTTACACATTATCCCACGCAATGCCTTCACCACAAACATGTATTCAAGAGCCCATTGCCGTAGTGGGATCGGCCTGTCGGTTTCCCGGAGGCAGCACCTCCCCATCGAAGCTGTGGGAATTGCTCAGCCAGCCTCGAGACGTGTTGCAGACGTTCGATCCGAAGCGACTAAACCTCAATCGCTTCTATCACCAGAATGGTGACTCTCATGGATCAACCGATGTACAGAACAAGTCCTATCTATTGCAAGAAGATTCCCGCGTCTTCGATGCGCCCTTTTTCAATATCAGTCCGGCTGAGGCAGAAGGCATGGACCCTCAACAACGGGTCTTGCTGGAGACGGTCTTTGAAGCATTCGAAGCAGCTGGATGCACGCTCGACCAAATGCAAGGCTCATCCACCTCCGTCCATGTAGGGGTCATGAATGGCGACTACTTTGACATTCAACTGCGCGATACAGAAACAATCCCGAAATATAATGCCACGGGAACCGCTCGCAGTATCCTCTCAAATCGAATCTCTTACGTCTTCGATCTCAAGGGTCCCTCGGTAACCATTGATACTGCCTGCTCCAGCTCGCTCGTGGCTCTGCACCAGGCCGTCCAGAGCCTCCACCAGGGCGACTGCTCGACCGCCATCGTGGGAGGCGTGAATCTGATTTTCGATGTTTCCATGTATATCATGGAGTCAAAGATGCACATGCTCTCCCCTGACTCTCGGTCCCGCATGTGGGATCAATCGGCAAATGGCTACGCCCGTGGAGAGGGTGTCGCGATCCTCATGCTGAAGCCGTTGAGCCATGCCCTGCGGGATGGCGATCATATTGAAGGCCTAGTGCGCGGTACTGGAGTCAATTCTAACGGCCGGAGCTCGGGCATCACAATGCCCAACGCAGTAGCGCAGGCGTCGCTGATTCGCCAAACATATCAACGGGCAGGACTGGATCCTGTTCGCGACCGATGTCAGTATTTTGAATGTCACGGCACCGGAACGCCGGCAGGTGATCCCGTCGAAGCCCGAGCTATCAGTGAGGCACTGTTCGATCGAACACCATCCCCAAATGCGACAGATCCACTGTATGTTGGCTCTATCAAAACAGTTATAGGCCATACAGAAGGCTGTGCCGGACTGGCCGGCGTGATGAAGGTCCTGGTGGCCATCAAGCACCGCACCATACCTCCAAATCTGCTCTTTGAGAACCTCAACCTTGCAATCCTCCCTTATTATGTCAAAATTAAAATTCCGACTGAACCTCTTCCGTGGCCTCATGTTCCAACGGGTAGTCCCTTGCGTGCCAGTGTGAACAGCTTTGGATTTGGAGGAACAAATGCTCATGCCATTATCGAGAGTTACGACTCTGATGTCTCATCTTTCAGTGATGAAATCATCCAAACAGACCGAGAGAACAAATTCATCGGTCCTCTCATCTTCTCTGCCCGTTCCAGATTGTCCCTGCTTGGAATTGTCCGGGCATTCTGGCAGCATATACTCGAAAATCCTTCTCTTGATCTCGAAAACCTCGCCTGGGTACTACAGCAACGACGGACAGCACACCGAGTCAAGATATATTTCACCGGAGAGTCCCGAGCACGACTCCTAGAGAACATGGAACAGTTCTTGCGCAACCACGAGAAAAAACCCAAGCTGGAGGCTGGTATTCAGCCACATCCCATCAACCCGACTGAAATCCCTGGTGTACTGGGTATCTTCACAGGACAAGGATCTCAATATCCGGCAATGGGCCGGGGCCTCATTCAAACCTCCGCTTTGTTTCGGAAGACGATTGATAAATGTGAAGCGGTTCTGAGTGGGCTAGTTGACGGGCCAGAGTGGTCTCTCCGCAAAGAATTGTCAGCCAATGCGTCTGAGTCCCGGATATCACAGGCAGCACTCTCTCAGCCCATTTGCACGGCGGTCCAAATTGCTCTCGTCGATCTGCTTAATGCATCTGGGATCCAATTTGATGCTGTTGTTGGCCATTCATCAGGAGAGATTGCTGCTGCATATGCATGCGGCATCTTGACTCTCACAGGAGCTATGCAGATTGCGTACTATCGTGGTCTTCATGCCTGGTTGGCTCGCGGATCAGAAGGTCAGCTGGGAGGAATGATTGCTGTCGGTATCACCATCGCTCAAGCCTTGGAATTTTGCCGTCATGCTGAATTTCAAGGACGTCTCGGAGTGGCTGCGAATAATGCGCCGCAGATTGTGACACTTTCCGGTGACCTCGATGCGGTGGAAGAAGCCAAACAGCATTTTGATGAGCAGAATGTATTTTCCCGTCAGTTGAAGGTGGGTACAGCATATCATTCCCACCACATGCAGCACTGCACCGAGCCTTATCTGCGCTCCCTTCTCGCATGCAATATCGAAGTCAGACGGCCCCGTGAAAGTTGTGTTTGGAATTCGAGTGTCCGTGGTGATACACAGTTGCTGAAAGAGGACCTCAGCTCCCTCAAGGGCCCGTACTGGGTGGCTAATATGGTCCAAACTGTGCTTTTCTCTCAGGCAGTGGAATCCTCCATCTGGCACGGTGGTCCTTGGGACGTGGCCATCGAGGTTGGCCCTCATCCTACCCTCAAGGGCCCAACCGAGCAGACCATCACAGCCGTATATGGCTCCGCCCCAGCCTACTCTGGTGTCCTGGGACGCAACGAAAGTGACGTGGAATCAATCTCGGGGGCCCTGGGCTTCTGCTGGTCCCACCTGGGTCCCTCCTTTGTGGACTTTAATGGTTATCGTGGTACATTCCACGAAAATTCACCTCGTCCTCTGCCGCGTATGCTCAAGGATCTGCCATCATATTGCTGGGATCATAGCAAAGTCTACTGGCGTGAATCACGCATCTCCAGGCGGCTACGGACTGGTTCCGACCACTACCACGAGCTGTTGGGACGCCGGATGCCCGATGACACGGAGCACGAGCTCCGCTGGCGCAATATTCTAAATTGCAGCGATATGTCCTGGCTCCGTGGCCACGACATCCTGGGACAGGTATTGCTTCCTGGAGCAGCTTATGTTTCCATGGCACTTGAGGCCGGCAAACAAATGGCAGCAGGACGAACGATCCGCCTCTTGGAGGTGCAGGAAGTCGACATCCGGCGGCCAGTCCTTGTCCCAGATACCAAAGACGGCACTGAAACAATTTTTGTCGCCAGGTTAATCGACTCAACCGATGACTCTGTTCTAGAAGCCGAATTCTCCTTTTTCTCCTGCTCCGACTCTTTATCGGAGTCCATGGTTCATACCTGTAACGGTCGAGTACTGGTTCATTTGGGCTCGCCATCAGTGGATGAATTGCCACACAGAGAGCCTGTATCGTCAAGCTTACTCGATGTCGATGTAGATAGGGTCTACAGTACGTTTGGCGGGATTGGATTAAACTACCAAGGGATTTTCAAGGGCCTGTCTAATGTGCAGCGCTCGTTGAACTATGCCACGTCGACTGCGGTATGGTCGGAATCGGACTTGGACCACGACTATTTAATCCATCCGGCATTGCTAGATGTCGCCTTTCAGTCTCTCTTCGTCGCCCGAGCACATCCGAGCACGGAGCAAATGCCGAATGCACTCCTCCCTGTGCACATAAAGCGCGTGCTTGTCAATCCGAATGTGCCGCTCGTCGAAGCAGAAGGAACAGTCAGGATAAATCTGGACTCATTTATCGTAGATCGGACTCCCTCATCAGTTCTCGGTGACATGCATGTCTACAATGCCTTTTCTGGAGATGCTGCTGTGCAAGTCGAGAGCCTCCAGTTAAAAGCCATTGCTGAACCAACCGAGTCGCAGGATCGCCAAATCTTCAGCGAGACCGTGTGGCAGGCCGACGCATCGTTGAATCTGGTTATCCCGAAATGCGATCCCACTGACGACGCGGCGGAGATGAATCTTGCTGAAGCCATTGATCGTGCGGCTCTCTACTACATACAACGTCTTCTCGAAGAAATCAGCCCTGCTGAGAGGGCCGGTCTATCGTGGTATCACCAGAGGATGTGCGAAGCCTTTGAACATCACCTAGCATCGGTCAAAAAGGGCATGCATCCGGTAGCAAGGCGTGAATGGCTCACTGATGGACCCGACGCTGTGAAAGCGCTGAACGAGAAGTATCCCAATCAAATTGACCTGCAGCTCATCCACGCAATTGGAGACTGTCTGGTCTCAGTATTGCGCGGCGAGACTCAAATTTTGGAGGTGATGCTGCAGGAAAATATGTTGAGTCGCTTTTACACAGAAGGCTGCGGTTTGATGGTCGCCAACGAGGGGATTAGATCCACGTTGCAGCAGATCACTCACAAATTCCCCCGTGCTCGGATCTTGGAGATCGGAGCCGGCACGGGCGCCACGGTTTGTCTCTCCTTTTTCGATCCCTATCAATTCAATTTCGATATGCTAACAGCGTGCAGACGCGCAGTGTTCTCAACGCCATCGGAAATGCATATGAGTCCTACACTTACACGGATATCTCGACAGGATTCTTTGAAGATGCGGCTGAGAGGTTTTCTGACCACAGTCAGAAGATGGTCTTCAAAACGCTAGACATTGAAAAGCCTGTGGCTAGCCAAGGGTATACGGAAAACAGTTACGACATCATTATTGCTGCAAACGTCTTCCACGCAACGCGTGAGCTCGGTACGACTTTGCAATATGCCAGATCTCTGTTGAAGCCCGGCGGCTTCCTCGTGCTTGTTGAGGTTACCGGTCTTGAAGTGTTACGCCTGAACTTCATCATGGGCGGTCTGCCTGGATGGTGGTTAGGAGGGGACGATGGACGGCGGCTGCACCCCGGAATTACACCCACAGAATGGGATCAACTGTTACAAGAAGCTGGCTTCTCAGGGGTTGACTTAGTCTATCATGATCTAGCCGATAGTCGCAAGCATTGCACTTCTCTGCTCGTCAGCCAAGCCGTGGATAACAGCTACCTTGGACTGCGCGACCCTCTGCTCGCGATGGGCGACCTGGCTCAAGAGGCACCCTTGCTGCTCATCGGTGGAAGGACACTGGCTGTGTCCAAAATGACTAGGGAGCTCCAAAAGCTGCTCCCATCATCCTGGCGGCGTCAGGTGCAAGCCATTACCGACCTGGATACTCTCAGTCTCTCCTCTCTTACGCCAGGAACCGATGTCATCTGTCTGCAGGAATTGGACAGCCCCCTGTTCTCCATAGCTATGAGTAACCCTCGTCTAGGTGTAATTCAGAACCTTCTTCTCAATGCAGCGAATGTCATTTGGGTGGTTCGTAACGGACAATCCGGTAGCCCAGAGTCCAACATGTTTCTTGGAATCGCACGTGCTCTATCTCAAGAACTACCATATGCCCATCTTCAATACGTCAACTTCGAATCGAGTGAGAGTCCATCAGCCATGGCTCGGACGGCCCTTGAGGCATTTGTGAGGCTGAAGATTGCATCCAGCCAGCCATCGGGAGTGGATAATATGGTTTGGACCCAGGAGCCGGAGATCCTCATTGATGGCGGACAAACCCTCATTCCACGAATTCTTCCAAATCGTGCCTCAAATGATCGTTATAACGCTTCCCGCCGCACGCTGTGTCGGCCGGTTAATAGCGCTGACACTACGGTTCGAGTGGTTGCTGGTCAAGCCACGTTATCACTGACAGAAACAATCTCGAGCAAGAGAGACAAAGACCATCTTAGGGTGACTGTGCAATATTGCCTTCAAATTCCAACCAACAATCACGAAGAGGTTTATCTCTGCTGTGGCTACCTCGAAGGATCCAGAAATACTGTTCTTGTTATGTCGCCAACAAACCAATCCATCTTGAAGGTACCAGCAGCAGGTATCATTCCTATCGATGCGCAGGATTGCAATCCGAGCACCCTTCAACAGCTTGCGACTGAGCTATTTGCTCAAGCAATCAGCAGCTTGCTAGTGTCTTCTGCAGGATCGGTGCTTGTATTTGATGCGGAAGAAATTCTCGCCACCTCCATTGAGGCTCAGTGTGCAAAGCACAAGACCAACGGCATCCTGCTGGCTTCATCTCAGCCCTTAATACAGTCAAACCAGGTTTATATTCACCCACAAGGATCTGTGCGCGCCACTCAGCGCCGCATTCCCAACAACGTCGCCGTCTTTGTGGACTGTTCGAGGGAGCTCAGCGCTCGATGTGTCATTCAGCCTTGTCTGCCGAAGGGTTGTGAGATATACAAGCTGGACACGAAGCTCTTATCATCGATGATGGTACAAGGGGGGCTCGCAAAGGCTTATTCAACGGCAAGCAGTAATCCAAACTTTTCGCACTGCTACCCCGTATTGAATGTTCAGGACCTTCCAGGCGTGTCCGTTTCCATCTTGAACGCCCCCTTCATCACCGATTGGCAGACTGCTACACCGCTCCAGGTTCCCATTCAGCAGCCTGGCGGACAAGAAATGTTCCAATCTCACAAGACATACCTGATGGTGGGCATGGCCGGCGGTCTTGGTCTTTCCGTGTGTCTGTGGGCGATCCGACAGGGTGCACGTCATGTCGTGATCGCTAGCCGGAACCCCAAGATTGATGCAAAATACTTCGAGGATGCTAGGCTTGCTGACGCAGACATTCGCATCATATCCATGGACGTCTCAAGCCGATCGTCGGTCGAGCTTGTAGTATCTAAGGTTCGGGAGACGATGCCCCCAATTGGGGGTGTCTGCAACGCAGCAATGGTCCTGTCTGACAAGTTGTTCGTCAATATGGATACTGAAATCATTGACAAGGTGTTGAAGCCCAAGGTCGATGGCACACAACACTTGCATGCCGTTTTTGAAAATGACCACTTGGACTTTTTCATCCTCTTCTCCTCTCTTGGGTCCATCGTCGGCAGCCCAGGTCAATCCAATTACCACGCTGCAAATCTCTTCATGGCTGGATTGGCTGCGCGGAGACGTGATCAAGGATTAGCGGCGTCTGTTATTCACATCGGACTAGTAACGGATGTTGGTTACGTGACGCGCCAGGATCGCAGTCTCCAGGACCATCTGAGCAGCCTACTATTCCTTCCGTTGTCAGAAACAGATATTCACCATGCATTCTCAGAGGCCGTTGAAGCTGGAAAACCAGATAGCCAGCGTTCCTTCGAGATTATCATGGGTATTGAACCGCTCTCGAAGCCCGTCGCTACAGAATGCCAACCCTGGTGGCTATCCAAGAACCCTCAGTTCGCACATTTCAAGCCATCTGTTACTGTACAGCAGGAACAACGCTCCACCAAGGCTAGCAGTGGCAGCATCAAACAGGGAGTGGAGAAATCGGACTCAGAGGATGGCGCTATTGCACTGGTTGAACAGGCTTTCTGTGTCAAATTGGAGTCGATGATGCAATTGCCCGCAGGCAGTGTCCAAGTCCAAGAACCAATTCTTGCTCTAGGAATTGACTCTCTCGTGGCGGTGGAAATCCGTAAGTGGTTCCTCAAGGAGTTGGGCGCGGAGGTTCCTGTGCTCAAGATTTTGAGCGGAGATAGCGTCGCGCAGATTTGCATCGTAGCCACCAAACGACTGCTGGCAGATATGCTTGAGAAGGTCCAGAGCATAGCCCCAAACCCAGAAGATTTGACCGAATTGACTTCCACCCCAGAGGACTCGTCTGATGCCACCTTGGGCAGTGGGGATTCCGTGGCTACAAGCGAGCTGGGCGACTCACAGGATCTGTCCATCAAAGACCAAGCATTAGAAGAGGTGCTCCCCAATATCCCTTGTGGTGACCAGTTTTACAGTGCGTCGCAACCACAAAACCCAACTTCCTTTCAAGAGGAACTTATGTCCGACCCCCAGTCTCGCATCTGGTTTGTCTCGAAGCATGTGGATGATCCCACCACCTACAATATGACTATTAAGTATGAGGTGCAGGGGCACCTAAGTATTCCGCGTCTCCGACATGCTCTCCGTACAATGCTGCAGCATCACGAAGGGCTCCGCACCCGATTCTACGCCCGTCTGGAAGATGGACACCCCATGCAAAGCATTATGTCTAATCCAGTCTACATTTTCAAGCATGTAGATAACTCTAACGACGCGGACATTGCCAGTGCATGTGAATACCTTAAACATCACATATGGGACCTCGAACGAGGCCAGACGTTGGGTATGACAGTTCTTTCCCGAGATTCAGGAAGTCACACAATCATCCTCGGCTACCACCATATTATCATGGATGGGATGAGTCTGCACTTCTTCTTGCGTGACTTGAATGTCACCTACCAAATGCAAACTCCCCAGGGCAAAGCAGGGACGTGCATTCAATATGCCTCGGAGCAACTCCAGGCCAAGCAATCCCAGATCATGCAAAGCCAGATGCAATTTTGGCAAGATGAGTATGCGTCGCTTCCCAGGGTTCTTCCTCTGCTACCGATGGCGTGTACTCGGACTCGGCCGCCGATGCAGACATCCAAAAAATATCATGTTTACCGCGAGATCCATCATGAGCAAATGGCCGCTTTCAAAAAGACATGTCAGGCTCTTCGGATCACACCCTTTCATTTCCACCTATCAGTTTTCCAGGTGATGTTGGCTCTCTACGCAGAAACGGACGACATCTGCATTGGTGTTGCGGACGCCAACCGCACGGACGAGCGTTTCGCCGAGACGATTGGATTCTTCCTGAACCTGCTGCCCGTTCGCTTCCAAGTCGTGAAAGGAGACGAATTTTCAAAATTGGCTCAAGCTGCCGCTCGTAAGGCCTTTGCTGCTCTAGCAAACTCGTCGGTCCCGTTCGGTACCATTTTGGACCAATTGAATGTGCCTCGATCGACTGCTCACACGCCACTGTTCCAAGTAGCCATCAACTATCGAATGGGTTCCGTTTGGGAAGTGCCGTTGGGAGACTGTCGCATGAAGATGAGTGATATTCAAGACGCCAGAAATCCGTATGATCTCAGCTGCGGAATCATCGAGACAAGCTCGGGTACCTCCTTGGTCGAGCTCGTAGGCCAAGAGTCTTTGTACGATGCTGAGGCATGTCAAACGATCTTGGATACATACATGCGTCTCCTTCAGACCTTCACTAAGACGCCGAATCTGCGAGTTCAGGACTGCCAGCTGAACGATCCTTCTGATGTCGCTTCCGCTTTGACAGTAGGACGTGGTCCACGAGTGCAATTTGGCTGGCCTCGGACATTGGCTGGGCAAATGCAACTGATCTACGGGAAATATGGGCCGAATGCCGCAGTCGAAGACCGATCTGAGAGCTTGATATACTCTCAGCTTGCAGACCGGGTCAACGCCATTGCTTTTCGGATCCTCGAGCTGCAGTGCGGGCCAGGATCTCGCATCGCCGTTCTCTGTGAGCCGTCGGTCGACTTTATTGCTGCAATGCTGGCTATTATCCATGTCGGCGCTGTATATGTACCTCTGGACATCATTCTCCCATCGACGAGACATGAGTCCATGGTTCAAAGTTGTCAACCGAGCTTGTTGCTCTTCCATACAGCAACAAAAAGCCTTGCTGACAATCTCACTGGCGGTACGGAATATGCTCTTCCAGCGGTAAGAGTGGACCAGATCCAAGTCCATCGAAAAATTGTTCCCTGTCTCGCGAAGCCTGATTCTCCAGCAGTTCTTCTGTTTACAAGCGGCTCCACAGGCATGCCAAAAGGTATTCTCCTATCGCAGGCCAATTTGGTGAACCATTTAGCCCTGAAAACCCAGGCGCTGGGTCTGCAGCAGGAATCAGTTCTCCAGCAGAGTTCTATGGGTTTTGATATGTCGCTCATCCAGGCTTTCTGTGCCTTGGCCAATGGGGGTACGCTGGTGATTGTTCCTGCTGAGGCCCGACGAGATCCGGTTGAGATGACGCAAATCATGCTACGCAAACGCATCAGCCTGACCATCGCGACGCCATCCGAGTATCTCATGTGGTTGCGTTACGGGGCCGAGTCACTAGAGAAGCATTTTTCCTGGCGACATGTCTGCATGGGCGGAGAGCCCGTTTCTGATCAATTGAAGGGCGAGTTCCGGCGCCTGGAGCTACCCTCTCTAGCCCTGACAAATTGCTACGGCCCGACCGAAATCACTGCTGCAGCTACTTTCCAACACATTTCCCTCCTGGCTACCGACGCAGCGGAGCCTCCAAATGCAGTTGGTAAGGCCTTGCCAAACTACTCGATTTATATCGTTGATGGCGAGGGGCAGCCTCTCCCAGTCGGACTGCAAGGGGAGATCTGCATCGGTGGTGCCGGTGTCTCATTGGGATATCTTGATTTAACCGACCTGACAGCACAAAAGTTCATTCGCGACATTGAAGCCACCCCGGAGGACCGGTTCCAGACCATGTATCGCACAGGAGATCGGGGACGTTTGCTGTCCGATGGCACATTGGTCTTCCTGGGACGACTCGATGGCGATACACAGATCAAACTCCATGGGATCCGCATGGAGCTTGGAGAGATTGAAGCTTCCATTTTGGAAATTTCACAGGGTCTACTCTGCAGCGTCGTGGTGACCGTACGGGGGGATATGTTAGTGGCACATACTATCTTTGCTGCTGGACAAACTGCCACGGGTGTAGAGCTCCAACAGCTGCTAGCTCGTCTTCAACTTCCACAGTATATGCGGCCCGCCAGAATCGTTGTTTTGGATGATCTGCCTACCAATGCAAACGGCAAGGTTGATCGCAAGGCCCTGCAGGAACTTCCACTCCCCGAACAATGGATGAGTGCTCTACCAGAGGACAAGATGACTCTCCGTGAAGGAGAATTGCGACTCTTATGGGAGAAGGTTCTGCCAGACCTGAATAACACCTATCGTCTGTCACCCAACTCGGACTTCTTCTTGGAAGGAGGTAACTCACTTCGCTTGATGAAGCTTCAGGGGGCCATCAAGGAGGCCTTGGGAGTGTCCATCTCGACGCACGAACTGTACCAGGCTTGTACCTTGCGAGAGATGGCTGCCTGCATTAATAATTGCCGAGGCGCACCCGCAATAGAACAGATCGACTGGGCTCTCGAGACGGTTGTGCCAGATTCCATCTTAGCCGCAGCTCGCGAGGGCCAAATGAAGGGGTCGCAACGCGTTCCGCGCGACAGGGTCAATGTCCTTCTCACTGGATCAACGAGTTTTCTTGGCATAACCCTGGTGAAGAGCTTAATCTCCGAGGAAACTATCCAGCAAGTTCACTGTGTGGCAGTGCTACCGGATGAAGAACAGAAGCTCCCCCGTTCTGAAAAGATCTCTACCTACAGGGGCAGCTTGTCGTCGCCAACCCTGGGTCTCAGTCCAGCGGATCATGAGCAACTGCATTCGACGGTCGATGTCATCGTCCATGCAGGTGCCAATGGCCACTGTCTCAACCAATACTCGTCGCTACGTGTTCCAAATGTTCATTCCACAAAATTACTTGCCTCTTTCGCCGTCCGCTGGTCTATCCCTCTACTGTATCTCTCCTCCAATCGTGTCGGTCTTCTGTCCGGCAATACGGCACCACTCCCGGTCTCCATGGCCTCTTTCTTGCCCCAAACCGATGGCACGGAGGGTTTTACGGCATCTAAATGGGCGAGCGAGTGCTTTTTGGAGAATTTGGCGGCGTGCGTTCCTATTACGATCCAAGTGCACCGGCCATGTGTGGTGGTGGGTGCCGAAGCACCCAACTCCGACGCGCTCAACGCGATTCTGAAATACTCGACTCTGATGCGGACCGTGCCGCGATTTGATCGTGCCGATGGATATCTTGACTTCCAGCCTGTGGAGGACACGGCGCGAGAGATCGCTGAGGACATCGTTGCTTTCGCCAAACAACCGACTACGGGACCAGTTCACTTCCGACATCATTCCGGAAAAGTCAAAGTGCCAGTCCATGAGTATCGGGCTTATATGGAGCAGGTGCATGGACATGCGTTTGCAGAGGTAGCCATTAGGGAGTGGATTGCGATGGCGTTGCAGGCGGGTATTGATCCGTTGATTACGATGTACCTGGAATGTATTGTAGAGCGAGGGGAACTGGTCACATTCCCCTACTTGGGAGACACAACGCAGTGATGTCGAGGCATGCTGATTTTCTGTTAATTAGTTGAATAACTACCTGATTGGTTAGTCTCGGGTCAAACGGATCTGGAAATTAATGGTTAGATATTAATGGAGGTCTGAATGGAGAAACTGATGTATTCTGTGTGATGATCAAGCTACAGTATCTGGACAAAAGTTTTCGTATGGCACTCCACTTTACCAAGAGAAAGATACATTCTGAGATTGTACCCTCAAATATAAATATATCTCAGCAATATCTACTCCTCTAATGTTTAAGCTGCAGCCATACACTATCTGTTTATTGATAAACTATAATATTATACTACAATATAAATAATCGATCAAATAATCCGAATTTCACATGATATTAATTAGGCATATTACCCTCTGCAGTGATACGCGTCGCAGATGTATTTTGTTTCCACCTTTTAATGGAGCCATAGGAAAACTTTTGTTCTAGAACTGTAGGTGGAGCTAGAAGAGAAGAGTGCCAGTTTCCCTTCATAGAGGTTACAATAATAGGAATATATCATTATTATTCGTTACTCAATTCCTCTTATTTCACGGTTGATATATCCTGTCAGAAAATTGGGCGGAAGGAAATGTTAACGATTGATTGATTGGCTAATTACGTGGGAAATCCACAGAAACTAAATAGTCCAAATAACATGCAAACAAAGCAAACAGTAACCGTCTGACATATCCCTATGGTCATGTGACCAGATACCCATGTCAAATGGCCAGTCCTATTTTAGTCTAGTGTTCTTTATTAGTCAGCTTCCGTACGCTCTTTACTGCCGTAAGATTTACTACTGCGAATACACACATATTTGAGATTGTGAAGTCTTCTGATTGGTTCCTATAATCCCACTTCCTCGACCAAGTTGACAACCCATCAGATATCCTTGTTTTTAGGTTTTACTATATCATTTGACCATCATTATTCCGTAAGCAGTGCTACCTCTGTATCTACGTTGTCAACCTCTCCTCCTTGTCTTCCAAGGTTGTTAAACTTGGCACCCAGCTTGAGTAGTATCTCTAGTAGCTAGGTACCTTCTATATATCAACCAGTATTATATAGAACTCGTTTAGTATTTCAAATATATTTGAGAACTAGACAGGCCCCAGGAGCCCTTACGCGAGCTATACTGGAGTATAATGCAACTCTGGATCTGTCTCTCTTTTCCTTTTGATGCCAGAAGTCTACCTAGGTAAGTAGATACACATACTAATGAATTCTAGATTCCTAACCAACTGAAGAGAAAGTACAATACAAGTAACCAAGAGATTCTTCCGACGACATTTCCCATTTGGGAAATTTCACTCCGGTGATGCTGGACCTCCACTGGAAAGATTTGAGGCTGGTTGCACAGGGTACTGATACCGTGTACCCGGGGGGGTATTGAGCGTGTTGTGAAACTGGCTGAGTAGGGCCATTGAAACCGGCAGGTGGACACTGGTTTATGCTAGGGAAGCTGTTAGCTTAATCATTTCCCCGCCAATCTATAGCATAACAGATCACCTAGCTTACCGGGAGAATTGCTTCGCGATCAAATAGGTGAATGTGCCTAGGAAAGCGACTTTGAGTGCGCCGCCCATTCCACCGTGGCGGAAACCTCCACGAAGACCGTATGCGTGTCGAGGATCGAAGCCTCGGAAAAAGGTCCGTCGAGAGGAGCGATAGCCACGCATTGCATAGGGGCCCATATTGTCTTTAGTTGGATGAGATGGATGAGAGGCTTGATTGAGATGGATGATGTGAATTGTTGAGCAGAAATTGTGGCCATTTGGGCGTGTTTAGTAGCGCATCGGGGGTAAGTCTGAAGGCCGAACACCGAAGTTTCATATACCGAGGCCGAGGTCGGGGCCGGGGCCGGGTTCTTTTCATTTCGAATTGCTGCATGCAGATCATGTTCGTCATTTGGACGTGAATCTCTTAGCCCAGGGAATTCGTAAGCTACGCTCGGAGTTAGTTATTGCCTCGGCCTAAATACTGAATAGTCATCAATGCCTCTTGTGATAGGTTTTGGAAGGTTTACACCCACCTCCCCTAGCGTGTGATATATATAGGATGGTAGAGAAATCAGCTAGTGGAGTCGATTCAAGTAGCGTGACTGAGATGAATACATTTAAATTAATAAGTCGATATGGTTGGCGAGCTCGGTGGTGAATTACCTGGCTCACTATTGTTTTTTCTACGTTTATGCCTTACCACTCGATACCCGACGTATCCATGAGACCCGGGAAGAACAAGCTGGGAATTTCCAATCCCAAGGCAGGGTCCTGAATTGTAAGTCCGATGGCAAGAACATAAAATGGGGAGGGGGAGAAGGGGGAAGAACAGGAAGAAAAGGAAAGAAATACTTACTAAAGCATCCATATCAAAGCTTGGAAGACTATCTGGCCCCGTAGTCAACGACTCCACCGATTCCTGCGGCGAACTGGCTGCATGAGAGATCTGCAGCAAGGAATAGCATCTCTTAAGGCTTTCTTGAACGGTCTCGTAAATGGCGGGTTGGATCGGCTGACCAGACTCCATTGCACGAATCTGGCTCAAAATTGCGGACAGGAAGTTGTATCGCTTCAGACTGGGATTTCCGAGCGCGATAATCTGTAGCAGTTGCTCCTGGATGTGTTCCAGGCTCCGGATCAAGGGCGCTCGATGGGCCTTTGCCATTTCATCTAGGCAATCAGCAACAAACGGGGGCGAAGATCCAATGGGTCGCGTAGAAGCCTCCTCCTCGAGTTGTGTGATAATCTCCAGTCCCAGGGAGGTAATCACATCGAAGCTCAATGCTCCTTTAAAGGATCCTCGGCCTACAATAGTCAGGTGAGAGAGGTCATCTAAGGTGTCTGACGGTAGACTGAGATGATCGGCATACGATGCAATCACAACGCAAGATTCCAGACACACTTTCCGGGACAGGTAGAATCGAGGATCTTTACGAGCCTGGATCATGAACGGGCGATGTAGGAATAAGATAAATCGACGTAGGTACGTGTCGATAAACCGGAGATGGAAATTAGTCATGCCTGGATTGCGGGCCGCATGCCTCGATTGATTCCGACTTGTGTCGAACAAGGCGGCAACATCACGGCACGCCGGCCGCAATTCATTTGCCAGCCTTAATGCGGTTTCGTATGACAGTCCCTGACGGTGCTGGTTATTTAAAAGCCGGACCGCTTCTACTCGCACGGGAAGAGACTTTAGCAGCAGAAGCTGAATAGATGAGTCGGTAAGGCGATTACTCGACTGCGGGGTGGGAAGCATCTCGGTCTCAGGGTCGAACTGCTCGTCGAACAAATTCGACGGCGCCGTGTAGTCAATGTCCTGTAGGGAGAACGGTAAGGGCATGGCGGCATCTAGCGACGATAGTAACGTCAGTTCTAGCACCGTCGCCCAGAGTCGGGCTCGCATTTCCGACTGGTACACGGACAGCGCAGGAAAGAGGTCGGGAGTGCGGTGCAGTCCCATCGATATGGCCATTCGTAGCACGGACCCCGCGGAGAGCCAGCTCGTGCCTGGAAGGATGTTCGTTTGGCGGGCTAGTAGTAAGAGACAACCGACTTGTAGGCCGTCTAGATTGACGGTCGACTTTTCCGATGGCCCGGTTAGCCACCATTGTGCGGCATAGATCCATGTGTGTGCGAGACGGCGGATATGCACCCTATTGCTTCGATCTGGGTAGAATGTGGATCCCAAGGCAAGGATCAAGACCAGCTTCATTAGGAAATGAGTCGAGATCGAGTGCGGCTGGGCCCAAAACTGACGATACTCTTCCCGGAAGGATGGAATATGAATAATCCGGTAGATGAGCTCAAAGGTGCGGAGATAGGCATCGACCAGAACATCGCACACTGCTTGGTTTGGGAGCGTGCTCAGCATATCCGGAACGGGATGGTTGAGTCGAACCGACTCTTGGGCTTTCATGGCCTGTCGAAGATGCCGACAGTCCTTGAATATGCCGGCGATCTCAGATCTGGTACCCACATTCTGCAGCAATGGCTCTACTTCTTTGGCGTCGAATTTGCCAAGGACTTGAAACTGCGATTTTAACATTAGTCAACAACAAGCCTTTTATAGGTTAGGGGAAGTCCGATACATACTTTTTCGGCGGTATGCAGCCAGTGACTAGGGCCAAAGAGCTTCGTCTTGTCGGGTGTGACACGCAGACGAGGCAGGGTGGCCGGAATAGCCCATCCATTGACTGAAGGACCAGGACGAGGTGCATCAGAAAGCTGCTCTTCGGCCCCGAGGACTCGGTCGTGAAGGTGACGCAAAACTTGAGTCTGAGAGATGATGGCATTAGGCCCGGTCGTGGCTCGAGAGGTCGGAGGGCTAGGAAGCTGTTCTTCTAAACGCCGAAGACGAAGTTGTAGGTCCTGAATGATCTTGTTTTGATCCTGATCTTGGTCCGGAGGCGGCAAGGAGGAAGTGCGTCCAGGTGGGCGGCTCTGTGTGAGCGGCTCCACGGCTTGGGAAGGAGGCGTATGTGCCTCTAGCACCAAAGGAGCCGCGGACTGGTGGTTTACACTACCGGAGGAGCTGTTAGAAGCGACTCCGGGACCGTAGAAGCACTGTATGGACGTTCTTGCACGCTCGCATTGGCCACATGGAAATTCCCGGTCACAACGGACTTTACGACGACGGCATGGATCACATGACTTCGCTGGTCGGCGACGTTTACGCGGGGGAGACATGGTCTGGCGGGGGTGGTCACGATCCTGCACTATAACTACTACTGGTATAGGCAATTGGAAGAGCAAAAGTGATGCTAAGTGAGGTGAGGTCAAATGAAAAGCCCGTCGGGCTCGGGGCCGAACTTTATCGTCAAACTCGGTCACATGATCTTATACCCGGTGTCTCCCGAGGTATTATCCCCGGAAACCCTATACCTCTTAACTCCGGTTAAATGACCGAGAATCATCGTCACCAGGATATGCTTTCTTTAAAAGGAGTCGTGAAGTTCCATTATCGCAGGTCTAGCTCATCTAGACAGCCACGATATCATTAGTCTCGCTCCAATTACCCACCAACGCACTACACCTTCACCATGGCGGATGCTAGTCTAGAGAAGGGCTCCGAGTCGCCTGCAACAGAGGCTCCTAAGGCTGCACCACCAGAAGTTCCCGATGGTGGCAGCAAGGCATGGCTAACAGTCTTAGGCGCGGCAATCGCCCTATTTGCCTCATTCGGCTGGGTCAACTGCATTGCACTCTTCCAGTCTGAGTACGAAACGAACCAATTAAAGGACTACTCGAGCTCGGAAATATCTTGGATCACGTCTATGGAATGTATGTAAAGTACTATATGTTTTTTATTCTCGATTAGCTAACAACTCTAGTTTTCTTTATGCTTTTCACTTCCCCCGTGGCAGGCAAGCTGTTCGATAGCTATGGCCCGCGCGTGCCTATTGCCATTGGATCTGCCTTGCATGTCTTTGGGCTTATGATGGCTAGTCTCTCCCATAAGTATTATCAGTTTATGCTGAGTCAGTCTGTAGTATCTGGGATTGGTTCATCGTTGATCTTCACCCCGGCAATGACTGCAGTAAGTTTCTATATACCCAATCCCGCTAAAAGGAATCATTCCTCTAATCAAGAAACTATAGCCCCAGACCTATTTCCGCCAGAAGCGGGGAATTGTTGGTGGTTTGACAGTGGCAGGATCGTCATTGGGCGGCGTCATATTCCCGTTGATGGTGCAGCATCTGTTGCCGCAGGTGGGCTACGGCTGGACGATGCGGATCTGCGCCTTTATGATCCTGGGCTTGCTAGTCATCACTAATCTTACTATCTCGTCTAATTTCTCACATAAGCCGCGTCCATTTTCCGTCATGCACTACCTCGCACCGTTGCGGGAGGCCAACTTTGGTATTCTGTGTGCGGCCAGCTTCTTCATGTACTGTGAGTACAGCAAGTTCTTGCCGAGAAGGCACGTCGCGTTGCTAACACTTTTAGGGGGAATGTTTATTCCATTTGATTACATCGTCGTCGAAGCCGTGCACTACGGCATGTCATCGCATATGGCGTGGTCATTAGTTCCGATTCTTAATGGTGCTAGTTTCTTCGGCCGTACAGTGCCCAACTATATCGCAGACAAGGTCGGTCGCTTCAACGTGATGCTTTTCATGACCACGTTATCGGCTATCCTAGTGTTGGCATTGTGGCTTCCTGCTCGAGGCAATGCTGCGCTCATCACCTTTGCAGCTTTATTCGGTATCACCTCGGGTGCGATCATTGGCCTAGGGCCTGTCCTGATAGTTCAAATCTCGCCAATGAGCGAGTTAGGCTATCGGGTTGGTACTGTCTTGGCTTTTGCTGCGGTGGGAACCTTGACCAGTCCTCCTATTGGTGGTGCGATTGCCGCCTCTGATGGCGGCAACTACACCTATACATGTGTCTTTTCAGGCGTGAGCTTCCTGATAGGAACCTTCGGTCTTGCTGCTCTACGCGTACGTCTGGGGGGATGGGGGCTTACTTCGAAGATTTAAATGAACGGCATAATTGATGGGTTAGAATGGAGGAATTGACAACGGACTGCAGGAAATGCGGGAGAGAAGAAGACTTGTTTGTCATGAGGATAATTCATAGGATAATTTATATCCCTTGACCGTGGCTTCTCGCTAATTGATGTTAATCCAGGGACGGTTCAGACCCTCTTGTTGAAATAATAAACTACCTAGTGCCTAGGCATTCTTGGAATGAGATCCATGGATGTACTTAGGTATCTTATTATCTGCACACGAAAATTAATTAGCAAAAACCTGAGAGTAAGTGAAAATTTTCATTGCAGTAATTGTCTTCGCGACATATCCCATTGTCCGTTTTCGATCCTCCACTCCAAAAGTATATACCTAGGTATCTACAAACTGGGTAGCACAACAATAAAAATCAACGAGTGAATTGCCGACGAGCTATAAAATCATTCCAAAATCCAAAATCTGGATCATTCGCAGAAGGAAACAAACACGGATCATCCGAGCCCGACGGCGACAAGGGAAGCGATATCCGTTCGCCCCGGCTGCCCCGACCAGCTTCCAATGCAGCACAACAACGATCCAAGCTCCGCTCAGCTGCTTGGTAGATAGCGGTGTTAATAGGTTTATTTGCACGCATGGCTTGGATCTGGGCGGTGGCACAGGAAAAGAAAACATAGTCATTATGAGTAGATGGATTTCGAAGCGCGCGGCGCTCAAATATCGCAATTGCGTCTTGTATGACTTGGTACAGATGATCGTGGCTGCCGCGATCCGTCATTGGGAATGCATTCTCTGTTATACTGTCGACTAGATCGAGACAGAGAGTACTGGCGGCGTGTCGGAGTGCGTTGGTGAAGAATCCGTCTCCCCATAGTAGGAGTTCGGTGTAGTGATTATCGGCAACGGTATGATCGTCGAGTTGCGGTACATGATGCGTGAGCAGCAGCGCTGCTGCTTCTATGCGCACCTTGCGGGAGTAGTAGTAGTATGGGTTGGCCTTGGGTTGGCCTGCAAACGGGGTATGTAGAGCGAGTAGAAAGCGACGGGTGCAGACGTCTAGAATTTTGAAGTGGAAGTCTGTGGGCCCGGTTGAGGACGGGGTGAGGGATTGTATGTGAGTGAGATTCGCATTGATGATGCTGTGAAGCTCCATTGCCAATTCTAGCGCATCTTGATAGGTGAGACTGGTGCCCGGTGCATTTACAAGATGCAAAATGCGCAAACGAATGCGCTGTGTCTTGGCTAGCATCGTTGATACTGTAGACTGAGTGAAGACTGTGAGTGGTTGAGGCGCTAAAGATTCATTGCCCAGCAGGTCAGCGTCATCCAGATTCGACGGCGGGGTACAGTCGTAGCCCTCGGAAGAGATCAATGGAGGAAGGCCCGACTCGAAACTGGATTGGATAGCGATTTCAAGGACAGTGGCCCATAGCCTTCGTCGCATCTCGGCCTCGCTGGGGGACATGTTGGGGAAATGCGTGCTGGGCTCTTGATGGAGCCCCAGTTTCATTGCCATGCAGATCAGGGTCTCCTTGAGTAACCAGACGGGTTTGCTTCCGACTCGGGAGGTTTGGCCATTGACGAATAATAGACAGCTGATCTGGAGCGTGTTAAGATCAAACTGGGCACTTTCAACGCTGCGATGGGTGAGCCATCGATGCCCGCCAAGGATCCACGCTGCGGCATCCGACTGCAGCGCTGTAGAGCCCGGGCAAACAAACACGCCCACTGCCATGGCAAGCAGTAGTTTCCATACCACGGAGTCGCTCACACTCTGTGGATCTTGCCAGTATTGTCGGCAGTCTTGAAGAAAGGACGGGACATGGACAATACGGACCACCGATTCAAAGGTGGTCATATATAGGTCTACTAGGCGATCACAGGTCCCACGGTCAGGAACCATACAGCGACAGTCTACGCAGGACGCAATGTCTATCGGCCGGTTTAGGGCTACTCTTTCCTTCTCTAACTCCCGTGATCGTTCCAGCAGGGGTCGGAGATTCTGAAACTCCGGTCCCAGATCATGGGGAGCATGGCGGAGAAATTGCAGTTGCTCGAAACGATCCAACTCCTTTTCCCAGTGACTAGTGCCCAAAACAGCTGCTTCGGTAAATTGATGCTCTGAGCCAGACAGGCTTTCGGTGGGTGTTCGCCAAAAAAACGGGCTGGCGAGGGGATCACAACTCGCAATACTGGAGATGGTTGGACCCGGTGGGTGATCGGCTGCCATGGCTATCGGAGCCTCAGTTGCTGTCGGCAAAACAAAATAGTCCCTCGGTGATGGCAGGTCTGTGATGGCCGGGGGAGAACCGAACAGCGTCTGGAGTGTTGAATGTGAGATGCCAGCCAGGCTCGATGGTGGCTCAGAATACACGTTTGCGTGTGATTCGGGCAACACATGACTGTATACACACGGTAGGACTGACTTGGAGCAGGGCCCGCAAGGAGTTGCGCGGTCACATCGGATTTTCCTTCTTCTGCACTCGGTGCACGCAGCCAAGGGCCTCCGTCTTCGACGTGTGGGGATCTCCATGTTGATCGGCGATATCAGATACCTACCCCAGATCAATCAATATTGAAGTTCCGAACTTCTTCAAGGCAGGAATTTTTTTTTTTTGAAACTGAGGAAGTCAATGTCATCTGGGCAAGGCTTATTGTCGGAATATCTGACGCGTCTTACTGTTGCATATGCGTCTACTATGTAAATGTATCGTTGCGAGTTGTAAGTGGTGTGTTATTTAATCTTGTCCTCGCTGTAACTAAATAGATAAAACTCACTAGATTCACTTCATGTCGGACCAACAGCATCATAACCATTCCCATTGGTCCTGTGCCCCACTTTGGTCTAGTGGTATCGACACTTATCTCTTTAGCTGTGTAAGGGATGAGGAACAAATACCTCTTGGCATATCGAATTCTTGAAATATCTCTATAACCAAGCCTTTTGGCGATCCAATTTAAACGGGAAGTTTGTAATTACTTCCGGTGCTACTAATTAAAGTGCTTCCTAGGAGCTTACAACCCAAGGTAAGAATTGATAGACCAATCAAATAAAATGCACAGTAATATTACCCCCTGAACAGGAGTGTGGCTCCTAGGACGAATGGCCATTCTAGTGAAATTCAACATTTATTGATGGGATAATGTAAACCACCCACGTGGGAAGGGATGGGGCTAGCGTGTTGCATTTTATTGAGATACTTACTCAGCTCGGTCAGTGAGCTAATCAGGGTGCTCAGATTTCACTCAGTGAGCGAACCAGACTGCTCACTGAGTACTCACCGAGTGCTCCCTGAGTGAATCAGACTACTCACTATATGCTCCATCGGGTGGGAATGGGCAGCCGAAGTGACTAGGCTGAGTCAGTTTAGTTGACTCAGCGGGATCGAAGTAGATGGTGGGTACTCCTTTCAGTCCTACTCCGATCATAATCAATACCAACCCTTACACGAATCTTAATACTACAGCATTAGTACTTGGGATCCCGAAGGAAGACCGTACCAACAAATGGCGATGCACGATCTTTCCAATCTGATATGGAATGAGGGTGGATTCCGGTTCCGACATACCTCAACTGATCTACAATATCATCGATATAGATACCATTGCTATTAGGATAAAGCGCATACCCGAATCTATCAATCTAAGGTAGAGGTTGAAAAGCAGATATATGGCCATGGTATAGAGCGATTTCCTTGTGAAGTAAGCTTATTATACAGCCATCTTTACTTGATCGAACTTAGACATGTGCATGGTGTGGAATGGGTCAAAATTCATACCCATACCCATATGGGTATTTTAGTTGCCTTAGTGCCTTAATAATGCCTTAAACTGGTCTTAAATAGAACTTGTTTACTTAGCTAATTATACATTATTGTAGTATAATCATCCACGTGGAACACTAGTCCATTTTGAACCGTACTATGGAGTGGGATCCAGCCACAAGCAGTGGGGCAGAGCAAGGCTTCTGAGGTTCAATGGATACATGATGTAGCTCAGGATAGCTCTCTTATCAAATCAAAGAATTTCGTGCTCTCTACGAGGAATCAGAAACGAAATTCACAAAATTGATGATCGTTCTAAACTAGACTGAACTGGGAAAGGGTGGCTCGAAAGCCACAGTACTTAGCGGCATCTTCCTTGTGAAGAACTTTCTCCCCCGCTGCTTTCTCGCTTCATACAGTGGTTTGGGTATCTTTATCCAACCTTCTAGCCAGAAAAACCAGAAACTATCTCTAAATGCTAACTTTTCATATTGGACCAGCTTCTGAAATTGAAATCTTCACTGAAAAAGAAAAAGGCATTACTGCGCCAGATAGCATATCAATAGTGTGAAACCTCATCCAGATCCCAGCTCCGTTGCCCAAGGATGCATCATATGAGGATTCAAGCCTATCTAGAATCGGCGCCATCTGAGATACTTATAGATGTATTTGGACCATCTTTTTTGCTAGTCAATTCTGAGGACATCCAATCTGTTAGGTACACATCCATATAGGGCTCACTGCCAGTTCTGACCGCATTCCACTTTTGTCTGTCTTTGGCTACTCATGGTTTAGGTGGGATGCTGAGGAGTCTCACCCTTTTCTCACCTGTTCCATATGTTCCAAAGTATTTTTTTTGTCACCTGCGTAACTCAACCATAAGAAGAGGAAAGAAAAAAAAGAGATGAAAACATACAACAGTGAGGATTCGCATATAGTCACCCCCCATACTACTAACTGACCAGTATGTGACTTAAACGCAGCCAGCAGTCAGGTAGGTATTGCCCTGGTGAACAACAAGTGAGCGTTGCTTTAGCATTACACGACCAGGGAGGAGCAAGGTGGGTACGGTATATACTCGCGAAGCTATTCTGGTATCTACACTCCCCCACTTTTTCCCACCACTTAGATTGGCTGCCCTGACTGTATGTAATATATATATAAATATATGCTTATGGGCTAGTATTAAGAAATAAAATTGAGGTGACGGGAAAGGTGTTCAACCACTGGAACGAATCCCTTCTGTAACTGCACCATGTTCCGTATTTAGACTATACTCCGTCGTAATATGGATAGTTGACGGGTCTAGAAGCCGTGGGCTATTGCCGCCTTGGCTGACTGAAGTGACGAAGTTTTTGTCGCCGTTGAGAATGGGTCTCTCGCTTTCTTCAGAAGAACGTCCCTTCTGTGTGCTACCATGCATTGTATTAAGCTCAACCAGCTTTCCACTGCGCTCTGGTAATGAGAAACCAGCGATCTTGTCATCGTTCTTGGAAGCAAATACGTTGTATCCCTGGCTGCTATACTGCTTCCTAGAGCTTGAGTAGTCTGAAAATCCCAGCCAGCGCACATGTCGGAAAATGGGCTTAATCCCAGGTAGAGATGCAACAATAGCGGCCAAAAAGCATTCGCGGTCGGCCCACTGCAGTGCTATGGAAAGATGGGAGACATCACCGAGGGAATAGTAGCAACGAAGGATAGAGCAGATCATGATGAAAAATCCAGACGTGAACATGATCGCGAGAATGATTTTGTGCTGAAAGGGAATTTGGAGTTTCCTGAGCATGAGGACGGGAGCAATCATGACAACAAGGTCGGATCTAGTGAGATTTTAGGGTTAACCTAAGCCACAGAAATCTCGAGGTCACAAAGAGCGGGAAGAGAATCATACAGAACATTGAGGACACAGATAACAACGTAAAGAGGTTGACGGAGAGTGCAGTGGTCTGTATAATGTGATTAGTCTGGCTTTCGTGTAGTCTAGGAAGGAACCCCACCTCCTGCGTAGGGCTTTATCTGCCAATTTCTGGTAATGGGGGTGCATATACAGATATGAGTCAGCATACATGCTAACCAGCTAACCAGACAGAAAACAGCTGATGCTAGAACGATTTTTTGTGATTTTGTTCCTTTTCTAGAATCAAACCAATGTCAGCAACAAGAAGGTCTATAAACCAGGTGTGACCTTACGTGAGCCTCCAGAAAAGCCAAAGCAAGACAGCTTTCAGACTCCACATATAGCACATATACCATATCCAGTTCATGAAAGCAAGCTTAGACCCTAGTTCCATTGTTTGAACTTGACTGTCTGGGACTTGAAGTGCCGTCGCAGTTGTGAGGCCTATATTGCTGCCGAGGGTCTCTGTTCTCAATTAGCAATTAGATCGAGTGATATATAGCAGAACATCTGGTTACCTAGATAATAAATGATGGTAGATTGAAGAGTCCAAAAAACCTAGATAGATTATCATAAGCTTCATTCAATGACCTTAGTAGATATTAGACAAACCATGGCCGCTCCAGCAAAGGCATCCTCTATCAGTAGTCCCCGAATTCCGCTGAATTTCAAACGAGCAAACATTCGAAGCACCAAAAACATCATACCAATGCCATATTCGACGAATGTTTCTGTCACTATGACATTTTCCATGGCTGTAGAGGCTCCAACACCCGTACTGTATGTAGCCGACAAAAACTGTCCAGCATTAAATTATTTTTTTGGGGGCAAATATCTTTTAGGGCAAAGCGTCCTTTTTAAGGAGCGGATACTAGTCGTTTAGATTTGCCTAGTAGAGAGTCGTAAATTCTCCTCTGAGTTAACTTTGTAATTAGAGCAGCGCAGTCTCCCTGTACTTTTGGTCCAGTACTTTTTATGCCAATTTAACGAGTATACAGGTCAAATTTTACAGGGTTACATTACTGGGACTGGCGATACTAACATGTCTGTTGCCATATTACATATTACCCGGAATTCAAAGATAAGAAAAGACAACTGAAATATATTTCTTGTGATTTAAAACTGATTAAATACGAATTGTATTAGCAAATTTTATTTTGCCAAGTCAACGCCTGCTTTAACGTTTTCCGTACGGTTGATACGCTAGAAACTGATAAGCGGCGCTAGACCTTTAGGCGAAGTGATCTCTACCGCAGTCATTATGGAAACAAAGGCGCTTATATTGATTGAGTAAAATCAAGCCAATAGTACATACGCCTGTTTGCTTCGTAATGTATTGTGGGTAGTTGAAACCGGATGTTCCTTCCCGCGCCGCACATGGATTCTTTCAGCATGATAAACATTGGCTTTTGTCTCAGCCACCAACCTCCTGTGACATCAATGTCACAGGGCGAGCTGATCGTCTGGATTTAATAATGATGTTTTGGTGGATTTCATAATAGTTAAAAAGTACGAAGAGGGGCCGAAATTCAAGACTTGAAAAGGCTCCCTAGTTTAACGAACCAGGAAAATCACTACTGAAAGAAGTATTTCCGGGCACTATTAATATTTTGAAGTATGTTAGTCAATAAATAGTACTAGAATTATCTATCCTCTTCTAAAGGCTCGGATGTAGGGATAAATACAGCCAAACATCTTCAATAGTTCAAACCGATACTCAAATTTCGCTTTGTATCCAATTCTAAGAAGAAAAAGCCCATTGATTGGAACATGGCTCGGCCAAAGGTTGCGCTGATCACAGGTGGAGGTGTGTCTGCCCATAAACAAGAAATACGATCCCATACTGATGTGCATGTTTCTAGCCAGTGGAATGGGTTTAGCCGTTGCAGAAACCCTGTCAGCTCGTGGCGACTGGATAGTGCACATCCTGGACGTTAATAAAACTCGAGGAGAGCAAGTAGGCCGTGACGTTCCCCGAGTTTTCTTCCACCAGGCTGATGTTACCAATTATGGGAGCCTCTCCGAAGCTTTCAAAAGCGCCTTTTCCCATGACAGCTGTCTGGATTTCGTTTTTGCAAACGCTGGCATAATTGAGCGAACCAACTTTTATGCTCCGCATCCAACTGATGAGAATTTTTCTGCCCCTCCAGAGCCAGATCTCCTGTCAATTGATGCAGATCTCAAGGGAGTGATTTTCACAACATATTTGGCCCAGCACTACTTCCGCATCTCATCTCATGGGAGACTCGACGCTAGCATAGTGATGACCGCAAGCTGTGGTGGGCTTTACCCGTCATTTTATTCCCCGCTCTATTCCGCCGCAAAATGTGAAGTTTGAATTCAATTTCTTTTGCAAATATGAGTTGTACTGACTTTCTTTTTAGTCGGGGTAGTAGGATTTATGCGATCAATTGTCCATTCCTTCGGCACGAACGGAGTGCGCGTGAACGCTATTTGCCCAGGAATCGTACGCACCAATCTAGTCGACAAAGTAGGATGGAACAGCTTCCCACAAAACCGCTTCATTGACCAGGAAATAATATCTCAAGTTGTTTTACAGCTTGTAGATGGCGGCAAACAGGCGGGCCAGGGCATGACTGATACCAAAGGTAGATATTTTCCAGCCTCAAAACTGGCCGGCCTTGCGGTAGAGATCTCAGACGAAGGCGTCTATTTCAGAGACCCACATGAATTCTGTGACGATGGAATGCGAGAGGTAATGACGGCGACTGTACTTGAAAATCAGGTCGGGGGTATTCTACAACAGAACTAGGTTAAAATACCACATACTTACTATGTACATTACGAGGGGCAAATCCTTTAATCCCAGCTTTAGTTCAGGCTCTCAGCCTTTGATCACCGTGGGAGGCCGCGGACTGAATAGGCTACGTCTCCGGCTTGACCTTTCCTTGAGTAGGACATGTCAATTTGGACATCCTTGGAGTGGGGAAACATGACTCATCCGAGGCATATTCCCCATCCAGCAAAAGATCTTCAGCGCCGGATCCGTTGATTTTTCATGATCCACTTCTGACAATGTACTTTGTACAGTGAGAGTGGGCAGACCACTATCCCATATTCCGCCAATCCACCTAATCCATATGGGCTGCTCACACAGCGGATGGATTCGAAAGTCTAGGCCTTCGAAATTTCTTGAGGGGTTTTCATGCACCTGTTAAAATGATATGAAAAGCCAGCTCGGATAATCCATCAGAATCTAACTCTGAACACTATTGGAAGCGGGCAGTTTCGGTCTGGAACTACATTATGGTCTTTCATATTTAATGTACTACTTATTGAAAGTTCTTCAAGTGATGATTTTTAGAATTGAGATTGTCATTTATAAAAGTGAGTATAATATAACAAACGCAAAAATTACAAAGTACATGTAGAATTTTCCAGAGAAACTCAAGTCAACTTGTAATTCAAGACAGTGCTTCTTCTAGCTCCGAATTTTCACCGTGAATCATTTCAAACAGGGGTTCCCATACAGTAGTTGCTCGCTTGGTAATTGGGCCGTTAAGTGGTTCTGGCAAGGGGTAATAGAGTAATTTCTCGGCTGAGCACTCGAGCAACTCTCCCGCCATACCCGTGGTATCTTCCAAGAAGATGTCAAATGCTTTTAATACCGTGGAAATTGGTGTTATACTAAGAAAATATCCTTTAGATACTTTGAAATTTAATCCGTGGGAAATACTTACCATTCAGGGCTGACAGCTTTAATCATTCCTGGTGGAACTATGGGTGTATCCAAGATTCCAGGCATCACAACGTTAAGCAAAATGTTTTCCTTTTGCTTCAGAATAGGAGCAGCGCCACGTGCAAACTGATTCACAGCGGATTTGGTTCCACAGTATATAGGATAAGCCTTATGAGGAAACATGCCCCCAATACTGCTTGTTATAATGATACGACCACCAGGCTGAGGGTTGTGACGCATGAAGTGTGTAGCAAGCTGGGTGCAATATATAACGCCCTTGTAGTTAGTTTCGACAACAGAGGTGTCCGGCGGAGGAGGTACATCCTCTACTGGCTTATCTTTCCAGTCAAACCGATAAATAGAAGACTTGTCGACGATGCCTGCATTGACACACACAGCATCAATTCGGCCCCAACGCTCGTGAACTTTTCTGAATACCTCAACGGAATCTTCATACTTGGAGACATCCGCGGTAAAGAACTGAGCTTTGTTTTTGGGGAGAGTTTTAAGAAGCTGATCCCCTGGCTCTTGACGTCGTGCTGTGCATGCAACAATCCATCCCTGTGCGCAAAGGTGTCTAGCTATATCGACCCCCACACCAGACTAGTTTGATGCCTAATTAATATATTGCCGAGCATTGCAGATCTATTGCACTTACTGTGGCTCCGATGAGAATGGCAACACGTTCCTCTGCATACGACCCCATCTCTGTGCTGCTGGAAGTCAAAGAGAGAATATTGAAGTTCAAGAGAGCGGGAGAAAAATTCTTACTTCCTTATTGAATGGATATACAAAGTATGAGCTGGCCTGATCCTGGACAATGCACAAAGTACATGCAACTAAGTGGGGTTAAAGCGTTGGCTCGGATCACTCCCTTGAAGACCGTTAGACTCCTTCGTCTATCACTTCCAATTTGGTGTTTTTTTAGCCACAATGTTTGACACGGGCCATAGAGTAGTACGAAGTAATCCCACTTAATATTTGAATTTGCGTGGAGCCGATAATTTAGTCAACAAATTAAGCTCCGCATCCATCGGCCATGACAGTGCTCCACTGTACAAAGTACATCACCATATGCAACTCATTCCGTGGCCCAGGAAAATTAGCGTACGGAAATTTTTAATTCATTCCTGCAAAGTGCCGTTGTTGATCAGGGATAAGGGGTAGTAGTAGCCTTAGGACTAACTAGATTGCACATTAACCGGCCCATTGAGAAAGGTGATAATTAGTTAGGCCTCGAGGCCCATTAGGCACAACTTATTTCAAGCCCTCTTCTCCTCTTCTGATTCTTTTTTTTCTAACTAGGAATCACTCAAACTGTCCATCATGGCCGTGGACAGCGAAAAGGACCAGAGTCAATCCCCAGTCACTACACACTTGACGCCGGAATCCCTTTCTGGCGCTGAGGAGCCCATAGAGCCTCCTGTTGTGACGTTGAAGACATGGATTGTGTCTATGGTAAAGGCTTGCTCTTGATTCTAGTTTTTAATGGCTTTGCTAAGAATTGATTCCTTGCGTAGGTATTATCCTGTGGTTATGGTCTCTCTTTTTGGCCTGTACCCGTCGTATCCTCTATTGGAACCAATATTTCGGCAGATATGGGAAACGCAGACGGCTATGTTTGGTTTGTTCCAGTATGTGCTCCTTCCGTATGCCTTGAGTTTTGCGGCTGACAATTCTAGGCATGGACAATTTCGATTACCTGTGCTTTTCTCTTATTGTATGCATTTATATGGATTCATATTGATAGAAAGGGAGTGGCTGACTTGTTTCCAGTGGTCCAAACACTGATCTTCTTGGGAGACGTTGGTTCCTTGTGCTAGGTAACTTGGTATGTAATGACACATTACGAGTGAGATAGCAGTTCTGACTTATCTTGTCAGATTTGCTTCGTGGGTCACATTATCGTTGCTTCATCAACATCCACCAGTCAGGTGATTGCAGGCTTAGCAGTTTCGGGCTTCGGGGGAGCTAATTGTCAGGTAAAGCCAAATTTTCTCCAAGAGCTTGGGTACGATACATACTGAAAAAAAAAAAATTTAGATGGCTGCATTCGCTCTCCCTGAGCTTCTTCCTAACAAATGGCGACATATCGGCGTTGTTATTGCAGACTCAACTGTCTATATTGCGGTCATTGTCGCTCCAGTTACAGCCCGTTTCGGATACCAAATGCAGAATTGGCAATGGAACTTCTGGGGAGTGGCTATCTTTCAGGGACTTTCTTGCATTGCTCTTTTCTTTCTCTACCACCCACCAAAGCACCCGTAAGTGAGACTCTAAGGATTTTATAACGGATTACTTATCAATCAAACAGCCTCGGTATCTCGTACTCGGAAGCGTTCAAATCCATGGACTACATTGGTAGGGTCTCCGAATTGAAGAACGATTAAGATCAGTACTAATAGTTATTCAGGAGGATTTCTCTTCGTTGGTGGCGCTGTTCCATTTCTCATGGGAATTGTGTGGGCTGGCGTGTATCCCTCTCATGATGCTCACGTCGTGGCACCCCTGGTGGTTGGTGCATTTGTCATGATCTGTTTCGCTCTATGGGAAACCTTCGGAAACCTCAAATACCCCCTGACTCCGACGGCCATTTTTACCAGCTCTTGGGGACGAGACTTCACAGCTCCAGCGATTGCTGTGGGAGTTGTGAATATGTTTTACTATTCCTCTAGCATCTTGTGGCCTCAAATGATCACTGTCTTTTACACCAATAATGGTGCCGATTGGAAATATGCTGTTGTGCTATCTTTGCCTCAAGGTTTTGCCATCCTGTTCGGTGCTATTCTTCTCACGGTCTTTGGTAGTCGCATCCGTCACTGGCATTGGCAATTGACTGGTTCGGTTTTTGTGATGGTCCTTTTCGGATCCCTTCTCGGACTTGTCACTCCCAACAACATGGGAACTATGATTGCATTTATCTTTCTTTCTCAAGCCGGCTTTGGTTGGGGGTTATATTTAAGTATTGCTCTGACTCAAATGGGTGTTGATCAGCAAAACCTTGGCAAGAGTGGAGGTATCTCAGGTTGTATCCGATTTGCGGCTGGTGCAGGTATGGTTTTTTTTCCGAATACTTACCACAAGGTGAACTACTAACATCTCTTCAGTCGCCACTTCAATCTACCAGACTATCTACAATAACAGTCTCACCAAGTACATGACAGAGTACATTCCTCCGGCAGTCACTGCTGCGGGTCTGCCCGAGTCTAAGATTGAAGGTATCATGACAGCAGTTACCAGCGGTGCCTCCGCTCTGAAATCCTACAGCCCTGCAGTTGCTGCAGCTGCAGAGGCTGCACTGAATGATGCTTATTGCAAAACTATCTTGTAAGTTTATCTGAGTCAACTATAATCTTGATTATAATGCTGATAATTGAATATCAGTGTCGTGGCTATGGTATCAATGGCCTTTGGCATAGTTGGACTGATAGCTTGCCTATGCTGCAAGGATGTTGACTCGAAAATGACGAACAAGGTAACACTCACTTTAGCAATGATAATTTTGTTGAGTCGACTAGTTTGGATGCTAAGAGTTCACAGATTGAAGTTTATCTTGAGAATACTAAACTCGCGGAACGAAACACTTTCCACTAGGTTGGATAGCTGCGCATCTCAACGCAAACATTCGTTGTTATATATGCTCGCATCTTCCCACATCATTCTCAAACTAGCTCGAAACAAGCATATACCAGACTCGACTGGTGTAAGGCAACAAAAGGGTCGACCACTATGCTTTATACTTAGAGAGCTTAGCTTATTTATTCGAGCTAATAAACAAATGAATCTTTTATAGCATACAGAATAATTTAATAAACTAATTAAAAAATGATTGAGAAGTTGAACTCTGTAGGTCCTGGTGCCCTGTCTGGATGGAGGAAAATGTCGATCAACTGCGTTGAAAGGACAGGGTTCGCACATTGCACTATATACACTGGAAAAGGGTATGATTCGCCCTATATTCTTAGTATATACGGTGTGCAAAGTGGTGTGAAGTGTGTTCGATTCATCCAGCTACTCGAATTCCTAATATAGTCGTTCCCCCGTGGGCAGGGGAGTCAGTTTAATAACCTCCTTGTGTTTTGTGCAATGCCATAATTGCCATTGACTATACTCTTTTTTTGATCAGCTGACGAAATTGTAAGTTTCTGTACCAAAGATTGAATATCGGTTACCTCACGTCAAATTTACCCAATACTTTACTTCAACTACTTCAACACCAATGATTTTTTTTCAAGAACTCATCTGCATCTTAAAGACTTAAACTTCCAATTTTGAATTTATTGCTCCGATTTGCTCGTGACTCAAGCATCACAATGTTGTGGTCAATGAGGGATTTTCCAGTGCCTCCAGTGCCTTACGTCAAGGGCTGGAAATTTACCGTCCAGTCACATATTCCCCCTCCCCTCCCCCAATACCAGTGTCCAACATGTGGTCTCTCAATAATCAGAAAGAGCGGACTGAACCGAACAACATTGGCGTAGTCCAAATTTGAAACATCCTCCACGCGAGGGAAAGAAGGGGCTATACAAAATTGACCTAGAAGTTGTCGACACTATACGAACTTGGGATGGAAATTCTGCGCAAGTCTTTCTTGTGACTCTAGCAGACACGACAGGCACAAATCCTCCTCTGTTTTTTGAAACCCGGTATGCGGTTGGTTGCTAAGGTGTTCGATCCTCTCTACATCGATGATGACGGTGGATGTTTCCATCCCTTTCGGATAGCGGATCATGGGTATACCCAAGAGTCTACCATGTATGAAAATCTGTCAGAGTACCAAAGAAAGCAAATTCCTCGATTTTATGGATCCTTCTCTCTTGATCTTCCATTTCGCGGTGAAACACGTACTGTTCGCCTTATCTTGATCGAATATATACCTGGCATATCCATGGATCAAGCCAATCCAGAAGATTTTTCACAAGAAACTCGAAAGCAGATTATGAAATTGGTTATCAACCTGAAAAGTGAGATTTACGGTCTCAAGAATATTCTACTGTATGACCTCCACCCAAGAAATATCATGATACAGGAGGGACCCGATGTTGTTCTCATAGATTTTGCAGATGCTATGACGAACCGCGGCACGGGCTTTTACCCCTGGCAGCAGACGACTTCTTCTATGGCTCCATATATGGGTGAATATGTTCTTCCGCAGCTGAGATGGAAGAATTTGGACGAACCATTTAGATCTCGGCGGAGTTTCTGAAAAGGAGCCCCAAGAGGATCGAGTCAACTGCAATTATATGTTTGGCGAAGACGAGGTTTTCGCAGATGAAGATGGACCTAATGAGAGATCTAATGAGAGATCCAATGAGGGTAAAGAGTATCCAATTAGTTGGATCGACTGGGATTGGGGTTTATGGCTAGATACGGAATGGTCTCACATGAATTCAATGATCACTTCAGATATGAGGAAAAAATACCCATATTTTGAAGAAATCATGAAAATGCCGAGGTCTGAGGTCTCTTGACTGATACCATAGATTGATAATGCAATTATGGCTCTGAGGGTTTGGCACCTAGATCACAGGTAGTTTAGATAGCGAGATTGAAAGAATATCCAATCAAACACCGAACATCAGTAACATTGGGAATCTACCTACCTGGATAGTATGTAGGTAACATAGTAGCTGGTCAGTCAGATCATATTTTTCTTCATTTGATATTGAGGTCGCTACCTACCTAGAGCTCGGCCCGAATAATATTCGCACTTATTTCAGGTTATTCGTATTCGCAGTTGCTACCACTAGCTATTACTCGTATTCGCACTTGCAGTTGATGCGATTATTCGCGAATATTCGCATATTCGTGCCGAGCTCTATACCTACCTACCTAGATACCTGTATGCACCCGATTTCCTTCCACCAATTGTGCTTTCCTACCAAAAGATCGAACGCCTCGCCCTGGTAGACTATCAAATGGAAGTAGTCTGATCTATTTGCATGATCTTATTCCAAGGTTTCGGTTAGTATTTAAGCCAGATTACGTACTAGCCGTGTCACATGCACACCCGACTCGTTACAACATGGCTACTCAGTGTGAGCAGCTAGTTCTCTACAACTTCAACAAATCAAATGTAGTATCCACAGGAGACTACACATCTATATATCGGGCTCGACCCGTTATATTATCCCCATCCTCTTCTCCCACGCTTTGTACGACGTCTCGGCGTCGTTGATTCCTGTCGTCCTGAGCTATCCCAGATCTGGAGGGCCTCAGTATCTGTGAAGGCGTCCTCTGGTTCCCATGTAGGTCGTTGATAACCTGTCTATTTCACTAGCAATTTCCTTTTTCCTCGTACAAGTTTCTCTTTTAGTATTCCTTCCATCTCGTATTCCTCGTCCTGTCTATCGTTTCCTAACAATATCGGTGGTGGTTGAGTGTCGTCTTGCTGCTGACTAGGCAGTGGGTCGTTTGCAGCTAACCGTAGGAGCTGACTATGGAACATATTATGAACTCCTGGTGGCGTATCTAACAGGTACGAGTGGGATCTGACTACCTTTTTTACTGTGAACTTGGCATGCTTGGCGTCGAGCTTCTTTGTCGGTCTGTCTGTGTGTATATTCTTAAGGTTTAACCAGACCTTATCTCCTACACGGAAGTTCTGGGACTGCTGGCGATTCCGGTTTGTTGTTTCCTCCATCCTCTGCTGGGCTACCACCATTGATGCTTAGGCCCTTTCTCTAGCTTGTTTAAGCTGTCGTATGATTGTATCGGCTTAGGCTATCGGGGAATGGTGTTTTATCTTTTCGGTGGTGTCGTGATATAGATCCAGAGGTCGTACGTGGTATCTATGTTGTAGGAAGAAGGGGCTTATGCCTGTGGCGGCCGTGTCTCTCCTGTTAATAGTAATTTCAGCTGATGGTTGTGAAGGGCTAAAGCTAATCTTGAATTCAGAACTAGCTAGGCACATGCTATTTACAAAATCCTTGAAGAACGTGAACAATTCGGTGTGGAATCGTGAGGTATGCGGTTGGTGGGTCACGTGGTACAACCACGTGATAGTTCGCCAGGATTCAACCTGTTACAAATGAAGGAAGAAACATTTTACAAATTCCTGGTAAATTATCGAAAATTGAAGCTAGGTGGCGGGGTGGTAGGGTTGAAGCACCGTAAGTCAAATCTTGCATATTACCACATAAGATGGCTATTTACCACTACCCGACGACCTTTTTTTTTTAGCTCCCCGACAAACTTATTATGATGTATCATATTACCCACAAAAAATGAAATACAGAGTTTTTATTGGCCGATAAGACGAAAAGTTCGTCGGGTGGTAGGGTGGCGGGGTCGACCCTGCCACCCCGCCGCCTGTATACTCTCTTTATCGGTACGTACCAAGAGTATTAGCTACATATGACACTGCATCATTTCATACTTTTGCTCAAAATGAGTACCGCAATGTAGTATGCTGAGCCTATTATCTAAGCCTGAGTGCTCTTCGAGTCGTGATTGAAAATTGAAGACTTAGAATTTGCTGAAATAGAAGAATCAAATTAGATATGATGTATGTGTTAAGGACTTGTACAATCGACCAATCAAAATGCTAAGATTTCAATCTGATATATCAAAATGAAGTCGTCCAAAGATAGAAGACGTAGTAATGAGTAAGATTGAGTGTTTCGTTTTGTTTCTAGTAAATGGTCGAAGACAAAAGGTCAGGCTAAAGCTGCAAGTCATTCCCGCTAATGACTCGCTCCCCACCATCTCATTATGATATATCACAAGAATCAAATCCATTTGATTGGCCAATATTAGTAGTCCATCTGTGGCCACGTGGATTCACATGGCCTTGACTGATAGGTCGAAAACTCGTACTAACTGGTGATCTCAACATTCTCCTTCTCCCTCTGACAAGCTTCCTGACATGGACCACATGACCTAAGCGTTGTTTCTTCATATTTCAACTTGGATATTAAAAAGAAGCGCCAGTGCTATCGCTGCTACGATGGAAACCGATATTGTCGCTTCACACTTAGCTCCAATTGCTCCAGCGCCAGTTAGAACAACTTCTGTCGAACCTGATAGTCCCGATCCCACTTTGACAATGATGCGCTTCAATTGCCAAGTTTGCGTACGCAAAAAGATCAAATGCGATAAGACGACACCAGTATGTTCGAGCTGCAGCAAAGCAAAGCTCCAGTGTATCTACCGCACTCCCCTGCCGCGAAAGAGACGGAGACTGCGAAGCCAGTTGGAAAACGGGGAAGACGTACATGAGCGATTAGCACGGTATGAGCGCATATTGCTCGACAACAATCTTCTCCATTCATCGTCTACGTCAATTCCATATGGCCAGAGAACGGAGGCATCAGTGGCCAGCACGCTGAGCTCAACACCAATGCCGAGCTCTCAAACCGCTACGTCAGGTAAACTTCTATCCGCCGACGGCCAGTCCCGCTACATTGACAGTGTTCTGCTTGATATGTGCGAAGCTGCTGAAGCATACAATTCCGACCAGGATGATAATTATCAGAAGGAAGCCAGAGGTAATAAGAGTACAACGGATCACCTGGGCGTTCCCGTAGCGTGCCCTTTATCTGGGGCCATACTTGGGAGCACAAAAACTATTACCGAACAACATCCTAATCATGGCACGGCGATCAAGCTCTGGAATATATACGTGCAAAACGTGGAGCCTCTATGCAAGATTCTTCATGTTCCCACGGTCGCAAAAATGGTTAACACCGTTTCAAAACAACCATCTAAGGCCTCGAAGAGCGACGAATGTCTTATTTTCGTCATTTACTACTTCGCTGTGTTCTCTTTGTCAGATGCTGACTGTTTACGAGAATTTGATCAACCGAAGAATGATATGATATCGAAATATCGGACCTTGGTTTACCAGGCACTTATCAATGCATCGTGGCTGAGCACGACATCAATACCTGTACTGCAGGCTTACACTCTATTTCTCATTGTTATGCGCAATCAAATTGATTCCGACACCTTTTGGATCTTGACAGGGATTGCTATTCGCCTCGCACAGCGTATGGGGCTTCACCGTGATGGTGAAAAACTCGGATTGCCACCTTTTGAGGTTCAGATGAGACGGAGAATCTTTTGGCAACTACTCCCTCTAGATAGCTATGCTGGCCAGGTTTCCGGTACTGGTATTGTGATGTCGTCAACTAGCTGGGATACTAAACACCCATTAAACATTAATGATGATCAGATTTTCCCTGGTATGATAGAGCCGCCTATCGAACAGAGAAGCGAGACAGAAATGATTTTTTGCTTATCTCGGATAGAATTTTCAGATTTTTATACCAGAACTGGCGTCAAATCGAGAGGAATTGGCGAAGCAATTCAATTTAGGGATGCAGAGCATATTGAGAGACTTATCAATGAGGTCGAAGATCTCATCGAGACTAATTTTCTTCGATACTGCGATATTTTAAATCCCTTACACTTTTACACCATTGGAATTACCCGATCTGCGACTGCTGCTGTTCGACTTCGGGCTCGAATGCCGCTGTTGATGACCCAGGCCACTACAAACGTGCAAAAGAGGGAAATTTGTGCACTTGCAGCAAAAATTCTCGATACTATTAACGCCATATATAGTAACTCCAACATGCGGAAGTATCGATGGCAATTACAGGCTTTCTGGATATGGGATGCCCTTCTCTGTATTCTACGCAGCATCGCGGATGTCACATTCTACTCGACCTCGGAGCTGAATGTTTCTTGGAAGAATGTGGCAGATGTTTACGCAAATCACGAAGAACTGTTTGAGGGTAGAACAGCCCTATATGTCACAATCGTCAAGTTAACTCTCAAGGCTTGGTGTGTCAATCCCCCAAGCCAATCGTCCCCAGAGCCGACTTTCATAACCTCCCTATATGCGCTACAGGAACCAAAAGTCAGGAGAGAGCAGGAGAGAGATGAAATATTGGGGATCACCAGTCTTTTAGACAGCCCATGTGATTTTGATGAGGTTTTTAACAACATTGATGGGATCAATATGAATTTTAATGGCGGATTTGACCCTTCAAATTGGATATTTTGGGATGAGTCCTGTTGATGAATGAGGATAGATTGATGGCTTTCAGTCCGGGTTTTGAAGCGGCCGTCAGCATCGGCTTTTAGGGATTTTAAGCGGGCCAAGGATCTGTATAGGACTACTCAGTCTTATATAACTGCTTAGATAGGTGGCCATCGAACAGGCTCGTGTTATCCGGAATCCGACAAGCAACCTCGCTATGCCATCACTCACGTCGGTAACTCGCATAAATGCGGCAAGTCCCTGCCCTGTCCTCATCATAGGAGCAGGCCTATCGGGTCTGGCTGCTGGACGGCTTTTGACGAATAATGGCATTGCCAACATTGTATTCGAAGCTTCTTCCCCGCAACGTGATCAAGGTTTTGCCATTTCCCTACACGATTGGAGCTATTCTCTGTTACTAGAAGCCCTTGGGGGACTGTCCCTCCAAGGCATGACGAAAGCCGTTGCACCAGACCGTTTCAACGGCGGCAGTGGTTGGGTTGATCTGGCAATGCGCGATAACACGACAGGAGAAGTGCTAATTGCGCCGGAACCTAGCGCTCGTTCGAAAGTTGTGCGGGCTAATCGCAATGCCTTGCGGACATGGATAGCTGATTGTGGCGATGAAGAACTAGATGTGAGATACCATCATAAGCTCAAGGCCATCTCGGGATCAGTCGGAAACATAAGGGCCATCTTTGAGAATGGGGCCGAGTATCAGGGCTCGCTGGTGATCTCCGCTGATGGTGTGCACTCGACAGGTATGTGGGGCGAAAATCTCATGTATAATCCACGCCTTATTACTTATCTTTGCATGCAGTACGATCGCAGCTTCTTCCCCACATTGTTCCCGAAGTCCTTCCCGTCGTAGTATACCACGGCGAATTTGAAGTCTCGCGAGACGAGTTCGATAGCTTTATAAAACCTTTTATTGGCGATGCAAATATTCTGGCCGGGGTTGGTGATGGCTTCAACACACCCATCACCATTTGCCATATGAGCAAATCTCAGGTCCATTTAGACTGGTCATACTCTCGCCCTGCTCGTAGTGACGACGATCCATTGTTTTGCCCGACTTCCAAGGTGATGGACCAGACACGTGAGCTTCCACAGGCGCTCTTTGATGAACTGGCATCGATGAAGCTCGCTGAGCCATGGGTGCGATATATTAATCCCGAAACCATCAAACAGCATTCTGTGTTTCACTGGGTTAGTCGTTGCGTGAATATGACTACTAAGGACATGCTTTGCGGTGCGCAGCAAGGGATTGTTTTCATTGGAGACGCATGGCACGCGATGCCTATCTTTGCTGGGGAAGGTGGAAACCATGCGTTATTAGACAGTGTCGAACTTGTGGCGGCCATAAAAAGCAGTTCGGACCTGGATAGTGCTATTTTGGCTTACTATGATGGTGCTGGAAGAAGATGTCAGGATGCAGTTCGAAGGTCGAAGTCTCGGTTCTACGTGCTGCATCGACCGATGACCGAATGGCAAGATGTTGCAGCAAAGCGGCGTCTTAAAGCGACTGCTTGATTGCCACACAAAAGTTCTACTCCTACTTCTACGAGTCATTGAGATATAGTCACCAAGTCTCTGGGTTCATCTCGAGCTTTATTCCCTAGGTACATGCCTAGAGAATAAAGTTAATCATCCCAAACTTTTCTGCAGTAAAGGTATTTAGCGACACTTTAGGCATAGAGATGTTCTATATCTAACTAGGATATTTTTTCTTGAAATCAGTATTCCTACACACACACAATTTATTAACGCCCGGCGGCTAAGCCGAAAGGGCAACTATCTCTGATCTATTATACATGTCATAATATAAATATATAGTACTGTGTCTCCTCAGAGCCCATACATAAAGCCTTGCAATAAATGTCATCTCAGGTGTCCGTATCGCAGCGGATTCTCGTGGGTTAGTAATTTGGTTAGTAGGCTGGCTTGAAGGCGCTTCTCCAAGTGTTCAACATCCTATCTTCGGCAGTTGAAGCGCGTCTACCATCTGAAAAACGAGGTGGTTGGTGGATTAGATCGGTAAAAAGGGAGGGGAATTTAAGTTCGTCGGCATGGTTAGGTGGCCTCGAGTCGGCCCATGGCCATGGCGAATCGTATTGAGGCCCGGACCGCCTTAAGTTCGGCGTCCACTTCTGATCATCGGAAGGCGACTTTCCTCCTGGGGAGAAGGATATATTTCCTCGGTGGGTGTTGGTACATTGTAGTAGTTCCGTTCGGTGCGCTGTCTATTTTTGACATCGAAATAGGAAATGTTCCACGGTCTCTCTCGCTTGTCCACACGCACACTGGTCCGTGTCTGCTACGTTGATTCCATAGAGATAACCATTGAGTCTTGCCATGCCGGTTCGGAGTTGAGCCGGCACGCTCGCTTCTTTCCACGATAATCGATCATATAGCTGTTGGGTGTGTTTGCCTGGGAGTGCTGCATCAACTCGTTTTGCGTGTCTCCCCACGTTTACTGGTAGGTCATTGCTGGGGACTGCTTGGGACCGTGCAATATTCAGTGTGGTTGACTTCATTCTCGGGACGCGTTCTTGCAGGAGAGCATCTTCTTGTGTCGCGACTCTGGCCTGTTCTTTAGCCAGGCCCAGTAGTTTGTTGTCTTCGCTCTTCGAGATCCATCGGATGTTGATCTGGTTTCCATTTCTCCGTAGCTTTCTCATCAACTTATACCATTTTCAATACATATGCCATCGCTGCTAGCTCCGTAGAGAACGGGTTTTGCTCTGCTCTTATACCCAATGTGACGGAGAGTGTCTTCAATTTCACTTTTCGATACCGAGGTGGCTGCTTCTCGATCGCCACCCCGAATCCGACCAGCCCGTTTCGTGCTGAGCTACTGGTTGCGACCTGCATTAACCCTCCTGGTATAATCGGTGACTGCGAAGTTGCTTTAACGCCAACCTGTACGCGTGCTTCCTATGGTGCTAATGTGAACGGATTGATGGTTTCTAGTGTTTCTATATCAATGTTCTTTAGCGCGTCTGCGACTCGATATAGCGGCGAACGGTGGAATCTTCTGAAGTTCTTGATCCGTGCTGTATTCCTGCGGAGAGGGTTGGTTTCTGGTAGGGTATGTATGTCCATCCACATCTTCACGGCTCGTCTCTAGAAACGTTGTTGAACAGTGGCAAGGTGGGCCTCTGCCTCTGCTACACTGGTCGCAACTGTGAGGAATGTTCCTATAATCGCTTGCGCTCCTACCCTTTGGACGCGGTTTATCGGCCCTATGGCCTTATCCTTGCAAGCGTGTATCTAGATATTAGACGCGTAGTCCACGACCGGCGCCACCGTTGATGTAAATAGCTGCCGCGCTGTCGCTGGCGATAGACCCCGAAGTCGTCGAAGCTCCATCGCGGCCTCTAGGCCCTTAGATGCTGCCCTCGCAATATGTTCCTTGTACTTGAGTTTCGTGTCTATAAGGACGCCCAAGATCTTGACATATTCCTTGGGCTCAACGGTTTATCCCTTGATCGTGAATGGCCCTTGGTCTAATTTATGAGCCTTAGGAGTAAAGTGTATGATGGCTGTTTTGTCTGCTTCGAAAGTCGCTCCGCTCCTTTTCTCCTAGTCGAGTGCTTCATTGATAATTGCTTTAATGCCTTCCCGGTTGCTCTAGGCGGTGGGCCCGGTCACCCATGCGGTAAAATCATCCACGAACGCCATTGCTCCGCCCTAGCTATCGATCTGAGGTTGTATAAGGTCTGTATTAAAGAAGAGAAACAAGATCGGGGATAGGGGCGAGCCCTAAGGTAGGCCAGCTTGTGGAAGGCTGTGGACCTCCGACACTTGCCTATTGATTTGAATGGTCGCCGTTCATTCTAAGCAGAACGCTTCGACCCACCGAAGCAGGTCAACTGGTATGCCTCGTGCTTTCATTCTCTAGAGCAGTCGTTCTTTGCACACCCCGTTGTAGGCGCCTTTGATATCGAAGCTGATCAAACTCAACACCCGTCGGCCTCACCAAGCTATGTAAATCTGCTATTGTAAGAGGATAAGCGCCTACTCCGCGGACCGTTGTTTTCGGGCTCCGAAATAGCTGGTCGGGAGTAAGCCGTGTGTCTCTATAGCGTGCGAGATCCTTTCTGCAACCACGGATTCCAGTATCTTGCCCAGCGTCGCGAGGAGCGAAATTGACCTCCATGTCTTCGCAATAGTATAGTTTTCCTTATTCGGCTTTTTGAGCGGTATAATCTCTGTATGTCTTCACTGTCTCGGCAACATGCCTTCTTCCAGTGACGCCTGGAACAAGTCAAGAACCCTGTGCTTGACTGTGGGCCAAGTCATCTTCCATACTATCGCTAGTAGACCGTCTTCACCCGGCGCCTTCCATGATTTCGCTGCGAAGAGCTATCGTTCTATCTCTTCTAGGCTGATAGCAGGTATCACCACCGCCTCTCTTTATGGTCTGGTACCCTCCTTATCAATAAAGTCAGGAAGAGGGGGAAAGAATTTGGACAGCAGCTCTTCTGCTTACTCTTGATGATCCGTGGTGGTAGTCCCGTCTGCTCTAACGAGCTATAGTAGCTTCCCGAATGCTGCGTCCTCTCCCGACTTCAGGTATTTAGCGGCTTTCCAGATATTGTCGTTGTCTGCGAGAAACTCATTCCAGTACTTCTTCTTTTGCTTGCGGATGGCATTGTGGTATTGTTTCGCCGCACTTTAGGCTGTCTCTTCCAGGTGCGGTACTTTTCGTCCCGCTCGGCGCTCCGAACGAGCATGGTTTCGCCAGTATATATATATATATCTAGCGTAGCTATGTTAAGTCGGCTGTCCACCATCGTTTCGCGTGTGGTGACGGTTTTGCCTTTAGAGTTAAAGCATGCACCGCCTCGCTGACCGCTGTCATAAGTCGGTCAGTCTTCTACTGCACCGTGCCTCCTGACGGAGTAGCGGTTAGAGCACTCGCGATTCTGGTATTGATCTCTTTCCATGGTGCGTTCTTTAATAGAGGTCGTTCCTGGTGCTTTGGGGCTGACCACGGCGCATCGAACTCAGTCTTAATAGCATAGTGATCCGAGCCGTGCTCTGTCCTATGTATCGCAAACTTGATCATTGAATCTATCAGATTATCAGAGGCCAGGACGAGGTCGATGGTCGACTCGCAGTCTCCACTCTGTCCACTACCATGCTATATCTTTATACCTCGTTTAAGTAAGCTGCTAAGAGCAAACTCGTTCATGAGGTCAATGATTGGATCTGCTTCGCCCTGTCTTCCCAGGGACACCTCGTCTCCTCCCCAGAGTTAATCATAGCGGTTAAAGTCTCCCACAATCATGACCTCCACCACCGCGCCTGTGTCTCGCCGCACCTTTGCAATTACCTTTCTCAGATGATCGCACGCGTCATTCAATGCTGAGGCATCTCCCCCTCGACGTAAACTGATGCTATAAAAATCAGTTGCTCGGGGAGCCGGATGACCGCCGCTGTCAGATCCGGCGATTCTATAGCCACTTGCTCCGCTTCTATCTCTTTATTGACCCAAAGCATGCTTCGGATCGCCCATCTGCCTTCCCTCCAGGTAGAAGGAACCATCTTCGTCCACTTGTGATGTCCCATCGGGGTCGTCAAGAGCCTGCCGTGAATTCTCCTCGCTTGGGGTTCTTGGATCGCTAACACCGCTGCGTCTCGAGTTTGTTCGTCATTCATCAAGCTGTCATGCACAGTGCCTTGTTTTCTCACGTTCAGTTGAATGATACGGAATGGCTTACTCATGACGTGACGGGTAGAGCTTCCGGCAGTTCTTACTATATGATTCATGCGGGCCTCCACACGGAACACACTTTAGAACCGTTTCGTTACAGTCACTGTGAAGATGGCCTACTACACTACATATGAACATGAGATTGGGATGTTACATATATAATTTTGAAAATTTCCAACTTTCCTTGGAAGGTTATTAGTTGGTATCTTCTTATATCAAAAAATAGAGCCATTTGCATGACCTGGTCATTCTTTCTGCTTAATAGCCTTGTTCCCCTAATATATTATTTCGACCATGTGGTCTTCCTCTACCATTCAATAATATTCACTAGCTGGGCGCTACCACATCAGAACACAGCCCAAACCATCGCCTCTGATTAGACCGACCTGCCTTAAATCCAACCTTTCGATCTTCAGCAAGTTTCCAAAGGACCTGCGACAAAAAGGGAATAATGGCATTATCAGCAAGATCGGCTGGCACATCGCCGTAGATGGATCTCACAATTTCGGGCAATGTCATACCAGGCGCTTTCGACGATAAAGCTGAGGTAACCTGCTGGATGCGTAATTCGTTATGCCTGGTGTATTCCTGCATCTTTGCCGGCAGATCTTTAATCTTGGCGCCATGCGCGGGGTAGCCGACTACACAATCCAGCGCCTGCATGCGTGCAAGGCTCTTCATATATTCTGCGAGGTCCTGCACCACTGAGAAGCCGTGACCTAGCATGTTGTCGCCCGTGAAGATGGCGTTTTCTTCCTCAAGCAGGAAACACATATGGTCTATAGCGTGACCGGGCGTGAATATTGCACGAATGGTAGCTCCTTCGACCTGAAATACCTGTCCGTCTACGATAGGGTTTTGCCCACGATCGGGCAGGTTCTTATAAACTTTTGATCTCAGACTTTGATCTTGTAGGATAAGATCTTGAACTCCACCTGTGTGATCTCCATGCCAGTGCGTAAGCAATATGAAGGCAAGACTGAGGGCACGCTCTTTGAGGACCTTCATAATTTGATCAATCCAAAATGGCAAACCCTAGATGCAGGAATTTCAAAAAGAATCAGATACTGGTCTCGCAATGTGATATCAAAGGAGAAAGATAGTACCTCCCCAGTGTCAATCAGAATCCGCGACGTGCCTGTTCCGACGAGATAGGTATTGGTGCCTTGCAACTGCATCAATCCTGGGTTGCCCGCGAGAACTCGGGTCACGCGATCGCTAACATTTTCCACAGTAGAAAGAGCAGGCAGTTGAGCCTCTTGACCAGCGAGGTATTCATGCCAAAGGGACTCATCAAAAGGGATTTTCGTCGTCATTGAGAGGATGGCCTTCGATCTACAGAATCAGTCGTCTTTTCGTGATCATAAATATTTGACATTATCCATGACTGTAGCCAGGACGTTGCCTCCATCTACTCGGCATTTAAGCCGGATTTTAGGCTGCCCTTAGGAGCATTAAAGTCCGGAACTGGATCGCAATCTCAGCCATATCTAGTTTGCTCTGTCGAATTGGGATACTATTCTCTTCGGTATCTTACCTCCATCAAGCAATATAAGGCATCTGCCGCTGCTCTTAGCTCAGTCATCATCCATCGCGCAGTAAATTATGACAACAAATCTTTCCACGTCCTCGGAGAGTGAGACCAAAGCAGACCTAGAGGTTGTTTATAAACCCTGGGATCTCCTTATCTACGAGATCTGGGTTCTTGGTATCGTGAGCACATGGGCTTGGGGATGCAGCACCACCACGTATCTCCTGCCACAGTTCAGCGCCAACATCGGCAAGAATCATCTCGACATTGGTAGCGGGACTGGCTACTATCTTTGAAAAGGTGGCATACCTCAAACTACGAAACTGACTCTTATCGACCTGGAAAAACCCGCACTTGATCTCGGCTTAAAACGATGCGGTAGGTTAGATGCGCGCGGAATCCAAGCCGACATCTTGAAGCCGCTCCCCACTACAGAAAAGTTTGATTCCATTTCCATGTACTACCTCTTGCACTGCATTCCAGCAACACTGGAAGAGAAGGCCGGGATTTTCTCCCACATCAAGCGCAACATGACTGCCGATGGGGTTATTCACGGGGCGAACGTTCTGGGAAAGGGCGTGCGCAATGATGGGCCCTTCGCCGCTTATGTACGTCGGGGAGTGCTTAAAGCCGGTATTTTCCACAACATAGATGACAATGCCTACGATTTTGAGCATGCGTTGAGGCAGAACTTTAAAGATGTACAGACTTGGGTGATTGGTTCAGTCTTTATATTTCGGGCTGCGAAGCCCAAGTCAGATGGAAGTACCTAAGTCAAAGCGATAAATTGTAAGACTGTTCTAAACTGCAATGGCTTGTAACGGACTTAGCTCACTACAAAAATTATATTATTAGCACAGGTAGCTAGTTAGGGCTTTATTGTTTTAGAATATTTTGATAAAAAACTATCTAACATTCTAGATAATATGAATCAAATGCATCTTGATAGATATAAATTACTCATGTATCGCTGTATAGTCATATACTAAATAAGATAAAGTGAATGTAAGCGTGAAGAAGTACCATGAGGGAGAAAACAGAAGCAATAATTTTATAAGCAGCTTGAATTTCTTGTTCTAAAGATTGGTATTTGATGAAACGATCTCTATCCTGTAGCCAGTATGTATCATAAATCTCGATATTTCTGAAGGTGGTAAATTGAACTAAGCTTGTTATGACTTTTGTATATTATCGGATTATAACTGTGTTCTAAAACCCGGATTCGGATAAAAGTCTGAATCAACTTGGTACTATTAAATTCATGATTATTTCCTTGTCAGACCTAGGAATAGCCAAAATATATTCTTAGTGCTAACTATAGTCATGCTTCGCCATTCTTTTCGCTCTGCTCCTCTCCCGCTTCATGTACAATTATTGGCAATTGGATCTGGTCAATATCCCCGGTCCCTTCGCCGCCAAATTCACAGACTTCTGGCGCCTCTATAAGGTCTGGCAATGGCAATTCAAGGAGGAACTTCCTGCATTACACAAGGCTTACCAGTCGTCTGTTATCCGCATCGGACCCAGGATGGTCAGTTGTTCGGATCCTCGCGCGGTAGAACTCATATACGGCTTTCATACGGATTTTAAGAAGGTGAGCCCTCCTAGTTGTATTTTTCTGAGAGTTCGAGCGCGGGGTGCTGATTATAAAATCACTAGTCGGATATGGTCAAAGCTATGGCTCCTATCTATAAAGGTAAAAAGCAGCCGACGATGTTTGCAGCGGCAGACAATCGATCGCATGCAAAGATCCGAAGACCCGTTGCTGGGGCATACGCTATGAATAGTATCATGCAATTTGAACCGTTCGTGGATAGTAATATCAGGCTGTTTTACAATCGAATGGACGAGCTTTTCATTCAACCTGAGCTGCCTTGCGACATTCACAACTGGGTGCAGTACTGTAGGTTTCAGTCCTCTCCTTGTGGCCAAATTACCTTGCTTATATCTTAACCACTACAGTCGCCTTCGATACAGTGCTGGAGATGACAATGAGTCGCAACCTCGGCTTCATGAAGGTGGGTGGAGATGTCGATGGTGTCCTTAAGCAATTGCAGAAAGACTTGGATTATCGTGGAATTGCGCTGGCAATGCCTATAATCGACCGCGTCTGGCGACTAAACCCCATCAGCAAGTTTCTCCAGCCCAAGCAATCCGGGCACTTTGCTATGCGATGCAAGCGCATCCTCGAGGAGCGAATCGAGCAGGAGAAGTCCACTCCCCCACATGATCATCGACCCCCAGACTTCGCGCACCGGTTTCTTGAAGCTCAGCGAAAAGACTCCTCAATCTCAGACGGACAGTTAATCGGGTATATGCAAGCAAATCTGATTGCTGGTAGCGACACAACGGCTATCGTGATGCGCACTGCCATCTACTACACTCTCAAAAATCCCTGGATTCATCAGCGGATTTGTGCAGAGCTTGACAGTTATACCGGACCACTGCCCGTCCCATTTCGCATCGCCCGCTTCAATCTACCGTTTTGTGGTGCCGTGGTACGCGAATCGTTGCGCAAGCACTTTGCCTTCATTGGGATGATGGAGCGCGAGACCCCGGCAAGTGGCGTAGAGCTGCCAGATGGAACTCGACTTCCTGGCGGCGTAATAATCGGCATGCATGGTGATCTAATTGGACAGGACAAAGGCATCTTCGGCAGCGATGCTGACGAGTTCAACCCACTACGGTGGCTGGCCTCTGTGGACGAGTCTGACTCTGAGTATCAGGAAAGACTACGAGCGATGAATGCGCACGACTTAGCGTTTGGACATGGCCCGCGCGGTTGTATTGGGAAGCATGTGGCGGAAATGGAGATCTACAAATTTCTGACAACGTTCTTTTCTCTAGTCCAGGTTTGCTAACCTTTTTCATTGTCCGGTAGAGGGTTTGATCTGACTAACGAATGAGCAGCCACGATTAACGTGCCCCGAGAAACCGTGGAAACTACGCCAGTTGTTCGTGTTCAAGCAGTCGGGTATGGAAATGACTCTAAAATGGAGGGAGGGCTAGGGCTGTTGAAGATACGATATTCGCAAGAATCAGCAATATCGGTTATCGTATCGGCAACTCATAAACCTTGGCGATAATTATCGCATATCGTATCGGTACACTTTCAAGTCTGCCGATACGATCTGAAGGTGGATAGGAGAAGGATAACATATATATATAAATATATATCTCTCTCTTCGGGTAAGATTTCAGCCAGGAACGGCTATATGCATGCACACCTCTATGTTAACTACTTATACATATCATCTAACAGCATTAAGATCCTCAATGTCTCTCCCTTCATAGAGAATCGTCGTACTCCAAGCACGTCCCGTCCTGTATTGAATAGTCTCTCAACTGAGACCTTAGAGGCTGGGATTGCTAGGTAATCCCTGGCAGCAGCAGCCATCCGAGGGTATTCCTTCTTATGCACCTTCCACCAATCACACAGCCAGTTTTGATCCTCTATATCACTTACTTCAGCCCGAGCGCCATCAAAATACCAATCAATATCAGAAAACCGAGGGCTATCTTGAGGTTGTAGTCTTTATAACATCCGGCTACCCACTTTTTGCTTCTTATGACTAGGCTCACATAGCTCTATCATACCCAGTGATTCAGTGGTCCCAGGATATTTACGGTGAAGGTCATCACGGAGAGTTTGAAGAATGTTTCTCCCAGCGTTCTCTTCACCTAACTCATTTAGGAGGAGAGCTCCTTTCACACGAGGATCCAAGACCAGTGTAGTGTAGTATAGATTAGAGGCATCCATAAAAGTATAGTACTTGATATATTTCTTGATACTCCCACCAACAGCACTTGTAATGTCCTTAGTAAGATCTGCAAAATCTTCCTTGCGCTCAGCCACATCATGGAGTAAATCGTGGAGCTCGTAGTATATTGGCAAAACGAGACTGATCTGTGGTCTTTTCTCTGAGACAAATAATATAAACTCATTGAATCTCGAGAGAACATTGTGGATATGGGAAAGCTATATCCATTCATCTGATAAGAAGGAAAGGAAGCTAGTCTCATAGTAGATGAACGTCTTAAGCTGTCGCCTTGACTATAGAGAGTATTAGTATTAAGCATATATATAGAACGAAGGACCTTGCCTTTAACGCATCCCCTAACATGCGAAAGGTTGAATTCCACTATGTATCGACATCATACTCGATAAACTTGTTGGATAAGTTCATCCGGTTGCAAGTATCGTTCCATGATTGCCTTCGTTGTGGACTCCGTTGAATCCAGAGAGCTAAGATCCGTAGCTTTATAAGTGGTTCAATAGCCTGAAATTCAAATGACTGGTGTTCTCCTTTATCAAGGTTATTACAGATAGAAGCAGCTTCTTCTGTATTACCGGACTTCAGAGCCAGTAGAATATCCTTCACGATGAGGTTGATGATATAGGCCAAGCATCTTATATAACTATCTAAACCATAGAATAAGGAATTGGTCCTAAACGCTTTTTGCAGGTTATCGTGTAGTTCTGATGCCATTCGCTCATTATTACTAGCATTATCCCCAGTAATTGAAAGCAGCTTACGCTCAAGATCCAGTTCAACAAGTAGAGCTTGAATAGCTATAGCCAAGTTCTCTCTACTATGGGGACCATGGAGCTCTTTGAATTCAAGGACTTTCTCTCGATAGTCAAATTCTTCTATAAGCCAATGGCTAATAACACCCAGAATTGGGATATGGTTCTTGCTGGTCCATACATTAAGGGATAGAGCGATTGTTTGGTATGTAGTCGCAAGCTCTTCTTTCAACTTAGCACGTTGTAAGTTGAAGTCTTCTAGAAGACGCTATCGAAGTATATATCGAGAGGTAAATGGGAGTGAAATCCCTGGTATATCCTTGAATAATTGCTGAAATTCTGGGGACTCAATGACTATGAATGGTTATTTACTGCTAATAACCCAACGAAGAAGATTATTCTCAAGAAGTTGTTGAGCTATAATCTTTCCCTTCTTTCCCTAGAGACTAATAAGATTAGGCTTCGGAGCTGGATCAGGGATGGAAACAGTAGGTGGTAGAACACCATGCTTCTCTTTCAAATGATGCCGAATATTGGTGGTAGAGCCATGCCGTTTAGAGTCCGTTGTAGACCAGTTGCATTGTGTCCCATCTTCATTGGTGATAGCACAACAAATCTCTCGATCAGTGACCTTTTTCCTTTGACTCCTCTTCTCGATCCATTCGTTCGGAATATTTCTTATCAAGAGATGTCTCCACATCCAATCATTCTTTTGGCGTGGATTCGAGCTTAGCGAACTTGTGGCTGGTTGCTAGGAGGCGGATTCTGAAGGTAAAACTTCATCGAAAGATTCAAGAAGAGAATCGATCTTGGTACCGATTGCTGATTGACTATCGCCAAAGGGTGGGGAGGATGGGACCGGCTCTTCCTGGCTAGAAATCTAGTCTTCAGGTCCATCATTCAAAGCGAAGTAGTCTAGATGGTTCCCACGGGTTTGCATGGTTGAAGTATGAGGGATAGAAAGGGTGAAGTTGGAACTCATTACCTATACTAATGATGATATTTAGAAAAGTCTGCCTACTAGTCCTAATTTGGTTAATTTCAAATGACATGTGATAGTCTGCCGATAATTATCGTATCGACGAATATTCGCGAATACGATATTCGCAACTCAAAAACCTCGCCGATAATTATCGGATATCGTATCGACAACTCAAAAGCCTTGCCGATATTTATCGGCAGCGATAAGATAACCGATAATATCGGCAATTTCGAATATTCGCAACAGCCCTAGGGAGGGCAAAGGTCCACAGAGTCTGCTGCCTTAGTACTAAATAGGGTACTTTGTAAATGATTATGAAACAGAATACCGCCACTCACCGCTCTGAGTCCAGACTTGAAGTGAACCTTTAGCTTGGTTTTTTCTCTTCCCTAACGAATCGAATTCACTTCCATTGAGCCTACTAGTTCTACCCGTAGTCTCAACAAGTTGGTCTCGAATCAAAGCTTTACTAATATTGCATCAATCAGTCGGTAGTTACGAGTTATCACCTAGTGAATGGCCATTTAGTTGTTGGCCGAAGCTTCTTATATTATTCATGGTTCGGGTTATATGTTGAATTTAGTGGCCATTCATTTGAAATTAGAGAAGAACACAAAATATCACTTCTCCCGCCGATAAATTCTCTCTAACAAAGTCTCGAACAATTCCATTTTCAGGCCTTGACTCTCATCGACGCGGGCAATCTTCCGCCTCAACTCCGCCACCGTCCGCTCCTCAAACTCACGATACACACCCTCCAACCCCAAAATACCATACAATTCCTTGACAGTCCTTTCACAAACCTCATCATCACGTCCGTAATTCTCCTCCAAGACCGTTCTCTGCTCCGCTGAACAACTTAGCAAAGCCTGATTCACCAACCACGAGCATTTGTTATCGCGAATATCGGTGCCAATTTTGCCTAGAACGGCTGGATCTCCAAACACATCCAAGTAGTCGTCCTGTGCTTGGAAATACTTACCCATTGGGATCAGGATAGACTTGGCTTGGATGAGATTTTGGGGGGTTGCAGTATTGGCGTAAAGGAGGGCGAGGGCCACGGGAAGGTAAAACGTGTAGTAGGCCGTTTTGTAGGTTACTATCTGGGTGTACTTGGATAGGGTGAAGCGATTGAGGTCATTAATCGTTTGTGAAGACGCTGGAGGTGCGGTGAGCATGTCGAACGTTTGGCCAAGTTCGATTTGGAGGGTAGTTTCGTGGAGTAGTTCCATAATGTCGACCTATATACCCAGATATTAGTGTAAGATACTTTTTTATGATGTAAAGTCCTCTCACATAAGCTGGATGATCCCGAAAATACCGTTTCAGCAACAAGTAGATAGCGCTCTCGAGCATCGCCGCGTCGTTGACAGCCATCATCCCCACTCCGGGCACCCGGTACCAGCAGGACTTGCCGCGGCGGGTGATGGAGGCGTCCATTATATCGTCGAGAACCAGCATCATCGCTTGTAGGAGCTCCACCATCCAACCGAGGACGGAGGCCTGGAAGGTTTCATTGGGAGTGAGGGACCGATCGAACAAAAGCCGGGCTGTGTTGACGACTGTGCAACCGCGGTTACACTTTCCGCCGGTTGTATTGTGGATTAAAGACTTTCAAAGTGTGAACTTTTGTTAATAGTTGAATATTAGGAAGGGGAAAAGAAGATGAACCTTTTCGAACCATTCCCATACTTCTATGGGGAGCTGATACTCCTCCAGGCAGTGATGGCGGATAGTGTCGATAATCACTGAGAAGACGGCGTTGAAATCAATCTCAGTTTGAGAGGAAGGATTACAAGGAAATGAAATCATCGTAGACTGTGACTACCTAGGTATTGATATGATTAAGGAAAGAGGATACGCCGAGAGGAGTTGATGTGATATATATTTACTACTATTTCTACCGATTGAGCTACAGTTAAAAGCCGAGTCGGATTCTGTATCCATCATACCATTGGCCGAGAATCAAGATAATAATTTCAATACGAATCAAACCGACTCCGCCGCTGGGATCTGGGCGATAGCGCTGGCGACAGCTCAGCCTGTATCTGTCCAAACCGCCGGTAACACTGCGGCAAAAAGTAGGATGTGATATCTAACTCACCGTCCTTGAAGGCAAATGCAAAGAACGCTTGCAGACCTCGACAAGTGCGTAGCTCGTTCTCCGACACCATACCATGGACCACGTTGAGATAAGCCTGCCCATCCTCCCCCTGGCCACGACGCTTCAGAAAGCCTATCATAGCCTGGATGGCATCCAGATCGCTCTTCGAATGCCTGCTAACATCTACTTGCATCTTGACGTGGGGGAAAGGGTACTTGGGATGGATGTCAAAGTAAAAGGTTACGCCACTAGTGTTGACATTCTTGTTATTGCTGCTGTTGTAGGCGTCACTCAGGCCCACATCATTGATATTGCTAAGGGGAGGCTCCAACTCGGTTGGGTAGTCAGCCGCCAGACCCTTAATCCCATACCAAAGTTCCTTCAGTTGCGCTAGGGACTGAGGTGATTCCGGCTTCCGCCCCCCGAGAGCCATGACGGCTGCGAAGTGGTTGAAGGCAAGGGTGTCTGTGGTTACGTATACCTTAAAGCGCGAAGTAGCAGCAGCGCAGCAGTCAATCGCGGTGGTGCCAAGGATAGTGAGATGTCGGCCATGCAGATCGTTCTCAAGGAAGTCACGCACCATGTTGAGGCCATCCAGCGAGGCGGTGGCGCCGTAAGCATCGCATAGCGCTTGTGGAAAAATAGTATTCAGCAGTTGCGGGACCTGCGATGGCGCCCGGGTCATGAGGCCTGCCATAACTTCGATGGTGTGAGAGTCTGGTGCACACTGCAATCCCACTAGCATCGATGAGCCCGCCGCCTGCCGTGTGGGTTCATCCGTCAACACTGGCCGCAGGTGGGCGGCAAACCTCCATGCCAGTGGCAGTTCAACCCCGGAGAGGATCTCGGACAGATGGTTCAGCATCTCCTTAGCTGCGTACTCATGCAGAGGGTCTGCCGTTGTCCCTGTCAATGGGCCCATCGCCTCGACGTAATGGCGGATTAACGGCTTGCTGCCGGGCCCCGTACCCCAGCGCCAGCTGTATCCGATCGGTGAACCATCGCCAATCCCTGGCGCTACGCGACTATGGAAATTTGGGTTCGAGGATGTGGGCTTGAGACCCAGTCGCGGTACAACCACAAAGCGGTAGAAAAGCAGTAGTTCTACCTGTCGGGACTCCGGGTAACAGGCTTCATACATCATCAGGGCAAAATGGCGCCCAGTCGTCTTCCACCAGAACGAGTGGTTCTCATCTCCTTGGGGCAGAAATCGGGTCACTTGATCAAAGATGCAGAGAGGTGCCCTTGCAAGTTGTGCGCTTTCCTTAAGGGGCGAGAAGAGAGGACTCGAGTCTATAGGGGACGCCGTAGAATCAACGGATTGGGACATAGTGATCAGGGTTCTATGAAGCTCAACAGCGTCCACTATAATAATGCGCCATAATAACAAACATAGAACATAGATATACAAGTCACCATATCACAGTGGCAAAGGATTCGGAACTTAGCCCTCCACAGTTTGACTCGGACTTTAGAACCCCAAATGGTCCATACGCTAACATCTCGAGTTCGGAGACTGTATCGGATTTTGAGCTGAGGTAATATACAGACAATTTCCCCTTGTGGATAGAAGCCGGAGCGGAATTTGACCGACTTCTTGCAGCGAACCTATCGACTAGCCTTAGAATAATGCTGTATCAGACGGAACGCTGAATCCATGCAGCGTGTTATTTACTGTGGGATATAAGAGAGATAGGAGTAATAATTTAATGATGACAAAAACATAGATGAAGGGTTCATTAAAAAGATCTCAAATAGATAGTTTGAGGAGACTAAGATTTTATATATATAGAATGGAGTAAGTAGAAGGGAATCTGAATTTTCCCTTAAAAGGTACTTTATTGGTGACCTCACGCGGCTAAGTGGAGAAAGAAGAGTGTAGTTTAGCCATAACGGGTCACCTGTCGCTGTGATCGTAGAAAGTAGCGTCAGATGGGGGCCCGTTCGCGCTCCCTGGTAGGAGGCAATGTGTCTGTATTATAGTAGATTCTATGTACAGAGGGGAGGCGGGAGGGACAAAATGGAGACTTGACTGCGCAAGAGATGACGAACTACCTGTGTAGGCAAGCAAATGACTCTCGTGAGGCAAGAACTGACTCTCGTGGGGCAGTCAGAGGGGGAGGTCCTCAGTAATGTCGGTGTGTCAATGGTTAGAATACCGCCTACCATTTGTAGCTTAGCTTACTGCATACTGCCTATTTATTACTGCCGGATTGATGCCTTACGCACTTTCTAACTAACAACAATACTCTCGTCTTTACCATTCCGGACCGCTTTCCGTATTCAATTGACACGGTGTAGACATCACGTGAGGCTGCAGGCATTGTGAGGCAACCCCAATGAAACTACTCTCTATAAGAAATCAGATATATTTTCTAAGGGTATGATATGGTTAGTGATGTCGAAGATGGAACTATGGTATTGGAAGGAACGAGTGTTATTCTGGGAGAGTCTTGTAACTTCATTATACGGGGGGGAGGTGCTGTCAAAAAATTCTGATGAGCCGATTTAAGTGGTCAACGACCGATAAAATGATGGACTTAGTCCAGAATATTGCCGTTAAACGTGCCGCACTTGCGGATGGGCCGCTCGCTAGGGATGTTTGACTTGTTTTCGGGGCTTTGTTTAATATCATTGGTAGCATTTCCGGCCTTTACCAGCAAACGGACCCGAAGATTATATTTGTTCTATTGGTCAGAGCGTCGGCCCTTAACGGGTGATCCGGTCCCTAATTGAAATCGCGCGCCCCGATTGGCTACATAACGGGACCAGCAAGATCACAGAAGTATATATAATTATTGACACAGTTTGAACATATCATCCATCCCATGCGATCTAAATTCGAATTGATACCGACAAGATGAGAAAAAATACGGAATCAAGCACGTCTGATGATGGCTTGGATGAGAAAAAAGACCTTGAAGCAGCCAAACCCACAACTCCAACTGAGTCTTGTCTTGATACCAACACCAATGCCAATAAAGACCTAAATCTTGTGACTTGGAGTGGACCGGATGATCCAGAGAACCCAAAGAATTGGCCAAAAAGTGTGAAGTGGAAGAATACCTGCGTTATCTCCCTTTTCGTTTTTATCTCTCCAGTCTCGTCATCCATGATTGCCCCTGCAATGGAAGATCTTGGTAAGGCCCTGGGGATGCACTCTAGTTTTGAGACATATATGTCTATGGCTATATTTATCCTCGCATACGCTATTGGCCCTATCGCTTTTGGTCCATGCTCAGAGCTCTATGGTCGTGTGCGTCTACTTCAGATTAGCAACCTGTGGTACCTAGCCTGGAATTTAGGATGTGGTTTTGCCCAGACAAAGTCTCAGCTCTTTGCTTTCCGCTTTCTCGCGGGGATTGGTGGTAGTGCTCCGCTGGCAATTGGAGGAGGTTCTATAAGGTTATTTAATAACAAAATCCCTGAGATATATTATAATGTATACTCACCATTCTTCTAGTGACATGTGGAGCGCTGAAGAGCGTGGCAAGGCCATGGGTGTCTACACTCTTGGTCCAATTCTCGGACCTGTTGTCGGGCCTATTGCGGGTGGCTTTATTGCCCAGTACTCAACTTGGCGCTGGGTCTTCTGGTCAACCTCTGCAGCCGCTGTTGTGATCCAAATTGCTGGGTTTATCTGGCTGCGTGAGTGTCATGCGCCAACGATCCTACGCAGAAGATACGATGCTCTCCTCAAGAAAACGGGCAATAACAAGTTATATACCGGAGAAAAGATAGAGCCGCTTGCTTATAAGCTTCTACATGCTTTTCAGAGGCCGGTGATTCTTTTTACAACACAGCCTATCGTCTTATGCATGGCAATTTTTCTGGCTTACCTCTTTGGTGTCACATACCTCTTAGTTGCGACTTTCCCAGAAGTATGGACAGGGGCTTATCATGAAAGTTCCAGCATTGGCGGACTTAACTACTTATCTGTTGCCATTGGGTCGTTCGCCGGCCTCTTCTTCAACCTTAAGCTAGTCGACCGAATCTATAAGACCCTCAAGGCGCGGAATAATAATATTGGAAAGCCCGAGTACCGCATGCCATCATTAGCTGTGGGCTCTATCATTACCACTATTGGTCTCTTTTGGTATGGATGGAGTATTGGAAATACGCACTGGATCATGCCTAACATTGGGGCGTTGCTTTTCACCGCAGGTACAATTTCCTGCCTGCAAGGCACGCAGACTTATATTGTTGACAGCTACGAAACCCATGCCGCTAGTGCTATGGCGGCTTGCGCCATCTTACGCAGTCTATGTGGCTTCGGGTTTCCGCTATTCGCTCCCTACATGTATTTGTCTCTAGGCTACGGCTGGGGTACGAGCGTACTAGCATTCATTACGATGGCTATTGGCTGGTCAGCACCTTTTGTCTTCTATTTGTATGGCCCAAAGCTCCGTGCTTTGTCTAGATATGCCGCTGGTTAGTCAGGAGTGAGTTGTGAGGCGTGAGAGATGTAATTACCTTTTGGTACCGAATCGAGTCAATCGACTTTCTGAGAATTTGTGGTAATACTCTTTTCTCGATAGAGAGCGTATCTAAGCACTTGTTGGAATAAAGATCTGCTGACATACTGAGATCATGTGATCTCGGTATGGCAGCTACTATATCTTCATCCATCCTAGCATTTTAGAATGACACTTCACTTTTACCCAATATGCATACACCTATTATATACGTACAGAAACGATATCAATAGCTGTCTGCTTCGGTAATAACTTAGTCAACCGACAGCACTGCTTATTTCATGGCTACTCTTTTAATTGCGCTGAAATGGATTTCACTGCTTTGTACTAATAGATATGTAATTGGAATAAAAGCCTCAAAAACAAAGCTACCAGCGAACAAGTTGAATACCTAGATATATAGATCTATAGCTACCTAGCTCCATATAATGGATGGACTGAAATCGCTTTTCAAGACCTTTCAAAGTTCATACTCATGCTCACTGGAATATCACAGCTATATTACAGGGCTCTGATATCCGAGAGAGGGTATGGCATAGGTAGTCAGCAGACTTGCTCAATAGCTATTGATACTGATACTGATAGGTTTTGATAGGTACCAAGGTAGATTAAGACACTTGAAATCTTATAATAACCATAGTACCTAGGAGTATGATTTCGTAAAAAGAATCCATGCTACTTTAACCGACTAGATATCTGCATTATATAAATTCGTTGAGAAACAAAACTTGGAAGTTCTAGGGTCTTGTTGAATTATCATTTCATATTTTTCAAGCTGCATAATTTTGTTGGTCGACGGAAAGTGAGTCGAAATACCGCATTTTTCGGATTCTAATGGGGGTTAAAATCCGACCAGGCAGAACCCGAAGACTTATCAAACTTATCTAGGTATGGATGAAACCTCCAACCCATTTTAGGAAGCTATTTGATTCGATTGATTTTTTGGAAAATTCTTACTCCTGACAAGAATTTCGATTACATTCGTGCACAAGTGCTCTTTGTCCTTTAGAAGCTCAATTTAGTCTTGCCTACCCTTATTGAGCCAATATATTGCAGTCATGGCGATCAATTACATCAAAAATTTTGATTTTTCACTCGCCGCTCAATATCTCACTGTCACCTGGGTAGTGTACATTATCGCAGGGGTCTTCTACAATCTCTTCTTTCACCCATTGACCAATGTTCCGGGACCAATTTACTGCAAGATCAGCAAGATTCCATGGGTAAGTACCCTGCCCACTAAGAAGTCACGGAATATTAATGACCTGAAATAGGACTATTGGCAATGGACTGGTCGCCTTCCTCAGAAGACTGCCAAAGTCCATGCCAAATATGGAGAAATCGTTAGAATTGGCCCTAACGAGCTTAGTTTTACCAATAATGCAGCGTGGAACGACATCTTTGGAAAAATTCCTGGACGAGCACAGTGGCCACGCCATCCAAAGCGAGTCCCCCAGGGTAAGAATGGGCCCAAGAGCCTCATGAATACTGCCGGAAGCGAGCATGCTCGCTTCCGTCGACTGTTGAGCCATGCCTTTTCCGAGAAAGGTCTCCAGGAGCAACAGGGGCTCATAACCAAGTATATCGACCTATTTATCAGGAGAGTGGACGAGTTTGCGCGTGAGAGACAGTCAATTGATATTACTAAATGGTTCGTTTAAGTTTTTTAACGCATCAGAACTATCTGCTGACTTTTCATGACCAGGTTCGTCATGGTGGGATTCGATATTATCAGTGACCTGGGCTGGAGTGAGCCATTCAACTGCGTTGAAAATGGAGAGGTTCATGAATGGGTAATATAATGCCATTTCCCCCGCTAGAATTCGTGCTCACCAAACATTCGGGTCAGATCAAAACCTTTGCGGAAACCGCCTTTGACACGCAGCTTAAGTTCTTACTTCGCGAGCACCACCTGATGTTTTTGGCTCCGTATATCATCCCCATGAAACTGCAACTCGCCCGCCTCGCTAATTTCAAGTATGCCCTCGCGCGGGTGGATGATCGTATCAAACAAGGTGGCATCCGTGGTGATTTCTGGGATCAAATCACCATAAAGAGTGCCGAGAATAACGTGGGAGGCGAGGGTCTTACTAAAGAAGAAATGGTGGTTGCTGCTGTAACACTCGTTGGAACAGGTTCACATACCATTTCTACACTTCTTACTGGGCTAACTTACTTCCTCGGGACCAACCCTCATGCGATGAAAAAGCTCCTTAACGAAATCCGCGAGTCTTTCGTCTCACCTGAGGAGATCAACTTTGTAACTATCCACAAGTTAAAATACCAGACAGCTTGCCTCAATGAGACTATGCGTTTATACCCGCCTGTTATCACCATGCTCTGGCGCACTCCGCCCACAGGCGGCGGCCATGCCGCTGGCATCTTCATCCCGGAGGGTGTAAGTAGTATACACATCTGGTCACCATCTACCAAAAATCCACAAAGCTGATCTATTTTTCAACAGACAGGGTGTAACATGTCATTCTTTGGCATCGCGCATAATCCCGACTATTTCACACGACCCCTTGAATTTTGCCCTGAGCGCTTCCTGCCCGACCCGCCAGCCGAATTTCTCGATGACAACCATGAGGCATATCACCCATTCAGTCTAGGGGCGTTTAGTGTGAGTCAATATTCCCGAATCGGTCTGTTGTTGATGCTCATCAAATCCAACTTACGCAGTGTCTGGGTCAAAATCTCGCTAATGCCGAGGCCCGTTTAATTATTACCAAGCTACTATGGCATTTTGACTTTGAGCTGGACAGAAACGTTGACAAGGATTGGCTGGATCAAAAGTCGTATGCTGTCTTCGTCAAAAAAGATCTCCATGTGAGATTTAGCCCGAGACCCAGTGTCGACCTTAGCCCTGTCTCTACTCTCAAGGCTGATAGCAGCAACGGCCACAAGCAGTGAGGTTCGAGAATTCTCACAAAATAATATGCACGAAAAACTTTGGTTGATCGTAAACCTGGCATATAGTAAATTGATAACGAGTGATGGGATTATAGGTTCTTTCAATTGATACTTTCTTCAAATTCCGTCCGTATCGGTACAAGGGCAAATTTCTACTATTTGATATTAGTCTCTATATATAATCCATCAAGTAGGCTACTAGACGTACTATCATACTTAGAGCTAGTTACCTTCGAACATGAATTCCTTCTCAGCCTAAGATTTCTGAATTTGCCAAGATTATCGAGAATGGAACCTTGGAATAGAAGTATGAAACATCATCGGACCTTGAATTAGATTTAGACATGCATTAGCTCTGAGATATCGTCGTCAGCAAATTCAGTTACACCTATTCGAAATCGCTATTGAAGGTGCCTACATGCAATTTAGTCCGATATGCCAATGTATCCCTAATTCAACTAAATAGGATGAAGCGTATCTACCTTGGTACCTTGGAACTTGCTTGAGCTAACGGGTTTTGTATGCACACTCCAATAAACCATTGAAAGCACTCCAGAGCTATTTCGACTAGCGCGGGCATTGCTCCAATCGGATTTTGCATGAAGCATGGCTGTCATCGGAATTTATCTCTATGTCAAAACCCGTGGAAGGTCCCTAAAGCATATCGATCTATTACTATATACCACTGAAAACAGACATTTTTGAATATTTATATATAAGACCAGGGATTCATAATAAGTTGCCTAAGAGGTAGCTTTACGCATCCAATACAGATCAAGCCAACATCAGACTACTGCTGTCAATCTACTGTTATCATCCATAAACATGTTGCATGCTAAAGCCCAGCCGACTTTGCTCTATTTTGGCAACGAACTTCCAAATGACGATGTAAATGAGCTGTTCCGCCACCTACTGCAGCATAGCAAAGACCGACGGTTTCGACTCCTAAATGCATACCTGGAAGAATCAACGTTGATTTTGCAAGACGAAATCGCCAAACTTCCACATAATGTCAAGAGTAGGGTACCATACTTTGACAACATTGTCACCTTGTCTGAGCAGGGATATTTGCGGGAGCTGGGCCTTGGGGCAGCCATGGAAAGCGCTTTTCTTCTCATCTTGCAGCTAGGCTTGTTCATCGGGTAAGTATGGCTAGTCCGTCCTTTTTCACATCGATACTGACTCAGTAGACACCATGAAGCTTCCGACAGCGAGTTGGATATCCTAAAGAATCAGACGACGGCATCTGGCTTGAGCGTTGGTCTATTCTCTGGAGCTGCTATAGCACTATCTAGCACTCTCGCAGAAGTTGTGAAAAATGGAGCTGAATGCTTAAGAGTATCATTTAGACTCGGTGCCTACGTGAACCAATTCTCTAGTAAGCTAGAGGCGCCTCAGACGGATAGCACACTTCAAAGCTGGGCACATGTCGTGACGGGTCTGACGGAGGAGGCCGTAAGAAACGAGTTGATGCGAGTCAATGAAGATCTGGCAAATCCAGAGCTCTCCAAAGTATTTATCAGTGCCGCAGATAAATCTTCCGTGAGCATCAGTGGGCCGCCATCGCGCATCAAGTCAGCCTTCTTGAAGTCAAGCGAGTTGCGATACTCCAAGTCTCTGGCCCTACCTGTTTACGACGGCCTCTGTCACGCGACACATATCTACAACCAAGATGACGTCCATGCTGTCTTGGATATCACGAGCTCCGTAATTCCCGCCTCACGCCCGCTGCGAATACCCGTCATTTCATCGCGAACGGGGATGCCGTTTACTGCCACCACTGCAGGAGAACTATTACCCGAAATCGTCACAGAATTGATTTCGGGTACCATCTATCTAGACCAAGTGTTGGCGGGCATTCTACGTCACATTGGAGCGGTCCCGGGGTTGCAGACATGTCGGATCAATTCCTTCCGCACCTCAATCATCTTCAAGGGTATTCTTGAAGCTATTGCGACAGAATTTCCTGAGCTAACCATTGAGAAGAATGATTTAGTAGAGTGGGTGTTTAAAGATTTTGGTCCTCGGCGTCGTACTAACCCATCTAACTCTAAGCTAGCTATCGTCGGCATGGCATGCCGCATGCCCGGTGGAGGCAATAGTCTCGAGGAATTTTGGGAGTTGCTCGAACAAGGTCGTGATGCATGCACTACGGTCCCACCGGATCGATTTGACTTGAAAACACACTATGATCCCACGGGCAAGACAGAAAACGCTGCACAGACGCCTTATGGGAACTTCATTGACCGGCCGGGTTACTTCGACGCCAGGTTCTTTGCGATGTCTCCTAAAGAGGTACTTATTCTGGCTAAATCTGCAAACATTATCTGGCTAAATTTTTCTTTCACATCTTAGGCGGAGCAGACTGACCCAATGCAAAGACTAGCTTTAACTACGGCATATGAGGCTATGGAGATGGCAGGTCTTGTCATCGGACGCACTCCATCCACGCGCCGTGAGAGAATCGGCAGCTTTTATGGCCAAGCCAGCGACGACTGGCGCGAGCTGAACGCATCGCAAAATATCGGCACCTATGCCGTACCTGGCGGAGAGCGCGCCTTCATCGCCGGCCGCATTAACTACTTCTTCAAACTTGCCGGCATGTGCATGTGTATCGACACTGCATGCTCTAGTTCCATGGCTGCGGTTCATACGGCCTGCATGGCCCTCTGGGCAGGTGAAGTCGACGTCGCATTGGCAGGCGGTGTCAATATTATCACGGACCCAGATAACTACGCTGGCCTTTCCAACGCACATTTCCTCTCCAAGTCTGGGCAATGTAAGGTTTGGGATAAAGACGCGGACGGATATTGCCGCGCAGAAGGTATCGGCTCAATTGTCATAAAACGGCTAGAGGATGCTGAGGCCGACAACGATAACATCCTGGCTGTCATACTATCGGCTTCAACGAACCACTCTGCAGACGCAGTCTCTATCACACATCCCCACGCTGGTCACCAGAGGGACAACTATCGCCATGTTTTACGCAAGGCTGGTGTGAATCCATTGGACGTGAGCTTTATTGAGCTGCATGGCACAGGTACCCAGGCAGGCGATGCTATTGAGTCTGAGTCTGTCATAGAAGTGTTTGCACCTCTTAAGCCGCGCCGTCGCAATGATCAAAAGCTGCATCTCGGCGCTGTGAAGAGTAATATTGGTCATGGAGAAGCTGCTGCCGGCATCTCCTCGCTGATAAAAATGCTACTCATGTTCCAGAAAAATGCTATCCCTCCTCATATTGGCATCAAGACCAAGATCAACCCGCTGCTGCCTAAGGATATGGACAGACGTAACGCCGGACTGACCTTCCAGACAACGGCATGGCCCAGGAATGTTGGAAAGAAACGTACGTCTATCATCAACTCATTTGGGGCCCACAGTGGTAATACGACGCTGCTTCTCGAAGATGCCCCAGAGCGACATAGAAGCCGCGTCTCCCCCAAGAGCGCAGATGGACATAGTTTTCATGCAATAACCATTTCAGCTAAGAGCAAGGAGTCACTTACGGGGAACCTTAAAAACCTCCTCGCCTATATTGATCGGCATACTGACACTGATCTGGGTGATCTGTCGTATACCACGTGTGCACGACGCACACACCACAATCTCCGCATCGCCACAACAGTGTCCAGTGTTTCTGGGCTGCAAAATTTCCTTCGTTTGTCGATTAAAAATGATGTCACAGCTAATTTGAAGTCGGTTCCATCCAATACACCGTCTGTTGTGCTCACATTTACCGGTCAGGGGGCGTTCGACCATGGTATTTGCCAGGAGTTGTTCGACGCATTTCCTGCCTTTCACACCCAGGTGTTGCAGCTAGACCAAATTGTCCGGCGATTAGGCTTCCCCTCGGTTGTACCCGCTCTCACCGGGAGAACTGGCGATAATGAGGTAATTTCTCTGGCTACCAGCCAGCTTAGTATCGTGGTTCTCGAGATTGCCCTCGCCCATTTCTGGGCTTCACTTGGCGTTCGTCCCAGCGCAGTCATCGGTCACAGCCTCGGCGAGTATGCAGCTTTTGCAGTCGCCGGAGTTCTCTCTGCAGCGGATGTTCTTTATCTGGTCGGTCGCCGTGCATATATCACCGAGCAACGCTGCATTCCGTATAGTCATGCCATGTTGTCAGTGACAGCGTCTCCAGACGAGATTGAACGAGTTCTGAGGAGAGCCCCTGAGACATCTAGTATAGATTACGAGGTGTCTTGCCAGAATACCCCTAATGATACCGTCATCGGTGGAACTAAAGTACACATCGAAACTATTAGGACGGTGCTCGTAGTGAACAGCTACAAATGCATCTTGCTAGATGTCCCATTTGCATACCATACATCTCAAATGGATGGAGTGGTTGAAGATCTGGAGATGTTGGCGAAGAACATGCCATTTAATGCGCCTAGTGTCCCTTTTCTATCTACCATGCTTGGCACGGCTGTTTTTGACGGCAAGACAATCAATGCAAAATACCTTCACCAGCAAACCCGCGGCACGGTCAATTTTGCGGCCACCGTTGAGGCTGCCCATGAACTAGGTCTTGTTGACGACAAGACAGTATGGATGGACCTCGGTCCGCATCCGGTCTGTATCAGCTTCATCCACAAAATTTCTCCTCAGTCTAGGATTGCGTCGTCGTGCCGCCGCAATGAGGAAAACCTCTCAACTGTCATAAAAAGCCTTGTGACGCTACATCTAGCCGGTGTCACGCCGTTTTGGAACGAGTTCTTTAGGCCCAATGAATCAGCCTACTCACTGCTCAATCTACCCAAATACAGCTGGAACGAGGTTAACTACTGGATTCCTTACTTGGGAACTTGGACACTCGACAAAGCACTTCTCAAGTACAACATCAAATCTGGGAGTGCAAAAGCCCCTGCAACTCTCCCGTCCACTGGACTGAGGACATCCACAATTCACCAGATCACGACTGAGACAATTGAAGCAACGACAGCTACACTACATACCCTTTCGGATATGCAGGTGCCGGAGTTTCGCGCCGCTATCTACGGACATACCATGAACAACTGCGGTGTTGCCACCTCATCCATATGGACTGACATGGCGCTGTCAGTGGGCGAATACCTGTATCGCAAGCTAATACCGGGGATCCAGAAGGTACATATGAACGTTTGTGACTTAGAGGTTCTGCACGCTCAGGTCGCCAGCAAAATCGAGGGCTGCTCGCAGCCTCTTGCGCTCGAAGCGCATCTAAATCTCGACACGCAGTATATGTCGCTGGCATGGTATAAGGTGAGGGCGGAATCGGGGGAATGCGAACAGGAGTGGTTTGCATCAGCCGGTGTGCGCTTCGAAAACCCCAACGCTTGGATATCTGAGTGGAATCGTACAGCGCATCTGGTCTTAGGGCGTATCGAGACGCTACAGCGCCTGGCAGCTGACGGGGTGGCTAACCGCATATCCAAAAGAATGGCCTACTCACTGTTTAAGAACGTGGTCGATTACTCGGACCAGTACCGCGGCATTGATAGCGTTATTATGCACGAATATGAAGCTGTGGCCAATATTACGCTCATTCCAGATCGTCACGGCTCCTGGCATACGCCTCCACATTGGATCGATAGTATCTGTCACCTACCGGGATTGATCATGAACGGCAGTGACGCATCTAACACACAAGATTTCTTCTACGTCACACCTGGTAGCGGCAGTTTCCGCTTGCTGAAGCCATTAGAACCAGGCTCAAAATACACTAGTTATATCCGGATGTTCCCCCTTTCCGCGGAGGCTGGTAATATGCACGCGGGCGACGTGTATATCTTCCAAGAGGATACTATTGTCGGTGTCCTATCCCAAATCCGCTTCCGGCGCGTGCCGCGCTTGTTGATGAGTCGTTTCTTTTCCGCTCCAGATGCTTCTCACACTGCCACGAGTCACCCGCAGGTGGTGCCCAAGCAAAGTTTGAACCCAGCAAGCGCAAGTAAGCCGCAACCAGCATCACAGCAAGTGACTGGTAATATACACAGTCATAAAATCACCCCTAGTGGTGTCAAAGTGAGGCATGTAGCGGCTACCGCACCAGTCATCACCCATGATCACACACATGGGCCGGTGAATGGCGCTGCGAGCGACAGTGAGAGTGGCCCTACTGATGCCGCCTCTAGCAGCCATTCTACAGCCGATACCTCATCCCCACCTCCAGAGGACGAGGAAAACCACGACTTGGGCGTGGTGGCAGAGTGTATCAAGATTCTTGCGCGTGAAACGAATTTGGAGATGAGCGAGCTGACGGCGGACGCCACATTTGCGCAGCTCGGTGTTGATTCTCTCTTGTCATTAGTGTTATCAGAGAAGTTCCGTGGCGAGTTGGGTATTGATGTCAAGAGTTCGCTGTTTCTGGAGTGTCCGACTGTGGGGGAGATGAAGGAGTGGATCGATCAAAATTGTTGAGTAGACATGGCTTATGTTCATTTCATTTCCCTTTACTCTGTTGTGCCTACGATCGAATGAGATATATTCTGCTCTTTTGGTCAAGTATGCCGTTAGTATTGTATGGTGTATGGTGACACACTGTGAGCTAGTAAAAAGGGTCGCATTAAAACTATTTACAGTCGCGTCTCATTCATTACATCTTACCATATACGTCCTTAAATTCTACCCTCTGCTATGGATATCACGAAATGCCCATCCTATTGATGATTTTGATATCAACAAGCAAAAGCGGGAAAGCCTTTGTAATCCTCTCTTCGCAATAATTGGGATGAGTTTTTTCTATTTCTCTCTAATTGGTAGTCAATCTCTCAAATTAATACTCTAACTGGCAACCAGTTTTCTTCTTCTCTTATAGGGCTCGGCACGAATAATATTCGCACTTATTTCAGGTTATTCGTATTCGCATTTACGATCGGTGCGATTATTCGCGAATATTCGCAGTTTTCTGCCACCGCCTAGTTATACTAGTCTCTATTAGTTCTAGTTATTTAAACATAATTTTATCATATGATGGTCTTTTTTCTCTTACTACTCTAACATTACAACATGAGTGATAATCAACGCCTGATGAAGCTGATCCTAGTGATCGGATTCTGTCTGAATATGGGAAGTCGAATCATCCGTCCTGATTGGACGGGCGGTTCAAGGACTCCTATTGGATGCAGCCCTATTTAAGTGGGGCAGTAGTAGTTAGAATCAACACTTCTTACCATCCTTACAACTGCAGTTAATGTTACTACACGTGTAAGAGGAGTCACATTTTACGACAGATTCTTCAGTCATCCTAAATAGATGATTCATCAGGGGATATCTTTATACGTACGCCACATTTCCTTAGACGTACGCTACATTAACGGATAATAGTTATTATTTTTTGGGATAATAGTTATTCCATAATACTGCCAGAGTTATTGGCAGAATTAAACTGGTGCCTGAACTGGCCTCAAAACCTAAATAACTAATAATCCGTAAATGTGGCGTACGTATAAAGATAGGGTTGGACTACGTTTACCCCCCCCCCCCCCCTTTCACTACATTTAATATTTAATGTAAGATTCTGCGTCCCAATTAGGTAAATTGAACCGCTGCATCCCGCTGGTTCAGCTTTAACGTAAAAGAATTCCATTTGCAGGCCCTTCAAAGAACCGTGCATTAACTGACATGAGATGCTTTCTGATTTAAAAAGGTTAATTTTGCCGCCCAGATGTTACGTTACGTCCAAAGTGTTGTAAGAAACGATTACCTATTAATCAAACTAATTATACATTGGTAGAGGGTGAAGAAGGAAAACAATTGAAACTCCAAGGCTTTAAGTTGATAATCAGAGCTTGGTTGTGCATATAAATTTGGGAGTATAATAGTCAATTGAAACTCATATTTCAAGGCACAACACTCGAAGGTTCCACTCTTGGAAGGTTGCAAACAACTTTGAAAACTCGAGCTTTTAGATTTACAATATTAAACCTGGATAAAATTCTATATTCGATGATTATGCATACTTAATATGTGACAGGTCGTGGTTGACCGATCTTTCAATCATCCGATCCCAAAATTACCCTGTTCATTCCAAATCTTGAACACTCTCTCAGATGGATATAGACTGCTGCTCCTATTCAGCCCCTGGAATGACGGCTCGTAAGTTGCGTTTCAAAGTCGAAGCCAATGATATTTCAAGCTCCCAAATGAGAGGACATGACATCCCAAAATACTTCAACCAGGCATGTAGTTACCACCGTTGATTGGAGCAAATACTATTCACAAGAGATCCTATTTAATTTTAACAGCATTTCAGCCCCAACAAAGCTCACATTATGCCTATTCAGTCCCCTGGGCAGCTTCCAAGGTTGAAAGTGGCAGGTGGAGAGACATATAAAATGTACCTACATCCCACAGAGTGGAACATCAAAACAAGATTCTCCTAAAAACCTCAGGGACCTCAACAATATGATGAGACTCAGTCTTCTTGCGATGACTACATTGGCATTAACGTCTATTGCTAGCCCAGCACCTGTCTTAAGGTCCATAACATGCCAAGCAAGAGATACGTCTACGATTGAAGCTGTCCAGGCTATTGAAGATGCTGTTGGATTCATTGACTGGCTGGACATCATGTTCATCAGTCTGCCGAACGGTGAAACAAAATGGCTCGATGCTTTATGGGAAGTAGTCTTCCCTCAAGGTGGATCATCCCCTCTTAACGACTGCGGCACGATTAACGGTCAATGCCCAATTGAAAGTCTGTGCTCTAATTACCCTAATGAAATGTCATATTGGGTTTTCCATGAGACTGACGCTCTTGTGAGCAAGGTCAATATTGTACACAGCACACTAGAGTGGAATGGTTGGCTTGATAGCCTCACCATTGACCAGATCAGCGAAGACTTTTCTTCTCCTCCCCCGAGTACACAGGCCACTCAGTGGCTCTCTGCTGCCTTTTCCATGGCCGGTGGCATTGCTACTGGGGTCGGGATTGGTGCTCCTCTCGAAGGGATGATTGGGTTTGCTGCTGCAGGATTCACAGCTGTCAGTCTTTCAGCTGACAACGGCGCTATGGTCGACACACTCTCTCTCGAAGCCACTCTGCGAAACATGTCCAAGGCTGCTGGTAATTACGTTGCAACCATGCTGTCGGATGCGACGGGGAATGGTGATGCTAGCGCTCTTCCTGTTTATACCGATACGACATATTCTCACGCCACTTCAAGATTCCTTTACGATAGCTGGATTCTTCTTGATAATGATAGTGCTAATGGCTCTTTCACTAATGCCATTGGGAACTTTTCCGCAAATATAGTGAGCTTGCGCCAAGTTTATTGCTATCTTTCTCTTGACCTCTGATATTGACCCACGTTTAATGATAGGAAAAGGTACTAGTTGATCAAGGAATGAAGTCAGTCTGGTATGTCCTTATCGGCGAAGATATCTCAGAATCGGACTGCGACATGACCGGTGCGTACTGGCTGCAAGCTAGTTCTGATACTTCCCGGTGCTTCTACTTGACCAGGACGAGTGATGACGGTTACTGCAAGGATGATGATCCTTCAACGGTATAGATTCACACACGACATTTGAAATATAGCGCGTGCTGATGATTTAAAAGTGCCTCGACTATGATTGGGAATCACCATATAATGGCGGGATGGATACCGACATATATACGAAGTTGACCTCGACATATGGGTTTGACTTGCAGGTAAATCAATCGTATCATACAAAGCCTGAAACATTTCTGATTAATTTTCATTAGGAATATTACACTTCCCTTATTGATTGCAAAAACAATGGTAATGGTACGGTTGATCTCTCAGCGAACACAAACAACATTCCAAGATGCTTTTATAGCCTCTATACCCGTGGTGGAACCTGGAAGTCTCGATCTCAATTATTTGATAACGACCAAACCTATCTCTCACTTAGCGACACATTCTAAGGTCTTGAGATTTTTGTGAAACTTTGACGGTGCCCGCCCATGGAAAGTCATGTAAAATAACAAGTCGGACACTGAGACATAAGGTGGGAGATGAAAGTATCTAGGTAGATGCTCATATGCATGAGGGAGGTATCGATTAAACTAATATTTTATAAAGCTTAATGTTTTACTCTCAATATGACTATTAAAGCATTTCATCCACTCTCATTACATATCAGAGTGAAAAAATCTTGCATTACTACTCTCCTCGCGTTTTTATCAAGCTCAAAGCCAAATTTAATAGATAAAGCATCAAGTTCAAATTCAAAGTCATGATTGAGAGAACAAGATTAAGACTCGGAGAGAAGTGTAGTAAAATCATCCCAATCATCATGATAAAAAGAACGCTTCCGTTTTTTTTTCTGTATTCCTACCTAAGGCTACCTTATTAAGATCAAATTGATCAGCAGAGAGCTGCCTATGGCAATTTGAGCAGTAACAACTGGTAGTTGAGTCTATTGAATCCAGGGTTGGTAGAGAAGAAATGAATACGGATACGCGGACGCGCGAACGCGCAAGTAAAAAATTAGTTAATCCCCCGCACGACGCTAAAGCAGCGCTCACCCATTGTTCACTTGCAATCTATATAATCCTGAGTATGGAGGAAAATAGCACATACGACCACAGGGTGTGGAGAACAGGGCTTCCCGTCCGCTCAGCCGTACTTAAGCCACATGTACAACGCGCTGAATACTTGGGTGAGTTCTTCGCACCCGGCTCACCCTAAAGCAGCAACAGAAACTCCCTTAGGGTGAGGGTGGGTGATTTATGTGAGCATGAGTGAGCACGGGTGAGCAGGGTGGGCTCGGGGTGATTACAGGGTGAGCTCAGGGTGAGCTCGGGGTGATGTCGAGAGGACAAGTGAGCAACACTTACTACTATAAGTAGGGGCTATTCTTTCATTCTAGCATCTTTTTTTCTCTTTACCAAATTGTACTAGATTTGAACTTAAGGGTGAATTTCGAAGATCTCCAGAAAATTGCTCTTGAGCGTGCCACACTTGCCGCATCACGTGGCTTCACGCTTGAGTATGTCAAAGGCCCGATTCCATTTATAGTTAGTCTACTTTAGTCAGCATTGGAATCCCACAATGGGATTCCTCCATTCTACAATCTACACACATACACTCTTTGGTACGCATACTGCGTTCTCATTTGCCCACTAGAATCCACTATTCCTTGGTAGTCGACCTCCATTTGACAAAGTGCAGCACGCTTGGCGGCAATCTTTTGAAGATCTTCGAAATCAGACATCCTTCAAATGTTCAAAATTGACGGAATGAAAAGTATAAAACATCAAATGAAGGGCCCTACCAAGGATTTATGTATTTTTTGGTCTGTAAGGTGAAAAATTCTAGGGCAGGGGCAGGGGTGCTAAGCTCACCCAAGCTCACCCATCCTCACCCACCCTCACCCTAAGGAGAGTTCTATCGCTGCTTTAGGGTGAGCTAAGTGCGAAGGGCTTTTGGACTATTTTCCGCGTTTCATAGGTGGCTTAAGTACGGCTGAGCGGACGGGAAGCCCTGTTCTCCACACCCTGTGGTCGTATGTAGTAGAAAGAAGATAGAAGTAAGCTATAAAGCTACTATAATTAGGTGTGTATCGCCCTGGTGAGCAATGGGAGCAAGGTGAGTGTGTAATAAATAGGGTGAGCCGGGTGAGATCGGATGAGATCAGGATAAGCATCAGAGTGAAACCAAGCTTATGCAGGATGAGTTAACACACTTATCATTATAATATTCTCAACTATATCTTTACACAATTAACGCTCTTCTTGAAGTAATTCGGAATGGCCGTAGGCACGTATAAGACTTCTCTGTAGCTTCGCTGTAAGAATATATGCTTAAGTAGCTTCTCTTGGTTTGTCCGAAGCATTTCCGTAGTTTTTGGAGGAGTATGTTCAATACTAGACGATGATAATGGTGAAGATGGTGTCTGTTCTTCAGGGCGTTTAGCGAGAGGACCTTCAGTAACAATAAGATCAGGTATCGCATCCCATTGACCAGGGTGCTTATTTAAGACCTTATTACTAACGTGTTTCCCGGCTAACCCGTTATCCCTGTTAAGCCGTTATCCCATCAGAATTTCAAAAAACGCATCAATTTCAATTCCATATTTAAGCACAATAACATAATTAAATTGACTTAATAACACGATTCTGACACTTAGTAATATTATGACCTTTCTTATGATACCTTGAGCAATTAATTTAACGTCGGACAGGGGGTAAAACTGGCAATTCAGTCTCAAGAGGGTCATTTTGAGCAACTTCAACACCAGATATATATTTCTCTCCACTACCATTCTCTTCAATCACAGGTTTCTGAATCTCCTTTAAACCTCTTAAACCACATAAATAAGCCAAGTGCTTTTTAGTAGTATTATTCTTTTTCGTCTGTTTCTTATTTTCTTTCTCTAAATGGCCACAGCGATCATGCAGAAAAATATGGCGGTGGACCGTCCGGGTAGTGCGATCGGAGAACGTCTTCCACCTCCTTTTAATAGAAGATGGGATTAATCTAGAGAAGAAGTCTAGAGCAGAATTAAGACGAGATTTAAATTCTTCAAGTCGTTTCAAGTTCCAAGTAGTATTGTCATCGCTATCAGAGCCAGAAGATATCGGACAATCAGAAGGTAATTCTAGATCTGGCAGACATTTAAGCCAAATATTTAGCTTATTGAGCATTTCTGATGGGCTTGGAGGTACTAAACTAGTAGCTTTAAAGCTACTAATTATAATATGTACCTTAAAAGCTCTTTGATATGCATCAGGGAAGATCTGAAGGAACTCATCTTTGTCGATTCTATACCGCATCAACTCCGCAACACGACCGCTATAATATTTTTTTTAGTAGCCTAAAGTAGCCTATATCTAAAGGCTATAAAAGATGTGATATATATAGAGGCATAAATAAAGTAACAATATCATTCTTCTTATAAAGATTGTCGAAAATAGGTGTTGGATGAGAGGATTGCTCATCAAGGATCAGAAGGCAGTTTTACCTCTTCGATTCCTAATATTAGGAATAAGATACATCTTTAACTAACCAACACTAATCAGGTCGTTATTCCGACCATTGGAGCTCTTATTTAAGCTCTAATTAGGCTCCTTTTCCTTAAACCAATGCTCCATAAACACCTTTCCTTTAAAGATAATGTAAGGTGGATGAAATCCGCGATCGGAGGATAAGATTGGCCATATTTTGACACATGGCACAGGTAAGAGCTGCTCTTCTAGATTCCATAGAGAGTAGTCATTCCTCCATCGATCAATCTTCAAATTTAGAAAATATATGTTGAGCTGACCATTTAACAGCTAGTTATTCAACACCCTTCAGCCGATCGACAAAAGTTGAACGTGGGACGCCAAATGACCGTACAACAGCTGCGATAGTAGGGTGTTTGCCATCTCTAAAAGCTTTTAGAGCTAATTCGATACAGTCCTCTTGCTCTATCAAATTTTATTCCATTTCAAGGCGAATTGGTGGCATGGTGTGTGTTTGAAAACATAGGGTCACTACAGAGACTATTTATTTAGATGGGGTAACGGGTTAACCGGGATAACGGGTTAGCCGGGAAACACGTTATCCATAGGATAGATACCACGCTCTTTTAAAGATTCTGGAATGATTTATGGATTAAAGGTCTTTTGTCGTATAGGGCAGATTACCCTTAAAAACCCAGCCTTCGTCATAGGCTCAACAGCCCAATAAGAGATATAATCATTAAGCCTTCGAAAGTGTTGTTTATAGCTTAAAAATGACTTCCCATCAAGTGGCTGGCAAAGATGCGTCGACCCTTCCACCCCGGTAGACTCGGATTTGAGTGGGGCTGTTTTGGCCTATAACCTGAACAAGCTAGGCAGCAGATAGCAGCCTAGACTCTGACAGTGGCTGTCAAAAATCTTGCCATACCTAAAGTATTATAAGGTTCATTCTTCTTCTCTCAAGTTTGGATAGTAGGAGAATTGAAAACTCCTTCCTGACCACTATGGCTGCGCTTCCGGATGAGATTCTTTTTCTCATTCTTGACCAAATTGGCGACAATAAATTACGTCTTGAGCTTCTACTGGTCTGTCGTCGTTGGTACAATCTGCTTTTCTCTAAGGTCTACGAACGCATTGACGTCAAATGTCAACAAATACGTGATCTTCTTTGCTCTGTGCAAAATAATTCAAAAATTGGCACCGCTTTTCGAGAATTATCTTTTGATGAATCTTTCACCGAGGGTTTTGATCCGAATGACATAATGCCTATAGAGATCATGAAGCAAGTTAGTCCCTCCTCAGAGTTTTACAAAGACTGGGAAAGGGATTTGTTTCATGACCATGATTACGGTGCCCATCTCGCACTGCTAGTGCCGTCATTACAATCTGTCAAGGCGCTGAGGCTCACTGGTTATTTATGCTATTCGGAACCATTCTTTGGTTTGCTGGCGCGAGCAGCTGCTCGCGAAAAGCCATTCGACTCAAAGTCCGTGCTACAAAGCCTAGAAAAAGTGGAACTCCGACCCTTACATCTGAAGGCTCACTACGGGAGAAATATCTCACTTTTTTTCTCTTTTCCTGCAATGCGAGTGCTCTCCGTCAGCCAACTGGCCGAAGAAGATATTGAATGGACAAAGTTAAATTATCCAAAACTTGTTCCTGGGTTTTCTAGTATCACTGAACTTCATTTTGAGTACTGTACCGGTTCTAAGGGCATGGCCGAATACATCGAAGCGTGTGCTAACTTGGAGGTCTTCAATTATCAACACCAAGTTCAAGCCATATGGGGAGAAGCCTATCATCGCTTTCGTCCTCTCGCGTTTTATAAACCACTACTCAACCAAAAGAATAGTCTTCGAGTCCTTCGATTAGACAATATTGGAGAATCCGATCCAGATTTTGAGGTTGAATACGATATTGACTTGGATTATGTTAGTTTTGGGTCCCTGACTGAGTTCCGTGTGCTTCGTGAACTTCGGATTCCATTGCGCACGCTGTTACAGTATGATTCAAATAATCGCCCAGCCGTCTCTCTGCTCAAGGTTCTGCCTTCCAGCATCCAAATTCTTCAGCTTGCCAAAGTTTGCGAAGAGGACTTGAAAGTACTAGTAGAAAATCTTCGAGAGGTGCTAGCACGACGAGAGGACCGATTTCCAAACCTTAACAGGCTTGAGATTCAGCCACGCCTATTGGAAAAGGATCCCTCCCGCGTTGTTTACAACCCGCATTGGGAGTGTAGTTGGCATGTATTGAAAATTCCAATATCTTTCAAGGAGGCATTTGCACCGATTCAGTTGCTTTGTGACAGTATAGGAATCGAGTTTGAATTTAATGAACAGGGCCCTCGGCAGTAGAGAGGCTTATATTCCAAAGTTGCAGCCTGTTTATGATTGTGCATAAGTATATGCCGAACTGATGACATAGGCCTCATCATATCAAACAAAGATATGTTATCTCTTGAGATCAAATCGTAGCCTCGCAACACCGAGATAGGAAACTTATTGGCTGTTTCCACTGCACTGCCCGGCTAAGTCCGTTAACTCCAATATAACACATACTACATCAAAGTTTAACATGAGATACTCCACCTTTGCATCACTGCTAACAGTCACATAAATCTGTGAAAATTGTCAGTTTCAGCACGTCTCAAACCATAAAATATCGCAATGAGTACCTCTGCCCCAAGCATTCGAAAAGTCTGAATTGCAGCATGACCCACGCCTCCAGTAGCAGAGTGGATCAGGAATGACTGGCCCTTCTCTACCAAAAAGGCTTTGTCACGGCTTCGTCATAGCCTTGTTAGACCTTCTGACTTTCAGGATATAAAAGGCATGCTATTCCAAGCTTAATGCCATCTTGATCTCACCAACCTGGGCAGTTCATCATCAATCCCTCTAATTCACACAACACAATTGACTCGAACCTTGGATCCTTTGCGAAATATTAAATAAGATGCGCTTCCCTCATATTTTTGTTCTCGCTAGTATTTATGTGCGTAGCTCCTTAGGTGGCACTCTCCAGGTCATCGACTATGGGACCTAGTGCGCGATATGGTCTACAGATAATCATGGGTGCATAGGATACTCTGCATCGTTTGGTGCTATGAAGGGCGACAAATATCCGGGTATGATTTCGGGAGATAGATAGTATAATAACCAATTATTAATAGTTTTATAGACTTAACCGAGGCTGTCGATGGTGCTCAAAAAGATGTCTCTATTCTTACCATGGTCCGTGGAGGCTTATGGTTCAGAAAATGGCGAACCAGCGGCATAGATTCAGGTCGAGACGACCGGTAAAGTCACTTTTATTGATCAAATGGTACGGTGTCAGCTTGCACGCTAAGTGACGGATTCAAAGTTGGCAGCTGGTGCACTTCTGAGGACATTACTAGCTAATATTTGTCCATGAAAAACCAACCATGGAATCTTCCACGTATAGACTTCTGGATACTTCATACTTATCTCTTACTCTTCTATATGCTCCAAATCTCGAGTATCTTCATATTTTTCTTAACATAAGCAAAGCTTATCGCTCGCTTGGATTTCAAGAAAATAATCGAGAGGCGTGGCCTTATCATGCCACATGAGGACTTCGCTATCCTTTTCAGGCACAACTCATAAGATGCTGGCATCTGCGCTGAGCGTACCATGAGCCGAGAAGATGATTCACAAGACAAGAGGTACGCATATTATCAGCGCCTCCTGCAAACCGGACTAGCCCCTCAAGACGCACGGGGGGTCTACCAGCACATAATTCGAGTCTCCGAAACTGACGGCTACCGAAAATTGCAAGACTTGCTTCGCAGGGCTCTTTTCAAAGAGACGAAGAATCCGCTCTTCCAGCCAGTGCTGCATTTGGTCCAGGCAATCTATGGATTTTCTGGACTTTCCGAGTCTGACAAGAGCAGGTTGGCTGAAGAATTCTGCAGTATTCTAGGGACTCGACGTGGTTTTTGAGCCAAGATTGTGTACTTCAACAATCTGGCTAGAGATAAGGACCAAGCGTTACACCGCTTTCACGAACTTGGAAGCTTTGCGAAAGCCCACTTCTGGCTTCGAGTAATCACCATAGAAATCTTGCATCGCTCCAGGGTTACGCAGTTGCTCAGGTTGTGGCTCGGGGATAAGTTTCAGGTGGGGTTTGTTGAAGTGGATGATAGCAAGCATCTTAGTAGGTCGCTTGTGACGCAAGAGGAATTGAAAACAAATGACTAGTTGAAGCGTGAGAGAGGTGTAGAGCTGATTGCAGAAGAGGCCGATTTGTGACTTGGCAACAATGGCACCTTCGCAGCCTCCCTAGAGGTCCTCCTTCGCTACGCACGCACCATAGGGGTCACTCATGATGAAGATCAGGAAGTCAGTGGGGTTAGTCGACTCCCGGGAGACGTGAGACGCATTGCGAATTCTGGATTTGATTGACCATGGCTGTTTCTCTACTAAATACTTGGAGAAAAAAAAATCATTGGCTACCCACTGAGGACTTGACCAGCTCAATTGCCTTCTTGACCAGCTCGCGGTCATCCTTGAATGTCAATTTCTCTAAAACCTCGTCATAGCTGTGAAATTCCACCTCAAACTTATGCTCGTGTTGGCCGACAGGCTCGTCCTCATTGACGGCAGCCACAAACCACCAAATCAGTTTAATTTCATTCTCTCCGATATGTCGTATCTGCATTACGATAGGCTCACAGCAACCTTTGAACAAGCGTGCCTCATCCGGGAGATCCTCTGTCTCGATAGCGGGGCAGACACGTGAAATCAAGTTGACAGGCAACAAGCGGCAAGGTATACCGGTCTCTTCAGTAGTTTCGCGAATCGCAGTGACTGGGCGGGACTCCCTCAGGTTGCGACGGCCCTTGGGGAGGATGTATTCGTCACGATGGAGTAGACGGAGGATGCAGACCTCGCGAGTCGAGAGCCGGAATAGAACGGTGCCGGCACTTTCCACAAGTTTCTCCGCCGCGTACATCTCCGTCTGGAATCGCGAAGCCGCCATGATTAGACCAGCCTCTAATGCCTATTGTCGTTAGCGACACCGATTTGACTAGCCATGATATGTAAAGATCTTACCAGGAGTGTTATGATAGTAAGAAGCGACAGTATCAACCGTGGGTGGCAATGTGATGGAGTTCTGAAGGGAGAGAGCAAGGAGAAAGTTGGGCGAAGAAACTTTTCTTGTTGCGGTGAGATTCGGTGGAAGACAACTTGAGTACCTACAAGAGAACGAGAAGAGAACACTACATGCCACTAGCAACTCGCACCTGCTACAGTCAGTAAATACGAGGATGCAATGCGAAGCTAGAGGCTGTAAGTTATAAACTGTCACTAAAGCCTATTCATTCTAGTTAATTATCATAGTAGTTCTAATTATAATAACAGGTGGAGGATTTCCCGCAACCTGCATGAGCCTGATACAACTTTTCAGCAACTCAAGATTTTTGCCGAAGAGAAAAAATCCTATCATTTTACCTCAAAATGGGAACGAGAAGCCTCTCAATCTATTCGTGAAGTGAAAGATGATTTTCTGAATGTAATCAAATTCACACCTTAAAGTATAGCTTGCTAATACATTTTAGTTCACAAGAACTACTACAATCTTTCAACAATGTTTTATCCATATCGACAGTATTTGGAATGACAATGACGAACCCAAAGAACGCATCGAAAAGTAGTCAGTCGCTTGGGTTACTGACGTAGTTGACTAAGCCTCTTTTCCAATAACTATACTTCATTCTGCTGGATGGCAGATCTGCTCTAAGGGCTTTATACAAAGAACTCAGGATATAATATCTGTTCCTGGCCAGTGGTGCGATCTTCTCTATAGAGAAGAGCAAAACGAGCATTTACAATTCATTTTATTTGCAGACATATATCTGATCACGCTCAATTAATTAATTCTGTTACCAGGGCTTATTGTGAAGAAGAAAAAGCTCCTGTGCTTAACTTCACTTGCGAACAATATGGCATAGACTGCCGCATCGATATTTGCGAATATTCGTACTGTTTGGCTCTAGTGGTTACCAGGTGGATAAACCTTGGCAATGGCTTAACCCCAGATGACCCTCGATGGAAAATTCAGTCTAAGGAAGACTCTGAATCAAAACTTGATCCGCAATATCTTAAAGAGAGTGCTCGACTCTGCTTTGAAGATAAGGCTCCTCCATCACTGAGCTTGAAGGCCTTGCTATCCTGCAATCTTGCCTACCTAAAAGATCAGCAATACAAAAACAATTACGCTTCATTTGGAATCTGGATGGTGGCTAAATCCACCTTATAATTATTGATGTTGTTACTTCTATGCTTTTCAGGAATTTCGGCTCCTTAGCTGATCGGTTCTGAGGCCATGTACCACTTCTCAGTGGCTATGGCTAATACAGCTTGTCATTCATTTGAGCTTCCCGAGGTCGATGTTGCTCTTGCTGTTTTTAGAAATGAAATTCCATTACAATGTAATCGCACTTTTTATCGTTTTTTGTAATCGGTTCTCATCCAAAAACCATACAAACAAAATCCGCAACCCACTCGGAACAATGCAAGATATTCTCTGGCTTATTGCTGCGGGTATTATACTTGTAGTCCTCGGCTTCATCCGAATCGTGATCGCCGCTGGCCCTTCTGTCGCCAAACAAAGCAAGTTTTGGCCCAATATTCAGGGGATTATGCTCATGGCCCTTGTAGGTAGTTCCGAGGTCTCCTTGTAGAAGGATATGCTGACCGCAATGAAGGGTCCCATCGTCGCCGCCCTCGGCATGTCCACCGTCACCGAGACTTTTTTTCAAGTATATGGAATGTGTGTGTGCCAGTAAGTGGCTTTAGACAGATTCCAGATGAAGAAAAGTTAACCCGAAGGCGTTGTTCTAGCCGGCCGTCATGTCGTGCCCGCTCCGGTGCCTCTCTTTTCAATTGGCACGCAGATTTCTTTTCTGATCATTGCATTCTGGTCCGCCATCATTACAACTTTCATCGCCTATTTGACATCGTTAAAGCACCAGGAAGATAAAGAGGGAAAGAAAATACGGTCGTATTTGAAGAAAACATCGAGGTGAAGAAACCCAATGGCGTCAAGAAGGTCAAAAAATGACAACCAAGCGTACCCACAAAGCTCCGGATGATGAGGCTGTTATGGATTCACGTACTCGCAGTGGCAATAAGCAAAAACATAATTTCTGAGGAGTTTATGATTTCAAATGAATACTGATGAATTCTTTCTGCTTCCGTGGTCGATGTGGTTATAGTCTTCTGTTTCGACGCCTTCCAGTCAATAGGTCCACCAAAAAGCGTACACATCATGCCTGTGGAGCTCTTCCTGTCTGGGTGGTCACAATATGAAGCATTGCTCGCCATATTTAATTTCATTCCGGTTCCAGCGCCATATCTAATAGCCAGGAACCGCGTGTGGAACAGGTAAAATATCACTATTTTAGCTGCGAGATGATGCATTGGTCCCGGGTTTTGCAGAAACTGGGCCAATTTTGCTACAGCTTTCGCGATGTCATGGCGAGCGATTGAAGCTGGGTATTGAATCCACTCAACCTTCTCTTGATACAGTGGTCTACACAGTCAAGTATGCCTCTGTCCTCAGCCAGTGAGAGGGCCAAGCGCAGCCAGGTTTCCTATCGTCCTGCTTCCTTTAGTTTAACGCCACTCATAGTGATTATCTATAAGTCTGAATATGGCGGAATAACACCTCCGATGTTTTGATCGCGTTATACGATCGTTTACACGCTTCCAGGACAGAGAACCGAGTTCCCCGCTTCCGACCGATTCGGGAGGGTGCAAAATAGCGTAGATAGATAGAGAATGACTATATCTAGCTATTTAATAGCAAGCCGGGCTCATAACTGTCAATTGAATATGGAAAGCGGTCTGAAATGGTAAAGACGAGGGTATTGTTGTTGGAGAGTGCGTAAGTCATCCATCCGGCAATAACTAGTTAATAGTTAAAGGCTAGACAGCCATTATTTAGTCAGCCACCTTAACCCTGTTCGATTCCCTCCTCTAACCTACCTGCGTGCACGGGTACTACCACATTTCACACCAAATTCTACACCGCGTTTTATCACCCGTACAGGCTATTATACGAGCATTGAATGATTTAAGTTGATTGAGTCATGTAGGGATATCGGAGAATCCTCTGCTACGGAATAATGTAATTCTGGATGCGGATAGTTGATGAGACAGAAGCGGGTATAGTCGAAAAGTTGCCTTTTCTCCAACATTACCCAATGGTATTTCAGAATCCAACAAAATATGCAGTAACCATACATTATCTAGCTTTACTATGTGGCTGTGTGCAGATGCGAAGGCAGCACTGCTTCAGGAAGAATTACCCTATCCAATAGTCATGAAATATTCAAGGATTAGTACAGTAGTCAGGCATTAGCTTAGTCTCACCCTGATGCTCACTCTGATCTTATCCGATCTCACTCAGCTCACCCAGCTCACCCAGCTCACCCGGTGCTTGCTTACTTGGTGCTTACTCGGTGCTCACCCTATCTATTGTGCACTCACCCTGCTCACCAGAGCGATCCACCTGACTATAATAGCTTTATAGCTCACTTTTATTATTACTCTATCACATACGACCACAGGGTGTGGAGAACAGGGCTTCCCGTCCGCTCAGCCGTACTTAAGCCACACGCCGGTCAGTTAGTAGTATGGTGGGTGACCACATGCGAATCCTGACTGTTGTATGTTTTTTTTTCTTTCATTTTAACCTCTGTTTCTTATATTTGAGTGGGAGTAGGTAGGTGACTGAGGTGAGCTTAAGCACCCTGAGACCCCTCATTTAGCTAGTATCCGCAGCCAACTCATCCGATCGTTTTATCTTACATGTACCTACCCCGCTTTTAACGAGAATATAACATAAGATGCAAGTAAATTTGTTCTTTTTTCTGTCGTTATTACCCCTAGCATAGCTTCTGGCAAGTACAGTGGTTGAATTTTAGCATGTCTCCTTTGCTACCTGAACCTTTCGAAATTCCAGAGCTCGCCCACCACAACAGACAGCTACTAAGCACCTGAGTTCAAAGTTGCGTTCTAGTAAACCAATCCCTTGCTGCGATGTCTGACCCCAAGGATTACACTGTCGGATGGATCTGTGCTATTACCGCGGAGTTTACTGCAGAGCAAAACTTTCTTGATGAGAAGCAGCAAGTACCAGAAGGTTTAGCTACAGCTGACCATAATGCCTATGCTGTAGGCCTTATTGGAAAGCATAAGGTTGTTATTGCAGTCTTACCTGACGGGGAGTATGGTATATCTTCTGCAACAGGCGTAGCAAAAGACATGTTGCATAGCTTTCCAAATATCAAGGTCGGTCTGATGGTCGGCATAGGTGGCGGTGCACCAAGCGCAAAACATGATATTCGCCAAGGGGATGTGGTGGTTAGCGCTTCCCGCGATGGGAATGGGGGCGTTTTTGTAAGGGTTAGAGTCCAATGCGGTTGGGCTACCATAAACAAGAGAAGAACTATTATGAGAAGGCTACCAGAGGACGGATGTGTGGGTATGGTATCCCATAGGGCTTGATTCCACTAGGGTAAATTGGGGACAAGAATAACTCTTGAACTCCTTTAAGAGTCCAAAGACCTCAGAGAATTAAATACATCAGGAAGTAGCAAATCTCTAACTAGCTTATCTGGGGAACCCCTGCTTCCCTGACAGCTGGTTCAGCCAGCTTATGTAGAGAGTCCATTGCCTTTCTCAGCCTTCTTGCAACCCACGCCGTTACAGTTTTCCAGTACGACTTTGGTAAAACCATACAAAATCAAAGTTTCCAATCAATAGGAGTTCTCAACCAGTCACCGGTATCCTTGAGAACAGCGCTTAGCGCACTGAAAAGTGACTACGAGATTGATGGGCATCAAATTCAAGAATCTATTGGCAATATCTTGGAGAAGAAGCCACGACTAAGACAAAATTACCAGCGACCGGACCGGAACAGTGATAGGTTATATCGGAGCGAATTTGTCCACCCTGAGAACCATGAAGGCAGCTGTCGAGTGGCGTGTGGAGACATGCTGTCAAGCCTAGTGGAACGGGAAGAACGATCAGAAGGTGTGGATGATCCAACAATTCACTATGGGCTTATTGCGTCCTCAAACCAGTTAATGAAGGACGCCCGGATCTGAGATAGACTTGCTGCGGAAAGAAATGTTCTTTGCTTCGAGATGGAAGCGGCGGGGCTCATGAACCATTTCCCATGTATTGTGATTCGTGGAATCTGCGACTACTCAGACTCACATAAGAACAAAGAGTGGCAAGGGTATGCAGCGATGGTGGCCGCTGCATACGCTAAAGACCTACTCCTTCGGGTCCAACCGAAAAGAATTGAGGCTGAGAAGAGAATTGGTGATACTCTGTCTGATTAGCTTGATATGAAGTAAAACCCTTTATGTAACTCAGTGTTAATCTTGCTATTTTAATAGGTCTCCATACAGTTGCACAGAAGCAGCTTGCGCTACAAGAGAATATATTAAAGCATAAGCTTTCAGAAAAGGAAAAAGAATGTCTTCAGTTGTTTCGCCATCCCACAAATACCGAAGGTGCTGGCTACGAATGGTACAAGAACCGTGTGGAAGCCCGAGTTGAGGGTACCTGCGAGTGGTTCCTTACTCATGGCCATTTCCAGACATGGCTAGAGGAAGATTCAGGACCATTGCTAGTCTCGGCAGATCCCGGCTGCGGGAAATCCGTCTTGGCAAGATACCTTGTTGATGAAATACTGCCGAAGTCATCAATCATCTGCTACTTTTTTTTTAAGGATCAAGATCAGAATACAGTTAGCCAAGTAATTTGCGCTATCCTCCACCAGCTATTCTCGAATAACCTATCTCTGATCAAGCATGCTATAGAGGAATTCCAGAAGAACAGCCAGAGTCTGGTCAAACTGATAGGGCCTCTCTGGAGTATCTTTGAAAAGGCCACGCAAGATCCTCAGGCTGCACCTGTGATCGTTGTTCTAGATGCCCTAGACGAATGCGATGAATCAGAGTTCATGGACCTTATGCTGAACATCAAGCGTCAAGTTCATAGTGTTAAGTCGGATAGCCGGAAACTGAAGTTTCTTCTCACAAGCCGCCCATATAATCGAATAACTGATAAGTTCAGAGATCTTCGAAATGATTTTCCTTTTATCCATATTCCAGGAGAGGAAGAATCAGAAAATATCAGCAAGGAAATTGGTCATGTCATTCAATCCCGAGTCAATCAACTATCAATTGAGAAGGGCCTCTCAGTTGAAATTCAAACTCACTTAGCTCTCAAGTTAAGCAAAGTTGCTCATCGTACATATCTCTGGATATATCCTGTGTTTGAATACCTAGAGCAAAAGAATTTCACAAAGACGATAAAAGGAATCAATCGTATGTTCGAAAGTCTGCCGAAGAATGTCTATGATGCATATGAGCAAATCCTTGCCAAATCAGAAGACCAACTCATGGTTCGCCGGACCTTAAGCATCATACTTGCAGCTGAGCAGCCACTAACTCTTTCTGAAATGAATGTTGCATTAGCTATTGATGATGAGACAAAGTTTTTCAATGACCTTGAACTAGAGAAAGGATTGGACTTTGCATCACGATTAAGAACATCATGTGGGCTGTTTATTTCAATTCATCATGATAGGGTGTATTTCCTCCATCAATCTGCTCGAGAGTTCTTGCTTGCAGATATGCTGTTACCTGCGATCAATGTTTCCGGTTCATTATGGCAGCATTCTTTTACTAGGGAAGACTCACATCGAGTCCTTGTAGAAATCTGTGTGGCCTACCTTGACTTATTCAATAATGAGACAATTCCCACAGAGAGGACGGGCGAAGAAGTTTCCCAAATTGGGAGATATTCTCTCCTAAAATACTCTGTAGTGGAATGGGGTAATCATTATCGCAAAGATTGCATTGGCGCTGATGATAATATCACTTTTGCCGCAATACACATAACTACACCAGATTCAAAGGCCTGGTCAGCCTGGTGCAGATTATTTTGGGGTTCAACAGGGAGAGACCCATCAGAGAAAGTTAGTAGCATTATGATATGTTCGTATATGGGGCTCGGGTCTATTGTCAACCTGCTTGTTGAGAAGGGTGCGGACATTGAGACAGAGGATAAAGATGGCCAGACACCACTATCATGGGCTTCCAAGAACGGACATGAGACTATTGTCAAGCTGCTTCTTGGGAAGGGTGCGGAAATTGAGACGGACGATTTAATTGGCCAGACACCACTATTATGGGCTTCCAAGAACGGACATGAGACTGTTGTTAAGCTGCTTATTAAGAAGGGTGCGGATATTGAGACAAAGGATATTGTCGGTTGACTAGGTTATTACCGAAGCAGACAGCTATTGATATCGTTTCTGTACGTATATAATAGGTGTATGCATATTGGGTAAAAGTGAAGTGTCATTCTAAAATGCTCAGATGAAAGAAGATATAGTAGCTGCCATGCCAAGATCACATGATCTTGGTATGTCAGCTGATATTCGTTCCATGTCAAAGGTCCGATACGGGGTTTATGCTGTACGTAAGCAGGATCCATAATGTGTGTATTTAAGCGGGATTTCATCCCTAGATAGACAATCCAGTTTCGTCAACCAATCTGGTTGGACGGTCAAAAAATCTCATTTGACATTCCAACAGATATAGAATACGGCCAGACACCACTATCATGGGCTTCCAAGAACGGACATGAGACTGTTGTCAAGCTGCTTCTTGAGAAGGGTGCGGACATTAAGACAAAGGATAAATATGGCCGGACACCACTATCATGGGCTTCCGAGAACGGACATGAGACTATTTTTAAGCTGCTTCTTGAGAAGCGTGCGGACATTGAGACAAGGATATAGAATACGATTTCAGAATGCACGTAAAAAGGAAGCGAGAGCATTGAATAAAAAGAATGTCTTCAAACTCGAAAAACGAAGCGCAATTCAAGAAGCGATGATTCAGTTCCGCAGACCTCGCTCTGCATTTGCACAGATTCCAAATTTGTCTACGACGCGAGAAAAGTGTCATATGATTAACATCATGACTGCTAAGTAGAGGATAAGATATTGGCTAACGCATTGAACTGTAGGTGCTTGTGTTAAAACAAGTCCTTTTTCAGCATGATTATATGCTTGAACAACTAGTCGGGATTTTTCAGTGTCATTAAAATCTTGTTCAACGTGCGTCGTACGTACGTAGTCGTTGAAATGTTGAGAGTTCATTCTTGCAGCTATTCTGACTAGCAGTGCCTTCGCGACCCACACACATGTTCCGAATTTGGAAATAGACAGAATGAGTCCCCCTTTCCACCTAATCATAGATGGGCTTTACAGGTAGGAAGAGCATTAGAATCCTTGCACGACAAGTAACGAACTCACCTTGATATCAAGCCCTCTAATACTGTTTTAGATAGAGAGGGAAATGCCTTCCTCATCGATATCAGTGGAACAGGAGGTTACACATGGGAGTGGCTTTCGCCAGAGATGAGGACATTTATTGAGGAAGACCCGGACAAAGCCCCATCGGACGCGCTCTTTGCTACACGGATCGCTACGGACTGTTGGGCTTATGGGCAACTACTTTTGATCATTGCTAAGGGAAGTGAACCAGGCAACGCAGGCGAAAAGCTACAAGTTATCTCTAGAGATTTAACAAAGGCAAACTCTGAAGTGCGCATTACGTTGCGCAATACGCTCGCAATGCTAGAAGGGAATCAGCCGTAAATAAGAACATTCAAATATTTTTCCTGTAGACTCTGCGGCGAATTATTAGGGTAGCATTCTGGAAAACGTTCGGGATATATAACAATAAAAACAATTGGTTATACATCAATGTGATCGCTCTGACTTGATGTCCTACACTCCTATCATTCCTCAAATTATTTTTCAATTTCTTCACTTTTATCATCCACAATACTCAGTTGGGCGTCACTAAAGCGCCTGCGAGTAGTAGGACTTTGGCAGATAGTTTCAGATCCAGACTCAGATTACCACTTTCGTTTCCGAGTAACACAGTTTGATTTGGGTTCTTCAATTGAGTGTGCATCGTAAGTGGCGCCGGAGGTGCGAGGTGTTAAGGTACAGCCTTTCTCTATAGCATGGATGCGGACAGAAAATAGCGGTTGAAGAATCCACAGATTTTAAGTGTAGGTCGATGTGATTTAAAAGAGTTGCTTTTGTTAGCCACTACTGAAATCTTTCGTCCGGCTTCTTGCAATTATCGCCTAAGCAAAATGGGCAGAATCCGGGAAACACAGGAGTATAACGGAATTTCAATATGCCACATCGTGGGTAGAGTTTATCGAGGTGACACTTGCAATGATTTATCCAGCTCTGCTCGCCACAAAATATCTCAGCACAGACATAACAGAACTGAACGAAACCACGCTTCACACGTCGATGAGCTCGCTTATTATTCCTATAAAGCTGCTAGTATGGTGCTCCATTCAAACTTTTCCTATAGCATTGTAGGATGTGCTTTGCTTTCGCATCTAGCGGGATGCTATAATCTGTTAATATCTTCTCTTATCAACTTATTGATTAGGCCATATACAGTGTCATAGACTTCGAACATGTTGGACATCGCCCGTTGATAGGCGATATACCGGGGTAGTAAACGACTCGGTCTGTAGATTTGCAAAGCGATACCATATCTTCTAAGCACTGTCGGCCAATTTCGCTGTCTAATGTTGTCATTTTGAATAAACTCTCGCTTAGTCGGGAACGCTCTGGGATATATCTTCTGTAGATCTCGAATAGAGGTGTTGTATCGCGTTCTGAAAAGTTATTTCCAGCAACATACTCATCATATGAGGTATCCCACCACTTTTGAACAAATTGAGTTTTGTACACCTGCAGCGCCCTCGCTTTCTTACTATAAAGTTTAGAGCGTTCAATGGCGACTTCTTTATAGGCTTCGGGTTTGCCCATAATTTTTTTTGTCAGAGTAGCGATTCTCTGATTCAACTCAACTATTTCGCCTTTACCATCGAATTCCTCAATAGCAGCCGCATCGAGCTTAAGTAGGACATTCGGGTCTCTACGGTGTGCCATGCTCAACTCGATTTCTTGGACCTTATAGTCGGGCTCCATATCATAATATAAGGCCTATACATCCAGAGCTTTCAGTGGAGACTGATATTTAAGGTAGATATCATGGCTCGTATAGTTAAGTGCCTGACCGCGAGTGGCCTAAGATGCCTTAGCTAAAATTTATGAGTGACTTAAACAATTGTAACGGCGCGGGGTACAACAAGAGGGACTAGATAGGGAGCCGCTAGAAGGCTGAGAAGGGGAATGGGCTCTCTACACAAGTTGGCTGACTAGCGGTCAGGGATCCGCAGAGTCGGTGAGCCAATCTGAGGATCGGCCTTGAGATGATAATGAATACCGATCTCAGGAGGCCCCGACGATCACTGGGGAAACAGGGATTCCCCGGGTGATGCCACTTCCTGATGTACTTAATTCCCTAAGGTCTTCGAACTCTTGAAGGACTTCAAGAGTTGTTCTTGTTCCTAATTTATTCTAGTGGAATTGAGCCCTATGGGATACCACACACACACACACACACACACACACACACACACACCCTGTCCTCTGGTAACCTTCTCATAATAGTTCTTCTCTTGTTTACGGTAGCCCAACCGCATTGGACTCTAACCCTTACAGTAGGGCTAGTATATTCTATATACGATCCGGGCATACTTACTTATATATAGCTACCCCGAGTGCGTGGCCTATATAACAGTGTTCCGTCTATAATGACGGTGAGTAGATCTAAACTTTTGTCATCGTCTTATAATGAATGGATCTCTAGCGGGTCGACCCGAACCGAGCCCCGCTCATTATGGAAAACGGTGGCGCCAAGCTATTATCCCGAGTATACAGGCGGCGGGAAGGGCAACGGCGGCTGGAGGAACAGCTGGGGCGACTGGGGGCACTTGGGCGGCTGGGGGTATTTTTGTTCCATCATGTTCTGATTTTTCAATACAAAAAATGAAAGTAAAGAAAGAAATGTAGACGGTTGTTTATTTCTACCTCTAAACTAAGCTAACCATAAATATACGGACTAGTGTATAATTTTGATCCCCAATTAAAACCCCACAGCTTAAAATCTTTTCCCCACTTCAGCACACATATCATCTTTCTCTACTTTTCGCAATGATCTACCCTGATGATAGATTTTCTGCCTTGATGGAGTAGAGTTTGGTGAACTATGTAAGCAGCAGGTCTGGGATTGGGATCAACTACGAATGATCATAGTCCAGGGAGATCTTGGCTTTATGCCAAGCGGGGAAAATGTGCAAGTGTCAAAGGACCAATTCCAAGTTAAGTTTAGTGTATTATTAGTCAGCTCTCATACGTTCTTTACTGCAGCAAATTTTACTGCTGCGAATACACACATATATATTTGTCTACTCTGTTCCTATTTCAGTTCCCATTCGACAGTTCTTTACTCCAGTAGATTTTACTGCAGCGAATACACACACACATATTTTGACTACTCTGTTCCTATTTGCTCGCACGAATCCACTATTCAGTTCTCATTCGACAGCAAGCCTTGGTAGCTGCAAAATTTGCTGATCTTCTTTCACCGAAGATTGTTTCAATCACTGTCGATAATGATGGGCTTCTCATTGGAGTGTCGTCAGATCTAGAAGAAGATCAGGATGATGACTTAAGTGACATGTTCATTCCATATACCCCCTTCTCGCTCTGTCCATCACTAGTAGATTGCCCTATCATCTACCGATTTCAAATTCAAGAACTTGATTGGCTTGCACCAGGTGTCGATCTTGTATCCTACGCTGGTCAGGATTTTGTCTTCAAATTCAACCCTATCGGTAAACCCATGCCACATGACAGGGCTTGGAAGGAGATAAACTTACTGAGCAAACTACCACACCATCCCAATATTTTGCCCCTTAGTCATGTTGTTCTCGAAGATATGGAGTCTAGAGTTATTGGATTCACAACTAGGTACATCCCGGGTGGAACACTCCACAAGACAAATCCGAAACAACTATTTCGATTCGAATGGCTACAACAGCTTACCCAGGTGGTGGATTTCCTGAATTTCGAATTAGGGATCATGCACCAGGATATTGCACCTCGAAATTTACTTATCGATTCTAAAGAAAAAAAGATCTTTCTCTTCGATTTCAATATCGCTGCCAATGGAAAGGATTCTATGATGGTCATGATGATGCCTTAAGTCTTTATATCACACTTTATGAGATCATTACAGATGACACGCATTTTTCGGAAATTCCTCATTGGGACCGGAACTGGGATATGATGAAGACTGCCGATTGGACTTGTCGCCGTGAACTAGACTCAGACGTATCAAAGTTCCGCGAATTTTTGGATTCCTGGATAGCTATGAGATCTGACAGAGTTATGGAAAGATATCTTGATGCACCAATCCAGCTTGCATGGCCGCCCCGCCCAATCCCACCAGAATACAGCGAGCCCGGTCCCTACGGCGGTCAGCGTGACTGGCGCACGGTTCGCGAAGCTCTGAAATTAGGTCAATATTGCTATAGTTGGACAAGGCTGCCACAAAGCAAACTTTTGGAAGAAGATCAAGAAGACGCCAAAGAAGAAGCCAAGAAGAAAGCGGAGAGTCATTCTGACTCACTTGGAACCTCCAACCCTTATTAGACCTGTTATTGGTTCGTGATAGTACGATTACCTGGCGATGGAAATTCCAAATCATCTTGATTATGGTAAGACCATAGAATGAGCGTATGATGAATGAAGATTCTCGGATTGAATTGAACATATAGTTCGTAGTCTATTATCTTGAGCGTCATCTCTTTAATATCCCTACAAATGAAATAAACATGAAAGTTCTTGTCGGAACGTGGATATTGCAATCATGCAATACCATAAAGCCGGAACGGAACAAACAGACCCCCGAGTCACGGGGGAACGACTATATTGCATATAATGTTCTCTTCTTATTCTTGTGTATCCTGGTACTTAAGCGTGAAGCCACGTGATGCGGCAAGTGTAGCACGCTCAAGAGCAATTTTCTGGAGATCTTCGAAATTCATCCTCAAAGTTCAAATCTAGTACACTTTGGTAAAAAAAAAAGATGCTAGAGTGAAAGAAAAGCCCCTATTTATAGCAGTAAGTGTTGCTCACTTGTCCTCGCCCAACCTCACCCTGCTCACCCATGCTCACCCAAATCACCCACCCTCACCCTAAGGGAGATTCTGTTGCTGCTTTAGGGTGAGCCGGGTGCGAGGGACTCACCCAAGTATTCAGCGCGTTCTACATGTGGCTTAAGTACGGCTGAGCGGACGGGAAGCCCTGTTCTCCACACCCTATGGTCGTATATGCTAATTCGGTAGAGAAATGGAAATATAGAGCTATAGTAAGAAGTCACTGAGATACCTTTTCGTCCAAGCAGCTGTAACTGATAAATCTTTTATTGATTCAATACTGAGGCTACGTCGTGAGATTAGACGATACCAGAGCTATGAAATTTTTTTGAGATGCTCAATTCCGCTGTAGGACGCAGACACGCTGAGAAAGAGTCGACAGGTGAATTTTTATTTAATGATTAATTCTGAACTAGGTCGAAAAGCCGTTGAAATGAATTTGGAACCATTTTATAAGGGCTTTGTTTGATATTCATATCCATATACACAGAATATGACGTGGAGGGATTTATATCGCTGATCCTGAAGGTGAGAAGGGGAAATCTTGCATCAACTACCACAATCAGCCTGCCCTTCGACATCATTTGCATGATATGAATGGTCTAAATAAAGCCATTTGGCTAAATCAAATGTCTAAGAGAAAGAGGAACTTTAACCAAATTCAATGCACCCAACCTAGAGCCAGAGCAACCTAGAGCCAGAGGAAAATTGGCCCAAGAAATTTCGCTTTTCCGACAACGACAAAATTGGTTCGCAAAGATCATCTCACGGAGAAATTACCGGAAAGGCCCTGGTAAGACTTTTCCTTACGGAAGAGGAGCTAGATAAGTGTTCGCTCTGCAAAATTGAGAAAGACACCAAACAAACTGGAGTATCGCCGTGAAACTAGATCTTGACCTTCCATTTCCATCTCCAATCCAACACTGCCCAGCGAGACAATACTACACTAACCAGCCCCACGAATAAAATAGCAGAATAAAAGCCAATGAGAATCCGAGGTGTGGTCGATTGAAGCAACTTACCCCCCACAGGTACTGTGAGAAGGACTCCAAAGGCGGCAACGACATAAATCGTCCCATAGAATCGACCATACTCTTCTGTTTTGCAGAGTTGTCCAGCACAAACCGGGGCCAAGGAAAGCCATCCACCAGAACCAAACCCAAATATCGCGACCACGATATAGAAAGTTGCCTCGTCATGAGATCCATATGGGAGCCAAATGCCCGCCATGATGATCAAGGTGGCACAGACCATAGAAAACAGAATATTGAATCTTCCTACCTGATCGGCGGCAAATCCTGGTAGAATTCTCCCTAGAATACTCATACCATTTAACACTGTGAGAGAATAATATTGAACATTTTCATCAAATCCTGCATAGCGAACATACGTGGGAAGTAGTGCGGCGCAACCGAATATAATAAACTCGAATGAGAACACAGCAGCTGCAAGAAAGCAAAGCCGAGGTGAAGCCAAAGCTCGAAGGTCAATAGTCACCATGCTATTGCTATTAATCGGGAGTCTTGCCTTGATCAGGTACACTCCAACCGTATAGCTCCCAAGAGCCATAAAAGCAATTATCCGAATTGACCATAGCCAGTCATACTTCCGATAGAGTGTTCGAAGGACCAAAGGAATAGTAGCTCCACCGGCGGATGATCCTGCCATACAAATGCCAGATGCTAAGCCACGGCGCCGATAGAACCAGTGGCTAAGAACGGAAATTGAAACGGTAGTAATGATGGCAGATGAAACGCCCCCAAGGACTCCAAGGCAAAGCATAAAATGCCAGTACTTTGTGCACTCTGCCAACAGCATATAGGACGCAAAACTGGCGATGCTGCCGCAGATTATCAGTACTCGTGGGCCGTAACGATCGAAGAGCGGCCCGACTTGAACTCCTAGGAATAAAGTCAAGAAAACAAGCACTGCTGTGATCCACCCGACATCGCTGATATTGTAGTCGGCCAATTGATGAGTGCTTATATAGTCCTGAACAGATCCGACTACAGAAGATCAGAAATATTTTCAAAAATGACGACTTTAGGTAGTTTCCTACCAGCAGTCTGAAAGCCAAAGGAAGGAAACATCATCAGGAATGAACCAAGCAAGCAAGACCAGGCGGCCCAGCTATGCTCTGGAAAGTCACCTCTTTCATTGCCCTCTCCACGCTCCCCATGGTGCTCAGATTCGGTAGTAGTCCTGACGGCGATATTCAGATGGCTGATCGGCAAACGAGGCTCGGGGACGACTGATCGGCGCATGATGATTTCGTGTCTTTATTCAAACTGCAACGAACATCAGTTGGACACATTCAAATTATCTACAGGAATTTGACCCCACAAGGTTTTTGGCGTCCACAGAGCCGGGAGAAACCGTGCAAACGTTGATAGTACTCTATTACTCGCTAAACTTTTGGGGTCTTTGCCTCGACTATATATGATGTGGTGTATCGAAATACTCAATAAACGAATCAAAAACACAACCAAAAATATCGTGATGATTCATAGGAGGAAGATTGCGGGAAAGCATTAGTGGTTCTGCCATCCGCAGGGCGTGCCATCTACTATGTACTCCGTATCTACACTTCAATTCCAAAATAGGCTTAGTATGTTTAGAAAAGTGGGGTGCACGGGCGCCCAGAGATTGAATAGAACAAAAGTCCACACAATCCTGAATGATCTAAGATAAGTGTCGGTATACCATATTGGTCCCAGGGTGCTTAAGTTCACTCAAATATAAAAAACAGAGGTTCAAATGAAAGAAAAAAAACCAAAAAAAAAAACATACAACAGTCAGGATTCGCATGTGGTCACCCACCATACTACTAACTGACCGGCGTGTGGCTTAAGTACGGCTGAGCGGACGGGAAGCCCTGTTCTCCACACCCTGTGGTCGTATGTGGTAGATTGCCAATAAAAGTAAGCTATAAAGCTACTATAATTGGGTGTTCAGCGCCCTGGTGATCAATGGGTGAGCAAGGTGAGTGCGCAATAGACAGGGTGAGCGCCGGGTTAGCTGGGTGAGATCGGATGAGATCAGGATATAGTAAATCACATACGAGCGGCGCACACATGCGAGTGGCGCAACCAGGACACCATAATAAACTCGAACAAATTGAATATCATATCTCAATAACCACCCGTTGAAATGACTTCAACTCTTGTCGGAACATGGATATTGCAATCGTGCAATACCATAAACCCGGAACGGAACAAACAGACCCCCGAGTCACGGGGGAACAACTATATTAGGAACTCAAGTAGCTACATGAATCGAACACATTTCACACCACTTTGCACAACGTATATACTAAGAATCTAGGACGAACCATGCCCTTTTCTAGTGTATATAGTGTAATATGTGAACCCTGTCCTTTCAACGTAGTTGATCGACACTTATATTATTAGGATTAAAGATAAATCCTGGGAGCTGTGGAGTAGGGTCGTAGACATTATGGCTTAGTGGATGACAGCCATTATGAAGATGTATGTATAGCAGGATTAAAAGCTTAGTGATACGGGATTAATTTTCCGGCTCATAAGGTTTATCAGCAAGGCAGAGAAATCGGTTAGACCAAGATACGCCAGAGAAACTAGACATGTCAGGTAAGGGTGTAGAGGTATGTAAATAACTGTCACGAAAGCTTTGATCGACAGACGCCCATTTTTCAATTAGAGCCCATCGCTGGGCTCTGTCGTCCTCTGGGCTAGGAAGGGGAGTATAAGATTCCTATTAGATCTATATTAGTATGACAAGTATTATTATGTCTACCTAGGTAGAGCTTATACCTTCACAAACTGGCACCAGCCTTTGATTTCTTGTGTTATTTGCACGTGATCATAATCTCTATCGTGTAGATGAATGGTGGATGGAATCCCACCAGGCCATAGCTGTGTAGGTGACAGAACTGTTTGAGTCATATCGCGGAAATAACTCGGCACGACCGAGTAGTTCCAACCCTGGAAGGTTATAGGTATTTATCTCCCTGGTAAACTATTGATTGAAGAGTTTTTCAAGGAGCGCCCGGCCCAGCACACCGATGTGGATTTCCTGGTTAGTTCGAAAAATACAAAGTAGCGCATACGGACGTTATGTTGGTGGGATTTGAAGTTTTACAGTGCGATAACTGTGACGCGAACTAGTTATAGATCTCAATTGACGGCGTTAAACTATATAGTGGGCATATAAGCTACATGGAATCAAGAAAATACATGATCCTGAGAGGAAGGAGTAAGACCAGTAATGTTACGGGATGAATGCAGGAATTTGTACGCTGTAAAGATCCGATTGATAATCAAGAAGAATTAACTAAGGAAGGGAAAGGGGTCCTGGGGACCAGATGCTCTTATGGCTCGTCCGGCTCCGCACGGATGCGAGGAGCGCAGTCTCTCCAGAGACTGGGCATTTCATCGGGTATCGACCCGTTACAAGTAACAGGGTTCAGAAAATGTAAGCGCAAGATTCGTGAAGGTATCAAGGGCCAAGGCTGCACATCTATAAAAACCACCTCTAACAATGGGGGCTAAAAGACATAACTATAAAAAGATCTTGAGATCTGTCATACTGACTATGCTGGAAAGATTCTGGAATCTTTTTCAAGGCTCGGTCGTAGAGGCCGGGGTGCTAGAGGTGTATAGACTAGCCGTGTGTAGAGTAGAGTAGAGTAAGAGTAGCAAAAAACAAAAATAAAAACATACAACAGTCAGGATTCGCATGTGGTCACCCACCATACTACTAACTGACCGGCGTGTGGCTTAAGTACGGCTGAGCGGACGGGAAGCCCTGTTCTCCACACCCTGTGGTCGTATGTGATAGATTGCCAATAAAAGTAAGCTATAAAGCTACTATAATTGGGTGTGTATCGCCCTGGTGAGCAATGGGTGAGCAAGGTGAGTGTGTAATAGACAAGGTGAGCGCTGGGTGAGCCGGGTGAGCCGGGTGAGCCGGGTGAGATCGGATGAGCCGGGTGAGATCGGATGAGATCAGGAGCATCCATCTATTTCATCACTAAGCCAAACTGGCCTGTTACCAACCTTCTGGAAAAGTTTATTCGAGATCTTTTCCTACCTATGGATCCAAGGTGGAAACAATATTTTCTTACCATAAAAAGAGTTGTATTAATTGGTCGAATATAAGAAATAATACAGAGCATCTCCTAATTTCACTGCTGCTCTTTAGCAAAATTATTTTCTTAGTTCCCTTCGAGGGCTTTTCGAAATCACACTAGAAACATAATCGCTAGGAAACTATCTTCAGTTCCAGCGTACGTTCTGGTTCTTGTTATAAGAGGTTCGCCAACTCTTCTTGAAAAAAACCCCAGGATATGACTCCAGAAAGTGATACCCGTGGAATTACTGCAAGGGTTGATTTTCAATGTACAACATGGATCCGTAAACCGAGAGAGATATTGTACAATAAGCCTTAGTCGGAGAAGATAAGAGGAAAGGTGGTTAAATACGAATCAACAGTATGTTGGATTCGATACAGTGATTAATCCTTGAAGAACTCCTTCAAGGTTCAGTAACTAGCATAAATTTTATACCCGCGGAGACCACCTGGTCTCCTGAATGGGGGAACAGTAATATAACTATCTCGATGCTTCAGCCGTCTATCGGACATACTTAGAGTCCAAGCATATCAAGCCTCCATGTACTTAATCAGAGTGGAGCAGATCACTTTTCCATTCTCCACATCCATAGGGATTCTGCGAAAGGCTGCTGCGAAAGAGCGGAGAGACTCTTCAGGAGCTGATGTATTACTGACATCAGCCTATTCAATTGGGGTCAGACTGTCCTCAATTATCTCTTGCTCTGCAAAATCGTCACCTTCAAAGAAGGCAGTGCGCAAACTCTCATTTCGACGGCCAAGCTCTTGCCAAACCTGTTGCAGGACTTGCAGTTGAGGTGTGCCTTGGATGATCAATGTGACTGACACATTGAGCGAGGCTCGGTTAGCGACTAGGTTATGCATGAACCATAGACGGCGTTGGAAGGTCGACATGGGTATATGAGCTGGGCGTGGGTTCTTCACTGCGATCACATCTGAAGTACTTGCAACTATCGCCATTTGGGACTTTTCCGTTGAGACAACCTGGGTCTCAACAGTTCCATTCAAGAAATCACTGGCAACCAGTTGTCCACATACCTTGGATACAAGGTCACCAGTGGACTTCAATCCCAATATGTCAAACAGTGCAAGGCTGACTCCAAGCTCCTTGAAAAACCACTTGCGAAATTCGACTGCCACGAGCGAATCCATTCCATAAGCAGGAAGGGGCATCCCCAGGCCGGCCTTATAACCTAGTGTACGCGTAGCTTTGGAAGGCTCTCAGTAAGCCACCTGGGCAGTCTTGCATATAAAATCCCTGATAGGTACATATGAAGATACTAGGAATAGTTCAAGCGAGACATCATGAAATTGCGATTCCAAGGTTTAATATTGGCAGTGCTCCGTACCCTCAGTTATTTTTTAGGAATAAGAATGAAAAGTTGTCGAAGATTGAAGATTCGTACTTTCGCCAAGCTACGGAGTACTAGTTTACGGAGTGGTCCGAAAAGGTGCTTCGAGTGGACATTTCTGGACCTCAGGAGTCAGGACCAAAATACAACACGAAAGTCCGCAGCCGCATGCTCGCTATTCGAGCGTATTTCCAATTTGAGAGTGGATATAGGAATTAGCCTTTGCCTCCCGTAAAGCTTGGCAAAGTCCAGATTTTAATTTTGACCAATTACTGTCACTTTAAGGGTGGATACAAGACGGGAAGTTAATGTGCCCAGTATGAAGTACGATGCGAAAGTCCGCCAGCGGGCCTTCGCTCTTCCAAGCCACCGAGCTCAAAAAACGACTGAGAAATTCAAGCTGCTTTTGTCGTAAATATTTATAGCCCCTCTCGCTCTAAATCTTATGTACTCATTCCTGAATTGCGTCTTCCTCCCTTCCTCGTTTCGCTATTTAACCTATGAATTTATATTTTCACAATCAAACTAGCGATGCCTACACATCAGTCTAATTCGACTAGCGAGTCAACTCTGGATGACGCTCCTTTAGGCCTAGACCCAGATTAGGAAAAACATGGTGATCGGGCTGTAGAGGCTCTACCGAATAAAGCTCCTGATGGTGGCCACGATGCTTGGATGGTCACCTTCGGCGCCTGGTGGGCCCTTTTCATCGCCTTCGGCTGGACTAACTCCGTCGGTGTATTCCAGAACTACTACGAAAAAGATTTATTGAACTCTTACTCAGCCTCCACGATTGCTTGGATCTCGTCCACTCAGCTCTTCATGATGTACGGTGCCGGAATTGTTTTCGGCAAGGTGTTCGACCACTATGGACCCCGGCGGCTGCTATATATCGGAGGCTTCGCGCACGTGATTGGCTTAATGATGGCCTCTATCTCCAAGGAGTACTATCAAATCTTCCTATCGCAGGCCATTTGCAGTGCCATTGGCGCCAGCGCCATCTACTATGCTTCTCTGGGCTCACTAGCTAGCTGGTTCTAGGCAAAGCGCGCAACTGCTTTTGGTATTGCTGCCTCTGGTGCCTCTATTGGTGGTATCATCTTCCCTTTTATGGTTGATCGTCTCATAAACCGGTCCGGCTTTGGCTGGACTATGCGCGCTGTTGCCTTCATCATTCTTGGGGGTGTTATTATAGTCGTCTTCACTGTGAAGTCGCAACTGACGCACGTTCCAAAGCCGATTCATGTTCGACAATACACTGCCCCATTTAAGAAGATACCTTTTCTGCTTCTGGTCATTTCGCTGTCGCTTTTCTCGTCTGGCTTGTTTTTGCCTTTCAACTTCATCACTTCTCAGGCACAGACCGTAGGAATGTCCCCACTTTGGCAAATTATCTTGTGGCATTTTTGAACGCAACCAGGTAAGATCGCTTTCAGAAACTCTTAGATGAAATTATGCTAAAGTACCCAGTGTCTTCGGCCGTATCATTCCCGGTCTGATCGCAGACCGTGTTGGGCGCTTCAACGTCATGTCTGTTGCAACTCTGGCTTCAGGCATCCTCACCTTCGCACTATGGCTTCCTGGTCGCAGCAACGTAGCAGTCATTCTCTATTCAGTATTTTTTTGGTTTCTTTTCTGGCGCTTATGTCTCTTTGACGCCTGCTCTCATTGCCCAGCTGTCCCCCATACAGGAGATTGGAATTCGCACCGGGATCCTGTACTTTTTCGTGTCGATTGCTGTGCTTACTGGAAGTCCAATTGCTGGGGCATTCGTTTCTTTGGATAAGGGTAATTATGGAAATCTAGAGATATTCGCGGGTGCAACCATGTGTGCTGGTGCTGTTTTAGTCGTCTTGACGCGTGTCATGACGGCAGGATTTAAGTGGACGGTGTTGTAAATGCTCAGGTAGGTTCTCGATAAGCCTTTCTTGCTGTTATATTGGTATATGAATTAGAAATCTGGTGATTATATCTAGATAGACTGTATTAATCGGGAAATGACAGATTTCATATTATGTTTTGTTGGCCAAAAACTTGGAAGATGCCCAGGTAAATATGAGATGCAATCAGCCTTCTTCATCTTAAATTCGTCAAAAAATTTATGAAAAATCCAGCCTTGAAGATCGTAAACTATCCATGTAAATTTTGGACCTCGGGAATATTGAGTTTGAAGTGCTCTTCAGACAGTACCTAGGTAGACAGATCCCTTCATTTGAGGCATAATTATGAAGTGATATTTAGGCTTGGTCATCACGCCAGCTTTTTTAGAGTTATCGCATTAGATCTCCTGGCTTTGACCTGCAGCTGTACTCCCATTCCCCAAATCCACCTCCCTGTGTGATCTCCTGCGAGTAGCCGTTTGTAACCAAAGCGCTCCAATGGCATCAATCACATGAGCCGCTAAAACACTCTCTTACACCAGAGCTGTAGTAGTCGACCGCTACTGTGACGGTGCGGAATTTTGGCGTGCCAGGGGTGATCTAGGCACCGAAAGAGCGAATCATACAAAATTTGAACATAATTTCGATACCCCGAGATCCAGAAGGGGGACTTCAGTGTTAGGAAAGTACAAATATTTAAAGACTCGCAGCTGTCCCATTTCAGCAGTGAAGTACACTTCCATCGCCATGATTCCCCTCAGCCCAGACGGAACATTCCTTTTTGAGATACTCCACATCCTAGCCCTTGCACGCTACAATGGTGCAGACACTGGTGAGGTTCTTGAAGCTGCCGACCACATCAAACCAGGAAATATGGAAAGTTTCCTCGATGCCTTCGCTGAGCTCGCTTGGCGCGTTCTAACGTAAGCCAAAGGAATCGATATGAAAGTCCACCCCATCTCCGCACGAGATGCCTATTTCCGTGCTTCATCATATTTCCGCGCCACCGACTTCTTCATCCATGGAAACCCCACCGATCCTCAAATCGATAGCCTTTGGGCTCAACAGACTCTCGCTTTTGACAAGACCATAGCGCTCTTACCTATCCCCGGAGAGCGAATTGTTCTCCAGGCGGATGGATTCAACGTCCATGCCATTTTCTTCCGCGCTAAGAACGACTGTGCCGGGCCCAGATCCACTCTTATCCTCGGAAATGGATTTGACGGCGCACAAGAGGAGATGCTGCATGTTGCTGGCTTTGCCGCTCTAGAGAGAGGCCACAATGTGATTGTATACAAAGGGCCTTGACAACCAACAGTCTGTCGAGAGCAAGGCAGAGGGTTCATCGGCGACTGGGAGAAAGTCGTGACTCCCGTCATTGAATACTTGATTCAGCAACCGGAAACTGACGCCGCGCGTATCGGCTTGCTAGGCTACTTACTGGGCGGATATCTAGCGGCCCGGGCAGCGGTATTCAAGCACCGTTTAGCGGCTGTCATAGCTATTGATAGGATCTAGGATGTTTATGAGTCACTTGGGGAAACCCTTTTGCCAGCTGACAGGATATCATTATTTGCAGCTGGTAATACAAGCGAATTAAATGCTCAGATCGATGAGTTCCGTTCTCAAGTAGATATACGCACGACGCTCCGTTGGGTGATTGACCAAGGATTATGGGCTTTCAATGTGGAATATGTGAATTTGTGGGTGATGCGGCGGATGACCATTTTTTCAAAGGGCAACCGGGTTTGGTGAAAAGGAATATTGGGGAGAAGGCGACTCTTGCCAGTATGGCTGCCGTGGAGGGGGCGGGTCATCACTGTCACGTTAGGGCAGGTGTGATTATGAATCAACGGCTGCTGGATTGGTTTAATGAGGTTGTTTCATAAAACTTCAGCTTTCAAAGATTGCCTAGTTTTTGTATGAATACCCAGCTGATGTCCTAACTACTGTTTTCATCAGGAATGTTATGTAAAATACTAGATTGCTATCGGCATTTAAAAATCAATCATGACACGTAGCGCAATCGTACCATGGAATAGAAAAATTGTAGCAACTGAGCATTGTGTCTTATTATATTTTCCATCTCATTTTACATCCCCATAATCTGTAGAAAAGACATGAAATTCCCTGTCCCTCGGACTCAACTGGACGAGCTGGAATCCAGGTGCGTGGTTTATGGCGATGGGTAGACGTGGATGCGACTGCAGGCTGTTGCAGTGCTGGATGCGGATTTTCTAATGGGGATATATGCGGCTGTTCAGTTATGAAGTCAAAAAGAGATTGATCAGAGAAGTGTGCAGAGTTATCTTGCATTGAAGATTCTCGTGCAATGAGATACGATGATTGGAGAGCCTGGAAGGAAATGTAGGCTGGGTGACTGAGATCTATCATCTCTAGAAATTGCGCCAGGTTTCGAGTCATAAAAGTCTCAAGTTCTTCATGGCCTGGTGCTAGTGGAGCTGCTTCGGTACCATCATGAATGGTAGTTTCTGAGATGAAATCAAATGTTTCTTGCAGTATGTGACCGTGCATTTCCACATTAGCTGCTGATATTCCAACAGATGAGAATAAAGGCTGAAGAAGTGAAAGCTGTGAGAGCGATCTAGTAAGCTATATTGACTTGTTACGTGGTAGTTCCTGCGTGTACAATGCAGGCTTGTATCATGCAAAAAAGGGAACGAGAAATCCACTCACCAATTCAAAGCACGAGGACCAATAACATTGAAGTTGCCGGAGCAAAAGCAGGCTAGATAATGCCCGTTTTCTAAGTAAAGCTAACATAGATGCACTTGCTTCGGGGAGAATTTCTGTGGGCTCATAAACCAGATTTAAGCAAGCTAAATGGATCGAAGCTGTGAGAAAGGCGCAGTATGCCACGAAAGGTGGGTTGGACGAAACATTAGAAGGCGTGAGAGAGATGAAACCAGTTATAAAATCTGTTAATGATTTCAAGTGACACACTGCGATTCGTGCGCAAAGCTGGATATATTCAGGAGAGGCGGAGGTATTTTGGCGTAGAAACATAAACATAGCAAGATGAGGCAGGACCCGGCACTGGTGGTAGACTGCCTGAAGAGATAGTAGCAGCTCTGGTGCATCAGGAAAGTTATTGGGTCGACTTCTATTAAAAGTGCGATGTGTAATGGGAAATGACAAGTAACAGGAAGTAGTTTTACTGTCCAGCGCAAATAGATCCACCCACCGCGCCGCAGGATCAGCTTTAGGTGCAAGGCTGTGAATAAACCTAAGGTTTCGAATGAAGCATCTAGTCTCATACCTAATGATTCACGTTTAGGTAGGTTGATTAAGTAGGGCTACACTGAAGAAATACATACCACAGACCCAAAATCTTTAATAGTGCCCTTTGACTTGGTGTTGTTTTGTCTCTAATGAGATTGAGAACACGCTGTGTGTGTTATCATAACCTAGAGGAAGTAGGCTCTCGGATGTAGTCGTAATATCAGAGATGTCAATATCCTGATTTAAGTCCGCAAAACTGTCATCAAGTACAAAGCACCGACAGATCAAGTCGGCCCAAATGTAGGGCCATCGTAAGCTGCGTGACTGAGCCTTCGATAATTGTGAACTCTGTAGTTGTAGGACTCGTGCAGCATGGATAACCATATCTGCAATTGATTTAGCGTGGTCAAGTATAGTCACTAGGTTCAAGACTCACTTGCGCTGGCCTGGGACTTTTCTTTCCAGCCAATGCCAAACCAATATGTGGTGAGATTAGAGAGAGTTCGAACAGTATCAGCCGAAGGAGCATGTAACTGCATAGAAACAAGATGAATAGCATTGTTTGCCCAATCTTGGCCGTGAAAGCGGGCATTTGGAGAAACACCTGATATGCTATCGAGTTGACGACATTTGATAGGTGTCCGTGCGTGACCTAGAAATAAAGATGACAATGCAAAAATGGAATGCAAAACGCTAGTGCATAATTGACCTTGCTGATAGAGACTTCTAGTATGCTCTTGCTGAAAAATGATGGCTGATGGGATGAACTGGGAGAAAAACACAGCTAACAAGACGAGCCCTGTCGTTTGCGAGGATAGTTGAGTGTCCGGCGAGAGCAAGGTCAAAAGGCTCGATGGGCCCACTGCTGGCGTAGATTGAAATATGGGCGTAGTACTATGATCAGTACTATGATCATATCTGGGAGTGGCCAAAGCGCGGACTTCTCTTTTTTTCCTCTGAAGATACGAACACTCGGTGCCTAAGTATTTACCTTGAATTTTCGACACCGCTGACATGATAGACTCGAAATATCCATAATGAGGGGCTAGAGGGAGAATGTGGACGGAGGATGAGAAGTTCTCATTGCATTGATCACCAGGTCCGCGTCAGTTCTTAGTTAGCTTACATTAGTCATCTGCCATAACTAAATAGAAGTGCTCCTACTTATTAAATAATGCTTGACTACCTAAGGTTCTTAAGTAGTGCTATTAACAAGCAGGATCGGATATCTGTACTAGAATAATTCTCCTAGGAACACGTAGCCATGAGTCACTCAAGGTTCTTTACCCATTCACATCCACAACATCTCGCATTTAATTCTAATTTCTACACACTGCAAAATCCTCGACTCACAAGATTCTGATTCCTGAATATAATTTGAGATAAGTTTCTATTGCCCCTGCAGCAACTTTAGGTGAGTACTACCGTTCTGTGGGTCTATTGAACTCAAGCTGATTGACCAGCATATCGCAATTATGCCAGTCTTAGTTGGTGATAGTGATCACCATATCTAAACAAGAAACATGATATCTATAGATGTAAACCGAGTTGATGAAACCTTCGGATCTGCTCTACCAGAGGGACATGCTATTCAATTCTGGAGTACCATGAAGTATCTGAAGGCCGCGGTCTCTGAAATCCATACCTCTCTTGCGGCGGGAACCTGGCGAAATCAATGGCTTATTGTTCACCGACTACCGGCCAGAATAATCAAATGTCTTGAAGAAGAAGAGAATTGCCTTGGAGGTATTCCTTTTCGTGTCCAATGGGAAGACAAGACGGTATCATCAAAGTCGTTGATCAACCTCATGAATATTATCACAAGGGCCACATCAGCTGCCATTCAACATAGCATGGGCGGCTTTTATCAACAACCTGGTAACTGGCTAGGTGCGGCACGGTACTATGCTGCTGGCCAAACAGCCGGTGGCAAAGAAGCCGATGACATATTTGTGCCTTTAACTCGAATCACACCTATTATGTCTGCTGCTAGTGCGGGGTGGCCCACATTTGTGATGGAAGTAGGGTATTCGGAGGGCCTGAGTCAACTCCGAGCAGATGGCCAAAAATTGTTCCGTGACTCGCTAGGCGAGGTTCGGTTGGTGTTGCTGATTCTTATCAAGCCAAACCTCCGTCGCCTGGAGTTCGAGGTTTGGCAGCTCGCTCCGGCAAATGCCCCCGCCCTCTCACACGCCAGTATATCAGCGCATTGAAGGCGACGAAACAGCGCCCTCCGATGGGGCAGCAGCTCGCTAATCAGCAATCATTCTGTATGCAGAATGTCGAAGTCGACACCGCACAGAACGGTATAAACTGTGTTCAAGGAGGTCCTTTGCGTCTGGATTGTCAAGCACTTCTCGATGATCTGAACCCTCCCACTCCTAATTAATTTCTTGGAAATATGTTCTTCGATCGCGTCGCCCGAGATTTTTGGACTTGATCCCGGGTTCTCTTTTTTCATTCTTCTTCGATAATTTGCTGGTCTTTTTCATCAATTTAGCTCTGGCTACATATTCCCCTTAAATTACCCTGCCGCCTCTTACTTTTTTCTTTAGCTCCTACTACATTTTCCTCTCTATTTACTCGGTGGCCTTTTACTTTTTTCTAACAGCTCTACCGATATATTACTTCACATGTTTTCAAACAATTCATCTTGTCGGTGTAATCCGGCGATCGCTTCTTTGTACTGAGAAATGGGTTCCGGTTTTACTGCAGTAAAGGGTGTGGAGTTTACTGCAGTAAACAAAGACTGGTGAGCTCCAACTAACTGCTACTCAACGCCGTAAACAATCCATCTGTTTTGATAGTGGGTTCCTACTAGTTGAATATTATAGTTATTGTGAAGTATGAGTTTCTATTGATGATGAGGACTGGCTACTTATAGATATAATTGCTCCTCTGTTGAAGATGAATGCGTTGCATTCTTTCGAGAAAGAAGAGTCGGTAAGGAAGGGACATCACCGTTGTTAATGAAAAGCCTTCAAGGGTATCGTTTGCGATGCATAATGCACTCCGGACATAGGTGTTGTAATGCACTTAATACAGGGTATCTTGTCCACTACTACAACATGGACATTAAACAGCCTCAAGGGAAAACCTAGGTAGTTAACTTCATCAGCATTAACTCAACCTGAGCAGTATCAATTCCACCATTAGCATCAGCTCTAGAATAAATACTAATGATGAATTTAGCGTCAGCTAGATAATTCTACTATACCAAATCAGGAAAGATCCCAAGGTTGATTTATCTTAGGTTGACTATGCGGAAATATCTCAATTTTCTTCTAAAAATGCCACGCACAATCATGGCGACTTCGTCATCCGAGTTGTACAATATGGTTTTCGGAATATAATAGTACTTAAGCACACTTATTAACGTTATAAATCTGCCCAGGTTATCTACCTACCCCACTTACCACTTCTTTTACATGCACTCTATTTTATACCCGTTTTCAGTCAACTTCACCTCAGATTCTAAGGTTATAAGAAGAAATATATCAAGTGAATTGAGTGAATAAGAAAGGAGTGAACGGATGCCGGATACTATGGCCTGACAACGGGTATCACTCTGAAGCTCGCTCCGTACGGTAAGAAAATTAATCTCGCCATACCACTGACTGAGTACAAGGAAAAACGCATTCAAAAGTACTAGCTGAGATATATATATATATATATATATATATAAGAGATAGTCTCTTCGCCCTTGAGTCTTGTTTCTACATCAAAAAACAAGAGCAAATACTTTGAAACGCAGGATAACTGGTGAATAGGTAGAGCGGAGAATGAACTTGGATACAGTCATAAAATAGGAGAGGATTTCATCAAACCTTGTATTTTCCTTAATGGGAAAGGAATGAACTATTGGGTTGCATAAAGCAAGCTACTCCTCATCCTTGGACTTCTTCTTGTGCTTCTTTCCAGGTTGTTGGGGTAGTCCTACCGCCTTCTGGTGCACGATCAATCGGGTCCAGCACTCTTCTTTGTCCCACTCGAAACCAGCGAGGTAGGGGTTCTCCAACTCGTCATCAGCCTAGTCCGAGTTCCGAGTTAGTGTTTGATAATACGTGAACAGCGTTGATGAAAGGGTGGTATTACCTTCTTTTTGAACTGTTTGTAGATTGCATCTAGTGCGTCCTTTATTGTAACTCCCTTGGAATTCCGCGCAGTCACTTCCAGACCTAGAGGGAAGTGCAAGTCAATCTTCTTGACAGGGGGGTCGATGAGTTTTAGCTTGAGGATATCCTTGTCCTCAATGGAGTTTGGAGAGGTGTTCAGTTTCCTATTAAGTTTAGAAACATGCGAAGTTTCAGCAACTTTGGAATGGGATTAGCCTACCACCCCGTTTTTTGTGACTCAATGGGTAGGGTGATCTCGATCTTGTGCTCCTCTAGTAATGTTTGATGAGGACATGAATATGAGCAGGATGCAAAGTATGCTTACCCAGATCTTTCATAGTAGTGACGCCATCCTCATGATGAGACCCGACACGCTTGTGCGACTTCTTGACTTCCTTGTGCTTGGTTTCAGGGGCTTTCTCATCTGATATGGTTAAGCCAGCGATGGCTGAATCGACCTTGGTGAGAGGTACAGTATCTGCAGACATGATTTGGGATTGAATTGAATTGGATTGTGATTGTGTGATGGATGAAGGAAGAGAAAGAGAAAGAGAAAAGACAAGGAGAAGAAGAAGTAGAAGGAAGAGGGGAAGAGCAGGTGACCTGATGACTGTTTGGGAATAACCTTGGAAGGCGGGGAAAGTCATGGATGTCATGTTGCGGATACATGAATATACATAGAGTATTTTACTTGCGCTACTTTTGCCTTTTTTTGAAACACTATTACTTTTCATTATTCAGATTGAAACCCGGGAAATAAAATGAATAATAACTGATATACTCAATCTTGACAATCCATTGTTTCTCACGGCAACCTCGGATAACACTCGTAATTGGCATCAGTGGATCCACCACAAATATAGATATCTGCACCCCGCATTCTCTACTTCTACTCCACTTGTACTTTATTTGAGCTTCATCTCTATTAATATTCCACTAGTGAGGGACATCTAGACAGAACAGATATTCACAAGATCCTCGTAGTTGATTGAATAATATCCCGACCATTTTATTCTTTCTCTAGATATCTCAGACCAAGTACATAAGTAAGTACCTTCGTTATGAAACCAGACGATCACCTGATGTCATCGTACGTATTCCCGTCAATCGGCCCACTAGAACTTCAACTATCACTGAACATGCCATCTGCAATCTATGTGATCCGAGCCTAGAGCATCCCACCTCCATCACACGCCTAACATTGTCCAGCCTTCATCTATAACCCCTGACCACCTTGCATCTTCGATAATGGAACTGAGCATGTTTCACTCGTGCTTGAATAAATAGTAACACAATACTTACTGAGAGAGGTTGCACCAACTACCCCCGAGGCTTCTACTTAATACCTAGGTAACCTTGAAAGTCATCTCCCCTTTCAAGGGTTTCTTCTCATAGTAAGTACTTTTGTACCTCGCGGGATCTGGCTCCAAGTCTTGCTGATAACAATGCAGGTCGGAATGAAACTGTCATTCCATAAGCTCTGACATGAAAGGAGTGCTGAGATCTTTATTTGGTTACTCCTGGGATGTCAATCTGAAGCATATTATTCTTGTCCATCTGGACTATATCGATTCTGTTCTCTTGAAGGTACAACTAGATTGGATTGGATTTGACTCAGAGAATGATTATTATACACTGGGTGATTACCCTTTATCCATTCCTTTGAATGTGGATGACTTCAATGAAGTCGAACTCGATGAGATTAACCATGGTCCCTTCGAAGATGCTGCAATATTCTACAAAGCCTTATTGAAGATGCTATTTGCATATTATCCAATTGAAACGTCAATATCCCCTCCATACTGGCTTATCAGTCCCTTGATGTTGTGACAGTTGAACCTGAGGGTCACTTGCAAGGATGAAGCTTGGATTAACCATGGAATCTTTCGTTTTGTTGTCTTTAGAGTCATCTAACTTTAGGCTTGATAGCGTTCAGGATATTAATAATAAGTCTGAATGTGCTTTCCTTATAACTTTGGAAAGATGAGGTTCGTAATTCTGTACATACCCTAGTCCACAGTTGTAGACTACGTCTGGAATAACACATACCTATCTGTATGCCAATGTAGATGACAGTTAATATTACCTAAAGTTACGTAAGGGCCATCCATGCTAATCAAAATCGCAATAATTTCCTTACGAGGTTTAATATTACTATTTCAAAAATACCACTTTGAAATATTGAATTATCGAGAAGCAGAGGTCTTTATGTGCCTCGGGCTTTGTTTCTGTCCATGAATATAAATACACCTGACCATCTGGGGCCGAGCTATCATCTTCTCTTTCAGTTTCAATAAGCCATAAATATTTTCTGTTCCCAGATATCCCATTATTTCTATTGCTCCATACCTTTTGGAACCACTCTACATCATCGAAGGAAAAGTCTCTAGCACCTGGGCAGTACTAATAGCTCCAGTATCGTCTTTCCCTCAGCTTCTCTACTATCAACTACCTGGACGTGTCTCATTGTTTTGTGCACACATTTAAACATCCTGTATCAAAGGAGTCGAACATTGAATCCTGTTTGTGATAATTTATTATAATCTTTATTTACTACTACTAGCATCTACTTATCTCAGTTTCAATTAGTCATTACTGTATATGCATGTCCACTTATCTTCCCCTCGATTTATACTTCACTTTCCTGGAAGGCGGTGAGACTCGTTTTTCTGCCCGAAGTCGCGCATCCAAATCAACTCCATCGACAACTTTTTGCAGCTGCTTCTTAAGCTGCGTACCCCGACATTTCTTCTCTCTCTCTCTTTAGGTGACCTTTCTTATTACCAGCAGTAAACGTCCATATTCCACTACCTTCCTTGAGCGATCCTCTTCTTAAGACTTTGCCTTTCTTCACACGAAAGAGCTCTTTCGCCCTTTGCGATGTCTTCCCTTTTCGGTAGTGCCGCAACTTCTTCGGCGGCCGCGACCCAGACCACTGGCGACATCTCCAAGGATGTCCCACTTAACCAACCCCCGGAAGATGGCATCTCCGACATGCGATTCTCACCTGCTAGTGAGCATTTGGCTGTCGCATCATGGGATAAGAAAGTTCGAATTTACGAAATCAACGAGCAAGGTCAGAGCGAAGGCAAAGCTCTGTTCGAGCACGAAGCTCCAGTCCTGAGCTGCTGCTGGTCTCCTGTAAGCCAAACCGTTTCCCTCTCTATACCTCAAAGGGTGTCTCATGCTAACGTGTCTCGTGCATTTAGGATGGAACTAAGGTCATTGGAGCCGGAGCCGATAAAGCTGCCCGCATGCTCGATCTTGGCTCAGGCCAGACTACTGCCGTCCAGGTCGCTGTTCACGATGCTCCCATCCGAAGTTGCCACATGATAACCAACCCCACTGCCGGAGGTTCACCTCTTCTCGTTACAGGCTCTTGGGACAAGACAGTCAAATACTGGGATTTGCGCCAATCCACCCCAATCGCCTCGCTAGATTGCCAGGAGCGCGTCTATACCATGGATGTCAAGAACAAGCTCCTGGTCATCGGTACCGCTGACCGCTACATCAACATCGTCAACCTCGACGACCCTACCAAATTTTACAAGACCATTCAATCACCTCTCAAGTGGCAGACGCGGGTAGTCAGCTGCTTCGCCGATGCATCCGGATTCGCCGTTGGCAGTATCGAGGGTCGCTGTGCTATTCAATACGTCGAGGAAAAGGACTCCGCCTCAAACTTCTCTTTCAAGTGCCATCGTGAGACCCCGCCCACAAGCCGTGACATCTGCAACATCTACTCCGTCAACGCTATCTCATTCCACCCTGTCCACGGCACATTCAGCACCGCCGGTAGTGATGGCACCTTCCACTTCTGGGATAAGGACGCTAAGCACCGTCTGAAGGGTTATCCAGTTGTTGGCGGACCCATTTCAAGCACTGCCTTTAATCGCAACGGAAATATCTTTGCTTATGCTGTCAGTTACGACTGGAGCAAGGGCTACTCAGCCAATGCTACCACCTCCACCAATAAGGTTATGCTTCACCCTGTCGGACCTGATGAGACCAAGCCCCGACCTAACACCCGAAAGCGGTGATTAGGGAGAAAAGTGGGAGAAATATGGGAGCTTTACATTTATTTTATTTTAGCTGCTTCCTCGGTGCAGCGACTGGCGCTATGAGCATTTTTTTTAATGAAACTTATCATATCGGCGTGTTCTTGAAACAGAAAACAAATCAATTTCAAAATCTACACTTGTCACAGAACCTCTGGGATCAATATTCTTACTACACTAAACTTGAATTTAGTCTTGACTTGAGCTAGGCGGAGAAGGGAGTAAACTGTTCTCAGTATTATGCTGATTTCCATTCCGAGAGACGGAGTACAAGTTCTAACAATAGCATAAATGCAACTATTTCATCACTCCGAAATAAAAGACCTATTCTCGTAGATATTCATGTCTAGCCTTCCAACCCAGAATCGCAGGGGAATTAATCTTGAGTCCTTTCAATTATATTCCATACTCATTTAATCTATTTTGCCGATTTACGAAGTAGGAAGAGTGACCTGTGACACACCGTCGGCGATCTTATCAACCGCTTCAGCTGTAGACTCCGCGCCGTCCTTGGCAGTGGCCTCGACACCACTGGCCTTCTTCTCCTTCTTCTCCTTCTTCTTGAGCTTAGCAGCAGCCTTCTTTGCGGCAACTGCAGCGGCCTCATCTGCCTTCTTCTTTCTCTCGGCCTGCGAGCCACCGAAGAGCTCGCGCCACTCGTCAGCCTTCTTAGGGTCAATGCGGGTGAACAAATACTGGGGTTTGCCGATCTTGTGGCCGCCCTTCAGGCTGACGGGTTTCCACCCGTCCTTGAGGTCGTCGAGGTTAGGGATGATAAGGGCAGGAGCGTTCAGTTGCTCGAGGATTGCCTTAGAAGTGGCAGGCATGTAGGGGAAGAAGACGGCGGCGAGGAGGTGGATCTGGTTCAGAACGTTACCGACGACAGCTGCAGCGCGCTCGGGGTCGTTGACAATCAGAGCGTTATCCAGGCGGTTGGCCTGGATCAAACCGTTACCAGCCTCGACGATACGCATGGCAGTTGACACGGCAGCACGGAGGTGCACTGACTCCATCTCTGTGACGTATGTACGGAGATGAGTAGTAACCTCTTCCAGGAAGGGGTTAAAATCCTCTGGGGTTGTGAACTCGGGGATGGTGGAGTCGTAAGAAGCAGCGACGAGCTTGATGACTCGGTTGACGAGGTTGCCCAGCTTTGCCAGAAGCTCGCTGTTGTTGCTATCCACGAACGAGCGCCACTCAAACTGGGTGTCACCAGTCTCGGGACGGTTCTTCAGCAGGTAGTAACGCCATACATCCGCGGGAACGCCGGTCTCCTTGGCGTTGTTACCAAAAACACCGATTCCGCGCGACTTGCTGAACTTGCCGCTTTCGTATTGCAGATACTCTGTAGCGCTGAGATGGTGGTTCATGGTCCACTTTTCGCCAGTACCGATTTGTGAGGCAGGGAAGATGACGCTGTGGAAGGGCACGTTGTCCTTACCCAGGAACTGGTACAGCTTCACTTCCTCTGGGTTGCGCCACCAGAGTTCCCAGTCGTCAGTGTAGTTGGCGGTGATAGAGGGGTAACCGATACAAGCCTCGAACCACACGTAGAGCACCTTGTTCTCGTAACCCTCCAGAGGAACGGGAACACCCCACTTGAGATCACGGGTGATACCACGCTCTTTCAAGCCCTCCTTCAACCAAGCCTCGGTGATGACACGCGAGTTCTTGGGCCAATCGCCCTTCTCAATTGCCTCCTTTGCCCACTTCTCCACTTCTGGCTGGAGCTTGTCCAGAAGAAGGTGGATGTGTTTTGTCTCACGGCGAACCGGGGTTGCGCCATCAAGCTTGCAGCGGGGGTTGATCAAGTCGAATGGATCAAGCAAGTGGCCGCATTTATCGCACTGATCTCCACGTGCATCATCGTAGTTGCATCGTGGGCACTCACCCTCGACGTAACGGTCAGCCAGGAAAGAACCGTGCTGCTCGCAGAAGGGCTGCTCAGCAGTGCGCTCGCCAAGGAAGCCATTTTCGTGCAACCGCGTGAACATGGCCTGTGAGATCTTGGTGTGCTGCTCAGTTGGGGTTCGGCCGAAGTGGTCAAATCCAATATTGAACCATTCGTACACCTCCTGATGAATTTTGTTGTACTTGGCGCAAAGCTCCTCTGGTGTGACCTTCTCTTCCAATGCCTTAGTCTCTGTTGCGGTTCCATACTCATCTGTTCCGCAGACAAATAGTGTTGATCGACCAGAAGCCTTGTGGAATCTGATTTCATCTGTATATAAGCTTCTGATTTATGCATAATCCATAGTGGGGGATTTGAGTCATACCGCGAGAACACATCGGCACTCAGCACGGAGCCGACGATATTGCCCAGATGAGGGACATTGTTCACATAGGGCAGTGCGCTGGTAATGAGAATATTGCGCTCGCCCTTCTTGGGCAAGATTTTGGTTGACATTGTGGTTTGGATGAGACGGTAGAAGGAAGCGGGAAAATGGAAAAGCGGGCTATAAACTTATCGCTCCGATTCCGCCCCGCATATCAAAAATTCCCTTTGTCACCTTCAGACCCGATAACGTCCGTTGCAGCTGTATTTGAAATTATTGTATTTCACTTCAGATATGGAATCAAATATCTTGGATAGGCTCCTTGATCTTGAGGAGCAGTTCTATCAGGAAGGCTATGAACTTGGCGTTGCTGATGGCACCGAAGCCGGCTATACAGAGGGAAGTGTTTTCGCTGTCGAGCAAGGCTTCGAGAAGTTCGTTGAGATAGGGCGTCTCTATGGCAAGGCTCTAGTCTGGGCCCAACGTCTAGCAGATTCCAAGTCCTCTGAGACAGTGGAACAGCCATTGGCCCAGGCAGGCAACTCGGACCTGTCTCTCGATCCATCAATATGTAACGGAATGCCTCGTCTCTCTGCGCATAGTGCACGCTTGACAAAAAACCTTGCCACCTTGATGGAGCTGGTGGACCCAGCTTCTATGGACATGTCCAACACTGAAGATGCCGTGAATGATATCGATGAGCGTCTGAAGGGTGCTGCGGTCAAAGCCAAGCTTGTCCAAAGAGCTATGGGCGAAAGCGAGGAGTCATTGGGAGCATTATCGCTTGCTAAAGATGTGTCCAAATCAGGAGATGGCACTGGCAGCATTGAAGATATCAGCTCTTTAAGCATCCGTCACTGAAGCTCTCTCTAAATACAGTCCTATTGAATGTCTATCAGCGATAGGAGCACATGATCGATCTCGGTGCCTATCAAGATCCCCCTACGAATCTGGCTCATAGCAGCACCGCTGTCTTTGAGAAAACGCCGATTCCCTTATCTGCCTTGATTCCGAGACTGGCTATGCAGTTGCCTTTGGCTTGTCCTCCCGCTCAGCTCTTGCACTTCTCCCTTGATCGCAAGTTGTCTTTTAAAGCAAACTTGGTCAGCCAACCTTGGTCCCAGATCTCAGTCAAGGGCTAATGGGACCAAGGCAAAAATGTTTTAAGTATTATGGCCTGTCAATCAGCCAATGAAAGAAGACTTAAATTCTTGATCTGTAAGATTGATTGTTTACAACGGGAACTTGATGGCCCCTTTAAAAGGAATCTACATGTTCAAGTCTATATCTATTTGGTGTACGTTTGCGGTATAAGTCACTGATTACCATCTATGCGTTGCGAGAGCCGATACCATATCCTTATACCAAGATTTCATGAAAAGTTCTTAATCAACAAAGTAACCATAAATTTTGTTTTGTTTCCCTCGTGGCATACCCATAATTACTCCAAGCCCCGAACAGCCATGGCCATGGCTCCCTCACGGGTCCGGTGGCCACCAATGAATCCACTGGCGTGCACGAAAACAGCTCCCTCGGGAATCTTGGCCTGGCCGTTCTTCTCGGCTTCAGAGGCAATCATAGCATCCAAGTCCTGATCACGGACTCCGCGCCAGGCCTCGGGCAGGGGTTTCCGGGATACAAAGCTAGACTCGGTCTCAGAAACGCACTGCACGCGCCACTTGGAGTCCTCTGCGCCGCTCTCGGGGTACAGAACATAATAAACCTGCGCAGCGGGGTCTCCCTTGGCTGTTGAGGCATCTTTCTCAAAGTTGTACAGATGTTCCTTCCAGGGCACGCCACCCTCGGGCAGCACAAGGATACGACCAGAGGGGTGAGCCTCGGTACGCGACTTGTATGCAGCACCAACGGTGGCACGGGCAGGCAGCCACCTGGTACTGGCGCTGTGTAGTTTGCGAGCAAACACGTTTCCAATCAGAGTGCTAGCCCGGCCGAACAGGCTATCCTCATCCTGGGGCTCACCAGGAGGGCTGGTGGGGTCTGGGTTGTTCATGTCGTTCACAATGGAGGCAAGAGTAACACCGCCATCCTTGAAGCGCTTCTCTACGCTGGCAGCGGCCAAAGCGGCAGAGTCGTAGGCGGAGATACCATTGTCGTTGGCATCAATGGCCTCGATGAAGTCGGTGTAGAGCTTCTCGTACAGCAGATCAACGTTGGCATGGTCCTCGGGCACGGACAGGTTCTGTGCAATGATGGAACGGCCAAAGTGCATGTACACTAGGCCTGCAGATGAGAGCTTGGTGTTGTGCTGAGGGAAGGTGGTGGAAAAAGTCCGCTGGTGGTGATCGTAGCGGTTGATAGCAGCGTCGTACACACCACCAACGTCAACCACAGTGTGGCATGTCTCAAGCTGAGTGGGATCACGAGTCCGAACTAGAGGAGAAGAAGAATAGGCGGGCAAAAGACGGAGAAGGTAGACTGCGAGAGCCTCATCGGCATGGAAATGACCACTTGATACTGTTGTCAGATGCCCATAGCTGGTAGATGCTAGAGGTTAGATATAGCTTACTTGTGGGTGCCAATCAAGGGCGATGATGTCTTGAGCTTCTTTGCAGCAGTTTCAGCCATTTTGAACCAGTTATTATTAAATCGAAGCATTCAAGGAAGATCCAATGATAGAGATTATGATTTGCATGACTTCTTATCTCATATTACCATATCGGGTAATTAGGGCTTGATAGGGGGGTTATAATAGGTCAGGTGACGGCAAAGCTCAGTAAGCTTGATTACTGCTTTGAGAAAGCGGGACACTATAAAGTACCAAATACATATTTCACTATGGACCATCTCATGTTTAGTAAAGTACTATCTACATCAGGCCAAGGTTTCCTAACCATGGAAAGGTCAGCTCTTACGGCGTTATCGACTTGCATGAACGACTCTCTCCTATTCCTGCTTTCTCTGCAGAGATGACCATAAATCACTTATCTCAAGATATAGAACTTGTATAGTAAACCAAATGATCTCATAAGTCACTAGTTTTTCCACTTTCCAGATCGGTGCTTTGACCGCCAGTCTTTCTCTTCCTAGCACGACACCAACACTGGTAGAACATGGGGTATTAGAAAATACTTCATTGAAATTACGAAAAAAGTATCCCCTTTTTACTTCCCTTTCTTCATACTTGGGTATTTGCCTATCATCAGCACTCTTTTTTCCACTCCTACATTCCTCATCTCTCTTTACTTCCCTTGGTTTCTTAAGCCCACGTGAGACAAGATAAGCTCGAAAAGACCAAAAAGACCGAAAAGACCAAAAAAAAAAAAAGCTTAAGTCCCCCGTCTTCTTCATCCTCTCTTCTCTTTATTCATCTCTCTACGCGGACTCGGCGCGCCCCACGTGCTTACTTCTTCCGATGTGGCTCTTCCGAGTCTTCTCGTCGGCCATATTCCTTACTGTCACGGTCTCCTCCATCCCTCTAGCATTTGATGTTGGTGGGAAGACTTGTGGTCTGGCCTTTTCACTCTCCTTGTCCGCCTTCTATTTCCTCTTTTCGCTACTTCAACTATGCACTCCAGATCGCTCTTGGTTTCGCTCATCTCTCGTTGCCACCGTTCGCGCCACACAATGGGTCATCATCCCTATTCTATTGATCTGGTCCCTGAATCGGTTCTCCGTTGATGGTGATAACAGCGGCGGTTGGGTGGAGCGCACCTTTAGTCGAAAGCGCGCGCAAGATGGCTTTATTCAGGAATGGCTATTTGGTCGTGAGGGCCTGGTAGAAACTATGAGCCTGGGTAGCTGGGATCGACTGCTAAGGTGGTCGACTCCTATCTTCCAACTGGTGGAGGGCTTTTGCAGCTTGCTGGTCATTCAGGCAGCCGGACAGATCACTCGGTGGCTTGTGAATCGAGGTGGCCGCAGTGACAGCTGGATGGTAAGTTTTGGACGAATATCTGCGCAACGCGACGCAAAAACCAGCTGACTCAGGCAACAGATCGGTCTCCTGGTGCTCTCAGCTACAGTAATCTCCAGCTCCGTTTACTTCCTCTGGCGCGTTCTACAATTTCCCGAAATCTCCAACGTGGATGCAGCTCTGATCGGTGTCTCTATCACTTGTGCCGTTATTCTGTGCGCCTGGGGTATTGGCAGTGGTCGTGGAAATCCAGTGGAGAGCTCTCTGCTCTTTGCCTATGTTGTACTATGCATATATCAGATCTTCACCGACTACCAGCCTTCATACCCGATAGAGTATACACCCTCTCCGCCTTCTCAAGTTGGGGATTTCCCTCCACTTCCGCCCATTATCATGGCATCGTACACCACTCTGATGCACGCATTTACTCAACTACCCTCAATTATCCACGCTGCATTTAACGTTATAACAGCTGTCTTTAGTGCGGTCACCCCATCCGTTTTGATTTCACTCGCCTATCGGTTGCTTGTACTGTACGCTTCAACACGCATTATTCCTGCTGTGCGTGAATCTGGGGCGCGAGCCCTCTCCCAGGAAGCATCTCTGGAAGATTCTGATGGAGTCGGTCGCCTGCTGGGATTCCTGAGCTACTTCTCTCCCTCGGTTCTCATCGCAGTCTACACTAGTCTGTTGATGCAGCATTTCTCATCCACTTTACAAGCGGTAGGAAGCAACGAGGAGTGGTGGAGCAGTCAAGACATTGGTGGTGGTAACCTTTGGCGCTGGATCAATGTTGCATGCACCATGGGCCTGTATGCGGTGGAGTTGTGGCTGGGTGAAAATGACGACCTAGACAACGGACTAGCCGGTCACTGGAAGACTGACTGAGTCAGTGTACCGAGGGAGAGTGATAGACGATTGCAGTCTAATTTGGCCCCACATAACGCCTCTAGGAGCTCAAATGCACCAGTCATTTTCCTCTATATGGTACAGCTTCGATACAATCCCAGCAGTGCAAGGTAGCCGCCATAACATGCTATCTAGCCGGGAAGTGAATCCTCCGAGATATCAATACGACACGATGAACAATGAGTCGATATTCTGGAATTGCTTCTCTGGAATACATCTGATACCATGTGTCAAGTCTCCTTTGCATCTGCAATGCATGGCGATATACGCCAACATCAACCCTCCATTTTCTGTTGGGCCCTAAAGCTTTTCCCGTGTCCATGGATACTGCTATATCTCCATGGAATTATCTTTCTACTCCATTGTCTTACGATATGCCGATCTCGACGACCCATTGTTTCTCTTTTTTCTCATGACTCTCATGATTTCAAATGCTTTTCCCTCGCTGTCTTTTACTTTATCTCAGATCCATGTACTGCCAATTATACCCTTTTTGCCTGGTTCTTCCGGCCTTGTTTGTCCTGTTGCCTCTGGATCATGCGAACCCCTTAACTTTACATGCGCTAGATCAATTCCATCGAGATATTGTGACATTATCTTCTACCTTTAGATGTCAATATAAATTAGATAAATCAGTACTCAGTATGCTAGGTAGGAAGGTCATGAAATTGAAGTTTGGAGATGCATATTCATTAATGTCAAGAATTTCCTTACGAGATAAAAGACTGGAAGATCGCACGAACTAACATATGAACAGGTTGAAAGGAGAGAACAGAAGAGATGTCTTGAATGTGTGCCTGATGGAAAACCCATAAACTGGGAAATAAAAACCCAGGACTTAATACAAGTCCAGGCGTTTACCGACCCTTTTTTTGGTGCCTTTCGAGTCCTTTCAGTCATTTTTCGGTCTTTTTTTTGGTCCCCTCCTTTCTATTGGAATAGATTCTCATTTCTTTCCACGCTTCAGTTATCTTGCCCTGACCTGCAGAGCACCTCAATCTCATCAAGAATCATTCCCATAGCGCCAGGCTTTTGAACACGAAGGAAAAGCAGCAATCCGAACCCAAAGTAAATGCAAATGGCAGATGTATCACTCAAATAGCAGAGTAAGGTATCACTGGGGGATGGGTACACCCTCTCGAGCAGCGGGAGGAGAGACACTGGGATCCTTGGGCTCGTTGTTCTCTTGTCCGGCAGAGCCTTCGCTGATGCTAGTGCTGCGGTGCAGGAAGCTGCCCTCCTTGGGGCTGCGGTTCTGGAGGCCCATGGAGCCTGGGTGACCACTGATGCTGCCGGTAACCTGTTGTCCTTGTGTGCTGATGCTTCCGTTGGTAGCTGTGGCTGGACTGGCACCAGGAGAGGTCGCGGTCAGGTGGGGAATGTTCTCCGGGACTGGGTGGCGTGAGCCGATGTTGGTGACACCCACGTCCGAAGCCTTGCCAGCCTTGCTCAGAGCATAATCGCCAGAATCGAAGTATTTGCGCTCCTAGTAAGATTGAAAGATGTTAGAACTGGGGAAGATTACGAGGAATTCACTGAGGGGGTATATCAGGGTACTGTGAGATCCAGATCGGACTTACTCGAAGCTTGTTCTGCAGCAGATCTTTCTTTGTTGGCATCTTGCCATACATGCGAAGGAGACGCTGCTCATCCGGGCTCAAGGACTAGAGAGAGGGGTCAGTGCTGTCAGTAATAAATTAGGTGTTAGTTCTATTTACTCACGCTGACGTCAACTTTGTTTTGTTGATGGGGATTCATGGTGACTATGTGAATGTTTGGAATATGGAGAGTTGTAAAGGTGAAGAAGGTGGGAAGTTGGGAAAAGAAGAAGGTGAAGGTGAAGGTGGTGGAGTTGTTAGAATTGGGTACAAAGTTGGGGCTTCCATCGATAACTGTTTTAATCTTCTAATGTGCGGGGCTGCTTCACTTTTCTATATAGTTGGAAATAATCATAGAGATGATACTAAATAAACAAATAATAGATAACATACTACGCCATTGTTTATGTCGCTATTCTATATTTTCTCCTCTGTCTACATCTATCTTGTACGTCATCAAGGAGTGGCGATGTGAAGTCGAACAACAAACAGAAAGAAAAAAATAAATTCATGCTACAGAATTTAGTAGATCAGTATTTTTCATTACCTAGGTAGACTAAGGCCATATCTTCAATTCATACTGAGGTAAATGTTGGTTATTTGAATACGTTGTTCATCCAAGCCAAAATCCAACTTTTTCTTTCCCGCTTTTTGCCCACACAACACCCACTACAACCACCATGAGTGATCAGAAGCATCAACCGACCTTTGTGGTCGAGCACTTGGATCCTGAACTTGGCCCTTGGTCTGCCCTAGAATATGCCTGTATCGCTCGGGAATCCCATGCCCGTGGTGCTCGCTTTCTGCTCAGTTCCGTGCCTGCTGAGTTACAGATGCCCACTGACCTTGCTGCTACTAAGGGCCTTGAGGTAGAGCAGCGTGGTGTTGAGGAGATCTTTGCTGATCGCAAGGAGAGAGTATGTCTCTTGGACCCATCAGCTGCAGTGGAGTTGAGTCCAGACGATGGCGATACCTTCGACGTCTTCTTGTTCGGAGGCATTCTCGGTATGAGATACAACCATACTTCAATGATCTAACTATAGGAATTATACAATGGCTGACTTTGAAATTGGTATAGGTGATGATCCACCCAGAGGTACATACTCTCGAGCGACTTGATCAATTCATATAGAAAACTTACTTTTATAGATCGCACGTCCGAACTGCGCAAAAAGGGCTATGTTGGTCGACGACTCGGACCCAAGCAAATGACAACCGATACAGCTGTGCGAGTGACACGCATTGTTGTGCATGAGAGAGGTACTGTATTCCATATATCCCCAATTGATTGAGTTTTCACTCGGGTGCTAATAGCTTTTACAGTGCCATTGGAGAAGATCTCCTATGTCGACTACCCAGAGATTCTTGTTAGTGAACATGAGCGCACTGAAATGCCCTTCCGCTATGTGACAGATGCTAGCGGTGAGCCGATCATGCCTGCGGTGAGTTTCAAGTACCCACTGAATCAGGAAAATAATACTTATGCGGCACAGGGAATGGTGGAACTGATCAAGAAGGATGCCGACAAGGGTGTCGGTGATCTTTTCTGATTCTCCCATAGAATAGTTCTTTTCATCTCCTTTGTCTAATCAGGATTACATAAAATGAATATTAAAAAGTCGGAGGCTGAGACTGAATCAGGGGCTCAATAAATAAGTAACTAGTATCTATAGATCTACTAAAAGAGTAGGTAATGGAAAAAGGAGTCTGTTTGGTCATGGTTTTTATAGTTACGGTTATTACGTATAATACATTTATTTCTCCATATTGGATATCCGTAAATAATACGAAACTGTATTAATATCAATACGTGACAGAACGTCACAGCTTCAGGCCACGCCAGCTAGTCCGCTAGTTCCGATATTCTTTGATCCTTTGATTGATTCCTCTAGTCCGTCCTTACCCACCTTATCAAAGTTCACTTTCTTTTCTTGCAGTAGCTTGCACAATCAGCTTGACAACGCTCTTTATCTATGACTGTGCCAAGAAACACTAAACTATATAAAGCTAGATGAGGAAATAGCTACTCCGAATATCATACCACGAGCATGGGTATCGGTACTTAGAATTCAGGATACATCAAAGAAATCTGTCTACGCCATATCCTTCTTCCTGATCAATTGTAGATTTTGCAGCAGACTAAATCAAAGGGCAACTCATGTGTTTTAGAATAGAAATCAAGAAATAAATTGAAAAAGTGGAACTGTATTCTACTGTATCCAGTGGCAAAAATGCACCTGGATTGATAGGCTCAAATCCTATGTCCAGTGTCGGACGTAGTTGTATTGATATTATCGATGCAAAAGTAGAGAGTTTTCAAGCTCATTTTCGACATTCAGGCTTGAAGGTCGATAACATCCTAGGCATGTCCTGTCCTAGATGTCCTAGATGTAAATGATTCTAAGAGGGTTATTCAGGGCTAGCCATATTTGTACTAGCGTTTCTTGGCACAATTGTTCGAACAAAGACAAAGTGTTCCAAGTGCCAGGCTGATTGTGTAAGCTACTGTAGCGACTATTTGGACCTTCTGATCTGTGAACCCCTAGATTCTCATTTTTTTAATACCCGGATTCGATGAGCTCTTAAATAACACATTATCCAAGGTCCCCGGCCTTACTTACACCTTGGCTCGCGCACTTCCTCTTTGCTTAATCCTATGGTTCCTACAATAGGTACCACGTCATTCCAGGTCCCCGGGTTTACACCTTGGCTCGCGCACTTCCTCTTCATTTAATCCTATTGTCCTACAATAGGTTCCTTTTAACACATATCCAATGCCCTTCGCTCGCTCGAAGGGGGCTGGCGCTTTAGCCATGCTGTCCTGGTCGCTTTCCCTGCTCCTGGGACCCACGCTTGCGGTTGCTGCCTCGGCCTCGGACTACTATGTCCACTCACTTCCCGGGGCGCCTGACGGCCCTCTCTTGAAGATGCATGCTGGGTGAGTCTAGATATATCCCTCCAGGGAAGCAGGGAGACGGGCTAACGCGAGTCAATGCACAGTCATATCGAAGTCAACCCCGAAAGTAACGGCAACCTATTCTTCTGGCATTTCCAGAACCGGCACATCGCAAACAGACAGCGCACAGTCATTTGGTTGAATGGTGGCCCGGGATGTAGTTCAATGGACGGTGCGCTCATGGAGGTTGGTCCTTACCGTCTTAAAGATGACCATACGCTGGAGTACAATCCGGGCTCATGGGATGAATTCGCCAATCTACTCTTTGTCGATCAGCCTGTGGGTACTGGATTCAGCTACGCGAATACTGACAGCTACCTCCATGAGTTGAATGAGATGTCAGCCCATTTCATGATCTTCTTGGAGAAATTCTTCGAGACCTTCCCCGAGTATGAACGAGACGATGTAAGTCCTCCCCAAATCTCATATAAATACTTATTTCAGAAGGGTCTGACTAACTTTGCTCGGTAGATTTACTTGGCAGGTGAATCCTACGCTGGTCAACATATCCCTTATATCGCCAAGGCCATCCAGGAGCGCAATCGGGCGGCGGAGAAGAACGGCACAACACAATGGCCAGTGAAGGGTCTGCTCATCGGTAACGGGTGGATTTCGCCCGCAGAACAGTACCCGTCATACTTCGAATACGCGCAAAGGGAGAACCTGATTCAGCAAGGAACGGAGACCTACAAGGCTGTCGAAGCCATGAACACAGTGTGCTTATCCAAACTGGAAACGGGCGAGAACAAGAACAAGTTGAGCCTTGACGAGTGTGAGGCGGTCTTGCAGAATATGCTGGCTCTTACCCGCGACGAAAAAACATGCTACAATATGTATGATGTGCGCCTGACAGATGAGTATCCGTCATGTGGCATGAACTGGCCTCCAGACCTTGTGAATGTGGAGCCCTATCTTCAGCGTGCGGATGTAGTGAAGGCCTTGAACATTAACCCAGCAAAGAGGACCGGCTGGCAGGAATGCAGCGGCCTTGTGAGCAATGTATTCAAGGCAGCCCACTCCGTTCCCGCAAAGCAGTTTCTTCCCGACTTAATTGAATCAGGAATCAACGTCCTGCTATTCAGCGGTGATAAGGATCTGATCTGCAATCATATCGGAACTGAGACTCTGATCCATAACATGCAATGGAAAGGCGGTGTCGGCTTCGAGACCTCGCCGGGTGTTTGGGCGCCCCGCCACGATTGGACCTTTGAGGGTAAACCAGCCGGTCTATATCAATACGCCCGCAACCTGACCTATGTTCTCTTCTATAATGCCAGTCACATGGTTCCCTTCGACCAGCCCCGCCAAACTCGTGACATGCTCGACCGCTTTATGAAGGTCGACATCGCCAGTATCGGTGGAAAGCCCACAGACTCCCGTATCGACGGTGAGAAATTGCCGCAGACTTCTGTCGGCGGTCAATCGAACAGTACCGCCGCTCAGGAGCAAGAGCAACAGAGAATCAAAGAGTCAGAGATGCACGCCTATGCCAAATCAGGCGAAGCCATCCTGGTTGTGGTCATTATCGGTGTCACAGTCTGGGGCTTCTTCATCTGGCGTAGCCGCCGTTCTCACAAGGGCTACCGGGGTGTGAAACGTGCAGAGATGAATGGTGGATCGGTGCTGAACCAATTCCAAAATAAGCGTACCACGAACGATGTGGAGGCCGGTGACTTTGACGAGTCTGAGCTGGATCAACTCCAATCCCCTATCGATCGGGATCATTATGCTGTTGGTGATGTGAGTGATGATGACACGGTCTCTGATTCGCATCCTCATCTGGCAAATGGCCACCGTGACTTGTCATAATTAGGAGCACTGAGTTGAGCCCTGGAGGCCTTTTGTCTTTTATTCCCCCCGTTGTGTTTCCATTGTTGACGTTGTACAAAGTTGAGGCGTGTTCGTCCGAATTTTTGATAGAATAAAATATATCAGACTCTTATGTGGCTGAATGATTACAAGCGAATTTCAACTATGATTTACTGAAATGCATGAACCCATGTCGGAAACTATTTCGGAAACCCCTGGAGATTTGCAACTGTCTATATGGGCAGTTGAGTATATTATATATGCACAGTTTTAATATCACTCTAACTGCAATGCCCACACCTTCACCGTACCATCATCTGCTGTCGTTACCAAGACCTCTTCGTCCTCTGTAGATCCGCGATCTGCCCGTTTCGCCCAAGCAACATGATTCATCTCATAGATATCATGTGCACCATCATATACCGCAAGAATGGTCCACTCTGTTTGGAGGTGTTTCTCAGGAGAATGAGAGTCTGTGTCCATAGCATCTGAATCAATGACAGACGCAGACGAAGATGTCACAAATCGTTCCTGATAGAGAACAATACGCCCATCGGCACCGACTGACGCAACAAGGCCAGTCTTTCGGCTCCATGACACGGCATATATAGCCAATTCGTGAGCATGTGGCAACACTGCATCCTCGACCCATGTCTCGTCTGTCCCTGTCGGTCGAATGATACTCGGGATTCCGGTCGTCGCTGAAGAAAGTTCCCCAGATTGCATGCTTTCATTGGGTAGGCGTCGCCAAACACGTACTGTCCGGTCATCCGAGCAGGAGATCAATCGTGGCCCGGAAAGAGCCTGTTGCTCACGCCACTGATTCTGCAGTGATGTCGAATCATCATTTTCGGATACGCACTTCGGAACATTCTGTGGACCTTCCCACTCAATATACCACACTGTTCCTTCATGCTTCTTGATACACGCTACCTGGCCCCAGTCGTCCAGATCCTCCCGCCATAATCGAATTGTATCGTCGTAGCCACCGCTCGCAAGACACTCCTCCACAGGATGCCACGCCACACACTTTACATCACCGCCATGTTCCTGCATCACAGCCACAGTCTCGAAATTGTTGTCGCCATCGTCGAGGTCCTCCCAGATCCAAATTGATTTGTCTCGGGCACATGTGGCCAATAACATGCCAGACGGTGACCATGATACAGACTTGACCTCGCTATCATGTCCATCTAGTAGCACTGCAAATCGCCATTCTTCTTCTTCATCACTAGTCTTGGCCTCATCCTGTGCGTCTTCTTCTCCATTTTCGCTCCGTCCATAGCTATCCCATCGCCGCCAGATCCCGACCGTTGCGTCGAAACTGCCGGTTGCTAGAACACTTTCTCCTTTAACGTGCGGCTTCCAAGCGCAAGTTCGTACGCTACGCTTATGTCCGCCTGTAATTGTCGAGAGGAGCTTGAAGTTTGTGAGGGAGTAGATTCGCACCGTTTTGTCGGAGCTACAGGTGGCCACAATTGGGAGGGTTGGGTGGGGGGCAGTGAGCCAGGTTCGTTCCTGGGAGGAAGGTGTCAAGTCAGAGAGGAGAGTGAGGTGTGGTTGGGCCATGGTTGGTGCTTTGCAAGGCTGTTGAGGGGTTATAGAGGGGAATTTTTAGGTGAGATAAGCTCCACTTATCTGATTGTATCACGTGATAGATATCAGAATGAGGCTCTGATCTACGCCCCACTTATTGAAGGAAGAATGGCGGTCAATTTTCGGCACGGTGACCCATAATCTCCTCATTTCTACTGCCTATTTGCGTTCTAATTGTTCAAATATGTGGCATCTATGTTTCTATAACTTAGAGTAATGCTTTTACTAAGTCGGTAATACATGCAAGTTATGATGGAAATAGTATTTAACAAATTCAGAAAGGAAATATGACCAAAGAAAAACCAAGTCCTAAAAGAGACTTGATTCTGCATTCGGCGGCTATTGTCTTGTAGGTCAGCATAAAAAGATATTATTGTGATGTCTAATATCGGGAGTCGTGCGCTTGATGTCGACACTTCTTGAGGAAATTTTGGGACATTTTGATGCCCCTAGAGTGAAATTCAAATGGAATTAGCCTAAATCGTACTGAGCAAAGTCTAGAATTTTGGTCCTTATCTCAGTAGGTTTTATTGCATGGACAGGGATCAATGTCATAAATTCATAATGATGAATTGGAGTATGTACTATAGAATTTAACTATTAAATAAGTCTCGGTTCCTGAAGAAGGATGAAACTTTGAAGCGTAAAGTAGAGTAGATTGGGGGTTGGCTTTATTTATTCATGCAATATTGAATATCCTTCCGAGGTTTCCAACGAATTTCTCCTTCAGCTCATTACCTATGCATATATAGATATAGCTCTGGAGAGTTCTCAAGGCGTCCTGGGTTATGTAGTACTTGCATGAAAGGCGGGGTTGGATACTGACATTAGGCGGTGACATATAAAAGTCGGCAGAATCCTTTACTGCTCGAGGGTTGACAACTCCACGCGGCTGAGAATGGACATGAGGCAGGGGTTCAACTGCTATTCGAATGGAATGCAAACATTGAGGCTCTAAGAAGTTTATGCCTAGGGCTCTAGATAGGTGGTCACTGGTCAGTCGACCTAAGCTGGCCAGCTGTTATTATGGCTGAATTGCTCGCTACACATTACCAAACAAAATCAGCCTTGCTTATGCTAAATATGAGAGCTGTTCATTTTTCTCCTCTGACTATACTATATTTGGAATAGACTCGTGGCCAATGGGGAGATGGAATGCCCACAACTACCCCATGTACGTGGCTGTGCAAAAGAGCTAAACTGCACTCCGTAACTCGTTTACTCTCACATTTTTAGTTCTTTTTCCCGTTTAAATGAAATCACTGGCAAGCCCTTAATTTTTACCAGTGCTCTGAAGTTCTATTAACATCTGACTAAAAGGGCTAGTATAAAGATGCTAGTTATCCGTTATCAGATGGCCAGGTGTGGGGAGTTCTTGAATAGTAATATCTACCTAATTATAAGTAGAATAAAGGTGGGTGAAGTTAGGGCCCAGTTCCCACTTTCTCTACTTTCTTTCCAGACCGCCTTGTGCACGTGAAGTAATCTTCGTACTCCATCCGTAGCCCATCTTTGATTCCTCTGATGATGGAGCTTTGCTAGCACGAGCGCAAAGCCTTTTCTCAAATATTTCATACTCTACGAATGTCATCCCGCTATCATTTCGTCTCATCTCTATACCTCTGCCGTATATCCTAGCCGCTCTCCCAACTCATTAGATCACTGCTCGCGCTTACTTTCCAACACCCACAAATATCTCACTATTCTCTTCTATTTAAACCAGATATTTGCTGGCGGATATTGGTTTTTTCTTTCTTTTTTCTTTTTTTTTCCCTGGCGTGATGGCGACTCATAACCCTAACCAGGGTGCAGGCGCTTCCCCCGCGGATATGAGAAATGGCAGCGTTAGCCCGTCACCCCACGCTCCACAGTACCACGACCCAACTGCAGGTCTGGGCTTGGATCCATCGGTATCTGCTACGTTTGAGGTCAAAAACACTTTTGAACACCATAACTCTGCCCTTGGGGTCGACTCGTACGGCTACCCAACTGCCTACCTCTCTAGCGCCCCACCAACGCAGAGCCTCGCCCCTCCGTCCGATCAACCTTTCCCCCAAATGATCAATTCTGGCAATCTCCCAATCTCCCAGTCATTTGAAACGGGTCTAGCCAATCAACTAGACCATGGATCATCGGCTCTGAGACCACCGCACCCGAATGAAAGTTTCCCGCTCCTCAATACCAATCCTGGCGATATGGATTTCTCCGCCTATCACAACCACAGTCCCAAGAGTGCTTCTGCGTCGGACTATACCCCGTCGCTCATTCTAGATCCTCAAATGCACCATCATCAGTCAATACACCAAGCTGTCAATCCGGCTGATCTCGTCAGCCCCATCTCCAATCCATCGTCGGACCAGCAGCAATCCTCACCAGGCCCCATGTCTCCTCCCGGGTCTATACCAGGCACATACTACACGCCTAGACACTCGCGAAATACCTCGTTGGACCCATCTACTGTGGCCTATTTGAGTGCGCAACCAAATTCAGACTGGCAATCCGTCATGAGCCACCCCGCTTTCCATGGCCACCGCAGGGCACCCTCGGAGGTCTCTGAGGTATCATCCGCAAATCACTCCCCATTTCTTTCTCAGCGCGAATATGATGGAATTGAGAACAATGCTTCGCCCTTACTGGCCCCGCAGAATGACCCTTCTCTGTACGATAACACCTTCGGCTTCGATCATTTCACGCTGCAAGAGCAGCAACAACAACAGCAACAGTCTTTCAGCCCACTTCACAGCCCATATATTTCTCCGCGATTAATGCCGCAGCAAGGTTCTGAGTTGATGTCGAATGCGCCGTATTCCTTAGGCAATGGCACCTCTCCGTTCCCTACAGCAGATATGTATGGAATGCCTGAGGATGATATGATGAATTCCGCGATGAATAATGGCCTACCAGATATTGGACAAGCATCACAAATGGCACCTCCGTCAATTAATGTGGAGTTTGCGCCACCGTCGCGAGTTCCGAGTTTCCCGCCATCCAAGCCTGGTTCAGATCTGGACTCGTTGAGTCCCCCCGCCATGAGTAAGTTCACAAGCTTCTTTCTGATTTTGTTCCTAAAATGCTGACTTTTCCAGGGTCTCGTATGCGCAGCAAATCCGATCCTTATGCGCATCCAGCCTCTCGATCGCGATCCCCTGCCACTTCCTCTACCAACAACCTTGAAGCTCTGGCTCCAATATTGGCCCGATCACTATCTCACTCCCGCAGCAACCCTGGCTCACGAGACACATCCCCCGCGCGGTCTAACCGACGTCTTTCTACATCCTCAATCGAAAGTCGAAACTACATCTTGGACTTGGCCGATCCCCAGCGCCCTGGCGCGCTACCTGGAGACTCGAAACGTGTTCAAAAGCACCCTGCCACCTTCCAATGCACACTCTGCCCGAAGCGATTCACCCGTGCCTACAACTTGCGCTCCCATCTTCGAACGCATACTGACGAACGACCCTTCGTGTGCACTTTCTGCGGCAAGGCCTTTGCGCGTCAGCATGACCGAAAACGACATGAAGGGCTTCATTCAGGTGAGAAGAAGTTCGTCTGTCGGGGGGACTTGTCCAGGGGAGGCCAATGGGGCTGTGGTCGTCGATTTGCGCGTGCAGATGCACTAGGCAGGCATTTCCGGTCCGAAGCAGGCCGGGTCTGTATCAAGCCGCTACTTGAAGAAGAGTCTCAAGAACGCGAGAGAATCCACCTAGATCAGCAGCCACACCAGCAGCAACAACATCAACCATCTGGGCACCTGCAACCAATATCACAACAACTTGTTATGCCAGGTGTCACAGGAATAGACGGCCAGTCGACAGGCAACTTTGTATTGCCAGCGGCTTTGCTTGCACAATATCCTGCTCTCCAAACGCTTCAGTGGGACCAGATTCCTGCTGCTGATGATCAAAATGACATTGGAGGCCGGAATAGTTTTGATGCTAGTTCTGGTGGCGAATTTTTCGACGATGACGAGTCTAGCATGAACGGTTATAATAGTAATCAAGGTGCCATGTACGGCGTCAATGACCCTGGTCAAATGATGGGAGTCAACCCCAGTGATTCAGGATACTAACAACGGAGTGGTTGATACAAAGGGATTTCCTCTGATAAGGTCAACCGACAAATCTCTTGTCAGTTGTTTTCAGTTGTCTTCATATGGGTCCGCTCTACATTGATCACAAAGCACTCTCAAAATAACTTCCCAGCAGGGCTTGAACAGAGCCAACTTTCCGACCTCAAATTCCAAATTACTGGACCAACCCATCAATTGATTTGGTTGATTTGGCTCTGAGCAGTCGACAGTTGAGCTATATACCCTAGCTCAACGTCTGCTCAATTACTACCGTGAACGAAGTATCCCTGCAATGTAAATATCGAACTGGCCCCAGGGAAAAGAGCAGCCATATTGTCTTGCTTGTTTACTTATTTTTTGCTCTTTCAGGCTGAAAGCCAACATAGAAAAAAGGTGTCTGGCGTTCAAAGATGTTTCTAACGATCCATCCTGAGGGGCTTCTCATTCTCATTCTGATTTTGATATTTGATCGTGAGCTAATGATTTCATTGTTTCGATACACTCAGATGTAATTTTTTACCTTTTGATCTGCTTTTTTGGTATTATTCTATCTTTCTCATGAAAGAGTTTCACTGTGATGCATTTGATGACCTCTTTTTGCCATACCCCGAGTTTTGTCCTTTATGAATTACCTATATACCTCTCAGCCTGTGTATCTTACAACCTTGGAAGCCGTCGACAATAATGCCGATTGGCTTAGATAATTCAATGTGAGACTCAACATCATTTCTCAATTATTTCTAAAGTCATATTTTACAAAGTTATATACAACATTGAAGATTCAGGCTAGCAACGTCAGATGCTACAATGCAAAATCATACGTAGTTTATTGGGGATAGAAGCTCGGCGTATAAGCTAAACACCAAAACACCTCGTTCATCTCACAAAGATCACAATAAATTCTATCTGGGAATTATAAGGGGAGATATACCAATCTAATAAGTAGCCGAAACTAACTTCTGCAACTGAGCCAACCACTTACGCGAGAACTCCTCCTCCGTGAATCTGAGAGCCGATCTACGAGCCCGCTGGCGCATAGCTACCTTCTCAGCCTCAGGAAGAGCAAGCGCCGCCTCATACGCAGCGGCGAATTGCTCCTCCGTCTCAGCGTGGAATCCAGTCGCGCCATCGCCGAGGTCGATGACGATGTCTTCGCGGGGACCACCTGAGTCGTGTGTAACGCAGATCAGACCCGCTGCTTGGTATTCCACGACGCAGATGCCAAAGTGCTCGTTCCACATCGCGTTCACGCCGACTGAGGCTGTGCCGAGGTGGGATAGAACGGTTGGCCAGCTAGCGTCGCAGATGAAGGTTATTTGATCGCGGATGTGGAGCTCGTGGGCTAGGAGGCGGAGGTTGTAGATGTGGGTTTCGTCTGGACTGGCGTGGCGGACGGAACCGATGAGTATGAGCTTTGGATTTGGGGAGTTTTCAGAGGCTGGGTTCTTGGCTCGTTCTTGTAGGAAGCGGGCGAATGAGCGTAGGACCAATGGGTGGTTCTTTTCAGGGCGGAACTGGGCAATGTAGAGGATGACTGGTTGCCGATTTATTTCACTCTCTGCATCCACTTGGATAGTGGATTGGAGTTCCGACACGGCGGTTGGTGGGAATACTACTGCCGGTGACGAAGGTGTGCCCTCTTCAGTGGCGTTTTTGCTCTTGCCTGTGCCCCATAGAGACCTAATATGGGCTGCTGTCCAGGAAGAATTGCACACCACTACGTCGACTTGGCGACCGACCCAGCCGTAGAGCTTGGCAAAGAGTTGCCAGTATCGTCGCTTGAGAGTACCCTTTAACCCCTTCCCGGCACCGGAGTTGATACCTTGCACTCCGGTCTGATCGTCGAGAGAAGCGAGCATGTCGGTAGAGATGGTCGGGTAGTGAACGTAGGCACCAGTTGGTACGGTGGGGAAGAGCCACTTGCACAGTGCCAAGGTAAATGCGTACCCCATTGTATCAATGAAGACATCCGGGACTAAGAGCGTAAAGGCATCATATGCGACTACCAAAGATCCCAGAGACTGGCCTAGCAGCGTCATTTGCGGGTATGAGCTGGCAACAACGTATTTCCGCGTGGTCAAGTAGAGTAGGACAACAGTCGGGGAATGTAGGTGAATGTTGAAGCGGGTTTTGACGTTCTCCAACATAGTGGCCTTATTGGCTTCATGGTCGCCGGTGTAGATGGCGCAAATCGCTTTCGGCCAGCGCCTTTGTGTCGCACGCACTGCCTCCCAGAGTACTCGTTCTCCACCTCCGCCGGCATTACTATGAAACCAAGTTAGAATTGACTCCACGGCAGCGAATATGAAGACGGTACCAAAACGGGTGGAAGAACCCAATGATTCCATCCCAGTCATCTGATTTCAGATCCCCTTTCTTTGAACTTGCCCCACTATCACTGCTGCTCGCAGTCCTGACTCCAGCATAGCCATCGATCTTCTCCCAGTCCTCATCGTCCGCTTGACTTCTGGCCAGGGAATTTGTTGAAGGCTTTGTTTGCGGGGGATTCACTTCCTCTTCCTCAAGTCTCGCTCGCGCGATCACATATTCGCGTCGAGATTTGGTTCTGCGACGGATCAGCCATCCCACGCTTCGAAATACCAGGCCGAGTACATTCCCGACAAGCTGTGGGAGTAGAACTACGGTCACGGTGACAATAAAGAGGACGAGGATGACGTTGGACAGGAATGCCATGGTCTCAGGTATCACGAAATATCGCAAACATACTACCTATGGCGAAAGTTGTAGGATGGAAAGTCAATAAATAATAGTTTTGGGGATCAGTTGACGTGTTATGCAAGACGGGTCACATGATGCAGTTTGTTACCCCGAATTTAGCCCGCATGAATGCGGGTTTTCAACTTTTTATTCAGGTATATACACTTTCTGCCACCCTCCAATGGGGATCGTATCCCTTTTAACAATGAATTCTCTCCGGTCATCAACCCCAAGGGCTATTTGCTCCTCTCGTCAAATGTGGCCGCGGGCGGCGCGTTTACAGCAAATCCGCAACTTCCATCCGACAAAACCCAGATTCCTCGTTAATGAAGTATTGGATGCCGCCACTGGCTTTCTCCATTCAGTACATGATTATAGCGGCCTTTCGTGGGCTGTTTCAATTCCACTCACAGCACTTCTCGTTCGAACAATTGTCGGACTCCCATTGCAAATCTATACACGAGTTCATACTCGGCGCGCCAGAGATCTTCAGCCGCTGTTGGCTGCCTACAAGGCGTGGGAAGTATTTGAATTGGCTGATACAAAAAGAACCCAACAACGGGATAAAAATGTTAAGGATACTATGAGGAGGATGCCAAGTCATTTGCGTGAGAAATGGAATGTGAAAACATTCGCTCCCGCCGTCAGTGTGTTACAGATACCCGTGTGGTTGGCGCTGATAGAAGGTCTGCGTGGAATGAGTGGAATGGGCTCAGGCTTATTTGCGACGCTCTTCTCTATATTCAAATCCCCGGAAGAGACGGCCGATGCTGTCAATACTCTCATCGAGCCTTCGTTTGCGTCTGAGGGTGCGCTCTGGTTTCCAGATCTGTTGGCAGGTGACCCAACAGGCGTTTTGCCATTGATCCTGTCGGCTTCGATGATACTGAATATTAAAACTGGCTGGTCTGCTCCGACGTGGCGCGAGATCGCCGATATGCCAAAACTCCAAATGTATCGCTCTTTTTTCCTCGGTGGCTTGCGACAGTTTTTGCAGGTCATAGCTGTTTATATTGGTTTTTCAGCATGGGCTTCCAGTATGCCAGTCGCTGTTATGCTTTACTGGATTACCAGTACAAATATCGCCACGGCACAGTCGTCCTTGCTGACCAAGTACTTGTACAAGAAGCCGCCCATCCCATCCTACGCACCGAAGTTTGCTGCCTTTACTAAAACTGGTGACCCTTGGCGTCTCAAAAACCACTGAGCATTTGGCGTGATTGTGATAGATGCATCCGGTTATTGCATTCGATATGCAGAACTTCATTATTCCATTAGTCGGGTCTCACGATTAAGGATTACCAAAGCGAGCGCAATTCCCATTTGGTGACAACTTGCTCCTCTTTTTTTCTTTGCTGGAATCTGGGGGCTTGCTGGGTCAAGGCAGCCAATAGGGGTTGACGGTGTGAAAGCACCTTTTTATATGTCACGGCAATGCTAGCTGTGTTCAAACTCCAACGACGCCAATCTCTGAAATCTCCAGATATCAGAGACGTGGATGTGAAGTGTGGACCAAAACTTCAATCTACACCTGTGTTTTAATATTGTACATTATTTCGGAATAGATCTGCCTACAGGAAGCTCGAATCATCCAATCATCCATCTGACATAAAACCTTGGAAGAGGATTTTAGCTGTTATCAGCTTTACATTTACTTAACTAGACCAAGAGTAATAAACTATTGTGTCATAAATTAAGCCACCTCTCCACTCACTAACTACAGTTGGCGGCTGAATTGTCGATCTTCCGCCTGGCCCCTCTCTCATTTCGCGCTCGGTTCTTGAACTTGAACTGATGCAATTGAAACACCCCATTTCTCTCAGATTTAGGATCTCTACCGATACCTGCTATACTAGCCACTAAAGGTTATTGTCATTTGTATCGAGTCAATCTGTCAAATGTTTGGCAATAGGTACAACTCCCGAGGTACATGGCAACATTTACTTCTTTACTAACTGTCTGATGGCACAGACCAAATGCGAAGAAGCCCGACGAGGGCCTCATCCAAAAATTCCAAGAGACCTTTTCAGATGTTGTCCGACCTATTACGAGATTTGATCCTCCAACGAGGTATATCATTTTTATACCCCACCCCGACGCCGACGACGACGTCCTTCTTCATAGTGACTAACCTGTCGCATCCTTATGCAGTCCTGCAAAAAATGCCTTACATCCAAGCTTTGCTTCAGTCGTGCAAGCCACCCCAGGCCTTCGCTTCACGCCATTTTTGGATGACTACTCGCTCGATATGCCAAATACTGCTCGAGCTCTCCATGACCTCGATTCATGTGGCTTCAATACGGTGTTCCATGGCCCGGCTGGTGATTTACACACGCCCAATTTAGGGTCGAGTCTGATAACTCCTAAAACACTTCTTGAACAATTTGCGGTCACACCTTTGCATATAAACAAGACTCCCCTTTCTTCTAGCTTGGATCCGCGATACATGAATGCGCGCCAGCCCCAAGGTATTATTTGGAATGATCAAGTTAATGCGTACCCATCCAGTTTATGTACGCACTCCCAATTTGCGGAGGGTATAGTCGAAGGATCTAGCGAACAGCTGCCTCAAGATGATTTTGTAAATCCAGAACAATTGCTCGCTGAGCTCGTCTCACCTAAAGAAAGTCATCCGGGGATTGAACAATTACCACATACTTCCACTGAGTAAATCTTCCACTAATTCTTGGATATCTTGAGTGAAATTCGAAGCTGACCGTTCTTTAGGTTTAGATATCAGGTGACTCTCAATACACCCACCGCGATGATCCAAGATCTGAAAGATGTGCCAGTGACCTATCTCAATAAAGGTCAAACATACGCTATAACTATCACTGACTTAAAGCCTCACCCATTAACCCAGGGAATAATCAAATATCGGACCTCGATCCGCGTCTCTTTCGAAGAGCGGGAACACGTATCAAAGCCTTCTGCTTATTGGGCTTTGTGGAAACAGAATCGGGGCCATGAAGCTCATCGAGAATTCGGCAATTTATATGCGGTCGAGTTTGTGGATCCAAAAGAAGATGAAGACCAACTCTACTCCATCGAGCTAGAAAAGGTTGACCTCGACGGATTCGTTGTTACATGGTACGCGGATGCAAGTACTGGAAGATTTGACTGCACTATGGGCGTCCGATTCCACTTCCTGTCAACGGATTTCAGCCACTCCAAGGGCGTGAAAGGGTCTCCTCTCCGTCTATGCGCCAAAACTGAGACTGAGGCTCCAGACACAGCCGAGCTGAGTTTTTGCAAAGTGAAACTATTCCGTGATCATGGGGCCGAGCGTAGAATGTTCAATGACGTTTCTCAGCTCAAGCGAGCAATTGAAAAGCGCAAGGCAGACTTTGACAAAGCCGAAAGTGGAAGTGACAGCCTTGGAAAACGGAAACGGGGTAGTATCTCGGCCGTTGATGAGAGCGAGAGAGATATTACAGGAAAATGGAAGGCTCAACTTCAAATCAGTCGGGATGCGGAACTGGCGAAGATGAAAAGCATCTTCTATTCTAATCATCCTGTGAGCCATTTCGGTCTTCCTGGGGAGGCGAAAGATGATCCGGATTTATTCCCGATTCATATGGTCGATGAGGTGCAACCGCCTATCAAAATTGACCAGCGAACTCTGCCAACTCCAAGCTTGACCTCAAAATCGACCAGTGTTTCGAGCAATCGGTCAGCTGGTTTGATGGAGCGCCAGCAAATTGGAAGCAGTGACTCGTCAGTTGGATCTGGTCATTCTGGGAGTCCCTCTGAGCACGCAACGACAGCACAAAGTAGCCCCGTTCCCGTTCCAGGGATGTCTTCCGAAAATGCCGAAAAGTCCGATGCACCGGGCGTGAATCACCTGCAAATACCATCGTCAAAATGTATATATATCCGTTTTCGACAGGACGATATACGCCTGGATGATTACCACACTGCGGTATATCTCCTAGAGCTGACAGTGCATGAGATGATTGTCAAAATCGCTCAGAAACGCCACTTCGATCGTGATCATGGCGTTAATCTGTTTTGGGTTAAATCAGACGGTATGAAGATACTCGTTGATGATGATGTGGTTCAGCGGATTCCAGATGGCCAGAACATGACTGCTGAAGTGCTTGAGCCCGGAGCTACCAATAGCGGTTTAGAACCTGCAGCCGTTGAGGTCAAATTGTACTTCTGAATTTACTTTCCACGTGAAACCTCAGCTTCATATTCCAAGATTGCCTCTCGCCACCATCGGGACAGTTTGATTTGCCTAAATGAGGGAGACACAAAAATCCCGAGACCGATAACATATCCAGGAGTATGATAATCTGATAAGAAAATTAAAGGTCAATATGTGTGTATGTAGGAGGGATGGGCTATAATTAACGATCGAAAATACAGTACAGCGTACCTTAACTAAGATTCTGATAATCTGATTGGCGGAAAGTAGACAAACAGCGATTATGGCAGTTTTGTATGTATGACGACGCAGAGTCGATCAAGTGGAGAAGATCGACAACTTCTCTACCACTAACAAGCGATTATTACCTAAAGTTCAGCGTTTAATGATAGAACTTGGAACCAGATAAAACGAAGCTTGGACTGTGCCGTCAATATCCACAAGTGGCAAGCCAAGCTTACTCAAGTCTAGATTGGTATTTGATGTGATACCTCGCATCTCGTTGATATCAGGTTATGGTGATGTATCCAACATCCTGTTCATTTCTGACATCATAGCTAGGTAGACAACTAACGCTCTTTGTATTGCACGATTTATTTAAGATAGGTATTCTTTAACTCATCCCCACATTCCACTTCTACCTACAGAGGGAGCTACAATCATGACTACTTTTGTAACAAGGCAAATAATGGGTACGACCATTGACACTACCGATCGGTATTCGAACTTGGAGTTACGGGGTGCTGGTTCATCGGGCGTAGTGTGGTATGGATAACCCAGCCATCGTATACTTCGAGTCTTTACTGATAGTCAGTCGGATTCTAGCTCGGCGCGAGACTCGATAACGCAGAAAAAAGTCGCCATAAAGAAAATAAGAATGCCCTTTGAAAATTCTCGTGTGGCTAAGCGAACCTATCGAGAATTGCATCTACTATGTCATATGCGACACGATAACGTGAGAATTGATCAGCTCCCAAGGTTGAAAATGGCTGCTAATACGTAGGTATTGACTAGTTGATCAATATGACTGATGTCTTTATCTCTCCATCAGAAGATCTGTATGAGAAACACTCCACTCACTGAATTTAAAGACATACTGACTGTAATGCAGTTATCTTGTCATGGACTGTATCAGTACAGACCTTCATTACCTTATTCAATTGAGAAAAAAGCCGTTGGAGGGTCAATTCGTCCTGTTCTTCACCTATCAAATACTGGTACTATCCACACGACTTGATGCGTCTATTTCATATCGCTAACGTACAAATCTAGCGAGGATTGAAATACATTCATTCAGCCGGAGTCATCCATCGCGATCTCAAACCCAGCAACATACTAATCAATGAAAATTGCGACGTGAAAATCTGCGATTTCGGATTAGCTCGAGGGAAAGAACAACAAATGACCGGCTATATCACAACGAGATACTATCGAGCGCCAGAGATCATGTTGACCTGGCAGAAATACTCCTATTCAATGGATATCTGGAGCGTTGGATGCATTCTGGCCGAGATGCTTACGAGAAAAGTTCTCTTCCCTGGCAAGGATCATGTCAACCAATTTGAACTGATTACTGAACTCTTGGGAAAGCCACCCAAGGAGGTCATGGAAAAGGTTTACAGCAAAGAGGTATGGATCAGACCTAGTCTAACAATTCACAATATGCTGACAGTATTTAGACATTGGAATTCGTTAAATCTTTACCGGAACCAAATAATCAGCTTAGTTCTCGTCTTGCTTCTCGTCTTGGAGATGTTGACCCTGAAGGTATGCTTTCCCTTTGTTTTGGCTCGGATTTTCCATATAATAACAGCCGGTAGCTATCAATCTCCTGGAGGAGATGCTCGATCTCGATCCACAAAAGAGAATCACAGCCGCAGACGCCCTATCACATGATTATGTGTCGATATACCACGATGCTGATGACGAACCTGTATTTGAGAAGCAGCTTGATTGGTCACTACTTGAGTCAGAGCTGTCAGCAGATGAGTGGAAGACCAACATGTATGTTCTCTCCTCTTCTCCAATGTTCATATCCCTGGATCTGAGCTAACGATTTCAAGGTACTTGGAAATCTTAGATTATCATCGTGGCGCCTGTGATTCAACAGATAAAGATTCCTTCGCCAAATTGAACATGAGTAGCTGGATTCAGAATGAAATGATGGTGGAGACGTACTAGCTACAGATTGACAGAAACAATTGTAACCTTATGTAAACTATCTCGAAATTATGGCTTTTCTATTCTGGAATGATAACAAGACTTGCTACAACTCCTTACGTATGAACTCTTTTCAGGCAGCACTTGATAACGATACAATAGTGGATACTTGCTATAGATCTAGTGGATCCCATATAGCGTTGGGAGTGTTTTATTGGTCAATTGAAAGTATTCACTACCCAATTGGGATAAGTGAATAGGAAGTCATTTGGAAGTACGCTAGTTGGGGGTATATGAAGGCCATCCACCTCTTCCTCCTTCTCCCTTACACAAACTCCCAAACACTCGAAAACACTCGCTACCCACCTTCTCCCACCTCGTCAACAGCACTCGCCAACGTCCATTACCTTCTACTTTCGTCATCAACACTCACTAATACTAACTGATTCTTGGCTTAACCCGACAAGTCTTGAGTCGACACTTGTGGGCATGGGATACTTTCCTTCGGGTGAAGCCAACATAGCAGGCCGATTTGATGTGCGACATCTTGACAGTTTTGAAAAACTGCATATCAGTCCTGGTGTATTAACTAATCTACCAGTGGGTGATTCCACTTGGGATGGTATATGCTACAATCCTTTGGGTGAAGCCGATACAGCCGGCCGATTTGATGTGCGACATCCTGAGAGTTTTTAAAAACAGCCTATCAGTCCATGTGCATGAGACCAATGCATCAAGTGGGATATCTATACTGAGCGATGAAAGTCTGCAAATCAGTCACTCGATTTCCCGTTGGAATTGGTCTTAACACATGTCACACTGAGCGTGCTCGGTGGATGGCTGCAAATCGCTTCAGTTTGCTTTATCACCAAGACCATTCCTTTGAGTTGGAATAGCCTTCAGTGCTTTTGCCCCATAACAATGCCCCAGGCAGCCTCTGACTTCGCATGCCGGCTTCTCTAGGTTTGGCCGCAATTTGAGAGGTACATTTTTCTACTCATAGTTAGTCTTGAACTGTTATTAGTCATGAGAATAGTTCATTAGTTAACTTACATTTGTATTCTGCTTGAGAATTTCAAGACATTAAAATCGAAGTATTCGATACAGCATTAATTATTGCCAGGTGATGGGCAGTTGCAAGATGGCCAATTAACCAGTGACCTACTTGCCAGGCTATTCTAAGGCTGCTAACAACACTTTGTCCCGCAAAGCCACTCCCAGCTATAGATTTATCCCCGATGATACAAATTGAAACAGGGAAACATGTACTTTCAACGCTACGGGACATCCAGCTCTAGCGATTCCAATCTGGTTTGTGCCAACTGAGGAAGATGAAGATATTCCTCTGCCTTTCAGTATGCAGATTGTGGGAGGTGGTATAGGGAACTGGATATTTCACGATCTGCCTATGCGAGTGAACAACCATTTACCAGCGTGTCCATACTTAGACCCATATATAGACAGGAAACCGGGAGTTTCGATTGGGATACAGGGATAGAAGTGAAAGTTATTCAAACTCTTCATTCGTATTGTACACTATTGCACACTATTGTAGTAGCTAATTTACATTTGAGTTACATCATAGCCTCTTATCTCTGACGCTCCTCCAACAACTTTTCCATCTCTCCCTCAACAGCAACTGCGTAAAGGAGCCCGCAATCATGCTTATAACTGATCATATGGAGAACCTCCATCTGAGTCCGAAATGGCATTCTAATCAAGGATTTCACGTACTCCCACGCTGGCGTAGGATCCTCCCAGTTGCCCCGATCCACGCCATTCAAGTGAATAAATTGCCTGATCTCCTCGAGTCCTTCGTGGGTCAGGTAATGGAAAGTCTCAGCAAATCGTTCCATCTCCTCCTTTACGATAACTTCATAGAATGGCCCGCAATCGGATCTGGATCTCATCATCTGAAAAATCATTTCCTGCATCCCAGCCGGGATGTCTATAAAGACCTTCACATAACCCCATACTGGCGTAATATCTGCTTCATTCCAGTTTCCACGATCGATTCCGTTTACCCGGACGTATTGTTGGAGAATGGAGATTCCTTCATTCGCCAGGTAGATCAGTTGATCGTCGAATTGTTGGTGAAGTCGTTCTAGGTTACGCCAGTGATCGCGGTTAACGACGGGCTCGACGTTTCCGTTGGCGCCTGAGTCGGCGCCTTCTTCTGTGCCTTTTTCTTGTAAGTAAGTGGTAATGGTAGACTTCCGGGTGATCTTCAGGTGTTGAATTACCTTCAGGGTGATTTGCATCACCTCGGGCTATATCCTCGTACGCTCCATTGGGGGGTAAGGGGTCCGAGGAAGAAATTTGGTGAATTTCGAAAAATTCGCGTGGAAGATGCGTTGTTACACTCTGGATGTCCGAGAGGATCACATGGCGAGCCATGTCGAGAGTAATTGTCACTGAAGAATATTCGGTGCGTTTCGGTTCACCGGACAGGGTATCTGCAACTTCCATTATCAAAGAGATAGATTCAGGTGTATTCCATAGGTCCTTAGCCCTGGCAATGTACAGCGCAGTAAGAAGTTCATGAGATGCATCTGGTGGTAAACTACCCCAGATATACTTAGGAACTGGTTGCAGGTCCAGTTCCTGGGCTATCTTGTTGAAAATCCATGGAAATCGAGACATGGCATGGGTAAGTTGGTCGCGACACTCTTCTGCTTTATTCAACCGCAAGTAGGCGAGAGCCAGCGAGCATTGAATGTTAGGGAGATGCGCCCAGACTTCACTAAACCGGGTCTGGGTGCACAAGTCGACAAAGTGCGCATACTCTCTGCCCCTCAAGGCGAGTTGGTCAATTGTCAGTTTCATACAGTATGGGTCGCTGTTGTTCAGGCTGAGAAGCAGCTTAGACCATTCATATGCGGTCCTCCAGGTTCCCTTCATTCCCAGATTCTCGATGTACCGCCAACCGGCAAGCCATAACTCTCTGTTGGCCGATTCGACGAAATCCAGTCGGGCTCTGCCCTCCATCAGGGCGTTACCGAATGTGTGATGGGCTGAGCGACCAATGGTGAAGAGAGCTCTCTCCAAGAGATCGGCCGAGACTGCATGATCTCCTTGGTGCTTTGCTAACTGGGAGACCTGAATTAGTGTGGAGATGTGGTAAGGATTCCACACGAGGAGATGAATCATCCTCTGCGTATCCATCGACTCGACGCAGATATGGAACTGGTTTTGGATACGCTGGTATTCCTCAGTGTTTACGATGCTGTAGACCGTATCACCGACGCTGTGAGGATGAGTTACGACAAGGTCCATGCCTAACCCTCCACTTGTAGCCTGAGGCCAATCGTCTTTCGCTGGCATGAGAGGATTTCGTCGAAGTTTGACTCCTGCTAGAGTTCTGCCTTGGCTCGCAGGACACGATCTCCCCGAAAGAACACTGCCAAGGTCTCCTGCTTGCTGGTTGGGTTCCTCGAAGGTTTCCAAAACAACGTTACCAAATAGCCGGCGCATCTCGTGGTTTGCATTTAGAAATTTAGACTCTGTGTTCAACAACTCATTGGTGGTTTTGGGAAAGGTGGATCGAGTGGGTTGGATATGGGTGTCGTCCTTGGCAGCCAAGTCTTGTAGGGCACGGTCAATCTCGTCGCCAGAGTTTTCATCGGGTATGGCTCGGTTTTTGGTCCTATTTGCCTTCTTCTTCTTCTTGTTCTTGCTTGCTTTTTTGGGCTTCGGGCTAGGTACTGGTTCGAAATCCGGTTCAGATTCAGCTTCCTTTTCCTCCCCTTCTTCTGGAGAACTTTCGTTGTCATCAGCATTTAGGAGATCAAAAGCGTTGAAGTTTCGCTTGTGCGGAGGACTTTCCTCCTCCGATTCCTCTTGTTCTGGCTCCAGTTGCTGCTCACGCAGCTTCTGGAGCTTGCGAACAGCACGAGAAGACATCGGGGATGTAGCCAGTCAAAAATAATAATCAAGGGTGTACAAAATTCAAGAATGGATATTCGATCAAATTCAATCACAATTCAACAAATGTTGCAATGGATAAATAATGAGATGCAGAAGTTGAAAATAAGAAAAGCTCACCGCGGGGAATGACGACATTGGGACTAGCGCGTTGTGACAACGGTAGTATCACATGATACCTTATCGTTATCGCTCGAGGGTTCCCCCAGTATTCTTCCTGCATTCTATTTTCAATCAGTCACCTACAAGGGAGCTCACCTCACGTCCAATTCCAACTTACAAAGCTCAGCTCAGATATTGCTTAAATATTCAATATCGCTCTACTTCAATGCGTCAAGTATCTGTCAAGGCGATTCAGTGCGCACGATTATGGAAAAACGGCAGTAAACGTCCGTGCCCACTCTTCGCCCCAGGCCAGGCGCTATCACTGCGATCATACTCTTCCAGTAAACTCCCAACAAACCTACCCGTCGTACGGACTCCCATGCATATCCGCCGGTTTTCGCTTGCTTTGATTTCGACTGTGGTCGCTTCCGGGGCATGGTACGCGTATCAGGGCAATGGTAGTGCGCAGTCATTAGCAACCCAGGTTAGAGGATTTGCCTCAAATGCAGTCTCGTACGCATATGCCGATAGTCCATCTGGTCCCACGCGCCGACCTGTGCTAGTAAATAACGCCCAGTTCTCCACTACCGCAATTCCCAAAGACCAACCTTTGTCAAAAACAACCGACGACTCGGACCGACGCGTTCTCAATCGGTTGACACCCGAGCAGGCTACCGAGAAACTGCGAAAGGATGAGGAATCATACTTGGTCAATCGTGGAAATGGTGTGGTTCGCTACGACCTGGTTCAGGTTCCTAGCAACTCGCCCATTGAGGATGACCACGCGGAATTGGTCGTCGAAGTACCTTCTTCAGCGGCTGCAGGAGAAGCCAGCGATTGGAACTTCTGGGCAGTCTTTGATGGTCACTCGTGAGATATTGGTTTAAACATACAATTTACAATTACTAACACAAAGGTAGTGGTTGGACGACTTCTGCAAAGCTCCGAAATGTTCTCATCGCATACGTTGCACGAGAGCTGAATGCCACATTTGAGGCTGCTGCCGCCGATCCATCGAAGCTGGTCCCATCATCTGAGGCTATCGATGCGGCAATTAAGCAGGGTTTTATGCGCCTCGACCACGAGATTGTGAATGAGAGTGTTGAGAAGGTGTTCAAGGCTAACTCTCGACGTGTGGCCGCGGAGCTTCTCGCCCCGGCTCTTTCTGGATCTTGCGCCCTGCTCAGCTTCTACAACTCTCAGTCCAAGGATCTCAAAGTTGCAGTCGCAGGTGACTCTCGCGCAGTCCTCGGCCGTCGCGGCCCCAATGGAAAATGGACTGCTACTGCTCTTTCTGAAGACCAGACTGGTGGAACTCCTTCTGAGGTGAAGCGCTTGCGCGAAGAACACCCTGATGAACCTTCCGTTACTCGAAATGGCCGAATTTTAGGCCAACTCGAGCCTAGTCGTTCCTTTGGCGACGCATTTTACAAATGGAGCAAAGAAGTCCAAGACAAGATTAAGGGACAATTCTTTGGCCGTACTCCTCACCCTCTTTTGAAGACCCCTCCCTATGTCACTGCTGAGCCCGTCATTACCACCACCAAAATTGATCCCTCACAAGGCGATTTCCTCGTCTTGGCCACTGATGGCCTTTGGGAAATGCTGAGCAATGAGGAAGTAGTCGGTTTGGTTGGCCAATGGCTCGAAGAAGAGAAGAATAAGGCAGCCGCTGGTTCCAACAAGGCATGGCTCCAGAGCTGGTTTGGATTTGACAACCAGGGAAAACTCCCTGTGGAGGAAGCACATGATGCCTCTGGCGAAGGACAGCGCCGTCCAATCCGTCAGCGCCAATATGATATCGCCGGTGCAGCCAGCCGATTTGTCGTCGAGGACAAGAATGCTGCAACACATCTAGTGCGAAATGCGATGGGAGGCAAGGATAAGGACATGGTGTGCTCGCTTTTGTCACTCCCTAGCCCATACTCTCGCCGCTACCGGTAGGTTTGAATTTCGTCTGTCTTTATCAACCCCTCTAATTTTTATTTCAGTGATGATCTTACTGTTGAGGTTATTTTCTTCGGCCACGGAGACGACTCTCGCACCATCGAGGTCAACAAGGAAGCCAGTGCTCCGCAAGAAGAGGCCCCCCAACCCAAACTATGATTTAAGCCCTCTAGAGGTTGACTAGAACAGTACCAGTGAACTTTTTTCAAGTTTGATCGAAATTGATTCACGAAGTTATTCGGTAGCTTGTTACTATATTGATATCTATTATACTGTTTCCTAGGCAGATCGCCATAACCCGAGCATGGATCCTTAGTAATCTACTCTTGGAGAGCTGGCTCTTAACTTAAACTTGAACTTTTTGAAAACTCCAGCGATGCATCTTTGGGCGTGTACAATTCAGATTTTTATATTGCCCTACCTCTCTCAAGTTGACACATCCAAGCCATGACCTTCACTCCACCTTCACTGTTCTTCTCGTCCCTATGTTACCGCCTTTGAGTTAATATAAGTTGAATCCGCGCAGTATCTGCTTCAGTATCTGCTCCTTCTCTTCCAATATTCTATTCTTTCCTTTAATCCCCATCTTCGCTTCCGCGAATGTCTTTCTCCTGTAATTTTTGACAACTCCAAAGCTTCCGCTGACGCTGGTGCTATAGGCATATTCCTATCTCATTCTTCTTACTAAGACTATAAGAATGAAGATGTCTTGCTGGGATATCTACTCAAGAAGATGCCAAGATATCTCAGTGCTGTGACTCGACTATATATATATATATCTTTTTTGTACCCTGCCTTGTTCGAGTGTTTGTTGACAAGATCGTCCCCTGAATGCGCTTACCAACTGGATATTCATTTCCGTCGACGTATGATTTCATCATTCTGTCTGGGTTGGAGTTTCTTCTTGTGGAGCACGGCTTCCTCGTTAACCTCGATGGTACGAATGGCAACACCTTGGACGAATAAAATAACAGCAACTGGAGCTAGAACAAGAGGATTCCAGGCGGAACTTGAACGTGTTTGGTCTTCTGAATGATAAAGAGAAATCGATTGAAGATGAAAGTTCACCGCGGAACTACGCCTTCGATCTTCTGAATGACGGCGAAGATGAACATGACCATGCACCAGAAGAGGAGGAGCCTAAACTCGAATCGGAATCTGAAGCAGTGCCCAGCCATTTGCCCGTTGCCCATTGCCCATTGCCCATTATCTTGGAAGCGTCTTAGCTGACGCCCTGGAGAACACTAACACTTAGTGCAAGTCCTAATCGGTTATCAGTGGGGGCAGAACCGGCCCGGTGCGCAACTATGGATTGAAAGATAACCTATCAGGACATAGCATTTAGCAATCAAATAGGCAATTACTGTAATTTATGAGCAAAACATATTATAACTCTTTATATCTCTATTTGATTTAGTGATAGCCCTTGAGGTATTAAAGTCAGTAAGTAAGTGACTGTACAAAGTGAGGTCTGTGGAAAAAAAAAATAGCGAAGTATATATATAGAAGTCCGTGCGACATCAACGTGCTGAGTCATATGGTTTTAGTCCATGCACTAGCAAGGTTTTCTAAATTGTCGTACGTCGTACTCCGTATATCATTTACTTCGTACTCGTTTTTCTTTTCAGATTTCTCTATCTGATCTCCTACTTCATACATATCATTGGACTTCACATCACATATCCATTAACTTCTTCGTGCTCTATTGAAGTCCAAAGCTTGCCCCGCAATTGGTCGCAAATCAATTGTGTCATAGCGGCGATCCACAAATTTCTCTTCTCTGCACCTGCAGCCCGCAGAATTTGACGCGCTGCATAAGACATGGCACTATCACAACTCATGAGCAATATGGCGTCACAAGGGCCAATACCTCTCACTCCTCGCGAGGCATTGTCCGGAATACTCGGTTCAGTGTCCATGACCTGCTGGATTTTCCTTCTTGTAAGAGCAGTCCAACAATGAAAAAGTAAACGCGCCTAATAATTCCCACAGGTACCCCAGCTCATCGAAAACTACCGCAACGGCAACTCAGATGCAATCTCCCTAGTTTTTGTCATCATCTGGTTCGTCGGCGACATAGCGAATCTACTAGGCGGCGTGCTATCAGGCCTCGTGCCCGTAATCGTTGCTATAGCTATATACTTCTGCATCGCAGACGGCGTCCTCATCTCCCAATGCTTATACTACAAACTGCGCAATGTGCGCCACGAAGCCCATCGTCGCACGCGCTCTTTGAGCGGGACGCCCGATCCAACTACGCCGCTGCTCGGTCGGCGGTTCAGCGACACTGTTGCGCCGCGCACGCGACGTAGGTCGTCTGGATCTTTGCGCGGGTATCAGAATCCGGGCCCACGCGATGGCTCGGCTGAGGATCCATTGGCGAAGATCCTTGAGGAGAGCGAGTTTGGTCGCAAGGCTTGGGTTAAAAACTTTGCCAGTGTGCTTGGGGTCTTTGTTATTGGCCTTGTTGGCTGGACTATGGCCTGGCGGACGGGTATGTGGGAGCCTGCTCCTTTGGATAGTCCTACTGCCCCTGATCAGGCCGCTAGTGGCCAGGTTCTGGGCTACTTTAGTGCCGTTTGTTATCTGGGGGCAAGATTGCCTCAGATCTACAAGAATTACACGGACAAGTCTTGTGAAGGTGAGATTCATTGACATTCGACATTGAAATTTGACATGCTGATTTTACTAGGCTTGTCTCTTCTTTTCTTCATCCTCTCCCTCATGGGTAACTTGACATATGGCGCCGGGGTATGTCACTATTTCTTTCCAACGAATGACTCTTAACTAACCGCTCCCAGATCTTGGCTCACTCAACAGAACGAGCTTATTTCGTTACTAACCTCCCCTGGCTGATCGGGTCATTGGGAACAATCGCCGAGGATGTCATCATCTTCGCACAGTTCCGTCTATACACAGTTCCAGGAGCTGTGATTGTATAAAAACCATGTATTTGGTTCTGTTTGACGATACACTCCCCACTTTCACTAATATTCTTCTGCGAATGCGCGGGAGACTCATAAAATGCCACGAAGATTATGGCAGCACTCTGTGCTTTGGCGTTAGGTTTCTTTTCCAATTCTTTACATAGCAAATCAACTGCGTTACCCAAGACAATGAGGATCCACAGCCAAGAGTCGAGGCCATAAGTCAAAAATATCATAGGCCAATGTGCCGGATACACGGCTAATCACGCTCTACATCTCACTACGAGGACGCCAGAATGGTGAAACAACATTCTGGGTCATTGTCGGACTTCTTGTAAAAATGAACCCGGGCCAGCAAGCTCTGGTCGATACACATCTACCTCAACCCGGAAAAGCCACGGATCGATAATAAGAAAATTCATGCCAAACGTTATTCGTCAATTCCCCAAATTATCTTGGAAGCAACAGTAGTTTTAGAATCACATCGGCATCCAATCGATTCAACTCCACCGCGGGGTGTGAACCGAACTCCCAGCTCCATTGAATGAAAACGTTTGATCTTTTGCTATTTTCTTTTTTTCTCCCCCGTGATTTAAACCTTCATAGTAGGGGTCGTGGAGTATCGAGTACAAGAGAGAATCGTCGAGGGAACCGGAAAGCGGCATTGGGATAAAAGGCGAGTGAAAAAACTAAAAGGAAACGACTTTATATTCGATGCGAAAACGCTTAGTCGAATAGTCCGAATCCCATGTCGTCGTCGGACTCCTCCTTCTCTGTTAGGGAGTTAGTACCATTCTGACGTACGGATTCGATCTTGTAAAACTTACCCTCCTCCTTCTCCTCAGCGACGGCCTCGGCGGGGGCGGCAGCGCCACCGGCAGCGGCACCGGAGGAGGCAGCGGCGGGACCACCGGAACCAACGTTGGTCAGGAGGTCCTTGATGTCCTTGCCCTCAAGAGCCTGTTGAAAATATGTGTAAGTCACAGGACTCGGAAGAATGTTGTATATCGAAATAATGGTTCATGTTCGCGGGCAGAGCGGCCTGCAAAATTCGACTGGGCGGGTTGGAGTATTTACCTTGGCGTAGATGGTGGCCCAGATGGGCTCGACCTCCTCGATCTTGGAAGCAGACAGGATGGTCTGGAGCTTGTCGGCCTGTGCAGAGAAATGTCAGCTCGAGTGCTTAACAAATTCGAACCAAAGTTGCGGGATCCGGTATTTCATGAAGTCATTCTCCTTGCATTGCGACTGCAAGTTTCCATGGGATTTCGCGAATCTTCAATCTTGAATTCCTCTTTTGTGATGCCTCAGACAGCGTGGAGATACTTACGGTGATCTCAATACCCTCATCGGCAAGGATGAGAGCAGCGTAGGAGACAGCAAGCTGGGCGGTAGACATCTTGTCGACGGGGTGTTGACCTGGGTTGAAGATGGATGATGAGAGAGAGGAAGCGGACCGAAGAGTATCAAGCGGTCGATTTGTGGAAAACGCTCGCTTAGGGCTTATCACATTAGGCCCACTTTAAATGCCAATTTAACCAATAATGTAAGCGGACAATGTATATCAATATTTAACAAAATCTACCCCATCAAAAACGTCAGAGATCCCTGGTATTATATTCGCCTTTCCACCTACATCTCGGGGCTTGATGATTTAATTAATTTCGGATATTTATAAGCTCTAAACATAGTCTTTCTTTACCTTCTGTCTAAATTCCAGGTTACTGACTCTCTTTTTGAGGTCGTAGTACGGGCTTAAAATGTTCGAAACCCTTCAACATTGTAGTTCGACCATAATAACAGTCAACAGGAGGATTAATGAATGATTAATCTGGAGAATGACTACTATTTTATAATCAAGATACCAGTCCAAATAACGTGTTGCTATAGGAGCCTCGGAAGAAATGCAATCAGCACTTCACATCATCGCCGCCTACTAAGCCTGAGACTTCTATGCACCTATTCCACTACGTATTCATACTGACTTGGTCGAGTAAAACTCCCTTCAGGCTGGACTTGTGGAACGCACGGTACTGTCCTTCAGACGTAGTCTGTCGACAGCTATGCTTCTAGAGCTTGTGTAGTGATCTGGCTCCAGATTTAATATTATGTTTTCATATTTCAATGTTGAAGATTAATTTTTATAAACACGAATAGATAGCTAGTTACGGATTCATGTCACTAAAAGAGTGAGAGAAGTTACGAATAAAGAAGGGAAAGATATTGATTTGACTACGCTGATATTTTTAGCTAGTGCTCCGTCTTTGCTGGTATAATTAATAAATAGAACTAGGACCAGCTTAATTGTATGCAAGTATTTTTTTTCCACTCGCTTCTTCTCGTTATCACTTAGTTCCTTATCGCTTTCTAGCCATTGCTTGATCCACTGGTCTAGGATAGAAGTTGCCTGGTATATTTCGTGAGGCGAGACGTGGTTGTAGCGGTCCATGGGGCCGACTATATTCGCTCTTAAGTTCAGAGCATCCTCAGCAGCTTTCGTGAGCTTGTTATGATCAAGACGATTTTTGGCGATCATTACGGAAACCCCGTGGTGCTCTTGGAAGGCGTTGGCGTAATCGTCGAGGTTGGTTGGGTTGATGTCCTTTCCAAGGAGCAGTTGAAGATCTAGCCCTAGTGGATGCTCATGTTTTCGCCAAGTCTTCATAATTCAAAAACTATTTCTAGTCCTTGCTCAGACTTGGATAATTGGCACCATGATTCAGCCTCAGTACCCAATTAGTGTAACGGATAGGTCATTTCACCCAACGGTTGAGCGTCAATGGGTTAAAGAATGGGAGAGCTCCATATGGCCCCGCCGTGTGCAATTGCATTACGCACGAGCTTTTCGTGCTTGGGCACGTTCTTTGATTCGTCCATTGGGAATACACGCTGGAACGAAGCGAGATTGAGACTGCCTGGAGGCGTTGCTGATCTGCCTCCATCTTTGCCAGAATGGACAGCCCCTTTATATTTCCCACGGCATTAAGGGCATCGTCCAGGACAAGTGGCTCCGGGTTAAACATAAACGTAGACATGGCAGGCATTGTGCCCATCTCGACTTTTTTAGGAAGGTGCTTGTTGGGCTGAGAGGTTGAGTGATGGAAGATGATGCATATAGCCTGTGTCGCCTGACCGTAACATATGCCCGGAACAAAAGAAAACGATTTCGCCCTCGAGATCGCTCAGAGTGAAGTGAGGGTTGAGTAAAGTGAAAGTAAAAGCGCGCTTATAGGATGAACACGTAGTGGTGGTAAGGTTGGGCTATGTGATGCTTAGGGATTAATAAAATGTGATATGAAGCTCTTTTGCCGAGTAATTTCGTAGTGATTTTGTTATATAATCGTAATAGTGATAAGATGTGCCTTGTAAGGATGGGATGTTGAGATTAATCGATTTAAGAACTGGAATCAGGCCCATGCTTTCTCCGCAGCACCATCCAAAGCCAGGTAATTGGAGGTTCAAATATGTTCGAACTTGTGAGGCGCATATATCATCTATGAAAGAGCGAATATATCCTTGATAGATACGCATGGATGAAAATGAGCCTTCCAATCACCTACCTAGATACAGCACTTGAGCGCTGGTATCTGTGCTGAGGGATTATCGGTCATCCAGATGTCTTATTGATATTCCAAATCTAAATCACCGTCACCATCTATGAACGAGTATCATGTCAAGGTGTAGGGAATAGTCTCATTTAGAGCTCATGAATATTACAAGTTTATACTACGACGGATGTGGGTGTAGGGCGGTGTTCTTGGGCAGAATCCAACCCCACGGGCGGTGATATCACCGGTTCGATTGTTCTCCAATTTACTGATTTCTGCGTATTTCCTCCACCTACCATCCACAAATTCTCAGTCCATTTCAACCGATCTCAAAATATACAATCATACACACGCTCTTTTCATGGAATCCCCCGCTCTACCGGTCCCGTTGGATCCCCAGGAGCAGCCCATTGTCGAGCGCCTACTCGAACTTCGCGATGCTCTTCTGCTTCTGAAGCAAGACAAATCGTCTTACATCAAATCTCGCGATGTTATCCCAATCTATGAGCAGGTTGTCAATGAAGTGGAGAAGCTTAATGCGGCTCGAAAAGGTCAAGAGCGCCATTTGATCCACAATAGTTGTGAGTATCATGCCATACCTGGTCGTTGCGAGTATTGCTGATAACAACCTTACTAGTGGACTATGCTCTGGATGACTGTTTCCAGTTGATTTCTCTGCTGTTCTTGACAGTGGGTAAGAATAATGAAGCACCAGCTGTGTGAGTGCACCATCTACTACTCAACCATTTCATCTTCATCTTGACTAACTTCTTTGTATAGTTACTCGTTAGCAACCACCATCCAGGTAGATCCAATACATTTATCAAGCTGCGCATATTGTCTTTTCTAACTTTTTTTTAGCGTCTCCTCGACCACCTCAAGGAAGCCGGGTTCTACAGCTCCAAAGATTTGAAATCCATTACAAAGACACTCGAGTCCATGCGCGAAACTCTCGAACGGGGTCGCAATACCTACTCTCCAGCCATTCTTACACTTCTTGAACGCCGGTTGGAACACTGTCAGGTTTCTCTGGCCGGCCTGCAGGAAGGATTAGCTTCGGTCAGCCCACAATTAGTCCACACGCACGAGACTCTTATCTCTATTTTGCGCTCCACATCTGCTGCGAATACTCGCACCAAGGTAGGCCCACGAAATACTGAAGTACTAAAGATCCTTTATCAGTATTAATCATAGACTTAGTTCTCCGCTACCGAAGTTAACAACCTCCGCGAACAATTAAAGAAGATCGAGAAGCACATGAAAGATGGTGACTTTGTGGATGCCGAAGGCAATATTGTGCCTGGACAAGACGAGGTCAAGAACCTGCTCCCGCGTTGCTGGCGCTGGACTGAATCTGTCCTGGAGCGAAAGGGAATAATCGATGAGCGGTTCAAGGAGCAATATGAACGTCTTTTTGACATCCGCAATCAACTCGATCGGCTGTCGGTGACACAGGCATGGTCACTGCGAGAGACAGATCTATTCGGATACCAGCGCAAACTCGACCGAATCGACGAGGCACGGGTCAATGGTAACTTTGTTGATGCCGAGGGTCAGCCCGCAGATCTCCATGCTCAGCGAGTGAGTTTACTATTTATGGTTTGAATGATAAAGCGTTAACTGATTCTTTCTACAGACATTGCTGTACCTCATCCGCCGCAGTTATGCCTACATCTATGCATTGTTGATTTCATCTGAGCCCGTTTCCGAAGCATTGCTTCCAGTCTATAACCAACTTCAGACAACTCGCCGATGTCTAATTGAGGTCAAGGAATCTGGCGGTGTGTCTACCCCACGCGAGCTCTATCCATACAGCATGAAACTGAACTCGATTGACAACATGCGCGTTGATGGAAAGTTCTACGTCGGCAGCGACATTCCCGAGGGACAAGGAAGTATCAACGCTCTACTCGCTGAGTGTTACGACCTTGTCTGGGAACTGCGAGCCGCAGTAGCCGATGACGACAGCCAGTCATAAACGTATCAATTTATTATTAAATGTGCTTGCCTTTTTCCTTTTGAATTGGTGGTTCTGGTCCTATGTTTATAAAACATTGACTATCGATGAATTTCTCTTGCCAATCTGTGATTCTATGCTTTCTGAGTTGAGCTCTACTTAATGTTTTTGTCCGAACTTTCATCTTTCATGACATGAGAGCTGTCGAATGTATTTCTTAGTGTAATCAAATTATTTCAACTCCAACTACATCACGTTGCAATATTCCTGCTGCGGTGTTGAAACAGCGCTGGCTCATGTATCCATTCAGCAATTCCCAGGCCCATCCGGGTACTGCTATCCAAATGAATGGAACCTAGGCTCCTAAGCAATCTACTGTTTCCTTACAATATCATCTCTAGAACAAATCATGTAGTTGATCAGTGAAGTCAGTACGTGGTTAAGAAATAACATGAATACATCCCGAGGTCGCCTCTAATAGATAAGAAACTAGGGTTTCCCAGGAGCTATAGCCAGCAGGTACACGGGCCTGAGAGAAAGATACGAACCAGGAAGATGAAACGTGAATCTCGCCCTGATGAAAATCGACACCCGACCCATCTCAATATCAACTGGCACGACACAATGATCGAAGACATGCCAACACTACAGAAATGAGCTTAAGAGGCTTGCCCTATCACATATACAACAAACCCCTAGAGCCCTAGAGATCGATGTCCAGAGATCTCCGAGGTTACCTCTGTTCCAACTATTTCCATATCCATGGATGGTAAATATCAAGACAGGATTGAAAATATAATACAGATCTCATTGGATATCATCTAACCCGCAACAAAAACAAAGATAAATAGCAGTAACAGTTTTATAAGATGCATAATATCCACCACGAATCAACAACTCCTGAAGGAACAGACTTTTGTCTAGGGCCTTTATTTTTTCAACCCATATACATCATCTATTGAGAGGAATTGGCCTTCTTAGCCAGCAAGTTCAAGGCACTACCAGCCAGAATGAAGGCGCACTGGTCCTTGCTAAGGGTGTGCTGGACAGGGACGAGGAAAGACTCGCCAGTCTTGCGCTTAGTAACGCGCAGCTGGATCTGCTTGCCCTCGCCACCAGCTTTCAGGACGTCGTAGAGACCGACTGTGTCGACGACGTCACAGGCGTCGATGCGGTCGTAGTCTTCGCGGTTGGCGAAGGTGAGAGGGACGACACCCTGCTTCTTGAGGTTTGTCTCGTGGATACGGGCAAAGCTCTTGGAGACGATGACGCGGCCGCCTAGGTAGCGGGGCTGGAGAGCGGCGTGTTCACGGGCTGAGCCCTCGCCGTAGTTGTCTTCTGCGACGACGAGCCACTCGAGGCCGCGGTCCTTCCACTGCTCAGCAAGCTCAGGGATGGAGTGCTTCGCGCCGTTTTCGTCGTAGGCAACGTTTGTCTCGCCGGTGGCGGCGTTCACGGCTCCGATGAGGGTGTTGGCAGAAATGTTGGGCAGGTGGCCCTTGTACTTGAGCCAGGGTCCTGCGGCTGAGATGGTGTCTGTGGTGCACTGGCCCTTGACCTTGTAGAGGACCTGCAGACCGGAGAGGTCGGACTGAGGGAAGGGAGCGAAAGGTTCCAGGAGAGCGAGACGGTCCGAGGTGGGCGATACAACAACCTCGCAGCTGGCGTTGGGGATTGCGGCAGTGGGCTGGAAGTCGGGGTTACCAGCTTCGAAACCGGCGCTGGGCAAGTGCGAGCCCTTGGGAGGTTGGAACTTGAAGGCCTCACCACTTGGGGTGGTCAGGGAGTCGGTCATTGGGTTAAAGGTGGTGCTACCGGAGTATGCGAGAGCAGTGACGAGCTCGGGAGAGGCCAGGAAGTTCATGGTCTGACGGTTGCCGTCGTTGCGGCCGGGGAAGTTACGGTTGTACGAGGTGAAGATGGCGTTGTTCTCGCCCTTGGGAACCTCGTCGGTACGATTCCATTGACCAATGCAGGGACCGCAGGCGTTAGCCAATACGATTCCACCAGCGCCTGAGAAGGTGGACAAAGTCTGATCACGCTCGAGGGTGGCACGAATCTGTTCACTGCCAGGTGTGATGAAGAAGTCCGCCTTGGGCTTAAGACCGGCAGCAGATGCCTGCTTGACCAGGTCCTCGGCGCGAGTCATATCCTCGTACGAGGAGTTCGTGCAGCTACCAATGAGACCAGCACCGAAGGTCTCGGGCCACTTCTTCTCACGGACGGTATCAGCAAACTTGGACAGAGGGACCGACAGATCCGGGGTGAAAGGACCGTTGATGTGCGGCTCCAACTCGGACAAGTTGATAGTAATCAACTGATCATATTCAGCCTTAGGGTCAGCCCGGAGTAAGTTCTGGGGACCAGAACCAGCAATCTCTGCGGCAGCCTTCGCGACGTGGCCACGGTGGGTGGCCTCTAGGTACGGCACCATGCTTGGGGAGAAGGGGAAGAGAGAAGTGGTAGCACCCACCTCAGCACCCATGTTACAGCATGTAGCCATACCAGTAGCGCTAAGGGTCTCCACACCAGGGCCGTGATACTCAACAACGAAGCCGGTACCACCACGAACAGTCAGCTTGCCTGCCAAGTACATAATGATGTCCTTGGGCGAGGCCCAGCCACTCAGTTTGCCCTCAAGACGGACACCAAGGATTTTCGGGGCCTTCAGCTCCCATGGGGCATCAACGAGGGCATCAACGGCATCGGCACCACCAACACCAATAGCAATGGCACCCAAACCACCACCGTTAGGGGTGTGACTATCGGTACCTAGCATCATCAAACCAGGAGCGGCGTAGTTCTCCAACACGCTCTGGTGAATGATACCAGCGCCCGGAGGCCAGAACTCAATACCATAACGCTTAGCAGCACTCTCCAAGAAGTCAAACACCTCGCGGTTTCCCTCGATCGAAGCCGGAAGGTCGGTGTCGGCACCACGCTCACCAACAATCATGTGGTCACAGTGAATGCTAGCAGGCACGGCAGTGGAAGGTAGACCGCAAGACATGAACTGAAGAAGAGCCATTTGAGCTGAAGCATCCTGCATAGCCACACGATCAGGCTTCAGCTTCAAGTTGGCATTGCCTCGAATGTCGCGGCCATTGTTGGTACCGGAAAGAAGAGACTCCTCAGCATTAGCCAGATGGGAGTAGAGAATCTTCTCGGCCAGGGTCAGAGCACGATCAGAGCCAAGAACCTTGCGGACTTGCTCAAGATTGCGGAGGATCTTAGGATAGGGCGGCATGCGGGACGAGGCTGCTTCGGTAGCCAGGCTACGTCGTTGTGGGGACAAACGTCCGACCAGCTGGCGAGGTCAGTTTCCAGTGGGTCACGGTAATTTAGACCAGAACTTACTCTGCGCGAGGCAGCGGCCCGTTGCCAAATCAATTGGCTCACCATATTTAATTGTGAAAGGTGGAACTGGGGTAGGAGTCAGATTTGAGGTCCGCAGAGCTTTTTTTTTGATGTCGGGATGATCGTTATTTATCTTGGGTTTGATTGGTCAATATTTCGCCGATACCGGATATTGAACTGTGGGGAAGTACAGACACCACGACGACTGTGTATCTTCACGATTTCTAATTTCTCATCACTGAAATTGATCTCTGCATAGGTAATTCTTCAAGGTTTGATTCACTCTTCTGGATATTACAGAATTGAATACTACCTACCACCTAGTATGACTCAAGTACTCATTTTAAGTCACTTCATAGTAAGCAGGTTTCAAAAATATATACTTCTCTCCATATGATACCATTGGAACTCGATATTCACCGGGAGATTCGATTGTCAACTGCCTAGATGGCCAGGTGAATCATGACATGTGCACGACCGCTCAAATGAATCTACATCCTCATATATCCTTGGAATGAACTAGCATGCTCCTAAGGTCTACTACAAATACCTAGATACCGTTGTAACATCAGCGATTGAGGAATACTTGCATATGTAGGTTGATACAAGCGGACAACTACATTCAAATCCCTCTTGCTCCATGTACAAGAATGGGAGAGAAGTTTCCGAGGTGCGAGTCCGCCACTATGGGCATATTTCTACCAGCTGCAGATTCGCGGCACCGACGAGCCAATTTCAACCTTGGACCCTTGTTATTATTTCAGGAGTAAGATCACTTCTATCTCGTTTTAGCTGCAATATGCTTGACATGGTCGTAATGAGACTCATCTGCAAAAACCTGATGATTAAGTTAGGCTAAGCGAAACTATAACCTTTCACCTAGACAACTGGAGGTTCGCTTTGAACACTCCGAACCTGGCTAGTGGGTGAAACGCTTAAACTGTTGTCTTATCTCAGTGTAAAGCGGCTATAATGTTCTTACTCGAGATTCCTGCTGTTTACCAGTGGGTCTATAACCTCGGGGAGAACGAATTCGGTACCTATCTTATGAATATCGGCAAACGATGCACACCTGGAATCAGCCCAGACTACGTACCAACCAGTACTGTATCTATATTGATTGAAGAACGTCTTATACAGAACATGATCATGTATTTGTTATAGCACATGGCAAAGCCATACACAAGTCTAAACTTACGGAGTAGTAATATGGATGGGAAAAACCAAAAGAAAAGCCGACGCTCAAAGACACGTCTCTCGCAGCCCCCGACGCCCTCAAGAGAAACTTGAATGGAACAGTAAATAGACAATAGACACCAGTCTACTCGCTATCACTGGCACTATCATGCTCAGAGTCATTGTTCTGAGTTTGCATACCCTCAGTCAAGATGTACTCATTCTGCTGGAGAGTCTGCTTAATAGCCGCGTTGTTAAAGACCAAGTCGGCAGGTTTTTGGTTATGCTTGTTCCGCACTCGGGGGTCACAGCCAGCCTCGCACATCATCTTGACCATTTCATGGCCCAACTCGGCATCTTTATCATTGGCGTAGCGTACGGCAACGTGTAGTGGCGTGTCCTTGTCAAGACGGGTCAAAGGGTCACATTCAAAGAACTGGATGTCAAAAAGGGAGTCCATAGTGTCATCTGCGGGTACATCAAATAGGTTAGTCGGGGTACTAAAAGGAGAGGGGTAATTGGGCGGGGAGATCCAACATACAGCTACCGTACGTGGCGCAGATGTGTAAAGCATGGTTCCCCATTGCGTCCGTAACCTCATTAAAAAATTGAGCTACCTCCTCGTTGGTCTTGCTCTCCATATCATTAAGAACTTGCTCGATCAGCTGTGGCTGATCTCGGCGGCAGGCTTCCACGACCAGCTCCCGGGGGGAGGCACCCTGAGAAGGATATTAGCGGCTATTTTTAGTTCTGGGGGTTATAGACCCACCTCGTCAGCCATGGTGATCAGTAGGATTGAATCAAGTGTAGTTTGTCGGTGCGGAACAGTATTCCTGTTGCGCGGTGTGACGCAGCAGGTATTTCTAAAACGCCGGCGGTCCAGATAGTTTATTGGTATAGGATTGAGAATCTTAGGGAAGGCAGATTTGGATCAAGCTGTGCGCAATCGGTATGTACAAGTAGAAAAGCCTAGTCGGACAGTGTTTCCCAGGTCCCGCGTTGCCTTCAACAGGGACCGTCCTAAACGATCATGTGATCTGGGCCTCACGTCACTTCTAAATTACGCGCGCGGTTAATTTATTCTGTCGGTATCGGTCTGGTTAAGCTATTGCGCTGCCTTCTTTCAACTCTGCTTTATTTGCAGGTATCGAAGACATTCAGCCTCAATCTCAGATTCCTCACCTTTCAGACCCTAGCCTTTTGAGTCTCACGACGAGACCACCGGATCTGCCAAGATGCCGCTCGTTTGTTCGTTGATCGATTCGCTTGCTAATTTCCGTGATCAATGAGTGAGGACCAAGCTAACTTTTCTCTCCAATAGTTTGCCCAAACTGCGCAAATGCACTTACTGTTTCCCGTGCGGACTCCGGTCTCAACCGTTTCGAGTGCCGAACTTGTCCTTATGAACAAATCATTGACAGGAAATACTACGACAAGACCCTGATGAAACAAAAAGAAGTCGAAGCTGTCTTCGGAGGCGCCGACGAATGGAAGAACGCCGACAGTGTAGCCAGTAAGAGAAGCCCTATTCCTCGCGAAGGATGGCGATACAATTACCGCACATGATGAGGAGTTGCTTCCACTACGACTTGACATGATAATGACCTTCCGCTAGCTCAATGCCCCGCCGAAAACTGCAACGGAGAGCGTGCATACTTCTATCAACTGCAGATACGCAGTGCAGACGAGCCAATGACGACATTTTTACGAGTACGATTATCCCGGCCTCCTTACATACCCGACATGTCTAACAGTCTTGCAGTGCACTTCATGTGCAAAAACCTGGCGTGAGAACTAGGGATAATATCTTAATCACTTTCCCTCTTAAAATGTTTGGTATTACGGATTACGGAGTATACGGATGAAACATCCAAAAAATATGGATCCGTAGATAGTATGGATGCATGTGTTTAGATGGAGGACTTGAACAGCGCAAGTGTATTAAATATACCCAAATTTGATCTACAAAGTACGTCAGACCACGATATAAAAAAGAGAAAAAAAAATTGGGGTCACTAGATAACAAATGAACCACGGGTCTAGGTTGAAAGTTCAAAAGTTCAGTAGGACATGAAATGATAGTGGACTATGCCTATCATAGACTCCGGATGTTTCAGATTATACTGTGGCAAAGTTTTCCTTTATGGACCCAGATTGGCGGTGACGACCTCGATTGCCCCGCGGACTTACACATAGTACGATAACAACAGTTAAACTACGAGTACAAGTCAAGTAAGAGTGAATGGATTGAAAAACAAAATTGGAAAGGAAGATTAAATTTTTTTTTTTTTAAAAAAAATTAGAAGATCCAAAATTCCTTATACTGTGTACAATGGCCCAACAAGAAATGGGTTAATGTGTTGGTGCCCAGTCCATCGAGGAAACGTAAAGTAAATAGTGGGCTGGGAAGGAGCGAGAAAAAAAAAATTCAGCCGAGATCCACTGCAACCAAGGAAACTACCGTTTAGCTATAGGTAGAAGATACATGTTATTAGTATGGTTTAAATAAGGGAGGGGTAAGTATTCAGTACTTTCTGAAGACTCTGCAGTGGATCCATAATGATAGTGGATCCTTTAATGACTCAACCAATTAAAGCACGTGATTTAGGAGGGCTTGAACCCGCCACTCGCTTCTGCCCCTCCATATAAGTTCTTCCCCCTCCTCTTCCCACAATTTTTTCCTTTCCTTCCCCTCGTCTGCGACAGTAAGTATAACTTCCCATCCCTCACTTTTCCTCTCCTTCCTTCTTCCTTCTCTCTTCTAACCTTCATCAGTACCTCTACACACGCTGTAGAATCTGCGCATCTTATCTTCTAGTCGCTTTCAAAGAACTACAAGACAACCGTCACCATGGGGTATGTTCTACTCAGCTTGAAAAATTTTCACATTCCATTTTTCTAACCCCTCCCCAGTAAGGAAGATCGTGCTCACATCAACATCGTCGTTATCGGCCACGTCGATTCCGGCAAGTCGACCACTACCGGTCACTTGATCTACAAGTGCGGTGGTATTGACCAGCGTACTATCGAGAAGTTCGAGAAGGTATGATGAACTCCTCTTCCTCTCGCCTGAATATCCACTGATACCTCCATCACAGGAAGCCGCCGAGCTCGGTAAGGGTTCCTTCAAGTACGCCTGGGTTCTCGACAAACTCAAGGCTGAGCGTGAGCGTGGTATCACCATCGATATCGCTCTCTGGAAGTTCCAGACCGCCAAGTATGAGGTCACCGTCATTGGTAAGATATACCCTTCGGCTTCCATTATTCACTCTATCCCCTACTAACTCTTCATGCAGACGCCCCCGGTCACCGTGATTTCATCAAGAACATGATCACTGGTACCTCCCAGGCCGATTGCGCTATCCTCATCATTGCCTCCGGTACCGGTGAGTTCGAGGCTGGTATCTCCAAGGATGGCCAGACCCGTGAGCACGCTTTGCTTGCCTTCACCCTCGGTGTCCGCCAGCTCATCGTTGCCCTCAACAAGATGGACACCTGCAAGTGGTCCGAGGACCGTTACAACGAGATTGTCAAGGAGACTTCCAACTTCATCAAGAAGGTTGGCTACAACCCCAAGTCTGTCCCCTTCGTGCCCATCTCCGGTTTCAACGGTGACAACATGCTTGAGGTTTCCCCCAACTGCCCCTGGTACAAGGGTTGGGAGAAGGAGACCAAGGCTGGCAAGTCCACCGGTAAGACCCTCCTTGAGGCCATCGACGCCATCGAGACCCCCGTTCGTCCCTCCGGCAAGCCCCTCCGTCTGCCCCTCCAGGATGTGTACAAGATCTCCGGTATTGGCACAGTTCCCGTCGGCCGTGTCGAGACTGGTATCATTAGCCCCGGCATGGTCGTCACCTTTGCTCCCGCCAACGTGACCACTGAAGTCAAGTCCGTCGAGATGCACCACCAGCAGCTCCAGTCCGGCCAGCCCGGTGACAACGTCGGTTTCAACGTCAAGAACGTCTCCGTCAAGGAGGTTCGCCGTGGTAACGTTGCCGGTGACTCCAAGAACGACCCTCCCCAGGGTGCCGCTTCTTTCAACGCCCAGGTCATCGTCCTGAACCACCCCGGTCAGGTTGGTGCCGGTTACGCCCCGGTCCTCGATTGCCACACTGCCCACATTGCTTGCAAGTTCTCTGAGCTCCTCGAGAAGATCGACCGCCGTACCGGTAAGTCCGTTGAGGACAACCCCAAGTTCATCAAGTCTGGTGACGCCGCCATCGTCAAGATGGTTCCCTCCAAGCCCATGTGTGTTGAGGCTTTCACCGACTACCCTCCCCTTGGTCGTTTCGCCGTCCGTGACATGCGTCAGACCGTTGCCGTCGGTGTCATCAAGTCCGTTGAGAAGTCCGTTGGTGGTGCCGGTAAGGTCACCAAGGCCGCCCAGAAGGCTGGCAAGAAATAAGTGTTGAGCGCATGATTAAATTATGCCGTGATGACTTTTTCTCTTAAAATGCTTATGGATGGAGCTAGTTGCTCTGTAGTTTAAAATTCTACAATCAATCGACTCAAGTCAATTTGTCCTCGTATTTGTAACTGTATGTAACTGTACCAGTAGATCTACCCAGTAGATGAAGTTGGAAGCCCAAACTTTAGGCCTTGGCTAAGCCTTGTACTGCTTTGAAGTCGCCCCTTGATCCTCAGCGCACCAACCCCTACACCTGGGCATCGGTATTTTGGAAGCATACCTAGGTATATTCTCATACAGTACTTCCGGAAACCGGTGTCACCACTTGCAATGACTCTATCTCGAACCCTAATGCTAAGGACTGCAAATCCATATCAAGAGTAGCGGATAATATTTATATTACTACAGCATGTATTAATACGTACTGATGTATTCGATAACCGTACTTGGCGTAAGTTATTTGTTTGATTCTTATCAAGCCGGTAATGTATAAGAAGGGCAGTAGGGGTATTATGCAGGGCTTGAAGGAAATCAAAACTGCAGAAGGAAAAAACCCAGATTTAAAAATATAAATTTATGAGCTACATAGTTTGACCAAGGCAGACTAATGCACTAGTCGCCTTCTGCTTTAAGCCGCGCTTCTTGTGTCCCACCTGCAAACGGCCAGTCTAACAACATTCCCTTGGACATTCTTTGGACTAGAAAGCATCGTACAGGGAAAAAACATCAAAACTATATCAATCCCACTCCGTCATATTAAATATGGTTTGTTCCTGACGGTGGCTACTGACTCGGCCTTGGATGATATGCACGTATATATGTATTCATTAAAGACTCCCAGACCTAAACTTTAAACCGCACCCGGCGCTAGCATAGAATGCAGAGTACTTCGGTTGAATCTAAACCTCAATACTTGACCATTTTTCAATCCAATAGCTACTTGATCATCTTGCGTATCGTGGCATGCTAGCTGCATATCTGATGATAGCCGAAGAAATGGCATCACTCCATAAAATATCCACTGGTCCTTCATAGTGAAAGTCTGTAAAGAATGTGGACTCCTATCGTACTCTTCTGTCGCAGTATCTTTAAGCCTAATTTGTTCAGTACCTGTTATAAGGTATAGGTTATCTGCAGAGAATTTGAGGTTATGCACTGGTTCCGATGTTTCGATTTCTCTTTGTGATCGGAGTTTGAGAAGGCTACCTAAGCGACGGCCAAGAAACTTTGAGGTTTTGTGAGACTTTGCAATATCCCAAAGCTTGATGGTGTTATCCCTAGAGCCTGATGCGATCTGCTTGCCATCTGGAGAAAACGCCACAGTATTGACCCAGTCTGAGTGGCCTTCGAGTGTCTTCTGAAGGTCTCCTAATGTGCTATCCCAAAGCTTGATGGTGCTATCCCTAGAGCCTGATGCGATCTGCTTGCCATCTGGAGAAAACGCCACAGTCCGGACCCCATCTGAGTGGCCTTCGAGTGTCTTCTGAAGGTCTCCTGTTGTGTTATCCCAAAGCTTGATGGTGCTATCCCTAGAGCCTGATGCGATCTGCTTGCCATCTGGAGAAAACGCCACAGTATTGATCTCGTATGAGTGGCCTTCGAGTGTCTTCTGAAGGTCTCCTGTTGTGCTATCCCAAAGCTTGATGGTGCTATCATCAGAGCCTGATGCGATCTGCTTGCCATCTGGAGAAAACGCCACAGTCCGGACCCCATCTGAGTGGCCTTCGAGTGTCTTCTGAAGGTCTCCTGTTGTGCTATCCCAAAGCTTGATGGTGCTATCATCAGAGCCTGATGCGATCTGCTTGCCATCTGGAGAAAACGCCATAGTCCGGACCCCGTCTGAGTGGCCTTCGAGTGTCTTCTGAAGGTCTCCTAATGTGCTATCCCAAAGCTTGATGGTGCTATCCCTAGAGCCTGATGCGATCTGCTTGCCATCTAGAGAAAACGCCACAGTCAGGACCCCGTGTGAGTGGCCTTCGAGTGTCTTCTGAAGGTCCCCTGTTGTGCTATCCCAAAGCTTGATGGTGCTATCATAAGAGCCTGATGCGATCTGCATGCCATCTGGAGAAAACGCCACAGTATTGACCCAGCTTGAGTGGCCTTCGAGTGTCTTCTGAAGGTCTCCTGTTGTGCTATCCCAAAGCTTGATGGTGCTATTCCTAGAGCCTGATGCGATCTGCTTGCCATCTGGAGAAAACGCCACAGTCCGGACCCCATCTGAGTGGCCTTCGAGTGTCTTCTGAAGGTCCCCTGTTGTGCTATCCCAAAGCTTGATGGTGCTATCCTCAGATCCTGATGCGATCTGCTTGCCATCTGGAGAAAACGCCATAGTCTGGACCCCGTCTGAGTGGCCTTCGAGTGTCTTCTGAAGGTCTCCTGTTGTGCTATCCCAAAGCTTGATGGTGCTATCCCTAGAGCCTGATGCGATCTGCTTGCCATCTGGAGAAAACACCACAGTATTGACCCAGTCTGAGTGGCCTTCGAGTGTTTTCTGAAGGTCTCCTGTTGTGCTATCCCAAAGCTTGATGGTGCTATCATCAGAGCCTGATGCGATCTGCTTGCCATCTGGAGAAAACGCCACAGTATTGACCACATTTGAGTGGCCTTCGAGTGTCTTCTGAAGGTCTCCTGTTGTGCTATCCCAAAGCTTGATGGTGCTATCCCTAGAGCCTGATGCGATCTGCTTGCCATCTGGAGAAAACGCCACAGTATTGACCTTGTCTGAGTGGCCTTTGAGTGTCTGTATAAGAGAATCCCAAGTGCTCTCCATCCTGGGAAACCATTTCAAATATTTTGGAATTTTGTCCAGGTTTCCTATCCTCGTAATACTTGTTTCAGGACTAAAGATAAGAGCAGAGCTATAGATCTGTAACGGCCAATGAGCTATATTATGGAAATGTCGTAGCAGAAAACGTGTAGCGTCTTGCATAAGGGCGAATGCTGACGAGTCCCTCTTTGATAGACCGTTAGTAATATCTAGCAGGGCACTGATTGATTCAAGGGCCTTAGGTAACCTGCCTAGTAAGCTAAAACATTCTAGCCATTCTAGAAGTTTAGTGTGCAGGAATAACCTAATTAGCCCTTCCTCAATAAGCCTGCTTTGTGCTATGACCTCTAGTGGGACTTTCTGGAGATGTTGTACCCAAAATGTTGTCGAATAGTCGAGGGAAGATAGCAGAACGCTTTTACTCTCACTCTTTAGTGATTTTGTAAACTTGGGAGTCGAATCAGGTCGTGGTAGGTCTATAAGATTGACTTGAAGATGTTCACATAAGTGAGATAGACAGCTAAGAACAATATCATAATGTTCATAGTGACTATGTGAGTCAAGTATAGCCAATCCACTCTCCCCTGCTAGGTAATCTCGAGCGGATTGATGGACGAATTCGATGTTGTTTCCCTGTATTCTGATGAATGATGCACAGTGATTAACTAACAACTTGATTCTATCATCTCCGCGAGATAGACCGGTCACGCTAAGAATTTCTTCGATTTTTAGAGGCCGGTAAACCAGCATCATTGCTTTTAGGAGCCGCATATAATCATGGACATCATTTAGCTGGCCTTCACATAACTCAGTCAATATCCGGTCGTAAAAAGGATGTAGTCCAGGCGGCAAGTCTTGAAGAGCGGTCAAAACTTGATCCGCACAGATATTCTCAAGCCTTTTACATGCCAGGCTCACCCATAGAAAGGTGCCCTCGGCTTTCGCAGAAAGCTCGGTTTTCAATTTTCTCCCAAGTGCCTCTCCGTATCTGTTTTGAAGGTTGAGCTCATCAACTTTGTACGAGATGTAGGTCTGTACAGACTGAGAGATATGATCTGGGTTAAGCTCTAGACTAACTTGCATCTGCTGATGCCCAGCTAGTAATGTGCGCTCTGCAGCATCTAATGGTCGGCTTGTCAGGAGCCACTTGATTTTAGTGGGTTGATCAAGGCCGTTTCGGACGACAAGTTTCAAGAAGTCGGCCATGCCACTGTCTTGACACTCATCAAGGGCATCCACGATGATATATACCCTTGAGCATTCACACTGCTCTAACATCTCCCAAAAAATGTCCCATAAAACTCGCCATGAGTTAATGTCCTCACTGAAACGGTCATTCTCAGGGTCCCATCGACGTCGTAAAGACTCTTTTAGTTCACCTTGCTGGCTGACCAACCTACTAATCAAGCCTTTAATGACCGATTCCAAGGTATTCAGCTCACTGTCGGCATTTTGGCAAAAGAAATAAGTTACCACAACAGACTTCTCTTGTTCTTGGGAGAGCACTTCGATAAGACCGATCGACATCATTGTTTTCCCTTTCCCAGCACCGCCCTTAATCCAGAGCAGACTTATATCGCTCCCATTTCGCCAACTATGATACTGCGGGTCCCGGAGAACCCACTCGAACCCTTTACGGAGTAATTTGTCCTTGGCCTCCTTTAAGCGGGTTTTCACGGCTAGAGAGTCTGGGCAGCGTAGTCTTTGGAGGCAAATCCGATCAATGTCTTCAACGGTATGTCCTTCATGGATGAAAATCTATTAGCTCATATCCAGCCTTGTCGATACAGATCAAACTTACCCTGGTGGATTTCCGCCCTGACCAGGCCGTTAATGGTACCAATCTGAAATCCATCGTTTCTGCCATGGAATATAGTCGACGTCGTCATGACCGCAAGTTACACAAAATGCCGTAAATGTATAAGAGTTGCGCCCGTTGGAGTTGCCAGCCACTCCGCTGAGTGAGGGGCATCCTGCAGCTCCATTATCAGGTGACTAGAGCGTGCCAATACGCCGTTTTCTTACTGACCATCATAAAAATCCTATCCTAGGACCTAGAGACATAATTTTCAAGCAATAATCTAAACAAAAGGATGGTCAAAGGGATACCAAATAAACATGCATTTTAGTATACAAGAACCTGGATGGTACGATAAGACAACTTCTTTGCATACTCGTATAGTTCGTATCCTGGAACTTTGTTAGATTCCAGCTATTCTATGTATGGAATAGTGTGTCTTGCCATTAGGGTTCGAGAAAGAGTCAAAGAGTGTAAGTGGTGACACCGGTTTCTGGAAGTACTGTACCTGTATTTTTTGAAGACCCTCACTCTTGCAAACCGATTCAATTAAATATTCAATTGTAACTATCACAAGTACCGTCTTCTAGTGTTCATCATTCAAAAACTCCTTCCAAGGTTCTCGTTGTCGCCGTCGCTGCCCTGAGCATACTTCAAAAGATCCTGAATAGATTTCACGGCACGAGCACGAAAATAGCAATTGAAAATTCAGATTTTATTTGAATGAGACTCTACCCAACCATATCTGGGCTACGCTGATTATATCCTCCCTATACATAAAGCTTGGCATGCAAATTTGGAGGTATGTAAGGACCGACGGACTCTGAACCTCTTCTCAATGACCTGTTTTACCTTGGACATTTGAAGTCGAGGAACAGGAAGCTGTGTATTTTGACATCAAAGAGGACTGTGTCACATCCTTTGAATTGGAGTCTGGAAGGTGGTCCTATACTTTGCATGCCCAGGTGGGTATATGCAGCCTCCAAAATAGACAGATCGCTTTCCAAGTCAATGCAGTGTAAAAGGAATCAATGACGCAAATAACTGGTGGCGTCAGTTTCGAAGAACATTAAAGAACTCCAGCTTATTTGATTCCTGTTAAGTCAAAGCTTTTCAATTGGACTGATTCAAGCTCTAGTGCTCGTGCTCCCATCTGGGAAATGTTCTTTCCCAAGTTTCAATCTGACCATTCTACTTACCTCCAGGTTCCGGGATCCCAGGCTTACTATCTAGGTACTTCTACTCTAAAGTTGCATCTACACGATCTTGGAATAGTAGAGATAACATCTGATAACTGGTACTCCTCATTCCAGTATTTCATTCTGCACTGATTACTTAACCCAAGCGCCCAAAACACCTCTTCCGCAATTAACTCCGGCGCAACAAGCTGCAAAGTATGAGCCCTAGCTCTGCCAAACGCATAAACAAACTGACTATCCTCCTGCAACGCAAGATATCTCCTGAACCTCCTCTTCCCTCCGAACTATGACTTGAATCCATTCAGTCAGATTTGATCTAACATCTTCAGTATCATTTCCATGTTTCGCTCCATATAGGTGAGCTATCAGTGAAAGTGAAGATATCACAGAAGCCCGAGATCTAGGCTACAATGTTCTCTAGAAACAAATCAAAAGCTCGAGCTCTTCAACTCTTCAGAGCTGATTTGCTATCCTCTAATCCAGCAGAAGCAACATTAGAATCAGTGGCTTTATCGGGTACTAGTGGTTCTCACACGACGAATTCCACAATGCATTGCAGCATCTACTAAAAATCCAGATAGAAGATCCTTGATCGTCACACAAACACTATTGCCATATATATCAGTGTTCTCTAGGTAGTGTTTATCCCTAGCTTATACTTGATAATTCAGATCTTACTACTCCGTACTCTGACGTTGAAGTTGAGCATCCATTGCTATCTAATTTCATAATTGTCTCCATATACTTCTCCTGTGGGCTTGAGTAGAGCTCACGCCATTGGAGGTCTGATTTCCTGTATGGTACCTAGGTAGGTAGATTTATTAGATTCAGTACATATGAAGATACAAGTGCCTATGTCTGGGCATTTGCTTCGGGTTACAGGGTTACAGAGATATATGCACGAATATTTGGGGCTGTGTGACTGAGTAATACAGCGGTCCACAGTAAAAACCAAATGCGCTCAAAGGCCTCATTTCAAGTTCCGGGTATCAACAATCTCATAAAATCTTAGAGCCATATCAAGAATCATGCATAGATCCCTCCTCAATCACTCACATCCCCCCGTTCAGCAGCATCAATAGCAGCTCGCCTCTCCTCAGTCCCAATAATCCCCAAACTACGTCTAAGCATCTCCTCAAAGCCGGAAGCAGCCTCACGATAGGCATCGACATCTCTCAAAACTGGAGCATTCGGATCTTTAACCCTCCCGAACCCATAAACCTCCTTGACAAGCCCGGCAACACCATCAGAGCCAACCTCGATCTTCCCACGCGGTCCAAGCATGTACTCGATGACCTCGTCACCACCGTCCATCTCCCGACTCCTAGACAGGTAACCTTCCTTGCAGAGGCGGGCTAGGAATTTGTCTGTGCGGTCGAGGGGTGTGTAATCGTCTGCGCGCATACGTGCTAGGTAGCGGATTATTTTCTGCTCAGGGAGTGTTCCCCCGTTCAATGCTATCACTGCGATTATGAAGGTGTAGAGACCTATGTACGTGGCTTCTGTGCCCGTTGATGGCACCTTGGCTGGTATGAGGATGTCAGCGTTGCGGTATTCGTGGGGAAGAACACTTGTCACCACCCAGGATTTAGTGGTACTTGAAGACTTTTCAGTTTTTTGCGCAGCTGCTCGGCACAGCACAACGTCAGCATGATCAAGATCAATAATCAAGAAATTGGAAGCAAAGTTCCCATGGAGTAGATTGCAGATTATAGATCTCACCTCGCCGCTGCGTAATAGTGACTTTCTCCTTGGCAGGTAACTCCGTCATTTCCATGCCAAACCGATTCCGCAGCTCATTCTGCGCAGACTCAAAAACCTTCTTGAACTGGCGCGCGCCTTGCTCGCCGAGGACTTTTGTGCTTATGTCTCCACGCCGGATGGGCAGGCGCGCGTACTCGCTTGAGATGGCCATTCGTACCATCTTCTTCACCATTGCGTCTGTGCTTGTTGGGGCGTTGTTCTCGCTGTCGCTGTCTGACATGTTTGAGTCTGCGCGGGGTCTTTGAGTTTCTGGTTCCGAGTCTGAGTCGGAATTTGCCTGGTGGTGTTAGATTGGTGTCAAGTGGGATGAATGGTATGAATTGGAGGTAAGTACCTGAGCGGTTCTTTTACGTCCTTGGGGCATTTTGTGTGGTTTGATTTTTGCTTTGTTTGAGTTGTGAATTGGGGTGTCTTTGACGCGACGTGATTTTACCGTATCGGGAGCTGGCCTGTGCGTATCTTTGGTTTCTTTGTGAGTGGCGATCATTGTATATTTTTTTTTTCACGGGAATTATGTTTTGCTGAATAAATATATAAAGGAGTCAAAGGGCTGATAAATTCAGTTTATTTTAATGATTGAACGATAAAGACCGCTATAACAAGTTAACGATAGTAAGAGAGAAAAGAAGGTGTATATTTTCTCTAACAAAGCACAAGAAATACTAAAAAAAGGCGCTGCACAAAGGAAAAATTAAGGCACAGCATAAGATATAGAGCGGAATCTACCTAGATCAAGTCCAGGTAAAAGTAATCCACTAAATGAAACAGAACCTAGTGATTGATCTTCTCGTTAACAACCTCCTTCACCTCCTCCTTAGCATTCTGAAAGAAAGTAGTAGCCCAAGCCAACGATTCAGACGACAGAACAAGACTGGTAGTAATGACAGCCTTACCCGAAGCAACGAATCCATCACCACCACACTTCTTGTACTCAGTACCAAAGGTGTCGATGACATGATGCTTGACGTCACCAGCGACACGAACTGGGTATACAGCGTTGTTGTAGATAGTACCACGGATCTTCTCGGTATCTTCTCGGATGATGGGGAAGCGAGAGTCGATCTTGCTCAGGCCCTGATCGCCAAGAACATCGGCACGAGAGACATACGGGGCGATGTAGCTGTAGGGGGTGGAGAAGTATGGGAGCACAGGCTTTGCGAAGCGAGCGAAGCCCTGATCGGCGAGATCGATGGACTTTGCTCCGTATGGGTTTTCCTTGAAGACAGCGATGGACTCAGAGACCACTGGGTAGGAGGTCAAGTGCTGTGTCATGTTAGGGTGGGCTGATTCGAGTATGGAAGAGGTGGTACATACATTGAGGAACTGGGAGTGGACTTTCTCGCCATTGACGATGGGTTCAGTCATGGTGGATTCAGCGTGAGGCATTAAGTAGGTTATGGAAGGGAATGAGGAATTAGGATAGATTAGAGGGAAGAGGGAAGAGGGAGAGAAGAGGAAGTGAAAACATGGTGGGTATATAGCTATTTTTCACATGTGATTGTGTCAAGGGTAATCCAAATCATAATCATAAGCATAATCTCCCCTCTTTCCTCTCCATTTCTATTTCCATTTCTATTTCCCTTTTTAATCCCCTGTTATTTAATCTATTCCCCATTTGCAAAGTTCTATCATTCCACACTCAATTACTTGCTTTATACTGTATTTCCTGTATTGAAATGAGAAAAAGAGCGATTCTGATAAGGTCGCTTACATGTGAATGTGGATCCCCCAACCCAGCTAGTACCAACTACTATTATAGTAGTTACTACGAATAGATAGCAGATACCAAAATACTACAATGACGAATTCAACTATTATACCAAATCCGGATATTGGAAATAGTGTACTGAGTGTAGATCGTGACAAATGAAGGCTGAAAAATAGCATTTAGAAGTTCCGTGTTCGTCCTTGTTCAGCCCTACTTACTGATTCGTCGCTTAAAACTTCCAGACTCATCTAGACGTTGATACCATCGGTCACTTTTTATCGTCTTCATCCATTGACCATTCACACTACCCCGTAGACTGATCTCCAGTTCCGCAGAACATAATGCATGTTACAGCACAGAAGGTCCGAGTGCTGGCTATTAATTATCTTTTGTACAGAACTGCTTGGTGGCTTGATGGTGTAGTACATGACAGCTTGTATACAGCCTACTTAAACGTCGGAGCCTTGGGATTTCTTTCTAGTCCAGAGAATCTTGGAGCCTAGGATTAGTTCACTGTTCACTAATTATTAACTGGCATGATTAACAGTGTAAAAGAGATTCAATAGGATGTGCCTTGTCAGGTGACTCAACTCATATTTGAATATTCTGATACAAACCTCCAAGGTAGATTCGATCCATGGATAGTTACAAAGTCCCTATCCCTGGAGATTGGCATTTTGTACCGAGCTGATCTAATAGGACATATGCTCCCACGGTCGATAGTGGTACAAACACAACATGAAACCAGTTTGGATTCGAATGAGATCTTTTTTTATCTTATCTGTCACCTTCATCACGTAATTAGTAGTAGTAAAATACCTAAAGTAAATCACCACCGAACCGCCATCACTACCGAGCTGCCACCCCAGAACACCATAGTAAACTCGAAAAAATTGAATATCATATTTCAACAACCACTAGTTAAAATGATTTCAAGTCTCGAAATCGGATTATTACTAGTTAATTAAATGCATATTTAGAAAGAAGGATTAGGAAATTATCGAGTAAAGTGTATTTGAAGCTAAAATAAATTAATTACACCGTAATTTATGATACTACTATAATCCCTCTATTTAATTTACTTAAAATAAATTGATTCTTTGTGAATATTGTTATAGTTATACCTCACCGAATATTTGAATTATATCAGTGTCACGGTTGTTAAGATGTGATATTCAATTTTTTCGAGTTTACTATGGTGTTCTGGGGTGGCAGCTCGGTAGTGATGGCGGTTCGGTGGTGATTTACTTTAGTAGATGATATTAATAGGGTATTAGAATGAATAGGGAAAGGAGCTCAGAGGGTAAGGAAGCCTAGTTAACTACCTAAGTAAATATTCATTTACCCGTACCTGTAATACTCAGATCCGAAGATAACCCTTAAGGCCTGACCTGAAGTCGAAGTTATAAATCCGTCAAATCCAATTTGGACTCAGGCTAAACATTGTTCATGTACGCAGTCCAACTGTCGTTGAGATAAGATTTGATCACATGAACTCACACCGCCAATTTACGCTCAGGTGTACTTTAATTATGACGCTACATGTGACCTTGATGTAAACATGAAAGAACATGGAAGGGAAAACTTTTCGAAGGCGCATGGGAGGGTATTATCGGTGCATCGTACAAGATTGTCGCAAGATCGTCAAGATATCGCAGTGAAGAGTAATAGTTCATATTTTCCATTCATAAGGTAGGCACCGTTTCTTAGGGCGCCCATCCTCGTTCAAACTGGATCATCGATACATTTCCGAATCTGTTCCCAGCTATGGCAATGTCTTTTCCATCCCGTATCGAATGTCCCCGATCGTTTTTTTCCCACACCCCTTCACATGAGCCGTGTGTGCGCTCAAAACGACAAAACGCCCCAAGAGAATAATCTAGAAACCTGCAGTCATAATTACGTTAGAAAAAAAGAATATGCCCACGAAACCGTGACAGGATAACGTACGCAGAGGAGTGAAGAACCAACGGTTCTTGCCGCTGGTGTAGCGGTCCTCGAGGGCCTTCTTAACAGTCTTCTTGGCATCCTCACGCTGGGAAACCTCCTTGAAGGTCTCGGCAGAGACAACGCCCTTGAGACCCTCAAGCTCGAGAGTGTAACGGGTGGGCATCAAGTGGTTGTAGTTAACGACCTTGATAAAAGGCTTGACCTTGGAGCGGCGGTCGACGAGCTTCTTGCCCATGCGCTTGGTGACCTTGGAGGGGTAACGCTCGATACCGGCAACGATGGCAAAGGGGAAGGGGTGTGCCTTGGTGCCGTTGTCGTTAGGCTGGACAATGACGACCTGTGGAAAACATCAGTAACCCAAGATTTCAAGATGTTGCACAGTGATTTTTCTGCAGATTGAAATGCGATTTCCAGATCTTCCTCGCTCGTCTCGGGTTCAAGTTTTCCTTTTTTCCATTTCCACCGTCCATCGCTTCAATCTGCTTCACTATTCCGGAGTACCAGGGTCTTTGTCGTACCTTCTTACCGGCGAAACGGCCACGGGTGATGATGGCCACACGGCCCACTTTCATGACTATTCCAACATTCTCGTCAGTATGGAGTCGTAGGGGTCGTGAGGATGCGAATACTAACACTTCATTGTGAAGGTCCGGTAGGCGGGGGATTGGCGGATGATTTGTCGACGTACGGAACAATCAAGATCGAAGTGTTCAGGTTTTCGCTTGGGGAAGGGCTCAGGGCAAGATTGGATTTGTGTGGTGGGTCGTGATTGGCCGCTTACCGACCATTAATTTATCTAACCGTATCAAGACTAGTACAATGTAATGACTAAGTCAAGCCTCAAGGATGTGGATTAACTATATCCCGGATGTTTTGTGATGGACGGGAGTTTCGGCGACAGCTGGTATTAGGCCCAAATGTCCATTTATCGGAAGAAACCCAACTATTCTGCCGGTTGTTTTGCATTCACTTAGTTTCTTGAAAATCCATGCTTGTTGAGCCTTAGATATCACATGTTCATCCTAATAGTTTACGTGGTCTCGTGAAACGAGCCAATATTTGAAGCTTGATCTCTGCAATTGATCGTATCATTCCAAGATTCATCGACAAGACTAGATTCTAGATTCCAGATTCCTAGTGGGGACTTGAGATCTACTCCGTTGAATTGTGGAAATTTTAATATAATCTCGCTCTATGAACAAGATTCATGGTTCCGAGATGATAAAATAATATGACCGTCTATTTCTTGTTGATTACAGATAGACAGTGCTTAGTGCTATGCGACGATGTCACATTAACAAGTGAAGAACCTTGGAGAAGAATATCCCAGGAACCAATGGACTACGTACTCGCGCAGGGCGGTCAGTGTTTGTTGACATGACGACGGGTTCCTGCCCGTTGCTATGGAGCCTAATGATGTGTTCGTACCTACTCTAGTCAACTTTTCTCCACTTCTTAATAGATCTCCCAGGCACTTTATACTCTCATTCTAAAACATCTTTCCCGCTGCAGTTTTTTTTCTAGCGATTTGCAGTTCCCACGACTAACGACCTTGTTTTGATTTTGCGAAATAATACTACATTCCTGTCGATAAGCGACAAATACCTCTTCGAGACAAATCTTGTCTTTCTACCACAACACGAAATCAGAATGGCTTCTCAAGATCGAGAGGCTTCTTCCCGCGATCGGGAACTGGTTCGACATCAGCTGCCTCCCAACGAGTCGAATCGACACTTAGTTCCAATGTACGTTCTCCCCATTTAATTTTTATGACCTGCAGCCTGCAAGCCATGCCTATCATGTATGATGGGAACCGTAAGCTGAGACGTAGTAAATCCAGGTGGGATAGCTCTGATCCCGAACGTGCTCCTCCGCCTCTGCCACTGAATCCCCGCTCCATGAGCCCTGTCACGCGATCCAATGTGTCGCCCAACGTCCAAGCTATCGCAGCAAAGTTCACTGGAGGGCCGAGTGAGAACCATCTCAGCTCATACACAACAAATCCTATGCCACCAACCAACAAGTCAGGCTCTCCGGAACGATCCTTGGTGAAGGGTCACTATCATAAGCGCATGCAATCTCTACAACCATCTGACACCACGGCTGATGCGCGGTCTGAGTTTATGAATTATCTCGAGAATCGCTCACCTGAACGGCCACTTCGAGCCACGATTGTTGAGCCCCAGCCCAAGCAGCAGGACGTAAGCAATGGAGCAGGCTCTCCCTCTAACCGCCCATTTGAGCGAGACATCCCTAGCTATGTTTCGAATCGTTATCTATCGAAACCGATTCTCGGAGACGCCAATCCATCTGCAACCATGTTAGCTCTTCAAAATATGCAGCTCCCTTCCGAGATGGATCCTCCCTCTCCATCCAAACCTCCTAAAATGATTACTGCCACCGCCGATACCTCAGGGCATACTATGAGCTTAATCTCTACGCAAATTCTCAGCCTCACTGATATATGCAGCAGCTTGCAGAAAGAAATGTCCAACTTGAGTCGACGCAGCAAAGACAACGCTACCGATCTTGTTAGTCTGAAAGCCGCAACCAACAGCCGTGATGAAGACATTCGCAAGAGCCTGAAGGATCTTTCCTCCAGTCTTGCAACAAAGTTGATGGATGGTGATCTTTCAAGGTCGGATCTCAGTGCTTTCTTGAAGCCAGAAAATCTCCCTAACCCCGGTGAAATGGATAGTTCTCCAACCTCCAAGAGAAGCTACTCGCATTCTCTCCCGCGTATGACGAGCCCTAGTCCCTTTGCAAACTTTGACCGAGACATATGTGGTTCGCCTACGCCTATCACAGACGGTTCAGCCAGTATTGCACTCCTTGAAAAGGTGCTGCGAGAGATGGCTACCAAGGATGGCGAGGAGCGACTCTTGGAACTTGTCGACGAAATAAAGACCCGCCCTTCACCAACAGCTTCCAGCAAGAATACCGACAAGAAGATCACCAACATGCTCGAGGAAATATTGAAGGTCGTTAAAGAAGACCCCTTGAGTAGATCTCTTATGTCGCAGCCATCCACTGAAAGCCTCCGCCCCCTGACGGAAGACCTAAGAGTATGCGATCGATGTCAATGGATCCGGAGGCCACGGTGCGCGCACTCGATATCCCTAAGCTGTCTAAGAATGATGAGGTTTTGTCTATCCTCCGCAGTGTGAAGACAAGTGTTATTGAAGGCGGTGGTATGACCAATGGTGTAAAGGCCCTCGTCCGTGAATTACGCGGAGAGGTTCTAGGCATGGGTCGCAACCTTGCTCGTCAATTGGAAACTATTGAGTCGATTCGCTCGGAAGATCACGAGGAAAAGATCCAACCGCCTACTGCAGAGGAGATATCCGCCATTGTCAACGAGAATCTTGAGGATCTACGAGAGCAGTTGGCTGCTACTATCGACGAAAGCCGACAGCATTCCACCGCGCTGTCCACTTTCCAATCCAGTTTGAACAGTGCAGAAATCTACTCAGTCGTCAAGAAAGCCCTAGATGAGTTGGAACTCCCTCAGCCCCAGGCTGAGACTCATGGCCCCGTCATGGAGAAGGAGGATATTCTCGAGACAGTCCGTGAGGCATGGGAGACCTACAAGCCTGAGATCGAACTGCAGAACTTCGGCTTGGAGCGCGATGAGATTTTAGATGTTCTCTCCGAGGGCCTCAAGTCCTATCAGCCTCAACATCAGGAGTCTTTGACATACGAGGAAGTCTTGGCTGCTGTTCACACAGGAATGGAAAACTTCAACCCTCCACCTATCGAGCAGCCTCCATCCATAACCCGAGATGAGATCATCCTCACAATTCGCGAATGTTTAGAAAAGTCCGAGCCTGTTTCCCGCGGCCTTGACGAGGACCATGTCAATCATCTGAACACCATGAGGGATGATATTCTCAGTGCAGTATCCGATAAGCTGCAACCCACACCATCGCTGGGCGAAGAACACGTCACTTATTTCAATTCCATTCGTGATGAGATTCTGGCTGCATTGGCTGAGAAGGATGAGTCGTCTTCCAGAGGTGCAGATGAGCAGAATGTTGATCACATGTACTCCATTCGTGATGAAATCATGAATGCTATGCACGAGCAACACGAATCTGGCGAAAATCATCTTACACATCTGACGTCGATGAAGGACGATATTTTGAATGCCTTGCCCGAGAAGCTGCAGACCATTCCGATATCTCTGGACGAGACTCACATCGATATCTTCCATTCTATTCGCGATGAGATCCTGGGTGCTATTGCAGAGAAACATGGATCTTCTTCGCGGGATCTTGATGAGGATCACGTGCGTCACCTTGATTCTCTTCGTGACGAGATTTTGAATGCTGTGACTGGGTCGATGGTTAGCCAAAGTACGATTAGCAAGGAGTCCTTCGATTCCGGCATCGGACGTGATGAGATTGTCAGTGCGATCTCCGACGGCCTCGAGGCCCACTTCAGTACGACGAGGGACACCCAGCCTGATGAGTCTCGTATCTCCCGAGATGACGTTGTGAATGCCATTAATGAAGCATTTTATGCTCAAAATTCTGCCCTTGTGCCGCCAAGCATTTCTCGCGAGGAGATCATGAATGCCATTGTTGACGGAATCGAGATCGTCAACAGCAACAAATCTCCAGAAACAGAGACCGCCCTCACCACAATTCAGCCATCTATCTCACGCGAGGATATCCTGGAAGCTATTGCTGAAGGTCTTGAGAGATCTGGTGGATCCGAAAAGTGCTTGACGAGCGACGTTCAACAGCCATCCATAACTCGCGACGAAGTGTTCAATGCCATTACGGAGGGCATTGAAAGCTCACACACCATGACACGAGAGATTGAACTGAACAAGGACGATCTCTTGGAGGCGATTACAGCTGGTCTTAACGAGGCAGCCACCACTGCAAATCTCAATGTTGGCGATCAAGTGCTTGAGCGTCTTCAAGACGTGGTTGAGGGTATGAAGGAAGAATTCAAACAGTACTCCGCCGCAAATGGTAGGGACACTGAACAAGTCCTGGACGCGATTAAAGATGGCCTTGCCGTCGTCAGAAAGGAGGTCGAGTCCTATGCCGGGGAAGTTTCAGGCGAGTCGAGCAAACTTGAAATTATCGACACCGTCAAGGAAGGCCTCCGACTTCTTCAAGCAGATATGGAAAAGACAATTACAGATGCGTCTTTGTCCATTACACCCCGTGGCAACCCTGACACGCCAGAGTTGATTGACGCCATGGAGAGAGAATTTGAACATCTCCGCGGAACAATCAGCACTCTCCTTGTCCGTGATAACGCGGCTGGTGACAAGGACGACATCCTGGATGCCATTCATGCACTCGGTGAACAGCACAAGTCCAATCCAAGTGATGATCAGATTATCAATCTCATCAAGGAGGAGTTCGAGAGTATGCGTGAGCGTGTTGATTCTCGTATGGAATTGAGCGTCGTCCGTTCCGAAGACTCAGAGGTGAAACCGACTTCCTCCGACAAAGATGAAATCATCACCGCCCTTCGAGACCACTTCGATACCCTTCGTGAAGAGACTATGCAACACAAGGATGGCAGTGAAAGTATGCTGTCTACGACCAGCGAGCTACTGGACGCCTTCCACGACGGCATTGGTACGATTCGCGGCGATATTCAGAGAGTCCTGGAGAAACCCGTTGATTTCGACAGCTCAGAAATCATCGAAATTGTCAAGGGTGGCCTGGCTGAACTCAGAGAAGACATTGATTCTCTCCGGGGATCCTTCCAGGAAAAAGAGCCAGATATTGAGACTGCCCGTGGCGATGAGCTTATGCTTGCTCAGGACTCCGCCATTGGAGGAGAATTCGATGCTCTGAAGACTCTCATCAGTGAGTTACATGCGAAGGTTGAATCTATTGAGTCTGCCCCTCGCACAGCTGAGCCTCCAGTTCCAGATGAGGACTCACTGAAGCGCAGCCATCTTGACGAGCTGCTCGTGGGGCTCCAGGAAGTCCAACTTGCCATGGGTGAGGCGAGTGCCAGCCGCGAGCCGCCCGAGGGTATGGCCCGCAAAGAGGATCTTGAGGTCATCGAGACTCTCATCATGGAAACCAAGGCTCAGATCGATGAGATGGTTATTCCATCCCCTGATGTGATTGCTACATCTGAGCAAATTGGTGCTCTTGAAGCAATCGTCCGGGAGGCCAAGGATGCCATCGGCGACTTGTCGACTCGTTTGGAGGCCGAGGCTTCTACAAAGTCTGATATTAGTACCTTGGAGACCCTTCTCAAAGACGTCTGGATTGCCCTTGAAGAGCTTAAAGGCAAGACCAAGGAGGATGAAGAGGGAGAAGCTGAGGACACAGACAAACTACTCAAGTCCGATCTTCAGACGGTGGAGGCTATGGTGTTTGAAGTTAAGACTCAGATCGACGAGTTGAAACTCCCTGACGTTGAAGTACTGCCCACTAAGGATGAGATCCAAGCGCTCTCAACACTTGTGAACGACTTCCGCGAGACGATGGAAGCTAGCAATGAGCAGACCGGTCAAGGCTTTGACGCCCGCAAGACTGAGCACGCCGGGCTGGCCGAGAAAATCGACGAGGCAAAGTTCGTCGTCAGCGAACTCGGAGATGAGCTGAAGAGCAAGCTTGACGGTAGCAGCGAGGGACTGACCGAGCTGAAACAAGTCCTAGAAGGCTTGGCAATCTCAGCTGAGAGTTTTACCACCGTCGAGAGCGTCAAGGAGCTCACAGACCTCATCAACCGTGAATTCGAGCGCGCTCGCGGTGAAGAAAATGCAAGCACCCTGGACAAGGAGGAGCGGGACGCCGCAGCTTTGGTCAAGCATGATGAGACTCGGGCTGCGATAATTGTCGAGCTTGGTAACAAGATCGATGAAAAGATTGAAGAAGTCCTCGCGAAGTATGAAGATGCACACTCTGCTCTCCACTCGAAGCTCTCGGAGTCTGAGGAGCGGGACCTAGCCCACACTGAAGCTGTGACGAGCACTAAGTCCCTCGCTGAAGATATTCTGGCGCATACAGAGACCATTGCCGGTACTAAGGCTATTGCTGAAGAGATTCTGTCTCACGCCGAGACCATAACAAGCACCAAGTCCCTCGCTGAAGATATCTTGACGCATGCAGAGACCATTACCGGTACCAAGGCTATTGCTGAAGAGATCCTGTCGCACGCCGAGGCTATCACAAGTACTAAGTCACTCGCAGAGGACATCAAGCTGGTAATTGGTGCAATGGGAGATAATGTCACTGAAACTTGCGAGCGCATCAGCGAGGAAAGCAAAGCTCTTGCTGGCAAAGTTGAGGAATCATCCACCCGACTAGAAGAGATGCACAGTGATATCAAGTCTCACCAACAGCAGTCTCTAGGCGAGAGCGAGCGAGCTGTTGCAGCCACTGAACGTGTGGAGGCCAAGCTGCTTGAGTTCAACCCTCAAATCCTGGAGACCGTCCAAGAAATCTTGACACTCGTGGGCCAGCACTATGACCACTCGCAGAAGTCAGCAGAAGAGGTTAGAACCGAGCTGTCTGCCCTGCCGTCCTCCCTTCCTAGTATGTTCCCTGCGCTGATGCCTCCCCCTGATGAGTCTGCTCGAGACATTGGGGACGACCCTGTACACTCGAAGCTGGATACTCTTCTGGATCATGTCAAGAGCAGTCAAATTCAGGAAGTCCTCAATACGCTTCTTGAACACTCAAAGAATGATCAACTCCATGAGAAACTTGATCGGGCCTTGGAACAGGGATCCGAATCTGGCAATCAGATCTATGAGAGATTGGATCAAATTCTTGAACATGCAACCAATGGTAGTGGGTCGGTCAATGAAAAGCTTGACCAGCTCCTCAGCCGGCCGACGCAAACCATTGACCCCGAGCAATCAGTTACTCAAATGATGAAGCTTGACGAGATGCACAAGGACATCATGGAGAACTCTCGCAAAATGAATGAAATGTTTGCGACTCAATCGACGCTTATCGCCGAAGACACTAAGCGTAAGCAGCAAGAGGCCGAGGATGCTGCCGTTGCTTTGGAACGGAGAGTTGCGCAGCGTGAGCAGGTCGAAGCCGAGATTGTCGATCTACACGAGGAAAAAGATTCTCTTCTGAAGATGCTCCACACCCTCCAGACCGAGAGGGATGATCTTGTGAAGCATAACACTAAGCTCACCAAAGAGGTTTCTGGTCTAGAAACCGCCCTTGAGATACGCCACCAGGAAATGCAGCAGATGGAGGATCGTGCCGATAGTCTTGAGAAGCGCATTCTTGAGGGTGTTCTCGACCATGCCCGCACTGTTCTACTAAGCCGAACTAACGGCGTCCATGCTATGAACTTGAAGAGAAACCGAAGCACTCGCAGCTCACGCAGTGCTCGAAGCCGCAGCCCCAGTGTTCTCAGTACCGTCAGCACCATGCGAGATTCCAGGGACAGTCGTAGCATCCTCGGTAACGGTGTTGGCATGGCCCTCAAGCGTCGTACACCGACTGTTCTGCAAACAGGACCCACTGCTGTCCAGCCGAACATTGGCAAAGAACGTCGTATTCTTAGTTTGAGCAACGTATCCGACCACCCCAGCAGCGGCATTACGAACCTCAAGCGCAGCCACTCCGTGAAATCCAACTTCTCTCTCCGCAAGGCCTCATGGGCCGGCCGAAGCTCCGTTTCAAACAAGGAGAATGAGGCGTTCCCGGAAGAGGACGAGCTTGATAGCGAGGTTGAGAGTGATGCTGGTACAGAACGCCGGACCAGCTATGCGGGTACTGAGCGGAAGTCAAGCTACGCCGGTACTGAGCGAAAAGCTAGCTACGCTGAAACTTACACAGACAGTGATTTGAATGCCGTTACTGACAGTGTCGTTTCAGATGATCGTCGCACCAGTGTTGTGAGTGCCACGAGTGCTACAAGTGTTACTACGGATGGACATGATGCTGTAGACAGCTCTATTGTAAGCTCTCTGGCTGATGAAGATCATGTGTCGGATGAGTTGGAGTCTGATCTGTCGGATGACGATGCTCAGACAGCCCGTGAGGATGATGAAGAGGAGGAGGAATCAGAGGAGGGAACACAGGAGGAGGAAGCAGAGGAAGGAACACAGGAGGAGACAGAGGAGAGCGATGGAGAGGAGCAAACTCATGACGAGGATGCCCTGGACAGGCACATGGCCGAGACTGCCTCGGCTATGGAAGAAGATGTTCAAAAGCTGCTCGGCTCGCCTCCTGATGAGTTTTCTGCCGACATGGTTGTCGCGTGAAGAATGTTTTCGTGTTGATTGGAGTTTTGGGCTTTTTTCTTTTTCATATACCACCCATTTTGTTATCCCTTCTGTTTCTTTAATTTTGTATGACTTTCCTTTGTTGTTTATGTATTATGTTCAATGAGATATTTGAGTTCTCCACCGTGATCAGTACAGATAGTCAGTAGAAACAGCTAGGCTAAATCAGCAGTATGTTATATATCAGCCCTATCAACTTCCAAATGTCCTCATCATGCGACTGATCAGGCGATCATAGGTGGGGTGGCGGCAGATCAAGTTGAACACGAGAGCTATTCACAACATTGGAATGTTCTGTAGAAGGATTACTAGAGTCTAGAATGGATTAAGAAATGATCTCAGCCAAAAGGTTAATATTAGAAGCTATGATTCCTCATCAGGGCAAAAAGGTGTTATATCAAGCTAGTACTAATGGAACATTCCCGGTCTCGTGACTTTGTGCATACATATTCGGTCCACGGTACAAAAAGGACATCACTCCCTAATTCAAGGGTACCCCACCACCCAGTCCTCGCCGACACTAAATCCTTCATCTCCTCACCACGGGATTAGTCTGGTCATAGAGAGGATCCAACCATGCTGGACCCTCTCGGCGACGCACCGGCATGGCTACAGTCTCTTGCCGAGCCGTATACACTGCGCCTAAATAGTCCAACGCTCACACAGCACATCCACGAAGCGATCCTCGCCTTCGTCTTCTACCTATCCGTCCACTACATCGTCTCACCCTTGCTCTCGCCGGTTCTCTTCCCCCGCTCCTACCCGAACTTGAACCCTCGCACTAAGTTGAACTGGGACATTCATGCCGTGTCACTCATCCAGAGCGTCATTATCAGCGGCGCCGCGCTGTGGGTTATGTTCACTGATAATGAGCGTAGCTCTATGACAGCCGGTGAGCGCGTGTTCGGGTATACGGGTGCCTGTGGCCTTATACAAGCCCTAGCCCTAGGGTACTTCGTCTACGATCTGATTGTGAGCGTGCGGTACTTCAACCTCTTCGGCATTGGAATGCTCTTCCACGCCATTAGTGCGCTTTGGGTTTTCAGTCTCGGATTTGTAAGTTGCTCCGATTTTACTTATGCTACCTTGTGTCGCCATTTCTAACTTCCATCCCAGAGACCTTTCCTGAACTACTACGCCCCGACATTCATCCTTTACGAGCTCTCAAGCCCATTCCTCAACATCCACTGGTTCCTTGACAAAATCAGCATGACCGGCTCCAAAGCTCAGTGGTACAACGGCATGGCCCTCCTCTCCACCTTCTTCTGCTGTCGCCTCCTCTGGGGGAGCTGGCAGTCTGTACGAGTCTACTCAGACATGTGGTACGCGCTCCAGCAAACCTGGACAGCGGCCTCCTCAGGCCTCGAGACCCCAGCCAGCGTGAACGCGGTTGTGTTCCAAGTTCGGGACGGAGCCATGTGCATTGACGAGACCTGTGCCCGTGCAAATGCCCAAATAACCCAGTTCAAAGACTTCACTGCGACAGGCGTACCGACTTGGCTTGTTCTAACGTACGTTGCGTCGAACGTAGTGCTTAACTTCTTGAACTACTACTGGTTCTCGAAGATGGTTGAGACCGTGCTCAAGCGCTTCCGGGTTCCCCCTGCCGAGACCGAGGCTAAGAAGAAGGAGGCTCAGAAGTTCGTTGAGGATATTACTATCCAAGCTGCGGCGAAGTTAGAGAAGGAGGAGGGTTCATTGCCTGCGGCGGCTGAGGCTTCAGGTGCTGAACTGGTCGAGGAGGCTCGGAGGCGAAAGGTTGATTTGGTTTCGAAGGTGCCCTTACCAGGGTCGTAGGTAGAGCCTTTCCTTCCCCTTATTTTAACTGCCTCGATAGAGACTTGCTTAGATTATTTGGATATGTCGGATCTGCCTTGGCTTCTATCCGTCTTTTACCTGCGAGGTCTCTTTTGGTTTGCATGTCTGTCTTTTCCTCTACCAGACTGTGACTGCGACTAAGTTGAACTATGTCTGTCAGAATGAGTTGACCTGTTTTGGTGTTCTATGAACTTTATGTTGTCATATATGGTGTGTATAGTTGCTTTGAAGTCCTACAGGACGATGCTTATATTGAGGTTCCGAATTTTGATTCAATGTTTCTTGAAATTGAAGGGTCTAATTTTCGCTTCGAATGAAGATGTTTACGGACTAGCAAATGAAATGAACGTTCAATAATGAGCAAATTTTGATAATAGATTAGCCTTGCCATACCCAGCCAGCTACCATGTTTAATAACACCACATAAGCGCCCCGGGCAATGAGAAATCAAAAAGGGGGAAAAAAGACGGACGTCAAAACACTCTATTTCTGATCTGCTTACCGGCCAAGGTGAGGATCCGGCTTGCCAAGCATGTATCGAACAGCCTCTACAGCCACAGGTGTATTCCATACACTATCATCACCTCCACGACGAAGCTCAGGGCCAGTGTTACTACCGCCAGTATTAGTAACATCACCGATGATAGTCTCGAGGTCACGACGTTGTGAGTTGACCCAGCGCTTGAGGAATTTAGCCGGGTCCTTGCTCAAGTCTGTGTAGAAGGTGTGGCGAGCAATAGAGTGAGAGAGGGATTGAATGATGAGCGCAACCTGATCATCTAGCGCGGAAATCTGGCGCATGCCAGTTGTGTACTGCGGATTCTGGGTGAGAGCCATCATCTTAGCGCGCAGGGGGTCTTCGACTGCGATTTGGATGTCATAAATGGTAGGCGTTGGATCCTTGTGGAATTCATCGTCCACGCGGATAGTGTAGGGGAGTTTAATCGGGTCCATGGGGCTGGTGTGTTCTCCAATACTCTCAGGGATTTGAGGGAAGTACAGTTGCTCGCGGCCGAAGATCTAGGAAATGTTAGTGAGTTGAAGGGTTAAATGAAAAGAGTGTGATCACATACCGAGCGCAAACGGTGGTCACAGCGCACTTGGCGCTTTTCTTCGTCTTCTTGCAGCTCCATGGCGCGAATATAGTCCCAAATACCGAGCACAATCCCGCTCCGGGTCTCCTCCTCAACGTCCAAGACCTCGGCCAACTCCTTGCTCAGCTTATACCGCTCAGGAGTTTCATCTCGCACCAAGCTAATGGTCACATTCAGGTTCTCCTGGGAGGCCCGCGAGAACTGGAGGCTATCAAAGTCGGCAGTGGGCGGTACCGCCGTGGCGTTAGGTGGTAGCTGGGGCTTAACCCAGTTAATGGTCTTCACCTCTTCAGGAACAGCGTTGACAGGCTTATCGAAATCGATAGTGATAGTCTTGAAAAAGTGCGAGAATCGCGGAGTCGGCTTCTTCGACTCTGACGACTTTGAATCTTCGCCCTCGCCCTCGCCCTGGCCCTCGTCCATCGCATCATCATCTTCACTTTGCGGTGAGGTAGGATCATTCTCATCTTCTAGCAATCGCGCCTCGATGCGCACATTATATCTACCAGCGCCAGTGTTACTACCACCCTGCCACGGCTGGTTCTCAACAGTGTTGGTAATCCAAACGCGTAGAGTGCGGTACTTTTTCACGGTTTTACTGATGGAATCTTGGATATCCAGCCTCTTTCGAACAATGGCAGCATCCAATCGCTTCTCCAAGTCGTGGAGGTGGTTGTACTGCTGAACGACTTCGCCAATGACAGCTTCTTCGACGCCAGCGGGGATGTTCTTATCTGTGGGTTTGCGACTCCGGCGAAGGGCTGCATCGTTAGGATGGGGCATTGCGCGTTGCGCGGGCATATACTGAGCATTTACGGCATGTTGGGGCATTGCGACGGGCATCGGACCTTTGGTGTGGAGTTAGATGGAGGTTCAATGGTGAGGACGGAATGGAGTGCTTACCCCCTTGCGGGCGACGTGGCGCAGCTGGGGACCGCTGGACTGGGGCATAACCCCGGGCGTACTGGCCTTGCATGGGAACGTTCATTGGCGATCCGGATAACAGGACGCTCCTTAGATAGTTTGGGTGGAGGATGAGAATGGACGGGGCAGAGAGGTCGCGATTCTTTTGCCGTCACGCTAGACCCGTTTAGGAAATCGCGACTGGAAGCAAAAATACCACAAGGTGCGTTTTATTACTCTTCAAGAAAGATATTCACGGCTGCGATATCAGAAATGGAATTTGAAGAAATATACTTTGCGTGATCATGCATTAATTATGCATATCCTCGATTATTTCCCATTCACTAACATAACTTCCATGAGTCCATTCCTACTCTAGTAGATATCTACTCTAAAAGAGAGGCCTGGTTAGTATACAGCCCCTCCACAACATTACCCAGCTTCTCAATTGTCTCCAGAGCAGCATCGTAGGCCTGGTCACGTTCAGTCTCGTCGTACACAATCAGACAGCCAGAGCCCTGGTCCAAAACACCGATGATGACCTTGTCGAGAATCATCTGCGACAATTTCCGCTCAACCTGTTGTGTATCCAGACCCACCATCTTGGCAATGTGCTCCAGCTCCACCCGACTGAATGGCTCAATAACCTTGATTAAGTTCTGTTCCAACATGGCGTCGTAAAGTCGGCGTAGGTGATTCCGGATGAAGGTGTCACTGCCGAGTTCATATCGGTAGTCGGAAAGTGCCTTCTCATATTCCTCCAGTGATCGGTTGGCATGAGCCCGCGCTACGGCCTTCATAGCCTCCAGGCGTGAACTGGCATACTTCTGTGCCTGCTTCGAGCCTAGCAGTTGCGTGACATCATCGACCAAATTCAGCATGATCTTGCACAGGAGCATATACTGGAGAGTGGCAGTGGCCAATTCCCCCTCGTCAAGGGAGTTATATCCTTCCAATGCCTCGATAAAATACGAGTAGGCGGTGTTGAAATCCTTGTCTTCGGCGTGCAGCATGCCGCTCTGCATATCGAGACTGGCCTGCAGATTGGGAGGGGTGTAGACTGATGCAGCAGATGTACGTGCAGCAGTGAGAGCAGCACGTGCCTTGGGCTGGTTTCCCAGGGCATGGTAAACACGAGACTCAAGCAGCTGCACCTCCACCAGCATCAGCTTGTCATCCAGACGCTTCAGTTCTTTAAGAAGAGAGTTGATGAGGGTGAGAGCTTCGTAGTAGGCTTGCTTCTGCATGTGTATGGCGACCAAGCGTGCTTGAAGGCTTTGTCGCAGGAAAGACCGCCGCTCGGCGATGGCCCACTCTATGCATGATTGGATGACGCTAGTTTGGAGGTCGAGGGTATTGGGAATTTCACTGATCAAGTCCAAGAGTTGTCGAACTAGGAACGTATATTAGCAACTATAACTAGTATTGCATTGGTATGCCGCTTACCCAACTTGGCGGTCTTTGCTTTGGCAAATGACGAGAAGGTGTCTCGACTGGTCTTGATGAGGTCTGCAATTTCCTGTGGCTTCTTCGCATCCCGGTGCAGCTGGCCCAACCCAACCAATGCGTATTCATAATCACGCGATGAAGCCTCTGTCTTTCCTGGACCTTCAGAGAGGATCTTCTGATAACTGTCGGCGGCTTTCGAGGGATCCTGCTTCGCCAGGTCCCGGACTTCCTGTATCCGCGGCGAGACCTGGGAAGAAACTGCCATGATGGATGACTAGAAGGAGCTGAAAACGATAAACCGTAAAATATATGATAATCCTAGCAGTGATTAAACGTGATTAAACGTGAGGAGGTGATGGATTGTTGATAAGCGGGTTGAGAAGGTGAGCATCAACTTGGGGAGCTTAAGCTGGCTGGCAGCTCACACCGCCCGCTTAGCAAATCATCCCGTCAAATGAAAAAAAAGTTCGGTCCACCAAATTATTTTCTTTACATTCGTCAAAGCACTTCACGATGGTAAAATCTACTAATTTCTTCTTGTTTTGAAATTAATTACTAATTATTGACAGAAAATTAAAGCCCTTGCCCGCCCTACGGCGTCACAGCAGGCCCCTGGGTCCTCTACAGTCCGCCAGGCGCGCAATTTGGACCCGGCCCAGCATCCTTTCGAGCGAGCGAGAGAATACACTCGAGCCCTGAATGCTGTCAAGATGGAGCGCATGTTTGCTGCTCCATTTCTGGGACAGATGGGTGACGGCCATGTTGATGGTGTGTACACTATGGCAAAAGATCCCGGCTCTCTTGAACGCTTCGCAAGTGGCAGTGGCGATGGTGTTGTGAAGGTGTGGGATTTGACAACACGCGAGGAGATTTGGCATACACAAGGTCACGAGAACATGGTCAAGGGAGTGTGCTGGACTCCTGATCGGAAACTGCTGTCATGCGCCAGTGACAAAACCATCAAACTCTGGGACCCATATGGCTCAACACCCGAGTCTCCTCCGATGGCCAGTTACCTAGGATCCGGTGCCTTTACTAGTGTCTCACACCATCGCAACCACCCATCCTTTGCTGCATCTTCATCGGTGATCTCTATCTATGACCTCTCGCGTCCTTCTTCCACGCCTTCGCAAACTCTGCACTGGCCGACCAGTGTCGACACCATCACCTCAGTTGCCTTCAACCAGAGTGAAACTTCGATTCTCGCCTCCACTGCCATTGATCGTTCAATCATCATGTACGATCTCCGAACTTCCTCTCCCGTGCAGAAATTGATTTTGAAGCTGGCATCTAACGCCATCGCTTGGAACCCAATGGAAGCGTTCAACTTTGCAGTGGCCAACGAGGACCACAATGCGTATATCTTCGACATGAGAAAGACAGACCGTGCTTTGAACGTACTCAAGGATCACGTCGCTGCTGTGATGGATATTGAATTCAGCCCGACGGGTGAGGAGTTGGTTACCGCATCCTACGACCGTACGGTTCGTCTCTGGAACAGAGATCGCGGTCACTCTCGCGATATTTACCACACCAAGCGGATGCAACGGTATGTTTTTCTCCTAGTAATATCAAATGGATCAAATACTAATGTTCTAAATAGTGTGTTCTCCATCAAGTTCACTCCTGACAACAAGTATGTTCTATCTGGATCGGACGATGGCAACGTTCGACTGTGGCGTTCGCATGCCTCTGAGCGAAGTGGTGTTACAAGTGCTCGCCAGCGAACCAAGCTAGAGTACGATCAGGCCTTGATAAAACGGTACGCACACATGCCAGAAATTCGCCGCATCAAGCGCCAGCGTCACCTGCCCAAGCCTATCAAGAAGGCTGGTGAGATTAAGCACGAGGAGCTGAACGCCATCAAGAGGCGTGAGGAGAATGTGCGCAAGCACACTAGCAAGAAGGATCTGAAGGCGAGACAGAACGAGCGTGAGAAGATGATCTTGGCTCGTGAGCAATAAACGAGGGCTTCGGACCAAAAGGTTGAAAGGCCCAAAAGAGACATTGTACATGTATTCATTCATGTGGTTGCACTGGGTCTGAGCTTCCAAGTTTCTAGACTGCCAACCGTCCTTCAGTCAGTCCGTTCTTTCGAGCTTTGTGATTCTCGATTTCGGCTACCAGAAGAAATGGCATTATCGATTCCACTCAAAGACCGAGCTATGACCTGCAGCGCAGCTGGGAACACAGCATACCAATTGACAAACATCGAAAACACCGGCAGCCTCAGCACCCCTCCCCGACCACTATTCACCGCTGCCACAATTTCACGAGCCACAACGACTGGTTCAAGGACAGGTGCAAAGAAATGGCTCGGCGTGCGAACCCAGTCGAACAGCGGCGTCGACATCTGACCAATTTCCACCAACAGCGTCTTGATATTGCCATCACTGCGAAACTCGGCTTCAAGTGTCCTGTGCAATGCGCTGAGACCTGCTTTACTTGCAGCATAGTCTGACAGTCCATTTGGGGCCAATTGGCCGATCACTGAACTGACAGTGACTATGGTACCTCCGTTCTCAGCCGCTACAATCCCGGGCAAAAAGACCTGATAAAGATGGAATGCAGCGAGGAGATTGGTGCGAATTGTCTTTTCAAAGGCATGCACGGGCAAGTCTAGCAGTGGTTGGCCATTGATCCGAGAAGCAGCACAATTAATGATAATAGTCGGCGTTCCAAGCTGTAGGAAAATTAAAAGCATAGCATTAGCGAATGAACAAAATTCCCCCTATTTCAATATCCAATAAACATAAAATAATATTAGAATAGACATACCTCGGCCTCAATCTTTCCTTGAACCTCCTCCAACGCCTTCCGATCCCCAACATCACACTGATAATACAAAACCCCCTCCCCAAAAACCTCATCCTGCTCCCCTTCGTCCATAGCCCGAATATCCAAAACAGCTACACTACCCCCCTTCATGCCATAGATTTGCGCAATAAGCAGTCCCAGCCCACTCGCTCCACCAGTAATAAGCACAACCTCACGCGCCGAGTCAACAGTACGCGGAATGCCGTACGCCACGCGATGGTTAATGACGCGCGCGACAAATACTAGAGTCAGAAGTGAAGCAAAAGCCACTGCTAGAATAAAGGCCACGTCTGTCGTTGGAGTTACTTGTGCGCGGAGACATAAGACCACTACCCAGGCTATGAAGGGGTTTAGGATTGTGCGGTTTAGCACGGCGAGGAGAGTGTCTATTGTGAGATGGTAGGACCATGATTTTGAATTGAGCGGTTGTTTGAGGGTACTCTTTGAGGTTATTACTTGTTGAGGCATGATATCTTCTCTGATCTTGCTCTGTGGTTGCTGTGATGGGTTGATGTGGAGAGTGTGATTGCGGGATGATTCTTCGCGCTAAACATGATTCGTCTGATACCTTCCAAGCTTGGAAGTTTCAATGCATGTTCCCAGGACATGTTGGTGTTGAAATAAGTCGAAAGTTTGGAGATCAGAGCTGATAACATTTAAAGTGATTTGATTACGGTAAGTCAACTCTAGAGGTCGTTCCGATGTACCTTCAGACATCGAGTGAATAACCAAGTAATTTGAACTCTGAAAGGCCATTTTAAGAGTTAGAGGGGCTACCAAGTACTATGTTCACTCTTATTAAGTTAATACAATCAATGTCAGACTACTTTTTAACTTTTGAATGCGCATTGCGAGGCATAAGCTTTCATCACAATACCCTCATTGAACCCATCAGTTGGAGCTGGGCGAATTATATATGGCCAGCAGCTATCGATTTTGATAATTGATATGGACCTAGCCCAGCTGGAGGATGGAGTCTTGCCCTTTCGCGATTCATAGAGCAGTGGCTGATAAAATCAGTTCCATATAGTAGATCATAGATGAGTATAAATGATCTGGTCTTAGTGTATTACACCTGATAAGTATATATGAATACTAATTGTGACACTTTATATAGTTTATATTTCCCCTTCAAAGCAGCTAATACTGGGACTTTCGCTTGTGAGAACGATATCATACCCCCATCTATGCCGGAAAGATGCTTGGACTTCAGCTCGAAAGCAATTGTGATGCTCCCAACATATAACGGGGGCTTGAAACCCGCCACACCAAAGAAATCTTCCGACAACCTTAAAGCACACGGCTACTTCATTTGACAATTAATTCATTCTGGAGATGAGCGCAGGTATAGCTGTGGAGTTCATAAAGCGCATGCCTATCCCAAATGGTTCTCTTTCTGTATAATTCTTCCTTATACATAAACCACTCTCTCATCTTCCATTACCTCTTAATTACTGACATCTTCTTTAGTATAAGGAACCTTTAAATCGTGACAGATCAAAGCAGCCTTCGCAAGTTGATGGAGTATTCCTTGTATACTTTCGACGGCACGCACTTTTGATGTCGAGATCTGACCAACCAGTTTGACACCGAGTAATCGATCTATTCAACCTGATATGGCCAATATTATTGGTTATGAATTCATTGATGATTCTTTGCTGCAGGAAGAACTCACCTACTTTTCCTAGAAGCACATGCACATGTTATACGAAAGACCCTAACGGTGGGTGATGCGATTCTCGACACAGTGGTGGTGGATATTCTGTTCTCGCCTCAAGGATCTGTCTCAAGGTGACAGGACCTCGGGAGGACATGACCAGCCTAAATTGACTTCGCCTTCTTCCATCAACCAGTCTACGTAACATATTTTCTGGCTCAAATCTGTAAATCATGGCCTCTCTGTTCAGGGTATCTACATATAACTGCCTCCGTACTGAAGATGAAAGCTCTGAGTTACAGGACTCTGTCGCTTCTACTCAGCTTCCAAGGTTCAGTCATTTGAGGAAAAACCTCTATTCAGGTTATCATCATATAGGTATGGTCGAGAACTCATGACACGACACCCTCTTCTTTAAGCCGAGCAATATCAGCCTCTTCATATTTCAAAAGACTGCCCAATATCTCGTCGGTATGTTGTCCAAGTGTGGGAGGAGGAGAGCGTACACCAGGCGTTGCCTCCGAATATTTAATGGGTGTGTTGACCAGCTTGATAGGTCCACAAGCAGAATGTTCAACTTCCGTGACCATGCTCCGTGCAAGAACTAGCAGCAAAGAGTTAGATATCTTTACCTGCAGGAGAAATCAATGTGTCAACATACCATGTTCATGGGTCAGCGTGTCTTGAATATCATTTACAGCCGCATAGGGCATACCGCTTCCCTCGAAGATCTCTAGCCATTCCTGTGTAGTTTTCTGTTGGGTGACATTTTCAATAAGCTCATCGATAACAGCCCGGTGTTTAACACGATCACTGTTTGTAATAAAGCGAACATCGGTTTTCCACTCAGAGAACCCAAGTCGATCACAAAGAACACCAAATAACCGATCATTTCCACCTCCAAAAAGAATGTCTCCATCAAAAGTCTTATAGCTTCGGTATGGCACGATAGACGCTAGAAACAAGAGTAAGTAGATGGTTGATCTGGTTCGGGCTTGATCACCTACGATGTGCGGTACCCCAACGCCCAGAGTCCTTCTGGCCACTAATAAGTGCCGAACTGGCCAAATTACTCAGTGTAGCAACTTGGCAATCACTCAAGCAGGCATCAATATGCTGACCCCTGCCGGTGCGGATTCGCGCAAGTAAAGCTGCCATAATTGCATTAGAAGTATACAGACCAGTTGTCAAGTCCGTGACTGCCACGCCAACTTTCACTGGTGTACCATCTCGCGACCCGGTAATATGCATCAATCCCATCTCAGCTTCTACCATCACATCATAGCCAGCTCGATTACTGTACGGTCCTGTTTGGCCGTAGCCGGTGATACTAGCATATATGAGCTTGGGATTAATTTCTCGCAACGTCTCATAGTCCATTCCATATTTCTTTAGAGCTCCTGGAAGGTAATTTTCGACCAAAACATCGGTCTCCTTGACAAGTTTATGTAGAATCTCGACGCCGGATTTGTGTTGAAATGAGAGCCCGAGTGACTTTTTGTTGCGGTTTACCTGTGGATCGTGGTGAGTATACGTAGGTAAGAAATGTGGGTGTGGGAGAGACGCATACGGCAAGGTAGTAAGCACTCTCTCCAGGTCCCGTCCTTGAGGGATCTTCATATTGCGCATATGGCGGTCCCCAGGCTCGTGTATCATCTCCTCGTACGGGATGTTCGACTTTGATCACATCTGCTCTGTACATTATTTATCAGTCGCCATGAATATTGCAGGATTCGGTGCTCCACATACCCAAGATCACCCAGGATTTGAGTGCAGTAGGGCTATTATGGAGCCAAACTATGTCAGCAGATAACCCAAGGTATAAACAATTGAATAGACTTACGCCCGCAAGAACTCGCGTCATGTCAAGTACACGAACACCGATCAAAGGAAGCGTACCATCTGAACTCGAAGCTGTGGAATAATTTCGTGGAATGCGCAAGGCATTGGCCCAGACAGAGCTGGTGCGGCGAGCAACTGCATGGGCTCTTAGGGTGAAGACCATTATGATCTGACAGACCGAGATAATAGATACTCAATGCCCAGCTCAGAGTCAGCTGTATCGGTATCAATGGCAGAGCATCTAACCCGAACGAGGTGTAGATCGTAACTCCGCCAAAACGCCGATGCTGATAAAGCGGAACCCGCAGCCGAGGTGACAGACTTAACCTTAACATTTGGCAGATCAGATCAGTCATCGCAAAAATGTTTACTGGACTTGTCGAGACAATCGGGAGTGGGTATCTCCAAATTTCCATTAATAATCATCATTAATCTTTTCCTAGCTGTCACGGCCTTGGAGCCCCTCGATATCTCGTCGAGCGGGGGCGGGGGTACATCCCTCACCATCTCGGACTGCGCTGAGATCCTCACAGATGCGCATTTGGGCGATAGTATAAGTGTCAATGGTATTTACTCCCACTTAAAATATGAGCGAACGCACTCTCACACATACAAGGAACCTGCCTCACGGTGACCGCATTCGACAAGACCTGGTTCAAGGTCGGTGTCGCGCCAGAGTCGCTGCGACGTACGAACCTGGGATCGCTGAAGAATGGGTCGACTGTGAATCTCGAGCGTGCAGTCTCAAGCGATACTCGGATGGGTGGGCACTTCGTTCAGGGCCATGTCGATACCGTTGCAGAGATTCTGTCCGTCACACCCGATGGCAACTCGTTGGTGTTCAGGTTGCAACCGCGTGAAAAGGATGTGCTGCGCTATATTGTCGAGAAGGGATATGTGACACTGGATGGAGCTAGCTTGACTGTTACAAAGGTCGTTGATGGCGAAGACGGATACTGGGAGGTTATGCTCATTGCTTATACTCAGGAGAAGGTTGTTACGGCTGGCAAAAAGCCCGGGGAGTTTGTTAATGTCGAGATTGACATTGTTGGCAAGTATGTCGAGAAGAGCGTTCAAGGCTACTTTGCTGGTACCGCCGGGGGAGACTTTGCTGTCCTCGAGAAGATGGTAGCCCGCATTGTTGAAGAAAAGCTGAAGAAATAATTTAACAACAGAAAACTAATAGGGATCTAAAATGAAGATATAACGCATTCATGCCATTCTTTCCCGATCCAGATTATCTTTCAATCACAAACTCCATGTTCCATGTACAGTTGAAACCACCAAGAAACTCGTGGGTATAAAATGGGATCTTTCACACTTTTTTACTCCATAGAATCATCCGAATCCCCTGCTGGCTCCTCGCCATCGTCAAATTCATCACTGAGCCATTCACCGTCATCCATATCCTCATCCTCATCCACCTCTTCGCCATTGGCCTTAGCCTTAGCCTTGTCCTTCTTCTTTCGCTCAACGTTGGCCTTCTGTTCCTTCTTCCTCTGCTCCTTTTGTTTTCTCCGGGCTTCCCAGCGCTTATCCATTGATCTGATTTCCGCCTGAGATTTGGTGACATAGTGATGCCACATCACCTCACCCTCACAGACACCATCTTCGACCTTCATCAGTCGAAGCTTCAACCGGGGACCCAATTCGACCAATTTGACTGCTCGCTTCTCCACACCAGCAGCAGCGGCAGCAGCCTTCTCAATCTTTTTGTCTCCGGCTCTCTGGCGTTGCGCTTCCCGCTTGTTGAGAACCTTACGGGTTGTGGTCTCAGCCATCTCCACCTCGGCGTCGGTGTCCAGCTCCGTCTCACTTGCGGATGTATATCCAGCCGCGGAGGGATCAAGGAGATAGTCTGCCGCGTCCTCCAATCTACCCAAGTTAGGGACAGCAGCACCCGTTCGATCTCTGTTACGAATCTCCTTCGGGTCCAGACGGCGAATCCGTTTTGACACACCCGTCTTCTTAGTGGCGATAGCGTAGTGTCGTAGACTCAGGACGTACGCATCCTTATCCTTGGGATCAGAAGGCTCTCGGTTAAGCAGCATGACGCGGCGAATAGAGGACAGAGGAGTAGCTTGGGGGTTGATGGGAGGGAAGAGGGATTGGAAGATTGTGGTAGTGAGGGTCTCGAGGCGTTTCGGCACTTTATCATTCTCTGTAGCATCTGGAGTGTTGAAGTTGTTCATCACCAGCAGCGGTGGTGTTTTGTGGTCTTGACCACCGCTTCTTGGGCGCTTCAATGACCGCTCAACATCTCGGCAAAGAGAATAGTTCTCAACTTGAAAGTGCATAGTTGGGCCCCGAGGTGTGACAGCAAGACGCATATTTGTATTACCGGTCTTAGACTTGGAGAACAACATAAGATGTGTGACACCGAGGGGACCAGCCATCACGGTATAATCGCGCAGTCGGTTAGATTTACGTTCCTAAAAAATAGATTAGCAACTAGGAAAGGAAGAGAAGTAAGGAATGGCCTACCTTCAGTCTAACAGCGGTATCAGGCTCCATCATCTGACGAACATCCTTCACCAACTGGGTCACACTGCTACCGACTTGAGAAGCGCCAACTCGAATGACCATAGACTTGGGCGTCTTGTTCATAGAAGCCGCACCGGCCTTATTGGCCGCAGATGAAGCATTTTGCGGCTTCAAGTGGGTGCGCTTCTTAACACGTGCCTTGGCCATTGTATTTGATTCTAATTCCAAGCTGGACAAAGAAAAATGGTGGAAATACTAGAGCTGGTAAGTCTGGCTACTGGAGGTTTTTTTTTTTGTCTCCGAAAAAAATACCCTTAGCATAGTTCTGCCAAGTCACACCGCCTTATTTTAAGAAATCTAATAGCGGATCAATAATGTTGCGGGCCCACTTAAATTATTTCAAGATCTCGACCAGCGCAACTTTTTCGATAATACAAAAATAACTTCAAAATGCCGCCAATGAAGAAGCGTAAGGTGGCCCGCGAGGCACCTGCTCCTGTTGAAGAAAAAGACGTGAACTCCTCGAACTCCGAAGCCGGTGAAGATGTCCCCGTCGCCAATGAAGAGATCGCCGATGCCAGCGCCGACGCCGACAGCACACCCGTTGACGAGCCCACTCCCAAATCCTTCAAGGAATTGGGAATTATTGACTCACTATGCGAGGCTTGCGAGACCATGGGATACAAGGCGCCTACGCCTATCCAGGCGGAATCTATTCCAGCGGCTTTGCAGGGCCGCGACCTGATCGGTCTCGCAGAGACAGGTAGTGGAAAGACCGCAGCTTTTGCCCTACCCATCTTGCAAGGTGATTCCACGAATTTCCTTATACAAGACCACGCTGACGATATATACAGCCCTTATGGAGAAACCCCAACCTTTCTTCAGTCTAGTCTTGGCCCCAACTCGCGAACTGGCATATCAGATCTCCCAATCATTCGAACTGCTAGGATCAACCATCGGCGTACGATGCTCCGTAATCGTTGGAGGAATGGACATGGTACCGCAATCTATCTCTCTTGGCAAGAAACCCCACATCATTGTCGCTACCCCAGGTCGACTCCTCGACCACCTCGAAAACACAAAGGGCTTCTCCCTCCGCAGCATGAAGTACCTGGTGATGGACGAGGCCGACAGACTGCTCGACATGGACTTCGGACCTATCCTCGACAAGATCCTGAAGGTCCTCCCCCGTGAGCGTCGCACATTCCTCTTCTCAGCTACCATCAGCTCCAAGGTTGAATCGCTGCAGCGTGCTTCGCTGTCGAACCCACTGCGCGTCTCCGTCTCAGACAATAAGTATCAGACTGTCTCAACGCTGCAGCAGTACTTCCTCCTCCGCCCTCACAAGCATAAAGATGTCTATCTCGTCTACCTGCTAAACGAATTCGTCGGCCAGTCGGCCATCATCTTCATGCGAACCGTGCATGAAACCCAGCGCATCGCATTCCTCCTGCGTGCTCTCGGCTTTGGTGCTATCCCTCTCCATGGGCAGCTATCCCAGTCTGCTCGTTTAGGAGCTCTGGGCAAATTCCGCTCTCGCAGCCGTGACATTCTCGTTGCTACAGATGTTGCTGCCCGTAAGTTTTCCCTCGTTCTTTTCCGTTCCTTCCCTTTCCCTTTCCGTTCCCTTCCTTCCTTCCACATTTGAAATGGCGAGTGCTTTACTGTGTCCTGTTATTTCCTGATCTTCTCATCATGATCTTTCATCTTCAATTACCGCCAAATATGGGGTCTTCAACGGATGATATTTCGATATTTGTCCTTTTTATGGCTTAGAACTGTCTCTCTTATACCATGCTCTCAAGAGTCCCCAATTGGAGACTGTCTCTCCAACCGAGCGTGCAATGCACGACATCCTACAGCTCTCTCCACTCGAATTTGCTGCTCGTCTTCTGCAAGTCTTTCGGTTTTTCAGAGCTCCGACAATTGCCTACTTCAAAACACTACCTCTTCATCTTGACCGGCATTGGGCTGTCTACCTCCTGGTGCTAGAGAAATATGGACACCGTCCAAGGGTCTATATCGGCAGTGGCGGCAAATCTGAGGATATCGTCAGAACAAGGATGTCAACCTACGATAGAAGATCTCGCACCTGGAAAGCCGATAGCCAGATACCATACCATACGATGTCGAAAAATCCTTGCAAGAAGGTTATGACATCACTCATAAAGGCTCACTAGCCTGGACTCTTGCTTCGGAGCGATATGCTCTCCGCTGCTTCTTGTTCTCGAAACCTTATTCACATTCTGCTCCTGGTCAATAAAAAGTCGCATAAAGGACTATGGCATGCCCGGTCTCTGTCCTTGCCCTCGCGATAGCTTCACCTACGACGGCCTTTATACACACTTCTCCATTAACGAAGGCATGGCCGGCAATAATGGCTTGACTGGTGCCAACGAGAACCTCACTCGTCAGGAAATCAATTGTCTCTACTTGGAACGAAAGCAGTTAACAAGTCTCCAATGTGTTGCCAACAATGGAGAAGGTGTGAATGCAGCCAACACTAAGGCGTATGGAGACAAAGCCTTGGAAAAGCGAAGATACAAATGCACCGTCTGCGATCTCACATTTCGCTCAAATGCAAAGCTTGTCACGCACCAACACCGCCCACTCCACATCAAGATGGTCGCTGGAACCCTTCTAGTCCTCAAATAGCCATATCGAAGAAGAAGTATTGGTGCGAAGCCTGCAAGCATGCTGCTGCCAACGCAAAGAGACTCGAGACCCCATCTAAATGCCTAAGGCACGCTACGAGGCTCACAGACTTGACGTTGAGCGCCAAGCTCGTTCAAGCCCCAACACTCTCCCACCTTTTGGACTCTATATCTTTACGTTATACATCGCTTACCACATTTTTACCAACTCTTTTTACTCTCTTTACTAACTCTTTTTATCAGGCGGTTTGGATATTCCCTCTGTCGACGTCGTATTGAACTATGATCTTCCCAGCGATAGCAAGACCTACATTCACCGCGTGGGTCGTACTGCGCGTGCGGGTAAGAGTGGAGTAGCAGTCAGTTTTGTTTCACAGTACGATGTAGAGGTTTGGCAGCGCATTGAGGGTGCGCTGGGCAAACAGCTTGCTGAGTATGACGCCGCCAAAGACGAAGTGATGGTTCTTTTCCAGCGGGTCAACGAGGCTCAGCGCCAGGCTATCATGGAAATGAAAGCGTACGATGAAAAGAGGGGGACCAGAGGCAATAAATTTGGAAAGGGAAAGCGGACTCGTGACGGGATGGACCAGGAGGAGGGTTGAGGTGGAACTATAGTCTTTCATGGCCGGTCCATTGAAGTCATTTGTACTTCGTTGTATATAAATTAATGCCTAGAATCGAAGCATAAAAGTTGTCCTGCTTAACGTTAAGTTCATTATTAGCCCGGGGAAAGGAGATGAGCAAAAATCCATATGCGCGTTCATTAATGCATAAATTTGGGTAAAACTATAGTAGAGCCTCCTTTTGCTGGGTCTTAGCTTTAAAGATACCCATCCAGGTAAGGTAAGGACAGTCTGATTCTCAAGCCGTCGCGATCTTTTGAAAGAACTCTAGCAGAATAACGCCAAGCGTATTCATCTCGAGCAATTTCATGAAAATCTAAAGAGCCCAGGGCTATTGATCTACTGGCCTTCCGAGGTGCCAGCTTCGCGAACGGCATTGGCGACACGGGTAGCGAGATCATCAGCCTCCGAGCGGCTGGCAGCCTCAGCGTAGACACGGACGGCATCCTCAGTACCACTGGCACGGGCAAAGCTACGACCCTTGTTGTAGCGGGACTGCAGAGACTCGATCTTGGCCTGCAGACCGGCAGGAGACTCTAGCTTACGCTCAGCATCATAAGCCTTGAAGATGGAACGGTCATTAACCTCGACGCGCACCAGGCGAGAGGGGAGATCAGTGTAGGTGCCCAGCCACTCCTTGGGGGTCCAGCCCTTGTGAGCAAGGATCACCTCGACAAGCAACATATCGGAGAGGGCATCGCCGACAGCCTGGTTGATCAGATCGGTCAGGGCTTGGAGGGACTCTAAAGCGTTCTGCTGACCGGGAGACTGGGGCTCGGTGCTTCTGATAGTCTTCATGGCAGTCTCCGAGAAGGTGATGGTACCGTGGCCATTAGCCTCGAAGTAGACGCCCACATCAAAGCGCAGGGCAGCGTGGTGTAGGTGCTTCACACCGGTGTTTGTGCAGATTATTGGGAGCTTGAGCACCTTGTCAATGTAATCAGTGCTCGCGCCGTTGGCGTATGCGGTCTGAACGACACCGATCTTGAGCTTCTGGGTGATACCTGCACTGCGGGCAAGGTCGCCAATGAAGGAGGCGGCGAGAGTAGCGATGCGGTCGCCGTCAAGAAGACGGAAAACGTTGCTCTCGTCAACGAAATAGTAGACCAGACGATCAGCATCGCCGTCCAAAGAGCCACAACGGTCAAGGGGGGGCAGCCTTGGAAGTGGGGGGAGCGCGCTGCTTTGTCTTGACGTAGTCGGCACCGCACTAGACGGAGGTATTAGTATTTCTGGAGGAGAGCTAACTCAAAGATCTCACCTCGGAGTTCAAGCTATCAGGGTTGATCACGTCGTCGTTGATAACCTTAATATCAATTCCATCCAGGTACTTAATAAGTTCCCGCAACTTGGGACCTCCGACACCATTGGCACAGTCAATGGTCAAGGAACCCTGGATCTTGACACCACGCATGACCTTTTTGAAGGAGTCTGCAAGCTTCTCATAGTATCCCTGCTCTGTAGGCTGGCCGTACTCGTACTGTGTTCCAAGAGTGTTCTTGCAACGTGTGACGTAGTGCAGTTGAGGAGTGGTCATATACTTGAAATCGATGAACTCGACATCGGTAGCAGTAAGAGCCGCGCTCAGAACACCCACGAGGCGAGAACCAGAGGCACGGGTGTCTCGGGCAAAGACCACGCGGGCAGGGTTGGACATTTTGACATCGATCTCCTTAACAAGTTCGTCGTATACGTCGGCGATGCTCTCCAACGGGGCATTGGCAAGTCTAGTAGCATAAGCCTCCCATTCGGCCTAAAGAGTAACGGTGAGCTTTTTCAAATTCGACCCGGATTGGATGATATATCTTAATTTTACCTCGAGCATCTCACCCTATATGCGAATAAAAATAGTTGTTAGGTTCATGGATTCTGTAGTTTGCGCCTCAATCACTTGTTCACGTACCATCGGGTCAACCAGCTTAACACCATTGTCCTCGGCAGGATTGTGACTAGCAGTTACCATAACACCAATCCATTGTCCGCTAAGCTTCTTAGAACGCAGACTGGCCAGCAGACCAACGGCGAAGACAACAGTGTTGAGCAGGTCGCTGGGAAACGGATCAGCAAGAGGTTCGGTCGACGTCAACAATAATCATGGGTATGCGGAGGGGTTCATCAGTGCTGCTAAACTCACGCCTTCATGCGGAACTATCAAGCTATCTTATTAGCAGGTTGTTCAAGAGCTTGAGCGTTCGTGGTACTATGTTTCGAACCTACCCCTGCGGTACCATATTCAAAAACCTTTCCCTCAGGCTTTGTGTACTGCAAAGCAGCCTCCGAGATAGCTTTCTTGACAGCCGGAGAGGCCATTGTAACTCGAATTAGCTGCGATCAAAGAAATAGAAATTAAAAGGGGATTGAATTGTAGCGAAAAACAGGCGCAAGATGTAGTTTTTTTTTAATGTTGGCGGGGGAGGGGATTGGAGTACTTGAAACAAAAAAATAAAGTGAGACACTCCTTATTGCGACGACCCAGGGTGGTACTAGCGGTGAGACTAGAAAATGGCGGGGGATCATTTGAAACGTCATTACCGAGACGTGGCATTAACAGACCCCAATTAAAGGCCGTGGAAATTAAACCAACAACAAGAAGTATGTTATGTTGCATTTAGAAGGGATTAATGACGATAATTGATAATCAGTCACCGGGACCTTCTAATCAGCTGTTAGTACAATTGGCATATGTGATCTCACAAATATATAAACTATTTTATATGTGATAGCTCTCTACATAACTCAACTCATGCCTTGAGTCGGCTTCCTGCAATATCGTCTTGCGTATCCTTGATGAGGAAGCTGCGGGACATCAGTTTACGTAACAAAAACGCAAGGAACTTATTTTGGAAAAAACTCGAAACTTACGAATACCACCAAGCTGTTGGAACCACGGTTCCCAGATGCCAGAGACTGTGCGCATCGATCAATCCATTCCATGGGGGAAGTCGAGCAACTCCAGGCTCATAGCCAGTATAATCCACGCGACAATCATACCAGGCCAGGCTGTCCAGGATTTAAGATATTTTTGGTATCGGAAGATACTGAATCCAGTCCATAGCACATTCTGGATAATGCCGACAACCACGTTCGCGGCCATGTTGTAAGTGTAATCCCAGGACCAAAAGGTTAGATAGCAGACATGCATGATGTACAACACAATACAGATTCCGGTCCAAAGACGACGCAAGGTGGGGCGGTACTGAGGGGTTTCCAAGTCCAGACGCAAGATTCGGATTACAGCTAGGTAGAGGCCGTACATCACACTGGCACCAGCGGCCCAGTAATCCAATTTTTCGGTGATAGGGAAATCACGAGTGTGGAAGAGCATGCTGAATGTCCAGCTTGATAAACCAATATATCCGAACATCATGTAGTATGGGCGGAGTGAGTGCCAGGAGGGAATTGAATCCTGGATCCGGGACATGCCATGCAAATGAGCGGCCAGGTTCAGGAAGGAGAAGAGCACGGAGAAGGGCTCCTGCATGCCTAGGACCCGACGGAAGGGCCATTTTCCATGGTATTGTACAACGGGATTGAGCATTGGGGGATCACGAGAGACTCGACGGTCAGTAATGACATGTTGGCAGGTATAGTCGCATTCAGCTGGGCAGGTCCATAGTAACAGGCGGTGGTGCAGAGCTGCGCGCGAGGTTAGGGAACAAACACAATTGATCTATATAATGAGGCGGAATATAGACATACGTAGCACTGAGTTACCGTTCTGACAATTCTCCGTTTTACAGACCTGGAGGTGGTTGAGTGTGGTTAGTTGCGGTGCAAGGGTCTCCTCGATTGGAGGGAGTTACCTGAACACATTCTCTGAAATCAGGGAGATGGTCTCCTAGGGACGCAGTGGACTGGCCAACAAATATGGCCAGAACAATCAGACCCAATATAGTAGAGAGATTCACTCGCCTGCCCAAATTCATTGTGATACTGCCAGGGGAGTGTAGCGGGTAAACGGGTAAACGTCAGGAGGGATATGGCAGTTGGCGGTAGCTTCGGCTTCCAATGCTAGTGGACCCTCGAAAGTCTTGGCTACATCGAACTATTCACCGCCATAAATATTCAAAATACTAGTCTCTTCACTTTTGATCTTACGTTTTATTGATTCTGCTGTTAGCCGTGTTCGGTGTTATCTTCTTACTGGCATTTGTTCTCTCTTATTTGACACTGGTTGAATTGCACTGGAATATCTCTTTCGTGATGACTTGGAGCTTGGTATTCCGCAGTTTGGGTGTTGGTGTTATCTGAGCCTTAATTCTACCGAGATACCTATTCATAGATATATTTTCAAGGGTCACAGTTCCAAGGCTGCTTACCTAGGTAGATATATCTGATTGGATTAATCGTTCTATCCTGATATTCAGATCTTGGGGTATACACCTGGCGATACACGTATATTCTCAGCTGTATTATAACACAGATTTCGAAGCTCGACTGAGCTCGAGGGAATCCTACAAATACCAGTTCAAACCTACCATTCAATATCTTTCATCTCATCCATGGTCCTTCCAAACAGCGCCCAACTAAGATATTTGTATTTACTAACGTAACTATGTACGACGATAAGATAAGGATACGACGCTAACCCTAAAGCAGTCAGGGCTCGTATCGCACGTGACTCCCCAAAGGGGTTAGCTTATGTGGGGCGATTTGGGAGTTGAAGCTTGGCGCTGGCGTTGCTGCGAAAAAAAAAGTCGCGGGCCACTTTTATTAATCTTTCATCTGGGCAACTCTTCTTTTCGTCGAGTTATCTTCACTACTTCCCTCCTCCACCCTTCTCACCTTACTTTTCAATCATCTTCAATATGAGCGAAGTTCAGAACACCGAAGCCCCCGGTGGCAGCAGCGCTGATCGCATGGTTGGCATGGAGCATGCCGAAGTTCGCTACTTCACTAGGTACGTACCCCTCAATCTCTGCCATGACTCTGATCTTTTGACTGACTTATCGACAGCTATGACCACCACGGTAAATCAACCTGAAATCGCGATAATCTTGAGTTTTACTGACTTTTCTTTTTTTGCTAATCTGCAGGTATCCACGAAGAGATGCTTGTATGTGAATCGTCCCGCATAACAATACTGCAGGCAGATGGCTGATTTCTATTGCGCTTTTTACAGAAAGATGAAGTCCGTACCAAATCCTACCGCGATTCTATCTACCAGAATGGTCACATCTTCAAGGACAAGGTCGTCCTTGACGTTGGATGCGGTACCGGTATCCTCAGCATGTAAGTTCAAGCCCAACGGAAATATCACAACACATGCTTATATCTGTACCAGGTTCGCTGCTCGTGCTGGTGCTAAGCACGTTATCGGTGTGGACATGTCCTCCATCATCGAGAAGGCCAAGGAGATTGTCGCCGTGAACGGTCTCTCCGACAAGATTACTCTCTTGCAGGGAAAGATGGAGGAAGTCGTTCTTCCTTTCCCCAACGTTGATATTATCATCTCAGAATGGATGGGCTACTTCTTGCTCTATGAGTCCATGTTGGACACTGTCCTCTACGCTCGCGACAAGTACCTCAACAAGGGTGGTTTGATCTTCCCTGACAAGGCCACTATGTACGTCGCTGCCATTGAGGATGGCGACTACAAGGATGACAAGATCGGATGTAAGTAATCGTCTGAAAATCTCCCCCGATTGCTACGCAATATTGATTTATTCTAATAGTCTGGGACAACGTGTATGGCTTCGATTACAGCCCGATGAAGAGCGCTGCTCTGACCGAGCCTCTGGTCGACACTGTTGAAATGAAGGCTCTTGTTACTGATCCTTGCCCGATTATCACCTTCGATCTGAACACTGTTACCACTGCCGATCTCGCTTTCGCAGTGCCATACACCCTGACTGCTCAGCGCAGTGATTTCATCCACGCTGTGATCGCTTGGTTCGATATCGATTTCAGCGCTTGCCACAAGGTCGTCAACTTCTCCACCGGCCCTCACGCCAAGTACACCCACTGGAAGCAGACCGTCTTCTACCTCCCCGATGTGCTCACCATCGAGGATGGAGAGAAGGTTACCGGTGTCATTTCAAACCGCCCCAACAACAAGAACAAGCGCGACCTGGACATTGATATCTCGTACCAGTTTGAGGCCAGTGACTCCAATCGCGCTGCCAAGGGCAAATGCTCTTACCGCATGTAGGTTGCACAACGGGTCATCGATCTCATAGGCACAAGCTAACATTTTCTAGGTGCTGATCTGATTTGATTTAATCGCTCGTTCCATTTTCATGATAAATTGGCATCATCTCGAAGGCAATGCAGCATACTTGCACAGGGATATTTGGCTTGATTTTCTCGGCCTTTTTTATTCGGCGTTCTCTCTTGGGTGGCAGGCAAAAGGCATTTCTACATGGCGCGATACGGAGACATGGTTATGAAGCTCCTCGAATTCCAAGCATTTTGGTTGATACCCCGAGTCGATGCTTAGTCTAGCAACTCCGACGCTTTTCTTATGTCCCAAAATCTATTTTTACTTTATTATCAATTCCTTTTAAAATTTCGAGTTAACAGTAAGAGATTAGCGACAAACAGTAGCTCACGGCTATCATTATCAGATCCTCGGCACAGGGTCGCCCCCGCAACTAAGCAACTTCCCCATATTTTAGCTCCTTGTCACTACATTGCTTCCATTGTTATCAGTTTCAAAGCCACTTTTTTCTCTGCATAAAATTTGAGATGTCTGCTCCCGGCTCTGGCCACGAGTTTCCCACAGAAGAGGTGTCATGGCAGAAACGCGACATCCTTCTGTTCGCGAACAGTATTGGCTGCAAGGCTGATGAGCTACAGTTCCTCTACGTAGGTTCAAAAACACACCGTAAACATCATACAATTCTAATCATTGAAATAGGAATTGCATCCCAATTTCGCTGTATTCCCGACTTACTCACTGATTCTTCGTATGTCGCACGAGCTCACAGGGTTCCAACTAAACTAACGCGATGAAACAGCCTTTAAACTCACCGATCAAGAAGTGACTGATTTCTATGCCCGTCAGAAGGCGATGAAAATCCCCGGTGTTCCAGATCTAGACTCCCGTTACGGAGTTGATGGCCAGCGCAAGCTCACAGTCTTGAAACCGCTTCCTCCTACTAGTGCTGGACGAAAGTTTGAGCTGCGCAACAGGGTCATTGGTGTCTATGATAAAGGCAAGCCTGGCACTGTAATTGAGACCGAGCAGTCTATCGTGGATAAGGAGAGCGGCGAGGTATACTCCAAGGTTCTGAGCAGCGCCTTCTTGGTTGGGCAGGGTGGTTGGGGTGGTCCTAAGGGTGCGTTGCACTCTTTCTTACAGGTGCCAAGACAACCATTGACATGAATGAAATCATAGGTCCAGCTACTGTGAGCTTCCCTCCTCCCGAGGGCAAGAGCCCTGATGCTATTCATGTCGTCCAAACCAGCTTGGAGACTGCTCATTTGTACCGGTATGTAAACAAAGCACTGATGCGACACAGACAAAACATCTATTGGAAAAAGATGTACTAACAAATCGAGCTCTAGCCTGAATGGTGATTACAACCCATTGCACGCAACTCCCGAGCCCGGACAGAAGATGGGCTTTGGAGGAACCATAATCCACGGGCTGTTCAGCTGGAACTCTGCTGCCCATGGTGTTCTGCGAGAACTGGGTGGTAGCAACCCTGCTAATCTCAAGGAATTCCAGGCACGCTTTGCGGCTCCTGTCCACCCAGGTGATAAACTTATTACGGATATCTGGCGAACGGGAAACGTCTCGGCAGATGGGTTTGAGGATGTTCGTTTTGTCACCAAGAACCAGAGTGGCAAGGTTGTTTTGAGCAACGGGCTTTGTCTGTTGAAGGTTATAGGTTCTAAGAGTAAGCTGTGAGTTACTGGGTACGCTGTATCTACCTAGTAACTGGAACTACATAATACTTCTAGGGGGCTTTTCATATCGTGGTAGAGTGTCCATCGTTGATGAGAGTAATGTTCAGAATCACCATAATATTGACAACTAATTAAATATGTTGAATCATAGCGAATCTAAGGACGTCTTCCGAAAAGCAGCATATCTCAACGAATGATGTTAGCCTTGAAGAGGAGCTCCTCGGGACTTAAACAGGGGAGCGCAGAAGTCCACACGGGTCTAGTACTTACCCAAATATGTGCCTAGATACAAGACATAGACGTTTGCTTGAGAGCAACTGCGTTAGCGTGTATCTATAGGTAATAAAGTATACATGGGTCATTTCCATGGACGTTTGGAATGAGATCACCAAATTGGAAAAGAATTCCATATTCATTCTTACTGACATTGTTCTATCTACAATTCCATTTATTTCCTCTTTTAGCCACCTTCACCGTAGAGCTACCTAGGTACTAAGTCCATGGGTCCACGGATATAAGTTGAATGCATCTCATACTCCCCATCTATTTACATCTATATTAAGCCTCTAGGGCTTTATCTGGACTGGCTGTTCACCAAGCTAAAAGGCAATCCTTCTAAAGGCAACTTTTGGGCCTTCATCGCCAACCCCCCTGATGCTGTACATCCATCACCTTTATCTGTCAGACAAATGTCACTTATTGCAGGCTGATGAATCTGGGTTGGGGCATCGGCTAAAGCCCCAATCAAACCATCAAGTATGAGCTTGGAAGTAAACTAACTGAAGAGAGCTTCAAAGAGTACTCTCAGGGGAACCTTGACTTCATGACTCTCTCTCAATCTTTCCCTTTATGAATCTAATCTTTTTCACGGCTAAATACAAGGGCACGTGATGGATGTAAAGTTGCGGGGTGAGCCGAGGTCGGACCTTGTTTACCCCAGGTCGTGATAGCTTCACATACATCAACACTTTTCGCAAAACACTCTCCATCGTGAAAACCAAACCCTTTGAAATGAGTTTCAAGCGACTGATCCCAATCAATGCAATCGGGGCGTGGAAGGGCCCACGGTATCTTTATCTTTGCTGTTCCTCATTGTCTTGGACTAATGTATGTCATGATTCATCAGATCTCAATTGATACGGGGCCTGGCATTCAGAAGTCAAATACTAGTAAGTCCAAGAATGTTAGAATTATAGATCGGGACTCAAGCTCGAATTTCGAAATCAATTCATTTATTTCCATCAAATTGAATATTGATCGCAATCTGACCTTATCACTACATTGATTAGTCAAATGGCCTTCCAAGTACCAAATCGTCATTTGAAAAAGGCACATTGAGCTTCTCCTCTCAAACTTGCAGGCAGAATGAACCTGAGATAGCTAAAGATTTCGCTGTCAAACATGACTATCTTGATGAAGCCCAGATGGCATGGCACACAGAATACGTGGTCATACCCTCTGAAGGTACTCACAACGACCTGCCACATTTGTTATTGTGGGTCATTGACTGTACTATTATTTTTGGTATCATGAAAGCTAACTATGGGCTGAAGTGGAAGGCTCTGGCTTCGGTGAGTGCTCGTCAAATACCCTGGAAGACAAGTGAAATTAAGGAGCTGATAAGAGCGGATCGTTTTAGAGATAACTGCCAATGTTCCAAATGTATTCATCCCGACACACTACAAAGAGCCAGTGACACATTCTCAGTTTGTCCCGCTAAATCATTTCATGATGTTTCGTGGGCTGACATTCGGCCTTTAGATCCCAGAAGATGTCAAAGTTGAAGACCTTCGCATATACCACGATAGGAAGGTTGTGATCAACTGTAAGTATTTCACGATATATGACTCAATACCGCTTCTGACCGATATATTAGGGAGTGATGGTCACAAAGCTATCTATCCATTAGGCTGGCTTGTTGCGCATCGGCAGAACAAGATAGCAGAAGCCAAACAAGGCCATGAACCAAAAACATACGAGCTCAAAGATCTTCCATCCATAAAGTAAAGCTGCTAATCTACCTTGATTCTCAACTTATTTCTAATCACTGAAAGCAGGAAAGGTACACTTTACAAGGCCGGAGATCCATATCCTGAGGTCCTGTACGAAGATGTTATGTCAAAAGATTCGTCTGTATCAGAATGGCTTGAGAAAATCGTCCGTTGCCCAAAACTTGATGAGCATCTTTAATCAAGGATTATCTCTAATATATTATAGTATGATATGGGCTTTTGCTTCGTTAAAGATGTCCCAGTCAATCCCAAGGCCACCAAAACTCTCATAGAGAGAATAGCGTTCATCCGACATACCCACTACGGTACGTACCTTCTCTCTATGTCTAAATATCTAACATATATTGCTTTCTAACGGATTTAAAGGCGGATTTTGGGACTTCACAGCGGATTTGAGCTTCAAGGATACTGCGTATACCAACGAGGCCCTCGGTGGCCATACTGACAACACGTACTTCACCGACCCAGCTAGACTCCAACTCTTCCACATTTTGTCTCACACTGACGGTGATGGAGGGCATAACCTACTAGTTGATGCCTTTGAAGCAGCTCGTGTACTGCGTAGTGAGGATCCAAAGCTATTTCAAGCTCTAGTTTCAGAGAGACACCCGTTCCACGCAAGTGGAAACGAAGATGTCTGCATCCAACCATCTGCCCGAGCTCCAGTTTTTAATATCCATCCGGATACGGGTTCTCTCTACCAAGTTCGCTGGAACAACTACGATCGGGCCCCTAAGACTGACTGGGCAGTAGAAGAGCAGAAAGTCTGGTATAAGGCAGCTCGGCGATATAACGAGATTGTTAATCAGCCGTCGAGTCAAATTTGGACACAGCTGAAGCCAGGCAACGCCCTGAGTAAGTTTATGAGCTGCTGACAGCTGTTAGCATTTGCATATCCCGTGCTAACTTTGTGTTCGAATAGTTTTTGATAACTGGAGAATGTTGCATGGTCGATCCGAATTTACTGGGAAGAGAAGGATGTGCGGTGGTTATGGTACGTATCGTGAACAATCCTTAGCTGGTTTCAGTACTGATGATGATTAACAGTAAATAATGATGACTTTATCTCACGGTTGCGACTCCTTAAGTACGGACGAGAGAAGGTATTGAAATACTTAGGCGTCGTTAGTGGTGAAGAGGGAAACCCAAATTCATTTTACTAGATCGAATTAAGTTTTAAGAGAAAGATTTAGAATCAAAAAATAACAATTGAGTATCATTTGAATTAGTAGGCAGTAGATCATTATAAAATGTCAAGACACCTGGATTATGATGGTTGATACAATGGAATCCGATCGGTGTTGATAGGTGAAACCACGTGACCCAACTGACTGATTAGAGCTCAAACCAAACAGCTCGCCAACTTTCCCATCCACCTTCCAACCTCCACCTATCATTTCCTATCGACCTTGCTGATCTACCTATATCCCTCTTTCCTAATCCGGTTGTTTCTTTACTCTCCAATCACCATCCACCATGTCGACTCTTGAGGATCTCGACGACCTTGAGCGCGAAACCCAAGACAAGAAGGAAGAGCAGGGCGATGGCGATGGCAAGAAGCCCGTCGGTGACGGCGATGAAGAAATGAAAGATTCTGACAAGAAGGATGATGGAGAGGAGCTGATTGATGAAGAAATTCTGCACTCAAGCACGGCAGACATCGTCAAGCGGAGGCGAATGCTGGAGAACGAGATGCGGATCATGAAGAGCGAGTTCCAGCGCTTGACACACGAGCAAAGCACAATGCGAGACAAGGTCAAGGATAACCAAGAAAAGATCGAAAACAACAGGTATGATTCACACTCCCCGCTAGGATTGCCGGTGGATCACCGAGAGCTCTGGAGCTGGAGCTTTGGTGCATTTGTCATTAATATTACGGGATGCTGACATGATGTTCTATCTCACAGACAACTACCGTATCTTGTTGGAAACGTTGTCGAGCTATTGGATCTTGACGTAGAGGCCGAGGCAGCTGAGGAAGGGGCCAATATCGACCTGGACGCCACACGTGTGGGCAAATCTGCCGTCATAAAGACCTCCACCCGCCAAACCATCTTCCTTCCCCTCATTGGTCTCGTCGATCATGAGACACTCAAGCCCGGTGACTTGATCGGTGTCAATAAGGATTCATATCTCATTCTGGACACACTACCAGCCGAGTATGACAACCGCGTTAAGGCCATGGAGGTGGACGAGAAACCAACGGAGAAGTACACGGATATTGGTGGTCTGGACAAGCAAATTGAGGAGATTGTAGAGGCCATTGTATGGCCGATGAAGGAGGCCGAGCGCTTCAAGAAGATTGGCATCAAGGCCCCGAAGGGTATGTTCCACTAACGAGCTTGCCTATCTACATGCTGATAATTCTCTTTTCTCCAGGAGCTTTGATGTACGGTCCCCCAGGAACCGGTAAGACACTTCTGGCACGAGCCTGTGCTGCTGAGACGAACGCAACATTCCTCAAGTTGGCCGGACCACAACTGGTGCAAATGTTCATCGGAGACGGAGCCAAGCTGGTGCGTGATTGCTTCGCACTGGCCAAGGAGAAGGCCCCCTCAATCATCTTCATCGACGAGCTAGACGCAGTAGGCACAAAGCGATTCGACTCCGAAAAGTCCGGTGACCGTGAAGTGCAGCGTACCATGCTGGAACTTCTGAACCAGTTGGACGGCTTCGCCTCAGATGACCGTATCAAAGTCCTGGCCGCGACTAACCGTGTCGATGTGCTTGATCCCGCCCTTCTTCGATCCGGTCGTCTGGACCGCAAGATCGAGTTCCCTCTCCCCAATGAGGAGGCTCGTGCCAACATTTTGCAGATCCACTCCCGCAAGATGTCTGTGGAGGATAGTGTTAACTGGGCCGAGCTGGCTCGCAGCACAGACGAGTTCGGTGGTGCCCAACTCAAGGCTGTTTGCGTTGAGGCTGGTATGATCGCGTTGCGTAAGGGTATGACCAAGGTTGGCCATGAGAACTACGTCGATGCTATTTCCGAAGTCCAGGCCAAGAAGAAGGATATCAACATGGGTATTTACGTCTAGTTGTGGCAATTCTCTCGGCTTGATGTTTCCCCCTTTTATCCTTGTTCTTTTTTCCGTGCCCTGTCATGTCATGTATGTACATTGCAGCTTAATTCGCGATGCAATACGGGCGACTACGTCTATCAAATAGCATGATAATAGACTTGGCAAAAACATTTACATCTCATAGTATCTAAATAAACTAATATGCCGATCGTAATAAAACACAAAATCAACAGTTGGAAGAAACATTGATATTAAACTAGAAAGTCGAAGAAAGTGGATATAGTTATGTATTTTCAATCCCCCAAAAAAGTTAAAAGGAGAATATAAATGCAGTGATCATGAATCCATATCAGACACCGTTCCGAACTTCTAGTTCTTACCCTGAGTATCCTTCAGAGTAACGATACGGTTCAGAACAAGCTTGTCATTAGTGGACTCCCGATCAACAGCAAAGTAAGCAACACGCATACCCTGGAAGCGAATAGAGTGCTTGTTTTCCGAAACATCACCACCATTCGCAGCCTCCTTAGGCCAAGGAGCAGACTGACTGATACTCTCAAAGCCGTTCTCAACCATAGCGTCGGGGAAAATCTCCTCGGAATCGGGGTTAATATCAGCCAAGAAGCCCTGGGGGTGAGCAGAGGGGTCATCGGACTTGAAAAGTTGGTTGAAAGCACGGATCTCAGCGCGGATAGGGCTGTTGTGCTTAGGGGAATCGGCAACCCAGTGGATGTAGGTCTTGGGCTTCTTGGGCGCGACACCCTCCTCGGGCTTCTCGTACTTGGCGTGAACGCAGGTAACGGCGCCAGTAACGGGGTCTTTGTCGAAGGTTGTGGCGGTGATTGGGTAGGGAACTTTGAGGAGGCCAACTGTCTTGCCAGGTGCGAGGCGGAAGTAGTCTGCGGCGTCGACCTCGCGGAAGTCAGATCGCTCAATGTACACGGTCTTAGTGAAGGGGAGATTGTGGGTGCCGAAAATGGGGTCCTTGGAGAAGGGCACTTCGAGCAATTCCTCGTGGTCATCGGGCAGGTCATCGATGACCACCTTCAGAGGCTCGGTGACAACCATCAAACGGGGAACACTGGTTTCCAAGTACTGACGAACGGCTTGCTCGAAACGGTTGACCTGCACATTTGTAACGGCCTTGGTGACACCGAGTTCGTTGACGAAGGAGAGGATAGCGCCTGGGGGTACACCACGGCGGCGCAACGCGATGAGAGTGTACAGACGCGGGTCGTCCCAGTCACGCACATGGCCCTCTTTAACCAGCTGGATAATCTTTCGTTTGGAGAGGACGGTACCAGTGATGTTGAGACGACCGTACTCGCGCTGCATGGGGCGGTAAACGTCTAGCTTCTCGTTGAGCCAGTCGTAAGAGACACGAGAGAGTTCGAACTCGGTCGTGCACAGCGAGTGCGTAATACCCTCGATACTATCACACAAGCAGTGCGCAAAGTCGTATGTAGGGTAGATCTTCCACTTGCCACCAGTGCGGTGGTGTTCCTTGTCCTGGGTATCCATAATGCGCCACGCGAACAAATCCCACATTTGGGGATTAGGGTCCTCGAGGTCCTGCTTCATTCGCAAAGCCGCTTCACCAGCCTTGTACTTTCCATCGCGCATAGCGCGGAACTCAGCCAGGGACTCTTCAATTGGTCGTGTTCTGTGGCTGCAGGCGAAACGCTCTCCGCCACGCTGGCCGCCCTCGCCTTCACCACGCTGGGCCTTGACCTCGGCCTTGGTGCAGTGGCACAAGTATGCACCGTCACGCTTGATCAGATCCTCCGCATACTCGTAGAGCTTGTCAAAGTTATCGCTGGCGCAGGTTTCCTGCACGGGAGTGAAGCCTAGCCAGCTCACGATGTCTCTAATAGCATTATAGTACCGCTCCTCTTCACCCTCTGGGTTTGTGTCATCGAAACGAAGAATACACTCGCCGCCGTGGTGTCTGGCAAAGCCAAAGTTGACGGCAATGGCTTTGCTGTGACCGATGTGCAGGAAGCCATTGGGCTCAGGCGGGAAACGGGTGCGGATCTTGGTGATGGTGTCCGAAAGTGGTCGTTCCTGGTAGACATCAGAGAGGAAGCCAACCTTGAACATGGCATCGGGGTCGTTGGGAGCGACAGGCTCTCTGGCTGCTTTGGTCGGCTTCGGTTGGTTCTCCTTTGGTTGTTTGGGCATATCTTTCTTTGCGGCCTTCTTCTCCAGCTTCTTCTTCTCTCGCTTGGACAGAGTGCCGGGCTCCTTAGGCAGCTCGGGCTCCTTTGGCCGCTCAGGCAGCTCAGTAGGCTTTGCCGGATCCATGATTGAATGTTAATGACGAGCAATGGTGGGGTTATAGATTATTTTTCGAGAAGGACTGCGATGCTTATCAGTCCCCATTCGCTTATCGGGCCGAATGAAACCCCGGATGAGTCATGCAGTAGATAAGCAGTCAAAACAAACTGTAACGAGATGTCTATAAATATCTACTTCTTATAAAGGAAGACTAAAAGACGTCTGGATAGTACGCATGCGGCATCATAGAGCCTTAGAAGTAGATACAGGATAACTTATACATAGTAGATCATGCATGGCAATAATTCACCGCCCTCAAGAGCTGTGATAGACAGATTATTCTGCCTTATCTCTCTTCTTTTAACGCTACATGACCATTTGTGAATGAAAACAGGCTTTGATAGTAGAAAAGGGCGTTGGTGTCCACAAATAAACTAGCTACAGACAAGAGCCCTCCAGGGCTACCTAGAGAGCGAATCAGAGTCAGTGCTTTTGAAAGTGCATATAGGAATAGTCCTGGCTAGGTGTACACGAGTGTTTGGGAAGTTGGAAGTATGTATTCAGGCCGATTACCTACATATTTAGGTAATACAGATCCAGGTCGCAAAAAAGTTGATCGAGCGCAACAAACGATATCTAACGGAATTATATGACAGAAATATAGATATATAGAAAGAGATAATGGACAAAATAGTGAAAAGTAGGATTAAATAAGATCAAGAAGCTGAAAACCACCCCCTAACATTAGATAACCAAAGAAAGCGCCAGATAAAATATGTTTAAACGTAGAATATGTACTGTGAAGATATAACAAGGAACAAATCATATAGCGAAGTGTGGGGTATATGGCGTAGTAAAGAGACAAGACGAGGAAGATGGATAGATGAGGATGGAGAGACGGAGGGAGTGAGAGGGAGAGAGTATGTGAGTGTGTGTGAGAGAGAGGGAGAGAGAGAGAGAGAGAGAGAGAGAGAGAGAGAGAGAGAGAGAGAGAGATAGAGAAAGAGGGAAAGAAAGTAGAGGAAAAAGAGACGAATGAAGGAAAGAAGAAAATGGAGAGGGTGTAAGGAGAATGGAGATGTTAAAAGAGCTTGCTGATATCGATGAGATCCGAGTGTCCTGGGCGATCTCGTTCCATATGAAACCACCAGTCCCGGCCCATTTTATGGTTCCAGGATCCAGTGCAAGTATCTTTATCCCAAGGAAGTGCATTGATCGATGCCATACTGCTTATAGGTGTAATAGGAGTTGAAGGTGTTGTGGGTGCAATAGAAGACCGACTGCCCAGACTGCCCCAAGCAAACCGGGATGTGGTTGACGACGGCGGCGTAGGAGTCCAGACCGGCGTTCCCGGCGAGACTAGGTCATCAAGGCCTGAGGATGGGAAAGTCGAACTTCGATTATCGGAACAATGGACTCCCACTCCAGCGGCATATGATAGTGACTGGTTGGACACGAGAAGCTGCTTCCATCCAATCAAGCCGCCGTCTGGTTCTTGGCCGGGGATGTCGGGGCGAAGGAGAAATTGAGGTATAGACGCGCCGGTGAGAGGGTCAACGAGACCTATGCGACCCATGTAGGCAGGCATGTGGAACTCGTATACTGTTTTTGGACCTTCTGTCGCTGGAGGATTCCTTCTATATCTCTCGACAGCAGCCCAGATGCCATAGTCGTCCATCTCCTGATCTGGATCATCCTCGAATGCTGCAGGCGCGCTGTCTGGCACATAATCATCAGAGTAGTCTTGAATAAGCACACGCAGCCCTGATTCTGTGTCTTTAACGGCCATATCGATGAAGGTCTGCGCGCGGATACGGGCAGAGGTCAAGTTATTTCCGGCTGGTAGAGCGAGAGGCCGAGTATTCACGGAGCCATGCGAGCTGCGAGGAAGACTATATCGATCTGGCCGGAGAAGTGCTCGGCCTTTGGTGATCGGTTTGCAGACAGCCTGAAGTGCACCAGGAGGTTCCACGTCATTGGGTGCACGAAGAGTTTCGAGTTTCGGGAAGCCGGCTGACAGAATGCTTTGAGCGAGATGTGAGTTGGGGGAGTTCGTTTGTTTGGGAGGCTGTTGGAATGGGTGAAGGTCCAGCTGCGTAAGAGCGGTCGGATCTGGACAGGCTACGTCCCAATGAAGATACTTGAGACTAGATGACGCCAGGATAGGTTGGAATACCATGTCCTCGCTGGGCATCACCGGACATTTGCCAGCCTGGACGAACTTGAGACGCTCTAGTTGTCGAAGCGATGAGAGAATCTTTGAGACGACCAAAATGGACTCAATATTTTGCTCCACCAGAACTAGTGACTTGAGAGAACGGGAGTCGGGACGCGCGGCATATTGCATGAGACCAGTGTCGCTAACTCCAGGAAGATTCTCCAATCTTAATGATTCCAACGGTGGCAGACACAGCAATGTACTGTCAGCAAATGCGTCCTCGTTGAAGGAGGAGATGCAAAGATTCTTCAATGATGGCAAGAGATCGAACATGCGGAGAAAAAGACTTGGTTCCAATGCACCGTTGCCGTTCAAGCTGTAAAGCATCAAGGTCTCTAAGTTCGACCATTCGACATGGTAATTGAGAAATTCATACATCTGGGATGGTCCTAAACTTCCGGCGAAAGAGGAGCCACGAGGGGACATTTCGGTCACTTCTGCAGCTTCTCCCAGCACCCAGGTGTGCTCCTTTAATTGCTTGCGAGTTGACAAGGCATGAGTAAGACGGTCGAATTGATGACAATAGGGAATGGTCAAGCCGATTAACCGTTCCAGGTTCGGGCAAACCATCACGACTGATGCAATCAAGTCGCGGTAATCCTGCCATTGGGAGCTATGTTTCGTTGTGGTGAAGAGCATGTCCATCTGAGGAACCCGGAGTTCCTTAACAAGATTGGCTAGCAGTTTTCGTTCTCGTAGGGTGCGCCGCAGTAACTTTAAGCGGCTACCCTTTTTGAGGCGGTGTTTTTTCAATTGGGCGGGGGAATCATTTCCGACGATATGAATGTGGTTATATCTGTAGAATAGTTGCATTAGAAACGACAACATTTTGAGATTGCACTTTCTTAGGCTTTCACCCACAGTTTTCCTCGAACAGCTTTTTCCCAAGACCGACTGGTCAAGGACAAGGCGTGGAGATCACGCTGGAAGCATGTTGTGCAACCCGTCTGGTGCGGGCCTTTATGTAAATTTTCTAGCTTATCGAGGATCAAATTGTACAATGGTTGTGTCATTCGACGCTCGACATTCTTTGGTATAGAGCCGACAGAGTCGAACTGACGGCAAGAAGAGACCGGAGATGGAGAAGAATAGAAAGTTGGTGCAGTAGATGTAGTGTAGTTGGACTTGTAGGATGAGATGGAAGATGTCCGAGAGGACACAGGTTGTACTGCCACAGTCCAATCTTTTTCATGAGGGGCATCAAACGGCACAGCCGTATTATCTGACCTAATGGCGACAACACTCATTGTGAGTAGGGTCGGTTGACATCGAAGGCGCAGAGACGTGAAAGAACGAAATGTAATCTTAAGGTGTAAGGAATGTAGGGATATTGTACGGGAGCGAATGTCGTAATACTCAAAGGATTGATTTCAGTTTGAAACTGCTTGAGAGAGTTGGATAAGGAAGGAAAAAAGAAAAATCGAAAGAAAATATGGCAGGAACACCAAAGAGACCGAACCACAAAACCTCAGAAAAAATGCCGTACTCTTGCTTCCCGCAGGGGTAGATCGTCCCCCACAAAAGGTAAAGGTTCCCTCGTGCCATTGAAGTTGACAGGGGGAAAGAAGGCGGTTCAGGGGGTTGAAAAACAGCTAGTGCCGAGCTTCCGCCCTATCTTTTTTACTCTTTCCCTTCCTTCTATCCTCGCCTTCCATGTCCGGAGTATACATACAGAATATACGACGTGGATGTGGATTATCTTTGTACTCCCCGCATGTCCTCCCTTGCACATTTGAACGGCCCTGCAGTTAATTTCTCTACGTATGCAGTACCTCGAACGGTTCGTGGGCCGCAGCCCTAGTCTATACTAGGTATAGTACGATGGTTCTGTGGGTCTTACGCCCCTTTTATTTTCTATTATTGGACACTAACGTAAGCATAAGCGACTCGGCAAGTTATCGAGGTTCAAACTTATATTGATTCATGAAGAACTTCCAATGCACCGTATTGTTTCATATAGAGTCATGATTCCCCAATTCATATCACTCCTGATATCCAAACATCTCAAGTTCCAAGTTCAAACTTGGAAGTGCCCAGTTTCTCGTCTCATTTACCTGCTGACAGTGAAGGAAGGATCCGGATCCGTACTATTGATCCCCAAGAATGCACGACGCACGTCCCAGAACTTGCCACCAGGTCTCAAAAACATGAACTCCGCTATATGTGAGATCTCCATACACGAGCCAATGATGAATGCTCGTCTCTAGCCACCTCCATAATTAATATGGGTCTTCATCTGTAGTGGAAACTCTCGAAAGTCAGGAACCACGGATCAACTTAGATCTTTCACTCTGGGAAGCGTGGCAGTCAAGCCAAGTGCACAGAGCATATTTGAAACTTGATCTCGGTGGAGACAAAGGTACAGCCCACTTGCGTGATGCATATCCAATTGCACCATCAAATCTTGTTCGTATTATGCCATTTCTCCAGATTGGATTTAAACCGCCTCTTATACGGAGAAGGTACTGCGATGGATATATACGGGGCCTTGGTTACGGAGTGAACTTCCACTTGGAAATCAAGAGTTGGACCAAGCCATATTCCCATTCCCCTTCCTTTCTGATGAGCAGGAGTAAATAGGCATTTCGGAGTTTATCGGATGCTATCCATGGACATCAACAAGGCATCTGCGGGATTTACCTGTTTTTTGATTGAGCCAAGATAATGCCATGTGCTAGTGGGTCGGTATCCATGCAAGACATCTAGTTTGAATTTGAGATCTGGCGTTTCACTCTTATCTGGATCAGCCACCGCAATACGTATGCACTATGTAATCGGAACTATAACCTTATTAACAATGAGGCGTTTCTAGAATGTTAACGGGTGCATCAGATAGAAGTTCCTAGGTTGGAGAGCCTATCCAACTTCAGGGCTTTCTTGGGGCTTCTTTCAAGGTTTACTTTCAAACACACGAGTGGAACGAGATTGCTTTGGGATTGAATTTAGATTCAAATACATTGAAGACAAAGAAGATAACAGGATCATTTACAACTAGAAAACCAATAACTGTAACTCGAATAATAGAACCAAACACGCCTGGAACCTTGAATAACACCGACACGTCACGTAAGCGCTAAGAAATGAAACTACCCAACTAACCAGCCTAACCGTGCAGCTATTTTTTAACTAGCTATCTATCTTAACTCAAATTAAGTTTGTAAAACTAGGAATAAATACCGTAGTCACCAGTGCAGGATATTGAGGTAAAAAAAAATCAACAAGGCTGCTACCCGGGCACTCTTACAAATGAGTATCATTCATAGAACCTTAATACTCTTGAGCATTGTTCCTTTTTTGATACAGTTAGTACATGGTTTGAATTATTGAGAACAACCTTAGAACTTATATCAAGTGAGCATAACTTTGAAATACGTACTTGTGATACATGTTGCTGCCTCCGCCTGGGTAGCTAGATACCCGCGGATCTATATACTTGCCTAGGTAGATAGGTAGCCTTCCGTCTTGAATGAATGGTTGATTAGGTATCTGGACACATATCCAGTGTGCATTGAACGCAGCCTAAATATATGTCAGTAACCTTGAGAAATGTAACTGCACTTGACAAGTTTTATATGAAAACTCACTCTCAGCTCTGTTCAAAGCTGAGCTCATCCCTCACTGAGACTCTAGACTTAGTTTCTTCGCTGGCGCTTCAACAATGGACCAGATTCATCATTGCTAGAGCGGCGTTTTCTGAGGGTTTCACCATCGTCTGTGCGACACCTTTTGGGTGGTGGACCATCTCCCATCCATTTTACAGTGATAACGTGTCTTGCCTGTCGAGTGCCGTATCTGCCTTCATAGTCATAATAGATACACCGTTCATCAATACCTGAAAGAATGAAGTCGATCCGGCCTTGATGTCTTCGAGTCCCTACAAGTCTATTTGGACGTGCTGGACCGATATGGGTAGCTTTTTCATGTGGAGCCGGTGGACTCATATGTATAGAGCCTCTCTCAAAATCGCTATCTGAATCTGAATATCGGATGACAGAATCATTGTCATCATTAATTTCAATCTCAGGTCGGTCAGAGTCGGAGTCTTCACTTGAAGAGCCAACGCTTGAAGATGGCTCGATAGGATCATCGTCATCAATGATTTCAACTTCAAGTCGGTCAAAGCCGGAGTCTTCACTTGAAGAGTCAATACTTGAAGATGGCTCAATAGAATCGTCGTCATCAATTATTTCAATTTCAGGTCGGTCAGAGTCGGAGTCATCATCACGGATTTCAGGCTTATCTTCAAGTTCGTCAAAGTCGGAATCATTTTCATCAATCATTTCAGTCTCAGGTCGGTCGGAGTCTGAATCATTATCACCACAGATCTCAAGTAAAATCTCAGGCTCTTCAGAATCAGACTCGTCACTTGAAGATTGCTCGATAGGATCATTGTCATCAATAATCTCAACCTCGGATCGGTCGGAGTCGGAATCATTATCACCACGAATTTCGAGTGACACTTCAGGCTCGTCAAATTCAGAGTCACCACTTGAAGATGACTTGCCATTGATAGAACCCCTAGTTTGCCCCGTAGACCTTGGACCGATATAGGTAGCGTTGTTAGGTGGGCCAGAGCCTCTCTCGGAACCTCTACCTGAATTTTCAACCTCAGGTTGGTCACGGGTTTCAAGTATGTTATACAAGTCCTCTTCTTCTGAGTCTTCATCATCGTTCTCTCTTTGATTCCCGAATGGGTTATATCCACCTGTTTGCAATTTCTCTGGCCCAGATTCACTCTGAACCTCAGGTTGGTCGCGGATCTCAAGCATGTTATACAATTCATTCGAACTGATGTCTTCTGATTCTTCATCCTCGTTCTCTCCTTGATCCTTGAAGGGGTTATGCCCACCGTCTTGTAATTTGTTTGGTCCAGGACGGACTTCAACCTCAGGTTGGTCAGAGTCTGAATCATTCGAGGATATAACAGCAGTGTCATTACTCTCACGGATTTCAACGTCAGGTGGCCTAGCTGAGTATAGAGGTGGGGGATCAACATGTGAGGATCTGATGGAATAATCATTACTACCACGGCGGATTTCAAGCATATTATATAGTTCATTCGAAGTGATGTCTTCTGAATCGTCATTCGCATCCCCGTAGGCGTAAAATCCATCCTTGGTTCCTTTCTTATCTGTGGCGATTTGTGATCTGCCTGCCATGCTTACCTTCGAAATCGCCTCCGTTACTGCAGGCGAAATAGAGCTACCAATACTTTGCGCTTGAACTGTACCAGAGCTCTCAGACATTTGCTGAATTATTTCAGGGCTCTTAGAGCTTCGTCCATCCCCAGGGTGGTGATCTTTGTCACTGCTTTGATATGTCGATGATTTAGAATGATTTGGATTAGAGCTCCCTGAGCTTTGCTGGGGCGATCTCCATCTCGTAAAAGTTTCTGTTCTTCGCTCTTGTGACTCTGTCGGTGGAGCATCGGGCATGGATATGTCCAAATCTTGTGTTTGTGACGCTCTGGACTTACGCCCTTTGCCGGCACTTTTTTGACCCTCGCGCCAACCCCTAGAAAACCCACTTTGGAAGCCATGGATAAAGCTCTTTGTGTCCTCCTCTTCATCCGCACTTTCAGCTTCAACTTCATTTTCATTCTCCACTTGCCCATCGTCCCTTTCCCTATCATCCTCACCCTCCTCTTCTTCTTCCTCCTCCTCCTCCTCCTCTTGTCCCTCTTCTTCTTCTTCCCCAATCTCCTCTTCATCCTTAACCTCCGCCGTAACATCTTCTTTGAGCTCTTGGGCTTTGCGCTTAAGCATATTTAAGGCAGTTTGCATAGCCCCCAACCACAATGAGATGTCAATTCAAAAAATGAAAAAAGCTTTAGAGTAAAACAATCTAGTAGAAGGAACAGACATACCTACTTAAAAGTTCAGCAATGAGGTGCTTAACAAAGAAGGATTCTACCAATGTAGAAGATAGCTGATGCTAGAACCTTCGCTGGACATAAAAGAAGTACATTTCGTCAAAGAGAAGAAACCCCGGAAGTCTGAGCAAATTAGGACATTGAAAGGCCTAAGGTTCTTTCAGTCATTGTGATTATGATAGTGAGTCTTCTTTTTCCCCCTAGAAGTTCCGAGATTTCATCCGGCCCACCAAGACATTTGAGGTTGATTCTTACAGAAATTCTCTCTCTTGTTCTTTGATGTATTAAGTTATGTGTTTATCGTCTCTTTGGCCCCGATTTGTCTTTGGAATGCTATTTGAGTGTCGATTACATAGAATGAAAGTTCCTATCCTTGCAGACACAAAGGAATGGCCAGTTTATTAGAATTCGGACAGGTGGTGGCCAGAAGCCTTTCATTCATCAAAGAACATTTTGCTCGGTCTATCAATGGAATAATTAAGAAAAAGCCCTGCTCAGGGAAAATTATGGAAAAATAGAAGTCTTGGTGCCTTGTAAGACGAGGTACATTTCCAAGGTTCTTGCTCGACAATCAAAGAAACCTTGCAATTTTACTACATACCTGGGTACCCATGGATGCCGAAGTGCTTAATTTGTAGTTGTTCATCCACCTACCCAATGAACTGGGAAACAGGAACACCATAGTGTGTCTGCCTGCGAACCAGACACTCCACAAACAGACGCAGGATCGGAGGAGTAGTGGAGATGAAGGAGACCAACTCATAGGAGAGAAGCTGTCTAATGGTCTCATCTCTAGAATGTATCACTTATATACACATACTGCTTACTCGGGTCACACCGCTAACTAGTTAGTCTACCTCTAAATATGACTATTTTAGACACCGATGATTACGTAGGTCCACGGGTATAGAGTAACAGCAACGAGACTTGAGCGCGACCTCGGGACTAAGATGTATGCCACCTCTATAATTTTCGCACCTACTTGAGTCAATCCCCAACAGATTTACAAATAGCATACGAACGCTAGTATTGTTTAAATGGATGCGAGATCCGCCACAGAGCCTGTATCATAATATTCTATTGATTCAATGCCATTTCGCTCAATCTCTATAACTAATAAAGCCATTTATAGCTCAGATATAACAAATTTTATTAACAAATATTATGAGAAAAATTCCAAGAATTGAATATTGGCCAAAACAAAAACATTTTGCAGACATTACGGGCGTACATGGCGAACAAATTTTCCAATGGTGTAAGTCTAGTTACTGTCAAGAACAATAACCTCTGCTTCAACTTCCCCAATACTCTCAACAGAAAGACTGTCTCCAGCATTCACCATGGAGACGAAGGCACCATCTCCTTCTTCCAAGATAGTATCATCACTACCATTAAGCCTGACTTTGGACTTGCCCTTCTTGGTCATGGGCAAGTGGATATAGACATTGCGCTTCTTCTTAGACTCGACAATGTCACCTGCACCCACATTCCACTTGAACGTGGTGGCGGGCTCGATAATTCCAGCACCCATGATGAAGTCAGCATGAATTGGAATAGTTTCAGGAATTTTAGGAACAGCAGCCTCTTCCTCCGCTGGAGTGGCCTCAGGACCAGCAGCAAGTGGTGATAAGATAGGCACAAATGCCTTTCTCTTTGCTTCCTCGCTGAAAGTCATTGTGTGATACGCTGGCTTGAGGCCGTGCTTCCAGGGAAGAGCCCAGATTTGAAGAAAGTGGACTTCCTTATTTGACTCGTTCTGTTCGGAGTGCGAGATTCCTGGTCCTTTGTTAGCATAACTTCCGGCTGATCGAGATTATAAAGAAAACTTACCAGTTCCACCAGTAGTAAATTGGACATCTCCACGCTTCATGCGGTAGAATTGCTTGCCCTGCGCTCCCTCGGTACCCTTTTTGATCGTACTATCACGGTGAGTGAGCTCGCCATTGAGGATATAGCTGAAAATCTCCGCATCCTTGTGGGGGTGTGTCGCGAATCCATTCCTGGCGGAGACTCGGTCTTCATTCAAAACACGTAGGCTACCATGATTCATAAACTTGTGGTTGTAGTAGCCAGCAAAACTAAACGTGTGGAAGGTCTTAAGCCAACCGCCATGTTCTGCGTATCCGCGCTCGTTGGAATGGCGGAGAACAATCTTGGCGTGAGCAAGTGGCTTCGACATGGTTTTTTTTTTAAAGACTTTTCTGAGGTGTAAAGCTGTAGAAGAAGAATCAAGATTGTGTCTGAAAAATGGAAGTTTCCATCAACAAGGGCGAACAATCAGCTATATAAATGGGTTGGCCAGTTGAAGTCTCGTCATAGATTATGAAGGTCTTAGGGATCATCAATAAGCCCTGGATTAATACGCTAGTACTATTAAGGTATACTGGACCCACAATTATGTTGCTCAGGTCCACTGCAATTGGTTGCCAAGGGAATTCCTGATTATCTCTATATCACAAATCAACAGTCACGACCTCGGGAACCTTCGACGGCTAAATTAATGTGCAGAATGTGCTAGACTAAGCACGAATAGGCACGTTATTACAAGACTTGCTCATTTGTAATGACTTGATGCCATCATATGGACTACACATTACAATTTGAAATATTTGAAATATGGTTCGTCCCAAATCCCGATCTAGTTTAGCGTGATTTTAGGTAAAAGCTCCAATGTTCGAATCCGACGAGATTTAAAGACCCTTGGGATAATGTATCACTAAGATACTCGACTTAGTACTGTCATCACTGCTGTCTACTTCCATAGTTATATCTGTAACCTTGGACCTAATTTTAGAGCTAATGTCGAAGTTTATCGCTCGTTTCTACATTTGCTTCTGCCTAGGCTGCCAAGGTCAAGTCAACCTATCGCCGAATACTTAATTGCCGACTTGCACCCCTAATTTTAGCACTTTTCCACTTGGGCATGTTGACCTGTCTCTTTGAGTTAGGACTGGTCACTTAATGGCTCAATTTGATTTGTTCAAGTGTAGCCTTATAAACGACGCGTGTCGTACTTTGTACTGTTCTAAAGTACACGCTGACCTACAGAGTGGAGTCCGAATGATTGACCTCCACTTAATCAGTCGCTTTCTAAGGTGCACCTTGGCAAGTCTTGTATGGGTTGAGATTTCCGATTTCCGACTTCCGGCCCCCCCCCCTTAAAATATTCTAAAATTTATTCTTGATAAAAGCCCGTCGCATATTCAGACAAAAATATAATTGTCATAGACCACCCGGATTTTGAAAGTCACTCTTGTATATTTTCGTGAATGCAGGTGATGGATAGTTGTTGAACAATGCTTCACCCACGGCTGTCCTTTTGGCTTGCTCCTAAGAGACTTCTCGCTGTGATCCTTGCACTGACTGTGATTGGCGTGCTTGAGGCTTCTTTCCTATTGCTTCAAGATAATTTCAGAGGATTTAAAGGTACATAGAGCTTTTCATCTGCAGGGACCACCCGTGGATCTGAGCACTTTTTGACAATCGTCAATGCAGATAACTGGTTATATCCAAAACGCCGCGAAACAGTTCGACAACTTGCAAAGCTTACGAACTCGTATATTTCACATCCTGTCAATTCCAGCGTTGGCCTTGTGCTTTCATCAATAAAAAAAGATGACTTGACCTGGCTTAATGATTATTGTAATGAGATGTCAGTCATCCACCGCTCATCTACGGTCATCACTTTTCTGTTCTCTGGCTAAAATGACCCAGGGGACACATACCTTTCATTTATACAACAGAAAAGTCCCCCGAGTCAGGACTTCTTCTTCCGTTCACACGTCGCGGCCGAGAAACAGCCGCCTACTTATCCTATGTCGTCGACTTCTACGACCAACTTCCAGAATACTCCATTTTTATTCATGCATACCCAGAACAGTGGCATAACGATATCTTGGGACCATACACTCATAATACGCTGAAACATATCCGTTTTGAGGCCGTGGATGTCCACGGCTATGTCAACCTTCGCTGCGAACTAAACCCCGGGTGTCCAACAAGCATTTTCCCCTTGAGCCCATCTCAGGCCGACATAGATGCACACGACATCCGCGCCTCGTTCTCAGATGCATATCAAGAAATTTTTAGTGTACCAATTGACAAAGTGCCTGTGGAACTAGGAAATGTGTGCTGTGCGCAATTTGCCGTGAGTCGAAAAAGAATTCTAGAACGACCTCGAGAAGATTATATGCGGATGTTAGAATGGGCGGCCACGACAAAAATGACCGATGATTTTGGAGTGGGCTGGGTGATGGAGAAACTTTGGCACATTATATTCGGGATGGATGCAGTCCAGTGAGTCTGATTATTGATTTTAAAGCTTGATTGGAGGATATGCTAATCTTATCTTACAGCTGCCCTCGATATGAGCAATGTCGTTGCGATGTATACGGGTGGTGCGGACCATTGCTTAACGGAGAAGTACTCCAAGCGATAGTGAAGAAACACCCTTGAAGGAGAGATTAGGATGATATAATATCTAGAGACCTCATAACGGAGGACATGAGCAAGGAGGAACTTCGAGCGATGGGAATTTTTCTTTCGAAGGCTCAGGGTTCCTGGTTCGGAATTAAATCACCCGCGGTCGCGTGGCGCTCCACACACTTTTATTAGTTATTCCTGTATACGGTGTATAGATGAGAACAAACCAAACGGACCGGGATTATGATATTAGCCCTGGAATGTATACTTAGTATGAGTTGGCTTTATCGCAATCCTTTTTGTGCCAGCCAATCAAAACTGGAGGATTTTAACTCAAAACTTTAAAGCCGTGCGGAAGATAAAGCTTAATCACTATTATCAATTCGTCTAATCTTTCCCGGGTCGGGCGATCCGACGAAGTCACTTATCTCCATAATCAGATACGCACATTCTTACACCCAATGAGATGACAATGATTCATCACCTTGCCAGTATTGATAACTATTCCCGGCAAAAACCCGGGGGATTATATGCTCCTCTTTTGAAAGTGACTTATCATTTGTTTATACTTAACAGGATTAATGGCACCTGGAGAAATCACTTGTCGAAGGCAAGAGATCGAGCTGACCTTTTTCAATCACCATTATGTTTTTCTCAAAGGTACCAGCAAGGACTGATACACACATCTCGAAGACAATATGTCGCTCTTCAAAGGTACTCATCGGCATGCTTATCTTAGTATGCATGGTTCAATCAGCTGTAAGTCTTTCATACACAGTTCAAGACTGCCCAGGGTCAGACTAACTCGGCGATAGACATACGGCTATGATTCGTCGATGATGTATGGCCTTGAATATCTCCTCTCTACTCCGTATAGAATTAACCTTTGGAACCTCTCAGGAATGGACTGAACATCCTGCCTTCCTATACCGAATATTTCAGCCTTACCACTGTCACCACAGCACTGAACACATCGATTGTCAGTGTTGGAAATTGTGTAGCTGGCTTTTTCAATGGATGGATGTGTGACTATCTTGGTCGCCGACCCACTCTATACATCGCCTCGGTCATTGCCTTGATCGGTATTATCATCCAATCTGCAGCTCAGAACATCGGCATGTTCATCGCAGGTCGTTTCATCATTGGTTTCGGTGTTGGAATATCTATTACAGCAGCACCGACCTACTTGTCTGAGATTGTTCCCGCGAAATACCGTGCTTTTACCCTTGGTCTGTACTATGACTTCTGGTATGTCGGTAAGTAATCAAAATAGCCCACATCTTTCTGTCTGGCTCAGATTATCTGACCGGCTTATATACAGGCGCTTTGATCGCAGCTGGAATTACCTACGGTACAGCCGAATTACAGTCAACCTGGGCATGGAGAATCCCTTCCATCCTGCAGGCCTTGTTCACTATCATCTGCATTATTCTTTTACCTTTCGTTCCCGAGTCTCCACGTTGGCTCATCTTCAATGGACGCGAGCAGGAGGCACAAGAAGCGCTTGCAGCCACTCACTCCGATGGAAATATCTCCGACTCTGAGGTTTTGATCCAGATGGGTGAAATTAAAGCAGCGATCGAGTGGGAGAGAAACGCCGGAGAGAAATTGACTATGATTGACACTGTAAAGACCCCCGCCAACCGCAAGCGTATGATGCTTGCTCTATCCGTTGCAGTCTTCTCAATGATGTCCGGTAAGAAAAGCCCTATCGATGTAAACTATCGAACATGACTGACGAATATAAAGGCAACAACGTTGTATCCTACTACTTGGGTGATATGCTGGACAATGCCGGTATCACTGATACTACCACCCAGCTTGAGATCAACATCATTCTCAACTCCTTCTGCTTGGTGGTCAGCATCATCGGTTCATTCTGCGCTGAGCGTATGGGTCGTCGCATGCTGGCGATCAGCAGCACTGCTGCACTCACCATTTTCATTTTCATCATGGGCGCATTGACAAAGGTTTACGGCAATTCTACCAACACATCCGGCATTTATGGTACAGTGGCTTCTATCTTCCTCTTCCAGGGAAGTTATAGCTTCGGCTGGACTCCTCTGTCTGTCATGTATCCTCCAGAAGTGCTTCACTATTCCATTCGTGCCAGCGGAATGGGTATCTACACCTTCATGGCATCTGGATTCGGGTAAGTTGGCAATCGTCTTCTCTTTCCATGATATTCATCTAACATTTTTCTTAGACTCTTGGCTACATTTGCCTTCCCTATCGGACTTGAGAAGATCGGCTGGAAGATTTACATGATCAACGGTGTTTGGGATGTTATCGAGCTGCTCTTTGTCGCTTTCTTCTGGATTGAAACAAAGGGCAAGACTCTTGAGCAAATCAACGAGCTTATTGATGGTGTGAGGCGCACTCCTGACTCTGCCTACCTTGAGAAGACCGCTGGTGCTTATATTGAAGGCCAGGAAGTAGTTGAGACTGAGACTGAAAATGTTCTACCGAAGAAGGAGTGACAGATTTAGAATTTTGATAGATTTACCCTGAGAGGGATTTATGATAGACTATGAGGATATAATGCTCTTTAATTGGTTGACTGTGATCTTGAGTTCAATTGATAACGATTCGTTCAATTTTGCCGGAATCTCAGCTATGGTGGTAAAGGCTTGACAAGAGTTAGGAAATCGGTGTCACCACTTTTACTCTTTCATAATTTCTGTGACCCTAATGCTAAGATAAACTACGGATAGACTCGATCAAGAAGAGTGGGCGGAAAATATATAGACCTGTATTATTATATAGTATTTTACTCTGCTTAGGCGATAATATCACGTCTCGTATCTGTATGGGCATTGAATCTAGAATTATCTCAACACAAACAACGTAATTTATAATATATGCGTATGGAATCCCGTAATCAAGACTCGTCCATCTCGAAATCCGAGTGCAAGTGTGGCATTTTTGACAGCCTGGCATGAAAATGAACGATATTCATCAGGGAGCCATAGTATATTCTCCCCTCTAAAACTAACCCAGTTACTCGATAATGATATCTGGAAAGTTTCAGGAGCTTTTTCGAGAAGCTCACCAGGATAAGTAGAGAAGACTGATGAGTTAATGCCACTTGAATGGCCCTCTAGCGTCTGCCGCTGCGTGCCCGTCGCCGTATCCCAGAGCTTGATGGTGTTATCATCCGAGCCCGATGCCAGCGTGAGCCCATCGGGAGAGAAGGCCACTGATGTAACCGAATCTGAATGGCCCTCTAGCGTCTGCCGCTGCGTGCCCGTCGCCGTATCCCAGAGCTTGATGGTGTTATCCCATGAGCCCGATGCCAGCGTGAGCCCATCGGGAGAGAAGGCCACTGATGTACCACAATTTGAATGGCCCTCTAGCGTCTGCCGCTGCGTGCCCGTCGCCGTATCCCAGAGCTTGATGGTGTTATCATCCGAGCCCGATGCCAGCGTGAGCCCATCGGGAGAGAAGGCCACTGATGTAACCCTACCTAAATGGCCCTCTAGCGTCTGCCGCTGCGTGCCCGTCGCCGTATCCCAGAGCTTGATGGTGTTATCATCCGAGCCCGATGCCAGCGTGAGCCCATCGGGAGAGAAGGCCACTGATGTAACCCAATGTGAATGGTCCTCTAGCGTCTGCCGCTGCGTGCCCGTCGCCGTATCCCAGAGCTTGATGGTGTTATCCCATGAGCCCGATGCCAGCGTGAGCCCATCGGGAGAGAAGGCCACTGATGTAACCCAATGTGAATGGTCCTCTAGCGTCTGCCGCTGCGTGCCCGTCGCCGTATCCCAGAGCTTGATGGTGTTATCCCATGAGCCCGATGCCAGCGTGAGCCCATCGGGAGAGAAGGCCACTGATGTAACCCAATGTGAATGGTCCTCTAGCGTCTGCCGCTGCGTGCCCGTCGCCGTATCCCAGAGCTTGATGGTGTTATCCCATGAGCCCGATGCCAGCGTGAGCCCATCGGGAGAGAAGGCCACTGATGTAACCGAATCTGAATGGCCCTCTAGCGTCTGCCGCTGCGTGCCCGTCGCCGTATCCCAGAGCTTGATGGTGTTATCCCATGAGCCCGATGCCAGCGTGAGCCCATCGGGAGAGAAGGCCACTGATACAACAAAATGTGAATGGTCCTCTAGCGTCTGCCGCTGCGTGCCCGTCGCCGTATCCCAGAGCTTGATGGTGTTATCCCATGAGCCCGATGCCAGCGTGAGCCCATCGGGAGAGAAGGCCACTGATGTAACCGAATCTGAATGGCCCTCTAGCGTCTGTAGACTTAGGCTCCAGGAATCCTTTACCGCTGGTAGCGGCTGGATCTGATTTGGAATTTCGCTAAGAAATGTCTCCTTGATGACACTTTGTGTTGGTGCAAACGCTAGACCGGAACAGTAGAGCTGTAGCGGAGCAATGCCAGCTAAATAAGCATTTTGAAGAGTAAATCTTCTTGCATCATATAAAAACCCTGAAAGAGCAGGATCCAGTTTCTTCTATGATATCTATTAGTTGGTATCTTAGTATAAACTTTCGACACTGACCCATATGCTTGACTCTAGTGTCTTTATCATTGTTACAGCTTCGGATATGTTTCCCATCAAAGCTAGGGCCTCCAACCAGTAAAGGAATCTTTTTTTAAGAAAAGAGAGAACTTCCCATTCAGAAATACCACCCTGGCTCTGCTTTAGATGATGTACCCAATAATAGCAGGAGTATTGCAAATCAGCTGGGAGGCGCTGCTGGATGATCTGAGGATCGATATCTCTGCACTCTTGGCCGTAACTTGCTAGATCACAGATATTGTGGCTAAGCCTAGTCTCCATGATGCGGAGACAGTTCGATGCTATTTTTCGATGTGTATCATTCTTGTTAATACGGAAGTCACTTTCTGTGCTGAGTAGAAAATCTCGAAACGATAGGTGTAGAATAGAAACTGGAGTGTTTGTGTCGCTTGGTAAATTGAGAACCGAAGATAGAAAACCCAGTAAGTCATTGAGTTCATGTGATGACTTTTGTAAAAGCAGAGCAAGAGATGTCACTGAGAGTGGGGTAGCAAGGAGGATAATAACCCCGACGATCTCTTGAAACTCTTGTAGAATCTCTTCATCGTTCCTTATAAGTTGATCTAAAATTGGTCGGTATGTTTTCTCCATCTGTGTTGCACTTGTGATTCCAATATCAAGATACTTCTGAAGCTGCTTTTGGGGATGTAGTCCATCTTTGATAAAGCGACATGCTGTGGCTGCAAAGATAAACAAAGGCACAGCCATCTGCACCAGCTTATCAATATTGTCATTCCCTGGCCAGTCCGAGGGAAGTTTCTTCTCGTGTTGTATCACTTTAAGCTTGTATTGCAGAAACAGGCGAATATCGCGTTCGATCACTGGAGCAGGAACTTCCTGGAGGACTAAGTCTTGGTGATTCTTTTCCTCCTGGAAGCCGTAACGAATTGGAAGCTCAGGTCTACTCGTCAGGATCACCCGTAAACGTATAGACTTAATCTCTTGTAATTTAAATAAGAGATGAAGTATAAGCTTTATGTCATCGTCCCCGTCACATTCATCTAAAGCGTCAATGACAAACACAGTTGTGGTTGATTGGTCTGATTGTAGTTTTGAGAGAGGTTGGTAGAGAAGCTGGTCAAATTGAATGTTTAGGAACTTCGATGTGATTCTCGGATCAGTCCTGATGGCGCTCAAAACTTCAGGTGCCAGTTGTCTGTATTTGGTAACTAGCTGTCCCACGATGCTGGTTATCAAGTAGGTTGCAATACCACGATCGGCTTCGCCTCGTTTGAAGAAAAACGTGGCACCAAGCAGTCCCCTGTCTTTAAATATTTGTGCAACTGTCCGTGCAATAGTAGACTTTCCGGTCCCTGCCATCCCGTTTAACCAAAATATGAGTTTATCATCTGACTCCGCCCAGTGTATGATACGTGAAAGGAGTTCGGTTCTAGTTCCTTGAAGGCAGGGATCCTCATGCTCGTGGCCATGAGCGTCATATAATGCTCTCTCCACGACATGTAGATGTTCAAAGCTAGACTTCTCGAGAAGAAGCTTCATAGATTCGCCTAGGTCATCGATTTTGACAAGGAGGTTTTCTGCGTCCCTTTCATGGCGAAGGTATCCGCCTAGCTGAACCCAACGGCCTAAATATTCCCTTTCTTTTTCGAGTGAGGTCTTGAGCTCCGTAAGTGGGGGGCCAGTAATAGAGTCCAAGAGAATCCTTCCCATACTAGACTCTTGGGCATTCCGAATCTGTGCTGAATAGTGCAGAACTGATCTGTAGAGACTGATCATTACGCTTCGCACATGATCTCGGGTATCTGGGTGGCCGTCCAGATAGAATTTCCGTTCGATAAAGGCACTTTGTGCAAGGACATCGGCTAGGTACTCTGATGATTCAAACAATGCATTTCTTGCATTCTGATAGTTTTGGGTCATCTAAAATACCTGTTAAAGAATACTTCGATGGCATATCTAGGAAACCCGTAATACATACTGATAGACCAAGCGACACGACTGTCCAAGCACTAGCTGCATGCTGTGTAGGGTCAAGTGCAGCAACCGCAGTAATAATATCCTTAAAGGATAGTACCGCATTGATGATCTTTTGCGAAGATTTCCGGATTGTATCGTCTGACTTCTGCTGGTATGTCTCGTATTGTTGCTTTGTCACTCGGACGATATCGTCGATCAGCTCCCTCGAGCTAGCGTTCTTGTCTTTTGATTTAGAAGGGGTTTGTATGCTAGACAAAATCTGCTGCTGTTTCACATCGAGCTGGTCATAGGCAGCCTGCCATAGGTCTTGTGGCTCAAATATCTCGGTTGATTGGGTTGGTTGGATTGCAGCCTGGCTACCCGTTGACTTTCTAGCATTTGTTGCGCTGTCTCTTTGGTCCACCACTTGATCAATGCCGGCGTCCTCTTTCCCAGTCTTCTTGTGTTTGAGAAGTAGTCGATTAAATTTGTTTTTTAGACGTCCGGTCATTTTTGCAAAGTATTTTCAAGTGACTGAATTTCTGCGTTTCGTGGAGAGATTCACACTTAGGCTGGAGAGGGGTAAGCTGTTCGGTCCTATCTTTTTCCTGCGGTGGACAAATGTACTTAACCCCTGTGCACCCTTAATAGAATAAGTATCCTTGCTTCCACAGAATAAGGAACACACTATTTACATAGTACATTCTATGTATACCAACTAGCATGGAGTACCTATCTGACATTATTTTCTGTTTCTAAAAAACAGGTCCTTATTTAATGTCATACTATAAACACTTCTCTATCTAAATTAGCTCTATTAAGACCTGCATGCCAGACGTGTCCCAGCTTCTAAACATATCTGAGTGATGAAACGAGGTATTATCCATTACTAATACAGACTTCGGCTCCGGCCATTTCCCGCAATGCTTGAGAAGCTGTTCAATATAATCCTCGAAAACGAACGCATCAGTAGAGCCGCGGAACACTCGAGAGAGAACAAAACCATATTGGGCATATGTATGATCACGATGGAACTTGGAAACTTGGGTGGAGACCGGTTCGTCTGAACCTAATTCGCTTATCACAGATTCATCTAGACGAGCTGATGTGAGCTAAATTCCGGGATTAAATGATAGAAATCATCACGCAAGTCCGCATTTCGCTCTTTAGCCTTTTGTGTAACTGTCTTTTTTGACATTGGCGGTGTAGTTGCTAATCGTCGATTTGGGTATGGAGACGTCGAATTTGTCAAGAATAAATCCATCTCAGAAAGGAAAAACTGGCTTCTCGAGCAGATGATCACACAAGACTTCTAACATGATCGGTGTGATACTTCGTGGCCCGCTTTGATGGGGTTTTGATGGTACCAAATAGTCGCAGATTAGGATCCTAAAGATACAGTGATCCTAGCACCTGATAAAGTAAAACACAAGCGAGTGGAGATTACACGCAAGTGGATAATCCTTTTTTTACGCGTCATCTGTTGCTTTTTTCAACCACTATGCCACCACCTACCTCTCAAATGGCCCAACCCCGGGAAGAACAGGAGGGTAGGATCTTATTAGCCATTCAAGCTTTAAAAAAAGGCCAAATTGCCAATGCAAGCCAAGCTGCATCTATCTTTAATGTCCCATATACTACCCTCCGGCGTCGCCAATCCGGCGTTACATATCGCGCTGAGACACGCGCAAATAGTCATAAACTGACTGAGTCTGAAGAGGAAACTCTAGTCAAATGGATTTTCTCTTTAGACGACCGTGGGTCTGCCCCTAGACCTCATTATGTCGCTCAAATCGCCAATATTCTACTCGCCGACCGTGGAATTAACCCACCTCTTACGATCGGACGAAATTGGGTTTCGAACTTCGTTAAACGTACACCTGAAATCGATAGTCGCTATTCAAAACGTTATGATACTGAACGCGCAAAACAAGAGGAGCCTCAGATTATTCGCGAATGGTTTACACTGGTTGAAAAGACGATTCGCGAGAATGGGATTCATGAGGATGATATTTACAACTTTGACGAAACTGGCTTCGCTATGGGACAAACCGCCACTGCTGAAATCGTTACGAGGGCAGGCTATTATGGCCGAAATGACAAAGCTCAACCTGGAAATCGAGAGTGGGTTACAGCTATTGAATGTTTAAATTCAACTGGTTGGGCGCCTCCGCCATGCATCATATTTAGGGGCAAAGACATGATGCATAGCAACGCCAATTTACCACCTGATTGGCTCATTGAAGTAAGCCCTAATGGCTGGACATCAGACCAAATAGGTCTTCGTTGGCTACAGGAACTATTTATCCCTTCTACTATAACACGTACAAAAGGGAGATATAGGCTGTTGATTCTAGATGGCCATGGTAGCCACCTTACACCCGACTTCGATCATATTTGCCGACAAAACGACATTATACCACTCTGCGTGCCTCCGCATTCATCTCATCTTTTACAGCCTTTAGATGTATGTTGTTTTGCTGTTTTAAAGCACTCTTATTTCCGAGAGGTTGGTATCAAAATGGAGCTAGGATTCGACTCTATCGACAAGAACGATTTTCTAGCTATATATCCTACCGCGCGTGAAGAAGCTATAAGATCTGCATCTGACGCCTTCGCCGCCACTGGAATTACACCATTTGATCCAGAGAGGGTGCTTTCAAAGCTTACTATCTCGCTTCGTCCGTCAACACCACCACTACCACCATCCCGGGGTAGCGACTCTAGTAAGAACTACTCTCCAAAAACGCCAATGACACAGAAGGATATACGTCGCCAACATAAAGCTCTATTACGAGCATTATCGCGATCACCATCTACACGAACAAAGCAGATCTTAGACCAGTTCTTAAAAGGCGCAATAGCCATACACCAACATGTGGCAATACAAGATCAGGAAATAGCCGCTCTTCGCGAAGCTAATGAAGAAAAGAAGCAACAAGAGGCACTATCGAATGCGGAAATAGTCATTGAAGGTGGCATTACTATCCAGGAAGGCCGCCAGCTTATCGACGCGTTAAGAAATCGTGATGCAAATGGTGATGTAAATGGACGCCAAACCCGGGCATCTTCTCCACGACGCCAGCGGTCACGCAGATGTGGAATATGTAAAGAGACTGGACATAGGAGAGATACGTGTCGACAGCATCCGATTCAATAGGTTATTTATTTACATAGTTTTATTGATGTCAATGGAGTTTTGGGACATCTTCACCACTCGCCCGTAATCTCAAGTCGCTTGTGTTTTACTTTATCTGGTTGCTTTGTCTCATGAAACTCCTTTTGTGTATTTGCTTCTTTATCTGCCTATTGGCTAGAGACAGGATTATGGTCCATTCTTAGTTGAATCATAGGGTATACAGGACAAGATCTTTGGAAATGAGATTTCCCCTGGAACAACACGAGATCTCGCCAGGACAGCAATTGTACAACCGGAAGGCCAGGTAACCCGCCATGAGTTCCAAGTAGAGGAATACTGGGGACCGGCTCCTGTAAGAGCACTCGCGGTGTCACAGGCTCCCTTGCTTGAGATAACGACATCTCGGGCTCCAGAGTATTGATCGATATCAGCGGGAGAAAGTGTCGGTCAACCGATCAGCAAGCGTTAGCCACTGAATGGTGGAAGTCCACTATCTCGGTCAGCTGTCGGTCTGCCCGATAGATAGCGACGCATCGAGATCGTTCTATTCCTGCTCCCAGTAGATTTCCGCAGTTATAAAGTGTATGCCAGTTACTGAACCATGAAAGAGCCCTTCAAGTCTTAATCACAGTATTAATTCAATAATGTTGATCTACAACAACACCTCTTTATACCTTCTCTGCCTGAGGCCTATTGTGCAATTCCTCTCTTAGTTTACGACAATATAGGTACCGTACATTTGAAAGCAGCCCTTACATTCCATGACCGGATATAATTCCTTTTAGGGACCCAAATTTCAAAGTGGTATTTTTATAGATAAGTTCGGTAAGGTCTCCGGCCTCTATGGTTAAAATAGGTAAGAATATTGAGTATTTTGGAAAGTGGTCCATGATCACTAAAGTCGTATTGATATATTCCCTTTTATAATACTAAAGCACTTTTACCCACTGTAAAGTGTGTCCATTATACCATTTGAAGAGATTTGCGACAAGTAATGTTGAAACCTTGTATCAAAAGTATCACTTACCAGCATTGCTAAGAATAGTTGGTCACATTTTGCCATAAGTAAATTGACTGCAGCGAGTCCAAAGACATCATGGTAACCCCCAAAAGTTCGGGGCCCTCTAAGTGTACCAGGATATCCTGACGTAATTTTTCACTTCATGTGGTGTTGCGGGGTATGATATACACATCCGCACAGCATGTATTAAGGCTCATGCTGTTTCGATACAAACCCCGTTTTCTCCGCCTGTCACCAAAGTGACCTTTCCCGATTAGGAGCCAAGAACGTTCTCATTGCGGACAACCTGCATTGTAGTTGATCGCTGGTCACCACCCCGTTTAGATGCTCGTACAAAAGACCGTATTGTCCAAGATGCTTGACAATCGACATAAAAAAAGGTACCTTCTAAGATTGTGTAAAGTAGCGTCGAGTAGTATTAGATGACCGTAAATGAGAAAGGGCTGTGTTTTTTATAGCGACAATATTGAGATTTGAGTGCTCAGGTTTGCTTGAAGTACAACCATTCTCCACCCCTGTCCGCCCCTTGGTACCTGATAGAACATTTATTACCAACAGTAAAAAAGATAAAACTTAGAATATACTTACAGAACTTGAGACTACATGGGCAGTATTGACGAAGTTTTCCTCGCTGGTCCGCTCCCGCTCCCGCTCAGGAGCGGGATTCTGAGTAGGAGCGGGACTATTGGAACCAAAAGCAAGGCAAAGCCAAATGATTAAGATATAAAATGAAGATATCACTCCAATTCACTTGTTTCAAGAACGCTCAACTTCGGTACTAATATCACTTTTTCCCTTGAACTTTTTTTCCTCCCCCGATTTCATATTTCAACCAACATGTCAAGCACTACAATTAAAAAATGGCTCATCACCGGCGCATCATCGGGACTGGGTCTTGAAATGGCACTTTCAGCACTACGTGCAGGCCATCACGTTATAGGGACCAGCCGAAATATCGAAATCGCCGCTGCTAGCAACCCTGAATTCGACAGACTTGGTGGCAGATGGTTGAAGCTCGATGTGTCTCAGCCTGAGGCGCAGGAAGTTCTGGAGAAGCTATTTTCCCAAGAGGAAGAATATCAGCAGAGTCAACATTGGGTGGTCGTGAATAATGCAGGCAACAGTCTACTTGGAGCAGTGGAGGATATGAGCGAAGGTCAAATTTCCGCCTACCTCCAAATCAATCTCTTCGGACCAATTCGCGTATGGAAAGCCGCCTTACCGGTGCTTCGTCGCCACAAAATGGGAACTCTTATCACCATATCTTCCATTTGGGGAATTGTGAACAAGTCGGAACATATGATGTACAGTGCTGCCAAGGCGACTATAGAGTCATTGACTGAGTCCTACGCCGACGTACTTGCACCGTTCGGGATCCGAGTTATGATAATTGAGCCCGGAGGTTTCCGCACAAAATTTCCTGCCAATGCTAGCAGATCGGACGGAGGAACCACGGAAGATTACGCAGAGAGGATCAATGCTTGGGGGGACATCATTGATGCCGCAGGCAAGGATGAGACAATGGTGAACGGTGACCCGGGACGCTTTGGGGAGAAGGTCTTGGATGCTGTTGAGAAACAGGGGGATTTTAAGAAGATATGGATGGATCAGGTGAAGGGAAAGGTGCTTCGTGTGCAGTTGGGATCTGACTGCTACGAGATCCTGGGCAAACGATTGAGGGAATTACAGGATGGATATGAGAAGATGTCTGAGATTGCAAAATCGACGGACATTTGCTGATACCTACTTGCTTGAAGCAGTTTATGCAACTAATGTCTGCGCTAGCCCGCTAATGCTAGGCTGTGCTAAACGCCTCATTATATAATTGGACTTGCCTGTCTGACTACTTACTTGAGACAACAGACATTAGACCCGCACTCTCCTTCTCGAGCATCAAAATATAAGCATCTGTTCATGTCGTTAAATCAAACGAGTCTCGTATTTACAATATATCACACACATACCAACAGTTTTCCAAACCTTGCCCAGAGCTTTGAAGGCATCAATCATTGATATCAACTGCATCTCCCTAGCCTCACTTTTTTCCTCTCGATAAAGCCAACCACATTCAGATATAGCCAAGTAAAGACAGTGACAAAATAATGGGCTTAAGTGGAGGATATTCGTATCATCTGACCCTGAGATATAGCGCAAGATACGCTCCGCAAGTAAGTACACATCCTCGATCACGTCATAGATGCCTTGAATAGAAGCTTCTTGCATAGTAGTTTCCTCCGCTATTGGGGTACATTCAGCAGAAGGATTTTCGTTACATGCATAGATCTCATATAAGATTATCCGGGCGGAGCTGCAGAGTGCCAAAGCAACAAAGTGGCTCTTCTCTATGTCTTGATCCAGAGAACATAGTTGATTTAGATGTGATCTGAGGCATGTGAGAGTGAGGTGAAGCTGATATGCCTCCGAAAGAAGCATTCGGCGATCGATAGCTGAGGCATGATCACGATGCCGTACCACGTTCCCCAGTAAATGTGCTGCCTGGCAAGTATTGGCAAAAAGGCCAGGTAGGTAGTTAGCTGGTGAGTGGTCAACGAATAGAGGCTGGTTTGACCCAACCTGTCCACTATCCCAGCGATCTTCCCCACACGGAAGAAGCTCTGCACGTCCAGGCTCGGGGGTCGCAAGAGGCAAGCCAGTAATCCTCGCATTTGAAAACCTTGAGATCTTTGGTAAGCAGAGCGAGACACTGATCAGTTCTAGTATCCACTCACCAATCAAGGATCATAATAGCCCACCAAGTCCTTCTTTCTACCTCTCGTCCAGTCCATGTATCGGGTTTCCTAAAAATTTGTGGCTTGTTTCTATCATGAAGCCCTATCAATAAACCTAGTCTTGCAGCCCGTGATACACTCAAGAAGCCAGCAGGATATATCCCATGTGCAATTTCATATATTGACATCAATACCACCGACTGGATCAATTCAATCGAAATTTGACCCAAATGTTCTAGCCTTGAAGATAAATCCCTGACCGCATGATAAAGGGGAGATATATTTGCTTCTCCAAAGGGCGGCGTGGATGATAGTTTCATGCTTAAAATCAAGAGTGATAAGCCGCTATCCATTGTAGTATCATCAGCACTTATTTTCTGGCCTATTTCTTTCTGGCTGAGAATGGGAAGCCAGCGATGTATTCCGGAAAAGTATTGTAGGTATACAGCGTCAATATCACTTTGAGAGCCGATGAGGCTGCGAAAATTCTCAGTGATGGGAATCTTCGGCAGCGCGTAGAGAGAAATGGGCTGATACGGATCAGAATCAAGAAAATAAAGACACTGGGCATCTGTGATCTCATGAACGGGGGGCGGTAACAGCTCTGAGCCAGAATGCTCTTCGAACTCTAGTGTTGTGCCGCTTCCAGGAGAGCGCTGTACGACCTTGTAACTGCAATTTTTACGTAGACGTAGACACTAACAGATCTTATCAGGATAATTGTCTCCATTATACCTGGCAAAGTTACCTACCAAGGAGCACGCTGGCAGATCTCGCGAACATTTCCGTTTTAATGTCCTAGTAGCGTCAGCATTCATTAACTAATTTTCATTATTTACGTGAAGCCGAATGTCAATCTCACCGGCAATTTAGACATGCTCGAAAAGCTTGAGTCTCCATGACTAGAATCTAGATTGGTGAGCACTGGGCTTCTGAATTGTATTCGCCTCGACCTGGATTGAGGAGTAGACGAGACTATCAGCCCCACGTTAGCCACTTTTTATTGGTGGATTACGATATCGGACTGTTAACAGGAACATGAACAATACAGACTACAATAAACACATCCTTGCAAATCAATTGACTTGGTTAATAGAAAAGATGAAAAATAAATATCTGAATTAGGGTTTACGACTTCACAGATAGCCGAAAACGGAGTAGAATCAATACATGGTTGGAGTGTGCAAGAGCGGACTGAAACTGGAGCGGACTACTTCTAAACCTTTGTAACAGGTTCATCGACACTGACAGGCGGATCACGCTTTTTAATGCGATATCTTTCTGTCATATCTAGGGCTATTCACTTGCTATTGTATACCTAGGTAGAGTATTAACCTCGAAATGTGTTCTAGGACCTGGACGAAAAAGAACTAAAGTTTTTAGGCGACGTCCGACTAGCGAAGCGGATCCTCTTCTTCCATTTCATTATGACATATAGTTCTGAAAGGGGTGAGGATGGGCCTATATTGGACATATATTGAGAAAAAGAGGCATTGGTCTTCTTGACAAAAATTGAAGCACAGAAATATTGGCCCATGAAAGGGCCAAACCTCCGAAAATCAATGCTGACGACTGTTGCCCGGATAATATCAGGTTGTGAGCTGCCACAGAGTTTGGTGGAAGAGTAGAGGCAAACCCATAGAGAAATCAAATTTAATTTGTTGATACATAATGCTTCCAAGTTACAACCAGGAATCACCTATACAGTACATAGAGCGACGCTCGAATATAAGTCGCGCGACGCAAAAGTAAAGAAAAAAACAAGCGCGACTCAGCTCTACTTCTGCTGACCTTGCTCGGCACCAGGAACCAACCCAGTGAGTGGATCAAGACGAAGCTCTTTCTCAGTAATAGGCGCATACGTAGTCTTTCCCTGCTTGGCCATAGCAAGCCGCCTCTCCTGACCAGCCTCACCAGCACGACCCAAAACACCAGAAATCAACGAAATAGCCCGTAGACTGTCGTCATTAGCAGGAATAGGGTATGTGACGCGAGTAGGATCAGCATCGGTATCAATAACACCGATAGTAGGCACATTATTCAAACCACACTCATGCAGCAGCACCACGTTCTCTAGCGGGTTCAGACAAACCACCAAGTCAGGCTTAAGTGTCGGCCGATCCGCAAGATCCATCTTGAACTCGGGCAGCTCCTCATCTAGCGCGTTCACCACCTTCGTCTCGCAATGGCCCAGGATTTGCTGCCCATTAGTCAGACTACCTGGGATCCACCGCTCAAAGATATGATATCCCTTTGCTAGCTCGGCCGCTCGCACAACAGCCTGCTTCTGGCCCTTACGTGTACCAGCGAAGAGAATGATGCCACCGCGCGCGGCAACTTCCTCAACGACCTTCGCCGCACGGCGGAGGTGGGAAGCTGTCACGTCTAGAGAGATAATATGCACACCCTCACGTATACCGAAGATGTAGCGCGAGTTCTGTGGGTTCCAGCGGGAGGTAGAGTGGCCCATGTGCGTACCAGAAGCGAGGAGAAGCTCGAGGGTGATTTCGGAGGGTTTGATGGGGTTGGTGATAAGGTCTTTTGGGTCGTAGATTTCTTGCATTTGGGTACCAGTGCTTTGAAATTTGTCCTCTGAGAAGCGATGGAAAAGAAACTTGTTAGTTTTATTTTTTTCCCCCGGTGTTGTCCGATGGGAGTGCCTACTTGATTGTTGCCATTTTGCCCATTGGGATTTTGGAGTGACTCCTTCCTTCACTTCTTCGGATTTTTGAATTGGATCAATTGGCCGTGCTGAGGGTGTTCGCAGCGCTGTGTCGACTGGTGTCTCCGTGGAGAGAAAGCGGCCTGAGATTGGGGCTCGTCGGCTCAGAGCCAGTAATTGGCGGCCTGGAAAATTGCGGGTTAGCCGGAGCGCTTCATTTCGTGGAGCTATTGTTGAGAGATACTCACTCTGCCGCACATATAGCTTTTGTACAATCATGTTGAGTATAGGGTTGTTGAGTCGTCGCAGTGAAACGTACGGGACTCTGATCCTCGCGAACTTTTGTCGGTCTTGGCTTTATGGCCTGAGGCATAAATACAGTCTTAAGGCATCGATACACTAACCCGCATCAGGATTCGATCACCCCGCGATGGTTCTTTTGTTGCGATTTCAATACAATATACGAGTACGATGGATTGATACTATTCCAAATATAATCCATTCCTTGATATCATGCAAGAAAGTTATGAGAATCTAGCCTTGAAAGGCAACTTGAAAAAAAAAAAGGTGAAAAAAGAAGCGATTGGCCTTAGCACATGCAGTGCCACTCTCAGTGCCACCCTCAGAGCGGAATAACGAAAGGAAATTCATGGGAGTCGCAGAATCATCACGATGAAAAAGAAAACAGCAATAAGAAATTTAATAAAAAAGCAAGAGGCTGAACGGTTAATGGAAAGCAACTCTACTTCTTGAAGAAGCCACCGAGCTGGTCCATCATGCCACCGCCTTGGCTACTGGGAGGACCGTAGCCGGGAGGACCCTGGTTGTTCTTGTGCTTCTTGACAGCATCTTCAGCGATGCTACCGATGATAGCGCCACCGATTGTTCCAAGGAAGCCGTGGTTGGCCTTGTGACCCATGAAGCCACCGGCGGCACCACCTGCAAGGGCACCAGCAAGACCACGCTCACCCTCCTGGGCCTGGCCAGGAGCACCCTCTTGACCCTCGTAGTATCTATCATGGATGTTAGCATTTGACCGAGACGAGAATGACGCGGAAGTGGAAGGAGACTTACCCCTGACGGGAACCGTCATGGCCGTACTGGTGCTGTTGTTCACCATATTGCTGCTGCCCACCATATTGCTGCTGGTGCTGGCCTTCATAACCCTGCTGGGGGTATCCTTGTTGCTGACCGTAGCCCTGATGTTGGTGCTGACCTTCGTAGCCTTGCTGAGGGTAGCCTTGTTGCTGACCGTAGCCTTGTTGCTGACCATAACCTTGCTGCTGACCATAACCTTGCTGCTGATCATAGCCGTGTTGGCCACCGTAACCCTGTTGAGGGGGTAGCCACCCTGCTGGCCGTAGCCTTGGTTGTGTTGGTTGTAGTTATCGTATCCAGACATGATTTTGATGTGGGATGATGAAAGGGGAGTTTATGGAAGGGAAAGAAGATGTAAGAGTGAAGGTGGGGGGAGGCTGGTTTTATAATCAGCACGGGAGTAGGTGAGATCGAGTGACCACAGGGCTGACGGCAAATCCCCACATACAAATCGTGAATTTACGGAACGCCGAGGCGCAGTACTCTTAAGGTGAAATGTGAATGGCTGAAATCGAAAGAATTCAACCTTGGAAATTCAGCGGCACCGCCACAGTTCCGGCTTCTTCGGATATTTAGGCACGTCCAGTTCATACTGCAATGTTGATCGTGGCAATGCATATAGGAGCTGAGCCTCTTACGGGTATGATACGCGGCCTATACGCGTCCCATAACGTGGCCTCATGACTAACATGCGTTATTTACGGTTTCAATACATAATACACTGAGACTTCGCCTTCTTGAGTAAACTATTCGGTTCCTGAAGTTTCCAAATATAGTATGCTCTTCGCCTTCTGTCGTCATTTTGATATCAATCTATTTTTTTTTCATGTTTCTCTGAGTTGATATCTTATTAGCATTCTTTTCATTGAAGTCGATTGTTTGGATAAAAGCAGTCATTACACCTGAAACATCAGCTGACTTTCCAGCTCATCTGAATCATTGACTCCCGGAGTCCATGTGCCCCCAAGGCTACAGCAGGAGTATTATGCTGGTAAGAAGAATACCTAAGCGGCTAAGCCTACGGTGCCTACCGCGGTTTACTTTCAAGGTGTAAGTCTTACTACGGAGACTTGAAAGGCTTCTTGTATGAAACGTAGTATGAAGCATTTATTACCATGAAATTATCTATTAACACATTGCTTCTAACATTCTATAAATTTCGTACATTTGAAGGAGCCGTCGCAATATAAGAAATACAGCCATATGACTCACAGAACAACCAGAGTCATGAGAATGGTGGTCAAAGCGGCAGTCATAGAGGATATCGAAAGCTTGATCACGGATGCTGCACCAGTGTACAATGGTCCCACGACACTGGTAGTAGGGGTCTTGCTGGAGGTTGAACCATTAAAGGCTGAGCTGTAAGGGCCGTGGATGGCGGTCACGTTGGCAGAGCCTGCAAGACTAGAGAAAGATGCGGATTCCGTAGCTACTAAAGAGGGTACGCTACCCAGTACTATAGTGGTAGCAGTGGCCTGGCCATATGCCACGCTGTAACTTTCGTCGCTTGAGACTTCGCTGCCAGCACTGGATGTGGGAGCAACAACACCAATAGCATTGGTCGCACTTGTATCTACTAATACCCCTGAAATGACCCTGGAACCTGCGGCGGCAGTGGCTCCGACAGTAGTCACTGGACAAATGGTAGTCGAGAGCGCAATAGTTTCGGTTGTGACAAAGGTGCTCTTTGCTGAGGCTGGGCAGTTAGTCACGGTCGAAGGGCAAGCAGTGACAGTAGAAGTGCGAGTTGCGAAGACTGTAGAGGTTGTAAATGCCTCATCTCCGGAGCCAGAGCCAGAGCCAGAGCTAGGGGCAGAGCCAGAGCTAGTCGTAGCAGTAGCCTTGGCAGTAGTCACTGGGCAAACAGTAGTCGAGACGACAACAGTCTCCGTAGTGACGAACGTGGTCTTTGCCGAAGCTGGACAATTGGTGATACTAGCAGGACAAGCGGTGATCGTAGACATGCGCGTGCTGAAGAGCGTGGAGGTTGAAAATCCTTCATCACCGGAGCCGCTGCCACTACCACTGCCGCTAGAGAGTGAAGCAGAAGTCGTAGGAGTGGATTCAGTTACAGGGCAGACAGTTGTTGAAAGCACAATGGTCTCAGTAGTAGTAAAAGTTGTCTTCTGGGAGGCAGGACAGTCAGTCACTGATGACGGGCAGGCTGTGATAGTAGCAGTGCGCGTAGCAAGGACAGTTGACGTGGTAGACTGAGGAGTCGAAGATCCGGATCCAGTGACTTGCGTTCCAGAAATTGCTGTCACGCTACCAGAGCCGTTGGAGCCAGAGGGGGACTGAGAGGGAGATGGAAAAGATTCAGACCCAGAAGTAGAAGATGGTAGCCCGGTCTTGACTGTAGCAGAAGCAGAAGCAGAAGCAGAGTCGGAGGGAGCACCAACAGGTGAGCTTGCAGTATGAGACGAGGCAATAGGCAGAGAAGAAGATGACGAAATAACAGAAGCCGGAATGGACGAACTAGGTGAAACACCTGCGCTAGATCTTGAGGAGCTGGTGATTGGACTTCCGGAAGGAATCGATGATTGAACAAGTGTCGAAGGAGCGACAGACGAGGAAACCAAAACTGGGCTTGAAGAGACCAAAGGAGCTGAAGAGCTAGTAGAGGCAACTGGCGCTGAAGAAGAAAGCGGTCTTGAAGAGACAGGTTGTCTGGATATAACCGAAGATCTGACAGGTGGCGTATGAGTGACAGACTGGGAAACGGAAGCCGAGCTTGGGATCAGAGATCCAACTGGAGTATCAGATGGGGAAGCGTGAGCTGAACTCGAGATCATAGATGCTGAAGAGCTGATAGTGGTGACTGGCACCGATGAGGAAACTGGACGTGATGAAATAGGTTGCCTAGATATAACAGAGGATATGACCGGTGATTTCGAAGCGCTGCTAGAGGAGATAGCGACTGGGGTTGAAAAAGGGCCTGTAGATTTTATCGGAGATGCAGACACAGCAGCCGAAGAAGAAACAGACACAGATGACGTGGGACGCACAGAGACAGAGACAGACGGCGTACCACTAGGAGTCGGGGTCACTGTCACAATACTAGTCACACAGGAAGTAGTAGCGACTCCGTTGTTGATATTGAAATTATCAAAATCAATGTCATAAACGCCCCCAGGAATGTTGTACTCAGAGCAAATGACCTGCGTCCCGACCCAGTGCGATCCATCTGTAGTCGGTGTGAAAGTAGTCGAGAGAATATTCCAAGTATCGAGGACTTCTACAGTCAGCTGGGTAAGCTGGGATGTACCTATCCAGGAATCTAGATACACTGCAAGAGTGCACACATCAGGAGGGTCTCTACTCGACACCTCCCCACTCGTAACTGCGCGCCAATTGAATGAAACAGTGTAAGTTTCTCCAGAGATGTAAGCATCACTGGATTGATACAACCAAGGTCTATCTGGAATGTCCGGGAATTGCCTGTGAAAGATATGACAAAGTTAGCCCTAAAAGATGCAACTTCTCAAAGAAGAAATTAGTAGGCAGAAAGAAGTCTTACACATAGTAACTACCATCGGTAGCATCCCCGCTGATAATTCGATTATATGAGCCTCTCCATGTGCTAAAGCCACTTTCAAATGAAGGATTCTGGAGCAGATTTGGGACTGCTGTCGTGCATGATACAACCGTTGAAGTGATGATTGAGTTTGTCGGAGTAGCAATGTTTGAAGGAGGTGCAGAAGAGCTAGCAGATCTGATTGGAGATGAAGAGGCAGGGCTAGAAGCTGCAACCGAAGAGGATGAAGAGTGCACAGACGGAATGACAGATGGAGTGGCGGTAGGAGTCACTGTACTAATAATAGTACTAGTAGCACAGGTCGTAGTAGGAATTCCGTTGTTAAAATTGAAATTATCAAATCCGAGGAAGTAAGGGCTATCTCCTGAGATAGGATCGCAAGAGAGGGAGATTCCAAGCAGTTGGCCTCCATCTGAAGAGTCAGGAGAAATAGTAGTCGAAACAGTATGCCAAATGTGAGGTGAACCGGCATATGAATTTTGGAAAACTTGGGTTTGCCAGCTGTCCAAGTATAGCTTCAATGTACAGCTATCGAAACCTTCATCTGAAATTTTCCAATCCATTGAGAAGGTGAATGTTTCACCAGCCTTGATGCCATCGATGGATTGATACATCGTCACACCGCCACCGCCGTTAGATTTGACGCGCCTAGAATTCAATTAGCTCTATGTACGCAGGCGCCTAGGGTAAAAGCCCAAAAATGGAATCGAAGCCTAGGAAGATAGAAGGAAGATGCCTAACTTACATGTACCATGTGCCATCACTGGCGCCTCCCCTATCAACATATACTTCTGCTACTGTGGGCTCCGTGATGGTGAAGTCGTACCATCCATCCTCAAATGAAGAGTCCTGAATCAGATTTACCGGAGCTCCCGTTGTACAAGATACAACAGTTGAGGTAATGACCGAGTTTGTTGGGGCAGCAACGCTTGAAGGAGGCGAAGAAGCGCTGGCAGAGATGATCGGGGACGAAGACACCGAGCTAGAAGCTGCAACCGAAGAGGACGAAGGGCGCATAGACGGAGTGACAGATGGAGTAATAGACGGAGTGATAACAGGAGTGACAGAAGGAATACATGAGGTGGTCGCAATTCCAATGACAATGTTATCAAGATCAATGTTAAAATAGCCACTACTAGAGCCGCTGATAGAGCAATAGAGCTCAACTTGGACTAAGTGCTGTCCACCTGATGGTTTGAATGTGCCTGAAACAGAATTCCAAGCTGTGCCTAGAAGTCGGGCCGATGAAGAAACAACTACGTTGCTGTCTGTGTCCAAAATGACACTTAGGACGCAGCCATCTGTAGTGGTACTCTCTGCACGCCAGTCTGCCACGAACGTATATTCTTCTCCATCGATAAAAGTGATGTATTGAGCCAAGGTAATTCCGGATGAAGTTTCGACTTGTCTAAATTTAAAAGTGTAAGCCCTAACTGTATAGAGTCAAGAGGTTGTCTTTTCTTACAAGTAATGGTCACCATCTGCAGCATCACCGCTCGCCCAGTTGGAATAGGCATTTGCATTTCTAGTAGACCAGAAGCCACTGATTCCATTTTCGAATGAGGGGTTCGGGACCAGGTTCGTCGGGACTACCGTTGTACAGGACACCGCAGCCGAGGGAACGATAGGGATTGAAGGAGTCGGTGTCACTGTACTAGTAACAGTGCTTGTAGCACATGAAGCAGAGATTCCGTGCATATTGAAATTATCAAGATCCAACGCAGTAACGGTAGCTGAATTGCGACAGTTCATCTGTATCACGAGCTCGTGATACCCGTCTTTGGTGGGTGTAAAAGTGGCCGAGAATTCATTCCACGAATTAGCTTCGTGTATCGTTACAAAGCCTAATGCTGTATTGGTATCTGAGGTCACTGATAGAGCGCACTCAAAATTCGTATCACTAGCAATCACACGCCAGTCAAATGTGAGAGTGTAGATTTGCCCAGATATATAGCCATCGATCCATTGAACAACACTTCCACCCCCTTGAAAGTTCGCTGCGTCCTTTTTGAGGGTAGTCCTGTAGTTAAATATTGAATATTAGCCTCAAGATGCGCAACTCTTAAAAGTAGAAGAACGGAGTCAGATAGAAAGAATTCTTACAAATAGTGACTACCGTCAGCAGCCTCTGCGGGGCCACTGACAATGGTTCCATAGCTATTCCAACCGTCGCTCCCATCTTCGAATGAGGGATTCAGGATCAAGTTCGTCGGAGTTGTCGTTGTGCAGGACACGACAGTTGAGGTGATAGTCGAGACAGTGGGGCTCGGAGGCCCAGCAGCTGTTAAAGTACTACGAGCCGAAACAGTCAAAGGCAGAGTCGCCGCCAAGATCCGCATAAGATCCTGCGAGAAACGCATAATGAAATGAATGGAACAGTTTCCCAGATAAACGAGTGACTGGGAAGCTTAAGCACAGTAAAGCAAAAGACTACTAGAAAAGAGGAATGTTTTAACTCGAGAGGATCACTATACGTTAAACTATTTTCAAGAAAGTTAGTGGTCGGGTATTTTTGCATTAAAAAGTTGATGGCTTCGTCTATATGGTTTATTGTGCTTGGCGTTTTCCTACACGGAAATATCCGATTCAGGTACGCGAGATCACGATCTAAATTTAACTTTATATTGCACCAACACGTGGTCCACCTTTAAACCCCTACTTCGATCAATATCTGTTAAGACTCTTTATTGATTCTGCTCGAACAGTAGGTATCTGGGTAGTCGTGCTACTTTGGTTGTTATAGATACTAGTTCCCTACTACACTCTAGCGCTAGGCTCAAATGGAACCGGCGATATCAAAATCCACCGGCGCCAAAAAAGAAAAAGAAAAAAAGGTTAAACCCCCTATTGGTTCAAGCTATGCGATTATCACTTGTGGTTCTCAGGGTGAAAAGGGTCCAGACTTTTTGAATTCTTGCTATTTGATATTTTCACTAGCTATCTTAACCTTGGAACTCTCCAGTTGCTTGAGCAGAACAGGTCTATTTAAGAACGAAAGAACGAAAGAACGAAAGGGCAGACTTCAGGATATCAGAGACTTCTCATATGCTGGAGAATTTGGAAATTTTGAAACTCTGAGCGCCAACTTTGGAAGAATCATCAATGGAAGAAAATTGATATTCACTAGACTACTTCCTCACCAAGTAAAAATTAAATGAAGCTATCGCATATCAGGAACTCCAATCATTCAGATCAACCGGAAGTAATTAACCGATCCAACTTTCCTCTTTCCTCTCCACATTCCAAGGTTAGTGCAGAGTAGTACACTCACAGACCTGGACCCCTGATCCACCGCCATTTGGGCGTCCGTTTCCCGATCTCGGCCGTATACAAAAAAGTCTGAGATTGATCTGGTTCCAAGGACGTTTCATTTTAGTCCATATTTGGCTTTGTATTCTGATATTGATAGATCTTCACGGCCTTGAAACTAGGCACATGGGAGTTAACAACCTTGGAAAAAAGATTAAAGTAATGAAAAATGTAAAAGTGAGAATGATAGTTAGAAGATGAAGAAGAGTAAGAGAAAGGAAGTAAGATAAGAGTGAGTGTTCATGATTTCATGCCAGGGCTGAATATGCTATCTGAACGCCCATGGTTCCATCTAACGGGGTTTATTTTTAGATCTACCCGCCCTGGATTTTCGAGACAGAGATGAGTCTAACATATATAATACTGTTCAGCTTTTTGCACACCCATCGATTTTTGGGTCGGGTGCTGAGCCGTGCCCTAAATAAAAACGCTTAATGATCCAATCTTGGAATGTATCAAGCGCTTCAACCAAGAACCTTCATGGCGAGTTCGACACTAGAAAATAGTTAGTCGTGAATCCTCAAGTCCTGCAGGTAAATTGAGAACATACGTAACGAAGGTTCCAGCCGACACAGGCATAGCTCTCAGCAAAGTAGGCCCAATACCCTTCCAGAAGCCACCAAAGCCCTCAACAGCAAATGTCTTCTTGAAACAGTCACGCATGCTTTTGAACTTCCGGTCCGCACCAAATCCATCGGTCTGCATCTTACTCTTGACAACGTCGAATGGATAACTGGCTAACCACAGGGCCTCACCGGCCAAACCACCATAAGCAGCAACCTTAAGGGTGGAGATTTCCTCACGCTTGATGTTGTTGCGCTTGGCATCCTGGTTCATCATATATTCAAAGGCCAAGAACCAAGTACCATAAGCCTGGGCCTCACGGAGAATAGTAACCGCCTGGCCACGGAATAGACCACGAATCAAACCATCGTGTGCAGATATTTTACGTACGCAGTCTAGAGGACCATCGTAAAGACGTCCAGCACCGTGGGGTTGGGCTTGTAGACGAATACGCACGTGCTCGATAGGACCCGATAGCACGGAGTTGGTGACACCGGCGAAGGAACCGGCTAAGAAGAATTGCCCGTAAGAGAGAGTAGAGTCGGCATACTTCTTCTTATTCAATTGCTCAAGACGGCGACGTGCCTCGTAGAATGCGCCAAACTGAACGCTGACCTATGGGGTGGATTAGATTGGCCGCTCCGAGGTTGAGAGTCGAGACCACTTACGCAGGCACCAATTCCGATCAAGGGTGTCAAGGTTCCCTTATAGAAGGCTGCAGGGCCCTCATTTTTGAAGATGTTGGTTGCGCACTCCAGCGCGCTCGAGTATTGAGTGGTGGTCTGTAGGCGTACCTTGACGATATCTGTCGGTGGTTAGAGTCGGTTTATTTTCTGTGTGCTAGGGATTCACGAACCAAATGGTTGACCTAGTGTCGTGTTAGCAGATCTATTACCTAGATGATCCCTTCCAGCAGGCATCGACTCCATTTGAAGTAGAGAACTCCATCAATTGATATTTCTAGCTTGCACATACCAAGAAGAACTTGTGCTATTCCACCAGCAGCACCCGCGGCCAAGTCCTTGACAGTGCGGAGAGGGTCAGCAACCTTCTGAGTAGTCTCAATCTCCATTTTCAATTATTTGAATTATTCGTAGGAGGTGGAAAGATCAAAAGAAAGCTCCTGGAGTCTATATCATAGCAAAGGTACTCTTATCGTGAATGGCGCCATCTGCACTGTGATTCGACGAGAACGCCGAGAACGATTATGCAAACAGATGCAAACATAGCTTGCCCGCGGGAAATGTTACGTAATCCAACTTGCCTAATTGGAAAATTGAAGCTTGTGAAACTAGACAGCAGTGGAGTATCGCAATATAGCAATGTACCGGCGAGCTGTTTTTAGGGTATGGCCTTTTTCGGTATCATTTTCGCAGTGACCCTTTTAACACTCAGTGTAGATTCCGCGTCCTCGCGTCGATATATATTCCACCGGCTTCCCCGCGCTCACTCCGACACGTTCCTCTCTACGGACATTTCGCTCCTATACGATCCGTCTAGATTCCGAAGATGGGAATGGTAATGGCAATGGATCAGCCCTAACCTCCCCGGCCTTTGCGCCCAAGTTCGGTAATCGGTGGGGTGGAAAAGCGAAACCAATTACACTAAGCGCTGCAGAGCAGGCTCTACGCGACAATATACCGACTGGAAGATTTGTGTCAAAATGGGGCGCTAAACAGAGCTCGAACGGATCTGGTCTCACTGCCGCTGAACAAACATTACGTGATGCCCTCGTCGCAAGGGAAAAGAACCCGACCCCGAAAGCTACTACTCCCCAAGCGCCCAGGCCAGGGAGAGATTTGGATTCAACGTTAACCCCTCGACAAGAAAGGAGAAAGGAATTTCTCAGGAAATCAGTATCTCAACGGCAAGGCTGGGAGTGTGGAGAATGCAAAGCCACTGTCTGGCGCAAGAACGACACATGTCCTTTCTGCAAGACAAAGAAGCCGAATGCGACCCATGAACCGACTGTATATGAGACGAGGGTGATGAATTGGGATTGCACAGAGTGCAACACATATAACATGGCACGACGGACTGAATGCAAAGGCTGTGGCGGCCCGCGGCCTGATACAGCGCATGCCCACCTGCAGAAACCACGCAGGAATTCCGAGCAGTCTGATAAGTTCCGAAAACTTGGCCAGACTATTTTGGCCGAAGAAGAGCCAGCGAGACGCAACTCCACAACACAAAATAAAGATCGACAGAACGTTAAAAAGGAGCTTGATTCTAGTGAATCTAATACAGTCAAGGCGAAACAAGACTCCGAGGCCCAGGCTACGAAGAATAAAGAGGATCTGTGGGCATGGGACATGTCTTCCCTGGATAAGTTGGCATCGCTAGAGGAAGAAGAACCAACGGTGCCTCAGAAGAAGCGCCGTGATGGTCGAAAGCCGCTTCAATCTGCATCCCAGGAAACCGATTTTGATCCCGAGGAACACAAGCGCCGCCGTGATGAGCGCAAACGCAACAAAAAGTCGAGACAAAAGGTTGAGGAATCTGCTCCTGCGCCATTATATCTTCCCGAATTTATTAGTGTCACCAATTTGGCCGATGTCATTGGCGTCCGGACAAATCAATTCATCCAGCGTATGGAAGAGATGGGATTCGATGATGTTGGATACAACCACGTCCTGGACGCCGAAACTGCTGGGTTGGTGGCTGCTGAGTTCAACTTTGAAGCAATCTTCGATACCGGAGTAGATGATTTGGAGGCTGCACCTGTGCGGGAGGACAGGTCTGGTCTACCAACTCGGCCGCCAGTTGTTACTATCATGGGTCATGTCGATCATGGCAAGACAACGATTCTGGACTGGCTGCGAAAGTCATCCATTGCGGCTGGCGAGCACGGAGGTATCACTCAGCATATTGGTGCATTCTCTGTAGCCATGCCCTCTGGAAAAACCATCACCTTCCTGGATACACCCGGGCATTCTGCATTCTTGGAGATGCGTCGTCGTGGTGCCGACGTGACAGATATCGTTGTTCTCGTGGTTGCGTCTGATGACAGTGTCAAGCCACAAACCATTGAAGCTATCAAGCATGCCACGCAAGCGAATGTCCCAATAATCGTTGCCATCAGTAAGATAGACAAGGAGGGTCGTAATCCGGATAAAGTGAAACAGGACCTCTCAGTCCATGGTGTTCATGTCGAGGATTATGGTGGTGATGTTCAGGCTATTGGCGTGAGCGGTAAGACTGGACAGGGAATGCTTGAACTTGAGGAGTCCATCCTGGCCCTCTCGGACATGCTTGATAATCGGGCGGATGATACATGTAACGCAGAAGGTTGGGTGCTGGAAGCTACCACGAAGAGTTACGGACGAGTGGCCTCGGCACTTATCCGTCACGGTACTCTGCGACCAGGCGATGTCATCGTCGCAGGTAATACTTGGGCTCGCGTGCGCACACTTCGCAACGAAGCTGGTGTTGTCATCAGCGAGGCCACCCCAGGTATGCCGGTCGAAATTGATGGCTGGAAGGACCAGCCCACTGCCGGTTCCGAGATCCTTCAAGCGCCTAATGAGCAGAAGGCCAAGGACGTTGTCGACTACCGCAAATCAAAGTCTGATACACGAAAACTGAGTGAGGACATGGTTGCCATCAACGAGGCACGACGCGAGACAGAAAAGCGAAAGACTGAGGACCTAGACTCAGATGAAGCATCGGCCGCTCCTACCCAACCGACTGGCCCTCAAGCGGTTAATTTCATCATAAAGGCCGATGTGGACGGCTCGGCTGAGGCAGTGCTGAATTCGGTTGCTGCCATTGGTAACAATGAGGTCTATGCCAATATTATCCGTTCAGGCGTTGGTCCCATCACTGAATTTGATGTTGACCATGCTGCATCTTCTAATGGAAGAATCATCTCATTCAACATGTCCATCGAGCCCAATATGAGCCGCATGGCTGAGCAAGAGGGTGTCAAGATTATGGACCACAATATCATTTACAAACTCATCGACGACGTCAAGGCAGTGATGAGCGAACAGCTCGCACCTACAATCACCCAGCGTGTCACTGGTGAAGCCGAAATTCAACAAATATTTGAAATCACTGTCAAGGGACGCCAGAAGAGTGCCATTGCAGGATGTCGTGTGCGCAACGGTCTGATCAACAAGTCTAAGAAGGTCAGAGTTATTCGCCGCAACGAAACGGTCTACGATGGTAAGCCTGAACACTCTCTTACATTTAACTCTTCCCAATTTGGCATACTAATTCGCTTTTTAGGTCTGATTACCTCTCTGAAAAACGTCAAGAAAGATGTGACTGAGATGCGCAAAGACACTGAATGCGGTATCAACTTTGAAAATTGGGATGGCTTTGCAGTTGGCGACCATGTCCAGTGCTATGAAGAAATTCATGAGCAGCGCTCTCTGTAGCCTTTCTTTGGTCTCTGTATCTCTACCACCTCCTCGTCCCCCTGTCACCTCCCTCCTCTCCCTGTTAATTACGCCATGTATCATACTTTTACTCTTTGGTTGCATCTAGGGTTGGGGTGTTCTTGTTTTATAAAAGCCGAAATTAAATCGGCCAAAACCTGGGATATACCTAGTGTAATCCGACATGTACCATATTTATTGCAATTTACTTCCAAAAGTACCTACTCCATTTCTTCACTTCGTCTTCCATCTCACCTTACTAACCCACATCGCCCAATCCTGTACATCCTTCCGCTCCAATATTCTATCAACAGTAAACCACTCTCTAGCAAGCTCCTCATTACTAGCCATTCGATGCACAAAACTATGACAAGCGCGACACAACCAAGCAACACTATTAAGCATCCACTCATCATGCCAGCCCTTCTTCAGCACTTTCGCATGCACGCCGCGCGGAATAAGATGATGATATGAAAGAGGAATCCAATCCCGATCACAGATTTCACACGCATCCGTGCGCGTATTCGACCATGCCGGCGGTCCGGTTGTCACGCTTGCAATATACTCTGTCAGGATAGGCGTCAAAAACTCGGGGAAATCGTTTACGTCCGGGATGAGTCCGTATACGGCGAGGGAGTCGGTGACGTCAGGTGGGACGACGGAGGTGACGGAGTCGAGCACGGCGCGATTGAGGGGAGTATCTACGTCGGGTGGGACGTAGAGTGTTGATAGATTGGGGTCATGCTGGACAGCGGTGTAGGAAAGAGTTCGCAAGGAGTCTGGGAACGAAGAGAAAGTTTCTGACGCGATGAACTATTCACCATTAGCAATGCGCTTTTGGTGTGATTCTTGGCTGGATGGGGCTACCTACGTCAATAAATTCGGCCCACTCGTCTGGATCGACTCGCTGGGGAGCTGCCGGCTCGGTATATGTCACATCCTTGTCCTTGTCCTTGTCCTTGCCAGCGCGCTTGAGTTTGGGCTTTCGTTTCGGTTTCGTTTTCTCTTCAGAGCGAGCGACGATTGAGCTTGAGAGACATTCTCGAAATACGGTGTAATTTTCATCTGACATTGAGGTGCATTGCGTTTAATATCCCTTAGGATTTTTCTTTGACTCGTGCTGCGCTGCGGTGTATGCGCTGCAACCCGGCGGCAGAATCTTGGAATCTGAAGATTGACATAATTCAAACCCTGGGTTCGAAAGGCGATTTAAGGACTCAACAAGCGGAATGAAAGTTTTGAGAGATTCGAAACATTGTACCTAGTTCGACCTCCAGATGGGATCGAAGGTAATGTAGGAAGACGTCGCGTGATTTCAAGCCTCCCAAGGGTCAAACTAGATAGCTTGGAGCATTATACTCCTCAACCCCTTTAAAGTCTTCATAGGTAGCTCCTATGCAGATAGCTGTGGAGAAATTTGGAATATTTACAGCGACTAGGAATATTCATCGACGATGTAAAAAGTGATTACGAGGTTGAGAACAGATAGAATGGTGTCACATTGTCAATATCAAAGATAAAAAAGAGGAATGTACCGCTGATATATATTTCCAGACACTCCATGTGGAGAGGAGAGTACGGGGTAAGCCAGCAGAATCAGTCTATCCTTCTATTTCCCCTCTAAGAACCCATTGCTTGGTGAATTCCCGAGTGAATAAAGAAGGAATCAGTTTTTATGTGAAGAAAGAAAAAGAAAAGCGCCAGAGAATTTTTTTGCGGCATAAATAGTGGCGCTGACTAAGAATGTATCATGTGATGGCTTATCGATAAAGCTGTTGCATGTTCCAATTTCAACTGAACCATCGACCCTATTTTCTTTTATCATGGCGTTGGATACCACTCGGGCAGCGTGGCTGTATCCTCTTTGGGTATTATCCAAATTTCCAATCAATACCTTCGCTAGCCACTGATTATCTTATTACAGGGCATTTACTACTTTGCAACTCATCGCTGGCTTTGGCCTTTGTTCAAGGCCCGGCTCCTTCCTATCGTTCTCTTATCGACTTTCGTTTACTTCCTTCTCTTCTTCTTTACATACATTCCACAGGTGGCCTTTTTGGCCATCTTCCAGGGCCGCGGGGCATGGGTGAGCGGTGTATTTTTGGTACTCGGAGAAGGTTCTGCCGTTGTTACCGCATTGTTTGAGGCGTTCTTCGTAGACGAGACGTTGGTGGATATTTTCGACTCCGTCTTGGTGAATGAAGGACACGAAGAGCTTGTCCTGACCTCACGAGTTCTGTACCCGGATGGAGACCCAAGAACTCGTCTTGGTACCCCAACTACCAGCGCTGTTTACTCGCCATTTTCCTTGCGACAAATCATCGAACTTATCGTCTTGCTACCTCTGCACTTTATCCCAGTGGCTGGAGTTCCCATGTTCCTAGTGCTAACTGGTTACCGTGCCGGTCCGTTCCAACACTGGCGCTATTTCCAGCTGATGAGTTACACAAAAAAGCAACGAAAGGAGAGCGTGCGTAGACGACAGCTGCAATACACTACGTAAGCCTTGACCCCCCCTCACACTTATATAACCAGATCTAACAGAGGTAGGTTCGGCACTGTCGCCTTGCTATTGCAACTCGTCCCCGCCCTCTCTATGATGTTTTTAATGACTTCTGCTGCTGGCTCTGCGATATGGGCTTCGGAGCTTGAGAAGAAACGACAACTTACCGCTGAACGTCCTCGCCAACAGGAAGGTGCTTATCAAGATGATGTTGCGTGATTTAACCGCAATGCATTTAACGTCATGGATATACGGTATTTACCGATGTCGATACTCGATGCGGAGGACGACAGGTAATTTGGATGTACAAAGCAATGAATTAAATGACTAATCAGGTCAATTGAAAGATGACGATGAAATCGGAATAGAATGATAAAGGCAAGTTTATACACATAGGGGTTGCGCTCGTTTCAAATGTTCAGGCCAGTATGGCACTCGTGCTAAGGGCAGAATTTCGGGCCTGGCGGAATCAGAAGGAATGGATCTTCCCCTGAAAATGAGATTGACTGAATATATTTACCTCTAAGAATCCCAGTTGAATGTTCAATTCGATAAGTCTTTTCGGTATTAATCCTAATATAAAGGAAATTATAAAAATCCTTCAACGTTAGCTGTTGAAACAAAGCATAATTAAGGTTTGATTGCACAACACGTGATTTCCCTTCGAAATACCGGATGAAAGCGCACAAACGCTCTCCCCTCATTCGTCCCCGACCCCAAGGCGGCTAAAAGCGCTAACAGTCAGGCCAGTTCCTACTAGATCCAAAACACTAGTAGTTTCCCCGTTCAGAATCCTTTGTCTCATCCCCAGTTTCAGCCCTGTGCGCGACTCAATTTACACCACAGACGCGACACTTTTTAAAAGAACCTCTTCTCTTCATCATCGGCTGTTGCCGAGCACACCCCCCGAACATCACAGCTCCGCTTCTGGTTTCCGGAAGTGGGTCAAGGGTCCCTCGTGGCATCTGCATGTCAAGATCTTTTGCAGCATCCAAGCACATAATGCTTACTGGATGAACATCGTATGACCGTTTTCAAAGGCAATGTTGGTTGACCGATCACTTTACGAATGGAATCCAAAACGAGGCTGCAAAAGGCCTGTGATGCCTGCAGTCTTCGCAAAGTGAAGGTTAGTAGTCATTGCTGGCTAATTGCCAGATCTATAGGCTAACATCTAATTCAAGTGCGACACTAGTGGCCCGCCATGTCGGTCGTGTGCTAGCTTGGATATCCCATGTACGTATGAAAGACCAAGCAGGCGTCGCGGACCACCAAACCGCCATGCCGAGGCACTGAAGAGGCAGAAGCTCGAGGCTCCTGATGCTTCACCAGCTAGTCTGCCTGATTATCCTGCTGCAAGCACTCCGCAAGCTCCAATTGTAACCAACGTCTTCCCCCCAAACTCGAACTCCGCAGAAGCAATTTGCTCGCTGCACACTGTGCAGCTTTTGGTTGACGACTTCTTCACCTATATTCACCCATTGGTACCAGTTCCACATGAACCTACTTTTCGAGCTGCATTCGAGCGTCGGGAAGATATGACAAGTGGTACATTTTTAGCCCTCTTAGCGTCTATGATTGGGTTTCTTGTTGCGTCTTTCCCCCGACGACCAAAACTGCGCCTCAACACCGAGGCGGAGCGATCTGCATTCCCAAATTCCATCGCTCTGGTCAAACGGTGCCACGCTGTGGCCATCCAAGCTCGAGGCACCGGGTACCTCGATCGTAATGCAATGGTATATGATGCGGCCATCAGTTATTTCTTAGGTGTTTGTGCTGCCTATGCTTCCAATATGCGTCAATGTGGTGTGTATCTGTCCGAATGCCGCGCTATGATCCAGGTGTACGATCTTTGCCGCTCTCCCAAAAAAGTCCCCTCTAAAAATGCGCTGGACATCATGAGTCCGATATCAGCTGCCTCGCCAGTGTCACATGAACAGTGCTATCAAAGCCTCACGGAAAGCAACACTGTGGATCTCATAACCCAAGAGCTTGCGCGCCGACTGTTCTATGTCTCGTTGGTCGGCTACCAATCCCTTTATCAATTGGGGTCTGCCGATGTCAAGATTTACATACCACCCGAAACACCAACTGAGCGCTACCCGCCGATGCCGCTTGAGATTGACGACGAGTTTCTTTTTCCAAGTTACGTAAACACCCAGCCTGCCGGACGAGTATCACAGATCGTAGGCTTCAATGCCAACGTCCGAATTTATAAATCTTATAACGCTCTCCTGGCGGGCGAGATTGCATTTGGTAGTGGGCGGATCTTCAACTGGGAACATCAGCGCTCTACACTTTGGGACTGTTTACAAAATGCCAAATCTGCGCTTTTGAATGTCTCTGTTGAGTTATCTCTCTTTCATCCTAAGAAACCTCCGCCTGGGCATGGCGAAGATGGCTCGTTATTCACATATGCGGACGATCATATTGATCAAGAAAAACGAGCTATTCAGTACGAAATCCAGAAAGCGAACATTTACGCCAGTCAGCTGTGTACTCGTTCATTCCTAGTTGAGAAATATTGGAGTCTGTTTGAATCGTTCACCAAGTACGAAAACCCTGCCAATCCTACTCCTGGCGATCAACCTAAGACTGAAAGACTATCCGAATCAAACTCTACAATAACCACAGATATGTCGTCGCAAATTCTAGCCCATGTACAAACAGACTATATTGGTCGTATGATGGCCGAAGAGCGAAAGCTGGTAATCAAAGACCTATTCGTGCTCCTACAGACCGTCAACGAAGTAAACATGGAACCAAACGGCGCCAGCATTGTGAGTTCTACCTCACCATTGATCTCATAACAGCGCTAATCATTTGTTTAGACTTCCAAGATCCGTCTGGTTGCATCCACTCTGCTCAACTTGCCATACCTCCCAACACCATCATCCAACTCAGTTGAATTACCACCCTCTCATTTGACGTCCGAGCCCATTTCTACAGATTCATCCGGTCTGCACGCCCTTACTGCTGCAGAGGCAGAATCTTACCTTCACGCCTTCATTGACACGCTTGTCCATCTCGAAGGCCATTCTCTCACAATCACCGAGCCTGGGAGTATCGCTGATAGTACAACCTCCGGGAAATGGCGAGCTACGAGTTATTTGAGTGACTACGAACGAGATCAAGAGGAACTTAGCCAGTGGGCTAGCTTGAAAGAATATCAGCAGAAATTCGCTGAAGCAGGTGGCGTGTTGTCTGAACTTTAGACTATTGCTATTATTATTAATCCCTCCAAACTGGCGTTTTGAAAGCGAATTTCCAAGTTTACTACATCAAATATTCTTTACGAAGCAAACATTTGAACTAGACATGACTCATACAGAAGAAGTATTTAATCGAAGTAAAATGATCCCAAGTTAAAAAAAAAAAATGAAAAATGAAAAAAGGCATTACCTCAATATTGATTATGACAAGCGTAACAACCTCAGCTAGTAATCATATCCGTAACAGTGGTTGTAGCAGTCTCCGTAAAACTAACAGTCTCCTTCAACGTCTCAGTCGTCGTAACAGTAGCAGTAACAGTAATGAAAATAACACTCGAAGAAGGTGTAATAGGGATAATCACCAAAGCACCCGTCTCAGAAGCAGTAGCAGTATCCAAAGATGTCGTCTTAGGAAGCGCAGTTGTCACCGGAGCAGCTATGGCCGGGAGAGCGGATGTACTGTTCGGTTCTGTGGTTGCAGCAGATGACGTGCTTGTGCTAGGCAGTTTTGCAGAGAAGATTGTACTGAGTGGTACGACGATGATTCCATCCACTGATTCCGGTTGGGTACTTGTTTCTGGTGATGGTGTAGGGGTGGAAGTTGAAATAGACGTAAAAATGGCAGTGGGACTGAAAGCTAAGGCGGAGCTGGAGTCGGAAGAAGAAATTGGCGCGGGAATAGGGGCAGTAGCAGTAGCAGGAGCAAGAGCAGGAGCAGTGGTAGAAAGAATCTGCGAATCAGTCACGGTGTAGGTCTTTCCGGAGGCCGTAACAGTGACATCCATCGTTCTGGTAGCGTGTACAGTGACTGTTTCTGTTTCCTCGGAAGTCGTACGAGCTGGCTCTGACGTTGACGCTGTGTCTGCGAAAGTTTGCGAGTTTTCAGAGCTAGTGAGCGTCTTCTCGACGATATATGTCATGCTCGCTCCAAGAATGACTGTGCTATCGGGGATACCGCCACCATTGGGGGTGTAGACCATTTTTGTCATTGTGACATAGGAGTCTGCAATTCCTGTGGAAGACTCATCGAGGGGTGTTGATGTAGATGCTGAGGTAGATTTGGTCGTTGGGGCTTGAGTTGATGTGATGCTCTCTGGATATGTAGTTCTAACGCTTGAACGGGTGGTACTGCTAGTACTACTGGTACCAGTAGCATCTATAGGGATGACAATCCCGGGTTCCAGGCTCTTCGTTATAGAGCTGCTACTTGACGTAGTTAAAGTGCTGAGCGGTGTTGATGTTGATGTTGATGCAAATATGGTCGTTGGAGTTGGAGTTGAGCTCTTAGTGCTGATGCTGGTACTGGTTGTACTACTAGTACCAGTGGCATCGATAGGGATGACAATCCCGGGTTCCAGGCTCTTCGTTATAGAGCTGCTGCTTGACGTAGTTAAAGTGCCGAGCGGTGTTGATGTTGATGTTGATGCAGATATGGTCGTTGGAGTTGGAGTTGAGCTCTCAGTGCTGATGCTGGTACTGGTTTTACTGCTAGTACCAGAGCCATAAATAGGGACGATAATCCCAGACACCAGACTCCTCGTTGTAGAAGTGCGGCTCAAAGTGCTTGGTGTACTAAGTGATGAAGTGATATGTGGTGTTGATGTTGATGCTGATGTTGATGCAAGCAAAGGTGTGCTGGCCGTAATTAGGCTGGTTGAAGTGCTACTTTCCAAAAGAGTACTTGATCCAAAGATGGACAGAGGCTCGAGGAAACCGGCTGACTCGGGCTTTCCTGATGTTTCCTCGGGAGAAGATGATGTCGTGACAGTGGGTGTTGCTGTGCTCTCACTTTTCGATGTGACCTTTGAGGTATCTGCACTAGAACTTGTGGAAACAGGGGTGGGTGTAGTTGAGCTGTATAGGGTCTCGAGGGATCCAGCTAGTTCAGTGCTTGCTGCAGTAGTCGTTGCAGGTGATGTGGTAGTGGGTGTAAATCTTGAAGACTCAGGTGCACTTGAGCTTTTCTGAACAGTGGGGGAAGTCAAGACAGAGCTCAATTCCATAGGTGACGAGCTTGAGTTTTCCGCAGCTTCTGAGGTTACTGATGTTGAAGGACTCGCTATTTTGGATGAGGGGTTGTTTGATGTTGTAGCTTTTCCAGTAAAGGTAGAAGATTCAGATGTCGGGAAGACAATGACCGGCATTGTTGCAGTCGAGGTAGAAGACGACAATAGCCATGAAGGCGTTATAGGAATGACAGTAATGACGCCATCACCATCATCAGACACATCTAGGACCCTTTTACTCGTGAAAGCAGGGATTTCAGTCGGAGATGTAAATGAGAGAACGACAGAGTCGGAAGCAGCACGAGCGATCGGACCAGCCAAGCACTTCCACGCAAAAATCAAGATGAAAACAATCTGGCCAAACTGCATCTTGGCAAGACCGAGATTGTTTTTTAAAAAATAGAGGATGGTAAGAGGGGAATGATTACCAGGGCACCGCCGAATATGAAATGAAAAGACAGACTGGATGAGAACGCAGAGAGGATTAATGCAAGATGGATAAAGAAAGCTGTATTAAGTCAGGAACCCTAGAAGAGCATGGCTGGGCTAACAATGAAAGAATTGCTTGATTAATCGGTAGTGACAGAGGCAGAAGCAAAAGAGTGAGATGATCTGAGGCTAAAGTGGAAGTAAACAATAGACTGGAAATGAAGGAGCCTCGATGCCCTAATATGCGACAGTCCAGGCCAGATCCAAACCAGGTACCATTTGAAAAAACTCAATGGTCGAATACTATCGTTGAAATTTATTGACAGGGGCTTTATAGTATAAATAGAATAGATAGTATAAAGATTAAGCGCTTTGTTGCAGTAAACGCCCTCGATATTGACGCTGATTGGCCACCTAGAGCCTCCACCAATAGGACCACATAGACAAAATTAGATGCATTTCTGCAGAAACATTTGGAAACTGCTTATTATAACTGACATTCAGTCTTAATGTAGACTGAAATAGTTGACTTCTCTTTGTCATTTGACTCTCCGTTTCATATACACGCCACGATTGACTCGTAAGATCCTACGCCACCCTGAATTTTCCCCCGATGCCCTCAAAGGGCGTGATCTTCCCGAGTGGATCCTTTGAGTCGCCATAATAATGCATACGATAGTATCCAGCTTGAAGAGTGTTGGGATCATCAACGCTGTAATAGCTGTCCTCGATCTTCCATGAGATAGTCACCTCGCTGCGTCCAAGGATGGTATCAGTTCGCTTCCACAAGAATAGCAGATTCCAATCACGGTCATTGCGCACAACTACCCAATTGGTAGGGCTCGATTGGTATTCAACGGTTGCAAAAGTGGATTCCAGGTGGAGATGATTTCGGGGGTTGGCGCCAATAAAGGTGGTATTGACGACGTCTTCGCGTCCATAGGTTTTATTTCCGGGATTGGAAAGGACGTCGCCAAAAGATTTCCCAAATGGTGCACCGTCATACACCACACCAGTAATGAAGCTCAACGATCGATTGGTGTTGACGGGTGGCCTGGGCCCTGGGGAGATGGTTGGCAGGTTCACGATATCACGGGCGCTTCCCAGGTACGGCAGGTAGGTCAGGGTCAGATTGACGTATGCCGCGAGGGTGTTGGGTCCGTATAGGGTGGAAGCTCCTTCGTAGCGCTGTGCACTGTACTCTTCTTCTGTTGTAACGTAGTGAGCATAGCTGTTGGCCGGGGCACCCAGCACGACCAGTGGGTCGGATTCAGAAAGGGTATGCTGCACACTCCTAGCGATCGCCTCCTTCCACCGTCTTCCAGACATGGTAGTCACCTCACTGGAGGAGACAATAATGATCAGCTGCCCCACTCGGAGAAGTTGGATGTCGACAATGCCGGGCGCCCACTCGTAAGGCTGCGTAAGAGTCCCAACATCCAAAAGGATATTTTTCGCTCCCTGGCATCTTATCTGATCTTCACTGGGATGATGAATAAATTCCCGAGCGAATCTCCACAGGAGGTTACCGGTTGCCGGACCAGTGGCATTCTGAGTAAAATCAAACGCGCCTGGCCCATCTGTAGTTCCGGCAGCAAACGAATATCCCAGAGCAGCAGGGCACGTCCTCAAGATTCTGTACGTGAAAGGAGACAAGAAGGTGAAGTTATTGAAATCATGGTAAACATGGAATGATCTAACAAACGAACTGCCAACGATCGAGGTCGCTTTGAAGCTCATCTGCCCATAAAGCTTCTTGGCCGCCGAGTATTGGCGTCGGCCGATTTCGAAACAGCTTTTGGCACCATTATCTTGCTCACGGAAGAACGGACCCCTTCCATGACAGGCTTCGTTTGTGTGACCACAGACGCTATCAGTGTATGTGCACATAGTACCAGATCCGTCCTCACACCATGCGCCCAAGATGTTGGGGGATGTATCGCCGACACTGGCCTGTGAGAAGCCGATAACAGCATCGTCGGTAAACCTCGAGTCACCGATAGTACTTCGCTCGAAAAGATAGGCAGCAACTCCCTTATTGTCCCCAGTAACCAGGGTATTGTTGTTGTACAATGATGTACCATGAACTGGAAACCAAGAAAGAACAGCTACCGTCTTGTTATCTGACTCTCGATCAAACCGCAGGAGTGTCAAGGTCTTTTCCACGTTCGACAAATATCGAGCCTTTTCCTGCGGTGGGTTCTGATCGTATGCATACGGACTGCGATTGATATTCGCATCTTCCAGGTCGATGGATCCAAAGGAAAGACGGCCTGGTGTCAGGTTTTTGTGAGCGCGCTGGATTGATAAAATCACTCCATCCACGATAGCCTGGTAACTTTGCTTGTCAAAGCCCCTAGTCGGAATTTGCGGAAGAAGGTAGTTCATCCATGCTCCAGGTCCAGAGTGTGAATGAGTGCCCGTCAACGCAACATTTTGCTCGCCGTAGCGTGAGTAATTGCCACCCAATGCCGAGAGACCTTCTAAGACTCCACGTCGCACAGCGGTATCACCAGCAACACCATCGAGAACAAGGTAGACAAACGTATCATCTGGTTGGCTGGGATTTGCAATGACGAAAGCGCGAGAGTATATTCTCTGTCGCAACCCCGTTCCCACTTGATTTATGCCTGCATAGCCGTTGAAATCAATCTCAACCACTGGACTATACATGGATCAGCTCAATATCATCAACGGATCCAAGCAAAAGCAGTGATAGTATACCCTGTCATATCAGCCTTGCCAGCGCCTATTAAGAACGTCTCACTATTAGCCGTAGTGTTGGTTTGGATTCTCGACTGGTTGAAGCTGCGCGGAAAGCTAGGCGTGGGAATCCGGTCACTTTTCCCTGTGAACACTGCAATTAATTGCACAGAGACCATCAACAAGATGATAGTCGCAGCGAGAACGACGCCAAATTGAAGATGTGGCATGATGTCGAAATGATGAATCGTGATGCAATGATATCAGAATCATGAACTCATGAGCATGGGAGGTGTATTTAAGGGTGGGAACGCAAACAGATTAAGGTCAAAGTCAGACACCTTACATTGGATAAAGCATAATCCCGTATCTCTGTGCATCACTAATGTTCCAAGGTTCCTACGTAGCCTTTCGAAAAGGTAACGGGTTACAATTAAGTCACGTCACTCTCCTGTAAGACTGCAATAGGTAAGAGAAGATAACCGAAAATTACTGTAAAAAGAGCTTGTAGCTGGGCTATAGTAATATAGATCGGTGCCCCACTTTTCTATTTGAGACTGAAAACCGAACAATCGCTCACCCATTGCTCACCACACACCTGACTATGGTAGCTATAGCTCACTTTTGTAATCATTCTACCACATATGACCACAGTGTGTAAAGGACAGGGCTTCCAACTCAGCCGTACTTAAGCCATCTATGGAACGCGGCCAATAGTCTAAAAGCCCTTAGCACCTAGCTCACCCTAAAGCAGCAATAGAACTCTCCTTAGGGGGTGATATGGGTGAGCCCGGGTGAGCTTAGAACCCACAACAGAAATATCTTTAATCTCTAAATAGAAGGCCCACTAGTTACGGTATTGCTGTATTTATTTTATTTTACATTCTGGCTTGTATAATAAATATTATATCTCACGATATCACATAACATATTTGATCCAGTAATAGTAGCACCCGGACAACATTTCTTTTAATTTTCTGACCTGGGGTGACAAGTGGGAAAGCAAAGGAGTAACTTAGCCCAGCAAGTGAAGCTTGACCCGCTCTGCAAACAAAAACCATAGCTTGTAAAATAAGCAGTAAGGACACTGACAGCGATCACAATCCGGCCCGGGACTCCCACGATGCAAATCGCTATGAGCTCCTCTTTTAGTAGTCACTTTTGCTGTCAGTTGCTCTAGCCTTAGGGTCAGGGATATTTCTGATGGTATAGCCACTGATCCGACTGACTGTTGGCAGCTGAGAATTCCGAGATAAACGCGGCTCGACGGTGTCACGAAAAGAATCAATGGCAGCGTCGACAATTGTTTGAACTAGACCGTAGATCTGATCTCGCTCGCCGTTCCAATGTAATATCCTTTCAGAGTACTAAGATCATTAGTATAATTAGGAATAATAAGCATAAACTTCACTTACCTTATTATCATTGGTGAGGTGTAGAAAGGTCCATGTTTTGGCATCTGTCAGGATACCGTGGAGGTTTGCATCTCTGCCTGCCATCTTGCGAGCTTTGTGGATCTTCGCCATATTAAGAAGTAGCTCCCAAGGCTGTCGACTAAGCCGTGTAGTGCTCATGACAATCAGGTTCGTTTCGAGCTCATCATATGCTCCGTACCAAAACACCTAATCCATGATATTCGTCGAAGGCTGGCCGATGCCATCTACATCAGGGCAAGTGATTTCCATCTTGAAATCCCAGTGACATCTGACAGGTCGGCCAGATGCCTCTTGTTCCCGAAGAGTTCTCGCAGACTGAAGCAGTAGAAGCGAATATATCCTCACGTGTATCATTTGATTTGAGCCATCGTCTTCAGTGAGATAGTCCACATTCTCCCACGTGGCGACTAGTGAATTATCAGAGACCGATCACTCTCCACGGAAAATGTCGATGAAACTTACGTAGATGATCAGGAATATGGAGGTCGGTGGGCGTCTAACATAGGCAGAGCATTTTGATTTCGCTGAAGGTTGAAGGTATCTAAAACACGTCGGAAGTTGTCGCTATTGGTGTTCGCCATTTTGGGCTCGTTTTTCGTATCAGTCATAGATGCGTGGTACAGTTGTAGTCCGTAGACTGTAAGAAGAGAAAAAAAATGTATTTTGAATTTGACGGTGAAGAGAGAAAAAGATGATGACCTCAATAATTAAATAATAAGGCCCTTAAATATTTACATAATTTACATAATTTACTTCCGCTAGTCTAAATTCAGGGGACACTAGGCCTGGTCGTCCGTATGCTCATAGTTGCTCTATTTTTCAAATTTTCAGCATTCCCCCAAAGTTTTTCAATCCCCACGATATTAGTATATTGCTCAGCTACCAGCCTCCAAATGAAGAAGGTTAAGCGCATCGCGAAACGCATCGAAAACTTCGCGAGCCAGGCTAGAGAACACTTGATAAACAACGACCTGGATAGAGTGCATGCCACAATTCTCAAACTATCCAATGCTGCTGCAGAGCTCAAAGAGAAGCCGAAGAATTTGGCTGTTGGGGAGCTTACAATGGAAGATTTGCGGACCAAATTCAGTCTATCATTGAAGATAGGAAATGAACTTTCCCGTATTGTCAACATCAAGATGCCAGACCAGATCTGTAAGTCGAATAGTTTGCCGCATTGATGATCTACTCCTAATCAAGAATGACTAGATTCTGTCCTCGCAGAATATAAATATGTAGCAGATGACTCTCCAGCGACAGAGGTGTTGTGTGGAAGCAAGATTGACCATGTCATTCTGATGACCCTTGCGCAGTTCAAGCATGCGGCGGATGCCTTGAAGGTTTCAGCAAGCAAGATCCCACGGCCCCGGTCAGGCTCGATTCGCCGTGCGCCATCTGATGCATCATATATGTCTGCAAAGTCACTGCATTTGCAGTACGAGTGCCACATGCAGATAAATCACCCAGTAACAGAGCGCTTGGAAGCCTGCACTATTTCCGGTATCGTGGACTACGCGGTGTGGTACTCACGAGAGGGTGAGATCGGAAACCCGAAGGATCCGACCACAAATCTGGTCATGGTTGAGGCCAAGTATCATGAAACTTTTAGTTCAGGCCAGTCCCAGTGCCTTGGATACATGGGTAAGCAATAGTGATTTTAGCTATGTTGACGGCAAACTAACTTATGGATAGTAATGGCACTACATGAACGGATAGCTCAAGGCCTCAGTACACAAATTTGGAGCATTGTGACCGACGGGAGATCATGGGACTTCCTCATTTTAAGAGAAGATATGACGGTATGACGACTTATGATTTATTCTTATTCATGAATCATTGCTAATTATCAGTTTGTATAGTGGATGAGCAGAATCTTTAACTGGGGTCTTGACATTGACAACCGGCAGATCGTCAGCCACATTACACACATCTTTGCCCGGGCATCGGGAAGATACAATGCCACTGGCATGAACCTCGGTCCAACAATGCTACCTACGAATGAAGAGGATCAGGATAGCCAGATGACAAATGCTTTTTGATTGGGCGGTAGGCTTGCAAAGGACCAAGCCCAAGCACTTCAATCACCTCAATCACCGGTTACTATTGTTAGCTACAGCATTTTTTGTTTTGTTAGCTTCAGCCTTATGTGTGGCGTTAGTTTTGTGCATCCGCTTTAAAGTAAGGCTTCTCTGCCAAACTAGTCATTCTCGTTCCATTTATTGGCTCATTTCCTTCATAGTCCCAAGAAGCATTGTGAATAGTGATTCGATTATCCCAAAGAGCCGAAGTTCGCGGTGTCCACTTGAACCGAACTTGGATATCAATATTCCTCTCATACACATCAAACAGGTAGTTGAGAATCGAGTTACTCTCGACCTTGTCCAAGCCCACAATAAACTTGATCGTGGAGCGGTTAACCCATAGAGCTTTTCAGCCAGTAGCTGGGTGGACGGTCTGTCTAACGAGATTGGACATACAGAGCCTTTACTTATTAGTTAGCTACACTCGACGGAATCATTTCACATATACTGGCCTGTACAGCCCAATTGATGAGGTTCCTCTGCACTATGTCTATCGTAAAGGAATCAAATCGAGATTTATATGCTCAGACACCACGGGCAGCTGCATTTATAACTCCTTCCGCATCTGACTTGGGAGGCGAACAAGAATGAACTGCCATGATTTAGGGATAATCATATAGGGATCATGATAGAAATGGAGATACAAGAGTGGTCGTATATGCTGTAATCAACTAAACTTGAGATTATATAATATAGTGTTGGTAACTAGTTAGTTATAGGTCAAAGGTTTGTTGTTCCCCTTTAGTCATACTAGAGGTCAACCCCACATTGTCGAGTGCTTCTCCACACCAGTGGGCCGGCTGACAGTTACTGCCGGGTCTCACCACAGAGAGTGGGTTTTTATTTTGTAGTAGTTGTAGATTTATCATAAAACGTTTTCACAATGCCGATCCCAAAAAACGTCAAATTTTATCAAGGTACGTCCGGCGAATACCTTGGTGGATTTTATCAAAATGGCTCAGTGTCCAAGAACGACGCCTACATGTTTCTCGAGAATGTATACCTTATTCTCACCTTGCCCGTCAAACTACGCATGAAGGAGACAAATGAAATTGTCCGTCGGGATAATTACCGGTTGCCAAAGAAGGATTATAATGTTTTTTGTGATGGCCCGATCGTGTTGAACAATGAGGTCACTATTGATCGCATCTTGTCCTTTAAAAATACTGCTCAACAGGTGTTTTGTGACCAGGTTCGCCAGCGAGATCGAGGGTACGTTTTAACTGGTCTCATAATTCCCAAAGACTTTGAAGATTTCTGACAGGTCTCGCTGCGGCCCACGTTTTTCTCTTTAGCTAGTGAGTCAGTCTTTGTGTCCGAGAATTTTGACCGGTATATCACGAATTATCACCCTCAGGGTACGACGAATGCCCCAATCAACTCCTGTCAGAATGGGCTGCTAATGGACTACACGCTTCATCAGGAGTTTGATTTGTTCCAAATTGGAATCAACCCTGATAATAACTACAAAATCACTCATCTCGCGTGGGATTGACACCGCATTGACGGTAAATAGTTATCACCAGCTTGCCGAATTCCCGGTGACCCCGACGCAGTCTCACCTCAACTATTACGGTGGCACTTTCACCAATGTGTCCTGAAGAACATGCGGGCGGCAGCCGAGCCTATTTGGGAGCATTATTTACCTCCTGGAAGCGATATGATCGGCACGATCCAGTCTGGGCCTCGACCTAACGTCAGAATGGAGTTGGAATTATTTTCACGCCTATATGGTTTCAAACAAGAGGAGTCCTCTGATGAGGATGAAAACGATCTGGCAACGGAGCTGAAAGCTTTCCAACGCTTGGAATGCTGATTCCACCATTCATCCGCCATTTACCTATCGTTCCCCCTTTCTTATTCGCTCTTCAACCTAATTCGCCTTATCTATTCCCCTCACCCTAAGGACAGTTCTATCACTGCTTTAGGGTGAGCTAGGTGTTAGGGGCTTTTGGACTATTGGCCGCGTTCCATAGGTGGCTTAAGTACGCCTTAGCGGACGGGACACCCTGTGGTCGTATGTGGTGAAATAACTATAAAAGTGAGCTATAAAGCTACCATAGTCAGGTGTGTATCGCCTTGGTGAGTGCACAATAGATAGGGTGAAATTGGGGTGCTACCTTTTCATCTGCACACAACTACATAATAAGTTTGGCTAATGCATAGTATCATCCGTTTACTGATAATATCTATTTATTTCATAGATGTTAGGAAGTGATCGATGCAAAAGACAAAAGTGAAGTATTTTCCAAGTCATATAATGAGCTTGGTGATCATTACAACGAAGGGAAAAAAGAGCAAGATTTGTAAAAGTTTGGCAAAAACTCGCTCCTACTAAGGTACTAAAACCTGTACGACAGTTTTTGGGATTTTCAGACATAAGCCGTATTGGGACTATCCCCTGGTCAGATACATTAGCCACTTAGCCACTCACATCTATATATTATAGTCCACTTTGGTATACGCTAAAACTGCACAATACGACAGCCCTTACAATTCCATGTTTGCACGAAGTTGATCGTTGCTTGCCTCTTGTTGCAACAATATCATATGACATATATGGTTACAATTTAATCATCTTTAGAAATCAGCCTCCAACATACTTATTGTAGATACTAACGAAAGTGTAAGAGTTGAATCCAATACGGATGGAGGACCGCAAACGAGAACTAATGTTAGCCGTGCTCGGAAAGCCATGATTTTCTTCTACTGCGGCAACTATTGATATCACATCTTCCCATCGGCTTATGGGGAGTAACTCTGTAATGAATACTGTAAGGCCATTCAGTCCTCATTTCTTTGCCTCTTTTTCGCAAGAAACCGTTTCCCATAGCCGGCCCAGAAAGTTTTCATTTATGTCTTGTATATCTGCCTATGAGGGAGCCATTGCCAACATATTAGCGGCGCTTTGACGATCCAACCGTGCTTGCTGATTTCATGGATTCTCAGCTTGAAATGCCAATGGCTTTCAAGATTGATTCGCCAGGCTGACCAGCGAATCAGTCTCATAATGAATTCGGGCCCCTCAAAAGGCTGAGAAGTATACCGCGGCTTGTCAACTTTGGCCTAGCAGCCAGACTTGAGGCAGACGATGACTGGGGCATCTGGCCTATCCAGCCAGACCACTATCGGGTGTCAGAGATTATACTAGGTAATGGATGACAAATGCCTGCAGATATATGGAATCTTGGTGCTCTGACGCGTCCAGTTTTCCTCCAAAGCTGTTATATCCACTAACACTAAATCAGTTGTGGGATATGATCAAAGGCAAAGAGCTATCTCGGCATATTCATGGTCAAAAAGGTCGCTTCGACGCTAAACTACACCTCGCCGAAATGTTAGCCCTAATCGGTCCACCTACTCCAGAGGTTACACAACAGTATTAATACACCTAGGTATGCGAGAGTATTCATGGCCGGAACCTCTTAGACGAGAAGATGGCAGAGTTTGCGAGACGGCGGATGTCTACTTTTGTGGGCCATTCTTCAACAATAATGGTATTACTGGATTTCCTATCTTGAATGAATTCCTAGACTCACGAAATATCTCAGGTCACTCCCTCTATGGCGACATGATTCCCGACCGGAAACTAGGCGACACAATATCACTCCTTGAGGGAGAGAAGAGGGAAGCGTTTCTAGATCTCGCAAAAGAAAAGCTTGGGAAAAGCTTTTCTGGCATCCGGACGTGAGAAAAATGGCAGGCGAACTGGCGGGGCATTCTTTTCTTCAACTAAAGCCAACAAGCACCTGATTTCTGTGTGTTTACTAGCGGAATGACTCAAAATCCGAAATCGTGTTTGATCACCACCGAGGGCCATCAGATGACCGGTTGAAGCGTTAACGTAGCTATGCTTTTGAATGATATCTAATAGAATCAGTTGGTCTGTCTTTGATCGGACATTCATAGCACTATATCTTAAATGGCATCCAATGTATCAATCGCAATTTTATCAGGGTCATTCATTATTCTAAAAATTGCTGTGCTGTGAAGGTTGAATATAATGTAGTTGATAATCTAATTGGATTTATAGTACATTTAAAAATCCACGTCATTAATCCATTTATTTAGAGTCAGGCATGTAATCTAGTTTAGACAGCTTCCAGCTGCTAAATGTCTCTCATATTGCTGAATAAGGGCTTTTGTTGATGTGGACGAAAGAGGAAGTCAAAGTGGAAGTGGAAGTGCAGTAGTCAACGACAGTGATAAAACCCACGAAAAGTTCAAAGTTCAAAGTTGAAATGAATTCAACTTCTTTTTCCTATCATACTCCAGAATTCTTCTATAATGACACCAATACTTGTCAATTGTTCGCGACTGTACCTCATAAGGTGAGTGCACGGACCAACTCACAGACCAAATTTTTGTGCGGGCGGTGAAGACCAAGCGGAGATTTGCTCACAATTTTTTTCTAGTGATCCGGACGACGTCGATTTACTACGGCCAGTCGATTATTACAAGGATTACAACAAAATGGATGATATCGGGGTATGTCAAGATGCAATTTCTAGTTTTTCTCTGGATGCTGATTGATTCCAGGACCGCTTGCGCAGCCATGCTCAGGCTTTCGATGGCCTTTTGTCCCTAATCCCCGCTAAGTACTACTACGGCGACGACACTACCGTATGTGCCCTCTCTCTCCTCTATCCTTCTTAGCTTTTGTTTTCAAGTCTCCCGCTTCATTTTTCTTCTTTCTGACCAATTTCTTCCTCTTGTAGGATCAATGGAAAAAGAAAAAACAAACTAAGGAGCAGGCTCGCGAGGCTAAGAGAGCTAAACTTGATCCCGAGGCTGCGAAGACCGCTAAGGACGTCATGGATGAGAAGGCGCGTAAACGCAAGCGTGAGGATGGCATCATCGAGACTGACGAGTCTGAGGAGGAACTCGGCTCTGAAATGCCCCGAGAGGGTTTGACCCGGGGCGAAAAGGCCAAGAAGCAGAAGCAGGTCGAAAAGTCTGCAATCGATGCCACCGCCAAGTCAGAGGAAGCCGAGGCTCGCAAAAAGCTCAAGGAGGAGAAGGCCAACCAGAAGAAGGCCGCTCAGAAAGAGAAGAAGAAGGCAAAGGAGGCTGCCCGAAAGGAAAAAATTCAGTCAACCGAGAAATCCGCCGACGCAGACGAGACCAAGACTGAGACCAAGACTGAGAAGACCGAGCAGAAGCCCGCTTCCACTCCCGCTGCCGCTGAAGTTGAGGATTCCGACAACGAAGACGGTGACGATATCGAGGATGGTGTTGTGGAAGAAGGTTTCTCAATTGATTTCAAGGACGAGCCTGAACAAACCTCCACCGACTCATCTACTCCTGACGACGCCTCGAACGACCAGTCAGGTAGTTCATCTATTTCTTCTATTGTTCCTCCCACCTCCTCCGCCAAGTCATCCGAGCCCAAGCCTCTCCGAACCACATCGGAAAATCTCAAGCAACGTCTACAAAAACGACTTGATGAACTTCGGGCAGCCCGCTGCGCAGACGGTCTCAACGGACAGCCCGCACGCAACCGCCACGAGCTGATTGAAGCCCGCCGACAAAAGGCCGAGCAACGCAAATCACACAAAAAGGAGCTACGTCAAAAAGCCCGCGAAGAGGCCCAACAAAAGGCTGACGAGGCCATGGTCCGTCGATTCTCACCCGGTGGCTCTGGATCCCTCCTTGCCTCACCTCGCTCGCCCGCCGAGTCGGTTGGCTCTTCCAGCAACAATTTCTCTTTCGGGCGTGTTGTCTTTGCAGATGGTCAACATGCCGATGCATCACTGACCGGCGTTCTTGACAAACACAAGAGCAATGGTCCTACCGACCCTGCCGCCCAACTCAAGGCTGCAGAGGCCAAGAAGGTCCGTCTCGCCGAGATGGACCCCACCAAGCGTGCCGAGATTGAGGAGAAGGACCGTTGGCTGAACGCCAAGAAGCGTGCTCACGGTGAGCGCGTTCGTGACGATACCTCTCTACTCAAGAAGGCTCTTAAGCGCAAGGAGACTGCCAAGAAGAAGTCTGCTCGGGAGTGGAGTGAGCGTATCGACACCGTGTCGCACAACAAAGAGCAACGCCAACACAAGCGTGAGGAGAACCTTCGCAAGCGCCGTGATGAGAAGGGCAACAAGGGCAAGAGCAAGAAGCCCAGTGGCAATAGCGGCAAGAAGAAGGGTAGACCCGGTTTTGAAGGCAGCTTCAAGTCGAAGCCTGGCGGCGGCGGCAAGAAGAAGTAAACACCTTCTCTTGAATCCATTTCCTTGTTCTTCTTGACTATCTCACCTTGTACATCACTATGAGAAGATGTCAATCAACCAAAAAAAGAAAAGAAAAGTGTTTTCAGACATCAAACTGGGATATCCATTCGGGGTTAAAAGGGGTTTGGTGTTCGCGCTGTTTCAGCAGCATACTTCGTCCGTCATGGTCTATTGTTTGCATCGGTAGCGTTTTGTCTTATTTCATGTGAATACACAATCAAAATTTTTTTTTAATTAAAACTGGCTTTCTTAAGGGCGCAGAAGTAGGCCGTGGTATAACTAGTCCAGGACGTATAAAACATCCAAGTTGCGGGGTCGCGTAGCTTATCCGAATATTTGTTCGTATTGATTTGAACTAAGAAATAAGAAACCTGCTAGATTCCAGAACAAAAGAAAGAAAAAAGAGACAAAGCAGTCAGTTTCCACGTGAAACAGACCACTTCTCTTGGGAGTAGACTGATACGAGGTGATAAAAACAGGTCGAGGGGGAGTTATATACAAGATGTTGATGGGTGGTAGAGGGTTTATTAAACCCAGTTCTAGTTTTTCATATACGCCAATTGACGACGCATTGGGGAGTAGGCTTGCTCCGCGAAGTCAACTATTTCATTCATTGATCGCTAGAATGCGACACGAAGCCAGTTTATCGGTAAGGAGCATCCGCGCGAGCGGCGGCGGCAATCTCAGGCTCCCACTTGTCACCGTTGGCGAGTAGCTTCTCCTTGTTGTACAGCAATTCTTCGCGGGTCTCCGTGGCGTACTCAGCGTTGGAGGCTATAAAGAGGTCAAGATGTTAGTCGATTGAATTGAACATAGCTGATCTGTTTAGGGTTAGACTTACTCTCAACAATGGCGTCCACGGGGCAGCTCTCCTGGCAGTAACCACAGTAAATACACTTGGTCATGTCGATATCATAACGGGTCGTCCGGCGGCTTCCATCCTCGCGCTCCTCAGCCTCGATGGTGATGGCCTGGGCCGGGCAGATGGCCTCGCAAAGTTTGCAGGCAATGCAGCGCTCCTCGCCGGTGGGGTAACGGCGCAGGGCGTGCTCACCTCGGAAACGAGGGGAAATGGGACCCTTCTCAAATGGGTAGAAAATGGTGTAACTGCAACGAGGGAGCGTTTCAAATTAGTCAATTGAAGCCAATTGAGATCTGGCGGAGGTGCCATATTTATGCTAGGAGCTTCTATAGTAGACTTACGGTGGTCGGAAATATTGCTCCAGCACGACGTACATGCCGCGGAACATCTCAGCCAAAAGGAAGTACTTGCTGGCCTTGTCGAGAGAAGACTCGGCGCCCTGGTCCCAACGCTTGGGAGGGGCAATACGGAAGCCGGGCTGAGGGGGTCCAGCTGGGGTTGCTGCGCGGGATACCGAGGAAGAGAAGTTTGCGGTCGAGCCGATGGGCATGAAGGGAGACCGACGGTAGGCGACCAGCCTCGCGACCTGTCTGGTAGAGGCCATTATTAAAGCGAGGAGCAGAAACTGGTGTGAGAGGAGAGGGTGGGGGAGGGTCTAGAGACACAAAAGGTAGGGGAGAATGAGCTCTGAGTGAGGTTGAGAGGTGTTTGCAGGTTTATGCTTAGGTCATTCCTTTCTACCGCCCGATGATTGGTTGGCGGGCAGGATTTTGCAATGCATCACTTCCGACCATCTTCTTCTCTCTCCTCCTCCCCGTCTCCTCTCATCTCCAATTCCTTCCTCTCCCTCCCCCCTCATTTTCTCTGCTCATTTCTAGATCTCTAGCCGTCGCGCTTCCTTGATCTTTCAAATCACATCATGTTCCGCTCCGCCATTGTCCGGTCCTTGAAGGCCTCCATTCCCCGTACCGTCAAGGCCCCGGCTCCCTTCCAGATCCGCAGCTCCCCCATTGCTGCGCGCGCCTCGCAATTCACTCCATGCTTCGTCTCCCAGGGTGCTCGCTTCTACTCCGCTCCCGCTGGTCTATCCAAGACCGAGGTTGAGGGCCGGATAGTCAACCTGCTTAAGAACTTCGACAAAGTGCGTCAGCTCGTTATCTCCATTGTCTCGCGTGTATCAAACTCGCAATCTGCTCAAATATATATACTAACTAGCTGGAATATAGGTCCAGGACGCCTCCAAGGTTAGTTTCGAACTATGCGACCCTTCGGCAAACTTCGGCCTAGCTCTTAGCTAGCATAAGGTCTGGTCCGAAATATACAGCAATTAACAACTATCAGATCAACGGTGTTTCCCACTTCTCCAACGACCTTGGTCTGGACAGCTTGGATACCGTCGAGGTCGTGATGGCCATTGAGGAGGTATGCGATCAAGTTTCCCTTAAGAGAAGGTTGGAGGGGCAGTTAAGCTAACTGTGTCAACAGGAGTTCAGCCTTGAGATCCCTGACAAGGAGGCCGACCAGATCCACAGTGGTAAGTTTGAATGTTCCGATTGATCAGGAGGTAATGGACAAACAACTGACGTATTTCGTGTGAATAGTTGAGAAGGCTGTTGAGTACATCCTCGCTCAGCCCGATGGTATGTCAGCCCTTCTTCGGTGAATGTCGAACGCTACTAATTTTCTTGCGCAGCTCACTAAATATTTAATTGAAAATCCTTGAGCCTGGATTTGGAGGTCAAATAGAAAAAGGAATGGGCTTTTGGCGCCTGTCGAGGTGTTCGCTCGATAGAGTGACCACCACGACTCCCGCTGTGCTGTATGCTGAAATTCATACTAGTGCGTTGTTTTCTGTCTCTGTTCCTATATCGTGTATATCATGTTGAATGCAATTTTGAAACAATGACGGTTGAGAGGCGTATTTTTTTCACGAATCTCAATATAGATTGAGCGCGAGGAACATTTCCCAAGTAAGCGCTTATCCGCCACTGTCTATATTCTCCGACAATTCCAATGTTATTTAGGCGACGAAATGTAAATATTTGTAGTAGAAAACAGATTGAAAGCACTTAAGTAGGTAACTAGTATTATACATCGGTAAATCTGAGGAATCTAAGAAATGGACTGATGAGATCTAAATAGTATGAACTCCGGGGCTCTACTATGCTCTATCGGGCGCAGCAACCACGAGCCACAAGTGGGCAAACTGACTTCCCATCCTTTTTTCTCTTTATTCCCCCTCCGCCTCTTCATTTAACATTTTACAATTCTTCGCATTCAAGACTGGTCCATTGATCTGTCCTTGTGGAATCTAATCTCATTTATTCTCTGGTTCCCCTGACAGAGAGGGGTTCCACTCAGGCGGCAGACTTTCTGTCTACGCGGTATTTCTTACATCTCCAACTCCCACGCCTACTTCGGCTCTCTGTGAACCGGTACACAGATCGGCTTTCACAAAGGACATCTTTGATTCCGCAATCCCTATCGTCTTCCCCCGTTCCGTAACCCCCTAAATCCAATCCAATGTCCTCAGCCGGGGGCTTGACTCGCCGACGTGGCGGCGGTCGAGCTGCCGACGAACAAGACGACAGCCGAGTATCCTCGCCTGTGTCAAAAAATGGTTCAGCAGTAGAGAACCGTGGTCCAGAGACTTCGTACACCAGCGCAGAAAATGGTCACAAAATCGCATTTGACCCCCGCGATCTCAGCGAGACCGAGGAGCGGAGCAAACAACCGAAGCTTACCTTAATGGAAGAAGTTCTATTGCTGGGCTTAAAGGACAAGCAGGTAAGCAGATGGGGGATTTTTTTTATTCCTTATTTGTTGGAGCCCGACTAATTATGTATTTCTGCGATAGGGTTACCTGTCCTTCTGGAACGAGAACATCTCCTATGCCCTGCGAGGGTGCATTGTAATTGAACTCGCGCTTCGCGGGCGGATAAGTATGCAGAAGGATTCGTCGCGGCGACGCTTTCCCCTGGCTGACCGTGTGATCGAGGTTGTTGACGACACATTAACTGGGGAAGTCTTGCTGGACGAGGCGCTGAAGATGATGAAATCGAGCGAGAAGATGAGTGTGAACTCATGGATTGATTTGATGAGTGGTATGACTTCATGCTGGCGGTTTTATCTTTTGAGCTGATTTTACTGACCTCCTGTATAGGCGAGACATGGAACTTGATGAAGATTGGATACCAATTGAAACAGGTGCGCGAACGTTTGGCTAAGGGACTTGTGGATAAAGGCATTTTACGAACCGAGAAACGAAACTTCCTCCTCTTCGACATGGCAACGCACCCCGTGGCCGACGGTGGTGCCAAGGACGATATTCACAAACGTGTGCGCAACATCTGCAGCAACCGAACTGTCATCATCCCTCCTTCCCCTTGGCTTCCTGAGGATGCCGAGTTCCGCTATCTTCGCACCGTGACAATGGTCTGCGCTGCATATGCGGCCAACGTGCTGGAGAATGCGTTAGTTACTATGAGCCACGAATCGCGCGAGAGAGCCTTTGCACAGGTGGATGAGCTGCTGGCGGAGTATTCGCAATGGCCGTTTGGCCGACGGACTGGTGGCTCTCAGGCGATCGGTGCCAACCTGGCTCAGGTGATCAATGATGAGGTTACTCGTGGCAACAAGGATCGAGAACTTCAGCTGGAGGTAATCATTACTACTTCAATATGGCTAATACTCTTTGCTGACCTTCTACTAGATTGTTGCCGCATGCTTGAGCGTTTTTACCAGGCTTGATTCTTTACTTTAAACGGTTGGACCGTTTTGAACTAATACAATGCTTCTTTCAATTTCCTTCCGTCTTCCGTTGCCCTTTCCCTCTACCAATCGTGTAGCTCGTCATGGAAGTGAATTGGGGGCGTTTTTTGATATTGCACCGAACAGGGCAAAAATTCATGCTGTCTGGGATATTTTGATCTACCTGCTTATTACATTGCTGACTTTTGCTCCATCCCATACTTGGTCAGCACCCTTAACGTTCGGCGCACTATGCGCGTGTTTTTGAAATCCTTGAAGATGCGTTTGATATGAAAAGCTCGCTGCGTATCTTTCCTATACCTTTCTTCCCATACTGATTCATTTCTCAATCTTTTCTTTTCATCCCAATATATTTACTTTTTTTTCTCTCTCTCTTTCTTATGGGATATCTCGGCTTATAATTTGGTTTGCAAGCGGGAATTCAGCTATTAACAGCGAAAATCTGGAATTTATGTATGGAAATCTACTCGAATTAAATCGCAGCTCGATTAATTGACACGGACAACCATCATTCCTCCCCGGCGAACACCAGCGGCACCCGCTGCTCCTGCTTCCAAAAGCTTCGCTGCATTATCAAGAAAGACAACTTGTTCCTGCCTACCTCGAAGCTCACTAGCCTCCACTAACTCTGCAATGCGTCTCATCACCTTATCATCAGGATTAGGGGGAACAAAGTGGCTGCGTATTCCCCGTTTCCGTCTCTCCAAGGTTTCCTCGGTATCCGGCTTTCCAGCCTCCAGGGCCGGCCTCGGATCAACAGATGTAAGGACAGAGCCGTTGTCCTTGATTACATCAGGCGAATGAGCCATCTCAAATACCTCTCCGCCGGTACAGTCCAGCACAATATCGCAAGGATTCCACCGCCGGGTCCGGAACATAGCACCAAGATCACACTCTTCACGGGTCGGTAGATGAGGAATTATCAGGATCTCATCAATATCCCACTCTTTGATCGCAGCTTCTTCGGCCTCTGTACATGTGACACAGATCCAGGGCCGCGTGATTTCTGGAAAGAGCTTCTCCGCTCGTAACAGTTGCACAGCTACCCGACCAACCTCGCTGTCTCGGGCGTTTGTGACTAGGATTCGAAGCTGGTGTACTTTGTGGTTTCTTTTGATCGCGACACCTGGGAACATACTTGGTCGTCGACCATGGCCGCCCTCGTTGTTACCTGTCGGAAACAAACTGAATCGACGGCTTAGACCTTTTTTAGCGTTTCCCCCTGGGAACAAACTGAACCGACGTTTATGTTCCTCCTCTTTGGATGTTAACGTGGGCTTGGCATTGGCATTGGCATTAGGAGTTGGATTTGAGTCGCTGAATTTGACACTTGGAGTTAGCTTTGGGTCGCTGAACTTCACCTTGGGGCTTTTCTTTCGATCGTCGAGTTTAGGTCTGGGCGCTTTATTTTCACCGCTGGTCTTGAGGCTCTCAATTTTATCTTCTCTCTCCTTGAAGATATCGGTATTGAATAACTCACTGCCCCGTTCATTTTTAGGTCCGATATCGTCATCATGTTCCGGTATCTCTAGAACCTCGTCGGTCTGTTCAAATTGACTCTTTTCATCCCCCTTCTCTCTAGACTTGGGCTTGGGCTTGCTATCACCTTGACCTGACCCGATCTTTATAACCACAGGTCCGATAGAAAGCGCCCGGCCCTTTTTCTGCTTATTGGCATCGTCATCATCATCGTCATCTTTGGTCTTATCACTGCCCTTATTGGTAATGCTCTCCCACAAGCTCTTGCGACGGCCAGGCGGACTCTGACCCTCGTCCTCATTTTCACCAGCAAGCTCTTCTACCTGCCTTGTCGGTGCGTCAGGGTCAAGTCCAGCAAACGTGAAAAGCGCCTGCCACGCCGTTAAGGCCGGCAAGGCCAATGCAGCCCCCTCTGCCGCCGTGATATTCGATGGTTTGCGCGCTACTTCTTTCTCGGTCGCGACGACGAAATCCGCCGCTCCACCATCGCGCATATAACTCACAACCCCAAATACTGATTCGCCAACCTTGTACCGTGCACCAAGAGGTCGATCTGGATCTTGTGTCGGGGTCCTTAGTATAGTGCCGCAGATACTGTGCAGTGGGATCTGTGATGTTGTCAAGGCCGGATTGAGAGCCTTGACGAGGCGCATCTCATCTTGGCAGAATGCTGCTGCTTGCACTTTGAGCAGGTATTGGCTTGGCGAGGGGTGTGGTGTCGGGAAACCTTTGTCGAGGACGATACCTGGCCCTGGACTGACAGTGCGTTCTGGGAGAGGGATTATTTCTTGATCGGATGCGCTCTCATCGTCTGAAAGTGGTGCTTGCAATGCCATGTGGATCTTCGGAGCTAGAGAGTAGTAGAGCGCTCTCATCGACGAAGGGATTCTTTGAGTTTCTTCGTTCACGACCCGCAACGGTGGCGGCACGAGGGTTGCGTCCACCATGACTCTATGCTATGCTGTGCTGAATGGGAACCTAGTAGATTTGATTTGACTGGGTTTACACGGGGTAATTCTACAGGACTATGCGCCTTGGGATCTAAAGTATTATCTAGTTCTCGTTGTTTTGCCCTCAAGGTGGCTTTTTGCCTTCCACGAATATTGTGCCACTTGTTATACCTCATTTTATTCTCTCATGGTGACGTTTGTTGTCATTTGTGTCAGCATCGCCACAATTAGAAGTGATTTTGGTGGCATTTTTAGCGGCAATGAGGGGGTTTCTTACCTCTTCCAAGGTTCGATTTGGTATCTGTTGTTTCAGGCCCTATTCCAAGGTTCGTTCTCGTGGTGGCATATCGTGACTAGGTAGGTATTTACTATGACGAGGCTTTCTTATTTCAGGTGCCGCCGCTTTGATGTGCTCAGAGTCACTGCTACTGGCTCATTTCATCACATAAATTAGTACGCCGAATTATCCAAACAGAACAAACACAACCCTTGGTTGACAAGTGATACTCTTTCCAAGGTTGACTATCTTCTCCTCGTAACTTATTCAATCAAGTCTTACACTGCATGATGGAGAAATATTCATCACACTACCCGCCCTCTTTGAGTAGGATTTGGGCCAACTCTTACGGCTTGGCTCAACTGCCTATGAATATACTAGTACACGGCGCACACATAGTATACTCTCTCTCTCTTACGTCTTATACTTACACTAGATATTCAAATGCGTAAAATTATATGTTCAATGCCAAAATTGTACAGAAAAGCCAAGGGCTCTTTGGCTTCAGCCATTAATAGCAATGGCAGGCAGGTGGTAGATATCTATAATGCAAGATCCTCCATCCCCAGCCCATCCACAAAGCTATACAGTTCCTTCGGATCCTCGAAAACAGTCCAAGCATGATCGGGAACATCCTTGAAAGCTGCTTCAAATCTCTCAGGCTTGTTATTCTCATCCATATTCGCCACATCAAAGACCTTTCGAATACAAATCGCATGAATCCACCCCGGATACCGACGATAGATCTCCGCATAAGCCTCGGGGTCTCTCTGCGTAGAATCTCCTATAGCAAGTACTCTCCGCTTAGGGAACCACTCATGAATCTTATCCATCCGGCCAACTTTATACTGCTGCGTATTCGCAGTGAACACTTTGATCAACCCGCTGATATTCAAGACATAGTCGTCGCGCAGCAACAACGTGCCAGGACAGTAATTCTCGTGCAGGAACTTGTGCAGGAATGGGTACAGGTTGTACGGTGATGCAGAGAGGTAGAACCATGCCGGGTGCAGCTCTTTCTGCACATATTGGTAGAAATCAGGCATACCCTCTATAGGCACAGGCTCTTCGACGAAAGTCGTCCTCAGAATCCCTGAAGGCTGCATCGTCATCGTGTGTTTGATCGTGTCGTCTATATCACTGATAATAATCCAGCCCTCCGGCGCGGCGAATCTCGTCGCCATCGCCGGTCCATTTGAATGAAAACTCTGCAGCGTTGACTGCACGACTGTGCCGTCTACAACATTGCTCCCGTCCAGCTCGATTGTCTGCGTGATGATGCCGTTGCGATCCGACGGTCCAAGCTGATGCGACTGCGGCTTTTCGACTTTGACATCTAGCGTGATGGATCCACCCAGCGAGACAAAGTCTAGGAAGGGCTGTACTCTGTGCGCGATACGCTGGCGCGTCCTCTCGGTATCTTGGCCCGATGGATCCAAGCCTAGATAACTGGCTATCTCGATTACGAGCTTGTCGATTTCTTTCCGACCCTCTTTCTCAAAGATGCAGGCTACGACTTCTGCGTGCCATTGCGACTGGCCCGCGTCAGTTATAGACTGGTAGGCTGTATTGTCCAGAAGCCACACATTATTTTTTAGTGGGTCCACCGGGAATGTGACCGGGCTCTTGGAACCCAAGATTGAAGCTACGAAGCTCATGAACGTTGAGCCACGCCGTTTCGGGACTGGCGGCGCTTCTTCTGCATCATTTTGGCCTTGCAACTGTACTGTGACCACTGTCTTAGCGTCAGGGGCTACAGGCAGTGTCACTGTTGGGTTCTCCATGCTGTCTGTTTTTTCTGTTCCTTTTTTTTCTTTTTTTTTTATTATCTTTTTTCCCTCCCCCTATTCCGTGGAGCCAGCACTACTTAGTAGTGTTTTGAGTCGTGAATGACTTGGCGCGATCAATGTGATATGTTGGACTTGGCCAGCTTAAATGAGCCGGGAAATGAAAAAGAATCTGAGAAATTGTCTGAAGAAAAGATCTACCGAGAAGCAACCCCGTTATTGTACCTTGTATGCCTGGAATCTGGGTTGATCAGGGGGGACAAGACGCTCATCTAAAAGGATCAACTTAGCGTGTTCTCCTTTTCCCCCCACCCCCGCTCGAGACTATTGAAGTCTGTGGTGAAGAAGGTCGCAAGGGCATGTCAGCAGTCATTTGGATGTCATTTGAAGACAAGCGGTGGCTGATATTTGGGCCATGGGGTCTAAGCTAATAAGTCATGCGTTTTAGACGTTTGACTCCAAACAAGAAGGATGTTCTGGAAGGCTTCGATCTATCTAAAAAATCAAAATTAGTGCGAATCCGAAATTCGACCTCGATTTACTACTTTGTACTGTTTCCTGAAGAAAGTACTTCCCGAGTAACTTTGGATTGTTAGTCGAGATTAGTGCAATGCAAGAAGTAATTAATAAACCTGACCAAAAAGCCCTGGAGATACCGGAGATCTCTTTAACCTTATTAATCCTGGTTGTCTCACGTGGTACTACGTATGATGCTGTCGAGCATCTCCCTCCATAGACCACTATCAGCGTGCCAACACGTGAGATGGTGTAATGAACGTCCACGAGTTCCTTGAGACGATACACTTTCCTCGGAAACCTACAACTTACACGAGGCAGCCAAAAAGCCATGCAAGTGCGGCTCTTCTGGGGAACGTGGTTGAATTCAACCACTTCTAAACCTATAGAAGATTCACGTTCCCAATTACTCTCAAAGTTATCATGGTCATTATGGCTGTCAAAGCAAGCACTGCTGCTCACATGTCAACCCCAGACAGCGCTTGGCCCTGGACAGAATGCCCAATACTCAGTATAGCCGATCACGCTAAGATTACAACGAAAGATGCCAGAATCACGGGAATAACCAGGAAAAAAGTGACAGCAGCCAGAACTGATATTCAACTACAATCTTTACAGAGTTGCTAATCTGAAAAGTGGAGGAATCGACCCGAAAAAAAAAAAAAAAAAAAAAAAAGCAAACACGTCCGTAATCGGACATATGAACTAAACTCGCATGGGAATCTACACATCCAATTTACGGGTCCAATGCGACTCATAAATGGCCAGCTGGTCGCCACCGACAGGGATCCCATGCAAATTCAAGGCTCAAACATCCATCGATGATCGGTGCCCAAGCCCCCCGTACTCCGATTTCTCACCAGATTCAAACGGAGACGGTCACTGAACGCCGCTCTTGTCCACGGGTCCAGGGCTCAGCATGGAGACGAAGTCTACTCAGAGTTCCGGCTCCGGCTTCCAGCTTTACGGAAAGGTGTGCCACAACCTTGCAAACCCTCGAAGAGTAGACGTCGAGTTCTGACCTAAACAACCCATTCTGACTTGAACAGGCATGTCAGAACTGCGCTAGGTCAAAATGCAAATGTGTCTCTCGCACCGATAATCCAGGCTGCGAAAGATGCTTCCGCTTGAAGAAAATATGTATCCCGGGCAAATCGACTCGACTGAGCAACGTGCGACGAACGAGCTCGACGTCGCGCATCGACCACCTAGAAGGCAAGCTGGACGAGATAGCCTCTTACCTAACAGCTCCAGCAAATACCACGCTCAGAGCCAATTTCAATCCAAGCTCCTCTCTCTTTTCGACTCTACCCCCAAGTGCAATGAATGCGCATTCCACTTTCTCAATGTGGATCCTACCCAGTATAGAAATCACCCCCGACGACGCCATCATTCACTTCCGCAGTAAAATGCTCAAGTACTTCCCCTACGTCTATGTCCCATGTAACGCCAGCTGGCTAGAACAAGAAAGACCTTTTACACTTCTTTGCATTATGAACGTCACGTCGCAGGCCACAGAGACGAAACTTGCCCTTGGCGCGCGGATTAAACAGATTCTGACGCACCGCGTGTACGTCGACGACGATCCGCTCGCTTTAAATCTCGATCTGGTCATGGGTTTGCTCGTCTGGATTGTGTGGGGGTATGATCACATGCTTCACGGGACTGTGGCAAAGGTGTCACGGTGGATGCAGCTGGCTATCTCGATAGTCTTCGACCTCGGTCTTGGAAAGCCTCCGCAAGAGCAGATATCGTTGCTTGCAGATGGGGTCTTATCATCTGGGAAGACGGTGCCGACGCGCTCGATTGAGGAGAGACGCGCTGTCCTGGGCTGCTATGTTATGAGTCTGGTCGCTTCTTCGTACTGGGGACAGAGACAGATGGATCCGATGCTTTGGACTCTGTATATGGATGAATGCATGGATGTGCTGGCTCATAGTCGGGATAGTCCGTTTGACCAGATGCTTGTTCATCAGGTGCAGCTGCAGCGGATCGCTGGCGAGATCGAGAGTACTAGAGTGAGTATGGACACGCGGGCTGAATTCTTCGTTACGCTTCTTCAGCAGAAGATTATGGCTGTCAAGGTACGCATACCGCCGCATTTGCAGCAGGATGGTAAGTGACGTGACCTAGATCTTCCGTGCGATGTGACAAATGCGATGTGACAGAACTGACGATAGGTGTGCAAAAAAGAGGTGCTCCTCGCTACAATGTACTACGCAGAACTGAGCGCTTTCGGTCTCCTCCAATCGACTGAGAACTCCCCTGATTTCCAGAAATTCGAACTGCTCTACCAATGCCTCGAGACGGCTAAGCTTGCTATTGACAACTTCTGTAATATTCCCTCAGCAGAATTGCCCCGGGTTTCGATCCCCTTTTACACGCACTTCGCGCGCGCAATGCTCGTTGTTTACGAGCTCTCGGTGCGGAATGATCCTAACTGGGACACGGCACTTGTGCGCTCTACGGTGGATATTCTCGCGCTGCTCGATACTATGATTAGTCGGATTCAAGAGGCTAGAGCGCTGATGGGAGAATTGGCTAACGGTGGCGTTCTTGACAAGTCGCTGTCTCTGTATACGCATGCGAAGAATTCGTGTGCGCAACGACTTGCTGAGATGATGGGTGTGTCAGAGTCCGATAACTACGAGACTCAGCAGGTTACCAATTGGATATCAGGAGATACATGGCTACGAGAACAATTCTTCTGATTAAGGTGAGTGAGAGTCGTTACTACCACCAATCACATGAAATATAAAGTATAGATCAAATGGAATCTTTGTGTTTAGCATCGGCAGAATCAGAGAAATCACTCCCCTCTATCCTTGAATCTTCCGCAATCAAGAAATCCGGCCCGTCAAATAAGACGGCAATAGCTTCGAGGGGATACCCCTTTGTTTCGGGGTAGACGAAGTAGGACGTGAAACCGAAAGCTAGGAGTACAGCCACGAATACGAAGAAATATTTCCAGCCTAACGCGGCCAGAGCGATTGGATTGACAAATGTGTTGAAGAAGATTGCGCAGATGGTGGAGACCCACATCACTACTAGCCCGCGTGAGCGCATTTGGAATGGCCAGATTTCGCATGGGTAGGAGGTGAGTAAAGGCGTTCTGGGATCTAATTAGCAAACTGAACGTGGTTGTCAGTCAAGGTAAACTCACAGGGCAATGCAGTAACCGGCGAAGAAGGTATAGAGGAATGGGATGGTGACAGCGCCAATATTTGAGTCGTGGGTGTTTGCGAACGAGCCCGACAGTGCCGTGACCAGCACGTAACTGACGAACATTATCGCGGCAGAGGCCATGAAAAGAGGACGGCGACCTAGTCGGTCAATGAGATATGAGCCCAGAACGGCGAAGCACAGATTCCAGATTTGAAGGCAAGCTGAAATGAGGGTTTGGTCCCGGACTTTGGTTACTCCCACCGCGTCTAAGACAAGAGATAGGTAGTAGGAGATGACTCCGTTGCCAACCCATTGAGAAAACAATCCCAGCGTTACCGAAATCAGCAGACGGTGTCGGTTCCCGGGCGTCTTTACCATCTTGATATAACTCCCGTTGCGATGGGCTTCCCGCTCTGCAGACAGGGCCGAAACAATATCTTCAAACTCCGAGTTGGCAAAGGGTGAATCGGCATCGCCGCCAGCGTGATAGTTCACGAGGATCTGGTGTGCCTCGTCTTCGCGTCCTACCGAGATGAGCCACCGCGGGCTTTCGGGTGCTAGCAGGAGGCCCGGTAGCCCAATTACAGGGACTAAGGCTTGGAGGATAGAAGGCAGCCTCCAGGCCCAAGAACTCGAGTAATCTCTTGTAGCAAAAACAACCCACGCAGCGACAGTTCCACCAATATACCAGCCCGACATGAAGAGACAATTAAGCAATCCACGATGAGCTGGATGCGCGATCTCATTGACCAAAAGAGCCGTATTCGAAAACAGAGCGGCAGCCAATCCCAGGAACATACGAGCCAAGATGAAAGCCGTAGCATTACCAGCCGCTGTCTGGAGAGCGCATCCGAGCGCTAAGAAGAGATATCCGATATAAACGCCAAGCTTGCGTCCATACTTGTTAGCTATCCAGCTTGTGACCGGAAACCCAACTCCGCAGCCTAGCCAGTACACAGCGTTTATCAAGCCTAACCAGCTGCCGGTTGGGTTGTTCATGAACGCTTTCCACTGGTCTAGCGCTTGCAGGCCATTCATCAGGGACCCGTCATAGCCGTTTGATGACGAGTAGAGAACCAGGGAGATGATTGTGAGGTTTAGTTTCAGAAGATGGCGCTGCTTGTACCATGGCGTGATATCTGGTGGAGGATGGACTGACTGGGTTTCAATTTGAGTGCTAAGTGCATCGACTGAAATGGTGCCCATAGCGAATGGGAAATACCTAGGTAGAGCGTAGCTACCTAGGTACTAAGCGGAAAGTGCGTAGAATAGATGAAGATTTGGTCTTGAAAAGGGCACTTGGGAGGGGAAATTTTCCGAGCCGGCTACTTGCAAAGCTTGATCAGCGCACGACCTCCATCTTCTTTTGAGTGGATTTCCGCTTGGTCAAGACGGCCTTTGTATAGAATGGTATATGGTATAATAATTTGCCGCTGGAACTTCAATTTCAGATTTGTTATCAGCTTTCGGACTTTTGACTGTCAGAATGATCCCCAGATTGTGGGGGAAACCCCCGGAATCGGCGAAGGCGGAGAAACGGACGAAATGAAGTGGGGAAGTAATAGAGGAAACATGGATTCACATTGAATTTAGACTCTGGCTGGCTATTCTCAATTTGTCGCTATCATCACGTATTCTCTTAGATAAGCCAGTAATTATACAGTATCAAGTCGTAATCCCCATGGAAACTAGTTAACATCCAGAATATTTTACCATCTGCCTCTAATTCTTGGTCTTTACAAAATACCTAAATAAGTCTCAAATGTATCATAATGATTCCTATCTCAAATCAACACTCCCATCCCATGCGCCACCAACTCCAGGATTATGAGGTTATCCCACTAATCTAGACGGTTCTAGTTTCCTGTAATCATCAAACCATAATAGGAAAAAGGAGAGGAAAGAGAAAAGAGGAAAGACCGTTAAAGTCTTATCGTTTGAGGTAAAATTGAGTGAAAAAAAGAAAGACATGGGAGGAAAACGCTGGCATGAACCTGAACCTGAACCTATAGCAGGTAAAAGGCAAAAAACTCAGAGGGAAATGTATAAATGATGTCGGCCATGTCCATCGGAGATGCAGGCATTCCCGAGTTGTCGTGTCGGAAAAGATAAAACGGGGGTATGTAGCTGGAAAACAGCCGAGCAGAACGTCGAGCATAATAAGGAAAACATTCCAAGATGGAGGGTTAAGCTCCCCATCCATCTGCAGATTCGAAGAATAAAATGATAACCACCAGAAGAAATAAAAGCAAAAACGAATATGAGCCGATATAATGAGGGGCTAAGTACGCATCCAAGGGCATATACAGACAAATTAAGACTCCATCATCATGCAATAGGAGAGTTAAGGAAAGCCGTAATCACATGTCAAAGTTGTCATCAACGTTAAAAATGCCGGGTTCGTCACCTTTGGTCTTTGGAGCTGGCAAGTGCAAGTCACTCGAGTTGGTGGGTCGGTGGTGGTGCCACGACACCTCGTCGTGCAAGAGTTCCTCCTCCATGTGCTCCACCGGTGCATGCTGCAGGTGGTGGTCGATGGAGCTTTCGTTCACAAAGGTGAATCCCTTGAAGTTGGCCTGCATGCCAGGAGACAGCGGTGTAGTTCCGGGCATGAGTCCATTAGCCAATGCTGCGGCGCGCAGGTTCAGAGAGTTGTTGTTCTCGAGGGCGTTGGTGAACTCCGGATCGAAGTTTGAAGTGTCCATTTCGGACGCGAGCTTCGGCTTGAAAGGAGGAATGACCTGCTTGTGGCTGAGTGCATTCCAGTCGATGTCGTTAAAGAATGGATGTGCCATCAGCTCCTTTGCATCACCGTTGGCTCCCAACCGGTGCTTTGGATTCCGGTTAAGAAGACCCTTGACAAAATTGCGTCCTTCGGTGCTGAGAGCGTCGCGGGGGAATCTAACTTTGCCAAAGGCGATGTTCTTGTACATCTGTTGGGTATCTTCGGCGTAGAAAGGACTCCACCCACAGCACATTTCAAAGACCAAAACACCCAGAGACCAAAAGTCAACCATCTTGGTATATCCTTGCTCGTCGAGCAGAACCTCAGGAGCAAGATACTCGGTGGTTCCGCAGAACGTGTTGGTGGTGTCATTCTGAGTCAGATTGGCCTTGGACAGACCGAAATCACAGAGGGCGATGTGACCATTGGCATCCAATAGAATATTCTCCGGCTTCAAATCGCGGTACACAATGTCGTGGTCGTGAAGATGCTGGAGCGCCAAGATCAACTCGGCAATGTAGAACTTGGCCCGAGCTTCTTGGAACCGACCTTCCCGCTGCAAGTGCCAGAACAGTTCACCACCGGACATGTAGTCCGTCACCAGGTAAAGGTCAGTCGGTGTCTGGAAGGAAAATTTCAGGCCCACGATGAAGGGCGAGGCTGTCATCGCAGTTCGAACCAGAATGTTGCGTTCGCCTAGGGTATGTGCCACTTCCTTCTTCTGGATGATCACCTTTTTCGAAAGGACCTTCATGGCGTAAATGCGTTGAGTATCCTTCTTCATGACCTGGTAGACCTGACCAAAAGTTCCCTTTCCGATCAGCTTCAAGATCTGGAAGTCACTGGGTCCGACCGTCATTTTGTCGGTCATTTCAAATCTCATTATAAGATGAATTTCACCAGAAACCAGGCTATCTCCAGCTCCCCGTGCGGCCAGAGGGAACCACCCCTCAAGTCGGCTGTGATCTTCCTTCAGATTAATTCCTAATCTTACGTGACCGATGAAAGCCTCTTGGTTGCGGCCATCATAAACAGTGACATCGACTTGGGATTGGTCACCGAGAACATCACTGGAAAGGGGTTAGTTGAATAAGACTGGGAAAGGTAAGAATTGAACTTACAAGACGGCTTCGTGGTCCCAATGAGGATCTGTGACGGGCATCTTTCCTGCCTTGTTTTCATGTCCTTCCTGGGAACTGTTGTTACTGCTTTGACGACTTCGCATCGGAATGGCCATTGGTCGTCCGGCTTCTTCGTCGGCTTCGATCTGGCGCTTCTTTTTGGTTTCTTCTTCATCACGAGTACCCTTTGAAATATACTCATTCCATTCAAAAACACATACAACGTATGGATCAATACTGGGACGCAAACCTCGGGCTTCGGATATTTTGACGAACAACTTGCCCTTGATACGGCCGACGGGGGCACCGCCCTGGGGGGAGGGTTGGCGTGGAGGGAATGCCTCGTCGAGCTTCATGGTAATTTCTTCGGTAGGGCTATCGTGAGTTTCCTCTGTCGGGGCCGGAACAGGGGTAGACTGCTTATCCTCTTCGTTGGACATGGCGCGGGGGGTCAAGGGTGGGGTATTCTTATCCGCCTCGTTTCCAGTCAGCTTGGCCAAGTTCTCGGATGAGATTGAAGTGGGTTGCTTTTCGTGGTCGAGTAGGGAATTATCAATGGAATAGGCGGGGGAAGATGGGTTGGAGAAATGGGTAGCCAGAACAGGGACTTCAGAGACACCAGAAACTGGTAATGAAGTTTGACGGCGTGAAGAAGGGGGTGGCGGAGAAAGGTAATTTTTAAGGGTTTGGAAGATGCCCATCTCAGGACATGAGGCGAATTCCACCTCATCCAACCGAAGCAAAGAGTGGGGAGGCGTGGGTGGGCTTGCTTCGCTCTTATCAGACTCTTCTCCATCCTCTTTATCCAACACGACGAAGGACTCGGAGGAGGAGTTGGGTTCCGAAGATTTCGAGAGGCATGCCCATAACCGAGGGAGTTTATCACCAGAAAGAGGACCAACCTGGAAGTAGTTGTGCATGATTGAAGGTAAACGCTTGTCGGCGGGATCAGGTTGAGGGGTTGCGATTCCAGTTGGAGTGGACCCGTTGGACCCAATCTGATCAGGGGTATCGTCTTCAGGCACGGAGCTAAAAGTTTAATGTTAGTCATGGTTATTCTTGTTGAATGATGTTCAAATGAGGTTTGTCTGTATCTTAGGGGGGATGGGAATTTTCAACGGGCAAACTCCGAACGGGTGATTCTATAGCGAGTGAAGACCGGGAGAAGTGGATAAGACGATAAAGTGATCAGGGACATAAAAAGCCAACCCCAAAATGACCAGGATGATAATGGTAATGCAATGCGGTGTAAGGGGGGGTAGCCCTGGTAGTTTGAGGGGGGGGTAGGAAGACCCTTTTTTTAGGTGTATAAAGGACGAACTTGGTGTGACTTACGGTGACTTCAAGTCCGCATCTCCGTGTAAATCGGTTTCACTTAACGAAGCAGCCATTGTGATTCCATTCAATAAAGTGACTCCCCTAAGAGAGAAGAGAAGAGGGTATTGGAAGAGGGGCGAATAGTAGTGGGGGGGTAGTTGAGGGAGTGAAGAAGCGGGAAACACAGAAAAGAAAAAAAGAAAGTTTAAGACGCCGCCCGAGATTTGATGAGCTAAGGGACTTTGCGGAAAACCGGATCGACTTCGGCTTCTTCCCGACCACTAGATATTGATATATCTATTGAGATAGCGAAGTTGAAGTGAAATTGAAGTGAAGTTGGGAGGAAAGAGGACTCGATTCCTCGAGGCATATATGAACAAAGACCCCCCACTGGGGTGAGGTTGGGTCAACCTAAAAGTGAAACAAAACTCGGGGTGTTAAACAGATAATAAGAATATATAAGAGTAGAACTTATCAGAGATCATCGATTATCTGTCTTATTTTAATTAATATTTTTTTTTTAAAAAAAATATCTTATGTCAGTCTTGAGAGGCAAAATTTCAAGGTTCCTAGGAGTATAGGGCATAGGATACGGCGGTTATTCGAAAATGATCTCTATATACTTACTGGTCACAGTCATATATTGCAATTCCATACCTCCTTCACCTTTCCGAGTTCTTCAGCTATACTAAAATGAGCATGATCGACAATGACGAGTTCTGTGGGAAACCTGGAATTTGCCTTCTACTTAGGTACATTGATCGGGCATACATAATACGGAGTACTCCGTGTACTATACCTTTATCGTACTACATAGATCAAGTCCGATCGGTGAATCCTCCCGATCCTGCAGCTTTGAGCTTCATTGCTTAACTTCAAACCTCGGAATGTTCCTTGCATCATATACTACTATAGTGAAGAACAACTGACTTTGGAGTACGTACACAACTGTAGTATTTGGGAATTGTAAGCAATTCACACGAACGAGACTACATCTTCCTACATCTTCCACTGCATGTGGATCTCATTTGCGTCATGGGGCGTCCGCCATCAAAGCCCCATGCTCGTGAGAGATGCCTGATTTGAGAGGAGCTTAGCTGCATGTGCCATACGCCAATGCATACCTAGAGAGTAACGCTGGAGCTACGGAGTACTCTTCCATCCTTTCGGACTTACCCCATGTGCGCCGGGGGATCTACACATCCATGGCTTCAACACGAATAGGATAAAAGACCCATAGTTCATTACTCGACCAGATGGATGAGATTGGTTGCCTTGAACGGGTTCTTGCAGGCTGATCGTACCTCGTACCCTGTTGTAATCAATGTGTAGTCAGGGTAGTGGGTCGATACGATAACCAAAGAGGCAAGACTCTGACTCCATTCGTAGGTCATCTGCAGGATGCGGGGGTCACTGCAGACATTCGACATCATTTCACATAACGGCGGTAAGCAATATTCCGTATGTCAGATAACTATCTAAGCACTCTGCATAATCTCAGGTCCAAGCGGGGGAACTTCTGCGCTATCATCGGTTATACTCAAAACCGTGGAGAACTCTGAATCACATGGGGACTGATGGGTTACTACAGAGCATACCATATAAATATTTAAGAGCGTCTGTAGTATATAGACGGTGAAATGGAATGGACCGGGCGCACGAAGCCAGAAGATGGAAATCGGGATCGGGAAATAACGGTGAACTTTAGCCGCTCGGTGAGCATTTAGGGTGCCCAAATATCTTGCAATAGCCGATACGTTATCATGATCAATATCGATGCCTCCAGATTGTTGGGGGCACGAGTACTCCGAAGTACTGGTGTTGATGTATGGTTAAAGCGGTTGCAATCGATATTCTAGACTCGAAGAGAATGCCACTACAGTCGTCAGTGACGTCACGATGATCTCGATGCCTTATCCTACATATAGATTGATGCCTTAATTATTATTAGGGGTATGTCTCACGTGACTACGTGCTTCGGATTATCAGTACACCCGAGCCAAGCAAAACAGCCTCCACATCCCAGGAATTAAACTTGAGGTATCGGATACCCTAACGCGTACATTAAAATGCCTAGAAAACCCAGGGCAGCTGCTCAAGCAGCAGCAAAGTCAATCAGTCAGTATTCCTCTCTTTTCACCTAGTCCCATATCTATTACCACGTCTTCCCCTTTTGAAGACGCGCAATTAACAATTATCAGAAAACGTTCCCCAGCTTCCTGATGCTGATGGTTCTGACGATGAAATGGTTGATGCACCTCCCTCAGAGGCTTCATCACCTGTCATCGAAGACAATGATTCTGCTGATGAAAATGCGCACGCTGAGGCTGAACCTGAACCTGAACCTGAACCTGAACCTAAAGGTGATCAAGATGGCGACGCTACACCCGCTCAGCCCGACTCCCCTAAGGTTGAAGACGCAGATGCAGCCATGTCAGAAACCCCTGCCACAGAGCAAACCCCACAGGTAGAAGATGCAGAAGGAGCAGAAACTACCTCATTCACTGGTGGGCGCCAATCAGCCATTCCCCGCAAACGTCGTCTCGGAAGACCCCCCAAGAACCGTCCCCCAGACTGGGATGCACCTGACGGTCCAGATACCCCTCTTCGCGTCAACACTCCAAAACGTAAACGCGGTCGACCTCCAACTGGTGGTGGACGTTGGGCACGCAACCGTGGACCATCACATTTGACCCAAGTACCCATCGACAAAGAAGGAAACATGATGGATGTAATCAACGATGAAGTAGCACTTCCACCGAATGAACTAGGTGACACCAAAGTTGACAAGTACGGAAACTTACAAGGTGGACGTGAATACCGGGTCCGTACTTTCACAATCCTCAATCGCGACAACCGTCTGTATATGTTGTCGACCGAACCCGCGCGATGCATTGGTTTCCGTGACTCGTATCTCTTTTTTCAGAAGCACAAGATGCTGTACAAGATTATTATCGATGACGACGAGAAACGTGATTTGATCGAGCGCGATCTGATTCCCCATTCCTACAAGGGCCGAGCAATCGGCGTGGTGACTGCGCGCTCGGTATTCCGTGAGTTCGGCGCAAAGATTGTGGTCGGTGGCAAGAAAGTTATCGATGACTACGATGAACAGGCGGCCCGTGAGCGTGGTGATGTCGAGGGTGATGTCGCTGTGCCAGAAGATAAGCTGCCCGGCCCAGGAGAGACCTACAATCGCGACAAGTTTGTGGCGTGGCATGGAGCCAGCGCCGTTTACCACACTGGAGCACCGTCAGTTCCTATGGGTCCTGGAAACCCGGTTGTCGCCAGCAGGCGACGCAAGCAAGTGACGGATGACAACTGGCAGCTGGAGCACGCGCGAGCAGCATCGTAAGCTATTCCTTTTTTCTTGATACCGCTTCATATAATTAACATTGTCCAGCGCTTTCAACTCCCGTCTTGTCACGATGCGTCGTGCAGCCCTCAGCGGTGTTTACGATGTGCATACCAACATTATGCAATATCCCCAGATAATGCAACCAACCCATGCCCGCTTCGAAAGTGTACCTCCCCCCGACGCCGCAGGATTAACAGCCGATCTGTCATCTCTGAACATTGATTCCGCCATCAACGACCATGCCTCTCCAGAGGCTAATTCCGCTGAACCTCCGGCCACGACTATATTCCCACCCGTCCCTGCCTCAATGTCCGACCGATACGTCGTCCAGGACATAATATATGAAAGCCCACAATACTCGAACATGGGAATCCCAGGCCCAGACGGCGATCTGCGTAACCCGAACCAAAACGGTCTTGTGAGTATCGCAAACGGCCACCCGGAGTTCATGTCCCCAGAGATCATTGCCATGCTTCCCGATGACTGCAAAGAAGCTTTCATAAAAGCTGCCGCTGATGAAGCGGAATGGAAATTGAAGTGGTCGACTGAGGCCAACGATGGCGCACGGTCACTCCCGCACAAGGGTACTGCCTGGTACCCATAAGTCTGAATGGGCATTTTTTCACTTATGTTTTTTTTTTCTTTCCTTTCGGACGATTCAGCATGGATGTTTGGGATATAGGTCAAAAGACCGGAGTTTTTCTGGGTTCAATCTGGATTCAACTGCCATAACGGCTTATGGTTGAACTTTTGGAGTTCTTTATGTTGTATCGATTTGGATTTGAATAGAGTCATGATGGCTTTATTGTCCAAATTTTATCGGAGGGTTTCCTCGTCTCAATCAGGATTTGAAATCGGCCATTATGGCTTAATGGTTAACTTACTTCGCAGTTTGTTTAACCAGATATCTTTAAAATATACCTTTAAGATTTTACTTTTCGTTTAGTGCTTGCTTATGGCTTTTTATCACTTACTTGTAGTACCTAGAGTCTCACCTGTCATAGAGTGTCGACGAACACCAAGTAGGTCCCTGACACTACTAAATAGTCTCTCTACTGATACTTCTGCTGCTGCCATCCTTGGATATTCACCTTTGTGGGCATTTCACCATAAAAATAGAAGGCTGAGGGACAGTACAAGTATAACTAGGCGGTGGCAGAAAACTGCGAATATTCGCGAATAATCGCATCAACTGCGAGTGCGAATACGAATAATAGCTAGTGGTAGCAACTGCGAATACGAATAACCTGAAATAAGTGCGAATATTATTCGTGCCGAGCTCTAGCAGTAATAGCCTATATATATATCTTTAATCCTATGTGAGCATAGTATATGCAACTCATTTCCTCTTTCGTCGCCGCAGGATGTTTAGTTTGCCGTCAGCACTTAGCAGTGGACCGCAGTTTTTAGACACTGTTACTAAGCTGATAACATTTAGTTAACTAGTTATTTAATTTGAACTCATGACCGAACTAGATAAACCCCTTTTATTCTATCACGAATTTTCCTTTGACTGGAGATAAAATTCTATCTACATTGCCCAGAACTTCTAAATACTATCTACAACATCAATAATCTTATTCAACAGATTATGTCTTTCCAACAAAAGGAATTCACCTCTTTACCTCCACCTCCACCCCCAGGGACAACGTCTGACTTGTCCGTCGCATACCCATGGCGCTCTGTGTGCCCGGGAATCTGGGAACTGATACTAAATGGCTCCGACGAGCACAAGTCAACACTACAATGGTGGGAGCCGCATTTCACAACGGATACCGACCAAATAATCACCCATACTTTCATCGAGGAGGTATGTTTCCTTAAGGGTGGACTAGAAGATCTGAGTTTGGGTCAATCATGGGGTGTTGGTGCATATGCGTATCGGAAGCCTGGAATGGAGCATGGACCTTACCGAGCATCGGCGGATGGATGTTTGATGTTCGTAAAAGTGACACCTCCTTAAATATATACCTAGGTTGAGTTTTCATATGCGGTATGGATACGTAAACCAAGAAAGGAATTGTGCTTAAGACAGAATTGATATAAGAGCCTTGTCGAAATATGAGAAGTGTCCACTTTGAATGCTCAGGTGTATTTTATCCCAAGTAACCCAAGGATTAACGCTATTGACAAAGCAACTTGGTGCCCTCACTCTCGAAATCTAGCCTTTGACCGGATAGTGTTATTTAAAAATAAGCCTTCCTGTGGTAATTTGGATTATATCAGTGGTAAGAGGTAAGTAAAGATACAGTCTGTCAGGACTTGACATGGATTCAAATAATCTCGTCCGTTGGGCAAATGTCAGGATCATATTCGGTCCTCCGGACTTTTGAAGAAGTACTTTGCCCTCCTTATCAATGATGAAGAGACTTCAGCAAATAGCATGAGGAGCCAGGGCCGCTTGAATCCCATGACTCTGATCAGATTAGCCTTTCTGTCAGTGCAGATGCTACTCAATGCTTATGCCGATGTCAATGTCTAGGGTGGAGAGTATAGTAATGCCCTCTAGGCTACTATATACCTATGTATAGAGGAAGTACCAAGGTAGTGTAGATGCTGTAACGAACCTACGATATACTAATGATAGCATAGATCGGTGTCTCGTTTTCGGATTTCAAGTTAAAGAAGAAAGGAAACTAATATCACATCGTACACTAATAAGTGCTCTGAAGGCGGTAGAACAGGTATAATCCAGATCGCCAATCTTCAATCGTCACAGATGCTACTTATACTTATACTGATATGAATAGGAGATTGCTAAACTGAGACGCAAAATCAAAGACACGAGACATGGTATCCATATGCATTTTAAAAAAGTGAGATTGTATTTCACTACTGGCTGTCGTCCACATGAACTGTTTAAGGCCCTGTAGACAATAAAATTTAGAGCAGGTTTCAAGTGGCGATAATGATTGTATTCATGGATCATTGGAAGCGAAAAATTTGCCTTTGCCGGCTCTGATGGCCGTAATCCTTACTCGGAAACTCCGTCGCGTTGTATTCTTTCACGCATCCACCAAGCTGATCTACAGTCTTGCAGTAACTTGCAGTAACCATTCCGGACCCAGTTCTTCCAGTTTCATAAGATCAAAAATAACGTACCAGATGTCGTGCCAGAGCAGTGGCTTCTCAAACTTTCTCCATTCCCGAAATCCGACCCATGACCTGCCAACCTTATGTTAGTAAATGGCTTCCAAAAACAAAACCTGTTTGAATACTCACAGTTTCATGATCTTTGGGTACCAGAGAAGATTCTGGTTTCCAAAGGGCTCGCAATGCATACCCATCTCGTAAATTTTCCTAATTATAGACTTAAAGTTAGCTCATATCTTTCTTATAGTAAAGAGTGCATTTACTCACGGCAGCGTCTCTTTAAATTGCTTACGAATTTCCCGACGTTCTGTTTCTTCTAAGTTTCAATACGCAGAACTTGAAGAGCCATCAGAAAGTTGAAATCCAGGGATAACAGCCCAAGCAATCCATGTGATAAATCCTCCAGGGATGATACCTGAGGGCTCCTGACGCCCTTCTTTATATCCAAGGAGTTGGGGAGTGATTGCTGAATGATTATCGGCCAGGGTCTTGTATGCCGTGAGCTCCAAAGGTGTGAAGGGTTTTGCTTGCTTTGCACGAGTTGTAGCGTCCTCAAGTTCCGTATACTTGTGTGAAATTTGGATAATGACTCTGATCATGGCCTCTTGGGACTTTTTGAGGACCCTGGTGCAACGGAGCTTCAGGGAGGCGTAAGAAATTGATTTTTCATCTTTTTGGTACCGGGATTCATGTTCATTGAGGACTTCGACAATTTTCCATTTGCTTGGCAAAGGTGAATCCAGCATAACGATTTTGCCGGGCTGTACAGCCTGGCCCATAGAACCCTGGACAAACCAGGGGGGTCCGAGAAGAAGGGCTATGAGACATTGGGATGCTTTGGCTTCAAGCCTGGCTTAAGCTAGATGGAGAAGCTGCCTAGGTGATGATGGATGGGAAACTAAGTGAAGCTAGAAGAGGGAAAAAGTGGGGCTCGTCCTGTCGTGTCAAGGCGAACGAATTAGAATGCTATATGGGGCGATTGTATCTGCCACTAGTACTAAAGTGGTTATCTCAGCTCATCTCATAGATCATGATAATAACAGTCCACAATTGATATGCTGTATCTGTACCAGAATTGTTTTTTGCACGAGTAATGATCTAATTCTCGGATTTACTAAAATCGAAACATGTCCTTGATTTTCAAGTTCATATAAATATTTCTAGATAAAAGGAAATTTAATGCTATTACGAACATTCAGATAAAAGCTCAGTAACTTCAAGGCAGATATAAATTTGGGATCTTGACCAAGGGTGAGAAACTATGTAGTTTTCAATCTCAACATCAAGACATACCCAGGTAAAGTGATTATACGGAAGCCTTGAATGTTTAGTCCTAAGCATCTCGATTGAAATGAAGCTTAGATTTATGATTGAATTGATATGCATAGTTCAAAACATTCTTGCAAGGCATTGAAGACATGTCTGTCATAATTGCCCAAACTAAAATAATCTACTAAAATATCAGATTCAGGGAGCTCTTCTGTTGCTCTACTATTGGATAATTTGTTGTGGGGATCTGGGGGAACTTACCTAGAGTACGTAATTTTTGTTTTCGTCAACAAGAATGCGTTCTACGTTCTTCATGAATCTGAAAGTTATGAGACTAGCACTTCGGCTATAATCAAACTTCAAAATTCCAATTACTGTTACTGGAGAGTTACTTCATTGATTGTCAAAGCTCTCAATGGCTATTCTAGTCTCGGTCGCAAGACGCTAAAGCGGCGCTCACCCATTGCTCACCAGGGCGATACACCTGACTATAATAGTTTTATAGCTCACTTTTGTACTCAGTCTACCACATACGACCACAGGGTGTGGAGAACAGGGCTTCCCGTCCGCTCAGCCGTACTTAAGCCACACGCCGGCTAGTTAGTAGTATGGTGGGTGACCACATGCGAATCCTAGCTGTTGTATGTTTTTTTTTTTTGTTTTTGAATAGTTTTGCTATATGCACTGAATGAATAGGAGGACCTAGTAGATGTACGGGATATGATGTATTTCATAAGGAGTATTCTGTACTCTGTACTTGTCGCTCGCTTGGCGAGTGTAGCTAGCTAATCGCTCGTTTACTGAGAACAGTGAGCTCCAACGAACCGCTACTCAACACCGTAGACAATCCACCGGTCTGGTAGTGGATTCCTACTAGTTGAATATTGCGGTTGTTGTGAAGTCTGCTTTTTCATTGATGAAAGAACTAGCTATTTATAGTATATGGGTGCCCCTCTGCCCTGGACGAATGTCAACATTCGTCCGAGACAGAAGAGACGGTGAAGACGGGACATTACTGTCGCGGATGCACATCGCTCAAGGGTGTCGTTTGCGATGAATGCATATCGTTCAAGGATGCCGTGATATACTAATCTAGTTCCCGAGTCACTGTCTCGGCAGAAGCTTTTTCGGCCGAAATACTTTCCGTCTGTTGATGGCCTTGTTTCTCGGCTGTCGCAACAGTACTCAATATCTTTATTCTAGAGCACATGTTAATAATGCATGGTCATAATGCGTAGTATAGTTAGATTCAGTTTTCTTATTGCTCGAATTTTTGATAATTGTATTTTATAACTTCTTCTTTGAACCTATCTACCACATACGACCACAGGGTGTGGAGAACAGGGCTTCCCGTCCGCTCAGCCGTACTTAAGCCACACGCCGGTCAGTTAGTAGTATGGTGGGTGACCACATGCGAATCCTGACTGTTGTATGTTTTTTTTGTGTTATTTCATAGTATATTGAGTGATAGTGGGTAAGCTTAGAAGCCCTGCTCTGGACTTTTAACCTCATAGACCAAAAAATTAATGGCGCTACGAATAGAGTCGATAGCGTTCATTCTGGAGTCGACTGAAGTGTAAGGTAGAGGTAAACTTCACATTTATGCACTGATGGCGTGTTTACGAAGTGATGTCTTTTTGACGCTACGAATTCGCCAGGTGGTTTATGAAGGGAGTTTACGTGGTTTAGGGGAGATTGGGGCGTCTATGGTGGAGGAGAATGGTGTTGAAGAGAGATATATATCTGCTCCTGATCTAGTTGAAACTGCTCCAACTGAACCATATTTACCTATTTTAACACTGATTCGGCGTCGCCCAACCTGTTCTGGGTGTGGTAAGATAGGGCATAAGATCAACCAATGCCGTAACTGTGAAGGGCTAAAGCTAATATTGAATTCAGAACTAGCTAGGCACATGCTGTTTACAAAATCCTTAAAGAACGTAGACGATTCGGGGTGGAATTTTTTTACCTTCTTTACCGCCTTTACCGTCGGGAGGTCGGGATCAGATCTACATATACATACTACCATATATTTCTTACTCCGGGAAACATACTGTGAAGGGCTAAAGCTAATCTTAGATTCAGAACTAGCTAGGCACATGCTGTTTACAAAATCCTTGAAGAACGTAAACAATTCGGGGTGGAATCGTGAGGTATACGGTTGGTGGGTCACATGGTACAACCACGTGATAGTTCACCAGGATTCAACCTGTTACACATACACTCTGTTCTGCTGCATCTTAGTCACCGCTTTTACTCTGCAATAAGGATGCAAAAAAATGTAATTGTATTTCAATCTTATCACCAACTTGAAATTTCAATCCATAAATGTCGATCGCACTAGGTTTGTTCGGGCCTCCATGTAAGGGTTACTGGATTTTACAGAGAAGACAAGGATGGGAACAAGAACTCGATAACATTTCAAGACTGATTCTTGAAAGAATCATGGGGGATCCGGGTACGGATCGGTTAAGTAGTTGTGGGTATTACATAAGGGTCACATGATTTCCAGATTATCAACTCCGTGACACTCCACACGGTACACTGTATACTCTATGAAGAAGTGAAGTTTCAATGATAATATCTATGAAATAGATTAATGAGGAAGGCGGTGGGGGACATACGGCAGAACAGAGTGTATGTTTCCCGGAGTAAGAGATGATTTGACAGATAGGATGGTGACATAAGCTTGGTTTTCCCCTTTGCCAAGAGATCGGGTTATTTTAATATTATAAATAAGGGTTGAACTAAATCTACTCCCCTCTGCTTACAAATTCAGGCTTTAAGGCATATTAAGGCACCAATTTAGTTATGCCAATATTTCTGCCAGTATTATGGAATAACTATTTAGCCGATCACCGGCCATAGTCACATCTTGACTTTCAACTTTTCCTTTCGTCGCATCTCCCTAATTTTACAGCTATGTATTCAGTTTGTTTTGCGTTCTGATTTACATACTTAATTTTATATATTACGGTATTAGTATACGTGTTTATTTCAACCTGAATAGAGTGTTTAATTTGAACTAATAATACTCCATATCAGGATCATTCACTGGACGCCGAACACGAACAGGTCTTGAGTCACCCTGAGTGGTGTCGTCACCATCACTTAGGGTGCTTTCAATACCCCGTTTTTCGGCTACACCGGCGCGACGAGCTGCATTCTGTATTGCAGTTACATGGAGATAATTAAGAAGTAAGGCGGTCAGGCGGTAAGTAAAGCGGTAGGGAAAGTAGAGAAAATCTACTGGAATAACTATTAATCCGGTAGAAGTAGATTTAGTTCGACCCTATTTTAATACTTTTTGTGGGTCCTGTGGTCTGCATACTACTTCTTGTCCTGTTCTATCACTTATTCATCTCTCCTGTGATCTGCATACTGCACCCCCACTTGTTTCTCTCCATTACTATGAACACAAATTGGGTTCGATATTTTCATGGCCAGACGGGGGATAGGCTTGGGCAGGTGAAGCAGCATGGGGCAATTACCAATACGAACTTCATCAACATGATCAATTTTGTCATCGAATCATCGGCCCCGATCATAATCATCTCGTCACAGACTGGTGCCAAACTTTTGGCGGGTCCCCAACCACTTCAGATCGGCGATTATGATATCTATCCCACTGGCAATGCAAGAATTCAATTCACCTCCGATGTCTGCGTTCGACGGGCCCCCTCTCATATCGCGACTAATGCTACTCCCCGGGAGCTAGCATTCCGTGACGGGGTGCGACTCCGAGATGGAAAGTGCGTCATCTCGGGAAAAATCAATGGTACACTCCTGGACCCTCCAGAATATCAATCATGGCGCGGGTTTCAGTCAGCCCACGTGTTTCCTCTAGGACGCGAGTCGCTCTGGCGTTTAAACAATTTTTCACGGTTTATCACCAATAGCGTTGCAGGAAATCATCGAGCTGCTATAAATTCCCGTCAGAACGGACTATGTCTGAGCAACGACATCCACGATCTCTTCGATGATTTTATTATCACCATAAATCCAGACGACAATTACAAAATATACGATTTTGGAGCAAACAATGAGAGAGTAGACGGGAGAATTCTGGACCCCGTATGCCGCGCTCCAGGAGACTCTAATCGGGTCTCTGACGACCTTCTCAGATGGCACTGGCAACAATCTCTACTCTATCATATGAAGGCTGCAGCGGAGCCAAGCTGGGAGTCAGACTTTCCCCCGGGATCTGATATGATCGGAGAAATTCTCGCTGGCCCGCAGCCAGCTGAGCGAATGGAAGCGGAGCTCTTCTATCGTCTCCATCGCCTGATTGATGATGACGACTAAGTACCTTCCCTGTCATCATTACCTCTTCCTCTATCCATCAATTTTCTCCATGCCCTATTCTAGTCATCCTTTATCTCCATATTTCTTATTTGTCTTCCTACTTCACTTTCTTGGTATTCTCTCAACCCTCAATATTTGCTTCAGCGTATTCAATACCCCATTATCGTCGAGCCTCAGAAATCATGATCATCAGATAAACATTTTAAACAGCACATTTTCTAAGGCCCTCCTTCTGGACTTTGATTCTGTGTATTTCCAAGGTTCCCTATAGTCTCACACTCCTAAGAACCAGAACTGTAAGGCCCGAGGGCATTCGATCTCTACATAAACCTAAGCCCCAATTGCTGCTATCTATAATTTTGTCTAAAATCAGCAGTAGAAATAGCAGTCAGGGATAGGAATTTTTCGAATTCCAATCGAAAATTATTGTTAGCCTTCGTTGCAAAGCGCGTCAGGTCAAGGTTCCAATCGGATTTCAATTGATTATAAATTTTGGAAGGAAATATCTTCTATAGGTGACCGTCACGCACCCCTGGTTTGAAGTCGTCGCCGATCACTCTCAGATGAACCTTCTGCCTCAGTTAGTACTTAGTTTAGTCTTATAATTGACGTTAATGGGTGCTCACAATACGATTTCCCGGTTTACCAACAGGATTTGCCTTGATGCCGACCACGACTGTGTCTTGATCCATAGGGCTGAAGATCTCGATGAACATGACGAACTAAAGTACAGTGAATAAGTGTTCTTATATCCTCCGAATCATATTTATGGCCTTTTTTACAAAATATGCAGTGACTATAATGTATAATTAGCTAAGTAAACTAGCTCTATTTCAGACTAGCGTAAGGCATTATTAAGGCATTAAGGCAACTAAAATACCCATATGGGACCCATACCCAACCCATGCACATGTCTATTTCGAAGCTAATATGTAGAGAATTTTCCACCTATTTAATTATCGCATTCAACAGAGTCATTACAAGAGCTTGCACACTCGATTCACCAATGTCGAGGCTAAGCAGGCAGTCAACTGGCCCACCCCAAGGAGGAAATACGGTTGTTACTGATGCTTCCGAATATTTATTTAGGCTAGTTAGGAAGGATTTTCTGATCGCGTCACATATAAGCCCACTAAAAACAGCAGCAATGCCCTTTAAAGAGGCATGCTCAAAAATCTCCTGTGAGTTCGCAATATCTGTGTCGATTCTCCATTCGCCTTACAAAAAGCGGGAGTGAGCTGTAAAATATTGGTTGACTTAACAACTTAGGGCGGGTGCTGTGTACTCTTTTTCGACTTCAAGACTGGCCTGGGTTCAATATTTTCTTTTTTGTTTAATGGTTACCCTAGGTTTATCAGTCAAGTTCCTCTAGGATCATAAGAGGACTATATATAGGGCAAATGATTACCTTCCAAAAGGCCTGCTACTCGTGTATCACCCATAAAGCTAGGAAATGAAGGATTATTGATTATAGGACGATATTTTTCCTCTCCCAGCTTACAGGCGAGCGCACTACGGTGACTATTACTCATGTCTCTGACATTATCTTGACCAAGAGCAACGGCGCACGAGCGCACACCTTATAGCCCACAGTTTTGACGCACTTCGTGAAGAAAGAGTCGATATTTTCGATGACTTGCAGATTCCACTGGATGATTTATAAGAGAAAACGCCTCGGAAACCTGCTTGGACTCTTTTTTAACTAGATGCCAGTCAATTCCCAGTCTATAGGCTGTGCTCTCTACTTTCTTCCAAGCTTCTGTACTGGTAAGTGATTTCCGAGGAAGCCGTCGTTTAGTGCGTTAGACCATGATATAAAGCGATAGAGATGAGATGGAGATACGAAAAAGATGTGGGGGATAGATGGAGGGAGAGATGGAGGTATTCTGAGGCGAAGTACGATGAGGTATGGTGAAATGGCAAGCTCCTCATGTCAGAGCCAGCCACATGGCCTGAGCAGAAAACTTCATAATATATATCAGACTTCTCAATTTATGATCGAGGGTTCATACTTCCTATGTGAAGTAGTTAAACGCCTCTATTATATATGACTCTGCACGCAGAAAAATCAGCCTCGGCGCTAGATTCACTATAATGATTTTCTGGTGGTGTGCGTATCATGGCGCCTAGGTTTGCTATAAATTAGCTAGAGCTACTATTCAACATAAAATAATCCGGTCTTATTCGGGGCGATTACCACTGATTCTAGAAGCGCTTCAGGCCAACTCGAGGCATTACCCAGTGGTCTTGCAGAATCCAAGAAAACATGCAGTAATCATTCATTGCCTTGAAAAGTGGCTATGTGCAGATGCGAAGGCTCATAACTGTCAAATGGAGGTCGACTACCAAGGAATAGTGGATTCTAGTGGGCAAATGAGAACGCAGTATGCGTACCAAAGAGTGTATGTGTATAGATTGTAGAATGGAGGAATCCCATTGTGGGATTCCAATGCTGACTAAATTAGACTAACTATAAATGGAATCGGGCCTTTGACAGATTATCAACTCCGTGACACGTGGTTGTACCACGTGACCCACCAACCGCATACCTCACGATTCCACCCCGAATTGTTACGTTCTTCAAGGATTTTATAAACAGCATGTGCCTAGCTAGTTCTGAATTCAAGATTGGCTTTAGCCCTTCACAGAAGCAGTACGTTAAAGGCAAGGCTTTAAAAACTTCATCTGATCCATTTCTCGTTCAACCTATAGACTGCGACGGGCAGTTTCCTCTAGCAAAATTCCACTCTAGCAAGGTCGCACTATCAATTCTCTTGGAAAATACCAAAATTCATCCCAAGAATCCTTACAGTGATCGCTGAGCGCTAGGAATTAGAGCCAGAACTGGTGCCTAGGATCTGGCTATTAGCTCCTATGCAGTTCTAGAAATTTATTCAATCTCAAGGAATGAATCTACTTTTATGGTATCACACTGTACTTGATTGGCTAAGGCGGCATACGAGATAGATTGGAGTTTTCCGAATAGGTGTTCAAGTAAGGGTGACGAGAGTTTGAGTGAACTGGATCAAGTCTTTTGAAGATATTAGTAGTTGGTAAGATATGTACGTACCGAATGACTTGATGGAGTAAAAAAAAACGCCGCGGCTCATATGCTATGGTTTAAAGATGGCTAGATTAGCCTAGATATAGAAGTCAATCAGAGTCAGAAACATTTGGATCAGTTCACGTGGATTAACCCACCCATCAGAGCCAAATCTGTTCCCCACAGCAGATCTGTGAGGTTTGTCGACCCGTCAGAAGCAAGCACACTTGTGTCATCCAGATCATCTAGGACAGCCCGAATCCATCCTGCTCGACCAGACGCATGGAGAATCTGGGCAACAGTATGATGTATCTCAATTAGTTCTGGAGACGGCAAGGGAAACCGCGTGCCATGGGCACTAAATGTTACGCTTGTAATGTGACGAATCAACCTTAACTTCTGTGGCTTCCAAAGATGTATTGTGTATTGATTTGGAATTCGCGTGGCCACAAGTGAGAAATTAAAAGCGCCGAATAGATGATGTATAGCGACGTCCATTGTAATTTGGTTTCGGTGATCATTGATATCGTTATGCGTGAATCGTATAGCCAATGAATCTAGAATTGGGAAGCATCGTCTTAGTGTGACCCAGACTGCGGCTCTTTCTCTGGCCTTTGCATCACTCTTGAAGACAGAAAGGGAAAACGGGAGAATATGACAACATTGAGTGTTACATAGATCACCCGGGGTGTTTGGGGGGTTATTCTCTTCGTCTCGCGCAAGGGTGATGGTGCACTTATTATCATCTCGTAAGAGGCACTCTGCCTTTAAAATTTTAAGGCGATCGGCTGTTTCTATCATCTCTGAGTACTGGTTCTCGACTTCTGCTTGCGCTCCGGGCCGAGGGGATAGAGGGGTGGTGATCGGAGTTCGGCGAGCCATCATGGGCATGAGAACCTGATGTACCAATGATATCATATGCTGTTTGAGCTCAAGATCTGTCATTTGGCTAATGTCTCTTTCCATGAGGATTCTCCCTTCACGGGGGAGATGATCGAGAAATGCCTGAAGGACTTGAACAGTATCATCTTTATGATCTGACGCTTGGTACAGCGCAAGGCGGGGGTGCAGAGGGCGGGGAGGAGGGGGGGGATTCATCTCGCCGGAAGACGAAAATCAACTTCTAATATCTAGGTAGCTTTGCTACTTCCTTTGAAATTATAGAGACGCGTTGAAGGTCGGAACCAAGAAGGGAAGTAGTGACTGAATAACCAATTGAATAATCAGAAAGGGTGGATTACGGAGCCAGTAATCCCAAAATGCAAATTGACCGCCTTTGACTAAAGACCCACTTTCATGTATATTAGTCATAGTATCTGGCCAATAGAGGAGCTTTATCTTCTGATAGATTCAGGCTTTAAGGCATCTTTGTGAAGGGCTAAAGCTAATCTTGAATTCAGAACTAGCTAGGCACATGCTGTTTACAAAATCCTTGAAGAACGTAAACAATTCGGGGTGGAATCGTGAGGTATGCGGTTGGTGGGTCACGTGGTACAACCACGTGATAGTTCACCAGTGTCAAATGGAGGTCGACTACCAAGGAATAGTGGATTCTAGTGGGCAAATGAGAACGCAGTATGCGTACCAAAGAGTGTATGTGTATAGATTGTAGAATGGAGGAATCCCATTGTGGGATTCCAATGCTGACTAAAATATACTAACTATAAATGGAATCGGGCCTTTGACAACCAGGATTCAACCTGTTACACAATTGAATTCGAATGGCGTACGATTAAGCTGACTCTCATCCCCAGAAAGATGACTAGAAGTCCGAGAAACTTGAAGGCTGAGACATAGTGATTAGGTATGTGTACTTCTAGCAAGAGATGATGGAAATCATAGAGGACGTACGCTTTTTTTTGCGACCGTATGCCTCCAAACGAGAGATTTCAGACGCGACGAGATCTACGCAGATCTATCACCTATAACCCCCTTTAAAAGTAGAAATTTGTAGTTGATTGGCTATCTATATGCAGGTTACTAGGGTCACCCGCGAGTCACCCGCAAGTCACCCGCAGAACCGATAGACTTAGAAGTGGAAAAGTCTAGTTCCAACTGGCTTAGGACCTTTAAAGACTACTCTAAGTCGTCCATTTAGCACTTTTGCTTGAATATACAGGAGCGCAAATAAAAGACCTAGAGGCCATATAGATCCTGGATCCATAAGAGAAGGAGAATCCATGATTAAAGGTGAAGAGTGTAACGGCGTGGGTTGCAAGAAGGCTGAGGGAGGCAATGGACTCTCTACATAAGCTGGCTGAACCAGCTGTCAGGGAAGCAGGGGTTCCCCGGATAAGCTAGTTAGAGATTTGCCACTTCCTGATGTATTTAACTCTCTGAGGTCTTTGGACTCTTGAAGGAGTTCAAGAGTTGTTCTTGTCCCCAATTTACCCTAGTGGAATTGAGCCCTATGGGATACCACACCCACACCTCCGTCCTCTGGTAGCCTTCTCATAATAGTTCTTCTCTTGTTTACGGTAGCCCAACCGCATTGGACTCAAACCCTTACAGATATGCAAGTATGAGAAAAATGAAGGGAATTGAAAGGAATAGAGGAAAATGAGAGGGAAGTTTGGTAGTGTTTTTCAGTGTTTTTGAGTGTTTTTGGACGTTCTTCATAGACCTTGGGGCTTCTATGAAGTAGGTTCTTAGCAAGATGGTGTAATTCTCGGCGATTGTTCAAGCCTCAAATTATCACGATCTTCTCCTTCGACTGAGATATGGCAAGGACTTAGCGAATCTAGAAAAACAGCTTTTGAAGACTGTTCAACACGCTCAAGCTTCGTAAATGCGTATGTCCTGATCTGTACGTCTACTGATCAGTGTCGGTTGACTAGGTTATTACCGAAGCAGACAGCTATTGATATCGTTTCTGTACATATATAATAGGTGTATGCATATTGGGTAAAAGTGAAGTGTCATTCTAAAATGCTCAGATGAAAGAAGATATAGTAGCTGCCATGCCAAGATCACATGATCTTGGTATGTTGTCAAGTCGACTGGTTCAGACTGGCCAATCATTCAAATGCCACAAATGAATGAAAATGAATGAAACTGAATTACTAAACTAGGGATGAAGTTCGCCTAAAATAGTGATACAAAGTGGGTAATGCAAACCCTACAAACCAGGCCAAATCAGGCTAACTAGGCCCAATCGAGCCTAAACCACCACCCATTTGACATATGTCAGCTGATATTCGTTCCAACAATATCATATGCATGGTTCGAATCCCATAAACCCTGCGAGAGCCAATTAATTCATAGGCGGCGATAAGCAGTATAGACGGTGATTATTCAATCATCTTACCATCATTCGGCTTCTCCGATCCCCCTGGTGGTGTAACAGGCTGGTGCCTGCTTTAGCATTCGTGTCTACGTCGCTATCACATCCACCACATGACGGGCCTAATCAATAGAAACGCTTCAAATACTCCGTACAGGAGCTACGGCCCCGATCTTAAAGTCGCGGATCCTGTTAAGTTTCTCACGTCACGTATTATCTGCCAAAATCCCGTGGTTATAACGTGAATTTACCTAAGAGACTTGTCACCTCATCACACCACCTCACTGAGGAATATCTACGAATAGTGAAGTGTCTACTTCACTTTGATCCCTGCAGCTTATCATTTTCAGATTTCTTATCACATTTTTCTAATAGGCCAGGAGAGATTTTGTGATACAGGCTTGTAGTAAATTTATAGTGAGGATGGCGTTTTTCAGTAACACTTTCAACACCAGCTAGTCAGCGTCGCAGAGTTGATCTTGGCACATCAAAAGACTTAGATGCGGCCGAAACAGAGGGAGATTGGCCATTTTTAATAGCTTGAATAGCTAGTACAGCCCTTCCCTCCTGTTCCACCAAATTTCTTTGCTTTTCAGTTCGAATTGGGGGCATGATTAGGGTTTGAAAATAGTGCGTTGAAAAACTAGTAAATATTTAGGTGGGGTGGCCGCGCAACCCGGAATCACGTTAATTAGTTGATTCCCCCATGAATTCAAGCTTGAGCTTCAACCTCACACGAGAAAACACTGCGAACGTTTATACCTCCTACCCATGCTAACTTAACAATCCGGAGGTTGCTGGCGTCTACAATCTAAATATAATCCTTTTGACGCACGGTCTTTTGGCATCCAAGAAAATGTGCAGTGATTATACATTAGCTAGCCTTAATGGGTGGCTATGTGCAGATGGTAAGGCAGCACATTGCTCACCCCCGGTCGCGCGACGTAAAAGCGGCGCTCACCCATTGCTCACCCAGGCGACACCCACCCGACTATTTTCCGCGTTTAAGCCACACGCTGGTCAGTTAGTAGTATGGTGGGTGACCACATGCGAATCCTGACTGTTGTATGTTTTTGTTTTCGCTTTTCTTTTACTTTGTTTTCTAGCATTTGAGAACAGCTCACAAAATGTCGAGCTCTAACCCAAATCCTTCGATTCGACGAATCCCAAGCACTAGCAGCACCGAAGAGATCTTGGAGATTGTCTACGCCGATGGAGTTATTATTGAAGGCGTTATGAGTTCAAAGGAAGTCCAAGGCTTGAATAGAGAGATCGAGCCCCCGATGTCTAAGACTAGCTTCGGCTCAACACATAGCGATGACTAAATATCGACCTTTCACGGATCAAAGACCAAGCGCCTCACCAATCCTGTCATATTTAGCAGGATATTCTGCGACACGCTGCTAGAGAGAAACCAGGTGTGTGCCATTGCCGAGAAAGACTTTAAGGATGAGGCTAAGAACTACTGGATGAATACCGCGCAGGTGCTTGAGATCAGTCCCATCAACCGCCTCCAGCCTCTCCATCGTGACCTGAAAAATAATGACCCCTTCATCGCCGTCCATCTTTGAAGGTCCGGAGACCAAGATCAACTTTTTGATTTCTCTGTCCGATTTCATGGAGGCAAGTAGCGCTACGAGAGTCATTTCTGGTAGTCATCTCTGGCCTGACTTTGAAGACTGTGGCACATAGGAGATGACGGTTTCCGCTGAAATGACAGCCAGTGATGTGCTCTTGATCCCCGGAAAGACGATTCATGGTGGTGCCAATGGATTTTAACATCGGGATCTTACTTTCAATTTTTTCACTGAGCTATTTGACCCTTGAAGAGGCTTATCCGTTCTTGTTCTCTATGGACACTGCGAAGAAGGTTGAGTCTGCGGGCGCAGAAAGTGATCGCTTTCCGGATTTAGTATTCTAAGGAAAGTGCTGTATTATGGCAGTGTGAATACAACGAGGATGCGAATTATATTGGGCTGTAAAATTAGGTAGTTGAAGTAGCTTTATCTCACAATCATTTTACCATGTCCCAACTGCGCGTGCTCCCGACGAACAGGGTATTCAATTATCATCTTTAATAATATACCGATTAATTGAACATCCTGACGTCTGGAGTGTAGTATTGTTGTTGTAGTGGTAGTCCAGTGGGGAAAAAAAGAAAAAGATAACTCCGATACGGGGAATCGAACCCCGGGCTGTCCTGTGAAAGAGGACGATGTTAACCACTACACCATGTCGGATGTTGATAGAGTCTAATGCAGACAGACTTGAATATAAATCAACCTTGGAAATGCTGAAAGTAAATTCAAACTGTAAACAAATCGAATCCCATTTCCGCCAACACTTTCTCGCCAATCACAAAGTAAATACTCTTTCTGTCGGCTTTTGCGCTATCCCTCCTGCGCCAAGCAGCGAAGATTCAAGAAGATTTAGAGAGTATATTTGTTTTCAGAATCGACAAGGTTCTAGGAACCATTGTATATCTTGACATGTTGAGGCAATCAGATAGGCCAATGAACTTGGAATCAATTAGAAAGCGCTAGGTGCTAGAGAACAACAGCGAGCCACCCAGACTGAGTTAGGTCCAGCAATTTACAGCATATCATGGGTTGGCAAAATTGTCTACAATTCAGATAAAGTAGAGATATAGTGGAAGCCACAGCCACAACGACAGAATCAAGATGATTAATCAAGATCTGAGTAACTAAGTCGATATCGGGAATCTCGATTAGATTAGCTTATCAATAGTTATTAGTGGGGACGCATTCAACGAACTTCATCACTAGAATTAGTAGTGATAATTGATACAATAATTCTAAAGTACAATAATCAGTACAATAAGTGTGTCTTCATAAAGGTATATATGAAGACCAATCTCTCATCCTAAAGCCCCTCCAAATCAATTGTACTATTCACCATCTCTCAACCTTAAGAAAACTTCAATCACAATGTCTTCAACCAACAAGTCCCTCCTCAGCCACAACGCCATTGTCACAGGGGAACCCCGTGATATCAGCGACGGTATTGTCCTTGAGCTCGCCAAGCGCGACACAAACGTCCTGATCACATATAACAGCGCCGGCACCCAGGAATCCGAAGTTATCAGTAACCTGAAGGCCGTGGGCATCTAAGCAATATCATCCAAGCCGGCGGCAGCGATTGCACGTCACCGGGCCGTATCGTCGCCAAAGCCGTAGAGCTTTAGGGCCACGTCGACATAATTATTAACAACGCCGGCGCCGGTCATGACTGCCTGCTCCAAGATGATCCACGAAATATGGGACTAGAAGAAACAATAGAACGTCATCATGCTGCTGCACCTAGTTGTTGTGGTAGGATGTAAAGCTTCGTGTATTTTCACTTTCGTATCGGACAGAAGTTAAAAAGGAGAACTTGAGCCCGATTCGAATAAGTTAGAAGAGGAATGGATGAAATAGCTATGGTGAGGTCACCAGGTTGAAGCCTATGGTTGAAGAATATTAAAATGAAACATGGCGCCAGAATAGAGACAAAGAGGCTTGCTCCCGGATAAGAAGGGAAAAGAGAGCGTCCGGTGCAAAGAGTGCGAGGAATAAAATAGATGAGTTGTTAAACACGACTTGGTAATGAAAGCTAAATGGCCATTTCTGCCTTCAACTTAGCCAATTCCGCCTCCTCGTCGTCCTCCTCGACTGTAACGTTGTGTACTATGCAATATTAGCAAAGGATTTGGTTTACAAGGGGTCGCGGGTATCCACTTACGCTCCGTATTTCCAGCAGCCGGTAGCCCCTCCAATCGAGAGTGAACTGGAACAGGTCCAGTCTTGGTCATGTGCTCGTCCAAAGCTTTTTGCTCCAGCGCTTCCAGCTCGTCGTCCAAATCGCCCTCGTCCAGCTGCTCTCCAATCGGAACGCTCGTGATAGCGTCGCCGATTTCCTGGCTGAGCTGGTGTTGTTCCCTGAGATCTTCCCTGTAGAGCGAAAACGTTATTAGTATCAGTCAAAAAATATAAACGGGGGAAACAGTGCTACGACATACATAGTCTTATCGACCTGGTCAAGGCTCATTCCACCGTGGATTTGTGCCATCGCAGAACCAGCCTGTTTCATGGCCTGCAAAGTCTCATAGTTGATATTGGCCGCTTCGATCGAGTATACTTGTTGTTCGAGTTGCACAATCTGAGCCGATGTCTGCTCCAAGTGCTTTTCAAGCCCCTTCTTCCGTCGCAGTGCAGCTTTGGCAGCTGTATTATTTCGAAGTTAGAAAACTGATCGAAGATACTAGTACCTGTGGCGTTGGGAAACCTACCGTTCTTATTTGTGTTGACATGCTTTCGTGCTGCGGTATCTTGTTCCTCAATCTGCGATTCAAGATGTTTCTCCCGCTTCTGGAGCATCTCCAGTTGACTCCGGAGGCCTAAGATAGCATTCTTAGGCGCCTCTTTCCGCTTCTGAGTGGCGCCGCCTCCAAACAAAGACCACATCGTGAAGAGCGTTGAGGAGTGTGAAGTAAAAGAGAAGAAATTCTAGGAGAATGGCTGATTCGAAAATATTTCAGGCAGCACTCAGAATCCAAGGGATTATAGCGCACCCGTGGGTTGGCTGATCAGACGGAGATCGGGCAGGCTGCAGCAAACTTTCCGAATTGAAAGATAAGAGCGGGCCGGATGGATGGCGGGGGTGAAGAGTGATGTCGAAAAAAATACCGGATTCGAGTATCGAGCTCTATTCGTAGAATTTGGGATCACACGGTTGGAGTGTTGCGCTGTGGTCTCGTGGATGATCTGGAGGGGATCGTCTTTCCCCTCGCCGCAGCTATGACATACGCTAGTTGATATGATCACGTGACCGGATGATGAGATTGTTCGCTGCGAGACAACGACTCGTCTTTACAAAGACCGGGATGAATGGGCCGCGTCCCTCTACCTTTGCGTTTCTCTGTGATCTACCATACCTACCGGCAGATTCTAAAATTCGGGTTCTCGGGTGGTGCGTACTGAAAAACTACTGATTGATTTACACCTGACTTATATGATGTAGTGTCCGGCAATATAATGTCATAGAGGGCCAGCTCATTTTAGAGCACAACTATCCACGCAAAAGGCCAGAGCCAAGCATCGTTGCTGTAGAAATTCATGCTGTTATCGAGGATATCACCGCGGAAGAGCTGAGTGTGGGCTCGTGGCTGAATGTTTTGGGTTACGTCCGCGACTCTATAACGTCCACAGCGTCCTTTTCTTCCAGTCAACAGACTGTCAATTCTATATCTGCCAGAGTGCCTCCTCGTCCGGTATACCTTGAAGCTGTCATGGTTTTTCCTGCTGGTGCCATTCAGCTAGGAGAGTATGAGCGCATTATTCGAAATGCTCAAGACATCGAGCGCCGACTTAGATGATCGAATGAACAAACTGCCAGCTTTATTTGGAATATAGAAAGAACGAATCGTTTTATTGAGCTTTTAGTGTCATAAATATTGAATAATCTAAAGATGCATAGCCCATACCAAGGCGTCATTGACGCAGTAGCCATTTTTCAAAGTACCCCAATGCAAACCTTAGGATGGAAGAGGAAATTCCAGTGCTAGGACTATCTATACATGCTTCTCCACGTCATGGGAATCTGGCTGCATTCGAGCCAGTCTACGCGCACGCTTGGCATCGTCGTTCTTCTTGTCGTCCTGCATTCGAGTGATCAAATTACTCTTTTGACGAATGATATGGCCGTATTTATAGAAAACAAATGGAATCGGAGCAATTAGAACCTCCAACAGACCCAGGAGAGTGCCAGCCCAGTTAGCACCTAGAGTGGTATACATGGACGAACCGGCCAGCGGCAGCACACCACCCAGAATGCAGCGGATCACAGAGTTGCCAGCTAGTGCAGAGGCAGCATACATGCCATAGCTGTTGGTAAGGTAATTTGAGGCGTAGATGAACACACCCGTGTTACCAGCACCAAATGGAATTCCTGCCAGAAGAGGGACGATCCAGTGGATCGTTTTCGGGGCGCAGGTCCAGGCGAACCAGAGCTCACCGACTGGAATTAGAATGGCGCAGATACACATGAACGCTACCATGGCTTCTGGGTAGACTCTGCCTGTTTCTGGGTCTTTTGGATGACTGTTGATCAGGCGGCGGACAAGTGGTTCGCAGGTGATGGTGATCATGGATCCGATTCCGATACCGAGGAATGCTAGACCGGATATACCAAGAGACCAGCCTCGGATCTCGCCGAAAACTATTGGGTAGGCCACAAAACATAGGTACAGGATACCGTAAACGATGGCAACGTAAATATCCCAGAAAATGCTAAAAGACGTTAGAATAAAGGCGTTAGAATAAAGGCGTTGACTATTTTATCTCTTCATTTCTTACCAGATCGGTTCGGTTACTAGCATGACAAATGGCCGGCTCAGATTCAGTTTGAGAATTGTGGTGATATCATCCTTTTGGTCGTAACGAGACCACCAGCGAGAATCACCAGTCTCCTTGCGAATACGCGCAGCCTTCTTTTGAAGAATTGTCGGAGTGTAAGTTTCCTTCAGAATGACAGAAAAGCCAAAGGCAACACCTGATAGTATGAGCACGATCCAGTCCATCCAGCGCCAGCCGAGATACTGCGTGACAAAGCCTCCAATGATCGGACCAATCACTATTTTCACGTATTAGCTATGCACCATCTTTCTCAAATGAAACTACCAACCTGGTCCGTTCAGCGGTCCAATACTCCAGACCGAAATAGCCATGCCACGTTGCTCGGGCTCGAACATATCGGATATCATGCCAGGAGCTGTGGAAATCATGACACTACCAAAGAAAGCAGCAATGAATCGAACAACAATCAAAGTCACGACTGATTTGGCCAGAGCACAAGGAATGACTAAAACCGTGAAGACGAACAGACAACCAACGCAAACGGGTTTCCGGCCGTAGACTTCACTGAGCGGTGCCATGAACATAGACCCAATGGCCAGACCGAATAGATAAAAGGTCAAACCCAGATCAATAATCAGTTTCGACTGTCCGAACTGAGCGGCCATTTGAGTCGCACCAGATGTATATGCTGTTGAATACAAAACCCTTGAAAGGTATTAGCTTGCGTTCGATAGTCCGAGTACCGGAGGCCTACACAATGAGAGTATTCCAAGACAAAAAAAGCAAGGCCATAGATGTGTAGCCCCGCTTCCAATTCTTGGGATTCTGAGGATCATCCGGCCCATCGAAATCAACCTCGAAATTCGGGTCGGCGGTCATATTCGTTGGGATGGTAGTGACTCGCTCAGCTAGCGACATATGCCCCGATGCACGCGTCGACTGGGCTGTCAGTGACGGTCGACCCAACGCATCATGATCGGTCTGTGTATCTACCGAAGACAAACTCTCTCCGATGGAATATGTGTCTTGAGCGTCATTCTGACTATCAGAAGTCTTGAAGTGTTCATGTTGAACAGCGGGTTGGGCATGCGACGACATTACGACATGAAGTTATTACCCTATCTTCTCTTTTAACAACAGAGAATTGAATCTACAAGAGAGATTGCATCGAGGACGAAAAGACGAAGAGGCAAGATAGTTTTTCAAGTTTCGTGACTCAAAAAAAGAATGAAGATAAGGATTGAGAAAACAAAGTGGGTTCAGAGATTACCGCTGATAGCCTTGAACAGCCTGACTTTCTGACCCGACTAAATATTTCTGACTAGCGGTAACTAAATCATCGGGGAGGAACCACCAGTGGGAGCCTGTCGCACTCTACCGACCAAATGGCGAACACAGTTGAATAGCTCTTTGTAATTCGATGAACTAGGATATAAACTCCACATTGAAACCCATCTCGTTGAGAACGGAAGATTCCCGTGAGGGTTTTCCATAGTTATGGGGTCAGTATCAGACCCCATCAGGACCGTACCGCAGTGGGACGTGCCGGTTTGCCGAACTAATCCCCACCCGATGTCGGTTTACTATGAGAGCTTAAATACTTGATCTCAGCACAATTTCAAATTCATGATCCTTTAGGATCTGACACATGAGTCTGGCTTACTAGTAACTTATATCAATATCTGGTTCATGAAGCAGCCCCGAAGTAGGATCGAAGGAGGCCGATATCTCCAATGAATGGCGGCTTATGACCCCGAGAAAGCGGAAGTTACAGCGAAAGTTACAGCGGAACTATTCCGATCGGCACGGATATTAGGCTAATGATATTGAACCAATAATCTTACAAAATACGAGTAGTTTATCATCATGGATCAGAACCCTGTACTTCGTATCCAACTTCAACTCAACCTCTCCCATTAGCATTTATCAATAGTTGTCAACTTCAAACTCACCAATCTCATTAGTTTTTCGAAAGATGTGCCAAAACCAGCGGTCAAGGTGGCTCTCGTTTACCTAACCGAGCCGTCCTGAGCTGTAAGCGAGGCTGCAGAAAAGTCAAATATATCCGTTTCAATCGTATAGAGAGATATGGATCAAATTCAATATGGGTTCTCGACTGAACAATTGAACAATTTAGAATTTTCTATCTCCATACTTCTCTCCCTATCGAACTTTATAAAGCATTGGAACTCACTGGAGTGCCGAAGTTTACGGGTAAAACCAGGAACAGGATCCGCAGACCCGCAGTGGCTTCATATTGACAACACTAAGGAGGTTGGGCTGACTTCAGAGCTCCTTCTTAACCGTAGATTTCCTTTCTCGTGTACATCTGAGAAGGAAATGATTCATCCCTCCAACACTGCTCTACAATGCTGCTCATTCTAGCCCTGGTCTTGGGAACTGGGTTCCTATACCTATACCATGTGAATTCGGCAATGAGCACAACCCCAGAAGAGGCACTGAAGTTATCTCCAAAAAGATGGACAATAGAGGAGATAAAAGAGGTATACAAACGGTGTCAGGAGAGCCCGGTCGATATCACAAAGAGCCTCCCGCCAAAACAGTCGCGGCGATACGTGGTGGTTGGTGGATCCGGTATGTTGTCTGAGTTATATGCGTAGTAGACATCCAAGGTGCGCAAGTTCTGAGGCTAAGCTAAGGTAATACAGGTCTGGTTGGTGCATGGATTGTCTCACATCTACTAGCTAGAGGCGAAGACCCCCAATGCATTCGTATCTTGGATCTCCTGTCGCCGACGCGGGAAATTCTCGGCCAGGGCGTAACATACGTCAAAACTAACATCGCCAACGAGCTAGATGTAACCGCAGCCTTTGAAAGGCAATGGTCGCCATCTAGATCCCAGCTTCCTTTGAGCGTGTTTCACACGGCAGCTATCATTCGTCCGCAGGATCGATTGGAGATATTCTTGCCACTGTCCACGAAGGTGAACGTCGAAGGTACACGCCATATCCTCAATGCTGCAAAGAAGGCCGGTGCCACCTGTCTCATCTCTACGTCTTCTGGCTCAGTTACTCTCCAACGGCCTAGATTCTGGATCGCTCCGTGGTCTAAGATTCCTGAGCATGTTGTGCAGGTTATGAAAGATGATGCGAAGATTCCACAGAGCCACGAACAGTTCTTCGGTAATTATGCTGTTACTAAGATTGAAGCTGAGCGTATTGTTCGCTCGGCTGATGATCCGGAGTCTGGTTTTCGTACTGGTTGTATTCGTCCTACGAATGGCATCTATGGACTTGGGACGGAGCACTCTAATACCATCACGGGCATTTATCTGCGCCGCGGAGGCTGTCCAACGTGAGTTATTCGAACATATCGAAAGAAACACACTCACCTTTGAAATAGTTGGATTCGCAATATCTTGCACAGTTTTGTCCACGCAGAAAACGTCTCTATCGCACATTTGCTCTACGAACAACGACTCCTAGAGCAATCAGAACCCGGATCAAAACTCCCCAACACCGGAGGCCAGGCTTTTGTAGTTTCAGATCCAAATCCACCAATATCTTTCGACGACCTCTACAAACTGATAACAACGCTGTCCAAAACACCCGTGTCATTCCTGAACGTACCGCCAGCTCCCTTTCTGCTCATGGCTTATCTGGTCGAGCTCTACGCCTATGTGAAATTCAAGTATCTGTCATTCTTGCCCGCGTTGGCTGATGACTTGGATCAGATTCAGCCGGCGCTCTTCTCTATTTCGGATGTTTATTGCATTGCTGATCACTCACGTGCGACGTTGGCGCCGGAGGATGGGGGTTGGGGTATGACCCGCCGATCACTACTATTGAGGGTATGTGTCAGCAACTTGTTGATTGGAATCAGAAGGCTGAGGCGAAGGTCTGAACTGAATTGAGTTTAAGGCTGTGAGATATAATGTGGAATATGATGTAGTTGTTAATTAATATTGTGTTTAATTTTCATATCATATGTGGTTAAAATGCCCACTCGATGATTAAACCACTTAAGTCTTCCTGGCCGCGCTGATGAGAGGTTTAACCGGCATAAGTCAAAACCGATACAAGTGTATGTGATTTGACTGCGAGATCATTGTCGGGGCATTTATGACGTTTGAAAGCATGACCCGCATGCCCCAACTGAAAGCCCTGACATTCAAGGCCGGTAAAGCTGTGTTTTTCACCCCTTCCCCGTGATAGAAAGAGATACTCCAAACTACACAGGGACTCGAGAACCACATCCAGTCAGCGCCGGCATTGCATAGGGGAGAAAAAGAAGGTTAGAAGCCCAGATTTCTGTGGCTTGGAATGGTTCATCGGCTCGGATCGTACAGCTCGCACAAAACAGCAAAAGATAAAATCAAAGCTGCTCCTGTTGCTCCTGTATTTGGCGCCTCTGACCCATAATCTGCCACTTAATTCCGTCCGTCGCTAGCTCCACACTCCGAAGAGAGCTGAGTCCGGTCTGCCAAGTTTGATTCAGAGCGATCAACTCTGCCTGAGCATTCTCTTGCGCAATCTTTCGCTCCTTGTTCACTTCCTCCGTAGCCTGCTTTGTTTCGGCAAGTTCCTTCTCAATGTCGCGAAGAATGTCTTCTAGTTGAGAGTTGCCGATCAGCCAAGCATTCTTGCCGTTCTCTTCGAGAAGAGCAAGGTTCTCATGTCGCTTTGAGAGGTGCAGGCTTGATGCATAGGCTTTTTGAAGTGCTTGGCGCCATTCGGCCAGATTTGGTTCGTCTGAGCTAGTCGGGGCTTCTGGTGCTTCGTAACGACTAAGGTCTATTCCGCCGGTGATCGGTGTCCCGGCCGTTTTGCGTTCAATTTCTTGTTGGATGAGGGGAGAAAATTTGAATTCAGGAGCTGCTGGGATGGAGGGGTGGAGTGTTTGACGGTGTTCTGGAGATAGCTCTGCTTTTATGAGCTGCTCTGCGCTTTGTCGCTCGGAGGTTGAAAGCTCCGCGTCGACATCTGTGGAAATTAGTCACCGAGATAAAAATGGGTTGGTAGGAGGTGTCCTACATGGTAGAGAGTCGTGGGACTCAGTGATAAGAGGCATTGTGATTGTGTATGAGGACTTTCAAGTGATATCAAGAGTTGGTTTTAGAAAGATGATGGGCGCGGGCGGTGAGTTTGAACGAATCACGTGAACTTATATTTGCGCGCCAACATTCTATTTACTTTCCTTTCATAAATTATTACTCTGTACGAAGTAATATTCAAGTTAATTTATCTGTTATGTTTGCATTAATCATTTTGTTCTATCTTCTTATCGCATCATTATGTAATGCACTCTTGACATACCAAATAACAATCGAAAATTCAAAAGGTCCAAGGGGAAGCTTTTGTTTTCCGTGAAGAAATAAATATTCACCATTGGAGTGACTTTGCAAATACTCTCTGACCTGCATCTCGAAACTCACACCTCATGCATTAGCTTTCAGTTCTCTCAAACTGCATCAAACCTCGCCCTTCTCGGGGATATATACCATGTGGCTAATAAAGACATTTTCTCATTCATGAAAAGACCAACTTGATCGCTACTCAGAAGTCTTTTTCCTCCTGGAGAATCATGATCCATATCACCTTTCATTCAAAGTCACAAAGACTAGGATGCCAAACTTCCAAGCATCAGTGAACAAAATAAAGTCTTCAGGCAGATTCGTTTTCCTCGACCAGACCAGATACAATCTGACAAAAGACCTAACAATTTTGGGATCTACACTATTTTCTCGCATCATTCCCATTCCGGCAGGAGTTCGCAGTCGAAAGTCGCACGGTTGACTTCAAAGATATTCTAAGGTGGACAGTTGATGAGTCATGACCATAATGCTGCCCATAAGCCAGGTCTTCCGTGGCCTAACGCTCAATATTCAACGATAGCTAGAGACGAGCCCCATCGACGGATTGCAATTTTCACCCATTATAGCCCGAGAGCTAGTTTGTGGTTTATGGACTCGAAACATAGTGGTAGTAGTGATGTTTCAACTTTATTCGCTACATATCTCAGTCGTGAGCAATATTGGACGAATCCTGCGGTTGTAGCATGGACATTTGGTCAAACGCATTCTAATTGTGCTTTTACTGATACGGGACAGGAAAGCTATTATATCCAGCCAAAAGGGCTATCGCTTGATTTCTGCAAAACACTTCAATCCAGAAAGGACTTTTAGGATTGGAGAATGTGGACAACATATTTGAAATCGAATAAAAGAATGAATGAAAGCGAATGAGAGGCTGAAACTCCTCTTATCCCAAGGCTCGCTTCTTTTTTCCAATCATGACCCTCTCTTGCCCAATTCTCCTTTCTACAATCTGATATCGATAAGGCTGATACCTGCATCCAGTGTCACAGTTGTGACGTGATGGGCGAAAAGGATCCCCTGGCACACCTGGTCCTGCTGGGCCTATAGGCTCGACTGGGTGATGGAAGGAACGGATCCACGAGATCGCATAGGCAGGATAGTCATATCGTCTAGATTTAAATCGCGATCAGCCTGGTTGTACTGAGAGAGCATCATCGCATACGTGTCTACACTGTTACAATCGCCAATTTCAGGCGCCTAGAACGGCATCCAGGGATCAGCAAATTATTATGATTAGAAAATGAAGCCTGGAGAATTCTGCAGATACATACTTACCTCCAGGACTAATTATTCAATTTTGAATCAATTGTTTTCGATATTCATAAACGAACGATGTGAGCCTGTAGATAATATACAGAGAAATGATTTACCAGGTATACAGAATTTTTGTTTTTTTAGACATACGTGTTTATACTACGTGTAGTTGTAATATTGGTTTAATGTATCGACATCGGCTGTGCATACCTAGGCACTATAAGTTAAAGATCCCAGCTGAACTCTAGTTTGCTTTAATCCTTGCCTTGAGTTAGAGTCTGATAATTTTGGTATCTATGTTTATTGAATAGTCACCTGCACCCATATTAACTTATGGAATATGCATAAAAATATCAGATCGATGGAGAGATATCCTCATGCGAACTAATGAGCTTCAGATAAGGGCTAATGAACCAGTGAATTTGGCTCAGTAGTAGTAAGGCTGACTTTGATACACTCCTATACTTATTTAAAGCCTATTTTAAGCGAATGACTAGCTCGCAGGGCATATATACGTGGCGTAACTAACACGTCAGCTTTTGATAAACTGTTGCAATAACGACTCTCTCTTATTGGATTAAAAGGCTGAGGCTTCATCCGAGAAGGCCGGTACCCTTGCCAAAAGTCGTATCACCCCTCTTCTAGAGGTAAATACTACATTATTTGCTGCCGATCTCTTCGGCCTCTTACACGAGATTAAAAGCTCAAACTTCACTTTCCTCTCTTGATGTATTGTTCTTTTCATGTTTCTATAAGGCATTGATTCTTCTCGGAAATCATGTCGCGAAAGACAAGCCAGCGAAGAAAGCCTGCAAAAAGATGGTCCTTATACCCGACACTTCATCAAGATGTGATAAGTTCACTTCAAAATGACCAAGTTTCCTTAAAGTTTCATATGGCAGATGACCCAGAGAGCTGTATAAATCAGTACGACACCCATATTATGGGTCAATTTGAATGCCACAATCGAGCATGTGCGTCTAGTGGGTGGTCGAGCAAGAAGATTGCGATCACCATACGATTGTACCCTGAATCTGAGTATAATGCAAGGGTATACTATCAACGATGCAAGGGCTGTAATCGCTTAAGTCGGCCTCTTCTCGATGAGTCTTATACTGATCGGGTCACCTACCGTATCAGAAAATGGGTTGGGATTGAGGTAGAGCCACCTGTCTACCACAAAAAGTATGGTCCGCCTCATAACAGCACACTATGTGAGGGCTGCAAAGAGGGTCATTGTAAATCATTGGAGACAGATTAATGTTGATTTGTCATACCTGGTTCAAGTGTTCTACTCAGTGTTCTGTGTTTCTGATATCTTGAGATACATTTTCTCATGGGTTTTAGGTCAATCCTCATTGTCAGCGGTTAAAGTACATACGCTTACCTATCAGGCCAGATTTCCTTTGAAGGCCGACAGGAGTTCTTACATACTAAGAAAAATGACTTTCTCACTTTTTTCTATCTATGCATACCCTCTGGATTCGTATATCTAGGGTTGATCTCGAAACATGACTCTAAATGTAGGGGTGTTGAAAGTAGTAAATTATGACAAAAGACTTCAGCTACATAGTAGCTACCAATCATATGATAGTATTTGTAAGTTATCACTGGCCATCCACGTGCACTTTTTTATGGAGCTATAATCGAGAAAGCAGCTGGGCGTTGTAGAAATTACTAAACCGAGAGACAAAAGATGAGCTGAAGGGATGAAATATGTCTATGGATGAATATCGCTAGAGAAGAAATATCCGCACAGCGTGACTCACGCCAGCTACTTTCATTATATCGTGTACACTTACAGAGTAGGGTACCTAAGGCATCTAAGCGGGGTTGCCCGCAATCGACTTAGTTGATCTAAGTTCATTCATATTATAGACTCTAATAGAGTCTCTAAACCGGCATATCTGCGAACCGACACTTGATTTTGGTTTTGATTCTACACAATCATCTACCGCCTCTCTCAAACTGGAGCTAATACTCAAAGTGGCGGATATTTCTACGCAAAAATCTCTCTCACACCATTTGTTTCGCAGCAAGTGACGAAACAAGGGACTAAGAGGTGGTTCATTGTTCAATTCCAAGAGCAAATAAGAAGGGTCATTTTCACTTACCACCCGTCTCCGTCGCATTCGTATCAAGTCATTCCTCTAGATGGAAACCCCTGAGCTCGTATATTCAGTCGGCCAAACTTGGAAGAGTTTCTGTTGCCGCTGCCCTAGTTATGGGCCAAGACGCCGAGTGTTTCATCCAAACATTCCAATGTTCGAATATATGGACTAGGGCTTGCCAGCAACCTTGAAATTGTTGTTGCGACTTCTATATAGAGCAAGCATATTCCTTTATCGATCATCTTGCTTTTCATGTTTCCAGCCTGTAAGGATCTCACTCCATAGGTTCGACATTGATAAAAGTGAAATATGATGCATTGATTCTGGGTCACGTTCATGGCATATTGATAATCAATTTGTTCATTCGGCTGTAAAAGTCATCATCACACAAAGAGAAAAATGGAAACAGAAAAAGATAGATCTGTAAGTCGTTCGTTCATTCAACATGATCATCTTTCTAGGCCACAACTCCCGGATTTCGTCAGGCTGGTCCTTGGGCCATATTCATAATTTTCCCCGGGCAGGTTTGTTACCTGGGTGCTAAATCAAATTCCAGTCTAGCAGTCAAGTTCGCCGTGATTGTTACTGATGCATTTGTCTTTTTCAGTCAACCATTAGTTCCTGTGAACTATCTCACTGCGTATTCTAAGTCAATAACTTACTCAAATCAATGGATGTACGAACGTAAGGATGTCCATCAGCAGTGTTGCGACATTGGCATTCAAACTCCGTGTGACTTCGAAGACTGCAATTGATGCATGAGGTGGCATAACCGCCGCTGGACATGCGAAGTTAGTAAAAAGGATCGATCTGTCAAGGGGACAAGTTTTAGATACTTTTTTCCGCACTTTCCGGGCAATTTAGTTAGTATATTTCAAATCTGTAGCTAAAATGATAATATTGTACTCTGCATCATACCTTGAGCTTTCCCTTCGAGTTCCTGAGGCAGCGGTTCAGGTCAAGAGTAGTCTGTTGAAGAGTGCCGTCTTCAGTCACTTGGCAATCTGCGTGGAGAATTGTTCCAAATCCATTGATGTTTTCACAAGAACTTGCAAATTTGGAAGAAGCAGACGTAACAATTGCAAAGATAAAGATAAGTCCCAAAGTCTTCAAGGAAAAATACATCTTTGTACTTATGAATGTTATTGGAGTGACTATTGGACAAGGCTGTCATGAGATTGATATTGGTGGAACTAGCTATATAGGTACGCATAGGGATATGCTGCTATTTAACTCTGGGAGTATTGTTATTCAGCATCTGAGAATACGTAGCTCTGGAACTCTTCGAGATGACTTTCGCATTCCATACCCACATAGAAACTTGCATTGAGCCTTGCTTCGACGGGCTCAAAGCTCATCATGGGACTTATCTCTGAGACCCTATGATGATTTTTGAGGTCATAATGCATTTGATTTAATGCGGAATGGCGTTCTTCTCTTCAATAGGTAGAAAGTAGTAGGTATTGATGAACAGTGCCGTGCGCTTAACATATGTTGGGCATTAAATCCATGCGGAGATTGATCATGAGCTATCTAGGTAGTTTACAAGGACACTGAGACGCTCAATAGTGGACTCCTACATCTACGTTTCGTTGTAAACAATGATATAGAGATTTGTTGCGAATTTTTGTGTTGACCACGCGCTGGAATTGACGAAACGGCTATAGAATCAAACCGTAGACCCTCGTGGACTGACTCAACAAGATTTCTTTGACAGTTCCTTGCATCTGATAAGCATTGATAAAGTGATTATCACAGCAAGGGGTAATGATTTCTTTCGCACGAGGCACAGCCTTATGGGCCATATAGATAACGATTATCTTGAGCTTCGAAACCTAGTCAATAGCAGGTCTCTGAGAATGCAGTGAGTGTACTTATTATGGGGTAGTACATGGCTTTGAATCCAATGTTACATCCTATCCGGAAATCCCATGGCTTCAAGCTTGAATTTTATCCTCGCCGTCTATCATTCCTAGCCTGGAAAGCTTTTAAAAATACAGGTTCCTGTATGCCCCTTGGTTAATATTCATCGCCAGAGCTAGAACCTTGGAACTCAGTGCGCTAAAATTTCATCAAGCCTCACGGCTACTTAGCTATATTGATGCTTAAGTATCCTGTAGCCCTGGTGTACTGCGCTTTATTGATGCTAAATCACACTCATAGAAACCACTCCGCTGATAAGTGAAAGGAGCCCGTAAAGTAAATTGAAAGTATATAGCATAATATAGGTAATACGAAGGTAGTACGAAGGTAGTACCGAGGTTTCAAGAGATATCAATCTTGAAGTGTTTGAACGTGGCTTGGAAGATTAGTTAACTACCTAGTATAGCGGGGAGACAGACTGGCGGTGTGACTTGACTAAGCAGGGTGTGTATATAACTAGTTAACAAGTGATATATTTCAGATGTTAGACCATCAGACTTCTTCTCTACTTCGGAGTAGTAAATAGGCGCATGTGGAGACTTGGGAAGGAGAAAGCTTAGTAAACCTGAATCACATTCTAAACTGAGAGTATTCACCACCACTTACTATTTATAAAAATCAGCCCCACTCAATATAAACTGATGGCTAAGGCTGAACTGGATAATCATTTTCCGGGGCACATTGTAAAAGCTTATGTGGACGGGATCTAGCACAGGCCTTTCCCCTACGCCTAAGTGGAGAAACGAGTTCCTCAGTAGTGGATATAAGCTTTTCACAAAGTTTGTTAGAATTAGATTTCAGTTTGAAGGATGAAGCTAAATCCGATAAAACGTCTCTGCCATGAGTTCGGAGTATCTTCGGCATTTTTCCAAGACCCAGAGGCGGTTTCAGATCTTGCAGTTTCAGAGACGCTTCAACACTGAGACCTTGAAAAGTTAAGTTACTAGATATCAGAAAAATATCTACTCTGACTGAATCCGACCTAGGTACCGAATCCACCTCCAAGGCTGGAGCGGGCTCGTAAGGACCTCGGGATCAATCTTCATATTTGAGAAAGTAACCCGTGGACCTGAAGTAACCTTCTAGGTACTTACTTACCTAGGTAGGTAACGCGCTGATGAAGCAAACCTCGGGATCTCTGCCTCATCAGGGTCACATGGGTGAAGATCCCGAGTTCAAGCCCCACAGGGCTTCCAAGGTTGGAAGTTCCAAAAAGTACTTGGTAAAGGTTTAGACATCGATAATTTGAGCACAACATCTGGAACCTTCAATACTACATTGGAGACATCTAGCAAGTGAAAAAGAACTTTTCATGTGCACCTGGTGGGAAAGTTTTTAACCCCACGAAAGGGCATATCAAGGCAAGAAGAGGTAGAACACGAGGGCATACCTAGGTGAAACTTAGTGAGACTGCGGATAGAAATCTTGGAATTACTGTGAATCAGAGGGCGTTGCCTTGGAAAGACAGAGTACATACAGGGAAGCTTTCGAGAAAATATGGCACTTGAATTCAAATACATAGAGCGACCTCCTATGAACAAATCCTTTATAATTGGAACTAGAAGATATCAGAATACCTGGCGACCTTGGAAACATGTTGGTAAATAATGAATTGAAGTGAAGTGAAGTAAACAATGCAAGTGAATGCCTCGGTAATCTCAAATGATCCAATTTCTTCGATTAAGTGTCCATATATAAGTATTAACTATTAAACAGAATTTTCTATCCTGAGATAGTTCCAAAGATCCTGACAAGCATCTCGTAATGACTTCTCAGTCTTCCATCCCAATTCAAACCCAGCCCGATCGGCAATGGCAACGCAAGATCCCACATCCCCAGGTCGTCGACCAACAAGCTTACAAGGAATCGGCCGCTGGCTGACAGACTCCATGTTCTGCACGACCTCAGTGACAGAATGACCAGATCCAGTGCCCAGATTGAAAGTGCGGAAAGAACCCATGATGCGCCCATTCTGAGCAGCGGACAAAGTGGCGATATGGCCCCGCGCAAGATCGGTAACATGGATGAAGTCGCGGACTGCGGTACCATCAGGAGTATTCCAATCATTCCCGTAGATGTAGAGTTCCGGGGTCTGACCAGTCAAGACTCTCACAACAGCAGGGAAGAGATTGGATGCGCTCTCTCTCGGATCTTCACCCAGAAGACCTGACTCGTCACATCCAATTGGGTTGAAGTAACGTAGGCCCAGCACCGTCCACGAGGGATCTGATTTGCACAAATCTGCCAGAATGGCCTCTCCAAAAAACTTGCTCCGACCGTACGGGTTGGTGATTCCTGTGAAGCCTGATTCAGTGTTGACTAGCTCGCCATTTGGTGCGACATAGCCTTCCCGTTCATGCACGCAGTCTTCTTCTCGCAGGCGAGGCAGTCCTTCCGACAAGGTCCCGTATACACTTGCAGAAGAAGAGAAGATAAAAGACTTGATGTTATAGTCACCCAGGAGGCTGAGTAGGTCGATCAGTCCCTTGACGTTATTCCGGTAGTATTTAAGCGGTTGCGCAATACTCTCTGCTACAGCCTTGTAGGCTGCGAAGTGAATAACGCCGGTGATGTTGGATGTTTGCTCTGTACTTCCAGGAGTTCGGACGGCATGTGATGACAATAGAATGTTCATGGCAGCTGTATCCTGATAATCTGCGCAGAACAGCTTTGCCTTAGGGCATATAGTACCCGTGCGCTCACAATGTAAGTTGGCGGCTTGGTTGATGCGCTCAAAAACATTCTCGAAGCTGTTACTCAAATTGTCGACAATGATAATATTGTAGCCCGCCTTGAGCAGTTCCAGTGAAGTGTGGCTTCCAATGAAGCCCAGTCCTCCTGTAACTAAAACATACTTATCGTCGTCACGGGCGATGTCAAAGTTGAGCTCTTCAAGCTCTGTCGCAGGTGTAGAAGGATCTGAAGGAAACTGCGGCGAGTTTGTGCCTGAAGAGGCACAGCATGGTGAGGAAGCCATGAGGGAATAATGACAATGACTTGATAGAGCAGAAATGAAGGGACTGATAACAAGAGTTGCCTCCAAGCTTTGGAGCGAACTAATTGATCAGAGAACACTTGCCCACCAATTGCCGAATATGAACAAAAATTGAAACACAGACGTCGAGAAGAATAAGTTGAATATAATGTCTTGTTATCCTTGTTTTACACTAAATTACAAGGCCCAATCTTTGGGGACAGAATATAGTTGGGCGTCTCGTTTTGGCAGTCCCGCGAAGCGAGTGGACAAGATCAGGTTTGGCTTCCAAGGATTGGCAGGGGCTTTTTTCTTAGGCAAAAACGTCGTATCACTGTCTCACTTTTTATCAATCATTGTATGACAAATGAGGGTCCAGATCCCGAGGTAGGCTCGTCTTTGATCAATGCGGTTCCGCCATATGTACGTCTTGGCTCAATGTGGCTCCGCCATCTGTACGTTCTAAGCCCCGTGTTTAGCCTTTTCCAGTCAACTGGATGGCATTGCAAGAGAAGAACGGTAAAAATGGCAATATAAAAGCGAGGAACACTAGCGCGGCCTAGGCTCGTTTAGTCTCAAAGTTCATGAGAACTAGTGAAAAATCCTACAGTATCTCAGCCCCTAATTCCCGTAGCTTTGTCCCAATTGGTCTACTGCCATGCTTATGGAGATAATGGACATCTGCAAACTTAGAGGTCTGGATCGGTCATAATCTCCTTGCTGGTACGAGATCGATCAAAGAAGAGTGATTTGAATCGAATCTACGGAGTAATCCGCGCAGATCTTTATCGTGGCATTTAACCCGAGAGTCTTTTCTGGTGGGTCACTCCTGTCCAAAATTACTTTGGGACTGCCTATGGAGTAAATAGCCCCCCAAAATCAAAGTGGGTCTTGCTATTGGATCTGGTCATTCCAGAAAATGAATTTTGATCGCAGTTCTTTGCCAAAATTCAACCTCATTCGTCCTTCCGACTTAGAATAACACGAGCAATGCAAAATTTGATCGGGATATTCATTATTAGTTAGTTCGGTTGTTGATGCGTTATCCAATTACATTTTTTCCATTTCGATTTTTGGAATCAACGGCATGGGCAGATTTATTTCATCTGAAGACCTAAAAAGGCGCAATTGGATGACATCTACGTCAGTCTGCGCATTTTTAGAAAGGACTGAAACATTGGCATAATTATGCGACACAAAAACGTTGGCTTCGTATAGTTCCAGGTAAAGTCTCCGAAACATGTTTCTATCATATATTGTCCGCATAGTGGGTCATACCCTGCCCGGTTTGGTCTGTATGAAGTAGAAAGATCTAAATTTTTAACTGGTCGGGATAATGGAAATGGCTACGGAATAAAGATAACATTGACCCAATGTAGTAAGTATTAAGATGCTGACCCTACGGGAATATTTCCAGAGTTGTATCTTCAGGCATCAATCTTCAAAGCCTGCATGAGATGCCCCCAGCTCTCGGGACCAAAGCGCTCATAGAAGTCGCCAGCAATTTCCGTAACAAAAATGTAAGCTGATCGATGTCTTAGTTCAAGAACTAGATCCGTCAGAGCATCATTGGGTACTTCGCTGATCATATACCCAGCACGCGAACGATCATGGTGATATTCTTTCAGCCGCTGTTGTACCACATCAGATCTATAACGAGGGTAGGGTTCCTCGCAAGTAAAAATCAAATCAGCAGCATCCGCCATTGTGGCGTCAGGGGGAGTGCCTGGATTGTGGGCGACCTATGAAGATTATTAGTATTATATGATATGGAATAGGTACGCGGTAGGTACAAAAGGTACCATGCAGGGGGTAAAAAGAGTAAAAAGCAAAGAAAAAAAACTTACAAATCGTTCAGATAGAATACCAGGACAACTTTTGATAAATTGAGTCAATGCAGCCAAGTACTCGGCTCGCTCTGCATCATAGTGGTTGGGGGTTTCATCAACAAATATTCCACGCACGCCCAAGCCAGTCTTCTCATAATCTGTCGACCAAGCGGCGTAACGCTCTATTTCACCATAAGACTCATGGTGGGGCTTCCTGCAGTAGTCGATTCGAATATAGCCTATCGTATATACGTTGGCATACGAGTTGAGTCGAGGCACTTCCCGTGCATAGTTAGCGTCAGGGAAAGACGTGTCTCCAGGGCCACTATTTGGGTTGACAATGACAAGGAAATCCAGGTTTGGATTGGCTTCAATTCTGAGAAAAGAAAAAAAATTCATGATTAGTCTTCGTTTGTAGCTTTCTAAGGTGCTCCGATTTGACTGACGCCGTATAGAGTGGAGACCAGGTTTCAGAGTCCAACGGGTAAATGTACAAAGGCACAACAACACTTGACTTGGGAAACATCCTGTCTTCAGGAAATAAGGGTCTTGATCGCTTGAAGCAAGAAAGAAAAAAGTCAATAAGTCCCATCAGGGGGAAGAAAAAAGGTGCTATGTTCTTTGTTGGTGAACTGGCCAATTTGAATAGGGACTGGAACAAAGTAAAACTCGAACTAGAGGGACTAAGCTCCCTGTTCCACTTTATTTTATTATTTTTCCCTTTTTTTTTGTCTCTTGAAGAAAAATGAATGAAACTAAATTTAAACTAACCACGTCTGGTAAAGTGCTCAGTCCGAGGTCTGAGCTTCAGTAAAAAATCGAGATAAGCACTAACGGAACAAAAAATACCCACTTTTGACATCTCTTAGAATTGAACTGTATCAAAATTTAGAAGTTAATGGCCGATACTAAAGCTAGATTTAAATTGAAAAATGGAATTCTAAAAATAGGGAGTCTCTATGGAGTAGAGATTACTCGGAATGTTGAAGTTTGGGCATGGATCTTGGAAGCCAACCTGGCCTTGGGGCGAATCTGGCGCAAAATGACCAGGATCATATGCACTAATCTATTTTCTGAATAGTGCCTGAATATCAGCGTGATGAAGTTTCTCGATTCTCGAAATTATGTAGGACGTATCACAAAATTAAACGAAGTATCCACAATAGGTAATTTGGCCCCTATCGAATAGAATCAATATTCTTTGAACAGATTGATGCAATCTATGTGGGAACAACACTGCAGAATTGATTCAGTCCGGTATCAAATTCCTCGTAATAGCTCGTATTCCTCGCCGTAAGAAAAAGGTAAGCGGCTTGTCTGCTGAGGGAATTGACGAAGCCTTTGAGGCTGCTGTTGGTCATCTCCGGCATCGAATGCAGGATGTATGCATAACGATCGCGTTCAGATGACTGCAAGGTACCCTCTAAAATCTTTTCTTTTGTTTCAAAAAGGGAATATGACTGCTCAAAAGTGACAGTAATGTCCGTCGAGTTATCGTCAAATCGAGAATCAGGAATAGTACCGGGGTTGTGGATGATCTGTCGAAACCATTAGTGTCATGAACTTGTGTAATCTGTGCGACCAGTGAGACAAGCGGAGAATCGGCCTTCTTCAAGGCGAAAAATAAGGCAAAAGAATCTTAGACTCCACAAATCCACTTGGTGTGCTCGACCTTCTCTTTTTCTTTTTCATCGGTTCACCGTTCTTGGAATTGAACCTACCAGGCGATTTGATTGAAGCCCAGTGGCGGATTTCACTGCTTTATTGATTTGGCGCAGATACTCATCGCTTGCGGTAGTATACTCGTAAGGTGCCTCGTCAAAGAAGATCCCATCCATGGCCAGACTAGTCGATTGAGTTGACCAGTTGGAGTAGGTCTCCACATCTGCCAGCACAGATGTAATGTTTCTCTTCGCATAATTAGTGCGCACATACCCAATTTTCTGCACGTTAGAGTAAGTGCTCAGTCGATTCACTGCTGTCGCATATTGCGTGCTGGGAGAAGCTGAGGACCCGGGCCCACTCGAGGGGTTCACAACAACCACCCACTTGAGATCAGGGTATGTTTCAAGTCTAATATTGGGTCATTGAAAGGTCCAAAAAGGGTTCCGAGAAAATCAGGGCAAAGATGCAGAAAGAATGAAAGGGTGGACTCACGCCTGATACAATGGGTCCCAAGTGCTGTTGGTTTCAGGATAGATGTATGCTGGAAAAAGCACAGTTGAAGCCTTGCCCCTATTGCGATTATTCCTGGGAATAATCACTGCGAGGGGAACAACTATCACTATAATTACCACGACCACCACGGCAATCAAAAGTGTGATGCACCAACGTCGGCGCCAATTGAACTTCTGGCGTATCTTGGGGATAGCACCCTCGTTGGTTTGCTTCAGAGACTCCATTTGGTAGGGTCTGGACGATGATGTCTGCAGGTAGAATGAAGCGTTGAAAAAACCTAGGCTTACGGATAGAAAATGGATATTATAGCAGAGAGCATGAAAGAAACACAGGGACTAAACATCCATTGAGCCGAACAAGCCCGATGGATCGCTCTGGAACAAGGGTCCCAAGAAACTACCCTGGAACGGAGAGGCCTTGACCTTTTTTTGCCTAAAGTTGCATCCCAGCATAAAATCAGACGATTAGATTGGGAGGCAATTATCTTTGCTCCACGGAGTTCTCCGTAATCAAACACATGGCTTGTTCGTATGAAGTAGATGGTCCCACTATCTCGAAGTAAGCTCTCAGTTGGGCGCCTCAGGTCTTGTTAGCCATATTTTAAGTCGTGGATCCAATAGAATACTGTATGCTAGTGCATACGACCCTTCCAGTATTTGAGAAATCTATTCCTGGACGGGATGGATGTAATCTAGTGGAGGATGAGGCACTTGTGGACACTAAGGGATCAAGCCCGAGCCATTGGACGACCCACGCTTTTGACCCATCAGAGTCGGCTTTTTTTTCATCTTCGGTTCCATTTTCATAGTACGGAGTAGTCCGTATTCCATGCTAGTGCTTTGGTATTAGTCGGTATTTTGTACTTCTATACATACTCACCCTCCCGCCTTTTATCTGTTCTAGGAGCACACTCATTTCGGGCTTTAGACCCATTTTCTTTACTTTTTAATCTCTCGTCTGATTTATACTCTCGTTATACGCTACGGCGAAGTCTCGCATTCATATCCATCATGGGTGCTGAGTACTTGGGCTTGACAGCGACAGGATGGAGTCGCATGACTGCTAGCTGGTGGGAAAGAGTATGTCTAGAACTGTCTTCATCAAATTGATTGATATCCTTGTCACGATGGATCTCTAATATATATCCTTTAGGTCCTGGCGATTCTCCTAGCGGTTACAGTCGCCCTTGGCTCTCTGTATATTCTTTATATCATCGGCAGAACTTTTGCACGTTATTGGCGCGTAAGTATTCATCGCATTGCCTCGACGGCATTTCAGCAATTGACTTGATCTCTTCAATATTAGACACGCCATAGACTCACCAAAGTCCCCTCCTCTGTTATACGTCACCTGGACCGATTGAAAACAGAGACACCAAAGTTCATTAGCTCCCGATTGGATTTGCCAGAACCCAAGGCTTTTGGCGTTTACCTGGGAAGCTTTGCCAGCCCTCCAAACTCGGACCAGACTCGTCTGCTTTCTCAATGGGACTTGGTAGTTCTTGACCCATTGCAGCATGGCGTTCTGGATGCTCTTACTAGAAAGACTGCCGGCGCGCATACTGTCGCAAGATTGGATATCCGCAAGCTTGTCGCAACTGATTCCGGCTCTCAGCGGGATGAAGTGATTCGTGCAATTAGCGTTCTCACCAGTACCATGTTGAGCTATCTCAAACGGCCCCAAGACTCACAATCGCCTTTCAGTGGTGTCCTTCTAGCAGACTGCAGCAGCCACCTTCAGCCGGTTGTCTTGAACGAAGTTGTTAAATTTATCAACGGCCTCGGTCTTGACGTCTGGATGGAGTTCGGACCCATTGAATTCCTCGAGGAAAAGCAATGTCGCGAAATCGACTGGCTACCAATCAGAGGTGTTATCTACCGGAATGGAACAGTTCGAACCGACGGTGACAGATGCAACTTTTTCCAGCAGGAAAAGATGAGAACAGTCATGAGAGTCGCCGCAGCTCAGAAACCAATCGGAACATCTACAGTCGCCATGTGGGATACTGTGGATGATGGAATCGAACTCGGCCATGATGTTCTTCACCGAAGCTACAAGTGGTGCAACTACATGAGTGCCATGAGTTGGATCGCACCCAAAGCTGCTCTCACAGACGCGGTTGCTGCTACTGCAAAGACTGTCATATCTGAACCTATCGGAGCGTTGATGTGGATGAAGAATGAGCAGACTCTGGCAGCGCACGAAGTTTGGAGACACAATGAGAATATCACTGCTTCCTCTACTGGGCATGAAAATGTTTACAACTCTTTGCAGAATTTTGTTCCCAACCTGAAGAAGAAACTTACCTTGCTTCCGCATCTCCCTAAGATTGATGCGAAGGAAGCCATTACGGTCAATGGGCTGCATTATTCAGCTTTGAATGAGTCTCTAATGGTGAACCCCTTCTCTATGTCTCCAGACGGCGACGATTACGCCGGCTTGGGATGCTTCCAGATGGGTCTCGATCTCGAAGAAAAGGACATCAAAGATCTTCTCCAAGCTCAGCGACAAGTCCGGGATTTGAAACTTCTGGACCCAATCAAGCCTGATCAGTTACGGGATATTGCTGGCGAGCTTGCAGTTCTCTGCAATTCTCAGGGAGATGGATGGAGAGCTGCAAGCGAGCTGCATGATATTCTTGTCGCTTGTGACGGTACTGAAGATGACTGTATTCGAATTTACTCAGGATTGCACTCTGGATTCCGTACTCGCATGGAGACTCAAGTCTGGGGTATGTATGACAAGACTCCCGGATACGGCCCTCTCGATATTTATCTCTCCGGTAAGTGTGAAATTGGACGTACAGGGGCGATTCTGCACACCTACATGTCTAGCAAAGGCCATTCTCGCTTTCAGTGTTTCGAGGCTGAGGTGGCTCTGGCTAATGCTACTGGATCTCTCTCTGAACAATGGAAGCATCTGCCCCCGCGAATTGTCAGCGATATTGAGCAGCTCAGCCCGACTGAAGCTCTCCTTTGGCTGAGACGACTGTCTTTGACCCTTAACAAGGAATGTGCCGATTTTACCGCAAATATTCGTGCCTGTACTGAGCACCAGCTTATCCGTGTTCCAAGTCTTGGTCAGCTCCGTGCCCTTAGCTCTAGCGAGTACTTAAGTGGCAAGGTTTCGGCTGCTGATCTAGTTGCTTCTCGCCTGGCTTGGTACCGTGAACAGGGCTGCTGGGCCCCCGAAGCCTCGGGTGCAACTGCGCTTTTCTTGGAGATCGATTCTCGTTTGCCTGAAATTTTGAAGGCTGGCGATTCAAAAACACTTGAGCAAATTGCTGACGTCATTCAAACCGTTATTCAGAAGAATTTTATTGACGCTGGAGTTGACTTCTTCACTTTTGCTGTTTTCTGTGCATTCCGTCGCATCGCCTTGGATGAGGTTTACTTGGAAGTTCTTGACCGAAATCCTCTCCCCAACAATCACGATGTGCAGGCTTCCTGTTTTGCAGAGATGTTTGCCTTAGGTGCACGCTGTGACATGTTCTTCGATATGAAGCCAAAGCTGCTTGGAAAAATCATCGCTGCTCGGTACCGCAAGTATTATCACATCCACCCGCCACCACGACGCAGTGAGGTCTTCACCGAGATTCCAACCGCATATGCTTCCATGGATTTGGATCTAGATCCTGAGGGAGACAAGATTGAGACACCCTTCTACTATCGCATCACTTTCCTTGGTATCTTCGCTTTACCTGCTCTCATCGATATTATGATGTTGACAACTGTCGGACGTGGTCTTTACCTGACTACTTTCATGAGCGACATCGACAAGACATTGGCTACAACCGCTCTTATGATAGCCCTTCTTGTCTGTGGTGGTTTTGGCAGCTGGATTAGTTCTGGAGGAAGCTACTATCTCTACGCTATGGCTTTCCCAGCTATGAGTATGTTCATCATGACCCGCTTCATTGCTGGGGTCGCTGTTGCCTTTGTTGCTGGCATCATCGCTATGATTGGAATTGGTTGTGTCAAAGGGTTTGCAGCAGGTGTTTTGTTTTTCCTTTACTTCTTTTTCCTTTCCTCATATCTTATGCTTCTCTCGGTGCTTGCTATTTATCAAATGCCTGGATTTGACTTTCAGTCTGGACGAACAGTCATCATCTGCAGCATTCCCATTCTCTTCATCTCCCCGATTCTTACCCTATGGGTTGGCCACGACTCAGTGATCTACCTTTGCTGTGTTGGTGTTTTCCTGACATCTCTCCTTTTGGGTGCACGGCGAGTCATCTCTCAGTGGAACACCTGGTATCTAAACATCCCCACCGTCACCGATGGGGAGGTGACCAATTGGTATGTCCAGAGACAGCAATCTCCCAGTGCTGATCTGCTCAAAGAGCTCAGCTCTTCTACTCTTCCCCGGAAGACCCTGGTGGAGATGGTGACGAAGGAGCGCAAGCGCCCTTTCTGGTCAAAGGCAACCAAGGATCCATTTGTCGCCAAGTTGGCCGACAGGTATTCAGCTACTATGTTCCTTCTGGTTTGGTACTGTCGGTACTCACGAACCGTTATGCCCCTTGCCTACAGTCCTACCTGGAATCTTCAGCTCAAAGCTGCTGTAGATACCATGGGAGATATGCAAAAGGGTCTCAAGATGCATAACGCTTTCCTTCACTGGCGTCACACTGGTTCTGATGTGTGGTGTGGCATCCTTTACTTTATTATTGCCTTAATGGATAAGTGGACTGCTCTTATCACCGGTGAGGCACTGGTCGGTCTTTCTACTGCATCCAGCTCCGATTACCGTCTATCTGTTGGTTTCGGTCTGGCATATTATCTTGCTGGTGCTCTGTTCCTCGACACGGTTTCCCAGCCGCTCTGGACATCTGTGAATGAGCGAACCAACAAGGAAATATCCTCCCTGGATAGTCTTCGCGATGTCCTGTCTCTTAACTCTAGCATGAGGCGATCGCTCTACTGGAGGAACCTCACCAAGTTTTTCTTCCTTCATATCTGGGGCTGCGCAGTGAGCTTAGCTCTTCTCTGGTCATTTGAAGATAAGAAGAGCTCCACTATCATGTACCTGACCTATATTGGTGCCTACAGTGGAGTTCTTTTCTATCAGTATAACCGAATCTTTACTGGAACCCAGGCGGCGAAATGTCTTGCTCTGGGCTCCGTCGTCGGATTCGTAACTGGTATCACTCTTCACTGTGTCCTCCCTCCCTTTACCTGGAGCAGTGTCATCGGATTGGGTGCTGGTACATGGACTGCTGCAATATACTCGATGTTCATGGCAGATATCGGCCTTCCCACCTTCAAGCGCAAGTCGCCGATCAAAACTAACACAGACAAATCATCCTATCCAACCTACACCTGCAGTTCTCTCGAGCCATACTTAGATATCTCACAGACAACGATGGCAGAGACCTTCGACAATATCAACGCGCTTTCAGCCGATCACCGCCATCTCCTCGATCCCGCGAACCATCCGGGTTCCGAAGTCAGAAAGAATATCCTGGACAGCCACGTTTTACTCAAATCGAACCTTGTTCAGGCGGCCTTCCCTGATGCAGGACATCTGCTTACCGAAATTGTGCGCCAATGGGAGACTGGCAGGACCGTGGTTGAGTTTGTCTCCGCTGAGCACCTGCTTCAAAAGGAACAGAGAATCCGAGCTGTCACGCGCCTGATTGGCAATGAACTTCACTTGTTCGTTATCCTTGGACCTGGTCTGATGGGAGACTGGACCTCTAATATCCGCCGCAACTGCCAAGCCATTGCGGAAGCTATTGTCCAGGCTACTGCCGAAGCCAGATTGGGTCTTTCTCAGGACCACTCTATGGTTGCTGAGATGCTTGTTGTGCAGCATCGCGAGGACTCTGATCTTTCTGTTCCAGAAGGCGTCAAGTATCAGCTCGAGCGAAACCCAGCTGAGTGTCTCCGTGTCGCCACCCAAGGTCGGAGAACCTTCCTTCGCCATCTTCTCCTTGGTGTGGATTGTGACCTGGAGTGGGACAGTCTTCCAGAGAGTGCCAGGTCTTTTCTGGTTCGCCGTTGCTCAGGAAAGCCTGGCCCGATCACGTCGTCTGAGCTTGAATGGCTCCAGGCCAGGGCTGGCGTCTCGAGCCTCGAGGCTATCGGTACTTATGTCGCACGATATAATCTTGGCGTCGCCATGTCCACTGCCGTCAACTTCTTTGCCCAGACCTGGATGAACCATGATCAATTCCCAGACCACCCAGTTTTCGTTGATTCGACCTTTGAGAAGCCCTTCCAAAGTCTTTTGCCGCCTCCTATTGGCGCCAATTTGCCCTTCTTCGAGAAATTCAAGCTCTTCTTCCTTCAGCTGCACTATAACATCAGGACAACTCTCAAATTCCTTATCATACCTCTTGTTGCTGATAATGAGTACCAGCGTGAACTGAACTACAAGCTTCGAAGGAAACCCCTCTTCTTTGCTGTACCTACAAAGCTGGTGCTTAACAGTATCTGGTCTTTCGCCAAGCTCCTCCAGCGCATTCTGATCCCCCTGGTCTTACTTCATGGACGTGATAATATCTCAAACCTGTACAAGGCCACGCGAGGCTGGAAGACGATTATCGAGAAGGATCGCATTTTGGTCGAGAGCCTCAACGGACCCATGTCCTGCTTCTATCGGATCCTGCCTGATGGCAGCGCACGACTTTACCAGTACTCTGGTAATCATGCCGAGGTTCCGGGAAATCTTTCTCAGCTAGAAGCCATCAACACCTACTCAAGCAAGCTTGTATTGCTCCGACGCGAGGAGTACAAGGTTAACAAGGTCATTAATGACTTCAGCTATGAGTATGCCGATAGCAGCGAAAAGACGCGTGGAAAGAAGCTACCAATCCAGCGGCACTGTACCGCAGGAGAGCGCGAGGGCGAAGTCATTCAGTATGATGAGCGAGGTTATATTGTCTCTGGATCTGGCATGGAGGGTGTCAACCCTGTGCAGTTTAATTTCGCTTTCCGAAAGAACGCCAAGTTTGATGATGAGCTCCTGTATGGAGAGTACAACTTCCCTCACATTCAGATCAAGGTAACATGGTGTATGCCACCGCCCAACCGACCCGAGCGCACCAACACATGGATTCCTTATCCCAGAGTCAGTGAAGCGATGTTCATCCAGGGTGATGATATTCATTTCGCCAGATGGACATACGATCACAAGTTCCACCCCATCATTGAGACAACATTGAACGGCAGAGAGGTCGATACTCCTGCTATGATTCGTGAGGATTGGTTCCACGTCCTGGACAAGCCAACTAAAAGTAGCTTCTTGCATGATAACCCCATCTTCTTCTTTAACTCTGTCAAGTCGAACTTCTTTTCTCGTCTCTTGCGACTGAACGTCAAGCAACGCCGCATTCCCACCTCGCGTGCTCGAACAAATCTTTGGAAGTCGTGGAAAGGAAACAAACACTTTGATGCAGTGACAACAATCTGGCTAGATGAACTTCTGCTTAGATCCGACCGCGTTCTTCGTCCTTACTGGCGTAACCGCGACTTTGGCCGCATGGAAGCTGCTACCAAATACCTTGACGCCCAAGTCGATACTATTCTGGCTCGAGTTGATATCGATCCTGATGTCAGTTCCTGGACACCGATGGCGTACAAGGTCAGTGATCTGTACAGCTTTGGACAAGGTGGCGATGCCAGAATCAACACCCGCACGCTTTCTACCCAGATTCAAGACACCGATACTCAGCTCCACGTTCTCGCAATGGATACCGCTACCTGGCCCAACGAGCCTGGCGGTGTGTCTGCCTGCCGTCGTGATATGATCAACGATCTAAAGAACACCAGGTGGCACATCATCTCCGAAAACGCCAATGACTATGGAGTGCCTAAATTTCAGATTGAGAGAAATGTCCAATCCCTCACCCTTCTTCCTCAGTGGGGTCTGGATTTCCTGAATCCGACTCATGGTGTTTTCCAGAACTGCCTTGACTCCGCTGTTGTTGACAGATCTCAGGACACTCGCGTTGAGGATATTGAAAAACACTTCATCCCTATCCTCGCCAAGTTGGTTCGCTGCGCTCGTACAACCAACCTGAACCGCCAACACATCGAAGAAGCAACCAATGCTCTCGTCGACCTGAACACATACTTTGAGTCTGGCAGAAGCTGGAACGACGTATGGATGAGTGATAGTGTCAAGAGTGCTTGGCGCCAGATGTGGCTGTCTGAAGATGTTGACGATGCGATTCCTGTATCGCAGTGGTGGAATGCTGAGCTCCCATCGTTGCATCAGCTTGACAACGCTCTTGACATGTGGCATCGCTGTAAGTTTTCCTTTTTATCTGCCTGATATATCATCGCTGACTTCTACTAGATCTATTCATCTTCTCCATTCCCGTACCGGAGAGAATTCCCGATGTCTTCCAGGTTTCTCACCACTTCACAGGCGCAACATACGGTGTCATTTGCAAGGCTAAGCGCAAGTGTGCTCTCCATGTTTGGGATCACTGTGTTAGTTTCCGAGAAATGACTGTCTTCTTGTCTGCCGCCGTGTCTTTTGATTCGACCTTCGTCAACACCTCCCTTATCTCCCTTGGTCATCTTGCATGTGTTCTTATTGAGCATCATGCCGATGTCGTTCTTCCTTGTGCGGAGTACTTTAACCCCGGCTGGGAAGTTGAGCTTGGAACAGCCGAGGGTACCCTTCAGCACCGTCGCACTTTCGCTCGCAAAATCGATCCCGTCGTCAACGGCATTACCAACATGGAACGGTACAAGCCGATCGAGAAGATCAAGACCAAGACACCTACAGTGGTCATGTTGTCTCACGTCCGCTACGTCAAGGATCTGAAGACCGCCATCATGGCCACAGATCTGATCGTGAACAAGTGGGGCATGACTGACTACTGTCTTCATATCTACGGTGACATGGAACGTGCTCCTGCAATTGCATCTCAATGCCAAGAAGTTATCGCATCCAAGGGTCTACGCGAGCATGTCATCCTCAAGGGTCTAGGCAACCCATCTGTGGTGCTCCAGGATGCATGGCTCTTCATGAACTCTTCCATCTCAGAAGGTCTCCCTCTGGCCATGGGTGAAGCTGCTTTGACCGGTGTCCCCGTCGTTTGTACAGACGTCGGTGCATCCTTCTGTGTTGTAACAGACAGAGCAACAGGCAAACGGTTCAGCGAAGTCGTCGCCCCCAACGACTACGACTCTCTCGCCCGAGCCCAGATCCGCGTCCTTGCCCTCCTAGAACAATGGGCTCCCTTCGCTGAAGATAAGGAAGGAGACGTGGTGCCGAAGCTCGAGTTCAACCCGACACCCGAAGAGATCAAAACAATATCCGACCGCATGTACGCGAAGCAAGAACAACGCATCCGCTTCGGAATGAAGGGTCGTGATAATGTGCTCAATTCCTTCTCGAGTCACCGTTACCTCCGCGAGCACGAGCAAATGCTCTGGCTAGGAAAATACCAAAGCCACAGCTTCATGTCTCGCAGTGCCGTGAACTCAGCCAGCTCCAGTGCCATCTTTACCGAGAAGAAGACTGCCCAGCAGCGAGTCTCATATCTCTCAACTACATCCAGCGTGGCCACATCACCGGACACACCCCGTTCCATTTCTGGATGGCGAGGACTAAGGAACTATCAACAATCTGGGTTCCGCTCATCCAACTTGTCTGTCTCTCAAACGCTTGTTTAAACATATGCATTGCATCATTTCGCAAGGTTTTGTTAATATTTTACATTCTTTCCCCGGTTGACCTGTTTGTTTCATTTTCTTCTAATTATAATACCGTACGATGTTGCCATTGAGCGAGTTTTGTATATTCCAACTCACAAAATACTGTCATTTGTTTCACTGTTTCTGTACGATCGGGACATTTCTTACGTTATATAAATCTATCTATCAATAAATATTTGATAATGAATCCTTCAAAAGTTCCACCTCACATGGCGACAGTCTTGGTCAACATCAAATCATCCTTGTAAGCTAAAACTATCAAGGAAAATGAACGTGTCTATACGTTCTTCGGTAAAAAAAGAGTGATAAATTACCTGCCCCAGACACTTCATTCAGCATTGCCGTGAGATAGGTAGCTGCAGCTTCTATTCCAGTATTACTTTAGGGCTCTCTATTTGATCATTGTGACTGATCATTGTGACAGAGCAGGTATTGAGGCACCTTGGCTAGTTAAGACATGATCTTGGGAACACCGAATTCATGGGGTATTGGTATCATCCTGAGGCCGTGATATTGAAGCTTCTCAAAAAAAAGATTTATTACAAACTTTACTCAAGGTGTTCGTGTGTAGATTCCGGAATATTCTCGTGTGAATGTGGAAATTCCCGAGTCTAACTTGATGCCCAGACCTTGCTACTTATTCGACGTGGGAATAATATACGTGGTACGTGATTCCGAGGTTGGTGTTTACATACCATAAGGTCTGAGGATGTGGATGATAATGATGATGATGATGATGATGATGATGATGATGATGATGATGATGATGATAGTAGTGACGATGACGATGATGATGATAACAGCAATGATGACTATTTCTAAAAACAACAAAAATTCAGATACATGTATCCTATAAAACCTATGAAGAGCTAGATTTTTAGGTGCACCGTTGCTTCCCCAGCAAGAAACGGCCCCCCGACTACAACCTCCAGGTCCACATATTTAAAAGCGCCACTCTAAATAACGGTCCTGGAGGGAATCGACCCCGCACTAATCTAGCATAATCATCGGTAGGTGGTGCTCTATCCATATACACTAAAGTCGCTTGGGATTAGCTAATTGGGACTTTTTATTGATGATATGCCTGTAACGAATTACTTTTTTGAATAGGGCCCACTTCTTCATCAAATATCATCAGGAATCTAAATTAACCATCTGTAGACGTGAAATGAGGCTCCCATGGCTTAAACCTCATTACTAACCTTGTTGGTTGAAGAGAAGGAGATTTCAAAACCTTGAGACTAACTGCGCAACAATGGACTCGCTGAGACCTGGATTATCACCAAACATTACCCAAACTCCTCTAAAGAAACTATTTTCTTTACCATGGCATGATGGTTTTTGAAAAAACCGAAACATTCAGGAATTTTACGAAAGACATCTAAATTCTATCGATATAGTACATATCACGTGACTGGACCCTGATCTGCGTCCGACTTATGAGGTTATAAACTGGGTCCTGCGTGCGTTGTCAGGTGAGATCTTGTCATGTAATGATCCAGACAATACCCTCCGTAGTCATTTCTACCATTCAGTGCGCATCATTGCAAATATATGGAAGCAGAATCTATCTAAGAGTAGGTTCTGAAAAGCTTCTGTGGGGTTCAACTCCACGGCTCATCGCGCTCCATGGCTACCAACTTTGAACAGCCATCAACCCATATACACGCCTATACCATCTGTAAGATATCTTTCACATGCGTTTTGTGATTGAAGAATTGACTTGAATATGTCTCCTATTTGAACATGCCCACTAGATGTTAGAATTGGATGTTTTTCGGACGAAGCATTCGCCTGAAAGATCCACTTACGCCAGTCAATATCCTGGCGTTATTCTTGAGCGAATTCAAGTCGCTCTTTCGAGAGACGAGGGGGGATCTTGTTCTCCGACGTCATTTTGGAAGGACATATCTGCTGAGAATATTCCGTATAGCGGCTCGAAAATGGGGCAAATCAAGGTTTGCACTAAGGAGAGAAGATTAAAAGGTGACAAAATGCGCCAAGACATAAAAAGACCTCGTGACCATTAGGATTGCTAGTTTTACCCTGCCTGATTATTAAGGTTTTAGTCCACTTTCCTTACTGCATTACTTTAATTTATTCACCGCTTGACCGCCTTTCTTCATAGTATTGAGGTCCAAATCTCTAAATCTCTATTCTTTTTCTTTACAAACTCTGTTCAAATATCTTCAAGACGAATGGCTTGATAGCTGTCCTAAGCTCTTCTTACATATCCATACTTCTAAATATCTGCATTTAAATGAGATGGCAACATCTCGGACAGAAAGTGCTCATTGGCTTATTAAACGCGATCTTGAAGTCTCAACGAACAACTTACTAGTTGTGTTACAGAACTTTAGTCGGGTTGTGAGCCTTGATTTAATAAATTAAGTACTATTTATTACAGATTACCTATAGATTTGTTAATTTAAATAAGATATCACATCAATAGAGGTTGAGAAACAGGGCAGATTACCTACATCTACGTATGTGGTGACATATACTGTAAATTATAGGTCAGGGCTATAGATCCTGCCAAATTTAGATATAGCATCTCGTACGAGGCTGTATGGCATCTGTGTATTGTCATTTTGTGACCGCACCCCATCAAAATATCTCTGAAATTAGGGCTAGCCACCACAACTTTTCCTGACGTTGTGTGGAATTGAAATTAAAACTATTAAAGAACTTACAGTAATTTGAAACCTTCGAAATTTTCAGCCTCGTACGAGCCCAAAAAGTAAATGAGATGCACTCAAGAAATGAATTGGGATGCACTCTTGTGTATATTTCATACTTGTATTTTAGGATTATGGTATAAATTACCTAACCCATGGGGGTTGCTGGGATGCACTGCATCCCAATTCATTATCCAATCAAAAGTATCAAAAAAGTGGGGGAGTTATTCGGGCTGGAAGATTCCAAAAATTTACACAGAATTTGAAGATCTTTAACTCCAAATACCATACTTCCTAGTTTTATTCAACATAATCAATCCAATTACACACATCTGCTTATACTGCCCCCAATCATGGCAGACCCTGCAACCGAACTCTCCAAAGCAGAGCGCTTCAAAGCTACGCACCTCGCCGCGCGCCATGGCAACTATCACCAATACTATACCAAGTTCCGGGCACCGACTGTTCCAGACGAGCGCCTTTCGATTATCCCATCAGAAATCCTCCGCAACGCGCGAGTCATAGATCTAGGGTGCAACGCAGGCAAGCTGACCCACGAGGTGATGGCACACTACGGCGCTGCCGCCTCAGTCGGCGTCGACATCGACCCGTGGCTAGTCGAGCAGGCAAAAGCGACGTACCCGGACGGGCTGTGTACATTTGAGCACTTTGACTTCGTGGATGCGTCCGCTTACACAGGTACCGCGCTAGGCAAGTTCGACGTTGTCTTACTGCTCTCAGTGACTAAGTGGATACACCTCAACAACGGGGATGCCGGGATGTTGAAGCTATTTGCGCACATACAAAGCATACTGAATGATGGAGGTCATCTCGTTGTGGAGCCGCAGCCCATGAGCAATTATGCAAGAGCTTCAAAGAAAAATAAAGAGCTGAGAGAGACGTATAAGACGATACAGATTAGGCCGCCGTTTGACAATGAGTTGAAAGCACTGGGTTTTGAGATAATACTGGAAGTTGAGAGGGATGAGGAGGGGTTTGCTAGGCCCGTACATGTTTGGAAAAAGAAGCTATCATGATACGATAGGGAGATGGCTTCAGATGACTCGTGAATTGACTTAGAGAAAACGGCTTTCGATTGGATTATGAGAGATAATGGGCTGTGCATGTTTGCTTATGGAAGCCATCGGAGAGAATACCTCTGACAAATGGTGTCAAAGTCATTATCGCTACTCAAGATCATGACGGTCTTTATCAATGTCATCGCATCTCTATGTGCAGTCTAGATCTTGACTGCTTCCAAGCTCGACGAATCCGACGAGATTCAATTCATTAATATCCACGCCCTCACCTCGGAAGGATTGTGATAATCCATGAGAGCTAATTATTCAAGCTATGATCTTAGGGCGTTTTAGGAATCCTTCAGGAAGATTGAAACAATCTCGAAGATCTAAAAATGGCAGGGATGATAAATATTGGAAGCTAAGATCTCAATTAGTATTCTAGAACAAATACATTTCATTTGTAAAAGTGGCGCCCCTTTCTCCTGCATTTTTTCAACCATATGTTCAAGAACTCGACATCTTTCTTGGATCAATTGAGCATGATGAGTAAGATATTTGAAACCTCTTTGAATCTTTGGTGTAAGATCTTGTAGAGGAATATGTTTAGTAATCTTCTGTTGGCTTCTTTCAAGTTGTGTTAACGTCTTTGGCGGAGTATATTCAATACTAGAGGAGGAGAGGACTGGAGATGGTGTTCGTTCGTCCCAATGTCGAGCAAGTGATCCTATAAACTATATATTAGTATAAACTATAGTAAATATATATAAAATATACCTTCAATAGCAATAAGATCCCCTATTAGATCCCACTGATTAGGAAGGATCTTTAAGACCATTTCACTATCAATAAGATAGATTCCACGTTCTTTAAAACTGTCGGAACATGGATATTGCAATCATGCAATACCATAAACCCGGAACGGAACAAACAGACCCCCGAGTCACGGGGGAACAACTATATTAGGAACTCAAGTAGCTACATGAATCGAACACATTTCACACCACTTTGCACAACGTATATACTAAGAATCTAGGACGAACCATACCCTTTTCCAGTATATATAGTGCAACGTGTGAACCCTGTCCTTTCAACGTAGTTGATCGACAGCTATAGAGTCTTATTGGATATTATAATACGATACACACCTACTAGTTTATAAAAGTATAGATGCTCTGATATAAATTAATGTAAAATCATCTGAACTCTCACCTCCCCATGAACTCCAAGAACCTGAGGTTCAGCCACCTAGGATCTGAAGACAGCAATTCAGCGCCGCAAATATTGAATGGCCTGCCCTTCAACCCAAACTGAAACATTAATCTAGAGAACTATCTGGTATAATTTCATGTGAATTTTCAGAAATACCTGAATTAATACTCATGCTTTCTATAGGAAGTCATGAGCAACCTTCAATTACCTAAACTCGACTCTATCAAGAAATTCATTTCTTACTACGGATTTTCCATAACCCCAGATAATGTCGGAATGATCTCGTTCCTTGTGGAGTATAATGAGGGCGAGAACGGAGTTTTCATATGGCTTTGGACTGAAAATGTAACAGGTTGAATCCTGGTGAACTATCACGTGGTTGTACCACGTGACCCACCAACCGCATACCTCACGATTCCACCCCGAATTGTTCACGTTCTTCAAGGATTTTGTAAACAGCATGTGCCTAGCTAGTTCTGAATTCAAGATTAGCTTTAGCCCTTCACAGAAAAGGAGCTATATATCGGAAGCAAAATGGATCCTTGGGATATTATTAGACTCCAAGAGAAAGTTCGCGAAGCAAATGATATCGTCGGACCGACCGAATGGAGATATCTCCAGAAGAAATATATGCTCGAAACCGGAGGATTCAGTCTAAGAATTGAGGAAAATTCTTCAATCGCCATGGTAGCTCTTCGGTATTGCCTTCAATTATGACGGTATGTCCTTTTCGACTTTTCGTCACCACATATTAGTTCGCAATTTCTTTAAAATTGAAAAAATTAGAGAAGATTCCTATATCATGAGTACGTAGGTATAATTATTGTTAGTTAACTAGTCGTATTAACATTGCTTACATCATCTAGTATCCTCCGTTTATATGAGCAGATATCTTGTCATAATCTTCGAAATCACAGCCCCAAATGATGATGCTGGTATGAACTCCTCGACGGAAGTAAGACATATTGAGGAAATGCTGATTTATAGTCCTAACTTAGTGAAAGTATGATGGGATGTTTTTCCTAGTAAGTGAATGCGGGATTTCGGATGGCATTGGTTGAATTGTATAGAATGAATTACCGATTTTTCCAAAAGGAATCAGTTTCGTAATGAAAAGTATCAGTGAAGCCGAAATACTACCGTGTTGATACTGGACATTCCGGGCTTATATTGGTTTATGCTCTACAGGATGGATTGAAGTCAGGTTCACCACAAACTTGCTCGCGAAATGCTAACAGCGATCAGAAAGTTTATGAAATATCGATATGGCAGACCTGGATCGTCTTTATTGATAACATGTCGAGGTAAGAAAGGGAGGGGTCTTGGTGTTAAGGCAGCTGCTTTCAGTTTCTGATTGTTCAAATATGTATGCCAATTACACGGGAATTGCTGGGGAGAAAACAGCAGACGAAGCGAGATCCATATGGCCATTCCCGGTTAAGGCAGGAATATGATCTCAGCATTCTGTTATGCTGGATGATTTAGATATGAATAGAATTCTGCAGACTTTCATAATATGCTCCATATTCACTATAGATCTAGAGGACCAGCCGGCTAGAGCCATGGCAAACAAGACAATCCTGGACCTATCTTTTTTAACAAATTTGCCGAGCTGATCCTAGAGGGCCAGTGGACAGCAGCCGAAATCCAGAGCTTCCTCCTGAATCTCAAGAATGACCCCGATATGGCTGTTAGAAAAGCTGCTGAGTGGGTGAAAGACAATATCACACTTGACTTACGCGAAAGTTTTGATAGCGCGCTAAAACTGCACTTTCAGCAGTTAAATATCAAAAATAAAGAATCAAAAAGCCACATCAATAGGCGTTGGGAGAAGGATATTACGGCCAAAGACTAGGGAATTATCTACACTGTACTTTAATGAGATAAGAATGGAGATTTTAGGCTTCTACTATAGATAGTTGAGACAAAAAGATACAACATTAGACCGGATTTTTTTTTTATATCTCGAACATCACACAAGTCGAGTTTACAAACATCTCCGTTTAAGGAGATCGAATTTCGAAACACCCAGCGCCGATTACCAACTGCGAGTTGAAAGCACACCTGTTTCTTGATACTTTCTAGACTAGTATATACCGGAAAGGATCCTCATTCAGGATATCTAGGTCGATTGGATCGGCTAAAATTCCTAGTCTTGCTAGGGCTGCCAAGTAGTGAGAGCGAGCTTAGGGTCACCTGATCTGAAGCTGAGGATTTGGTGCTCAGAATCAGGATCAATATAATCGAAAATAGTTGTGCGAAGTCCCGGAAATTCCCAGTTTCCTCTTCCTAGCCAGGAGCGGAGACTGTTAATGGTGATAAGATTGCTTTCCGAAACAGGGTCCATAATGTTAGTGGATGTGGTTGTCTGACCATGGGCGGAATCGTGCATTTATGAAACACCAGCTGAAGACAGGAGAGACTGCGCGATTTTCGCCCATTGGTTGGTACCACCGTGATATCACCCCAGACATCTGTACTATGCAACTAGAAAAACCAACGGTGACGACGATAAGTTATCAATAGGCTCGGCTTTATATGTATCGATTCGACCCAATTAGAAATCTCACTACACAGCCCTAGTGTCATAAGTCTGCCCGAGACGAATTTCGCTGAGGTATTTATGCTATTGGATAGAAGCGAGAGGGCGGAGCACGAGCAATCACCATGAGTGACGATAAGGAAGGAGTAAGGAATGGGTCATATCGACGAGGCTCTAAGCAGACTGAAGCGAAAGAGTAGATTATCGAATGAAGGACCAGAGTGTCACTTAAGTAGAACGAGGAAAACAACCAATATTTGGAAAGAGAGAACTAGATGGGTTGTTAACTCGCCGTGAGACCAATGTATCGTATCGCTCGAGGACAAGCCATTCCAGATCCCGGCCAAACTCCTGAAACCGCCACCTGCGTAGAGGCCAGATAATATTGATCCAAGAGCGGCAAAAGTGGAGGCAAGTCAGGACTCGGCCGCAGTCTGCGATAGGGAAAGAAAGGGGGAGAAGGTGAGGCGGAACGGGTGTTCCCAGTTGGGGGCGCTTATAGGGGGCGCAGTGATGGGTGTAGAATAGAGGGGATGGATGAGGGAAAGAAAAATGGGCGACGAAAGAGGGGAGGTCAGGTCTTTTATGTCAGAGGGGAGATTACGTGACAGCGTATTGGGGCGCTAAACCTAAATAGGCAAAACTAACTCGAAGAGGCAATTCACAGGTCCCAATATTACTCCACAAACTCAAGTCCTTGGAGTTTCTGCTCAAGCCACCGTTACCACTATGTCCAGACCTATGTATCAATATCCATACTAGCCGTAAATTAATATTGTAATTTGCGCTGTTTCCGTCCATTCTTCATTCTTCTCATTCGGACCCCAATTTTGAACCATGGCCAAAGCAGCCGGGCCGTTCCCTAGCTTTATTGCCCCTTCTATTTATAGACACCACTGGTGGAGGCAATAGCCCACAAATGAGGTGCACTGCCTCACGTCTCAGTCACATTGGCTTCATTCCAGCTGGAAAATTGCGTGCTTGAAAGTCCTCTTCTCCTGGACTATTGGATGGCAGATTCCCAACTATATGAGTCAGCTGACAAGGATAACCTTGAGATAAGATGGAGTGCTGACCTGCTCTTCATTCTCTTCAAACAGTCACGATCATTCAGCTCTACATCTGCCTGGTGGGTGTCATGGTCTCAAACATTGAAGGCTAGAACGAGAGAGGAAGAAGTTCTGCTCACTCGACCCCTCCTTGCCCATGATGACGATGAGGCGTGTGGCTATGTTACACTGGATCTCGCGAGCCTCGCTAGCCCCGACTTAAGTCGTGATCTGACCACCGCCCGGGGACCATCCCTGGCCCGGGCCTTGGCATGCCCGCTATACTGATTAATGTTTATGACTTTGAGGCTGATTGGCGTCATGCATATTAAAGGCTATTGCGATTTTCCCGTGGATTTCAAATGTTAAGTTAAGCACCGAGATTTAGGTATTTACCAGGTGGGAGGTTTGCGTGCTAGAAAGCCGCGGCCCGGACTCCGGGTAAGAAGATCCACTTCCGGTAGTAGCTGAGAAATCTCGGTCACAAGATCGATTGATTCCAAATCAGAGCCTTTACATCAGCTTATCTCCCTTAATGCCAGATGTACTATTTTCTCCTGCGTTGTAGAAATCCCCCCATGTGCAGATCCAGACATTTATGCATGAAAAGACATCTGGAAATGTTTGATTTCCTGCGCATTACAGGGGTCGCCTCCCGGGCCCACCAAGAAATGCAGGGGTCCGCCCAATTGGATCCCACAGTCACAGGTTTAAGGGTGCCACCAGACGTACGACCGAATCGACAGAATTTTGCGAAAAGTAATTGTAATCATCCCATTTAATTGAACCATGTGACTTATTCGAGCCAATTGATTATATATGAGTGGAAAGTTGACATACCCCTCAGGTTGACTACCCTGCTGAGTGCCCTGGTATGTATGATTAGCAAAGGGGGACCTAGAACTTTCTGAACGCCAATGTGTAATGAATTTATTACGTGGGATGAATACTATTACACGCTAACTCTCAAGGCGTCTTTTGCGAATGTCCTTTTGTACTTCTGGTGGGGGTAGGCATGCGACGACTGTCTTCAACAACAGAACTGTACTAGCTAATCGATGCTTGTTCACTTACACTTACCAAATCCGTCACTAGTATATTGCAGGGGTATTCAAAAAAAACACCCACTATCCCACTATACTTATCACCAAAATGCTTCAGAATCTGCCTTTTCCTCCTTGCGCGATTCAGCCTCCTCTGACAAGATTGCCCCGGCGTAGAAGTCTTCGTACGCTGAGAGGTCTCAAAATTGAGTGAGATCTTCTCCGAGTCCTCTGTTGGTCCGTCGCTCCGTCGCTCGAACAACAACAAAAATGTCAGAAGAAACGACCATGTAAGCCTTCAGTCCCTGTTTTGAGATCCGCACATGAATGACTGGATTTTTAACACCAGCATCTATTCTACTTAGAACTGAGCTCAGCCGTAATGGCAAACTTCGGTCGTGCGAACCATGTCGCCGTTTGAAAGCGCGATGCGATCACCGGATTCCTGTCTGCGGCCGTTGTAGATCAAGATGCATCTCTCACAAGTGCTCGTATCGGTCGACAAAGCCATCAATTGCATTTCCGGCAGTGACTCCGTTGATGGACGTGGGTGGTCTCGGCCTGCTGACCCCCACCTTGGACGACAACATCCAGCACTATATATTTAGTTCGCCTCCCCCGATACCTCCCATACATCGAGCATCCGTTTCTCTCCCGACTCCTGTCCCAGCCTCTATCGATATTCGGATTCACGAAGTTCTCTCGCGCCTGAAGCATATCAAGACTATCGGCCGGCTGGTCCGTCGATGGCTGCAAGTCTGCCTGAACTGTCCTGTGCCCAGGCCCCTCCTTCTGGACCTGTTAGCTGCCGTTGAATCAGCAGCCCGGCAGTGCAGTCCAAGTGATGGCAATGTCCCAGTTGCCGTCGCAGACTTTAGCCAGCTGGCAGAAGGAATCCAGAACGCGAGCTCACAGCCGCTGGTTATACCTCGCGGATTGCAGCCTACCGAGTTCAGTCAGGTGCTTACCGGGCGAAATTTGAGAGTTGAGTTGATTGGTCTTGTTCTGAGTGTCGCTGGAAACGCGGCTCTCGGCCTGCTCGAGTCGGATGTCGTCTTTTCCTCTACGAGCATGTATCAAGACGTCCTCGACCGCAAGGCCTTTGCTGGCGAGATGTTGAGTGCCAGTGACGCGGCGATTGCGTTTGCCAAGGAGCAATGTCATGATCTGTATGATGTGCTCCTTTGGCTGCGGTATGAGAACTTTGTCCTAACGAGGAGTTGTTGCGGGTACGAAAGTAAGGACACATCCATGCATTCATCAGCGGGATAATGCGAGATAAGATCATTACGGCTTACACCACTTTAGGCTACCGTACCTGGGCACGCTCCGGCAGATTAATTAACGACTTGTTTGCCATGGACATTCACCGAGACCCGGAAAGACCTCAATCCTCGGACACGCCGTGGTTCTTGCGCGAGATCCAGACTAGGCTGTTCGCATGCATATATGAAGCCGATAAGTCATTGTCCAGAGTCCTCAAAAAACTGCCCCGGCTACCCCGACAGTACTGCAACCGCAGACTGCCACTCAAGATCAGCGACGAGAACGTCTTAACAGCCGGTTTCACGTTGGACGATGCAATCATCGATATGCCACACCTGGGCAACTGCATTCGCCAGGAATCGTTCCCCTCCGATTGGCTTCGCATACGCTATTTGTTTGCGACGCTTAAAGAGGTGGTCCTCAGTGTGAAGCTGGGAGCAGCGGAACAAAATAGCGAATCGTTCATCCGGTGAGATCCAGAACTGCTTGTTATGGTATTTTTATGGACCTCCAGGGCTGACGTTTAGATACCCAGCCGCACATTATCACGCATCCAGGCAGCATGGAAAGCACTTCCTACATATCTCTGCTACAACCCTGTCTGCACCCCAAATCAAACATCATCCACGCCCTACCAGTACCTTGCCCGCCTGCTGCTCTATCTTGAATATCTTGACCTCCAATTCAGTACACAGCAGGCACTTTGCCACACCTCTGGAGAAGACGACACAAAACTACTAAAATTAGGCCTTACCTTGGTAGCCACAACAGCCAATGCAGCCCGCGTCTTCTGCAGGCGGTTTGGTGCATCGACGGACACAGCATTGATGGTAAGATCACTTGTCCCCTAACCTTGTACCAGCAGTCATCACTCTTCTTAATTGGAAATTATTAACGCCGCGCAGCTCTGCTTCTACGGTCTTCCCAGTGCTCTCGTCCTTGCCGATGCTTTAGCCAACACTACAGCAGACGGACAGAACATGCCTACCGCCAACAGATCCGATAATCTGCCACTTTCGTGGCCCGAACTCCACCATCAGCTCAGCGTGCTATCCGCCGAGCTAGAAGCCCTTGTAGATTTCACAGACAGCAACTATGCGCTGTACAGTAAGCAGAAGGAAGCACTCTTAAGACAGCTTGATCGCGCCCTGCACGCAAGGCTCGAGGTGTCGCCTTCCAAGTCGCCGCAATCCGGGGGGACTCTGACCGCGCCATTGAACGATATCGACAAACTGATCGCTGAGATGGCAGAAGATGAGACTTTTGCCGATGGTCCAATCGGTGACCTGGATTCATGGAGTGCGGGCCCTTCAAGCTGGACACTAGACGATATTTTTGATAATTGTCTGTGGAATTTATCGGAGTAGATCTAGACACATATACTAGGAGCATCAACTTGAACTTAATACATTGCACTTGAACAAAATCGAAGTTGGCAACCTATGTATGGATGTATTTTGCTTTTTTCCCTCTCTACTTTAGCCCCGTTTTAAATTGATACCGGATTACCGCTATGCATGTGATAACCAGTTGACTGCCATCCACTTCACAATCAGGCCCTCAAAACCACTGTAATTGGCACCTCATCTTCCGGCGACCCTGGTGTACATTGCGTTTCATCGCGAGGCAACGCCGAAAGCACCAATCTTGAACATATCGCCGCAAGAACATGCTGCATAAAGTAGTACGTCAAATGGTTCCCCAGACACATCCTTGGCCCACTCGCAAACGGCCACAAGACATCTTCTCTATCATGTTTCTTGCCACTTCTGTCCATTGACAACCATCTCTCGGGATCCCAATCATTTACATTTTCCCATTTTGTTGGATCGCGGTGCACGAACCACTGGAAGCTGTTAATCCGCGTGTTTGGTGGAATGTTGTCTATTCCCGCGACAGAGACGCTTCGATCCGGGGGCATGATTCTGGGTAAGAGCGTGCTTGTTGGACGCATGCGGAGACATTCGTCGATAACGGCGCGGAGGTAGGGAAGGGAGTCTAGTCGGAAGGACCTATCTAGTCCACTTGGATCTTGATGGATAGGGCTTGTCATGTCGATTTTGTGTTCCTCGAGCTCTGCGTGGATCTTTTGCTGTGCATCAGGGTGGCTCGCTAGATACCAAAGTGCATAACCAAAGACGAGGCCTATCAAATGGTTAGTATATGCATCCCAGTACTGGCACAGGTACTGATTTTACCCAGAACCTCTCGTGATGCGGCTATGGATTTCAGTCAGCATTGCTAATAGTAGTAGAAGCCAGGGGCCGTACAAACATGGTCGAACATCTCACTCTGGACCTGCATTTTCTGTCCTTCTAAGCTGAGATGCGGCGAATCCTTCTTCACAGCTTCTTTTGTAGTCTCATAAACCACGGGCTCGTCCTTGGCTTCCAGATTCAGACCCTTACTCTGTTTCAAGGTGATCGTGTGGTCAGCCTTGTCGGTCATTGCAGACATCCAATTCTCTATGTACTCAGTCCCCTCTGAGTATTTCCTCGGCAGCAGATTAGTCCCAAGCGCCTTGAACAGCTTGTACAGCCCTGGCATCTCCTGAACAAAGAATGATTCGCGGCATGACATGTTCTCGTAGTGGAAGCGCCATAGCTTAAGAGGGTCATTGTTGAGCTCCGCCTTGCCATTTGAGAGAAACGACAGGAAATTCGTGCTGTTGCAAGAGCCAAACAAGAATGAGCTGAGATAATCCGCGCAAATACGGTAGCTCAAGTCCAGCCCGTCGATACGACCAGTGCCACAACTAACCAGGAGGCTTTCCAGTCTTGGAAAGAGTCTCTCGTAGATGATGCAGTCGGTAACCTCGCGTAGATGCTTGGACTGCATCAGCGCGGACTTGGAGTATAGCGCTGCTGTTCTCCTACGGCGGATACCGTGTTCGGATCTATCGAGACTTGTAAACGCGTTGCGTGTTCTAGGTAGGTAGGATCCTATCAGCGTGAATTCTGTCAGTCTTTTTAGAGACGTAACTACCTATAATAATTGAACATCGAATAGAATGGGGCCGGCTTGGAAAACCCGGTGTCGTAGACTTTGCGAATCCCATCTTGGTAGCTGCTCACGCTAAGATCTTGAGGACCCACGAGGATAATTGGACCGAGTCTGTTGTGGGCTTCGATGAGGAACTTGAGCTCAGTACCTGTCCATCTTGCCCATAAAATTCGGGCAGAACTGAAGCGAGAAGACCAGTGCGGCGCGGGTACCTTGCGAAAGGAGTAGAGCAGACGAAGGCTGAAGTAGCTATAACAGAGAAGTGCAAAAAGAACAAGCACAAGTAAGGTCATTCTTGCGATACCATCTGAACGCTTACACGAGTTGGTGATAGGCGCCAAATGTGTAAGCCATTATTTGCATCTATCTAGCCTGCAAATGTATCATGCCCGGGTGGCTTGGTGAGAGCACTAGATCGGTAATTGGCGGTCCAGATGGAAGTAACTTCCGTTGTACTAAGGTAAACAAGCAGCATGTCACGGCAGTAGACACTCCACACGACAGTTTGGGAGGTCCATACATGTTTCCAGCAAGTGGAGCCAAGGAACTCTCGTTGCATCCACTAATGCAGGCGCCGGTGCTCAGATAGGCGTTCAACGCCGGGCCCGGGGGCACCTGGGCAGGGGGTAAAAGGGTCGCAATTTGAGTCACGCCCGGGCGTGGGTGTTTTGCCGTCTTTCACAACAAAGGCCGTCTTTCGATTCTTTCACAAATCTTCCACCTCCCAGGTGCCCACAGCCATGGAGACAGTCGATCCATCTGTTGACCTGACTTCAACCATGCCCACCAATACAGAGAACAATGAGAAAGCCTTGCCTTTAGAAAAAGCAGAGACAGTACCTGAGCAGCAAGATCCCGAGCCCGAGCCCGACTTTAGCCTATGGCAGCAACTCCCCGTTTTCATCGCAATGAGCTTGGGCATCTTCATTCTAGGACTCGTATGTTCCCTCTTCTTTACGGAGGTCACGAGATTCTGCTAACGATTTTGGGTGCGCGTTTAGGACAACACGATCGTTGGCACTGCCACACCAACGATAAGCGATGAATTCAACTCTATTACTGACATCGGCTGGTATGGCTCGGCCTACCAATTAACAACCTGCTCAACGCAATTCATGTTCGGCAAATTGTACACAATGTTCCGTGTGAAATGGCTCCTGGTAATCTCGGTTGTAATTCTCGAACTCGGATCCATCGTCTCTGCTGCTGCGCCCAATTCGGCTGCTTTCATTGTTGGCCGTGCAATTGCTGGCTGTGGCGCTTCGGGAGTTCTCAATGGTGTTCTGATGTAAGTAGAAGAACTGTTCATAAAATATAGTCAGCGGACTGATGTGATGATCTAGTGCTGGTTCGACTACGTTGCCGTTGCGCTGGAGACCAATCTTCAATAGCACTGTCGGCGGGCTGGAGTGTATTGCCATGATTGTAGCCCCTGTGATTGGCGGCGCTTTGACAACAGATGTTACTTGGAGGTGGTGGTAAGTACTACTCAATTCTCATCGCTATCTTCATATCCTTTAGACTGAGCATACTTTTGCTGATGCTCCTTGCTTGCTAGTTTTTGGCTGAACGTCCCGATCGGCGGGTTCACTCTAGCCATACTGATTTTCGTTTTCAAGCAGCCGCCGGATCAAAAGGGTAAGGATGAGTCGTCGATGTCAAAAATCAAGAAGCTCAACATCCCAAGCCTGCTCATCTTTACCGGCAGCATCGTCTGTCTGCTGCTTGCCCTCCAGTGGGGCGGAACAACGTACCCCTGGAACAGTGGGAAAGTGATCGCCCCTCTGGTTGTCGCAGGCGTTTCATTTGCCGCGTTCCTGGCGTATGAGAGTTTTCGCGAAGGCGAGGCTATGATTCCGCGCTCGATAATTTTCAATCGGACGGCAGGCTTGTGTATGCTTTATGCGTTTTGTTCTTCTGCTGCATTTAACATTATTGACTATTACGTGAGTCCCCCGATATAAAATTCCTCGCATGTGCATCTGACAGGCCGACTAACCGCCATACTCGTAGCTGCCGATCTGGTTCCAGGCAATCAAGGGCGCAACGGCCGTCCAATCAGGGGAAATGCTGCTCCCATCAATCATTGGACTCTCAGTGGTAGCCATAAGCTCGGGCTTCATCCTCTCCTTCATCGGGTACTACACACCGCTGATGCTACTGGGCTCCACCATGATGGCAATAGGTTTCGGCTTCCTAACAACATTCGAGCCCTCGACCACCCATGCCGCCTGGATCGGGTGGCAAGTGATGCTGGGCATGGGCACTGGATTGGCATTCCCACAGCCGTGGTCAGCGATCCAGACAGCGCTCCCAGAAAAAGATGTGCCCCTCGGACTGGCAGGCGTAGGATTTGGAGTCAGCTTTGCCGCGGCAGTGTCGATCTCGATATGCGAGAATGTGTTTACGAATTTGCTCCGCAGCGGCTTGCAGGCGGCTGCTCTTCCCGGTGTTAATGCTGATGATGTAATCCAAGAGGGCGCGACGGGCTTCTTGCAGCATATCGCGGTGAGTGAGAGGGAATCGGTGTTGAGGATATATGACCACGCCGTGACAAGCTGCTTTTGGCTACCCGTCGCGGCCTGCTGCGTAGGGTTTGTTGCAGCATTGGGGATGAGCTGGAATTCGGTCAAGGAGAAGGAAAAGGAGAGCGATGAGGAGAAGAAGGGAAGTGGCAGTGAGAGTGAGCCGGTCCCGGAAACGCAGATGTAGGATTTTCTGGAATGTTGAGAATGCTTTCGGGACGCGTGAGGTTATCATGTCACCCTAAACCACATACACATATGTGCATCACTCTAATCCTGATGTAAGGGTCCGCATACTCGGCCGTCACGCCCAAGTTAGAATTTATAATAATAGCTAAGACTGAAGCAGTCAACTGCATGTGTTCCTCGAGGCTATCCCAAAATCAGCTGCAAGGCGGGAGAGAAAAGTCATGAAGGAATGAAGTAAGATGATATAGATTCTTCTAACTGAATGAATCAGGGTGATCCAAATAAAAATAAATGACGTCTGAATGGATGTAGCGGGAGACGTAGTCAGACCTCCAGGGCTCGCTCGGAAACTTCGTTTGAACTACAGTCCATATTGCAATGCAAACATTTGAACATTGACCTGAGCAGTTGGGCTGAGCTGTCGAGCTGCAAGGCTGATCACGATTGCACGTGTCATCATAACCTAACATTGAACACGCCTGAATCTTTGAATCCAGTAACATCAAGTGCTAATCTCGATCGTTAAGAATGAACGTCGGACAACACATGGACTATACATTTCACAGCGATATTGTATGATTTTCCGCCACCAATCACCGACCCCCAACCTTGGAACTACTCAAGTGCTGCACACCAACCTTCCTGAATCCTCCCAGCTCAAACCGTGCCTCGCAGAAAAGCCATCACGTCTTCCTCCCAAAATGGGCGCATCTTGTAAAGCCCCAACTTCTCTGGCATCGAATCAATCGCGTCCGCCAGCTCGATGCCGTTGCCCTCGCGCACAATGTCACGCAGACTGGTCATATACAGTCGGACACAAAAAACAATAGCCCCGGTCTCCGGGAGCACTTTGAGCGTTTGTCGCTCGTAGCGCAGCCAGGACTGGTCGATGTCGATCCTTTTAGCTTCGTTGGGAAGGGTATGGCCTTTCTCAGGGTAGAAGTTATTGCCGTCCAGACGCCAGAGGTCTTTGCCGTCGCACTGAAGACTCCACTGCACACACAACCCTTGTTAGAAAGATACTGTCAAAAGGGATGAAAGTGATAGGCAGTACTCACGTTAAAACGCTGCACCAGTTGCCCGTCCACCTTCATTCGGCGCACAAATTTATCGACTCCATTGGCAATGCGCTCTTCATAATGCGGCACGGGCAGGTGAATGTCCCGGAACGACATGCCCACTCGAGATGGCCCGTCAAACCCGCCGGGGAAGCACGAGATATATCCTTGCAATCGCCAGTCGCCTTGTCCATCGGGACACATGAGATAAAAGTCCTCCTCGACGTTACGGCAGAGCGTGCGCAGCGCCAGGTGGGGATCTTTACTGGCGCGCTCAACGTCGAAAGTCTGTTGCGTGATAAGGTTCGTGAGGATGTCGCCGTCCAGCCGGAACATGGAGGGGAAGTGCTTAGGGACATGGTCGATCATGACCTCCTTGAAGAGCTCGAGGATCGCCGGAGCGCTGATTTCGTTCACGCCGATTGTCCACTGCGGATTTTTCTCCATTACAGGGACGCGCTCGTTAAGTCGATCAAGATATCCCCAATCCATCTGTATCCAGTCCGACTGAGGGACCTTTTCGATGCCTTTATCACCAGGAGTCAGCGCAAGCACCGATTGAAAGGTAATATGATATCTTACCCATAGCAACATGCGTGCGAGTCTTGAAAGGTCGGTACGCTCGGGGTGGCTCTTTGCGAAAGTCGAAAGGCGGAACGACTACACTTGTTGCAACAATGGGCTTAAGCTTTAAGTTCAAGCTGCCAGCTTCGGCTTTCTCGTTGGCCTCAACTGGCTTCAGCGACTCACGCCCATTGTTTGGCGCTCGAAGGCTTCTGAACAAGACTGTAATTATGAAGGTTACGCCAACGAAGATGGCCGCAAGCCATGGGGGTATAGTAGTGACCATTGTGGACGTTGAAGACAAAAAGTGAGCTTCGGCACTTTTTGCCGACCTTGAAGTATCTTCATGAGTGCAGCAGTCCAGATACTGATATCTCCTAATCCGAGTAACGTGCTGGGAGAATAGTCCGACACCTGCATGAACCGCCGGTGGACACCCGCTTGAGCCCCGTCGAGCTCCCGGTGCCACACTAAGCTCCGGTAATAGTAGTCAATAGTAGTAAGACGAAGTAAGTACTGTCTGTGTCTGTCTCTCAAATTACCCATAAGCTATGAACAGTAGAGAGGTAGCAACAAGATGCCTTCAAACAGAAATCTTGTATCCGAGCCAGTTGGCGGAGGAGTCCTCTGCAAATTCGATCAACGGGTGACGGAAGATCCCACCAAGTGCGCAATTGTCTATGAAGATGAACAACTTACCTACTCAGAATTGGATCACCGCTCGCGCCAGCTCGCATCGAATTTAACACAGCATGGGGTCAGCCTGGAGGATATCGTGGCATTTTGTTTTCCTAAATCTGTCCACGCTGTCATTGCCATCCTCGCGATTCTTCGCTGTGGCGCTGCGTTCACGGCGCTTCCACCCGATGCACCGAAGGTTCGGAAAAATGAAATTTTGAGTGTCTGTAAACCCAAGGCTGGGACCAGTCCAACGAGATGGCCATGGAACATTCAGATCTGCCATAAGGCTTGTCGATATTTGCTATTTTCCTGCCCTTTCTAGAGGGCGGAGAGTCATCGCTTTCGACGACCATGATTCTTTCAGAGAGACGTGCAACAGCAGATCGCAGGCATATCGTTCATCCCCTTCGTGCAGGACCAGCGACAGCGCCAGCTCCCTACAGTCATGCGACAAGTGAATGAAATGACTGTTGCTCAACACCTGGAGACAAAGTCCTTTGCGTCACAATCAACTAAGCGCTGCGTTTTCTTCTGCCTCTGACAAGTGCGCGAGACGTCTTCATTGGTAGCTTGCCAGTTTCCGCCTCCTCCGCGCGTCAAAATTCTTCAAAAGACTGCCGCCAAGCGTGCTGCACTTTATCGGGAGCCAATAAGATCGGAGCAGGGGAGGTATTTAGATCTCTGCAGTCTTCGAACTCTTGACGAGCTTCAAGAGTTGTTCTTGTCTTAATCCACTTTCTTGGAATTGAGCCCAAGGGTCACTACACACATACTTGTCCTTGTAGCCTTTTCAATAATTCTTCTCTTGTTTACGGTAGCCCAACCGCATTTGACTCTAATCCTTACACTTACTCTACCGCACAAATCATAGATCATCAAGCAACCTGGATATAATCGTGCGCTCCTTCAAGAATCAAGTAAGAGTCATTACATTTGAACACCTTGTCGAGACCAATCGCCGATTACCGGTCCATTCTTATTGGATCGATGATCCTGACTCCCACTTGATTCGGCAGCTGAAGGGTAGCTGTCAGCTTTGAGCTGAATAAGCAAAGATTGGCTGGCAAATCAGGACGAAAGCTTCAATAAAATGAATGTGTGTGTAATTCTTAGCATGCATCCGATCGGGAGAGATAGGACCAGAGGCTTACTATCTAATAAAATGCACTAAACTAAATACAGAACCGGGCCTTTGACAGTAGCAGAGACTAATCAGTGGGCCCCATAACTAGATAGAAGATACACACCTCTTGCAACCCACCACATTCATTATCATTCGATTAATGCTATTTGGAATCGTAAAACTAGTCAAACTCACTTTCCCGGTACACCTAAAGTATTTCACCACTGAACGGGTCACACTACTGAACGGGTCAGTTTGACCCACTTATTTTTATGAATCCCAATAACTCCATTATTTACTATGTAATATAGTAAAAAAAAACTACTGAATGGGCCTACTAGGACAGGTTTCCCTCCTATGTCCAGGTGTCTTACATATCCCACACCGGCGTTGGGTTACAGGCGCCCTTACAGGCGCCTGGCCCTCTTGTAAATTGGCATCATTAAGTTTAGGGCCACCATTCGACGCGTCAACCAGGTCTAATCCCTCCTGAATTGTAAGACCCCCTACTACTGTTAATTGACGATTCGGACGTTCTTTTTGTTTTTTCTTTTTCTCATGGGCGGCGCGTAAATCTCTGTTTTCCAGGCGTAAGAGAGCATTCTCTTGATATAGGTAATTTGCACCCTTTACTATCTGGTCTAATGCTCTCTTAGATGGTGTTGGTGGCGTTCGAGATACAGTGCGTAATATAGCTTGGTGTTGACGTCGTAAATCTTTCTGCGTCCTAGGCGTCTTAGGTGTCCAATTTCGACTTGAATCGCTTCCTATAGAGGGTGGTGGTGGTGGTGTATCGACGCGCATAGTAAGCTTTTTTAACACCCTAGTAGGGTCAAGTGGCACGATTCCAGTTGCAGCAAACGCATTAGAAGCAGATGCAAATGCTTCAATACGCGCAGTAGGATATATCTCTAGGAAATCTCCTTTACTAATGTGGGAAAAACCAAGCTCTACTCTAGACTCAACCAGCCGAGAATAAGAGCGTTTTAACACCGCAAAACACCCAACATCAAGAGGTTGAAGAAGATGAGACGCATGCGCAGGCATACATAATGGTATAATATCATGCTCCTGGCAGATTTTGTCGAAATCAGGTGTTAAATGGCTACCATGGCCATCTAAGATCAGAAGGCGATACCGTCCTTTAGTACGAGCAGTAGCAGGTATAAAGAGCTTTTCAAGCCAACGGAGCCCTATTTGATTTGATGTCCAGCCATTAGGACTAATCTCAAGACGCCAATTAGGTGGTAAACCTAGATCAGGAGCAAACCAGCTCTGCATCATCACCTTACCCTTAAAGATAATACAGGGTGGAGGTGCGTAACCAGACGCGCCTAAACACTCTATCACAGTAACCCATTCCCGGTTACCAGGCTGTTTTTTTGCGCGTTTACCATAATAACCAGCTCTAGTAACCACTCTCGCGGTCGCACATCGTCCCATCGCAAACCCAGTCTCGTCAAAATTATAGATATCGTCGGTGGTGATACCATATTTTGCGATCGTGTTTTCAACCAGTTTGAACCAATTATTGATCACATTATAGTCCTCTTGACGCGCACGTGTAAAATCGCGCGGTGTTGAATAGGTCGTCTTAAGTTCAGGTAAACGCGTCGCAAACCTAGTAACCCAGTTTTTACCGATCGTAAGAGGAGGGTTGGTTCCGCGGTCGGCGAGTAGGATATTAGCCATTCTACCAACATCTTTAGTTCTAGGAGCACAGCCGCGATCATCTAGAGAGACGACCCATTGAAGTAATGAATCCTCTTCAGATTCAGTCAGTTTAGACTGCGGTGGGTGTGTTTCAAGACGAAATTGGACACCAGAATGGCGGCGTTGGAGGGTTGAAAATGGTATATTAAACATAGCTGCAGCTTTACGCATTGATGATATATCGCCATTCTTGTAAGCTTGGTAAGCTAATAAGACCCTATTCTCCTGATCCTGTTTGTCTTGGACATATAGAGCATTTAGGGGGGCATGGTGGGTAGTTGAAAATGGAAACACCAGACTGACGCGTAAAATTGGTGGGGTGACCCGTTCAGTAGTGTGACCCGTTCAGTGGTGAAATACTTTATACTCTATTCTGATAGATAAAAATAGATAGAGCGCCGGCGAGGATATAAATAACCACAATCATGCGCTCCTTCACGATCTTTGATAGTTATTGCAGTAGAGGGCTATACATTAAAGCAGATAAGAGATTGAGGGAATTGGATGGGTGCAGCTTATCTAGGTAATGGGAATTCAAATGCCGAAATGCTTAGAAATTAAAGTATAAAAATGAATTTATAAGCGTATGTTTTTCTAGACATGTTCATTGGGTTGGGTAAACCCATACCCAACCCAACCCAACCCACAATGGGCTGGGTATGGGTCAGAAATTTTACCCAAAACCCATATGGGTTGGGTATGGGTTTGAAGTAAAACCCACACCCAGCCCATAAACCCATCTTTTTGCCAAGACTTTTATCTCACGTGATATTTGTCACCTAGTTAGTACTAGATTGAGGCAAAAATTAGGCACTAAGGCACTAATTACCCTAATTTAGTTTAGGTTGAGGCGAAAATCAGGCATTAAGGCATCAAAAATACCCATATGGGTATGGGTTTACCTTACCCCTGATGGGTTGGGTATGGGTATGAATTTTGACCCATACCCAACCCATGCACATGTCTATGCGTTTGAAGATGCGTTTAATACTGCAATGCAAAAGGAGATCGACAGTCTTACTGAAAAGCGCACATTCTCAGTCGTCCCAAGGCCAAACGATAGATCAAAGCAGATTCTGCCCTTGAAATGGGTATATGCTTACAAGTTTGATGAGAATGGTTTACTCCTGAAGTGTAAAGCTCGTATCTGCGTACGCGGAGATATGGAGTGGATATCTACTGAAGAGAAACGTTCAGCTACACTAGCCATCAAAACTGTACGCATGCTATTCGCAATAATAGCTACATTCGATCTAGATGTACGTCAAAGAGACGCTGTCGCAGCTTTCCTGAACAGCTTCCTTGAAGATAAGGAGGTTTACACAGAGCTTCCCTCTGGCTTCAGGAGCACTAATGGCCAAGTTTGGCACCTCCATAAAGCACTATACGGATTACGCGTCTCACCAAAGCTCTGGCAGAAGGAGGCCTCTAGATTCCTGTTAGGCCTAGGTCTTACACAGTTACTAGAGGATCCATGTGTCTTTATAGGCGACGGAGTCATAATATTCTTCTATGTTGATGACTTCCTGATTGCTAGCCATAAGACAAAAGCTCAATACGCAAGACAACTTGAATCAGAACTCGAAAAAGCATGGGAACTGACTGATCACGGCGACGCAGAGTGGTTCCTGAACATACGCATTGTACGCGATCGTAAACAATGCAAGCTCTGGCTATACCAGGACAGCTATATTAACAGTATGGCTGCCCGTTTCGGCCGGAGTAACCGACCGTCAGTGGCTACACCAATGCCAATTGAAGAACTCTTACCTTATGAAGGAACTGCGTCGCCTGATGCGATCAAACTCTACCAGGAAAAGATTGGTTCAATACAGTATACAGCTACTATAACCAGGCCTGATGTAGCCAAACCAGCCACCAAACTGGCCCAATTCCTGCAGAACCCAGGTCCGCAGCATTCTGCTGCGGCAGACAGGACAATCACTTATCTGTTCCACACCAAGAACAGAGCACTCAGATATGGTTTGGGACACCATTCTGACCATTCAGAACATTCTGATGACACCTCTAACCCTGATTTCAGCCGAAATAAGGGTCAGATCAACGACACAACCCACCAATCTACAGGCACATCGGCACTAACCATCGCCAGTGACGCATCTTATGGTGACCATAAAGACCGTAAGAGCTCTGCAGGCATGATATGCATGCTCTTCGGCGGCCCTATAGATTGGAAGGCGTCTAAACAAAAGACGGTGACGTCCACTACCGAAGCAGAATTGCTTGGTTTATCGGACGCAGCCAAAACACTGGTATGGTGGAAGAGAGTACTAGTCCATGTTGGACTAGAAATGGAATACGACAATATAACTCTCGACTGCGACAACCAGAGAACAGTTGATCTGCTCACTAAAGAGGGAGCATTTGAGACCAAGCTACGTCACATAGACATACACCGCAGCTGGCTACGCCAGGAGGTGCAGGAAGGACGTATTAAGATCAGATGGGTCCCAACAAAGCTTATGGTGGCAGATGGCTTCACGAAAATCTTGCCAAAACAGAGATTTGACGCCTGGATTCGTCTTCTCAACTTGGAAGATATAAGTGAACTGCTCTAATCTAGGGTCTTACCCCTAGATTCAGAGGATTTAGAGCATCAACTGCCTAAATCAGGATATAGACTGCGTTTTTAGAGGGAATTGAGGCGATTCAACAGCCCAAATCGGCCCTGTGTTTAAGGCCAGTTTACACCTTGGAGGGGTGAAAACTGAAGGGGTGTGTCAAAGGCCCGATTCCATTTATAGTTAGTCTATTTTAGTCAGCATTGGAATCCCACAATGGGATTCCTCCATTCTACAATCTATACACATACACTCTTTGGTACGCATACTGCGTTCTCATTTGCCCACTAGAATCCACTATTCCTTGGTAGTCGACCTCCATTTGACACACTTTCCCATATCATTAGTAGTCAGCAGTCTGTTTTTCTAAGTTTATTTCCTTAAGTATCATGAAGCTATAGTTACTGTCTATCCTATCTGTTAATTCCTACTCATGTGGCCTTCTCACAATCTTTGATAGATATTATCTACCTAGTTATCTTCCTTTTGAAGATTCAGCGCTGTTTTGGTTACCTGACTAGGTAGGCCCTTCATGTGTGGGTGTAAGCTTTCAATGAATGTTGTCGCTACACCGGGGCGAGGCATCAGCTCGATGGCCTTGAGCATGGAGTTATATAGGGATGGGCTACATCCTGTTAAGCACAACAATTTTGGCTGTGTACGAACAGGTTATAGTTAACCTGAATACTATGTAACTCTACTACTTTGTATTATTGGATAGAATGACGGATCCACATCGGAGGAGAGATCATGATTGGATTCGATTTAAATACTCGACTCTCATTGGTCCTTATCTCTAAATAGTTGTATCCACAGGGGTTTTTTTCTCCTAGCAGTGCCAAGTTACTCCGCGGAGCTAAATATCTCAACACATGCAATTAAACCCCGCAAAAAGACCTTTTCCAAGTTTCGTCCTCTAGGATATAAACCACCAATTCCACCTAATTGCAACTGCAATTCAAAAGAAACCAGTGGATTCCCGTGTATCCATATTCTTCAATATCACGAAGATAAAGGATATCCTCTTCTGAGTTATTCCACCCATACTGGCACCTTTCTAGTACAAATACGCCCCAAATTGATCCAATACGCCTTAAGGATCCAATTTGTGTACAACAATGAGGGCGTCCACAAGGTGTACGAAACCGGATAACACAGAATAAACAGACATCACAGACACAGACATCGCAGACACAGACATCGCAGACACAGACATCGCAGACACAGACATCACAGACACAGACATCGCAGACACAGACATCGCAGACACAGACATCGCAGAACACACAGGTGACACAGAATGACCGGTAAATCCGTCGAGAGTCATCTTCTTTTGAGTATGCATTATCACAGGAAGGAGTTGGAGGTAAGATTCGGGGAACGACCATAAATGCTGCTCGGAATGCTGCTCATCGCGCCGGCGTGGCTGAAAAACGGGATATTGAAAGAACCTTAGGTGGTGACGACACCCAAGATGCTTCAAGACCTGTTCGCACTCAGCGGCGAGCTGAGGATCCTGCCCATCTTTATCTATGAATAGTCAATAGAAAGTGCTCTGATTACTTCAAAACAAACCTGTATAGCAATACAGTAAGATATAACCTTAAGTATGCAAACCAGAATGCAAAACGGACTGATTACCGTAACTAAACATTGAGATATTTAGAGATGGAAGAAAGAAAGTGGGTTGCGACCGAAGCCAAATATCGCAGGCCGAATCAATAATTCGGGCTGAATATCTGGCAGAATAATTGATGCCTTAAAATCTTAAGAACCAGGGGGGTAAACCTAGCAATCCCCTAGAATGAATACACCTCTCCCCTCATTTTAAGGACTCCCTATCTTCACTGTGCTTTCCTTTGTTACTGTAATTGTGGTTATTTCTCCCGAGCTGAATCAACCTACACGTTCTGACCGTGCTGCCTAGAACTACCTAGGTGGAATCAATTTGGCAGGGTTCATGAGGTGAATGATGGAGCATACTTCTATCTACAAGGGTAATTGTTTTGAGTACGGATTACGTTGGCGTGAAAAGCGGAAAGTGGAGACTCAAGTCGATCCACACAACAAAGTGAATGTTTACCTTCAGGTTCTTGACCCAACCAGTTCAAATTATTGAGATTTACAGTCTGGTTTCTCTCCAATTTCCCTTTTTTGTTCATCACCATCTCTACTCTCTACTTATAATGTCTATTATCACCCTGCGCTCTGATATCTCTCAATATGACTTCAAACGAGGGAAATACTGGAATCACGAATCGCCATTCCTGCCCGTCGACTGGGAGCAAATAAACTCAGAAACTGGGGCGCCCTCACTCAAACATTCAGCAATGAGATATGCCCTTCAGGACCAGTCGCAGCTCAAAGCTTTCATGTTCAAGAATATCCCTTGGCTATTGGCAAAGTATCTCTGGGATTGCTTGGACAGATGGTAGAACCCTATTCTCCCTTGGTTTGACTCGTCGTCTCTAATTGGTTCTGTAGCAACAAACAAACATTACACATGTGGACAATCATGGCCACGGTGTATCCTGACTACTTCTTCACATCATGTCGACGCTACCGTCTGATGACTGGTATTCCAGTACCGCCCGTGAAGAATTATATTGAGATGATGTCAAGTGATTCCTGCAACTGGCGTGCAATACTGTCTCTGTCTTCTACTTGGGCCACTGTGGCTGATTTGGTTTCCATTGGGAATATGAAAAACCTAGTAGCTCTCGAGATTCACAAAAGCCCCGCGGCGAATAATTCCGAGGGGCACTGGGATATGGAAGACCGCATCGTTCGCAGCTGGGTTGACATGGCCAAGGATTTATCCTCACTACAGCACCTTCGTGTTTTGAAGTTCCGCCACCAGAATGAGTTAACTTCCAATATTTTCCGCATGTTGAAGCAACTACCACAGCTGCAAATGATTGTCATGGAGGATTGTGGAAGATTCAATAGGGACGACATAGATGGATGGTACCCCCGACGACTGGATACAATAATTGACAAGGTAGCAGGAACCGACATCCAACACAATCTCAGACTCTCGTATATATACGATGGGATACCACGCCATCTCAAATCCTACCCTTTTAACGATATGATGGAGCTGGAGCCATCGGCATTAAATAACCCAGATGATCACAAAGCTTTGACCATGGAGTTTCAGCTACCAGTGGTGGATCGCGAACCATCTGGTTTACTACTAAGACCTTCAAGTTCTGGTTTTGAAAACGCTGTAACGTGTTTTGTTCGGATGTCTTCGAACAAGCTAGAGGGCCCAAATGGCCCAAAGTCCAAGTGGCCCAAAACGAAAGTTCAGAAGCGAGTGTTGAAATCCCGAGGCCGAGATATGGCAGATCTGCTAAGAGAGTTTTGTTAATTGTTTTGATAGCAAGGATTTACATTAACCTGCAATAATGTACCAAAATGGTATTATAAGTGTTGTGTACGTACTTCGGAAAAAAAAATAAAAATAAAAATAAAAATAAAAATAAAAAATAAAAAAGAAATAACTAATCGGCCATGACATAATCCGATGATATCAGGCAATCTGCGCCCAATGATTGGTCCGGTCATCCAAACCCCCGCGACCATCCTCCTCTTGCCTTCTCCAACTGTTTCTCTCGTCTAAGATCCAAGTCATGGCTGACAGTCAACTTCGCCGGGAAGCTTCCGATGCCTCCCTAAATACAACTGCCGGTATAAACGGCTCTGCTGTAACTTCACCTCGGTCCAGCTCTGAAATTCGGCCCTCCAACCGTAATCAACACCGTGTGTCACATTTGACTCAGTCAAACCATCAACACCGTCAGAGCTTGAGCGAGTCCTTGCGTGGTCCTCCCGGCTCCCCTCGATCACGAAGACAGCCATCCCTCACCCAGTCCGCTATACAGAGTCTCATCGATAACCCACCCCCACCAAAGAATGTCGATCCGGCTTTTATTGGTCGGGACTGGCAAGCGATCTCCATTGGAGAACTGGTCAGTCTGGAGGACGTGCGCTTTGTAGAGTTGGACACTGGTATTGAGGAGGCCACAAATGTAGGTCTCACAAATATGCTAGCTGTCTGCGTTGAGATTGGACTGACATATTTTGAAGATACTAATCGATTCGGGTGCGCCGGTCTTATTGATTCGTGAAACCCCCGAAGACAACTCTGCTGTTGCAACATTTGATTATTCAGATCTCAATACCTATCTGCTTCTGGCTGCTGGTCTAGCTCATCCAGGAGACCAACAGCGCGCAGCCTATGAGGTGCTTGCCAATAAAGCCCAAGAAGGCGAAAAGATCCCTCTCAAGGATGTCAAAAGCTTGGGCATGGAGAAGGAACCGCTTGTCACGCTGCCCGCATCGGCAAATATGGTCAAGGCAGTTGAGACTTTCGGCGGCGGCATCCATCGTGTAGTGGTAACTAAAGAGGAGTCGAAAGACAGTGAGGTTGTCGGCGTTTTTAGTCAGTTTCGACTGGTCAAGTTCCTTTGGGAAAATGGACGCAGTTTTCCAGCGATTGAAGAATTATATCCTCAGGCTCTGCGCGACTTGAAAATTGGGTCTCAGGATGTGATCTCCATCAAGTGAGTCCCTGACACTTTCCTGGTATGACCCAACTCTAACCTTAGTCAGTGGTGACAAACTCCTCGTTGAGGCTCTTCAAGTCATGAACAACGAGGGTATTACTTCCCTTGTCGTAGTGGATAATCATTTCAACGTGATTGGAAATATTTCTACAACAGACGTGAAGGTAGCTACTATAAACTCTTTCTATTCATTCATATACTGACTGATCTGTTAGCTGCTGACACGGACTTCGTCGATACCGCTACTTCAAAATACCTGTACTCATTTTATCTCGGTTATCCTTTCCACTCGAGGCCTGATTGAAGGGCAAGACTCGTTTCCAGTATTCCACGTCAATCCGAGTTCGACTCTGGCTCATACTGTCGCAAAAATTGTTGCGACTAAATCACACCGGTACCTTATCAAATTGCCCACGCCAACAAAAGCGCAGTCTACTGATCATCACCAGACTTTGGATAACCGACCCACAATCTCCAGCCTCATCAGCACCTCCGACCCCCTCGCACTCTAGCACCCATATCCCCCTGCCCACGCCCACCAGCATTCCTGTGAATTGGCCCAGCAGTGCTATCTCTCCACCCCCATCGCCTCTTCCCGTTGGTATAACCTCACTACAACCTCTCAATCCCACCGCATCGCAGTCTTCTGTCCCATTTAACCCCACTGTGTCAAGCAGCATCAACCCACCTCTTGCCACATCCATTCCTGCCTCAACACTGCCCGGTAGCCGTTTGTCAGGACGGCTGGTCGGTGTTGTCAGCTTGACAGATATTCTGAATCTACACGCTCGTGTGAGCGGTCTAAGCCCGGCCGACCCGGCGGAGACCCGACGACGCCGTCGCAGTAGCAGCTCATCGAGCCTGTCTGTCCGTCGCAGTGGTGAAATCGGGCGAGAATTGTTTAGCCGCGGTATCTAAAGGTAGCCGCGGGTTATATTTCTAAGTCTAAGTAATGGGAAAAGCGTTCTGCCACAATTGCAATTGTATGTCTCAAAATATTTCATATTCATATGTCGGCATTTGCTTTTCCCTCACTATCGTTATTAAACAAGGGCTATGGAAGAGTAGCCGATACGCCGTTTTTACCTTATCACATCACTTTGGAGGTACTTTTTTTGCTCGGAGTTTTGAGCTTTTCGACATGGACGTGTTTCCGTATTGTCGGATCTTACGACTAGCCTCTCTAGTCTAGCCTCTCTCGACAGCGCGTCTCTCGGCTCCTTTGTCTCTCGGCTTCTTCCGTGCGGATTATTACCCATTCGGAAAACCTCTCCTGCGCCCCTCTCAGCGCCGTTTCACGTCGTCTTCTTCCATTCGGAAGGATCCGCCAGTCCCCAATTGTCGGTTTGTCTTAAATTATTTGTCGTATTCGTTGGGCAGTTTCACCGGATTTTCCCCAAAGGGTAGTACTCACTAAATAAACAATGGAATTATAATTGAATTTAGCTCGTAATAGGGATGAAGGATCATTTATTATCTTTAGTGCTTACTTGATGCACGTCTGGTGCATCAACTCTAACCTTAACACTTATGACTCCTTCCTAAACAGGACCTGATAATCGGTAAAGCGCAGATCCAGACGTACCTTTTTTTTCTTTACTTACATGAAAGGTAAATTTGTGCATGCTGTGGCTTGTATCCGTACTCCGCTCTATTACGCAGTACAAGTGCAGATCTATGTCTAAGCCCCAAGTCCCAGGCCAAGCCTCCAGGGCCAAGTGCTATGTGTAGGTTTTGGTTTATTTGCCGACGTAGATATACAGAATGGACTAAGGGGGGCCCACAGTGTAAAAAAGACAAAAAAAAATGCAGACACGTGGACATTCAAACTAGAAAAACCTGCCAAGCCGAGATTGTCTGGTCTAGAAGTGGACTGGACTGTATTATGGCATCAACCTGGGCGATCATGGCATCAATAAGACGACCCATAAGGAAAAGATAGACTACTAGCCCGCATTCACTTGGCTCAGCCCTTCTACAAGCATATGGTATCAACGGTCAGCGTAGTATCAACCTAGGTAATTATCTATTGATCAGGACGAAAACGTGTTATCGGGGAGACTAACAGAGTATACCGGACTGTACCCATGGATGGTCTATCTTGCATATCACCCAAACTATGCGGAAATCTCGCTATACTCAGCAACGCATGCCAATGGTATGGCTGGAGCTGGGACAACAAAGAAAGTCAATTGGCGTCGTACTACGATAGCATAGTTCAACTAAGACGCAAATCTAGGTTCCAACCTTCATTCCCTGACTCGTTATGTGTTCAAGTATGAAGTCATATGCCGCGAGACTGACAAACGGCTAACTAAAACGAGTTCTGATTAGAGTTCTAGTTCTAGTTCTAGTCCTAGGATATGGCGACGCCGGATTAGGGCAATAAGTTCCGATTGGGGAGTGTAATCTGGTTGGAGTTGCCCATGTTGCCTTTTTTCCCCATTGGTTAATCTTTCGGTGGCGCAGCGTATGGACTAGTCGCTGTTAGTTCAAAGGCTAAGTTATTCATGTCATCTAGATTAGGTAGGATTTACCAACTGAGAGGAACTATTTGTTTCAAGTTTCAACGTTGATCAGCACTATGATTAATGTGATAGATCGCTTTGATCGCTTTCCAAGTCTAGACTTTATCTATTTCGGATCGTGAGGGTCACTGTTAGCGCTTATCCTAAGCACTAAAAAAAACACCTAACCTAGGGAGATAGGCATTAAGAACCTTAGCAGTTTAAGTTACAAATGTTTGCTAACAATTGGAAGGTACCTATGTAGAAGCCTCGATATATAAAGTGGGTATCCAATCTTAAGACGCAGTCGATCAATTGTACAGCTCCAGTGGAACTAGTACTTAGACTGGGGCGACCCAAAATATGAATATGAAGGGGCTTGCGGGAGATATACCACCACTTTGGTCGAATAGGAAGCGGGGTGATTGGGCGATCTTCTGATATGGTGACTCGTCTCGATCTGGAATTTGCTAGTTCCATGAAGTTCAAATTTACTATCTCTTTTATCGGAGAGACGTATAGCCCGTACAAGAGGCTCCCTCTTCGGCACTAGTTTATAACGTGGAGGACCTCCTTAGAAGCAAAACGGGTAGGATTAAACGTGTATGCATAGTTAGTGTAAACGGTAACTGCTATTCACCGGTATCTTCTATCCAAGTAAGCGTCGTACCAATGGTCCATCTGCATCATCGCACGGGGTCTAGCATGCTAGTACCAAGGAATCAAAGTTTGAACCAGCAAATCCCAAGACTCAATTCCATGGGCCGACATGTGGCGTTATGAGCTAGTCCCAAAACGGAAGAGCGTGGCATGTAAGCTGCAACTTTAACCCCGCAGTATTCTTTAATTCCATATTGTACTTGTGTAGTTTTTTATTAGTGCGCTTGAGAAATCTGATTATTAAGTCTTGATAAGAATGAGGTACTTGTTCACTAGTTTCAGCTTAGCTAGGTATTGATCTAGCCAATTATTCAATTATAAAGGTGCCCCTAGTAACAAAGTAAGAAGATCGACAATCTCGATCCAGAGTTGGAAAGCCTGCAAGGCCCACCTGACCAGAACTTTAGAATCCGAACCTCATGTCAGATGAAGTGGATTTGTAAGATTCCATAATCAGATTGGTAACAAACTTAAGTCATTTTGAATCGCAAACTTTCTCCGCAATCATTCATTGGAGCCAATTTCAAATTGGACTCCAACGGTTCATACTTTTGAAAAGTTTGGATGTATTTTTTCCCCGTAGAATTCATATGACAAATTATTTTTATTTCCTGTCTCCAGTATAGAAACTCAGTTGAAAACTCTGACAGCTGTCTGTTTCCAAGTTCGTCTCTGTCTTGGTAGCGGGATTTCCATACCTCGAAGACCCGTTTTAGCTGGCACGGCCCGTCAGATAGATCATCTAATTTTTCCAAGGTTCAAGGTATGAGGATAGCAAAAAAGTGGAGAGATAACTGAACTGGATCGAGTTCTGAGTTTTATGAGGTCAACTTCCAATGCCGGAATAGGGAATTGACTGTTTGCGGTGGATGCAACCTGCAACTGCGCGATTTACACATAGCTTTCACAACGCCAATCTACAGAGCGGAAAGTTAAAAAGAATAAATAGTAATAGTTTTGGTGGAAAGTTTAGCGAAGTCAGCAACAGGATAAGAATAGGATCGCTGGTCCGTACCAAAGTCAATCAACTCCATCAGTTCCAAAAGTCAAAGATTATCAGTGGTAGGGTAGTAGTAGTAGTACAAAGTACAAAGCAAATATACAGAATGCATCATGTACATTAAGGGAGTGATGAACAAGAAATGGTCCCCGGGAATCATGAAAACAAAAGAGGGAGAGATAAAGGAATACACAAGAAAGGAAAAGAAAGGAAAAGAAAGGAAAAGAAAGGAAAAGAAAGGAAAAGAAAGGAAAAGAAAGGAAAAGAAAGGAAAAGAAAGGAAAAGAAAGGAAAAGAAAGGAAAAGAAAGGAGTGTAGTTAGCAAGAGACCGTGCCAAAGTCGTCGAGGGCAACAAATTCTTCAAACCCGTAGTTATCACGCTCCTGTGGTGAACTGTCCAGTCCCAACGCGAACTGACTGAACTCATTAAAGTCCGGGTCCAGTCCCTCGTGTGAGACCATTAAACCTTCAGCTTCCTCCTTGGGTTGAGGCATCCCTTGTATGCCGATATTACGGGGCGACAGGGGTGTGTTAGGGGTCGGGCAGAAACTGGGGCTAGAGTGGGTTTCAGCGTAGAACGGCCCGACGCCAGAGCCGTTACTGGAATTGACCATCTGTCCAAGGTTGGTAGGCTGGGTGAGCAGGTTCAAATGGGGATAGTGGTTGCTTGGCTGAGAGAGTCCGCGACTGTGACCGTAGTGTGAGCTGGGGCCGGATATAGATGCGGTGGGCATAGGTGTGGGGATGTGTTGGAGAGGGAGTTCCGGGGCAGAAGCCAGTCGGTCTCTGAACTGCCGCATCTGGATAGCCGCTGCAGTGTCTGTGGGCATCTGGGCCTGTTGCATCATCTGCTGCTGCCACATATGCACTGCCTGACTTTCTGTCGGGGTCTGGGTGGGGGTGGGGACGTGCTGTTGCATAGCGGCCCAGGACGGTTGACCCATCTGCTGCTGGTTCCAAACTGAGCCTGGTGTCTGGGAGGTCACATATGCTGGGATTTGGCCCTGAGTGGACCCAGAGCTCATCATATTATTGCCGTATGAGGAAGTATCGGCCTCGATACAGTTCACGTAGGAATGAGGGCTGGAATCAAACGTTGTCGCAGGTGATAGAGCGTAGCTTTCTCCAGTGGTAATGGGACTGGCCATAGTGCTAGATTGCATGCCCTGTTGGAATGGCGAACGAAGATTTGTCAAGTCCAGACTCATCTTATTAGAATTTGAGTGCGAATCCACCGGCATACGGGGTGTTCCACTTGCTCTGCGATTTGCAATCGAGGATGCAGATGGTGTTGAGTTTGCTCGTGCGGCAAATGCTGCTAGGAGATGACGATGGAATTGTTCTTCAATCTGCATGTTTTGTGCCTGGAGCATGCGTATGCGCTTCTCCTGATATCGCTCGTCCACTTCTTCATACATGGCCTCCTTCTCAACAATATCCTTGGTGATATGGAAAGCCTTGCCTGTGCGCTTCTTGTGCAACAAGGAGGCTCTGTTGGCAGATTCCAGCCGTGCATCTAAGCTACGATCTTTTCGCCGTGAAGCAGCGATAAAGGCTCTGCAAAAGGTTAAAAAAATATTGACGGTAAGGTGCGGGGGGATAAAAACATACCTCTCCTGGTTCTCCTCACGAGAACGAGGGACAGGAGTAATATCCTGATCAAGACTTGGTGAAGTCATAGTTTTATATCAATATAGTATGTTGAAGTAATAAGCTTGTACAAGGGGCGAAGCCACAAGATTAAATAGAAGGAAGGAGGGGCTCAGGTAAACCGCAAGGCCCCAGCTGTCAGGCCCCCGTTTTGCACTGTCAGTCTTGGAGAAATAAAGAAATGAATCCATGGAACGATGGGAAGAGCAATCGAGGTTTGTATGCCAAGGGAAAGTCTCTCTCAAAGTGGAACCATGGGTCTTTTTTAGTCTGCTAGTGTTTCCCAATGCGCCACATTAATTCAAATACGAACAAAATAATACCGGTTATTTCACTTATTTTACTTATTTTACTGATTTTACTTATTTTTCTCGCTTTACTTCTTTTGTTTTATTTTATTTATATTATCATGTAAATCTCTACCCGTTATCCAACTTTATGCCTGCTTAGTTCTTATGCAATGGAAATCTTCCAAAAAATTAAAAGCCTAGAACTGGTAGTGGGGATAGAAGGTACCACCCACGAGGTGACTATGTACTGTTGCAGATCGATTCTTCCTCTTCTTTCCTACACTGTTACACTTATAGAGAGTTCTAGACTCAACCCAAAGAGATCTGCTGGTGGATTCGATGGCAGAATCAAATCTCGATGAAAACGGATCTCTAGACCCAACCAACACCTTCGATGGAGAAACTTCCCAATCGGTCTCAAGGCGGGGGGAGGGGGTAAATCTAGAAGAAGTTGTTGTGTATCTATTGTGAAAGAGGCCGATCTTAGGGTTATTCTCCTTATTGGGGGCAGTCCTACCGAGTGGCATTCCGGCTATACGCTTACGCCAGATCATTTCGGACGACCTCGGTGCCCAGCTGTGTACTGTGAGCCTCAATCTTATGAGAGAACAAACTCTCCTGGCCTCTCGCTCTACTGATGAGTCGCTAATGGTGAATGGTCAATGGTCAATGGTTCGAGATTGCGGGGTTCTTCGCTTCTGTCTTGTTCTCGCCACTCTACAATTTCACGGTCTAGATCTGTCACATCCGGCCGAGTATACAAAGTACATCCTATCTGAACCTTTTCCATTCTTACTTTTTGTTCTCTGTTGGCAGGTCGGGAGATCTAATCGCTTCTCTGAACCGAACCCTGGATGAACCGGAGGATACTTACTAGTTTAGCTTATCTACCTTACGAAGTCTATGCACAGTAACGGAGATCACCGTAGATTAAGTAATATTAAGTATAACTTCTTAACTCCAATTTCTGATCCCTGTGTAATGCTGCAGGGCTGAATTTCATTCAGGAAGTTAGGGTTAGTGAAGTAGTGGAGATCGTAGATCATCTCCACTGCTGATCGCTCCTATTTGTGTGAAGGATGCGGAAATGTCTTCACTAATGTGAGACTATTTGAACTAGTGGTAGACCGAATAGGCAGGAAGAAGTAAGATTTCACGAGAGAAATAACCAAGTTCAGATTAGGGCAAATAATACAGGAACAAAATCTTATAGACAGGAAGTACGCTAAGGTTCTCAAAGGTTAAAGGACACAGAACCAAGGAGGACTGAGAACCGCTCGAGGGGCCGCGAAAGCTTTAACCCCCAATTGCTTAATGGGCAAAAGCCAAACTGGCGCTATTCTATTCAAACCGAAAAATGGTGGCTATGGCAAAGACCTTGGAGAAATAGCTTCACTGTTTTTCTTGTCGTTGACGTCGCCGGGCGTGGAATTTTCCTTTTAGAAAATACCCAGAGGTGGAACCATCCCCTGCTCCTCTCGAGGTTCGGTACCAAGCATGTACGACACCTTGAACCGCAGTTTAATAGAATTGCCTTTGCCTGAGTCAATGCCGTCTAGGAGCATCTCCTGATGCACGCCATACTGTTGCTGTGGTGCGATGTCTCGGCCAGACTGCGGTCGGAGCTTGAGAGTATAGGACTACGGTTGATTAATGATTAGATCTGTACCAAAAAAAGGAGACGGATGGCTTACCTTTTCTACGGCAACCTGGAAATGAAGATTGCCGATTGGCTGATCTGTGCTATTGGAGAACAATGCCTTGACATAAATCTGGCGGGGGTTTGCCTGGATCCGTCGGGCTTGGAATTCAATCCGAAGCTGCGATTCCAGGACCCGCACCTGGTTAGTTCCTGGCAGTGTATTGCTCTGTGGCAGAGATGATGCGAAGTTCCATTCGTCATCATCTGCAGCTGCCTGTGCAGGCTGTGGAGAACTGGTACCTCCTGCTAGGTCGAACAGGGATGATGCACCTGGGGGAGCGGGACTGAATGAAGTGGGAGGCTGGAACGCTCCACTGACAGGCCGAGGACTGGCAGATACCAGCGAGGCAAATGGATCAGCCGCCGGCGGCGTCGCCGTCGACCGAACAAGCGGCGAGGGCCCAGGAACTGGGGTGGAAGACTGGGAGACAGAACGAGAGTTGCTTATCGATGCAAGCATGTCATAATTGGCTTTGAATGCTGCTGGAGATTGCTGTGCATGTTGTGTTGATGCAATAGGCGGTGATGGGCCCGACATTGTGGGGGATCCCATGGAAATACCTTGAGAGGACCCGAGGGAGATTCCACCACCGAAAGAAGCGCTCTCGCCACCCAAGGAGAGACCAAGTAAATCATTATCTAGCGAGTTGCCTGGCTGGGACGATTCGGCCAAGTTGCCGTTAGAGCTAGGCTCTGGGTCGAAGTCAATCAGAGACAGCTCGTTGTTGGCGTTCTTGGAAACTCCAGTAGTGGTTCCCAAGGTGCCCTTTGGAATCTTCGATGCAGCATCCACGTCGCCTTTCTTGATCAGTTTGTATCGCTCGATGGTACGATGAATGCTGTCGTTAATCTCTAATAGCTTGTGAACGGCCTCTGGATCGTCAGATTCTTCTTCGCACATCTTCTGGATCTTGGGATGAGCACTTTGCAAAGCATTTGCAAGTTCCTATAATTATGTCAGTCAATGCCTCATTAAATTCTTCTATGAACATTACCTCGAAAACATCACCACCCTCTGGGATAGGATCCCCAGGCTGTTGATTTTGTAGCATCTCCTCCAAAATTTTGGCCTTCTGTTGTACCTGACCGACCTCCTCCGCAGCTTTCGCTCGGTAGTCAGTTTTGTGCCTATTATCGTATCCCGCCATGACCTTCATTAGCCGGTTAGCCTCCTGTAGATCTGCCGGCGTACCACGACGAATTAGTTCTTGGAGCTTAGCGGACTGTGCCTCTCTCTCTTCCTCTTCCATTTCCTCGGCCGAACGAAGATTCTGCATAAGTTAGTAACAAGTAATAAGTAAAAAAAAAAGTCCCATACATACGTCACTAGGGTTTAAAACGGCAGCATCTTCGCGACGAACTTCAGGAAACGCGTAGCCTTTGTAGAGTAGGAGGCGATGCATATCCCGAATGAAGCCCAAGTCCTCTTTATAGCGTGAAGTTTGGCAAATGGTTTGCCGCCACTCCTCGATTGACTCTAAAATGCGGTGCTGGACCCGCGAGGGGCGCATAGGCGGCCGTTCGGGGAATCTTCGAACCAATTCATTCAGGAACTCTTTTGTGCTAATCTGGAGCTGGAACGGGTATCCGCAATTCTTCACGCAAATATCGAGGAGCTATTCCGAATTGTCAGTTCACTGCTGTCCCGCCAGGCTGTCCTTCCAAACATACCGCCAAAGCTAGCAACGCGACGTTCTGATTTCGGGCATTGATCAGTTGAACGATTTCGACAGCAGATTCTCGAGGTCTATTCTATAAATCAGTATACGCGACGTAGCCTGTCGGTCTGATCTCACATACGCATTGCCTTTCTTGGAGTTGATCAGGTCCGCGACTTCGAGGTTCAGGGCCAGATTAGGCTCGTAGTTTTGCGGGTCGCATGCATTGCCTAGTCCATAAAAAACATTATTATGCTGATCCGAAGCATCAATGAGGCAGAGTAAACTCACGAATTGCCCGCTGTAGCGGTGTTAGTCCCGGCTCAGCATAGGCACCGAAGCGGTCCCTAGCTGCCATACGTGCGGAAGCAGCCTCCAGGGTGACGGTTGGAAGAGATTAAATATAGGGGAGGATGTGGGGGTTATCACCAAGAAATTAAGGAGCCGATCTTACACGATGTTAGATAGCGGGATGAGAGAGACCCCCTCCAGGTGTTGTAGATGGAGAAGACCCGGGCGGAGAAGCACGTGTGGCGCTTAATACCTTCTGGAATTTTTTTCCCTTCAACTACAACTACATCACACCTCACGACATTCAGCTTTTGAACAATCTCTCCAAATATGGTCCGCCATAAGAAAGATAACTTCGCTCGAGGAGGCAAAAAATTCTCCTCAAACCCCCGCCCACGAGTACCCCGCGACGATGGTGATGCTGGTACTTCGTCTCGGCCTGCTTACCGCGCTGCATGCTGGGATATGGGACACTGCGATCCCAAGCGATGCTCGGGGAAACGACTTATGAAACTTGGTCTGATGCGAGAACTACATGTTGGCCAGCGATTCCCCGGTGTCATTATCTCGTGAGTTCAATTCTTGGCTCTTAAAGTCGTATATACTAACGTGCGCAATCAGACCCAATGCCAAGCGCGTTGTATCTCCGGCCGACCGTGAACTTATGGAACAGCATGGTACCGCGGTTGTAGAGTGTTCTTGGGTGCGAGTCAAGGAAGTGCCCTGGTCGCGAATTGGCGGAAAATGCGAACGTCTTTGTATGTGATCTATGTTTGTGACATGGTGCTCCAAAAACTAATCTTCATTTCTAGTGCCATATCTAATCGCCGCTAACACCGTCAACTATGGCAAACCATGGAGACTGAATTGTGTCGAAGCGCTTGCGGCCTGCTTTGCTATTTGTGGACATAGGGAATGGGCAGAGGATGTTCTCAAGAACTTCAGTTACGGACCAGCCTTCCTCGAAATCAACTCCGAGCTACTTGATCGTTATGCTGCCTGCGAAACAGAAGAGGAGGTGAAAAAAGCCGAGGAGGACTGGCTGGCCAAGATTGAAAAAGAGTACGAGGACAATCGTGCCGAAGATGGAGATATCTGGGCAGCCGGCAATACGAATCGCAACACGAATCGAGAAGTCGACTCAGATGATGAGGAAGAGAGTGGAGAAGATGGTAGCGAGGGTGAGGATAATGAAAGCGAAGAAGATGAAGACAAAGACCCATTTGCGATCTCCGATGACTCGGAGGATGAAGACCAGATGGCCGAGATTCGTCAGAAGATTCTCAACTCTAAAGCATTCCAGAACCCATCTGTACCGGATAAACAACAGCCAGAGAAGATTGAGCGACCAGTGCCAGCTTATGTGGACTCAGATGCCGAGTCTGGGTCGGCGGGCAGCGAAGACGAAGATTTTGACAACATCATCAACGCGACCACAGTTACAGATCGTACTGGAATCAAGGCAATTCAACGGCGTCGAGCTCAAGAAACCGTCAGTGCTTCATTTAGTCGGACAGAACTCTCGGCGCCAAAGAGATGGTGAAAATAAGCCGAATAGCAATGAACGAACTCCAATGACGAGATATGTTGCGATTCCGCTCAAATGATTCAATGTTCATCGTAAGGCCGAATTGGCTATATCCTCGATACAGCGCGTTGGTCAGGTGGCACCGACACATAGTGTCATATAATCACAGGGTTATGATTTGAGCACTCATGACCGGTCTATGCAGTGAGAAACAGCAAAACACTACCGAACGCAATAGACGTCGAGATATCGCCAGGACTTCAGAAGGTCATTCCTCTGAATCTTCACTTGAAGCTTAAGCCACAATTGCCACCTTCTGCAGGCACTCAACCACGACATATTAAACGGAAGCTAGCAAAATAGATTCTCATTCAACACGCCAATTGAACATGTTCCTATTTCCGCGTAAAGACCGTCTGATCTGCTGTTTCTGGTGATTTTTGGCATCGAGGGCAATCATGCACTTGGTGTCGAGGCCACGCGTGCGTCAATGAGTGTGCAGTTGAATCGGTAGCGAAGGGGTTGGGCTCGTTATAGCTTGGAAGCATGCTAGCTCGGCGATGCTTCTGGGTAGGAGTTCTCGAACGATATAGGTGTGGTCCTGTATGAAACATGGCTTGTGTAGTCCTGCCTAGGTGGTATGGTCGCTCATGGAAAATTTCGAAACCAACCATTCAAACAGCTTTACCAGATGACCCGCATATGGAGCCAACAGAGATCTTATTATACTTCCACGGAAACTTGAAAGGGGTCTTCTGAAGGGTTTATCCCTAGCCTGACATCGTGCTTTTGTGGCTCCACTGCAAGGACCAACACCCAATACCTGCAAGGTACCGTCCGGAAATCAGATCCATGGATATCGTCTTTAACTCAAGTCATGTTTCGCCCGCTCGTTTCCTTGTCTGAATGAGTTCCGCCCATCTGAGCATAGTCCAAAGATACTAAGTTAGCGCCGATTTCAGAAGAATATTGCACACAATTTGACGGTGCTGTATATATCAAAGCAACATTGAAAGTAATGATTTAGAACCTTGGAATCACTGCCAGATAAAATCAATTGGAAGAAGATAAGCTTAAAGCGCCGCAAACCCAGGTCTCAGTTACCCCTTGGAACTACTGGGGTTGGTTAATATGATGCTATCTCGCGCCTCTCCAAACTATATTCCAAGAACATGGGTGTAGTATCTTCGAACCTTTTGTAAAAAAAAAAAAAAAAAAAGTAGAAAAGCAGATGATGTGCAATCAATGAATTGAACAGGTGATTTTGTAGTCGATGGAATGATACAAATCAAGCTCCAACTATGGACTTCGGAAGTAAAGATATCAGGGATGAGCCTACAATAGGGCTAAAGATAGCACGGCCAGTAACCCATGAAAGGATACCATGACAGATTGCATACAAGCGTACCTAGGTATATGGGCATGGCATTTTGCTCAACCCCTAGAGGTTATCCCAGTTTCGCCCTTGTCGTTCATCTCTATTCCATAGCTCCAGTGTCAAGTCTCCATGAAACGTACGTAAGCGTCGAGACTGACGTAATTTCCCCATTGTTTCCAAGGTTGCAGCGACTCTCATGCATAGAGCGAAATCTTCTCTGGGCAGATGACTTGAATGGGGACGAGCAGGATCGACTTCCGAGGTCAGGTCCACGAGTAAAGGGAGACCTCAGGATGTCGTAAAAGTTATAGTACAACCTTGGAAATGCGCCACCTTTGACAATCATGTCATGCCTAGGTGTGTATTTTACTTTCAGATGGCAGTCGGATATCTCCTGTTCATATTAAGTGATATGAACCCTTGTCGAGGTACAGACGCAACAGAGCGGAAAAGTGCGGGCATTGATAGTGACCCGTCGAATCTACCAACTGCTTGTTTCCAAGGTCCAGATTACCACCGAGAGTAATCAGCCAAAAGCAGTGAATGATGAATTCATACCGCCATTTGCGATCATCACCGTAACATCGAACATGATCTATAGATGCAATGAACCTCTTAGGGCCAGCCAAGAAAACGCCACGCTGCACCCCCGCAATCCGGAATATCACGCGGCCTCCGTTCAATGGATCCTAAGGATCAATCCCCGGCCTCGCGAGGACTATCTAAGTCTAGTTATCTCAATAAGATTATTCAAAATCTGACGCGATAAAAAGCCATAACAAACACCTTAATACTTATCTCACCTAATCTCAAGCAATGACTCCATTAAGCTTCAAAACAGATCACTATCAAGATCCACGTGGGATATGGAGAGGCTGAAAAGCGTATTGACTTTCCGAAAGCGGAAGGTCCAATCGATTAGATAAACATCAGCCAAGCTTTGACGGGTCCGGATTGTCCCGGTCCCACCGATAGAATCCATGGGTTCCAGATTCATTTGTGAGGAATAATGCTGCCACCACTCTTACCTATGATCCTAGTATCGAGTTTCCAGAATATGAAGCATGTCCTTCCATCCTAAATATATCTCGGCGATGGCGGCGTTTGGGTGAGATTAGAGGTGACGATTAGATCTTGTATCTAGGATAGCCAATATAATAATTGATCGAGCGACTTCTAGGACAGCCAGGGCCTCTTACATCACGATTGTATTATTGTGCATTCAGATGCATGAACCACAGTACTTCGTAGTTAGGTACACGTCGGGCAAGTGCGGGGCTACTAAAGTTCAATATTGTACTCCATTGTACTACTATATAGAATCTTACGAAAAGCTTCCAAGGTATAGAATAGACTTTTAACTAGAAGACGAATATAGATATATATTCAAATTGATGCGTATGCAAGTGTAAACTTCAAAGTATTCCCGAAATTGGACGTCATTCTACTGAATAATATAGATGAACGGAGTGACGAAGTAGGAAGAAAGAGGGAGAAAAAAAAAAAAAAAAAGGCATTCAGGAATGCCAGCCCCCTACTTAAAGCTAGTCTTACCTCAAATCAGCGTTCACGACGACTTCCTTCTTATCGATGGGAATACCAAAGCCACGCAAGAGGTTGACAGCCGCCACCTCTCCAGTCCTGAAAGCACCATGGACACAGCCATTTGCAACGAGCGTGCAATGCTCTCCAGCAAACTGCATGCGACTCTTCTCATGGGCTTTGAGTGCGTCAATAAGTAGTTCGGCATTATCTCCGACCTTGTCAGCAGAGTAGGTTCCATACCCGGCCAACGGGTCTTGGGTCCAATGTGTAGTTTCAACATTAACTAAAGGCGGCAGAGCCTTGTAGGGCTCCGTACGGAAAAGTTTGAATAGCGGTTCAAAGAACTCGTAGATCTCTTTCTGATCTTCCATTTCTTCGATGCGTTGAGTCAGGGGCTCTGCGATCTGCACGCAGAGCTCCTTGCCACCGGTCATGATCCACAGGTTGATCGTGACTGTGGCATAGTTCAGGATATTATCCCGCTCTCCCATCGAACTCAGGCTGCCACGAGAGCTGTAGGAGGCAACGGAGGGGCTTGCGCTCCTCGGCTCCTCTTCGGGAGAGGGGTAGTAGATAAATTGGTCATTATCCTTTGCCCAGAAGACGTCGGTGAACTCAAAGAACACCTTGCCTAGGGCTCCGTAGCTGAACTTGTCAACACCCTCTTGGATATCACTCGGCAAGGGCGGGTTGAACGAGATGAGGTTGTGGTGATAGACGCCCAACGGCAGGGTCATCACCACTGCGTCACCCTCGATCGTATCCACGGTTCCGTTGGCATCCTTGTACCGGATGCGGGCCGGCTCGTCGCCATCTTCGTTCCACTCCACGTGTTCGACATGATGCTCGAGTCGGACGATGCTCGGATCTTCCTTGAGGGGTTCGGCCGTCCAGTTAACAATCTGGTCGTAGCCTCCCTTCATGTAGAGATTTCGCTCCGTTATGAAGTAGGCCATATGTTTGGACGAGGCTTCCTCGGTACTAGTACCGATCCACAGCTCGATTTCGCGGACAGCTTGAGGCGCCCATTGACGCTCATCTTCGGTGATGAGTTGATGCTTCTGGGCGAACTCCTTGGCAAATTCGTCGACGGAGCGATCCTCGGCATCCGGGTTTGTTTCATAGTACCAGGCACAATAATCGGCAAATTCATCGGCGACCTTCTTCGCTTTGAACTGCGAGCCTGCACGTCCCTCACGGGTAAAGTAGACAGGGAGACCATCGTCGTAGTAATAGGGGATATTGAGACGAGGGATCAGTTTGACTAGATCGTTCTGGGAGGTTTCGTGCATCCAGGCGGCACCTATATAGACTGGTCAGCCTTGCATCGATTTCATCTAATGTTTTATTTGAGCCTACCGATATCCCGAACATGATCTCCCTTTCTACTGGTTAAGATTCTTCCACCAATACGGTCGCGGGCCTCCAGGACCACGACATCACAGCCATGGTGGCGTAGCACAGCGGCAGCACGGAGACCCGAGATACCGGCACCAACCACAATCACCTTCTTGCGCTCCGACCTCACTGCGCATGCTGCTTCCTCAGACGACTCATTGAGAGTTGCTGCTCCGAAGCGCACAGCCAGGTCGGAGCCACAATTACTACTAGGTTTCTGGGGAGGGGCTTTGCAGGGGACAGACGAAACGAGGTGGAAAGATTGAGACATTCTGAGTTGACAGGTTGACATCCGATTTGATATAAGATCAGATAAAAAAAAAGCGTGGTTAGCTTAAGCCGAGGTATCGATAACGAGGTCGATAAACAGGGATTGTTGTTGGGCGAAAGAAGAGGAAGGAAGGGAAGGATAAATAGCCCTTGGACTAAAAGGACTAAACACGACTAAGCATTTTGTCCCGGGGGGTTACACGGCCCCTCTTTCTTCCATTCCATCTCTTTATCTAATACTACCCAAGTATATTATGTATCACATCAAATGCACATTCACGTCACTTAGTTTCACTTCAACATTTATTGCTTTTACTTCTCTATTGTCGTCAAAACCACTGTTAAAAAGAATGGAGATGTATAGAATCTAAGGTATCCTATACTTCAGAGTACTTTGTACGGAAGGAATGGAATCCTGATCCTCCTATCTCTGATCTGACGGAATCTTAGATTAGAAGGTCCTTGCGAATATAATCTTATCAAGATAAATAAGCGGGTCAGTGGCTTATCTTTTCAATCAGCAAGCCCCACATAAAAACCCACGAAAAATTAAGAATCATTTCATTTATTATATTTGGTTTCTGCATATGGTATGGACGGTACAACACAGGGGTTTAGCCTTGTGTGTCTAATTGACTGAAAAAAAAAAGAATTAATACGTCACTATTATTATGGCCGACTTGGACTTGGATCTCCCGGGTACTGAGAGACTCATCTCTGATAGCGAGATCACTCTCATTCCTACACCAACCAATTCCCCCGATGACCCACTGAACTGGAGTGCTCTACGTCGGTATTGGAACGCTTCAATAGTCTTGTTTATCGTTGCATTTACCGCTGCCACCTCAAACGATGCTGGAACCGCTGGAAATGGCATGACCGTCGAGCTTAACATCAGCTGGGACAATATTAACGTCGCTGCCGGTGTCTTATTCGTCGGAATAGGTTATTGCACTTTGTTGATGAGTCCTGCGCCTTTCTTGTATGGTCGTCGAAGTAGTTATCTCATATGCCTGCTCTTCTCCATCGGCGGCTCGATCTGGTTTGCCCGCATCAGGACTGTCCAGGATAATATCTGGAATCAGCTTTTCGTCGGCGCCTCTGAGTCCTGTGCTGAAGCTGTCGCTCAACAGTCGCTAAGCGATGTCTTCTTTCAACATAACCGCGGTTTCGTTCTAGGTGTGTATATCCTCGCTACCAGTGTGGGCACCTTTTGTGGCCCGTTGGTTGCCAGCTTCATCACTGATAGCGATGTCCTGGGTTGGAGATGGAACGGCTGGTTGGCTGCCATCATCTCGGGTGCCCTGATCGTCATAGTGTACTTCGGAATGGAGGAGACTTACTTTGATCGACACGCCGTCATCTCAGGAGTCCCCGGCGATGTGTCTCCCTCCGGTGCCCGCGCCGGTTCCATGAACGAGAAGATTGGGACTGAGGTGAAGTTGCCATCCACCATATCTGCGCGAGGCGCCGATGTAGAGTCCGGCGTGCCAAAACGCAAGTCGTATTGGCAACGCATTGCTCTGATCACTCCCTCCCCGACATTGGTTGGAACAGGCTTCAAGCAGTACTGTGCCCGTCTGTGGTACACCCTCCGCATCTTCGGCTTCCCCGCTGTGCTCTACTCCGGCCTGCAGTGGGGTGCTCAAGATGCCTGGTTGACCTTCTATCTCACCGTCGAGGAGGACAATTGGTACGACGCACCCTGGAACTACAGCGATGCCGCCGTGGGCGTTATGAACGTCCCGACTCTTATTGGTGCAGTCATCGGTTGTATCTACGGTGGTTGGTTCTCCGACTGGTTCGTCAAGTGGATGGCCCGGCGCAAAGGCGGCATCATGGAGGCCGAGGACCGTCTGTGGTTGATGTTCCCCGTCGCATTCATCGGCCCCGCCGGTATGATGATGTTCGGCATCGGCTCTAACAACGGTATGTCATGGCCAGTGCCGTACGTGGGATTGGGTTTCATCGGGTTCGGATGGGGCTGCGCAGGCGATCTCAGCATGGCGTATCTCATGGACGCATATCCAGAGATGGTCCTAGAGGGAATGGTCGGAGTCTCTGTCATCAACAACACTATCGGATGCATCTTCACCTTCTCCGCTGGATACTGGATGGATGCACAGACTCTGACACAGGTATTTGTGGCCATTGGTTGTTTGAGCTTCGGGTTTATCATGACCACTGCTCCGATGATCTACTGGGGCAAGAAGTGTCGCCGCATGACTCGCAAGCGTTATGAGGAATTCCTTCGTCTTCGAGATGGATGTTAGGAAGATGGGACGTGGTTTTATTGGCCCCGTCACTTTAATATGGACGTTATCGTCTTGGAATTTATGATCTGTTGGTCTCTGTTGGTAGAGACAGTTTTATTAGCCCTCGCTCTTTATTTCTCCCCCTGTTCGTCTAATTCAAGTTGCATTAGCGAGAATATTAGCAATTATCTATTTCACCTTCTCAGACTCATCAGTTTTTTCAGTAAATGGACTTTTATTAGAAAGTTACATAGGCTTCTATTTTTTTTTGGAAACATCCCTCTCTTCGTGGCGATGGCAGATAGTGTAGCAGTATAGCGCATACTGCCGCTTAACATATGAGCCTGAACATTCCTACCAAGCTTGTGTTAGTTAAGTGAGGAATCTCCCCGTAACCGACCACCTGGGTAGTGCATCTTGTGAACTGATGAGAATATCCTATCGCCTACAAGAATCATGGATATATGGCTCTCGGTGCTAATAGGATCACTGCTGAGGGGGAAAGCTGCAGACCCCCCAGGGCGTTTGGGCATACTTATGTGGGTGTCTAGGCCCATAGCTACCTAGGAAGATACTGGTAGCCATGGTGGAGGATAGGATTGTGCTCTTCATTCTAATTGACTATTTGAAGTTTTCGGTACGCTTTTGACCATTCAGCTTTGATAAACCTCGGGGATTCCATCACTAAAGTTCATATACATCCTGATCCAATTATACAGCTAATATACTCACTTTTACTTTAAAAGTTCAAAACACTTGTATCTTATGTCGGCATGAAGTGAGAGGAAATCCATTTCAATGCCCCTCAAAGGCCATCAAATCCAACCCAATCCCATTTTACGCCACGAAGACAATGGTGTCATTAACTACGGAGGGGAGTATCTGAAAAGAAGACTTGGAAAACACTTGGAAAGCACTATCAGTAGATGATGATCCTTGGATAGAAGCCACTTATTGAATATCGAGATATCAATGTACAGAAAGCTCCGAAAGCAACTTTTGAGGTTTCTTTTACATATGGTGTTGACATATTCGTATTATAAATCATCATGTTCATGTTATCTGGGCAGAAACATGGGCAGGAGAGCCTCAAATATTCAAGGTTGACACATGGGTAAATCGATACTCAGGTGATACTAGAGCTAGGCATGTTGTTTCTCTGGATCTCATCTCCACTTGATCATTGTATGTCCCTAGGTATCTCCTTAGTGATTGACTCCTAGGAAAAGACAGGATATGGGCGGAAAGACTCTGACGATGATGCGAGATATGTAGTTAACTCTCATCCCACCACTAACATCCAGTCACGACTCACGACCACATCTACCTCGTTCAGGCTCTACCAGGAGCTGATAGGAAACTTCTCAAGATCAACCTTGGAATGCTCGATCTTAGGTCTGTATGTCAATCCCGATACCAATATCCATCTGCGAACACGTATACTAGCGCTTACGAGTTCCAGATGTAAATGTTGATTGTTTATATCTTCTTTTGTTGCTTGCGATTGTTTAGTGAGACAGGTTGACCGCGACCCTGCTATTAGACTCGTAGTATCCTAGTGAGATATCGTAAAGGCTCTCTCGCTGTTCATAGTTATTTGTTTCTAGGTTGTTGGGAAAAGGACTGCACATGTGCATGTGGCGGATGAATTGGGTGGGGGTTGGTAGAAATAAAGGCTGTCCGAGCTGCTCGAGTCGTTAGAGTGAGCGTCCCTTATTCATAGTGGCTTAAAGCCGCCCAAGCTGTTAGCATAGATGATATATATTCAATCATCTTCAGTGTCAGTATTTGGAGTTCAGTGTTCACGATGAAGGTGAATAACTATGAGTAGATGGACGAGGGCTTTCCGTAGTGATGTGTCGGTATTCTGGAAGACAGACTTGATCGTTAGAGACCGATGAAAAAAAGGAGTTGATTACTGTCTAGTTGAGCCCAGTTTCACTGAAGAAAGCCTCGCATCAAGAAGGGCGGTGGTAGGTGTTTACACTGACATTCAGGGAGTAAACATCGCCAAAATCAAAATAAGAAATTCATAGAAATTCATAAAAATTATGTGACTCGTTTAATCAAAAACTATCAAGCAGCAATACAAAAAGAGATTATATCAAATGGGCCGTTACATCTCAAGGTTCAGAGCAAAACTTTCCAGCCTAGGATAAGTTTGATTCCCTACTTATTGTCCATTCTCCCTCCATCAGAGTCGTAAGATTTTACATCACATAGAGAAGATTCGTATCTGCAATTGATTAGTTGGGAACATGCATTTGATAATAGCTTCGGCTTACTTACCCAAGGGGTGGCTGGCGCTCAACTGCGGCTTTTGGGTATACTTGGACGCAAGCTCCTCGCGGATACTATTCAACAGTTGGACGTAACTCTGTTGAGGGTTCTTCCGGAGCGCGGCAATGAACGCCCACGACATAGCACCCGTAGCCTGGCCGGCGATCTGAGCATCCTGACTAGTCTGATCATCCTTGCTACCAGACCACATGATCACATCGGCAGGGCTAGTCTTAGTCCGCTTCGTGCGCTCGTAAGCGCCGTCTCCCTTGCCGACCCGCTTCAGCAGGCCCATAGCGGTCGACATCATGCCGCTCATATCGCCGCGCGCGTAAGCAGATACCACGCTGAGCAAACCCTGACCGGCCTCCTTGGCCAGGTTGGGCTCCTTGAGTATACCTGAGGTAGAGTAGATGTATGGGAGATCCAGCGCAGAGCCGGAATGGCATGAGTCGAAGATCGCAGTCAAGCGCACACCAGGGCGCAGCGTCTGCACCATGATACGATGCATCTCGTCGTCGGTCAAATGTCCTGCAGTGCGGAAGTCGACCGGGTAGATCACTTCGTCGTTTCCATCGTCCTCGTCACCATCCAGATCTGGAGTCTGACCGCCGTGGCCTAGTATCGCCGTTAGTCTTACCAAATTCGGGTACAGCACCTGTCACAAGCTTACCGGAGTAGTGGAAGAAAAGCGAGTCGTTGGGCTGCGCATCCTTTACCAGCCAGTGCATCGCTCGGAGAATGTTCGCCTTGGTTGGCTGGCTCATAGGGTTCTGCTGGTCATCGGTCAGGAGAACCATATCCTCGCGAGCGTAGCCAAAATTCTGATTCAGGTAGGACGACATGTTCTTGACGTCGTTGATACATCCGCGCAGCTGACCCTTCTGGTTGAAATAATTGATACCAATCAACAGCGCCTTGCGCTTGCCCGTGCATGTCGAGTACTGGAAGCTATAACCTTGCGGGGCACCGCTACCAAACGAAACCGCTCCGGTTGGGGGTGGCGCAGGACGACCGCCCGAGTGGCCATAGCCAGCTATTGAATTTGTTGGTTAGCGACAGAATCTACTTGAAAGGCCCGATGTAGAATGCGAACCTGGTGGGCCTGGACGGGGCTGACCCTGTCCGTGGTACATTTGTTGAGCGTTGGGCGGGTAACCTTGGGGAGGGCCCTAAAAGAAACCATCACGAGTCAATAGTTGGTCTTTGTTGTGTTGTATTGCGGTACATGTGGTGAAGACGAACATTGTAACCTTGTGGCGGGGCAGGGGATCCGTAAGGCTGAGACGGTTGGCCGTATCCGTATGGGTTTGGCTGCTGCTGCTGCTGAGGCTGATGATGATGTTGGTGATAAGACTGGCCGGGATAGCCACCGTAGGACTGCTGTTGTGGAGGCATTGGGCTGCGATGAGAACAGTCAATTATGAGGTCACAGTTGTAAGAGAAGAGAAAGCAAAAGCCTACGGGTATTGCTGTTGCTGCGGTGGGTAACCCTGCTGAGGCGGAGGGTACCCGGGAGCGCCACCATAGGGCGGATAGTAAGACATGAGGAATGCGAGACAGTAAAGAAGGAAAGTGTCTGGGGGAGAAGACAAGTGGGAAGGTTGGCGCTTTTGTGGAGAAGAATCCACCTCAGATCGGATCTACGGGAAAGGCTGAAGTCCAGATGAAATCCGAAATAAACAACTATTGAAACGAAGAGATATTAGGAAATAAACTCGGCATTTTTTCTGAAGCAACTTACTAGAAATTTGAGATTTTAAGAGAGAAATATCAATGGAGGGGAAAAAAAAAAAAGAGAGCGGCTCGAGTGTAGCCGCTCGGGTCTTGATATCTGACTGAGGGCTTTCGGCGACTCCGAGTTTCTACTTCGATCTTACAATTACGTCTGATTTACGCGAAGTTGATGAGGTCCCGATGAGATATTGATTGTCAATGATGTTAAGTGAAGCATCTGATATATCTCTGGTCGTGTATAATAGGGTACGAAGTTGTAGAAATGAAATATCTGAAATTCAATAAAGCGGGAATCGGCATATCCTCGGCCAATTAGGAAATTTATACGTCAAACATACTATTTAGGTATAGCATGAACTGTCTACTCAGTGAAGAACTCGGGATACTCGTCAAAAGAAAAGAAATCTTGCGAGCCTTATGTACTTTAGGAAGAGACCATGGCCTGATCCAAGAGTAATTGTCTACAACTGCTAAACTTCATACAGCAGATCCCTTCCATGACCACGAAGCAACGGGACTCAATTCATTACCAAATCTTTTGTGTAAACCATCAACTTTTCATGGCATTAACTCATTTAACGGCGGGGCATCCCACGGCCACGACCCCGGAGGGCGCGCTGGGCAGCTCCAGGAGGCATTCCACGGGGAGCACCAGGTTGAGCAGACTCCTCGTTCTCTGTGAAGTGTGTTAGTTAGGCGCAATACTGCAAACACTGTGTATACACTTACTGATCGTTTCATCCACACTCAAAATTAGGCAGGCTGCCTCTACTGCAGCTTGAATGGCATTAACCTTCACCAGGCTGGGCTCCCAGACGAAAGCAAGCATGTTATCACGGACTCCCTCTTCGTCAAAGTCCACACCACACCAAACATTGCCCTTGCGGTGCTCGACGCGCAGTCGGTTGAGGATGTCAGTGGCATCGAAGCCGGCATTGTCACAAAGCTGGCGGGGGATAACCTCGAGGGCCTTGGCGAATGCCTTGACGACGGCCTGCTGCTTGTGGGGAACGTTTCGGTCGGCAAATCCGTGCAGGTAGCTTGACAGTTCCATTTCAGTGGCACCACCTCCTGCAACAATAGTGGTGTTCTTCAGGGCGCGCTTCACAATCATAATGGCATCGTGCAGACTGCGCTCCACCTCGGCAATGAACTGCTCAGCACCACCGCGCAGGACAAGGGTGCAGGTCTTGGCAGCAGGGCACTCGGAGAAGATGTTGAAACGCTCTCCACCAATTTGACGCTCCTCGAACGAACCGCAGGTACCGAGGTGACGGTCCTGAATGTCACTGCAAGTTGACTGGGTGGCAGCTGCGGTAGCCTGGCAAACCCGGTCCATGTCGTCAGCTGCAACACGACCAGCACAGAAGATATCGCGATCGGCAAAGTACCTGTAAACTGTCAGTAAAAAACAAGTACAAAAATTGTAGGGTCGGATGCGTACTGGGTAGCAAGATCACCGATTGGCAACTTGCTGAGCACAACCTTAGCACCAGTCTTGTAGATGGCCTCAAGCTTGTTAAAGATAATCTGCCACTCGGCATCGACGATGGCTTGGTATTCGGAGACTTGCTCCACGCGAACCTCGGCATTATCCTTCTCGCTCTTCAGCTCCAACTCAACATTCAAGCAAACAATCTTGGGGTCCTTGAAGGACTTAGGCTGCTGCTCGAAACCGGCGTAGGAAAAGGTTTTCTTGAAAGCAACACCGTTGACGAAGAGGGAATCCTGAAGACCACCACCAGTAATCTTCTTCACACCAATCAGCTTCTCGTTAAGATCGTCCTGGTCCAAGGTAAGGACGGCGTCCACAACCACTGTAAATACCACATTGTCAGCCTATATTCCCGTTTGTGCGCAAGGCCAATCGCTCTCACTCTTTGTAAAAAAGTCCGAATTCCGCTTGATCAGCTTGCTGTTCATCGCTGTGGCGGCCAATCGTCGTAGGGTCTCAATCTTTTTCTCCTCAGACTCCGCAGAGTCCATGATGTCCACCGCAATTTCCTTGACCTTATTGACGGCCATGGCGCCAGCTCTCCGCAACCCCTTGATGATAGTCTGAGAGCTCACACCCTGCTCGACGAGGTCTCGCACCTCCTTCAGAATCTCACCAGCAAGCACAACCACGGAGGTGGTTCCGTCACCGACTTCGGCATCTTGGGATCGAGCAATGTCCGTGAGAATACGGGCGGCCGGGTGGACAATATCCAGGAGCTATTCAAAAAAGGAAGCCCACAATGTCAGTAACAAGACCATCTTCCAAATGAAACATGTTTTGATAAATCTTCACCTTCATCACTGTAGCGCCATCGTTTGTGATCGTCTGTTTGCCATTGCTGTCAACAAGCAGTAGGTCACCACCGTACGGGCCCAACGTGCTCTTGATCGTCGACTGTACAGCAACGCATGCGTTAATGTTGGAGATAATCTGTCCCTTTCCTTGGGAAGCGTCGGTGCCTATAGTAAATACCAATTGTGAGCACGGAGGATATCCCACTAATCTGCCATTTAACGGGGGTTAGGAACAGGAAACACGCACCCTCCTTCAGCACCACGATAGTGGGAGTTTGGCCGTTGAAGGCCATAGTATAATCAAAGTGAAACCGAGACCGTGAAAAATTGACACGAAATCAAAGGAATGGATTTGGTGTTGGTCGGAGTTGAAGGTCGGAGGGGTTCGGTGATCTTCGACCACCAAAATTTCCCAAAGCTTCTCTTCCCCCCCAAAATCCCCCTCAAATTCCCAAGGCGGTGACCACCGTTTATCGCCTTACTTTGCTACTCCAAATTAAAATTGAAAAAAAAAGTATTTTTGAGATCAGAAGATGTAAAGTTTCTATTTTTATTATTGTGATATGCCGAAATTAAAAAAAAATACGAGAAGTGTGCGAGAATAGCTATTCCCTATATTACAGCCGTGAGGGATTTGTCACGGTATAGCAATTGTGCCCAAGGCCAACCCATGTTTGATCAAAATTACAGGTGGAAAATATCGCCTGCTCAATTGAAGTCATAGTTCCCCTCCGATGGACTGCCATACTCGTATTTAGCGAGTAATTCTGCGTCGTGTTGAAGCTCATGCGAAGGTGGGTTCATCAGTCCCAGCACCTCCTGTCGGAAGGGGTCAGATCCATCGTCAACCATCATCTGATAGGCATTATTGGCCGTATGATAACGCATGGCATCTTCAAAGTTTGTTATGGCCATACTTTGTGGTCCTGGAGCAAATGCACCAGCCATAGCATTTTGCTGTTGTTGCTGTTGTTGTTGCTGTTGTTGCTGTTGCTGCTGCTGCTGCTGCTGTTGTTGTTGTTGTTGTTGTTGTTGTTGTTGTTGATAGCGTCGAAGTTGTTGCTGTAATTGCATAATTTGAGGGTCGAGGGGCATTGGGTTGAAGTTGGCCATAGGATGTATAGTACCAGGTACCCCTACAGGCACCTGTGAGTTTATGAAAGGATTATGGCCTGGGGAATCGTCTGGTGCTTCATCCATTGCTTGAGGGATGTCAATTTCTTGGTGATCCATGGTATCATCATCCATGGAGGGCTCGGCCGAGGTTGATTGGTCGTCATCTTTACTCCCTGGGATGGGAGGTGCCTTGAGAGTCTCTTTACATTGAGGGCAATCACGAATCACGCGGTTAACTGTCTCTTTAATGCGCACCCAGTGGTACTTAACCGCAATAGCAGCGGTTGTTTTGTTGATGCCGGCATGTTGTTTGAGGTGAACTTCCTGGGCAATCTCATACTGCTGCTGAGGGTCTGACACGACCTCTTTGTCTTTAAGCATCAGTCGTTCAGGCTCTCCGTCTTCTCCACCGAGCAATTTGTAATGCGTGGCTGCGCTCCGGAGTCGACTTTTCTCTGCACGATCCGCACCCCGAGGATATTTGGAGTGCTTGAGGTAATACCGAATCTTCTCGAAGCGGTCTTGTGACACAGAGTCTTCTCCATCTAGGCTAAGACCCCGGCCATATATGATAGCATCCACAAATTCTCCGGGTTGGGACTTTAATCTGCCACCACCGGGAACTCGTCCGATACGCTTGAAGCCGAGAGAATCCCACAAGCGACAAGAGGCAACATTGGTCTCGTAGACCAGATTAAACACGGCATATGTGTATCCCTAAAATATGTGAGTATTTACCTTTGAGGTATAATCAGATGAGACTCACCAGTCGGGGTGCCCACTCAAGATATGCTTCACCCATCAATCTTCCGGCACCCTTATTTCGAGCCGCATCTGTAACAATAAATGTACCGTTACATACATGACTGCTGCGGCCAGGGTAGTTAGGTCGAATATGAAAGCCTCCAAGACAAAGCTTGGTCCAATTTGCACCAGCTCGGTCCATCGAGTGGGTCTGCTCAGCACTCTGTATATCACCAAGTAGCATGACAACTCCAAAACTAGAAAACCAATACCGACCAAACTGGGCCAATGGAATTGGTTCAGTCATGGCATAAGTATCACCTTTTTCAATTTCTTTGTTGAATTGATCAGAGATATATTTGAGCAATGGCCGCGGCATCTCATCGGCCGACGCAAAGGGGACCAACGTCGCCACAGTGACTCTGTCGCGCAAAGTCACCTGTCTTGGGGCCAATGCAAGAGGATACTCCAGCTCTGTACCCGTTGAAATGGGCTCACCATCAACGTGGACCTCAGACATTCTGCAAAAACTATGTTGATACCTAGTGTGGCAGAGCTGATCACGGGACTGCTGGCCATATTAGTACACTTCAATTGATGGGAATTGCAAAGGGAAAATGAGTGGAAATCAAGCCACCAGATTGCCATAGCTGTATTCATCCCAAGGGATAGAAGCAGAAAACTGACATCAAGAAAAACATGGGCTTTTAACTTACTTTTTGAACTTCTATATGCCTCGCACTTCGAGGACCGCGTGAGTATTCTCGAGTCCGCAATGGCTGCCACGCAAGTAAAGCTGTGGTCCTGCTGACTCATGTCACATGACGTGTCACGTTTCACTTCTGACACAGATAAGGGCATCAAGGCACAAAGGCAGAAATATAGGCCCCACTCAATATTCAAAGTAGGGTTGACCTCAAGCTGAACTGAGTTCTTATCAATATTCGACTGTTATGATAAATTTTGCGTTCAAACTTGATCTGATATGCTTTCACTTCAATCATGACGGATCATCTACCCCGGTACCATCAAAACACATTGACTCTTCTACCCATCAATACAGCCACCCTCTCAAAGTCTCTTGAAGAGCTGCGGTTCGCAGTTCGCAATGGAGCTGATTTAATTAGCTCAAACGACTCTATTCATGGTCAATGGGAATCTGGTGGCATATTTAAACATTTCCCAGGTTGGTAATTTCTCTTATTCCCTTGTTAAATGTCATCCAAAACTTCTTAAGCTTGAGCGCTGAACAAAAGTATACTCATTCCCACAGGAATTGCTCTTGCATTCTTAAGACTTGACTACCAATCCTCGGTACTGGAAGGTGAAAAAGGTTCCTCGAGGGATTATCGCCATCTCGCACTCCAAAGGGTTCCACCTGGGATCCCAGATATTCCTCTGCTTCCATCTCGACTAAGCCCTATGGGCTCTTCATCCCCCGTGACTGCTGTAGTCCTACGTATGCTTGCTGCGGTTGCTAGGAATAGAGGAGAAGATGATCTAAACACCAGGCTCTCTCAACATGATATTACCTGTCTTCACGACGCGACAAGCCTAGCACTGAAAAATGGACCCATTGTCCCCCATAATGGTCGTAACATGGGCGGCGATGAAATATTGTTTGGTCGTGCAGGTCTCCTTTGGACGCTCATAAATATCCGTGCTCACCAATTTGATGAAGAAACTCAAAGATCCCTCACCCCAGTTCTCGATTTAATCCCGGAGCTGGTTCGTGTGATCATTGATGCTGGACGACAGGGCTCGAAGGATTATGCAGAAAAAAACGGGTCAGATGATGCACATCCGTTGATGTATGCCTGGGTGGAAGGTTATTATGGCTTTGGAGCGTAAGACATGCCTATTTACCTTCATCTGAAGATTTGCTAAGCTAATCTTCATAACTTAACTATAACTAGGGCTCATGGAATTAGTAAGTACATATTGATGATAACAGATGGAAGAATGCCATTTCTAACCGGAGGTGTGAACAGCTGGGATTCTCCCTGCCATTTTAGCATGCAAACCAGAGGAAATCTCAGACTTCCTCCCTGTTATTGGCGACACAATAACCGCGCTCTGCAAATTGTGCATAGCCAGCAACGGCCATCTCCCAATGTCATTCCCAAAATTTGGTGCCGGAGGGCGCCCCGAGTTTGTCCAGTTCTGTCACGGCAGTCCTGGTCTTCTGCTTCTCGTAGCGACTGCTTTGAACTCTCCTTTACTTCTGGATCACTGGTGTCCCGAGTGGGATCAGGCTATTGATCTCGCCACTGCGCGTATTTGGGAAGAAGGAATTCTCTCTAAAGGCGGCGGTCTGTGTCATGGTATCGCTGGCAATGCCTGGCCCTGGCTTATCCTTCATGATTTTTTCGAATATCACTCAAAGGACATTGATGAAGCCCGATACAGGTACTTTCAACGTATAGGAACTGCAGAGGCACCTGACGCCGGATATCTCACGTCGGACTTCTTCTTGTCGAAGGCTCTAGCATTTATGCTGCACTCACGTGAGACACGGCCATATAACATTACACCAGTGAGTCCTGAAAGAGACTTCCGCATGCCCGATGATCCATATTGCCTGTTCGAGGGCCTCGCGGGTACTGTATGTGCGTGGGCGGAGACTTGTGGTGTGCTCCAGGCACGATTGCGCAAGTTAGAACTTCCTGAAGGGGAGTTGGAGAACGACGTTTCTTTCCAGACTGCCCGGCGTGCTGAGCTTGGATTTCCGTTCATTGGTGGAAATGGTGTTGTTGGTATGTTTTGAACTATCCATGGCTGTTTTCGCGGTATGCTACCTTCCAAGGTTAGTTCGAAGTATTCTCGAGAACAGTTCATGCCTGTAATTGATTGAAAAATATTGAATCAGAATAATCCGCCGATATTAGTTGAGGTCCTGATAAGATCTATTAAGAGTAGACAATATAAGACGTGGTGTTGAATAGTTCTACTCTAGCTCTACTCCGCGGATCCTTGGATGACATCATCGGAACAAACATTAGGTAAAATGTTCAGACAAACAGAAAATGAAAGAATAGCTTGAGACTAGTCTTCTCAACTAGCTTTTTCGCGGTAATGGATTCTCAAATCCCAATTGATTAATAACCCCGCTGGGACTGTGGCAAAGACATTGGCAAGTACGCCCATGAACGTGTCCAAGAAGCCTTGACCCCATATAAACGGGGCACAAAGTGGCTAAGCCAACTCATCAAACGAAAGCGAACATGGTACAATATGTCCCAAATCTCGTTACTTAAAAGAGCCCGGAAGCTGAAATAAACTCGGAATCCTTTGATGTACTCCGTACAAACTAGTCTCTTTAATCTTGGAATGTTCGTCGAGCCCCACTTCCATAACCTTACCTTGACGACCTCGCGTGGCTTGTGATGATGGATTTCATCCCACCGTCATACGAATCAGCAACAGACCGAGATGCATGGGTGATAATCGCCCACTACATCCCTTCCAGCGATCTTTGTGCAGCATCATTAGTCTGTCATCGATGGCACGACCTATTTATGCCATTTCTTTGGGGTGATCCAGCATCTCATTTCGGAACTGAGAACGACGCGGTCTATGGTAAAACCACACTTAGCCTAAACTAAATTCATGACTGACAAATCCTAATAGTGGCGCTTACACGGTTTCGAAGAACCCTTAAATATGCCAGGCGAGAAGTACGATCCTTAACTCACACACTTCATCTTCCCCCTGCTTTGTCAGAGATATACGACGGCCCCCGGCCTGGCTGGCTGAGAGATATTCTGGAATTTCTTCCATGTCTGCAATGTCTCATGGTATCAAGGCTGCCGTTTTTTGATCACAATTCAATGGTTGCATTGAAGAATCAGAATTCTTCCAGCCAATATAATATCCGTCTTCTGCTCGCGGAACACGAGCCGAATACCACCTCTGCCGGTCTGGCAGAAACTTTACTTCACTTCCCCTTGTTGAGTTATCTGAATCTCTCGTATACTACGTCCGCACGAGACCGATATGTTCTGTCTTCACTCTCTCAGCTTGAACATCTTCAAGTACTGAAACTACGCGGCATCGGTCTGAAAGATACAGATGCTGGGTATCTAGCTAATGCCATTGGGAAAAGAGTTCGTTTCTTAGATTTACGTGACAATATGCTTACAGATATGGCCGTTCGTTCACTGCTACAGGCTTCTTTTTTCACCGCTAGCAGTTCACAGCAGTCTCGTTCAAGAACCCGGTCATCACCGGATCCTATCTTTCAGATCTCAAAACATGCTCTTGGGATCGATATATTCAACTCTTCGAAATTAGATGAACACCTTTTGAAATTGCTGGCCCGGCCAACATCAAACAGGCACTGGATCGAAGACTTGTCGCTATCAGGCATCACGCACCTGTATATTGCAAATAATCAGATAACAGTGGAAGGTGTTGTAAGTCTCCTATCGTCAGGGCGTCTTCATGCGCTTGATGTCGGAACGGTCAATACGGCAGACTTCATACAGAAAAAAACCTCTTCGCCAAAATCTGGAAAATACCCAGGAGGTGAGAAGTTTGCGCCACTACTGAGGAATGTTGCTGGTAATAAAATGGTATATTTCCGGGCTCATCATGCAGTGGTGACCGTAGAGCCACCGTCAAAGGAAGTTCCCATGGCGTCTGGGGCACTGGGAGTCCTCCCTGAGCTTGCAGGTGGTAAAGTGTCTCACCCGACTGAGTTGGATGCTTCGCACGAAGCCCAAATCTACGAGGTACCAGGAGAAGTCCCATCGATCCATGAGCTTGCAGATACATCAATCACACAGTCTGCGAAATCGGTTCCAATTTTTTCGAGAATCCCTGAACCATTGCCTGCTCCTAGACGTGGATCCGCTTTTGCTCCAGAGGTCATTGAAGGAATGCCACAAGGCAACGATAATACTTCCGCCAGCACGGATTATCTCGAGCCAGTCTCTGGAGCTGCTATGGATACCCTTCATACCCACAGAATTCAAGAACTTCTTGCAAAACGTCCAAATTCCCAGTCCATCCCTCTCCAAAACGGGAAAGAAAGCTATTTTCCCTACCTCCACCCGTCTCATATCCCACAAATGGAAACCCTCGTCTTGACAGGTGTACCTTCACATATTGCACCCGACTCCTCGATATTAGGCACCCTAATCCGGTTCATTACAGCATGCTCCAATGAAGCTTTATTAGCTGCCCTCCAAGCTGGGTCCGACTATTCTCTCCCACCAGGCCAAGCCCGCATAATAGCTGAACAACAGCGATCGCGATCCCTCTTCGGTCTACGCCAGATAATCCTCGAAATAACGCCTACGGACAATTCAAGATCAATCTCCTGGAAGCCTGCAAATCAGCGCAATGGCTTAACCGTTTCAAGCACCGGAGACCGCGACTCTGAAGCCCTCTGGGCCGCGGCCACAGACGACTTCAGCTTTTTTGGCGAAGAAGAATGCGGCATCCCAGAAAGCGACCCGAGCAAATATTTCCCCATGGCTATATTGAACGAGAAAGTCTCCCTCATACCCTCGGACGACGACGATGGTACCGAATCATCCCTTCCAATACGAGATATATCGCAGCGTGTTATCACATCGTCACCCGAGATGCGCAGTCCATCACACAGGAATAAAAAATCAACCCAGCACCCACCACAAAATTTAATCGATCTCGTTGCCGAACTTGCCGCTTTTCGCCGCTCAAAAAAGGCCGAATACGAGCAAGTTATGCGTCGTGAGAGAGGGCGGCTTAGTACAGATTCCAGTCTCTCAGGTGTCTTTACCACTACGCCACATATGTCGATGGCGCATTTTGTCGAGGGTCACTGGAAAGGGGAAGTGAAGATTGTGCGTAATCCAACTCCCAAAGTCCGAAGTGGTATGGTAGACATTTACGGAAATTATTTTGAAGGGGGATATTTATATCCGTGAGAAAAGGAAGAGCCTCATTGCCCTCGTTCAGAAACACAATATATCTTATTGAAATTATCATTCTGAAATCACTTTTCTTCTTCAATTTATACACCTCCCATGCTAAACCTGGAAGAACTTAAAGAATGAGGGTGCCCGGTAAGATTGTTGCCGTCATTAGCTCAAGACTCGCTCTCGGCGAAACAAAACAATGGTCAATCTGTACAGCTCACCAAAGCCCCAAATCTGAGTGAAGAGTAAATTTTTGCGACAGCTTCTATTCTCACCTCTGTTGACTAGAAATATGAGTATATTGAGCTAGATTCATCCTCTTTATTCTAATTTACGAAGTGGAGCTAAGAGTGAATAAGCAGTAAGTGAGTAGATCAGACTTATAAGGAGTAAAAAGGGGGGTACTAGTATATACCAAAGACCAATGGTGCAATTTGATAACTGGGAGCAGCGAACCACTATATGTTGGAGGTTCGAGTCGTGTTTCCTCCGTAAAACACTAAAAACTGTCATACGAGTTTTAGTAACAACTATCAGGGACGCCTGGTAGTCGTGAGTTTTTGCCAAATCCCATCCTTTTCCCTTTCTTTTTCGAAACGTCCTGAACTTCAATAGATGACTCTATGACTTTTGAAAAACGCGTCATTTTGTTCGCATTTTGCGTCATTCGATTCGTTGCACCTACTTTTATGAAGCTATTCCCAAATTGAAAGTCAACGAGCGGGACCTCGGCCAGTGAGATCTATTTGATTTAACAGAAACTTACCTGGCCATACGACATTAAACATCCTAAAATACGTACTCTTCTTTTCTCCAGAATAATCAGAAATTCTCTTGGTTTTATCATGAACTCGTGCTGCCCGGCCTGTTCTCAATATGGATGGAATTGACCCCGTAACAGAACACCATGACATAGACAACTAGAATTTGCAGGGTTATGAATGAAAACACAAATCAAGAACATTCCAAGATTGAACTGGTATCATGTAGTTAAGCAAATATTGCGTAGATAGAGATATAGCCTGTGTTGAGTAGGGTCCCGGAATGTTGGAAGTGAAAATGGACCAGGGAACGGCCTCAGAGTGGTGACATAAAAAACTATTCGTGTTTACACAGTTTTAATTTATGAAAAGTGACACTCAAACTGTTGAAATGACCGTAATTGAACATTTTGATCTTTGCCTTGACCAACGAGTCTTTGGGTAGGTAAATAAATCGACCATAAATAGTTAAGCCGTACATAAGATCACATAATCAGACCCACTGATCGACACCCCACTTATCTGAGGCTGAAAACTGAACAACTTCATACAAGTTAGGAAGTGATGAAGGACGCGAAAGGTGTCAAATAACACGTTCTCATAAGCCATATAATGAAGTTCGGAACCACAGAATGATTGAAAAAGAAGGGGGAAAGCAGTGAATTCGGCAAAAACTCACAATTACCAGTTACTAAAACTTGTAAGACAGTTTTTGGACAGAGGAAGCACGTCTCGAACCACCAACCACTGATCACAGCATAATCATAGAGTAGGAGAAAGAGGTCCTACAAATTACACTACAGAGTCTTGGTATTTGACTACTACCCCCGATTTTCCAAGCTTGTTCCTATAAGCGTAGACTATCATATAAAATCACATTATTTGACAAGGGCTTCTCTATTACAAGAGACTCCCGAAGTATTCAAGGTATAGGTAGGTAGTTATATTTAAAAATTGCGTATTTTGAAGACCGCAAATGGGATTTATTCAAACGCCAAAACACCAGCCCAGATGCCAAGGTGATGGACGATATGTAATAAGGGCCTGGGTAATTAGCGTCCAGGTCCACCACCACCACCCATCATCTTCATCAACGAGCTCATATCTGGCATTCCACCACCTCCCGCACCACCACCGCCCATCATCTGCATTATTTGGCTCATGTCAGGCATTCCACCTCCACCTCCACCGCCCATCATTTGTTGCATCATCTTGCCCATATCGCCCATTCCAGGCATACCACCGCCCTGACCTAGAGAAGCCATCTTCTTTTGCATAGCTGCCATTTGTTGCTGGCTGTTTCCACCTTTGGCCATATTCTGAGCTCGTTTGTTGTTCTGGTTGAGTTTGCCCATCTTCTTTGCCATGCCTGTGAGGGTTTATTAGTAGAGCTCCTATTGTGAAACCTGGATATAAAAACTTACCAGCCATCATCCTGTGTTGGGAAAGTAAGTCCTCAACCTCTCTAACTGTTGTGCCGGATCCGTGGGCTATCCTAACCATTCTGCTAGGTTTCTCGACAAAGATCTTGCCATCACTGTCCATTTCAGCAACAGTCATGCTGTCGAAGATGTATACCATGCGGCGTAGCTTCAAGGAGCCATCCTCATCGTCTAGACCCTGAGTCAAGTTTGATAGACCAGGAATCATGCCAGAAAGCTTAGATAACGGACCCATCTTCATAATGGAGGTAATGTTCTCACGGAAATCCCGAAGTGTGTAGATACCCTCAGCAATGTGCTTGTAGGTTTCCTTGGCTGCTGCAGAGTCCTTGGTAACGGCTTGCACGTGCTCGAACAGGCCAGTGATGTCACCCATGCCCAATAGCTTCTGGACAAAGGCACGTGGCTCAAAGCGCTCTAGATCCATCATGTGTTCACCTGTTCCCAGGAAGATAATTGGAGTATTTGTGGCAGCAACGGCAGAAATGGCACCACCACCGGCAGCATGACCGTCGGTCTTGGTGATGATAATGGCTCCGAAGTCGGCAGTGGCTTTGAAAGCTGATGATTGGGCTTCAGCGGCTTGACCGATTGTGCTGTCCAAAACCATGATGGTCTGGTCAGGGGTGACAGCTTCCTGGATTTGGGTCATCTCGGTGAACAACTCCTCTTCCTGTCTGTGACGACCACTGGTATCGACGATGATGATATCAAAGCGCTCCTTCTTGAACTTGGCAACACCCTCCGCAGCCACGACCGCGGGGTCGGTCTGTGTCAAGCTACCATAGTATGGGATCTTGGCCTTGGTAGCATTCTGTTTCAGCTGATCGAAAGCACCAGCTCGGAAAGTATCCGCGCAGACCAAAGCGGTCTTGAAGCCGCGCATCTGGTAGTGTCGAGCCAGCTTAGTACAGGTGGTGGTTTTACCGGCACCCTGCAAACCGACGAACATGATGACATTAGGGCGGCCTTTCTTGGGGCGGAAGGGCTCTGCATGAGGGTCGACCAATTTCACCAGCTCGTCAAAGACAGTTTTCTGGATTAGGCGCTTCTTGTTGGTAGCGGCGGGGATAGTAGCAAAGTTGACACTCGATTTGATGGATTTACGAAGCGATTGAACGAGGCGCACATTCACATCGGCGGATAGAAGTGCAGCACAGATCTCTTTGAGCATTTCATCAAATGCCTTCGCAAGTTAGCTGATCAGGATACGTTATTGGCTTTGGCAAGTACTTTATCATACCTTCTCGTCAAGGTTGTTGGATCTCGTCAAGTCATTGACGGCAGCATTGATGCGCCGCCCTAAATCTTGCAGGACCATGATGGATGATTATGAGGAACGAAAATGAAGATATTCACGGTCCTTAATATGCGCCAGTACAAGTGGAGGGGCGAGAAGTGGAAAGGCCAAGGAGGCAATGCGGAGAGCCAATCGGAGAGAGGAAGGCTTTCACCGCCCAAAAAAAAGTTGAATCGCATTTCAGTAAACTCCAGACGGGCTTGCTTTCTCTTTACTCCAAAACATCCATTTTCTCCATTATTTCACAATGGTTGGGTCTTATTCTAAAAAGCGCAAGGTCGATGAGGGCATGCGTGGCAAGACCAAGCCCAAGAAGTTCCGCAAGCAAAAGTCTTACCACAGCAGCTCCGAAGATGAGGGCGAAGATGACTTCAAGGCTGTCAATCTTGCGGACTCAGACGAGGAGGATGCTGGCGCTCCTCAGAAAAAGCCCAAGTTCACTAAAACCCTACCGATGAAAGAGAGCAAGAAGACCAAGCTCTCCCCTGCATCTAAGCAAAAGAAAAAGCCCACCGCCGACGAAGATGAAATCATGGAAGACGATGACAACAACGACGCCTCTGGATCTGACGATGACGATGACGGCCTCTCTGATGGCTCGGCCTCCAATACAGATGGCCCGCGCAAATCAGTTGCTAAGCGTAACGATCCTACCATCTTCTCAACCTCTATTTCAAAAATTCTATCTACAAAACTTCCTACCTCTGCTAGAGCCGATCCCGTTCTTTCAAGGAGCAGAATTGCTGCAAAAGCTACAGATGAATTCGCCAATGAGCAACTCGACAAGGCCGCACGCGCCAATATGCGTGCCGAAAAGAAGGAGGAATTAGACCGCGGTCGTGTTCGCGATGTCATGGGTATCGAGCGAGGTATCGCTGGACCCGTGGCCGAGGATGAGAAGCGACTGCGCAAGATGGCACAGCGTGGTGTTGTCAAACTGTTCAATGCTGTCCGCGCAGCACAAGTCCGAGGTGAAGAGGCTGCCATGGTTGAGCGCCGAAAAGGAACGGTTGGTCTGGGAGAGCGGGAGAAGGCCGTCAACGAGGTTAGCAAGCAAGGATTCCTTGAACTAATTAACGGCAAGAAGGGGAAGCCGTTGAATATCGAGGAGGCTTAATTTTAAAGTCTACGATTCTTTGTGGCATGTTTTTGGCGTTGGGAGATGTTCATGTTCTATATCTTCGCTTTGTAAATCCATATCCATGGTGTCCGTTTTCTATATAAAAAAGTTCATACAGGAGGTCTTCATTCGGTATATTGCAGAAATAACGCAACCCAAATCAAATAGTACAGAGTCCAGCAGACTATTGCTCTTTTGTCCGATTCTTGACTTCACGAGCAACATTTATCCAGAGCAAGGGTGTTCCGAACGTCTTCCAAGGTTATTTCGCCTCGAAGTCGCTAGCTTGAAGATTCCGAGTCACAGATGGCAAGCGTACCACCAGACCATCCATAGCTTTGGTCATCAACACCTGGCAGCCTAACCGAGAGGTCTCGGTCAACCCAAACGCCAGATCCAGCATATCGTTCTCGTCGTCCGAGGGCTCCTCCATCTTATCAAACATGTCCGAATCCTCCACAATCACATGGCACGTCGAGCAAGCACAGGATCCACCGCAGGCACCTATTGTAGAAACATGATGTTAATGAAAATCTCGAGTATATACCGCATCGCTGCTCAACATACCCTCCATCTCCAAGTCATTAGCTTGGGCAATGTCTAGAAGGTTATCTCCTTCGGCAATCTGCAACTCCACCTTGATGCCATCCTTGTCGATGAAGGTCACGTTGATTCTATCACATCACTGTCAGTCGACAATATAAGGACACAGCGAATTCGTAGAACTTACTCCTCTCCTGGCTTGGGTGGTGTAATATGACCGTGAGCAGCTTGCGCGGTGACGGAGAACGCGCGCTGCGACAATTGCGCTCGCAATGACGAAAGGATACCGTGCTGTGCACTCGAATTTGACTTAATCAAGCTCACGGCCCCTCCGATCCTCCGCGGCGCCATAGCGCGGCTAGCATAGCTCCGCGACTGAATAATGCCTATATCGCCAGCGACCCAGCGCAATTGGTGGCTCAATCCCCGACAAAAAACCATTGTGTAAATAATTAAAAAGAAAAGACAAGTAAGAAATGAAATCACCAAATATGGGGAAAGGGCCGGGGGACCAGCGGAGTAGTGAGTAATGTTCGCCCAATTGACGGAAGGGAAAAAAAAAGACAAACGGTAAAAGGCGGCCTCGGACTTTTCAAAAGTTGCCCTTCTTTCTCCGAAACCTTTTCTGATCTTTATCCCCGACCTTTATAATCCACATTCAACATGACGTCTCGTGAAGGGGTTAATCCCCTGCGCCCTTATTATATTCCCCAGTCTGGGCTATCGCCAGTCACAGCTCCTACGCCCGGGGTGCCGTCACCGTCGTCGGCCGTCGTGTTCGGGAGCACAGCACGCAATCTCATTCCGGATATCGACTACACAGACTACCTCGAGTCCTCACCATCAGTATCAGACTGGGTTCGCGAGGCAGTGAATAATTCTCTTGTCCGCTACAGTCAAGTGCTGATTGCCCAACCGTTCGATGTCGCCAAAACTATCCTGCAGGTCTATGTGGTGCCTGATGCTATAGAGGAACAGCCGGACCAGTTGCTTAGCACTGGAGCGGCGAGTAGCTCGTATGAATCAGTAAGAGGGCCACTCGTCCATCCATTTACGAACCTAACAAAATATACAGGAACTAGATTCATCTGACGATGAGAGCACCTATTTCACTTCAGCAGCTCCGACCACACCCTCGCCGAGCACGCCACGATCTCGAAAGGCTCGGCATCGCATCACAGACCGTAGTGGCTACATCCGTGCAGATGCAGCACCAGCACCGTCGAAACATGCCTTGACCATCCGTAACCCTAATGCTATAATGGACGTGCTGTCCCAGATGTGGACGACCAACGGCCTGACTTCCCCATGGAAAGCATCCAACTCAACCTTTATCTACTCACTACTTCTCCCGACATTAAACACATTTATACGAAGTCTGCTTTCCGCCATCGCAGGTCTACCAGAGGAAGACATAACCTCATCCTTGACAGCCGATATATTGACAGCCCCTTCGCCCTTTACGACATTGATCCTTTCCTTCGTTTCGTCATCCCTCTCCGCGCTCATCCTCTCCCCAATAGACACAGCCCGCACCCTTCTCATGCTCACACCTGCAACACATGGCCCGCGTTCTCTCATCCGAGCAATCCGCCAACTCCCCACGCCAAACTGCACAGTTCCGCAGCACCTAGTCCCAATCACAATCCTCCACTCCAGTCTACCCCATTTCATCACAACCGCCACCCCTCTCTTCTTGAAGTCCTACCTGTCCATAGACCCACACCTCAGCCCTTCACTGTGGGGTCTCTTCACATTTCTCAGCTCAGGCCTCGAGCTCGCAGTGCGCTTCCCCCTCGAAACCGTTCTTCGCCGCGCCCAGATAGCTACATACACGTCTCTCAGTTTGCGCCAGAAAGCTTCCGGAGTCGGTATTCGTGCTGCTTCTATCGACGCTTATGACGTTGAGACAATCGTTCCTACCCCGCGCACATACCGCGGCATTGTGGGCACAATGTGGCACATCGTCCACGATGAAGGCATGAGCCCCAACCCAACAGGTGCTGAGCATGCACGAGAACTTCTCGGCAAGCCATCCTCCCAACGCCAGCTGCAGAAGAGACAGCAGGGCCAGGGTATCCAGGGTCTATACCGCGGCTGGCGGGTAGGCATGTGGGGCATAGCTGGTATTTGGGGGTCCAGTCTTCTGGGTGGGTTCGCAGGCGGCAGTGAAGACGAAGTGACGATGCGTGGCGGATATGGTCGTTCCAGTGGCGGTCAATTTTAGATGTGATTTTTCGTCCAAAAATTCCCTCTTCTCGTATACTATTCTGAAATGATGCAATACTCCATTTCAGCCATGAACCATATATCAATGCCAGCCGGTGATCTCAAATGATTGATCTCTTTGCGCTTCATTTTTGATCTTTCTTGGTTCTTCCCTCCATCTGCTCACACTGTATACCCCAGGGAATGGATCCAAGGGGCAGGTGGCTGCTATCTCTCACTCTCAGCCATGTATAAAAACCACGCGCTTATATAGCAATTCGATAATCCGCATCTCAACTATCAAAGACACATCTCTTCCAAGCTTACCATCCGGCAAGCATATAAATTGTAGCTTTGCTGTTCCAAGTTTGTAAAGAAGCTTGATATATTTCAAACCCCAACTATACTTGCCCTCGTTCTAGCTATCCATGGATTAGTTCCGCCTTGAACGTGAAACGGGATCTGATGACAACTACATCTAAACTAGTTACATAGTAAGATTACATCATGCGATTGACTTGAAGATCATTCCATTCATAAGATACCATAATATAAGGTGTAGACCAGAACGCCATTCAAATCCAACCTCTTCCAGTCATTGCCTAACTTTATGGAATAGAAGAACATCAAAGCCATTGGAATAAACCTTGACCATGCTCATATCGGTCAAATACCTCCATATTGCAAATGCGGCAAGTAACGGAGGATAAATTGAGGAGAAGATTTGATGCTTTTTGAGGGAACTAGTCCAACGGATTGCTGTGGGCGAACAGCTTCCCAACTTGCGAGATGAAGTTGCAGTAAATAAAAAATGTAAAAGATAGAAAAGGCGTGAAAAGATTGGCGACTGTCAATTTATTGGTACATGGGGCAATCGGGGTATGGGTATCAAATTGCCTGCGACGAGGCTCAAGGGGAAGAACCTAATGCAGAAGTTGAAAAGAAGGGTGATGCGTGGAGGATGCTTTTTGTTTCGGGTTTAATTGTCGGCGAAGCGTCGATCAAAGTAGCGGAGCACTCCCATTACACTAGCTGCTTCGATTTCCATAGCTGCGCGGCTATCGTGAGCAGCAGCCAATTCCCGTGCATTGGGCAGAGGGTGTAGCTTTGGCAGCCAAGTTGAAATTTCGTCACTAGCGCGGGAGTAGTTAGGGTGGCGTGAGAGTGTGGTAAATGCATCGGCACAGCTCAATGTGAGCGCATTAGGAGTATTGGGCTTAGGCTTAGGTGCAACAGGGGCAGGGTTGGCAGGGACATTACGTGACATGCAGCATCCGCCATCGACTCCCTTACCACCGCAGCAACCTCCTCCCGAGGAAGAGCCACTTGCCAAGCGAGATGCGGCTAAGCTCTTGCAGAACAGAGTGCTTTGAGGATCTGCAAGGCACTGAGCGCAAGTTCCAGGGCCGTTGGCACAAGGGTTTGTAGCTTCGCTGAGCGGCGGGAGAGTCACGTCAGTATATGCGATAGTCACATCACTATCTGATGGCGGAGGAGTGAATTGAGAGATAGACTGGATGGGAGCGAGGCGGTTCTGCGAGAAAGAGTTACCGTGGCGCTGCTCTTCCTGGGCAGCCATCTCGGCACATATGCAGGGAGTTCCATCCTGGCAGAAGCCGCAGGGATCCACAGGTGGCGATGACACATTGGCGTTGTTATTGCTGTTGTTGTGGTTGATATTTGCGGTTGACTGGACCACTGGGGCACCGGCAAATCGAGCAGTGAAGTCAATCTCCATCTCTTCGGGATCGGGCTTGATTTTAGGCTCAGAAAGCTCACGTTCCGGGCTGCCGACTCCATGAGGAGGATGTCTGGGACGGTAAGACTCGTGAGTATCAATATCAATAGGCATGCCGAAGGCATCCTCAATGCATTGGCAGTGAGCGGATGAACAGTCTGTGCAACCAAGTGGGATGTGGTCACCCTCCTTATTTGTGTCAGGGTTAGCAGTAACCACCCCCTCCATTCGGGAGCTTCGGGTCGAGCGAGTACGAGGAGGCAAAGGTACTGAATCGGGCATATTAGATGGGTGAAGGTTGTTCGAGCTGTTCAAAGAATCTCGCAATTGCTTGATAAGAGCTTCCTTTGCACTCTTTTCAATCGACACCTCCTGCTCGAGGGAGTGGCATCGATCCCGCCACCATTTCACCTCATCACGACAAGTCTCGATCTCCCGTGAGAGGAGAGAAATTTGTTCGCGGAAAGAAGCCACGTGAATGTCATGGCCATCCTCGACTTCTTTCATCTGTTCTTCCAACTCCTGAACTCGTGCAGCGCGTCGCTCCCGGAAAGCTCTCTGAGCCGCTCTGTTCTGCGCCTTGCGCTTAGTAGGTGGGGTATCAGTAGCAGGCTTACGGCCAGGCTTTGGACGAGGTGGAATGACCCATTCCTTTGATGTGATTGAGCCGGGTGTGCCAGGCCCTGGCGATGGTGCGACAGATGCTCTGGTAGCCGGCGAGGGAGCAAGAGCCGGCGCAGGCGTGATTGACACGCCTGTGGCCATTTTGATGCCAAATATCAAATATCAATTCAGGTGCTTTGTTAGGGTTAGTGGTGGGACCATGATTCGGACAGATTCGGGATTACGCACGAACGGTCTCTAGTCCGGAGGAGCGGATGTGTGCTCATATGAGCCGATAAGCGAGTTGGGGCCACTCGGGAAAAAAATTGCTGACCTCAGAATTTAAGTCAATTTTTAAGAGAGGGGATCGTGAAAAGGTAAGGTGTGGGAATGGGGTGGGAGAGTAGCTTGGAAGCTCAATATTGGAAGGGGGAAAGAAAGCGGGAAAGCAAAGGAGAGAAAAAGGCGATGATCAGATAAGATTATGCTCACATGACGCCGGTCTCGGATGTGTGAATCGGCTGTACCGAGTAAACACCACGTATTTTATTCGGCAGCCTCTATCCCGTCTACTCTGTATTTATATACAGTTATCAGATCCGATGTGGAGACAACAGCCAACAATATTTGACTTTATTTGAGGCTTTAACAGATTGAGGCCTTTTACAGCGGTTTTCCTCGCTGAACAATGAGAATTACTACCTTGCAAGCTAAAAGCTGAAGTAAATAATCGATATGTATCTCGTCTACTGCTTCTGGTAACTACGGAATTGAATGACGTGACGTAATATAAAACGAGGAGAGAAAAAAAAATGCATCTGTATTGTAATATTTAGACCTAATGGAAAAGCTTCATCCTTCCGATCAACGGTCATGACCTAGCAGAAATCAGAATAAGACCAATGAGAAGCAGAGTCTTTTCCAACCCAAGATTAATGCCGTATAGATCGGCTGAAAATCCCTTCGGTGATCTTATCTGATGGCGCTAGGTCAATAACCACGGGCCATGAACCACGGGCCACTTCTCCCCTATGAATCGAACGAGGGAATAAAATTCCGAAGGCTTGAATAGCGTCCGATTTAGTTCTTTTCATTCCGTGTCCCTTTGAGTATTGATTACGTTGTGTGTCTTGGCACGTCCAATTTACCCCACATTATGCAATTTTTTTTATCAATCAGCAGCAGATCTACCAGCATTTTGACTCCCTTAGGCCGAAACACGGCGTATACCCACCTGCGGGACTATAATGTCTTCCTTTGCTCACTTTTTTTTTCCAATATATGACTCATAGCGAGGTAAAGAGCCATGGAATGTGACAATGTATAACACTAGACGTCTACGTGAACCTTGTTGTTCTTCAAATCCATGTTGAATTTTGAAATAGTGAGTGTGAAATAGCATTGCAACCTTTTGCCAGACTACCTACTGCTACGTACGTGCTGAAGGTAGGAATCGCTGGAGGTAATTACTCTGTAAGGCTCGACTAAGTGGAGACCTTTCTAAAATACATGTTCTTGATCGTTTAGGTCGGGGGGTGCGGCTCCATCCTGGTCTTGCCCACTTCATCCCAATTGGTGCTAAGCGACGTTCCGTTACTCTCAATAAAGCTTTTCTGCATAGCCCGTTGAGAATCCGGATCGGCGGACGCATACAACTTCTTGAAGAAATCGTTCACCGCATCACCGCCGGCATCTAATTCTTGTGAAGAGTCTTGAACGTCACCATCGGCAACCATTTTCCCCACAATATCGTTTATCGTCTTGTCCCAGTCCTTCGTACCATGACGAGATGAAGTCGGGTAGACGGGGCCAGCAGCAGGGGCTGGGGCTGATGCGACAGGACGATCAGTAATATCCGGGGCATTAGTTGGGGCCTTCAGTGAGTGCCACTTCTTTCCGGGGATTTTCTTCTGCATAGTCATTTCGATTTTATTGATTTTGACTGAGACGGTGGGTTCGCCTGTGATGGGGGCGTAGAGAGGGCTGAAGTTGAATATGTTCACGCTGCCTCCAGAACCAAGGAAGGAGCCTGAAATCTATTAGAGTAAGATAAGCATCTTGAATCAAATGGGGAACATAAGAAATTTGTCTACTATTACCGAGTCTTCTGAGGCTTTCAACTCTACTGAATCCTTGCTAGCTCCTTTAACGTACATGATCACCACGACAGAGTCATGAGACTGGTACCATTCGTGTCGGAACTCTTGGATTTCAGGACGAGATGAAGCAGCTGCGACATTTGAGCTGGGATTGCCAGTCTTTTCAGTATTATGTGCGCTGTTGTCACTGGTACCAGGGGCGGCGCTAGAAGTCTCTTCCGTGTGATGCGCATTTCCATTTTCCTGGGCTAAATCAAATTCTGCCTTGATTTCATCGGCAGTTGGAATGCTAAGCCCCTTGACATCCACAGAGACCACAACTCGAGCCTTCTCGTCGCCGTCTGGAAGATCACTAAGCTCGCGGCGCACCTTGTTCAAGTGGACCGAAACCGCGGACCCAAGACCACCATTTGAGGGTGCTATCTTCTCCGGGTGGAGACCCTGTCGCGTTTCGCCGCCATCGTCGCGGATTTTGGCTTCAATAGATGAAAAAAGATATTCTGCATCACCGAGGCGACCAAGATTGTACAGTGAGATTGCTCGACGCATCTGAGACGACAAGATGAGCTCACGGCTACCACGTTCCTTAGAAAGTGTCAACGCAATTTCAGCGTCACGTAAAGCAGCGTGATGTTTGGGACCACCACTTGAGGTCGACAAACGGGTGTATGCTTTGGAACGTTCGATATAGTATGGGGCGGCGCGAGGCATTTCAATCAATGCACGTGTGTAAGAATCGATGGCACCGGTATAGTCCATAGCTGAAGCGGCCTTGGCAGCTTCTTTGGCTAAATCCATGATGGGTGGTACGCAACAAGGGAAGGTTGTCAATTTTCGAATCTTGAGAGCGGGGGATCATCATTATGCGACTTACCGCCCTGATGATGGCCCAAGCTCCGAAAGTGGGGGGTAAAACTGCCCGTCTTTTAATAAGCTTGTTACCTTACCGCCTACAGCATTGGAGAGAATACAAACCCTCATGATTGCTTGTTTTCAGTACTCTTAAATCAAGATCTCTGGCAATCACCCCTAGGTTTTAATGTGAAGTTGGACTATGATATGTCACCATATTGTTGGTTTATCCTAACGCTGCTAGCTTTATTGAGACTTGAGCAGTAAAAAAGTGAGAGTGAAATCATATCCATAGGACTATAATGACAGTTGACCGTATTTTCATATTTGCCCAGTCCCCATATGCAGTTAGGCCATTTACCATGGATGGCGTGACCGCCGATAGAGATGTTAAACCGCAAATGATGTGTAAGGAAGATGAAAGTAGAACTGTTCTAGATGAAGCTTATATACCTACTAGATATTCTTGGAATTCGTCACGTGCGTGCTTTAATTGACGAACCTTGGAAGTGAGAGGGAAGTGAAAGTTGAAGTCACACTTGATAATTCAACTAGGTTTAGGATATTAGGAACTGGCGCTTGAAAATGTGAATCCCATAGCGGACAGTACAGTTCTATCTCTTTAGGTACCTAGGTAGGGTTGAAGAGAGAATGATGATAAATCATTGTCGGTTGATTAGGCCATTTCCATAGCGGATAGTTAGCAGTCGAAAAATAGGAATATGCATATTTCAAGCCTGGGTAAAAGTGAAGTGGCATGCCTAAATGCCAAGGTTGAAGTTGAAGTTGTGAAAATTCGATTCCGGTATGTCGGCTGATATCGGTTCCACAGATTATGATTATAAGTACACTAAGAGCTTGGACGCCATTTCGGTTTTCACTGTAGCTCTTCGTTGCCAAACCTCTTACTATACAAGCCCAGAGCACGGATAGGCCAGTAGAACTTGTAGTTAGGATATGAGATCATGCTAATAATTGGTTAGTACTCGATCTGTAATAGATATAGATATCTTTGGGAACATACCATGACTGATTGAAAACACCCTCAATGGCCTCCTGCAGCCATTCGCCGTTTTTCTGCTGACGGGACATAAGCACCTTCATGGCTCTTTCGAGGGGTTCTTTATGGGGGTAGTGGGCCTCCATGAGTGCTAGACACGCCCAGGCGGTCTGTACTACTTGGGACTTTTCATGCTGTACATAGGTATGCTTCTCACTGCTGAGATATGACTCACCCCAGCCACCATCAGCCTGCTGCTTAGAGATCAGGAACTCGCAGCCTCGGCGAGAGTTTTCACTGGTCTCGTATGTCTCGCCGACACTGGCCAGACTCTCTAAGGCAAACATAGCAGCATAAGTGAAGCAGATACCCCATGAACCGTACCAACTGCCATCATCACGTTGAGCACGCTTGATATATGCAACGGCTTTGCTTTTTACGCGATGGATCTCGTCCGCACGATAGTCGGGATAGTACTTGCTAAACAGGGATAGAGCGGTAACGGCTGCAGTGGTACACTCGGGGTAGTCGTAGCCGATCATGATTCCACCAAAGACTTCAGCGGCATTAAGCCACTCGACTTTAGCAGAAGCTCGCGTGGTCTCGTACTCGGTGAAACCTCCAGTTGGATTTTGCATCAAAAGAAGGCAGTCCACGCTATCTTTCAGTCGATCAAGGGAAATCTTTTTGGGGAAATTGTGCATCTCTTGTAGTTGAATTGTTGATCGGAGACCCTCGGCAGTGCAGTCACTGACTGTATATCCTTGTGTCTTGGTGCTGAAGGGCCAGGCGCCCTTCCGGTGCTGACGGTAGCACTTTTCTTGGTCGGGCACGTTTTCCCGAATCTGATGATCATCAATGAAGTCGAGAGCACGACTCAGCATGGGTCGCCACTTGGGATCATCGGCCATTCCGGCAACCACAACAGCCTGTGTGACGAAAGTTGTGTCCCAAACTTGGACACCATTAGTACCGTTTGCTAACATCCCTTCGTCCTTCATCCACATGTAGTCGTTGAGTCGCTCTCGATGACGACGAACAGAGTAGCTATCAGGTCCATCATGGATGTAGCATGCGACCATGTTCAACGGATTACTGACAGGGCCAAGTCCGGCATAGTCGGTGTTCTCATCTTCCATGCGGATCAGCTCCCAAGTCCAATCCTCAGCCTTCTTGGCAATGCTACTCAGTCGGAAAAAAGGGTTCCAGACTCGAACTACTAGCTCATTGATGCCGTTCAAGACCCAAGTCTTAGGGTAGTAGTTGTCAGCAGAGTGAATAGAGTTGCGGTGTTGCGAAAAGTCAATGGAATCATATGGCTGGGTGTATAGCTCTTCGCGGATTTGTTTGGTTAAATCGTTTAGTGGGAAAGACCATTTCTTTGACCAGATATAAGAGAGAGGGAGGAAAACTTGGCGAATATGAATCCACCAGCGCCACGGCGCAAAAGGCACCCAGTCAGGAACCAGCCATAGTTCAGGAGGGACTGGGTTCACACCCTCCCAATCCATCACACCCAAGATACTGAGCCAAGCTTTGGCCCAATGAGGTCCGTAGACAGCACCACCAAACTTGTGAAGCAGGCCACGGGCTTTGATCATACGGGGGTCGTCCTCACTGACTCCTACCAGACGCAGGGCTACATAGTTCATAGAGGTGCCAAATACAGAGCTGTGCCCTTCAATATGCAAGCCCCAACCACCATCCTCTGGATTCTGTCGGGCAAACAGGTAACGTTTGATCTCCGTCGCATACTCCGGCGGGATAGGGGTGTTGGTCACATACCATGTAATCAACAAACCGGGGAGTAAGAACATGGGACCACCGTACTCACAGGCCCAGTTACCAGGTTCTAGTTGTAGATGTGAGAAAAAGGAAAGGCCATTCTCGGCAGCTTGTAAAGGTGTTTTAGCCTCTGACAGATCTGGAAGACCCTATAGCAAAATATTAGTAAAGGACGAGGAGTAATTAGATTGGCATCATACTGTCGGCTGGCCCAAGTGGTATCTGTCAGCAACTGTCTGTGGCCATGCGTCGTTCTCCTCGTCAGATTCGAGATATCGCCATGTCTGGCGACCCCCCTCGTTGACTAGGCGCCAGCGAGTGTAGTCAGTTATTGAGTCGCCATTGGCGTCTGACTTAAGATGGCCTTGAGCTTCAGTTCGCCAGGGACCTATATATGAGGCCATGATTGACAAGCTATTACTCTCCCCCTGAGTCGCAATTGGGAAACAAGCTGGGTTGGAGAAATCAAGCTAATCAATCGTACTATCGATAAGGATAAACACTGGGGAAGCTGAGTCATCATTCTCAAGGCTGCACAGTATATTGAAGAACAGGTATAATAATTTGTTCAGTTTTGTTGTCAGCTTAATATGGAAAAAGAAGTTCCAAATTACATTGCTCAAATATATATCCAGTCCGAGTTTATGATATGATGAGAAAGGACATCGAAGTATCTATACCTCAGGAATTTGACTGGGATTATTCGTTCCAAGGCTGTTATAGACTTAGCTTTTGGACAATTATCTCCTCGGATTCATAAGAATTAGAAATATAGAATTGATCACCTCCAGAGCTGGGAACTTGTTCGAAATTGTTGAAATTTCTCATTGTATAGTCACGTTGTCCATGACCGTCTACTACATCGCCAAGCCCTCCAGGCTCATGGCTCTTCCTCTCCTCTCATCCTGCCCAGAAAATATACAATGGCTTTAGATATCCTCGGAGAAGAACCGGTATCCTTAGTACGTGCATACATTGACAACACATTGACAGTCCTAGTCCACGAGTTGTCCCTGTCCCCATCAGAAGCACGGCCCTCTGTCACTCTACGAAGACGAACCAACGCAGCAGCCTGTACCATCAACCCTAACAATGGAGCATTAGAATCGGCCGAACAAGAAGAGTCATATCGCAAATACTCTTGGCCAGGGAACACAGTAGCTGAATCTTGGAAATTCAGTATGAGTTTCTGTTTTGAGGTTTCTATGCCTATTTGGTTCCCTTCACTAACCCTCTACTGAATAGCTATGGTTGTTCGGATCCTTTCCATTATTGATCAAGCTATACGGACCGGTCAACTGATTAGCAAAAGGTGGGTATCCATGAGAATCCTGAGGTCATTGCCTACGCGACCTTCAATGCCAATGGTAATGCCAAGCAGGGATATTTACTATATCGACCCTGCATATTTTAGATCACAGAAAGTAGTGGACGAGATTCTCGATGACCTAGCCTACACGATTGGTGTGGACCGAGCAGCATTGAATGTAGTGAGTACCCTTATTCCACCTGGACAATCAAACGGCAAGTAATCTGGGACTTGGCCTGTAACACAGGAGGCGACTGCAAAGGGACTCATTGTTGGTCCTTTTCGACTGAGACGCGATGGGTACACGGTGGTAGACGCTCGATTGGCCACTACTGTGAGATTCTTCAGTGTCAAACGTTGACAGCGAGCACTGACCAATTCAAGGAAACCTTGATTCCTCGAATACAAAATGGCGACGATATCGACATCGCAGGTGCCCGGTGGGTTCTAATCGTTGAGAAAGAGGTATTGATTGGCAGAATTCCATGGTCAAAAAGGATTCAAATCTAATTCTTTTGATGATAGGCCGCCTTCCACCGACTCGTGCGAAACAGCTTTCATATGACAGCCTTTGTTGGCGAGGGAATTCTTATCACTGTATGCTGTCTTGCGTGCATTTCCTGGCCACTTGCACTGACTGCCCAAATTCAGGGGAAAGGATATCCAGATATCAGCACACGCAGCCTAGTCCGTCGAGTTTTCGACATGACTCAGAATGCCAGATACAGACCTCGTTTCTATGCGCTGGTAGACGGTGATCCCGATGGCATAGCTATAATGTCGACATACAAGCATGGTTCCATCAGACATATGCATGAGAATGCAAGCCTCACAATTCCCGAACTAGAATGGCTGGGTATGCGAGTATCGGATGCAGCCACGATTCCTGAATCATCAGACAGCGGGGTTTTCCTCAGTTTGACAGCAAGAGACAGACGCAAGATCATTTCCATGCTTCAAAACAGTCCTGTGTTTGCGAGTGGTGGCCCAGAGCTTGAGTGGCGACTGGAGCTCCAGCGAATGCTGATGTTGAATGTCAAGCTTGAGATTGAGGCGGTTTATGAACAGAGTGGTGGGCTCGAAGCATGGATTAATCGGAAGATGTTCCGGCAGGAGTAAGTTGACAGGCGAAGAAAGCCCAAACAATCAATAGCAGAATCGCTATATATAGGAATATCGATTAATGGGAATACAACGGAATCGAAAGAGAAATGAGAGAAAAGACTCGACCTGTCATTTCAAACTCCACAAGTTTTCACTTTCTCAGTGCTAGGTACATACTAACCAAACAGTTATATTTACCAAGTGGTCCGACGAAGAATCAATCGCCAACGAACCATCCACGGATGCATACGATCAATTCATAAAACGAGGCCAGCCATCAACGAAATGCAAACACATTTCCGCATGTTCACAAGCCGAGTCCCTTGCGAACTTCTTCGCGAACCTTCTGCTCATACTCAGGTCTCCGCTCGCGCCACATCTTGGCCGCCTCGACATTAGCAGGGCTCTCATCATTAGGTTCAGCCAACATGCTCATAACCGAAATGAGGATCTTCTCCACACTCTGGATAGGCGACCAACGTTCGGAGGCGTGTTCATAGTGATTTGGGTCATCACCGGGCGGGTGGAGGATGGAGATGCAGACTGTACCATTGGGGTAAACTAAAAAAAAAAGACAAGATATGTCAATCATAATTATTCGCTCCAACGCATGCCTTAGACAGAATGGCACAAACCATTTGGGTGCCACACACCGCCACCCACAAATTTCATTGTGGGAGGACTGAGAGGGTAATCCTTAGGGAACTTGAGCTCTGCTGCAAAAACGCCGCCTTCGAAGGGAGTTTCCTCGGGGCCTTGGATCAGAGCTTCCCAGTGGAACATGTCATCCTCCGAGACCGGACCTGCGGTGATTCCCTCAGGTGGGTTTGTTGAGAGGTTCTTGTATTCGTGGAACAGGCGCTTCTGGGCGACGTTGGAAGCCATTTTAGGCATTCGAGTGCTTTTGTTTGAGGTGTTGTGCTTTGGCGCGAAAGTGGGATGGTTTGGTTCGAGGGGCAGCAAGTGGGCGAATTCAATCCTGATTTTGAAACTAGGAAATCTGGTGTCCTGGTGCGTACATAAGGTTAAACGGTGATTACAAGTGAAAAGTCGCAGGAATATCGAGTACTTGAGGAGATGAAAAGTTGAGGTTAAGTAATGAGAGAATGAGTAAGGAGCGCGGGGGTGGTGCCGTCATTGGATCGCCCCTCGGGCCGATCCCGACAATAAATTCAATACTTAAAAGTGCTTGTAATTTACAGTATGCAATTCAATCGTCTATATCAAGTCAAGCCAGTAGCAAGGTATCATCGTAATATACAGGATGGAGCTAACAAGTAGTTAGAAAAAGTCAAATCCATCACCACCCCCGGCGTCAGAATCACCACCATCCCAAGGATCCTTATCCCAAGTTTCCTCATCTAAAGATTTCTCGTTCCAGGCGCTTTCGCTTTCGTAAGGTTGATCTGACCATTGCTGGTCTTCCGTAAGAGTAGAATGACTGTTCTGATCACCTGAAGCACCTCTTTGCATGGCTTCGTATCCCGCTATAGCACCCGCACCCGCAACTCCTGTTGCCATGCCATCGGTCATTCCACCAACCGCTCCCCTGCCAACAGTACCCGCGGCAGCCTCGCCAATAGCTCCAGCTTCAGCAGCCCCTCCAGCAGCCCCTCCAGCAGCTGCTTCACCGCTAAGCCCGGGGAACCAGAGCGGCATAAAGCCAAGTCCGCCCGAACCACTGTGGCGGCTGAAGTAGTCAAAATCAATACTGACAGCCGTCGCCAGCATCACGGCACGTTGATCGAGGGTCATCCCAGTCGCATTTGCGTCATTGGGGGAAGCTTCAGTGCCAAATTCTGCAGCATCCATCCGCAGCGCATAGACACCAGCGTCTGTAAAAATTTCTCGAGCAAATCCAGCAAAGTTGCGATTGACTGATCCGATCAAACGGTTATTTGCTGACTGTAGAGAGAAGTCCCAGGACAGGAAAGGCTCATCAACGTATGCAAATTGATTAAATTCGGTTTGATCTTGATTCGAAACTGCAAGCTGCATTTGCTGTGTCTGAGAGAGGTTAGATCCAGCTAGAGGAAGCATCTGGGTGCCCATGTCTGTTGACAGGTTCGGTGATTGGTGGGAGGTGAAGAGGTTATATTTGCGCCGTAACGGGGCCCATTGTTGTTGGGCTTCGCCAATGACTCGCATCTGGTCGAATGATAACGGCGAAACGCGGGTTTTTGAGGCAGCATCCGCTTGGACAAGAGAGCCTGGAGTTACATTCTGAAGGGAGGTTGAGGAGGAGTAAGTGCTTGTGGCGACATCGAGAGGATCGTATACTTGAATCCTGGAATTTATCCAAGAAAAGGGCCGGTTGAACTAGTACTATCAGCAACTGTCCATCATGAAATTGCGTCCATGTCTCGTCACTTACCCGCAAAACCTCATTCTCGTATCGGTCAAATACGTGTGTAACAAAACTTCGGTGTGTACGGAACCATTGCCGTGCCATTATATTGGCCACTCCCTTCTCTTGCTCTGCCATATATCCAATATGGTTTCCCTGAGCATCCATAATCACATACTTATTCGCTTGCTCGAAGCCGCTGCTACCTGTTAGTTCCAATATTAGATATCTGACATCAAGAATACTGACATCATCACATTCATCATCTCCAGCTGGCGCTGGACAACCAACCCAGAATTTGCCAATAGATTCATCGCCGGGTGATTCTCTTTGAGAACGCCATTTGGGTCCTCAGGAAGATAAACAGGAGAAAGGAGGGTATTCTGCGACGGGTCATAATTTGGAACGGCCTCCTGTGGATCGGAGTCTACAGGTTCTGGTTGCGGCGTCTTCTTTGCTCCTTTTACGGACCTTAAATTTGACGATCTGATGGTGCTGCCGCGGGGACCTAGTTGGGCGTTTCGTCCTCGAAGGGTCGACAGAGCTCGACGGACGGGGGTTTCCCGCATCAGGAGGGGGCGTAGTTTTGCGTTCCACATGACTGTGGTGGTATATTGTATTGCAAGCTCTCAATATCTATGGAGGAGTTAAGAGATCTGGTCGGGGTAGAGATTTTTGATGACGGAGGTTTCAGCGGGGTTAAGCGGAGATAACGCAACGCCTTCCTGAATAACTTCGTACAAGTTGAGTATGAATGAATGTCAGAGCATGTCTCTACCTAGGTAAGGTTACTAAGGTAGGTCTTTTATTTTCAATGGATGTATATAGGTCATGAACAATATCCTTCACCTCGGTCAATTGGCCACCCAATCCCTGGCTCATGGTATTTGACAGCTTCAGGCGACTCCTGAGGATAAAATAACGTTAGGTAACAGTTCAAAATCAGTTGCTATAACTCCTATCTAATGATATGGGTTTTCCACATAGCCTACGTGTATCTATTGGACCAGGGGCCACGTTGCTCACTCTGACTCGTCGTGACTAGAGCTCTTTAGAGACACCCCTCGTGAAGTGCTCGACGGGCGCCTTCGAACCTGCATAAGAAGTGTAGAAACCAGTGAAAGCCGCGAAAAGGGCAGTCACGATAGTAACTATCTTTCACTAGTCAGAAATATGGATCGCAGTAGCTTTCAGGATAAAGAACGCAGCCTTTCAGGATAAAGAACGCAGCCTTGGAGTTGATCCTATAAGAGCGACTGTTTAAAACCTGTAACAAAGATTGTATACTCGGCAGGCCGATGGGCTCGAAAATGAGACTCTATGAGAGTAGATCACATACGCAAATATAGAGTAACTTATTACCGAGTAGTAGTAGCTTCATTCCAAGGTTGTAGTGCCCCAAAGCTTCATAGATAGATCTCAAGAATGATGACGTCATATTGTATGGATCTTGACCCCGCATTTTACCTTCTCACTTGATTTCAGGTACAAAACACTGAACCTGAGCTGTTGACACCCGGCAATGAATACATAGCTACGTACTAGATCTTCAGATCCAGGTGGATGGACGAGTGATCCTTATGAGCTATCGGAGTATCCTTTCTCCGGAATCCCGAAGTTCATAGGTCTTATCACTGGAGTTTGGGTAGGTGATCACCGACTATTCATGGATTTGAAGATGCTATCTGCAGCTTACACTCCTGAGGTCTGATCTCACTCCGAAACATCAACAAATTGCCTCAATACAAGATAGTTAAGTAGTAAGATTCGTTCACAAGAGCCCCTTGCGAGCAAGTTCAATCTTTCGAGCTGCCTCGCCCTGCTTGAATCCTCCCTTGGACACACAGATTGCACTTCCTTCTCCTAGCTCAAACTTTTCTTCAACACCTGGGTGTGGGCAGGGACAGTGGTGTGGGAAATGGACACAGGCAAGAGTATCAGGGCAAAGGTAATTGCTGCATGGAGCTGTAGGAATAAGGATCAGCAGCTGCAATGAAGAGGACGGGACTTTCATTATGGGTAGCTATCTAAACTCACTTTGACTCCACATATTCTGATAGCGACTACTGTCACTGGGTGCATTTTGCGAGCCCTGTTGGTGGTTTTGTTGTTGTTGGCCGGCTCCAAACATATGCTCAAAAAAGTTAAACTGAGCCTGAGCGACGGAGACTAGCATGAGGAGGGCCCAAAGAGGCTGACCCCAATTTCGAAGCATCTCCAGAGTAATTGATGTGATTATATCTTGGAAACGTAATTAAATTGAAATTAATGGGGTAGTTGTCCATCCAAGTATGAGGGCGGAGATGAAGCCAGCTTACCTGCGCACGTGACGCCAAGCCTTTCACCTCCGAGAAAAGTTCCCCTTCTACGACATCCGAGTGTTGACGCTTCATCAATTGTCGACCATGATGCAACCAAGACTACTGGCGCCCTTAAGGGCGCTAGAGCGGTCTTTCACATCCTCTCTCCGGGCAGCTCAGACCCTCTACATGTCGCAATCCCTCTTCCAACGCTCCCTCTCCGCAAACTTAGCGCTCCCGAAAACTACACCTCTCTCTCGCGGGCTCCTCCCCTTCTCCCAGGTGCGATACGCCTCCCATGCTTCACAAGGAACGGCCAATCGACACTCGCGGGATCCAGCCGGAAAGCGACTAGGAGCGAAGCGCTCAGGCGGCGAGTACGTTGTTCCCGGCTGTATCATTTTCCGACAGCGCGGCTCGTTATGGTTCCCCGGCGAGAATTGCGGTATGGGACGTGACCACACCATCTATGCCACTCAAGCCGGATACGTCCGGTATTACTTGGATCCAGAACAGCATCCCGACCGGCGATACATTGGGGTTGTTTTCGATAAAGATGAGAAGCTCCCACACCCGCGCAATGCGCCCAGTCGACGCAGATTGAACATGGTTACGACAGCACGAATTGATCCTGTTGTCTACCAATCTGATATTGTGGCCTCGGTTGATGAGAACGGTACTCAGGTCGCTGGCGTGGCGGCTGTTGATGCCCAGTCGGGTCCTCAGCTGCGCCCTGGCTATATGTACCGTGAAGCTAATTGGGTGATTGGTCGTGCGGCTGAGAAGGCTGGTATCACTGCTGTACCATATAATCGCACAAATCGATGGCTTGCTTGGAGGAAGCGGGAGGCTCGTGCTGAGCGGGCTGCTCAGATGAAGAGTTTGAAGGGCAAGAAGAAGCCTGGAAAGAAGGCCAAATAAGTTTGCATGATGCTTTGATCCATGGAATTTGGGTTTCTGTAGCGATATGAGGTTTATCTGGTGTTTTTCTGTATTATATAAAGAGTCTTTCGCAAATTATATCTCCACGTGTATGATCTTCAATGTTTGCCTGATAGTAGGGATTATGAGGTCGGAGTAAAGGTTCGTACTGGGTTTTTCGTCTTATTCGGACACCTGTGTAGATCTTGGATATCCTAGCAGTTATCTTTCACCTACAGGGCTTACAACGGTCTCAAATTAGATATGGAGGACAAGGTTGGCATTCTTTAGGTGACCTCCGGGACCTTGGAAGGTTGGAAGTGAATTTAAACCAACCCATCTCAGTCAAATAGATTACCTAGGTAGTTAAGCAGGTATTTAAGCAGTTTGATAGTTCACGAACTAACCTACTAGTTATTCGAATGAAATTGGTCAGCGAAGCCCTGAAGCACATAGTCCTCGGCTATTACCCTGACTATTCCGGTCAATATAAATACGGAATAGGCCCTAGTGATACACATGTCAATGATCCCATAAATGGATGTGTCAGTATAAGATAACACAGAGCTCGCAATCCTTTCATTTCGTGATATTCTAGTTCAGTGTCGTGAGTAAATATGATTCCACGTGTGTTTAAGCCTCTATCTAAGAACAAGATCTGATACTTTGGCATTCAAGGCAGTAATATTTCAGTCTGGCACACTTAAATTTTGGAGAGAATAGAATACAGTAGCCCTGAACTAAGGAATTGCCTTGAGTACCTTGGTACCTCCTCCTTTGACGGGAGCCCATTATTCTACAGCCACGCAAACGACGTAGTGCTAGTCCTAGAAGGAGATACTACAATTTTGAGCCATTCTAGAAACTGGTCTCACTATTACCACTGAAAGTCTTATTACTCTCAGACTGCTTTTACGGTGGTCCTCAGACAGATCACATAGAGGAAACCGACCATTGAGATATCATCAATACTCTAGGTCACGAAGTCAAAGCAACGCTCTTTCCGCGAAGCTATAAATCATGGAGTTGAATCATCCGAGGAACTGGCGCTCAGGCATCGAAGACTTAAAGAATATCGAGACCACAGTATCATCACCACGGAATAACGTCTTTTCTTACTGTCGGTACACCGGTGAGTATAGCAAGGTTGGTGAGAGGCTAACGCCCACTTTTAACACCTATTACAGGTTGCGCTTTACGCCCCTATAATATATTTGTGTTCTCTTGAAGTGGTTGTAAAATCTGGGTTTTAATTCATGGTGAGGACTAGCTATTTATCCTACAAGTTGCTCTTCTGTCTAAGACGAATGTGTTCTATCGTCTAAGACAAAACAGTCGGTAAAGACGGGACATCACAGTTATATGTATACTGTTCAAGATTGCCGTTTGCGATGCACTCTGAACAGGGATTCGTGATGTGTCGTTTTTCCGATATCCCAACACTTACTGATACGACAGTCAGGAGTTTTTGAACTCGTTGGAATTTTCCATCCACCACGTAAACATTCACGAAACAATTACAGTCGAGGAAGGAAACTCGATATAGCATGAATTTTATTTCATTTATGATAATGGTATTTTAGATTGAATGAAAAATGGTATCAAGATAGACAAAAGTAGCAACATATGGAAAATCATTCCTCATATAGCCGGCCCAGGATGAGGCTCTGGCAAACAAATTCGTTCCCGACAACTTTTGCGGGGAGCGGATCATCATTGGGGGTTGTCTTGGTGAAGACAGCCGACTTCTTGCGTTTTCGGCTACCATGGAACAAGTGAATCCTCTGCGTCTTTGGTCGCGGGGTTAACATGGACCTCGCTGAAGCTTGATCAGCGTCGTCGACATAGACAAAGTCCCAGCTGCAGGGCAAAGAAGCTTCCATTTGAGATTCCAGCAGTAGTTTGGCCGTCTGCAGATCTGGAACGCGCTCTACACGAGAAGCACCCAGAGCAAGCGTGAGGAATATATACGCTTTTCGCTTTTCTTCAGCTTTCCCACGTCCGGTGATTATAAGTACAGAATGTCCGTCTAGTAGCTTTGGTCTCGTGGCAATCGTTCTCGATAAAAGAGCCTCAGAAGCTGGCGTCGAAGTCATGACTCTTGATTTTGTGGCTCCGTGAAGGTACATCGAGTCACCGGCAGGCAGTAAATAGATGTCCCAGTTCAAGGCATGCCCTTTGGCGACACAGTCCTCAACCCAGCGCCCTGACAGACAAGGAAGTCCGAGAGCCAGAGCCTGCATGTACTTTTCACGACGCGAATACGAGTCGGCAATCAGACAAGTGAATCCCACATTTTCAGCCATAGAAGTAAGACGCAGACCGCTGCCTTCAGGGGTCCCTTTCTCATTCAACCCTTTCTTCGGTGTGGCCAAGGGATTCATAGATGAAGGTTCGAATAGTTCAGTAAATCCATCGTGGAGAATCGAGCCACCATTATCTGTGATGAGTTTGGAAATACGAATCTTAGATCCGTCATCTTCCTTGTAAGACACGGCAAATGCCATATTTGAAAAGATGCCACTCCTTAGCTGAACATTATGAGAGAACCTTGTACCTGGAGATACTGGAAGGGAAGATTTCTCAAAGGAAGTATGCGAAGTATCTTCCTGGAATGTTTCTTGATGCTGGTAGGTGTAGGACCGATCTTTGAATTGATTCCATAGGATGGTATCCATGTAAATTCTACATATGGGGACCTTAATCGTGTTTTCACTGTTGTTCAGGCCTCCATTGGGAAGACTCTTGCGCTGTTTGGGGCCGAGAATCACAGTTGTATGCCCGTAGATATCAGTTTGAGGATAAAGCCCGTTTTTGGTGGCGCGGTCAAGTTCTTCCTTAGTGAGCTTGTCGTCAAGTCCACGGATAATATGAGTGACTTTGGGCACATCATGCATGTCGACTTTGACCGCATCTCCGATTCGAAGTTCAAGTCGTTTCACAGCGCCCTTAACAACCTCAATGGGGGCACTATCTTCCAATTTCACCATGTACTTCGCTTTCGAGACTCCAAGTGGGGCCCCAAGACAAGTTGCAGGAAAATATGCTCGTTTGTGACCCATCCAGATAGCGAAGACTTGATGAGGGGCAACTTGGGAATCATCAGAATTATAAGCAGCCCGGGATATTACAGGGGTAGTTGGAAGACTGCTCGCAGTATAGTTCTCAGATGGTATCATCATATCTTCAGAGTCGAAATCAACTTCTGTGAGTTCAGAAGAGACTGATGGAGAATCATGCACGGCAACTGACTGACGTGGTTCCTCATTGTCCTTTTCCTCTACTTGAACAGGTGGCTGCTCCGATTGTAAAGTTGCAACTGATTTAACCTCTCTCGAACTCCGGCGAGCCATCGGCTGTTGAGGTGAGCTTTCAATCTCCCAGATGGTTTCAGTTCTTCGAGAAAGTCTTGATTTCTTGCGAATAGTTGTAGGAGGAATATGTATTGCCTCAGGTAACATCGGGCTTTCTGGAATAGAGCCTTCCTGGACGGGAGTCAGAGTTTTGGGAGGCGGCAAATATGGCGTAGCAGGAATGGTAGGAGCAGCAGCAGCTTCAACTGTGAAAAAGCTTTGACCTTGGTTTCCACGGCGTCTTTTCTTTGGGCGAGTGGGCGATCCATCAATGACCAAAGAATTAAAGTGATCATCGTCAGCAGTGAAAAACTCCATACTGATATCCCCAACCCGAAAGTCAGCCTGAGGAGAGCAATCGGAGGCAATTTCAGTCAATGCTCGACGTTGTCTCCCGCTTGGGCTTGACAAAACATGAGATTGGGCTTGGGATTGAAGACCTTTGATGGGGGAGGAGAGGGCACGCGACTTGAATAGCTGAGCATGGGTGGCTCGATGAGTTTCAGTGGAAAACATCGGAGGAAGGTCATCATCTTCATTGTTGAGGCCATCGCCATTGGACTCAACCTCCCACTGACTGTGAACGCGAGTGGGGCTAGTTTCGGGCACGCTTGTCATAGGGGCATCGCTAATCGGCAGCCGCTGATGATCAGGTGTCTCTATTACATGAGATGTCATTGAAGATGTTTTACCTCCTGGGCCAGGTTGGGATAAAGCTAGAAGTGATCCGGGTTTGGGATTGCTGGACTGGATATGTCTCTCGTTGGATGAAGTATTCTGAACAAAATCTCGCTCGGGTCCATTTGAGACTTGCTGTTGTTGAGAATTTGATATTAATGGAGGCAATAGAACGTTTTCTGGTCGTGAACCAGGAGGCGAGGATTGAAGAGATTGTCTGACTGGCGAAATCCTGCCAAAATTGACGACAGGAGGTGGGTCAAGTTGCATTTCATCAGGCTGGGACTGCGTCTTGCCTATGTTGATTTCCTGTGGAGATGATTGCGGCGGTGACTGCTGGGAATCTTTGACCATTACTTGCGAGGACCGACCAGATGGTTGATCTCGAATGTGCAAGCCAATCGAGTCCCGACCAGAAAACACAACATCTGGTTCATCGGCCACCACCATATGCGATGACTGACTAGTCGCCATTTCAAGGATTTGGGAAAGTCGATCATGAGCACTATTGGCCGCCTCGACTGGTGCAGGTGGGCGGTCGTAGTTTTCCTTGTCTTCTTCCATTGATTGCTGTGACTGCGGCACCTGAGGAATATCTTCTTCGTGCTCTGTTTCTTGCTCAGTCTCTTGTTCCGTTTCTTCTTCACTTCCAGCAGCGCCAACCAGTATATCATCTTGTTGGGGTTTTTGGATGAATCGCTCGGGAGAGGTACGCTCGCGGGAGGTACTAGAGGAGCTCTTAGATCTGGCAGGAGCACTCAAAGCCGCGAATTGGACAGCCGTCTCTTCATGAATCTGTCGTTGCCGTCGTGCCTTCTCAACAAAACTCGACTCCTTGTAAAATTCCTGCTCAAGTGGGTCATCCGATCGCACATCATCGTGCCTATCATCAGCTGATCGATTCAAACGCCTCCCTAAAGACTTGTCTCGCCGGCCTTGTGATTCGTTCAGAGATATATAATTCAGGTTTGGTTCAGACGAGTCCCGAGTAAGTTTAGTCGGGATGTATGCGAGAGGGGAGGAGATGGCATTGAAAATTCGTGGTTGTTGAATTGGGACGTTCGGTGATGGGCGATCCGACACAAGCTCGGGTTGGTGGCCATGAACCAGGGGAGATGATGGCGCCTGAGTCGCCTTGAACAGTTGGCTTAGACCCATGATGCCACCGCTGGACTCTATCTCCCCGGCCAGCGGGTTACGCGATAGGGTAGGTGTCTCGGTCGTACCCGGGGTATGAATTTTTTTCACTGCAGTTCCAGGGGTCCTGCTCAAGAAACGTTGTGATTCGGGAAAAAATTCCGGCTGAAATCCTATCGGGGATGATTCGCTTTGGTCATAGCTGCTTTCATCATCATTTTCAGGAGATAAGTTCACTTCACGGTGTGTAGAGTCAAATTCAGCGAGGAGATCAAGGTGGCCACTGTCTCCCTCATGGAGCGTCCTAAGAGTCGCTCCATCTGCACCATTATCTATAAATGTTCCATTCGTCATCGACTCTCCATTCTGTCGAATAAGATTATCGTAGATCGACTGGGAGACAACCTGGGTGTCCCCCAGAGCAGAATCTGCGGAGTCCATCTTTCCCGTAATTGGCCGTCTGGATATGAGAGGGTTCGTATCAATGGTATGATTGGAATTTAGCGAGTATAGATCATATTGTTGAAGTGAAGAGGTAGGAGGATGACTGTTGGCGGTAGAACTTGCAGGCTTGGATGAAGGTGTGGATAACGAGCGGTTGATAGTTACTGATGCCTCAGAGTGAGGTTGGTGAGCAGGGCACTGATTGAAGTCACCAGGCCTGTTGTGAAGAGGGCTGTCAATTTGCGTTTGATTGGAATCAAAAGGCCGGATTGGTTCGTGCTCCTGAGGATGTCAACATTAGTCCAATGAGAGCCTGTAACGCTGCATGTCAGTTACATACTAGCGCGACGCGTTGCAGCTCAAAAATGTCCACGCTATCTTGAGTCTCCATCTGTTCGATATGTTGGTTTAACTCATGAGTTCTGATATGCCAAGCCATATTATGTCTTATATATAGGCATGTTTTGGGTAAAAAAGATATTTGAGTAGCCACCTCCTGTAAATGAAGTTATACAGCACTCATCTTCCAACGCGTAATGTCGTATCACGTAGTCACGTGAGCACTTAATAAATTTACTTTACGTTACCACTGATGAGCCCTATAGAAAGTATGGTATTTACCAAAACCAAAACCACGCCTAGTTTTGAAATACAATGATTAATAGATGTGTCATAACAGCTTGACCCAGCAGAAAGATGTAATTATATTTATCAAAATCAAATGGTATCATATTTGAACGGTATCATATTGTAACATGGGTTGAGTGGGTATCTGAAGCCCTACCTCATGATACAGGATCTAGTCACGGGTCCGGTTTGGAGTCCAGCGTCGCAGTAGGAATTCGCGCACCTTGTATCGACCTAGCAGAGCTCCCACATCATCAATTGAAGATGGGGGAGGTGGCACTTCCACGTAGCAGACCACTAGGCTCTTTTTCACCTGGGCCTGGACTCTATTGACACAGTGCAACCACCACCAGCTCCGATCTTGCTTACTAGCCACATGATGTCTCCGTTCTTGAGTCTCTGCCCAGTACGGGTGCTCATAGGAAGGGATTATGATGATGGCAAACTCGGCATGTGAAAAGACAGGTCCCCGGTTGTAAAGTAGATAGTCGGTTCCAAACTTGACCCCAGAACGAACCACCCATCCCAGGGATCGGAAGTGGTGATAGACTGTGTAGGAGATCATAAAAGGGTCGTCTGGTTGCAGGGCGGCAGAGGATTTACGAGCGGGGTAGTATGAATGGTGACAGAGAAGTGGGAGGAGATCGGAAGTTGGAATGACATTGTTGAGCGTGTCGACGACATGTAGGGAGCCTAGCGCATACACGAGGAAGAAGGTCTCTTCGTTGGAAAGTTGCAAGTGTTCCTCATTTTCAATAATGGCATCGTCTGTCTCAATGTCCTGGACGGCAGTAGAAGTAAGCTGCCTCTCTTGTACGACAGGCGAAAACCGAACTGATTTCTCATTGGCAGACTCTAAGGGGCCAGTAGGCTGCGAAGCATCTCCATTCTGTGTTTTTCGAAGCCGAGACTCGCGATACTTGGCTTCCATGGCCTTTTTGACGGAGAACTTTTCGACTGAGACCGCTGTGGCTTCAGCAGAATCATCAATCGACGCCGAGCCATTCGAGACCGTGCTGGAGTCTCTGATGGCAGCCTCAGCCTTCAACCTTTCCTCAATAGCCAGTGCTTCAACTCTCGCTCGCTCAAGCTTCAACTCGCGACGTTCGGTCCTGCGTTTCCTGGTAGCCTCTTCACTTGTGCTGCCGCCTAGTAGTCCTCGTCTTTTCTTTTCACGTTCCAGCCAACTAGGTTCACTTCGGCTCAGATTACCCTTGCCGAAGAATCCCATCTGCCATAAAGCCTGAATTGCCCGCTCATCGGTGACATGAACGGAGGAGGTATTGAGATCAAAGTATGCAGTTTGTATTTTTTGAGTTGGAGGAGAGATAAGGAAAGTAAGGTACGAGAGAACAGCACTAATGATAGACAGAGGGTTATGAGGAATTACAGCAGGAATCGGATGAACATTGACTGGAAGTGGATAGCGATGAATATTTCTGTAGTTGGGTCTAGCAGGACGATTTGTCCGGGGAGGTTTGAGAGCTGCAGAGCTTGGAACGGGCCCAGTCTGGTTAAAGCCGGCAGCACTGGCCATCTTGATAGTTTACTGAAAAGGCTTGAAGAATTCTAGATGGAGGAGTTAGTCAACTTCTTCTTTGCAATATGTTGTCAAAAATATCCATCAGTCTTGTCTTCTCAGATACCGTTGTAGTCAATTAAGCACATCATCGACAAACAGCTAGAAATCAAGGTGCCGTTTGCCTGAGCTCGATTGTATCATCATCGAAGATAGAGGGCAGTGACCAAGGTTGAGGAATAGCTCTAAAGAGCTGAAGGATTGTGACTAACCTGTTGAGATCTGTGTAGCCTGAGAATTAAGAATCAATACCACGAATGCAAAGAAATATCATCATGGAAGCCTTAGGTTCTTGCTAAGCTGTGTAAGTTAGTGAACTGTCGATGCATCATCAACACCAGTAAAAAGTTGAGTATTTTGTTAGATTGAAGTGCGAAGAAATTTTGCATTTTAAGTGCCGGTTATCAAGGCGGTCTGGACTGGCAAAAAAATTCCTTCCGCTTTTGCTTGTCCAATTCTACACTCAACTCCTCAATTTGACTACACCATTCAAATCAATTGAGCAACTTATTAATCCCAAGTGAGTCCCTTTTTGAAGCTCTAAGTACCTGTCTCAATATCAGTGGACCTTTTTACTAATTTTTGTGCCTCAGAATGCATCTTATGGTATGTTCGAATTGTACTTCGATTGCCGATTGAAAAAAAAATCTCGCTACGAGGAATCACCATGAGCAAACAGCCTTACTAACGAACATTCAGTACACTCTCGGTGCCGATGGCAAGCGTATTTATACGCTGAAGAAGGTATGTGGTAGTATTAATCTGTGAGCCTAGAGATTCTGGTGCTAATGCTATATTATAGGTGATTGGCGGCGAGGTCTCCAAGTCCGCGTAAGAAGCGAATCCGACCACGAATGAAAAATTATAACTACTAACACCTGGAAGTCACCCCGCCCGCTTCTCTCCCGATGACAAATACTCTCGGTATGTCTGATCAACGGAAAATCCTGAGCTTTAGTGCTAATATTACCCAGTCAGCGTGTTACCCTGAAGAAGCGCTACGGCCTCCTCCTCACCCAGCTTACCGGTACGATCTATCTTCCCTCAGAAATTCTCGCCGAAACCAAAAACTAACCTTTTATCCGATGCAGAGGAAAAGAAATAAAGCAAATTGTAGGATGAAAAATGGGAATCGAGGGTTATTAGGCCCGTATATCGGCGCATGGTGTTTTATTTTGTACAGTCTGCGGATGGCTGGAATTTGCTTTGCTTAGGATCATCTTCCAGGTCCATTTTGGCCACAGATGATTGTTAAATTTTAAGTGTCTGATATCGTCTACCAATCAATACACTTTTACCTGCTACCTTCGATCTACTTGGAATCATAGTTATTTCGATCCAACATCGACTAAATATTGCCAAGTCGCCCACGCAATATAATGGTGTGTTCAAAGGTCTCACGTTTGGATACTATGGATGTACTTACGAGGTGTCCATTCTTATACCCTCATGACTTTATACACAGCTTATCCTTCCAAGGTTTCAGAGGGTAATGAGGCCAACCTAGGATTTCAATCTTGGAGGTCTAAACAGGTGGTCTGACTACCTAACTCAATGGTGTCATCTTTGCATGTCAAGCCAAGAGCTATAAGCGACCTCGGAAATAATTTCGGAAGCTGCTCAGGTGTCCATATCTATGACTGCATCTAACCTTGGAAGGCTGGATAATTGAAAGCGGGAACGTAAACTGTCATAGCTTTCCAATTTTGTTTGGCTACAGTCATATAAGAGCGACCTGAGCATGCTAGCTGGGTTTTAAACATGTCTATCCCATACGTGTACCCGGGGATGTATAAGGCATCACTCAATCCTTCAAAGTTGAAAGTGCTATCTGTGACATAGGGATGGATGTATGCATATGCAACGCGTGCAGTGTAAATTCTTGGAACACCTGCCCAGGTTCCCACATGTGCCGGTAGTCGGGACCTCGGGAGTCTACAGGTTAGGTAGTTAATGCCACCTGAGTATACACATCCATACCTGCCAATTGATTTCCTTACATTCCCATGCTCCCAAGGTCTTCCTTTACTTTCCATTGACAAACTCAGAAATATTCTGTTTACAATATGAATACTGAGAAGCAGAGAATTCCAAGGTTCTAATTATGCCATCCTTGGATCCTCGTATCTACACTACGTAGAGCCTGAGTGTGGAAATCGGCATCATGTAGCCAGATTTCAACTCCAACTATACAGTTACTGACATGCGCTAGAGAAACAGCACCTGCCTATATGGGCAAATTTTTGTGATATCTATACATCCATGGATAAAATCAAGAATGACTGCCACTAGGGCTGCCCTTCTAATATCATATTGCATTGGACCTTCTAAGACAAACATCCATGTCCATGCCTTCGTGAAGTCACTTACTTGATTCAGATGTCACCCATTCAAATTCGTCCATTTTTGTTCATGATTTTCTTGTCGAACAAACAAAGCTGCAGGGGAAAGCCAAAAGTGTTTAGTTCTTAAAACTCCGAGAACCTAGGAAATTGACTCCCAAGGCCTGAAAATGAGCAGTTTAGAGACTCAAAACGGTCACAAGAAGCTTCGGACAGCGAATTGCCCTGATAATTGCATCACTTTGACAATCTACTCTGAGTTAGAGGAACTAGAAATGCTTCAAAGGTTATAATCGTAGTTCTCAAAGTCTTAAGTAAGCATTATGATTTGGAATTTCTCTAATTTGATTTTTAAAGAGAAGAGAAAAACGCTCTCATGAAACAGCTCTGAAGAAGCTCGACGTTTATCAAGTTTCAAAGGTTTTTTTACAGAAGGACAAGCTAGAGCTTCTCGAAATTTGACAGGGAGAACATTAGAAAAGATACCTAGGAAGCCCAGATTCAAGGCAGAAGACTACTAGTCTATGCTCCTTGGTGAAATTGTAATTTGTCACCTGGGTACCATATAGAACTAATGTTGTCCAGCCTAGTGATCCTACTTCACAGCTTTAGTCCGTTGACTCAATCTTAATCGTGGTTAATAGGTTACCCAGGTAATGCATGAACTCCTTTTGAGATATGGCTTGATCAAAGAAGGGGATAATTTAAAGTTGTGGGCTCCAAATCTCAGCATCGAAAGTCAACTTTGACCTTATTAAACTTCAATCGGACTGTTTTGTCTCATATATGACAGCTTTTCAGAGCCAATTGATTTTCTGGCTGACATTGGAAGTCATTAGAAAATGGGATAGAGTTCGATAGCTGGCTGTATTTGCCGAGTCTTTAGGAGCTCTCGTATGTGTTGAATACAGCCCCTTGCGCTGCATGCACCTTATACTTCTCTCACGCCACAATGCAGGTTCCGGTCTCGCAGTTAAGCCTCAGTCCACCAATCCAAGAAGTTAGGAGGAGACACGGAGATCTTGGGAGGCATATCAACGGAGTAGTTGGTGCTTTTTCGTCCAAGGGTGATCGGACTAGTGAAATTCAAACTTCAACTGTCCCTGGCTGTCGGGTCTGGTTGTGTTGTTTATGGGTCCTAGCCCCCTGTACAAGCACGTTAGTATAACCGGAAACCTTCTTAGGGAGCATGATGCAACATTGTCGATCTATTCCGTTGCGTAGATATGAGGATTTATATTATTCGTATCGCTCCCTCTAACTCCAGGGCTCAATCATCACCTGTGAGTCCCTCCAGTTTGTAAATCCCACTGGACGTCGATCAGAGACATTGGAATACTTCCTCGGTTCAAGATGAATCTTTTACAACTCAGTGATACCATTTCAAAACGAGGCCATGACGATACGTACCGTACATCAAGGGGGGCCCAAGAGATGGCCGTTAGTATTGTCTTCACGATACTAGCGACAAGTTTTGTTGGGGCTCGCCTTTATACTCGAATCAAGCTGATGAAGAAGATGGAGGGAAATGACTGGATGGTGGTCATAGCACTGGTAGGTTGATCATATAGCAGGAATCTCATAAAAACCAATCTAACAGCTTGAAAAGATCAACTCGTACATTTTTATGGGACTGGACATTGTCGAAGTGGAAAGTGGAATGGGAATGCATTTGAAGGACATCCCACCTCAGATATTCGAGCGGCAGATGAAGGTACGTCTTATTCATAATACACGCTATTCCATGGTTTTCAGCAGAACAACACCTTAGGATTTTCAAATAGGCATTCTGGCTTACAGTGCCGTTCTACAACGCTGCCGTCCTATGCGCAAAGGCCTCAATCCTAATGCAATATTTCCGCGTGTTTCCAACTCATCGTATGCGTGTAGTTTGTTGGATCACGATTATAGTACTAGGCCTTTATGGCACTTGGGCCGTGTTGAGTGCTTTCCTCAACTGCATTCCAGTGGCCAAGTTCTGGGACAATTCAATCCACGGGTTCTGTTTGAGTAAGACCGCTCTGTGGTTTTCAAATGCGAGTATGCATATTACGACTGACATTGCCATTCTGATCATTCCTATTCCTGCTCTGATGACGATCGAAATTCCCAGAAAGCAAAAGTTGATCTTGATGATGATGTTTGCACTTGGTGGCTTGTAAGTGAGTGCAAAGATTGCAGATCTTTGAACAAGGCTGACCATGGATATGCTACAAGTGTTTGCATCACAAGTATTGTTAGATTGACCAGTCTGAAGAAAATCTCTGAATCAATAGATCCTACATGTATGTGATTCCCCTTCTGCCAAAATGGGGTAGCAGATACGGATCTAACCACAATTTCAGACGATAACGTTAGTGCCGCATCATGGTCTGCTGTTGAATGTAATACTGGAATTATATGCGCATGTCTACCTACCCTCAAACCCCTTTTGTCAAGGATTATGCCGAGTTTCATCTCCGGTATTGGTGGAAGCCGGCCCAACTACGGTGGCCGTATATCGACCCATAGAACAGGTACCTGGAACGATGATTCCATGTTCCGTGCTCCTGGTGAAAGTATTGAATACGGATCATACAATCTTGGACGTGTGCTTGCTTTTGGGCCTGGCGATGGCTCTTACTATGAAACGACTGTCTCTAAAGACGAGAAGGGACAATTCCCTGGCGCCACTACTGAGCTTACTGAGCTGACTAAAGTTGTCCGACATCATTCATGACCCGTCCTATTGATTCTCCTTGAATCATTTTCAATGCACAAAGAATTATAATCGATCATGCCAGCATGATCCTGCCATTCCACTGGCAAAGCGCTACGTGGACTAACCCAGCCGCTCCCTCGGAATTTCTTTCTCATTTTACAAGCCGGGATGCGCCGTTATGAGAAGCCATTATTTTCTTGTTATACCCTTTCAATATTCCTTTTGTTATTAATTATTCATGGGGGGCTGAGGCTCCTTGATACCTACCAATAATAATAGCCCTATTTAACATTATGGCGCTCTGACACCTACCCAGGTAGGTAACGACCATTCTGTAACCAAAACGATACTAGTTGTCGGCAGTAGTGTCAGTAGTTGTTGGAACGAATATCAGCTGACATACCAAGATCATGTGATCTTGGCATGGCAGCTACTATATCTTCTTTCATCTGAGCATTTTAGAATGACACTTCACTTTTACCCAATATGCATACACCTATTATATACGTACAGAAAAGATATCAATAGCTGTCTGCTTCGGTAATAACCTAGTCAACCGACAGTAGTTGATGCTTACCTAGGCAGTGCAAGCAACAGCAGTCTCACCTAATATTCTCTCATTTTACCTAATGCAGGTATTTTATGGATCTAGATAGGTGCATAACCTCCCAGACAGACGACTATACAAAAATTCTCCGGAATTAAACTGGAATCAATAACCTTGAAGCGATCGGACATTCACCCTTGCCCCGGGCCATATGCATATCTTCCAGTGGTGTGCTTATCCGAACCCCATGTTAGAATTCTGCTAAAATTTATCTCCTTGAATTTTAAATCTGCTTGCCTCTCCATAAACTCGTGCTCTTTAAGCTTTAAGAGATCAAGTCTCTCCCTCCAGACGTCGTACTCCGTACGCCAGGCAGTAGGATCCATATAATAGTGGAGTTTGTTGAAAATCATATGCAATGCGGTATTAAATGCGCCTCTTGACAAGATTGTCAATTCAACAGCACCACTAGCCTGGAATTTCTTGATAAGAAGATGCTCGTTGAGGATCTCTGATTCAGGGATATGGAGTGCTCCAGCATCAGCTACATTATCGCTTGCTTCCCAAGCATGTCATTGTAGAACATCCATGTTTTCAGTTTGGCGTTGACGGCAGGTTAGAAGGTTTGAGATTAAATATTATTATGAAATAACAGGATTTGACCTTTTTGGCTTTATGGATGATGGAATTGATATGGGGGGGATTAACTTGTGAAACCCTCCAGCTCATCCGGCGGCCTGAGGGCCTCTACTTATAGTTGTTACTTAGGTATGACAAGGTTGTGCGTTGCGAGGAATATTTCAGATATTTAATTGATAGATAGTAAGGAGAAAGATAACAACAAAATTCGTAAAATAACAAGTGGACAGTCGCTGATCTAACTCAAGCCAAAAAAAAATTACACAAAAACAAACTCGAGATTGGGATTGGGATTGGGATTTAGAGGGTTGAGGTATAATCCCAGAACTTTAAGTCAAGTACTCCCACATAGTCTAGAAATCGGTGAACTCCTTGTCAACTTCCTCAAAGTAGTCAAAAAATCCCTTGTATAGCTTAACACCCAGTCCGGGATCAAGACTTCCAGTTGTTGCACGGATGCTGTGCATGCTGAGTTGCGGAATACCGCAATCAATAGCGCGCATACCGATACGGGCACTGGTCATAGGTCCAATGGTACCACCGCTTCGTGAGTCATTGCGAATTTGGAAAACCTGGAGTGTGGATCCACAACGAGAGGCAATGGCCTTCAGAATACTGGAGCTAACGCTGTCAGTAGTCATGTGGCCATTGGAATCAGCCGAGATAGTCACGCCAACGTTGAGACGTGGGGCGTGGTTCTCCAAGTAGACATTGAGGAAGTTAGGGTTGACGGAGTGAATAACATCAGAGGAGACCAGGTAGCTGTTTGCTATGGTCCGAGAAAGGAGGTTGGGACCATAGGTTTCCTTTGCAAATGCCTCGGTAATCCGCTCAAGGATGCTGCTCATGAAGTTTGATCGGGCTCCTTGTCGCAGCAGACTGCCGATCTCCTCATCATCGAACATGCCAACCATCTTCACAATTCCCGTTGATGTGCTATCAGAGGAAGCGATCAGGGCCTCTTGGGCCGCATAGCAGCAAAGCTTATCGTCTATACGGCCAGCGAAAATCAAATCCTTCTCCAATCCTCCAAGTTGAGCAGCCTGAGTGTCAAAAAGTTCTAGTTCCCACTCAAGAATGGTGCTGTAATCTGTGACACCAATCTCCTTGGAGATGATCTTGACCAATTTCTCCGGCTGAGTTGCAGCAAAGGTTCCAACCGGGATGTCGCTAGACCCCACTGACTTCTCAAAAATATCCGAATTGTCAACACCAATGATTGGTACCATCTGAGTCTCCTGGTTAAAAGGGCCATATGTAGGGAGTCCGAAGTGGGGGGCCAGGGTGGGAACGCGGGCAATGGGCCAGTCCAGCTTCACCAGCTTGGACTCAACCTTTCCGGTGTTCGGGTCACGGACAAGGACACGGCCTCCAATGCCGAGATCTCGGTCCCACCAAGTCATACCCAGTGCGCCAGCATATGGTGCGACAGCCAGTTGCTGGAAGCCTGCTTTGGTGGGAAGCTTAGAGACCGGCTTCAATTTAGCGGTGAGTGCATCTACGTGCCCTGCGACAATAGCCACGCCGTTGCCACTTTCATAATCTTTGCCAATATTGAAGGAAATCAGCGAGCTTCCGTTGCGTGTGACATAGAATTTGCCACCCTGCTTCAACTCGGATGTCCACTCCTTACGCTCGGAAAGCTTCTTGTAGTCATGCTGTTCCAGCTGTTTAGAGAATGAATCGACGGCGTGGAAGATGGTAGGGTTGGCGGTCATGAACTCGCAGTAAGGCTTTGAGTAGTCCTCCGGCTTGATGGGAGCATCTGTTGGAACTGGGGGAGCTCGAGAAGGCAAAGCCAGAGCTGGGGCTGGAACTGAAGCTGGAGCTGGAGCTAGAGCTGGGGGGTCGAGGGTACAATCTGGAAGCTGGGCAGAAATTTGGGCAGCCCAAGACTTATCGATCCCGAAAGTGTGTTTTCTGGTCATGGTTGGTATATTTGGTATGGGATATGAGTCAAGAGGAGGAATTGGAGTTGAGAAGTGTCTCGTGAGGGGATAGCGGGAGGCTGGGGTCAGCTTATCGCCGGTAGCGGCTGTACCTGCCGATAACAGCTCAGTCCTCGGCTGAGGAACAGGAACAGGAACACCCGAAGCTCCTGCTATTAGTCATGCTGCAACTCACCGGCAGGGACAGAATGACATATAATCCCATGAAAAGTCCGATGTCCTAGTAAGTACTTTCAGTCACAGGCAACCTAGACGGTTGAAGATTGACGAGTCACATAAACCAGCCTTGGAAGGGCAATAGCTTGGAAAGATCAGCAGATAAAACTTTTTTTTGTGTTTCCCTCCCTAAACGATTTTTATCTCATGATATGGGCCCAGAGGGGGTCCCTTTGAATGTTTTTATATACAGTGGCTTTTCTCATCTCTATCATGCCCCCTCATCGATATCCTTGTCATCGCGGTAAAGGAAGAATTGAACAAAAATTGCCATGTCCAATAGTAGTGTACCGGCACTACCAATCAACCAAGATAGATTCACCAGCACATATCTTCCGTATAATGCAGACATCTCACCCGGACGACACTTGACATAATGATGAGGAGAAAATACATCCACACTACCCTGAACTGATGACGTCTTCCGACAGACTGGAGAATATGCAAGAATAGAAAGAACAAAAGTTAGGTTGCCGATGCAGGCAAACAGGAAGAAAAGTAATGATACTCCATCGGTTGACTTTCGACGAAAGTTGAGTAACAGCTGTGGAAGACGTGAACCTAGATAAAGGGCGGCACAGAGGTAGCCGAATACCTGGCCTAGCGTGTCCATGGCCAAAGGCTCGGAGTCTGAGCTTGAGTCTTTTGAGGCAGGGCTGAAATACCAGCCCAATATGCCTGCAGCGCATACTAAAGCGATCGCAGTAGTATTGAAAATAATGTTTTTGATAGTAGAAATCTGACGACGGCGACGACGGGAGCTAGAAGAAGCGTCTGTGGGCTCAATAAATGGAGTCGCAGGTGAAAGGTGTGTTCCATCTACATGATGCAAAACTTCCCGTAACGATGCCGCCGAGGACCTTCTTCGACTAGATGATGCAGATCTCGGCAGTGTCTCATCTCCCCTTTGGCTACTGCGCCCATTCCGAGATGACTCTTGAATTTTGACATGGCCATTGGGTTTGGGGAGTAGAGCAGACCTTTCACTTGGTGCTACAGCAGAGTCCACGTCATCTTGGCTCCCAATTGCGCCAGAGGTGCCGTTAGTGGGCTCTGTGGTTGGAGATGTGGACAACTCATCCCTGATGTTGAAACCTCGGTAGTAAAGACACTGGCCCAAAAGAACAATATCTGCTAGGGTGTAATATACAGCCAAAATCAGCATGGTTGGCAACACACCCTGCATGACAGCACCTAGGATGTTGAAAACATCTCCAGCTAGCCAAATGATGAGAAAAAGAAGGGAAAGTCCATCAGCAGAACCACGTCTGAAATTCTCAATGATCTGGGGGGAGAAGACAACAACCCAACATACAATTGATATGGAGCTGTGAGAGAGTTAGTGAATCCTGCATATGCGGTCCGGGAATTAAATGCAATAAAGCTGTCGATGGGAGAGACTGCATTCCCAATTTCCAATCCCCAGTAGATAATAGTTGTCAAGCTATAATGCAATGGGAGAAATCAAGCTTGGAAGGTATCTACTTACCCACAAATGCCACTCAAGGCCTCGACGTTGAGATTGGCCGCCTGTGATGGGAACATGATGCCGAATGAGACAACCAACTACAAGATTGGTGATTTGCAAAGTATTAAACAATTTAAAATGTAATGAAAAGAGTAGAAAAAAGATCAAACGAATTGAACACGAAATAGTGTCTGTCAGTGAAAAGTTAACCTTAACCGCGGGAGTGATGTGGATGACGCATAGTCACGTGTATCCAAGTATGAAGCTTGGGTTTTCAAGTTTCAAACTTCGAAGTTAGTAAATTATTTAGTAAATTATGTATCCACGGATCATTCATGCCCAGGTGGTTGGTGACTAGTGAGTACATATGACCCAGGTCGGTAGTTATTGAGCCTTGATAGTAACTTTGGAAGCTTGGAATGAAACTGATTTTGTCCCGATATTCAAAGGCCTTCACCTATGCCTTTAAATTTTAGAAGCTCCCGAGGTCATAGCACTAGGGATACAATATGTAACGAAGGTCTATATAGTAATAATCAAAGCCGAGATTTACAAGTTCAGAATTAATAATATGGTACCCAGAGGCTATTAACTAATGACAGCTACCTTTAAACTATATTCAACCCCGGTCAACTTTGGAAAGATAAATTGAGTGGATAAATTACCTTAACAGTCATTATGGTAGGCGCGTTCTCATCCATTGACGTTGAATCTTGTTCTTGTGCCTTAGTCAGCATATCTCGGTTTGCACCCAACCTCAACATCTCTCTCTTTCTCGGCGCGTCATCGCAAACACAACTTCTGTCATTTGCTGAACGAATCAAATACATACTGGCAGGTACATAATGGCTCGAGATGCCCACGGTGAGGCGGGGACGCCCGATCCCGTTGAGAAGGGATTCGCAACGCTCGGCACTATCAGGTAAGTCTTTCTACAAACTCAGCAAAGCAACCAAATGATATCTGGGCTTTTGCCTCCATTTTTATCGGGCGCATGAACTAATTATCCCCGTAGAATCGGCGTGAAGGCGATGGTGCAAAAGGTTTGTCCCCGTATCAAATTTCAGCAATGGTCACGTGACATGATACTGATTTGTACAGGATGGCGAACTGCGCAAAGCAGAAATTCTGTCTATCCGACAGCGCAAGGATTTACCAACCTTTTAGTATGTGATATCACTACTCGTAACTTCAAAAATGCCAATTCTAACACATTTAATAGTGTGCATTACGTCGACTTCAACAAGCGTCTAGATGGTGAGTTTGCTTGAACATGCATCTATCTTGACGAGAATGCTAAAGAATATTATCAGAATGGATTGATGCCACACGTATTGATCTTTCTCAGGAAGTAGAATGGCCACAACCTGAGAAACAAGATAAGAAAAAGGCTAGCTCCACGAACAAGGCTCCAAACAAAGCCCCTAAGCGTGATAGTATTGGCAGTCGTGATGCATCTGGAACACCTGGTGTTCTGGACAGCAAATTGAGCGTGGGAGGCCAAAATGCTCGCGCTGCAAATGCTGGACAAAAAGAAAGCCCACATGTGGGCGTTGACACACCTGGTGATCAACAATCACAACTCCAATCGGAAGACCCTTCTGTAGCTGGAACACCCCATGCTGATGACACTGAAATAGCCGATTCCCAAGATGCAGTGAAAACTGCCTCAGGCGAGGTTATAACTCGAGAGGAGGAGATTGAGCGTCTCCGAACTGGTGGAAGCATGACCCAAAACCCGACTGAGATTCATCGTGTGCGAAACTTGAATCGACTCCAGATGGGCAGATATGATATCGAGCCGTGGTACTTTTCCCCATACCCGGCCTCATTCTCTGACAAGGATATGATCTACATCGATGAATTCTGCCTCAGCTACTTCGACAACCAACGCGCCTTTGAGAGACATCGCAAGAAGTGCACACTGTTTCACCCTCCCGGAAACGAGATCTACCGTGACGATCAGATATCTTTCTTTGAGGTGGACGGCCGTCGCCAGCGCACTTGGTGTCGCAACCTGTGCCTTCTCAGCAAGCTTTTCCTAGATCACAAGACGCTTTACTACGATGTCGATCCGTTCATGTTCTACTGCATGACCACACGCGATGCTCATGGCTGTCATCTTGTCGGTTACTTCTCCAAGGAAAAGGACTCTGCCGAGGGCTACAACCTAGCTTGTATCTTGACTCTGCCGCAATACCAGCGTCGCGGATTCGGCCGTCTGCTGATATCATTCAGCTACGAGCTCAGCAAGCGCGAAGGCAAGCTTGGTTCGCCTGAGAAACCTCTGAGTGACTTGGGCTTGCTCAGTTACCGACAGTACTGGCGTGAAACAATTGTTGAGCTCCTCATGGATGGACGAGAGGCCATGAGCGAGAATGAAGTTGCGGTTCTTACTGCGATGACTGAGAAGGATGTTCATGAGACATTGGTCGTTTTCAACATGCTTCGTTATCATGTACGTTGGCTCTTCTTTTCCAACTTGGCTTCAATATCATCGCTTGCTAATTCTCTCTGTAGAAAGGAAACTGGGTCATTGTTCTCACAGATTATGCAGTCGGTGAGCACAAGAAACGTCTTGAAAAGGAGAAGGCCAAGGGCGTTAGCAAGATTGATCCGGCGCGTCTTCAGTGGAAACCGCCAGTGTTTACTGCTTCCAGCCGAACCTGGAACTGGTAGAAGAGAGGTGCTATCCACCTTCATGACGTTATTTCTTATGACATCCTACTTATGACTTTTTTGACTCAATGATTCATTCCAGCAATTTCCAAGGATTAAGCTGGTCAGTTTACTCGTGTAAGGTCCAAGGACCTTGCAAAAAACGTTTATTTTATCTTTTAATAACATAATACTTCCTTCGAGCCATTTTCAGGGCTAGGAATTTACAAGCACGTTATGACAAATGATGATTACAAGGGAGTTAGATCTTTCAATGTTTATCTCGAATATGTGAAGTTTATGCTATGGATGATGTCCTATCCTTCCAGATGAAGTTCTGGGATTAGAGGCTGACTTTTCGACCATTTATATTTATCAATAATCCGGATTCAAAAAAGTCCCGGCAACGGTGATGGTTCTGAGCGCCCTTATTAGAGAAGCAGCAAAATCCCTCGTGGCCAGAAAAGGGATGGCTTTGGACGCATCCGTGTATGGCTTATGCTGTGACTGTAATACCTAGGTACCTTCAACTTCCTTAAGATGAACTCTATAGAAGATCAGATATACTAACATTCTTGTTGGCCCTGACATTTCATAGCTACAATGATAATAAATACTGTCGTGTGGATAGATATTTATGAGCAAATTTTCAGTTGCGTGGCGACTATATCGTGAACGCCTGCCTTTTGATTTGGCATTCTCACAACTACTTCACGCTATAATTGAATCCAGTCGAAAGTTCCAAGCCCTCCACACATGCGGCCAATTCTCTTGTGGTATGAAGTTGAAATCATTCCAACTGCCAGAGTCACAGTATCAATTATTGCTTCCACTATTAAAAGATCTGACAACTCTATATATATATGCATCCGCCTTAAAGATCACGAACAAGAAAAATTTGATGAAGACACCTTTAAACGTCTTCTCAACGTTCTAGTCACAGTTGCACCGATACTGAAGACCCTGACCTTTGCCCAATGGAGTCCCATGGGAGAATTATCTCCTCTCTACTTTAAGGATCTCTCTCAGAGAATTCGGTTTTCCCAGCTAGAGGAACTTCATCTTCATTCGATCGAGGTGACGGTGAATAGCTTCGAAGAATTTCTACGTACAGCGGCCCCAACCTTGAAACGATTGAGTCTGCGCTTGATCAGTTTAGTTGATGGGATAACATCAGCACCATATCTAGGACCCCTGGCTAAAAATGAAAGTAGTTGGATCCCTTTATTATCCACCGAAGTCAAAAATGAGATGCAGGGGCTCTGGAAGCGCGTTTTTGAATTTTTGGCAGATCATCTCAAGCTGCAATACGTCCAACTATCCTGCCTTGGGTACCGGGGAAGGGATGTTATATTGCAAGATCATCTGTATACGGAACGCGGGCAGCCGGATGCAAAGCCTTCTTCTGACTTTAGCCCCTTGAGCATCTATTTTGATGCTGAGAGGGCGAGTATACCTTTCAAAGAGTGGGTCACGCAGCTTCAGATAGAGATGTGGCATCGGACAATCATTGGAGGTCCCAAGATCCCAGGGGCCAGCAGCATCCAATTGCGCAACCCAGGTCAGGATTTTAGTAGGATGGTTACTCACGCATGCAATTTCAACCGAACAAGAGGTTAGAATCGTGTCGTTTTATAGGGAGGTCATTGTATTAAGTTGCCTATTGGTGAAGCCATCTTATTTCCCCCGTAAAATTTATAATAAGGAATGTATATACGTAGTCCTAATTAAATGGCTACTTCAATTTATGAAGAGCTAGGATACTTTTTGAGGTATGCGAGCTGTGTTGTAACTGTTGTTCATCCAAACTTTCACCAAGGGAAGATTCCAAGGTCTCTTCTTTGAACCACTTGAGATGAAGGGGATCCTTAGATCACATATGTTTTTTTTCGGATCTGGATTAGCTGTAAGGAATTTATCAACCATTATTCTCAAGCGATGAAGCATGACAAAAGACCTCGGAGTTGTCCCATTAAAGATACAATCCCAAGATTAACCAGCTTCATAAACATCTAACCTGTAGGCATTTTTACTAGTGTATGATATGCTCAGGCCAGCTTGGTTAGCCAAAAACACCTTACATGTCAGGCAGTGATGTTAGGAAATTAGGTGTGTATATACTGATAGCTGGCCGGCTTAGGGTCTCACCAATCAGTACTTTTGACGCTTTTTATTTCCCCTAAAACTTCTCGTTGCCTCTCGGGAGAACTGGACATACGCAATCAGATGTTGACCAGTGACCTTGTGGGCCTTCAGGATTGGAATCTAATTGCTCCACTATGTCAGCAATTGAATTGACTGATCCCGAGCGCTGGCGACTCGACGTTGACGAGGGTGTCCACCGATGGCGATATCTTGATGGATCTGAGTCTATTCGACGACCGCAGGTCGCGGCTGAGAAATATTTTCTTGGTCTGAACACGGTATTTAATGCTTCATGAAGTGTACTGTTATTGCTTGCTCATGTGATTAGGGACTACCACAACTTCCCAAGCCACGCAACTTTCAAGAATCAGCTCTAAATGGGTTCCGGTTCTACCAAGGTCTCCAGCTGGACGATGGTCATTGGGGTTGTGCATATGGTGGTCCTAGCTTCTTGCTCGCTGGCATAGTGATCTCTATGTACATTACCGAGACAGAGATTTTGCCAGAATGGAAGACCGAGATTATATGCTATTTGATGACTACAGTCAACAAAGATGGAGGCTGGGGCTTGCATTCCGCTGGCGATTCAACCATTTTTGCAACAACCCTCTACTACATCACATTGCGAATTCTGGGTCTCGAGCCTACTCATCCTTTGGCTACCAAAGCTCGCAATCGCCTTCTTACACTAGGTAAGCCTTCACTCCCACAGATGAAATACTGGAGCTATGCTTATTAAGTTACAGGAGGCGCCACTGGTATCCCACAGTGGGGAAAGGTCTGGCTGGCTTTATTGAATCTTTACAGTTGGAACGGAGTGAACCCAATCCCCCCTGAATTTTGGTACGTTTTCAAATATTTATTCCCGATTCATCGGCGCCTCTCATTCCAAAATGGAGTACGAAACTCAATGTGTTTAATCTAGGTTGCTTCCTGACTGGGTTCCGTTCCATCCATGGCGTTGGTGGGTTCAATGTCGCGTGGTTTATCTTCCCGTTTCGTATCTTTATTCAAATAAAGTCACAAAACCTCTGGATCCACTACTCACCAGCCTCCGCCAGGAGATTTATACATGCTCCTATGAGGACATTGTCTTTGAGAAATATCGCAACTATGTGGGACCGCTTGATCTGAAAAAGCCAACATCTCCACTTCTCCGCATCGCTAACGTATTTCTGCGTTTCTGGGAGAAATATGTTCGGCCAGACTGGATTGCTCAATCGGCTAATAGGAGAGTATGCGAATTGATTGAACGGGAGGACAAGAATACTTCTTACAACTGTTTGGCTCCAGTCAATAAAGCCTTTCACATGGTGGCTGTATGGCATTCTGATGGCGCTAATAGCGCTCGTATGGCGCTTCACCGCGAGAAGATTTCTCCATATTTATGGAAGGGAGAAAATGGAATGACCTGCAGCGGTACTAATGGTGTTCAAGCCTGGGACACGGCGTTCAGCATTCAGGCCATGGTGGAGGCTGGTCTAGGCACAGATCTAGAGTTCCGTTCATCATTGGAAAGCGCACTCAAATTCCTCGAAATCTCTCAACTAAGAGAAGACTTGGATGATCCTTATCGCCAGCCACGAAAGGGTGGATGGCCATTTAGCACCAGAGACAATGGTTATGTCGTGTCTGATTGCGCAGCAGAGGGTCTTAAGGCTGTGTTAATGCTTCAGGAGGAGTGGTACGTTACGTATCATGGCATTTTCTATAAATTCAAATTGCTAATTCATCACAGTCACTTCATCAAAATTATCTCTGATGATCGCCTCCAAGACTGCGTCGATACCCTATTACTCATGCAAAATTCAGGGGGTGGGTTCAGTAGCTATGAACGCACTCGCGCTAGCACTGTGTTAGAATACCTTAACGCATCGGAGGTCTTTGACCGTATCATGGTTGAATACTCGTACCCTGAATGCACTACAGCAGTAGTGACGGCTCTGGCGCTCTTTCGTCGCCATTTTCCCACCTACCGCTCCGCCGAAATCGGCAAGGTCATCGACCGCGCTCTAAAGTATATCATCAGTGCGCAAAGGCCCGATGGGAGCTGGTATGGCTCATGGGGAGTATGTTTCACCTATGCCTCGTTATTTGCGATCCAGAGCCTTGAACTGGTTGGCCAAACATGGCAGACTAGCGATGCTGTCCGCAAGTGCTGCAAGTTCCTGGTGCGCACCCAAAAAGAAGATGGAGGCTGGGGTGAACACTACACATCTTGCGAGCTAGAAGAGTACGTCCAGCATGATAAAAGCCAGGTTGTTAATACAGCATGGGCGTGCTTAGCACTAATGCATGCACGTTATCCGTTCAAGGAAGTTATTGAGAAGGGACTCAAGGTAAAAATATTTCTCCGTGCATGATCATGTATATGGGGACTAACAGTCGTGCTATAGTTGATTATGAGTCGGCAGCAAGCGAATGGAGAGTGGTACCAGGAGGATGTTGAAGGAGTTTTTAACAACACATGGTGAGTCTAAAATATCTTCGAATATCCCGGTATTTTTGACTAAATCTACCCAAGCATGATCGGATATCCGAACTACAAGCTTTATTTCACTTCATGGGCCTTGGGGAGATATAGCAACGTGTATCTTCCCATTCTCAAGGAAATGGAAGATCATAATTAACTACGCGGCGAGTATATCTACGAGAGTGGATACAATAGTCGATGCTGATTGGTCTTTATTTGGAGGAACAGCGGTCATTTCTAGGAGTCTGTAGTTTCAGTCATAACAGAAAAGATATTATCAGCTAGGTTTCTAGAGGAGCAGATTAGCCTAATGCATGCGCGGTGTCAGGCGGTCATTGAGGCGGATAGAGGTTACTTGTTTTTGAGTATGTTTTTAGATCGATCGCGTGTGTAAGTAATTTATCTATGTTTCAACCCTGTATAAATTACATTTAGTGGTAATTTCAGAAGTCGCTAACATTTCATGTTATGTCTACCTTTGTAGTGCGTCTAAGTGAAGTGAGAGTTGAGTGACGTGCGAGTGAAGGCCAGCGGGTTGGTATATTCGAGTTCTCGTACCTCTGAAGCTCTGCTTCGTCGCAGTAGAAAACTGCGGGCGAACTCAAGCTGATTTTCTTCCTCCAAGTAGTGATAAAAATCTTACAACTACAAGAATACAGCAAAGAAATGAAAATTTGGAAGATTTGGAAGACCATAGTCTGCTACTTAATAACATAGCATGAAGAAAGGGCCTAGTCCACAGGGCTGACGGAAAAGCCGGATATCACGACATGAAAAGACCATGGTGAATCAAACCGACCATGCTTCCTCCTGCTGCATGGCGGGCTTCTTGGTACGGGGGTGACGGGCGCGAGGGTTGCGGCCCTTGCGGTGGTGGAGAGTGGTAACTTTGCGGGGAGGAGCGGCCTCCTGCTTGGCAAAGGTCTTGGCGGCGTTGCCAGCAATGCGGACAACAATGACGTTCTCATCAGAACCGACGTCGAGGGCAGCAGTGCCCTGTGTGTTGACGGGTTTGGGCTGTACAAAATCTCCCCAGATGGGCTTCTCCCAAGCAGTGGCGGGTGCAATGTTAGGAACGCGGACTCCAGGCTGCGATCCAGGCTCACGATCCTCAAAGAGTTCCTCCTGGTCGAAAAACTGCTGAAGATGACCGGTGCAAATGGGGTTCTCGATGCGGGGGAAGAGAACCGAAGCCGACGCAGCTGCTGACTTGCTTTCAAGTGGCTCCTTCGTAGAAGGAGCAATGTCCACCACCTTGTTGAGAAGCTTATTGATTTTCTTTTGCCAATTTGCAGTGGAATCGGGAAGGCGGACTCCAGAAGAGGGTACCACAACCGAAGAGGGTGCCACGGTCGAAGAAGGTGCAGCAATCGAAGTAGGCGCGGCAACCGAAGCAAATGTGCGAGCTGATTTGGCCGCGACCTTAATAGGAAGCTTCACCACAGGCTTCGGGGTAGGGAAGTTCACGATAGGTTGAACGTCGTTTGCACGGCTAGACAGCTCATCCGGGGGAGGCGGGCTGTTAAAGCCGAAGTTGACCTCAATTGAGGTGCGCTTATCCTCAACCTTACCCTGAGGGAAAAAGCGGGACTCACGAGGAGTGGGCACCTTCACAAGAGGACGGACAGAGGTATCTGTGAATAGAATAGCATCAACGGGGGCCCGCGCAGAGCTGGCGCTTGCGATAGGGGCGCGGTTGTCGTCAAGTCGGCTGAGAAGGCCCTTTGCCTTAGGGCTCAGGGGATTCCACTGGACTTTAAGAGAGGGTACAGCTTTCTTGGTTCCCATAGACTCATTGGGCTTCTCAAGGACATGCTGTTGTTCTGCTCGATGCTCAACTTGTTCACCGCCGTTAGCGAAAGCGGCCCAGGAACTGATCAGGCCTGTATCCGACTGAGGACGTGCCATATAAGGTTGAGGGTGCGCGACGTAAGCATGGGAATCGGCTGCAGTAGCAGTGTGCTTGGCAGCGGGAGTCTGCTTGATAACATTGTCACTCTTAGTGACTGGAATGGCCTTAGCGGCAGGTCCCGACTTCTCGACGACAGATTCGTCCAAGCAGTTCAAGGCAGAGCCGGCGTTAGCGTCAAGGCGACCCCATTGCACATTGACGGGAACGGGGGCGGCCTTCTCAACGGCAGGCTTGGCCTTATCTTGTGCACGCTGCTGTTCAGCGTGACGCTCTACCTGCTCGCCACCGTTGGCAAAGTTTGTCCATGCACTAACGAGCGCAGCATCCTCTTGGGAAGGAGGGGGACGAATAGGGCCTGGTCCATGACGGAATGTTGCGGTGCGAGCGGAGGCAGAGCCGCCGCGGCGACGACCAGAAAATTGGGTAGGAGGCATCATATTATGCGATGTTGAGGATTCAATCGGGAGATGAGTAGATTGGGAGGGAAATCCGCGACCAATATTTTGGTCAAAAATCCCGTTACCGAGATTCCCAAGAGTACGGTCGTTGCTCAAAGGCTTCCACAGGTTACCCACAGGTGGCGTCGAGGAAAGGTTAGGACCAGATACCCAAGTAGGATAAGAACTTTGAGTGTTCAAATCCTTCCAATGATCTGTCTTAAGATCAGGCTGGATATTCAGGTTTGAATTCAAGTCGGATTGAATGCGTGAAGCAAGAGGGTTAGAAGAGTTAAAAAGAGAATTGGGAGAAGAGGTGTTGAGAGAGGAGGAATTATGAGAAGAAGGAGGATTGAGAGAAGAAGAGGTATGGGTGGAAGTGTTCTGAGTGGAAGTGTGTAAATCCAAATCGGAAGGGAAAATGGAAGTCGAAGTAACGGATGAGGTCAGGTGCGAGATATCGCGGTGGGGGGAAGAGATACGACGTAACCTAGGGGAGTTTCGATCTGAATGTTTTTCTGCCCGTTTTTCTGTTGCGCGTTCTCTTTCATTCGCAACAAGTTTCCTGACTGTATCCGGGTGGTGCACTTTCATCAACCCGTACTGCTTCGGTGACCCTGAAGGTTCAGGAACAGGAGGCTTCGGGGGTGAAGAAATAGTAGCAAGTGGAGTTGTAGAGGAAGAAGGTGAAAGGTGAACTTTGTTACTTTGCGTCAAATCCTTCCGCTTGGGCTTTTCAGGAGCAGGTCCCAAGGCAGCAAGCTTTTGGCGAATACGCTCTTCCTTTGCAGCCGCTTCCTTTGCTTCCTGTTCTAGTTTCCGTTGCTTAGCCTCAAGACGTTTCTCTTTCATGATACGCTCTTGCAAAATCAGAGGGTCTTCTTGCTGCACATCGGGCACTACAGCTATAGCGGGTTGACTTTCAACTGGGGATGCTTCACTTTCCACGCTCACTGCAGCCTGAGAATGCCAGCTTGGAACTGCATGATGTTGAGCCGGGGAAGATTCATGACCGATCAAAGCTAACTCGTTCACTTGAGAACCCCGTCGTCCATCATATCTTGATGGTGCATCTGTACGGCCAAAGGACATGCGACGGCTAAATCCTCCACTTCCGCCACTGATATTTGAAGACGCACGTCGATGGCCCCATCCTCCACCTTCCTGGTTACTTGCCCGATGAGTCTGGAAAGCTGCCGAAGGCTCTGCTGGTCCACCGTGTCCACCATGTTCATCGTGAATTGGTCGTTGTAACAAGGCAGGAGGCCGAGGACCCTGGTCATGCCGCCAAGAAGGTCGTCTGGTATCCGCAACAGGCTCATAGCGACCAGAACGAGAATTAAAAAGCTCTCTAGGTGGTGCGCTGGATGGTGTCTCTCTCCAAGTGCGGTTGAAATCATCAGCTGCAATCTCTTGTGGGGGGATTGTACCATTGTGGTCCTCTCGGTGTGGGAAGTTGTTAGGTAAGCGATGCGGCAATGAAGCCGGGGGTGGGGGGAGAGAAGAGTTGACCGGAGACACCCTTTCAATAGGAGGTAGAGCTGCCCAGGGAGACTTGGCTGGTGGAGGAGCCGGGCTTGTAGAGCCCGATGGCAGTCGGTCGTTAGTTCCACGAGATGAAACACTGGCAGCCTTAGCCTGTCGCTCGGCGCTAGCTCCAAGTCTCAGTACGGTAGGGTTAGGTCCAACAGATGTAGTTGGCTTCGGCCCAGTGATTTTGACAGGGTCTTTTGCAACGGTTGGTTCAGGGAGTATTTCCTTGTGATCTTGATGCTCCACCTCCGGCACTGGAACATGGTCGGTATGAGGATTGAGGGTGACCTTGGTGCCATCCGTCCATTCAATAGTTTCAGGGGCCCAATCGTCTTCATCATCGTCAATGTCGGCCCATTTTGACTCGGTTCCGCCGCCGTCTTCTTGAATCCGAGATGTCATATGAATGCCGTATTGTTGTTTCAGTTCCTCATCTGTCAAATGCTTGGGCGGTATGGGTTGAACGGCTATATCAAAGTCAGTATTGAGCTTGAAATCTTGAGATGTCACCAGTTCGTACGTCGGTTTTTGTTCCAAACTTGATTTGGGTCCGGTCCCGAACCGCCAGGCTTAGCACCACTTGCGCCATTTTTGGAAAGAGAATCGCGCATGCCCGCAGTTGTCTTTGCGACCAATCGTGGACGAGAGCTCGGTTGCGGTGTTCCAAGGGGAGTAGTGGAAGTCGATGGAACTTGGACATAAATTTAGCTACAGGTTGACATTTTAGATGCAAAAGAAAACAATACCTTTCTCGACAGTTTTCGGGGGAACGGGGACTCCGGGAGCCTTTGGGAGCACAAATTTTGAAAAGGATACGGGCTTAAACGTCGTCGGTTTCTTGACAGATCCGGTGCGCGCATGGTGTCTACCATCTGTAGTATCTGACTCCGAGCCACCTTGGGAAGCTGTATCGTCACCGTCCGTCACTCCATTCAGTTCAAGAGCTCGAGTCGCAACAAGCCCAGCACCTTGCTTGATATGCCCCTGCACTAACATTAGTACAGCTTGGTTGATACATACTTGTAAAAACCTACCGAGGAAGAGCCTCCGACATCCTTATCACCTCCAGCCCACTCAGTTTGGGCAACACGTGTGTTATTTGTGCGGTTGTTTGGTTGTTGATCAGGTAATTTGGTAGCTGATATAGTTGCGATGTGTTTGGTCTTTTCCACATCCCCTTCAGTTGGTGTCTTGTGGTTGGGGGTCGCAGGAGCGTCGGAAGGCGAAGGCGAAGCTTCGCCGCCCGACAGGGTCTGATCTACCACATCGCGGCTGCTCTGCTCTGCCATAACAATGCCTGAGTCTGTAGAGATGAAAAAACCAGAGTCAGAAAGGCGCTTTTAATGGGGCTGTCATGGGATGGGATTCATGCGACGTGAGGGGAGGTGAGGGGAGTAGCCGGAGAGCGCCCGCTGAGTGAAGTGAAAACAAAAGTAAACGTACGTACCTCACTTCAGTCAAGAATCACCACAATCTTCTGGATTTTTGCCTGAGTTGAACCCTGATGGGTACTTCAAGACCAGAAAAGGGGGGTTGGAGATGGAAAACTCCCTACAGATGACGGAGATTCGATGGTCGCAAGTTCTTGGGAAAGAGCAAGTTGCGAAGGTGAGGGTTGATCTTGATGTTAAATCCACAACCCAGAAGGTCCCGTGACCGGGAAAGGAAGCAGAAGTGAAGGATTTATCCTTGGGGAGGTTGATGATCATCAAAGGTTTTCGTGATCGTTGAAGATTACCTATGAGGTTAAAGTCTGCATTGGGTTAGCGCACAGTCAATACTCCGCCCGCACTGGAAGATCAACTTACCCAGGATATACCTATCTATTTATGTGGATTCCCCGTTATTTTCGAGGTAGTCCACTTCAATCTCATTTATTTTGACAGCAGTTCAGTTTCCAAGGAGTTGCAGTCATATGACAACACCAAAAACCTCGCCAACAACTACAATATTGCAAAATACACAAGAAACATAAATGAGACACAGTGATCGACCACAGTGATATTTGAAGAGTCTCTCTAATTCATACATACTGCTTGCTTGAAGTGGATGCAGACTATACACCAACCCTCTCATTCATATCAACAAAAGGAACCCAATCTAGTGGGGGTGGTTCTTGTGATGACCTGCAGAGTAATTAGAAGGCTATTGATTTTGGATTATCAGTAGTACAGCAAAAGGGTACTTACGGAGGTGGAAGTAGTACTCAATACTGTAGCCCAGGACCAGGAGACCGCCAATAGCTTGGATAAGGGCTGTATAAGTCAGTATTTATGTTTCGTGTGCAGAGCAAAAAGATCCAAAATACTTACGGACAGCAGAAGCATTCTTGCCACTGAAGTAGCGAGCCTGGTAGCGACCAATGAGACCAGTGGCCTTAACAGTAGGAGCAGGGCCACGGGGCAGGCCAGCGTAGAAGTTCACAACACGCTCCATGCGAGCGGCATCCTGGGCGGCACCGATAGCCTTTTCAGCAAGGGATAATTAGTGAAAATTCAAATTTGACAATGGCAGTTCCATATTGCGTTTGGATTGCACGAAAAATAGAACTTGGGAAGGTACGGGGACCAGGTGGATGGAACAACAGGGCGCATAGGATTCGAGGAACTCACGTTTGGGGAAGCGATCTATATAGAACAGTTAGAATCAAAGGAAAGGGCTTGCGACTAGTAGTGGAGTATAACGTCAGATATTCATACCTTGGGAGGGATTAGGGTGGAAAGTCCACGGCGGGTAATCTTAGTGAAGCTCATCTTGTCTGAGAGAAATGGGGTCAGAAATGAGTCGCAAGGAGTGGAGAGGATGTTGAAGACTGCAACAAGACCCTTGGAAGGGACTCACGGTGATTCTCGGCGCAAATGAACCAGGAACAATTGATGATGCAGGAGGAAGAGAACCTTTGGCCGGGAAGCGGGAGGTCGGATGAACCAATTGCGCTAAACCCGATTGGGCCGTGCCGTGACCTGAACTCGGGACTGCGATTAACACTCCTGCAATTGCTGCGTCTCAGGCTATATTCAACCCCCACCGCTTCAACGTCAACCATGTCGCTCTTCAGAATCGGAGGTGCTGCTGGCCTCCGGGCTCCTCGCCTGGTCGCTCCCGTAAGCGTTCGTTTCAATTCTAGTGCCACCCAGGGTACTCCGGCCGTCAAGACCAACTCATCTGAGGTTCCCACCACTCGCTCCCAAGAAAGCTCTCTGGTCAATGAGCAGAGTAGCTCTCACAAGCTTGACTATGGTGCCACGATCGACCATGGTACCTCGTACGTCGTATCTCGTATGGCCTACTAGCGCAGAGGCATTTGCTAACCTCTCGACTTTTTTTGTTTAGGCTATTCTCTCCAGTTCCCAAGCGTGTGATGAATGGCAGTGAGCCTGTTGGCACTCTCCCTGCTGCAGTTCTCTCCGGCGCTCCTACTGATCTCCAGGCTCGCACTGTCAGGTACTTTAGAAAATCTCGAATTGAATCGATGTCGAGATACGCATACTAACTAACTCCGGTCTTTCAGAATTTACCGCCCTTCAAAACCCGCTACTCAGTCTGGTACTTGGCACACTCACCACTGGCGGATGGACTGGGATATCCTGCAGAAGGGCCACCGATGGGAGAACCCGCTTATGGGCTGGCAGTCATCTGCCGATGGCATGCAGGGTACCAACATCAAGTTCAAGTCGAAGGAGGACGCCATTGCATTCGCCCAGAAGCAGGGTTATGAATATTTTGTGCAGGAGCCGAATGAGCGCCGCTTTGTGCCCAAGGTCTATGCCAACAACTTTACTCACGTGCCTGGAAAGCTCAAGCATATCAGGACCAAATGATTACATCCTCGGTGTAACATGTACATAATTGCAGCTTTTTTCTCTTTCAATCCACATCATTCATGCAACAACGGAGTTACGGGCCTACAAAGCCCAGGACTTTCCAGAAACCCACTTTTGAGCTTGATTCTAGCTGGTGCCGTATAGACCTCATATTGATGTCCACTGTACTTGTTACATTCAACAGTAGCAACAGTTTGTCCAAAACCATACAATTTCTATGTCCTCCTAGGCTAGGATCTTACATAGTTGAAACTTTGGATTGTGAGTAAGCATACGGAGTAGTAGACCCTTACTTATTGAAATCTTACTAGTCTTTCCTTCAGAGACTTGATTGTGCGATGGAACTCGCAACCTAGGTAGCCTGAGAGCCACCCGTACGTTCATTATCTCCCTCGTATGCCGACTAGGTAGTGAAACTTCTGAGCAGTACGAGGTATTCGTTGGGATATATGGATACATTCTCGAAGCTATGCATTGACTGTTCTTTTCTTGAATTGATCAATGATCTTGTGTGACCTATCTAAGCACTGAGCGATTAACGATTCCAGCGATCAAACAAACTAACGAAAAGGTATACGGGAACTGAGTAGTACTGTAGCCGGCTTTTATTCAAGAATCTGAAATTTGCGCGGACCAACCAGATCCGGATCAGGGCAGCCCCGCCACCCCACCCTGAAAATCCGTTACGATAAGATCTAAAAAAGATTGTTGCCGTATTCTCTATTCTTCACCATATTTCGAAATGGCCCCAATTGCAATCGAACCTGAGGGTGACAATCAAATCATCCTGGACCTTCGAAAGGTTCTTACCTCCGAACAGGAACCACTTGCTCGTCGTTTCCGCGCACTCTTTTCTCTCAAGCACCTGGCCTGCCTGCAGCCTCCCACCGAAAATACCCTTCCTGCCATCCAAGCTATCGCTGCTGCCTTTACTTCAAACTCCGCTCTGCTCAAGCATGAGCTTGCATACTGCCTCGGTCAGACCCGGAATCCAGACTCCGTTTCGTACCTGCAGCACGTCTTGAAGGATGCCGAGGAAGATGCGATGTGCCGGCATGAGGCTGCAGAGGCTTTAGGAGCGCTAGGCTATGTCGAGAGTCTCGATATACTGAAGAAGCTGCGCGACGACCAAAACGAATTAGAAGTCATTCGCGAGACTTGTGACATTGCTGTTGATCGAATTCTGTGGGAGAACTCCGAAGAAAGAGCCGCCGAGAAACTTAAGCCCAGGTATTTTACTCTCACACACGAACTACGTGATTTTTCTCGAAACAATTCTTATTTATTTATTTTTAGTGACTTCACTTCTATTGACCCAGCTCCACCAATGCCACTGGAGGCCAAAGAGCCCTCCATTCCCGACTTGGAGAAGACGCTGCTTGACACCAAACTCCCTCTATTCAAAAGATATCGCGCTATGTTTGGCCTTCGAGACCTTGCATCCCCTCCTGACCTCCCCACAGCAAACGAGTCTGTTAGAGCACTGGCTAAGGGTCTTAAGGACCCCTCTGCTCTGTTCCGTCACGAAGTTGCCTTTGTCTTTGGACAGCTCTGCCACCCCGCCTCTGTCCCTTACCTCACAGAATGTCTCAGCGACCTGCAGGAGATGGGTATGGTGCGACATGAAGCCGCCGAGGCCCTTGGCAGCCTAGGTGATGAGGAAGGAGTCGAGGATACCCTGAAGAAGTTCCTGAACGATCCTGAGCAAGTGGTGCGGGACAGCGTGATCGTGGCGCTTGATATGGCAGAATTTGAGAAGAGTGGCCAGGTCGAATACGCATTGGTGCCAACAGCTACTGAAGCCTCTGCGTCATCATGATGGCCGTTTGGGGTAAAAAGAATTATATACAGGTCGTGACGTCGTTATATTGATACTCTGAAGCCACATTTTGTATAGCCGAAAGACAGAAACGTTCCCATGTCTTTTCAAATCAAGGTTTCCACCCCTCAGTTATTCTGAGTTTCCCTGAAGAAGATATTAGAATCCGACATTGGTTCTGTAAGTTTTTGAGGACATACTTGTAACCGCAAACACAGCGCAGGAAAATAGTACTTCCTTCGTCAGCACTGCGCAGTTGGACTGCACTGAAAAACATCTCTGTTCGACCGCATCGGTTGCAAGTATGCTGTGTGATAGCCTCGGTATTCCGGTCTGCAGCTGACAAGGTTTGTACTGAAGATAGCTTTGCTCTCAAGGCAGAAGGGAATGCAGAGGGTTTGGATTCTGAGACAATAGTTTGCGGCACAGTATCTATTCAGACTTAGAACAATGATATTCTTATTAAATCATTGAGTTCTACTCACCTTTATTCCGAGTTCCGCAGATACCACAGTGTAGAGTCGCATTCGCATCTCCAGTTGATTCTCGTAGCAAATTGCCACAGTCAGTGCAGAAAATCAAAGAACCAATGACAGACATAGCGACGGATATAAAGAAGAACTTGAATGAAGTGAGACGATTGCGACGAGGTCAATAAGAAGGGATATGCGGCGACTGCAACTTTAATTTTTTTTCGAAAGCACGGACCAAGTACCGGGCGGTGAAAGGGGTGGCCCTCCATGCTCCATGCTCTCTGTTGTTTGAAATGACGAACGGTTATGGTCCCCACAAGCTCTGTCGTCCTCTCATTGCTTCTTTTTCGTTTGAAGAATTCCAGCTGTGAAGGAAGTTTTATAGATGAGAATCAAACTGCCATGAATCTGCTCCGAGCAGGTCTCCTTCCTATGGACTAGTGCTCCTTCCTTTTCTGTTATCCATCATGGATCAAAATGGACGACCCTCAGTCGAGGTGCAAGTCTTTGCATCCAACGTCTCCCAGAGACATTCCCAAACACTGTCTGTTGACGAGGCACTTCAGTACTCGTCCATGTCAAGCGCGCCGATATTTGGTCTAGGTCTGTAACCTCTCAATCACGGAATCCCTGAACATTTCACAGAATAAGATCTAATTAAAATTTTTGTATTAGATTGTGTTATACGTCCCGATGTCGGTCGACCATCCAACACGAGCTCCATCAACCACGTGCTTCAAGCAGGTCGGAATACACTGAGTGAGCTGGACACGGAGATACGATCTGGATTGGACGAGTCGAGCCGACTAGAGACGTCCCGTGAATACTTGCAGCAATTGCTAGATGGGGATCAGTTGACCGAATTGTAAGAACTTATTTGCATATACTATTCTCACGTGCCTTCTACTAATACATCACTTGCTCTAGCAAATTCAAGCTTCCTCAATCGCTTGGTCATAGCCAACACCTGAGCTCACCTAATACCAATGGCAATTCATCTGGTCATAATCAACTTGGATCATTTGCACGAATGATGCTTGATTCGACAGATGTTGCATTTCGATGTAAGGGCAAATTGAAATTTCGCATGTTTTTGGACCTCGCACTGACTAGTCACAGACCCAGAAATTATCCCAACAATACCTCCGAAGATTAGAGCTGAGAAAAAGGATCCTGTCGAAAAGCCTGCACCTTCTTTTAATCTTCAAGAAAAAGATGAAAACAAATCTCGTTCACTTTCACCTCAATTACAGTCTCCACAACCTTCTAGTCGACTGGCTGTGGTCATTCCATTGAAACCTACACCCGTAAAGCAATTGAATAGTACAAAACCCAAAGTTGTCATTCATAGCCGGGACACAATGGCTGCCTTGCGCTTAAAGGACCAGAAGGCAGAGGCAGATGATGCTCTGTTGAAGCTGCAGGATCTTCTTCAGGAAGTATTCGATGCCGAAGATCAAATCGAGCCTGAGTCATTAATCGCTGCCACTGCTGATCAACCGAATCCAATTTTTGTGAATTCAAATTCGGTGGACGTGCACGGCGCTCTGCTATCTTCTGAGGCCCATGTCCGCCTACAGAAAGCTCTTCGCAAGGTAGCCGGGTTTGATCGGCTACAGAATATACCGACTGATTGGATCAATCGGGTCCAGAAGTATTGTGAAAAGCCAATTGCGGCCTCTCAAGCTCCGGAATTAAACCTGAATGATCCATCCAGTGAAGGGGAGATTCAAGAATGGGTGAGTAAAGTTGAAGGTGTTCTCAATTCTCTCCTTTCGATTGAAACGCTTCTTCAGACGATGTCTGGACGCCGAAACGAGCGAGAGCTTTGTCCCGAGGATCTGATAGAAGCCATTCCGACTGTACTGAACCAGGCCTTTGACCACTGTATCATTCCTGCAGTGGAGGCTCGCTCTGGCGGCAAGAACACTGAATATTTCAACGTTTATTCAGCCCAAAAGCGTATTATCGGAAGTTTGATTCATCAGAGCAAGAAGGTTCTTACCCTTTTTGCCGACTTTTTGTCCCGTATTGAGGTTTCTGAAGGAACAATCACAGCCGCTGAATTCCTTGCGGCGAAATTGATTTTTGTTGAAAACGCTCATAATGAGAGAGACTCAGCAGTAGGTCAATCGAAGTATGAACCTGCGAGACGCGCGGCTATGGATGTCCTTGCAAAGATATTTTCAAAATATCCTGATCAGCGCCCCTTCATATTGGATGAAATCCTGGTGTCATTGGAGAAGCTTCCTTCAACTCGTCAAAGTGCGAGACAGTTCAAGCTCGTAGATGGCAAAAACATTCAACTTCTTACTGCACTCGTACTTCAACTGGTGCAAACAACTGCTCTCGAAACTCCACGATCCTCCAAGACGAAGCGTCGAATACATGCATCTCGCGATTCGGATGACGAATTAATGGGTGATACAGACGATCTGAACAAAGCTGAATCGGAAGATGACGAAGAGCTAGACGAGTCTTTGGAACATCTGGCGGCCAAAGTGAACCGACTTTACGACAATGCTGTGCGCAGTGCGCAATACATTGTCAAGTTCATTGTCCAGAGGGCCATGACATCAACAAAAAGCGGCGATCAGCCATACCGCAACATTCTCGATCTATTCACTGAAGATATGATCAACGTACTCGGATCCACAGATTGGCCCGCTGCTGAACTTCTCCTTCGAATTATGGCATCGCATCTAATTGGTATTGCAGATCAAGACAAGAGTGCAGCCACTGCAAAAAGCATGGCCCTTGAGCTCTTGGGGTGGATGGGATCTGCAATATCGGACTTAATAGCAACCGCCCAGCACATGCTTCCTGCTCTGGAAGATTCGGACAGTGAACTCACTGATTTTCTAAAACAGCAGTTTGAGGACTATTCCGCCCGTGCGCTGTACCCGCAAGATCTAATTGCTCCAAAAGGCCCATACAGGATGGCACTCGAGTATCTATCACAGGATAGAAACTCCGACAATTGGCACTTGGCTAGTGCTCGTGGCTACTATTTGGCTAACTGGGCAAAGACTGTGTGCAACTTCTACTACAATTCGGAAGATAAGGCCGATATGGTTCATGATGAGATGACTCAAGAGCTGGTCCTCCTCCTGTCAAAATCTTTCTCTGACCCACGATGGCTGGAGAGCCATAGGCAATTTAACACAATCTCAAATATCCATGGTCGTTTTGCTTATGTTTTGACGGTTCTGAACTCCAGTTTTGGTAAAGCTTTTGACACCATTCTCAAAATCCTTCTGAATTCCATTGCCAGTGATCAAGCCAAAGTTCGCAGTCGCAGCCTCAAAAGTGTCATTTACATGCTCGAGAAAGACCCAAATCTTCTTGACCGCGATGCTTCAGTCATGCGCCTCATTCTCCGGTGTACTACAGATGCTTCTCCCATGGTCCGTGACTCGGCGTTGTCACTGATAGCTAAGTGCATCAGTTTAAAACCCAAACTTGAAGAAGAAGGGTGTCGCAGTATTCTTGCATGCGCCGCAGATCAGACTGCTGGTATTCGCAAGCGCTGCGTTGGTCTGCTAAAGGAGCTTTATCACAAGACTGCACGGCAGGAATTAAAATTGGCAATTCTTGATAGTTTTCTTCAACGCACTGGTGACCATGAGGATAGCGTGGCAACGTTGGCTCGTCAGACCTTTGAAGAGATCTGGTTGACTCCTTTCCATGAATCCATCGACTCTAGCTCGGATGCGCCGAAACTCAAAATGGCTTTGGGAGAACAGGTCGGTTTGATCGTTGGTCTTGTCCAGCGAAGTGACACGGCTCTTGATTCCCTAAGCGGATGCATTAAGGCTGTACTCTCTGATAAATCCAAGTCGGCTGTATTGAATTTCAAGGTCTGCAAATCGATGGTTGCAATCATGTTTCAAAGACTAGTTGAAGATGCAGATGCTTCTGGGAAAGACTTCCAGCAAGCTCTTCTTCAAACAATAACTGTTTTTGCGAAGTCTAATGCAAAGCTGTTCAGTCCAGACCAGTTGGAGGCCCTACATCCTTACATTGGTCATCTCTCAACCGCAGACGACCTCTTCATCTTCCGATCAGTTGTGGTGATTTATCGCTGTGTCTTGCCATTCCTTTCTTCATCCCAAAATAATTTCCTGAAAGAGGTGCAGAATGATCTCTTTAAGAGTGTTGCCAAGCTTTCCCGATCAGAGCTGAATGAGGTTATGGCCTGTTTATGGACCATCAACGGTGTTCTCGAAAACACAGACCGGCTTGTGAAGCTGACTGTATCCGTACTTAAACCTTTGCAGCAATACAAGAGCGTTGACCTGGCAGCAGACAAGAATTCCTCGGTCTTGGCTCGTGCGAAGAGTTATATCCGAATTGGGGGATGCGTCGGACGGCATTGCGACCTCGAAAAATACATATCATATTTCAAGAGCTCGTTCCAAACCTGGACAGGTGGATCCGTGGCTAGCTTGATGGTTGACTCTATCCTTCCATTCACCTCCTCAAATCAACCTATGGACCTTAGAATTATGGCTCTAGAAAGCTTGGGTTCCATTTGTCAGTCTTGGCCAGCTCAATTTGGCCGCGAGCCCACTCGGAAGACCTTTGCTCAAGTGTTCCAGGAAGAAGTGCCAGTTTTACAGAACATAGTCCTCAAGTCATTTGCTGATTTCTTCGCGATACATGAGGGTAAGTCTGAAAAGGTCGTCATTTCAACTGTCGATGAAAGTGCGCAAGAAGCTACTCGACTAGGAGGATCTTTGAGAGCTAGCGATAACGATGGTGCTGCGGCGTTGATTGCCCAGAACTTTCTTCCCAGCATGCTCACGGTTGCCCAGTCGCGACAAGATATTTATGCCCTCACCGCTATCGAACTCATTGCAAGTATCAATCGCCAAGGTCTGGTCCATCCGAAAGAGTGTGCTGGTGTACTTGTCTCGCTGGAGACCTCAACAGTTCCTGCGATTGCAAAGGTTGCCTTTGAAGCACACAAAATGCTCCACCAACAGCACGAATCGATGTTTGAACGAGAGTATATGCGAGCTGTTCAGGATGCTTTCTACTACCAGCGAGATATCGTCGGCGACTCAAAAGGCGCTACTCGCAGGCCTTACGTAGCAAAACTCGCCCCACTGTTCGAAATTGTCAAAACCAGCAACAGTCGCTACCAAAAAAAGTTTCTTGCAAGCCTCTGCGGTAAGGTCAATTTCGAATTGAAAAAACTCAACACTAGTGGGGATCCTCCGGAGCACCTACTATTATCTCGCTTCATATCCCACAATCTTGCCTACTTTGATTATGGTCAACATTCCGAATTGGTGCCCACTATCGCGTGCATCGAACGCATAGTTTCATCCACCGGTGCCGCAGTCGCTCTTGCGATTGAGACGGACGTTTTTCCAAGTCCCATTGCTCTGCCAAGCGCTGAGACAGTCAGCATGTTGCCGCCTGATTCTACAATGATGGTACCCACAAACATGTCGCACCCAATTGATACCGCTATAAAATTGAGACCGCTGGCCACAGCCGCTGCCGCCCTTACAATGCTCTGGGAAGCCCGAACTTATTTGCGACGCCTTTATGGAGTCCACTCCCACAGCAAAGACCAGGGTGGTAAGCCCTCTACAAAGGATCTCAATAAATCTGCCACCAAGGTTCATGGTGTTACTGGTGATAAGTTCTGGGAAGCCGTAGATAGGAACATGGCTGCATTGACAAATGAGGACGCCATGTTGAACAAATGCCGCGACTTCTCAACATTGCTCGCAATCGACGAAGAATTCAAGGTGGATCGAGATGACGATGACGAAGGGGACAACTTCGATGCAATGATGAATGTTGATGACACTGCCAGTGGGTCCCGAGCAATGAAACGGAAAAGTACTGATCCGACCACAAGTGCCAGCAAGAGACCAAAGGGCCGCAAAAGCTCCATCGGCAAAAAGAGATCAAGCACTGAGCCGGATGACAATTGGGATAATTGGGAATGATGATTTCACCCTAACTTGCCTTTTTGCCCGGCATCGTTTATTCTTATGCATACGAGGAATATAGACGTTGTAGAATTCCTATCTTATAACACCCGCGACTCGCAGCTCACTTAGGTAGAGCAGCTTTTATTCTATTTTACCTTGAATATTTTAGCTTGCATCATGGATGGCGCATGGGAGGAATATCATTTTCGAAGCTAATAGGCTGGCTTCCTTTATGCTCATTTCTCATCAACCATTCCTAATTGCTTGATCAGTATACCTCACCTAGGTAACCTTTAGAGACCTTCTTTTCAACCTTGGGGCTTAGAATAATACACAGTCACGATTTAAAAAGCATGCCACAGAGCCTGTTTCAGAATAGTTCATACGCACCGTCTCACTACAAAATACGTCCTGGAAATCTGATGATCCTTCTAAGGTTAACTTCCGAGAAAACCTGAATATTTCTCGATAAAGTCTACCTAGGTACATATACTGCGTGCTAGGTCCACAGGTATATGTATAAGTAACAATAATCAACCACCTGGACATCACGATTGAGTAATGGCCAGCTAAGATGAAACTGGAAATGCTACTGAAGATGAAGCTCAAGCTCAGATGAAATATGGCAGTTCTTGGAGGACTCTCAGCATAAAGACGTATTTTCTTGCGATGAATATCTCCTTTTCTGGAAGATACACTGAGACCCATGTCACTGATGGCCTGGGGCTCCTCGAAACGAAAAAAAAAAATGCGTTATACTATTTATTTGCTTGTAACAAAGATGGTTTTGAGAAACCACCCTCCTGACTAATCGGAAATAGGCAAAATCTATACGCTTTTCGCGCTGCGCATATTTATTACCTGAAAGTGTGGACTTGTATTGGGCACAAAATGTCTGATATTTGAAGAGTGGCTTCGTTTGTTCGATTCACGTGGGAACGTGCCAAAAGTGGTGCTTTTGATAAAGTATTTCTCTCCTCACATAGGGGCAGTTGAAAAGGTCGCCCAATCTAATCAGCCCCTTCAAAATACGCCGATCCTTTGGTTTCCTCCCTCTGGAAAAATTTAGCCACTTCGGCAGTTATTGAACAAATTCACATACGATTGGCATGAGACTCGGCTTCGCGATCAGGAATTTAGGGACCAGGGTCGTAATGTCCCATTGGAGGCCTGGACGATTGATATTCCCGACGGATCAATTTGCTATATATTCATGCAATATGATGGCCTGTCTTCACAAAAATCAAGCTTGAGTCCGATGCACCACTTCAAGTTATAACTAGTCCTGGGGATCAAGAACTCAGCCAGGTTTGCATAATTGAGATCCAAGGTACTGCCGAGAATACTATACTTTCTAAGCCACAGACCTGGTGAGCTATGATCAATGAGGCTATAAATATCAACCGATCTGTGTGCCCACCACAGAAAGAGGTTGTTATTTCATCTCGACACCTTGAGTAGAGAAATATATCTCGCTCGGGTTGTCTACTACGCGACTACGAAACAGAGAACGAAGCTACTGAGTAGCAGAAATTTCATAACATTCTCTGTGAGATTCGTGAGATTGTTCTGATTACACCATCAGAATGCGTGAAAGCTTTTCGAACGTTACATCTATACGAAGAACAGAAGGCCTGTAGCTGATAGAGATATTGCGCTTATTAAAGCCACGTGGTGTCCTAAATTATAAACCGAGAGACCAAACAAAAGACCTCGAACTGATTGACATTTAATAGTATTGTGAGATTTTTCTAGCTAGATATCTCTTTTATACAAGAAGTTGAAAGTCGAAAGCTTGTCTGCACGCACGAACCGCGTGCCGATTTTCCGGGTTCGTTTCTGCACGTGACTGTATGATGACGTAGAGCTCCGCAGGTACAGCAGACAATCTTGAATGTTTAAAGTTCTTGCTCACTTACATCTTCTAAGTAATTACTTGTCTGCCCTCGTTTCTGGATCTCGCTGTTCTCCGAATCGCTGTTTTCGCTTCTTCTCCCACCCCCTTTACTATTTGGGTCTCCCCTTAATCTACGCTATGAGCGTGGCCTTGCGCCGGTGCCGTCCGGATGGCTCCACGTTGCGATCAATCGGATCTTTTTCAGCTCGTTTAAACGTCTCGAGCGGACCTCTACCAGCTCGCAGCTCTGTTGCACGTTCTCTGAACACATATCGACGACCCATACAGCCTCGTTATCTCGGTTTAGCCCCCAATGGATTGGCTTTGGTCCGTGGGCTGAAGTCCGATGCCGCAGCAAAGAAGCCTATTCGAAATGCTCTTCACAAGACGTTTACTGCCTGCGGAGTGTTTGTGATTGGCTCCAGTATCTGTATTGTTGGCTTTTTCATTTACGATGCTACCACCTACCGCGAAATTCGTTCGGGAGAAGATATCCCTATCTCAGAATTGGCGCTTAATCCACGTATTGGTGGTCCCAAGAATCTCCCTATCGCAGAGTTCCTTGTTAGCGACTACGATTCCGACGAAATGATTACGCAGAAGGACAAGCCACGTCTGGTGATCCTAGGAACTGGTTGGGGCAGCATCGCGCTATTGAAGGACTTGAATCCTGGTGATTACCATGTTACTGTTGTTTCACCCACGAACTATTTCCTATTTACTCCCATGCTGCCATCTGCGACAGTCGGTACATTGGGTCTCCGTTCATTGGTTGAACCTGTCCGGCGCATCATTGATCGTGTTAACGGTCACTTTATGAAGGCTACAGCTACGGATGTTGACTTTTCAGAGAGGCTTGTTGAGGTCTCGCAGGTTGACGAGAGTGGTACAACCAGAAATTTCTATATTCCATACGACAAGCTCGTTGTTGGCGTTGGTATGTTTGATCCTAGTACACCTCGACGTGGCCGGTCTAGGTATAATTGACTTGAATCTGACATATTACTCTATTAGGCTGCGTTACAAACCCGCATGGTGTCAAGGGCCTGGAGAACTGCAACTTCCTGAAAACAATTGATAACGCTCGTGAAATCAAGAACAAGGTCCTGGATAACATGGAATTGGCTTGTCTTCCCACCACTTCCGATGAGGAGCGCAAGCGTCTCTTGTCTTTTGTGGTCTGTGGTGGTGGCCCAACCGGTGTTGAATTTGCTGCTGAGCTTTATGATCTGTTGAACGAGGACCTGTTGCATTCTTTCCCTCGTATTATTCGGAATGAGATTTCTGTCCACATCATTCAGAGCCGCTCTCATATCCTAAACACATATGATGAGGCGCTATCCAAGTATGCCGAAGTAAGTTCTAGATTTATATTCAATCTCGTGCAATAGAATGATACTAATGCCACCTAGGGCCGGTTTTCTCGCGACGGCGTCGAGGTATTGACCAATGCTCGTGTCCAAGAAGTGAAAAACGACCGTGTTGTTTTCAGTCAGGTAGAAGATGGGGAGACTATTACCAAGGAGATCCCCACTAGTTTCTGTCTATGGTCGACCGGTGTTGGTAAGTTTAGCAATTTTTCAGCCCAACTTTCTCAACTAACACTTTCCAGCTCGCTCTGAATTATCTGAAAAAATCTGCGATAAGCTTGAAGGACAAAACAATAAGCATGCCATTGAGACCGACTCCCATCTCCGCGTGATTGGTGCCCCATTAGGCGATGTCTACGCCATTGGAGATTGTGCTACTGTTCAGAACAACGTCGCTGAGCACGTCATCAAATACCTGCGCACTATCGCATGGGAGAAGGACCTCGATCCCGAGAAGGTGCAGCTCACCTTCTCTCAGTGGAGCGAGGTTGCCAGCAAAGTGAGGAAGCGCTTCCCGCAAGCCTCTAGCCACCTCCGTCGAGTCGACCGTCTCTTTGAGCAATACGACAAGGACCAATCCGGAACCCTCGACTACGGCGAGCTGAACGAGCTCCTTCACCAGATTGACACCAAGCTTACCTCCTTGCCAGCAACTGCCCAGCGTGCGAATCAGCAGGGTTTGTATTTGGGCCGCAAGCTGACCAAGATCGCTGCTGCCCTTCCTGGTCTTATAGCCAATGAGGTTAATTACGGTGATCTTGACGACACGGTCTACCGCGCTTTCAAGTACACTCACCTCGGTAGTCTGGCGTACATTAGTAACGCGGCTATCTTCGATTTCGGTGGCATGAGCTTCAGTGGTGGTATTATCGCTATGTATCTCTGGCGCAGTATCTACTTCGCTCAGAGTGTCAGCTTCCGCACCCGGTGCATGCTGGCAATGGACTGGGCGAAGCGCACTCTTTTTGGAAGAGGTATGTCTATTCTACTTCTGTCTTCATTATTGGAACAAAACTAACGTTTAAATTTCTTTTAGATCTTATGAGCTTCTAAAATCTTATATCTTTAAAATTACATTCGATTCATGATCTTCGAATTAGGAGACTACATAATTCTTTGGTTCGAGTCCCGACTATGGACATTACTTCTATACACCATTCCCAGTCCTGAAAATTGAGCACTGTGTATTTAGATGCTAGCCATTTATAGGTAATTCTGGGTGGCTTTCTTTGCATGTACTACATTTTTTTTTAGGTGAACAAAGCCTCAGTCTGTACTTCTATTGCTTTATGTTTAACGGCGCTGGTTTAGACCGCCTGCTCCATATGCCCAGAAGGATTTTTGAACATATTGACCTTGAAACTCCAAAATTGCTGCGCAGAACGGTATCAAACAAGGACTTTACGATGTAATGAGGTGACTGAATTCAAGTCACAGCCCTTGTGGAGCTGCGCCTGCAAAGGGTTGATATTTATTAAATGTAACCGGGATATTCCGTAATGTGACGCGAAAAGGATGACCGTATTGATGCACCGGGCGCCTTGCTAATAAAACTGATAATAAAACATCACGACATCGTTGGATCCACATCGCCGTTGTTCACCATAATGGTATCTGTGCGATAAATGGCATCGTTGCTTTCAAGCGTGTCGTTCACTAAGCCGATATCCAGTTTATCGGGGATATCTTTCTTTGCCTCACGAGCTTTGATTTCGGCAAAAGCGCGTAGCTTGACCAAATTGCGGAGACGAGCCTCTTTAGAAGCGCCTTGACTTTGCAAGATGGCCTCATTGACTTGGGTTGCAATATCTTTACGGAGGCTAGGGTTTAAGAGGGAGGCAAGGGAAGGGGTCAGGTTGTCACTGGGGAATATCAGGAGAGCCAGAGTGCTTTCCAAGTCCTCCAAGAACTGGGGGTTAGTCGGAGCTCGAGGAGCTAACTGGGATGTTGCAAACTCCAAGGCAGGACTGATGTCGCCGTCTGGAGTAGCTGTGCAAGTTCGAATCAACTCTACCAGCTGCAAGCGCAGGAGAGCAAAGTGCAGTGAAGGATTTTCATCTAGGATCTATTCAATCTTATTAGCAAAGGCTCACTGAAAAACGGGATATCCAAATTAATCGAGTTTGAGGTTGCTAATCATATAAAAAATTGGTGATTGTTTTTCCTCAACACCCCGAAGGGTTGTAGGAGTGGTGCATGAAGTATTTTAATCATGAAAGCGGGTAGGAATATGGGTAATGTATGGCAAGGCGAGAATTATTTCTTACATGAGGATTAGATTCATTGATCCTTTCGATTGCTGTTTGGATGTTTCCGGTATGGATAGCAGTTCGAATCTCAACCCGCTCTTCAATTGACTGTAGATCAGTTTGGATTTGAATGTTGGCCTCAATGGCGAACTTCTGCGCAGCAGCGGGATATCCGTTGGTGACCAGGTAGTCCATGACGAGGTTATTGATGTCACTGAAGCTTCATATTAGCAGCTGTCACAAATAACTAATGAAAGATAGTGATGTGTTGGAAGGGGCATTGAATCAGGTATCAAGTTAACATATTCTCTTCACATTGATTCAGAGAGATTCCCAACTTGTTTTTTTAAATCATCATATCAAAAGGGGGCAAGGTATTGTGATGCGGAATTACTCACGTTTTGGATGGCTTCACCTCGTCGACCTTCCGCTCGAATTGGGGCCAAGTCGGCGTGGTCGTCGAGGAGGAGCGAGACATCTGTGCATGATGTTAAAGGCAGTAACAACAGGTGTCAGCGCGCCGGCAAGCATACTGGATTACCCGAAGACATGCAGTTGAAAAACAACGACAGAAGTCTTTATTGACAGCAAGCTAATAGCTAATTGGATGGGTGACTCAAGAGACGACAGCCATGGAAAAAAGGCTGAACGCTTTTTGTTTTTGAGAGAAAAGCCCTGTTGGAGGGAAAGAAGAAGATGGATGAGCGAGGAAATCGAAGAAAATACCGAAGATTTCGATTACATAATAAGCGAGTCATTCAGCGCTAAGCCTAATTCATCTCAACTAAATGATACCCACGACTTCACTTTACTGATATGGACTAAAGAGGGGTTTGCAAAACATGGAATCGATTTCTCCCTTATATTCTGTCATCCCGGAGGCGAATTACTCGCCGCCATGGCAAAACTTGAGCATCATCGGCATCGCAGGAAGTTCTGGCTCCGGAAAGACCTCGGTGGCCATGGAGATCGTCAAGTCACTTAACCTACCTTGGGTGGTTATCCTTGTCATGGTATGGTTCATGAAGCCTCTGGGGGTCTTAAATCTAACCTACAGCCCTTGTAGGATTCTTTCTACAAGTCTTTGTCATCTGAGGAGCATCGCAAAGCCCATGCAAACAAATATGATTTCGATAGCCCAGAATCTATTGATTTTGATCTTCTTGTGGGAACCCTTCAAGACCTGAAAAAAGGGTAAATCATCTCAATATTGACATATTTATCAATTTTATTTCAATCTGACTCTTTTACGCTAAAAGGAAAACTGCCAATATCCCAGTATACTCATTTGCAGACCATCAGCGACAAGCTCAGACGACCAAAATTTACTCTCCTCGAGTGCTTATTCTGGAGGGAATTCTGGCTTTGCATGATCAACGAATTTTGGATATGCTAGATGTTAAGGTATGAGTTCATTTATTCTATCATGCTCTGCTGCTGATCTTCTACAGATTTTCGTTGATGCCGACATGGATGTCTGTTTGGGCCGTAGAAGTGGGTCCATCATTTGCTTTCAAACCCGTGGAATATTTGAGCTAACCAGGATTATATCAAGTTCTTCGTGATGTCCGTGAAAGAGGACGAGATATTGATGGTATTATCAAGCAGTGGTTTGAATATGTCAAGCCATCCTACACTAGATTTGTGGACCCTCAACGACATATCTCCGGTGAGTTTTGTCATTCTTCGACCTTGCCAGATAAACTTGCAGGGAATCTGATTTTATCTAGATATTATTATCCCTCGTGGAAGAGATAATATAACTGCTATCGGTATGTTCAGAGACATGTATCTGCAAAAGATTCGTCATTGACTCCTTTAGATATGGTGGTCAAGCACATCCAGATTAAGCTTCAAGAAAAGTCAGAGCAACATACTGCAGAGCTCCACAAGCTTGGACTCATTGCAGCAGACATTAAATTGCCGCCCAAGGTACACGTACTGCCTTCTACACCGCAGCTGCTCGGAATGCATACTATTCTACAGAGCCCCGAGACTGAACATGTCGACTTCGTTTTCTACTTCGATCGACTTGCTTCTATTCTCATCGAAAAGTAAAAACTTTGCTCGATTTCTACCTTTCTAGCCTCTTTTACTGACCGACGGATTCCTAGGGCCATGGACATGACATCATACGTTCAAGGAGATGTAGAGACCCCACAAGGAAATCACTACATGGGTCTCAAACCAGAGGGTATTGTTTCGGCAGTTGCCATCCTACGAGGAGGTTCATGCTTGGAGACTGCTCTGAAACGAACTATTCCCGACTGCATCACGGGTCGGGTCTTGATTCAAACAAACGAGAATAACGAAGAACCAGAACTTCACTATTTGAAATTGCCACCCAAGATTGAGGAGCACTCCTCCGTATTGCTCCTTGATCCCCAGATGTCCAGTGGAGGCGCTGCACTGATGGCTGTCCGTGTCTTGGTTGATCATGGAGTCGACGAACGCAATATTGTCTTCGTAGCATGTGCAGCGGGAGAACTGGGCCTGAAGAGGTTGGCTGCGGTGTTCCCCAATATCACGGTTATTGTTGGTCGAATTGGCGAGGAGGGCGAGCCACGATGGATGGAAAAGCGCTACTTTGGCTGCTAATTATCATTTAGTTTAAGACTTTGTCAAATGAATAGCACATATGTTCTATACTGTATCACATGGATGACTGGACACTGTATAAATCATAGTACAGTAATATTTCCATTTTGAGATATGTGGACTCGCATGTTGACCGCCCTAAAACCCCGGCAGAAAAAAAGGAAATTTGTCCGAGATGGAAGGCAATCGTTTCGCAAATTTGCGATCAAGTCACTTTCTCATTTTTGAGTTTTAAATTTTTTTTGTAATCTCTGTAAACTGCAAATCAGCAGGTGGAGACTACAATGGCAGGTCAGGATAAGAAAAAATCCAAGAAGACCGGCTCCAAGGGAGAAGCCGGTCAAGTTATTAGTATGTGAAGCTACTTTTAAAAGAAAGCAAAGTTGGAAGAGTATGTCAAACTAATGTCACGAACTGTACAGCCGATCCTCGATTTGCCAGCATTCAAAGTGACCCTCGTTATCGCCTCCCTAGCAAGCGACAGACTCATGTCAAACTCGATAAGCGCTTCCAGCATATGCTAGATGACAAGGATTTCTCTCGCAATGCCGCCGTAGACCGATACGGACGCAAACTTGCGCACGACGATACAAAGAAGGAATTGAAAAAGTTCTATCGCCTAGAGGAAGAGGAAGAAGAAGAGGAAGTTGAGAATTCCAGTGATGACGACGACAAGGAAGTTCAGAAGAAATCGAAACGAGTCAACGAGCGTGCGTATGATCCTGCTCGCAATGGCGGATTCTCAGACTCCTCGTCTGAAGACGAAAGCTCTAGCGATGAGGAGGAAGAAGAGGTCGAAGCAGAGGTTGACGAAGTCGAATTTCCCGATCAGCAACCGGGCAATATACCTCTCGGTGAGGTCACAGATCGGATAGCAGTCGTGAACTTGGACTGGGACAACATTCGTGCAGAGGACTTGATGGCAGTCTTTTCAAGCTTCTTGCAAACTGGAAGCCGCGTCTTGAAAGTTGCCGTCTATCCCAGTGAATTCGGAAAAGAAAGAATGGAGAGGGAAGAGATTGAAGGTCCCCCAAGGGCAATCTTTGCATCTAAAAAGGAGGAAGACGAAAGCGAAGAGGAGGAGGAGCTTGACTCTGATGAGGAGGAGGAGGAAATCAAGAAATCCATGCTGAAGACGGACGATGGAGAGGAGTTCAACTCTACACAGCTACGGCGATACCAGTTGGAACGGCTACGCTATTACTATGCTGTTCTCACCTTCTCATCTAAAGATGCCGCCAAGCATGTCTATGATCTTGTGGATGGTGCGGAATATTTATCTAGCGCCAACTTCTTCGATCTTCGGTTCGTTCCCGAGGATACAGACTTCGATGACGACAAGCCCAGGGATACCTGCTCTCGAATTCCTGACACTTACAAGCCAAACGAGTTTGTGACCGATGCCCTGCAACACAGCAAAGTCAAGTTGACATGGGATGCAGAGGATAAGTCACGAAAGGAGGCGCAAGCACGCGCATTCCGGGGCTCGCGAAAGGACATTGATGAAAATGACTTGAAGGCATATCTTGGAAGTGATAGTTCCGACAGTGAGGAGGATGAGGAAGATGGCGGTGTGGAAGTAGTCGACAACACCACCAGTGAAACCACAAGCACCAAAGTGTCTAAGCGGGAACTTGAGCGGCAACGCATGCGATCTTTACTGGGTCTGAGCACCGAACCTACTCGCTCTTCCAAGCCGGCCGGCCCTGTTGGAGAAATGGAGGTTACCTTTACATCAGGTCTTGCTGGTGGTCATGGCAAGGATACCATCTTCGAGAATGAACCCGAAATCGAGGAGACTCAAATCGAGAAATACGTGCGAAAGGAACGCGAGCGCAAAAAGAGGCGAAAGGAGAGAATGAAGGCTGCCAAACGAGGTGAACTACCCGCTGGAGATGCCAAGAATAGCGGTGAAAAGGAGCTGGTCGAGAGCGAGGCGCCTCAAGAAGTCACTGAGGATTTGGGCTTTGACGACCCATTCTTTACAGACCCTACTGGCAAGACCACCGCTATTGCCCAGAGGAAGGAGGAGAAGCGCAAGAAGAGGGCCGAGCGTGAAGCTGAAGAGGCTGCTTCAGCCGCTCAGAGAGCAGAACTTGAACTTTTGATGGTTGATGACAAGAAGTCTGAGATCAAACACTTCGATATGAACGAGATCGAGAAGGCCGAGAAGCAAGCACGCAAGAAAGGAAAGGGTAAAGCCAAGGGCAAGAACAAAGAGCCTCTCGCTACGGATGACTTCAATGTGGATGTCAGTGACCCTCGTTTCTCGCGACTTTACGATAGCCATGAATTTGCTATCGATCCGACCAATCCCCGGTATAAAGCGACGAGCGGCATGAAGGCCTTACTAGACGAGGGCCGTAAGCGCCGACGTACCCGAGATGATGGTGAGACTGAACCAATCCCAGACAAACTGGATCGCAAAAAGAAACAGAAGAATACCTCTAAGGAGGGAATTTCGGATGATCTGCAGAAGCTGGTGGCCAAGGTCAAACGCCAGTCAAAAGCGTAGATGGTCTATTGTTCTGTCTGAAAATATATCGTTAGTAACTACGAGTACCAAATCACATGAGATTCCATTATCTATTATTTCGATGTCGATGCCGATCTGCAGATTACCTAGCTAGCTTATTGGACAGCAACAAAAGTACATACATGTGTAGGAGTACAATAAGAGACGTGGTGTCACTTTCCAAGATTGAGGCTGAGATCATGTGGTATGGAATGAGAGTCGTCTTCACCGCCTCTTCTACTGAAGGTTTCCTTTACCACCCCCCACTACCCACTTCAAAAATTGGCTTCTTCGAGACTTTGTTTGAATCGCCAAAAAAAGGAATCTTATTTTGTCTTCTCTCACTTCTTGATCTCTATTCAATTGCAATCTCTTATATTCAATTCCCGTGACCTCCCAGAGCCCCACTATCCTGCAGGTCATCTTATCCCGCTTTCTTCCATTCTCCCCTCCACCTCGTCTCTTACATCAGTGCTTATTCTCTCTTGGTAATGGTTGCTACCCAGTGGAATTAAGCAATGGGTACATACAGTCTAGTCCTACCTAGCTGTCTGTTACCCAGAGTTACGCCGCGCTTCTCTTCTGAACCGTTATCGTTTTCCTGTACTTTATCCGCGGGTTTCCCCGAGAATCTTCACCATGTTGGGCCGACTTCTCAGCACCGCAGCATCGAGCCTCAATCCATCTGCTTACTCTTCCCGAAATAATGGTACTCCTCTCGAATCAGTGACCGAGGAAGAACACACATCCGGTCTTCTCTTCCCTGATGTCAACCTTCTTCGTCGCTCCAATATCCATGCACACCCATTGCAGGCATCATTCAACTCCCCAAATGCTTCCAATGCCGGCGGATACGATGATCGTGGAGGAATGGAATTGGATCCTGTCAAGGATTTCCGAGTGATAGTGGCTCAGAATGCATTGGGAGACCGTGACGCATGTGTCTTGCTTGACACACGTGCTACACCTGAACCATCTCCTACCGGCCTTGGGATTGATTCACAGGGCCTTGATCCGTTTGGAGCCAGACATGCACGTACGATTTCTAGTATCTCCCGAGGCCCTCGTCGAAATCTAAACTCCATCCAATCATCCATCAACGAACCTAGCCCTCTCTCATCAGCTGCAGACGCGCGCAGATCATCTCCTGCAAGCCCCGGTGCATTTTCGCGGGCTCGTGGCCGCAGCTCCACATTGGCACCCGCCGGAGTATTGCATGAACCTGGTTACCGTCATTCAACCGATTCTAATGATACGGGCCTTCTCAATTGTATTTTTGGCAGCAGTGCTTTCAGCTACCGCGGGTCATCGACAAAGATGCATATAATTTCTGCCGATCAAGATCCTGGAACAGCGCCCACTTCATCTCCCGCTGCACGAAGTCCTCTTGCTCGTGCCTACACAACTGGTAGTCCCTCGGGTCCGACCCGAGTTTCCGATAGTAGACCCCCTGCCAAGGTGACCGTGCTCGTGACTCGCATGTTCAGTGTCAACCTCCCAGAAGGCTCCGAGGCCTCTGCCGACCGCCATGATTATGCGAGTGCTCTCTATCAAGAGTCTCTCCCTGAATTGGGCTTCCCATTTCCAGATGTGTCGAAAGGGAAGAAGATCAAAGAGAAGAAAACACCTATGTATGCGGTGGCAATTACCATCCAGATTCCTCTACTTGCGCGCAACACCAGTCGACCCGTCTCGCGGTTCAGTACCCTCAGCCCTGATTCTCCTCGGACGGGATTGTCTAGTTCGTTGGATTCGGACTATCGTTGGCCTGGTTCTCACTTGGAGGATAGTCTATCTGCTGCGTCCCCTCCCGCAAGCCTGGATGAGCGATTAGACCTTCTGGTCGATCACTGGGATGTGATCACTCGCACTTTGTCTCATTTAGAGACACTAGCTCGGAACGAAATCCTTTTCTTGCTGCGGAAAGTGGACTCTTTGTCCGGGCCACACCCGAAGCCAGCTAAGCCCCCTAACATGCAACGAACGAATCAAACCATCGTGCATCTCCCAGCCAACATCTTAGCGGTCAACTCGAAGCTTAAGGAAGAAGCTTTCCGCAGTACCCGCAGAATTAGCCTCGCTCTTCAGACCCCGTATGTTGTCACAGGTCAGAATCGTTGGGGCGTGTGGCGTGAAGAGGGCCGCTCCATTGTTCGCGGACTTGGCGACAAGGAGCAAAACTTCTTCTTTCTAGTTTTATTGACTGCATTTCTGGGAAACCATACCGAGTGGCTGAATTCTTTAGGCCCAGATTGGTACCGCCGCCGTCACACTCAGCAGACAAAATCTCAACAGGACACAGATCCGATGCTTACCCATCGCACCGTCATAATTTGTCCCAACAAGATGACTGCCCGACGATTGGTTTTTTTACTCTCTGCTTTCATTCCATCTAAACAGCGATTGGACCCGCTGCCTTCGCCGCTCAGACCTGGCACATCAGCATCTATGCGCGCTATCTCTCAAAGTCCTCCAGGAGTACCATTACTTCGGCAGGAGTCTCTTCGCAGAGCAATTGAGCGCCGTGCTCGTGTACAGCGATTAAATCTTGGCGATGAACAACGTCATCGCTCAGTGAGTGTTTCGTCGCAAGATACAACTCAGCGGTCGTCTGATGGGATCGACCTTTTGCCACCAACGGATTTTGCCTGGACACGTAGAGCATCCGATGCTCGTTCGATCAAAACTTTGAGTACGGTTAAGGACAACAGGGCCAAGGCTACTACTACCACTACCACCACTACTAGTGGAGCCACAACATCGGTGATTACACAGAGCAGCACTGTCCCTGTTCCTCATTTCACATCACAGACGAGCCGTACAAGCCAGACGGAGTTTGACCGCAGCGACTCAAATGGTAACGAAAGCCGGGCATCTGAAAACCTGCTAAAAAGCCTACAAAGAAGCGACAGCTCAGCTTCAGCAATGGTTACCCATGGCGGTATGACAGCTGCTGGCGGCCGCTGGGGTGGCTTGTTCTCTGGGCTATGGAGCTCAGGAAGGGAGCCAACTTTTGACAGAAACGAGGAGTACTATCCAACTTCAGATGCACGGAAGAGGTCAATCGCCACTATCGCAGGTCCAACTGCTCGTGGCCCGACCACTTTGAGTCAGATGGTCGCAGATGTTAAAGAACACGAAGCAGAGCATCGCCCCGATACTGCACCCAGTGGAAATATCTTGATTCCAGCTGCCACGGCAGGATCACCGCACAACTGTGAGGACAATTCACCCGAGCCTTCGTCATTGACAAGTCAAGTCCGTGACCAACCTTTGAGAATGTCTGTTCGAGCAGAGGACGGCGTCATCGATGTTGATCTTCCCCTACCCGGATTTTTGTCTCTTTCTTCTTCGGGCGATTCGACAATTGCGTCACCCCGAAAGACCCGAACCTCAGTCACTAGCATGGATGCTATGACATCGTACAGCAGTGGATCTGGATTCCATGGTACTGTAAAAGAAACTGATGGCCCTAGCACTCATGTTGCTGGCTGGCTCAAGATTTTCCACGAGGATTTCTCATTGCAGGCAGTACGTCCGTACGCCTCGGTTGAAGCCGACATCAGAAGGGCCATGCGGGCCGAGCCAACACCCTACAGTGTCTCAACCCCAGATGCGGAAGGAACAGAGAGGTGGGTAGATGTTGCTACCACGTTAATCGCAGACACCCGTACATCATCTGTGAAGCGTCTCCGTCTGAGACGCAAGATCATTGTGGGCCGACACAACGGAACGCTCAACAGCCCCATTTCACCGACTCCTGGTATTCTCGACAATGGCCGGGGCTCTGTTGGCACCTCTGCATCTTCACAGTTTACGAGCTTCTTTTCCGGACAGAGCAAGACTCCTGATGTCCCTATTTTGGATGGACAAGATCCAAACTATGTGGAAGAGCGATTTACCGAAGAGCCTGTAATGGATCTCGACACTATTCTAGTAGATGCAGTCGAACGTGTCCTCGGAAGTAGCGGCTATTCCTCCCTTGCCCATTCAAGAGCACCATCTCCCAATCGCACGCGTCGAGGAGAGGACAAGGGCCAAACTGCCCTTCGTGCAGAAGAACCTATCCCAGTGGAAGTTCCTCGAACAGAGTGTCGCAAGATAGTACTTGGTGCTTTGGAAGAAGTTGTCCGTGTTGTCACTGCCGAGCACTATCGTGAGGATGTGGATAGTGAGCTTGGTATCGCTGATCGAGAGCGAAGAAGAGCGCTCGCAGGGGCGGATAACACCCTGCGCGAAGGAATTCGCAAATGGCTTCTCGATGTCGAAGAATCTTGGTAATCGCTTCATCAAGCCGCTTTTCTCTTGGTCTTCTATTTCTACCCAAGATCACGTCCCTTTCCCCCAATATTTTTGTTCCCTATCCCATACATACCCCATATCCTCCTATTCTACTTTGCGAAACCTCTGGAGTTAGTAACTTGAGACCTCTTCATTTCGACAACTTGCATTTTACTTACAGCCTTACCTATTTTGACTATGATACCCATTCTTTGACACGGCCTTTATGTCTCTCGAACGCACGCCGTCGCAGAAGTAAATAGACTTACTCATTTAATTGACTTTACAAGCTTCTCTTCATATTATTGTTCTTTATTTTTTCTTCTGGGAAAAATATATCGTATTAATCCCTCGACTAGTTATGCTGTTAATTATTCAAAGCTATGGCGTACAGGGTATTCGTAACAAAAAGAAAGGGGTTTTTAGTTATATCAGCCAAACAAGGAATCGCCTTTTGTGATTAGGTTCTTCTCCATCTCAGATAAGAGGGCGAAGGCTACCACTCCGTGGACTTTGCCCATTACCATTACTAGTAGCCTCTCCTCTCCCTCTAGCCCTCGAAACCTCAGGCGATCTCATCCCGTCACGAGTCTCATGAGTTATGCGCGATGGTAAGCCAGGCGGAGGTGAGATATGATGACTGACAACACTAGCCGGAAGTTCCAGAGACGGAATGGAGTTATCCATGAGACTGGAGGTGAAAGCCTCGACCTTAGTGGACACAGGCCGAGTATGAGACTCGCTATAGAACTGCAACAGCTGCGCTTCATCATTACAGAATTCCTGTAGAGAGCCCAGGAGGTGTTCGGGGGCGCGGTAGAGGTTTGCTAAATCGATATTTGAGGTTCCGGGCGTCAGCATTGGACTTGCAACGTCGTGTGGGCGGACGAGCGGGGAAAGGCGTGGTGAACGATCTATTGGGTCGTAGGAAGTTGTTGCGCGGCCGCGGTAGTCGGTGCGGGAGTGGTGTTCGTAGCGGCCTGATTCGCGACTTGCTGTGCTGCGGGTGCTGATGAGGCGGTTTGCGAGGAGGAGGAAGTGACCTTCGTCTGTGATTTGAGCGAGAAGACTGCCTGATCGGTGGATGAACTGGGAGTATTTGTACTCGGGCCTGCCCCAGGAAAAGGTGACTTCGACATCTGGCGGGAAGCTGGAGGATGCTTCGAAGTCTAGCACGAAGTCGAATTTGCGGAGAATGCACTTTTGGTAGTATAGTTTATCTGGGGGGCCTGCCTGTGCAAACGATGCGATGTTGAAGACTGGGTTTACTGGACCCTTGGGGGGTGGGACCTTTAGCTTTATCCTGTACGGTTGTCGGAAAGGTTGGGTCTTATCAATTGCACAGGCCTCGGCGATTGGCACTTGTACTAGCTTGAGACCAAATTTCTCTGCGGTTGACGCCCATGAATGCACAGTATCTTCAATCAGCTTCGGGGTCGTGCTCATCCAGCTGAGCTCGATGTGGAAACAGTTCTCTGGGTTGTGCAGCCGGTCAAAATGGAGGTCGACCACCTCGGGCCGGTTCGATCGCTTGCGACTGTCCACGTCATACTTCAAAGTTTTTGACAGCATGATAGCGACTTTGTTCTTGGCCTTGGACGGCGTTGTCGGTGTTGGGGGCTCTTCAGCGCTATCAGAACGAGTGTGGAAACTCGACGGAGAATCCTTTGTATACCCGATGGCAGGCGTCGAGGGCATTGACTTGTCCCCTCGAAGTTGAGGGAACCAGCTGCCTCGAGACTCTGGGCGTGTGACACGGTGGTTGGCGCAAATCTGGTAGAAGTAATTTCCATCTCGAAAATTGTGTCTTTTCTCCACATGCTGGAACAAACCATGTTTCATGAGTTCGTTGCCAAACCAGACGGCCTCTTCTCGAGTGTCGATGTCCTTGAAATTTTGTAGCAGCCACGTGGTGAATTCAATCCCAATGAAACAGTTGTAGTGTAGTCTCCAATGCCATCGTCGATCCATCATCCGAACACCTTTCTCGCCTTGGATCATCTGAGCCAGTGCTGATAAGACGACGCTCGATCTCTCAAGCAGTTCCGATTCAGGCAGTAGCTGGGCTGGCGGATTATCCAACCCTGGGTCCGTGAGAAGAACCCGGTCAAGTTCTGCAGCAACGACTTCAGAAGGATTACGGGTTTGGTATACGATATTGAGCGGATTGAGATCTCTCTTCCTGGACGTCGACTCAAATTGAGGTTTTTCTTCGGGTGCGACATACTTGTTCCGTTGCCAAATATGAGTAAGCTGGCTGATTCCGAGGATGTGGATTTCTTCCTCGTTATCATCGTTGATAGATTGTAAGTGACGTCGCGAGGCAGTATTAAGTTGCATCGGAATCAACACGTAGCGGACCCGCCAGAAATGCAGTTGTTGTGCCGGGTTATGGAGATACTCGCGGTGACCGGCGACATAATTATCGGCATAGTTCCAGTTATACTCCTCAGATGTGGGGTCTAGCTTGATGTCTTTGAGTACGTATTCAGTTCGTAAGATGGTTTTCATAGCTGGCTGGTAACGAGTGAAGATGAGACGCTCAGGAGACGCAAGGGCTGAAGATTTGTGATGTGTGAATCGGGTGACCTCGATTTCCCCACCATTAATACAAATGAGACGATGGATGGAGTTGCCCCTGGAGAGGAAGACTATAGCTCCATCCCGTTCCAGGCCCCGGCTGTCAAAGACATTAACTGTCGCAAGAGACGGCTGGCCTGTGACATCGGCTACGCTTTTTCCAACAATAATTTGGAAACCATGGGACAAGCGAAGTGAAATCATTTCGCGAAGGAGAATCCCACGGGTTTTGGGCGCTTCAAACCCGTCCGCATCGTCATTGGGGAAAACGCGGTAAGGTGTTTGGAGATAATCCGAAGCAAGTTCGCTAGCGGTTGGAAGTTCCTCCGTGGTTAAGGGCAGCACGGCGGGTGATTTTAAACTCTTCCACTTGACCACGGCGACATGTGGCGGTCGAGGATATGCGTGCTGCCAACGGCCAAACCAGCTCGTATTCCGCATGACATCCTTGGGAGTATTACATGGATTGACAGATCGAACCCAGGGTGCTAGCTTGCTCGGTTTGGTCTTCATATGATCCTCGCGCGAGCTGTGATTGACCGTAATCTCAATATTGTCCATTTTACGGGATCGAGGCCGATGGAGACCTTCGTCGTTGAAGGGAATATCTGCCGCTAACGTTGACAGCGACCCTTGATGATCCCCTTGACCCTCCGGTTGCTCTGTATTCTCTGGAGACTTTTTAACGGGGGCCTTGATTGATATTGGCTTCGATGGTGTCAGCCGGGTATCCAAGTGGGGCTTTGGCGGAGTAGACGGCCTCGATGAAAGTTCCCCAATAGTCGTCGTTGCCGTGCTGTCCGACGGACTCAAAGATACAATGCTTTTGGTGTCGGAGAATGCACCACTAGACCTCTGATGGGACATCGGCAATGCACTGGCATTGTTCACTTGGATACCGGTGCTGGCTTGAGCTCTGGGAGGAGTAGCACTCAAGCCCCGGAGAGCGAAGCTGATATTGCGCAAAGCTCTCGAGGCCTGCGATTTGGGTTTCAGGGCTGATTTGATAGACGACTGGGAGGATTTTGGGCTTATGAGGGTAGCCGTAGACCGATCGAGTTTGCGGGGACCAGGCCACGCAGGGTGGTTGCTTTCTGACCCAATCTGTTCCTGTTGACGCAGACGGTTGATTGAGCGTGCTGACATTCTCTCATGAGCAGCAGCAGGTTGAATTTCGGATTCGCTGATTCGTTTACTTTTAGGTCTGTGGGGCGACTGGCGTCTTTTAGATTTCACGGTGAAGGCATTTTCATCATACTGATCCATCGCAGCTAGCACTGCTTTTCGTGATTTCTGCACGCCATGATTCTGGAACTGACTCTGGAATTCGTTCTCGTCGGCAACACTTTCCAAATATGACTCCGGCCGAAGACTGTCGCTGTACTGTGCTTTTAGAGTTGGAGGAACAAATCGAGTCCGCGGTGGACCACGAGGGGTTGAACTAGACCCGGCCCAAGCGGCACGAGCTCTCAGCATGTCACGTCCTTCAAGGAGGTAGGGAATGGAGATATTTGACTGCTCGCTCTCCATGACACCCATCATTTGAATCTCATACATACGAACCCGCGGAGTAAAGGCTTTTGACGGTCGAGTGACAGTGAGCGGGATCGGTGCATTCAGGTCATTTTTTAATATGCGACGAGCTTCTCGATACGTCTCAGGGTTCCAGTACGAAATATCGAGCCAGTGGGGAATGCCGTAATTCCAATCTTTGGGTTGTGCACGTCCTCGCTCCCGCATCCTTGATGCAGATAGGTATGAGCCCGGGGATAAGAAGGAAGATTTACTAACAAGGCTGGACATGGAGTGATTTACCTCAGGCGACAGCCCAGGGACACCTGGTACCTCCGCTATGGGCGGTTGGCTTGGTTCAACGGGTTCTCGATATTTGAAAAGAGGTACCGAGTGAAGAGGCATAGGACTCAGACAGACGATGTCAATGGCGATTCCGCGATTTGTCAGGGCTTCTGTCGTTGATGCTAAGGCTTCATATGATACTTCAAAAACACCACTGCCTGGTGTGATGACGATGATTGAAGTACCTGTATGGGCCATGTCTCGATCAATGTGATCATACGCCAGGTGTGACGAGGCAAGGTGAATCGCTTCTAGAATATTGCCACGCAGGGCGGTGCTGGGACGACCAGCAATAGTCGCGAATTGTTTCTTAGAACTCTTGAAACCAACACCCGGCGCAGTATCGAGGTCATCTGTTTTCAAGATTGAAACATCTCTCAAAAAGCATCGGAAGGACTTCTTCAAATCATCCAAAATGGTGGTCCAATGGCCACTGGCCATGTCGTTCACCACAACACGGTAAAAATCCCGAGTAGGCGGTTGATTTGGGCCTGAGGCACCCGGCGGGTTGCCAGCGTTGAGTTTGGACGGATTTGGAAGAGAAGAAGGATCATATTCAACTCGCGTGAAGAGTACAATGGTGACCAGATGCCTGGAATCAGAATTGGCCCATCTCTTAAACAGTTCTGGCAAGAAGCTGTTAATCACCCGACTGAAGAGAATGTCTCCCGACCCTTCTGAGTCAAAGTCCCACATTTCCCTTGACATCTGAATGAATAGAACGAACTTGGCAGACTCGCTGCGGAAGACGGGAATAGTGCTTGGTGAGAAATAGCCCGACAGGACTTTCTTCTCTCGAATAAAAATATTCTTGACGGTTGCCTTGATGCTTCCCATAAACATGATCTTTTGTCCCTTGTAAATAATTTTATTGACAAGTTCAGACATCACTAGCCTCCACATATCAGACCGGACTATGAACTGATCGCGGAAGGCAATATCAACATGAGAGGCAGAACATTGGTCCCGATCAACCATGGAGAGCAAGACCTGAGTTCTGTTCTTGAAACCAAAAATACTAGCGACACTGTTTGTCACAGATATCTCCAACTTGGGATGGCGGGCTTTGATATCCGGAGGCAATGGCTTCACCACAAACAAACAGCGGCTTTGCATTGGTGTCTTGAATTTAGATGTGGTATCCGAGGAAGATGTCTCTGGATGACTCTCTCGAACTATTTTAATTGCGGAGTCTGGCTTCAAGGTAGAGTGAACGGTATCAAGGGGACGAACGGGTAGAATTTCCACGATGTCCCCAGCTTTGATACCAGTCTCACCGAGCACCGATTGATTGAGAAGAATTTCCTCGCGAGAAAACATTTCATCGTGAACCCATAGTATACATTGGCGCTTAACTAAGCTGGCAGACATTCGAACGGTATGGTCGTCGGGCGTGGGTCCATGATCGCGATGTGATGGCTCCAGCGAATGAGCTATCGGGGACCGGGTTTCCAAGCTGGCAGCACTGACTTGCCTCAGGTGCGAACGCCGCATGGGCCCGCGCAGAGACATATTTCAATCACTCTAGCATTGAGTGGAATGAAATGAACTAGGAGCTTCGAATTGTTCAGAATGATAAATTGTTTTGGGGGAAGCGATAAGGAGATTATCAAAGCACAGCTGGCGCCTGAGGCAGAACATTGAATATATCCCTTATGAATTTATTATCCTTCATCAGAGTAGTTACGTCAAATTAAAGACTAACATAGCCAGGTGTTGTTTTGATATTCAATACGTGCTAAATAAAGTAGAAATTTTGCTATTTTTCAAATCACGTTTACAGTGCCAGGTATAAACGGGCTTCATCATGATGATGATGATGATGATGACAATGATTATCATCAACCAAGGAATACTATTTCACTACACGATTCATCTCGATTTAATCATCTCTAGTAATGAAAATGATGCAGGAAAGCAGAAAAGGTGAAAAGATTTCATCTCATAACGAATCAAGCTTGAACTTCAGGTACGTGATTACCTTGTAGTGCTTAAATATCCATGTACTAGGCCTTTAAATTCAACTAGAGAGATACAGAGACTAGTAGTTGGAGCACATTTTATCATGTACTAGGCCTTTAAATTCAACCAGAGAGACTAGTCGTTTGAACACAGTTCATCAACACCCTAGCCATGGTCCATTTGAGTTAGAGTATCATTTTCGCCACTATTAAGTGTTTGGAAGATGAATTCTAGCATAAGCACATCAGCCACGAGTCCCACCTCATTGCATCTGTCATTCTCACCTTTGCTTAGAATTCCAATACTGTGAGTTGTTTGATTCCATAGAACGGGAGACTGCATGATGAAATGGACTTTTGTTTTCTCAATCGGTGCGCGACTGCCTTGTCCCAGAATCTTCTTTCTCCCATGGATGATGGCTGTCTTGCCCAAGTAAATACGAGTTGTTCCGACAAGGAGAGGAATGGAGTGGCACGGAGTATGCGGGTTTAACCTTGGAACATTTGAGGGCTTCGTTCTCACTGGTAAATTCGTCCGGATACATTTTCCGGACGGGAGCAACACACTTTCCTGCTCATCTAATTCCTTTTCCTTTGCCATACAATCCTGCACCGGTGTGAAAAGGTCATGGGCTTTATAAGGACCTGATATTTGGGCCTTTGAACATCTCTAACACTAGATTTCTCATCACCAAAGAAAACGGTGTTTTTTCGGTCGCTTCAGATACGCCAATCCCTGCTCACAGGCAGTCTGGAATTGCGCTGGTTCGGTAGATGTCGGTGGGTGAGATGGGTGAATGATTCTCATTTGGAATCTACATTCAAATCTTCTGCTGTCCTGCTTTGCTGGCTTCTTCGAGACATGACGGATTTGAAAGTTTAGCGATGAGGCTCAATCACAGGCTAGGTTGATCAGAGGTGGATAATGTTAGATGGAGTGTAAACAGCCAAGTGCCCATCGATCTGATGCTAATCTCAGTCGTTCAGTGCTACCCCGAATGACATCCGATTTCCCGGCTAATTCATTGAGAACTCCAACCTTGAGAAAGAGGTAACCCATTCGATTTCGGTTCAGACAGCTTTCCCCCGTTCCGAACTATCCAACCAACCAGTGGAACAAGAATAGCAGGACAGTTCCCAACTTCTAAAACCATGTGCGGTTCCACTGCATCCTCAAACCAACAAGAAGCAACAATGGGAGAACCTCCCGAAAATAGCGATGCCTTTACAGGCTAAGATCCGGTTCTGGGTTAATGACTTTTCACCTGAGCTTTATTCTCTTGCACCCACAGAGGATTTTGTGATGTCCGTCTGGGGCAGATCCCCATCCCTGCATCGTGCCTCTACCCCATGGGTGACCATGAGCTCATCGAATCTTCATGGCTCATTTTATCGGGCTGACACCTTCTCACCTTCTCACCAAACTGCGTCGGCCATTTCTCGATCTCCCGTATCATGGCATGGTTGCAGCGAGTCTATGGCGGAATCGTCACCCTGATGGCCATAAAAGCATCCTTCCATATTACGGCAGGAGCCTCATTTCGACACAGGCGAGAGAGAATGAATATTGCACTTTCCAACAATGCATCTCCCGACGATATCATATTATTCCACCAAGAGGACTTGTATATCAATACAGGTCATCAGGTTGTTAAATCCGTCTGCTTGATATGGCACAACGTGAGCGGCGGCGACCAGGCAGGAGAGACCCCTTCTAAACACAGTTTCAAATTGAGAATGGGGACTGGAATAAAGAAAAACAAATTCGGATTTATTGTCCAAATCCAGCTTCCACTGAACACTTGTGTGATGGTTGGTCGAAATTTGCCGTTTCTGTGGTATCCTGTGAACCCGAAAGTACCACAGCAACCTTTAAACTTTGGTGCCCCGAATACCTTCATGATATGTGTGTACTATGAAGTGGATACAGTTTGATCCATTCCACGCTCTAGGGTCGGTTCGACTTGGTGCTTCGGTCCGTCGGTGTCTTCGGTGCTACCATACATGGCTCGGTCACGATTCGTGGAGGCTTTCGAGGCGATGAAGAAACGATCTTTATCTTGTTAGCCAGGTCTAAGTTACTTCAGCATGTTTTGTTGCCACTCACAACTCGCACAGAGTGTGTAAACCCGCCGGAGTGTGTTCACGGCAACTCCTTCAGCGTTGACCACCTTTGGTCTACTCTGTCCACTTTTCCCATTCTAGATATCACGGCTCTCGCAAATGTGATATCATTAGATAACCCAAAGCACTTCTTCTGCCTTGTTAACTTGTCACGATCTTCCAAGGTTGGGATACCTTGAGTCTCGCGCAAGAAGTCTCAATCCACGAGGACGACCAGGTTACCAAGTGCAAGTACAGGGATTCATTGTGCCAACCTTGATAGCTAGACTCACAACTCCATATCCCACATCATGCAACCAAAAGGCTAGGTCCTGGTTCGAACCCTTCTTTTCCCTCGAGATCTCGTGGTAGGCCGTGGCTCTTCGGGCGGATCGTCTGAGGCTGGACGGCGAGCGTGGGGATAAAACGCATCCCAATTGAAACTTAAACTATTCGAGTCATCTTGTTCTGATCTATTCATTAATGAGTGACTATCCATGGAAATACACAACTTTTCATGATCTCTTCGACGGTTGAAAAGCAAAGGGAGATGGTTGTTTGTGGTTTGCGGACCTACCTATCAAGTTCCAGGCTCTTCGTTGATCAGACACTATGGTATACTAATCCACTACCGTCAAGCATACTGATCATTGAAAGGGCTGAAAGGTCTATAGCTCACTTGAGAAATGGGTTTGCAAATCTGAATCAATGATGCACATAAAGCCAGGCTATCAGATTTGTGCTAATACCAGAAGAGGTGGCACGGGCTGCAAGCTTGATAACGGGCTAGACACCAAAGCCATACCAAGTTCTGCTCTCACATTAAGTAAAAAAGAGCCATGGTAAGGTAAAGAAAGACATCCAAGACCTCAAGCGTCTCTTGGTTAGCTTTTGCCTCATACTTCATCCTCATTTCATCTCCAAAAAGCAGGATCAGATGTGCTATTATCTACAGGGAAAGCCCACAACATCCAAAAGTTGCAAATGCACGTCGTCACGGAACTTGATCAATTAGGAGTCAAATCAAAGTCAACAAGAAAATGAAATAGACTATTGAAAGCGGGATTACTAAAGATTGAGAATAGTGGCAAACCCACACGGTTATCGCATCCGGCATACCAGATCACTGCAATTTAAGTCCAATATTGTGAGATATTTGGTAGACGGCACACACATTCCCCCAAATAAGTTATCCCCTGACATTATTTTCTGCACGCTTCGTGGACATGAATGGCACTAAAATCTCTCCCCCCCCCTCTCTCTTGAATCCCAATTTATACCATTCTACCAAATAAAAATCTATGCCACGGACTTTACCACGAGTATATCAATATTCTGGAAGATGAATATTTATTCTCTGATTCCTTCATTCCCATTTTTCCATTTTCCCGATGAATCCAAACCCGAATCCGAATCTGAGTCCGACTTCCATGGGTTTTCCCAACGTTGAAGCTATCCCAGGCAACACAGGCGGTCTGGTCGATCGGCCTCATAATAAAGTGGCGATACCCCGTCCTACTAACCCCATTACCTGGACTAGCAGTGGCCGCGTCAGTCGGGCTTGTGAGAATTGTCGAGATCAAAAGGCCAAGTGTAGTGGCCATCGTCCGGCCTGTCATCGGTGTAAGGATGCGGGCATTCGTTGTTCCTACGGCGATCGAAAGAGAGAAAAGATGCTCAAGTATGAATTATTCGGACAGAAAAGTCTCGGTTTCTGATATATTATCTTTGAAATAGGGATCTTAGTGATCTCACGATCGAGGTTCAAGCCATGAGGAAAGTGCTACGTGAGCTGTATCCGAGATTGGATGATTCGTTGGCTCAATACGTTGATCAGGCTCTCGGCAGTGAATTAGTCAGGGTAATGCATCACTCTCTCTTTCTCTCTTTCTCTCTTTCTCTCTCCATCTCTCCATCTACAAACAAAACTACTTTTCATATTTAATATTTTCATCTCAATCCTTACTTATGCTTTCTAGCCTACGACCTCCTCAATCTCCCGTTTAGTCACCAATGATGATCCGAATCATGGGGCTGTCGACCACACCGAAGAAGATTTCAACCGCGATGAGAAAGTCCAAGCATTGGGGTTTGTGGGCGATCATTCAGAGATGGTATGGCTATACAGACTTAAACGTTTTCTTGACCAGGATAGCTTGACTTTACTCGGAGAAACAGCCAATCGTTCCATCTCGTCCCTGAATTACTTCCAGGACGATACCGAGTTCCCGAGCTTGGAAAACGTTGACATACTAGGGCGACCCTCTCAACAACTTGCTAAGAAATTAGTCGACGATTTCCTCGAAGCCGTACACCCTGTCTTCCCAATCATTCGGAAATCCTTCTTCCAGGCACAATGTCGGTCGTTTTACTCCAACGAGAATGTTCGCCCAAGGAGCCGGTGGTTGGCAATCCTGAATCTCGTCTTTGCCATCGCCGCAAAGCATTCCTTTTTAGTTGATGCACAACCTTTAGTAGCCAGGGACGACCATCTGGTATATTTTGCACGAGCGTGGCGGCTAGGTTTCAGTAATGCTGCCTTACTAGGCCATCCTAATCTACAGCAGGTGCAGGTCGAGGGTCTGTTAGCCTTCTATCTCCTTTCCACGGGTCAAATTAATCGGTACGCGTTTAATAACCTTATTTTTCTGACTAGCATTTGCTGATCGATTTCTATAGGTCCTGGCGAATTACCGGCGTTGCGATCCGATCAGCAGTGGCCATGGGCCTGAACCTTCGTAGCGAAAGCGAAAGTGTCTCTCATGTATCCAAGGAAACGCGATATAGAGTGTGGTGGGCGCTTTTCATGCTGGATACTCTGCTATGTGTCATGACTGGTCGCCCTCCTAGCACCGGTGACACCTTCTGCACCACCCCTTTTCCAATTCCCTACAAAGAAGAAGACTTCGAGCATGAAGATGTCGCCCAACTTATCACCGATAATTCCCACCGAACCTCTTTTTTGAAATCCTTGCTTTCTAATGAGAATCCAACCGATACAGCCACTACATCTGGCTCCAGTGATGCCTTCTCCCTAGCTTCTTTATCAGTCCCAGGATCACGGAAAGGAAGCTACAGCCAACAAGGACAATCCATGACCGAGAGCCTAGCTCCTAATATCTCTTTATACTTTCTTTATATGGTGGACTTGTCATCGCTACTACGAGATGTTATCGAGACTTTATACGCTCCTAGGGCCATGATACAATCCTGGGCGGAGATAGAAACAGCGATTTCCAACTTCATCAAGATTACAGACAGCTGGCTCTCCCGACTCCCCGCAGAGTTTGACTTCACAAAGCTAGACACAGACATACATGATCAGCAATTTGCCCGCCAACGAACCAGCCTTGCCCTCCGCTTCTACAGCACCAGGCTCGTCATCACACAACCATGTCTCCGCCGCCTGGCATACCCATCGGTAGGCGTCGTATCCTCAGAGGCAGGTCCATTATGCGATGCGATGGCCACTCTCTGCGTCGAAACAGCCTACAAAACACTCGATCAGCTGCCGAACGAGCCAGATGCAACGCTTCTATATAGCCATTCGCCCTGGTGGTGCATGCTACACTACGTAATGCAGCCCACAACCGTGCTCCTGATGGAATACTTCACTCGCGCCCAGTCAGGAACACCCGAGGCCGCGTCTATCTCAGCAGAGATTCAAAAGGCCATCCGCTGGCTCCGCGTCATGTCCGCCTACGACGTTTCCTCCCAGCGAGCTCTACAAGTTTGTATGGATATCCTCTCACGACACAAATTGGGCTTCTTTGACACATAGCTCGGAAATCTAGGTTCTTCATCGAATTGCTACTGCTATTCCTTCTCGTCGAACCTATATTTCTTTGAACTCGCGGCTGAATTGGCGTCTGGGCTCATACTGTTGGCTGGGGTTATCACAGAGCCGGCGGCCCTTTCGGCAACTTTCGCGTCCGTTGTCAGCTGCTGGCGACCCTTTTGCATGCTTAAAAGCATTACTAAAATATTATTTCCTTTTCACAGTGCTTTCCTTTCATATACCCGCTGGTGTAGTGTAACATCTAATGCAAAGATAGTTCGCTTCCAAAGCAGCCTTGCTCCGGGTTGGAAATCTGCCGGAGATTTGTTTTATAAATGAATCAGATTAGGCCTGTGAGAAGTAAGGAAAACGTCAACATAGCTTTTCTGATCTTGCCCTGCTGAACATGCCAAAAATATCTGTGCGAAGCAGAAACTCACATATAAGACTACTAACTCTAGTATCCCGGGGTCTTTATTCACTACTGGGTCTTAGTGTACAGTTTCTGATCATTCCTAGGTAAGAAGACCTCTTAATTATTCAGTCTTACCAGGCCTGTGCATGGTCAGTGCCTATATTTCCCCTCGGCAAATGTTATACCCTTCTAAAGTAGGGTAAGAGGAACGAAATAACTGATATCCAATTTACACTCCAGATGCCGCGTACTCCATTCATACATAGGTGAGTAGAACAGGATTTCGACAACATTCGGCGGTGATGTCTGTTATAATGGATTCTAGTCGTACTTGAGTAGTAATTTGATCCATTAGGGACAAGATGTGTGCCAAGGTTCGGTTCGATAGTCTCATCTCTTCTAACGTAATTCAAAGGTTGGAAGAGGCTTCGTCGTATCAAGTCAATCTTTCCCGGGACCGTCCCGATGTCTATGATATTGCTTTCAATACTGCTGGAACACTGGGATACTATTTCCTTCACGACATCGAATATTTCATTTCTCTTCTTCTGAAGCATGGGAAGAAAGAAGTCTCTTGTGCTTTTTTTTGAGATTGGGCCCGGAAATTCTACCGAGTGAAGATCTCATCCGGAGACATCTGGTTCCAAAACAGGAGAACATATTGCCAGCTACTTACTATTGGCTATGCTTGCAAACACTAAGCCTCAAGTTCTTCCAAAGCTTTTCAACACATCCCATGAGCTTGACAGCGACATCATGAGTGCTTGTTATACGGGGCCTTCAGTGGCTGCGGTCATCGTGATCTTCTTGAAATTTTAGATGTATAACCCAGTCGCCACAGGAATAGGTTATGGTGACAAAAGTAACTTGTGCACCAGGTTCAAGCACGTCTTCTATTGATCAGGAATAAGTTTCTGCTGCTCGCGAGCGACATCAAATTTGTCAGCTCTGAAGTTCCCAGAAGCTCCTCATTACCAATGGTGATTAGGTATGCCTGAGAGTGTTGACTCATATCAAGAACGATTCTGTTCTGGTCATAGGAAATTGTCTCGATGCCTCAGTCTAGCGGCACCTTGTTTAGAATTGATCGTCCATAGACACTTCATCAACAAGCGCTGTCTTTCAAGAATGTTCGGGCTGGGTGATTACGTTCCCATAAAAAAGCTGTAATCTATTTTTCCGGAGAATAGGTACTAGTCCCTTGGTACTCAACGGGGCCTTATTGAAGGGGCGTGGGGGTATATAAGTGGAATTCGCATTCGAGCTGAAGTGGTGTCTCTTTCAGAGACCTTAATATAGATCAGTGAAGATGGAAGTGCCAATCAAGCATGCTTCTTGCCAGCACATATTCGGCTCGTGCTAATAGTGCATTGGCACCTGGGCACTCTTTCGCAAAAGCATAAAAGCATACCATCGCCAAGTTTTCAGAAAGTCAGTCCTGATTGCATTTAACATGTCTCATTGCCAATATTCAAGGGCCAAAGTTTACTAGATGATTCGCGAATCTCTCGTAGGGCCTTCGAACCTTGGAATGCCCTGGTGGTTGGGAAGAGGGAAGGTTTTCTGGGTTACGTTTCCTCGAGTGCAGTCTCATAGTGCATGAAGATAGGATTTGTTTGAAGTGAATCTTGGAAAGTGAACGCGACCTCATCGTGCGCGAGAGAGAAGAATTAATTGATATACATAGAGAGCCTTGATTAATTCTTAGGATCATAAAAATGTTCATCCAACAACCCCTTCAAACGCCCTTAAAATTCATGACACGTATACAGATTCTCGGCCTCATTCAAGAAAGTATCTACAGGATGCAATAATCCAAGATCGATATCAGATTGCGCAAGAAAATCCTGCATAGTCGGCTCTAAAAACGTCATTGCAGTCGTATAGCCACTGATAGTATCCCTAGCATAAGGATCAGGGCCGTGCGGTTGAGCGAGCATATCGTTTTCCGTCGCGAGCACTGGACCAGTCATTATTCCTGGAAAGTTTCCTACAGTGGACATGGACAGTGTTGAGGCCAGTCTAGTCATAGACTCTGGGCCTGAGCCTGAGGCTAAGCCTGGTTCGGTGGAAGTTGAAGACCTAGGTACGGGATTGAAAGAGCCAACATTAAGGTTATTCTCAGACTCTTCTCCTTCGCGTCGTAGCTGATTGGTTCCTCGGTACGCATCGAGACAGTTCTTAACCTCTTTTAGGTTATGGTAGAATTCGGACGCAGCGAGATTACCGTTCTCAGACATGGATCGGAGGAGATCTAGCGCTGAATCAAAACTGTTCATGTCATTAGGGTTGCCGATGGGTACAAAGCTGGACATGGCTAGGATCAAGGCTGAGGAAAACAGATAGTGTGCGTGGAAGTATCCAAATGTAGGCATGGTTGCCGTGATCCATCTCTTTATAATAATCGTGTGTGAATGGCGAGCCGCATGTATACACGCTTCACTAAGTGTTAAAACGGGTTGGGAGAGCGGATCCTGGTCGGGATTCGTGGTATTGTCTTTGCGAAGTGTGATAAGGAGATGGAGGAGTGTAGGGCGAGTAGTCAATATGACACATTGGTTAAAAGCCATGTGCAGTGAGACGACCGGTTTCTTGCACGATTCCAGATCCTCCATTTTGATACGCAGACTTTCGGGTAGGGTGTCCACCCAATTCTTTAGCGATTTAAGGAGTTTCTGCACACGCTGCAGAAAAGTCTCTTGGTATTTGCGCCGGCTGTATAACTTGGTGATTGTCTCGCCGACGATTCGTGCTAGATTGATATTGGCTGTCATGTACGCTGTGTCAGAAAGTTCTTCATCGTGGCGCCAGCGTGGGGAGATGGTCGTTGGCATGTCAACGTGAATATCTTCTTCTAGTATCTGCATAGGAAGGCCCATCTTGGACCCCCATGTCCGGTCAAACATGTAGATTGTCCACCAGATCGCGATGCGATGCTGGCGCTCGACAGGGTCTATTATTTGGGATTCAGGGATATTGTGGTTTAAGCCGATTGTTAAGCTCATTCGCATAGCGTTTCCAATAAGCACATAGGCCGAGTGACGTCGATTAAGGTAGTAGGAAAACAAGGACTATCTAGCATGAGCAACGATACGAGGGGCAGATTTGGTCTTGGTCCTGAGTCTTTGGAATGGAACTTACTAGGAGTAGCAAGGTCTCCAAATGGGTGATACTTGTCCGCTCAGGCAGGACCTGCACTAGACTTAGTGCCCGTGCAAAATACGCTGTGCCCGGCACGCGTACGGCAGACATAGGCTCTGATCGAATAGAATAGGCCTGTCCGAACGCGAACAAGGCAAAGAACTTGCACTTGTTCGTAATGCAATCGAAATCACGGGTCTGGTAGATTTCCTCTAGTTTTTCCAGAGTGGACTTGCGCATCATGAGGTGATACAGATACCCGATCTGGTGAATCGCGATCCTAACCAGAAGTCGGGCATGGTGTAGACTGGGCCACTGGTCAACCTCGTTAGCAGCGGCGGCAATGGTCTCTTCACGCTCCCACTGCGTTCGTGTAATATGAGCAGTAGTATTGTTCCCCGTGAGGAAACGACGAAGGCGAGTCGCAAATGCTGAACATGCTGCCTCGCCGATGTAGATGGGCGGCGAAGATGGGTCGTATCTGTGGAACCAGGCGCGATCCCCAATTATTGGGTTCTGGATACTTGTTGCGTCTGGTGCATCCACTGATCGAGATTGGGGTCTTCAATTGTTTCTGAGTACTAACTATGCTCGTTCAGGATAATGTTGGGTTCATACCTTTCCAAATTGGGAGGATCGTTCATCTCGGTCACATCGGCCGAAGTAACGGACAGCTCTTTCAAGCGTTGATTTTCAGCAAGTAATTGATCGAGATAACTATCGAGTAGATAAAGCCTTAGCCCTAGCATTGTAAAGGTCTCTGCGAAAAAGTGGATCATACTTCTCGCTGACTTTAACCTGTCGATCGCGAGAGGAATAGGTACATTCTTCGGCGCAGCCCACGGCAGAACATTTACTGCACGGCTGGCCACCAGTACATTTAATCTTGTGAGTATGGCATCTCTGGCACCTGTATTGATCATTAGTATTTTAGTGTCGACTTGAAACTGGATGGGGTTCAACGCACGCGACAAACTTCCTTTTCTGACGGGGACTGTCTGTATCATCATCAGCAAAAATAGACTGTCGTTTCAATCCTGTACTTCGAGGCATTTTGTCTCCATTCCGGGGTCAAACGGCGTTGATTGCGTAAATGTGAAAGTTGGGGTTAATATCGGCGGAGATGAAGTTGTGGCCGAAATCTCGGTCGGTTTACCGAGTTATATCATCCTGCCCAATCAGGTGATTGTGTCTAGTTATATACAGTGCTGTACGCAGTAAATACGTACCACTCTTCGGATAGTAGTGCTCCTTTAATAAAACTGAGTCACAGCGACCTACATATCTTGTTAGATAGATTTTGCTAATGATGGATATTAGCATACGACAATATCGGATAATAAACTGCCAGGCGTAACGTATGGGTCTTCAGTGATCCTCGGTGAATCATTAGACATGAGCCTTTTCTAGTCTAGACTCTTCACCGATACTTTATTTTCGCACATGCATATTACGGATCTTACTTTGGAATCTTGGTTGACTGTTAGGCAACTACCTAGGTAGGTATGATCGAAGTTAATGACGGTACATCGAGAACTCAGCCTCGTCAAACAGAACATTCATTATTCAAATGTATTATTATTATAACTTTTATTTCATCTCTATTCATCAATCATCCAAAGGTCTAACTCCTCTATCAATGCAATGCAAGATCATAATAAATGCAACTCAATCCGTCATAATTTCAGTTTGTGGTGGGCTTGATATCAAGCTTGCGCTCAACCCATCGTTGCATTTCCAGTCCCCATCTAGTGATAATGAAGACATTGACACCACCGATAATAGCGAAGAAAACACCTAGAGAACAAATAAGAAAGGCTCATATAGATCTACGATAGTTAAAACTCACATATTGTAAATGTCCAACCGACCCCAATTACACCGATTAAAGGCTCCACGGCTGCTGTTGAGCCGGCTGCGAACAAGTATTGTACTAGATATTTACCACTGATCACCTCAGAGCGAATATGTGGCATGACCTCTGGTAGTTCATCAGTAGGAAACTCATTGGAAAGGTGTACGAAGGAATCAGAAACTTACCGGCTGAATACGTGTTCAGGCCATTGAACGAGCCCAGTAGTCCTATGCCAGCGCTGAAAGCAGCGATGATAGGCACGGCCATACCGCCGACCCCCTCTTGTAGAGTCCAGCTATAGATCAGAGTCGAGGCCGGAAGGACAGCAAAAAGAGTAGCGAGACCGCTATTCAGTCGATCTTGAGGCAGACGCACACCATTGCGCTTGCGGATCCACTTGATAACTGCACGATCGGACAACTTGCCACCCATGACACTTCCAATCAAGAAGCCCATTCCAGGTGAAAGGTAGAACAATCCACTGACCAGTGGAGAGGTTAAATTGAAACGAGGGTTGAAGATAGTGCGAACAGAAGTGAGGAGGGCGTATTGGAAAGTTGAAAGAAGGCCGCAAGTGAGATGCTATTTATGATTAGTCTGGACTTGAGAACTCCAATTCCAAGGCTGACTCGATACTCACACAGAGAAACACGTTTGGGTAAATGAATGGGCGGAGGATGCGTAGAGGGTTGAACATGTGTAGAACAAAGGACGCCTTAATAGGCTCTTTGGTCTCAGTCATTTTCTCGAGGACGGGTATGAATAGAATCGAGAGAATGAGACCAAGTGCTGACATGCCACATTGGAGCCAGTATATAATGCGCCAATGAGAGAAAGTGACAATTATACCACCGATACAGGGGCCTAGAGATGGTTAGCCTTTGAAAAGACCTTTATGAACCTTAGAAATATCTCGTTCATACCAATTGCAGGTCCGCTGACAGAACCAACCATCATGACACCAATCGCAGTACCCCTGACGACCTATAAAGCACACATTAGTAGCCCGTCAATAATAGGATTGATTGAGTACGAACCGGCTCGTAGATATCGGCGATGATAGTATTTCCAGCAACCATGAAAAAGGTTCCAGTGAAGCCACTCAGGATGCGCATCGCAATAAACATGTGCAAGTTGATAGACAATGCCGTTCCAGCAGAACATCCCTAATTACCAATTAGCTCCAAGTTTTTTGGTTCTAATCAAGACATCAATCGATTCGGTACTCACACAGAGCACAACAATAGCTGCATTATAGGCAACTTTCTGACCAAAGATCTTAGTAATAGGATCCCATATAAAAGACGAAAGACCCATAGCAATAAGAACACCGGAATTAATAACATTGAGAATTTCCGAACTCGTCGAAAACTCAGACGCAATCTCTGGTATAGCGGGCAGCAACGAAGTACTGGAAAACGTAACACCCAGCGTCATCCAGCTGACAATAAACAAAATTAAGCATTTGCGCCATGTAGACAAATCGCGTGCGCTCGATTCAATTGGTTTTAGACAAGTCTCCTCTGAATCAGATTCTTGCGGGGAATGTATTTGTGTGGGCTTTTGATCCCCAGCCTCGAGATCTGAAAGGGAACCCATATTGGAAGGTAGAGGTAGAGTACAAAAAGGGAGGTAGAGATTATAGAATTATAGTATATCGCATGTCTTCTTGGTGTATTCATGGTAGATATAATTAGATTGGCGATCAGGCACTTTTTGTACAGGGTCTCCTTCGGCATCTTGTTGGTTGCGCCGAGACTAGTTTTATCTAATTTTTTCTAGTGGATCTCAGTGACTCAGTTCGGCTTCGGGTTCAACTGCCGAAAGCAACGCCCCATTAGGCATAGGTTCGTAGTATAAAGTACGAATACTGGATAATGGATGACAAGCTGAAGAAACTGTTGATACATGACATCTACCTAATGTAGCACTGTAAATTTCTGGTATCCAGTGAAGCCAGTTTGTGTGCCCTAGAACGGTTGTCAAATTAAGCTCAATTACTTTAACTATTTACACCATCGGTCATTTACTTATCGTGAACTAGATACCTATTTAGTCATCAAAAAATACTACCTAGGTATTCTAAAGTTGAACGAGTGCAGTTGACACAACATCAGATAGTTACTTCCTATAGACTGACCACAGTCTTGGAACAAAATAAAACGAAAATTCTTCAAAAAATAATGTTTTCGCGCCACAACTTAATAGAGAAAGCCTATGCCTTCCATTTTGACTATACATGGACTAGAGCTCTCCCGGCCCGGGGTAATTAGCCCAGTACCCACCTGGGCAGCACCTGGGCACCCAAGATCCACCCGGGCACTGATACGTACCTAGTTAAAGAGGTAAACAGGTATGGCCTAGTGATACCCGCGGACTCAAAGCGCTGGGAAAGCATCATTCTAGGTTTGATACACTGCTTCTTAAACAAGACAAGTTACATGTAGATAGGCATATTGTGTATCTTTCAAGTTTCATAAGTAGAATTGAATAAAGTAAAATTTGATACTGGGTAGGTTAAATGGAGCAAATGATTACCTGTCCAGTAAACAAAAGAGAAAATTACATACAAACAGATGACATAAGAGTTAACACTTGCGAAATACGACAGGCGCCATTTTGTGCATGTTGCATGAATATAATCATGCAAATAGGTCACCAAATTTCAAGATACACGGCAAAATATTTAAGGGAAAACCAGCTGAATACCAGCTTACAGCATAATCATAAAAGCACCGGAGGCGATGGCAGCAACCATGTACGCACCAGCCTGGAAGATACCGATGTGGACAGACTGGGGCACGGTGCCGGCAGCAACACCCTTGGAGGTGGAGGTGGAAGCAGAGGAGCTGGTGCCAGTAGCGACAGCCAGGGTGCCGGTGACGGATCCAGTGCCAGCGGTGCCGGCGACCTTCAGCTGGGAGGAGCATTGACCGGTGGCAGAAGTGGCAGCCTTGGTGGTACCGGCACCGCTGAAGCCACAGGCCGAAGAGCCCTTGTCGTTCTTGATGTAGTAGACGTTCATGGCCCAGGCGAGCTGCTGGTTTGTATCACACATAGACCAAGCACCGTACTCTCCGCTGGTGGCGTTGGTCTTGATACCGTCGGTCACACCGTCGATGCCACCGAGGTAGTCGAAAGTGGACTTGGACTTCTTGGCGCTGATGTCGCTGACAGGAACACACTCCAGGGAATCGTACATGCAGGAGCAGAGGTCGGCATCAACGACAGGAGGCAGCTTGGAAGCAGCGAGCCAGTATCCGGCTTCGACAGTGGGACAGGAAATTCCAACGGTAGTTGATGGGGTGTAGCTGGCGCTGTTGACACCGGTTGGAGTAGCCTTCTGGATCTGCTTAGACAGGTTGTCGAAGTCGGATAGAGTGACAATGTCGGTACCAGAGGTGCTGACCAGGCCGTAGTCATTATCGGTCTCATAGTACATGTAGACGATACCACCGCTCCACACATTTTCCATCTGGGAGCCGTAGAGAACGGGAGTGTCATCGAACTGACGAGGAGACTGGGTGTTGCAACCGTATTCAGAGAAGAAGGCAGGAACGGGGTAGTCGGCAAAAGTCTCGGTACGGTTCTTGTAGCCAGAAGAAGCGTATGTCTCCGAGCTGCTGCACCACTCGTAGATATTGTAGCCAAACATGTCAATGGAGGAGGTTGAATCGTCGCAAACCAGGTAATCAGAGATCTGGTTACGGACAGTCTCGTCATCATCGGTGGCGTAACCAATAGCCAGAGAGCTACGGTAGTTCTGCTGCTTAATGTAGGACTTCATATCACGAACGGCAGCCTTGACAAAGGCCATGCTGTTGGAATTTGTGATATTGTTGGCAACCTCGTTACCGGCAAAGAAACCAATAACGTTGGGGTATTTGGCGAAAGCGTCCACGACGGAGGTGTAACGAGAGAAGATGTCGGAGTTCCACTTGGGGTCGGCCTGAACGATGGACTCATCGGGAGATGAAAGATCGGAAATAACATAGATACCAGCATCGGCCAGAGCGGTCATACACTCATCGTGAGAAGAGTTGGGGTTGACAGCGTAGGTACGGACGACGTTGGTACGCAGCTGTTTCAGGTATGGAATATCGCGCTTGCAGGAGTCAGTATCGGCGAGGGGGTCAACGTAGTTAACGGAGGCGGCACCACCACTACCAGAGCCACCACCGCCATCATAGTCAGGCTGGTAGGCGACACCACGGATATAGAACTCGGTGCCGTTGTTAGAATAAAAGAACTTGGAGCCCTTGATTTCAATGGCTGGAACAGTAGCGAGGGCGGAGCCCACAAGGGACAAGCCGGTGATGAGTGAGTACTTCATCGTATAGCAAATATGAAAACGAAAGAACGAGTGGAATGGACACTCAAGCCGTTAGATTAAAAGCGAGGGTTTTTTTAGGAAGAGAAGTGAAAGGGAAGGGAAGGCAAGAATAAGAGGGAAGGGGAAGAAGGATTCAAGAGGTTGATTGGGTCTCGGATGAAGTGGACTGGGTTTCTTAAAAAAGGTCGGGTACTCCGGGGATACATACAATGTCCACCAAACTGGAAGTACCTATTTTTTTTAATGTGTACATGAAAGGTACATGGAAGATAGGGCTATGACGCTATGTAAAGTGTGTTCCCGGACAAGTACCTAAAGGGACGCATCATCATGTGGGCTGTGTCAGACGAAAAGTAATGATTGGCATAATAATAAGAGCAAAAAAGGAAGTGAGACGAGAATCATTGAGCATAAACAGGGTAATTGGGCGTAGGTACTATAGACCCACTTAGATTTAATATGGATTTTCCCTGAAACATTCAGTCCCACTTTCCCCCACTTTTTTCCCCTTTTTCTCTAATTCCTGTTGCTTGTGGCCGCTATAAACAGCCATTACGCAGATAGTCACTCAAGGGTCCAATAGGGTCCAAAAGGGGATTTGGACCGTCAAACCGGAGAGGGTTGTTCCATTTTGACTGGTCAATATTCCAGTGTTATTTTTCTTTTCTTTTCCTTATCTTCTGTTTGTTCGATGAAGCTTTTCGACCACATCTTCAAAGGCTGACAATTTCAACGTGAAAAAGCTTGTCTATATGCCAAGGCCGATCTACACCTGGGCAACTCTTGTTTTAACGATGTCATATCATCGCTATCACTACAACTACAAGTTATTTGAGTTTCTAAAAAAAAATAGATATAGCACGAAGTCATTCTACGCTGATTGTTTGGTTAATCTAGATATAGCCGCCAAGGTTCCTAACAGATGATGTTCCCATTTACAGCGAGCTCGGTACTATATCCGATTCGAGTACAGGTAAACAATTCTACCTATGACAAACTCCTAAGAAACCTTGGGAATTAACAGTTGCCTCGTGGAGTAAAGTAAACTATAGGGCCATAACAATGTCCTCTAGCTGATACGACTGGGCAATGGGGCCATCGTCCCGTGTTAATCCGCCCAACTGCCGAGAGCAATATGTAGCTGCAAACTTTGACTTGCACGAACAACCTTCAGCTTTAGAAGCTTCTCTTGTCCAAAGGAAGAAAATAGCCTTCACATGTACATACATTCTGACAGCTGATTTAATTGCTACCTAGGTAGTGATCAACAGAGCCGATCATGGAAAAGGGCTGCCGAAGATATTCCGGTCTTACACACTAACCCCACCCCCTCGAAACCTCACAGGAATGAGTAACACCATGGGCTCTGTGAGAGTATCTATGTACGCTAATGGCAGTTATGAAGATCTTAATTAAAGACCTCCCGAGTCTCGAGGTTGTCGTCAGCTTGATACGTACCCCTAGAAGTGACTGAAGTTGCATATTCAATCCACCTTGGTATGTACCTAGGTGGGAATCAATTTTAAGGTTAGGTACCTCCATGGCCAGGTACAAACACTCTCAGGCCCTAAGGAACTGTCTACCTAGGTGACTAGAATATGAGTTTTCCCACTCCTACTCATAGTAAATGGGAGTTTTGCTGAATTCTATGTATTCCACTCATTTTATGCTCATTTCAAGTTCATTAAGTAGATGTTCTCTTGAAAAACACGTCATTCTGTCATTTCTCACTTCCTTCGATCCCAATCTCCAAATACTAGGAGGAACATCTTGATTAAACCAACGGCAATTTCCAAGAATATCAGTTAAGCAGTAAAGATGTTCAATTCGGCATGATGCGCTTTGAAATACTACTGCAGTAGTCAGCGGATACTCCAGTCTAGTCATAGCTATTAAAAAGATGGAAGGAGATTTTAGCAAGGCTTTCTTGATGAAAAAGTAAATAGATCTGAACTGATAGCCAAAATCCCATGTTTTAGTTCTTGCTCGCCTTCTTTAGCAACAGCTGGTGAAGTCAGTGCTCTAGGATACAGTACATCATATATATGTAGCTAGTTCAGATTCGAGTGGCTATCATTAGGGCGGCGAAGTAGTCAGGAAACACACCAGCATTACTGCATTCTTGGTAGTCGACTAACTCAAATGCTATCGACATAGAAAATACCATCATAGAGAAAGCCGCCGGCGTTCCTCTATTTCAACCTTAGGACAGTATGATTGAATTTGATAAGCTGTACCTAGGTAGTTAATCAAAGATATGACCTAGATCGATGATTAGTTTTCAGCTATTTCCAGGGTTGTTTCTCTTTCTACGGAAGACTATACCGTGAGGTCTTTGAATAGACATAGGCTTGATAGTGCACTTGATCCATCAGAATATTTCTTTATCAGACCTTCCTATGACAGAAATTATAATACCGATATATCCCTAAACTTTAATAAAGGACCTTATGAGTTCTCTACGTATTTTGATAATTTATGTACTTGCTATTTTTGGGTATTTAATCTCAGTCCTTAACATTTCTATCATAAGGCGCGAATTTGCTACAAATATTCCCGTGGACCCTATGTGTTCCGAGAGTTATTCCTTTGATACGGAGAAGTCTACAAAGTGGGCATTCTTACGCTTTATATATATATATATATATATATATACTGTCGGTACCCCGGTGGGCATAGCAAGATTGGTGAGAGGCTAACGTCCACTTCTAATACCTATTGCAGGTTGCGCTTTACGCCCCTATAATATCTTGGTGTTCTCTTGAAGTGGTTGTAAAATCTGCTTTTCATTCATGGTGAGGACTAGCTATTTATCTTACAAGTTGCTCTTCTGTCTGAGACGAATGTGTTCCATCGTCTAAGATAGGAGAGTCGGTGAAGACGGGACATCCTACTTGTATGCATATTGTTCAAGGTTGTTGCTTGATGCACTCCGAACAGGGGTTCGTGATGTGGTCTAAACCGGGGTGTCGTTGTCCGATATCCCAACACATACCTTCAAGGCTGATAGATGTTTTTTAGAATTTGTCGAACCTTGAATTGTTCAAAAAGAAAATGCTCTTTTTCCTTCACTCAAAGAGTAGATCAATATTCATGGACATCAATTCTCTGAGCATTAAGTTTGGCATATGGTTTAGGTACACACGGAAGAATATATTGTACTACAATTGGATGTTATTGAACAAAAGAAGCAGAACGAGTATTTATTGGCTACGTAAATTGAAAGCTTTGCTGGAGATAAATCTACAGACAAAGTGAGAGCTATATGGCCTTTCCCGGTCAAGGCTGGAATATGATCACTAAGTATCACCTTCAGCTTCAATCTTCCAGCCCACCCTCTGAACCCATATAAGTCCGTATGCTAGCTAGGGCACAGATGAGTCTGTTACCACCTGAACACTCATTTCTTATCTCGGCATAGGAAAAGCTCCAACACCATATCCATAGAGCAAACTTTCTAAGGTAAGAAACCCTGGGCTTTCCAAGGTTCTTTAGATAAATGACTTATCCTATCCCGGGGTATCTCATCTAAATTTCCAAAATAGCAACTTGTATATCACTGCACCCATGATAATTCTTTTTACAATGACGCACGTTCAACTTACTCTCCTCTCACTGCAGGCTCTCACTCTAACTCTTATTGAAAGGCTTTTGCCGATATCTTTCACTTTCAGAATTTTTCAGAGTATCTACATGCATTCCTTCCCATCCCATCTTCCATATTTAATTTCTTATCATCTCATCTTCCTTTTTCGTTCCTCGTCACCTTCGACTTTGAAAAGTTCTACCGTCTTCAAATATATCCTCTAAAGCAACCGAAGCGTCAGTTTGCCGCATATGAAGCGAGACAGACAATAAATCCGCTGGTCTAATATCACTTCCAAGGTGAGAGCTTCAATTCTGATAACTTCACTTGACTTCGAGAAATAACCTAAACCACATCTTCTTCTACTATGTATTTCATACTTTCTCATCAACTAGCTTCAACCGAAACTGGTCCAAGCTAAGAATCGAAGTCCAAAGCAGCCGAGAAGCTTTCGCCCGCACCAGTGGAAAATTCCATGGCTAGGTACTCCGAAAAAGCCGCTGGTAGAAACAAAGAGGAGTTGCAAGAACTCCGAGACTTAGTCCAGAGCGCCTTATGGCTCAGTATCCCCAAGCTGTAACCGCCAATAAGCTGTCTTCTGCGCTCCACCCCGCATTTCTTGGTAGCCTGACCCTTAGGGCTGGGCACTTGTTTCTTATCTTCAGTATCACCAAATCCTTTGAACAAAAATGCTTAACGGTCTTTTTTTGAAATGGTGGACTTTTTTGCCGCGTCTTATCCCGAGGTCATCTGAATTTCCAAGGACAAATGCCAACCTGGAAATTTTCCTAGGTTGCATCGCTGTATCCATGCCGAGGTGATGTTTTTCCCAATGATACACGCTCAACTTACTCTCACCTTAATTTCATCTTACTTTAATCCCGCCCTTACTCTCACTTGACTTTCACTTGGGGTTATTTGAGGTCACATGATCGACCTTCACTACGTTTATCTCCTCTCTTCTCTTCTCAACTAATTCTCTTTTTCTAACAATTCTTCCCCCCTCATCCAACCATCTACCTACCTACCTCAACAAACTGAGAAATACAGTCCCAATTCTTCGGATATTCAACTTGAGACATGTCTTCCTTCCTCAGTTGTGATGCCCCTGTAACATGATCTAGCAAACAAGGTAAATTGCTCTCCAAGGTTGCAGCACCTGGGATGATGCTCATGCTGTTAAGCTTATTCTGAGGTCTGCGTCCACCACTGTGTCACTGGGTCACGTGGGGCGCACGCACATATGTGCGACACCAGAAGCGGGTTCTCATCAGTGATGGCTAGAACCCACATTCCACAGCTATAACACTATCTATGAACGCTATTGGAGAGACCTGGATCAAAGAAGATCATTCAGAAGTATGCTTCATAGCATAGCGAAATTTCTCGAATATCTCTACCACTAATGGAAACGTCGTGTGCTAGGTATGATCCCTAGACGCACGCAAGAGTGCGAGTTATCATCATTGTGGTATCCATCATTTGGTGTGTGCGAACGACTCATGTAGGATGTTCTATATAAGGATATGGCTCACGCTGTGGATTTTATTATTGGACATCTCAACCCCATGAGAATTGACGAAAAGTGGAGTGTAACTCCCCCACCAACACCGACCTGGCTTTATGCAGTTATCTGCGACAGACGAGAAGCAAGGCTGGAATTGAGAACATTATGTTGCTGCGGCTGGGTAGGAAACATCCTTGATTCCATACATCTACTTCACTGACTTTGATTGAAAATATTTCAGAGCTGTCAAGCCCACTCACTCATGGTGGATATGGAGCCCAGCCATTCAAGGCTGATACATACTGTTCACATCAGGAGTCCACGGGTTTTGGCTGACACAGCTCACCAGGAGAAGGCCGAGAAAAGTGGAACATGCGGTACCAGTACCTCTCGCCGCGATGGGGAGACGAAGAGGAAAAGCGACTATGTGGTGCCAGAACCTCTGCTGCAATCAGTGCGGTATTCTGGAAAAGCCAGTGGTTCTTTACACCAGCTACTTGTCAATCACTTCACTAGGCAACACTTGGTACCGCTTTTAGAGAGACCTCTGGCGGATGTAATCGATTCTTTGTTCGACGGACAAAAATACATAACGTCCTCCACCAGCAGTCGATTCCTAGGAGAACAAATCTAGCGAGGGTTAACATCCGAAATCGAAATGTAAAAGTACACCTAGACGCAGATCTCGACGCTTGAAGATCTATATAGCCCCGACAAAAATTAACGTTTTATTAAATCTCTCTACGTTTCAGGTACCTATGTATAGAATAGACCGTAGTCGTTGGGACCATCACCAGCAGACCTCAGGAGATAATGGCGGGGCCTTCAGTCCAGGGCCTTGAGACTATGAATAACCTTGGAAGAGAAGGAGATACCTCTTAAACCCCATCAGAGTAATAGTGGTTCAGTGTTATTAAACTTCGTTCCAAGAAGGAGAAGGAAAAATTCCTGTGCCCCATTGAACTTGTAAGTATTCTCCAGGGCTCTATACCTATTTCTGGGGCTAGCTGATTGAACTCTCAAAGTTCTAGCGTTCTAACGTTAGAACTAATATTCAGCACATACAGCGGTAGGCTATAGTAGAATTTCAGAAGTAAATTAAATGATGGACGAAAAACTCCTATGATATCTCCAGGGCTAACGTTCCCCATAAAGGAGACTTACATGGTAGAGTAATGCTAAATTTAGTAAGCGCGATGCAGGCAGCATCACTTGAACAGACGAAACAAAGCATAAATTCCAGATTATTTCCTCCTTTAACCTGCTTTTCCTCCTCGTCACCTTCGCAGTGTCCTTACTACTTCCAACCATCATCATCCCACAATACAATGGCCTTTCCACCCACTAGCCCAATATTGGGCGTTAACTAGTGAGCCAATAATCTCATTAAAATCGTTATGTTCCCATGGACACCGTGCACATTATTACAGTCGCTGTTCTATAGTGGAGATCAAAGCGACTTTGAGTCGGCATTGACAGTTGTCAATACGAAGCTTGCGTCTCCCTCGCAGCTCTCCAGAAAAAAAAGTCGCCACCGACGTACTCTGACCAGTTCTACGTCGAAGTGAAAAAAAACATGGTCTACAACCAAAGATCTATTACTCTGTACTGATACGTGGGATGCCAAGAGACCTTTGCTAACCCGAGCCCAAGATTCCAGCACACGTGATTTGCTCACCGGTTATGTTGGTCGCTTAGCGGAAGTGATCACTCATATTCCAAAGAGTGCTATGTGGGTCAACAAGATGATTTCATGTTTTGCAATTACTTTCTGGCTTGTGCCAAGAGACAAATGAAATCATTATGAAACCAAGTTGCACAAGCTTCCTTGGTTTGAACTTCAAGCATTGTTCTCTCTTGGCGCTTTTCTTGGCTCCCCGATCTTTCTGTATGCCTGCTTCTTCCTGTGCTTCCTCTGGAATATCCCTGTCAACAACACGTTGTCAAAAAGACAGCTGCATTTTCTACATTTCATCACTATTTAGATCTACAGTATCAATTTACTCTAAACCTGATCATTGTTATGCAAAGTGCCAAGAGTATCCACTTACAGTGTCACCCCTGATTTTTTGTGTGGCTGTGTTGTTTACTTTTGAATACACTCAACCCCTTGTTTCTTTGTACAATTTCAACCCCTTGATATTTCTCTGATTCTTTATACAACATATTTCATTCCTGAGATTGCCACCACCCAGCCTTGGAACTAGGCTTTTGAAATTTATCGACGCCTATTCTGCGTGGATCCTTGTGGCTGCTGCTACCTAGGTAATCTTTAGTTGAGCTCGCTCAGCCACTATTAGCTCTCTTGATCACTCCACCTGGGTGGTTCTATATGGTTGAATCCATAACAAATTCTTATTCACTACGTATGTTCTCTTTCTGGTCGCCGCGCTAGGAATTAGGCGTCAACCTCAGGACTCAACGCGATATCAGGGGCTGTACAGGGGCCGACTCCACTGGGAAATTTGCCATCAACTTGTACAAGAACCTTGTCTTATCAGATTTCTCACAGAATCATAAAGACATCTACAACTACATCCTGTACAACTACCTACAACCTACTTTTGTAATGCGTGAGTCCACCCTAAACACAATGTTTTGCCCAAGTCTACCCAACTTATGCCCAAAAAAAAAAAAAAAAGAAAAAAAAAGTATCCCAAGATCTCATCTGATATACATTCATTCATGACAGACATCTATCGACGCAAGGCCCGTAATCTGGCCTGGTATGACCAGGATGGTGAACCGTCATCCCACAACCCATTCAAAAAGATAAGGCGCCATCCACGCCGCACAAACTCCATACAATTGGAATCCCAGTCCAGGAGCGTCGACAATCTCCGTTTATCAGCCGAGCAACGACGCAGACGGGAGATGAACGATGGACTCGGTGGTCCCCAATACTCAGATACTTTCCCGATAGAGGCAGCCAGCGATAAGGGCGAAGGCATTGTCCCTACGTCAAGGAATAGCGAGGACCCAATTAATATTTCTACACCCCGGGCTCCAGAGTCCTCCAGTGAGGAGGGCACCATTAATCCCAGGCAGCGAAAGGGTCTCTTTAGCAAGTTTCGTCGCTCGGAAAATGTTGAGGAGGAGACGCTTGATGAGGAAGCGCCGAAATTCACCGTCGCCTCGCAGTTGCGGGCCACTATTTTCAATTCATGGATTAATGTCTTGATTGTTGCTGCACCGGTTGGAAGTATGTCTTATTCTGACGCTTTGGATACTTCAAATAGTATGCTGACTTGACCTATAGTTGCATTGTATGCTATTGGTGCTAATCCAATTGCTGTATTCGTCGTCAACTTCATTGCCATCATGTAAGAATCCCCAATCTCGTACTACACGATCATTGCTAATAATGATACAGTCCCCTTGCAGCTATGCTCAGTTACGCGACTGAAGAGATAGCCATGCGGTAAGTATCCCCCCCCCCCCCCCCCCCCCCCACAATAATCAACCAGAAAGAACCCAGCTAACAGTCACAGCACGGGTGAAACGATTGGTGGACTCCTAAACGCCTCATTTGGTAATGCAGTGGAACTGATCGTAGCTATTATCGCGCTAGTAAAGCGCGAAGTGCTAATCGTGCAAACTTCCCTGATAGGCAGCATTTTATCGAACTTGCTCCTAGTAATGGGAATGTGTTTCTTCTTCGGCGGCATCGACCGCATGGAACAACACTTCAATGTGACAGTTGCTCAAACAGCATCTAGTCTCCTTATGCTCGCGGTAAGCAGTCTGATCATCCCAACAGCCTTCCACGCCTGGTCGAGCGGCAACAAGGAAAAGACAGCCCCGCTCTCCCGCGGAACGAGTGTTCTCCTGCTCATAGTTTATGGCTGCTACCTATTTTTCCAGCTGAAGTCGCATGCAACGATGTATAATGAGCGCAGTAAGAAAAGCGAGAAGCGTCATCAGCGCATTGGCGAGGGTGATGCGAATAGAGGCATTGCAAGGATTGGTGGCATGTCGGCTAAGACTGTGGGTGGTGATACGGCGCAGCAGCTTCAGCTTCAGGAGCCAGATGAGGAAGGCGAGCAGCCACAGTTGACTGTTGTCGTTGCTGTCATTACGCTTGTTATTTCAACTGCGCTTGTTGCTGTCTGTGCTGAATTCATGGTAAGCATATAGCATCCCTCTCATCGCTTTATTTCCAGTGACTGATTGTTTTTCTTCAGGTCGATTCTATCGATGCGTTGACTGCAACGGGTAATATCAGCGATACCTTTGTCGGATTGATTCTTCTTCCTATCGTCGGTAACGCGGCTGAGCATGCAACTGCCGTGACGGTTGCCTGCAAGGATAAGATGGATCTAGCAATTGGAGTGGCTGTTGGCTCGAGTATGCAGATTGCGCTGTTGGTTCTGCCGTTGATTGTAGTGATTGGCTGGATCATGGGTATGTGTTGTTCCGGGCCAAGATCTCAAGGAAATAAACGCTAACTCGGTGACAGGCGTTGAGGACATGACTCTCAACTTCGACGGCTTCCAAGTAATCCTCCTCTTCGTCGCCGTGCTTCTGGTCAACTACTTATTGGCCGATGGAAAGAGCCACTGGCTCGAGGGCGTTCTGCTCATGACAATGTATTTGCTTATTGCAATTGCTGCTTGGTACGTTCATCTGTTGTGATTTCAAGGGTTTAGTGTGTATGGCTAACAAAACCTGCAGGTTCTTCTAAGGACTCATTTTAGAGAAGGTTGGGCGCAGGTGGCTTTTTGAATTAAAATTCTTTTTTCACAATCTATACTTATGAGCGTCGCAAACATCAAAACCAGCCTGGAAAGCTCCAGAGGCTTGAAATACTGTGATATGTCGTTGTGGTCGCGTTAGTACTTCGCCGAATAAGTGGGTCTTATACCGCCTATCTAATATAGCCTAGTTTAATACAACACTATTTCAAGAGATCAGGATTGGCTGGACCAAACTTTGATCTGAAACTCTATCTCCATTATTATTATGATTGGGCCAATAGCGAGCTGTCTAGCCACCCCTGAACCATGGTACGATAATGATGATATCGGTAGTCCTATGCCGTCGTCTGTATCACCATCTACACCAAAGATCTTAGGCTCTTGCGTCGCGCGATGAACGTCTTAATGCCCGTTGTTTTCACCCAAAAGGCTATATCTATGTTGGAATCCCTGGCCAGATTAGTACAAGTTATCGCCAGGTGCAGCTAGCCTGCTCCGACTCCTGCCTTACTCCCCGTCGACGTTGTGGACCGTTTTCAAAGCTGCCTGAAGCGAGGTTGGATGAAATCGAGACATTTATCTGTTCCTCTGCCTTACCGAGACGGATGACGTGGAAGGAGCTCATCCGATATCTATCCCTTGATGTCCATTGGACTACGCTTCGACGTATGTTGAAGAAAAAAGGGTTATAAAAGATGTATAGCACTTCGGAAGCCTCCTTTTTCTGAATCTTTCGACGTGCTCGCCTTGAATGGGTTCTAGAGCATATGAACGAGACCTCTGAGGAGTGAAATGAAGTCTTATAGTCCGATGAAACTTAGGTTACATCGGTTTTTCATAGGAGAATATGGGTAACGAGAAAGCTTGGAGAGCAATTTGACGACTCCTGCCTACGAACACGGCTTCAACGGGCACCAGGATGGCTATTCTAGGGATCATTTTATGGCTCTAAAAAGCGACCTTGTCTTTTTTAGGAGAAATAATGGGGAACTATCTCTGCTGAGAGCTATGATGAGAAGATTATGCCTCTTATTGACGGGATAGTATGAATGGCGGGCATAGATGGATTAATCTAAAGGTAATGCAGGATAATGCTCCTGCGCATAAGGCTATGGGTACGATCAACAAGCTCTATGGCCACGGAGTTCGCTTAGTTAAATAGCCAGCGTATTCCACTGGTCTGAATCCAATTGAGTAATTTTGGAATTGGATGAAGGAATGGATTGGAGAGTATTTCCTAAAAGAAGACGTAAATTTAACATACGGTCAGCTTCGCGAAGCTATAATGGCGGTATGGGAGGCGATACCGAAGGAGTTCCTTGAGCGTCAGATTGGTCTGATGAGAGAGAGAGAGAGATAAAAGATGCCAAACGATTATCGCAGCGAATGGTGAGCATGGCAGGGTTTAGAGATAGTGCTGAATGGTGTGGAATTAAAAAAATGGTGCTTGAATTGACTAATTTTGGTGTAATTTATATGTAATTTATTATATGTATGTATATGTAATAGTAGTGTTTAAATACACCATACGGTATTTAAAAGTGGCAGAAAAATATCTCCACAGTGGCTCGGAAGTACTTAACTAACGCAACCAAAACACACCACTGTAAAATGTACTACGATTTTAGTATTGCGTTAAGCCTGCGTCGAATGGTCGGAATGGAAGAGGTCGCATGCGACCATGAATGTAAACGAACTCTCGGAACCTTGGGAACTTGAGCTCAATAGGGTACAGGTTTGCCCGGGGCAAATACTAGGTACGCGCTAGCGCTACCAAAACCATGTGGGAGTGTTTCCCATGGGGCCGACCAAATAGGGTATACTACCGACATGCACAGACCGTAACAGTCCAGTCTAAGGCTGGGCAGTCCAGGGCGCATCCATGAAGCCGCTTATCTTGCTCACGGAAGCTAACAGTGGACGAGAGCGGTTAGCGTTAGTACGGTGTAGCGACAGGATCATAATCATTCCCGCGTGATCAAAAGACATCAATGCGGGAAAAGTGGCGTATTTCCGAGATGTATTTATATTATGGAACAGTAGAAGTAAGGTATTGAAGTAGTATGGATCCAGGGCTAAATTATGAGCCCGGCTTCTCCAACTAATGTAGCAGGGTTAAATTCGGGTTCGGAATCGGGATCTTTTCGGAATTGAAATTGGTATTGGAGTTGAAAACCCGGGTCACTGAACTTTTCTTTTTTTGGTATTTTTTCTTTCTTTTCATTTTACCCGAACCGATGTGGAGTATTTGAAAAGTGAATATATCATTGGTTTGCTTTCTATTGCCGGTCTTTGAAATCGGGGTTGCCCAGGTATAATATGTAGGGAGATGCCGTTGATGTTGTTCCCATGATCTAAAGGAAGAAAAGAAACTAAGAAAGAAAACGAGGCGTGGAAGAATGTACGCAATTCTTGAAATTCTATCGTTCTAGTGGATATTAGATCGAGATCCGGTATGCCCGTAAGCCCGTAAGCCCGTAAGCCCCGTAGTCCTGTCGCCCTTGGCCGTGTAGACCTAATTATGATTCTACATCACGGGGACAAAAGACCGAAGATTGGGCCGGCTCGGTACGAACTGTGACACGGGATGTTATCGGGTAAATGGAGTTTAACCGGGACTTAAACGGAGATTATTATATATTTTGTTACATTGCGGGGATCAGAAGTAACAAATGGGGATGTTGAATAGATTAGATTAAATAGTTGTATACGAGATGTCTAGATGCAGATGCAGATGTGTAGATGAAGTAAAAGATGAAGTCGGCAAGTAAGCGTTTCTCCACAACTCCGTACTCCGTAAAATATCCACCGGGGAAAAGTCAAAGGATCCACAGTATCCCCGGACGTTTCTAGGAGGTAACGAAAGAGTGTTAGTAACTATGGCTCCTCCAAACTAGACCTTCTACTGGACTAAAACTCCGAATCCCCGGCCTAAAGAAATGCGGGGTTAGCCGGGGTTCAAGTTGAACCAATGGTAACGAAGCCGATTCAGAAAAGTATATGTGAAAAAAAAGGAAAAAAGGAAAAAAAAAAAATAAGAAAAAGAAAATAGAAAGTCGGTCTATGGCTTACGCGTGGTGTCACCCATTAGCAAGAGGCCACGTAGGGTTGCTAATTATTTTCCAGCTTCGGATCGGATTCTCGTTTTTTGTTTGTGCAAGGGCCATGTTTGTTCTGATTTATGATCTCTGATCTGTGGTCTCTGATCCCTTGGTAGCATTCCAGTGGCAAAATGAAAATGAGGTCAGCTCAGGACACGGACCGGGGAGGTGACACGGTAAGTTTAGCCGATTTATGCTGATCTTGAGGAAGAAGATGTAACTTCCGGATAGTAGGAACGAATCTATTTCACCAGCGGGGATCCCCAGGTGCTCAGGGACAAATCTGATGAGTAAAGGGTAAATCTGGGGAGATTATGACCGAATTAGCGAGTTAGCGAGTTAGCGAGTAATATAATAAAAAAAAAACAGGATGCATAAACAGTGGAGACTATTCCTTCGGCTTCCCTCTTTTCGGCATAGAGAAAGAAGGGAAAAAGAATAGAAAGTCAGCCACGTACTCCGGATTACCCTTCATTCTCGTGCCGCTTGCCTATTCTGGTGTTCCCGTTTGTACTCAAAGAAATCAGTAGATGGAATGAGATCTGTCCAGCAAATAAACACTGCCGATCGGGCATGACTGGCGGGATTATCCTGGAAGTAATAATGACGGAAAGTGACCGGATGTTGTAGGATTGGTATTTGATCTGGGCCTGGTTTGAGACCATATAACTTCAGTGATACGTTTCACGGCTGCTTGTTCCCGTGGTCTAGCCTTGAAGAAAGAGAGTTGGATAGTGAGATAATATATCATGAGATCAAGGAAGAAAAGGATAGCTCGGGCCTCTATATAGGAAAGAGAGAAAGGGAACAGATAGGGAAGAAGAGCAATGATGTATGATGGAATAGGGAAGATGATGTGGATGTGGATGTGAGGGTAGATGTGAAGGTGAAGGTGAAGGTGAAGGTGAATATGAATGTGGATATGGGGTATGGACAACGTGGATGACATGTAGTATCATGTAATTCATCCGGGGTGATAAACTAAGTAGTAACGACGAGGTATGTGGTATAGAGATTCGGCTCCCGGGACATTGAACCTCCAACTCCACACACCGCGTCCTTGCATACTCTGGGCCTCCGCAAATTGCCCCAGTCTTCTCGGCCCCATCATTTTTTTTCTTTTTTTATATTCGGTGTTCTCGACTCCGTTCCCTCCCGACCCCAAGTTGTCCCGTCCCGGTGCCCCGACTTTCTTGACTTTTCCCCCACACTTCGCTCACGCTGTTTGATGCTTCTACTCCTAGCACCTTCTCAGGCTACTCTAGTATACATCTATCATCTAGTCTAATAGGCTGATTCCTGAATACTGAATACTAAACTCATGGATAGGGATTATCTTCCCCACAAATCAGGAATATCCCCCACACAAAACAGCCTTTTCCCCAGTTCTGATATCAGAAATTCTCTTTACCCCCCAAACCGACTGAGAAAGAACAAAAATACCCGAAATCACAGCACCACTTTCCAATATACGAGTCCAAGCTTCCCATCTCCACAGGCCGTGTGGGTCTGCAAATTCACATCATGCGGTCTAGCATTGCTTGTGCTCGATGCCGGCGCAGTAAGATCAAATGTGTCAATGCCGGCATAGATACGACCTGTCGCGCCTGTGAATCATCAGGTCGAGATTGTGCCTATCCAACACCGGCTATCAGCGTGGGTGCCACAAAACGAGATCTGGCTGCGTTGGTAGATGGGGATGATCGCAACGGAGACTGGGATGGACCGAAAAGACCTCGTCCACGCAAGACGAGCGCGATCACAGGCACCTCGCCCGGTGCTAAAGCTGGACTCGATGCGTTAGATGCCTTAATATTGACCCCCAAGGTCTGGGAATCCGTCTTCGACCTGTTCCAGTCGCATTTTGCGACCATGCTACCTTTCCTACACCCGGCAACCTTCCTAGGTCAGATTCGCCAACTCTCCTCGCCAGCACCACAATCCACCTCCGTTGTCGATGAGGCCGTACGCGCGGCAAATTCTAAAATAGAACCTTCTGCCTCACTCATCCCACTGGGAGTACTCGCATTGACTGCTCGTTTTCATCCGCCACTGGTCGCCTACCACTCACCTCCTTCTCCGGGCAACCCTCCAAATCCTCTCATCGCATCCGAATACTATGCGACAGCTCTGCGCAGCAGGCTGGCCGGCTTTGATGGCGCAAGTCTAGCAGTAGCAGATCTTGCACGAGTCCAGGCGCTATTAATGCTGGCCCTGCATGAGTGGGGCATGTCGCGTGGTAAGAGCGCTTGGATCTACGTTGGCATGGCTATTCGGCTGGCACAGGCAATCAGCCTCCCTTTTGAACTAGAGAATGAATTTTCACTTCGCGAGATGTCGCGCTCATCACCAGGCTTCAAACCCGAGGTAGACCACTTTGGTCTACCACGCCGCCCTGAATCCAAGGAGCAGACATCCGATGATGTGATCTGTCAAGAGACGAAGCGCCGCACCTTCTGGGCGTGTTTCATCCTTGATCGCTGTCTGAGCAGTGGCAAGTACCGGCCCCGCATGATTCGTGTCAAGGAACTAGGCATTCAGCTGCCTAGTGACAACGCCTTTGCATTTGGAGAGCGCGTACGTACATCCCGATTAAATGAGCCGACGGTTCGCCGTCCGCAGAGCTTTGGTTCACAGGGGGTGCAGATTCCGAGTATCCGTCAGAGTCTAGGGTTTGGCGATGAAAAGTTGTCCCCAGCCAATGGTACCCCGGACGGTAAGGCATGGTCGCCCATATTACAGCGCAAGGACTCGAGTGAGGATGACGTGGATCGGTGGGAGGTGGGCGCGGAGGAGTCGGTACTCAGCCGAGTGATTCGCATCATTCGTATATGGGGGAGCATTGCCAAGTGGTCCTGTGCAGGTGGTCGTCGAACCGAACAACATCCCCCGTGGCATCCCGAATCCCGCTTTGCTTCTTTACGAAGACAATTGAGCGAGTTCCAGGATAGTCTCTCCCGAAATTTACAATATTCGTCGCGGAACACCGATACACACATCATGTATAAAACGACTCTCGCCCCTTATACCATCATGCACGTGGTCTACTTCCTATCGGTCATCGTCCTCCATCGTGCATATATGCCATTCCTACCGCTGCGTTGCACTGAGCCTGTAGGGCCATTGGACGAGCCATTGTTTCCCAATGACAAGGTCAGTGGCCCACCCGAATTCTTTTGGCGTGACAGCGCACGGGAGCTCTTCAAGACGGCAAGACAGATGATCGATCTCATGGCGACCTGTCAAGCTCGCGAGGCCCTGGTAGAGAATCCGTTGGTGGGCTTCGCCATCTACAATGCTGCACTTGTCGGCATCTATGGCACCCACTACCCCCACATGGACCCAGATGGGCTACTAGGCGTCAAGTCACCGGTCAGCCACGACGCCCATCAGCCAATTGTGGTGCAGACTCGTAAAGCTTTGGATATCTTGCGAGAAATGCGGCCCCGTCTGAGGATGGCTGTGGGGTGGTTCCGCACTCTGAATCGTCTTCACAGCTACTTCAGCAAGGTGAAGCGTGACTATCGACGATATTCACGTTATCGACTGGACAGTATGTCGGATGCGTCTGAGCATGCTGCGGCCAATGGTATTCGACAGATCCGGGAATGTGGCTCTGGTGGCGGTCTGGATGAATTCAAGGTTCTTGAAAAGCTCTTCCTGGACTTTGGGTTGATTGAGGATCAACTGGTGGAAGCTGGAGACGATGAAACCGCAATTGTGATCACCGGAGACCTATTCCCTGAACGCACAAATCTGAGCGATGCTGGCAGCAACGCTGTCAAAAGCGACTTCGATCCTGGTGAACAGCTTCCTGGTGCTGGTGGTCGTCGTGAGTCGTGGGTACCCATCAACAGCCCTGGCCTATCCATACCAAGCCACGATAGTGACCGTCGTCCAAGCCTGCCCTTACCAAACACCACCCGCCCACTGCCATCCCAATCACCTTACTCGCTCCCGTCTCTGCAACCCCACCACCCAGATGGACCCATATATAATACCTCCTCACCACCCAGTCTGCCTTCGCTGTCAGCAACCACACAGTCTCCATCCCCGTATCTGTCTGCGACAAGCAATCGATTGCAGCCTATTACCTCATGGCTCCCATCACGCCCATCAGTACCGCCTCCTTCCTATCAATCTTTACCACCTATCAGCGCAGCCGGACACAACGTACCGGTCCTCCCACCACCAAATTCAGTCACTCAATTGGCTCCCTCACCGCCACTTACCTCAACGGAAGGCCCTGACACATCTCTCCTGACAACAACTCTTGGCGGAGATGACGTTCTAGCCCTTCTGGACGGAGGCGACTGGGCCGAGCTATCACTCATCCAGCCTTCCGAGGTCGGCATCCCTGCTGGCTGGTTAAGCACCATATGGTCCCAGTTCATCTCTTAGGGATACCCCAGTCTGTGTCCGCTTTTGACCCTTCCTTATATTACCCATGCATGAACGCCAGCATATTTTCCAGCCCGAAGCGTTGCACGTTTCGATGTATTATTATCCTCTATATCTTTTTTCACGACTTTTCTTTTTTCTGTCTGTCTCGCGTCTGTTACGTCTCACGTATCTGTACGACTATATCATTATCACTATGATTCCTAGCGAACCTTTTCTCGTCGCAACAAAAGCGGGGCAATGGCTTGGGTTGATCCTTTTATTTTGATTCATAGTTCGGTGATGGGCCTTTGTCACCTTTTTTCAGCCCTTATTCGATACCCACACCTAAAATTTCACCTGGAGGCAGGGGCGGCCTTTTGACCTGTTCTAGTCTGAAAAGTTCTGGAATGTTCGCCTTCTACATACCCAGGGATTAGTACCTTTCCTTGTTTTTTTTTTTTATGTTGTTTTTTTGGGAGGGGAGGGTTTATCCTCTTTTCGCAACGTTCTTTCTAGCGAGCGATTGAATACCTGGATTCTGTTTTGACGAGGAAGGACGTTTTATGAGCCATGCTTTTTCTAGCCAATTCATATGCCTACGTGGCTCAATTACTAGTCAATTTCTAGAGACTGACTCTTTAATTGCGTCATTCATTCCTATTTTTAATAGCCTTGGAGATGTAGGGTTCATAACTAGAGCCAATCTCCAACAATGACGGGTATACCTCGGCAATTTCTTAGCCTTCGGCATTTGTAGCCCGTGCAGACAGCCTAATTTTAAAAAACTACTCACGACCTCGGGTACCATGATGATCTCCAACTTCCAAGTTACCAATAAACATAAACATGTCAATAAATCACAGTAATTGAATGATCCTGTAGACTGTAGTAGGTACCTCAATATCAATTGATCTAAATAAATGTACTCCCACCTTGGCAATATAACCTAAATCTTTGCATATCAACGCACCTCCGCTTGTGTAAACATCGGCACATTATCGGGGACTTGCTCCGTACCATCCCTTTCTCCCTTCCAAGCAAACAATGCGTCGATGCGTCGATCCATTCCATTCCAGTCCGCATTTCCCACGAAACAAGTTCAAACCCCAAAGTACAAAGTACAAGAGTGAGACATGTGGAGTCCTCATTACCCCGAGGTCGGATTTGTTTGTAAGAAACGAGAAGAGAAGACGTGCAGATTACTCCATATACATCGGAGACATCGTCACCATCGCACCACATCATATCTTCCCCCTTAAACTTGGATCTTTTCCAATTTCCATTTACTCTTTCCTTACATCTATCCAGTTACCTACTTCCAAACACCCGGGGATTTATCCTATATAGAGCCAAAATGCACTTGGTTTCCCCCCTCCTAACACTCTCACTCCTCTCAACAGCAACAGCAACAGCATCACACCTGTGGGCAACGCACTACAATGGAAACATATACGCACTCTCCTTCTCTGGCAGCGAGCTGCAGCTCACAGACACGCTCAAAACATGCGGTGATATGCCAAGCTGGTTGACCTTTGACTCGCAGTCTCGGATCCTGTACTGCTCTAACGAGAATGGGACTGCTGATCCAGACTCGAACGGGTCGTTGACTGCTTACCGGGCTGGTGGGCAGGGGACTTTACATCAGGTTGCTGAGACTGCTACTGTTGGCGGTGGAGTTCATAGTGTTATCTTTGAGGGTGGGAAGGGAGAGAAGTTTCTTGCTATTGCGCATTAGTAGGTTATTGCTTTTTTTTTTCTATTATGATTCTGGTTTATATGCTGGTTCAAGATTCAAAAAAAGAAAGAAAAAAACTAAAACTAACTATAATATCAACAGTGGAGGATCGGCTTTATCGACGTTTGAACTTCCTATTCAAGACAATGTGCAGGCTAAGCAAGCTTTTCATTTCAATATGACTCATGAAGGTGCTGTTGCTCAGCAGGACTCGCCTCATCCGCATGGGGTGTACCTTGACCCTACGGGCTCGTTCATCGTCAGTCCTGATCTTGGCGCTGACCTATTGCGCGTGTATGCGATTGACCAAACGGGCCAGTTGGAAGAATGTCCCGCTGTGAATGTGACTTTTGGAAATGGGCCGCGACATGCTGTTTTTTGGACTGATGGGACGAACGAGGACGATACACGCACTGGGTTGCCAACACACGAACGACAGGTTGCGGCCGTGGGCAAGACGGTTTTGTACGTTGTCAACGAGATCGGAGGTACGATGGACTCCTTTGACGTGGCGTATGCCCGGTCAGGTTGTCTCTCGTTCCAGAAGACGCAGACGCTTGTCCCGTATCCGAACGACACCATGCCGGATGGTGCGACGCCTGCTGAAATTAGGTTGCTCGGGGATACGTTTCATGTTTCCATTCGTAGTGATCAGGCCTTTGCGCCGAATGACTCGATAGTCACGCTTGATCGGTCGCCAAGCAATGGAGCCGTCACGTTGCGAGATATTACTCCTTCATATGGTAAGGTTCCGCGCACTGTTGCAATCAATAAGGCTGGAGACCTTGTGGCTATCGGGAATCAGGCGTCGTCGACTGTGGCTATTGTTGAGCGAGACCGTGAGACTGGTGAGCTTGGTGACGAGATTGCTGTGCTTAAGGTTGGGGAGACTGGGACCGTGGGCACATCTGAAGGTTTGAGCAGCGTCGTGTGGGATGAGTAAATTGATATTAAACCAAGACCCCTGGATGTAGGGCATGCTTCCACCAATCTATAACAACTGGACAGAATAAAAAATAATTGCAGTAAAAGGTGCAGGTGCATAACGGGCATGTAATCAGATAACAAGCGTGCATAACTCATGATCCAAGAAAGAAGAAGAAAAGAAAACAGACAAATACCTCTCCAAAGAATGCATAAATGATCCAAGATGGTAAAAAAAAATAAAAAATAAAGAACAGAGGACCATTTAAAAAAAAGACCAGCTTCTTTTCGTGTTTTTGACGTTCGGAAACCTGTACCGAATTAAATTGCATGGAGTGGATGACCTCCTATTGACGCCGAATTTGCTGTCCTATGTCGAAGACGGGTGGTGAAGAGAAAAGAAAAAAAAAAAAGAAAAGAAAAAAAAAAAAAAAAGACCATATATAAAGCGTAAGTCATAACGGCCGTAAGACCCAGAGCTACTTGAGCTCAGATTACTTGAAGTCAAGTTGAAAAGCTTTCCACTTTCCTCCCATTATCCTGCATCGTGGACACCCTCGCGCACCGCTAGGATAGCTGGTAGGTCCCTGAGGTTGGAAGCTGTTCATGTGGCCATTGGCTGGACTGCGGAATGAGGCCGGCGGACTTGATATGAACATCCCAACACATTCGCGACAGACTCCACAGATGCACTCTGTACAGGCAAAGCATTCATTCAGAGCCCAGGGTCGCTTGCAATGAGCGCAGTATATATGAATTTCTTTGTTGCGATACGAGGCTGGTGTTGGGTTGGAAAACCGGTGATGCTGACGTTGCAAGATTGGCGGGATGAGATTCAGGACTGGACTGGAGTCAGAGTTGACGGAGTGCGCAATTCCAGAGGCTGAGAAATTCTTTCCTGATGCCGAGGACATGGAGTCGAGAGACGATTCAATTGACGGGAATGGTTCTAGATCACTGTCACGACTGCGTTGACCCTCGTATGGCGGGGGAGTAAGTGATTTGTGTAGAGGCGAAGCAGCATAGAACGGGCGATGCGATCCAAATTGGCTTAGCTGTGATCCGAGTGATGGTAACCCTCCTGGCTGGAAAGCTGGAGGTAACGAAGACCGATTGCCAGGTCCAGATGGGACAGAAGTCACATTTGCGAGAAGGGGAGCAATCGTCGGAGAATGACCAGCCTGGGCAAAGAGTCCATATGTCAGTATTCCTCTTACTTCCTATATCAGGCGAAAGCAATTACCTCGGAATAAGGTTCATCATCTGCTTCTGTGGCTGAGGTGGCCGCCTCAATCAGATCTTCCCACCGCTTGCCCTGTGCCCAAGCTGCAGTCTGCGGCTCTGCAGAGAGCGCCTTACGGTCACCAAGACTCGGTCGTCGAAGGAACTCCTTAGTTCTAGGTCGTTCATGTTTGGGTTTTCGGGCCGATTGCGAGATCGACGACTTGCGGGGCCGAGAAAGCTTTTCTTTGCGCTGAATTGGGGGAAGGGTAGAAGAGCGACCGGGTGGCGAATGATTGAGAATAGACGGAAGAAGTCCCCTGGGACGAGGCGAAGAAAACGGAGGCAAAGTTTCTTGCTTGAAGTGGTCACGCAGCGAAGGAAGCTCAATAGACGAGCGCATTCTAGCTTGTGTAATATCGGTATCTGAGTGGGTATCCTGGGGATCGCGGGGAAGATGATGAGCGACTGGGTTGGAAAAAAAAAAAAGAAAAGAAAAAAAAAAAAAAAGGGAAAGAGATAAAAGAGGATCCATACCATATCTGTATCCCAATCCGAAGCTAAACGATGGTGGTGCAATTGAGCTAGGGCAACTGCAGCTGTAGCCGCAGCCGGGTGGGGTTCATCTAGAGCTCGAGGGGTGGCCGGGGAGCTGGCATCGGCAACATAGATGTCTCTATCCGCTAGATCTGTAGGTAGCCGGTTCAGTATCCTGCAAGAAGAAACGAGACCAAAAACTGACCATGACGGCGTCTGGGCTGAACAGGTTCTTGAGGAGAAAGATGTGCATGATTATCAGGAGGGCTGTTGACCATCAGCAGGAAGCTCTCTTCCGTTGCCGGGAGCTTCGGGATGTAGTGATTCGGATGCGCACGCCGGATGTGCTCCTGCATAGATCGATAGCGCTTTTCCTGTTGAACCGGCTCGTTAGATTCATTACATATGGAATATATAGATTTTTTTTTCCCCGTGGTGTTAAGTGGAGAGCTCAAGGCGAAGTGTGTAGTAATTGGTGAGGGCTTTTTTTTTTGGCCAAGACGCCCGGAAGAGGGGTGAAGAAGAGAAACTCACTCCCAGGCATCGCTTGCGACAATTGGAACCATCGTTATTCTTCAAAGGACAGACCACTTCATTGTTGGCATCTGTGACAGAGAAGGAGCTCGTCAACGAGCTTCGAGGAGGCATGGTGCATATGGATCTCTATCTCTCTTGGAGTGGGGGTTAGAGAGGGAGAGAGGGGGTATAGGGAGGGGAAAGAGGGGGGCAAATGAGATATGATAAGAGAAAAAAGAAAGAAACGCGGTTTAAGGGAAAAAGGTCGAAGGCCAGTATTGGCACATATGGAGAAAAGAGAGAAGAAGAAAAGAAGGAGGTCAAGTAGTACGGGAGTACATGATAGGGACTCGATCCGCCATGATCAGTAGTGTGGTGTACCAAGTAGCTGTGGGTAATGTGTATGGTAATTTACCAAATACTCGGAGGTTTAATGGTTTTTTTTTTTCTTTCTTTTTTTTTTCTTCTCCTTCCTCGCCTTTAATTCCATCTTTTATAGCAAATAAATAAGAAGAAAAAGGATTTCGGTCATGCGGAACTGAAAAAGAGGGGCTTTGGTGCCTGCATAACATTTCTAAAAAGGATTTCGATGGAGTACTCGGTATTGAGTAGTATGGTTAATCTCACTTGTTATAATCTTACCCGGAAAGCTCGGTAGGGAGCTTGAGCTTATGAAAATTCATTAGTAAATCAATAGTACCTTTTTAGATACTAGAATCTGGAGCTTACCCTACCAGTATCAAAGTGGGTGATAACAGCTATCAGCGGCCCCTCATATAGCTCTCCCCAGAGCTTGAGATTTCAGAAGCTTTGAAGGAGGAGCTCCGGGTCCACGGGTGGCAAATACATTAGCGTAATACATGTATTTAACCGGGATAGATTTGATTCTCCGGTACTTGCACATAATGTAGTAACAATTTAAAGTATTAAGGTTAAATACAAATACGAATGTATCAATCTCCAACACTAAAGGTGCTATCCTACTAGAGTAATATGGTATGATACTCTGTATATTACCTACGGGATATAGCCATAGCCGGGCCACATGCCGATAAAGAGCATCCCAAAGCAGTCTTGGGCTTTTATGATACGTTCCCAATTCCCTGTATCTTCATTGGTTAAGCATCCCTTTTTACCACTATTCCGCATTCAGATAGTTGTGCATGTTCTTCAAGAGGAAGAACAGTCTAGAGTAAGAAACACAAAATACAATTCAAATCAAGGCCAAGTCATGCTTAAAGTATATCAAAAATAGATTAGACATTGAGCTTTGTTCTTCCTCTCATCCTAGACTCTTCCTAGACTCTTCCTAGACTCTTCCTAGACTCTTCCTAGACATGTTTCGGAGTGGAGATCTGACAAGGTGGAGCTTGGAGCGCTAGGTGGTATTTACTCGTAATCTCGGTTTAATCGGCTCGGGCGTACCGATAAGGGTACCTCCTGCTCTGTAGCTAGGTATTTAAATAATATGGAGTATAAGTTTTTAAATTGCTGGGGTTTCTATCTGGTATGCTTTATATATTAGGGCTAATTTGGAAACTTGAATCCAGCATGCCAGCTCTGATCCTAGTCTCTACCTTCTAGTAATTCTTGAATTCTTGGATCCATTTGCCACTGACCAGGGGTTGTATACGAGTACGTCGTACGTTGTACGGAAAAATCAGTCGTTTGACCCTTCAGTACCCTTCGGGACCTAGATCTGGATCTCGATTGCCAGACCCGGTCCCATGGCCTACGACCGCCCACGGTACTACCTTCTTTCTTATTTCAGACCTCTTCAAGTGGAGGTGTGAGCATGCCATTGTGTATAGCAACCTGAACTTTCTTGTGATCCTCGCCCGCAAAGAATAACAGCACAGCTTCCGCCGCTGCCTTGGAATCATCGTCATCTTCACTGCCAGGCACGAAAGAGCGCTCGATCTGTTCTAGGTAGGATGTCACTTTCAACGCCGGCCAGTTCCCGCGCTTTGCAAATTCAATACACAACTCGCGGTTGACAAATGTGTCAAACTCGAAGTGGCCTTGGTAAGTCAGGATTCGGCCGGGGTTATACAAGCCCTGGATAGAACAAGCTGCACTGCTTCCTATGTTGATCCATGGCACTGGAAGGGGGATTTCGGTCTCGTCTGCCACTGTGGCAGTCACCGCCTGGGGAGTAGGAGCCACGATATCGCCATGGATCAGCTGGATGCGGAACGGCCTTTTCGACGCCAGGGGTGGGAAGTTGGCCGTGAAGGCTGGATTGAGCGTGATGGGATGAATGCCCACTTCATGGCCCTCCACCGAGCGCTCAACATGGAATGTAGAGCGAGGTGTCTTGTCCGAATTTTCAGCAAGCAAGGCTTGGGCAATCACCTGATGGCCGAAGCAGGAGCCGAAGATCTTAACAAGAGGAAACTGAGCATGCAGCGTTCGAATATAAGACTGTAGCTTCTTTACCCACGGGTACGGATCGTACGCTGCTGCTGCAGACCCAGTAATAAGGATCGCATCAATCGCGCTAGTCGGGCCACCCGCACTGATCTCGTCTGGGGAACGTGGTACGGCGCGCAAGCATTCAAGCGGCGGTAGTGACCCACCGACCACGTCAAATGCTGTCACGTAGACACTCAGCGGGCCATTTTGTAGCTGGATGTCTGATTTATTGATACGCTCTGCTGCTGACTGAAGCAGTACACGGAACTGCGAGCTGTAGAGACCACGCTGAGCATATACGGAGAGACATGGGATATCTGTGTCTAGCACGGCGATATGGATCTGATGCGCCATGTGACGGTTGTGTGAACCTTGCGGGGAACGCCTAAAAGATAAAAAAGATGAGAGCAAACCTAGCAAAGGATGGAGGGGCAGAAAGTGCTTGATGCGATAGGGTTGGTTTCTGATACCTGATAAGGATGTGGAGCCATTGCCCGAACGGGAAGCTGAATCCCTTTCTACTAGTCTGACTCGAGGCCGTACGGGACCGAACAAGAACATGCGGTATCGGTGTAAGTATTTATGATAATCTGGGGAGTCCGAAATAATCTCGTCAAAGAACTCTTGTGCCTCAGGCCGTCATTCAACGCTAGTCAACCCTAACTACTTACCTAGCTTCGAATCGTATTTAGCTGACTACTTATAGAATCATGTTATTTAACCTCAATATTCTGGAAAAATGGAATTATTTCTAGACTGATGTCTTTCAATTTACTACTTAGACATCCATCAGACCTATTTTAATCCACCTCGGTTATCCCGGCTGTCTACGGATACTGTTCACTGTTCAGTATAGGCGGCGATGGTCAAGTACTCACTATGCAGGTGAATAAGGATGATACTATGCACATCTATCGGCCGAGTAATTACAACCTGGCCTTGGATCCTTGACAATATTTGGATGTAGATTTCAACGTCTCTAATCTAACGACCACATTGATACCTACTACACACCATTGTTTTCAATTTAATTTTAGCAGGTAATCAACGCCAATATTTTAGCCCCATCAGATACCAAATGTCTAGTAAATGAAGGCTTCTATTTATCTACTCAGTATTCTCCGAAACTTCGGAGCAAAGCGATCACAACATCGGCCTCCGCAGATTGCGCCATCATGACCCAACTACTATGTGGACGCACTCCCAGATCCATATATTTGTATATGGCTCCATCAATGAAACAATATTTTCTAAATTGTCCTATAGGCGTGAGGAACACAGACCTCGCACGCCATTCTCTCCACCAAATTTCACAGCAATAACGAAATTTCTTAATTCTCAAACTTGCACCTCTCGGCCGGTAACAATAAGTAAATATACTTAAATAGACAATATCCCTTTTCCAACTTTCCTTAGAAGGCTACTCGGCGTTTTCATCCTCTAAATATCCGTACTCCCTCCCGCAAGGAAAGAATAAAGGCTTCATCATGGCTACAGCCACCCTCCCAACCGCACCTCACAACCTGGCAGGCTCTGCCCCACTAGACGTTTTCCCCGATGGATTGAAAACAAGTGGCCAACACGACCCTCTCTATGAGCACATCCAGCCCTTCGACAAATTCCCACGCGAAATCACAGGCCCAACCGTCTGGAAGGCAGACGACTACCGCGAACGTCCAGAAAAGTGGACCCATGTGTTCACGGCAGATCAAATCGCTGAGATCAGCTCAGCAGCCGATGCATTCCTCACATCCAAGACCCCGTTGACAGGCATCTCAAAGAGCAACTTCAACCTCCCCAAGTTCTCTAGTTACCTAGAAAGTCTGCGCCGCGACCTGATCGACGGCAAGGGCTTCATCCTATTCAAAGGCTTCCCCGTCCAGCTATGGGGAAACCACAAATCAGCAGTAGCATATATGGGTCTAGGTACCTACCTCGGCTACTTCGTCAGCCAAAATAGCCGCGGCCACGTCCTGGGCCACGTCAAAGATCTAGGTGAAGACTCAACACAAATAGACAAAGTGCGCATCTACCGTACTAACGCGCGGCAATTCTTCCACGCCGACGACGCGGATCTGGTCGGCTTGCTGTGCATTACCAAGTCTCTTGACGGTGGTGAATCGGACCTTGTCTCGGTGCATAATGTTTATAATACTTTGGCCGTTGAACGGCCGGATGTGCTGAAGACTCTTACTGAGCCAAACTGGTACTTTGACCGTAAGGGCGAGACGAGCAAGGGCCAGCAGGAGTGGATCCGTACAAGCGTCTTCTATCTTGAGCGTGGAGAGAACCCCCGCGTGTACTCGAAGTGGGACCCCTATTACGTTCGCTCTTTGACCCGTTTCTCGGACGCAGGCGTCATCCCTCCACTTAGCGACGCGCAACAGGAAGCTCTTCGTGTTCTGGAGGAGACTTGCCAGCGACTTTCACTGCATATGATCTTGGATATTGGAGATATCCAGTTCTTGTCTAATGCGCATATTCTGCATGCCCGCACTGCTTATACCGACTATCCGCCTCCTGCACCGCGTCGCCACTTGATGCGACTTTGGCTTGCTACGCCTGAGAGTGAGGGCGGTTGGAAGTTGCCCTTCTGGGATAGTAATGAGAAGAAGCGTGGTGGAATTCAGGTTGATGACCAGGCACCTGTTGCGCCGCTTGATGCGGAGTAGATGTGCATGTGGCATAATGTGATAATGTGAATTTTCTAGTTTTCTTTTCAAATAATACCTCATCCTTTTCAATTCATTGAGAAAAAGCTCATCAGTCATATTGGGTATTTGAAATAGACCAGACTTAACGCCGAATTAAAAGATGCTAACTAAGCCTGAACTCCTCGGGTCCTTGAAAATGAACCCGCTAATTTAATGCACAACCTTGTAGTTACCTCCAGCTCCCATGGTCAGCTTACCACGAGACACCATACCAGCAAGAAACTCTTGCAGTTCCTCATTGCTGAATGGGAATCCGCCAGGAACGACAATCTTCAACATCATGACGATACGCTCCAAGGGCATTGAGCCCTGGTTCGTCAGCATGCCGACAATAAACTGCCAATAAAGATTCATCTTCTCCGTAGCGGCCGCTTCGGCGGTTTCCTTCGCCGCGGCCACGGCCGCAGCTTCTGCTGCTGCGGCTGCATTGGCTGCCTCGCCTACCTCGCCTTCTTCATCGGATAAACTGGCGATGCCATCGACTGCGTTTTGTTCGCCTTCGGCAGGGAGGAATTCCAAGACTCGGAAAATGTCACGGTGAATTTCCTTGAGGACGCGCTTGCCCGTCCAGAATAGGCATGCGCTGCGGACGAGGGGAGCTGCCATTTCCAGTTCTTCAACAAGGGAGTCGATGGTCCGCGTGACCTGCTCTTCAGTTTTACCGTGAAAGGCATAGATAACGGTGGCCTGCCAAGTCGTAACCTCTTCGATGACAGTGCGGTCGCCGAGCTTCAACTCAACGGTTGCCTGGCCGAGACTGTTGCGCCATTCCAAGTGGCGTTTGGGCTGATTTCGTGCGAAGATATTGCTGAACTGCTCCTGAAGGGCCGTAATCACGCCGGGGATCTTGTACGGCTGGTCTTGAATCTCAGGCCAGAAAAAGCGGGACAATATCTTGGAATGGAGGTCTGGAATACCATGACGGCTTTTGCGCCTCGGTTGGCGGAGCGTCGGCTCTCGAATTACCCATCCTGCTACGAAACGTATGTCGTTATTCACACGTTGGGAGTATTCCATATCTCCCAACATAACCTCACATGATTGTAAAGCCGAATCACCGAACCGAGCCTTGAGCAGGTCCAACACCTTAATCTCTAAATCGAAATTCTTCCGATTCTGGAGCAGACGGTCACAAAGGAGGGTCTGCAATTCTTTGACAAAGACTTCCTTGGAGTCGAAAATGCTGATCAGGCTGTCAATAACATCCAAACTCTTTGACTTGCGATAACCAGGAGCTGCATCGATGGGGTCTGGCATCCAGTGCATATCATGCCAGTCTGATCCACTGCTTATTTTTTGTTGCGATAGCTCATGTGCTTTGGTAAGTTCGGTCGCCAGTTCTGGTAGCGTGTCGGCTGCGGTAGGTTCGTCATTCCCATCAGTACCGCGTGGCTCCGTGAGAAGGCCCCCAACGATCATTTTCGCAGTATCGACACGGTCTCTCAGGTATCTGCGAATCGGCCGAGCAACACGGTCGATGAGGACGCCCTTCGGATCTAAGACGTGAAAGGCACGGATTATTGCAATGTACAATTGTAAAATTTCAACAGTCGAAGCGCCAGGGTGAAGCAGGCGTTGGTTTAGAGTCTGAATAAAGGACTGTGTGATATAATACCGGGCTTCTGGGTGTGTCGCGAAGTTTCGCAAATCTTGTACAGCCCCTAAACTTGCGGGCCATTCTACAATGACTTCGAAAAGTTCACTAGTCCGAAGTTGACCGAGACGGGCAATAGCGGTCGTCTGGAACTTTTCGATATTACCATGACCCACGTCCAGGGCCACGGACAGTTGATTTGTCGTACCTGGAGATGGTATCATAGCCATAACCTGCGCCGCGAGACGTCCAAAGACATTTTCAATCCAATGACGCAAGTGTTGCTCAGCTGAAGATGGCGCTTCCCATTGACCGGTGTATGCTGCACGAACAAAGTCTGTTATCATGATGTTCATGACGCTTCCAAATACTTTCTGTGCTCTGTCGTGACCCAATCCTACGAGCTGAAGACTGTTTGTAAAAGCTAGAAGCCGATCTCGTGCCATAGTGACACGATCAGGCTCGCTCTCAGTCATCATACGTTCCTGGACATCCACACTTGCCTGCCTCCAGTCGATGTAAGAGACGGACCACTGTCGGTCCACTTCCATCTCATCCACGTTGATGAGTGGTTCATAAAGGCCAGGGACCAAGGTATCGATACCCAAGATTACAAGAGAATCTTGGGCAAACTCCCCAGCCAATAACGGTGAAATCTGTGTCCATGGCAAGGTATTTGATACTAACGTGTGGAAGCTTCGCTGCAGGCCAGCCAAACCTGATTCTTGCTCGGACCTAGGAAGGAGTGGCAAGAGATGAGGAACGACAGGTGCCAAATAGACCCGATAAACCAGTTGTAGACAGTCCACAGTTGTCCGAAGCAGACCTTCTCTGTCGGGGTTGCTCATAACCTGAGTGGTCTTTATTAGCTCTAGCCTCGCACAGTAAGAATATATGAGAAACTTTGATCTACCTCGACAAGCCCATCGCGAACATTCACCAGAAAATGTCTTCGGATCTCATCACCATACCAGGAAAATAGGCACGTTGCACTCAGAGGTTTCGGGGGACTTGCCGACCGATCGACAGCCATAAGATACGACAGGGCTTCAGAATCCTCGCCGAATGGGCTCAAACGGTTCCACTCCTTAAGCAGTTCATTTCCATCAGTCCCTCTGGCTTTGAAGATCGGCAAAAATCCCCGATCAGGAACAGACAGGTAGGCAGTTGCTGAAGACCAAGCCTGATCCCATTTTTGGCGTCTATTTAGGTCTGATTCATAGAATGACTCGAATTTGATCGTAGCATTGGAGCCATTTGATGCAAATGAGAGGGCAATCTGTTCGTCTTGTTCCCAAATTGTAGACGGCGGCTGAGCTAGAAGTGACGCGGGGGAGAAGACGGAGTCAATCACACGTCGGCGCGCATTGAGGGAGGGAGTGGACATTGTGGTATCTAGGGTATTTTCATGACTGGGAGTAGAATTTGAAGTCGAATGCCTTTTGGGTTGGGGAATTGTAAGCTACTTTGATTGCTTGGAGTTTGGATTCGTTGCGAGTTGACGCGTGGTCACGTGATGTGTGTTATTGCACTTTTAGAACTACGTACGTCACAAGTCGGTGGGCTCATGAGCACTAGATAGGTATGTTCTAAAAGCTGGTATTCGAATCGTAAATATTTAATACTTCAGTAGTTCAAATTCAAATGTTATTTAGTGGGTACTTCACTAATTATATAGATGTAGTGTATCTATTACATAGCTATCTGCTATGTACAGTAAAGTCGACGCCGACTTGTAGGCAAGATGGAGGGGAATCAATAGCGATTTGTTCCGAGAGGATCTGGAGACATTCTAAATTCAAAGAGATGCAGAACGAAATGGGAGATATTGTCGTGTCACATAGGACGTCATGTCATCAAAAAAAAAACACCGGGTCCATAGAAGACACCACCAGCTTCAAAGATCCACCAAAATAAAATGCTTCACTTGTCTTCAACTTTCTCCCATTCACTGTCTGTGCTTCCATATCCAGAACTATCACCACCGATACTAGGACGCTTTTTGGTATTTCGCTCAACAGGTTGAAGACTCGACGATGTAGCGCTGCCTGTCGCGACGACCGGGGACTTGGATATTTTCTTTGGTAGTGGAATAGACTCGGTTTCTGTCTCGCTCTCAGCTCCCTCAACCACAGAGTCCTTCTTGTCTAGCACATGCTCTGACTCGGCCCGCTTCTTCTCAGCCTCCTGGGCCTCCTGGGCAGCTCGCACTTCCTGTGCGAACCAGTTGATCGAATACCATAATCCCGCCGATAGAACCGACAGAGCAATGAAGTGCACACTATGTGTAGCCAGGAGGAGGATAAATAGGACGAGCTGAAGGGCTGCAAACGTGGCGTTGGTTGCGATCAACAAGGTCGCGGTTGGGCCCGGTGTGAAAATGCTGGACCACAGGTCTTCCATGAAGGAAGCCATGATTTTGGTAGAGGAGGGTGCGTAGGATGAGTTGGCGTCGTCGGAAACTGAAATCCGCAAGGCTCAGGGCTGTTGATACGGACTGTTTTCGTGTGGGATGATAAGTGCTGAGCTCCACTTTCAGCAAAGGCGGAAGAGAGGGGGAAGTATCACGTACATTTTGAAACGACCTTAAAGCTGGAGCGAGTCGTCAATAGTTCCAGGACTGGTTAGTGTATTGTATGGCTAGTTACTAGTTATGGAGAGAGTTGTTTAGTTATCACTCAAAACGTACTAGAGTTGCAACTTGCGGGATCCTTCACCGACTGAACGCCTCCGGATTTTCGCATACCCTTCTGACCAACCCTTCTGACCTTGGTAATCTACGAGTAATCTTGCTCAGAATCTGCAAATTATTAACCAGCCTTGATTCTTTGAATTATAGGCTATCTATGCAATACGATACTTCGACCCGAAAACTAGGAATTTAGAAGAAACCCGTGTTCCTGCTAAGCCCGATCTATAGATCACGGACCTCGGGAGTATGACCTGATGAAATTCCTCTTCCTAAAAGTGTTCTTCAAAAGCAATATCGTTCCTCATGGGGCCATGAATGCAGAAGATTGGAAGTATCAGGATGTTTTCAGTGGGTGATTCAGTACAGTTGCCTGCTTTCCCAGCCTGAGGCATCTAATCCCAACCACCTATATGAACTTCCAAGTTCATTTGCTGTGGCATAATCATGAAGAAGTTGTCGAAGTTACCTAGGTATCACAATTTCCATACTATTACGCATTGTAATATGTAGGGAAGGTATACCTTTATGATATACAGGCTAAGCCCAGTATCATCGTTATTAATCGGCTTAGGAAACACCGCGGCCGTTCAATGACCTCGGATAAGGTACAACCTTGTAAGAAAGACCCATGTCTTCCAAGCTTGCTCCTGAAACCCCCTTCTAGGCATGTCCACCTCTTACAAGCTCGCCTCGGGATGAGTGGAAGCAGACTAATGATGCCAAGGTTAGGGCTAGTTGCTAGCCTCTGGACATTGAACAAAACCTTGGAATAAGTAGTAACCTTGGAATACGCACAGAGTACACACATGAAATTCACTCAGGCCTCTCTATATCGGAAAAAGAAGAGATGTACCCTGCGGAATATGCTGATCACCCCACTTTTTCCCCATGTTCCGACTCTCTGTCATGACTATCAACCCCGCATTCCGTCATTTTTCCCGAATTTGAACCGGAGAGCAAGGCTCAAGCCTCGGATTTGGCCCGACTATCCAATCATGGTGCATTTTTTTAAAAAGAGTAAATTTTATAGTGAGGTGACGCCGGAGAAAGGAAGAGGGGTTACGGGAGTAACCTTTGGAACTGTAAATTATAAATGCGATGGGAAGTCTTTAGTCAAGTTCACTGGCAGCAGTATAATAGTTGAGCATTCATATTATAAACTTTGAACCTTTCGACTGTACAGGAGATAACCTTTCTTGTGTTCTGAGAATGGCAGACGAATTAAATTCCAAGAAACTCTCACTCGATGGCCATGGCCTCTCTCACCACACTGAAGACATAACAGCAGACAGAGAACCATATGGCCCACCTGGTCTACAAGGGCTGGTAACTAACCCATTCGTGTTGATGTGTGCAGCATGCTCGACACTTGGTGGTTTGCTCTTTGGCTATGACCAGGGTGTTGTATCCGTGATTCTGGTAATGGACCAGTTTCTAGAAGAGTTCCCGCGAGTGTCAGGTTCAGGAGCTGGGTTCTGGAAGGGACTGTTAACGGCCATGATCGAATTAGGTGCACTTATCGGTGCATTGAACCAAGGATGGATTGCAGACCTCATTTCTCGACGGTACTCTATCCTGGTTGCGGTGGCAATCTTTACCGTTGGTTCGGTTCTGCAGACTGCTGCTGTTGGCTATGCTATGTTGACTGTGGCGAGATTCATTGGTGGGTTGGGCATTGGCATGCTATCTATGGTTGCGCCGCTATATATTTCAGAAATCAGTAGGTTATGCATTTCCGGGCCCCCATTTCTCGACCTAATTTTGCATGGCGAATGGCAATGGATACTAAATTGTGTTTGGTTTAGGCCCTCCTGAATCCCGGGGAACATTGCTGGTCCTCGAGGAATGGTGCATCGTGCTTGGAATTGTCATTGCATACTGGATCACGTACGGCACACGGTACATGGCTGGTGAATGGGCCTGGCGTCTTCCATTCCTCCTGCAGATGATTCCCGGCTTCGTTCTTGCAGCTGGTGTAATGATCCTTCCCTTCTCGCCTCGGTGGCTTGCTTCCAAGAATCGCAACGAGGAGGCATTGCAGAGTCTCTGTAGATTGCGCAATCTGCCAGCATCTGATAGACGCATTCGACAGGAGATGTTGGAAATTCAAGTGGATGTTCGCTTTCACCAGGAGTTAAATGCTGAGAAACATCCAAACCTGCAAGGCGGAGGATCAAAGAACTCGATTCTTCGAGAGCTTGTCTCTTGGGTCGATTGCTTTCGAAAGGGCTGCTGGCGACGAACTCATATCGGTATCATGATGTCATTTTTCCAGCAGGTACGACCCAATAGCTCTGCTTTTCGTCATTTGAATATTATATGCTGATCATACTATAGTTTGTTGGTATCAATGCCCTAATATACTATTCACCCAGTCTTTTTGGAACAATGGGCCTTGACACTGACATGCAGCTGATAATGTCTGGCGTGCTTAATGTGCTTCAGCTCGTTGGTGTTTCGACAAGTGTGTTCACCATGGATACTGTCGGTCGTCGCAAACTTTTGATGATCGGTTCGGCTCTCATGGCAATGTCACATATCATCATTGCTATTCTTGTTGGTCTCTATAGCTCTGAATGGTCAACACACAAGGTAGAGGGCTGGGTTAGTGCGGCTTTCTTGCTATTTTATATGATTGCATTCGGTGCTTCTTGGGGTCCTATCCCTTGGGCAATGCCGTCTGGTATGTTCAACTCCGACTATCTTTGAATCAACCTTGGAAGGTGGCTCATTATCGTGTTATGGTATTAGAAATATTCCCTTCTTCTCTCCGTGCCAAGGGTGTGGCCCTATCGACCTGCTCCAATTGGCTCAATAACTTCATTATCGTCAGTGCAAATCTAAGAAGACTCTCAGTATAAGTTCACTAACCTGGTTTCAGGGCCTCATCACTCCACCTCTTGTCGAAGACACAGGTTACGGTGCATATGTATTCTTCGCCGTTTTTTGTGTGCTTTCCGGTATTTGGACTTACTTTTTTGTGCCCGAAACGATGGGGCGCTCTCTGGAATCGATATCCATGATTTTCAAAGACAATTCTGGCGGGCAAGAGATGGAACGGAGACGTGCTATCGAAGCCGATTTAATTAGTGCCGAGTTTATATAGTTGCGGAACCTAAACTCTGGGTAATATATGGGATTCGGATTTACAAACCCTTGGAAGGATAAACAATTGTTCATAGACGGACACTACCTAGGTAGCTGTATGTAGCAGATTTCCTTAGAGATGTTAAGCGATCTGCGGTCAGTGACCGCAGATCGCAATCGCAAGTCTTTTTGCTTACTAATACTGATCGCAAATTTGCGATCAACGATCCTTAGATTTTGCGATTTTGCGATCATAGATTTTCGAAATTTGTGGTCAGATCGTAGATCGCAAATTTATTATATAATATATCACGCGATAGTAAAATCTGTTTTTCGAACTCGTTTCTAAGTAACATTTTAAAAGACTAGAGATGGCTTCAGAGAAAAGGATAACCCGTGGAAATGGGGCTGATCCAGATGGGAGATTTATTATACTCGTTAATGGGTTTGAGGATAATGAGGAACCTACTGAGAGTCAAGAATCTTCCCTAAATAAGCCCCTAAATTCTTATAAGTCCCTTACATTTCAAGAGAGAGCTATCGATTCTCAACCACAACCTACCCTATCTAATTCTCTATTCTTGTTTACTAGAGAATCCTCTAGTGTGAGTACAAGACCTTCCCAACAGAAATCTTAGCCTTGGTGTTACCAATATCTATAAGCAACTATAATTAAGAGGATGTGAAGGGCTAATACTAATCTTGAATGCAGAACTAGTGATGCCGACAAACTGTCTTTATTAAGCTTGAAGAGAAGAGAGAGAGACTAGCTATGGACATATGGCAATATAAGGGATGCGGGTGCGGGAGGTAGACATGTGCATGGGTTGGGTATGGGTTTGAAGTAAAACCCACAGCCCATAAACCCATCTTTTTGCCAAGACTTTTATTTCACGTGATATTTGTCACCTAGTTAGTACTAGATTGAGGCAAAAATTAGGCACTAAGGCACCAATTACCCTAATTAGGTTGAAGCGAAAATCAGGCATTAAGGCATCAAAAATACCCATATGGGACCCATACCCAACCCATGCACATGTCTAACGATTCCTATCGAAATCCTCTAGATTCCCACCTACATAGGTATGCCTAGTAATAAGAGCGCAGATGTTGAATCAAAGTTGGCTGCGGAGAATGTTATAGGGACGGAACAAGGTTTTCCTAGTTCCGGCCATACCTTAGGAACCAGACTGTCGATCAACTACGTTGAAAGGACAGGGTTCACACGTTGCACTATATATACTGGAAAAGGGTATGGTTCATCCTAGATTCTTAGTATATACGTTGTGCAAAGTGGTGTGAAATGTGTTCGATTCATGTAGCTACTTGAGTTCCTAATATAGTTGTTCCCCCGTGACTCGGGGGTCTGTTTGTTCCGTTCCGGGTTTATGGTATTGCACGATTGCAATATCCATGTTCCGACACAGACTAATGGCGATCGCAAAACACGAGGTGCGGGCGTATATAAGGATATAATAGGCGTGGGAGTAGGCGAGGGAAACGACTGGCAGACCGAATCAGAGACTGATGAAGGCACTAGAGAAGAAGAATCTACGGAGATTCGAGGGGCTGCCGAAGGCGTACTCCGCAATAATAATCTAGATGCGATTAATGCGAATTACTCTAAGGCACTTCCTCTTCAAGACCAATAAAGCCGACTCGGACGAGTGTAACTACGGAGAAGGGTCTTAAATGCCGAAACACGTTCTCCTGCAGTATCTATTATACGCGAGCCTAAGGAGGCGGATGTTAACCAAGATCCGGGCACGGACGGACTTGGATGTGAACAAGATAGCCGACTACGATACATTAGTATCGAACTCGTAGGCCACCCGCTATATGGCCAAATTCATGATCTAAACAGGTCTCCTTAGGTAGTTTAGATAGATAGACGCTGGATCTGACTCTGAAGCAGACCCTGAATCAGATGAAGACCTAGGCTAGAGGGGATTACGACAACTAGCTACGAATAGTGTAGCGTGGTGAAGACGCTAGGTATCAGGAACGACAATACCGCGGCCTACCAAGAGGCCAAGGACAAATACATCGACAACTTCAACGAACAACAAAAGGACTGAAACAAGGGGAGGAGGATGCTATGAAGAGGGAGAGGGGAAACGAAGGAAGCGGGTTACTGAGGGAGACCTACGGATTACTATACATGGAGGGCGTTATGGTTTAAAAGAGGGATTTCGGTTCATAATGGCACGACGCCATATTTCCTTTGTATCTACTATCTTGACATTCTGGCGTTTAGAATACTCTCGTTTCCGCCGGAGGAAACGCCTGCATAGCCATACGCTACTAGTTAGGCTGCATCAGGTTAATAGAGTATTGATTGATTGATTGATTGATTGATTGATTGCAGTTCTTTTGCTCGGCTGACCTTCCCCTTATGCATCTCATGTTAGATGGTGCTCGCGACTAACTAATGCAATTCAATTCACACCCGGCCCCGCTATCAGTACTTTAATTTAAACCCTTGGAACATTATGACTCCACTGTTCGGTACTGCATCCTCCAACATCTATTATAATAAAGAAAATATCGCCGTGGGAAAAACCAGCTCATTGCTATCACTGCTGCGACTCTATTCGTTTACGACCTAGCGGAGTCTTTCTTGATTGCTCGAAATCGATGGAAAAAAGAGCGTCAAAGTTGAGTCTCCAGGAGAAGGCCATATGTGGGCACTTATTTGGAGACAACCATAGATGAGAGAGATATGCATTTGTGTTTCCCCTCATTCACTCCGCACTTCTCGGAATCCAGCCTGTTATTTATTGGTCAACTACTAGCTAATCGGCCCAATTGTGTTCATTTGATCTATACCTCGGACCGAAAATACAAGCTATAGCTCTTTGTAGAATGCCGGTGAATAATTCCTATGCCCAGGTGGAAGTTTTAGGTATTGTCAGTAGCTCGGTCAATAATATAAGTGTGATGGTTTCCTTTCGTAATGTCATATCTTATACAACTATTTGCAGTGTATTGGGATTCTCAAATTCTCCCCTTCCAAATTTCCTCTCAACATTCACCAGACATGGACTACCCATTGAAATTCCACCTTCTTTGGGTTGGGATCTTGTTGATTAGCATTCGGCTTCTCACAAATAGATTCAAACGTGGACTCAGCGACATTCCTGGGCCCACAATAGCGAAATATACAAGGCTCTGGAAGTTATACAGTGTCTGGCGAGGTGATCATCATACCGTCGCCATTGATCTGCATCGCACCTATGGATGTCTCGTTCGCATCGGCCCAAATCATATATCGGTTGCGGACCCTGATGCAGTCCCTATAATATATGGCCTCAATAAGGGGTTCACAAAGGTATTCTTTGACTGAAGACGGAGTCACTTCATGTGTTATATGATCTATGATAAACTCACAATATTTCAAACTTAGACAGCATTTTACCCCCTCCAATCTATATCATGGGAAGGGAAGACTCAAGTGAATCTTTTTTCCACTCGGGATGAAGATTTTCACCGCAATCAGAAGCGACAAGTTGCCAACGCATTTAGTATGAGCTCCCTTCTTGAGATTGAAAGTAGAGTGAATTCATGTACAAAGGTGTTTATGTCCAAGTTGCGAGACTTTTGTATGCAAAAACGCCCCATTGACATGGGGGTGTGGTTGCAGTACTATGCATTCGACGTTATTGGAGAAATTAATTTTTTCAAAAAGCTAGGGTTTCTGGAGGAAGGACGGGATATAGATGGGATGATTCAGACCATCCAACGAATCCTCATTTATGCTGCTTTGTGTGGCCAGATTCCCGAAGTGCATTATTTGCTGCTTGGGAATCCACTCATCTCATTTTTCATGCCGAGTATGGACAAATGGGACCAAGTCCTTCAGTTCACATTAAAAACAATGAATTCCCGCTCGATGTCCAATCTCAATGGGGAAAAGGCCGAGGACAAGCAGAATGATGGCAAGGATATGCTTTCTCGTTGGATGAAGATTCACAAATCAAACTCCGAAAAGCTTTCTACTCTGGACATAATTGTGCATCTTTCGGCAAATGTTTTTGCTGGATCTGATACAACTGCTATTGCTCTACGAGCAACTCTCTATCTTCTCTTGCATCACCCAGTGGTCATGGACAAGGTTCAAGCAGAAATTTCTAGTGCAGCATCCGATCAGAAGCTCAGTGATATAATATCTTACCGCGAATCGGTAACACATCTACCATATTTGGGCGCAGTACTTAAAGAGGCCATGCGACTGCATCCATCTGTCGGACTGATCCTAGAACGTGAAGTACCAGAAGGTGGGGCACTCATCAGTGGGAAGCAAATTCCAGCAGGAACTATCGTGGGCATCAATGCGTGGGTATTGCACCAAAATAGTCAAATATTCCAAGACCCAGAGGCATTTCTACCAGAGAGATGGCTTGATAGTCCTCCGGATGCTTTAAGAGAGATGGAAAGGACTTTTTTCTCATTCGGAGCCGGATCACGAACGTGTCTTGGAAAAAACATTTCTCTCTTAGAGATGCACAAAATAGTACCTCAGCTACTACGGGATTTTGAAATCAGACTACATAGCCCAGAGAAAAGCTGGACTACAAAAAACACCTGGTTTGTTCAGCAGCAAGATTTCATCTGCGACATCAGAGAAAGAAATAACATGGCATGATCTAGTTTACTGATAGATTGAGAATTTTGTCAATTTTAAACATGAAAAAAGTGCTATCATAAATATAGGCAATGATTGAGTACGTAAAAACGCGTCATTAAGTTGCAGTCGTCTCACTAGCAGATATATCGTTATGACGATCAAGGTCTACCAACAGGCTTTTTGGACAAAGAGCTCTAGATAGACTAGACCGAGTCACATAATCCAAATCATGCGTCAATGTCATAGTTTTATCAGGCCTCAACATATACTCCGGCACTGTCAGTGAAGCGTCCTTTTTGATCCATTGCCAGCCAGTTTGACCATCACCACGCGATTCTTCGACTACATATCCATTCAGCGAAGCTGGAGCATAGTCGGACGATAAGTGGGTCTTTTTTATTCTAGTGATCGGATGGAAGGATTCATGAGTAGTTTGAGTGCTCGTATTATTCCCTGGAATTTGAGGATAGTTGCCCGGCATACGGTCCAACTTCCCTAGAGCCCAGAAGAAAGTCCCTCGAGAGAATAAAAACAATTGATGGGGATGAAGTAGATTTCGCTAGCGACTGTATTATAAATCTTGACAAAAAAACAGATATCATGATAAATGGTTGTCTTTGATGAATCTAAGTAACGAGGCGTATTCTTGTTGCGGAATCGAGACAGGCTTATACTTTACTCGTCTTAAAATTTGGCATTCCAGACTAGCAGTACAAAAAGAGCACTATAAAATGAATATTCTTTTATTTTTTTTTCTCTACAATACTTGCGGTCTTTGGACACACAATGGGTAATTAAGTATGATGGATTAATTGAAGTGAACATGCAACATTGAGGCTTTAACGCCTCCTCAATAAATTAACTCTTTTTCTTGATGATTCTCCATGAATGAACGGTCTTTTCAGGTCTGAATACTGTCAATAAATCCGTCAAAGAATGTGATTTTTCATATTTCATTGTCTACTCATAACACACAGAAAAATGAGTCATTATCGCCTCCCATATATGCTAAGGAATCTACTTACTCGCAAAATCCATACTCGTTACTCATTAATAGGTAGATAATTGTCTTTCAGAGTTGAAAAAGAACTCGTTCTCTTTGATCAGTGCGCAATATTTGACTGCTCTAGTAATGTTCATTATTTGATACCATAAAGTCTCCTCAATTTTTCTCAATCCCGCTATTTAAGATATCTTGGACTTAAATTCAGATCATATAAATAACTTCACTCTACACCCTAGACTTGGAGATTCTAGAAAAAAATTCATTTTACTCTTTGCTATGTCTTCCAAAGTACTTCATGCTGGGATTTCAAAGAGACCAGATCCAAAAGCACCGAAAACACCGAAAACGCCAAACAAGCTTGATCATATTAAGCATTTTATTGATCAGGATCAGGATGGGGGGAACTTGTCCCAAGAGCAGGATAAAGGGGCGAGGGTTCAACCCTCCAATACCGATATTCCGGGCCACATCCAATCCGGAAATTTCAACGAGGCCCAACATGCGGGAGAGTCAGTAGCCCAGTCAATCGAGCCTCCAGATACGGAAATGGAGGACAAAGATTCAATTTCTCAGGACCCGGGACAGAGTAAAAAGCCAACGCCGGAACAGGCCAGTCAGCTGCAGCGCCATGAAATAAAACCAGCTAGTCTCAAAGATAGTATTCTTGACGATAGTGAACTTTTGGCTGACCTGCGCTCGCTGTCTTTAAATGAGGACAGTGATGCAACTGCAGATGGTTGGGGGATCAGGAGAGGATCTAAGTTTTGCATTCTCCAGTATGGACCGCGTCAGCATGCTATGTTCAAGGCAAAATATACATAGGGATACAACACTAAGGGAATGCCGAGCATATCGGACCCCGAGCTGCGCATTACCCAGTTGAGATATAAAGATGATCAGGGAACAAAACATTGGAAACACTCGCGAGAAAACGCGATGGGCATCTATGGAGTTGCATTCGAAGAGAGAAAATTTCCCAACAAACAATACAAAACAAACCCTGCTGTGTGGATAAAGATTAAGGTTAGGTTTTTTTGTACCCAGCGCTAAACTATATTAGGCCATCACATGAGAGCCAGATGTACCCTGTTTTTTAAATGGTAATCCTGCGTTCCAATTTCTTAGTAATCCCCATAGTAATGAGTAGACATGTGCATGGGTTATGGGTCGAAATTCATACCCATACCCAACCCAACCCATACCCATACCCAACCCATACCCATACCCATACCCAACCCATACCCATACCCAACCCATACTCATACCCAACCCATACCCATACCCAACCCATACCCATACCCAACCCATACCCATACCCAACCCATACCCATACCCAACCCATACCCATACCCAACCCATACCCATACCCAACCCATACCCATACCCAACCCAGCCCATATGGGTATTTTAGTTGCCTTAATGCCTTAATAATGCCTTACGCTAGTCTGAAATAGAGCTAGTTTACTTAGCTAATTATACATTATAATGCATGTAATTTTTGTTGTTTTAATCAATACCATCTATAATTAAAATTCAAACATTCAAAATTTGATTCTAATAACTTAACATTAACTAGAACTACCTTCACCAGCATCACCACCACCATTACTATCATCGCTAGGTGGAGGGGCGCCACCACGAACACGAGCAGCTTGTCTTTCACGTCGACGTTGTGCTTGACGCCGACGTTGTGCTCGAGTTGGTGATCGAGCTTCTGGTAGTGGTGGTCGAACACCATGAAGTGTAAGATAAGCCTCAGCATAAGCATTCCATAAAATACTAGCTATAGTAGGACGGACGCTATCAAGAGATGGAGCAGTTGCTTGATTTATCTGTAATAAAGCTGTCCAATCATTTTGTAGGGCTATCTCCCAAGCGTGAAATGCGACCGTTAAACGATCATATGTTACTTGTTATATTGGGGCTTCAGTCGCCATAAGTTGACGAAAGGCATTATCATCAAGACCATCATATTCATCACCACGACCAGGACTTCGACGGATTGTAGTTATTGGTAGCTTATTTGAGGTAATAAATGGAGCTACTTGTGGGGGAGCAGGTCCCCGAATGCGATGCTGATAAGGGGTTACCGCTGCTCTTAGAACATGATCCCGATAGAAATCCTCACCCCACTGCCGTTTAAAGGAGGGATATTTTTGACTTAGAGAAAATTAGATATTAGTATGATCATAGTTATTATTAGGGAATATGAAGGTATAACTTACGCAAGATAACTATAGACGTCGGCGAACTGACTAATATCGCTCCCGATTAGGCTGCGACCAGGTTCGGCAAGAAAATAGGCGTTACGCCAGTCAGTACTCACCATATAACGCGCGAGGATTTTGTGTGAGTCCGCCCTCTCCTTAAGATATTATCACTACTATATCTAGTAGTAAAACTGTCATAGGTTAAAAGAATACCTTGACAAATGATGTTTAGTGTAGGATCAAGAGTGGCACTATATAAGTAGAACCTGCGTATGATTTCTTGAGAGCGAAATCATTATAGTCTTTTGGCTCAGTGGGATGGACGTGGACGCAGGCACGATCCCTTCACACTCTTGGCGTTCGTGGCGTGCTCAGCTCTACTCAGTGAGCAAAAAGCGGCAAGCATTGAGCACTAAAACAGAAGGGGAAAGCCAAGAACTGGGAAAGGAAATCCGCTACGTAGGTAACATCGATGTGGTATCATAAAAATAAGCAAACTTAACAAGTAATCCATATAAAGTCCCAGCACCTGTCAGGTGGAATAAAAATATAGAACAGAATCGGAGAAAAGCGCCTTAAATAACACCATGACGCGCCTTAAAAATGGATATCTTGTCGTCATCAAAAGGTATTTCTTGGAGTTTGAACTGGGTGCGAGAAGAACAGAGCTCATCTGGCTCGTCATCGTCGTCGGAAATATCACTTGATAAAAGCTCCTGGTTTTGTTCCGGGGTGTCATCATCGTGAATAGAGCCATTGCCAAAATCGGAAAGATCATCATCGTTGTCGTCATCATCAGGATCTGATGAGTGTTCATCATTAGTAGCATCTTCAAAGTCCGGGTCGGATTCATGAGAGCTACCTTCAAGAATCTGGTAGCATTTCTTTTCGAGACCAACGTAAGCGATTTTGAGCTCTGCGCGGATGCTGACAATGTCAAGAACTTGTAGGGCAAGCTCTTTCAGGTCACGATGTACAGATTCGCGGATGTGAGGCAAGTATAAAGCACGGAGCTGAGACATATTGGGAAGCCGCTGGAGGAAGTAGTGCTAGATAAGGGGTTAGCTTGAACGAGACGTGATTTTTCTGAGCTGAGGATGGGCGGAGGGGAAAATTACCCAGTCTCTATAGTGCATTGCCATTCCAATTTCTTTCAATTGTGGCATTCGCCCACTAGTGACAAATGCTATCATTTCGTGATTCAACATCCACTTGTGCCAGTGTCTGTCAATACTGAGAGGATTATCACGCCTATTAGAAGCATCGATCAGAATCCTCCGCAAGCTCAGTCGATGCTTTCGAATGATGTGCCGGTAGATGGCTTCGATCTGCACAGTTGATTCGTAAGGCATTGCTTCATGCAAGAAAACACTTTCTAGTGTATTTGGAGCGAGAGCATCTTTGATAAAGAGCATCAGATAAGGTGACACAGTGTCTGTTCTTAAATGCTTTATATTGAGCGAATAATCATGCCCACTATAGTTGGCATGGCTGTGGTCTCCATTTTGCAATCGTTTTGGTAGCGTTGGTGGTGGTGCATATTTCCGACGTAGAGCTCTCCAAAGCTGTTCATGGTCCTCGCATTGCATGAGAGTTAGAGTGGTGAGTCGAGTCCAATCCAGTGTGGGTAATAGTGAAGACACAGAAAGAGGCACACGTTCCAACTCAAAGACCTGAAGGTTAAGCTTATCATTGTTGGGCTGAAAGCGATAAACTGGCTGAGGGGAGGAAACTTTGGTTTTAGGTGGTGATGTATCATCTCGAGCCGAATCAGTGTTATTCAAATTGACATGCTTTCGCTTTTTAGCAAAGGGGTCTCCAGTGAGGGAGTTACCTAGCATGTCATCTGGCTGTGTCGACAAGTTGGGGTTTGACGAGGCTGTAGGAGTGTCATCCGAAGCCGGGACATCACGTTTCGTGAGAATACTGAGAATTCCACCAATTCTGGGCCAATCAAAAAGGGAGTCTGAAGACGCATCATTATCCTTTGCACAAAGAATCCAGGGTGAAAGGTGAGCCTTCTGCGCTATTCCGATCCGCAATTCTACCAAACGATGACGAGATCGTTCAATAAGAACAGCCATCTCCTCAACATAAGCCTTCTCATCTATATCCAGCACCGCCACATTTCTGAGTGGTGGCAGCACGGACAGGGAAGGGTGTTCCACGTGCTGGTAATTCCGCAGACGACTTCCGGTCGTTGTAACAGTCGAAATGCGCGCCTGGTTCTCTGAATTGTCGTGCCAACGAACCCAAACACGGTCCAAGCGACACTCGTGATTTAATCGGTCTGCTAGTGAGCCCAGCGCAAGCCAAATTTCACGGACAACACCCGTGGGCATATCCCAGATAAATGCCTCGAGGTTGTCCATTCGAGCAACGGCCAAAGCCACCAACGTCCCAAGCATTTTGCCAATTTCCCTGTTGACAGAATACTCCTGAACCCAGATCAATGGACCATTACCTATTGAAAACGTGCGAGTATACTGCGCATAATGATTACCTCGTCGTGACGAGAATCCCGTGGAAGTCTGCTTTTTCTGGGTGGCTTTATTATTTCCTTGGCCGGTACAACCACAATTTGAACATGCATTCGCCGATTGGTCGTCTCTGGTGATTGGCATCTGATGAAACACATCTTCTCCCATCACCAATGTTGACAAGCCGTAGGATAAGGCATCGACTCCCGAGTAATCATCAGTGGGGTTTAAGGACTCCGGCCAGACGATATCAAAGCGCGAGTACATGTGCGGAACAGCCAATCCATGGAGGGTGGAGCATGTCAAAGCAAGAGAGGTGAGGTCAGTCGCATGCGTTACCTATTTATCGCGATGATCTGTTAGTGTTTTGTAGCATTGGGATGAGTTTAATAGAGCCAGGACACAACGATACCTCCTTTATTATATCCCTCAAAACGTCCAAGGGTAAGTCAAGGAGCTGCATGGGAGTTTTGGCTATCGATAAGCTTGGTCTGGTGAGGATGGAAGCTCTGGTGGCAGGTGTGGATGTCCGGGACGCGCTTCGAACGGAGCTCCCACTTGAAGATTCCTGCAAACTGAGCTTTCCGAGTGCAGAAGAGAGATTTGATCTAAATGTGATATCGGGTTCCATGGAGGCTTCAATTTGGGTGGGCTCAGTAGAGACGAATTCCTCGTCAGAAGATGAGGCAAGATCGAAGCCTGTCTGATCAGCCCAATCGGGGATTTGCGTCATTTAGGGGGAGGAAGGAAGGGCTTCTACGACAGAGCACGGCGGCGGTGCGATTTCCCAATTCCAATTTATCAGAAAGTCTCATATTAAAGAATAGAATAAAAGCTCTTGGATGCTCAGCATCTAGAAAGTAAACAAGGAAAAGTCTGGGGTCTGGGGAAAGGATCACAGTGAAGCTCGAGTTAGCGCGGATCAACCCGTCGGAGCCCCATTATTTGTCTTACCGCCTTCATGTAAACACTAGCTCATCTAGTTAGTTAATGGTTTCTATTATTGCTGCTTCAAGGTATGACTTTTACAGTCTATACGAGGATGAGAATTGGCTAACCCATACTTTATATTGGAAGACTTTAAGGTTTCGTTCATCTTAGTCAATGACCAGACCATATGATGCCCAGCCATGTAATGCCTAGAGTCTAACATTTGTGCTAACACAAAAGAAAATATCACGGCATGAACTGTTCATGTTCCACGAAAAAGGAAATAGAATTGACACCCAGCATCCCAGGTTCCTTCATTCACAGCTCCGTTTCCAGACTACTCATTGGTGTTGTACTTGCTGTAGTTTGTCGACGTAGTGGAGAACGGGTCGATAAGAGCCTCCACTAACCAACGAGTTAGTTACGTATGGCCCCGCTTATGTAAGCACTATTCTACTGTGGTAACTACTGTGGTATGGCAGTGTGGTCGCGTTAGTGTGGTACTTCCAAGCCCCACTATAGAGCTAGTTTTCTGCCACTTTTAAATACCGCGTATTGTATTTAAACACTAATATTACACACAATATAATAAATTACATACTATTCTATTCAATTCAACACCGTTTATTCAATTTAACACCATTTATTCAATTCAACCTAACTACCCTAGAACTAGAACTAGAACTTGGTATGTCCACCATGAGCTGCGATAACAGCTTCACGCCTCTACTTCATCAGACCAATCTGACGCTCTAGGAACGCCCCTGGCACCGCCTCCCATGCCTCCTTTACCACCTCACGCAGTTTATCATATGTTAGTTTTATGTCGGTTTGGAGGTAGTGGTCTCCAATCCAGTCCTTCATCCAGTTCCATATCTATTCGATAGGGTTTAGATCAGGAGAAAAAGCTGGCCACTTCAATAAGCGAACTCCGCGGCCACGGAGTTCGTTTACTGTCGCTATAGCTTTATGGCCAGGAGCGACATCATGCATGAAAGAAAGATCAATCCCATCCATACTAGCCAACTTTACCATACCATCTATAAGAGGCACAATCCTCTCACAGTATCTCGCAGCATCAATCGTACCCCATTATTTCTCCCAAAACACACAAGGTCCCTTTTTAGAGCCATAAAAGGATCCTCAGAACAACCGCAGCAGCCCTGGAGATCTGACTGACTAGTAACTTTGGTATCTAAATATTTATTATTTATTTAGATAACTAGTTAGCTACAGAAAGCTTTTTATGTCAGCTATAATCCTATCATATCAAATGTTTTTGAGTGTTATTGAGTGAAATTTTTAGAGCCACTTAGGCATGGGAACTGAGTCTATAGACTCATCGTGCTACGTACAGTCCATATCTGGAAATTTGAGGAGTTTTTAAATACATAACTAAAGAACACTTCAAAATATTCAACAAGCTCATTTTCTGGACTTCGGGAAGAATATGGCAAGCAGTAAGGGAGATCCATCAAGTACCTACGATTATAGACAACAAGGCTATGAGGCAGGCAGCAAATCAGAAATCTAGAGAAAAACTTAGAAGTCTTCGAGCGACTTTGCTTTTTTCGAGAATTCATAAGTGAAGCGCTATAACGGCTCTGTATACCCTTAGAAGGCACTTCAGGCCCTGTAACTTTCCAATGTTTTTTGACACTTTATACCGCCTACTGTATGTAAGATGTTCTATATCTCTTATATAAAATCGATTTCCAAAATGACGGGATGTAAATATTAAGAACACGGTTTGAAACAAGCCATGCTCACAGCAAATCTGTACTCCAAGGCGGCAAGATCCCCTATTCGTTGCCATCTGCATCCTTGAGTCTATCTAGATTGATTGCGGCACTGATACAGGCAAGATGACTGAACGCCTGAGGAGTATTGCCCATCTGCTCTCCCGAAATAGCAACTTCCTCAGAGAACATACCGAGGTGGTTTGAGTAAGATAGGACATTGTCGAAATGAGAGAGTGCAAGTTTCCGGATGTTTGGAATAGGTACATTGTATTTGGCGGCCTGTATAGAGAACGCAATTAGCAGTTGATATCTCGGTGACATTTTGAGTACATACACGGGCCATGGCTTCAACAAGCCAGAAAGTAACCATGATGAAGGCTCCTTCGGCTCCGCCCACACCTGTGAGCATGGTCAGTAGAAATCCGAGACAAAACAATTAGTAAGGATCGTGTCACGAACCATCATTGGATTTCTCGTGATTGTACCGGAACACCATCTTAGCGCTCGATAGGCCACCCTTCTCAGGGCTTTGCAGGATTTTCTTCAAGGTGCTGATGAAGCGCGGGTCGTTGGGTGCAATAAAGAAGACCAAGGGAGCAATTAGAATCGATGCATCCAAGACGTCTGGACTCTCATAGCTCTGTGAAAAATGGCCACGCTCGGCATTGAACCCTTTGGCCATAATTTCATCATAGAGCTCATCGCGCACCTTGATCCATGTGAAACGGTCTGGACATGGCAAACTAGTACGTTTCTCTGCGAGACGGATTCCGCGGTCCAGTGCCACCCAGATCATCACCTTGGAGTATACGAAGCTCTGAACCTCACCACGGGATTCCCAAATAGACATGTCCTTGTGGCTTCGCACGCAAAGAACATAGTTTACCATGCGTCGGATGGCGGTCCACTGATCGTAGGTAATCGGATTTCCACATTGATTGTACATATAAACGCTGTCCAGAAGTTCTCCGTAAATGTCAAGTTGCGTGTGGAATACAGCAGCGTTACCGATGCGAACGGGCTTGCTACCCTTGTATCCATCAAGGTGGTCTAGCTCTACCTCGGGGATGTCACAATCACCACGAATGGTGAACATGAGTGGCAAGAATGGTCTGTTGTCCCCCGACTCAATGCTTTGGGCGGCATGCGGGAAAATCCGATCAAAGATAAAGGTCACGTAGTCTTCAGCCTCATTATTGTATCCCATCTTCAGGAAGACGTACAAGGTAAAGGCTGTATCGCGCACCCAGGAGTACCGATAGTCCCAATTACGGGCCCCACCTATGTTTTCGGGAAGCGAGAAAGTAGGCGCCGCGATGATCGCCCCTGTCGGCTTGTACGTGAGAAGTTTCAAAATCAGCAGGCTGCGTTCAACGGTCTCACGATAGTGACCACGAAACGAGCATTTGCGGGTCCAATTCGTCCAGTAGTCAGATGTCTCCTCTTCCATCATAGAGAGATAGGCAGCCATGACCGCTGAGCTAGGCACGCACTTCTCGGGACTATGCAGCACCAGATGCAAGGTCTGTCCCTCTGACAGGAGGATCCGAGCTACTATCCCTTTACCCTTTAAGCCTACTCTTTCTTCCAGAGAAAATATCACCTTGGGATATCCAAGCTGGTCAGGCTCCCGAGACTCAGCAAAAATCTCAACTGCCAATCGCTCCGTGGCACTTTCGAAGTGAACGGTCTGCAGCGGTGATTTACCCAGATCATTCTCCAATCTGGCACGAGTATTGTGTGGGTCTCGAGCGTAATTAAAGGCAGGAAAAACTTCAACCAGCAATTCCATAGTGCCACGACTGCACTCCAATTTTCTAATCAACCCCGAATGCTGCAGCCCTGACTTGAACCTGTTGATGCCAGGTTCATTGCACGGACAATAACCCGACAACATACGCCCAGACTTTTGAGCATCCTTTATGGTTGTCACTGGGAAGTAGTCCAACATTGTCACAACGCCAGCTTCATTGGTCCATCGTGTTTCGAGCAAGTTTGAGTATGGCAGATACCGCTGCTTGTTGTGAGGTTCGGTAGCAGTATCATTCGGCCTCACGGAGAAGAAACCGCCTTTCTCAGCATCTAACAAGCGACAGAACACGGACGGAGAGTCAAAGACTGGCCAGCACATGTAATCCAGGCTGCCCTGTTTGCTCACCAGCGCACAAGTATGCATATCGCCGATGAGACCATAGTCTTCAATGGGGTTGTATGTTTTTTCCGTAAAGGGAGGGAGAGGAAGAGCCATAGCAGTAAGGTAATATGTAGATTTCAGCAATAACGAATTATATGGTACTAAATCAGTATAGTTTGGCAGAGGGTCTCAAAGATGGACAAGATGGACAACAGAAACAGCACATTATTACCGAGCCACTTTTGGGGCCTCTGGGTGATATATGCTGTCTTGAAAGGCTGGTAATAACGACATTATGATGATCATGTTTCAATTGAGGTAATTTCTATTCTGTTTTGTGCGCGGGGGTCGACGGGAGGTGGACACTGAACTTGAAGGTACCTCGTCATTATGAAGGCCTTGGGTGACTGGAGTGAGTGAACAGTGACAGTGAGCACCAGGATATCATTATCAGACATCTTCCAGACCGAGGTCCACTGTGGATGAAACGCCAAAGGAACCGAGGTCCCGGCTATATAAAGTGTCAGAGATCGAGAATCAAGATAACATTGGAAATTTGAAGTTGAGATAAGGCCAGAATTACTTGTGCTGTTCATTGAGGTCCCACTTCCCAGATTTAGTAAAAATCTGATCAATATGAGATCGGAGGTTAGGATCCGCCAATAACAGAGGATGAAGAGACGTGGTTGTTGTACAGAGTAAAAAGCCATTTGGACCCCAGATCGATTAGTGGAGACAAGTGTAAAAGTGGATACCATATTCAGCCAATGAGAATGATTTTATCAAAATAGGGAGAAAAAGGGCGAGTCCACTTTATTTCCATCCATTCACTCCTTCAGGCTCTCCTTCTCTTCAAACGTCACTTACTAACCACTTTCCTTCCTCTCCTTTTAACCTTTTTAACTTACCCATTCCTTTTTCCACATTCCCTTTTTGGTTTTATTGAATCTAGGAAATCAAACCTTTTTCTTCTACCCTGGCCTTCCCATATCCCTGAAAAAAAAAAAAAAAAAAACAAGACTGTCGCGTGCGAAAGTCTCGGTCGCTTCATGGGGTACGCCTATCTCCATTGATCTCATTCCTTCTTCTCCGATCAACTTTTAAAATACATCACAATTCCACTATGGGGCTGTCTGCCGCCAACAGCCACCACCGGAGACGAAGTTCGGTGCTCACAGGGGCAGGCCATTCTGCAGCACCGGTCTTTTCGGAGCGGAGGGATGAAAGTCTCCGCGCAGGAGAGTGGGATGAGCAGGAACCTTTAACGGCCGAGGACACAGATGCGTCTGAATTATCAATGACACCTATAGAAACTCACGAGTTAGACATGAGCTCAGATGAAGATCACTACGACGAGGAAACAGGTCTCACGGCGCATCAGAAACGGCAGCGACGGCGAAGACGCAGGCAACGCAGGAAGTTAGATGCTCGCATTGCAGATGGCAAGTCTTCGCGATATGCCATCTTCCAGCTCGGTCTGGCTGATCGCAATGTTTTAAAGAGGCTACTTTCTAACTCTGGACTGATCCTGTTGTGGTATTTCTTCTCTTTGTCAATATCTATTGTGAGTCTTTCCCTCTACTGCTTTGCGATAATCTTACTAATTGATTACCGCAGTATAATAAGTGGATGTTTTCAGAAAACGATACCGTCTTTCCTTTCCCTCTCTTCACCACAAGTCTACATATGCTCGTCCAGTTCACTTTATCCGGTCTTATACTTTGGATATTTCCATCCCTGCGCCCTCAACATCCCCCAGGTTCCCCAGCGAGATCCCCGGTGGATGGCTCGAAGCCAGAACCAGTGCTCTCCAAATTCTTTTACATCACCCGACTCGTACCTTGCGGAGCCGCAACTTCTCTCGACGTGGGCCTGGGTAATATGTCATTGAAATTCATTTCCCTCACCTTCCTTACCATGTGCAAATCATCTGCACTCGTCTTCGTTCTCCTTTTTGCTTTCTTATTTCACCTCGAAACCCCCCTCCGTAAAGTTGATCTTTATCATTGCCACAATGACGATCGGTGTGGTAATGATGGTCGCTGGAGAGACTGCATTTAATGCCCTCGGTTTTTCGCTTGTCATAGCCTCTGCCTTCTTTTCCGGTTTCCGATGGGGTCTGACACAGATTCTCCTCCTTCGTCATCCGGCAACTTCAAATCCTTTTTCTACTCTTTTCCTCCTCACACCTGTCATGTTCTTTTCTCTCATATCTATTGCACTCGCCGTGGAGGGTCCTGCTGAGATCCGCCAAGGTTTCCTTACTCTCGCCGAGCAACGTGGGACTTGGTTTGGCGCCGGTCTACTAGTGTTTCCGGGCGTTCTCGCTTTTTGCATGATCTCTTCGGAGTTTGCGCTTCTGAAGCGCTCATCAGTCGTCACATTGAGTATTTGCGGCATTTTCAAGGAAGTCGTAACCATTAGCGCAGCGGGTGTTATCTTCCACGATAAGCTTACAACGATCAATGTAACTGGATTGGTTGTAACTATTGGCAGTATTGCAACATACAACTACATGAAAATCTCCCAGATGCGCACTGAAGCTCAAAATGCTTCATGGAGTCGTGATGGAACCCCCGATTCCGACAGTGAGGATGGCGAGCCAAGTGGAGGGGAACACGGCGAATACAACCGAGTTCCAATCATCGAAACGGAATCGATCAAGCCCAGCCCTGCACCATCTGGTCCGGTCACTGAAGATTTGCAAATGGGTGACCGACGCTCGTTCCGCGTTCGTCCAGGTGGTGCTAAGCAAGGCCTCAAAATATCAACAACCATTCCCGAGGACGATGGCCCTTCATCTCCCCTCAAATCAGCCCCTCCAACGTTGACTAAAATGGCTGAAACCGTTGAGTTCCATTCTCATCCGGCTCCTGGTCGAGACGGTTCACCCGACATCATCCCGCCTATTCGATATCATACCCCAGGTCCTCACTAGTCTTATTCCTACTTTCTTTTAGAGTTTTTCTCTTCAGTCCTCTCTATCTATACGCCATCTCGTAGTGGTATATTTGTCCGGGAGCCCGCCTTGGGTTATCCCGAGCGTGATGGATAAAAATCCATTTCAGGAGACCAATCTTCTGATATTGCCGCGCCATTATGTTTGCCAAATATTTTATGTAAATGTTTTCTATGATGATTGCCTTTGGTTGACCTGGAAGATAAATGTGGCTTTTTGTTTCTTCCTTGCATGCGCGGCTTGACTGATACCATCAATTCGATTCCTTCTTAGGAGGGGCCCTTGGGCTTCATCCATTATCATACAAATACACTTCTCCGTTCTCCTTATTCTTGAAGGCTGTCTTGCCCGTCACTATCATTTCCCCATTGTAGTAAGGTATAAGTAGGGAGTAACGCATTACTTTTTACCACCCTTCATCATATCCGCAAGACTTTTCTGGCCCTTCTCCTTCGCTTTCGCCCCCTTTTTCTTCTCAGTCTCAAGCTTCTTACTATACTGTTGCTGATTCTTTTCTCGCTCAGAGCGTCCTTCTTCCGAGAGCTTAGCCTCAAGAGCGCGGAACTCTTCGCCCTCAGCATCCATTCCAATAAGAGACTCCAACAGCTTGATCTCTCTCGCCCAGACGGTAGGATCAGCAACTAGGGCCGACGCACTAGCCTTCTTAGCCTTTTTCCTCGATGGCTCGTCACCTTCATCCTTAATCTCGTTTGCGGGTCTATCGATTGGAGTTTCCAGTACCATGGGCAGCCCCTCGAAAAGAGGCTCATTCATGACATTGTGGAAAGCACGGAGTCCGAGGAATCCAGTGCCAATATTAGCGTGTAGATCGCGTTTGCTTCCAAATGGAGCTTTGGAGTCATTTAGATGCAATGCGCGCAGGAACTTGATACCAATGAGTTCGTCGAACTCAGTCAGGAAGGCCTTGAAGCCTTCCGGTGAGACAAGGTCATAACCTGCTGCAAAACTATGACAAGTGTCTATGCAAATTCCAATGCGATCATGGTGCTCTTTCGGGATTAGGGCAAGGAGATCGCGAAACTCGGCTAGATAGCCACCGATTGTGGTGCCGTGGCCGCACATTGTCTCCAGAACTGGGATAACAGTGGAGGTCTCTTCAATTGCTTTTGTGAGGTTTTTGGCCAAGCGGCCAAGTGCTTCGGGAAGAGGAGTTCCATTGGAACTTCCGGGGCTTCACTGGCATTAGTATAAGTGATTAGAGGAACGTGACAGATACTTACTGGAAGTTATAGAGCTTGATGCCTAAAGCTTCACATCGACGAAGGTCATCGATGAACGATTTATAAGCTTGATCAGACTTTGATTTGTCGTCCTGGGCCAGATTGACAAGATATGAGCCGTGTGGTAGGACATGTCTAGAACCGTTGTCAGTACATAGGTAATTCTATTATGTGTGCATAGACAAGGGCGACTAACTTCGCCACATCATAGCCTTTCTCGATGGATAACTTGTGGAACTTATCGCGGTGTTCGTCCAATAAAGGTGGGTTGTCCCATTTCCTTTGTGATTTTAGGAAAAGCGCAAATGCATTCCCTCTGAGGCTCAATTGTCAGATTCCAATGCTCAATCATAATGTTGTAGATGTCAGTAATTACCCAATCTTTTCACTGTTGTGAATGGAATTGAAAACACCTGTGCAAAAATTCTCAGTTACTTGATGAGGTCAGGAATGGATGTAATATATGAACTGACCAGCTGCAGCACTGACGTGCGCTCCAACAAACATCTTCAAACCTTGTGTCCTGGGTGCTAAGGGCATTGCTTCGGATTCCTTTTCTTCCTTAGTCTTCTTACCCTTCTTAGCAGGCTTCGCTGGCGGTTTAGCCACAGGTTCTTTCTTAACGCTCTTTGCCTTCAGCTTTGTCTCCTCTTCCTTATCAAGCTCGGTTTTGACAGCCGGAACTGGCTCCGGAGAGGACAATTCTGGGAGATAGGCTGATGATACTCGGTTTGACCGTCTCTTTGGTGATCCTTGTTGGGTGCCACAACTCAGGTTTCTCTTGTGGGATGTCTGCTTTGGGGAGTCCAGCAAAGGATCCTCGCCGTGGCCTTCACACATTGCGGATGACTGCTTTGATGTGATAGTCGATTATCGATTATATTGCTCAATTCAACTCTAAGCTCAGCTCAAAGCGTGCATCAAAGTAGGTATTGAACAGGCTCGAAGCTTACAGTCTTGGGTCAAATTTTTGAATTGTAAACAGCAAGTTCTCTTCACTAACTGAGCTGATTGAAGATTCCTTATTCCATTCCCGTCACAAGTTGAGCGATAACCTACCTACAGGTCAAAATATATCACGTGATGGTAACTGGGGTAACGGACACGTGATGTTGATCGATAACCAAATTAGCATTCAAGCAACAAAGTTCCCCTCCAAATCGCCTTCACCGACACTTTGACTCTCGTACAAGAGAGGATCTGGTCTAAGATCTCTACAGTATGGCGGCCTCCGAGGATTTGATCGATTTCGATATCATCGAGGCCCAGAAAGAAAATGTTCAATCACTTCCAGGCGGCAGATCTGCCAGAGAACTAGCCCGTATTTTCTCAGCTGGGAGCAACAGTTCAAAAATTCCAACGCCAACACCAAATGACACTCGAACGATCAATGACGCAGTTCGAGAAGAATACGAGAGTGAATTGCAAGCGATTGGAGAATCTGACGACCCTCTCGATGTTTACGATAGATACGTGAAATGGACCCTTAATGCTTACCCCTCCGCCCAGGCGACCACCGAGTCGGGTCTCCTTCCCTTACTCGAGCGTGCAACGAAATCCTTCTTGTCCTCTTCACACTACAGAAACGATCCTCGCTATCTGCGACTGTGGCTTCATTACATTAGACTTTTCTCCGATTCACCCCGCGAGACCTTTGCATTCATCTCACGGCATCACATTGGCGAGGGGCTGGCCTTGTTTTACGAGGAGTTTGCCTCCTGGCTAGAGCATTCGGGACGCTGGAATCAGGCTGACGAAGTATACAAACTTGGTATCGATCGCGAGGCCCGACCAGTAGAACGACTGCTGCGAAAATATAGTGAATTCCAGCAGCGCTACGAGCAACACCCGCAAGACACTGGCCCCTCTTCGCCTGCTTTGCCTGCTGTTCGTCCTGCTCTGGCTGCTAAGATCAACCCTTTTGCCGCCCCAGATGACTCACAGCCCACGCCTCAAGCGATGGCCGCGCCAAAAACAAAATCCGGAAAGCCTAAGATGGCTATCTTCTCCGATGCTGACGCAACAAGCCAGCCCGCTACTAGTGACACGCCAACTAAGGGTTGGGATAACATTGGATCTATGCAGGATCGCAAAAAGGAAAACACAATGGAGGCAAAGCCCTGGGCAGGGGAAACATTGAAGGCTGGGAAGAAAACTAAGCCAAAAGAAAAAATGGCTATTTTCAGGGACAAGGTGAGTCTCATACCCCCTCTTCAGATTTACATATATTTACGATCACAGGACTAATTGGTGGAACCTATCTTCGATGTGTCTATAGTCCAATCCAAATCTACCTTTTGAAGAGCCAATTGCTCCTAGGCACGTTCCAGAACATCACGTAAGGGAAGCGGTTAACCCACGAACAGGTCGGCGAGAGCGAGTTTTCGTCGACTTGGAATCAGTATACCCCGACCATAATGACCCGACACACGAAGTTAGCTTTGAGGAGCTAAGGGCTATGAAGCGTGGGTGGATGGGCAAGAGCTGGAAGGGCCAAATGGATCCTTTACAAGAAACCTCCGGAAATTTTAGCGTTGATGGTCGTCCTACTGTCTTCAGGGATCCCAGTCCAGGGAATGATATACATGAACAAGTGGAGCAGAAGTTAACGATCAGCGATTCATATTCTCGGCAGGGCGGCGCCATTGCAAGCAAATCTGCAAAGCCAAGGAAATCGAAAGCTCATGGAGACTCACAGACACAAACGAGTAAGTTGTACTTCTAACTAGCTCTCTCTGACAGTCTAACCATTCTTTAGTCAAAATGAAGTTTAACTCGCCGACGGCTCACTCGAAGGTTCGACGGAAGAGTACCCGAGAACCGACGATGACCATGCATACTCGCGCTGCCACGGATGAAATCTACGATCTATTCAACCAACCATTGAAAGCTGAGACTGAGGATACCGCTGATAGCTTGTTTGGCAGCGACTTCGAGGACGACGACTGTGCTAGCACTGGAGATAGCACGTGCACGGGCCACATATCTGCGGCATCAAGCGACTTTGGCGACGAGGATACAAAAGCATTTGACAAAACCTTCGATGATACAGAATATGCCGACACTACCCGGGCAGAAAGCGTTGTAGGTGATGATTGGACAGAGTTCAGCGCCAGTAGAGATATTCCTGGTATTGGTACGCCAACGATACATTCAATCGGGAGTGAAATAGATGCGGAAGGAGATTCTCGAAATGGCACCCCAGAAAGAGATCGTTTTGTACCTGAAATGCCTGAAGACTACGCTGCACCTTACGGCACATACAGAGATCCCGCGGTCATGGCTCAAAATCGACTGCCTTTCATGACGCCCATCGTCGAGCGAACTGAATCTTCCATTTCACTTACCGCCGCTCGAAGTCTTTACAACGCAAAGACGCCATCCAAGCCAAAGTCACCATCTGACATGCCTCAGATGGGGGATCTTCTATGCAGTCCATCAAATAGTGCAACGCCATACCATGGGGACTACACTGCTGCATCTGGAATAGATGTTCCTTTCAGCCCTACTGCTTTTAAGGCGCTGGCACCGAAGATGCGACGACGAGAAGTGATAATTAAAGATTCACAATGCAACCCAACTGACAAAATCATTCGCAACACGATTCTCAATTCTTTAGAACCCCCACTTGCGGCGTATTCTGGATATCATGGCCACGTCAGGGATAGCAATTTCACATCCATGATTCAAAAGTTTGTCAAGGCTCACAAACGGCGATCTAAGTGTCCTGATGACGAGGATTACGACGCTCCAATTCTTGAATTCCCCGGGGCCGAACGAAGCTATATCATCCGTCGCGAGCTTGGAGCAGGCGCATATGCTCCGGTCTATCTAGCCGAAAGCGTCGACAGTCTCGAGTCCTTCGACTCTGATTCCGACAAAGAAAACTCTTTCCCAAATAAATTCAGAAATCCTAGCCCCTACGGCGATTCCCGGCATCCGCTTGAAGCTGTCAAGGTGGAGAATGGACCTTCAAGCGCATGGGAATTCTACATGATCCGCACTGCGCATGAACGTCTACAAAATACGCCCGGATACCCTCGTGCCGGCGAGAGTATTGTTCGCGCACATGAGCTGCACGTGCACCAACGAGAAAGTTTCCTGGTGGAAGACTATCGTGGACAGGGCACTCTCCTCGATCTCGTCAACCTTGTCCGCAATGAGACCAACCATAACGGCGAGGGCGGTCTTGAAGAAAGCTTAGCGATGTTCTTCTCCATCGAACTTCTCCGCACTATTGAAGCCCTCCACGCCAATGGCATCCTTCACGGCGACATCAAAGCTGACAACTGTCTTGTACGCCTCGATGAGCCAAGCCCATATGCATCCCCCGTGATGGATCTAGACCTGAACGAGCAGCCAGGCATGCGTGACACCCCATCCTATTCACCAAACGGACACTACGACTGGTGCAGCAAGGGTATATCCCTAATCGACTTTGGTCGCGGAATAGACATGCAAGCCTTCTCGCCTTCTGTGCAATTCATCGCAGATTGGGAAGTAGGCACACACGAGTGCAACGAGATCCGTGAGATGCGCCCCTGGACCCACCAGATCGACCTATACGGTATCGCCGGCACAATCCACGTCCTCCTATTCGGCAAATACATCGAGTCTACGCCCGTCCCCGGCGTCAAGCACACCTATCGCATTCGCGAATCCCTGAAACGCTACTGGGACCGCGAGCTATGGTCCGAGGTCTTCGATCTACTTCTGAACCCTGGTGCAGAGCGCTGGGTGCAGATGGAATCTACAGATCCAGACCAACCTTACACTGCATCCCTTCCAGTTCTCCAGTCAATGCGATACATCCGTCGCCAGATGGAAGATTGGCTCGTTGTCAATGCCGAGAAGAAGGGTCTTGCTTTGCAGCTTCGCAAGATTGAGGCACATCTTGCTGAGCGGAGGAAGAAATTAGAACGACATTGATCAGTTTCACGTTTGTCCATTTCATCCTCGTTTATGGCTCTACTTCATGTATTTCCTTTATTCCAACTATTATACCCCTGCTTTCTCTTTTTGCATATTTCCTGCCAATCCATATTCACGAGACATCATTTAGGTTTAATGAATTGATAAAAATCCATGAATTATTTGGACTGTGCGCCTCGACGAGGAAGGATTCGAACTGCAGTACTATCAGTAGTAAAGGGATAAAACGAATTCCAAAGCTCCACAAGGTAATAATGCTTGGACAGCTGCCATGTGTAAAGACAACAGCAGCCCGATTCATCGGCAAAATAGCTTCGTCCCGATAAATCTAGAAGAAGTCTCTGCCAGAGTTATCCAGCATGGTGATCCTCGTCAAGGTCCCACGTCGTTACAATTTGCTCCCAGCACAAGCTACTAGTGATTTAGAAGCAACTTCCCTGTGTCAAAGGGAGGGAGTGAATGATATAGGCTTTCTGAAGCGACGATATAGTGAAAATTGACGCGATTTGCGACAATACCCATTGCAACTGAATGGCATAGACAAATTCAGGCTCCAGCTTTGAGCTCATCACATGGCCACGTCGAACGTGTGACCAGTAATGAAGGACAGAAAGAAACCTTGGTAGTTTGACTAGAGTGGTGAACCTGATCTGAAGGGTTCCTTTTGCCCGGCTAGTAAGTCAGAAGCACTCCCTTTCTGAGAGTGCCCGGCTCGAGACAGGCACTCTGGTGCTCAGACATCCATGAAAGGTAATTGTAGATCGATCCCTATTGAGCGCGCACATCCAGTGGTGTAGCGTCCATATTCAGTTCAATTCAAAGTTCAATTAACCCGATCGAGCTATACTAGTCGCATATATGCTATGCAGGCGCTTCATCCGTCTGAAGCAAGAACTTGTGTCCAACGCCAGGTAAATTTCCACCTTGCCTCTTCCCACTCCCCACTTCCCTCTATGCCACTCCTGTAGAATCTCTGTATTCTCTCCCCAGTTGGCATCTTCCTCTGTTCCCTTCGTTGATTGCGTTCTTGTTGTGTTTTCGATGTCGATTCCTAGGTGCTCGATGCCCAGGTTTTCACGGTGTCATTACCCAAAAAAAAAAAAAAAAAAAAAAAAGATGATAAGGAAGGGATTCGAACCCTCGCGGACAGATGTCCATCAGGGGATGTAATGATACATTGTATTTTAGGTTGGCCTAAACCTGACGCCTTAACCACTCGGCCACCTTACCGTAGCGTCCATATTTTGTAGTGTTGGCCTACCCATATGGATATATAGGCGAAGTCAAGTGACGTGTGCATTGAGGTTTGAGCAAGGCCAGGGTCTACATAGAAGTTGATCATCTGAAAGACTGAATTTGTAGTGAGAGTCTAGTGGGAGTGCAGTAAGAATGTCGAGATCCCCACCACAATCTAGGTCATTGTCCTCAAAAGATGAACTGACAACATCGGCATCGGTATTAAAAATGAATAATGATGCATAAAGGAGATACCATGTGTTACCATCTGAGCCATTGTCCAAGGTTTTCATGCAGGGTTGTGAAAAGCTGTGAGCTCCTATAACGGCGTTGACAAGAGCGATGGTAAAGCTTGGATCACAGCAACGTGCGCGGTGGAGCTGTTGGAATTCATGTTCACGAAAGCATCGACTTTGGATCGTTGTTGAAGTCACTTCCGAAAGCAATTCCAAATCCGGCACTCCAAGTGTTTGTATCGGATGAATATGGAGTTACATTGTCATCCCATGGTGCATTGTGGGTCATACCCAGAAGACTTGTTGGGCGAGAACAGTAACTATTCAAATATGATGTCAGTCCTATTTTCCTCTTGTGCGCACGTCCGGAATAAGCTTAACGGCATGAGAATCATCTTAGGGACCACAGCCCGAAGCAATGGAATGCTTCAAGAGCGCTGGAGGATTGGAAATTGGAAGATGGTGAGGAGGAAGAAGGTGATAATCGTGGTTTATATAGATGGGAGATGGGGTGGGAAGGCTGTGAGTGAATGTAGTAAAGTGGAAGGCCCCTAAGTATGAAAGTGACATGATAGTGACATGAGAGAATGAGATGCCCAGGTAAGAGTAAATTTGATACCTAAAAACAGAACATTAACAGTCAGATATTCAATCTAATTAGAATGAAAGAAGCAGTAAATCAGTAATTACTCCGTAATAACTATATATTAACCCACAGCAATGGGACCCCAGATGTGCAGATGTGGAGATGAAGCAGTAACGCTGCACGTCTTGACGAATCCCTTGGATAGCAACCATAGTCAACCTTGGAAACGAAGTATGCAGTGGATGGAGAACGAAGATAACCCGCTCAAACACATAGAATGTACAAGATAGAAGCTATACATAAAAATGATATTTCAATATCTCAAAGCTAAAGAGCGAAGCAAAACATCGATCAATAAATAATATGGCGATCGGAAGTAGAAGTAAAATAGAAACAAAGAAAAAAGAAAAGATTTTGGTAAATCTCGCTGGCTTAAGTAGCAGAACCAAACACCTCGCTGCGTTTCAGAGCGTTGGCCAACTGTATGGCGTCAAATCATGGCGGTTCGTCTATTGTGATGAATCATGGGAAAGTAAGTCGTTCGAACGGAAAAGTGGAAAAGTGGAAAAGAGCAAAGAGAACGTGGTCAAAGTATGAGAAAGGGATGAAAGTGGTAAGAAAGTAGTAGCGAGTGTGGATGCCGGATAACGAATCGGTGGCGTTTCTTTTTTTTTTTTTGGTTTTCTTTGTTCGTAACTGTCATCAGTGGGCGAAGTCCTCGCGCACTTTGGAATCGTTGCAATTATCTCAAACTGATCGATGTCTGATGAGATACTGAAGCTAGTTTTTCTGCTGCAATATTTGCCGGCGGATACGCTCGGCGTCGGAGATACCTTCTTCGAAGGGGTTCAACATACCACCAAATGAGGGGTCTGATGACGAGGGTGCATGGCGGATGAATCGTCTGGGAGCCTGGCGCTGGGAATCTCCATCAGCCTTGAATGGTGAGCCCAATCGTTTGATGGCTTCACCGTCCAGATTCAACAATGGGTTGAAAAGGATAGTAGCAGGTGTGGTCTCTTCGATCCCTTTGGCTGGATCCAAAAGTGGGTTGACCAGCTTCGCAACAGGCGTGGTCTCTTCTTCGTTTGCTGACGAGTAAGGGGGAGAGAACAACTGGCTGACATCTCGGGGACCAACAGCACCCATTGTGGCACCGCGGCTGCGAATCCGGACTCGACCGTTGCCAATGTCCTGTAGCTGGTTTCCTTGGACATAGTTACTCAGACGGCGCCGGATTTCCTCGTCAGAAGGGTCAATGTCGACAGACGACTTGAGCGGGAAACCTTCGTCCTGGTCTCGAGGGGTCATCATATTCAGATGGGTGGTGCGTCGCAAACGACGGGCAGGGACATGGAAAGTCTGGCGACGAGCTGAACGGGGAATTCCGTCAACTCGACGACTCGAGCTAGCAGGGCTCCAGGTACTGGATGGAGCAAACGGTGATCCAAGACGCGGGGGAATGCTCGACAACTCGACTCGAGATGTTCCGTGGGAAGTTCCGTGGGAATGGTTGCTGTACGATTCCTCCTTCCAGTGACTTCCGGTCTCTTCAGTCTCTTCAGCGAGCTGAGTGAGCCGAATAGCTTCATGTGGGGTAGCAAGGGATACGCCGAGGTCACGAGTGCTGTACGCTCCGCTGGAAGATGGAATACCATGCGGAGCAGGTTCCGGGCTACGAGACTGCATCATGCGATGATAATGCGGCGTGATGGAGAATTTACGGACACACAGCAGCTTGAGACGCTGGCGAATCTTTCTGTTAGACTTGGGCCACACGGGTTTCACGGTACCTGAGACGGATGTTAGTGGGAATCATACAAAGTCAAGAAAGGTTGCCTACGTGGACCACGTGAAGTTTGCGGGCCCTTAATAGTTGAGCCAGTCGAGCCAGTCCGAGGAGACGGCGCAGCCTGAGTGCTACGCATATTCTTTTGCCAGTTCAATTTGGCCACACGCGCAACGCGAGTCGTGACTCCCAGAGGCGGAACCGCGCCTGGGGTCATCTTAAATGGTGTAACTGTCGGATCTGACAGATACATTTGGTACGTATTCCACAGATGGTTATCCATTTCCTGCGACCAAGCTTTATGTTTGAAATGTGTGCGCTCCACCTTCTGCTTATTAGGAGAAGCGGCGGAGCCTGCTTTGGACTCCTTTGGTTCAGTATGGTCGCCTTCGTCGCTTGTGAAACTTCCAACTGAAGGTCGCGAAGTCAATGTATCAATGGACTCGATAGACGAATCGGAGTCGTTTGAGCACGAGGAGCCAGATCGTGTGATTGTGAGCGGCGACTGGTCCCACGAGGGCCACGCGTTTCCCGTGTCGCACGATTCAACCAATTCAGTTTGTGCAGGAGGAGTCACACACTCCATGCGCCGATGCGGGGGAGCGAGGAAGCGACCATCAGATATTGTGTCATCGGAGACTACCGGGCCTAGATTCAACGGAGATGGGGGAGCTTCAATAGAAGGCAGAGGAATATCGGGCGACACGGGGAGCCGGAAGAGGTCGCGGTCCAGTTCCATTCGCGCGCATACATCGGTACCCGCTCGAACGCGATTTATGCGCAGGCGACCGCTCGAGAAGGAGTGGCGTGTGAGAGGGGGCGGAACATCTATGCTAGTGGACGGTCGCTCGGGGGTTGTGGGTTCATCTAGTGCTGAAAAGACGAAGTTCTTGGGAAGCGTGTTGGACAGCTGACGTGGAGCCATCCTGTTAATCTCGCCTGGGGGCGGTGCGGGGCTTGGAGGAATGCGAGATGGAAATGAGGTAGAGTCGGTAAAAGTGACGATTTAGGATGGAGAAAGTTGGGGAAGGGTTGCGGCTTTCACTTGAGAAGCGCGCTCAGTCGCGTAATAATTTCGTAAGTCGTGATGAGAAAAGAAAGAAGTTGAGCGAGAGAGACGTGAGGTGCAAAGGAAATCAAAAGTTGTTGATCGTGATCAAGTTGCGGAATGCGACTGGAAATCAGAATCACCAGATCTACTCCATAGGGAACTTTGTCATTCCCAAACGCCTAAAAAAGAACAAATGAAAATAGATTGCGAATAGATCGCGAAATGAAGAAAGGTGGAGAGTAGGAGGAGGAGGGAAGATGAGAGGGGAAGAGAGAGAGGTAAATGGAAAGTAGAAGTCAAAATGAAGTTCAGAAGGGAATGGGAAAAAGGGCTAAAGGGCCAGGTCCGGGCAAGGTTCTTGGGTACTAAGTACCTGGACTTTTGGGCATTCGTTGCAGCAGACGCGGGTACTCAGTACATAAGGCCCACTTCCAGTTCAAGTGTTCAACTAAATTTACTCTCAAACCCTACGAACTTTCTCTCTGATTTTTAATCCTGTTTCTTGTGGAATGTTGGACTTGAGACTGTTTGTTTAGATTTTCTCGAGTCTTTCCTAGGAAAAGCTGCAGGTCGGACCTTACTTACTGCAAGCTGCGGCCGAGGACTACAAACACCTCCGCTAAATCTACTATGGAGTAAATATATAGTACGGAGTTCTCGAAGTGAAGTACAGAGGGGGGGGGGGGGGGGGGCTGGGAATAAGATACTACATGTATATCTATTTATAATTTGAAGGCGTTTCTTGAAAGAAGCAATCAATTCGATACTCCAGGGCTGCTCTGTACTGAATGCGAGCCCTAAAAACGAAACTGCAAGGGAATAACAGGATATGTCCGAGATAGTGCATCTGCTGATTATTGCAGGATACCTACCTCCCTAGGTAGGTACCTCCTGCTTGTCTTATCGACCTTGGAACCTCCTAACTTCTTATATCAATCGCTTCGGTTGACTTTTGATTGGAAAAATAGCCTCAAGCCCCCAAAGGCCCCCAAACCTGTAAAACATGTAGGAACTGCAGTAGACACGGGATGGAGTGAACCACCCTAGAGACAATTGTGCGGTGTAGCTGGTCCAATGATCGAGGCGTGGGGCGAGAAGAAGCCAATATAACTTCATCGGGAAAGGTTCAGAAACGCGTGAAAACGCGTCGCGTCTTTGGCTGGTGATACGGTAATATTACATGTATTGTCTTTTATATAGCTTCATAGCTTCAAGGTCCAAGCTTCATCTAGCTCATTAGTAGAAGTCTATCTCAACATTCATTTCTCTATTCATCTCTGAATTTCTCTGATCATCATGCGTTACTCATAATTTATCCCCCTGACATGCCTCGATCCATTTTTATCCCGGATGATAAGAATCATATGACAAAATATGCCAATGCATGCGCTAAACCAAGGTTATACTATACATCATAACAAGTGAAAGGGATCATCACTCCCCAAGACAGGAAAGATCAACTTCCGGCTCGCGAGACCGAAACAGCAGCTCAACTATGGGGCTTGGGACAGATTCAGCTCCCATCTCAAAGTTCCTGGGCCGTCCATTGCTCGAGTCCTTGAGCTGCCAATCGTACTTGAGCAACATGTGAATCACCAGGATCTTGACCTCATTAGAAGCGAAGAATCGACCAGGACAGGCGTGGGTGCCATGGCCAAACCCGAAGCTGTCGGAACTCGTCGTTACAAATTGGTGACGATGCTCATTGCCGGGCTCTTGGCGCTTTTTGTAAAAGCGAAAGCCGTCGTATTTGGCTGCGTGAGGATATATTGTTTCGTCTTGGTTGACAATGTTGGCGACGGCAATCTGAGCACCCTGGGGAATCACAGTGCCATCGGAAAGAGGAATTGCTTTGACAGCGAGACGGTTCAGGGAAGCTGGTAGAAATTAGTAATTGGAATTGGAACATCGAAAGTGTTGAGACTTACTCATGCTCACAGGGTGCATGCGCTGTGTCTCCTTCATGACGCTGTCCATCAACTTCAACTTGTGCAAGCTGGTTCTCTTCAAACCGCCATCCTCGGCAAGAACAGCGCAAATCTCTTCCCGCAGTGGTTGAACGAACTCCGGATATGACGCCAGATCATACATGAGGTTAGTGATGAGGTTGGATGTAGTGTGAATAGCAGCCATCGAGAGCGAAACTTGGAGACGAGCCTTGTCAATGGGCCGAGCTGGAGGGTTCTTCGCCTCCAATTCTTCAATCCAATCCAGAGCATCGGGATGAGTACGATGCTGGGAAGGAAGCCTGCCCTCGTTTATCAGGGTACGTTTCTCAATCTCATCGCTGACAATGGAACGGGCAGTGGACAGATGATTGCGGAGCTTCTTCATCGATGGCATGAACCAGTGCACATAAGGGCGGAGGACGGACGGCCACATTCGCAACTCGCGGGCAGACATGAAGGCATCGGTGGTATAGTTCACTGCAACGTTAAGCCATTCTTGGTTACGGCAGATATCATTGCCCATGAAAACGAGGGTTGATAGTCGAGCCACGATCAATGGGACTGTGCGGGAAAAGTGGCATGATTCCCATTCTTTAAACAGCGTGGTCAGCACCTGAGCATATTTGCATATTTGCATATTTGCGTGGACATGGATCATTCACAACCTACTTTCTGAGGGAGGAAATGTTTGTTTGAGTATCAAAGCAGTCTCCGCTGAAAGTGGAGTAGTTAGGGCACCTAAATATCACAATGAGAAAACTGTGAAGCCATCAACTACTCCGTCGGAACCTCCACATACCAAGTGCTTGGGTCAGCTTGATTCGCACCAAATCTTGTACAATCTGACCTGCCCCAGCCGGATGGAATGCTTCAAATCCGGCAACACGGTCATCGAAAAAGGTCTAGATTGTCGTTAAAGGGCGATACGGTACATTTGTATTTGGGCAATTTACCTTGCGGGTTGCGCCGTCAAAGTCCAGGTGGGGGTGGCTCTTAATCTCCTCAATATATTTTGGATGCAGCAAGATCAAGGGCCTGGATGCAGCCATGACCTGAAAGACATTGGCCTGTTCAAAGTCAGCATCTATGTATGCCGCCTAATGGCACTTCTGTCCTCACCTTTGCAAACCCCTCTGCAATCAACCCACGAGCAGCCCTGGTGAAACGTAGCTTGGCCTTCTTATTAGAGAAATCCCACCAGCTCTTACCCACCAAGGGTACTTGGGTGAAGGGAATTTCATCGGAGATGTCGTCCCAGAAACTTGCAATGAATAGTACCACGAAACCAATGCATACACCCTGGACCAGGTAAGGAACTTGAAATAACTTATCAAGAATAGCCATAACTAAGGAAAGGAAAGAAATGGATTTAATTTAAGATGTCAAGGAAAGCGAAAGATACTTATAAGGGTGTTGGAGAACACATGTGCAAGAACTTCTAGAAATCAACCAGGCAAGGTAAATTCTCCGTCCAACCAGGAGAACCAAGTTGAAAGGGGCTGACATTGCGTTAATCTGAACCAAAATTGGCTTGAGTTCTGCGATTAACTCATGTGGAGTACGATATACGGTGGTTGTACCCCAGTGTGGACTTCGTATGTTTAGATATCAAAGCATAAAATGCGCAAACTGTAGCCGAGTGGTCGATCCTTTCCCAATTAGGTATTACTAAGGAGTGTCCATCAGATGCTCCACTTGTTTGAGACTAAGCAGACCAATCAACGTGAGATTCCAAATGTATCGTATAAACGTCGTATACCAAGTCCTACTTAGTCGATGCGTATATCTCCGTATTACCTTCGTCGTGAAACACTCTATATTGATATAAATCCATCTCGTATGATCCTTCATTGTATTAGGTACGCATTTACTAGAATACTAGACTATAGGCAACCTCATCCTCAAATATCTGTAGAACGGTGCTGATCTGCGCGCCAAGACCCCGCATTTGCTGTCTTCCTCTTCTCCTCCATGAACAACGTAGAAATAACTAGTTTACACTCCTTTTAACTTGATCGGGATCTTTTAAAATTTATCCTCTGTGCTAAATATGGGTGATTACGGGGTTACCGTTAAATCCCTAAACTCCACCAGAACTCCAGCCCATCCACTGCCTGCACTATCCGTGCTGGTTACAGGGTTCGGGGTACGTGATCAGTCATCCAGGGTTGAGATCGATCCAACTGACACCTCTCTTTAATTTAAAGCCATTCAAGACTAATGCAGTCAATGCTTCGTATTTGGTCGCATCTGCCCTTCCTCCCTTGTTCACGTATACCTCCAAGACCGAAAGTGGCCTGTTCGAACGCAGTGTCTACATCCACGTGCATCCATCCTCTATCCCAGTTGCGTATTCAGCTGTGCGATCAACTCTCCCGGAGATTCTAACTCAGTTTGCCGATACTCATGGTGGACGCCGACCCGATCTTGTGATCCATATCGGCATCGCATCGGCGCGGCCATACTATTCTGTCGAGGTGCAAGCCCATCGGGACGATTATAACATCACGGATATCAACGGCGAGCTAGGATATGAAGATGGTGAAAAAATTTGGAAGGAGATGGGCTTACCTCCTATATTGACCCCAGGAAGCACGAAAGCAGAAGAGAAAGGGTCAGCTATCACACCTTATCCACCAAATGAGCACTTCCTACAGACGTGGAAAGCCTTTGCACCGCCAGACCTGGATATCCGTCTCTCTCATGATGCGGGCCATTATCTTTGTGATTTTATATACTATACCAGCTTGTCCTTGGCCCAGCTGCAGGATCAAGATCGCAATGTTCTCTTTCTACACGTTCCCGCCAGTCCGGAGGAGGCCGCAATCGAGCGGGGTCGGAAGATAGCGCTGGCCTTGATGAAGACTATGGCAACATGTTGGGTTGATGAGAAGCACGCTACATGATCGTTGGACCGTCTTCTCGAGATATAGTCTTCATCTTCTCTGTCCAGGTGGCCTCCTGAGCTCATATACTGGCATTTATCACATTTTCAAGCGCATGGCGTTTACATCTGGTTTGAATAGTTTCAAGTTATCTTTTGAATGTTTGGCATTTTGTGTTATTTCCCTTTAACTTACATCTCCAGCTTAGCGCAGTCAAGGGCAATCGTCTGGTATCTTTTTTTTGCTCAATGGACAGGACTACGGCTAGCAAATATAGTACTGGGTAGAATCAAGAAATTTCGTGCAGCAAAATAACTCATCATCTACTTCGTACTTCTCATGGTATTAACAAGTCCACGACCCACTTTCCTCTTTTTCCGAACAAATTACAGTTTCTTAGCTCTTTTCTAGCTCGCGTGGCTCCTCGGAAAACTTCCGAAGAAAAAAGCTTAGTAACCCTGGTCTAGAATGTCCAGTTACTCAACTACTGTGTATGATCCATCTACCTCTGACTCTTCAAGGTTCCAAGGTTCCCACTACAAGAATTTATCAGCTTTGGAATAATTCGAATTAATCCTGAGCCTGAGCCATGCTTGACAGAGATCCTATATTTTCAATCCTCGCCCTAGGTGTAATATTGCTCCTTCCAATTATACTGTTCTTTCGACTCCAATGGAACAGCAAAATCACGCAATCAACAGGCCTATCATCGCGCCTACGCCTCTGGAACAGGCGCCCAGCTCAATCAAGTAATATAGTCTCTTTGCGCGTGTACCCGATAAAGTCATGCCGCGGGTTTGAAGTAAGGCAAACCACGCTGAAAGAACATGGTCTCGATCTAGACAGACAGTGGATGATAGTCGATGCCTCAACACACGAGTTCCTCACTATCCGCCAAATCCAATACATGACTCTTATAAACACAAGCCTAAGTGCCGATGGTCAAGACCTGGTAATCACCATCCCGACCAGCTTTGACGCCGACGATTCAACATTGAAAACAGTCTCTATCCCGGCTCACCCCTCACCAGAATGGTTGGCTGAAAATACCACCGTGGCTGCTGTGAAAATATGGGATACAGACACAGACGGGTACATCTACAATGAAGAAGTCAATGCTCCCTTCTCTGCATTTCTGGGCTGCCCTGTCGCTCTTGTTTACAAAGGCCCAACTCCACGTACTCTGAAAGGAAATGGAGCCGCGCATATTCTGGGCCGTGTACAGTCAACCGGCTTCCCGGATGTTTTCCCCATTCTCATCGCATCGGAGGCTTCCCTGGCTGAACTTAACTCCCGTCTGCGCGGTGTGGGCGTGGATCCAATTACCATCGAGCGGTTCCGGCCTAATATCATTGTCCGAGGCCAAACACCTTGGATTGAGGATTCGTGGAAGCTCGTCCAGATCAGTGGGTCCGAAAAGAACGAGCAGACTCCTTTGGTCTTGGATATTGTGGCTCGGTGTACGCGGTGCCAGGTGCCAAATGTTGATCCGGACACGGCGACTAAGCACAAGAAACAGCCGTGGGATATGCTTGTTTCGTATCGGCGGGTCGATGAGGGAATCAAGTTCAAGCCTTGCTTTGGAATGCTCAGTGCACCACGGAGTGAGGGGCCTATCGAGGTTGGGATGAAATTGGAGGTGTTGGAAGAGACTACCCAGCACCGCTATATTAGGGGATTCTAAGTTATGGCTTCCTCTTCATTACTTGAAAGGTACCACGAATATAATTCTGAATATGGCATCTTCATTTCCACGGTATATCTAGTCAGCAAAATTGAGATTTGTTACTTCCGGCCCAAGCTGAATATCCGCTACGTAGGGTCCTCTAGGTGGCCGATCTACAGCTACCTCTAGTGCTGCCTGCTCAGGTGAGCTATTCCATGTTCTACTGTTAGTTTAGCCACATGCTGTGTATCATTATTGAAATTTGCTTGGCAAGCTGAACCTACCTAGCAGTCAAAGAATAATTTGAATCTTAATTAAGGGATTTTTTTGTGATCCATCGAAATTATTCATGAATCTTTACTTCAAACCTCTCAACCTTGGGAGGTTGCAAGCACCCGTGGGCCTCCGGCACCTGGGTAGTGTGACCTGAGGTCCATTAACGCCCTGTGTCTTAGGTAGCTATCTAATACTATATGCAATTTATCATGGTGCTCCTATGTAGCCTAATGGATATGTTCCTTCTTATATATAGCTTGCCTATGTGGTGTGTGTTTCCCTCCAGGACTACATAATCCAGGGTTTCCTGTAACTAGATACTGTTATGTGAATAAAAACGCCATATTAATGTTGAATGTATCCCGCTCCTAGGTACGTAGGCAGGTGCTATCCATTGACTACGACTTCATATCTCAACCTTGGAACAATCACAGCCTGAGTACCTACCTACATTGGAAGTCTTAGAATGCAGCCCTGGAAGTAAGAAAACCACACAATGTAGCTGATGTTGTGGAAGAACGAGAGATCCATCTTGTTTCTTGAAATATCTAGGTAATAATTACCAAAACCTTGAAACCTTTAGAGCTGTTCCGAATTTACTTTCGAGTTGAATTTGACCAGGACCACATATAGCGTCTACAGATATAATCTACTTAGGCAAGTAGAAAGTAGCATCAATGGTCATCATCAACCTTGGATATCTAACTAGAAGAGAACGGTATGAGATGTATTGCAATGCCCATTGATATAGCTAATAAGCGCCTTTAAATTTCATTGAAGTCAGTTTGGCCGAGTGGTTAAGGCGTTTGACTCGAAATCAAATCCTTTCGGGGGCGTAGGTTCGAATCCTACAGCTGACGTTTCTTTTTTTGCCCTGGTTTTTTTAACTCCTAAGTACGATATCCAATTTAAATGTGTGAGATATTCTAAGAGGGTTAACCGCCTTGGTCCACTTATTTTTTTACTACTGACAGAAACGTCAATTCATTTAACTATGCGGTAGGTTCAAGAGAGGTATCTCCCTTAGAATGAGGCCTTGCCTAGTCGAGTGTAGACTTACAGCCATTCTCCAATCCAGCCAATAAAGTGTAACCTGAGTCACCCCTTGCATTGACTCATCAACAGAAAGCGGTGTGGAATTCTCGCTTAGCGAGCGCCTCCCCTATATAAGCCGCTCCCCCAAATTTCCCTTCCTCTCTTTTTTTTCTTCTTCATACTTACCTTGTTTGGGTGGCTGCGCTCAAGTATGCAGTTTAACCACGACTCGGTCTCCACATTGCACTACGTGGATGATCAGGTCGTCCAACGGCTTTCGGGTCTTTGGCAGGCGGATTCTTTGGCACATATATTTCCATTTTATGGATTTTTCTTTTTTTCATCAGTTCTTGAGTCAGTGATTCGAGGTTGAAGAAGGAAATAATGAAAATAAAAGTGAAGCGTTGTAAGCCTGTAGCTTTGTACGCCAGAGGCCTTATTGAATACAATGATGGCCAGGGTAGGAGAGCCCATGTACGTCGCTGTGTCGTTGTCTTTATCACTCTACCCTCACTTTCCGGCTCTATGCTTTCACCCTGACTCCCAGCTGCCCCCTCCTTTTTAAGAATACCTAGGTAGGCAGGGATCAATTCCAGATGCTGAACATAAACCCATATCTAGGGCTTAGAATAATCCAGGTAATTCTTAACGGTCGTGACACTTTTCAAGACGAAGTTTAACCAGCGATCCATGGATATTCATCACATAATATTCATTCCAAAATCTAAAACTAACAAAATCCGAATCCACATTTAAATCCACAGCCTAGGCAGGCCGTCAAATCAATTCTTCAGCGCCTTGCTAGCCGAAACACACCAATTATTCCAATCAGTAAAGAAAGACGGCTGAACATGACACTTGGCACTACGAAGCTGACCCTTCCTCGTAGCACCATAAACATCCACAACGCCATCAATAGCATCCTTATCCTGCGCAATCAAAATCTTCACAACAAGCAGACTGGCCTGACTAGAAGCAGAAGCATGAGCAGGCGGGCCACTATGGCACGCTTCGCTATGGATAGCACGCAGAAGTTCCCAGACAGGCTCTGCGCCGACCTCGTCGTCGATCTTGGGGATTGCGTTGCCCTTGCATAGCTTTGTGTATTCGCGGAGCACGGCGTTGGCTTTGTTGGCGATTTGCTTTGCGCTTGAGCGACGCGCGAGGCGGAGGAGGGGGAGGATTAGATCTAGGGCTAGGACGCGCGAGTGGCACTTTTTCACGAAGATCTCGATCAGGTCTAAGACTCTGTTCTTGAAGTTTACCATGTTCTCGCGTGCTCCCTTCTTGTCTTTGTTTTGGGAGACGGCGTCGCGGCGGGCGCGGAAGACGTTGGCTAGTTGGGCGTCGACAGCATCCATCTCGTCGTCGTTCATGTCAGCGTCTGAGTCGGATTCCATTGCGTCGGCGTCTTCATCGGCCCGGTGGGTGCCAAGTGCGGCAGCGAGCTTGGCTTCGAATTCGGCCACTTCGGCTGTATCTTCTTCTGTGTCTGAGTCTTCCTCTTCGTCTGAGGACTCTTCGGCATCGTCTACTTCGAGGACTTCGATGTCGCTGTCGTCTTCGTCGACATCAATCATCTCCGCGTCCTCGTCACCATCATCATCTTCCTCGTCATCATCGTCATCATCCTGATTATCGAACATCTCCTGCTGACCAGCGAGACTTTCCTTGGCCTCGAGAATCTAGAAAGTGAGTTAGCTTACATCAAAAGATAATGAAAGTGACAAAGACATACCGAAATCAAAGACTCCAAACCGTTCTCAGTCATCTGGTCAGCAAACGCGCCAAATACCTGCTCACTCATACGGCGGAACAGCTGCGATTGCTTAGATGCAAAGCTAAGCAGGATTTCAACGAGAGCATCGGAGGCATCGGAGGTATCTCCTTCCTTATCCTCACCCAGGAACTTTGTATAGCAAAAGTCTAGCTCGTCAAGCATAGAGACGGCATCAGCATCACCGTTGTATATCTGCAGAAGAGTCATAGAGTAGAGGAGCTTGAAGGCAGCAATGCTGCTATTCTCTCCACTCTTTTCCTATAGAAGGGTCAGCAAGTATATAAAGTTCAAAAGTTGCAGAAGCCTTACTTTGCTGGACAGCTTTTTCAGCGCTTTGAAGGCCGTCTTGACAGACTCCTGCAGCTTGTCATCGATATTAATGATGAATTTGCCAAACTCTTCTGACTTCGCTGCGTCACGAATCTGTCGCACAACCGCGTACGGGATTGTCGCCGCATATTTCTGTGATGCAAGGAGACTGTTCAATGCAGAATTGATCCGGTTTCGCAACAACTCTTGTGTTGCCTCAGAAAGGGCTGGTTCTGGGGCAATAGAGCCAGCGCTGCTCTTAAAGTATGCAAATCGCACGTATGTGGACAGAATCTGCTCTAGAATTGATTGATAGTCCTCCTCCGAAGTACCGTTTCCAGTAGATGCTTTCGCACGCACAATCGACAGAAGCAGTCCGGCAATGAATTGACGGTTCGCCGCGGCAGCTTTCCCGTCGTCTGTGCCAGGGCTTTGGATGAGCTTCTCGAATAGCGGGACAATCTCCTTCAGGGAGTCACTGTCTGCATCGGCTACGATCTTCTCGATAGTCTTTGTCTTCGTGACCTGGTCGAAGTTGACAGCACCACCAGTTCCCATCAGTCCACAGACCGCGGCTGCAGCGAATGAGGGCTCCTTGGAAACACGAGCTTGAATTGCCTTGGAAGCCTTCACGGCCATTTTGTGCAAGTATCTGTCCTGAACAGCAAGTTGGTTTGTCAGACAGCGAACAAGGTTCTTTGTAAATACTTGAGACGCCTGTTGCGAAGCTCCCTCGTTGAGAACTTTGTTGAAGAGGAGGAAACCCCAATATTTTCGCTCGTCCGATGACGCCGCAGCAAATAGACCATCTGTAGAAATATCAATCAGTTGTATTCACGCAAATTTCAGAATAATTTGTGACCTACTGTCAACCACCTCTCTCCAGAAATCCGTGAATGACAAACGATTTGACTTGGATTTTTTTGATTTAGAGCTGTCCTCTTCCGATGCATCGCTAAGACGCGAAATAACCGCATCCCAGGCAAAGTGAAGTTTGGAATTCCACACTCCGGATGACTTGCTCTCGCCCTGCTGTTCACCGGTAGAAGACTCCTTCATAATCTTGGACAGACTACTGCGCTCCTTCTTATCCAGAGGATCATCATGTTTCCAGACGTCGCTGGGGAACTTCGCCCCAGGGAACATGTCCTTCGCAGCCAGCCAGATAGCAACGCCCTCGGGCGACCGAGCAATGTCATAAGAAACCATGCATTCCAAGGCAGCCTTGATAAACTTGAAGTCCATATTGCGCGCGGAGAGGTCAAAGACAGCACGATAAATGATCCAACCGCATTCTTCGCGGAGCCATGGCTTCTTCTGGGCGAGCTCGAAGATGAGGTCGAGGACCTTGGTCCATTCAATAAAGGGAACGGAGGGCTGGAAAAGGACGAAGGACTTGATGATAGCTTCCGCACCAAATAGACGACCAAAGTAGTGATCACGTTGTTCCTGTTCAACATTTTCAATCAGTCCATATTCAATTCGTGTATTGATGACTCTGATGATCACTAACCTGTCCCGACTCGCCGTCGGTAGCATGAGTCTGAGACTCCCAAATCTTAAGCGCATCCGTCAAGACAACCTCCGAAGACTCTCTTTTAGTTGTAAAGACCTGCGTCAACATCTCAGTCAAAGCAATGGAGAATCCAATTCGAGCAGCCTTGCGGCTACTGCAGAGTCCGCGGAAAAGACGCTGCAGGACCTTCTTGATCTGCTCATCGGTCGGAGTTTGGTCGGGTGTGAATTGTGATATGAGGCTCTGAGCTGCCTTAATCCGGATATCGTCCTTTTCGCTGGCGAGATCCTCGTAGATCTCGACAAGCTTCACGTCGACATTGTACCCTTCACGGCGACGCTTCCTAAATTGGGGTGGACCCATGGCTCTGTGTGGAATTGGATGCTGATTTTGCGCTTCCGTGATCGACTTGAATACAGTTGAGCTGTGGTGTTAGAGCTAGTCGCTGTGCTCCGTGATGAACATTATTACTGAAGGCGCAGAAAATTTGGGCGGAGGTTACTTTATCGGGACTAGTGGTGATCGATAAGAGATAAGAGATAAGAGATAAGCTCGTGGTTTTCACTTGCATGATCTAGCTCCACTGGGGCAATTATCCATATCAATTTTGAACACTTAAAGCTGGAGTTGCAATATTTTCTTCTATCTCTTGACAAATATGGTCACTAGGGTGGGACCGGACAATGCTGGAAGAAAAAAAAAAAACCAAAAATTGAACTCTCCAGTTGGAACCTACATATCTCAACATATACGAAGCACTACCCAGGTAGCCTCGGGTGAGCTCCAGCCATATTCATTCTTAACATGTCCTGGTTAAATCAATCTATTGATACCGAGATCTTGCTATTCAGATTGCATGTCTCCTACGAAAGGATCAATTCAACGTCCCGGGGTCAAGTGTTTGAAAAGGCAATATAACCTTGTTATATGGAGACGTTTTGTTTCGTGATGACACCACTTGAAACCTTGGGATCTAAGCAGATCATCGCCCGGTGAAATGTGCACTGACAGCAAGAAACAGCCCTGGTGAAAATTGGCACTCTTCAATTCCGGTGTACTCCGGTACACCATACTAGATACGTAGCCCAGAGGTTACATACAACGGGCTGTTAAGGTTGCCGGGGCAGAAGGTGTTGATGTCTCAGGTATAGTATCCAGCCAGCCGCAGCAGAGGTATCCGAAGTCTCAGCAAAAAAACCCGATTAACTCATTACAGACCAGTTTGTCTAGGCAGTTACCCAGGTACTAGGTAGCCCTCAGGAACCAGGCTGTCTTACAAGTTGCTACCCGATTCATCGCCTAACCGCAAATATACCAAGCCAGGTGATGTGATCCATACTTGAATAGTTCAGGTGATGACTCTGAACAGTTCCTGCTAACCTTGAAGAGGTTTGAGATGTTATGCAGGGGAAGGAATGACGGAAAGCGGGCTGGATCTCCGTACCAACTGCACCAGACAACGAAGAGTGGCTGTAATAACTGAGTATTTCGTATTCCATAATCCGTACACCTGAAAATGGAAAGTAGAGTTCCGTAAATCAGATTCACCAAGTGATGTGCAGAGATTTTGAAGCTATCACTGTACCCACCCGTGCCCAGGTGGTTGTCGGGGTAGCGAAGATCCAGGCGTCTAAGATGACAGTTATTTAAAAAGAAAAGAAAGCGTGACTCGACCCTACCATTCAGACTAAATCTGATGAATCTACAACATGTTTAGCCAAGGCAGCGACGTACGCGGCGGTTTCAAGGTTATGGCGTTCAAAATTTATAGAGTATAGGGTAGGTCAAGTGGCGAGTTGAAGGTGTGGACTCGCATGTCATGCACCAGTGAGTTGTTCGATACATACTACCCACTCTAGTCTCCGCTATGGGTCTGCGTCCACAGCAACGAGTTCTCAGAGACGACATTCCGGGAACGCATTACATAGGGGGAATAAATGTTTAATGCACTGTCAACCTTATATTGCAGCAATGTGACCCTTGGAGTGCGAAGAGTTGACAGGATGGAGTAGAAAAGTACAATTTTGGCCATGCGGTCTAGGTCGACTACAAAGTACGACAGCAGGCAAGCTATAGGCTAAAGGCTACATGCGTTAGTGTTGAAGTGGTAGGTAACTATAGAGTTACTTAGGTGGTGAGTGGAGGGAAGATTTTTATTGCTTTTGTTTACTCCAATATCTCAAACTATAGCTAAAATTACAGGTTTACAGGGTATATACACAGACAGTGAAATAGTGAAAATAATGAAAAAAGGCTCGGTAAATTAATCGAACCATTCCATCTGTGTGACCTATCGGCATCGCCTAAGGATGGGTACTAAGCTGACCGAACTGTTAATTTTTTGTGTTCTGGAAATGCCGAGCCGCAATCGGTAATAGTGGAGAGTGGATAGTAATCGTGACAGGGCTGAGAGCTGAGATTGGCGTAGTTTACCGCGATCACTGGAAATAGTTAGAAGGGAATTATTATTAGGATGACTGCGATGACGGGCACGAAGCTCAGAAGCTAGGCTCGGAGAGTTCTGGGTTGCGTATGGATGGGAAAATTCAATAGCGCTGTAGATCGGAGCCGGATTGTCATATCGCCGAGGATATTTACTGTTTTCGGGTGGTATGGAATGAGTATTTCGGTCGGAACACTACCGAATACACGGAATAGGAATACTCAATACTAAGAAAGGAATCAATATTGGATCTCAGAGATCGACACTGATCACGGTTCGATGTTGATGTTGGTGTTGATGTCACAGATGATAGTGGAGGTCGCGGGACAAATCACGGGAAAGTCACTGATGGTCACGGGACTGTTCGTGTACCAAGTTTGATTTGTTTACAGTCGCGGATAACTTATCGTGACATCATGATAAGGGAAGTCGGGCCCAGACTTCATAGGGTCTCTTAGCCACTAGTGCAACACGATGTGATGGACCCCGCAGCAAGATCAAGTCGGTTGGAGACTCGATGAGACTGGCCCAATACACATGGCGTTGTGACGCAGATGATCCATCACATCATCTTGATTTGAATCCCGACCCCACATGGTCTGGTTTACTTGCATCCAGTCACCTTGTGGCGCAGCGAATAGCCTCGAGCTGACCATAAACACGGCATTGAAAGCGTTATCATATCAGGCTGATATCAGGCTTTGGCGTTCACCGACTAAGAAGAATCAGCCGACGAGACTTTGCCGCTGATGAGAAGGGCCATGATGAGGCTCGTGCTTTCATAACAAATGAAAAAACAGACGCGCCTTAGATAAGAGCAAGAAGATTAGTACTCTGTACTTCGTACAGTGCAACGTCATGACTAGTCCAAACAGGTTTAGAAAATCGATCTGATCGCGAGTAATCTGTACAGACCTCGGGAGTGGGACGACTTCGTACTCAGATGTATAGCCCGCATGACATACATGTACAACTCACAGACCATCAACACATTCCCTTCGATGTCTTACACACCGCGTTTTTTATTTATGTGTTGGAAGATGTTGTGTTGTTTCCCGTAATGCATGATATTGCAGATCAAATGCGGATGGCCTCGGCTACGAAGTTTGAGGAGATTCGGCCGGCGGGGGGCCTGAACCTCGACGGTAACAGAGTGTACGGCCAATGTCCGACCAACGTTTCACGAGGAGGGTTAAAATGGCCTAGAATAGCATGATAATAGGTGGGGGTCAGAGGATTTGGGGCCTGTTTTGATTTAGCAGCAGCTAATCCGATCCACCTTAGCGCCATCCACTAGCATCGATTGAATGTCTACTCCGTAACAGAGCCTCCTTCATATCGGGCGAAAAACATAATCATGTCGCGTTTATTTCCAATCAGATGAATACATGGATGAACACATGGAGGCGGAGCTCATCTCGGCGTTGATTCCTATTGCTTCGGATGTTTTGGATGATCCCAGTTTGATTTGATCACTGAAGGATTTGACCGTTATGGCGCGCCTGAACTCATGAGTATACATACTTACGCAGTATACGGTGAGTATACGATCTCTTAGTAGCGTTGATCGAACCCCGCTGGTGACGTGTTAACAACAAGACTATCTTGCTTGACCGCTTATTTTTGTTGTGTATATTGGGCATCTTGAATTAGCAGGATTGGGTCGAATAATCAAGATGGTTTGTTTGGGGCCTTTGCTTAAGCCGGCTCAACTGTGCTAACAACATCTAACGGGCGGGGCACCAAAGGGTTTCAATATATTGAGGCCTGTAGAAATTATTACCTACCTAGATAAAACACCTCACTCATTGGTACACAGGGATCATGGAAGGGATGCGCGACATTGAACTCCCTCGCAGACCCTCGATCTGGTGGAATGCAAGCAAGGGTATTTAGCACGGGGGTAGTACAATCTAATCAGAGATTAGCAAGTGCGTACTACATAGTACATACTCGGATATTCCTTAGTCCATTCCTTGCTCAACGTACTTCCTGAAGATACTGTCAGTAGTGCATGGCGAATACTGTGGATTCCTAAGGTTACGTTGATCTGTGCTTTGTACCCAAATTTGGAAATCATTATGCAGGGACGAACTCTTTTGAATTACTCTCGCACGGCCAACGTCACTTAGATTCCGATATTTGAGCCAATCAGCCCTCATTTCCCACTTAATTTTCCTTTTTCCTTTTCCATAAGCCGTACCTGAATGATCTACAGCACTATACCTGACGACACTTCGGCTCGCGAAATTAGCCCTACTTTTAGTCTTTGGTATTTAGTCTTTAGTATTTAGTATTTAGTACTTGAGCACGTACCCAGTACTAGGGTAATGACGGAGTATACCCGTTCAGGTACGGAGTATATTAACAAAATGTTGATATCATCGAAGCCCTAGATCTAATATCAATGATCGCCTGCAGAACCTTGGGACCCTTCCATGCTTCAACCTATGACTTACTTAGGTACTTACCTTAAATTGAATCATCCCGGGGATCCTAACATGCCTTGCATATATGATCCTGGCATGACTTGCGTCAGGCTCGTTTGACTTGATCTTTATTTTTCCGAAGCCCTGAAGTGGAGCCACGAACTATCCTAGGAATAGCTCGATCTCCAGTTTTTACAGCTGTCTTTTCTCAATTGACGACACACACACGGACTCCCACGGGATTTTTTTTTTCTCGGAAAAAAAGTAAAATTCTTACTCTCACTTCATCCGAATGTGGATACTGAAGACCCATGGAACGCGCACAGAACAACTAGTGTTTCGAGGCTAAGAAGCGTATCTACTCCGTGAGAGAAGGAAAAATTGAAGTTTCATTTCAAACAGGCGTCACAAATGAGACGTAAAATTGTTTCAAAAGTTCCTGATTCCCTTAATATTGCTTGATAATATTCTTTAATGTTCCTTAATTTGTTGGTAATATCCCCATATTCTGTAGGGCGTAATGAGTACACAGAGTTAACGACACATGGCCATTCCACTATCTGCTCTTCCCTGGTAACCGGATACAAAGTAGGCTAGAGAAGAATGGTGGAAGGGGAAAGTGAGGTTGCTGATAGGTGAATTGAAGCTCCCACCGGGTAGTCTGGACGATGGCGGCAAGGGAGCCCGGGCAACCGACCAACGGGGCCAAAGATCGTGTGAGTACCCCTTATAGAGAGAGAGAGAAAGAGAGTATATGCATGAAGCAAGAAAGTTGCATACCAGGATGAGTTTAATCGTTTAATTACCATAATAGTATAAAATAGTAAAATAGCAAAATAGTAAAATACTTAAAATAGTAAAATAGTGAAATAATAAAAGAAATAAAATAATACTCCACTGCATAGCAGGATGACAGGAGTGCCTGCCTTGATCCCGCATTAATTACACAATACCGTACACTCCAATACTCCCGTATACTATCTGGAGATCCTCCCCACTTGCGTTGCCATTGCAACAGGCCCATCCCTTCAGCTTCACGAGTTTCTTTCTTCAGAAAGTCCTTATTACCTACTTTTCTTCTCCTTTTTCTCCCCAACAATCCGAACTTCATCGACAAACTTCCCCCACCCCCATCACTCCATATTCGACTTGGATCACTTTTCAACGGCGTCACTTTCTTCCATATCAGTGCCTATCGCCTCCGATTGCTTCTTTCTGCTGCATACCAAGATCTTCCGCACGAGCTCGCCCCCTCAATTTTACCGATCACCGAACTCCGATCCCACTCCGGTCATGTCTCTTTAGACAGCCCAATAAACTACAAGTAGTCCCTCGCACCGGCGGTTTGAGGATTTAGGGTCTGGGTTATTTTGGTCCGGAGAGATTGACCGAGTGAGATTAGGGACTGCATCGTCGTTTGGCAGTGGAGAAGGATCTTCCTTTGAGACCTTTAGCGTGCTTTCAGGATTAACAAGTTCAGCGGGCTAAACTGTGGATGATCGAGCTGTATCGTTGATATACTTCGTGTGTCACTGTCGGAAACTGGTCCAAGTTCGAATTGATTCATCGACATCATTATGGAACACTCGTCCCCTCTCGCTGCCATGCAGCCTAGTCCAGCTTTCTTTGGTGGTTGCTTTCGTGACCCAGCCCCACCGTACTCGTCGCTGTCCACCCTCAGCGCCAATAGTTTCAACTTCAAGGACATTTCAATGAAGAAGTCCGGCTCCGATTACTTTAACATGGGCCCCCTGCGCGGCTCGTCGCCCACCGCCAGCTTGGCCGCCGACCTATCGCAGAACTTTCACATCGACCAGAGGTTCGTTTTCCTCAATGGGCAGGACAAAGGATTACGAAGAAAGCTGACTTTTTACATAGTCCTCAATTGGCCACCCCACGCCGGTCTTTGTTCACGTCTAATATGCTGAGCCGTGCCAATGGCTATGGTCAGTACTCCGCAGCTATGAAAGAGTGAAAGAATGATCAAAGGACTGACAAACAAACAGACGATGTCATGACCACACCCCCTCTTCCTACCTCTTCTCCTGCTCCGATGGATATGATGGACCTGAGCCCTCTACCACACAAGCCGGCCTTCGTACTCACCACCGACGTCGAAGTACTTTCCCCCACTCCCGTCGGTAGCCCTAATGCCTCACGTAACATCATGGATGAGCCCAGTCCTTTCCAAGATTCGTCAATGGACTCTGCTTTGGGTTTCGGAGAGTAGGATTTCCTCGTACCCCTCTGTTTTCACGTCACTTTGACTAACTGTTCCATTGAAGACGCCGTCGTCCTCACTTCCTCCGTCCTAGCCTTGCTCGCAGCAAGGCCCAATCTTTCCAGCTTGGCATTCCCCGTCCTGCAGCTGAGAGTAAGACCCCACCATTCCGTTTCAGTTCTACTTCTACTTCTACTGGAGCGAAGACATCGCTGAGCACATCGACCTCGCTGGAGGACATGTTTGGTGACTCTCCTCCTCAAGAGCGATCCCACTCACGTAACACCTCCTCGGGCGGTCTGGCTCCTCCGCGTTTGCGACCTCCCTTTCATCACGCCCGTACCAGTGGCTCCCCGGCTCCCAGCTCTATTCGCAAACCATCTCACCCATTGATGCGCCCTCGCAAGCACTGCCGACGATCATTGAGCATGTTTGAACACCCTGAGGACATCATTGCCGACAAAGAGGCCAAGGTCACAAAATCACCACTCCAGTCTATCAGTGACTATCAAAGCTCGCCGTCCTTGCAGCTTCCTCACTTTACACCTGAGGATCAGTCGGATTCCCTTCCCCGCATTAACAAGAGCACTCTCCTTCAGGTTCTCGATGGAAAGTTTAAGGATCAATTTGACCAAGTCATGATCGTTGACTGCCGTTTCGAGTACGAGTATTCGGGCGGCCACATCAATGGTGCCCTCAACTTCAATAACAAGGAACAGCTCGCTATTGAACTCTTCAACGCTCCCAAGTCCCGTACCGCGTTGATTCTTCACTGCGAGTATTCTGCACACCGCGCCCCTATCATGGCTGCTCACATCCGTCAGCATGACCGTGCCTTCAATATCGATAGCTACCCCAACCTCACCTACCCAGACATGTACATTCTGGATGGTGGGTATAGCGCCTTCTATAACGAACATCGCACGCTCTGCTATCCCCAAAATTATGTTGAGATGAAGACTGAGGGACACGAGTTCGCATGTGAACGTGGCTTGGGTAAAGTTAAGCAGCGCTCGAAGTTGAGCCGTGCCCAGACATTCGCTTTTGGCCAGAGCTCTCCAGAGGTTGAGGACAGCCCCACGGGTCGTTGTCGCTTTAACCAGGACAATACAGTCCTCGGCTCATCTCCTTTCAAGCAAAGTCCCGTCCCGAATCGGACCCCCGGACGCCGCATGCTTTCTTACTAAATTCTTCGACGTTTTCCATATACGGTGCCAAGGTGGATACCATCCATCTATCTGCTCCTGACAAAATCTTCCCTCGACTATTTTCTTTTTCTGAAGCGACATGAGACAATGTCCGATTCTTATCCCGGCACTGGTCTGCCAAATCCGAACGGTCTACTTTTTTCTTATCCTTATTCTTTGCCTGTGTTGAGCGCAGCGACATGATCGACTTCAGATTGATTTCAACTTTTATTACCACGACACTGTCCAGTTACTTCCGGACGGCACTGTCTTTCTTTTCTCTTGACCTATGATGATGCCACCTGAAGCGAATATTTTCAAAAATTTTCACTTTACATGATATCTTGACAAGACTGTTTACGTTCTCCTGCATGGTTACTGACAACCTGCAATGCCTCTTTTTTCCACCTCGGCCACTCAACGACACTAGGCATTGACGTCGATGCTCTAGATTCGGATTTCCTTTCCGATATTTTCATATGTTTTTTTTTGATGACTTGATTCCGAATTCCCATGCCACGAACATCAAAATGTTTGACCCTTTTCCCTGTCATCCCCTGACACTTTTTCCTTATTCTTCCATTCACACCTTCGTGCCGTTGAATCGGCCGTCTCTACATTGGCTTTCCCTTCCATTCTCCTAATCCTCTTCCCCCTACTGGCTTTAATCTGCCTCCAGTTCTTCTGTACAGATAGTTTCTTTTCTGCCAACACTGGTTCGACATTGACGCAAGTCCTGACGAGCATGTATTTAATGCGTCCTTCCTTCCCTACTTGCTTATATCGTGGACCCTCTAATTGTTACCTACTCAAGGCCTTTGCAGGAGGAAGTGATTTGCATTACGAGTGAAAATGCGGCTGTACATAAAATGATACCTGGTGGAATGCAGGACCCTCGAGGTTTTCTGTGGATTTAATATGCGGCTGAGTCCGTCATCCCACTATCTTGTTTCTTTTGTGAGAAGTACGAATGAGAATCCAATTCATTTGACAATCAACTTGATCTTCTGTAGATCTTTATGTTGGTCCGAGGTATCAACCAAGGTTAATCTTAGGTTTCACCCGAAACGTTGACTAGCCTGAGTACCGTTATGGCGCACTCATACTCATACTCGGTTAATATCAACTTTCAATATTCATAAAATAATACATGATGCCGTTGAGAGAAATGGTTGACATTCACAAATCATGATCGACAAGCAGTGGAGTTCTCGTGTGTAACTAAGTTGGTTTCAAGTGTCCCCTGAGAATGTGGGGTTCACGTCCGTGCTGGGAATTCCCCTCCATGTTTCAACTATTTCAATATCTTTTGTTCTTTCTCTACTCCGTACTTTTACTTGTCAAGCCAGTCATTCTTTTCTGGCTTCGAAGACCACCCAAAAGCATTCCCTATATAATCTATTTTTACTGTTGAAATCCAAGGTTTCGTCGACTGAACCAGAATTGCTGAACCAGAATACCAGAATTGCTGGACCAGAATTGCTGAGCCCCCTTGTACTGTCTATATTTGAATTGCTGAGCCCCCCTTGTACTGTCTATATTTGGTAGGCAACTCGTTCATTTTCGGGCTCCTGCATTCTCAAAATCCACGTCCGCATCTTTCTATCTCTCATCCTTGTCTTGTCTTTGCTTTTTCTTTGCTGCACGACTTTGCCGATAAGGCTTATGCGCCCCCACTTCGCCTACCCATTCTAGACTCTATATCGCATGCGCCGAGATATCGTATATGCAGCTGGTGAATCGCCAATACGACTGTCCACGCAATAGTCCTGTTGTCAGAAAGATTCCTTCATTTCGGATGAGACGGCCCTCTCAGCGCTTTATCATACACTACTTTTCCGTCTCGATATGAGTCTGACCAACAATCTGCTGCAGGCTCGAGATATGAGCAGTTCGTTCTCCTCAGCCTGGACCAAATGCATGTCAAAGACTTGGTGCAAGTGAGTAGTACCAGGAACGAACCACCACGCTGCTTGGCAATTTACCATTATGTGGGATATGTATACTGATTGGCGAACCATAGATGGCCCGTTATTGCTGGCATCATTGTCGGCGCTGTCATTCTCTTAGCTATTCTAGCTTGCGTGTTCAACTGTTTATGCTGTGGATACCAATGCTGCAAATGCTGTTGCAGTTGCTGTTGTCCCTCAGGCCAGCGCAGAAACAAATCGCCCAAATACCAAGACGAGCCTCAAGCAAACAACAATCCTTATCAATTTCAGGCTCCTCTGCAAAACAAAACTCCCTATCCCCAACCCCAAACTCCCCAGAACCGTCAATCCTCATTTTCTACCCAGGATAGACATACTCAATATCCTAATCAGAGCGTCACTAACATACAACCGACACCTCCACTCGCGCCGCAGTATCGCCAAACAGCCCAGTTCGATATATCCCAGCCTGCAGCTGCAGCACTTGGAGATGACGCCCTCCCTGAAATGCCCACATGGGCAGGCGCTACCAAAAAGCGGATAGAACATGATCCGGGCGAGGTAGAGATGGCGCTCATGAAACCTATAAACAGCAACCAGGGCGTTGGCACGTCTGTCCACCCAGATGGATATAGAGGATTTGGCCCTACAGCCCCATATGCAAGACGCCCATCCGGATCTACACTAGGATCTCAAGTACCTGTCGCTACCGAAGACCCCTATGCCAGACGTCCATCAGCGTCAGGACTACCAACTCAAGACCCGTACGGCCGACGACCATCTGGCCTAGTACCATCAGGCGCAGTAGACCAATACGGCCGCCGGTCTCCGGGACCACAAGCCGCATACAATACATCCTCTGACCAGTACGGCCGCCGGTCTCCAGCACCACAAGCCGCATACAATACATCCTCTGACCAGTACGGCCGCCGGTCTCCAGCACCACAAGCCGCATACAATACATCCTCTGACCAGTACGGCCGCCGGTCTCCAGCACCACAAGCCGCATACAACACATTCCCTGATCAATACGGCCATCACTCCACAGGCCCAACACCGTATGGCCAAGCCCTAGATCCATACAGCGATCCATACGGCCGCCACTCTCCAAACCCAGCGGGATATTCACCAGCTGCATCACCAGGGCCAGGACTAGTACGAGGCCTAGGCCAAAACCAAACAATGAGCCCATATGGCCCACCCCACGACCACCAAGGTTCAAACTCAGGCTACAGCCCTAGCGGCGGAAACGAATACTACCCCATAACAACAGCATCACCAATAGAATACCGCAACGTACAAACATCGCCCGCACCCTCCTACAAAGCCTTCTCACCAATCTCTGAACCAGGCCAAGCAGCCGGCTTCTCGCGTCAGTCCTCCCTCAGCTCAAATCAATATCCGCCCTCTTATCATACGCAGCCTCCGCTTCCTGCTTTGGGCTCTACGCACCATATGCCTTACCAGGCTTATAGTAATGACCCGCTTATTGCTGAGCCGAGTAGGAATCGTCCGCCGAGTTTGTTGCAGAGCGGGCGGAAGCCGGTGCCTAATACGTTCCGCGCTGTTTAAAAGTATTTTTGCGTGATTTTTCTCAATTTCTCTCATGACCTGGGGAAAGAAACGACATATCATGTTTTTTTTTTTTTTTTTTTTCTCCACTTTTTCTTGGACAGGGTCTTCTGAGAGATTACCATTTTTGATACCATCGTTTTTATTCTTGCTTTTCGTTTCTATCATGCTCTTCTTTTTATGATATGCATGTGGGCTTATGTCGCGAAGACTGCCCACCCTTTTTCTCATTTATATCTTTTTTGATTAACCATTGGACGTTGGGCATACAACATCGAGCATTGTATAGGCAATCAATCGTGATTTTATTGTTTTTTATTGTATTTTTTTTAATTTTAATTTCTTTTTTTTTGATTAGATGATTCCAAGGCGGTCCTCTATACGGTATTCGTGTTGTATATTTTGAGATATTTTTGAATTTGGAATATACGGATATGGATGACCCACATACATAATTATACAATTGATTCATATTCATACATTCGAGTGCTCCTTGGAACTTCCAATGTTTTCCAAATTACCTAGGTAGAATTGCAGAATTGCAATAACTCGGCCCGGCATAACTATAGCTTCAAATGCTAGTTCACTCCAGAGTGAAATCATACTTCTTAAAAGCCTCCTTGAACGCCTCCGCATCAGTCTCCTCCTCACTGATAGACTGCGTTGCATCCTTCCAATGCATACGCTTATCCAGCTGAAGTAGTTTAGCCATAACGCGACGCCCAAATTGGAGGTCAAAGCGAAAGTCAGGCGTCAACTCAAGCAAAAGGATCTTCTCAGTAGAAGGTTTAGAGTCAGAATCAGCAGAAACTTCCGAGCTCCATATCCAAACTCTGAAAAAGTCACCTGGTTCGTCCGCGCCCTTCGATTCATCTGTTGGTATCGATGAAAGGTGCGGGTATTTCAGGTTCTCGGCTTCGACTTTAAACGCAGCCTCTACCAGGCCGTCGCGGATCAACTCTGTGGGCACGGGCATGAATTGCCAATGTGTGTGAATGTTGTTTCCGCGATTGACCTCCCAGGTAACGGCGCCTAGCTTGCCGGTTGAACGGTCAGATACAACGTTTTGGAGGGCGGCGCGGTATTTTTGCATCTCAGACCAGGTGGAAGACCGGGATTCTGGATCTTGAATGGAGTTGATAGTTGGGGAATGGGAGAATGGGATGATGAGCATGTGTCCGGGGAAGTTGAGGGAAGGGAAGAAGTTGGCGGGAGGGAGGGGGCCCTTGGCTGTTGTCAGATAGCTTTCGTTGCCGATGGAGGTTATGAGATGAGTGGCGACGTTGGCATTGGAGAGACAGAAGAAACACTGGTCAGGACCTGGAGGAGGCGCACGTTGCTGACGCTTATTCTCGCGGTAACCTCCGCTGCCATCCCCATTTGCGAAGCGCTGGAATGATTCTTTCTGAGTGGATTGAAAGGTGCGCTTGGTTTGAGGTGTGGAGAGAGGAGATGCCGTTGCGCCAGTTGGAATTGAGATTGGGTGGGCGGCTTTTGGGTCCAGGGAGAATGCGTACATCGCCTTCTCCTTAGAACCGAAAGAGGCAACAGAAATGAAGCGAGTCAATGGTTTGACGTCGGGGTTGTCTTCGGTTGGCATGTGGAAAAATGGCTCTCGTTCATAGAAGAAGCCGTCTGAGGCCGAGAAGTGATAACGAGGTTTAAGCGAGGCGCATACGTCCGCAATGCACTGTATCTCCGTTGGCAGAAGGCTTTGGTCCGCTGGAAGGGCGGCTTTGGATCGAAAGCGGATTCCTCGCGGCCATTGATTCGTGATGAGAATATCAGTGTTGTGGATTCCATACAGTGCGCGCGCATCAGACTCATGGTACGTTGTTTGGAACTTCCCGCTTGCATTGCTTTCAGGCTTGGACTTGGAATCTCCGCCTTCAAATGTACCACCTAGCGCAGTAATGCGAATGCCTTCAGATGTCTTGAGGGTACCTCGTTTCCCGAGGAAATACAGATTCTCGCACACTTCATCGTCAGCCTCGATCTTCTCCACTATCCGCGCGGGAAGAGCTTGATCGCCGATTGTAAAGTATGTAGGTAGTGGCACATTGTAAGTACCCTGCAGCAAGGCAGAAATCTCTTCTACCTCATTCTCTGTTGAGCCGTCAGAAAACAGATTTCCAACGATAATCGCGAATGAGAAATTTTGTTTCGCTTGTAATTTGGCTATTTTGGTGAATGCTGCGCGAAGCTGGCCCTTAATGCCTCCGAGGACAATGCTAATTTCAGGTCAGCGATCATTCAATATCTCGGTGGGGTTCTGATCACATCTTCGAAGCCATTCGTTTGTTTTGTTTAGAGTTGTTCCCCTTGAGTAGTGGACTGGATTGATATATTGAATTTCGAGTGATATTGATAGCACGGCGAAAGTAACAGCCACTATTTGATGCGGTCAGATCAAGTGCTGTGCTTGAGTTATGCAGAGTCGAAATGTAGAAAGTAAATGTCCAGGATTAAGCGCATTATTTGAGGAGCTTGGGCCACCCCGTGACAAGGCTAACCTAATCAGATTTAGACTCCTTTTTAGCCTCCGCTACGGAAGAAAGTAGTGCCGGCTCCGCTCAACTTTTTTTGTATTCGATGCGGGCAGCGAAAAAGTTACAAGATCATCTTTCTCGTTAGTCTTGCTGCTTGTCGGATCCGTCAAGATGGTGACGCAAGGCTCACGAGCCAAACATGTTAAGCGCCTGCAACATGGCACAAAAACCACGAAAAATCACAGATTCGAACCCTTCTCAGCGCGGATCGCAAAGCTCAAAATCGATCCGATCCACCGCGTGCGCCGCGCAAGCTTTGGCGAAGATGAAGGTGCTACAACATCATATTTCCGGTCAGCCTTAGATCATTGGGTGGATATGAACCTTTCGGACAACTTTACCCAGTTTACTCGTCGTGTCAACTCCCTCTCTGAGAGTCTCGGGCAGATTCTGTACCATGAAGAGAAGATTATGGGCCTGTTGGTTGAATTTATCGAAAAGAGGGACGAACACTCATTGGAACCGTTGCTCAGTTTGCTAGCACAGTTCGCGAGAGATTTGGGGGTCCGCTTTGAGAAGCATTTTGCGGCCTCAGTGACGCTGGTGGCGTCGGTTGCTGCGACACACGCCGACGTTGAGGTCGTCGAATGGAGCTTCACATGTCTGGCGTGGATATTCAAGTTTTTGTCCCGTCTATTAGTGCCTGATCTGCGCCAGCTTCTTGGTATTATGACTCCATACCTCGGAAAGGAGCGACAGAAGCCTTTTGTGGCTCGATTTGCGGCCGAGTCCATGTCGTTCCTTATCCGCAAAGCAGGTCTTTTCTACTATAAGAACAAATCTCCCCTCGAGAACGCCGTGAACTTCCTCTACGATGACATCTCGAAGGTGGCCGAAGAGGCCAAGGATGTCGAGAGCTACAAAGAGGGACTGATGGTCATGTTCTCGGACGCTATCAAGGGTATCAACTACGGGCTTCATTCAAATGGAGTAGATATTCTCCGCTGTGTACTTGACAGACTCCCTCCAACCAGCGAGGAGAAAAAAGCACCAGCAGAGGTTGCCTCTGGCCTGGTGACCAATCTCAATCATCACACGACACCCCAAAACTTCGGACCTGTCCTTGATACCGTCAGGGAATATATTGAATCTCGCTCGCAAGGGTCCGAAAACCCCAATATTCCGGAATGTGTTCGTTTGCTTTTCAATTGTGTAGCAACTCGAAAAGGTGTTAGGATTGTGGACTGGAAGTCTGTGCATCAAACCCTTATATTGCTTCTTCAACAAGTGTCATCAAGCCCTGACAAGTACCCACAATCGACATGTTTGCTTCTTACTACCGTCGCTTATTCCCTCCAGCTGTCGCCCATGGATGAAATGCTTCCTTATATGCGATCCCTCATGGATCTTGTATCAACCGGGCCACTCTCGAAGTATTTCTTGTTCTTTTGCAACACATTCTCGGAATGGGGATCGGAGCGTTTCCACAGCCTCATACTTCCTTACTTCCAGAAGTTCATTTCTTCTTCTTGGCAGGATCGTGAGTGGGAGACTTGTTTGACGCTCCTCAGACTGAACCAAACTGGATGTCTTACCAGCGAGGCCTCAAAGACTGGCCATATTTCCTGCCCGGATTCCTTGAAGATTCATATAGCAAAGTCTTTGAAGTATCCTACAAAGGATGCGGTTGGATTGAATGCCTTAATGAAGCTTCCGAAGGCAACCTCATTATCCACAGATTCCGCAGCTCTCTCCAAAGTTGTGAAGAAGCTGCACTCTAACATTGTATCTGCGTTGCGGGATGCTGGGTCAGAAACTAAGGCTGACACAGAAGGTCTCATATTCTATCTTGGACAAGGGTTCAAGACTTATGTCGACATGGCAACTCAGGCTGGCAACCTGGATATGTCGCTCTGGCAACCAATTCTCACAGCCTCAACAAAGTTCTCCCAGCTGCCTCTCTTCCTAGAGGCCGTCCTTGCTTTTATCTCCGCCACCACAGATTCGATCAATTTTGAAAACTTCCCGGTCGATGATTTTGTTCACAACCTGACGCTCAACTTGGCTAGTCCATCCTCAAGGTTAAGGCTAGTATCTCTTCGAATATTGCGAGAACTAGTTGTTCGCATTTCGAAAGATGATACTGAACCTGTCGATTTGGCTATTGAGATAGAGGAGAGTCCATTGACTCTCCAGAGTGCGAGAACCCTTTCGATGCATGTTAGAAAACTGGCAATCGTCTACCCTCAGATTGCTTCCCGCAGATGGATGGCAGCTTTTGTTCCATACTTTTGCTTCGGTCTATTTTCGAAGAAACTCACTCAGCTATGGGATGATTCTGCTGCTGCTTTGAAGATCATTAGTGAGCACCCCGAGGGTGAAAAGATTGTCTCTGATTTTACTGTTCAATGGCTGCAAGAGCGGACTTCTGGTAGCGAAGATGCTGCAGATGATGAAAAGGAAGAGTTTTCTGCTGGTGACTTCACATGTTTCAATGCCGCCAGAATAGAGAGTACCTCTGCTGCCAATTTGAAGACAACCGAGGACCCGAGTGTTGCTTTGTCGCAACAGTTCGACCAGGAGCATAACCGCGCCGATCTCGTCCCTGCTACTCCTCGTAGCCATGCTCTCATTATACTTAACGCCATACCCAAGATTGCCGAGAAACACTCGCGTCAGATTGTTCCTTTGTTTTTGTCTTGGGCACTGAAGGACGATCAGGAAGATTCTGAAGAGACTGATGCCTCAAATCCATGGGGCTTCCGTGACCGTTTGGCCATGCTTGGCTTATTTGGACAATTCGTGAACCCCAAGGTCCTCTTCAAGGCCCCCGAAGTCCACGAAGCGGTTCTTGATCTTTTGTGCCACGGTAACTCAGAAATTCAAAAAGCGGCCCTGAAAGCTCTCTTCACATGGAAAAATCCCCATGTTTTGCCTTATCAAGAGAATCTCCTTAATATTTTGGATGAATCTAGATTCAAGGATGAGTTGCAGGTCTTCGTGCGCGTTGGCGATGAAGACAGTTTGATTGAGAAGGAGCATCGACCGGTCTTGATGCCTGTGCTTCTTCGGCTGCTGTACGGTCGCATGATTTCGAAGGCATCGAGCTCGAATCAAGCTGGTCAATCTGGTAGACGAAAGACTATTCTGCGCACTCTTTCTCTTTTGTCAGATGAAGACTTTGGCCTCTTTATGAGCCTCGCATATGGTCCAGTGGGAGGAGCATTTGTGGTGAAAGACAATGAAACAAACCAAGAAGCCTTTTCGGAGGAATTGACTAGCCCGAGAAGACAACTTGGCTTGCTCAAAATGATAGAAACGGTTTTCGACACCCTTCAAAGTCGCATGACTGCTTATACAGTACAGTCAATGAATGTCATTATCTACTGTCTGGTTCGAGCTTGCAGAGCGATTTATGACGAGAAGAGCCCACTTTATGTTGACCGTGCAGATGAACGTCAGCTGGGCGTTCTCCAAAGTGTCCGTCAGCAATGTATACGCTGTCTGATTCTGGTTTTTTCTGTCTCAACGGACAGGGATTGGACACCATATGTCCGGATTATCTTCAATGACTTGATTGACGGTAGACTTGATCAATTCCCCATCGAGACTGCTCAGGGTGTTTCAGGTCTCCTGAGACTCTTCCACACTTGGGCTTCTGCCCCGAGATCCACCTACTACCTCGTGCAGCACAATAAAGAGGTCTTGTCAAAAATCGTTGACTGCGTCAGTGTTGAGTCTGCGCGTGATGAGGTCAAGATATTTGTCTTGGATGAGATTATTGTGCCGTTGGTCAGCTTGGCTAGCGGTAAAAAGCTGAAAGAAGATGGAGAAATGACCGATTTCTCCGCAGAGGAGATTCGTTCCGAAGTTCTTTCTCCATACTTAGAGCACGCAATGTCCCATCTCGGTCGTCTTCTGAAGCGAGGTCCTTCAAAGCCTGTCCTCTTTTCTGGAGTCACCGCTTTGTCCTTGATCGCACCTTGTGTCGAGTCTTCTGGTGAAACTTCAAGTCTGATCAGTACCGCGACATATCTTCTTCGACAGCCTCCAGACCGTGTCAACCCGAAGACCAAATCTGGTCTCCTGAAAATTCTTGAGCACTTTCTACCTCTGTATAATCCCAAGGAAAACGTCGAGCTTGCTCAACAAGTCTATGAGGCCGTGTCTTCACTGTTCGATTATTTCAAGGATGACACGAACAGAGAAGTGTTGTCACGGGTATTTGTGGCTCTTGCTGCCCATGATAAGCAGCTTGTTGAGGTTGCTGATCTGTGTGCTGACCTCAACTCTCGCTCGACAAGAAGACTCGAGCCTGATTACGAGCGTCGTCTGCAAGCTTTCAGAAAGGTCAGCGAAGATCTATCTCAAACCCTTAGTGCAAGGCAATGGCGTCCCCTTCTTTACAATATGCTTTTCTACGTCAAGGACGAGGAGGAGCTTGCTGTTCGATCAAGCGCGTCTTTTGGCCTGAAGCGCTTCATTGACAAAGCCGCTGCTGAGACAGGTGCCGAAGACTTTGAAGCACTGGTGAACGATGTACTGCTCCCTTCGCTGCAATATGGGTTCCGCCAGAAGTCTGAGTTGATCCGTCAAGAAATCGTTTCTTCTCTGGGTTACTTTGTCAAGCTGAATCCGACAAGACCATCTGTGCAGGATATGCATGTCCTTCTTGTTGGAGATGATGAGGAGGCATCTTTTTTCACCAATATTCTTCACATTCAGCAGCATCGACGACTGCGAGCTCTGCGACGCCTGGCCTCTGAGGCTGGCAAAGGCAGTCTTGCATCTGAGAACTTAAGCAAATTCTTCTTGCCTCTCATTGAGCATTTCGCGTTTGAGGAGGCCGAGGATGAGAGCGGCCACAACTTGATTGCCGAAGCCCTTGCTTGTATTGGATCTCTCGCTGAATGGCTGGATTGGAACCACTTCCGAGCCAACTTCAGGAGGTATCGCAGTTACATGCAGAGCAAACCTGAGATGGAAAAGAACATTCTCAGACTGCTCGGTCGAATGTCCGATGCGCTATCTATCGCCGTGGATCAAAAGAAGAAAGCACTTGACCAGGTCAATGATGACGTTGAGAAGGATGCTGACAATATGGAGATTTCTGAGCCATCTAAGTGTGCTCTTTCTAAGACTTCGCCTTCTCTAGCAAAGATCTCGACAGAGCTGATCGCCAACTTCATTCCATTCTTAACTGAATTTATTCACCACAAGCAAGAAAAGGAGATGAGTTTGCGTCTGCCTGCTGCTGTCACCGTGATCAAGCTCCTCAAGCTCATTCCAGAAGAGGATATGGTTATTCGTTTACCACCTGTTCTACTCGACGTTTGCACTACTCTGAAGAGCAAAGCACAAGATTCAAGAGATACGGCACGGAAGACACTGAATGACATTGCTATTTTGCTTGGCCCTGTCTACTTTGGCTACATCCTGAAGGAGTTAAGGAACACTCTTCTTCGAGGATACCAGCTGCACGTGCTCTCTTTCACTGTTCACTCCATGCTCGTGTTTACTACGGATCATTTCAAGCAGGGTGACCTTGATTATTGCATGGCAGATCTTGCTGCAGTTGTCATGGATGACATCTTTGGCACCGTCGGCCAAGAAAAGGATGCCGAGGACTACGTTAGCAAGATGAAGGAAGTCAAGAGCAGCAAGAGCTATGATTCAATGGAGCTTCTTGCAAAGAACGCCACTATCGGCTTCCTTTCAAACCTTGTCCGCCCTCTGCAGGCACTCCTCCGCGAGAAGCTAAACTCCAACATTGTCAAGAAGCTGGATGAGCTCATGAGAAGAATTGGAATCGGTCTTCTGCGCAACCCTGCTGCCGAAAGCCGTGAATTGTTAGTTTTCTGCTACGAAGTCATAAGGGCGTCCTACCAGGATAAGGAGATGAGTGAAAAGAAGGCTGCTCCAAAATCTGAGCGTGAGGAGCGGTTCTTGGTCAAGTTGCAAGGTGCTAAACGTGGCGATAAGCGCGGCACAACAGCTTCTCATATCTACAAGCTGACTCGATTTTCGCTCGATATCCTTCGTGCGATCCTTAACAAGTTTGGTTCGCTCGCAACACCTGAAAACCTGGCTGGGTTCCTACCAGTCATCGGTGACGCACTAGTTCAGGCACAGGAGGAGGTTAAGATTGCTGCTTTCAAGCTGTTGTCCACGATCATTAAACTCCCGTTGCCCCAACTTGACGAGAATTCGCACGTCTACATCACCGAGGCCGTCAAGATGATCAAGGAATCCCCAAGCACCAACACCGATGCATCTCAAGCGTCGCTCAAATTGATTTCTGCCATTATCCGCGAAAGAAAGAGCACAAAGCTTCGTGATGGACATCTTGCATACTTGCTGCATCGCTTGACAGGAGACATTGAAGAGCCAGACCGACAGGGAATTACCTTCAATTTCATTCGTGCGGTCATGTCCCGAAAGTTCGTTGTAACAGAGATGTATGAGCTCATGGACAATGTCGCAACCATGATGGTTACAAATCAGACTCGTTCTGCTAGAGATCTGGCTCGTGGCACCTATATTCATTTCCTGATTGAATATCCACAAGCCAAGAGCAGATGGACGAAGCAACTTGGTTTCCTTGCTAAGAACTTGGACTACAAGCACCAGGAAGGACGACAATCTGTTTTGGAAGCCGTTCACATGCTACTGTCCAAAACAGGCCCTGAACTGGCACAAGACATTATCAGCACCTTTTTCTTGCCTGTTGTTCTTGCCATGGCCAACGATGATTCTCCAGAATGTCGGGAAATGGCAGGTACATTGCTGGGCCAGTTCTACAGCCGTGCTGATAGGGAACAGATGAAGACCATTCTCACTCCCATTCGCTCGTGGTTGGAGCAGACAGACAACATGGCGATTGGTAGCATTGGACTGCAGGCCATGCGGATCTACTTCGAGGCGGAAGAAACAGAGAAGGAGAAGGAGGGTCGTTATGTCGTCGGTATACTACCAGGTTTGATGCAGCCTATCCTGGAAGATCACGAGAACGGGAACTGGGAAACCCTTTACTTTGCCTTGCAGCTATTCACCAAGCTCTGCAAGACAAACCCTTCGCTCGCATTGAGTACCCACTGCTCATCTATCTGGATTGCGATTCAAGAATCCCTCTTCTTCCCCCACGCATGGGTCAAGACCTGCGGCTCAAACCTCGTTGGGATGTGGTTTGCCGACGTTGCGAAGACACATGCTGCCGAGGGCTACAGCGCCCTTCCCCTTACAAGCAGCTCGGGTCTTGCGCTGAATGGAGAGGCGATGATCCAGCTGCTGCGAGCCGGTCTCCGCTGCCTACGCACCCCCGGAATAACTGAGGAGCTGGCAATGCAAAGTGTTCGCAACACTGTCTTCCTTGGCCGGTGCTGTGCACAAAATGGTCTGGAGCTCCAGAAATCAGGAGCAGAAGAAGCTGATTCCGAGGGTGAAGATGAGGACGCAGGCAGTGAAGATGAGGAGAACGCCACTGATAAGAAGCCTCTGAAGTCTGCCATCAGCTACATTTTCAAGCAGATATCTACTCTTTTGCGTCGCGAGGTCTTCTCGACTCGGGCTCAAGCCCTCATTCCTAAGACTGCCGCTATTGGTCTCCTCGCTGCACTTGTTCGCCACCTTGAAGCTGAGCAAATTCGCCCGTCCCTCCCGGTCATCTTGCTCCCGCTTCAGCATCTGACTGACCCATCCATCCCGGCACCTCATTCATCAGACGAGACCTTCCAGAACACCTACAAGGCTCTTGTTTCCAACTGTCATGAAGTCCTAGATTCTCTTCAGAAGAAACTCGGTCCCACAGAGTACATTGCCCAGATGGCCAAGGTCCAAGAGAACATTAAGAAACGCCGTGAGGGCAGACGTGTTAAGCGTCGCCTGGACGCTGTTACCGAACCTGAGCGATTCGAGCGTGACAAGAGACGTAGAAATGACAAGAAGAAGGAGAAGCGCAAGGAAAGAGGCCTTGAGCACCGTGGAAAGAGACGTGGTTGGTAGAGTAAATTTGCATTTGTATTGCATAGTTGATTGTTTTGACGGCATACCAAAAAGCTGGCGTTTGGGGATTTAATACTTAGTTTTTTTTGGTTCACATGTACTTGACAACAATTCAATTTTAGTTGTACAGAGGTTACGCTTTCATTTCCGGAATTAGATGAGGTTATAGTATGACTGCTGGTTTACAATCACTTAATTTGCCGATGTTGCCCGGCTCTACCTGACCAATCTAACTAAATATACGAAATAAATCACATAAATATGATTACATGAAGTAAAAATCCCCTGAACACCAACCTATAAACCCATTACCCATCATGCCTGGAACCAGCCTTGCCGAGAGTGGAGAGTATGCATAATATCCGTTTTCCAGTATCCGAGTCGATGACTGCAGTAAAATCCCCTGCACACTAAGATGACTCTTTACCAGACGTCCCAAATGGACGAGCTCCATTCTCGTCAACCTTATTCACGGACCCATCGTCCCAAAACTCCATATCGCCATCCGTTCGGCCATGAGTCAGCACCTGACCTTTTTCCTTAAGAAGATCTTCCAAGGTAGTACCCTTATCGAAGAAGATACCCAGGTGGTCACTCATAACATGGCGTGATTCACACGAGGGGCATTGAATGAGTACCGTTCCGCGGTGGTATCCCTGCTTTGACATGCGGTGTGTAGAGCGCTCACCGCACGGTTTGCAGGTGAAAGTGACTTGGTAGGCTTCTTCTTTAGCACGACGCTCGGCATTTTGGCGCTCCCGCTCAGCATCGGTTTGGGTATCCGCCGCATCTTCTGTGAGGCGCGGGTATGTAGATTTGGATCGATATATAGATGGGATAGCATGCCTTTGTCGAGCGGTGGGGGTTGAGATGGGATTTTGGAGAGCCTTTGACGAGAATAGGCGAGGTAAAGCTGCGCGAGTAGACACGATGGGTTTGGGAGATTGTGGAAGAAGCAAGCGGAGTGGGCGAAGGCCCTGTGGCGTGAAAGGTCGCATGGTTGGTTTCTTGATGAAGCTTAGTTGATTTGGCGGATATTTTTCTCTTCTTTAGATCCAATTGAAGAGGCTGGAGAAGCGATCAGGATAAGAGAAAGAGAGAGAGAAATGAAAACGAAAAAACAGTAACTTTGGATGTCAAGGCTATTAAAGCTATTTTGATCCTAGAAATCTATATCGGATAACGGTTTATCAATAATCCGCAGCTCCTCCGCGGAGTGAGGATATTACGGTCTTTCGTAATCTTTATTTCTCTTCTAAACACCTCTTTCCCTGTGATACTTGCTGAGTTGAACGCTCGAATTCATCATCGCAATCATGGCCATGAGGGCTCGACACAAGATTCGAGTTCCTCATAGAGTAAGTGGGGTGCCTTGGACATCTACGAACTAGGTACTGACAGCAGCTTTAGGGAACCAAAAAGACAGACGATTTCGATTCGGCATGGTCCGTTTTAAGCGCAGCACTAACTGCGATTAACGGCCGAAATGCCTCTGACCTTTCTTTCGAGCAGCTCTATCGCAATGCATACAATATCGTTCTTAGTACGCGGGGTGATGACCTTTACGAGAACGTAAAGCAGCTGCAAAAGGATTGGCTGATTAACAACGTCCAGAAACGGATAATTGGGTCAATACAGCCATCTATCGTATCAATAAAGGGATATACCGATTTGGAAGGGCAATTAAATGATTTGAGACTTGCAGGGGACAAGTTCTTGGCCGTCTTGAAGAATGCCTGGGAAAACCACCAGGTTTCGATGGGCATGACGACTGATGTCCTTATGTACATGGACCGCATCATCGCTACTGAGAAGTCAAAGCCCCAAGTCTACTCGCTCTCGATGATGCTATTTCGAGATTATGCCCTGAACGCTTCAGTCAGTCGATCTGCCACTGTTGCTAGTGTCCTTGAAAGCACAATACTTTTTATGATTCAGCTGGAGAGAAATGGTCATATTATTGAGCGACATCTTATTCGACACTGTATGCGGATGTTGGAGGAACTCAACGCTGATTCCAATGCTCAGGAAAACGCGTCAATGTATGTGGCTTATTTTGAGCCCGCTTTCTTGGCAGCAAGCACCGATTTCTACCAGTCTGAAGGACGTCGACTACTTGCGCTTGGAGATGCGACAAAGTTCTGCAAGATCGCCTCGGACCGAATTGCAGAAGAACAGGAACGCTGTCGTCTCATGCTGGCGAGAGAGACTGAGCTGAAGATTCTCGATGTGCTTGACGAGCAGCTACTTCTCAAAAACATTGAGCAAGTGGTCAATATTCCGGATACCGGTGTCCGCAATATGCTGGACCGTAATCTTTTGGATGAGTTGAAAGCCGTTTACAGACTCAGTGCCAGAGTCGATAAGAAGAAAGAGGCATTAGTGAAAGTTCTCAACGAGCGAATCGTGGAACTTGGAGACGAGATCAATGCTGTATCTCTCCTTCCTCCAGCGAAGGCAGATAAAAAGACGGAAAAGGATGGCAAAGAAAAAGCGGTCGCCGTTCCGGCAACAGTCTCGGCAATTCAATGGGTTGATAGCATTTTGGCCCTGAAGAAACAGTTTGACATTGTCTGGAAAACCTCGTTCGACTCAGACCAAGGTATTGAGACGTCAATGATGAGCAGCTTTAGCCAGTTAATCAACGCGAATACCCGTGCCTCCGAATTCCTATCACTTTTCTTCGATGACCACCACAAGAAGCTTGCCAAAGGCATGACGGAGAGTGATGCAGATACTTTACTAGAGAACGGTATCGCAATACTGCGGTATATCACTGACAAAGATTTGTTCGAGACATATTACAAAAAACATCTCGCACGCCGGCTGCTGACGAAGCGGACGTCCAGCATGGACGGCGAACGAAATGTCATATCTAAGATGAAGGCGGAGCTCGGAACGCAGTTTACTCAGCGGATTGAGGCAATGTTCAAAGACATGGCCATATCAACCGATCTCACAAACAACTACAGGGATCACGTCGCACGCAGTGCAGATCCAGACCACAAGCCAGTGGCTCTGGAAGTTAGCATTCTGACCAGCACAATGTGGCCATTGGAAGTTTTGACCAACCCTGACAAAAAATCCGAAGTTCAATCTAATCAGAGCATCTTCCCCCGTGAGCTCGATTATCTCAAGCTTAGCTTTGAAAAGTTCTACCTTGACCAACACAACGGCCGTAAACTGTCATGGCAAGCCGCCATGGGCACAGTTGATATTCGAGCTACCTTCAACCGTAAAAATGGCAAAGTCCAACGATACGACCTCAACGTCTCCACATACTCTGCCTTCATTTTGGTATTGTTCAACAGCGTGCCAGACGGCGAATCCTTGACATTAGAGGAAATCGAAGGCCGCACCAGCATCCCTCACGACAATCTCGTCAGAAATCTTCTATCCCTCTCCGTCGCGCCCAAGACGAGAGTCCTCATCAAGGAACCGATGAGCAAAACAGTTCTTCCCACCGACCGCTTCTTCTTCAACCATGAGTTCACAAGCCCAACCGTCAAAATCCGCATCAACGTTGTCAGTGGCGGAGTCAACAAAGTAGAGGACAAGGATCGGCGGGGAGAAACTGAAAAGAAAGTCAATGTTGAGCGTGTTGCTCTTATTGACGCCGCCGTCGTGCGCACAATGAAGTAAGAACGGTTTAATATATCCCGATTTAATCTTCATTATACTGACACAAACCTCTTAACAGGCAACGTAGGTCACTTCCTCATAGCACGCTGGTCTCTGAAGTTGTCGCGAGTCTTGCTCGTCGCTTTGTTCCAGACGTACGGTTAATTAAAAAGTGCATTGAGAGTCTCATTGATCGTGACTACTTGGAGCGTCTTTCCGAGGACCCTCCTACATACGGATACATTGCATGAGATGGGCCAGGTCATGTTTCGTTCAAGTCTTCCAGTCTACGCCTTATGAAACAGGAGTCTTCAGTATATATTTGGCATATAATTTGCTCATTTTTCTTGCTTAGCGATTGGCGTCATACAGGCTTCGAAGCTTACCCATTTTTTCTTTACCTTAGCTGCATCTCATAGCTCTACTTTTTTTCTTTTTTTTTTTTTCTCAAAACCCATGATACCATTGGCCCTCAGCGGGTAATGCACCACATTCAACATTATTTCCTAGGTATACGACCTCGGTACGCTCTCTAGAACACCTCAAAATCGCGCTATACCCAGCACTGAAGTGGAGTCATGAAGAGCCTCCCTGTATGCTCCAATCCATAAAGTCATCATTCATAGCATATAAAATTCCAAACGCCATGAATGCACTCCAACATTCACCCAGCCCATCTATCCATATCCAGCCTGACAAATGCCTATAACAACTCCACGTCCCCCTTCATCCAAGCACCCTTAACCCCCTCCCACCTAGTAACCCAAACATCCCCCATTCGCATCGTAACCCCAATATCTTCCTCCCCCTCCTCCCCAACAAAAACGACAGGAACATGAGCACCGAGGCAGCGCACAAATACGACCTCTTTAGACTCAGGTCCCTGAACCATACTAGTCCCACCAGCATTATCATCCAGTCGCCTCAACTGCGGCGAGAACGCGCCCATAAATGAACCACCGTAGTAACCCGCTAACAGCGTCTGATGCGCATGCACAAAGGTCGACTCCTGCTCCGAGAGCGGGGAGAAGTCCGTCACAGTCGAGATGTCCGGCACCGAGTCTTCGGGCTGGGCATTTGGATTCTGCGTCTGTGACTGCGATTGGGATTGGGATTGGGATTGCGTTAGTGGGTTTTTATTGCGCGAGGCTAGGAGCCCTAGGTAGTGCATGCTGTGTTTTGAGAGCTTTGCCAGTCGTTGGCGGAGGAGGCTGCGAAGGATATATTGCGTGCGGGCAAGATCAGTTTGTAGGATTGAGAGGCGGAGGTTTAGATTTGGGTTGTAGCTTTGGTTGTGGTTTGTTGATAGGTCTGTGTCTGCGGAGGAGGCGGCGAGGTCTTCGATAGTTTCAATCTAGACGTGATTTAGTTCGTGCTGATGACTATGGTAGCAATTGAAGAGCTTTTGCAATTCAATTATTGGTTTCTTTTCTTTTTCTTTTTCTTTTTCTGTTTCTGTTTCTGTTTTTTTCGGGTGTGACATACTTGCAGTCTTACTCGGTCCATCATTCGCTCCATCAGTGGTGCGGGCCATGGGAGGACTTCTGAGACCGCGCGCTCGGCGACCCAAAACCTTGTTAAGAGTTGGTGGTCTAGGGCAGCGGACTCTAGGCTTGAGCCTACGCCGTGGTCAACGGACGCGAGGATGTCGTCGATATCCATGCTGGAATTGGAGGTGAAAAATGACGAGGGGGTTGAGTGGAGATGGTGCGGGTCGAAGGTATTTTGCCTCGCCCGTTGATCAACTTTAACAGTATTTACTCCACACTACGTAGTATAAGAAAGAAATGGGAAAATAGGGACTAATTTTCTATATTCGTGATGTCGCCTCTCTGATCATGAGATGTGAATTCAAATTAGAATGTTCGGATATTGTCATTAGGAAGTAAATGATGTACGAGAAGAAAACCTCCATCTCGTCCAAGTATTTAAGTACATCTCGGCAGGCCGAAATGTAGAAACTCGTAAAAACATGCTCGAATGCATAGCCCCATTTGGACATGATGTGGGTAATGATGCGAGAAGGAGAGAAATTAGAAATAAAAAAGGGTAGTTCCAGCGGATATTTTGCAAGAAATCATGAGACACGAAATAGGAAAGGAAACGGGCAGCTTTCACAGCCCAGTTCAGAACAAAACGCCGACCTGAAGTACTTAGTGAACCGAAAGGAGATCATTATGCTTGTAGATTCTCAGCTCCTTCCTGCATTGGTATCAAGAACGATGGTCAAGGATCAACGTAAAAAAAGGAACATTTTCTCATGACTTGTTCGGAGGAGGACCCTCAGGAGGAGCATAGCCTGCAGCATGTGTGTATGCGTGCTGTGGTTGCTGCAGCTCGATGCCGTTGGCGTCTCGCTGAACGGGCGCATTCTGGGCACCAAAGTAGCCATAGCTTTGCGGGCTGGCAGTGTATTGTGGTGGTGGTGCCTGATGGTAGTAGGCTTCATTCTGGTAGATAGGCTGGTTCGGTGGCGGTGGTCCTGGAGGAGGTGCCATCCAAGCAGTGCCATGATAAGGGCGGAGACCAGAGTAGCGACGGCGGCGAGCATTGATACAGCTGGTTTAAGGACTTAGCAACGAGTGTCTGCTATGAAGATGATATGGAACTCACGCAAACCCAAAGAAGAGCAAGAAAGCACAGCCAACGATGACAGCGAAAGCTATCCAGCGACCCCAACGATCCCAGCTGGAACAGTCATCAAATTCATCATTGCTGGAAAGTAAGGCCAGTCAGTACAGGTCTTTTGTGAAGAGGAGTGAAATAATTACCAGAAATCTCTTAATATTAGGACAGGCATGGTGAGGCTAGTTGAAATGAGCGAAGATTGGAAGAGCTGATGAAATAGATGAAATAGATGAGAGTGGCTGTGAGAGAAAGCAGTCAATTATGGGGCTGGGATGGGGCTTGGCACTAGGCTCCAGGTTTATGATGTATTACATTCTATTTCTATTTTTCGATATGAAACTATTATTTACGATTCAAGATCCAAGATTCAATATTCAATATTCAATATTCAGTGTTGATATTTGATATTTGATAATTGAGTTAAAATAATTTCAGTATATCATCGTAGGATATCCCTTGTTTCTTTATCGTAAGGTCTACTTCGTTTAGGTTGTCCCGTAGGGCCATAGGTTAAGGCGCAAGGCCGATTGAATCAGAAGTCTTTGGATAACTAGATCCGCCTTGAACCGTGAGATTTGGTTTAGTCAAATTCTGATATAATAACTAGTTAGTTAGCCTAACATCATATATTGTAAGCGAGTAACTACTCTATGGACTATTTATGGACAATGGATTACTTATACAGTTTAAAGGATCATGACGTCATGTCGAAGTAGTAATACACAACATCTGATCTGTACGTCCTCTGAACTTCACACCTCCCAAGACTCTGAATCCAACCTTGCAGACTGCTGTGCAAGCCTGCTGTCTGCCAAGTATGCACAATGTGACATATGACATATGCTTCTTGGTTTCCGACACTATTGGCGTTCGGATTTCCTTCAAGTCAGATTGCACCACATTTGACCACCGTTCTATTTCTGATCACAATGCCAGTGAATACTTATTGAAGACTTTGTCGTGAAGAGCATGTTACCTCTACAATAATAATGATTGTTAAAGGACAACTTCATCTGTGATTCTATCTAGGTATATCTCTGCTGCACCTTGTGATAAGCATCATATTTAGGGTCCGAGGTCAGCTTCTGTCCAAAACTATTATAAAGGGGGTTCACACGTACCCGGAGCCCAGTCAAAACAATCCAAAAGATCACCACAAAATCACAAAGAGGATCAAGAAATTCATTAAGAAATTCCAGCGAAGCTGCTGGTAGTTGGTGACCTCTATGTTGGGTTTGGAAAGTTTGTGGTGTATGCTAAAATTGGAAACTGGAAAGTCTTTACGAAATACCTGTATCCTTAGTTGTTGTAGGTTGTCGAGGCTAATACCTATTGGAATTACCAAATTTGTTGCAATATCCATTCATAACCAGGCCCTGTACATGGACATGTTTGAGACTCTACTTTTTATATAAGTACGACTCAATTGATCAGAATTCAAGATTATAGGACTTCAAATTGGCTTTTGAGACCGCTGACACTACCTAAGGAGGTATACAAGGTATTCAGGTCCTTGGAGACTTCAAAAAAGCACTTGGGCTTAGCCCAGCTTTGTTGAAAGCTCGATGATTATATGGATAGCGAAGTGGCCATGTAGATTGGAAGGACCAAAGCGACAAGAAGGAATATGAATGTAGAGGTGATGTAAGACTAGCTATGGCTGCCTCAGTCCCCATATTTTACCTTTTTTATTATAAAACCCTGGAACCAATGTTGTTCCTGGTGCATCGGTGGGAGACCAGTAGTTTCTAAGGTTTCCAAGGTGGTCGTTCTGCATGAACAACGCATCAGTCGGTCCGTGTGTTTGACTTTGGTTCTTATTTAGACTGGAAGCCCATGAGACACCTACCAAGACAGCTTTTATCTTTAAAAACCCTGGAACAATTTTGGAATATTGGAAACCTATTGCTGCCCAGGACCGAAATCGTCCATCAATTAACTCAACCCATACAAATGCGATCCTTTTTTTAAATAAAACCCAGGCCTCAATTCAAATGATAGACTCCGAAAGGAAACGAAACAGTCTCTGAGTCGATGAATCGTTGACATCGTTACATCCGAGGTTGGGAACCAAACCGCTAGTCTAGCGAACAAAAATACCAGAAACGCTCTCACGAGAAGGAAGAACAGGAAATGCGATAGGCAGTGGGTATCAATATCACTTTATCGACTGGCTCGTGCAATCAGCCAGTGAAGGACGGCGTCGAGGTTGGTCTCCTCTTTCGCGCTGATACCATAGCAGCTGACTTCGCGGTGTGTGATGGATTTGAGGTTCATCTGGTCGATCAGCTCATCTACCGACAGCTTGTCTGGTAGATCGGACTTGTTGCCGAGGACAAGAAGTGGGATGCCATTCAAGGTGGGCTTGGTCATCAGATCATGCAGTTCCTCGGTGGCCACCGGCAAAGCAGGTTTATCCGCAGCATCCACAATATACCTAAAACCATGATAAGTATAAGTGAAGACCCCCACATGCTGACTCGAGGATACCTAGGTACTCACACGATAGCGTTGACCCCTCGACAGTACCGTTCCCACATCGGGCGAAACCGAGGCTGGCCACCCAAGTCCCAGCTAGAGTATCAAGTTAGTCAATAGAGTCCCGGAAACTCTGATACTCCATAGTACACACCATTTCAAGGTCACATGGCCTTTCTGTACCCGTTTAGTGTTGAACCCGATGGTCGGAATGGAGCTGCACGGCAGTTAGTGAGCGTTCAAACTACGTCAACCGATCAGTGATCAGTGATCAGTGATCACTTACTCCACCGTGAACTCTCCACCCTACATGAGATCAGCATTGGGACACAACAACAGAGGAGGAGTTACACACCGCCAAGACGCGGAGGAGGGAGGATTTGCCCGCGTTCTGTAAGCCGATCATAGTCACATCCATCTCCGTCGCCCTACAGGGATTAGCATTTCGTCAGCGGGGGCGGCTCGGGGAGGAACGAGACCCGGTCCCACTCACCAGAAGATCCTCAAGAGCCAGTCATAGATGGCACGAAAGATGCTGGCCATGTTGGAACTTGAAGGGAGGAGGTGGCAGAGGTGAAAAGTGAAATGATGAAATCAGAAGTTAGACCTAAAGGAAATAATGAAAACAATCAAAAAAGAAATATGGAAATTGTGTAATCAGCCCTTCAGCCCTGGAGATGACAGAGGCCAACAGTGGGGGTCAGAGATGGAAGTCTATGAAATGATAAAAAAGGGAGAGAGATAATCCGATCAAGGAAAAAGAAAAGAAAAGAAACCGGGGCAGAGAAGAAAGGTCGCTACTTCCCGGGTCCAAAGTTAGAAGTAACTAGAGTGATAGTGATTGTGATTCTCTCAAGATCTACCACATAATGACGAGCGGGGCTTAGGCTCTATTTGCAGCCTGACGTAGTGTTGCTTGCATTGGCCCAGTACCGTGGCAGCGGTTATGAAGTTGGGGAATATTCGAGAAGTACTTTAAAGTACATAGTACAGTCATATTGGTCTTAGTTTAGTAGTCTGGGCTCGAGGATATCACTATGGATTGAAATGACATGTTTCATATAGAGACTTATTGTAACTCCGTAGTTACTCCGTAGTTACTCCGTATTTGAAGACTATATGGAAACTATACGCAGTCGGAGTGCAGCCTCAGGCACTAATTATTATCACCACGTGATGATAAGAGGCTCCACATCGAAAAATTTCCCCAAGCAGAATTATTCTCGCTCGATTTAAGCTACATTGAGCTTCAATTCTCTTGCTTTGCTATATACCGGCGAGGCTCAGGCAGAAGGGGCCGCTCTATCTACTGCTTTCTAGGGTTTCTCCGAAGTCATCCAGCAAATTCCCCTTGCTGTGACTGATATCGTCGCCTTTTTCGGCACCTTGAAACGCTCTTGACTTGTCACCATGGCTCCCGCCGCCACTGATACCAAGTGGTCTGTCCAATTGGACACCCCAAGACGAGAAAACCTCTTCAAGAACCCTCCCAAGGATCACACAGCCTTTCCATCTTTGGCCGAGTCAATTCGACCTCACATCGATTCCTTCAATGCTCTGTTCGACAACAGCAAGATCTTGGAGGCTGGTTTGAAAGACATTGGCACCAAGACCTTCCTCGATGGAGAACAAGAAACCAATGAGCAAAAGAGAATCCGCTTAGCGGAGGGGCGCCGTGCGCCGAGGCGCAACCGTCTCAATGTTCGCGTGAAGGAATTATGGCTCGACAGGGCCACTCTTCCACCCACCAACAAATTCAGCACCAAGAACCGCAATATCTACCCATCCGAGTGCCGTGAGAGACACTCAACCTACCGTGGCAAGCTCCGCGCCCGACTGGAATACCAAATCAACAATGGCGACTGGATGGAATCAGTGCGCGAGCTGGGCAACGTTCCAATCATGCTGCGCACTAACCGCTGTCACCTCGAGAAGGCCACTCCGGAAGAACTTGTCACGCGCAAGGAGGAGTCGGAGGAACTGGGTGGGTATTTTATTGTGAACGGTAACGAGAAGCTGATTCGAATGCTCATCGTCGGCAAGCGAAACTACCCCATGTCCATTGTTCGTGGTTCGTTTGTCAAGCGTGGACACACCTACACCAAGTTTGGTGTTCAGATCCGATCCGTTCGACCCGATCAAACCTCGCAAACCAACGTCCTCCACTACCTCTCTGATGGTAACGTCACTTTCCGTTTCTCCTGGCGCAAGAATGAATTCCTGATCCCCGCCGTGATGATCCTCAAGGCCCTTGTGGAGACCAACGACCGTGAGATCTTTGAGGGCATTGTGGGCAACGCTTCGTCAAAGGGAATGAACAACACCTTCGTCACGGATCGTGTCGAGCTTCTACTTAGAACCTACCAGGCCTACGGCAAGCACAGCAAATTTGACTGCAGATCGCACCTGGGCAAGTCTTTCCGTCCGGTTATGGGTGTTTCTGCAGACGTCTCCGACGAAGCAGTTGGTACTGAGTTCCTGCGCAAGGTTGTACTTCCTCATTTGGGCTGCCACAATGTCACTGAAACTCAGGACTACGACAAGTTTAAGATGATCATCTTCATGATCAGAAAGCTGTACGCTCTTGTCGCCGGTGACTGTGCTCCTGACAATCCTGACGCGGTGTCTAACCAAGAAGTTCTGCTCGGCGGTACCTTGTATGGAATGCTTCTTAAGGAACGTATAGATGAGTGGCTGCGATCTTTTGGACCAATCACCCGCGACTGGTGCATACGCAACGGCAACGCCAAGTTTACAGATGCTTCATTCGAGCGCGACTTCTTGTCCAAGGTCGTTAAGCGATCCAACGAGAACATTGGTAATGCCATGGAGTACTTCCTATCAACCGGTAACCTGGTCAGTCCTACTGGTCTTGATCAGCAACAGACTTCAGGTTACACTGTCATGGCTGAAAAGATCAACTTCTACCGATTCATCAGTCACTTCCGTATGATTCATCGTGGTAGTTTCTTCGCGCAGCTGAAAACTACCACTGTCCGAAAACTGCTTCCTGAGAGTTGGGGATTCTTGTGCCCCGTTCACACTCCTGATGGTTCGCCCTGTGGTCTGCTGAACCACTTGGCACACAAGTGCTTGATTGCTACGGATGACCTCGACGTCTCGCATTTGCCCCGTCTTCTTGTCCAGCTCGGTATTCGATCCGATTCTTCCGTCGCACTGGACGACAGTGTCGTGGTTCAGCTGGATGGAAGAATCATTGGTTACTGCTCGCCTAAACAGGCTCACCAGATTCACGATACTGTCCGTCACTGGAAGGTTTCGGGCAAGAACAATGTCCCCCTTGGATTGGAGATCGGTTACATTCCCAACTCCAACGGTGGACAGTACCCTGGTATCTACATGTTCTCGCAGGCGGCAAGAATGTACCGCCCTGTCAAGTATCTGGCTCTGGACAAGCTAGACTACGTGGGTCCCTTCGAGCAGCCATTCATGGAGATTGCCTGTTTGGAGTCCGACTTGGTTCCTGGCGTCTCTTCCCACATTGAGTTCACACCGACAAACATCCTCTCCATTGTGGCCAACATGACTCCCTTCTCCGACTACAACCAGTCTCCCCGTAACATGTACCAGTGCCAGATGAGCAAGCAGACCATGGGTACCCCCGGTACTTCGATTGCCTACCGTACAGATAACAAGTTGTACCGCCTTCAAACTGGTCAGACCCCAATTGTTCGACCACCGCTCTACAACGCCTATGGTCTGGACAACTTCCCTAACGGAATGAACGCCGTCGTGGCCATCATTTCGTACACAGGTTACGACATGGACGACGCCATGATTATCAATAAATCCTCTCACGAGCGCGGCTTCGGTCATGGTACCATCTACAAGACTAAAGTCCACAACCTTGCCGACAAGGATTCACGACGCGGCAGGTCCAAGCGCGACATCACCAAGCTATTTGGTTTTGCCCCCGGCGATGAGGTCAAGGCCGAGGTGCGGGCATTGATCGACGACGACGGCTTGCCGCACATCGGCATGCGCGTCAAGGAAGGCGACAAGATCGCCGCATGGCACGACGTACGCTACGATGCCGCATCGGATACATACATCAACATCGACGGTGTCACTCATTTCCTTAAGTACAAGGATTCCGAGACTGGCTACATTGAGAGCATCCGTCTCATGGGATCTGAGAGTGGTACTGAGCCCCTCCAGGCCATCAGTGTCAAATACCGTATCCCCCGTAAGCCCGTCATCGGTGATAAGTTCTCGTCTCGTCACGGACAGAAGGGTGTCTGCTCGCAGCTCTGGCCAGCCATCGACATGCCTTTCTCCGAGAGTGGTATGCAGCCTGACTTGATCATCAATCCTCACGCTTTCCCATCACGTAAGTCCCCCCTTTGAAAATTTCCTCTTACCCATGACTAATTTCCTTTAGGTATGACTATCGCCCAGATGATTGAATCCATGGCCGGCAAAGCCGGTTCCCTCCACGGCCACCCACAAGACTCAACGCCCTTCCAATTCTCTGAAGAGAACACAGCCACCGACTACTTCGGTCACCAGCTCAAGAAGGCCGGCTACAACTACTACGGAAACGAGCCCCTATACAGTGGTATCACCGGCCGTGAGTTCGCCGCAGACATCTACATGGGCGTCGTGTACTACCAGCGTCTACGTCACATGGTGAACGACAAGTTCCAAGTGCGAACAACCGGTCCAGTAAACGCCCTAACCGGCCAACCAGTCAAGGGTCGTGCTAAGGGTGGTGGTATCCGTGTTGGAGAGATGGAGCGTGACTCCCTCATCGCCCACGGAGCCGCATTCCTGCTCCAGGACCGTTTGATGAACTGCTCCGACTCCCAACACGCCTGGATCTGTCGTTCCTGCGGCTCCTTCCTCTCAACCCAGATTGCCGTCAACGGCTCTGGCGCATCTCGCCGTGCTGCCGTTAACCCAGGTGCTGCTGCTGCTGCCCTCAAGATCGCTCCTAACCAAAACGCCAACACCGTGTCGGCCGTTGGTGCCCTCGGTGGCGTGAATGGTATCGTCCGCTGCCGCCGTTGTGCCCGTGAGGCCTCGTTCAACGACTCTCGCGCCGAGGCCTGGGAGGATGGTGATGGCGTGCGCTACGTTGGCGGAGATGATGTTACCATCGTGGCTGTGCCTGGTGTGCTTCGTTTCTTGGATGTTGAGCTGGCGGCTATGGGTATCCGCATGAAGTTCTGGGTTGACAACTAAGTTTCGAACCCTACAACAAGCAACTGACTTTGCAAACCTCCAACCCTTTGGAAGAGCAACAGGTGGAACATCTTTCCGTCTTCCAAAACAGCTTCATATGCGGGAGGTGAATGGCCTAGTCTAGTCATCATCCGCGGCTCTTAGCAGGGCGATATTGTCCATCAACAAACTCTTCCGATTTTGGATGGTTCTAACAATTTCCGCTTTGGGCTTTGGGCTTTGGGCTTTGGGCATTGTGTTTGATCGGGCTTTTGAAAAAAATTTGGATTTTGTTTTCATGTCATTTGATGGAGCGTCTTGTTTTGTTCTTAAGACTTTGTACCTTTTCTTCTTCCTTCTAAGATTCCTTTCTCTGCTGTTAATATTTTGCAATTATATGAGCTGGTTTCAATATGACAGGTCTATCATTGATATCAGTCTGGCATTGTACAGGTGAAGATACTCTGGCTTTTCTATATATATGAAAGTCGAAGCGAACCGTCCGAGGGTTGTTCAAGGCGGCATACCTAGGTATTATTGACTCGTGACAAGTAATGACCCATACCGCTACTGTCTAATAAAGACAGTAAGCATAGGGGTCAACCGGGAGCAACAGGGTATATCGGAGGATCGGACGGGTATTGGATCCATACATATGCAAATAGGGCTGATGCCTTATGCTCATGGCGAAAACTTCTACATTTTCCCTCATATCGTTCTATTCTTGGACATAATGAAAACATCACCTACCGGGTTTTTCATGTAGGGCTAAGTTCAATGCGAATAACACGGTATTCTAAAGATACCTAGATTGTTTACTCGTGAACCTTCAACCCGTTACCAAAACCGGATCCTAAATTTGCCATAGCAATGACATGTTACGCATATTAGAAAGTGAATGAAGATTAGACATTGATATCTATAACAAAGATGTCGATGTCTATTTCCCTTTGGTCGAGAAATCATCTGTTCGAAAAGCTTTATGGGCTCCTCCAATAGTAGAGCTTCTTGGGAATTGACTTGATTACCTCTTCAGGTGTCATCAGATCTGAATTCGCTGCCAATTCAAATAGATATTGTCCTGGCTTTTTGGTGGAAATCTTCAACTATAAAAGTTGATGAAGCATTTGTCTGCCGGTAGCAGACTGAGAACGAAATCTGGGGAGAGGCATTTGACGTAGTAGAGACATTACATTCTGATGTATCCAGCAATGCGTACATTGCCACGCCGACTTCAAGAATCATCATAAATAAGAGAGATTAGACCTATGAAGTAGACTAAAAACTAGCACACGACCAGCTCTTAAAGAATTGGAAAGATGGAGACTAATTATGAGAGATCCATATGCCAGAAGCTCAAGAGAACAATGTAGATGTTGGGATGTCCATTAGACAACACAAATCCTAGCCAGCCGAGAGAGACTTCCGTAGAATACCTAGGTATTGATCTTGATATCCATCGAAGTTCTCCAATACCTAGAATCTTCCTGACGAGCAAGAATGAAAGCATCTTCAAGCAGTTCTGGAAGAGGTCGATCAACGATGTATCAATCAATACTCTATTAACCTGATGCAGCCTAACTAGTAGCGTATGGCTATGCAATCGGTCAACGGTGTAGTCATCCATTTAAAGTGGGAAGATTATGGGAATTGGGTTGTTTCAGTCTAGGACTCAGTGCAGGATACTGCCATGAACACTCGATGAGAGGACCAGTGGATGGTCTAAGAAATACCGGAAAGACTGAAAGCACATAGTGTAGAGCGAAGTTGGGAAGATTTCTAGGAAGATTAACAGTACCACTAGTTTATCCAGTGAGCCTGACACTAAGCGTCGTCGTAAAAGCAGCGCTACCTGAGATATGGAAGCATCCTGCATGTAGGTACCTAGATCCCAAATACAACAGGTACAGACTCTGGTAATGAGTATTGAAGTTTTGTAACTACTCCATACATCTAGACTTCCCGTGAAGTCAACTATAAAATAAATCTTGGCACTTTAGAATTTTTCAATAAAAACACGTTAAATCCTAGCATCAAGAAGAATCATACATTCACAGCCCAGAGGGAGTTTCAAACTCTCTACAAGGCCGAAGTAACATTCGAGAACTCGCCAGACTCAAGCTTCGTCTTCCAGAAGATAGGGTTCATGTCATCGAAGCCGTGGTGCACCCATCCCTCCTCCTTGACGTGGTAGCAGTTGATAAAGCCACCAGAGTAAGCGTCACGATGCATAGCAGCCAAAATGGCACGGCGGCCCAGAGCCAACGCTTCATCCACCTCCATCTCATAGCGGTAGTTTGAATCCAACACACCGTAGGCAAATGTCTGACCGGAGCCAACACAGAACAGGTTACCGGCTAGACGGGTGCCGTCAGAATCGATGTAGTACAGGGCTGGTCCTTCTTGAGGAGTAACCTGGGAAGAGCAAAGTTAGGTTGGGCGTTGATTAAGTTGGTCTGGATTACATACTCCTGCTAGCATGGTTCCCATGCTCAGACCGTAGCCCTTGTATGAGTAGGTCAAGTTGGCGAGAATCTTGGATGCGGCTGCGACGGTGATTCGGCGCTTGTGTCGGATTTCTAGACAAAAAGTAAGCACTTCAAGACTTTTGTGATTATAGCAAGAACGGGGCTTCACTCACCATGCAGAGTGCACTGCTGACTCAAATACCGCAACCAGTATTGACAATCCTATAAATCCGCAAAATCAGCAATCTGAATCTCAAGTCGCATAACTGACATCTGAGAAGACTTACAGCTGCGCCACCGGCCATAGTACCCAAAAGACCGGGTGTAGGGTCATTTGAAGGCTTGTCTTCGCCACGGCTCAATCGCGACACGGGAATAACTTTCTTCACTGTCTGACTTGCGATCCAATTTCCAGCAGTTGCTCGGGAGTCGGTGCACACGATCTAAGTCGAACAAACAAGCATTAGAGACATCGTCCTTCAAAGGAGAGTATTGTTATTTCTGAGATGATAACATACGATACCGCCCTGGAATCGGAAGGCCAAGGTTGTTGTTCCGTGAGCGAGTTTGATGGGGCAGTTGGGGTTGGAGTGGTCATCGGTCATAGCACGAAGGAAAGCAGAGTGCTAAATAAAAACCAAAATACATGTTAGCGTTACTTATCGCAATGATGATCATTTCATTTGGTTGGAAGCTCCGATCGCATAGCTGTGTTGCTAGCCATGAAGCTGACACCGCAAGAATCCCTTGAAAAAACGACCATATGTATCAAAACAAGGATATGGGAAACAATCGCGGATACTTACGTCGGAAACAGGAGGAAGGGCGAACTTCAGGGACAGTGGAGGGAGGCCACCGTTAAGTTCCTCTTGCTCTTGCTCTGAGTAGAACTCATTTTGGTGCTGTGGGCGTGAATACTGGGCAACGATCTTGTCCATGATGTGCTGATGTGAAGGGTATTATGAAAAGAAAGAGATATTGATAGGTTTTGTGGAGAGGGACAAGATGGAGCAGTGGAATTGATGGATTGCAGCTCCGTTCTGGAGCTTGGGTTTCCGCGTCACTCTGGCGCCTGCGGTCACGTGACTTGAATCGATCCGATAAATAGCGGGCTCTGACCCGTTATTATGCGAGCTTCTTCACTCTCCTTCACACAGTGACAATCATGATTCAAAAAATTGACTTGCTGAATACCACGACATATCTTCATGTCGACGAAATACGTCTCTGAAAAGACCTCACTGATTCGCATCTCAATCGAGAATGGCTCAGAATACTGACACTAAATCTACCACGCCTTGGACAGGATCTTCGCTGTGAAGATTTCCATGGCGAAGATCTTTGGAAATACTCGGAATGAAAATCTTGTCCAAGGGGTCTGGAGACCAGCATTGATAAGGATTCAACACCTATATACCTGCCCGGTCCTGAACAGTAAGTTATTCCAAACTTCTTCGCTCAATAGATTTTCCATCCCTGCCTATAATGATGAATAACTCGGGAAACTTTCCGACCACATGCTTACTACATGTGGTAATGAGGACAAAAAACGCAATAAAATCTGAAAAAGGCTTCATCAACTTGAATTTTGCATCAAAAATAGTTACATTTCAGAATGCTGACATTGAATCTATTAGGTACCACATCATGACGATATTTAGCCTTGCTCCATCAGTCTGCAACACTACCAAGCCTGGTATGTGAGTGTATGTGAGGTTCAATTTTTCGATCTCTGCTTCTTGGTTGTTGGAAAGAGGAAGAGAGTCGAGGAATAAATCTTTAAATCATGGTGATAAGGATTTTTGTACATTTTCAGTTGACTGCACACGGGCAACGACTATAGAGCTTCATAATTAGAACAATAATCGATACAAAGTGAAAGTAAAAGATCATTTAAAAATAGATACAAGAAGAAAAGTAGAAATAGACAGTTCTCTAAGATTAGAGATTAGGCAGGAGTCTCCAACTGCTTTGAGGATGACGCTGTACCGTCGTCCAAGGGCCGAGAAATAGCATCGACGCCAATGATACTAACACCAGTGCCAGCAGTCAGGCTATCTGTCTCGGGCTCCTCCTCGATGCTATTCATTTCACTGGCGGCAGTACCGGAGGGTCCTATTGTGGCAATAGGCGAGATACTGGGCTCCCACCCACGGAGGTCAGTCTCCGCCTCCTCGAGAATCTGTCGTGCATCAAGCTCGTGGTCGTATGCCTGGCGTGAATCACCTGGAACAACGGGACTATCATCAATAAAGCTGATAAGGCGACGAGCATGCCGAGCAAGAATGATTTGCTTCTCTGCGCGCTCGATCACAGCAGCAGTGTGTATGTCAAAGGCCTGCTTGAGCTTTGCCCGGGTCTACTCACAGGATATTAGTCGAAAGCCCTATAAAGGATAAAAAGGCGAAAAACATACCGTGTTCGATAGTTGCGCTTCTGCAACAAGATTCTGTGCCTCAGCACGAACAAGCTCATGCTCCAATGTAACCAGTCTTGTGCTGTTAGGATCCTTGTATTTGAGTTTTGAGATCTCATCGGTAACCTTCTGGCGTTGCTCACGCGATGGTTGAACGGAAGCTTCCATATTGCGAATATCCTTTAAGACACTGCGGTAATCCTCGAGGTTCTGGGCAAAGAGGTCCTCCTGGTCACCTATCTCAGCCAGCATGACACCGAGCTTGTCGGAGATGTCCGAGACAGCATCGTCACCTGTAGATTCGCCCCAGTCGGAGAGCTGGGCGGCAATGGATGCACGTTCGCGGCCGGCAGTCTCGTGGGCGCCAATTGCTGAGTTCTCGCTCTTAATCAGCCTGCTGAGCTTCCGACTCAACTCGGGTGCCTGAATGCCACGGAAGCTATTAATGAAGCGATGGCGACTTGCAGGGGGTTCCCTGCGGGATCGGAATGAGAGTGAGCGGTTCCTGTCTGGTGTCAGTTGGTTGACAGTAAAAGGTGAAAATATACATACATCGCGTCTTTAATGTTTAATTATGGCTGACGTGCGCACAAGGAACATGTACAGGATATGTATATCGTTGTATATGGGAAGAGGTGCACATAATGGACGGCTTGAGAGGGAGGCGCCTTCCTATAGATGACGATTAGGGTTGAGTCGCCGGGGTGACGTCATGACGGCGACGGAACTTCTTCAATACAACCAAATGTATAGTCAACTACGTGATGGAGATGGAGAGGTTGTGAAATATGACTGGAGGATATCAGGATTATCTCATATGAACGATATTAGACTTTACTCTGTTCCTTGGAAAGATCGTCGATTTCTCCACATTCGATGTGGATGTGCACCGATCTCTACAGCAGAGTCAACTACGTACACATTTGTACCTCCTATGTCGTATTAAAATGTGAGTAGAATAAAATTGATCATGAATAACAAATTATCTTTGAATGAAGACCTCCCGACCCGCAAATACCTTAGTGAGCAGACTCCGTCTGATAGTGAAGCTATAACGCAGTCAAGAACCATGGAAAATCAACGCCGTTCGTACTCCGTAGATAAATGAAGATTGCCTAAGACATGTCGTCCACATCGAGGTTGTGAGAGTCTCCATTGTCCGAAGCATGGAAAGCATCACCAAAAGCCGAGTTATCTAGATCAGGGAGATCGAGTCCATCATTCTGTTCGGTGTAGGCCGCAAGGGCATCACCAGCACTATCAATGTTGGTGAAGTCGAAGTTGGCGCCCTCTAGACTGGTGTCTGTAGCTCCTACGCCAGGGTGTTTATGTTCATTATCCACCATCACCCAGTCGTTATTCTCGCCAACATGGTGCATTTGATCATTCATGACCATGTCAACGTCACCGGTGATATTGGCTGCGTTTCCTCCAGGGCTGCCAAATTGGTTCAGAAGGTGAGAGTCATCCATCACCATGTCATTCACAAAGGCATCATCATCCTTGTGCTCTGGCTCGATCTTCTCCAAGAGACCTCCCTTCTCCACACATGAGACCTTCGGTGAGGGCATGATCTGTTTCTTCCAGGCAGCCTCGACATCGCGAACGACATCGTCGACCTTAAACTTGGCTTTCTCCTCCAGGTAATCCACCTGTGGGGTCTCGCCGTCCTCGGCAGGAATAGTCACTCGGCCCTCTAGTCTCCAAATCTCTACACCTGTCTCAGTCGGGTCAGCTGCGGCGTCTCGAAGCCGCAATTCTGCATCCTTGAAAAGAGAGCTTCGGTTGAAGCGCTCCATTCGGCGTGCGTGTTGTTTCTTCAATTGCTTGATCTCAGCGGTCACATCGTCTACTTTTTTGGTGACGCGGGCAGCGAACTCTTCAGCCTTCGCAGGCTCCAAGTGGGTGGCATCCGGAACATCATCTCCTTCCTTGCCTGTCGGAATGCCGACAGGGGCATCGAAGAATCCGCTGGTCAGCGACTCCAGTTCGCCCTTACGACCTAATCCCAAAGAGACTGGAATAATCTGTGAGATGGCATACGGTGACGAAAATAGCTCTTCTGCCCACTCGTGGTGCTGTACATATCGCATCTTGCTGACTTCACGAGGTGTCAGATGATCCATCATATCACCGCTCGACACATCCTCATCCTCCAATGCAAAATCAGCAGCTGCATTAATGGCTACTGAAGAACGGTGGCGCTGGGGTTTGTTGGCTGCAGCTGCGACTACCGCAGCCTGGGCCTGGGCAGCAGCATGTGGGTGTGCTTGGGGTGGATAGCTTCCAGTTCGGACCTGTCCGGCATTTGCATACGCAGCTTGGGGTTGAGGGAATCCCTGAGGGGTCATCTGCGGTGGGAAGTTGATGGTTGGCCAGTTGGCCCGGTCATGCAACATGAATTCCTTACGAGCCAATTGACCTTGGCTCTGGAGGAAGCGTCGCTGGCCCATGATGTTTTGCACCTGAGGTGTGACTGGAATGCGATTTGCGGGGACATGATCGTTTGGTGGAGCACGTGAGTAGTGAACAATCCAAAGGGCTGGATCTATCTGAGGGCCGTTCGGAAGCTTGGAGGAGACAATGCGATAGCGCTTGCGGCAGTGGGCGGCTACGCTCTCATTTGGAGGATGATAGCCACTGCGATGGAGGTACATCTCAACAGTCTATGATGTATAAGTAATTTAATCCAGTCGTGTGAATTGGCGGCTGGAGGTATACATACGTATCCTCGCGATTCAAAGGTAAAGGCTTGCTCTACATCAGCCCAGACGTAGCCGTCGCTAGCAAAGTTATTGCCTAGCTGGTTCATTGGCTGCCATGTAAGCATTACTGTACCGTCGGGGGGTCCATCCAAAAAGGTCCAATGGACGGGTTTTTGGGTACAAGTTCGGGGTGCGGTAGTCAAATATTCAACAGCTGTCTCGGTCGGCATCATATGCATATTAGGGAAGGCATGTCGCGAGACAAGGTGCATGTGAGGGATCTTTAGGGCAAATTCATTAGTTCAGCCTCGATAATTAATGGCCGATAGAGTGAAGGCGCAAAACAATATTTAAAATATTGGAAAAGAATTGAGTTGGACATACCAGCTGCCCAGGCAGACGAGTTGCTGGGTCATCCATGATGGCCGCGGCAAGAGTATTCAGTTAATGCGCAATGTAATTTCAAATTTCGATGGGGTTATCTGAATGGGTCGGGCTCAATGGGGGGCAGTTGATGAAGATGTAGGTGGTGGCGGTCGCGCAGTCTTGAGCTCCTGGTGAGAACGCGACGGCAGAATACTTCTAAGCTAATCCTAATATGGAGCTTAGTCATATGGGTGTGTCTGTATTTTATTCCGAAGATATACACCTGACACCTGAGGCAGCAACATCTACTATCCACGATTTCCTTCGAAAAGTGAATGGTAAGTTAATGATATCGTGGTAATACTATCATGCTTATCCAGAGTATTTTCTCTACTCAGTATTTGCTGGCCGTAGTTGTCTCTTGAAATAAGTTGAGTTTCCACTCTTACTTTCAGAGGTTTGATCCATCAACTAACTTGGTAACTACTTTCATCTTTGGAAGCTTGAAAGTGAATTGTTCATCTGTAGTATGAACTAAAAGATGCTGCATATCTTACTCGGTACAGAAGACCTGAGGACGTGAGCTTTCAAGGTCACAATATTACCTAATCGAGCCTTCACTCTAGCTTGAGACCCACATACGATCGATCCATTTGGACTTTACGATAAAACGTCACCTGGGCAATGCCTGTATTGTGCGTGCCTAGGTACTTCTAAGTACTTTAATAGTACATAATATTGCCCAGGTGATCAAAAGAGCACAACGAGCACCCAATTCCCCAAGTTCCAGCGACAACATACAACAGTTGACTGCAAGCTTTTAGGGCTCCACTCAAACAAGCATGCATTGACTGGACTCCGCACGAATCCACTTAACGATTGGTTTCTTAACTAGGGCGATCGCGGGTGGGATTTACACGCTTTCCCGGCTTTGGCGAATGTACTTTCGTGTCCCCTGGTTCAGGTAATAATTGTGCCAATTATTACGCTTGGCAGCATGGTACATCCCAGAAAATCAGCCACACTACAGTTTAGCTGGAGTCTTCTCTAATACGACATTGTCAATCACGTCCTACTTGAGTATAAATCCATGGGAGCTCCCTTTGTTCCCACCCTTGGACACTCCCGAGTCATTCTTCCCTGCACCTCTCTTATACCATATCACTCCAATATGGATTTATTTCGCAACGAACCTCCAGAAGATGAGATTCAGCGTGCCCCATCTGAAGATGTCGAAAAGCCAGAATCGCCTGCTCATCAGGAGGGTAACTCGATTGAGCCTTATATTATCACGCCAACTATAGACCCAGTTATAGAGCGCCGGGTCTTAAGGAAGTTAGACCTTAGAGTCCCAACTTTGACAGGATTCTTTTGTATGCGTTCTCAATCCCAAAGACAGAAATGAACTGCGTTTAATTCGGCCCCGAATACAGATCTTCTGGCTTTTCTTGACCGCTCTAATATTGGAAATGCCAAAATTGCAGGAATGAAAGAAGACCTTCATCTCGAGGGCAACAAATATCCGTGGTTACTGACAATATTCTACATTTCATATACAGTGTTCGAATTCCAAGCCCTCATGTGGAAGATCGTCAAGCCACACCAATGGGCAACCTTTATAATCTTCTCCTGGTACGCGCACATGGAGTAACCGGAAACGGAAGGTATACTGACAGATCCTTAGGGGTTTAATCTCTACTTGTCAAGCTGCAACAAAAAGTTGGCAGGGCATGATGGCACTCCGATTCCTGATGGGTGTTTTTGAATCCGGATTTGGCCCTGGCGTGCCCTATCTGATGTCCTTTTTCTATCGCCGCCATGAACTCGGTCTTCGATGCGGTCTCTTTTTGTCAGCTGCCCCACTGGCCAACACCTTTGCCGGCGCATTAGCGTATGGTATAACCTCAGGTCATGGTGCGATAGCTAACTGGCGAATTCTGTTCCTCGTTGAGGGCCTTCCAGTCTGCGTAGCCTCAATTTTGGCTTGGTTTTTTTTGCCAGATTCTCCAACAACGGCAAAATTCTTGACTGAAGAAGAAAAGGAAGTCGCTCGTGCTCGTGCACTACAGCAGTCTGGAGAACCAGATCGTGAAAGCAAGGTGCAATGGAAGGAACTGGCATATACCCTTCTAGATGCAAAGGCTTGGTTGACAGCTGTATGTTCTGAGTTCTCCAAGAACCAATTGTGCCGAATATCACTAATATTTCCGTTATCTAGTTCATGTATTTTAGCTGTAATGTGAGCTTCTCCTCACTGCCAGTTTTTCTCCCCACTATTCTCAAGGAAATGGGATTTACTGCGATCAACGCACAGGGCCTCACCGCACCTCCCTTCTTCGTCTCATTCATTGCGACGATCATATCCACCTGGGTGGCAGATCGGATCCAGCAGCGTGGAATAATGATAGCATTCTTATCAATGATCGGAGGTGTGGGTTATATCCTGTGCGCCACATGCACCACCGTGGGCGTGCGGTATTTCGGAGTATTCCTAGCCGCCTGTGGAGTTTTTCCAGCCATCGCCAACATTCTCCCATGGGTTCTGAGTGAGTCACTCTTCATTTTTTTTAAACGGAATAATCTTCTTTCTGACATGTAATTTGTGTTAAGACAATCAGGGCTCAGATACCCGTCGTGGTGGGGGTATCATCTTGCTCAATGTCATCGGTCAGTGCGGTCCCTTCTTAGGCACGAATGTCTTTCCAGACTCTGCAGCGCCCCGATTTATCAAGGGTATGTCAATCTGTGCGGCGTTTATGTTTTTCACAACGCTGTTGGCATTGTCTCTTCGTTTCTTGCTTGTGTGGGAGAATAGGCAACTTGATAAGAAGCATGGTCAAGTAGTGCAAGACAATATGACAAAAGGTGAGATGCCTATTGGAGAGGAAAATTACGGACCTAATTTCCGCTATGTGTTATAATTTGAACCGTCTACCATGGGCCATTCAACTTTTGTATTCCAAGGCGATATGTGTTGTGATAATGAAGTTATTGCAATCTACATTCACAGGGTTTCGTAGGCGCTCTAACTTCCGGCTATCGAATTTATCTTCTTAACATTATTTATTAGGTAGTAGCTCTGTCCATTATTATAGTACAATTTTCGGCAAAGCTCAGCGGACTTCACTGCCAAGATCGATCACCTGGATTCAATCTTATCTGGGGTGCGAGTGCCATTGGAGCCTGGACCAAGAATCAGGCTTTTCGCCGTGCTCACTTCCCATTCAAACTCCTTTAGAGCACGCAGTTCACTCGACATAAACAGTCCACCGATCAGGCCATCAATTATTCCAGCCCCGAAATTGAGTGTACTGACCAGTATCAATATGAAACCGATATACGTGCGGCTGCCAACCCACCACACACCGATCAGGCAGCCAATTGAGACGACAATGGACAACAAAAAGTGAGCGAGACGCCAGAAACGTTGTGAGCGTTCACGAATAACATAAGAATGAATCATATCAATGATCTGGTCGTATGTTTCTGGGGAAAGGGCAGAGGCAGTTTTCGGGGGTGGAGAGAAATCTGTCTGGTTTGAGGGTATAGAGGCCGAGATACTGTCATGTCGGGTAACGACAGCCTCGACAGAAAAGTGGTCGCTCAGGGAGCATCCGAGAGTAGGGTGGCGCTCGGTCATGCCAACATTTGCAGACTCGACGAACCAACGGGGTGTAGGGAAAGAGGGCGAGTAGCCACTATCACCAACAAAGATGTAATCAAGACGTTTAGCGCGAGGATCTTCAGCGTCCTTGTCAACCTGGATGTCTTCGCCTCTGTCGGCTCGTTTGCGAAGAGCTTCGGACCAGCGCCAAGTATTGAAGGCACCATCGCAGGTGGCTCCGTTCTCAACGAGATTAAACTCGGCCGATGGAATAGGTCTTCCCCTAGCCTGTTCAACCGCATCAATTGCAGCACCTACAGACGAGTCCGGGTGCAGCTCGAGCCAGACGTCACGAACGGGGCTTCGACCGGTGATCAGTCTGTGGGCGAAGGAGGATGGTATCATGTTGAAATCACCCGTGGCAATCACTAGATGACCCCGTTCAGCGGCACCGCGCATGAGTTTGGCTATCTCCCAAGCCTGCGCGGTGCGGTGGCATAGATACGAGTCGTTCGGCTCCCGCTCATAAGGAGCGTGAAGGTGAGTACAAAATACCTCAGCCACATCGGCTGGGCCAGGACCAAATCGGACTTTGGCACAGGCCACACCTTTGCCAACGTACCAGTCACCACGGAAGAAAGCTGTCGGCCGCCCGTTTAACGGGTAGGGGTACATGGTGCTTTCTTCAATCGGCCATCGTGACAGAATCGCTAACCCAGCACCAAAGATACCCCCAAAATAGAACTTTCCATATGGAAGTATATCCTTTGTCTGCTCACGAATACTCTCGTAGTCTTGTTGTGTCCACAACTCCTGAAGGCCAACTATTTCTGGTGGCGGATTGGCCACGGCGATCCGTCGACCTATCTCGGACAGTCGTTCATGGCGGTAGGTTGCGATGTACTTCAAACCCCAGCAATTAAGCGACAGGATCCGAATGCGGCTCGGGGGATCACTAGGAATAATTGAGGAGACCATTGGGTTGGGCAGTAAGTGACTTTAGGGGGATCAAGCTATGATGTAAATTGAAGGTGGGTCACCGCCTTCTGACGCGCTGATTTGACAGTTTTGCGCGCAAATATGAGCTCAGCGCGTTTGGGCACTGTCATCAACGGGTAATTCCTCATGGATTATGCGTCACCTAATGCCCGTAGTCGAGGCTCGCCTCCTCAGTCACCTCCTGAATCGTCGTCGGATGAATTGGCTGTTTCAGACCATGAGATCAAACAGCGACAGACGAGCTGGAGCGTTCAGAAGAATTTCACCCCGCAGCGTCCAAATCACGAGCGTCGCTACGTCGGGTCAGAGAGTCCAGATGAGTTAGCTGTGGATGCTGATGAGTATTGGCGTAACTCTCTCATTCGTGGCAGTCCCTCGTCTAGTAATCGCCCGGTCGATGACGCCTCTCCAAACGGATCCGACGATTTCTCTGAAAACCGACGGCGGGATAATGATAACAATGATAATGCGATTCTCGATAACATGTCAGATCGTTCCCCCACCCCAATTCCTCCATTCACGCCTCCTCCTACCAAGCCCGAACAACTGAGTTATAGAGAAAAATTCGTGCTTCAGGGCCACTTGCTTGGCGTATCTGCTGTACAATTCTCACCGGATTGTTCAATGATTGCTAGTGCTGGTAGGTTATTCTGTCGTGTTGTTTAAGAACGCTGACTTATATTCCTCTGTCTAGGCGCCGACGCAGTAGTCAAAGTTTGGGATACCTTGACCGGTAGACTCATTTACACCTTCGAGGGCCATCTAGCTGGTATATCCACAGTCGCATGGAGCCCAGATGGACAGTGGATTGCCTCTGGTTCTGACGATAAAACTATTCGGTTTTGGAACGTGATCACCGTGAGTTCTACTCAAATACCCAGATTTCCATGACTCGATATTGATTTGGTTCTTTTACCATAGGGCCGAGCTCACACAAAACCCTTCGTTGGCCACCATAACTACGTGTACCAAATCGCATTCGCACCAAAGGGCAACATTCTAGTCAGTGGCTCGTACGATGAAGCTGTATTCATGTGGGATGTGCGCCGAGCACGCGTTATGCGCTCTCTCCCAGCTCACTCTGATCCTGTTGCCGGGATCGATGTTGTGCATGACGGGACTCTGATTGTTTCCTGTGCACTTGACGGCCTCATCCGCGTTTGGGACACTCATAGCGGTCAGTGTCTCCGGACCCTGGTCCACGAGGATGTTCCGCCTGCTACTTGTGTCAAATTCTCTCCTAATGGCAAATACATCCTTGCCTGGACGCTGGATGGCTGTGTTCGTATGTGGAACTATGTCGAGAGCCGAGTGGTGAAAACCTTCCAGGGTCATTTAAATACAAAGTACAGTCTATCCGGCTGCTTCGGTCTCTATGGGCCACCAGATGTGAAGTTTACCCCACCACTATGCTTCGTTGTCAGCGGTAGCGAAGACGGTTCCATCATCTGTTGGGATCTTGTCAGCAAGAACATTCTACAGCGGATCGAGGGCCACACGGATGCCGTCCTTTCTGTCCACTCTGGCAAAGTGGATGGAAAGCGCATGCTCGTCAGCTGTGGATTGGACAACACAGTACGTCTATGGGAGGAAGATCTCGAGCCTATCTTGAAAGGGTCGAATGCTGCCTCTGTAGATGCCAGGTCCGAAAGCGGAAATCCTGAGGCTGACGACGAAAATGCGATGATCGACGCTCCCCCGGAGACTCCTGTAGAGGACGTGATTATGACATGACTGTGTCTCTATAAGGCGCATATCTTACGATTCCTTCTGCATTGGCGATTCGGCTTTTGTTTTTGTTGGGAAAATACCCGGTGTCTGGAGTCATGAATGGAACCAACATAGATCTCGTTGGAATAGAGGATCATTCACATCATTGCCTTGCGCTGAATGGCAGCATCATTTTATCATAATAACATCAATACATTTTTAAAGCAAATGATTCTTTTTCTGGCTTGTTGTAGTCCTTGCGGAATACTTATCTGGAGAAGCTTCTTCGAAAAAATTGTTTTACTATCGTTAATTCTACTCTATCGTATCTAGAAACATCGATTCAAGGCATTCATATAGTACAAGGGATGAGAGGAGCGTGATTGATAAGGATTTTAGAAAAAGATATCAACTTTTATGGGAATAGCTTCACAAAAGTTGGGTGATGATCGAAAGACAAGAAGGTGATAAAATGGCATGTTATCGAATCGCCACCGAACAAACTTCAGAATGATTAGAAGATTGAAAATCAAGGGGAAGGAGTGACATTTATTAAATATGGCAAAAATTCAAGACTCAAACCGCTGACCTCGCTATTCCCGTTTCTTATTTGTCAATTGAACCATATGGTCTTCGGAATATTATAGATAGTACCGTTAATCCTTAGTTACCCTGATTTATCTACTCATTAAGCTACTGATCTATGCCCCACTTTGTATTTTCAGCCGCATTTTATATAGAAAGGTTTATTAGTTAACTAATCAGGTTCTAGTTCGATTTGTAAGGGATATTGCGGCCAATCAGATCAAATATCGATTTTGGGTGTACGATTTTCATTTTATATAGGGGAGAGCGCCACTATTTGATAATGTACGGTGCTGAGAAATTGCCTATCTATTCTAAGACTTCTAGAGTTTTCAGTGGCAGCAACCACCTATAATTGCGAGTGAGCTGAACATACCAAGAACCCTTCTCTTACGCTTATAATAATAGATCTACTCGCCGCCTTTATATGAGTCAAGTAACTAAAATTTCTTTACCCATTCACATCCACAACATCTCGCGTTTAATTCTAGTTTCTACATACTGCAAAATTCTCAACTCTTGAGACAAGATCCTGATTCCTGGAGATAATTTTTGAGATAAGTTCCTATTGCCCCTACAACAACCTTAGGTGAGTACTAGTTAACTATGTTAGTCTTTGTTGGTGATAGCGATCACTATGTCTAAACAAGAAACATGATATCTATGAATGTAAACCGAGTTAATATAACCTTCGGATCTGCTTTACCGGATGGACATGCTGTTCAATTCTGGAGTACCGTGGAGCACCTGAAGGCCACGGTCTCTGAAATCCACACTTCTCTTACAGGGGTGGCCCACATTTGTGATAGAAGTAGGGTATTCGGAGGGCCTGAGTCAATTCCGAGCAGATGGCCAAAAATGGTTCCATGACTCGCTGGGCGAAGTTCGGTTAGTGTTGCTGATTCTCATCAAGCCAACCCTCCGTCGCCTAAAGTTCGAGCTTTGGCAGCTCGCTCCGGTAAATGCCCCCCGCCCTCTCACGCGCCAGTATATCAGCGCATTGAAGGCGACGAACCAGCGCCCTCCGATGGGGCAGCAGCTCGCTAATCAGCAACCATTCTGTATGCAGAATGTCGAAGTCGACACCGCACAGAACGGTAGAAACCGTGTTCAAGGTCCCTTGCGTCTGGATTGTCAAGCACTTCTCGATGATCCGAACCCTCCCACTCCTAACTACTTTCTTGGAAATATGTTCTTCGATTTCGTCACCCGAGATTTTTGGACTTGATCCCTGGTTTTCTTTTTTTCATTCTTCGATGATTTGCTCGCCTTTTACTTTTTTCCAATAGCTCTACCGACATATTGCTTCACATGTTTTCAAACAATTCATCTATCAATAGACAATCTATATAGCGTTATACAGGCGCATAAATAGAATCTAGCCCTCAGAGAAATTATTAATATCACCTATTATACGTGTACTGGATTACTGTGTAATCTACTTTCTAATTTTCGAGGATTAAAGTATTTTCTAAGCATTAGCGGACATTGTATTGCCGATATTAGCATTATGCTCTTATTAGCGAGGCAACTTATCATTCGCCCTCCCTTTTGCAATCGGAGTCAATGGTATAAAGCTCTTCAATAATTATGTGTATTACACCAGCACCACACAGCAAGCGGTTGTCCGGGTCTCTGTCAACCAAGACGCCTCTCCCGCAGGCAGTTTCGAAATAATTGCGGGCGGATTTAACCTAGATGACTTCTCCATATCCCAAACGGGCATTTTATACCTAGTAACCCATGCGCAGAATTCTGTGGTCAGAGTTACCCCTGAAGGGCGGACCTCTCAGTTTGCAGGTGGTCAAGCATCTACACTCATCCCTGGGCCAACTGCAAGTTATTTAGATGATGAGGAGTGCGTACTGTACGTCACAACAACTGGTGGCCAGGGCTTACCTGTACTTTGTTCATATTCTGAGCCAGCCAAAGTCGTTGCGATCAAGTTGTGATGAAAACGAACTCAATATGGAGTGGGACAGCAACCTCATTGGCACGGTTGACATCATGTCCAAGGATCGCTATTACAAGGGCGGGTTATCATCCTTTATGACCTAGCTGTAACAGGGGTTCACTACGCAATAGATAGTTTTCCAATTAACTTTTAAAGTTGGAATCACATTATGATACAACCGGGTAGAGCTATAGATATGCTGGGGCATAGCCATCGGTATGACCACTTCCTGTATCTCGTTAGTGTTCAATCTCAATCAAAGTTACTTGGTTACCAGCTGCCATTCCACAATACTAGAACTATAGTTAGGTAGTAATAAAGATTACTTTGACTGTCATCTTCTCTTTTAGCCGCTTCTTAGCCATCTTTTGACTACTTAGTAGCCAGTTAGTAACAAACTTATATCCAGTTGATAGCCGGTTGATAGCCTGTTTTATCTAGTTATTTACCCAAGGATCACCCTCCACAGCAGTGTTCCCCTATAAGGATTGTATCCATTGGGGGAAGGTCATCATCGCCATCATCATTTAGCCCCAGACGCTCTATATCAATATAATCTTCGATACGTAAATCGGTGGCTTCTAAATTGATCTCATAGTAAGCCACGGGAATATGAAAAGGAAACGTGAATTATTTTTTGTACGGGTAATCCTAAATGGATTTGATCCCTGACCCTACGCTAACTGTATTGAGAAGGAGGGTTAACGTAGGGGTTTTCTAGTCACTGCTCATGTCTACTTCTAGGTCATCATAGGATCGAAAACCAATGCGCAATACGAGTCAATACTCAATAGCCGTCGTCCTTATTTCAACTTCAGTCTCATGAAACTTCCGTTCATATTGGTGTCCAATTAGAAGGACCGGATCACTTTGAATAAGAGTTAGTTTTGACAAGCCTAACACTATTATTATACGCCTCGTTGGTCCACAGTGATCAATTCTATAAAAGATAAGTTGTGGGAGCCAGACAATCCCCCTTTTGTTTGCCTTGCTCGCAGAATCAACGTTTGAAAACTTGGAATGAATTATGAATTCATAACCCTACAAGTTTAATACACATGCTACAATTGTATCTCCTGTGAATAGAACCGACTACAAGTTAGTCAGAGTCAATTGGATCTCCCACATCTCCTTTAGCAACCTCAGGAAATCCCATTCCCATAGATTTCTCAGTCGTAACCATACCGGCGGCGTCCTACGCCGTTGTAGAATCTATGTGCGCGAGTGGTAAAGCTGACTTGGATCCATTCTGTGGTACATGTTACTTTTGTCAGAATAATCTAAGTTGTCAGGATATACATATAACAGCTCACTGGTAGGCTGAAAAGTATCATAAATGGAGACTTCTTTTTGGGAACTCTGAATGAACTTTGTTCAGCAAGATCTAACAGAGCTTCGCTAGGAGCCCGGGATTTTTCAAGCGGTGTCGACTGTCACTCCTCTTACCACATCGAATCTTGGATTTGCTGTAACTACTGTCTTCACGAAGAAAATAGGGGCCGCTGATCTACAAGAACGGAATTTGAAAAATCGCAGCCATTCTTTCTGGTACTAATCTAGTTATCTATAAAGAAGACCGTGGACCCAATCACTAACATGATGGAAATAGTTTGAGAATAAATGAATACGAGAAAAAGGTAATTGAATTCCCCTCAAATTACTAGTCTAGAATGAGGGCGGATTTGATCCTTCTGCAGGGAACAAGGCTCTGGAAATCAACGTGCAATGTTGACTGAAGCTTCAAAGTTATTCTTGACCTGTTTGCACTATTGATATGAAGTGACTGACAGCTTCAATGCTCAGCTTTTGAGACGGAATTAGAAAATAACAAGCCTTCAAATATCATAAAGCGTATGTGACCACATTTTGTTGGGCTCCACACCCCCGTACGATCCAATAGGAACAACCTCGGAAAGTCCGATCGATTCAGACTGAAGTCTAACATTAGAATGTTTTTGCAGAGCTATGATACATAGTCCTAAAATACCTACATGCTAACTACTTATATAATTTATATTTGATATTAAGATCACAAGATGCGAAAAACGCATCTTCTTGGCTTGATTATAATAGGTGCCGAAGCATATTAGAAATTCTACTGTTACAAAGCAGATTTTGACTGGGACTATCCTAGGTAGAGAGGTCGTAACAGTTCAAATCTTGCCCATCTGAGCACATGTTCAAGCTCAAAATATCGATCGTACTCAATTATTGGGAATCGGGGCAGTATCGACAAGTTTACTTCAGGTTTATGATCGCGGGTCCAAAAGAAAAAGCGAAGACCTTTTCTACCCATGGATGCTACCGCTCCTGGTTTTAATCTTCATCCTCATGTGTTCATTAGGGCTGTTTGGTTATTTATGGATCACAGTCGTAATATAACAGAAACCCTGAAAGCTGGAAAGCTGAAAAGCAGCCCTGAAAGTCTTAGATTCATTCTAAGGATTCCACGATCCTCATCTTTGGCCCCTTAGTCCAATCGATGCCTGTTTCTTTCGACCCCAAAGATTTGAAACTTTGAAACTTTGAGGACATGGAACTTCTTTTCCATATAAAATCTCCACCACACCTGGGTCAGAAGATTGAAAAAAAATATCATCTTCTGGACTTCTCAGACATAGAGATGGCCGCCATGACCAGATGGTTTAATAATCTAGCCCGCTTCCCACTTGCAAAGACGGGCCTCCTTCTGTTTTGCACTCTATTCTTCCTTCTATCGTTTGGAGATGCTACACCGATAGACCTGGGTTTTGAGAATAGCCAGCTTGAAGCCCGCACAACTTCTGGATGGCAAAATATTTTCCTCAAAGGGAGAAACCTAAGATGCGCAATGGACTACGACGAAAATATTGCCGCTGGCTGTTTCCCCGAAGACAATGTTCCACCCATTAGAAGTGCATGGACTAGTTATGGAGACTTGAAAACTTGGGGCTGGGCCAAGACCAATAATGGTCCTGAGAGTTCTTATTTCGCCGAATTGGATGATAGTGTTAAAATATTGCAGGGGCTAGGTGTGCAGCCGCAAAATTTGGAGTATATCGAATGGCGCCATGACAAAGATGTGGTTGTGGGCGGCGTGGAATATGGTGTAAGTTCAACTCCTTCCTGGCCTCAAGAAAATATGAAATGTGAAATTCTAATCGTTGCTTTACCTAGAAAACGGGCGGATATTATCACGAATTTTATGATGCTGCCGACGGTGTGATCTTAGCAGACAACAACCGGAGCCCTGAACAAGTTAAAAGTGATTGCCCTGTTGAACATATGACCAAGCTCAGGAAGTGGTCTGATGTGGTATTCCTTCAATGGCAACGGTTATGCCAGCAGCGCAAGGCCTCGGTCAAAAATCTGAAATACATCGTTCGGAGTTTTATTACGAATACGACGACGAAAACCATCATGCGGCAAGTACTTGGAGAAGCGCAGGATTTTAATGATTGGAAAAAGTACAAAAAAGGTATTTCGTTTGATCGAAGCAACCAGTACTTTAATGGTTTGTTGGGAACTCCTAACGTTGCAAGCTCAGCTTGGTTGTTGATTAACCACAAGCCTCAACTTGGTAAAAAGAGAATCTCGGAAATTACTATCCGAGGTTCATTCCGCCCAAAGAGCAAGGAGAATTCTAAGGCGGAATGGGTGCCAGTAATGATTCTTAAAATCGAAGATGTCTGAAAATGAGAAGCTTCTGTGGAGCTTTGCAGTTATTATTTGCTACTTATCCAATTTCTTTTTCTTATCTAATAGAAAACCTCCTTCTGAGCCTAATCAGCGATCAGTAGTAAGCAGCCAATCATAATCACTAAGTATTCAGTATTAGATACTCAGTGAACCTGACCCTGAACGCCCTCATAGAAGCGGAGACGAAATAAGAAAGCCCCACGGCCCCCACCATGGAAAATACTGTACATAAAGCTAAGGATCGGAGATCATTAAAAATCTAACATCGAAATAGTTATTACGTACGACACTAGACCTCGGCTATGAATAACGGGATTATACACGTATTGATCGGAAATAGCCAACTCCACCAATGCCGATAGCGCATACCATGTAGGATCAACTTCAGAATCCACTGTTATGAATATTAAGTGGGGGTTCTCCCTGAATATTTCCCTATAAGAACATCAACATCTTCGAATTTTTTTTTGGTTTTATAGCTCCCAGATGCAATGAGTCCCCTTCCTACACCAACAGTTGAGGCGCTCAAAAGCCGAGTCGATTCAGCTTGCAGCGACTCTGGAAAGGGCCTCCCAGGCGCCTGTGTCGCTGTCGTTGGAAAGGATGGGAAATTATTATTTTCTCACGCAGCAGGACTTAGAGGAGCTGGCAGCACCGAGCCGATGAGCCCTGAAACTGTCTTTTGGATTGCATCATGCACAAAGCTCATTACTGGAATTTGTGCTATGCAGCTCGTCGAACAAGAGCTGCTTTCTTTAGACGACAGCAATCAGGTCGAAACTATCTGCCCTGAAATCAAGGCAGTGCAGGTCCTGCAAGATGATGGTCAATTGGTTGACAAGAAGAGGGGAATCACCTTAAGAATGCTACTCAGCCATACTTGTGAGTAATAGCGGCTCACACCTGTGGACGGGCCTTTAATTTCGATAAGATTTCTGATGTCAAGTCTCTCATAGCTGGTTATGGATATAGTTTGATGAAAGAAAAGCTACGAGACCATGCCCGCCCTATTGGCTTGGATGAGTTTTCGGGATACTTTAGTGACTTCAAACAAGCACTAGTACACCAACCAGGAGAAGCTTGGGAATACGGGGTAAGTTTAGAACACACATCTACTTACATGAAGGCTTTAGTCGCTAAAAGACAACTCGGATCAATAGGTGAGTATCGACTGGGTAGGCGTCATAATCGAGCGCGTTACTGGAAAATCCCTCAATGAATATTTTCATGAACACGTCTTTGAACCTTTGGGGATTTCTCACATGTCAATGATCCCAACCCAAGAAATGAAGGAGAAGCTAGCTTATATGCACCAGCGAGATTCAGATGGTCGATATCATGTTAGGGACCATTTGCTCCGACGAGCACTGACAGTGGAAAGCGAGTCCGATGTGAAGGCCTTCTTCAACAGTGGCGGTGGAGGATGTTTCTCAACACTCGAAGATTACTGCCGTGAGTTTCTTCCTGCTTTTTTATGTATGCAGGTGGATCAACGTGATAGCTAATATTCTTTTGCAGAGATCCTAGCTATGGTCCTGAACAACGGCACTTCACCAACTACTGGAAAGCAACTACTTAAGAAAGAAACTGTGGACGAGATGTTCCGTGACCAAGTTGGACATCTTCCGCCTTTGTGTCAGAAGTATGTTGCCGCTGCAAAGCCTGATCTAGCAGGATCTACTACGGGATTTTATCCAGTTGTTCCTGGGGACCGTCAGGGTTGGGGATTGACCTTTATGTTGAGCGGATGCCCCTCAGGCGCATCCGTAAAAACAGCCCAGTGGTCTGGCATTCCAAATGTTTTCTGGTGGTGTGATCGTGAAAATGGGGTGGCGGGGATAGGCGGTTCTCAGATACTGCCGTTTGGTAATGCTCAAGTGTTTGAAATGTATATAGACGTTAAGACGGAAGTCTACAAGGGTATTTCAGGATCGGTGTGAGAGTCCCTGAAGGTCAGCTAACCCTGGAACGCGCTATACCTAGTAGCATGTATATCATCTCCTGCATAGATAAAATTATGATACTCTTGCACAGGAGCAGACACCATTCATATAGGCAGGTTTTATTGAATTGAGGAAAATGAAATTAATTGAAATCGTCGCATCGTTACCTGGGTGACTATGCGTACCTGATTTCCTCTACCAGGTGGGGACAGTGTCCGCTCTGGGAGAGAGAAGAGCAGTCAAATCATATTGAGTACTTTCGAGGGTTTAGGAGGTTTTATAGGCTTGGACTTCTAGGGGGGAGTTCAGCTGGAGACATTGCCCGACGGGATTCATCCAGTGCGGTGGAGTTCGACACTGATGACAAACAGTTTCTATGAGACGATCGTAGAGGTCGCCGACGCAGACTGATCCTGCAAGCCGAGGGATCGTTTGTTGATGAAGTGGTAGCCGTCGGGAAGTGCGGGTTGTTGAAGGCAGTAAGCACTGTCTTGTGGCGTATATTATATTATGCAGAACTAATGATGATCTAAACTCAATCGTGGCACGTGGTGGGTCTCCAGCAAGCATTTTCAGCACTAATGTATGTTTTATTTCTTTTTGTTTACTCCGAATTTCTAGCGGCGGCCGACGTCGGGTCAGATTGATGATCTATCCATGGATGTAGGTTTGTGGAAATCCCCATGTACTCTGTAAGAACAAGCCAAATATTATCGAAGTCCACGGGCACAGGGAAAAACGTCTGGAATCCAGCAGGCTCCACAGCTCCTCATCCCTAGAGCTGCATCAACCACAGACCTTCTGGCTAGAGATGATCGACTTCGATCTGACCCCGTCAGTCCTGGACTGTCCACCTTCATCGAAGAGCTATGCAACCCCTCCGCGCCACCTGAAGGGATGGATGATCACTTGTTCGTGCAGGTAAGACTGATCGAACGCATAGCAGGAGCGGTCCTCTGTCCGAACGATATGTCGAACTCTTCGCCATGCCGGTCAGGGCTGAGCTGTATGCGCCATCAGCGCATAGCTTCCAATCATCACGAAAGCCTGCTCCGGATGACCATGGGCATACTCGGAAGCCGCTAACAACACGCCAGCTTGAACGATACGGGTTATGTGGGCACGGAGTGCTTGTGCCTGAGTCATAAGTGATTTAGTGGCGACATGCAGCGTCAGATCTTCGACACGGTGGCTCCCTTGCGGCCCTAACTGATCGAAAGAGTCAGCGTAGGAGACAAGTAATGCCATGAATAGAACAAGTAAGGCGAAATCAGCCCGGAGATTAGCCCCAAAGGAGAGCAGTTGAGCATGGAACCGCCGTCGGAAGATATTGGTACGAATGTGTGAATACCCTGGAAGTATCAGACACCGATTTCATTAAGGTAAAGCCCCGTGGTTTCGAGTAGCTACTTGACCTGGACGCATAGTGTAGACTCGACCGTTGAGACCTGCACCCCGCGGGAAATGTGCGCGCTGCATGCAAGGCTATCGAGAATTGGTTGTATTGATGCACTAACAAGATTGTTAGCTTATAGAGCGCCAGCATTTTCCCAGAGGCCGCTTTAGGACTAGGAAATGGCGTCAGATGCAAGGGCGGGATCTACGATCGCTCGATGTCGCGGACTATGATTCGAGGTCTCATACAGACAGGGTAGATCATGGCTGCGGTGGTGGGTCAGCGGGTATTCCAACCCTCTGGAGTAGAAGCAGCGTAATACTCAGTACAGTAGCGACAGCGCGGCAGAAACTTATCACATCGTTTCTTGCGAGCCTTGCAGTTGGCGCATACATTAGGGGACTTCAAAGTGGCGGCTGCTGGCATGATTGCTTTGATGAAATTGACAGTGGGCTAGCGAGAATAGAAAGAGTTTCGTGCAGACCTGTCGGGGATCATCGGCCGCCGCTACGACGGTTGTTCCTAGCAAGCACTGCCAGTCGCCCAAAATTAGGCGTAGAGGCGCCATCGGTTACCGCCGCATTGATTGGGTGATAGTATCCTATTTTTACCTATTTCCAAGGTTATTCCTCAAGTACTATTACTGAATAGTTAAAAAACGCCCAGGCGTTACTAGATAGTAGCACTAGAGGCAGTAGATGGTAGCACTATTGGTAGCTTGCATGGATATTCCAGTATCCTTTTATTTGAGTTTCTATCGGTTTTTGGTACCTTTGTAGGTAGTATAGGCATTTTCAGAAATCATCTGAACTGATTTCTGCATAATTGATGCACTAGTCCAGGTGGAGTTATCGTAGGGACTCTGTTCTATAGAAAGCTTAGTCTTAATCTAAGAGCCGCTTAAAAAGTATTTGTTCAGTGATTCTAGGCCCTAAAGCTTTTAATTTACTTAAAATTGCGAGAAATGAGAGTAAAATCGAACATTGTTTAGATAGTATTTGCGTTGACCCTAAGATATTGACAAGGAAAATTTTGAAAAAGAAACGCATCCGGGACCTACATACGCCAAAATGAAGCAGAAAAATGAAATAATCCTGTTCAGTTTCATACAAAGCCCAGATTAACCCGTCAAAATTGGTTTGTTTCTCATAGTGGAAGGATTTTTCCACTTAAGAAAGGTATGTGGTTCCGACAGCGTTGAGAGCGCCGTTGGTCAACAAGTAGTTATCAGCGCACATGAAGTACGAGTAGCGAGTGATTCCGTCAGTACTTTCAAGGAAAGGAACGACCTCGTTGAGGAAAGCCTGGGTGACAGACGTATCGGCGATACCGTTAACGTCAGCGTTGAGAGCAAACTCGGTGAGCCAGACTTCTTCAAGGCCGTACTCGGCAGCAGCCTTGACAGCTTTTTTAACGAAAGAGATCAACTGATCAGCGCTATCACCGTACCAGTGCACAGCGAGACCGGTGATGCCACACGAGCTGCAATCGGCTATGAACTCGCCGAACCAGCTCAGACCCTCGCCATCGTTGGTGGATGAGGTGACGGCAGGCGAGATCAGCTTAGCCTGGCCCTTAAACGGAGTGATGTAGGCCAGGTAGTTACTGGCAGCCTCAGAGGGGGTCATCGAAGACTGACCAGAGTTATCAGGCTCGTTGAAGCCCAGGATGTAGTTGGTGCCACTGTTAAGAAGAGTCTCGACGGCAGTCAACCAACCGCCGAAGTCCTTGGAACCCCACAGCATGGGCACATACTCGACTCCTTTGGGGAGGTCCAGACCCCAGTTGGTCATGCCCCAGTTGTAGGCCCATGTGACGCTGGACAAGGAAGTCACGGTAGTGATGTCGTTGTAGGCAGCACCACGCTTGGTGCTGCTGCGCTTCTTATGCGCGGCAGCGTGGCTATGCGGCGCGGCCAGAGCAGCAGATGCCACGAGACCGGCAGTCAGCAAGTTGGTGAAGGAAACCATTTTGTATATTTGGTTTGAAAGATATCGAAAATGGATTGAAAGTGTCAAAGATACGACGAGAAGCCGGTTCTCAAAAAGAAGAAGGAATGAAGTTTGTTGAAAAAGGAACGAAGAACTAGACTGTGCACGGCACAAGTACTAGAATAAGAATTTAAGGATCTGACGACCGAAGGAATGAATAGAGAACTGACACAACTAGAGAAAAGAAGGAGTAAGGGCGAGTAACGGGGGAAACAGACGTTAAATGTGCGTCAAGCCCAGCGGGTTACTTACCCGCTGGGCTGGAACGGGTACTTTGTGAGGTCGGCATCAAACTCCATTGGCTAGATATAGAGAGGGCTATTTATGATGCGGTTTTTTCCTTTATTTTTTTTATTGAAACCGCGGACATGCAAGGAACCAGGGGGAAATTGAGGAGTGGAGGACATCGTGATTGGACTGGAAGCCTGGACAACACTCAAATAAGTGACTGAATCGACGAAGGTGGAGTCTTCTCTTTGATATCCATATAGACGTGCTCCACAGGCCTTATGTTTAATGCTCCATAAAAGGCTGGACCGTATGTAACCCGTGGACGGTTATGTTTTCTTTTCATATAGTGGAGGGACCGACTGAAGAGTGCTCCACTCTGTAGAAGTACAGATATTAGCAGGGTGATTATCTCAAATCACAGATCTCGAATCGGGCTGACAGGGAAGTCGCATATTGTGGCGCCAAATGATCGAGGCTATTCGACTTGGACGTGGAAGAAAGACGTGGGAAAAAGGAAGAAATACAGCGAACCATGGATGAGCTAACGTCGGCACTGGCTTGGATTGGCGCTCCGGTGGCGGTATCCATAACACTGCATACTACAGTTCCTTGGGTTCCGGTCAGGGCATTTATTGTGATAGGTCACTGGTTTTTATCTTCGTGGAATATCCATGGATCCATGAGGCTATTATTTCCGATTCAGTGATACTTCATTCTTAGGGCATAAACAGCCGAATATTAAATGATGCCTCATATGCATCTGGGTAGGCTTATTAGACCAGTCAGAGTCGATCCGGACGAACTTCTCGATCGGTCAATATATTAATTAATTTTACGAAGTTTGCTACATCCCTCCTTGCGCTTTATTCGTAACTTGATTCGTTCTATATTGCCCAATGGGGTCTGGCCGGGTCTATACATGGCTGATATAATCATCATGTTGACAAGTGACCCCGCCTTTAGGGCTAATAGCTACATACTCAGGTACAATCCTGCAAGAGAATAAAAAGTTTCCCCATTTCCGAGCTCTTAGAACTTGGGCGGAAATATGGAGAACTTCAGGGCTATCCTCAAAGTTCTTCATTTGGACCTGTAGAAGCATATGGGACCTGAGCATCGATCAAACGTCATTATACATTAAGCGAGACCTCAACACCTGGAGACTCCACATCTTTACGTATGAAGGGCCTCGTCACTCAGCGTCATCTACAGATGAAAAGCCCACAATCCCTCTCTTATTTATCGACCTAGCCACTTCCATCTTTAAATCGTCTATGCCAATAAAAGCTTTAACGTCTACCTATTGACCCACTTGTCTAACGCTTACCCCATATCCAGACCCGAAAGTGATAACCAATTGATGGGTCCCGGTAATTATCTGCTGGCCTATCTACATCCGCATACGGGAAGGAGTGTACATGACCCTATTTGATGTAACTATGAGAAGAATGACGCAAAATATGAGGTAAAAATAAGGCCGCAGATAGCCCGAGATAGGTGCCTACGCATATATGTAGTTAAAATCCTGCATGGATCCGTTCAGGATGGCCTTAATAAAGGGACCGATCTGATGAAGTAGCCGGAACTGGTCAATGTTACACCTAGCCTTTAAAATCTGCATGCAGAATCACATTATTTTCCAAGGTTCAAGGTAGATTTGAGAGCCTTTTTCTAGGGCCCTATTCAAGGAAAGGGATATTTAAATGTATTATAGCCCTTGCTATTTGGACCACATATACCCGTGCTCCTTATCAGTAATCCTGGCGTTTTTGCCTGGATGGATTTAGATCCTTTAAAGCGGCACTCACTAATTGTTCACCTGTCCGAAATCGGTCTCCCACCTGATCACATCCTAGAGTCAATATAAGAGCTCCTATCTTTTATTCTTTCACATACGACCACAGAGTGTGGGAAACAGGGCTTCCTGTTCGCTTCGCCATACTTACGCCTAGTAATCTACGCAGGCACCCTTTCTCTACTAAAAAAAGCGATATGAAGTTCCTTGGGGTGGTGATTTAATTGAGAAGTATTGAGAATGGGATGGGATAGGTGAGAAAAGGGTGAGAATTCTTATGTAGAGTGATAGGATGACCCTTTAGTCTATCCGGAATCTACGGGACGATGAGGAGTGTTGGGGATGCTCAAGGTTGCGCACTTAGTAGGAGTTCAGGGCGTTGGGGCACATGAGAATCGGAAATTGAGCGCACGTGGATCTTGTTCTATGGTGTCTTATTAACCATAAGTGGCAATATTATAGATCAATGACAACTGATACATATACATGACGTCGAGCATGGAGTTAAGCGCCGATTTACGTCAGAAGATCGTTAATAGATACGCCGAAGACAGCAAATAGACCAAAGTCATCTCAGAGCTTCAACGCGACGAACCAGATCCGCATAAGACCGCGTTACCCTACAAATACGCCGACAAGCTACTATTTTCTAGGCAATTAGACGGTGAGAAATGGTTATGCATCCTAGCCAAGTTGGCCCCTACGATGTTTAAGCTGGTGCACGACGACCAAGGTCACCAAGGTATCGATCGATCGTGGCATAAGCTCGGTGGCATGGTTCTTTAACAAGGCTGGTCTAAGCTCAAGCAGTATTCAGTGAGCAAAAGTAGCGAGAGGGAGAGCACTAATACAGAAGAGGAACGCCAAGAACTAGCATAAGTAGTCTCCCTAGGTAGCCTTCCGATATCTCAAATGAACTTTTCCTCGAGATGCTAGTAAAGCAATAATATCGATTTACATTTGCCTCGGGCGAAAATTCCCGGAATTTGGGCGTGCTGTATTTTTTTTTTAGAAAGGCCCATGGTCCCGAGTCCGTACTTCGAGAACCCGATCTTCGTTCATCGTGCTATGGATTTCATTGGTGGTGGTTGCGGTTATGCGGGCAATCGCTCCATTGTGAATGTGGTCTTTAATAAGTCTATAGCCTTCCAGCCACTGTAGGTGTGCATAAAAGCTATGGTGAGGATCTTTCCAGAGGGTCACGTCAACTACACCAACGAAAGTCTAGTATATGAAGAGTTGCATGACAATAAGCCTGAAGAATATCTCTTTCTTCGCGGCTCCCTGAAATAATGGCAAAATTCTCTCCTCGTCCGTATTCCTGGAAATTTACCTCTTTGTTGTGAAGCAGGTCTCGGGAATTGATGGTTGATTAAGCTATCGGTCACCATGGCATAGTAGACTTTGAATTCATTCACAGGTCATTGACAAGAGCAATGACCCGACCGCCAAAGATTCGGTCAACCTGATATTAAGGCAATCTTCACAGGCTTCTCTCGGCAAGATAAAAACATATGATGAACAAAGTTAGTGGATGAATTCGATTGAATCGGCACTAGGCCCAGGTGAGCAATATTCTTACATAAATAGATTCTTTTCTTTTGTAGGTCTTCTCTTTCAATTCTCTTCAGTCGTGGAACGCCTTGGCTTGAACTACGTAAGTAGGGTGCTTGATGTGTTAAATCTCGGTTGCGAGGACAGGAAGTTGGACTTGGCGGGGGGTTTCAAAATTTGGGCTTTCATGATGGGGATTTCTTCGGGGAGAGAAAGTCCTTGGGCGTTTACAATAGAGTTCGGTGATTGATGATATCAAGTACTGGTACCTTCAAATTTGAACTGGCTTCTGAAACAGTAACTAGGTATTCGTGTCCAGGTCTCAGTATGAAAGTAGACATCGGGATGAATCATGAATGTTGACAGCGAAGCGAGCATTCAAGATGACATTTAAAGCTTGGGTGCGAGTTTTACATTTTGGAGTGAGAACAAACTTCAATAATTTGAGAATGATCCATTTATAGCTAACCTTGGGCTCTGGCCCTCGTCCAGATCAAAAACGTCGTCGAAACATACTTCAATTAACCAATCAGCGAAACTGCCCGCATCAGCCCAACTAGGAAGGCGGTAAATCTCTAAAAAACGATGATGTAGCCATCGACCCTCCACAGCTTCAACAGCAGCTTCATTCCACAAACAAAAAACCCAAGACACAAACCCACAATGTTTTCCCGCATAGCACCCCGAGCTCTGCGCCTTGCAGCTCGCCCACCTCAAATATCCCCCTCTATCCCGCTATCCGGAACTAGAGTTCTCTTCCGCCGTAGTTCCCCATCGCATCTTACCTTGGCCCGGTCATTTACCATTTCCACCACCAGGCCAAAAGGTCTTCAGCCTGATACTGAAAACCCTCAACCTCCAAACACGCAATCACCTGTTGCCGGTGCTGCGGTGCATGTCAATGAGCCGTCGCCTTTGACGGCGCAGGAGTATCTTGACTACTCAGAGCATTATTTTAACGTTCTCCTTGCAGAACTGGAGAGCGCTCAAGAGGAGGGCTCTGATTTGGAGGGGGAGTATAGCGTAAGTGTCCAACGGTTTCTACAACATTTTATCTGCCATACCCTGTTTTATAACTCCACTATCCACATCCAAACTAGATCAGATCTCAACTCTAGTCACCATCATAACTAACGAGATACAGGCCGGCGTCCTCAACATCTCAGTCCCCGCAATCGGAACCTACGTTCTAAACAAACAACCCCCCAACAAACAGATCTGGCTCAGCTCGCCTATATCCGGCCCGAAGCGTTACGACTGGATCATCGAGGGAGACCGCATGCACGAAAAGCAGGAGACCCGCGAGTTTGCAAATGGCCAGTGGATCTACCTTCGTGATGGAAGTAACTTGACCGATCTGTTGAATAGTGAGTTGGGATTGAACCTACCTCGGGATATTTACTCGGAGGTTGTGGAATAAGGAGAAGATGATGCATTTTAGATCTTACAGTTTACAAACATCAACTGCTAAGGGCTTATCATCAGTCTGGAGACACATTGTAGTTTTATTTGTATGCGACACTTGTTTTTCTCTGGAAAGTTTGACGTCTGTGGGCTTTCGTATTGATCCTAGTGGAATAGCTCAATGGGCATGGTGGAGATAGTTCTTCTTCCAATGCTTCGTGATGATGGTTTTGACTAGTCTTGAGGATGCGCAGTGATGGTACCTGACCTGCAGGACTTGACTTTTCACGAGGAACGTGAGTTTCTCATCCATCATTCCAATCTTTCTTCGTAGCGACTAAGTCATCCCAGACAGTCGATCCAACGGCTTTTGAGGAAAAGTACGTCATCTGCAGGACCACCTGGGTTATTTAGATTTAGTCAAGACTTTGTCAACCCATGGGGCTGCACTGGTTTAGGCTCTGAACAGTCACGACATTTAATCGCCTCAAAAGTTGAAGGGCAAATATTCTCTCGCGAAGTATGGCAGGACTCGATGGCCACGCGACAAGAGTTTTAGAGGAGTAATGCGAGTATGATTATCCACTTCCAGTCAGTCTTCAAGCCTGCACAGAGACAGAGCCTGCCTGTGTAGTATCCGCCTTAGGTAGATCGGACTACAAGCGAAATGAAATCAGCATCGAGTCAATACAGCCAAGTCGAGCATAGGGCGCGAAGTATTTGCGAAAATGAAACAAACCACAGAATCTTCGCAGTCTACCGCAAGGATTTCACTTACCAAGTCGAAGATAACGCGGATCATCAAACTGCAGCTTGGGCATACTGCGATCTCTTCGCCGTCACGCAGATCATCGACGGCAATCTCGAATCGGTCGCCGCACGGGCAGGGGAAGTGGTAGAGTTGCGTGGCGGGGTCGAAAGTCATATCTTCGATTTCGATCTCGTCGTAGATGGATAGAGCTTCGTCGGCCATAATGGGAAAATGATGTCTTTTTTTTCCTAATAACTTTGGGAAAAGATGTAGAGGAGAAATTACAGACCAAGAAAAGTCGCTCGGTGGCGGACAACTTTTTTTTTTTTGGCGCGGGGAGTCATGTGATAGCGAAGTATACAGCCCAAAACAAAGTCATAAAGTGGTCATAATAATACGAAGTAAAAGGTATCTTCTATATACTTATTCGCCCAGTCGTGCAATTTCTGACTGCACGGTCTCAACCTCTTTCAAAAGTAAACCGTAACGGCGAGTAATCTCCGCTAAGGGGCCTCGGTCGTTTCCACCGCGATCTGCGTCTGAGCCCTCAACGTCTCCGTACCTCTTGAGCTCATCTATCGCGATTGCACGACGCCCTTCAAGATTATATCTGGCTTCCTGAAGATGTCTCCGGTAATGTCCTAGTGCAGCCAGGGTCTCAGGCGTATAAAGTGCAGCCGCAATCTCAAGCTTGGTAACTCTAATGGATGCATGTTAGCTAGTTGCAAGGCTTGCGCGGGAAGGCAAGCGAAAAAGAAAAAAATTGAAACACTAAATGAGGATAACAGCAGACAGGGAATTACGCAACACGTACTCTAGTTTTCCTTCTGCGCCTTGTGCAACAGTAGCCAAATGCTCCACCTTCGCCTTCGTAGCTCTTGCCAATGCGCCATGTTTCACTCGCTCGAGGATGACAACCGTTCGCTCCAGGACCAGCGTTCTGATTGCTAGTACTTCCGCTGCCGTTGCGGCCATCTTACGTCTTGCGGCTGGTAGCTCAAACAGTTGGATGTGGCGGAGAGCGCGAACTCGGTCCCGAAGCTGTGACGATAGAGGTGGGACAGGAGCCATTGAGGTTCTGACTTGGCGGTCTCGGGCCCGAGCCCGGGCATTATGGTTAGAAACTGGACGAGATGGAGCTGAGATACTCCGTGACAAGGCTGACTGCTTGCTAGACACTGCCTGTGTATGTGTGTCCGAGTCGGTTATCGCTATTGTTCGAAGCTCTTCAATTGCCGAGGACAGGATGTTCGAGAATCGCAGTATTAAAGCTGGGATATTTGAGTAGAATGTTTCGACCTCGGGGGCTAGCAATGAGAGGGCATCGTCTCGCCTCGGTGCTTGTCCGTCTTGCGCTGGACCTTCAGGGTCAATTGCGGCGCGCGGTGTCTCTAGATATAGGGATATGATGGCTATGTTATCGTGATACTGAAGAAAGTCAATACATGAGAAGTTAGGCAAGAGGGAAACAAGCTCCTGTGACGTGGTTGCTGTATCTTTGGACACGCCTACCTCATCAGAAAGTTCGCTTTCAGGCGCAAAGGCTAGCTGTCGGAGTGTGCTTTCCTTGATCTTCTTCGTTGCAGTTTGGATTTGACATTGCTTCGTTTCCTTCAAAACGGCTTGGTAAGTATCTGTTTGATGGGCTCCTTACTACGCGACTGGCACGTCGTAGTCTTACCTCTACCGCAGCTGTCCGGGCCGGGTCTGCATCATAGGCATGTGTAGAGCCATCTGGATTTAAAAGACTCGTCGTGAGATTATCGTACAGGCGTTTGAACAAAGGGTTCTTCTCTAAAATAGACGGGTCGCATGGGGGGATCATGGTGGAGTGAGAGAGAAAGTGTTCACCGCCAACAAGACCGAGACAATCTACTCCGACTCTCTAGTCCGATAACCAGCGAATACATTACTATGCATGCAAAGAACGTGATACAATATTACAACGTACATTTGGGACATTTCCGCGTTTCTGTCGTAATCGTACAAGTGAAGCAACTTACTCGCTTCAAGCTTAAGATCCGTTTGCAATTCACGTAGAAAACCCAATTTTATTCCACGGAAAAGGCATAATTTGGGTAAACTGAGGTGAAGCCGACGGGGGAAAAAAAAATAAAGCCTTAGCAAGCTAATCCCATAAAATCAACGCGAAGGAATCTCTAATTCCAAGTCCATCCATCAGGATCGTGGTGTGCCCAGGTGGGAACGTCCAGGTGGAAAAAAAACCCATCAACAAGGGTAACGGAATCTCAAAGGGCAAGTCCATCTGTCAGTATCGCAGGGTCGGGCAGGACTTTCAAAAATGGTAAATAAAAATCAAAAGCGTATGTGCAAGGGGAATGGCCGTTGGTCTGAAATTGTCAGGCAGTTGGAGCTGAAAACGCCACAAAATTCAAGCTCCATGTATGCCCATGCGCATAAAGGCCGGTAAAAAAAAGAGATATTCATGAATGCAGGGCAAATTAAGAGGTAAACATGACGCTCAGAACGCAAAGAAAAGTCAAGATGCATGCCATATCTTAGAAAAGAACTAGCAGCGACCAAGCCTTACTCTTCCTCACTTTCCTCGGAATCGTCATCTGAATCATCATCACTGGATTCATTGGCTTCAACCGAGGGGACAGGGTCGGGGGAATGTCCACCGCCCTGGAAGCGGGAAAGGTTGCTCTCCAGCATGTTGATCTGTGCCTCCTGCTCGAACTTGCTCATAGGCTTGTTCTTCTTGGTCTTGGAGGTGGGCATGGTGGAAGAGTGTTTGTATTCCTCTGGCTCCGTGGCCGGGCCGTGCTTCTTCACGAAAGCGAGCAGCAACGCAAGCACATTATCGGGCAGTTCGTCAATATCCAATTCGATCTCAGCCTCTTGAGTGCCCGCCTAAAATCAGTTAGGATTGAGTTGTTGAAAAATCTAAAAATAGGTATTTACCTTGATAGAAGGAACATTTTGCTCGATGATCTGAAGTGCCTCCTGCATCTTCTTGTCGGGAAGGCTACTAATGCCATTGGAGATGACCTGCTTTTCATGGTAGGTGATGTAACGATGCTTTTCGCCCTTGCCACTCTTCTTGTCCTTCTTGCCGGTGCTCTTCTTGTGTTCTTTTTTACCAGTCTTAGACTTGCTGGTCTTCTTGGTGGGTGGGGTCTTTTTCTTCTTTTGGCTAATCAATTCCATTTGGCGAGACATCTCGGCAATCTGCTTCTGCAGCATGGTAAGCTGCTCGTCATCCTCATTGCTCTCCTCACCATCTTCATCACTTTCCTCATCAGATGAATCGCTGTGCAGGTCAGGGCGTGGCTGATGTTTGAGCAGGTAATCCTCCTTTTGCTTCCATTTCATGTCAAACAGACCTTCCAGACTCTGACCAGCGGCATACGTCGGGTCACCAGGAATGTTGAACCGGTAGCAATTCTTGAACATGAGGCGCACATCCGACTCAAATTCTTTGGCATTTTCGTACTGGCCAGTCTTGTGTTTACTTTCGATAGTCTGAATATCCATGGGCTTCTTGATCACGGAGTGATAGGTCGGTATGTTGAGCGCGACGGGGTCCACAGGGAAGTAGAAAGGACTGGCAATGTAGGAGTTCTTGGGCTTTTTCAATTCCGCGATGACTTCTGAACAAAACTCGAGTTCCCAGAAGAACTTCTTCTTCTTGGGCTTGGTAGAGTAGGGGAGGTCTCTCTTTGGAGGGTGGATTGAGCGTTTCGGACGTCCATCTGGGTTTGAAGAGTCACGACGGATCACAGGCAAGCCTTCCGGGCCCAAAGCAAACGTGGTGTTCTGCGGTGAAGCAGCCTTGGCAGTTTGACCACCAGTGGAAGTCCGGGGCTCGCGGCGAGGAGCCTGGGCCTTTTCTTTAACCTTCTTCGCCTTTTGCGCCTCAACCTCATGTGGTCCCGGGAGGGTCTTCATCTGTCTAAGGAAGTCGCTTCTCAGTCTCCCCCCTTCCAGAGCGACAACGTGAGTTGGTCCGTTGAAAGTCATTGAGTTTTGAACCATCACATTGAAGTCATCAATCAATGCTTGGGAAGATGAATATTGCTCGCCTTTGAGCTTCTTTTCCATGGTGCCGAGATCCATAGGTTGCGTAATGATGTTGAAATAATGCGGAATTGCAAGTTTGACCGGATCCACGGGCTCACGGTAGAAGCGGGCATCATTCTTGCGCTTTATGTTGTGAAGTAACTTGGTGAGATGTTTGTGCTGCATTTTGCTGATAGGCTCAAGAAGTGGGTCGGAAGAGACCCGAGTAACTTCAGCTGACCCGCCTTTTGATCCATCAATCTTCAAGCGCTTAGATGACGACTCCTCTTCAGGGTCAGACTCTCGCTCTCGGGAGACCTTTGTGGGAGACATGGGTACGTCAGGGACATCATCCATCACCTCGTCTGTCAGAGGGTGTGCGGGACGAAGTAAGAGGGTGGGGGTTGACCGGTCAATGGGTTCAATTGGCTCGCGCGCAAGCTTGAGTGAGTCCTGAGGAGCGTCCTGGGGACTATCCAAGGACATTGGATCATCAATTGAATCAGCCAAGGAAGCAGGCAGCACATCTTTTGCGGGCTCGGTTGATTCATTTCTTTCAACTGACTTCTCAATGGGTTGCTGACTAGGGGTTGTAGTCTTCCCCTCAATCTTTTCTTTTTTATCGTCTCCTACAACTTGCGCTCCATTGGCCTGGATCTGTACGTCAAAATTTAGTGATGTATCTTCCTGAATGGGCTCAGTTGATTTGTTGACATCGGTCGGTGAAATAGGTCGCATGGTAGTAGGAGAAGGATGAGAGTCGTTGGTAATCGGAGGTGGAGGTATAGTGTGACCATTCATGTCGCCATTGGTGGCGCCATTGCTTTCTCCATTAACTTTCACGGCGGCGTTAATTTCACCGGTTCCACCGTTACTTTCAGTGGTAGTGAGGTTGTCCACGTTGGTTTCACTTTGAGCGCTGGAAATGTCAGTGAATGCGACCGCTTTACGCGTATGATCAGAACTCGCTTACCTCAAAGCCTTTCCACCGGTCGCAGAGAAAGCAACGGGGGAGGGAGGCAATTGAGGCTTCTCCTCCTTGAAAGGAACGCCCTCCCGATCGGGAGGCGGAGTCGCCATTGAGATTTCCGGGCACTGGAGTGGCTCTCAATGAGTCACAGATGATGTGAAAAAAGAAAGGATCGAGGTGGTCAAATGACAATGTTAACTGATGCGCCGAAGGTTGAGGGTGGTGGGGGAAGGAAGAAGTTGTGGAGGAGATAGAGTTGGCGCGTGAAGATGGAATCCAAAAGGGAAGTGGAGTATGCGATGAAGGTGGAATTTATACTGCCAAGAGAAAGGCGGTGTGTATTGGGTAGACACGTGATCAGGGTGATGAGGAAAGACAGATGTGTAAATTGCACTTGTGAAGTGGGGAGCTTGGAAGGGTAAGTGTTGCCTGAGGTTGGGGAAGAAAATAAGAAAGATCAAGAATTATGAAATAATTCAAATGGACCCAGTTAAAAAGAAATACCAACGCGTCAAAGGGATTAAACGCGACGCGTATTGTTTAGGTAAAGGGCGGTCAGGACTTTTAGAAAGGTCGAGAAAAGATTGTCGAGGGGGAGCCAGAATTCTTAAGTAACTTACAGTCCGTCTTCCTCTCCTGTCCTGCTATCTCCACTATTCAATCATTGGTCATAGTCCCACATTTCTCTCTCTTTTTGATTGATGATTGGTCCCTGTCTGTATGGTACCGTATTGTTGCAATATGGAAAATGATGGAAATCTTTTTGATTCCATTGCTTGTTATTATTAAATTTCCTGAAATTCTGCCTATTCTTCATAGATAAGTATTTTGGTTTCGGTTTATCTTTTGTTAATCTAGAGGTTATCTTATCCTACTATCTCAACTCCTTCAAAAGTGAGAAGGTTTCAGCCTGTGTACCCTGCGTCAAAGCCCTAGGGTTTACTACTGAATGCGGATTAGTGTGATGACGAGTCGAGTTCGACGTCACGCCACGTGACCCCTATTTCCAATTCCGACGGATTTCTGGTGAGTCTATATACTCTTCCATATCTAGATAAATATACTCAGATACTGTTTCTATTCGTTTCTATTGTAATATTGTAATACTCAAGTGATAGCATGCAGATGGGCCCTTGCAGGTGAAGCAGGTATGTCAGTATAGTCTGGACTGAAATGGCCAGATATACATCTTCATCCTAGGCATACATTGTCAACATACCAAGGTACTACCTAGGTACCTGTAACTGAATTGAGCTCTTCCAACGTTGTCCGAGGCTTTGAGATAATTTTCTTACTCTGATGAGTTGAAGTAGAGCAGTTGGGCCCAATGGTAGTACTGCATGGATCAATTGATCTGGATATACCAATACTTGTATCTCCAGAAGGCTATCTGCATGGATGCACGCAGTTGATAGATGTGCATATGAATTGTTCTGAAGGTTGTATGGTTCTAGAGTTTGGAGGTGAGGGTTAAAACCCTAGTGATTGGTGGTATTCAAAGTTGAGCGTCATGTTTGGGAGAAATGATCACTGAAGTGTCTTAAAAGCGCCTGTCTAGGTGGACATGGATGGGTCTGTGGACGGCTGCCCAGGTGTCTTGATATTCATCTTAAGTGCTGGTGATGTTGGGATATTTTGAAGGGCTTAAAGTGGACTTAGAATGGTATAGATACCTCTTCGACTGTGTAGCATTATTCCAAGGCCCGGTAAGCACAGAGGCAACACCTGGGCATCAAGATGTCCAATAAATAACCTTAGAAGTTAGAAGTCCCTTGTGTTAAGTGCAGACATTCAAATGTTGGGCCTGGAGGTTGAAACCTTGGAACTTGGAAAAGTCCCTCGGTTTATGATTTTAGTGATTCTGGTAGGTAGAGTAATCTTTGAAGGCTGAAATTTATCCACATTGATGTAGGTTCAAAATATACTTACGGCGTTCCCGGTGGGTATATTTAGATGCATGCGAAATTTTGGTACTGGTTCGAGACACTGGAAGCTTCAATGAATATTGAAATCCTTAGGAGAAATATCAGCCTCGACATAATAAATTTCAGAACCTTAGAAGGACTTAGTAATATCTCTGGTCGAGAATTGACAATGATGGAGATGAAGTAGTTATCATGGCAACACCTGTAGTCTGATTAGATAAGGCCCGCAACACACACTAAACCAGTTTGGGACTAGCACCTGGCCCGTGAGTTCTACAGAACATTTTTTTTCCTTCGGCAACTGCAAGACCATCCAAAGTCCCATAACCAACCTCGCTTTTCCTGGAGGCCTGCGAAAAGTTATACGAGGTCGATACTTGTGTTCCTTCTGATTATATACCTGCAGATCATACAGCAATTTTCACTGCAAAGAGAGGAAAGATATCTGAAAAAAAAGCTTACAAAATGGGTAAGAAGACATCTCGCCCACCCACCAAGGTTGGAACGGCTGCATCACCAGCTTCGGGCCTGTCACAGTCTGGTAGCAAGTCTTCTATCCTACGGTCTGCTTTCTCTCCATCAGAGTATCAATTGGCCTTATTCGCCTCCGTCATCCAGGGCCTCGATGGCCAACATCTCCGCATTCACGATACCAATACAGGCCGACTACAGTGTGAGCATGCGTTGGGACCAAAAGAAATTGTGACTTCACTGGACTGGGGATACTACAACATCCAGGGAAAGCCCCGCGACCCGTCGAAGAAGAAGCGCAAGCGCGGATCTAATGTGAACGATGGTCTGGACCAAGGAGATGTCGTCGTCGCGTTCGGCACCAACACTTCCGACATTCGCATGTTTTCACCATCGGAGAACAAGGTGGTTGGTAATCTCAACGGTTTGCATGATAAAGGAATCAAGGACTTCAAGTTCACTGCTGGACGGCCCGCGCAAGAGGCGTGGAGTATCGGCGGTGACAACAAACTTGTCCAGTGGGATTTGATCACCGGAAAGAGCCTGAAGTACGAGGGAATCCAATAAAACATTTGTAAAATCCATTCTAACCTTGTTTATTTAGGACAATTCACTTGACAGGATCGTCTGTTTTCAGTGCTCTCTCACGCCCTGTCCCCTCGAACTTGCCCGTCATTTGCGCATCCCAGACTCCATTCTTGATAGACGCGGAAAACTCCGAAAATGAGCCCACCAAGTTCCCCGCCATGCGCAATCAGATCCACAGTGTTGTTTCTTCATCTCTAGAGTCCGCCGGCACCGGCGCGTTCCTTGCATCCGACGGCGACCGTTTCATCAACGTCTTCGATGCTGCAAGCCAAAAGCTCGTGCGCAACCTAGTGGCCGATGAGAATGTGTCATCCGTCTCGCTCTACACAGCTGCCAACACTTCACCCGAGAAGCAAGTCCTTGCCGCCATTACCGAAGATGGCACCATTGAGTTCTTCACAAAACCATTTGTCCAACCGCAGACTGCCCAATCCTCTAGCGCCAAGGCGAACCGGAAACAAATGACTCAAAAGGCAGATGCCTCGCTCAAGATTGTCCGCTCCGAGTCCTCAAATGCCTGCGTTCCTGTTGTATCAAGTTCGTTCCAGGGTCACGAAATCGTAGTTGCTTATGCTGAAGGTGGTGTAATTCCCGTCTTTGAGCGCGTCAAGTTCCTTGATGAGAGTACCGAGGAGCTTGCCTTCACTGGAATCAAGGCGGTAGTTAAGAGCAAGTCAAGCTCTGCTGTTGCATCAGTGACAACTAATGGCGCCAAGGACGTCAGTGAAAGCCGCGTGAACGAGACATTCACGGTTGTAGAGTCTGGAAACACTATTGATGACGATATTGAGATGGAAGATGACAACGATGCCGCCTCCGTATCCGGTAGTGAGGACTCCGACAACGACGACGATGTTAAGCCCACACCTACAGAGAAGAAAGTCAAGGCCAAGCACGTCGCACAAGATGATGATGTTGAGATGAAAAATGCCGAGTCAGATGACGAGGAAGAGGAGGAGGAGGAGGATGGTATGGAGCCATCCTTCGGCGAACTTCTGCGCGCCAGCGGCCACGAAGTTGACGTGGAGGCTGAGCTCGAGGAGGATGTTAATATGGGTGCTTTGGTGCCCGGCAAGCCCGTGGCAGCAGTGCAACAGATCCCCACCGGCGTGTCACTAGCCACAGTTCTCACACAGTCCCTCAAGACAAACGACAGCGGCATGCTCGAGTCCTGCTTCCACACCTCCGATACCAATATCATCCGTTCCACCATTCAGCGCCTCGAATCTTCACTCGCCGCTACTCTGCTCCAGAAGCTTGCTGAGCGCCTTTCCTCCCGTCCTGGTCGCTACGGCCACCTCCTTGTCTGGGTACAATGGACCTGCGTCGCCCACGGTGGTGCACTGGCCGGTCACCCTGAACTCCTTAAGCGCATGGCAAATCTGCACAAGGTCATGGATCAGCGGTCATCAAGCCTGCCCTCATTGTTGATTTTGAAGGGCAAACTTGACATGCTCGAGGCTCAATTGGGCCTACGAAACGCCATTAGCCGCGGTGACGAGGGGATGGACAGTGAGGAAGAAGACAATGTGATATACGTCGAGGGCCAAGAAGACTCAGACAGTGAGGTGGAAACAAAGACCCCGCGCAAGTCGATCCGTGATCAGGCATTCGACGAAGACGAGTCAATGATGAATGGCGTTGTGGAAGATTCTGACGAAGACGATACCGGCAGCGACGAGGAAGATGAAGACGTAGAAGCTATCATGGACATCGAGGCCGAGGAATCAGCCGGCTCTTCCGATGCCGACGAATCACTGGAGGAGAACGAGGATGACGAAGACGAAGAGGACAGCGATGGCTCCTTGGTTGACTTCATTGCCGACACGGAGGACGAGGACTCCGATACTCAGGCCCAGGCCAAGGCGAAAAAGAACAAGCTCATCAGAAAGCCCAGGGCTAGCAAGAGAGCCTTGTAAGTGTAACCAAAAAAATTGAGCGATGGGGTTCTGTACGACTCTTGCGATAGATATTGCTTTTGATTCTCTTTCTTTTCTGTTTCAGGCTTTTTAAAATTAAACTCGGGATGCATCTACGTCTGCATTTTCTCTGTGATAAACTCATATGTTTCTTTGATGTGTATGGATCCCCTTCTGTGTCCATAGCCCTTGATCATGATGCAATATATTACAGTTTACTTCTGCAATTAACTTTGAAATGATCATTTCTTCTCAATATACCTAGTCATCAATGACAATAATCTTCAAGACAACTGGTCTCCCTGGCAAGCACCCTGATTCAACACCCGGTGAGGAGGGACACCCTCCTCACCCAATGGAATTTCCAACGAGACCGTCTCCTCCTGCGACGGATAGTCCGAAATATGGCCCAAGTAACTTGTATCAGCCGTATCCAGAGCGAGAATAGCACCGTTCCTACCACCAGAAACCCATGCCTCAGTGGTAGAGTTAGGGAGAGTGATATGTGCCAAGCCAGATAGGAAGATGACCCATCTATTTCATGTTAGTAGAGAATTCGATTCGAGACTGGTAGATAATATGGTCAACGGACTGTTTAGTAGGCGCATTGTGTCGTCCGCCACTATAGTTGGCTGGCAGCACTGTGTAGGTGGAGTTTCCTCCATTGGTACCATCTAGGATACCCAGATTAAGGGATTTGGAGCCGATTGTGCCGGCTTCGGTGGATGTTTTGAAGCCTGACTTGAGAGCCCAGCATTCTAGGGTTGATATGTTGTTGTGTGCAGTTAGGACTGTGACGTTGAGTGTGTTAGTGGTGTATGTAGATGTTTGAACAATGGCCTGAACAGTAGCAGTGACAGCAGTGGCCGCAAGGATGAGAATAGTAGAGGGACGCATGGTTGGGAGCATGGAGTATGTATGAAGGCAGAATAGATGAAGTCAAGGGAATCGATAAGGGAAGCAACTGGAAAAGCATATCAAAAGCAAACCTTGGAAGAGATCGGCATTCTCCAATTCATCTTGAGAAGGGATCGGCATTATCTATATTGCGCAATAAGCGGCAGGTCAAGGAAAACAAAAGCTGTATTTTGTGCAGTAATAATAGGAACATCACAAGAACAAGTCACCAAGGAATGATGTAAGAATACAAGCGATCGAAAAAGAGAGAACGAAAACTAGCGAATGACTTCGTGCCCTGACCTCTCAATACCCTCAATACCCTGAAGGATATCACTTCCGCCGAAAAGTCCAGCAGACCCGATAGATTTATGTTTTCCAGACCAAACTTCATGGAATTTGATTGTTTGGTCGCTTGAGGCAACGATGATACATCCTTCTTCCATTGTTCCTGGACACCACATTCCCCCTTCTTTCTCCTTGGGCCGAATGATCGGCTGTCTCCTCTCTCGTCTTTCACGTTCACGCCCGCGTTCCTCGTATGCATGACGAGAATTACTTAAGCCTGGGGACTCGGAGGATGCGTGAGGTAGACGAGCGAAACCTGGGTCTTGACCTCTAACATTCAAATGGCAGTTAGGGGGTCTCCCTGGATAGCTCACAGCCCACAGTGCTCGGCCACAATCATAATTGGGTGGAATATGCCCGTCCCAGCTACTGCCGTGAAGACCCCAAGGAATGACAGCGACTTGCGCGCAGCTAGGCCAAGCAAATACAGCAATCCGAAATGGGTGCTCCGGCTGGGCATATCCAAAAGTTGCGGCAACCTCATGCCGGGTTTGGCTCCAAATCAAACTTGTCACTTGCGCAAATACGGTAATAGTAGCAAGGCTGACTCCAGTACGGGCTTGGAAAAAGTGGATTGATCGATCATTGGAGCCTCCTCCTGTTGCCAACAGCGATGGCTGCCATGGTGCAAATGCGATTGCTTTGACTGCTGCTCCATGCATCAGACGGTACTTCTGGTGATTCCTAGGAATTATAGCAGTCCTGCCTTGACCCGCAATGAGACACCCTATGTTGCTCAGAAGCGGAATTGGGTTTAAGCTACTGGCAGGAGGAAATGGGATCCATGACGGAAGTAGACGATTGATGAGTTGTGGCCCACCAATAAGTCGACTTGGGTTAGGGCTTGGAATAAGACATGGAAATGCAGAAAGGCTCAAGTTCCCAGAAGAGGCCCTCGACGAGTAAGCAGATAAGAATGAAGGCTCATCCGGTGGTGGCGATGGAAGAATCTCGCTTAGTTCAAAAAGCATGCATGTGTTGTCGTTACCACCCGTGGCGAGAAATTTATCGTCAGGAGACCAGGCCAGGCCACAGATTTGTTGAGTATGCGCAGAAATTTTTGCCAAAAGAGTTATAGAGCCAGTCCAACTATATTTATTATGTACTTTGGGCCATTCGATAGAGTAGTACCAAATATTGCCGATTTCGTCGCCAGCAACGAGATCCTCTGCATCAACCGTAGTATTGAAGAATCCCTCTGAAGGCCTTCGAGAAGACGTTGGCTTGAAGACTACACATGAAAGACTGTTGGGGTGGCTTATATCAAATCGGGGTTTCTTTTCGAGAATGCTCCATAGGGTCAGCTGTCCAGAATGGCGAGCAACGGCCAGAATACTTCGCCCACAATGGTCTGATGAGAACGAAAGTGAGGTCACGTAGTTCGCTGGATGGACATCTCTAAAGGGCGTGCGGTCCAAAATGAAGCCCTCTGACCAAAGGTAAACGGATTGTGCGAGGCCAACAGCGAGGATACCAGCCGAAATTGAGTATGCTAATATTGAGCAGTAAAAGTCGTCCCGCAAATGTGGTGCATCTAAAATGCGAAAAGGCTTGGAAGGAACGACTTCTGGTGTGGAAACAGTCTTGGGGCCTACAGAACGCGGTCAGTTGACGGCGCAGAGCAACCCCTACAGCAAATGCCATCTATCGTCACGTCCTATTCAGTCATTGCGGTAATTTCAAGTAACTTGAGTTAGGTCCAGTGACAGTGGAGTAAGATTAAATATCAAAAAACGGCTCTCTAGCAGCAAAATCACAGCAGAACTTACAATGCTCCTTTTCAGCCTTCCTCCAGGTCCCATCCCTCCATATAAATGGCGAGAGTCGCTCATAGTCCACATGTATTGGACTGAGAGGCACATCGATACATGGCGAACAAGTGCCGAAAAGCCTAGTTGTAGGGTCAATGTCCAATGCAAGCGCAATTCTTGATTCATGTTTATTTTGTTCATCTTTCAATGTGCACTTGGGCAGGAATCTCGCAACATAGGCGGGCGCAATTGATCTTCTGACCGACAAACTCTGAGGAACTGTGAGCGTCGCCAAAGAGTCACCCGGCATGGCTGAGGTTCCACCCACGCCCCAAATAGAACCGGCACTGATCTGCCTCAAGAAGTCACTTGCACGATTAGATTCTACAGCACAAAGGTCATTGATAAGATGAGGCTGCTGTGGTCGCAGGTAAAGCCAGGTCCGTGATGGGTTCTTCCCAGGAAATCCAATAAACCGACCTGGAACTGGCATAAACGGATCATCTTCGGGCGGACGCTGTCGCAGAATTTTTTCTCGAGGAGACAATTGAGATGGGTCCTTGTTGAGGCGGAAATGAGTGGATGGAAAGTCTTCAAATTTCCTCTTTGGAATGAACCTGTCAGGTGAGATTGGGCTTTGAAAGGCTTTTCTTGCAGCATCATCATTCAAAGGGCTTCTGACTCTACTACGGCCTCGAATGGGAGACCGTCTCTCGGGCCCTTTCTTTTTCTCGAAAGGCGGGGTGAGAATGAATGTGGGTTTAGTTTTGAGTGAAAATGACACCAGGGGACTGATGGGTGATTTTAAACGCGGTAAGTTGATAATTGAAAATTGATTTATTCCGGGCAGACTGCTTAGTCCAGTAGGATCAGACTCATGAGAGCGACCTGAGGCTAAAGAGACACGAAAATTGCCGGTTTTGAAGGCATCTTCGAAGGAGTGATATTGTAAATCTATCATTGGCATTATTGCTGAGAAGTTGAAACAAGCACGGATGAGCTGCGGAGGAGTGTAGAAGACACTGCAAAACAGAATTAATGAGTGAAAACCGTACAGGTGATTGTTGAATGTCAAAGGCTAAAGCAGCATGGGCATCATCTCGTGTTGTCGTTTACGTGGTTGTTGAAGCCAAAGTCTCTAGACTGATCGCGGTTGCTATACTTGGATATCACGTGATATTTAGATAAGCAGCTGGATAAGCAGCCTTGAGGCTTGCTCCCTGTTTAGTCATTCTGGAATCTAGATTACCCATCCAGTCAAGATGGCAAGCGTGAGTCTAATGGCCCGTTGAAAGTTGCGTTTAAAAGTTAAAGAGGCTGATGAAATTTGCAGCATGGCGTCCGGCGATTCAAACCGGTGGAGAAGACCCCGGAGGAACGGCAGCAGGAGTTACGCAAGATAGATGAATACAAATCTCTCGAACATCTTGTTTCGGAAAAGGTTGGCAAGTTTATTCGATTTACTTACATAAAACTGATTGGATCCAGGTGGCTGAGCGTGAATTTACAGCCGACACGCTGAAGAAGATCTCCGAGCTACTCAGTCGGAACCCAGAATACTACACTGTCTGGAACTACCGACGACAGGCCTTAAGACATCAATTTTTTGAGGCTGGGAATTCAAGCGAAGAAAATGCAGCCAGATCTGTTATATCGTTGATCAAAAGTGACTTAATGTTTCTGATGCCGCTTCTGCGAAGTTTTCCTAAATGCTATTGGATCTGGAATTATCGGCTATGGCTGCTTGATGAAGCTCGCCGACTTCTCCCACAATCTGACGCTCATAAAATTTGGCAAGAAGAACTTGTCCTCGTAGGGAAAATGTTGACGCTTGACAGTCGCAATTTTCATGGCTGGGGTTACCGCCGCTTAGTCGTGGATGCACTGAAGCAACTAGGCACCCCGGCCGAGGTCATGGGCATGACCCAGAAGGAATTTGACTATGCAAAGAAGATGATTAGTGCCAACCTCTCGAACTTCTCCGCATGGCATTACCGGACCAAGCTCATCTTGCGAATACTTGAAGAACAGTCTGCGAGTGATGACGAACGAAGAAAAATGTTGGACGACGGTTAGTATTGGATTACTGTGCCTTTCTCAACACTGCTGTTAACATCTGCTTTTAACAGAGCTGGCTCTTATTCATCAAGCATTTATTGACCCTTATGATCAATCTCTATGGTTCTATCACCAGAATCTGTTGTGCGTGTTCGATCCATCGGTAGCGGATAGGACCATGGCTCCAAATTTGACTACGTCAGACCGACTTCAATACATCCACACAGAGATTGAAGCTATCGAAGACATGCTGGATGGGTCTGAGGACTGCAAGTATATCTACCAGTCCCTAATTGAATGCACTCTACTTGTTTCCAAGTTGGTGGATAGCTTGTCACACAAGAATCGGTCTCGAATTTTGAGCTGGCTCTCAGTGCTGAAGAAGCTCGACCCACTACGGCAACAACGGTGGCTGGATTTTGAACAGAACCTATGACCATACTCTTGAATGTAGGTGGAAATTAGTCATTGTACCTTAATCCTCACGAAGGAATGATTCTCAAGGGGAGATCTAAATTGAGATATTGATATCGGGCCCGAGTTCCACAGTTGGGTATACCTGCACATACCAAGATCCGTCATGTCGAGCTGTCCTTCTAAGCATCAGCTTTATCATGAGGCCATCACTGACTTAGTCTTGTTTCGAAACTTCACTGCAAGGCTGGCAATTTCCACCCCTTAGATGTAAATTTACAAACCTTGAAAGATGGGCTCATATAGTGATATTACAAGAAAAGTACTTCTGTATTGTTGCACGGACTTGAGTTGTCCGACATTGTTTTATTACATAAGGACTAGATTGATCATAAAACGATCTTCTTTAGTCAAGAATTGTGCATTCTGGATGTTTACACTGTCGATTTCCCAATATTTACGATCGACAGGTGGGTCCCGTACAGGGACTCCCAGCTAATCAGCGGTTAGTGTACCTGACCCTCGATTCGATCACTAAACTTATCTTCCCCCGAACTCCTTCCACGCCTGTTTCCACGCTGTCTTGTTCACATTCGTTTACTTATTTCTCTCATATGAGGCTTTGAAGCTAGAGCTTCTTGGGTTCTATGATTGTTTTTTCCTTTCTCGTTGATACTCTTGTGACGACATGACATCGACTCGTAGTAGCCGTGATTATGAAGGGGTATGTCGCCCCTCGGGTTTCATCAACGATAACGATGCTCATTACCATCTCCAGGATTCTTTTGATGATGCCGCCGAATCTGTTGAGAAGCTTAACGTCACAATTCCTAAATCCTCGTCGACACGGTCATTAACCGATAGTCCTCCCGTTGGAACAATTACCTCCCCAGACACGGCTCACCCTTCTCTTCCTTCTGAATCGCAGGCCGAGCAGATGGACAAAGAAAACGAAAGTAGCGGACAGCAGGGGAAAACAGACGACAAGAAGAAAAACAAGAAGAATGCCAAAAAGGAGTTCGCGATGCAGGAGGTTGAAGGCAACGAGCAAGCCGGCGATGAGGTGAAGCTTGAATCTGACGACGAGCCTGGGGAATTAGGGGAGCCTGGAGACGCAGAGATAGAGACAGATGGAGAGGAAGATGATGGAAATGAAACCCCTGGTAAACACGTTTCGCAGAAGTCACCCCCACTCACCTCCCGTCGTTTGTCAAATGCCTCATCTTTAGACGAGGTGGTTCTAGGAAAAGAGGACGAGTTCGTTGATATAACCTCAGAAGCTAAGAGCGATGTATCGCCTCCAGTGCCACCCAAGGATGACATTGGCTCCCCGGGCAGTCCTGGCATGATCGGGCTGTCTGGAAATTTGCCATCCGCCCAGTGGGCGCCCCCTCCAGTCAATAAAACCTCGCCTCCACAGGCGCCCCTGCCACCGACCCGCAAGCCAAGTGGTCCCTTCTCTTGGTTCTCTCGAAGCTCAACAGGACTCAAAGACCTCAAGTCTCCGCCTCAAGCAGCATCCACCCGCCGAAATACATCCAACTCAGTGTCGACAGTTGCCAGCAACGCCGATTTAGTCGCTCGATCTGAAGATGGAGACAATTTTTCCAAGAAACCCAGACGCAACAGCTTGAAGGATCAGTTTAAGATGCTGCGGATGCGAGAGGAGGCTACAGGGGCTGAACATGATTCCAAGAGTGTACAATCTGGCATGACCAGTTTTGGTCACGGTCCAGCTAGTCCTCCAATTATTGTAGAAGAGGGCGAGGATGGGAATATTTCCGCACCTATACAACCTGTTTCAGGACCAACATCTCCTGGGGCTAGTGTATCAACAATCAACTCCACACTCGCTCCAGGTACTGTGTCTGGCTTCTCCAGGTCGGCAACTGATGCATCTGCTCCTGTGGACTGGGATCTCTGGCAGCAGCTTGTCAACAATGGCTCCCAGGCATTAGCAAACTCGGAAGAGCTGAATGCTGCCATTAAAAGAGGAATTCCACAGACTATTCGCGGCGTTATCTGGCAGATTTTGACAGATTGCCAAGCTGGTGAAATGGAGGAGATCTACCGGGAATTAGTCGGTCGTGGCACAGACAAAGATCGCAGGCCATCAAATGGTCAAATCCATGGAATAGCGGAGAAGGAGTCAACTGTGTCATCACGCTCGTCCATTCGATCTGACCACTCGGGGGTAACGCAGGCTACAAGTACAGCGCCAAGCCCTCCGCATGACGCGGATCCAGAGAAGCTATCCAAAGAGCAGGCTGCCAGTGAAAGTACTCGCTTGAAGAAGGCTAAGGACGAAGCCGCTGCTTTACAGAAGCTAGATAAGGTGATCCGCCGGGATCTGGGTGCGCGCACTAGTTACTCGAAATACTTCATCTCTCAAGGGAGCCAGGAGAGCTTGTTTGGACTGTGCAAGGCATATGCCTTGTACGACGACGCTGTGGGATATGCTCAAGGCATGAATTTCATTGTCATGCCTTTGCTTTTCAACACGGAAGAGGTCGACGCTTTTGAGCTTCTGGTGAAGTTGATGAACAAGTACGGACTACGGGAGATGTTTATCGCAGATATGCCCGGACTTCACCGCAGTCTCTATCAATTCGAGCGACTTCTCGAGGACTTGGAGCCTGCTCTATATTGCCATCTTAAGCGTCGTGGAGTTCCTCCTCAACTGTACGCCACTCAGTGGTTCCTGACTCTGTTCGCCTACCGTTTCCCGTTGCAGCTTGTCCTGCGCATCTACGACCTGATTTTTGAGGAGGGCTTGGAGAGCACAATTCTCAAATTTGCCATGGCACTCATGAGACGGAATGTTTCCGCCCTCTTGGAAATGAAGGACATGAGTGCCCTCACCAATTTCCTGAAGGAGCGCTTGTTCGATGCATACATCGACAAGCAGCCTTCGGCATCATCAATCTTGGAATCTGGGTTCTTTGGTAGCTCTGGAGCTGCTGATAAAGAGATCTACCGCGCCGACCTCTTGGTCCAGGATGCCTGCGATATACCCCTGACAAAGGAAATGATTGTCACATACACCGCCGAATGGACAGAGAAGACACGGACAGAGAAGGAGCGAGAGGCTGAATTGGAACATTTGCGGCACACTGCCACTACGCAAGCTGCGCGATTGCGACTGTTAGAAGAGCGCTCGGAAGCATCCGACAAAGAGCATGTGCAGCTGGCATCTGAATTAATTCACTCCAAGGTAGAGAACGAGGAGCTCCGCGACGAGAACGACGCCCTCAAGCTCCAGGTCAGCGAGCTCAAGATCGTGGTTGACAAACAGCCTGCCGAAGTAGAAGAGAAGCTCCGGATGGAGATGGAACGCATCATGCAGCGAAATCTCGAAGTACAGAACGAGAATCGCGCGATGGAGGATTCTATGGCCGATATGGAGAAGGAGTTAGTTGCAACGAAGATGAAATGGGCTGAGGTAATATTGTTCATATCCCTTACCCCGTGAAGAACAAGCTAACGTATTCGCTGGATAGATGTCCGAGGACCACGACAATCTCAAACAGAAATGGATCGATCTTCGCCGGGCCATGGACTAAGCAGACATGCTTCTCCGTCCAAATTCCTTACTACCGACTCTGTAAATTTCCGTCGATCATTCTGATACCCAGCTGATCTGTGATCACCGTAGGCGTTCAGGTGTCTCCCATCTCTATGGGCTGGGTGCATTTTGCGTGTATCTCCTGGAGGGCTCGCGCCATGATTCCTGTGACCAACCTACCTTACTGCCATACCACTTTTAGACTCGTTATCCCTTTTCTATTTCTATTCTATCTATTTTGCCCCATTCCTTCTTTTAACATCATACTCTTTAAACTTCTGTCTTGACAATCCTTTCCCGATGGTTCTACTTCTGGATGTCAAAACCGACAACTGTTGAATGGAGAGCGGGTCATAGATGTATGCAGGTGTACATCTATAATGAAACTACATGATCGAATCATGAATCCATTTCCCTACTTTTGTATCTCAAACTCTCTTATTAAGTTGTTTTTTTCTCTATATGAATTCACGAGACAGATCGGTGATATCCATTGCCATGCGATCATATTTCTGCAAGCTCGCAAAAACACCCACTACAGAATATTCTCATAATAGGTGCTCAGGACATCTTCCTTAATGGGAGCAGCAAGAGCCTTAAGCGCCTTGTGTGCCTCACAATCGGCGTCATAGTACTTCATATCATCAAGCGAAGCAAATGTAGTCTTAACAGAGACATTGTAGCCCTTGTTCCGCGGGTCTGGGAATGACTTGCCAACGGCCGCAGAGACAATGTACGGCTTTCCGTCCTGCGTTTACCAGAACAATTAGTTCAAGGGTTTTGATCAGAGAATCGGACGTAAATACGGTTGATTGTCCAGACTGTCATGGATTCATGTGTAGGCAGCTACACAGCAATCTTGGAAGTGAGTAGCTTACCTTGACAGCAGTCTTGGCGAGTATTTTGTACTGCTCTAGGATCTTGTCGGCATCGGCATCATTGGGGATCTTGAAGAGGGTGATACGTTCGATGGGAGCCATTGTGGAAATTTTCCTAGAGCGTGTAAGGTAACAGGGCAAGAAGCTGAAGCTTGAGAAGCGAATACGTAGGATGCGGGGCATGGATTGTAAACTTGACTAAGTCTTTATCTTTGTCATGTAGTTCCGTTCCGTGTCTTGGTTGGCGGGGCATTGCCGAGGTCGGATGTTGTTGTTTCTCTATGTCCGCGTATGATCTACTTCTGTGTTTTCCCGTGCTTTTCATGGTCAAATGTACCTAAATACTGTCTTCAATTGGATATTTATTGTAAATGTGAGAAATACATCGATGGAGAGCGTTAGTTTAGCTCGGTCGCATCTGTTGGATGTTTCGTCGTCCAAGATGCTACAGAATGTAGATCCGCTCATCAAAGGGGAACATCGAGGCTGTGATAATATGTGCAGATATGATAGACGATGGCAGAGTAATCACAGCACCTGTATTTTGCTCTGTTACCGTCGACTGTCCAGCGGTAGTCCAGTGTAACTTTAGACATTCACCATAGCGGATCATTGGATAGAAACCCAAGAGTCAGTCTTGAAGTCATAAGGACATATAATCAATCAATATTGACTCTCTGGGAGCGTTGGCGGGTTGAGATGTCATTCATCAATCCCAAAATTCGAGATATGGTCCAGGGCTGCAATTCATTTCTATCCCTCACGTCCAGAACGACACAGCCATAAATCCACCGATTTGACCCATCGGTGAATGAGTATTTGTAGCACTGAGCTGGGACCTTAGAAATCCGTTTGGGCATAGGTTGTTCACACATCGTTGACAGGCTCTGGTCGATTCTTGAAAAACACCTTATACCGCACGATTTCGACGATCTCCAATTCCTCCACTTCCGTCGAAGGGCGCTTCTGAATAACAGCAATAGGTCGCGGAAGTTTCTTTACTTCACCAGTCATACGTTGGTACCGCCCAATGTAAAAATATACCCGTTTCATCCACTTGGTATCATCCGGGTTCTGGGGCGAGTAGTCGGGGAATATGAGTTTTCCGATCGGAGTTTCAAAGCAATTAGCACCCTGAGACTCTCCTGGGTAGGAGTCTATTTCATAGTCGTTTCCATTGCCTAGTGAGGGCACGTTTATTGTGCCTTGAAGTTCGAGGATGGCAAGGCCTGATGGGGTTTGTAGGAGTTGTGGAAGGGGGTTGTTGATGGATTGTGAGGCAGTTGTAGCTGTTATTGCTACAGGTGCTGCAGGGCGAGGATGGAGACAGATCGTGGGCATCGTTATTCCTGGATTGGGTCGAGTTGAAGTTAAGTTGAAACGAGGTTGAATTGACGCGTGACGCGGGTTGTGTTTTAATCGATCGACCCCACTTTGTAATACTTCCCAACTAAGATTGATTGATTGATCGAGAGTGAAAATGAGATTATTTAGACCGACAAGGAAGTATATTTTCTTAAAAATTAAAGAATCGCAAATCCTAACTCCAGAGTGTAGATAGCACATCAGTGGACTTCAAAAAATTCGTTGGTTGTTATAATACAGAGTAGAGTTGCATGATAACTGTTTCCTTTTTTCAAGATAGGATGCTGTTTACTGTTGCTCATTTAAAATTGGAAAGCTAGATATCCTCAAATGGTAGGCGAATATATCACACTGATTATTAGGCATAAGTAGTATAGACTCCCCATAATTTTGGGCCATTTGGGACCTCGAGAGGTTTCTACCTTCTTCCAAACGAGATTTTAGACTGAAACTTGTATTCAGAATGTTTGCTCATTCCAAAATAGACATCATACTTCGTAGACCGTAGACAATGTTAATTTGATCCTTTGGATGAGAAGGAAGTTGCCGACCTTGGACACATTAAAGGATCACCAGGTACTTCATCCTCCCATGGTTTTCTTGTAACACGTATCTTCAAGGTTTTGTAGGCCCTTAATAGCTTCCTCTGCAATATTACCAGGTCCCTTCATCTTGCCGTAGCGAATGTCACTCATATTCCCCACTGTAGTGTGAAGCTGTGTTAAAAGACTTGCAGCCTGTTCATCAACACCAGCAATATCACGCTCAATATTGGCACAAGCCATCTCCATCTCTGCCAAGAGACTATCAACTGAGTGATATTCATCGGACTCTGTGGGATTTGGATCAAATAAGTGGAGATCCAATTCCATTTCACGCTGCTCTTCACTGGCTGCTTCGACACCCGTAGCAAGGCTAGCCTTGCGAAGCTCTGCTTTCTGACGTTCTCCATTTTGGATTTCCAGATGGATATTTTCACTCACACGGTCCATGTCTTGCTCGCGGACCTGCTGAAGCTCACGATACAATGTCCGGATATGTGGATGATTTCGCAGCCTTTTAGGGAAAAGCTCTGTAAACTTTTGCAGTGGTAGAACTGTTGGTAGTGGTGCTGGTGATAGCAAAAAGTTACTCAGAATAGACTCTTCTGACGGTGCCATGATTGGTAAGATATAGCAGTGATCTCAATATAGGTTGAAACGCGTGGATCAAGTTCTAGACGCGTCTCGCGTACTGAATTCTGAGATGATGTCTTGAATGGTGATGTACCAGGGACTCAAACCAGGGCAGACTTAAGCAGTACAGTGTAGAATAGAAATCAGACGTGTTTGATCCTGTAGTAGAATGGTAGCTTAGATGTGTGATGATGGTGGAATTGTTCCGGTGCGGATCCAGTTCTTCCAAGGGGGATCCGCCACTTTTCAACCTCAATCTTCACCACCAGCCCTACTCACTTCCAGCTAGCCATCGCCATTCATACAAAATTGATCTAAGCATCCATACTGATTAAATTAAATTCAAATATTGGATTTATAGAGGGTATAAGACCCCATTCACCTCGTGGCTGGGCCGGCAGTCCTTGGGTATTAAGAAATCACGGCCTATTGAGAATACCAAATCCACGAGAATCTCGGAATATCGTGATTCAGCATCTGCTCAAAAGCTTCATTAGTTGTCGGTGACGGCCTGTCTATTTTGGGCAATCTCAAACGCAAGATCTCGAAGTCATCTCCCCCTCTTTCTCTGTATCTTCCACCTCTTACCTCTTTCCTCTTCCATCTTCTCAACCCTCACCCTTCTTTTTACTTACTTGAAAACATGCCTCAATCTGCGTATGCCAAGGATGAAAAGGTCCTTTGCTTTCATCATGATATACTCTATGATGCGAAGATCCTTGATGTGAGACACAGGGATGCAGACCGAAAAAATCCACTCGAGTTTCTTATTCACTACAAGGGCTGGAAGAGCACGTATGTACCCCATTTTTGAGACTTGCAAAAAACTTCAAGTTTATGTACTGACCGTTCTACAGCTGGGATGATTGGGTTCTTGAAGACCGACTGCGTAAGGCCAACGATGAGAACCGAATGTTGGCTACCAATATTCGCCGTGAGGCTGAAGCCACACTTCGTGCGAAGAACGCGAAGCCAGCTGCAAAGAAACGGGCTGCTTCTGATATGAGCTCGTTGCGTGATAGCGAGGAGCGTGGCTCGGTGCCTGCTAGGATCAGCAAAAGAGCGCGCGAAAACGAAATTGAGAAGGTAAGCTGGCTTGTAACGTGCGTTCGCTCTGTCTTTTTTGGGCTTGGTTTTGCCCACGCTTCCTTTTCTTCATCCAATGATCTAATATTTTCCTTCCTCACCCTTCCCTCCATTTCCCACTCCCCTCATGACATACCCTGAGGATATTCTGGGTTCCCAGCCACAAAATGCTTCATATCAATTTTTCCCACATATGTTTCGTGATCATGTCTTGGCCTGTCATGTTTGGCGACTAGCATCCTGCATGCATCGAGTTTAGGATTTTGTGGTGGATTTATCGTCTCAAGGATAAGTTCTTGATGGCGATCTATTCTATCAGAGTGTTACGCACCAAGGATCTAAACGAAGAACTCCCCGCTATTGAGGTAGAGACTGACAATCAAAACTAGGAGGATGCATTCCACCTACGCCCCTCCGTGCGCATTGTTCTTCCAGATGCGTTGAAATCCCAGTTGGTCGATGATTGGGAACGTGTCACCAAGAATTATCTCGTTGTCGATCTGCCAGCTAAAATTCCCATCGTCGAGATTTTAGAAGAATGGTGCGAGGAGGAAAGCGCCAGACGAACTACTCACCATGAAATGGACGTCCTCAAAGAGATCATCGCTGGCATCGAGGAATACTTCAATGTTTGCCTCGGGAAACTGCTCCTGTACCGCTTCGAGCGTCCCCAGTACCGCAGTCTCAAGGCCTCCTTCGAGACTCGTGATCTGGCCCCCTCGAAAATTTACGGTGCCGAGCATCTGCTCCGCTTGTTCAGTACGGTCCCGCTCTTAAGGCAGCTCGTAATCCTTCTATTAACATTGACTCACAGGCAAACTACCCGAGCTCCTGGCCCAGACCAATATGGATATCACAGCCACCCGCAGTGTCCGCGAAGACATCTCGAAGATGTCCATGTGGTTGAGCCGGAACTCTGAGCGCTTCTTCACCGGAAAGTACATTCCAGCTTTGGAAGATGACGACCTGGATGTATCTTCTACATGACGATTAAACGTGCCTCGATGGAAGTCATCGATGGAAATACGACGAGGGAAGCGGTGCCTGATGTGAGGACTTATCATGGAATGCTTTCGCGCCTACAAATTACCCGGTTTTAGTTTTTAAAAGAGAATATCTCACACAATCAGGCGAATGACGCCTCTTTTATTCTTCTGCTCAATCCAATACTCTCACGCTCGCTTTCGAGCTGATTTTGAAGTCGCATTCAATAGTAAAGACAACTCGATCAAATACACCCTTCCATCCAATCCAGACCAGACTAGACCAGACTCTGTATCTAAATCAGAAGTAAATTAGAAGCAAGGGCATGTTCTAGAACTTGTCCGTTTCAATGGAAACGCCGTTACGAGCCATTGTCCAAGAAGCAATGAATCTTTCTAACTTCGGCATTTGTCTTATTGAAGACAGTATTCATTCGTTCCCACTCGCTGAGCGCCACCTTAGTAGTCTTGGAACTACTAGCTTCCGGACCATATGCCTTCATTCCCTGCATAGAGAACAAGATTCTAAGATTAACTAAGGTGCTTAGGCAACTAGCTGTCGTGCATCATCGACCGCGCATCTGGCAGCACGCTTCAACTCACTCTTCCACTCTGTCTCGCGCCATCGAGACCAAGTACTCAATCCTTCAGGTGGCTGGATACTAAGGGTATCATAGCCCTGCTTGATGATACGGTGAACCTCGCGCGGGCTAAGATTCTTTTTCTTGATAGAGGGAAGTGCGACTGGTTTGTGTTCATCATCTAGCTTGGGGCTTGTGACAGCCGCAGTTGCGGAGTCCTTATCATCGGAGTGGAAGAGTAAGGTGTAGAAGTGTGTCGATACGGATAGGAGGGTATCGATAGCTGCGGCATGAATGCCATTCTTGGAGGGGTCGGGAAGAGGAATGGATGATGTTGTTGTATGGGTCAGGGCGTATACATCACGGAATTTAGAGATGACTGGTCCTGTCTCGACGAGCTTGTAGAAGAGATCGTCGTAGGAAGCTGGGTCAGGGAGGAAAGTATCGCCACCTGAGACGCAGAAGGCGAGCAAGTCGGCGAGAGAAGTGATTAGATTATGTGTCTGTGGGTTGCTGGAGAGATCGCTCGCGTATGTTGTGAGAAAGCGCATGAGGGAAAGGAGCGTGCGCCATAGCTCTGACCAGTGGTATGTGAGGCGAATTTTGTTCACTGAGAGGTATGTGAGAAGACGCAAGGTTATTGCGATAGTGTGGCTAAGAGGAAGTCAGCTGAGCCAGTGAATAATACAGTTTTTGTGGTTCCTTACCTGTAGATATTGACGTCTAGCCGCCGACGAAGATTGTGTGTGATAGTATCAATCATAATGTCGAAGATTACTGTTGCCAAGACTCGATCACCAGCAATAAGGGGCAGATAAGGTTGACGCTGGCGACAGATACGGACCTTACGCTTGCCCTCTTCACTGCAGATATGTTTGCAGAGTGTGGGATCCTCGACAAGGATGCGTAATGTGAACAGACTGAGCTCGGCATAGTGTGCGACTCGGTTAGATCGATATGCGTGCTGCAGGAGATAGGACGTCAGGGAGACAAAGCCTGAGAAGGGTGACTCCTCTTCGGCTTTTCCTGCCTTTGCGTGAACCAGGTGATACCCAAATAGCTTGTTGGAGTTGGCGAAATCGTATGTAGCCATCAATATGGCGGCTTCCTTGGCAGGTCTGAAAAAGTGTAAGTATAATTCTTGTTTATTTTGTTCAAATTCTGGAATCATACAGTTCAGTGAACATTGACTTTGCTTCTTCTGTAGTAGGAGGGTTCGCCCTCTCTCGAGCACCTGGCGCAATGGCTCGAAGCCCAAAGAATATGAGGGTGTTCGTCAAAGTCCAGCCCTCGGGAATATCATCATGTACAGCGATATAGCCATTACGTAGCCCACTGCAAGCCAAACCGACGCCAGTGACAACCTTTTTGATGCTAGCCTCATTGACAAAGTCATCAAGACGAAGCTGGTAGGGGTTTTGATATTCAAATTTGTTGTAATTCACCAACAGTCCCAAGAGGAGAAATGGGTCGAACACTTGGATCGGTGAATCAGAATCGTGAACGTACTGTTAATAGTTAATGTAAGAAGGTGCATCTAGGATTTACATATGTTACAAACCTTCATTAGTGAAGGGAAAAGATCCCTGTGAGTAAAGTAAGAGACAAGACTGGTCTTGTATGCGCCGCTCGTCATGGCAACAGCCACTCGAATTGCCTTGCGCCGGAGTTCGACTGGAAGAATTACAAGTTAGACTCGTTACACGAGAATATCAGCATAAGAGTCTCACGGCTAGTTCCATTGCGAATGATGCGGTCCAAAACGGCTACAAATTCAGAGATGACTCGGTCCACGTTGTTGAGTCCTGCTAGGACTGTGATGACATCTGAGCTTGGGTTTGTGTACTTCTTACTCAGAATGCTAGTCAAGAAGATGGATAAAGTCTAGACAATGGATCAGTCAAAAGCTCAAAAATGGGTTCTATGCAACCGTAGTGGGGGCGCTTACATCTAATGCATAGGAGTCGGCTGAGGCAACCCCCGAAGAAGCCTCACGTACGGCCCTTGCGAAAAAAGATTGAGTCTGCGTCTGAAATTGAATAAGCCCGAGCCTCTTTGAACATGCAGATGCAACAAACCTGCAGACCCAAGGTGTCGTCGGGACTCAACCCGTCTAGAAGGGCATGAAGCCGGTCACGATCCGGCGGCAAGAGAAAGAACTCTCTCCAGAATCCCTCGGAGGGCTCTGCATCTTCTGTGGTCTAGGACCAAATCAGCGATCTGTGAATATAGGGGATAACAGACGTGGGGCATACTTTGAATAGGGTCTCGTAAAGCTGCACGATCTTCGGCTGGAATGTTTCCGGTCTACTTTGCTGAGTGAGAGGCGATGCCTCCATGTTTGTTAAATGATCTACCAATTAGCAAAGCATTTGGTTGTATTCAAATTTAGCAAAAAGCGTTGTTCAATAAACGCGCTCATAGCCAGGATAAGCTAAGCACCAGCCACTTTGTCAGCGGGATCCAGCCACATGTCCTTTCATTCTTCCAGATCCGATTTATAATTGCGTTTTTTTTAGTTACAGTCTATTGGTTGCTGAGCATAAGTTACAGGAACAGGAGGTGTGTTACTCGAGAAAAACATGAGTAAAATTATTAAGAGACCGAAAGAAAAAGAGGTTTTATCGATGATACCCTCGATGTTCTTATACTCCGGAAATCGGGTCAATAAGATGATGACTCAGCTGACGAAAGTGGACTAGTCCCAACTCCATACTGGTCAAGAAAATGTATGACAGGACCTGAATGATCGATTAGAAAATTAATATGGCCTAACTTATTCAACAGATCACGATTTCCACGCTAAATTTACTAATGTCGCCACCCCAATAGATTTTCAGGGTCATTTCTGGTGGTGCCACTTTGGTTTGCAGTTGTGTAGAAACACCTCAACACTGATTGGCTGTTGTTCGTTATGTAACTGTCTTACCTAATCATGTCAAGACTCAACTACCGGGGAACCGAGAATCAACAAGTCTTCCTTTTCTCTTACTTTAAGCTTACTTCCACCACAATCCTCACTCACTGTTTCCAATTTATATGCGTCTCTATCTTTCTCTGATATATTCGCCATCCTATTCAGATCCGCAACCATGAGTACATGCACCATGCAGCGCCCAGTGACATCATTCGCTATTCTCCTCCGGTGTATGAAGCCCGCACCGGCACAGCGTCCAGCTACCACACGCTGCTTTTCCTCATATGGAAACACATATCTACAATCTTCCAAGCGAGATATGCAGACTGCAACTGCCTACCGCCCTCACACTCTTCCTACATCTTTTCCGCCACCTCGCCCTGGCCGCTCGGACACTTCAATCTCAGCAGATTTCCCTCTTTCTACCGAGACTTCCCATAGAGTTAAACAAATGGAACCCTCGAGTATCAGCTTGCGCGAACCGGAGGCTCAAAAGCTCAACGCCACCCCCGTCATCAAGACTTCCCCGAAACCCCGCCGGCCTTTGCGTGCTAGAAAGGCAGCCATGAAATTGACGCCACTTGCAACTGAGCAGTTGCGGAAGCTTATGGTTATGCCTGACCCGAAGTTTATTCGGGTTGGGGTGAAGAACCGTGGCTGTTCAGGTCTGGCTTACCACTTGGAGTATGTGGAGAAGCCAGATAAGTTTGACGAGATAGTGGAGCAGGATGGTGTCAAGGTTTTGATTGATAGCAAGGCTCTCTTCAGCATCATTGGAAGTGAAATGGACTGGCAAGAGGATAAGCTGAGCAGGCGGTTCGTCTTCCGCAACCCTAACATCAGTAAGTTCCTCCACCTTGACAAAAAATTTCTTTTTTTTTAAAGACTAGTTACTGATTGATTTCGCAACAGAGGAAGAATGTGGCTGCGGAGAATCGTTCATGGTATGAACATACATTTTTCTCCTTTCTCATACGGTACTCTCGGCGTCATCATCAATCGGTGCATCGGTCGGCGTTTTTCTTACGGTTCCTGGGATTTGACCACTTCTTTGGACTTCATGTGCTTCATATCTAAATGATATGAAATCTATACTTACTTTTTTGCTTTTTCTTTTCTGAGGGGTAGAAATTACCCCGAGGTTCCTTCAAACGATATCGAGGGTACAACATTTGCCATAGGCATGTTTATAGCGCTTCAAATTTCCCCAAATCCATTTGGGCCGTGGTCATAGTCACCTCCGTGAACGTGCTATGGAGATTCAAAATCCTGGATATATTACAACCTGTATAGAACTTTTGGGCAGATCAATGAATATTCAAAACGAGACCGTTAATTGAAAAGTAGCATGAAAGCACCTGTGCAGTTCTCTGCAGTATCCTGCTGATTCCAAGCTTACTACTTTTATATTGTAAAGTATCATAATGAAAGAGGCTCAACCCTGGAGTCCTGCCCTCCTGGGGTGCATAAATACTCCAGGGAGCTTGCTCGGCGCCGAATCCTTCATTTCTCTTCTTAAACACAGGTGGTAGCTGTTCCCGATCCGCCTTCGGAAACGTCACGGATATGTCGACGAAATTCCTTCTTGAACTCTCCTCACATAATGAACAGCCGAATTGTTCTCGCACTTCTCCAGTGCAGCTAGGTAGTAGTATAGCTTATGAAATATGGTGCTGGTCATCTGCTCGCGTGGAGGAGATCCGTCTTTTAAAGATTGAATTTTCCATTGAGGATGTTTGTTCCTTGTTACGGGATTACATCCTAACCTCCTCTAAAGAGTCTTTTTACATAACTCAGCTTATTCATAACAAAATTTACGCTCGTCGATACTGAAAATGGCACGGGCAGACATCCGGTGTTGACTTTTTATGGAGTTTGGATGAGTTATTTAAGCTGAAATCCCAAATAAGGAGAAAGCTACTGCAAACTATGCAAATTAATGTAATCCAAATCTGGCTGATATCTGAAGCGTTTTTTTCACAAATTATAGCCTAGTCAGATGGAATATTAGTCTAGTTAAACTAGTTTCAGCCTTTCACACTCCCTATCTTAAATGCTCCACGCAAATTCACGTATTAGTTTATCCTTGCCCAATGACGCGAAAGGAAGCATTGCTCTCTTCAATCGTCGGAAGAAAGGCAGCCAGCAAGCTAATGTATCATCATTTTGATGCTCAGATAATTGCTCCAACAGACTGTCAACCCACATGAAGCCGCGCTGGGCAGATGCATTTGAGTTTCCCTCCATGCATGTACACAGTTCCTCTATAATCTGAATACAGACTCGGAAAACTGCATCAAGAGGTCATCTGCTAGTTGATAATTCATCATATACTGTGAATAGAACAGAGACAAGCGATGACAGGAGGCGTGTCGACCGCTGAAAAAAGAGTTCCCACGAGAAAACTTAAAGCGGTTGCGAGCGTACGAATCAGAAGTTTTTAGCAGATTGCCTCCCACTGATCGACGAAAAGCAGAGCTAAAATTGGTATTCGGGATTGATCCGGGAAAGAGAGATTTACTGAAAATCTCACACATTTGATCTAGCCAAGGGACTCGTTGCATCTGCGGGTTCACTTGACGGAGGGCATTATGCAGATGAAGGACTGCCGCCACATAGTTATTCTCACAGCAGAGGTAGATTCCTTCATACATGGACGAGTGAAGGATCTCAATTATGTGGCCGGCTGCCACCCAGGGTGCTTGATAATAAAGGTCGAATCTTTTCTCTTGTACGTAATCCCTTAGTTTGCATTGGAAATCGCAGATGTATCTTTTGTATTGGCAGGTGCAATCATTCTGCATCTGGCACCAACAAAGTCGATTCAAGCATGGCATACAGTCTTCAATACTTTTTATAGCGTCGTTGGCAAATCTAAGTGATGCAAGGCGACAGTGTGCTTGATGGATGTGTTCGTTTGACCATAGAAAATATTTATATGTGGATAGCAACATTTCCATGCCGAAAACAAGGTATGTCGGGATTGGTGAATCTTGGTCTCGTGGTGCACTGTCTAGAGCAGGGAGAAGATGCTCCGCACACATCGGATTTCTCTCTAATGCGCTTGTAGCTCGTCCTGAAATGAGAAGCTGTCGCATGCTCTCCTGGATTTTGTCCATAGCGTGGTCGTCAAGGCTAAAGGAATCCATGTCGTCGGTAAGCTTTTATGTAAAATCTCTCAGATGCTGGAGTTCACCGGCGTTTGGAAGAATTTCCTTATAATCGTCCATCGTTCGACAATGGTTCAAAATTTGCCAATAATGCCATAAGCCTAAATGCTCAGAAAAGCGCCGATACCCCTGTTGGAGTTCCGGAATATCGGTAAATCTGATTATGAAGTCTTTCTTGGTATAATACCACTTGTGAATCAGCATCTTATTATCCAGTAGCTCAGGAGAGCTATGAGCAATCCGTTTGACTGCGTGGTACGCTATATTGGTCAAAAATCCAGCGACAACAATAGAAAGCTTTCCGGACGATATATCGATCCAGTACTCGTTCAACTTCGCGCAAATTGCATCGAGTTCCTGCCCTTAGTCAGTGTTTTTATAGTACAGCGTATGGTGATAGTCGTAATAGCGCTCTTACATATATAAAGAGGCTGAGCTCAATGTACTCGCCTATTTCATCGTCTTTCAGCACCTTTTCGGTACTTTCCCCTGCTGATTTTGATACTCCACCTATATTCTCCAGCTAGATTCCCTCATAAGAATTGTTAGGATCATCCGAGCGGTCTATATCCGCCAAGCAGACGTATCTATTTGTAGTCAAGACAGGTAGTGCATTCGTGTTTCTCTCGCTGGTCGAAATTGGAGGTGAATGCGGCACATTTGCATGAGTTAAAAGTATTTGGTATGCCTGATCAAGTCTTTTGGTTTGATCAGTCATCTATTTCTGGGGAAATTTTTGGGAGGAAAGATACTCCACCTTTCTATAAAAGCTTTATGCTTCAAGTTCTCTTCGTCGTGACCTGAGTCGCATCGCTCTACATAAAGGCGATGAACCGCCCGCCTCTTGGCCAGCACTTCTCGAAATTTGGATAGCACATATTCAGGAACTGCTTGCTCCTGTTCTCGAACAATTCTTGCTGCGCTCAAAATTTCAGTAGTCGTTAGCTGGGAGGGGCGAAACCTTCCATGGCCGATAGCTGAAATAAGCCAGTCTAAGATGACCTTTGTCGCTTGTTTATAAGAAAAGTATAGAGAAAACAGCGAATTTTCCATTTGAGCTTAGTGTGAACAAGAGAAAGTGACACTGATTATTGTTGCCATAAGTAAGTTCGATTTCCCCGCCTTTATACCCAGGCTTATAAAGGTCAGCTCTTAGGAAAAAGTTACAAACAATTAGTATGACCTAGGGTTGATCCAAAGCCTAGGTTTATTATTCTTGTAAACACCAGAGCTAAACAGTAAGGATGTTCGCGAGTTTCAAATGAGTAAGTTTATACCGCATTGGTCGCAAATGAAATGAGAAGAGAGGCCTTCTCTCTATAACAGAATTGATCAACTATCTGTATTTCAACTGAATGAAGTATAATGACTTCAAGCTTAAGTGGCATACTGGGATATTGTCTATATAGGTAATTTGAGTATAATACATTTCTTCAGTACTGATATGAACCATGGTGACATATCTTCATGGCTAGTTGGGTGAATGGAAGTATATTCTTTTCATAGGAGTTGCATTTGGCTCGAAGTATTTCGGTTCGAAAGGATCTGACGTATTGTACATCACCAAAGTGCTAGTGATAGAATAATCCGGCTAGCATTGAAGACGGCATATGTCTGGAATTTGAAGTAGATGAAGTGCTTCGGTAGATCTCGTTCTATTCATAAATAAGAAGCATGTCTTTAATAGGAGGTGGAAAGGGATTGTGTCAACGAAAGACAACAGAGAATCGATAATTGCAGAGAGAAATACGGATTATATAACTTGAGTGAGAAAACTGGCGTTGAATGACAGATATACTGTGTAATGTATGTATCGTCGTTTTGAAATTTAAAAGGCCCACTTTTTTACAGGCAGAACTCTCGGAAAATTAATTTACCAGCTGTAAATAGACGTTATTTTTCAACCACGGTAAGTTACATAAACTTTAGCCCTCTTCTAACCTCCGAAAATTGGCGAAAATTGGGTTTCGCGCTTTCTCCAGTGCACTTAATCTCTTATTCCTCGAAGATCTCGTCGAATCAAAGTTTAGGGAGCTAAGTAGAAGAGTTTAAACCTATTGAGGGGTGGTTTAATCCTGTTCGAAATGCCATCACTGAATATAGTATTAATTCCGACGATATCTAACTGGATTCGCGATGGGCGTTGTCGGAACATGGATATTGCAATCGTGCAATACCATAAACCCGGAACGGAACAAACAGACCCCCAAGTCACGGGGGGAACGACTATATTAGGAACTCAAGTAGCTACATGAATCGAACACATTTCACACCACTTTGCACAACGTATATACTAAGAATCTAGGACGAACCATACCCTTTTCCAGTGTATATAGTGCAACGTGTGAACCCTGTCCTTTCAACGTAGTTGATTGACAGGCGTGATGTCTTCAGAGTATATTATCTGCAGCCCGTTACAATGTCTAGCAGTTCAAACTTGAATGACCCAGCTTCTCCCTCATTGCTGACAAATTTAAAGGTTTATATCAGCTTTTAAATCCTGTCATCCAATTCTATCACAAACAAGCCGAAAAATGCATTATTCTATACAAAAATCAAGGTTCCATTGTAGTGGATTCACAGGTACGGGGCATAATTTTCACAAAAAGAGGACCTTTAACAGGAACTAAGTGACCATTTCTTATAGGCCACTTCCATCCCTGAGAATCTAACTGCATATCGAATTCAAACAATAACCGAGCGAGGATGAAGCTTGCTTCAATGATCACAAGACTAGATTTAATTCTCAGTCAAAATCCTTGACTTTCAGTGTTTTGTGAAACTTACTTTCTTGCGACACAAGTTCGCGGCCCGAACCCAAAAGGATGAAAAGCTTCGCGTATATCACCTGTATATCGCGAGTCACCCATCCATCGATCTGGCCTAAATTTTTCAGGGTCTATCCAAAATTGTGGACTATGCGTAATAGACCAATTATGAATACCCACAGTTGTGCCACTGGGTACAAACCGGTTACAAATGGTAACACCAGGAGTGGAGGTAGGGACCCGACGAGGTAGGGTGCCCACAAATGGCGGTGCTAGCCGAAGACTCTCGTGCATACATGACTTTAGGAATTTTAAGTCCTGGACTGATGTTGCTGATATCTCTCTGGAGCTTCGAAATGTGCTGGTTATCTCCTCCCTGAGCCTGACAAAATACTCTGGAGTCTCAAGCGTGTAAAAGAGGACAGAGCAAATATAATCCGGAATGGTTTCAATCCCGCTGAGGATTACAATAAGGGCGTTTCTCTTAATAGTATCATGGTCGATTTTTCCGTCTCTTTGATCGGTCATCATACCATGTACTTTATATGAGTTAGCGTTGGACTGGATATCACCTTGGGAACAATGCCACTTAATTACCAAAGTCTGTAGAGTTCTCTGCATTATGCATGCGCTCTATACGGTTAGTAATTGATGTGCCTAAAGATGACATTCTGCTGAATGTGGAAAATATATCACGACCAGAAAATATTGGTAAGGCGAAGGGACGTGTGATAAACGAAGGGAGATAAAGAAGCTGGGTGCAGTATTGAAGTATAGTCACAGATTTATGCATATTGTTCACCAGCGGGTGAGATGAAGGTCCTTTGTCGATTGCATGGAACTCAGAACCAATGGTAAGTGCCACATGGATATCAAGTATCAAGTTTCCAACCCATGCGTCAATATCGATGAATCCATGATTTTGTTTGCTTTCAAGATAACTGTTAAGCTTTTTATTGAAGGAATCCAGATGGAATGACATGATATCATCTTTTTGAAGTAATTGGCTGGCTGAGAATCCCCGCACCGCATTGTTCTTTTGGACTTTATACGTATCGCTTTTGGCACCCACCTGGTAACAATTATTTAGATAATCATTCATATGAAGTTAATTTTTATTAATCAGGATGGAATTATAAACACTCACAAGATTATCCGAATCTCCAAAGGCTGTTGCAAAGAAATCTTGGTCTTTTTCTAATCCGTTATGATGAGCGGAGGTTCCTGGAAGATTGCCAATTCTTAGCGCATGTTCCTCGTTCTGTATAGTACTGATTTTGGTATTAGGGATCAAAGGGTATTGTCTTTACCATAGATGTCATTCCATGCTTTAGGGTCAATGTATGAAAGTTCATTAGGTGCAATCCTCACAACCAATCCGTATTGGTCATGGAGTTCTTTAATCGCAATTTTATGACATCCTTGGAAGACTTTGAAAATATACCAAAGTCGTGATCCTCTAGTATACCACGGTCCAGGATAGCCACTCAATGAATGAAACCTCAAATTGTAGAGAACAGTGGAAAAAAGCCAGATCTTAGTGAGAACATTAGTCAACCGACAAAATTTAATTGAATTAGTGCCTCATCAACTCACTAGACCAGCAAATACAACGAATCTAAGATAAAGAAGAAAATCCATATTTGTTAAACCACCCTTTCGTAGTAGTGAATGGTAACAAAACCGGAGATTGCCTGGAGTTGGGCTAATTTTTGTCTACATTATATATATATTTGTAGTTGGAAATGTTTCACGAGCATGACGTAGACTGACAAGATGCAGTGTCATTCGATTGGTTCTGTTACAGCAATCTATGCATCAAGTCATATATGAGAGGTATGATGATCTGTCTACATAAAAGCAATATTACTGTCGGTACACCGGTGGGTATAGCAAGGTTGGTGAGAGGCTAACGCCCACTTCCAACACCTATTACAGGTAACGCTTTACGCCCCTATAATAGCTTTGTGTTCTCTTGAAGTGGTTGTAAAATCTGGTTTTTCATTCATGGCGAGGACTAGCTATTTATCCTACAAGTTGCTCTTCTGTCTGAGACGAATGTGTTCCATCGTCTAAGTCAGAATAGTCGGTAAAGACGGGACATCACAGTTATATGTATACTGCTCAAGGTTTTCGTTTACGATGCACTCTGAACAGGGATTCCTGATGTGTCGTTTGTCCGGTATCCCAACAACTACATTAGCAGGTCCAGCGCGGCATATAGCGCCGTCTCGGTCTCAGTTTCTCCCCGTACTTGGATTATGCATCTTCTGGGAAAAGAAAATCTTAACGAAAACCTCCAAGCAGCCAGCCACCATGCAATAAAACAATATTTGCAGAATGATGGATTTACTGAAATATCGGCATCTTACCCATTTTCTCAATGCCGACAAAGCGCCTAGTTGGCCAACTAATGCCCAACTTGGGTGGAAGTTCAAATTGAGTTGACAAGCATCAAAAAAGTCTAGCTCTCAATTTTTTAAATATGAATGACATGATTGTTGGGTTTATCTCTTAAAATCTGCTGAAACTGGATTGATATGTATCGACCAGGGGCACACTGTATCGACACGGTCACCGAGGGAGAAAATGGATATTGAGGTCCGAGGTCTGGTCAAAACCATGATGATATTGTGACAAATGTTCACTGCTAATTTAGGAGAGGGTCTGAACATCCACTTTGGGCTCCAGCATTGATTGAAGAAATGATGTCAAAAGTTTCTGCAGTTTTGCTTTTATTCGTATTTTTGTAGGTTACTAGCTTGGTTTTAGTCAATACACACTTACCCCTCACTCTATTCGATTCCAATATTTTATTCTTATTACCTTTGTCAAAATGGGGAAATACGATATTGCTATGCGTTCAACTGTTATTATTATGAAAGCGTTAGGGATAGAACCCCTTCAAATCTCTGCGATAATTGATATCTACTCGAACTATTAATTCGATCTGGGATAAAGCTATCGAGCGTAGATTTGACCCTTTACAGCGACCTTTAATAGTCACTGATGCGTATGTTGCTGACGCTAGTCGTTCTGGTCGGCCAAAGAAGTAGACACCTGAGGTTATAACTTCGGCACTAGCTAAGGTGTGTCTTGATTGGTATGGACGTGAGAGGACTTGTGCTGATATTACTGGGGAGCTAAGGTATGTCTTATATCTTGATATATAAAACCTTATACTAATCTAAGTGATGAGCATAGTATTACTATATCGGATGGGACTATCTGGAGAGTCTTAAAGAACGCGGGTTTACGAAAGACGAAACCGACTCGAAAACCTGGTTTGACAGCGAAGATGCGTGCTAATCGATTAGCTTGGTGTTTTAAGCATCGAGATTGGTCACTTAAAGACTGGAAGAATGTTATCTGGACTGATGAAACTTCTGTTATTCTACTTCATCGTCGCGGGGGTTATCGAATATGGCGTACAAAGGAGGAACGTTTACTCCGAAGCTATATTTATGAGCGCTAGAAAGGAAGCTCTGAATTTATGTTTTAGGGCGCTTTTTCTTATAGTAAGAAAGGCCTTTATCATTGCTGGCTTCCTGAAACTGCTGCTGGAAATGTGTATCTAATACTGTCGCTCGTTACTGAGAACAGTGAGCTCCAACGAACCGCTACTCAACACCGTAGACAATCCACCGATCTGGTAGTGGATTCCTACTAGTTGAATATTGCAGTTGTTGTGAAGTCTGCTTTTTCATTGATGAAAGAACTAGCTACTTATAGTATATGGGTGCCCCTCTGCCCTAGACGAATGTCAACATTCGTCCGAGACAGAAGAGACGGTGAAGACGGGACATTACTGTCGCGAATGCACATCGCTCAAGGGTGTCGTTTGCGATGAATGCATATCGTTCAAGGATGCCGTGATATACTAATCTAGTTCCAGAGTCACTGTCTTGGCAGAAGCTTTTTCGGCCGAAATACTTTCCGTCTGTTGATGGCCTTGTTTCTCGGCTGTCGCAACAAATACTCTTATTAAGTCCTAGAATACAGAGTTAGAACCTAAGCTACATGAAGTTTGGGAGCTTGAAAATGGTATGCGACGGCTTGATCTTCGACGAAACCCTCCTGGGAAGAAGCCTAATTGGCGCTTTACATCAAAAACTGGAAATCTTAGACGATCAAAGTCTAAAGGTGGAATCGATTAGTATCGCTATAATACTACTGTTTTGGTGTTAAAACTGCTTACTTTTGCCCGAGATTACGTAGTCGAAAAGCCTAATACCTGTGTTCAAGAAGATAAAGCTCCTTCGCATGTGCATCATTTTTAACAACACGTCTTTGATACATCTGGTGTTTAACCTCTTCTTTGGCTAGGAAACTCGCCTGACTTGAATGCTATTGAGCCAACATGGCTCTTCTTAAAACGCCAAACTACTAAGAGAGGTGCACCTAAATCAGGAGCTCAAGCAATAAGAGCATGGGGTGAAGCATAGAATCAACTACCCCAGGAACGAATCCAGTAGTGGATTGAGCGGATACCGAGACATATTTTAGAGGTTATTCGCTTAGAAGGAGGTAATGAGTATAAGGAGGGCAGAGATCATACAAAAGACTAGATCAAATCATACAAGATATTACTGTCAATAAAACAGCTAGTGTTAGTTCGGTATAGTAAAAAAATAAAGCAAAACTGCAGAAACTTTTGAAATGAACCTCCGTAGGTGCAGGTGAAATTATTGCATCAACAGTTCCAATGTATACATTGTTGTTTGTTCTCCATTCTATAGTCAACTAGGATCAAGAACTTATTTTTTGCAGTAAGCTGAGTTATGTTTGGCATGGCATTTCTCAAAGAAGCAAATTAATAAAAATGCTCTGCTTAGAAAATCAAAGCCAAGACATGTCTTACGTCATTTGACCTGAGCGAGCTGCATTATCACATGAATTATGCTACAGAGTAAAATGTATCTCCTACAGAAACAAGGAAAGGAACCATTTAGACTGTTGTACATAGTAAGAATTGAGTTTATTAAAATGATTCTTCGATTCGAGCGGAACTCAATTGTGATATTGCCAAAAGAAAGGAAGAGATATCGCTGTTATAAAAAGCAAGATCCACGTAGAGATGACTTGAACGAAGCTGATTCAATCTCCTTCTTACGTTGAAAGGGAACTTTATTCTTCTTTTTTAGATGTTTATTTAAGAATCCCTGATGTCCGGTTGATACCTGAGATCTATCAATAATCATTATATACTCTTGCTTCCAACTACTCATTGAGCGTCTTCAGGCCTCCATCATGCCGTCCATTCCTCAGGAGGTTACTCATAATACTCTTTTACCCCTTTCCCTTCCAGTGCAACCAGAGGCATACGAAGGAGATGAGTTCTTCTGTATATTTACCCCCCGCATTCATCGTGACAGCCAACTTGCCGATGCTGGGTGCTGGCAATGCCAGGAAGATTTACTGGGCTCTCAAGGACGTGCCCATACAGAAGCGGTTCGGAACAGAAGTAATAAGAGCTATGCAGTTGGCTGTATCAATCCTACCGTTGGCAACTTTACAGCTCTTTGTGCAAGTGAGGCAATTCCTGAGCGTCTTGCTTTGATCTCGTATATTGTTGAGTACGCTTACGTCCATGATGATGGTAAGATACTGGGTACAACCAAGTTGCTTCATTTCATGCACTGATTATTAGACAGTTATTGAGTATGCAGAAGAGAAATCCGAGAAGCAGGTGAGCATCTTCGTCCCTTGAGAATTTTAATCTCCACCTTTCCTCCTATGAAGACAGCCTCTTGTGCTACCTTTTCCTTTTGTTTTCTTCGTTTCAATAGGCCACATGGCTCGTTTCTCTCTTTGCCTTCTTCTACCATTGCTAACCAATGAATATTCGTAGCTTTGGGAAGCTAATCATCAATTGATGGAAGGTCTCGATGACGGTGGAGATGCCCGGCTTTCTACGAGAAACAATGTGAGAAGACAGCTACAAGCCAAAATGGCAACGGAGCTATTGGAAGTCGACAAGGACCAAGGCAAAGAAATCCTTCGTCTTTGGAAAGAGATGTCGCAAGTCTTTGTCGGAATCAGAGACATTGATTTCCATGTTCTGGACGACTATCTCCCATCTCGTGCTATTGATGCTGGATGCCCGTAAGAAAAAGATATCGAATTAGCGTAACGTATTGCTTACCTAGCTAACCATTATCTTCTTCAGCTGGACTATGAGCCTATTATGCTTTTCGATGGACTTTTACCTTACAGAGGAAGAAGAGAAACAAACAGCAGATCTCACGAGGGCCGCGTACGATGCCTGGGTTCTGGTAAATGACTATTTCTCCTGGGAGAAGGAATACCAGAATTATCAGGCCAACGGAAGCACCGGCCAAATTGCAAGCGCTGTTTTTCTGTTTATGAAGTGGCACAATGTCGACCCCATAATAGCCAAGAAGATGCTTCGGACTGAAATCATTACCCGCGAGGAAAAGATTCGCAACATTAAGACTGAATACCTGGCTCGCGGAAACATCACAGACAGAATTCTAAAGTGGATTGATCTGCTGGTCCTTGTGACAGCCGGGAATTTTGTGTGGAGTATGACCACCGCACGTTACGACGACAAAGCCCAGGATGCTTACCCCGGACTAAGGGCCACGAAAAGAGAAAAAAACTATCGCTTGGGTTTAGACGCTCCAATTATGCCCCGCACAGTAGCAGTTGCTCTTAAGCAACCTCCGAAATCGAAGCACATTCGCTCGAATAGCTCGGGATCTAGTACCAATGTCCATACCAGCAGCCCACATACAAGTGATAATCTATCCCAGTGGAGCTATAAAGAAGAGACTGCTGTCACTCTATCCTCATACGAGACAGTAAGTACCAAAACTCTTGAATTGAGCTAATCCTAATGTATACTAAATCAAGTCTAGGTTGTGCTAGAGCCTTATTTCTACATACAATCGCTACCATCAAAAGGAATCAGGAATGTTGCCATCGATGGCCTTGACGTCTGGTATCAAGTCCCAGAGCGATCCTTTAACACAATCCTGGAAATTACGGGTCTTTTACATAGCTCTTCATTGTTGTATGCACAATTTCTGTTCTTTGATTGTTAAAGATACTAACACGCCTAGGATCGATGATATACAAGATAACTCACTATTAAGACGAGGCTCGCCTGCTGCGCATGCCATTTTTGGGATTGCCCAGACGATAAACTCTGCCAGTCTTTTGTTGATGAAGGCTTTGAAAGCAGCAACATCTCTGTCCCCAGATGCTGTTTCTATTTTCACAAAGAGTCTCATAGAAGGTCATATTGGCCAGGGAATGGATTTACATTGGACAAATCAGACAAAGATCCCAACCGGAGAGGAGTACTTCACTATGGTTGACGGCAGTATGTTTATTCTACTACACACCGTACTCAGCAGCCACTGTAATACTAATCATTATGTTTCAGAAACTGGTGGCCTCTTCGTTCTCATTGCCGAGCTAATGCGCTCTGAAGCAACTACGAACAAAGATCTTGATGTGAAACTACTTATGAACACCGTTGGACGTTTCTTTCAGGCCCGCGATGACTACCAAAATCTCCAAGACGCAGATGTACGTTAATATTCTTCTCCACTCTCCCAATATTCAACATCCTTGGTGTGAGCCATACCTTTTGTATCAACAAAGATTAACATTTATACGAACAGTATACGGAACAAAAAGGTTTCGCAGACGATCTGAGTGAAGGCAAGATCTCTCTACCTCTCATCTTCGCTCTAGAGGCGGAAGGGCCACAGCGTAGTCGGCTGCTCAATGTCCTACAGCAACGAAAGGCTACTAATTCTCTATCCGTTGAATTGCGGAAGCTGGCATTGCAGGACATTATAGCCGCGGGAGGACTGACACGCACAAAGGGTATCATACTCAACTTACAAGAGGAAGTAAGTCAATTATTGGCGCGGTTGGAAGACAGAGCTGGTGAGAGAAACTGGATTTTTAGACTGATGAAGAAGCGGCTGGAGCTTTGAAACAGGAGAAACTCGGTGGAAATAATGTAGGTATATACTAAGCAACAATATCATATTTAGGGTTATCATATCGGAAACACATATTATAACTAACTCATAGGGGTTGCTGGAATGCACCGTTATATAGAGAATAGAACCCACACCTTCCATTTTTGTGTCATTGTACTTTGACATATACATTCTCTCAGAAGATCAACGGGATTAGACGATGGAGCACCTCATTAAGTCTGAGCTCGGGAAATTTACTCATTGAACCTGTCTAACATCCTTGATCGAGACTTCTGGTAATTTGATATCTAAGATATCACGTCGAAGGGTTTTAACTTTTAAACATGATTTGGAGAGAACGGTCAAAAACAGTATGGTGTATATCTTCTTTACCTCTCAGAAGTAACTCACTTCGTCCTTCCTGAGTAGAAAGTCCTTTGCAGACTGGTGAACGAACAGAATAGTGTCTTCTTGTAATATTAGGAACGAGCCGTAAATTGCAACAATCTCTAAGAGCGTTTCATGGTCATCGTAGTCATTACCTGATATTTTAAGAAGCGAGGGTAGTTCGCTCAGCGTGATAGATCGATGTGCGGTGCTAGTACGAAGCAAGATTGGAAATCGTGGTGTAAATTCATCTAATGTCTGAGCTAAATGAAGTGCTTCCTAGGAGCTTACGTCCTGAGATAATTGATAGACCAATCAAATAAAATGTGCAGTAAGATTACTCCCGAACAGATGTATGGCTCCTAGGATAAACGACTATTCTAGTGAAACTCGATTTATCGATGGGATAATGTAAACAACCTACGTGGGAAGGGACGGGACTAGCGTGTTGCATTTTATTGAGGCACTTACTCAGCTCGCTCAGTGAGTACTCACCGAGTGCTCCCTGAGTGAATCAGACTACTCACTGTGTACCTGATACTCCGTGAGCAGATCAGTGTGCTTATATAATGCTCAGACACGTACTTAGTTCTACTAATACGGAAGGGGAACGCCAAGAACTGGCATAGTAAAAGCAGTACATAGGAGTAGTATCTATCAGTGGTATAGTAATTAAAAAGTTGACATTATTAAAACCTCATCCCACAACCTACTGCGTTCTTCTTCATTCCTTCCTAATTCATCTACCACAACTTTACTTGACAACGCAGCAACAGTGATAGTCAAAATGAGGCTCATATTAGGGCAAATATCAAACCCTCCCAGCAGCATATCCTCGAACAAATTGATTTTAGGCAGATCTAGCTACAACACAGAAAATTTTCGACCGGCAAATTCTTCGTGGTTGCGGTCTCAAATCAGCTTATCGACATTCGGTCACAGCCAGAGTCAGAGTCACAGTCGTGACATAGCTATTAACGCTATCGCTTTTTCAATTTGTTCTACATCTTGTCCCGGTAACTTGCGAAGCTTGACATCTGAAGAATACAAGCTTCTCCGAGTAATCTTCCCTGAAACGAAAGCCATTGCAGTAGCTCCCCCATACCTCGTTATCCAGGTTGAATCACTGCCGTCGAAGCCGTGGCCGACCAGCATCGCAGGCGCCCCCTTGTTTTTGACCACATCAACTGATTTAGGTTACTTTCATCAATCTCCGGGCATCGGTCCAAGTGTTCTATCAAGCATGCAACACTCAACCCATAAGCCTACGGCAATTTTGATGGCTGTTTTCCAGGAACTTAGTATGGCTAGTTTGAATGTTGAATCTATCACTCTCTATGGAGCGTTCATCGCTATTGAGCTGATCGGCGACGCCAAGTTCGAAGCTTTGCCGAGGAAGATTGCGAATATGTCTGCTGAGTACGTCATGAAGACTAAGCCCGGAGTCAACAGTCTACCTATCAACTGCAATGAGATCCTACCTCGAGGCTTCTTCGATGGTATCGCGACTGCAGATGAAGTGAAACTTGGCGGCGACATTAGCATGAATTCTCGTTTCTCTGGCCTCTGTGAAGGAAAAATTCTAGGAATAAAAGCGCAGTTCAACCTTGACATCAACTCAGAACAGCCACCACAGGATTTCAAGCCTATCATCTCAATCTGCTACACTTTCGGCAACGGACAAGAAAGAGCTTTGGATGGATGGTATGGGTCACCTATCATTGATCAAGACACAAACAAGATTGTCAGCTTCGTCGGAAAAGCCAACAAGGTCGATGGCGTCGGCTACAGTGTCTTGGCGGAAGAATTTGTCGGTTTGGTCAAGAGAATCTGAGGAAAAAGCAGTTCGTCGCTTGAATGTCTGACATCCCTCAAGGACAGGCAGATGTATTCATACATGTATCAAATAGTGACATTTTGATAACTATTAAGGAATCGCCACATTATTCCCAACTAATACGTATAGTATCTTTCCTCTAAGATCAGTAGAAGTTTAATCTGCAAGAGAGATTTTAGGACTCAAATTTTGACGTAAATCAAGCCAGTATCAACGAAGGTAAAGATTGAGGTGCGCTGGTGTTGTGAAAAGCCGTGGATGGAGATGCTGAGGGTTTAGATTGTTCCTGAAATCCGTGAATGTGCTCTGAAGAGGGCGAGATAAAACCGGTTGAAGAGAATGAATAGCATCTGTTAAGGTATAAGAACTGTACAAGTCGAAGTCAAGGTGTTGATAGTATTGGAGTATAAATACACGGGGTTAAAAAAAGGAATATGCAGGCCCAACAAAATCGCACATGTAAAAGATGAGCACAATTTTGCTCGATATAGATTCCAAGGTGCATTCAGCAGCAGATGAAGTGATGCTCAAACAGCCTCAACCGCTTCGTCAATATGATGATGGTACAGTGGGAAAGCACCTGAGATGTGCCATCGAGTATGAATTTTCGGTTGACTAGAAAGTCGCCGCTCCGGCTTGCAGGTTCTGTTCAGCGGCTTCAACAGCGGCTTTGATAGCGAGCCTTTGGGGGTCAGCTCGTCCCTTTCCACGGGGTTTTGTGATGGCCTTGATATTCAGTCTCTCTTCGACCTTGGCCTCAATCTCCTCCTCCTTATCCTTCATCCACTCCTCAAATGTTTGAGGTTCGGGTAGCTTGAGCTTTTCCCGCTCTGCCTTGAATCGCTCTTGCATCACAGGTGTCTGCATGACCCTCCACCGTAGGTGCCATCCGAATATACCGAGGTCCTTAATGCGGCCGACCTTGTCACTCAAGAGGTAATTGTCAAGACCTCCTTCCTTCCAGATTGTGCGGAGTGACCGACGAGTGACTTTGATGAAGAGGTCCTCATCGAGTGCGTCGCTGCGGATCTTCTTCTTGCGGACATTGGGTTTCCAGGTTCGTCGTGTTTTGCCCTCGTTGCGACCCTTAGAGATCTTGTTACCAAAACGGATCATGGCGCTGCCGTAAAGACCTGTGTCTGCCTGCTTATACCACTGACGAGCGCCATAAGGATAGGGTGGGATGTTATCCGGAAGTTGAATAGTTGTTTGAGGTACAGGAGTGGTGGAGAAGCAACGCTTTGGTGTCGACAGAGAAAGGCTTCGGAAAGCCGACGACAGAGAGATAGGGCTGAACATGGTAGATCGAGTCTGTAAACCTGCCATTGTGGGCACAGGTTAAGCATACCACAGGGAAGGTGGTTCCTGGTGGATCGAATGGAGTTGGAAGAATTTGGGCGGCACTGACCGCCTTCGTCGCGGCGCAGATCCCTTGCTCGCGAATTTCAGTTTGGAACGGATTATCGCATCCGCTTGCTGTTTTGATTTGCTTTGTCACTTCAATTTTCGTAATTATTTTGTCTCTTTGATCTTCCCATCCACCGAACCATTTAATTTCTTGAATTTGGTGCTTTTTTCAAAGTCCCACGTCTTCACCATGGTCCAAATCAGTGAAGTCAAGGGCAACTCGCGCGAGAACAGGACCGCTGCGCATACCCACATTAAGGGCCTTGGACTCCGCGCAGACGGTACCTCTGAGACAACCGCTGATGGATTTGTTGGACAAGCTGCTGCCCGAGAGGTAGGTAAAAGATTGACTGAACTAAGATAGAACATAATTCCCCAGATTTTGTAGCTAACTGAATCCTGCTTCCATTAGGCATGTGGCGTTGTAGTCGACCTCATCAGAGCGAAGAAAATGGCTGGACGTGCTGTTCTGCTTGCAGGTGGTCCTGGTACCGGAAAGACTGCACTTGCTCTCGCTGTTTCACAGGAGCTTGGAACGAAGGTGCCTTTCTGCCCGATCGTTGGTAGCGAAATTTACTCCGCAGAAGTCAAGAAGACCGAAGCCTTAATGGAGAACTTCCGAAGAGCCATTGGTCTACGAGTGCGAGAAACAAAGGAGGTTTATGAGGGTGAAGTTACAGAGCTTACTCCAGAGGAGACTGAGAACCCTCTCGGTGGATATGGACGCACAATCAGTCATCTGATTATCGGTCTGAAGTCCGCCAAAGGTAGCAAGAAGCTCCGCCTTGATCCCAGCATCTACGAAGCAATTCAGAAGGAACGTGTCACCGTGGGTGATGTTGTTTACATTGAGGCCAACACTGGTGCTTGCAAGCGTGTCGGACGTTCAGATGCCTACGCGACTGAGTTCGACCTCGAGGCAGAGGAGTATGTCCCCGTACCAAAGGGTGAGGTCCACAAGAAAAAGGAAATTGTGCAGGACGTGACTCTGCACGATCTGGACATGGCCAACGCACGGCCGCAGGGTGGACAGGATGTAATGAGCATGATGGGCCAGCTGATGAAGCCCAAGAAGACCGAGATTACGGATAAGCTCCGCCAGGAGATTAACAAGGTCGTGAATCGGTATATCGACCAAGGTGTTGCAGAGCTGGTCCCCGGTGTGCTCTTCATTGATGAGGTAAGGAAATTCGTGCGTAATTCAGTATTCCAATTTCTAACCATTTCACATAGGTCCACATGCTGGATATTGAGTGCTTCACTTACCTGAACCGGGCCCTTGAATCGTCTATTTCTCCAATTGTTATCCTTGCCTCAAACCGCGGCAACACTGTCATTCGGGGCACCGACGACATTACTGCTGCTCACGGAATTCCCCCAGATCTGCTGGCCCGACTCCTTATTATCCCCACCACCCCCTACAGCTCTGACGAGATCAAGACAATCATCCGCCTTCGTGCCAAGACAGAAGGTCTCAGCATCACCGAGCCCGCGCTGGATAAGGTCGCCGAGCACGGCAGCAAGGTCAGCTTGCGGTATGCTTTGCAGCTGTTGGCGCCCGCTAGTATTCTTGCCCGTGTCAATGGTCGCCCCAGTGGAATCGAAGCAGTTGATGTGGCTGAGTGTGAGGATCTCTTCCTGGACGCAAGACGGAGTGCCCAGATAGTGAGCCAGGACAGCAGCTCGTTCCTGGCCTAGGGCGTTACGACACATGTTGAGGAGAAATGTGGGAGTTCCATGATCATGTATACCATGCGGATGTTCTTTTTTATCTGATTATCAAAAAGGCGAATTGTGCTTATCACCAGTGTGGGCCTGACTTCTTATGCTAATGCTACTCGATGTTACCCTACTTGATCTAAACGAGCTGTAGTATATACACCGCCTATCAGGGCACTGAGTGGCTGTCGATCAGTAGAGGGACCTGCATGCATTCAGCTCCCCGATATAAAAATGTCTTGAAGTTTGACGAACCTTCGAGCCCACCTTAAATACCCTTACATGTTTTTCGATGTAGTTAATTTGTTGGTATTGACTGCTTTGTAAGTCGGCAATGTAACCCCGATCTCTGAATCACGTGCGATGCTTATCGCCCCAACCTCCAATCTAATGCATTGTTCTTCTCGGACATTTACCAAAAGCATTCGTCAAGGAAGAGAATCCAGTTCATTCCTTGCCAGATTTGCGACCAAGATACTTTAATTGACCTGGACTCTTTGAGGTAAACTCCACTCGACGCGGCGAATACCGGTCCCTCTCCAGATAACAGTGGAGCCTGCGGTCAAGACCAACCTTGAAGTCTCCCCTTACACGTCACTGGAATTCAGTTCTTCCCGCCGATTTTTTGCGTTCTGAGTCCACAGGCCCCGATTTGAATATCTCAACATGTCGAACCCTCTAGACACTGATGCTGGCACGGAGATGTTCACCAGCTACGAGAACGAGCTGAAACTCTTTCAGGCTGATCTGAACCAGAAGCTAGACCAGATCGCTGAAGCAAGCGGTGAGCAGCGCAAAGCTGCCATCCGACAAGCTGAGCAGGTACTGGATGAAGCAACAGAATTAGTGAGCGTCACCCGAAAAACCCACTAGGGACAACCATATTTGAGAACTAGCTTCCCAAGTCCCCAGTCAGGAGCGACTCGACTAACCACCTTTCAGCTTGATCAAATGCGCATGGAGAAACAAAACATTCCCTCAGCTACCCGTTCCAAGGTCAACATGCGATTCCGGAACTATTCTACCGATATCGACGAAATTAAGCGCAAACTGAAGTCCCTCTCGGATGACCGGAAGGCGTTGTTTGGCGATAGATACACCGATGAGCCACAAGACGAACATCTTGAGCAACGCCAACAGCTCCTGTCCGGAACAGAGCGTCTTGAGCGTAGCTCTGCACGGCTGCAGCAAAGTCAACGGGTTGCGCTGGAAACGGAAGATATTGGGCAGGGCGTGCTGGCTGATTTGCACATCCAACGACAGACTATCCAGCATACTCGTGATAATCTCCAGCAGAGTGAAGGCTACGTCGATACGAGTATTAAGACTTTGCGGGGGATGGCTCGTAGGTACTGATCCCTTTATCCTTCTTTGTTATGAGAGGGAGGTGGTTTGCTAACTTTCGTCTGTTTCCAGGATGGCTACAAATCGGATAATTACCATTGCTATCATTACAGTCCTTGTTCTGTTGATTGTTGCTGTCATTTTTAGCAAGTTCCATTAGCGCGGTGGCCCTATCTGGCGTTTCTTTGGCATATGTTCTGTTCACTACAATTCGAGCTTCACTCTTTTACCGTCCTTTTTCTTCTTTTGCAATGTCCCTTGAAACGTTGTATGTTAGCATGACCATGATCATTGTTTAGATCTCCCTAACCTTTACATGCTTCACATATAATCACTATGAATATGATGTATGAATCGGTCAATCGAAGCCCGGTACAGTTCCGGTCCCGAAAATAGCCTCATCGAAAATCTTCTAGGAACCTACCTACTTAGGCGATTCAAGGTTTTGAGATTGACATAAATCCTACCATCAAATACCATGGTACGACCTTACCCTTTGAATTTCCCAAGGCTCTACTACGGTGAGCCATGTTTTCTACCTAAATATCTTCAACATGCCACAATACAACTGCCCAGGTGATGCTAAGCCAGCTACGTACTTCGCATAGTACAACTTGTCTGTCTCTTTGCAGCTACCAACAATTGGGTCTATTCCATCATTGACATCTGGATCATCTCTCTTTTTATTACCAATTGGAGACTAACTTATTGTTTTGCAACGCCTAGAACGAGCCATACCTGATCATTTCATTTGTTATGGGCTGGATCCACGAGCAGTACTCCATATGCCATTACAAAGAAGGTCAAGCAAAAATCTCTCTCAGAAATGACCAACAAGGCACAGGAGACTGGATATGTTAATCTGACAATCAGATCAGATCCATGGCCGGAATACTTTCCCCAAATGAGGAAGGGAACAAGTATGAAAAATGCGAGCGTCAGGGAGGAACTGAAGAATGTGAGGCAAAGAAGCGGAGGATCAAGCCCAGCATTCTACGAAGATGACGCTCAAACATGGTCCAAATTAAAGAAAATCGATACCAAGTGGCTAACCTGTCTAGTTATGCTCAAGGCCCAGCTCCAATTCAGTTGGCAGAAGAGTCGCATAAAAACAAATACACATCCATGGCGACCTAGATTAGGAACACTCCAGAGGCTAATATGGATACTGATCATGTACCTAGGTATCTCATATGATCAATACTTTAGAAACCAAATATTTCATTTACTATAGTTACCCAGATTTGATAGGAATGGTGAATGTGTGGGGTAAGTATAGATCAAACTCCATCAGACTGTAGTTTGTCGATTCCCCCAATAAATACTAGTTCATCGTCAAATTGATTCAATTGAAGAAGCGAGATAGACATCTTATCTTCAAATAAATGCCTAACTAAAAACGGACGATGATCACGTTGGAATGCTCGAAACCCGTCCGGAATAGGAGGTGGTCAGAACTCGGTTGAATCTCATCGGTTTAATTGCAATATGGAACTTCTCCCTCTCGCAACTCTTTCTAGCTGTTCAAGGCTCTCCAAACACCCGGAATTTGGAGCTGCATGTTATGATTTGATACAATCTGGATTCTCGTCCTCATCCAGCATTACAGCTCTGGGGACAAGATGCAGTTCGCACTACCTCCGCGGAGAAGCCCCCATGCTGTCACAGGCGCGCGGTCGACCCGAATGCCAATGTATCGCAGAAAACAGCTCAAGACCGTCGCCCTGATTTCCTTCGCCATCATCTCAATCCTCTTCCTACTCTCACATCTCTACCCCTCAAGCTCGACCTCGACACCCAGTACGCATGCTGACACGGCAGGCGTGGTGATCGTGACAGTGCTGGATCGGAAACAACTCAGCGAGGGCTATATTAAAAAGATCATCGCCAATCGCGAACACTACACGAAGGCCCATGGTACGTGTTCCGTATAACCTAATGATATTAAGATTTCAACTGGAATGACACCATACTGACAATGACCGGTACTTCCCCGCAGGCTATACCAATTTTTTCGCAAGTACGTCCGACTACGAAGAGGCCATAGGCGATGCCCAACGAAGCTGGGCCACAGTCCCGGCTGTTCGAAACGCCATGGCTACCTACCCACGCGCGAAATACTTCTTTCACCTCAGCCCGCACGCTCTGATCATGGACCCGACCAAATCCCTCGAATCCCACCTTTTAGACAAGAGTCGAATTGAAACTCTGATGCTTAAAGATTACCCCGTCGTACCGCCTGACAGCATCATCAAGACGTTTCCGTATCTAAAGGAGAAAGACATTGATCTCATCACGACACAAGACATTGAGGACCTCACACCGGGTAGTTTCGTGCTGCGGAATGGAGACTTTGCGCGCTTCTTCCTGGATATATGGTTCGATCCTCTGTTCCGCAGCTATAACTTCGCCAAAGCCGAGGTTCACGGATTGGTAGGAATGCCATTTGACGCGTAGACTTTAAATATGCTCATGGCTAACCTTGTTTTGTTCAGGATCACATCTTGCAATGGCATCCAACCGTGCTTGCTCGAACGGCTCTTGTACCCCAGCGGGTCATAAATGCTTACAGCAAAGACTCCCCAGGCGCTGCTGTCAATGGTACTTACCAAGAGGGTGATTTCATCCTCCGGTTCCCTAGATGCGATAGTACTGAGACCGGTGACTGCGCCGAGGCGGAAGCATACTACAAAGTGTGGCTGAAGAAGACCCAAAAAGATTAAGAGTCTTTCGTTGCCTTTACCTTAATAAGCTGAAAGTGGTGGTTCAGCGCTTGTATCATTATTTTTTTTTCTAAGGATAGAACGAACTGGATTACAGAGGAGAAAAGAAGGCTACTTAAGCTAAAGAGTCAAAATTGGTCTCTTGAGGCAGATCAGATCTCATTTCTCGGATATAAGTATATACCTAGAGCCTCCGGGATGAAACAACTTTTAGGATTGAAATATCACACTCGACATAATTTCATTTTGAACTACTACGTGTACAGGACGATGCTGAAAATTAATTAAATCGAAAGAATACCTAGGTATATATGCCTGCTTCCAGATCTCACTGCATAATCACTTTACAGCTGGAGCGGTTTGTCCTCAGTATGTACCTAGGCAAGAATGGGAGCACTTAATGAAATGAAGCACAAGACAGCCTTGCAAAACCTCGGAATATATATCTACCTAGGTATAGTTGACATAGGTAGATCCTTCAATTCAAAGTTCAATTGACCCGATCAAGCTATACTAGTCGTCATATACATACTATGGAACTTGTGTCTAACGTCATCCCGAAATCAAATACAAAAGAAAATTTGGGCTGTTGCCCAGTCTGAACGCTTATCAGCATCGAGATCGGTCACACTAATTTTTCTCTGAAGCTATGCTCTCTGATCAGCGAACAATGGGCACTGGAGAAGGATATACATCGGAGCCTATCCTTCATCGCAGCTGCACTGACTAGAGTCGACCTCTTTGATCTTACCTAGGTATAGAGCCAATGCCGGAGGCCAATACTGGAGTTAAGGCGACCGATTTTGTATTTCTACTTAGAGCAAGATCACATCCCTGGATCTTTTGTTCCATTTTTATTACTGGCGTACATACACTTCAAACGGTCAAGGGTCAAGGGTCATCATTTCTTTTTATTGAATAAACGTTCACTTGAAAGCTTCATAAATGGGTTTTTTGTAGCGGCCGAATCAAGATCAATAGTAATTATATGATAATAAGACGCCCAAGGGAGACAAAGATTATAAAATAGGGGTCAAAAAAAGAAAACAATTTTGATACCGGGGAAAGAAATTCAAACTAGCCAGCTATTGCCTGCGGATTGTCAAGTTTAATCCGGCGAGTGTAATTTCCTGCCACCGTGAAACTAGGTAGGTCACCAACCTAGCAGATGTAGGGAATGAGGACAGTGCGCTTCTTCTTATAGCGGTCGGGGAATTCCTTGCGAAGGAGTTTCTCCTTCTTCCAGGCCCAAGCCCACATCTGTCCACCGCCAACGATAGCGAAGAGGATGACGCTCAGGTTAAACTGACTGACGAGGAAGACACCAATCCAAGACACAATCTCAAAGAAGTAGTTGGGGCAGGTGACGATGCTGAAACCAAACCCGCGAGGAATACCGCGCTGGGTGGTGCCAGGCTGGCGCAGATGACGCAACACGAGGTGAGCATTGAAGTTGGCCAACTCGCCAAACACGAATAGTGCAAGACCGGCGTAGATTAGGACATGGTTGGGCTCGTCGGTAGCAGCGGCAGCATTCGGACTGAAGACCCAGTAGGAAATGTTGAAGCCGGCGAGTGCCCAGTAGTGCGCGCTGTTCTTGAAGATGTTGCGTGCGGGCATGGTGGCATTGCTAAATCGGTGGACGAATAGGGTCTCATACTCACGCTTGAGGAAGTGGAGTGTCAAGAGGGCGCACACCAGCAGTTGGCAGTCGGAGGGGGAGGGCACATTGTCGAAGTTGAAGTAGAGGAGCGAGCGGAGGGGGAAGAGGAAGAGACCTGGGATAAGGAGGGGGCCGAGGTATTCAATGATAAAAACGGTGCGCCAAGCGATTTGAGGGCCTGCAGTTTCAACGTGGGGTTGCATGTTAGTAATCTGAGTGGGAATGGATGGAGCTCTGCGCATGGGGATTAATTTGGGGTTGCGCTTGATATCATTTGCGTGATGTATCTTATATAATTCCTTCGCGCGAATTCTGATAGCCTCAGGAGCGGCTTGATGCATGAGGTGCTTACCAAGGTCCTTGACATGAATCACGCTGGAGTTGCGCAAGCCAGTGTCGTTGATAGTAGTGGTTTTCTTGTTAGCAATCACGGTGCGATCGCTTCCCTTGGTGATGCGAAGCCGATGAACGGAGACGCTGCAGATTTCAGCGACGACTTCGTGGAGGTCGTTGGCAGATGCGTCAATGTCAATGGTGACTTCTTTTGGGAGCTTGTGAATGGGACGGCCTGTCTCGAAGTTAGCTATTTCGTAGCTTGGAAAGTATTAGCTATGCATGCATACCGCGAGGCTCCACCACGAGGGTGACTTTGCTAGCCATTTTTAGTGACAGAGAGCTTCCAATTGATAGGAAATGTACCTATGAATCGATTGAAGCGAGGAGGGGAAACCGGGAACGGGGAGCGGGAACGCGGCTAGTGAATGAATGTTGATCCTCACCATTTAGTTAGATAATTCAACATCGAGTCGCATCCACTCACGTGACTTAGACACCTGACAGTTGCGGCCACAACAAATTAAGTTTCTAGTGGATGACTGTTTCGATGTTTAATTACAACTACCAAGTTAGTACCAACATTGTCAAGGTCCACTGACCATTGATGAAGAAATATTCTACACCCTATCGGACTCATATCTATGATCTATTCGGCAAACTCTATGTCTTATCAATCCCGAGGTCTCGGTTATGGGCGGATCAGTCTGGCAGATGGTTACTATGTAGACAGGCGGCGGCTTCAGGGCTGAAACAACGGGTACAGTCGTCGAGGTTAACTTGCAATTGGTAGATGACATTGGTTCCAACATTCCAAGAATGCGATGAACAAAAGGTGTGGGCCGGGCTGAAGGCTTGCATCGAGCACTAACAGAGTACTCCGTACTATCACCTGATACTTTCAGCCGCACCATTAACATAGCGTTACAATGGGCGGTAAGCCAAGCACTAGGCAACCCACTTAACTATTACCTTGTCATGTCGTTTGTTGCCTTGCACTGTTTCCGGCCGAAGCTCAGCCTGCGTTCAATTTGCCGACGTTAGTATAGGCTAGACTGGCCGATTACTCCAATCAGCTTGTTCGACATAATTCCGAGTTCCCAAGTTATATGCCCAGGTGTGCTATGCGAGCCTTGGAGCGGGGGGACATTATATGGGGCGGGGAATCTGAAATCCCATTTGATCTCAGCACATAATTATACGAAAATTTCACTGTTCATAGATGAAACACCTACCATCCGTTCCTATCTATTATCCACCCAACACACCAACAGTTCAAAATCACAAGTCTTTGAGTATTACAAAGTTGAGAGTACTCCGTACTTTGTCTTTGAAACGTTTTTGAGCTCAAAATGGTTTTTATTTTCTGCAGCCTTGTGGGGCAGGCAATATTCGTGTCAGCTCGAGTAGAAGTTGTGGCGCTGATAGTTCGGATACGAATGCAGACAAGGCATAATCGGCAGCACTCTATGGCTAGTTTATGCGGACTTAGTGCATAGCCCATAAAATAGCTCAAATTTTTATAAACTTGCGATTATCCCCCGGTGTCATCGCATGACAGTTCTCTAGCTTTTCTGATTTTCTTATTTCGTTTTTTAACTTCAATCGTATCTGTAATATACTGCTATACAAATACTCCCGAGGTTCTCAGCCCAAATAGTTGAGGTCGATATCCCGACAAACTTGCAGCCTGAGGCACAAAACAACTTATACTCACCTGGTAACTATGGCCGATCAGCCCCAAGACCCTGTCCACGCAGTTGAATCAAAGATTCACCGACTGGAGAAGTTTATTGCTGAATCTTTGAGGCCATTGCCCACGGAGACTGGCGATGGAACTTATATCAAGATGGATGTCACTACAGGTTTGGCCAAGGACATTGGACATGTTGATCTGGCAGAAGTCAAAACCATTGCTGAAGTCGCCAAAAGCGCGATCACTGGTTCCCCCTTGATGATAAAAAGTATATCATGGAAAGAGTGATTCAGGTTTGTCATGAAGAGCATCTAAATGTCGCTGCCCTTGCTCATCATTTGACAGCTGGCTGCCGGTTTGCCTGCCACTTCGGGTGCTCGTACAGAACTAACTGAGACTTTCCTCAATACCTTGTGGAATGATTTGCAGCATCCACCAGTTTCGTTAGTCAATAACCACTACAACAAGACTAATACGATGTTAATGTGGATGAATATGCAGGTATCTTGGCCGGGATGCCATGTATCGTAAAGCAGATGGATCTGGAAACGTAAGACCTTCATGTCCTATCAAACGAATACAAAACGCTGACATAAATTCAAGAACATCTTCTGGCCAAATATTGGAGCTGCAGGTAGTCCTTATGCACGATCAGTTCGACCGGAAATCGTGCAACCCGTAGATCGCCCAGAGCCGGAGGCCCTATTTGACAGTCTCTTAGTCCGGAAAGAGTTCAAGGAGCACCCGAACAAGATTTCAAGTGTATTGTTCTATATTGCGTCTATAATTATTCACGGTATGTTTGAAATTCTCTAGGTGTATGAGTGTCACTAATACGGGATAGATATTTTCCAAACCTCGAGAGATGGGACGGCAACAAACACATCATCGTACTTGGATCTGGGACCTCTATATGGTAACAATCAAAAGGAGCAGGATGAAGTAAGAACCTTTAAGGATGGAATGTTGAAACCTGATTGCTTCTCCTCTAAGCGAGTTTTGGGATTCCCTCCTGGTGTTGGTGTTTTGCTCATCATGTTTAACCGCTTCCACAACCATGTCGCCACCCAGCTCACAGCAATCAATGAGGGTGGTCGCTTCACTAAGCCGGACGAGTCAAATGCAAAGGCTTATGCCACATGGGATAATGATGTGTTTCAAACTGCACGTTTGGTGACCTGTGGTCTCTATATCAACATCGTTCTCAAGGATTATGTTCGAACTATTCTCAACTTGAACCGAACTGACAGCACCTGGAGTTTGGATCCTCGCATGGATGAGAAAGATGGGTTGCTTGGAAAGGCAGTCTCCAAGGCTACGGGAAACCAAGTCTCGGCTGAGTTCAATCTCGTCTACCGCTGGCACTCTTGCATTTCTGCTCGTGACCAGAAATGGTCGGAGGAGTTGTACAAAGAGATTTTCAATGGCCAGGATCATAACACCATTAGTCCACAGCAGTTTGTGATGGGACTCGGGATATACGAATCAAAATTGCCTGAGGACCCTTTGCAGCGGCCCTTTGCCACATTGCAACGCCAGTCCAATGGCTCATTTGATGATGATAGCTTGGTGAAAATATGGGAAGAGAGCGTGGAAGACGTTGCGGGAGCCTTTGGCACCTCTAATGTACCAAGTGTCTTCAAAAGCATCGAGGTCCTGGGCATTAAACAGGCACGTTCTTGGAACTTGGCGACTTTGAATGAGTTCAGGGACTACTTCAACTTGAAGCCATATGAGACCTTCGAAGAGATCAACCCAGATCCATATATTGCTGAACAGCTCAGAAATTTCTACGAGCATCCTGATCTTGTGGAGATGTACCCAGGAGTCATCGTGGAGGATACTAAAGAAGCAATGGCACCCGGCAGCGGCTTGTGTACAAACTACACAATCTCGAGAGCGATTCTGTCTGATGCCGTTGCTCTAGTCCGCGGTGATCGCTTTTACACAGTTGACTTCACGCCTAAGCACCTTACCAACTGGGCTTACAACGAAATTAACTACGACACTAGCATTGATGGGGGCCAGGTCTTTTATAAGCTCGTGCTACGGGCATTCCCCAACCATTTCCGAGCGGATTCAATTTATGCACACTTTCCGACGGTGATTCCGAGTGAGAACGAGAAGATCATGGCCAATATTGGAAGGGCTGGAATGTACAGCTTTGACCGGCCGACCTATACTCCGTTACCCAAATCCATCAATTCTCATGCCGCATGCCAGGCCATCCTCGCCGACCAGGACTCCTTCAAAGTAACCTGGGGCAAGAAACTCGAGTTTCTTCTGCAGCGAGCGGGCCACCCCTACGGCAAGGATTTCTGTCTCTCGGGCGATCTCCCGGCAAATGCAGACTCCAGGAAAATACTAAGGAACGCCATATATCAGGAAAACTGGGAGTCTGAGGTCCGCAAATTCTACGAGCAAATCACGTTGCAGCTACTGCAAAAGAACTCGTATAAGATCGGTAGCGCGAACCAGGTCGACATTGTGCGCGATGTGTCAAATCTTGCTCAGACCCATTTCTGTGCTAATGTCTTCTCTCTCCCACTCAAAACTGAGTCAAACCCCCGAGGTATATTTACTGGACCTGAGCTTTATCAGATATTGGCTTTGCTTTTCACCTGTATTTTCTATGATTTGGACGTTCAAAAGGCTTTCCAGCTCGAGCAAGCTTCTCGCAAAACTGCGCAGCAGCTTGGTGACCTTATCATAGCAAATGTTGAGATCGTCAACAAGGCTGGGTACATTGCCGAGCTTGTGGACAAACTCCATCACCATGACAACGCGCTGAAAAACTACGGCGTTCATATGATCCAGCGCTTGCTTGATAGTGGATTACCGCCTAAGGAGATTGCGTGGACGAACATTGTCCCTTCGGCGTGTTCAATGGTTGCCAACCAGTCGCAGTTGTTCTCTCAGTGCCTGGACTTCTATCTAGATACGGATAACGCCATCCACCTTGCCGAAATTCAGCGCTTGTCAAAGGAGCATACTCATGAAGCCGACGAGCTACTTCTGAGATAGTAAGTTACCCCCTCTATTTGTTTGCAGTTGTAATTAAACAACGTACTTACTTTGAAGCAGCTTTATGGAAGGTGTCCGAATCCGATCGTCTGTTGCCTTGCCCCGGGAGGTTGCCAAGCCGACTGTCATTGAAGATAACGGAAAGAGAGTGTCATTGGAGGTCGGACAACAGGTGCTTGTCAATTTGGTAAGTGCACCTTAGTTTTCCAAACCTGCGCTGTATATTGAAACTCTTTTAACGAGAATACCAATTTAGGTGGGTGCAAGCCACGATGCCTCCGCATTTCCCGACCCTGAAAAGGTTCGTCTTGATCGTGATTTGGGCAGCTACATTCACTTTGGCTTCGGTCCACACCAATGCCTCGGTATGGAGGTGTGCCAGATTGCTCTTCCGACCATGCTCCGTATTGTGGGACAGCTGGAGAATCTTCGGCGTGCGCCTGGGTCGCAAGGTCAGTTGAAAAAGCAGACCGGATCTGCAGGATTGACCATGTACATGAATGCGGAGCAAAGCGTCCTGTCTCCATATCCATTGACCATGAAGATCCAATGGGATGGGGCATTGCCCAACGTTGTGGGCCACTAGAGCATCTGGCGAGAAGGAGCGAATAGAGGTTGAGAATTTCTTCAGCCTTGGAAGGGCTTCTGGTTTCTCCGCCGATTAAGTATTCTTCAGTGTACAACCCATCCGGAGCCTCTCATTCATCCTTGTATGGGCTAAGTAGCATTGATAATTGATAGTTCAGAATCGAGTTTGCTATTCATATTTATAAGTCAGTCATAGCCCTCACATTTAGTCGGGAATTCCTAGTTGTGATTCAGCTTTCTGGAATACAGTCTTACATGGATTGAGGAATGATAGACTGTAGTCCTTATAAGCTGAGTTATATACTGCGTTTGTGGGGTTGTTATGAAACTACGTTTGTTTCGAGAGAAGTGGTGCCTTGGAGCCTTACCGCCTAGGCGGGGACAAGGCCTAGCGCGCTCCACTGAGCTTCTGGCAAGACAGCTCAAGTTCACGAATCTTCCCAAACGTTTCTTTGTCTTTCTTCATCTCTCTTCTCCCCACCCATCCCCCCATTCACCTTTTCGAATCCCCTTTCTACCCTAATCCCTTTTGAATTAGTCAACTAGAGTGTTAACGTCCTGCACCGTTTCTCTCTGCCAGTTTGATTATTCATATAACTCCCGTAATCTAACATCAATCATTAAGAGAGCTTTCTCGGAAACAGGCTTCTTTTTCCCAAAGAAAAGTAGGTGGAATATTTTTGTTATTTTTCCTTGCAAATCAGAATCCACCCCTCAAATTCTCTTTGACCCGTTCTCTCGACCTGAAGCGTCTCGGTTTTTGTGAGAAGTTGAACTAAAAACGTCATAAGGCATTCTCGCGCTTTCTCCGCGACCCGGCCTCACGACCTTCCCCACCCACCCCTCTTGGAAACATTGTCACCCAGAATTTTGAATCTCATGGTTGGCTGTCTGTCCGATCGCGACCATGGGGAGAATTAAGAAGGCAGCTAGCCAAAAGCATGTGGCTACAGTTGTAGGTCCTTCCTTCCATAGACGATCGTCGACATTGTCACTAAATTTTTTATTTCTTGTTACAGTCACCATTTTTCACGAACTTTATCGCACATGCTACCAGCCTTCCTGCTCCAGAGCTTCCTTCGTTTCTGCGCACATTCCCCAAGTTATGGCCATTCCCTCGAGGTGATCTCTATCACTGGATCCCTCTACTTGACCGCTTCGATGAAATCCTAGCCTGCATCGTCGAAAAATATTCCCTCAACACCGGTCCCCAGACTCAACCATTCGGAAATGGCACGCTGGAGCAATTCTACACGATTGATGGAGCCGTAAAACCTGCTGAAGGCATTGAAGCTAAGCTGAAAGCCCTGGGATATGGTCCCGACGGAGATCGTGAGCTAGTGGAATCGATTCTTGAGTTTTCGCGTCTGTTGCTTGAAAAGTGTGGCAACCGAAGCCTGTACAGCAGCAGTGAACTTCTTGGAGATCTCTTGAACACAACCTCCCTTCCCCTTCTCCAATCCACACTCCGTCTGACTTTGTGCTTGGCACAACGGTACCACTCACGCCAACGCGGCGTTCAACAACAGGCTTTGCTAGCAGCCCACTACAACATTGATCTGGAGAAATTGCAAAAGATTGCGGCGCCCTTCCCCCGTCCATTCGTTGCTACCAGTACTCCGTTCACTACACCCTCCGCCAAGGGCAAGGAGCCCGTCATTCAAACCAAGGTCAACGCGAATGAATTGACATCCCTTGTACGCGACAAAGATGGGTGGGAAGAGTGGGGCAATGTTCGTCTCCTCTATTATCCTCCTGGTCTCTCTGAGCAGACCAAGACAGCATCCGAATCCGGTCCAGGCGATAGTGGTCCGCATGCCCCCCATGCTCCCGCTACACCGACTCCTCTGCGACGGAGTGCGACTCACCCTACACCTCGCTTCAGCCGTGGGCCGAATCTAGATGATTCACCTGCTGGCTCTGCCACTCCAGGCAAGGGAGCAGAGGAGCCATCACGAAGTGGCAAAATACTGGATCTTCCATATGCCAAAATTTCATCTTCAAAGGCTGAGGATATTCTGTCAACCAACTTGCCCCTCTTGTCTCAGGAAACTAAGTATGAACTTCTTCAGAAGATTCGTATCGCTCAGGCCTTGTCTGGTTCGCCTGCAGATCGCGAGCAGATTCTCGCAATTCGGATTCTTGCTGTGACTAACTTGGCTTATGTCAACTCTGAATCGACTTTCCAACAGAAGATTTTACAATCTGACCTTGAACAGTCAAAGCGCCTGCAGCTAACCTTCCAGTTAGCCGAGCTGGTTCATCTCGGTGCGAGTGGCGATCTAGAGGTTTCGCGAACTTTGCAAACATTAGCAATTCAAGCCCTCGATGCTCTTGCAAAGCACAAAGCTCGTGCTCAAGATGTATGCGCAGCTTTGAGTGTCAATGTCAACCACGGCGTTCTCATGTTCCTAACTCGTAAGCTCGTCAATGAATTGGCTTCGGAAGATGACGAGACAGATAGTTCATACTATGACGAGTGGCGGGATGCTTTACTTGCTCTTTTGCGAACTCTTCCGAGTTCGAGCTCCCGCACACCTGATACGCTTGTCGCAGCTGGCCTCATCCCCATGTTTGTTGATATCCTTAATCTTCGCACCATTAAGGCCCGCAGATTTTATGCACGGATTATTGAGTTCCTGGATACCTTTGTGCATGCAGTTCGGGATGCTTTGACCAATTTGACGACAGCAAAAGGCTTCGATGCGATTTCTGATCTGATTGCTTACGAAACCAAGACCGCCTTTGATCACGTCTCTCGTGGGGATGGATTCCCGCATGAGTACAGAAATCCCTCGATCGATTACCAGATCCCATACTTGCAGCAACAAACCCTCCGGTGGTTGTTCCGTTTTGTCAACCACACCATGCAGCATAACGGTGGAGGGTTTGACCGTGTTCTGAGGAACTTCATTGACTCACCTCAGATTCTTACCTCCCTGCGACTCGTTTTCGAAAATGCGCGGGTCTTTGGCTCGCACGTTTGGAGTAATGGTGTCAACATTCTTAGTAGTTTCATTCACAATGAACCAACTAGTTACGCAGTAATCGCCGAGGCTGGTCTTAGCCGGAGTCTTCTTGCGGCCGTCATGGGTCGTGAGCTCAATGTGAAGGAGAAGCCACCCGCTGTGGAACCAGAGGACATCGACGAGGAAAACGAGGCATCCGAGTCTACACCTGCCGAGCCCGCCTCCGCAACAGAAAGCAAGAAGTCTGGCCATGAGTATGCCATGGCTCGGCCGTCTGGAACTCTACTCGCATCAGGTATCGTTCCTGCTGCCGATGCTCTTGGTTGCATCCCCACGGCATTTGGCGCTATCTGTTTGAATGCCTCTGGACTGGATCTTTTCCAATCCTCCGATGCTCTTGAAAGTTTCTTCGAAATTTTTGAAAACCCAGAGCATGTTAAATGCCTAAAAGATGACCCCAATCTGGTTCGCTCCTTGGGTACGACCTTTGATGAGCTGGTTCGCCACCATCCTGCTCTTAAGACCACCATAATGTCTGCAGTTATTGTTCTAACCGCTCGTGTTGGCTTACTTGCCAAAGCCAAGGCATGGCAATTGGGATTGGGTAGCAAACTTTGGACTGAAGACTCTGAGGGTGATCTACGTCTTTCAGGAGATCAGTCCTCTTTGTTCCGTGAAATCGGTGCTCCCAAAGGCGGTTCGGAGGACGTATTCCCCAGTAATTATCTCCTAAATGCTCATGACCTTCCCAATGGGGGAAGCTGGTTGAGGGTGATCTCAGCTCAATTTTCCCACCGCACCACAAAATCGATCCTAAGGATAAAGATGAACATGGCCTCACTATCTCGGACTATCTTTTCCCTACTATCCGGTTCTTGGGCGCTTTCTTTGAAAACCAGCCAAATTGCACCGCATTCATTTTGGCTGGTGGAGCAGAGTTCATTCTGGATTTTGCTACACTTCAGAGTTTGCCTTTCAATTTCCATACCAGCGACGTTAACCAGGAACTTACAGTTCTTGTCCACATGCTTGCGGAAACGAAACCACATCTTATCATTCCATCTCTTATGAAACGTGCCCAACTCGCAGTGGACAACCTTTCACCTTTCTGGGATTCGCCCTCAGAGGTCGGCTTCTTCACTGCACTGGCTAAGCCGGGTAACTCCAAAGGACCGGAGACAGAAGCGATTGGACATGGTACATTCTATGCGAAACACTTGAATGCTGTTCTCGTCATCACAGGCCTTCTCCGGGAGATCTTCGCCCTGCCTCTGTTTCAGGTCCGAGCCTCGCAGTCGTCGGCATTTTCTCAGGTGAACCTTGCAGACTTGTACAGCTCCCTGGTAACGTCACTTGGCAGCCTTCATGCCGCGTGCGTGTGGGAGTCAATCGTCAATGAGAAGAGCAACCCTGAGTTGTGGACGCAACCTACGCTGACCTCCGCTGCCAAACCAGCCTCCGAGACGCCTAGCAACACCTCTGGATCCGGTGAATCCTTGGAAGATCCGGTCTCGGCAGCTCAGCCTGGCAGCGAGAAGAGTGAAAGCACTGAGAAGAAAGTGGATGAGTCGAGCGCCGCCTTTAAGAATGTCCAGACTATTCGCTACCTTCTAAGCGCCCTTCCCCCTCCATCACTGGTTTCTTCCACAACCTGGGACTTGGGCTGCTCGGAAAGAAACGGAACGATAGAAATGACCCCAGTAATAGGTCTCTGAACATGAAACAGAATTGCGCTAAGGTGGCCGATGCTATCGTCGATTCTGTTCTACGGGCCCTTCGTCTCAAGGCTGCAAGCTCGTGCGAAAGTTCCAAGCACCGTTTGGCTTATCTAATTGTCATACTATCTTCGTTCTCTCAACTTTTGTACGAAGTCAGTGGTGAACGCCCTCAGACAAACTACCTCACTTACATCATGTGGACATTCAGGCGAAAGGGTGGCTTGACTGTTTTGAAGGACATCTGTCAAACCTTCATGCATGAGGTTAAGACTATCAAATCGGAGCAGAATGATCCTGAGGCCAACAAGGAAGTAGCCGATCAGCTGGTCTCCGCCTACGGTAGTATTAAGATAATTCTTGTGATCTTCACCGAGCTTGCTTCTGGAAAGAGCATCATTGAATCTAGCCAGACACATGCAATGTCCAGTCAACTTGAACGTAACCGAAATCAAGCTGATTACTTTACGCCAGGTCAGTTCCTGGTGGATCTTCGTATGGAAGTCCTTCCTATGGCCCGGGAAATGTGGAACTCTGAATTCGCAACTCAGTCTGAAAGCTCAATCATCAAATTTTTGGTTGATATTCTCCGGTCATCTCTGGATGGAGAATATGAGACTGGCGCTGCTCACAACTCAGACACTCCAATCGTGGCAACGGAGATGCCTTTCAGGCCGTTTGTGATCAATAAAGATAGAGAAACGGCTCTAGCTGCGAAGATTTCCGCCGAACCTGGATCTGGATTGGTCAGGGAGGCATTGTATCGTTGCAACAATGTCCTCAACGCAGCAGAAGAGTACTGTCATGCCCAGGACTGGCTACGTGCTCCGCCCCTGATTCCTCCTGAACCGACGGATATTGAGATTGCTCCTGTCAGAGAAACCCCCGAGGATCCTGCTGAAGAGGCGGTAGTAGAAGGCCGAAATTATTTGCCTCGCTCCTCTGCCCTCACTATGCTCATGAATCAGGCGGCTGAAGATGTCGAGGCTGGCAGAATTGGACCGGAACTACCAACACCTGAACATATCACACGCAATGATTTGGCTAGAGTGCTTGGTCGAGTTCTCCCAGAAATTACTGGCATTGACCATGATCTAGACGATCAATTAAACCCATTCTTTACTCCAAGCCACAGTGCTCCGCCACCTCCCTCGTCAGGGCCCATCAGTGACGCTCAGGATGAGACGGCAAGCCGCCGTGAATACGTCACTATTGAAAATCTGGAAGTGGAAAGAGAAAAAGTTCGGTTGAACCTCATTGAGCGCTGCTTGGATGTTCTGAATGAACATCATGATGTTTCTTTCGAGCTTGCAGATCTAATTTCATCTGCTATCAAGAAGCATCCCGAGCCTGAATCTTTCCGACGAGACATTGGAGAAATTTTGGTCCGGTCGCTTGTCTCTCTCCAGATGGAGAATTTCCAGACCGCGGGAAAGAAGATTGCAGCTTATGCACATATCCTCGCCCTCGTTCTTCAGGATCGCGATATGTACAATGCAACCCTTGAAGACCTCAAAGACTGCTTCTCGACCTTCCTTGGGTTTATTCGAATTACACCTGAGAAGTCCGCCGATGAGTCCTTCCCCTGGGTCGGCCATGTCTTGCTTATTATGGAGAAGTTACTGTCCGATGACTGTCAGCCTCCTGAGATTAGCTGGACCCCACCTAATCCCGAAGATCCTAGTGCCGGTGTGGAGGCACCCGCTCAGATTAAGGAGCCTCTCGTCCCTCTTGACGAAAAGATACAACTCTTCGAGGCACTCGTTGAAATTCTGCCTCGTGTTGGCAAAGATGAAACTTTGGCGCTGTCCGTATGCCGTATTCTGGTGATTCTCACTCGTCAGCGCACCATCGCTGCCCGTTTCGGTGAAAAACGAAACTTGCAGCGCCTGTTTGTTATGATCAAACAATTGCCTAGCGCCATTACCAATGGGAAACTCCAAAGTACTTTCATGCTAATACTGCGACATATCGTGGAGGACGAGGACACCATTCGGCAAATCATGCGCAGCGAGATCGTTGCCAACTTCGAAGCCAAAACTTCTCGTCAAATTGATACTACCAATTACGTGCGACAACTGTATCATCTTGTACTGAGGGCACCCGATATCTTCGTCGAAGTGACAAATGAGAAATTGCGATTGGTGCGGTATGATAGCCATCAACGCCCACAAACTCTCGCCCTCAAGGCCGACAAAAATCGCAACCAGAGACCGGGCAAGGATGATGCCACTCACAATAAGGACGATGTCGCTGTCGAGGCATCTACTTCTACGGACAATGAAAAAGATAAGAGCCAAGGCAAGGCTGCTGAAATGAAGCCACCAGTGGTGGAAAACCCAGATGGTGTTATTCACTACCTTCTTTCGGAACTTCTATCGTACAAGGATGTGGATGACAAAGAGCCCTCGGCTGAATCGTCAGAGCAGCAGCCCAGCAGCGATCAAGCCGATGTCCAGCCTGACGTGGAAATGGGCACGGATGAACCTCCTGCTTCCTCGAGCGGCACCGAAACCCCATATGGTTACGCTCCTTCTGTTGCTAAAAAGGGCGAAAAGCCGCCCTTCAAGGCCGAAGATCATTCGATTTACGTCTATCGGTGCTTCCTTCTACAGTGCTTGACTGAGCTCCTGTCATCTTACAATCGGACAAAAGTCGAGTTTATTAACTTCTCACGAAAGGCTGATCCTCTTGCTACGACACCATCAAAGCCACGTTCAGGAATTCTCAATTATCTTCTCAATGTTCTCGTTCCTATTGGGACAATGGAACATGATGAGTCCTTGTCTTTCAAGAAACGCAGCATCACGTCCACCTGGACCATGCAAGTTCTCGTTGCCTTGTGTAGCAAAACCGGCGAATTCGGTGGCGTTGGCAAACGCCGTGGTGAGCACAAGCGGAATGAAGAGGATGAGCAAGAGCTTGCCTTTGTGCGCAGATTCGTTTTGGAGCACGCTCTCAGATGTTACAAGGACGCCATTGCGTCAACCGACGCGCTCGATGTGAAGTATTCCAAGCTGATGTGTCTTGCTGATCTTTTTGATAAAATGCTCAGTGGGCAATCCTTCCATCAGGATGCAGGTTTCCCATCTTCAGTTAGACAACTCTCGAAAACCATGTTCGAGAAGCACTTCATCCCTACTCTAACTGCTTCTGTCGCCGATATTGACCTTAACTTCCCGTCATCCAAGCGCGTCATCAAGTACATTTTACGCCCCTTGAACAAACTCACTCAAACCGCTGTGCACCTCAGTGACACTTCAGATATCTCTACCCTTGGTGATGCAGACGAGGATGATGACATCTCATCGGCCACCTCGGTCTCTGATATGGATGATGATCGTGAAGAGACTCCGGATCTTTTCCGACATTCTACCTTAGGCATGCTGGAGCCTCGACACGAAGAAGAAACCAGCACAGATGAGTCCGAGGGAGAAGACGATGAAATGTATGACGATGAATATGACGAGGACATGGACTACGATGAGGACGTCGTTGAGGACGATGGCGAAGTCGTAAGCGACGAAGAGATTGATGGAGTCCCCATTGAAGGTCTTTCCGGCGATGCTGTCGAAGTTATCATCGATGAAGATGATGACGACGATGAAGAAGATGATGATGATGATGATGATGACGACGACGACGACGACGACGATCATGATCACTCTGAGGACGAAATTTTCGCCGGAGAGATCACCGGCGACCATGACAACGATAGCCTTGGTGAAGACGTGGAAGATGAGTGGGAGAGTGAAGCAATGACCGAAGATGAAGAAGAGGCCGACATGATGAGCCAGCTTGAAGATGAAATGGCTATCATGCACGAATCCCATCGTCAACAAGATGGTCATACTAACTTCAACGACCTGTTCCGTGTGCTTAATCAAGCTGCTGGTGTCGAGCATGACGGTCTCGGAGGTGGTCCTGTAGGTGGTCTCGGAGCAAATATCATCTCCGATGAACTTCTCAATGAATTGAATGAGGAAGGAGATGAGGATGAAATGGATGAGCTTGATGAGGACGTGGATGATTACGATGATTATGATATGGATCAAGGCTCAGAGGGAGACATTGATGGTAAATCCCAACTTTTTTTACGGGTTAGCTCAAATTCGTGACGATAGCTAACGGTACAATGAGTAGATGACGAAATAGAACCATGGGGTTGGTTGGACGAAGAAACTCCGGTGCCCCGCGCACACACTCGCTTTCGCGGTGCACCACCAGCTTGGGCTACAGTCACCGAGATTATGCCCGGTACTGCTGGTGGAATGATGTCAATGCAACACCCCCGTGTTCACAGAAATCAGCTGCCCAACCGCGGCAATGATGATGGAACCAATCCTCTTTTGATTCGCAACGATCGTGGCTTCACCAATGGTCGTGTTGACCCTACTGAATCTCGTCCTCGTGCACGCGACGGATGGCTTTTACCGGATGCTAATGCTCTCGCTGCGATGGATAGTCCCATGAGTTTCATGAATGCCATCATGCAGGCCATTGGCGGACATGCTACGCCAGGCTTTGGAGTCGTCACTCGCCCAGACGGCATCCATGTCCACGTTGACAGACGTGCAATTCTGCCAAACCGTCTTCAGGATATGTTCAACGGCATTTCTCGGACCCAGCTCCCTAATTCTCGTCATCGCGAGGATCCACAAAACGCCGTCAAGTTCGCTTTGTCTACCACCATTTGGCGCTGGCAGGAAGAGGCCCGTCTCCTGTATAGCAGCACATATGTGGAAAAGACACAGCGTATTGTCAACGCGCTGTTTAAGATCATGGTTCCCATTGCCATTGAAGAGGACAAGTTGCGCCAAAAGATGGTGGAAGAGGAGCGCAGACGTCTTCGACAAGAGCAAGAAGAGAAAGATCGTCAGGAACGTATCGCTAGGGAGGCAGAGGAGCGTGAACGCAAGCTTCAACAAGAAGAAGAGAACGCCCGACTCCAAGCTGAAAGAGAACAACAACAACAATCTGAGCCAGCTGCTGGAGCTCCGGAGCCCATGGAAGATATCCAACAGACGGAGAACACGACCGACGCTACCATTCAAGAGCTCAGCTCATCCAGACTGGAGGCTTCCGCCCAGCCTGTTATCGCAACCATTCGGGGACGGCAAGTTGATATCACGAACCTAGAAATTGATCCTGAATACTTAGAGGCTCTGCCCGATGCTCTCCGTGAGGAGGTCATCATGCAGCAACTTGCGGAGCAGCGCTCTCAAGCTGCGGCTGCTGGTGAGGAGACAACTGAGATCAATCAAGAATTCTTGGAAGCATTGCCTGAAGAAATCCGTGATGAACTCCTCCAGCAAGAAGCTGCCGATCGGCGCCGACGGGAACGCGACAGTGCACGCCGCCAGGCCAATGCAAACGGTGCTGCGCCTCGCGCCGAGGACATGGATGCTGCTAGTTTTTTGGCAACTCTGGATCCCTCCTTGCGCCAGGCTGTCCTTGCAGACCAGCCAGAGGATATTCTGGCTAGCTTGGGTCCCGAATACTTAACGGAAGCTCGATCTCTGGGTGGCCGACGTCTTGCTCAGTTCGGCGATCTCGTTGCCGGAATGGAGGGCAGTCGCCCTAGAATCGATATTTCTGGAGAACAAGAACCCAAGAAGTCTCAACGCCGCCAGGTTGTTCAAATGCTCGACAAGGCCGGTATTGCAACACTCCTTCGTTTGATGTTCATGCCTCTTCAGGGAACCGCACGCCACCAGTTGAATGACATTCTACACAACGTTTGTGAGAATCGCCAGAACAGAAGCGAAGTCATCAGCCTTCTTCTCTCTGTCCTGCAGGATGGTAGCATCGATTCCTCTGCGATCGACCGCAGTTTCTCTCATCTGTCGCTTCGTGCCAAGGCCTCCGGCGCTCAAAAGACTCCGCAATCAGTTAAGCGCAATCTCAACCTCACGTCTTCGAGCATCAGTAGCGATGTGACCCCAACCATGGTGGTTCAGCAATGTCTAGGAACACTCTCGTTCCTAGCCCAGTACAATCCACACGTTGCTTGGTTCTTCCTCACAGAGCACGACTCGTCGGCAACATTCAAGTTGAAGTCACTCCGCAAGGGCAAGGGTAAGGAACTTCGTGCCAACAAGTTTGCCTTGAACTCTCTCCTGTCTCTGCTAGACAGACAGTTGATCATGGAAAGCCCCAGCTGCATGGAACAGCTATCTAGTCTACTGAGCAGCATTACCCAACCACTTACTATTCTCCTTCGCCGCGATAAGGATAAGTTAGCGGAAGACAAAGGGAAGAAGCCCGAAGATGGTCCAGCTCAAGAGGATACCGCCATGGAAGATGCACCATTGCCTACTGTTGAGACTGAAGAACAAGATGCTGAGCCAACTACAGCAGTGGGTGAAGAGGAAGAGACCAAGAAGCCAGAGGGTACCGATGATCCTACTGGGGAAGAGGACAAGCGCAAGCGCAAGTCTATTGAGCCCCCTGTCGTTCCTGACCACAACTTCCGACTGGTTGTGCATATTCTTGCTGCTCGCGAATGCGGTAATAAGACTTTCCGCGACACTGTTTCCACGATTAACAACCTCTCTGCCATTCCCGGAGCTCGCGATGTGATCGGAACTGAACTCGTTAGTCAGGCCCAGAAACTGAGCGATACCATCTTGGCAGACGTGGAAGAACTTCTCCCCCATATTCATCAGTCTAAAACTGGTACGGATATGCAGGGCTTGGCTCTGGCTAAGTTCTCTCCAGCCAGCTCTGATCAAGCAAAACTCCTTCGTATTCTTACGGCACTTGATTACCTATTCGATCCGAATCGGGTCGATAAGTCAAAGGGCACTGAGCCCGAATCCGCACCCAAAGAAGATGTGCTCAAGAGACTGTACGAAAGTGCTACTTTTGGGCCCCTGTGGACCAAGTTGAGTGACTGCCTGACCGTCATTCGCCAAAAGGACAACATGCTGAACGTGGCTACTATCCTCCTTCCACTAATCGAAGCGTTGATGGTCGTTTGCAAGAACACTGCCCTCAAGGACCAACCCTTGTCTCGCAACAGCCGCGAGCTGTCATCCAACAGCCATACGACTGAATCCGGTGTGAGCATGGAGAACATATTCTTCAAGTTTACTGAAGAGCACAGAAAAATTCTCAACGAGCTCGTTCGCCAGAACCCTAGATTGATGAGCGGTACTTTCTCCTTGCTTGTGAAGAACCCCAAGGTTCTCGAGTTTGACAATAAGCGAAATTATTTCACTCGCCAGGTTCATTCTCGTGGCGCTGAGCCTCGCCATCCCCACCCTACTCTGCAGCTTTCTGTGCGCAGAGAGCAAGTCTTCCTTGATTCTTTCAAGTCTCTATACTTCAAGAGTGCGGATGAGTTGAAGTACGGCAAGCTGAACGTGCGATTCCATGGCGAAGAAGGAGTCGATGCTGGTGGCGTCACTCGAGAATGGTTCCAAGTTCTCGCCCGTGGCATGTTCAACCCCAACTACGCTCTCTTTATTCCCGTGGCTGCCGATCGAACCACGTTCCACCCCAATCGTCTCAGCGGTGTTAACAATGAGCACCTGTTGTTCTTCAAGTTCATTGGACGTATCATTGGTAAAGCCATGTACGAGACTCGTGTTCTCGACTGCCATTTCTCCCGTGCTGTCTACAAATCTATCATTGGACGCCCTGTCTCGATGAAGGATATGGAGACGCTCGACCTAGATTACTACAAGTCTCTGCTTTGGATGTTGGAGAATGACATCACCGACATCATCACTGAGACATTCTCCATTGAGACAGATGACTTTGGCGAGCACCAAATTATCGATCTTGTTCCTGATGGTCGCAACATCCCCGTCACTCAAGAGAACAAGGAAAGCTACATTCAGCGGGTGATTGAGTATCGCCTGGTCGAGTCTGTGCGTGAGCAGCTTGACCACTTCTTGAAGGGCTTCCATGAGATTATTTCTCCAGAACTCATCTCGATCTTCAACGAGCAGGAGCTCGAGCTTCTGATCTCTGGTCTACCTGAGATCGATGTTGATGAATGGAAGGCTAACACCGAATACCACAATTATTCTGCCTCCTCACCCCAGATCCAATGGTTCTGGCGTGCTGTCCGTTCATTCGACAAGGAGGAGCGGGCCAAGCTGCTACAGTTTGTTACCGGTACCAGCAAGGTCCCTCTCAACGGGTTCAAGGAGTTAGAGGGTATGAACGGTGTGAGCAAGTTCAACATCCACCGTGACTACGGCAACAAGGATCGCCTTCCTAGTTCCCACACATGTTTCAACCGTAAGTAGATTACACATTTTGTTAAATCCTTTACACAGACTAATTTACTTCTACAGAGCTTGACATTCCTGAGTACGACAGCTACGAGGATCTCCGTCACCGGCTGTACACCGCCATGACCACGGGCAGCGGTTACTTCGGGTTTGCCTAGATGGTTTTATTCTTTTTCTTTTACAAATGGCGTTTCTCCAGAATTTTGAGCGAATGGCAGGGCAAGTGAAAGTTAGTCTAATTGTTATGAAAATTGGCTCTCATTGTTTCCGGCTGAAGTGCAGGTCAGCCGGTCTCATACAAGGCCCTAGATTAGTTTTCAGTCTGATCGCTGTTCTTTCTCAAGGAAATATCCAGATTATTCTTCAGTCTGATCGCTGCTCTTTCTCAAGGAAATATTCAGATTTCGTTTTAATGTTCAATATGGTTATAAATCATGAATTTTCTGTATTTCTATGTTGGTTTTGTCATATTACCTGGGCTATACACGGGTTTTAGACTTGTTTTGTAAGGAATAGTTCAACTGCGAAAGGTGCCCAGGTCGACTGTTCAACGGCATATTGTGACACCTTACATTTTAGGCTCCCAATATCCTTATCGGATGAAAAATTGTCCGGATTCGTAACTCCAATCGCGGCCGTCATGTGACTACGAAAAAAATGCGGGGCCAATAGCGGCAGGCAGGATTCATTTTGAATTCAATTTTTAGATCGCAAATTCTTCGAGTTTCATTTGTCTTGGAAACCTCCCTATTCACGTATACACACCATGTCGGCCTCAGCTAACTCTATTAAGCTGTTGACTGGTAACAGTCACCCCGAGCTTGCTGAGCTCGTGGCTGATCGGTACGTGATATAGTCCGGCTTCGGTCTCTCCACCAGATGACATCGAAACTAACTAAGATGCAGGCTCGGGATTGAAAAGACCAAGATTATGGTCCTACAATATTCCAACCAGGAGACTAGTGTGACAATTGGTGAAAGTGTTCGAGATGAAGATGGTACGCGGACCCTTCGGACCTGATCGTGAAATCCTAATTGCTAATGTTCTCTACAGTCTTTATTCTGCAGTCCACTCGTCCGAATGACATAAACGATGGTCTCATGGAACTCTTGATCATGATCAATGCCTGCAAGACAGCTTCTGCGCGCCGAATCACCGCCGTTATCCCTAACTTCCCATATGCTCGTCAGGATAAGAAGGATAAGAGCCGAGCTCCCATCACGGCGAAGCTCATGGCTAATATGCTTCAAACCGCTGGTTGCAACCACGTTATTACCATGGACCTTCATGCCAGTCAGATCCAGGGCTTCTTCAACATCCCCGTCGACAACTTGTACGCCGAGCCTAGTTTGCTGAAGTGGATTCGGGAAAACCTAGACGTGAGCAACTGTGTCATTGTCAGCCCAGATGCTGGTGGTGCTAAGCGGTAAGCTTTGATAATACTGTTCTATCAAATCACAAGTCTAAGAATATTCCATAGAGCAACTGCCATTGCCGATCGCCTCGATCTGCAATTCGCTCTGATCCACAAGGAACGTGCTCGCCCTAACGAAGTCTCGCGTATGGTCTTGGTCGGTAACGTCCGGGACAAGGTTGCCATCATTGTCGACGACATGGCCGACACCTGTGGCACACTCGTCAAGGCCGCCGACACTGTCATGATGCACGGCGCTAAGGAAGTCAACGCCATCGTCGTACACGGAATCCTGTCCGGTAAGGCCATTGAGAACCTGAACGGCAGCACTCTTAAGCGTCTGGTCGTCACCAACACCGTTCCCCACGCCGAGAAGAAGGAACTTTGCGACAAGATTGAAACAATTGATATCAGCCCCACCCTGGCCGAGGCTTGCCGTCGCACCCACAACGGCGAGTCTGTCAGCTTCCTGTTCTCTCACACCGTCTCGTGATCGTCCATTTAACTCAAATACCCTTTCCTTTCTCCCCTACTACTTCTGCTTTTCAAAAAGATCCTTGTATGTATCTTTATGTTCGGTGCGATGCGAAAGTCCAAACGAAAGCTGGAGCAAACAAACATACGATTTCCATGACCCTTTTTTCACTTTTCTTACGGTTGGTAAGTTCGAATGCCAATGCATCTGGCTTTCTCTCTTCGACTCAGTTGGTTGAACTGATTTATTTCCTGGTATGAAATACAATATTTTCCAATCTTCCATATAGAGTACAGTCCCCGGAAATGCGTTTTTGATACGGAATATACCAGACCGTGATGAGAATCTTGGGTCGTTTATTTCGAGGCTTGCTTTCTTTTAACATCAAAGGTTTCAATATCCTTAGAGCTACATCCTTGTTGAGAAATCAAATGAAATAGAACATTGAATTGAACCTTGGAAATGAAAGCACAGAGATGCATCATGAACCCGAAAATGGCGCGTGTTCGGCAATAAGTTACATAGTGACGTTGACCGCGCTCTGTTGTATAAATTGTGCCCAATATCCCAAAGGTACGAGCAAAAGCATGTTTCAAGGTTCGAGACGAAATTCATTCGTGATCTTCGGTACATTATCTGGTCGCATGATGCGCCCCCAGCTCGCCTTCTGACTGGGAACATCTCGATCGAAACGCCGAATCTGACGCAGCTTGGTTTCCTCGATCTCACCAATATGGACAAGTATTAACACCTTTGCAGCATGGGCGGAACGACAGAAGGATAATCAACGCGGTAAAGGAATCATTTCTTCCTATTTCCGCAGATAAAAGCCTGGGCATGAACGCCACTGCTTCCTCTCACTCACTAGGATCAAGCGGTAGGTTTTCTCTATGGCGATGACAGCAGGTTCTTCCAGGGTACTCTGGGTCGCCCATTCTGGAGGGATCGGCTTCGACCATTTGCAATTCGAGGAATGCGAATTTGGATGCTTGATTTAGCTCCAGTATTGGTCATGAACCGCCTTTCTTCTTGCCTTTCACTGCGTCTTGAACCGCTCAAGATGCGCTGAGGTTCCTCTTTTCGGGCTTATAGAGCATGATGATCTTCCTACGACAACTTACGACTGATGAAGAACCTCAAGTTACATTATTGGAGCCTCGTTTGCTGTCAGTGAACCGTCAATAGCACTTCTGTCGGTCTATTTTGGCAAATGTAAATGGAGTTGCAGGGTCAATTTAAATCTTACAATTTTGATAGCGATTTCCTCGGGGACAAGGTGTGGAGACTTGAGCTCCATGAATCCCGAGGTCCCTTGTCCTTTGTCGTGAGTATGGGCATTTTCTCCATCATAGGCCTACTGCTAATGCGGCAATGATAAGTCCCTAGCAGATGGAGCGCTTCGCTCTACACGAAGTACTCACATGTTTAGCAAAGTTGAAGCCAGGGCAAAGATCTCGCCCTCAGAATGGAGAGTTGAGGAGACCGATCACACTACTCAGGGTAAAAGACTCAAACAGATGACGCTTGACAGGATCAGACAGAATTTGAGCAAGTCGGACACATCCTCATTCCTATCGAAGAGAAGTTCGATATTATCTCGTAGATCAGTTAAAAAGTTGAGAAAGAGTTTTAACACCTCAATCAACAGGGCTTTGGAGCAATGCCGACAAACGATACAGGAGAAATCACTTGTTGAACCAAAAGACAGGACTGTGAGTACTGCAAAGGGACTATTTTAGTGTTCACAAGCATTTGTTGTTGTCCCCATGGAAGTTGCATAGTAACCTTAGAAACTTACCTTGAGGGATCTATATATTTGGTCTGTTAGGTATTTATTTATACCTAGCTAGGAAATTTGGAATTGTCCCACGTCCGGTAAATGCCTTCACAAGGTCTTTGATATATCCATGGATATATCCCTGGGTATATAAAGATAAGTTTTTGATTCAAGTCCTCAGGATTTTTTATTAGTTGAAGATGACACTTCTAAGGTTGACTACCTAGGTATGAGCCTTGAAACTGATGAGCTTGGAAAATGGGGTGGGACATCCGAAGTATGTACTCACGCAAACATGAGGCCATTCACGCATTGCCATTATCTGGTCTTCATGTGCTATATGATTTAAATGTGCTAGTGAGGTATAAATATATGTACCAACTAAGCCAGGTCAAGTTGTTACACTGCGACATCAACGCAAAAAAGGTATCATTGAGTTTTGGAATTGTTGTATAAGCAGCGAGCTGGAGATGAAGTGGTCAAATTTAGCATGTGGGGCAAAGAAGGACCTAGATTTTGTTCACACGACCTTTCAAGGTTGGAAAGCAGAACAGACTATTGACCGGGATATTCGTTCAAATCCAACGCTATAATTGGAACTACGAAGAGCCTTGGAAATAACAGTTGAAATTGCATGCTCTCCATTCAAAAAAAGGGTAGTCAAAAAGGTAGGTTTAACAAAAGAGGGTAATCAACCATTCGCCTGCTATGTTGTTTTAACCTGATCCCCCTAGTACTTTTCAAGGCCCTTAATTTTGATCAGACATATTTTTCGCGTCAATGGAAATAATTTTCTTTTTTAAAAAATATCCCTTAATCATCCCAGAGACGTGAAGCTCCTCCATTAAACCCCCTTTCCCGCAGAAAGAAATCATAACACCGCGGTGGAGATTTACTTCCGCATGGAGGAAGCTCTCCGCTTGCGGAGCTCATCACGCTTGGCCTTCTCCTCGTGGACACGGTTGGCCAGGAGCTTGGCGTAGTCGTTGCTAAAAGGCAATGTTAGTACATTGTTGTGAACAGAAATACCTCCCACTGAAGGGTTGTGGAGAATCGACTTACGCGGCCTCACGGGCAGCCTCGGAGCGGCGGCGCTTGATGGCAACACGCTGGCGCTTGCGCTGCAGGCGCTGGGGAGTAACCAGACGCTGGATCTTGGGGGCCTTGGTGTACTCGGGCTTGCCCTCCTTGGTGACGGTACGGCGGATAACGAACTTGCGGACATCATCCTTCTTGTCGAGGCCGAAGAAACGGCGGATCTTGGTGGCACGCTTGGGGCCCAGGCGCTTGGGGACGACGGTGTCGGTCAGGCCGGGGAGCTCGCCCTCACCCTGCTTGACAATGGACAGAGCCAGAACGGAGAGGTCGAGACCGGTGATGGCTGAAGGAGATTGTCAATTGGTGAGGTAATTGCTGGAATGAGGAAAAGTACATACCACCACGGACGGACTTGCGCTTGCGCTCACCGGTGCGGCGGGGGCGGTAGCAGCTGTGGCCGTCGGCGAGGAGCAGACGGGTACGGGTGGGGAGGAGAACTGGATGAGATAAGTGAGTATTGATGTGCGTTGCGGTTGGATGTGACTTCTTCTGGACATGTGTGTGCCCTTGAAGATTTCGGTTACTGAAGACGTACCACCCTGCTTCATGGGGAAACCTGTAAATCGAAAATTTGTTAGCAATCGTGTTCATCAATTCCAATATACTAATGTTGTTTGTGATTTTGGGAATCATGGAGTGTCGTCGTACCTTGCTTGTCGTTACCACCGGTAATCTTGAAGAGGTAACCCTTGAACTCATCGCCGAGGGAGTCACCAGTAACCTAATCGTAAAAGAAAATCCATCAGCCCTTTGTTCTCGATAATTGCGCTGAGTGATAATGTTTTTTTTTGTGTGGTGGTGGATAATATTTTTCGTGATCGGGGTGTGTGCATCAAATCAATCGGGGAGTGCTGACTTCGGTGCCCATGCGCTTCTCCATGAAGGGACGGAGCTTGCGCTCATCTTCGATCTCGACGATCTTCTGGGACCCGTTGGCCGGGTAGGAGATGTTCAGCTTCATCTTGACGGGGGTTGCGCGGTCAAGACGGTAGCGCGGGAATTGTCGACGGTGAGGTTGGAGGGTTCGGTGTGGATTTTTCGAGTTCCCAAATGTTTGGTGTAGCGAGTGTGTGTGTGGCTGACTCAGTATTAACTAGACCTAATTTGGAAGATTGCACAGTCAGCAGTCGCTAACCCTGTCACATGATTTCAGATCACCTCTTTCATCAGGTGATCTTGCTCAAAGCGGATGGGAGTAATATTTTTTTTTTTTTTTAAGAAAATGCCCAATCCTTACTAATCTAAACTAGGCTTAGTTAGGGTAAATATTTATTGTCGGAAAATATTCCCCGGCGTCATTGAATTCTACATTATGGATACAAACAACTATTGCATTTTTTTGCTCTACTTGCCATACCTTTCTGCTGATTAGTTTGATATTAATAAGCAAGGGAAGCGGAAGAAAACTTGCCAGCGTCACATAAGGAAGTGCTCTCTTTAGCGTGGTGATTGGGATGGATTTACTACACTTTTTCTAATTGGAGTCAACAGACGAATCAACCTCTTTGAGTTTGATCTTGATAGGTAGATCTACATATCAATATTGGCTTTAATGTTGATGAAAGCAGATCACAATGGCCATACATGATCTTTTAGATCTGATCTAGCATAAAGAATGATTCCGGTTCTGACATACATCAACTGCTCCACAATATCACTTGTATGAATAGTATTGCTCTTACGATGAAGCGTATATCTACAGCAATATGTCCAAGGTAGAGGTCAAGAAGCAGAAATATGGTCGCTATATAGAGCGAGTTCCTTACGGAAGCAAGCTTATCATTTAGCCATCCTTATTGATCGAGCCCTCCGCCTTTGAATCCGATATCATTAGCACAAACCCTATGAGAATTTTCAAGTCCCACGAGTCATATGCGACTTTATCAATTTTTTCATTTTTGTCAATGCTTCTGCAGAGATTTCCCGCCAGGTTAGGGACTTCGGGAGCATCCTGAAGCAAAAGAAGTATTACTATACCTGGAAGAAGGTTAACTCAAAGAATTGGTGACGTATAATGATCATCTCACTTCGGCTCATATACTTCTAAGTGAGATGATTTTTTTAGAATGGAAAGTACCACTGCATTACCTAGATATATTGATCAGGCAGCCTATCGGCATTAGGCTAGAGCATTGATTCAAGCATTGATCGCCCGATGATCGCGAAGAAATCCTGAATCCTGTAGGTTGGATTTGCCATCTATATCTGATGTATTCCCCAGTTTCAGATAACCTGAGTGAACTTCAAGAGTTGTTCTTGGAATACAAAAGACCCATACCTTGGACCATCGTAGTCTATCTCAACTTTAGTTCTTTTCTTTTTTACGGTCCTCCACCCGTATTAGATTCAACTCTTACACGATTGAAAACCAAAGGCTTGAGCCGACAAAAAAAAGGAGCATGGCGTTATTTATAGGTATATTCTGCCGATATTTCAATATCCATTCTCTGATTCCTGGTATCCATAGCATTCAACATAAGCAGAATCTCTATCAAGAGTTTTCTCGAGAGATATAACATTGCTGTCGGTCTTGCGACTATTACCATCTCTGGGCCGACCTAAGTATCTCTTTATCAACTGGTATAAAAACTATCAATAGATTCTCTAGATTCAAACTACTCATCCAAAGAATATTCCTGTGCTAAAAATAACGATGATTGTAGTCTCAGTAGCGAAGACTAAAGTATGACTATTTTCATCGGTTCAATCGACCTCGACTTGACCTAGTATTGTGGGTTTTACTTATTCATCTCGTTCCCAATATAGTCTATCAGATAAGGGTTATTTGAGGTGGGAAGCAGCGGATCTTTAAGGGCCGATAGAGAGAGAGAGAGAGGCTTTTAAGAGGTAGTGAAAGAAGGATGAAGGATGCAAGTTGCAGGAAAAATTGTTCAACTAGATCAGATGAGACAGTATCATATAGACCCTAATAAATGGATTTGCGCCTTGTCCAGCCTTCTCACTTAGTAGATTCCTATGCTATAAGCATATCATCCATTATTTTAAGACGCCATGAGCTAAACACGATCATCCGGGATACTTGCAATAATAGTTGGACTTGGACAAATTGAATTTAACTTCGATTAGTAATATCCAGACTAGTAAGGCTTGGCATTTTCATGAAAAAAAAAGGCATTACGTACTTGGTATTACGCACACTTCAAAAAGGCGGAGAAGAGTTCATTACGTAGACATAACCCCTTATAATAGACACTTGAATCCGATGCAGTTCTACCAGTGCATACCGACTACGACTAGTAGTAATTCCTAATACCCCTATTATCACGACAGTATGTGGTACTTACAAGCTTACGCGTCCAAGAACAGACACGTGATGATTCACCAGATCTCGAGTTGGTGGCGTTGCATCCCCATGTCACACTATCTTACAGCCCCTTTAGTTGTAACTGACAGCTTATCAAAACGTTGATGATTCCACTCTCGGGCTGAAGGTCAATGAACCAGAACGCGTGGCATATAAGCCTTGCTACTGTGAAACACTCATATATTTCATGTTGCCTCTATAAAATTGAAAGGTTCATTTCTCCAAAAATAAGAGTACTCCGCTTTATTTTTTAAATCCCGTTATCGCCGGGTTCCGAAGTTCCAGTTTCCAGTTGATGTTCCCGGTTGTCCCGCGTAGTGGAAGATTTCTATCAAAGCTACAATCTTCTGGTTTCTCTTCCTCCTTTACCTAGCCTCGATTGAAACGCTCTTACGGAGTACTATGAGCTGCCAACTTTCTGCAGCCTAATAACCTTACCCCTTTTGTATTATCGGGGCCTTTACCGCCGTCGCATTACACCGCACATAATGATCCGTTTATTTAATCGACTCTACTTCCTCTGCGTCGTCGCGGCATTTACAGTTCTCTACTCGGCCTGGTTCTTGACTTCCCGGAAACTTGGTGACGTCGTGCTACTAGATATTGAAACCCCTCCGACCTTTGATCGCCGACTAGTGGTGTTTGGAGATTCATGGAGCGACAATGAAAAGGAAGAAATGCAGGGAAAATCATGGACTGATTGGCTTTGTTTGATGGTAAGTATGCGGCTACCGTCAGGTTAGGAATGTCTTGCATTTCGGGGAAATGCACCAAGTCTGCACCCGAAACAATGAATAGTAACTGATTGTTTTCAATAGTCTTCTTCCTATCAGGAAAACCTTGCACAGACACCCAACTCGATCATCAGAGGCAAGTCGGTGGGCTCTGTAGTGGACAAGGGGGAATTGGGCCTTCTGAATCGACTGTTTCAGACCACCGTACCCGATTTCAAGACCCAAGTGACGAAGTGGTTGGATACTGAGCTGCATACTCAGGAGGGCCTGACAGCAGAGGAAAAAAAGTGCGTCAGGAGCAGACCATCATTGCGGTCTCATTTGGTGTCTGGGATGTCTGGAGCCTCGTGTCAGAGGACTACGATAAAGCGACCGAATCAGTCAAGCGGCGCATTCAGAAGCTCGTTAAACAATTGGACACGATCTCCGATCGCCTAGGCTCCGCCGATCTCAAGATCATTCTGACAATGGGTATTGACGTGACTTTCCTCCCGGGATTCAAGGATGACTCTATGAACGTTGAGTATAAGAATGCCGTGAGGCTTGTAGCATTTTGGAACGAAAAACTACGAGAAGCAGCGAGCAAGTGGAAAAAGGGATACATCTACCTTTTCGACACCAATGAGTTTGTGCTGGATCGCATTCGGGACTGGCAGTTCTACGCAGCCGGCATCGAGACAAAAACTGGGCTGGGCACCAACCGGGATCCCGGCTGGGACAATGTCAGTGACGCCTGTGTCAAAAGCGAAAACTCCCTTCAAGTCATGATGTCAAAGGACAAGCAATCGACGCCGTGTTCGTATCCAGAGAAGTATCTTTTTTGGTAAGTGACTCTTGTGGGGTCGACATTATCTAATGGACCTGCTGACCCGTTCTTTTTTTTAAAAATTTCCAGGAACGAAATGCAGTTGGGACCATCGGCCCACCATCTTATGGCTAGTGCGATCTACCATGGAATTGATGGGGTCTTGATCAACCGCAAGGCACCGGCGGTGGTATCTATCGAGAATTTGGATGAGATGGAAGGCGATGGATCCGCATAGTGCCACACCCGATGGGGCCAGATAGGCTAGACATTGTCTCTATGATGAATGAAATGACCAAAAAAGACCCAGAAATAAAAGATATCTCTTACTTCCAGAGGACCCCAGAGGACCCCAGAGGATCAAGGATGGCCAAATGCGGAAATGGAGCCGACAGGGGACACGGTAGTACTTTCCCCGTGTACTTTCCCAAAGTACTACGCCTCCAACAAGGATTGAACGTGGTATCGAAGGCTAGGAGAGATCGACAAGGAAATGAGATCAGTACCGCCATCAGTTTCCATCGGCGCCATCTACCATGAGTTGTAGTTGCCATGAGTTGGCTCATGCAACCACCCGGGATATCTTTCTTTCTGGGCTACTCCATTCTGGGCCTTTCCACCCCATTCCTTTTTGGCGTTCGATAATTAATTTTTGTCGCTATTTGCGCGGAATCGAGGAATAATCCAGGGGTGTGAGAGATGGAGAGGAGGGAAAGTGTTTGCCCGTTTCCTTTGTTTTACGGGGAACCGAAGTTGATCTCCCTTCAATCCAATGACGGTCAACCACCGACGCCCGCTACCGGAAACAGTAATCCAAGACAATGATCTCGTTTGCTTCAATTTCCATTATTTCCATTCTATTTCACCATTCTATTTCCATGGTTAAGTAGATTTAATTTCAAACATAACATTATGCTACTGTCAATTTATTCCGTTCTTGGACGGTACCTACGTAGAAAGAGAAAGGTACGGAGTATAAGTCTGGATCTATTGGATCTATTGGATCTATTACATCTATTACATCTATTACATCTATTGTCAAAGAAGCAAGCCACTACAGGGGTTAGAAAAGACAACAAAGAAAGTGCAAAAATAGGTGATGGCCTTTGTCTCGAAACGTTTCCCTAGATTTTAACCATTCTCATCATTTTGATGTATAGATCTATCAGTGACCTCTTTGTTTCTATCTCCTTATTTCCCACCCATCATATCCTTCCTAATCACATCTTTGCTTTCATCCCTCGGTTCTTCAATCTTGAATCTTGGTTCTTTTGATTCTTTTTATACTTTCCTTTACAACTGCTTTCTTTGAGCGCCATCGATCTCGCCTTCCATTGAACCGTTCTTGCTCTTTTACTGGATATTTTGCCTTACATAAATGTCTTATGACCGAGTTCTCCCCAACCCTGCTGGTCTGCAGTATGACACGCAACTCAGACCTAGCAATCTGTTGGATCATAAGATCATGAACGATTTGCCGGCGAACGGTGGCTCACCATACCGTCCCGATCCCAACTATGTCGACATACACCCCAATGGTGTCCAGCAGATGCACCAACAGATGGTCTCCTTCAGCAGGCCTAAATTTGCAAAACCATTGGTGGGATCACCTCGAGATTCTCTGATGATCAAGCCTGGAAACGCCATGGTTACCGTGAATGAATTGAATCAAAATGCCCGGAAGCGATCATCTTCTTCCTCTGGAAGCCCCAGCCCTATACAGACGGCATTAAAAGAGAGCTCCGAGCAGTTCTGCCTCTGCCAACCGGAACCGAAAGTCCCTCGTCCTCGTAACGGTGAGTCGATAATACCCACGCTGTCACGGAATGAGCATGGCAAGTGGCCCTTTACTTAGTATTAATCCCTCTTTCTCTATGAGGCTTTGGGCCATGTTTTATTTGGGCTGATGAGAATAATATGCTAATACCTAAATTGGTTTCCTAGCTTTTATTCTATACCGTCAGCATTATCAGGCAATGGTCGTGGACCATAATCCAGGGCTAGCAAACCCAGAAATCTCCAAAATTATCGGAAACCAGTGGAGGAGTATTCCAGAAGAAGAGAAGAATAAATGGAAGGCACTGGCTGAGGTAGGACAACCAAGAGCAACGAGAATAATGTTCCAGACTAATCGATGTATAGGAAGAGAAAATCCGCCATAACAGACAGTATCCTGGCTATCGCTATCAGCCACGTCGATCTGGTCGAGATGGCAGCTCTCGTGTCTCAGGCTCAGGAATCAGCCAGAACATATCTGGCAAGTCCCACTGTAACCGCTGCGGTGGTCGATTCATGCATCCTCCATCTTCTCCCATGACTCCATTTACCCCAATCGGAGGGCCAGGGTTCCGTTCATCAAGTATATCAGCCGGTCCACCACAGGCCGTATCCATACGGCGGGAGAAGGATAGCAAAGAGCCACCCAAGCCAATTCGATTCGATCAGATGAATACTCGTTCTGATGGTGGCCACACACCAAATCTCAAGCGTCGTCGTCTTTCCTCCCATGCCGCCTTAAAAAATGGCCTATCAACCCACAGAGAGAGGAGTCCTGACTCCCCATATCCGATGACTCCATTCAGCGTTCGTCCTGATTTGCAGCATCAGCACTCTCGTCTCCCAATGATCTACCCACACAGGCAGTACCAGAGCGTATCACATCACACAACCCCAGAACCAAGCTGCCTGAAGCTGCCCCCTCTCCAAACATCAACCCCAATGACACCCACAACCCCATTCTCTCAAGACGGCAGTGTCGAAGCAACCGTAATGACAATCCCATTTCTGAACAAAATCAAAGTCCTCGCCAAAATCTCACCACCCCTCCTCCCTTCTTTCCGCGACTCCAACCCCCCAACCCGAGGCCCCGTCATCGCAGTAGACGGCTCAGATCCAGAACTCGTCCACTTCACAGTGGAATACCTAGAGCGCCTTCTAAGGCGCGAACCAAAGTACCAAGTCCGCGTTTTTGACGGCCCAGAGGTAAAGCCACCCTCAGAAAACGGCATGGGCGACGCAACAGTCGACTACCTCAACACAATCTCAGCCTGGCACCGAGTCTCAGACGAGGTAATCACATATGTGAAATCAGTATCAGACTCAACAACCTCCATAGACTCAATAGTAACGCCAAAATCTGACTCACGCCAAAGCCTCTCTCCACGTTCCCTCGTCCCAAAAGCAGCCGCGATGTCCCTCAACTCTCCGGCGCAGTCTAGCGACCACGGCTCAGAAGCTAGTCTCATCTCTACTGCAACCAGTAGTCACCATCACATTATGCCCATCGCCATTGTACCGCGATACCAACTCACAACGGCGGATGCCTTTGCCTGTTCAATCCCAATCCACGACTCGTACGCACCACTAGACCACTGGCAGTGGATGGCATCTCTCTGGCGTGCCTGTGTCGGTCCTGACATCACGGTCTATATTCGGGAATGTACGCGTGACGAGTTAGAGCGCGCGGGTGGTAATACAGTCGAGATACGACTGCAGGATGCAAGGACAATTATTTTCAGGAAAGTTGTAGGGTCGCCACGGGAGCCGGAGGAGAAATCACTTAAGAGGGTTGGGTTTGAGATTGAGGACTTTTTGACCCAGTAATTAAGTACCATTACTGTGAAGGCTCCTTTTCTAATGTTTCCTTTATCATATTTTTTGATACTATTTGGATTAAAGAATATAATTGTATAATGAGTGTTGAATTTCTTGCTGTTCATTCTGCCTTTGGCCTGATCATCCAGGGTAAGAATAACTAGTTGGATGTCAAGTGGAGTATATAGAATCAAAAGGGAAAATCACGATGTATCTAGGTACATAACCCCGGATATAGGTATCTTTGGAAAAAAAAAATAAAAAAAGTGTTACAATGTGGTCATCAATCAACCTTGGAACCTCCAGAGCTTGAAAACATGAGGTTATTAACTGCCTAAAAGGTACGTAGTTCAAAGGTTGGCGGAGGAGCAGGGCTTCAACTTCCCTGAGACCCGGGGTTCAAAACATCATGAAACCGTGACTTGCCTAGGTGGTGTATAAATTTGAATGGTGCGATTTGGGAACCTTGGATGTTTCCAAACCTCAATATCAAACTATAGAGCCTTGCATATAGGATTTCAAGATTTTTTTCAAATAACTTGAAATAAGAACTTCAAAGAAAAATAGACTGCAGTAAATAAATTAATAAAATTATTATATTCTCAACTTTAGGTGAAAGCTTTCAACATCCCCAGCACGAAGTAAGGCTCAGATGGCCGGAGAAATGTTAATCCGGTATATTATCGGAGCTCGGATAAATTATTGTACCGATCAGTCCAGTGGCTCAGTGGCTTAGCTCACTTCTCTCTTGTGCTCATCTGACTATGTGCCCGTCCTTCCCTTCTCCCTGGGCTGATCATTTTTTGCTGGCCGGGGGTTCGATTCAGACGAAGGTCATCCCCCCTTTTTTTTTCTTGCGAAATGACACCACAATCAAGCATTTCCACACTACTATGATTCTGCCGATGACACCGCCTTATCTATCTATACAGATCGATGGGTCTTGGCATTAGGGTTGAGAAACAGCGAAAGAGTGTAGGTGGTGATACCGATTTCCGGAATTACTATAGAATATTATCCTTAGTGCAGGTAACATCCTAAATTGGTGAGTTGAGTAAGTAAAATTGAATTAGCGTCGCCCAAGGCTGCTCTAGCATCTTATTCCTGTCTATGATATGCTTATACAGGACCACGCCATCTGACAACCACAATGGAACGTCTACCTCCTCCACGGCTCTCAGACACTGGCGACCAATCATTAAGTGTGCAGATCCTCTCAAAGTTGTTCTTTTCAAACACTTTCAAGCTACCCTGGTTCTCAACAAAAGCTGAGCTTCTCAGATCATGGATGTTCATGCGAGGCACACCCCAGTTTGAAATGAGAGTTCGCATAGCATAGGTCATGATTCCATGACCGTGATGTGAAGGTTTCAAGAAGTCTGAATCCTAGTTAGATGTTTGCTGTCTATCTGACTTCTATTTGCTTGACTTACCACCTAGACCCCAAACAATCCCTTCATTTCCTGCTAGGAACGCATTATTGCGCTGCTGTGCAGCTGCACGCTCTTCACTTCCAACCGGATGCTCATAGAACAAGTACCGACTCAGGCCGATATCACCGATCAGGGTATCCTTGAGTGGATGACCATCACAACCTTCTTCCTGGATCTCACGGATACATGTGAAGGGACAGATATCGAAGAATGGCTGGATCTCCCTACTAACACTGCTTTCAAATTCTGTTTGTAGAGCTCTAACAACAGGCTCAGTTGCTCTACACTGGCTTAAAACCCATTCTTTACCATTTTCATGGAGGTATGGATATGGTGGCCCTTCTAGCCATGGGTACACGCCTGGGTCGTTGAGAATATTTGTCAAGACCGCTGCTGTTTCTTCAACTTGGTCCGGTCGGTGTGGAGTGATGATGATTTGGTTGTGTGGGGATGGAAGCCGTAGGTACACCTCTCTTGAGCGAGGATTGAAGTGTACAGACATTGTGGAAACTGTTTTGTCCTTTACAATTAATCCGTAGATTTAAACTACCTCGGAACTATATATAGGGGCGGGAGCTTATCATTGAGTCATGGTAAGTGTAACCTCAACTTTTAGCGTCCGAATTTAGTTTTTCAGTAATTCCGCTGTGTTGGTATCAGCTTCAATAAAAAGGCCAGTTGTATTTTAATGACCAAAAACTACTGTCTCGACTTTTGCATCATGCTTATGCTCCTTCTGCCACTTCTTCGAATACTTGACTCCAAATCCGTCACTGAAGACCTCACGCACAACCTCCAGTGGCATACCCTTGCACTCAGGGAAGAAGAAGTAAACAAATATCCAGCCAATGAAGCAGATGGCAGCATAAAAGCCAAATGCCCCACTAGGCGTCCAAGCCTTCATCATGGAAAGGAAAGTGGAAGAGACGATAATGTTAGTCCCCCAGCAGGTAACAGTGTTCTGGAAAGTATTCATGATTAGCGGACACGCTCGACTCTGAACGAAGAATTAAAAAGTAAACATACCAGCATAGTTCCGACTGCTCGCACCTCAAGAGGAATCAGCTCTGTGCCGATCCACGCAATGGTCGCAACACCCGACGAGTAGAAGCCCACATAGCAGATTATAGCGACAAGAACCAGCGTACCAGGCCATCCGACTTGAGTGGTCCCTACGACCAGAGTGTTGGTATCAATAGGGATATAGTGGAATGCGACAACAGCAACGATCAGACAAAATCCCATTCCAAGCAGAGTCACTACCAAGATAATTCTGCGTCCAAACTTATCCACAAGGACAAGATTGAGAATTGAAAAGACAAAGTTAGTTCCAGAGACTGTGATTCCAACAGCGGTGGCGTTACTAAATCCGACGATGGAGAATATAGTCGCAGCGTAATACATTAACGTGTTAAAGCCTCCAAGCTGACTGACTGCCATTATTATACATGCTGTGAGTACAGCGCGACCGGTCGCAGGTGTGTTGAAGACGCGTTTAAAAGTCACCCATAATGACTCCTCGGACATAGCTGATAAGGACTCGCTAAGAGAATTCCCAATTGACCTTACTTTAGCCTTTCGTTGGTCTTGGGTAGATCCAGGATAAATTCGCAGGAGAACAGCTTCCGCTTCATCAAGTTTGCCACGAGAGACAAGCTGTCGGGGTGATTCCGGACAGAGAAATAGGAGGGCAGCGAGTGCAATGGCTGGGACAGCTCCGATGCCGACAGTTGCACGCCATCCTTCGCCCTTCACCTCGGTAAAGCCGGCACCAAGAGCGCTGGCGACAAGCTGACCGAATGTGACGCTCATATTGTTGAATGCAACCATGCGGCCACGGTATTTTGCCGGAGCCAATTCACCAACTACCAAGTATGATTAGTATAGTTCTAAGCCAACGACTTGATATGCTGGAATAACTTACTATACAGAGGACTGATCATAGCCGCACTTCCTACTCCAAGACCCACCACGAACCTTCCAGTCGCGAATTGGGCAACAGAGAATGCACATGTCTGGAGCACAGTACCAATCACAAATACCACACACGCACCCCACAATGGCCGACGACGTCCAAAGCGATCAGCAGAGAGACCGGCAAAGACCGCTCCAACAAGAGCACCACCGCTCGTCAGAGATGTGACCATCTCCTGCTCATTTGAGCTGAGAACATGACCCAAGGAGCTGCCAATTGACACAAGCACTGAAGAGATGTAGCCGGTGTCGTAGCCTGGTGGATGTTGCATTAGATTAGAGAATTCCATGCACCCCTTGCAGGCTGCAGCATGCATAACATACCGAAAAGAAGTCCGCCAAGAGAGACGACGATGGAAATCAACCATGCTGCCTTTGAAGCAGCTAAAGCCTCAATAGTGTTCAAGTCAACTTGTTCTTTCTCTGGATCAATTGTTTGGACATATTCAACTTCCTCAATATCTTCCTTATGAGAAAAATTAGATTGGCTTGATTTCTTATCGAGACTCATTGCGACGAATCAGTATCTAATATGAATTGAAAACCGCCTTGGCAGAGTAATGATTGAAACTCATTGAGGTGATTTCTGCAGCCTTTTATATGCCGCAATGATTACCCATTAGGTCGGCATCTGAGTGGGGGCCTGGATATGATAATCGGGGCAAGAGACTCAAATGAGGACACATGGAACGTAAGACGGAATAGATAGTTATGTGTGATTGGATTCTTGGGCTATTTTGCCTAGGTAACAGGATCGCATTAATCGGGCTGGGATTCTCACGAAGGATTTCCTTGTTTCCCCACGTTCCCCGCGTTCCGGAACAAGCCTCCCGAGCGCATGCTTTAGCCTATAACTTTGATTTTGTTATTATAAATGGTAATTTCCCGCCGCTGCTTGCCTTGATTACTTAGCCACTGACCTGAGAGATAATAGCCACTGGCTACAATATTTCAGTTCCCGGTTTTTTACTGACTTGACTCGGCAAAATGAACAGCCCTAGATATTCGTGTGCCCATTCATTTCGATTTAGAGTCAGATTATGACGTCGATCATAAAATGGATTACCCGTAAAATGGGAATCAGGAGATTAGATGTTTCAAAGTTTTCCCACTTTCGTCATCTCGAGGTCCTTTTATGGCTCTTGAACTTTATGTTTCGTCGGGTCAGACCATATCGATTGATGGTCATTGAACAAGAAAGGCCGAATCGTATCGAAGGCCTTGTCAGAATTATAACTTCTATGCCCAGGTGTACTACATGCAAGTATCCAAGTAAAACCTTACTATTTCATCCACGGCCCATTTCACCACATCCTCCATCCCTAACGCGCCCTGTCCTGGACAAACCTGGACGCCAACATCAGTGCGCACATTCGTCCCATCACCGACCTTGGCAACCAAATCCCCTTCAACACTCTCATCCGCAACCAACAACCATGCATGATCCTCTACATATCGCGGCCAAACAATGTCATCCACATATCCAGGAGGATCAGTCCAGACATTCTGAGGAGGCCGATCATCCTCCTGCTCTAGATCGACCGGCCCATTATCCTGGTGTTCTTTTGCCGTTTCAGCAGTGAAGTCTGAAGCATCTGGCGCAGGCCCAATAGTCACATATCCACTCCGCCCTTCCCTCCTTGTTTTGACAGAACTATAAGACGCTGGCAGGAAAAGCGAAAGATGAATCTGATCCTGCACCGGACGAAGAGGATTACTATTTGCGGAAGTGGATATTTCCGGCGGCCCATAGAGTAGAAACCCCTCCATAAATGCGATAGTATTGTGTGTAAGCCCCTCAGCGCCATTTAGTTTCTGTTTGACAGCCTCTCGTAGCTCTTGTACTAGGCTGTCCGGAACCCCGGAGTCTGATTCTTTGTTTTGATCCTCTTTGCTTGCGAGTCGGGGTGGAAGACGCCCATTCTCGCGGACATAGGATAGCGCTTGGGCTAGGAACTTTGTGTCGATTGCGGCAGCTGTATCCCAGTCTTGGACTCTCTTACCTGAGCGCGTTGTTGTGTATGGGATTCTATAGTTGTTCGTAAGTACGTATACTTTTGGGGGAGGTATGCAAATTATATGCATATGAAAAGTATGTGAATGCTGCCTACTTATCGTCTGGGTGATAGAAGTCATCTTCGTGGATTATAAATGTGTTCATTTGGTTTTGTGAGGAGAGAGGAACCCTGCAGAAAATGCGTTGCAGGAGTCTGGCCAGAGTGGTTTTCCCACTGGATGATGGACCTGACAAGCCTATGATGAGGGCTTTAGACGAACCCGGTAATTCACTCGCCATTGTGTGCTTGGATTTAGATATGATGCCGAGAGAGCAGGAGGATGAGGGGTATGGACCATAACTTGTCTTATCGGATAAGAACTTGAGATTACCTAACCACTTTGGGTTTAGATCTAATAGATCTGAACCAAAAATCTGTCTAAAAACGATAGCAGTACTACTGTACAAATGGATAGACCGGCATCTGGGTAACATCTTCAGCATCACAAAATCTAAACTTTCCAGCGGTTATTGTGAGACCGGAACAAGCTCTTGAAAGCACCTGCAATCGAACATCAAAGACAAAAGATCAAACAACCTTTCCACTCTTTGAAACGCACGACACTCCATCAAAGCATCAATTTATTGCCCTGCATGTCCTTTACTGTCCAATTGAGCGCTATGAAGATGAGGTTGACGCTCATTCAGTAGAACAGTACTTAAATCCCAAGCCCTACCCGTGGGGTGTTACAGATCAACTCAACTACCCCTTGGCCATAAATGCGAGGCCAAGGACAGCAAGAATAACGCAAATTGCTATAAACAAACATAAGGCGCGCTTTCCATATCTCCTGTACCATATTTTATACCAGGGCAGGTTCCGCTCTTCTTCGAGGCTTAGCCCTTTTTCAATATCTAAGATTTTAGTATTGTTAATTGTTAATTGCTAATTCTGTTCCTATAAGAGTGTGAGCGTGGTACTTCAAAGAACCATATAAGGAAAGAAGTTTACCAGGAAGTGGTGGGCGTGAAAAACTTGACATCTGCGCTGGGCCATGGATTGACGGCCGACTGCTCGAGGCCTCAGCAGGCTCTCGCACGCCACCGAAGTAGCCATGAGGTGGAACAGTCAAGTGAGTGTCCGACATATTGATATGTTTTGTGCGCAGTATTCCAGTAAGAGAGGAAATATGGGAGAGAGAAGGGAAAACTGGCACTAAGTTACTCTTCTATCATGGACTGTGAACCAGTACTTAGCTGGTTTAGGCTATGAGATCTATATTTTAAGTACATGCTTTTGGTTCTGTCTCGTTTTGGTCTAGTTCGTAATGTTGATACTTAATTAGGACACTGATGTAAGAGCACGTACCAAATGGGGCATCTACCAGACTTTAGATGAATATAGATATTTGAAATACCTAGGTATTAAAGGAACAAATAAACCCATGAATGGATTAAATATGGAATTGATGTCTTAATTAGACAGGTGAGTTGCACTTTTATATGGGTACCTAGTACTAGTAGGTCACTAAAGCACTGAGGTCAGAGCAGCCAAACCCCAACCCCTTGAAAGAACTTGTCCCCTGAGCTCCGATGTATCTTCATGCTAGGGCACTTGAAATGGTTTCAAGTGTTCCAACGCTGTAAATTGTCCATAAAATTAAATCAACAACCCTGGGGCCTTCAAGCCATCAATTGCAGCATTCCAAGGGTTGAAAATCAATTTTAAGAACTCGTCGACCTTGGAATCTATATAATGATCGCCGTCGAAAGTTACTTGGCAGATGTACATAGCTGTTTGTTTAGAAAAAAAGCACATCTAGTGTAGCAGCTTACAGATCCACCTAGCATACAGGTGCAGGAAACAAAAGTGCCTAGTCTTACAACGAGAGTAGTCATTGGAAGATATGAAGATAAGAATAAATCTTCAAATATAACATTAAATAACCGATAACCGAAATCATTAGAACGCCTGCTATGCATCCATCGGCACAGGGAATATCAACCCGTGAGCATGGGTCGGGATTCCCGTATTTTAAATTTGCAAGTTCGATGTTTTGTAAGCGCCAGGGTATCCATCCATCAAATAAAAGACAAGGAGAAATGAAAAAAAGTATGAAAACTGCTCCCTGACAGAGGGGCAAAGAGTAAAAGTATGATACCCTTAGGCATGAAGATGAAAGGAGATTAGGCCCGAAAGTCGTACATGCGGACATGGTAGTCGTCACTGCCGGTGATGAAGCGACTGTCACTTAGTCCGATGCAGTTGACTGCCGCAGAGTGGCCTTCATAGGTGTCTTGACAGGTAGGGATGCGGGGATCCCAGATTTTTACCATACGGTCCAACCCGCCCGTGGCAATGCGTAGAGTATCGGCTGATAGAGCCCAGATACCCTCTAGATGCCCGAAGAATGTGCGCAGGCATCGACCTGTGTTGGTTTCCCAAAGTCGAATAGTAGCATCAACACCACTGGTCATGATATACCGAGGTGGGTCCAAACGATCCTTGTCCTGATCAAAGGATGAGCCAAAGGACGAAGGTTGCACGGATAAAGATTTGTGCTCGAGGAAGGGAGAAAGAGTATGAATTGGAGCATCGCCGTTTACGGAGGATGAGCTCAAATGATCCGTCTCGCAGTCTGCCAGGTGACTTTCAATTTCAATTTCACGTGGTAAAGCAATGACTTGCTGGACAGCACCGATGTGGTTATGGAAAACTCGGATGCAAGTCTTGGTGTCGAGATCCCATAGACGAGCTGCACCATCATCACAGGCAGTCAAGACGGTACGAGAAGCAGTATCAATCTTGACTGCATTGACACCCTCGGGATGCGTCAGTGCAAACTTGGACTTGTCCTTGAAGTTCCAGATTTTTACTGTTCTGTCCACAGAGGCAGATGCAAGGAGGGTTGAGTCAAAGTGAAGGGCGATCACCGCTTCACTGTGGCCATTGTACTTGGAGATACATTCTCCAGTACGCCAGTTCCATACTCTGATGCTTCGATCTAGACTGCCTGTGATCAATTTGGTGTCATCAAACTGGAGGCAGCGTACACCCGCGGTGTGTCCACGGAGCGTACGTAGCTCATCGCCAGTTTCCAAGTCCCAGATCTTGACTGTGGCGTCGTAAGAACCCGTCATCAAAATGTTATCTTCAAACTGAAGACACATCACACTGTCAGTGTGGCCTCTGAAAAGTTTGACCGAACAACGACGATGCTTCCAGTTCAACCCGACAATGAACCGGTCGCGATAAACCTCCTTCCAGGGGCGGTAGCGAGTTTTGAAATAGTCTTCCTCGTCTGGCTCTGAGCGGTAAGCTGCTGCAAGACAGTGGCGCTTGATCATAGCGCTACTCTGGTCATCATCCTCAGGCTCAACCTTGCGTTTATTACCGACAATGGGATTCATATCAGAGCAAGTTTCATTGGGAGCGCCCTCCGGAACTCCTGCAGCCAAATCACTGCTCCAATTGGTTGCTCGAAGTTCGATTTCGCGTTTCGCTTCACGCAAACGCTTGCGATCGAGAAGAGGAAGACCCCATCCACACTTATTACACTTGCGGCGAATGTGTTGTTCACACATTCGGTGCCAAACCACATCATCGTCGGCAAGCGCTCTCCAGCGATGGGAGACCTGCGCGACGCGACAGAGGGAAGCAGTATCGAGGTGTTGGAGAATTTTGAAGGAAAGCTCCGGGGGCAGAGCGCTGAGGAAATCGATTCGGATCAATTCACGGACGCTGGCAGAGAGGAAGGAAAGTTGAGGGAAACAGCACTGTGCGAGGATTCCCTGTAGCATCAAAGTGCGTTGTTTGGCGGGGGCGGCAGAGAACATTGACCAAACATGAGAAATACCCTTCTGGTCACTCTCTGGGAGACCATTCAAGTCCTTAATGAATTATGAGTAAGGTTCATCAAGCTTATGCGAGAAGACACGACTTACCTGTTGTAAATTGCGCATTGATTGCTCATCCGGCCTGCACTTGGAATCCGGTTGGTGGCGATAGCAGTATTCCGAGTTGACTATACGTGGCACTGTGGGTTCACCATCTTTAGATCGGAGAGGCGCATATTGTCGAGGTTGATGTTCTGCAAGGAAAGGAGCTACATTCCTTTTGGCAAGCTCATCTAGAGACTCAGTGGCAGCATCGTTGGTCACGTGTGGCCATGCGCAGTTAACCTCGGCATTGAATTTATCACCCCGCGCTTTTGTTCGAGAGTCAGGGATTGTTGAGGTCATGGGACTTGTATTTTGTTCCATCTTCAGAGGGATGTTATGTAATGTGGAAAGGGTGACTCGATCGTCTGGCGGCTAGATCTGAGGGCAAAGGTTCAGGTCTGGATCAAGTCAAGGTTGTCACCAAGACGATAGACAAATAAAAATTGGAAGTTTGAAAATAAGAAAAGGGAAAAGAATGACGGAAGGCCTTCGAAGGAATTCACCAAATTTAAAAGGATGTAGAAAGTAAGGGATCCTCCGGAAAGGGAAACCAGTGGGTAGTAATACCCTGACTGATATGGCGATAACGTTATGCAAGATCGTTGGTGCAAATATAGGATAAGATGTCAAAAGAAGATACTTTCGTCTTATTAAGTAGATTGCGCAATGATCAATAAACACAGTCTTGTCGTAATCAAAGGGATAAAGTGTCAAAAATTGCCATCAATCACGCAAGTGGGATAATATTAATATTTGGCAGGCGGTGGGGCCTTGTACAATTGCACAATTTAGATGAAAGAAGCCGTTAGTCCTAGTTGGGTTATATAAGCCCCACGTGATGGCGACATCTCCGCCTTCCATCACGACTTTTGTTTAGACACATCCATCTACAACTCCTGATCCTTTCAGACCGCCATTTTTGAACGCACACATCTCATTCAATTTCCAGTATTCAGAAGATCCTAGTCAATCAACACCCTTGAAGTTTGCTGGCTTGTAATCACAATACAACTCGTATTTGGGAGGTCTTGTTCTGGAACACACACTGAAGCGGAATTGCATCTGGATTCGTCAGACCCACCTTGTCTTTCTATCTGGAATATTGGAAGGTTTTTTTTTTCATTTTACCCGTATCGATCCCTGATTTACTTGAAAACTTAGCCCCCAGATCCCCCCGCTTGGATCGACTTTGCATAACACGCCAACGCTTGACAGTTAAACTGTCTAGTATTGATCCACTGGTGACTTGATTGTGCTCCGCTTTCAAACGTACTGTGTAGCACAACATGAAATGTTGAGAAAGTGACGGTGACGTGATTGTATCAAATACTTCGATTATCACTAAACGCCTAACCACTCATCCCACTCATCCCACTCATCCGTATCAATATACGCCATACGGTGTCATTCTAAAATACGCCATCCAACGTATTAAAAATGACTTCTCTCCAATCCTCTTCTGCCTCCTTCACCGCCCGGGCTTATGGACACTCCGAGCCAAAAGGCTTGCCACTGGAGGACATGATTTCCTACCTTTTGGCAGCTAAGCGGTCTCTTTCATCTATTACCCATGTTCGACGTGCTGAGGAGATTGTTACAGCTGCACGCTCTGCCCTGGAAGAAAGTGTGGTGGTCTCATCCAGAACCAGTTTCATTCGACGAGGTCTCAACAACCAGCTACGGTTGCTGTATAATGTTCGATCTGAGGTAGAGGCAATTTCATCTCGTGGTCGGGAAGAATTCTCAGAGGCCCTACAAAATCTAGATGATGCTGATGCCCGACTTCGGGGTACTTTAGATCTCCTTCGCGAGACTATCGTGCATGCATCGTTTCGTCCAAATGACGAAACCGAGAAGAGTTTGCACGATTTTGTCGACGAGAGGGGAGTTGAGGAGCTGCACATCTCCCTGAAAAGCTCCATCGATCGCACAAATACCGCCCGGGGTGATCTCGAGACGTCTAACCGCGAATTTGATGATGAGCTTCATTCCACTCGAAATGCACTCCATGAATATCGCTCCGCAACTAAATTGGCATCGTCTCGCTTGTCAGTTTCTGGCTCCTCTTCGTCGGCATCCGAGCTAGATCTTGGACTTTACTCACTTCCAGGCATGCTTCGGTCCCTGGAAGCCATCGCGCAGGACATGGCACATCTCTTATCATCCCTTGTTGCTCACTTCGACCTTTGTGTTAAGGCCGTGAAGCATACTGAAGGAGGAGGAGCAGCAGCTCAATCAATCACGGGTGATCTTGAACACGAAATCAACGCCAACTTGAACGCGCCCCTCGCCGCCATGACAGAGGAAGAGTATCAAGAGATGCTGGTTGTGCTTGTGAAGGATGCAGCTGAGGCAGAGGATGTGGTATTGGAAATTCAAGATCGCATTAGCGAAATGGAACCTATTTATGAGCAGGTTATCGTTCAACGCGACTCACTCTTGGTCGTTTCAAAAGCCACTCTTGATGTTCACAGTCACCTCTTTTCCCTTGCTTCCACACGACTCCCACGTTACATTTCTCAGGCCCACAACTTCGCTAAAGTGTGGAGCGAGGAGAACGAGCGCTTTGCGTCCGGTCTCAACGAACTTTCTGACCTGCAGTCCCTTTACGAGGGATTCCTCAATGCTTACGATAGTCTCATTCTCGAAGTGGCTCGCCGAAATCACGTTCGCCAACGTGTGGAGAAAGTTCTCCGCGACACAAAGCACAAGCTTAACTTGCTGTACGAAGAGGACGTTACTGCCCGTGAAGCTTTCCGTGCCGACCAAGGTGACTTTCTTCCGTCCGATATCTGGCCTGGCATCGGTCTAGCACCCATGCAGGTGCAGTTTCTCCGTCTCGCTGGAGGTCATCTCCAAGGAGCTCTCACCGAGGAACAAGAGGCTGGACAACAAGCAGAACCCGGTGTTTCTGCAACTGCCCACGGCACTGGGGCCGACGATGGTGGTGAGGGAGAGGCTATTCCACAATTAACAAAAGATTTCATCGAGCAGGCATATGGACGTTTGAAAGCGAGAGACAGGAACTTTGTCTGAACCGTTTAAAATGTCTTGATTGGGGCTTCCCATCTCTATGAGATAAATCCTATCTTAAGATATTGATGTTACAATGCAGCGATTAAGCTTTATCGCGCCATGATATCCACTTACTTCATTTTGTCACCTAACTTTCTAACTAATCAGTTTTTATCAACACTTTCTTCTTCCATTGCAGAACGAACCCAATAAGTGACAGATGCTGAGAAAACGGAAGGTTTGCTAATATCTTTCGACTGCCTCATGATGAAACTCCAATTGGTATGATTGTCCGACCTGATATCTACCATATGCTATCCTGCGAGGGAACTGTTTCCTGTTGCATACTCTGACTTCGGTTGTACGATGTAAGCACGGTCAATAGCCAACTTTCGTATGAATTCTATGGGTGACGATGGCGGCCACATATGATTTTCAAAGAGAGCTCTGAAGGCCCAACCCCATGAACAAGTATGAAGCATTTCCCCTTAAGCTTTTGCAGATCCCAATTTCCTTTTTCATTCCCCTGGAATAAATGCGATCCTCGATGCAAGAACCAGCCTGGCAGGCTGGTTCGAAGTTACGGTGGCTACACGTCCCAGACTGTATCCCTCTTTCCTCCATTCGTTTTCTCCTTTTTCCCTTTCATCTCGGGTATTGATTTCGATGTGCGGTTCTCCATTTCTACATTCATAGTAGTCGATATAATTCCCGGAACAAAAGTGGTTCATTGCGTTATGCTTCATTACGAAGAATCCTAGTTGTTGATCGAGTCTTCGATTTTTTTATATTTTTTTTTGCTAAGATTGTTGCCACTGGTATCTTTTTCGCTGGCTTATTGAGTATCTAGATTTAAAAACCCTAGAATGAATGGTACCAAACATACCTCCCAGGTATTTCGTCTTCCAATGAAATGATTATTGATTTGAATAGAATATCAAATTGCGTTATCTTGCACGAATATCAAGTATTTTTGTAGCCTCTATCATATCGAGTCTATCTATCTCCATAGGTATCAAATGTCCGAGTGCTCCAATCCCTTATATGCATTTTATCATCAAGTCATGACAAGAAACATTCGTCAACGAAGAAAATTGAGGAGAAATTCCGTCTATTTCTTCTTCTTTGACGAAGTAGAGACAAGACGTTTCTTAAGATGCTTAGGCATCTTTGTAGCACGCTGCTCTCGCTTCTCTTCTTTGACCTTCAGCTTATGCTCACGCTTTGAGTCCTTGTCCTCGAAGCGTTTACCACGGGGCGCCTTCTTCGCAAAGGGGTCATACTCTTCGTCACTGTCACCGGACTCGGAGCCTGAAGCCACGTCTTCGCCGCTAGCATTGATTTCGGCATCAACGTCCTTGACAGTAGGCTTGGCCTTTCCACCGGCAAGCAAATCTCCATAGACGAGGTCGCCGCCTGCTCCGTCACGGATCTTCTCGGCATCACGCTCAACATCGTATACTTGGTCCAGGGTCTGGGGAATATACTGCTGACGGAAAACAGCAGTATCGACTTCTTCCTCCTCCTGATCCTCGACAGTACCCGAGTCACGAGCAGTGAAAAGTTTCTCAATGGCCTCAAACATCGCGCCACCAACCTCCGCCTCTACCGGTCCTTCAGGAGACAAGATGAACTGGAAGATGGTTCGCTCGCCTAGTACGTGCACGCCCTTGCGACGGAAGAAATCGCTGCAATTCTTGATATCCATGCGCAGGAATTCCAGACTGCGTGGGTGGTCATGCTCAACACTTTGACTGACATCAATGATGTACAGCCGCTCTTTGTGATAAAGAATATTGTACTCACTAAGATCGGCATGCACTAGTCTGCAGGTCTGGTACATCACTCGCATGTAGCCCAATAACTCCATATACAGGTGATGCCAGCGTGTCTCGGGCTCGGGGATATCAAATTCAACATCCTTTAAGCGAGGGGCAGGAACACCCTTTGAACTTCCGATAAAACCCATCATGAGAACATGCAGACGAAGGTAATAAGGCTCGGGGGATGGAATACCCGAGGCGTGAATCCTCCGCAAGTTCCGCATCTCTTTCTCAGCCCAGAGTTTGACCATTGCTCGGTTGTTGCTCTTGCTGTAGCCTTGACGGAAACGGAACTCACCTGTCACGTACTTATCACGATCTTTGAATACCAGAATGCTGGTCTTGTAGACCTTGATGGCACGGTGTTGGGCGACAGCCTCATCATCGTCGGAAAACAAGATGGCATCGTAGACATTGGCCTCCTTTCCGGTCGACAGACAACCGTGGATCTCTGAAACAAGTCCACGGTTGATCATCTGCAAAAGAAGCATTCGAGTGCGAGGATCCAGCACCTGCTCTGATGTTGCACGGTCTGCTCTGTCTCCTCCACGCTCGTTCTTGGTCGATAAACCAGATTGTTGAACATCGAGCTTGATCTTTGCCGCATGACGAGTCAGAGATTTAACCTGGTCATCGACTGAAGCGTATGTATTGACTGTAGGCTTTTGTGTGTTGGTTTTCGGGTAGGTCCATCTTGGCGTATTAGAGTCGGCGGCAAGAGTGTTCAGTTTTTTTTGGCGGTTGTAGGCCTTGGTCAGGTCACCAGAGTTTGATGATTGGAATTCTTCCTGGTGAAGAAGGTCTCCTTCCTCGTCTTCAGACTCGAAAATATCGTCGTATTCTTCATCGTCTTCTTGGTCTTGCCCCGCCACAGCAGGGTCAGCACCCTCGGGATTAACATAACCCTGATTGGGAATGTAGGTGTGAGTCGGTGCAAGACCATCGGCCGGGCCAGGAACCTGAGCAGGTACACTCATCTTTACGATTCAAAATTTCGAGATCAAAATTTGAAATATGCCACCCGCGATCACTTTTTTTTTCTTGTGGACGATAACCTGACCGCCCGGCAGAACCCCGCTGTAAAATGCCTTATGTAAGTACAGGCCAGCCCGACGCGCGGATTTCGTACTCGCGTATCTGTTGACAATCACGAACAACTAACCGAACTTTCGCTGTCATTCTCAGAAGAAGATCGCAGTCTCCGCTAATAGGGCGTCTCTGATCCTTCACAATTTTTCCATCTTTGCCTGCGCGCGTAATGCGAGGTTGCCAGTAACTTTCGCGTCACGCGTCTTTCCAAGATGTATGTCAAGCAGATTATCATCCAAGGCTTCAAGAGGTAAATAAATCAACCGCGCCAAATATTGAGATCCAGCTCACTAACTGAATTGCGATGACAGCTACAAGGACCAAACGGTCATTGAGCCCTTCTCACCAAAACACAATGTCATCGTTGGGCGTAATGGTTCCGGCAAGAGTAACTTCTTTGCGGCTATTCGTTTCGTTTTGAGCGATGCCTACACTCACCTCGGCAGAGAAGAGCGCCAGGCTCTCCTTCATGTATGTTGCGCTATTTGATATCTACGTTTTCACCGGCTAACATCATGTAGGAAGGATCTGGTTCGGCCGTAATGTCGGCCTATGTGGAGATCATCTTCGACAACTCCGATGACAGATTCCCTACCGGAAAGTCTGAGCTAGTCCTCCGTCGCACCATTGGTCTCAAGAAGGACGAGTACACACTAGACCGCAAGAATGCCACCAAGAACGATGTGATGAACCTCCTCGAGTCCGCCGGTTTTTCTCGCTCAAATCCCTACTATATCGTTCCCCAGGGCCGCGTTACCGCGCTGACCAACATGAAAGACTCTGAAAGGTTGGTCTTACTGAAGGAAGTAGCAGGTACACAGGTTTATGAAGCTCGTCGCGCAGAGTCTCTCAAAATTATGCATGAGACTAACAGTAGACGTGCCAAGATTGATGAGCTCTTAGATTACATCAACGAGCGCCTTGCCGAGTTAGAGGAAGAAAAAGACGAACTCAGAAACTACCAAGACAAAGACAAGGACCGCCGATGTCTCGAATACACTATTTATTCTCGCGAACAGCAAGAAATTGGGAGCGTGCTTGAAAGCCTGGAGGAGCAACGTCAAAACGGCGTCGAGGATGCGGATGGTAATCGCGATCAGTTCAACGATGGTGAAAAGACAATGGCCCAGATCGATGCTGAAATTGCGGAGTGCCGTCAGCAGATAGAGTTTTTGAAGGTCGACAAGACTCAGCTAGAGGACGAGCGTCGTGAGGCTTCAAAGGCTTTGGCGCAGATTGAACTTCAGGCAAAGTCAATGTCAGACAACCAGGCCGCTGCACAGATACTCAAGTCCCGCCATGACAATGACCTCAGCACTGTGCAGGAAGCCATTCGTGAGCGCGAGGCGGAACTCCAGGAGATTCTGCCTGCTTTCAATGCTTCCAAAGACCAGGAGGATGGCGTCAAGACTCAGCTGGCCGAGGGAGAGACTGTGCGCCAGCGTTTGTATGCTAAGCAGGGCCGCAACTCGCGGTTCAAGAACAAATCTGAGCGAGACAAGTGGCTCCAAATGGAGGTTCGTGAGAGTACCCGGTCGGTTTCCACCGTTCAGAATGTTGTGTCACAGACACAAGAGGACATTGAAGAGCTGGAAAAAGAGATTGGCTCGATTGAACCCGAAATAGAGCGACTGCGTCAGCAGATTGATGGAAGGGGCGATACCATGCAGTCCTTTGACGAACAGGTCCAGAATGCCAAAGAAGAGAGAGATCGCCTAATGGACCAACGAAAGGAACTTTGGAGAGAAGAAGCGAAGCTTGATTCCATTCTCTCAAGCTCATCTCAGGAGATGGAACGCGCGGAGCGCACCCTGTCTCATACTATGGACAATAATACCAGCCGTGGACTCGCAGCCGTGCGAAGAATTCAGCGCCAACTCAACCTCGAGGGTGTGTATGGTACCCTAGCTGAGCTTTTTGATGTCAGCGACAGATATCGTACGGCTGTTGAGGTGACAGCTGGACAGAGCCTGTTCCACTATGTTGTGGATAACGATGAGACCGCGACCACGGTCTTGGAATTGCTGCAGAAGGAGAAGGCTGGTCGTGTCACATTCATGCCTTTGAATCGTCTTCGATCAAAGCCCCTGAACATGCCTCGCGCTAGCGATGTGATCCCTATGATCGACAAATTGCAATATGACCCAGCGTATGAGCGCGCCTTCCAGCATGTCTTTGGAAAGACCATCATCTGCCCCAACCTGCAAGTTGCGTCCCAGTACGCCCGCAGCCACGGTGTTACTGCTATCACTCCCGAGGGCGATCGTTCTGACAAGCGCGGCGCTCTCACCGGTGGTTTCCACGATTCGCGTCAGTCAAGACTGGATGCTGTGAAGAACGTTACAAAATGGAGAGACGAATACGAAACCAAGAAGGTCCGTGGAACCGAGATTAGAAAGGAACTGGAGAAACTAGACCAATTGATCACCAAGGCTGTCGGCGAGCTCCAAAAACTTGAGCAACAACGACATCAGGTGCAGAACAGCAATGGTCCTTTGCGACAGGAACTAAAGAGCAAGCGCGAGCTCCTCCAGAACAAGACTGACACTCTCGAGGCAAAACGCCGCGCTCTTCGCAATGTTGAGTCCAACCTAGCGGCGCTGAATGATCAAATTAGCGCCTTCCAAACCGAGTTGGCGTCTCCTTTCCAAAAGGCCCTCACAAGCGATGAAGAAGCGCTCTTGGAGAGCTTGAGTGGAACTGTGCAGGACCTGCGTCGCCAGTACCAAGAGCTCTCGTCCAAACGAAGCGAGTTGGAGGCGCGCAAGTCAATTCTTGAGGTGGAGCTACGCGAGAACCTTCACCCTCGCCTCGAGCAGCTGCTAAACAACGATCTTGATATGGCCGAGGAGGAAGTTCAGGGAAGTTTGAAAGAGACCAAGCGCGAACAACAACGACTCAACAAAGCGCTGGAGAAGCTCAATTCCCGTCTTAATGAAGTCAACACTTCGATTGAGGAGATGAGTGCCCAAGTTAATGATCTCCAGCAGCGCAACGCTGAGACTCGCCGTGAGATGGAGGACCTAGCTCGATCCATCGAGAAGCACCAGCGGCGCATGGAGAAGAGCATGCAGAAGAAGGCAGCTCTCACCAAACAGGCTGCCGAGTGTGCGGCCAACATTCGTGATCTGGGTGTCCTTCCTGACGAAGCATTCACCAAGTACAAGAACACCGATTCTAACGCCGTGGTCAAGCGACTGCACAAGGCCAATGAGGCATTGAAGAAGTACTCTCACGTCAACAAGAAGGCTTTTGAGCAGTACAACAACTTTACAAAGCAGCGCGAAACCCTGACTTCTCGTCGAGAAGAGCTCGAAGCGTCTCAGAAATCCATCGATGACCTGATCTCTGTTCTGGACCAGCGCAAGGACGAGGCAATTGAGCGAACGTTCAAGCAGGTTTCCAAGGAGTTTCACAATGTATTTGAGAAGCTGGTCCCGGCTGGTCGTGGTCGTCTGATCATTCAACGGAAGACTGACCGCGCCGTGCGACCTGAGGACGATGGCGAATCTGATGATGAGGATGCCCGAAAGAGCGTAGAGAACTACGTGGGTGTGGGTATTAGTGTCAGCTTCAATAGCAAGCACGATGACCAACAACGTATCCAGCAGCTGAGTGGCGGACAGAAGAGTAAGATTTCACCCGCTTTAACTACTCCAGTGTATGTACTAACATGGCCCTAGGTCTTTGTGCCCTTGCTCTGGTCTTCGCCATCCAGGCATGTGACCCTGCCCCCTTCTATCTCTTTGACGAGATCGATGCCAATCTTGATGCTCAATACCGTACGGCTGTTGCGCAAATGTTGCAGTCGATCTCGGACTCGACCAACGGCCAGTTCATCTGCACAACCTTCCGACCGGAGATGTTGCATGTGGCCGAGAAGTGTTATGGTGTCAGTTTCCGACAGAAGGCCAGTACAATCGATGTTGTATCGCGTGAGGAGGCATTGAAGTTTGTGGAAGAGCAGAAGTCTTGATGATCTGTATATTTGCTTTTACTTCTCTCTTTCGATGGGTTCGTTTGCTTGCGATGGACTGGCGTACTGTGATACCGGGATAGTCGCTTCTTACACATATTTTATTTTCATTATCCGCCCAATTATTTCCTCTTGGATTCTTGGGTTCTTGTTATGTCATCTACTGTCCATGCAGTGTCGCTCGACGCCTAGATTCCCTTCTCCCCTGACCATTCCATCAAAATATCATCTGGTACATCCCGAACGAGGATATGAACGTGTTCCAAAGCTCGTACGCTCTGCAAACCAACCCAGTTTTTAAACCAAAGAACATGCGCCGCTGGATCAGCAAATCTTCGCTGTTGATCATCAGCCAACCTGCTAACGAAAGTCTTCTGTACAAAGCTATCGATCAAAGCCCGCGACTCATCAGTTAAATGGCCCTCACCCGATTTGACAGGGATAGGAGTCCGTAGCCACACGACCAGATGATGAATACCCGGAGTAAATCCATATGGCCAGTCATTGCGGAGAATCTTATAGTCCTCGGGGTCGGCAAATGGACGCGGGTTCTTAAATGTGGTCCCCGCACCGATAGCCGTGGGTGCAGCTGTGGCTGTTGTGGACGGCAAATGCCATTGAAGACGTTGCTGGCAGATGTAGTTCATGATTGAGCCATATTGAGCCTTGGTTTCGGTACTCCATGCTAGATATCGGCGTAAATCAGAGGGTCTTCGCTTCAATGCCCCCAGGTCATTTCGGGCTATGGATATGTGTCAGTACTCTTCCAGCTTAGCCATGTAGATATAGCCCTACATATAATGTCCTGTAGATCATCCCAGTCATGAGCAACGAATTCGTCGTCGGTCATAGACAGAAGCTGAAGATCCAGCGGAGTAAGTTTGAAAGCTGGTTGTGACATTGTGTTTACTATTGACGTGGGGGAGGGACATTCAAACCCGAAAAGGAACTGATTTCCGTTGGGCGGAACTTCATAACCACCAGACACTTTTATTTCTTCCTCCTCCTTCTCCTCTTCCGCACACTTCGCACCTCCATTTCTCAACAACATGAGGTTAGTTTCATATATTTACTCATTCCTGTCTGACGGCTAATTGTTTCCCACAGTGCCTCCACCATCGGCTTAGCTGTTGTGCCTTCAGCATTGCTTGTTGCTGGCGTTTATGCCACACAGCCCGAGTTCATCACCTACGCTGTTGCAGCTGCTGGTGTTTGGGCAAGCGCCATAGTCTTCAGCAGTGGAAGCAGCAGTAAATTTCCCCCGTCCAACTTCACGATCGCGATTGCACAGAAAATCAGCTAACTTCAATTGCCGCAGAGCCTCGCAAGGTGCTTAAGCCCGCCGAGTTCCAAGACTTCACTTTGAAGGAGATCAACAACATTTCGCACAACGTCGCCATCTACCGTTTCGCTCTTCCCCGTCCCACTGACATCCTTGGCCTCCCCATTGGCCAACACATCTCTCTCGCAGCCACTATCGCCGGTCAGCCCAAGGAAGTTGTTCGCTCTTACACCCCCATCTCCTCGGACAATGAAATTGGCTACTTCGATCTCCTCGTCAAGGCCTACCCCCAAGGTAACATCTCCAAGTACCTCACTGAGCTGAAGGTCGGCGACACCATGAAGGTCCGAGGTCCTAAGGGAGCTATGGTCTACACTCCCAACATGTGCCGCCACATCGGTATGATCGCTGGTGGTACCGGTATTACTCCCATGTTGCAAGTTATCGAGGCTATTATTCGCGGCCGTCCCCGCAACGGTGGCAATGATAAGACCAAGGTTGACCTGATCTTCGCCAACGTTAACCCCGAGGACATCCTACTCAAGGAGAAGCTCGAGAAGCTGGCTAAGGAGGATGAAGACTTCAATGTCTACTACGTCCTGAACAACCCGCCTGCGGGCTGGACTGGTGGTGTCGGCTTCGTTACTCCTGACATGATGAAGGTATATTTTCAACATTTAAAAAACCTACTTGCAACTCTTGTTTCTAACTTTACAAATAGGAACGTCTCCCTGCCCCTGCCAGCGATGTCAAGGTCCTGCTCTGCGGTCCCCCACCTATGGTCAGTGCCATGAAGAAGGCTACCGAGGCCCTTGGTTACACTAAGGCTCGTCCTGTCAGCAAGCTGGAGGACCAGGTCTTCTGCTTCTAAATGCGAAAGTGTGTCTAATATATTGGAATTGGAATCCATTGATGAGGCAAGTTCTAGGGGATTAGAAAAACTCATAAACTCTGCGGATTGCTGGCGTCCAGCGGGTTTTCTTATGTGTTAATTATTGCTTGGTTTATTACCTTGATGCTTATTCATCTTCATGGGTAAAATTCTTTGCTCCATCTTCCTACCCCAAGGTCCAGCATACTGCCGTGCTAGATAGAGATAGAATATCTAAGTATTTGGAATTTACCAGTTAAGGGGAAACCTTGTGTCCGATTGCTCTATACTTATCTATCAGCTTCATTATGCAATCCAAGATGAAAATTTGGGCGCTGTTGATTGACCTCCGGTCATTTGAAATAAAGAAAAGCTCTATCATAGATCTACCTAATTGAATTGATAGTGAGCAGAAGAGTAACCTGTGCAATTTCGGGATCAAGTGGAAGATCGTCACCTTCATTAATCAGATCGGGGTGAGTAGCACTGCGAGAGCTCCGTGTTGATCTCAATTTTAACGCTCTAGTCGAACAACAGATCTGTGGACAATGTTCGTACGTTGCTTTCACTATAATGGGCATCAAGTACTTATGTTCGACAGTCACCAGCCAACTAAACACAAGTCCTTTGGCATCAACAATTGCAACGGGCCAGACTGGGTCTGGCGCTTATCAACGCCCATAGCCGAGTCATTTGTAATGACTGGGTCCCTTCACCTTCGAGAGGGCGTTCTTGGCCCTTTGTAGAGTCGTTCTTCCTAGCAAGAGCTTCTTTCGCATTCTTTTCGATAGGCGCCTCCTGCTCACCTAGCAACGGGAGTGGGCTCGGTCATCTCTTCACGACACGAGTCAATCACTGTGTTTTAGAAAGAGTCAGAACATTTTTTGACAAAAATTTTCCAAGTGAAATACCAGGTGGTGTTCAGCGTAGTGGTCAGAAGAGTCCGCGTAATATAAGCTCGCCAAGTTGCAATGATCATAAAATAGAGATCTGCAGCGTGGTTTAAAAGAAGACGGACGACCCTGTCAGGTAGCAGTAAACTGTAATGCCAAGGTACGCTTATGATACCTGTCGGAAGAAGGAGATATATAAACAATCTATGAGCTTCTCTTCCAAGTTTGAAAGTCTGTAGTTTTCTTACGGAGAGTAGAGTAGGCGTCTTGGTCTATTAAACGTCCATGCCTCATGATAGGAGACCGGAGTGTTTCATTCCTCCCAGGATCAAACTGAGCCGCATGCTCAGCTCATCGGGTGGGATTAAGAGCCGATTTCAATGGGTGTTCATTAAGGTCTTTCTCGCCAACCTTGGAATCAACAAGTCCACAGTATGGAGTGACCTAGCCTGAGTAGCTGTTGAGAGGGTTTGATCGTGTGCTGTACGAAAAAGATCAGGATTATTTTCCAAAGGAAGCTGGCATGATGTGTATTTGCAACTTACAAGCTTGGATAAATGGCTTCTATTGTACTAGTCCTCTCTACCTATGTGTCTGGGTAAGCTCCAGGCATTTAAGTACCTCCGAGGAGTCCACGGGTTTTACACACATCAATGTATGTATGCATGTAGATAGGCCCCCGTGATTGAAAGAGCTAGTCACTCCCGGTAAAGGAACTGTATAGGTATGAAGCATTTAGTCGCACGAGCCAACGAGAAAGCGGAAGGATAGAGATTGGAATTCTCACATTCAGCTGTGAATTGGGGATGCGAACAATCAAACCATAGATCTGCCAGCTTTGTTTGCGAAAGCTGCGGAATGTTACCTGGGTACAATCTCAAGAAGGATCTTTACTGCCTGTAAACTTTGTGACGACGATCATAAGTACCTAGGTAGTAGCCCATTTGGAAGATTGAGAATATAACTCTCTATTTCAAGGTTGAAGTAGTTGACTTGAGTTGGATCTAAGGAGTAAAGAGTGGAGAGGGAAGATATAACCTTGGAAGAATCCACGGGTGTTCACGGCTAAAGACTTCGGGGCATCGACATGATGACGGACCTCGATGAAATGAGAAGAAGTGAAAGTGAAAGTGAAAGTGAAAGTGAAAGTATTGGACTGTGTTTTTACCACATGCAAAATTGCCCGGCGTAAGATATGTAAGAGCCTACCAGATACCTACGTGGACTGGTAGGTCCAGATTTACCCTTCAGTCACCCTTTCATTCCCGTTGATCTATTCCAAGGTTGAAATTCTGATAACAGGTTGTCATTTAATTCCTATGTAGATTGAAAGAGCCTTGTAACATCGAAAAGAGAGAATAAGTGTATGTTATTGGAGCATTAATCATAAAGATTAAGTATCAAAGAGTGTAAGATACTTGTACGAGTCAAGGTATAAGTCGTTCCAGAAGTATTGGAGCAAGTTTATGGAGACACTCGCGGTTGCTCTTCTAGATCTGACATCGCAACCAAGTCCATATGCTCAGTATCACTTCCAATCAGAGTATGTTGGGATAACTGAGGCGTTGAGCTTCTTGAACTAATCTCTGACGGCACAGCGGTAGTATTCTTTAGTGAGGGACGACTCGCTGATGAGACATTAATAGTAGTGGTGACCATAGTCGGCGGAAAAGACTGTGAATAGAAATCGTTCACATCTGTAATAGTGGGATTTGTAGACAGGTATTTCTTATACATGTCTTGGCTGCGCCGGGATAGCGACGAGTTGATGAAGTTGTGGGTAAGGGGGCGAAAAAGAGGCCACACTGGTGGGATGGACATGGTGATCAGCACGATCCATTCTTCGGCCTCGCCCCAGCGGAAGAGGATTCCAACTCCATCTACGAAAGCATATTAGTGTGAGTTTAGCATCTTGAAGATTGAAGATTGTTCTTACAGGAAGAGTCATCAGTGAGAATGAAACTGGCAGCCCATGTTCGGATTATAGCTGCCACGCCGGCAAACACACCTAATCCCATGAGGAAACAGAGACCCAATTTAAGCTTTCGATCGATCCGGAGTGGGATTAGTATGTGAATTGGAACAATGGCGAGATAAAAGTCTGACAGGACTGCAACAGCCCCGACGAAGTATGTGTAATGAACACTTTTCCAGTGCGCACATTGATCCTGGAGCAAGGGGTCCCATAATGCATGTGGAGGACTGCACTGGAGCCAATTCAAAAGTATCTGAGGAATGTTTACAACGATATTGAATACGGCAAGAGCCATCAGACTGCGGCGGATTTTGGGATCTGATAGACAGCTATGTGGTTAGTTTTGTTACTCCAAAGCTTCTTTTGATATTGATTTGGCTAGACTTACTGCTTGGCCCGATCATTTCAATTAAGAAGAAACAGACGGCTACCTTGCCGGTGGGAATAGCCATATTGAAGAAAAAGACAGTCATCCAGGTGAAGAACAGGAAATTCCTTAATTCTCCAACCTCTTCAATTGCGATAATGTGGTTTCCCAAGCCATGAAGTACAGCAATCACACCAAAACATTGAGTGACAGCTGTCAGTGTCTAAAATGTTGTTACTAAAGTTCATTTGGAGTAAATCAGACCAAGATCATACCCAAGCAACGAGAAAGCATATCAATGCAGCAGTTCCGAAATTGTTAACCTTCAACCGTACATATACACGGAGTATCATAAAGATCGTGGCGATGGCACCCAGAGTAAGACCCACGACCAGATCGCTGGGCCCCCGGCCACCATATGCAGGGTAGTGTTCATGCAGCGACATTATTCAAAGGAGTGACAAGGGTGAGAAGGAGCCATTATTTCCAGATATGAGAATCCAAAGGGTCGATCCAGCGTGTTAGAGTGGCACACATCCTTTATAAAAAATCTCTCCAAGTGCAAAGATGCAAGGCAAGTGAGGCCGTCATTGTTGCACACGACCCACAATGGGACCGCATTGCAAATTGCAAATTGCATAGTGGAGATGATGGGATCAACTTGTGCGGTATCTAGTGGGCCACTATTGAATTGATTCTTACAGTGGGCTCGCATGTTCCGTCGACCGCCGTAATTGGTGTCATGTTTACTGACCCGATATTCCGCTTAGCTATTGACTGGTATCAATTTGAATTTAACAGTCGACTGAGACCTTGCTGAAATCACTAGATCAGAGTAATTTTGTATTATTCCAGAGTCTTGAACCCTGGACCTGGATTTAAGTCCACGTGGATATGGGGATATATACCTTTTTAGTGATGAGATAAAAGAAAAAGCAAAAAAGAACTGTGCTCACTATAAATCTGCCCGGTAGTAAGACAGGAACAGCTGAACTGGTCAACCCAATTCCATGGTTAACTATGTGGGGTGTAGATTTTTGCATCATGAAACACACCTTGATTCGATTGACGAGCTTATTTAGGAAGGCAATGGGTTAAATCAAGTTATTTGAGTGCTATTGGCCATTTTTCGCCCCTAAGGAAAGTCATTGAAATAATTCGAGGGCGAAAGCTGAGGTATATGCTAAGTAGTTAAAATGAAGAAAACCTCAGAATGAGACGATCTTGTCGATCAACTCTAAATTTGGTAATTATGGACTCATTATTAGACTATCCAATTAAAATACTTCGTATTTTTCAGCTTAAGCCACTTTAAGCCTTCAGAATCAACAAGAATCCACTTCAAATTACGATGCTAAGTAGTCACACGATACACTAATTATGCTAATGCCGCGCTACTGCCCGGCTTTAGCTTAGCTTCTATAGTATGCCTCAGCTGCGATACGGTGAATTCTATCCAATTCTCGTGTCTGTACGGATTTAACGACTCTTGAGAACATCAGGCCATGGACAATAGAATTCAAAGTTTAGTGTCAAAGTGTTGATTCTTTGTAGATCTTCTCATAGATCAGAGTTACGTGACGCTGATCGGTAAGCTCCTTCCGCCGATCTAAACCTCGGTTCCTTCAAATGTTCCAGGGTTCCTTTGGATCGGACTCTCCACCTAACTATTTGGGTAGGACCTACACAGTAATAGATTTTAAACAATCTGAAAGATGAAGCACACTTCCAAGGTTGACTGCTCATATCGTAAGTAGTTGCTAACTGCAGGTGAACTCTTCCGCTATTCGTTCGAATAACCTATCACTTTGTCTTACCTGCAGTGGTAGTGCACATATGCATGCAGGCAAGTCAATCACACATGTCTTAGTACAGTCAGGTGCAGGTCAAGACTCGAGAATGTTTTTGAATACGATTTTTCCGACGCCGTCAGATACAAGGTTCTTCAAGGTTGCACTGTGAATCGCCACAACTATCATTTACACCTGCTTCAGAGAGACCGCGGAGTAACTGTTTGTCCGATAGCCCTAACGTACTACACAACCTCGGAGTTTTTCAATCGTGTGTCGTATAACTTAACATGTCATTATGGGTTCATGAGGTAAGTCAAATTAGTTAATTGACTAACAAATAGTCGGAAGTCAACTACGAAAAAGTTTTCCGTTCATGACTTCGATATTGCATAACTGTAACTAGATAATGCAGTCTCAGGGTCTCCTGAGGTGGCAAGTCTGAAACCCCCTAAAAACACCAAAATAGAAGATTTTGAGACAATAAAAGCTGGCATCACTTATTGTGTACTTCTATTGTTTTGACATGAATCACCCCAAGTTTGGTAACTGATTAAAATCTGACTTGCATCACTAAGACTGGTTACCTAGGTAATAAGTACTATCAGCTGCCACGCCACTTCGGCTTCCCACTACTCCGTAGATGCCAAAAATTTCCAAGTTTTGCTGTTCGCTGTCATTACTGTCTACAGAGGAACTATGGAGTAAATATCAAGTGAACTGTCTTTTAGTCAGGTAACTGGTGTCTCAGTCTTTTCCATAAGGGTCTACGTCATAGTTTATAGATCGATTGGAAGCTTCGATACGATCATGGTTACTTCCAGGGTTCAAAGGTCTCGGACCCTTTTTGAATCTGTATAAATCATTGGCTCTCTCTTTTGGAAGCAGCGGGTGGTCCTGCATTACGGAGTACGACTCAATCCGATCTTAAAATAAGATCCACACAAAACTCAATTGCCCATGTGCTATTTTGGTCCACCTTGGCAGCTTATGACTGAATATAAAGTACAGAGTACATCCGATTCAATTCATCATTTTCATTTCAATCTACTCCCTGAAATTTACACAGCGAGCAAAATAATAACCATGGCTTCAATTCGGAATATTTTGTTCACCGGTTTTTTGGCCCTGTCAGTTCCCGTGAGCGCTGCCTCAAGACGAGGAATCCTAAACTCCCGCTCATCAATCACTCCTCCACTTGGCTGTCCCATCCCCACATGGACAGTCAGCTACTTCAACTGGTACAACGGTTCTCACAGTCTAGACTGCATCCACAACCAAAAAGACATCAACGCAAAAGGCTGTCGATGTGGTGATAACTGGTGCGACCCCAATCCAGCTACATGCAACGGATCATTGGTCCCAGTATGCTACACTGGCATGCCAGATTACCAGCCATGGGGTTACGGCCCACCGGAGACCCTGGACATTGATTTTGCAGATGGACTAGAATGCCATGATCAATATGAGGGATTCCGTATCAAAGACATTGGCAACGGTGAAAGCAATTGCGGCTATGCTGATCGTAGCGAGGGACGCATCGTTGCTTTCTATGGATCCTCTAACTTGGCCAATTCTACTGGTCATATGGATTACACTCTTGGTGACGGGCATGCGCTCAAGTGTGATAATGGTAGCTCTATCACTTATTCTGGTAGTGTGGATTTCCCGCTGTCGTGTAAGCATGATGCGGAATTTAACGCTACTTGCACCGCGCCTGTGTTCACTATTCCTGTACTGAGCTATTCTTGGGTTGATGTTGAGTGAGGCGAAAATCATGAAGGTCCGCCGCCATTGGCACACGGGCTCGTACGGCCCTGTCAAACCGTTGTGCGAACGCTAGGATTCTACCAGTATGAGCCTGGGCCTCTTCAAATTAATCAGTACCCCAGGGCCAGGTGGTGGCTAGGATCTGGAGCGTTTAACCATGTAATAGTTTGCCTATCTAATAATATCAGTCAAAAAATCCGGAATTATCATGAACACGGAGTTGCCAACGAAAAGCTGGCTCCGAATGCCGACCATTCAAGTTACTTTCCACACAAGTAAACTGCCCATGTAAAGACACTGCCCGTAGTTCCAGAAGTGCCTAATATAGGCAAAGATAAATGGTGCGTGTCCGATTGTGGAACCTACTAAGTGGCTCCTTCCAAGGTTTGAAATATGCTATTGATTGTCATGGTACCCCAGTGTACTTTTATGTGGTATCCTGAGCATACGATGCTGAAGAATGACCTATAATCTGTCAACTGTCATTAGTAACCAACCCAAAACATCGTTGATGTGTGGTAAATGCGAGATGTCCATAGTACTGAGTCTTGTGGAAAGCTTTTGAGACTTTTTGCTTGATTTTCGAAATATTGATGGATTCATAATCGTATTAGGCCAATTTCTCATTCACATTCGAGAACCAAATCACGGGTATATCATCAATAGTTCCCTGATAGCATGTAGGGCTGAGAAAACTGTAGAATAGGAATCGCTCCTGCTGGCGTGTGCGCAGCTGGGGACAGTGATAAACGCTTCGAGTTCTGTGGGGATAATGAGACCAGTAATCTAAGGACGTCCTGTTAATCCCTTAATATTATGGTGACTGAGCTGAGTGCTTAGACTACTACCTAGGTAGTTAATGTTAGAATGAAAAACTCACTAAGTTTTATTGTTGACAATTGTCAAAGTTGTAGGCCAAGAATACGCTCGGCTATTTGGCTTAGACTACGACACTTATACTCACGAACATTCATTGTTTCCGTGGCAAATAGTGACTCGATTACCCTAGGAGAACTTGTGGTCCAGACCCCAGATAACACATGTCGCCTGATCTCGGCATGCTTCGTTCTGATCGAAACTTTGGTTGTGTTGCAATTGCAATGTGAGTCAGAGGCATGTCTTCATTGTATCTTCTGATATCGTTTATCTCGTCGAGTTCGTTCAGACATGACAAGTTTAACTTATGACTCTATCATTTTTGGCTAATCGATGATTGTTCAAATCACAGGAAAGATACGAATATACAGTAGTACATAACGAGCTGTATGCGATAATCCACACATTAGTTAAGATATGGGATAACTATATTTTCTGACTTCTTAATCACAGATGCTTTGTCTTCAGCCCATAGTGACCTTTTTCCAACTCCATCATGGTGAAGACGCGGAAAGTGAGAAGAAGATACCCTCCTGTCTTCTTTCAAGCTCACCGACAAAGATATTCATTGATGGTCATCATAGTCATAAGGACATGATAGGCATAATTATAAAACTCCATCCGACACATCATCCGTTTACACTAAAACTACCTCATGACGAACACCATAGGCTCAATTCAGCTAGCGACGGCGTTCAGAGGGGTATCGTCGGACACTGCCTCTTCCAGCTCTGCCAAAATTAAATTGATATTATGGACTAAGAACGACGGATATTAGTAATTCCTATCATTATATGAGGAAAAGTAACTTACGGTTGATTCCTCCCCAACACCTGCGAGGTCTGAGGCTGTCTTGGGATCACCAGCCCAGTAAGCACGCCGTAGAGGTGGTGGAGAGGGTGATCGCGGTAGACGATGCTATTCTCGATGCGAATGGTGGAGTTGAGAATCCTTTAATTAATATTAGCTGCTAATACTTGAAGCTCTAGACTCACTCACATCGCATTTTGTGTGGCGTGCAGAGCATCAAAACGCGCATCAAACTCTCATCCAAACGCCGATTCATGCGTTCTTCACTTTGTGCAAGCACGAGGCCCATCTACTGAATGATGCCTTAGCCTTGGTCATCCATGCTTCGCTTATTTCATGGCTCTATACCGTAATTTAGATGAACTTCTATAATCTTAGTCCTTCTTTAACTTATAGAGGATGATTGGCGCCTAGTACGAGAAGCCAAGAACACTCCCCCACTACTGGGCCTGGGAGACATCGCCTTTCGTTTCCCACGACCAAGCTTTGAAGTTTGAAGTATTCATGGAGCCATAAATTATGGATAAGAACCTAAGCTCCCTTAATCATTAATATTTACGTAGTCTGTAGTCAATAGTTGAGTGAGAACAATGAAAGCACGTGACTCACCGCCCTACGAGGAGTCATCGCAGAAAAAAAAGTTTCCAAGAGCGCAACCCCCTCTATGGGTCGTAGTTTACTTAGCGGGGCTACATTGTCACGTCTCTTTTTTTCTCGAATAAATCGCTTCTCTCCCCCGCGTGCTTTCCTTACAACAACTCTCTCTCCCCGTTCATTCCATCCCCTACCATCCAAAATGGACGCTACTGCCGCCTCTCTACAGGCGTTAACGCTCACATCAACTGAGCGTTTGTCCCAGTTCCCAGATTGCTACCCTGATCTTAACGTTATGGATTCTTATCGTGAGCATATCGCTCAAAACCTGTCCAAGGTCTCCGGTATCGATGCTGAATTGATTTATACCCGCCTTGCTTGGACCAGCACTCTTGACAAGGGTGATCTCAGTCTCCCGGTGTGTAGACACAAACTTCAATGCTTTGTTATTCACCTTGAACCCATCTAACTCCCACATCATCAGGTCCCTGCCCTGCGCCAGAAGACAAAACCTGCCGAGCTGGTCAAGGAACTCGCAGAAAAGTTCCCGGAGTCCGATCTCGTGCTCCCTCCTACCGTTTTTGGCACCCACCTTCAATTCTTTTGCAAGCCCGGTCCATTGAACCAAACCGTGCTCAGCCGTATCCTTAGCCAGAAGGCATCCTATGGCACAAACGGAAACCAGGGTCTCAAGGACCCAGCCGACCCCTCCAAGGGCCGGAAGCGTATCATTATCGAATTCTCATCTCCCAACATCGCTAAAGCGTTCCACGCCGGACACCTCCGCAGTACCATTATTGGTGGATTCCTGGCAAACCTTTACACCGTTTTGGGATGGGATGTTATTAAAATGAACTACCTCGGTGACTGGGGTAAGCAGTATGGTGTGCTTGCTATGGGATTCGCGAAGTACGGAAGCGAAGATGCCTTGGCCCAGAACCCCATCGGCCATCTGTTTGATGTCTACGTTAAAATCAACAAGTTGATCACCGAGCAGGCGGATCACATCAAGTCGCAACAACAATTGATTGCGGATCTTACAAATAAAGGCGAAGATACCTCCAATATTAAGGCTGAACTTGATGAGTACGTTGCTGCCAGCGAGGATGAGAAGGCTCGTCGTTACTTCAAGAGCATGGAGGATGGTGACCCATCGGCAGTCGCTCTCTGGCGCCGTTTCCGTGACTTGAGTATCATCAAGTACAAAGAGACTTACGCCCGCCTGAACATTGACTTCGATGTCTACTCCGGCGAGTCGCAGGTTAAGAGCGAGAGTATGAACGCGGCCCACAAGGCTCTGAAGGAGGCCGGCGTGGTCGAGGAGTCGGAAGGTGCTACCATTGTCGACTTCAAGAAGCACGGTGACAAGAATCTTGGCACGGCTGTCATCGTGCGTAAGGACGGCACCCCCTTGTACCTCACTCGTGACATTGGTGCGATCGTTGAGCGTGATGAGGAGTATCATTTCGATCGAATGATCTATGTTGTGGCCTCCCAGCAGGAGCTTCACTTGAAGCAACTCTTCAAACTCACTAAGCTTATGGGTCGTGAAGACTTGGCATCGCGTTGCAAGCACATTCAGTTTGGTATGGTCCACGGTATGAGCACTCGCAAGGGAACTGTTAAGTTCCTCGACGATATCCTTCGGGATGTCGGTGATAAGATGCACGATGTGATGCGTGCCAACGAAGCCAAGTATGCTCAGGTGCCAAACCCTGAGCAGGTATCTGATATTCTGGGTATCACTTCGGTGATGGTCCAGGACCAGACCGGAAAGCGGTAAGTAATAAAATGCGAAATATCCCATCTTTGACTTGAATTCTGACTTTTTTTTCAGCGGAAATGGATATGAGTTCAATCTCAATGCCATGACATCGTTTGAGGGTGACACTGGTCCCTACCTTCAGTATGCACACGCTCGCCTGTGCTCAATGGGCCGCAAATCAGGCCTCGACCTCACCAAGTTGGGTGAGGCTGATTTCAGCCTACTGACCGAGCCTCATGCCCTGAACCTCATTCGCTTGCTTGCCCAGTGGTCCGACGTGCTTGTTAACACAGCTAAGACTGAGGAACCTGTCACCATCCTCAGTTATCTGTTTAAGATGACCCACATGCTGAGCTCCAGCTATGACGTTCTGAAGGTGGTCGGTAGCGAGCCTGATGTGGCCCTTGCCCGCATGGCTTTGTACTATTCCGCACGCCAAGTCTTGCACAACGGCATGCGCCTGCTTGGCCTCAACCCTGTTGAGCGGTAAGTCTATCCCCTTTTCATCTCAATCTACAAGCCAAACTAATATCTCTTCACAGTATGTAAATCCAGTCAATTTTATGAGTTTCGAAGCTTAGGCTACTATTACCCTTTTTCATTAAAAAGCCCACGTTGACAAGAAGCTCACGTGACACATCGACCTTATTTAGGTGATTAAAATTCAAATGTTCTCAAGTATTTTCCAACGTGATTCCTAGTATAATCAGCATGAATATGCAGCTATATCGGCTTTCACATAAGCGATCGAGTAAGCGAGAAATTGCATGGACAGGGGTTGTAGGATGGTGGGCGCTCTGCTCCGTTATCTTCGACAATAATAACAATGAAGGTCCTAGCACGACGGAAATGAATCATGCACACGATGATATCTGGAAGCTTCAAATGATTACCTACTACATATATTCTGACAGAAACTGGTAGAAACTGACAGAAACTAACCCTGAAGTAATCACGGTCGTACGAACCTACTTTGTAGATCATGATCACCGACGGGGACCATCAAGTCTTAGTGTTCCCAGCTGGGCCACACTACTATACGAGCTGCATGAGCTGCCTCCTCATTGAATACCTAATGTACTAAGGTCAAGTCCCACCTTACGCCCCAATCTAAGATACAGCAACATGTTCCACTTGGCATGGAATTCAAGTCTGACCCCCCTTTCTCCAACTCCGCAGATGCAACCGATGGGTTTGAAATTCTTATATAACAAGGCGGGCGCTTCCCCGGGCTCCCCCGCCCTGTGTCGTGGCTTCTCCAGATACCAATTATCCATTTGTTTGCCTTACCCCTAGGCAATCCTTCTTACCGGGGCTGAGGTTGTGGTGATCGATTTGCACTAGAGTTGTGTTTTTGACTAGAAAATGGAGTCTGTTGAGCTAGATTCTCGTACCCCGGACCTGGAGGGTGTCGATCTCGAAAGAAATGAGAATGGTTTTCTGATGAATACCTCTGTGCGCAATTTTTCGTGGTCTGGACTTACTGTTACTGTCAAGGATCGGCAGACGAAGAAGGCGAGAGACTTGATCAACGGTATCAGTGGTGATGTGCTGCAAGGTTTGCTGGTCCTGGAATATGTCTATGGGTGTTCTTGGATGAGGATATGGCACCAACTAATTGCATTTGATCTATACAGGAGAAGTTGTGGCTTTGATGGGTCCTTCAGGATGTGGAAAGACAACACTGCTTAATGTCTTGGCTCGTCGACCTACCACATCCAGTAAGGTTAGCGGTGATAGCTTTGCAAATGGTCAGCATATCAATTCCGCCTCATTTGGACGCATGACTTCCTACGTTGAGCAGGAAGATGCCCTGATTGGATCCTTGACTGTTCGGGAGACATTGAAGTTTGCTGCAGATCTCTCATTACCGAGGTATGATTTCATTCTACGCTTCTATGTTGATATAGCTAATGCTTGGTAAATTCTTTAGCTCAGTGTTAAAGAGACAGCGTATGGATCGTATTCAAATGCTGCTTCAGGCTTTTGGGATTCAGAATCAGGAAGATATACTCGTTGGTACGCCGATTCGGAAGGGGATTAGTGGTGGTCAGAAACGTAGGGTCAGTGTGGCTAGCCAGCTTATCACCTGCCCGAAGATCTTGTTTATGGATGAACCCACCAGTGGACTCGACTCGACAGCAAGCTTTGAAGTCATCTCGTACGTGAAGGAGTTGGCGAGGGCGAATCGTGTATGTCTGAATGGAATGGATGACCTGAGGCGAATACATTAAAAAGTTTCAAGGCTGATATTGTTCCACGACAGATCATCGTCATCGCAAGTATCCACCAGCCCTCGACGAACATATTTCGTCTGTTTGATAAGTTGCTTCTTCTTTCGGCTGGGCGCTCGTGTTACTTTGGACCTGTTGCCAGTGTCGAAAACTACTTTCGCCAGATAGGTCATCCTATTCCAGGGCATACCAACCCTGCAGAGTTTCTTCTTGACATTGTCAGCTCGGACTTTGACATTGTCAAGGAGGATGCCCTAGCACGGGTGCAGGGGATCCTGAATGCCTGGACAAACTCAACAGAGTCTCATGCACTCACTGCACTAGTTTCCGAGCGAGATCGGAATATAGAGAAGGCTATGGATAAGCTGGTAGATGACGTGTCTCGACCGGGGGCAATCAGTATCACCTCAACTCTCCTTCATCGGTCTTTCATCAAAAGCTACCGTGATGTGGTGGCGTACGGGATCCGGATTGTGATGTATCTTGGTATGGAACCTTGGAAGGCAGGAACGCTTGCTGAAGATGGATGAATAGCTGACCTCGCATACAGGACTTGCAATCATGATGGGAACTGTCTGGCTCCGCCTTCATCCATCACAAGAGTACATCCAATCATTTGTGAATGCCATCGTGTGTACTCACTACCCTTCCAGGAACGACATTAAGAAGCAAACCTGACGCGCATCTAGTTCTTCGGATCAGCGTTCATGTCATTTATGGCAGTTGCATATGTTCCGGCATTCCTAGAAGACCGAGCCACCTTCGTCAAAGAGCGAGCAAACGGCCTGTATGGTGCAACCCCATTCGTGATCGCTAACTTACTCATCGGTCTTCCCTTCCTCTGTGTGTCACCCCCCATTGTCTCACAAGATCTAGACTTCGGACCCCTGCTAATCCCACCCCAGTCCTCATATCCATTTTGTTCTCCATTGTCTCATACTGGCTCTCCAACTTTCGCCCCACAGCCGATGCATTCTTCACCTGGGTGATGTGGATCTTCCTTGATCTCATCGCCGCCGAATCCCTTGTAGTATTTGTGACGGCGATATTCCCCAATTTCATAATCTCTCTGACATTAGTGGCCTTTGCGAACGGGCTCTGGATGAGCGTGGGTGGGTTCTTGGTGACTCCGAAGATCCTTAATCCGTTTTGGAAATACGTGTTCCACTACATCGACTATCAGGTGGGCATAGCCGTTTTTCCTTTTCACTCTTCGCTATTCGCTGCTTTAATCTACTGATCTAACCTGGACCCCGCAGGCGTATGTGTTCCAAGGTATGATGGTGAATGAGTTCTCTGAACGGACGTATTCGTGTGCCGCTGGGTGCCAGTGCATGTACACGACGGACTTGGCGTCTGAGTGTCAGATTCGCGGCACCGACGTGTTGGAGTCATATGGCTATGCTGCAGGCAGGACTGGTAAGTGGGTTGGGATTCTCATCGGTATTATTACCGTGTATCGGTTATTAGGCTGGATTGCGCTTCACCTGCACAGGACCTGACCAACATGACCTCAGTAGTGAACTGTGAGTCAATGTTGATATAGATCATCGGGGAAGACCAATCAAGAAGCTCTCAAGTGCTTGATCTCGTCTATCAGTCTGCCTGTTTAGTTTTGAAGGAATACTTCCATGTCTCCCCTCGAAGGGAATGCATATGCTGTCAAACGTCAACCTTCACCAGCCACGTAACCCTGGCAGGGCTCCTGTCACAACTATAGTTTCCCTGTACAACACTGGTGTAGATGCTATCTCGTTTTCACATTACTGAGTATAATAATCGTAAGGTCAGGATAAGATGATCACATCCTATTTGTCACTTCGGAATGATGTCTCCGAGAATCTACTCTGTAGAGAACCCTAAGTCGCGGTAAAGTTGGAAGATCCCAATTCCAAGACAATTTTCTCAGCTTTCCTCCCACACGATCCTTCGCACGTACCACATATAGCAAATAGCGGTGTAGGTCATGTCGAAATCTGATGTTATCGCGCAGTAGCGAAGACGCAAGGGGGACGCCATCTTTGGACTTTAAGCCGGAAAATAAAGGAACAAAGGGAAAAAAAGACTGGGGAATCTGGAGAATGAAGTCAGAATAGTCCTCCCATTCTTCTCTATTCATGATCTAGCCAGATGACATGCGTGTGAAGAGCTTATTAGCCCGGAGCCATGAGACTAGACTACGGCGTAAAATACACGTCGGCCCACCGAATCCATACGCCCCTCTTTTATCTGGGCCCGATCTTCATAGATCTTTCGATCAGTGGTCGAGAACAAAACAGTAGTACTTGGAGCCGCATGGGCATTGCTAGAGGGTTTACTCCGTGGGTCTAGCCTCATTGTTTTTGCCTCCTTTGCTCAGATCCCTTCCTGTTTTTTTTTCTTCCTCTTTCCTCTTTCTCTGATGTCTGAGATGTCTGAGATGTCCTTTTCCAAGGTAGTTTCTTCAACCCTCGCATTGACCTCGTGCCCATGTATTCTTATCATGATCCCACACGTGCGGGGTTGTCATCATCGAAGGCAGCAAGACGCAAGGAGGAAGGCTTAGATGTACATTATCGATATAATGGGAAATGAATGACCTGCAAGTCATTATTTCAACCAGACCAGGGTCATGGATCATTCCGGGGGCGAGGAACGTATAGTTCCCCGATATTGGCCTATACGAACGATCCACAATACCCCAATGTGGATAATATGGAGCCCTAGAGAACACCCGGGCAAAGATTCTCTGATAACTCAGCCACGGCCCGGTCTGCACTCGGGCGCAGAGTAATTCCAGCTTACGAACAACACACGGTGAAATTACATAGGATAGGAAATGGTCCCATGTACACAACTCCATAGATGGCTTGCCACATGGCAAGCTTCATTGGATAATTACCCTTTTTCTACATGCTAGCGTTATTCAATGTGGGGATTTGATGCATCAGTGGCGAGTTTCTATCTTTTTTTCCATTCATTTTTCCTATTCCTATGTATATGATGACAATTGATATCGGTTGCTACAGGTTGACATCTCCACCGACTTTTCCCAGGTACCAGGTACATAGTTATTGTATTTTCTAGAACATTCAAGATTGGAGAGACAGAAACACCAGCATGGAGCCCGAGAGATGACGTTTAATTTAAGAATTTCTTGATGGCATAGTTCCCTTAAACTATTCTCCATAGTTCACCCTTTCTGATAACTGATTGGGCCGCAATGGGATTAGTTTGGATCGGATCGGATGTGAGGAAGGATATAGACGGACTTAAGATACAAGAGTATAGTCTACTTGACTTACTATAGTTACCTAGGTACTAAAATTATTTAACTAGGTGACTACTAATTACTACTTAGCTTCTAGGTACCAAGGTAACTATCTAGGTATACTATCTAGGTAGAAGCCTAGAAGTACCTAGATAGAAGAGTATAAGGAAGTAAACAAGCCGAGGTTAAGCCAAGTAAACAGATTCTTCTTGTTGGGTACCGATTTAGAGCCTCTTTCGTGAAACACTAGGCTATTTCTTCTTTTCTTCTTTTCTTTATTTTTCTTATTTTTTTCCTATTTTTTCCTTTCTTTTTTTTTTTTTTTTCTCTCTACAATTGAAGTCCCGGCTCTTAACTTCTTCGCTTCCCCTTCCATCTCTTCTCTTCCCCATAATTGATCTCCCCTTATCATTTATCTTATTTCCACCCCTCTCTCTCACAGTATTGCTGCCCATCTTACTCCACGTCAGGCACATATAACTTATTTCTATTAGGCCATCTGCAGCTGCAGGCCTTTCCGACCACTCACGATTTCCCTCAAAACCCAACCGCTTTTCTGCGCCCGATTTCTGACTCTTGCCCAATCTCTCATGGAGACTTTGCCGTCAAGAAAGTACCACAGTCTCTTTTCCCGACAGATCTCAAACCTTTAGCCTGCCATCGCCATCGCGATCGGCAGGTCTGGTTGGTCTTGGGGTCTAGTACCGCCACAAAAATATTATTGAAATCGAAGCAGAACAGGAGCCCGGCATCGAAAGGGCCTGGTTTCCCTAGACTTCTGAGTCATCGTTACTTCTTTTTTTCTCAATTTTTTAATTTTAATTTTTTTTTCCCTGTGTGTCTACCTCACGGGTGGCTTGCTGTAAGTCGGGCAGATCTCCTTCCCTCCTGTGGGTTGCTTCGTGGACCAACCTGTTTCCTCCTAGAGACCACACCGTTCCCACCCCTTCAAAACGTGCAGCAGGCCATGTCTGGCCGAACTGGCAAGCCGGCCTATTTTGAGGAATTTGACGAGAGCTCGCAGGGAGTGGTACCCGACACCCGACAGTCGGCCACTTCCAATACTGCTGCAAAAATGACCAGGTTGGATCACAGATTCCATGAGCCGCTCATCGACGGCGCCAGTGACTCAGGTTATTCTAGTCGTACTGCCGCCACTGCCATCAGCTCCCAATCTGATCCGTCAGGCGGAAAATACCCGGGCCCTCATAAGCGAGACCTGCCCAAGCAGGCCGATCTCGTCAGGACAAGCTCCCTTCGCAAAGACCGCAGGGATCGGCCTCGAACAGCGCACGACGAGACGATGCCATACGGTCCCTACCAAGCTCCCGCTCCTCATTATGCTCCAGTGCCTCCCGCGTCATCCAAATCCCGCCGACGTGAACAACCCCATCGAAGGCCGTACCAAGGGCTCTACTACGACGAGCATTATCAACCCGCAGCCCAGGTAGATGGTCCATCGGACTACCCTCACACCTACTTCCCACCTCCTCCCCTTCCACACTCGCGCCAACGCTACGCTTCAGAGGCCATTGCCGAATACCAATCTTCAGGTAGACCCCGCTCGATGTATCAACGCTACTACAATGAGCCATCGCGGTCGGTGGGCTGGGCTCAGTATATACCCCACCCATCGTATGGCTACGAACACGCTCCTCCACCCTTCTCTGCGGCTTGGAATCATATCTCGGATCCATATGGGCCTCCTGGACCTTCGCATCACTATGCAGCGTCGGATTATGGCGCTCCTCCCCAGGAATATCCACGTGAGCGGTCGCAGTCCCATGCCAGGGAACCGACCCGCCCGCGCCGTGGTTCATACGCCCCAGTGGAATCACCAGATGTGTCCCCCGACGACTACTACGATGAGGATGACCCAGAGCAATACTACCAAGAGAGGCCAGCTCCCCGTAGAGCAAAAGATGACGAATATGACGAGGATCGACGAGAAATACCACCACCGCCCCCACCAGCTCCTTCCAAGCCCAGCAAGTCAGCTACAAAGGTCCACCAAGTGAAACGACCCGATGCGCTCCGAAAGGCCCAAACAACCAGTGCCATGCCTTCTCAGCGCCGGTCCTCCAGAGCGGCGGATACTGGCAGGCCATTGGATATGTCAGATGTGCAAGATGCATTGCCCGATTACAAAACTCGCCGTGTATCACGAGAGCCTAGACCGGAACGAGTCAACAGTCTTCGGGAAAGTCGAAGATCACAATCGTACCACGATGGCTCACGGGGTGCCCAGGTTGTTGTGGAGAACTCCGGACGGCGTCGCCAGCAGCAGCAATATCATCCCGAAAGTCGAGCCAGTATGGACCTAGAATATCGCGAGCGTATGGTCGAAAACTATCAGGCTTCCAGGAATAATCATTCCACTGCTGTGACACCTCTGTCGAGTGAGACGTTCCTCACCAAGGGGGCCGGTTCCGGCAGTGACTTTGGTAGCCAGAAGAGTCGATCTAACAGCAGCCGCGCCAGTGGTGGAACTTCCAAGGCCGAAAAGGACATGAAATTGATGGTTGGAGGAGTTGCCATGTCATTCATGGAAAGCGAGTTGCAGGGCAAGTCGATCAGCATTACCGCCGATGATACCGGTGACATGCGATTGGACATTTCCAAAGGCCACGGTCGCCGTGCTCCTAAGAAGTACGTTCCAGGTTCTTCTTACTCTGATTATACAGACGTTGCAAGCCGCCGGGAAGAAGATCCACGGCGTACTGTACGCCGCGAAGCCCGTTCTGAGCGATCTAGTCACCGGTCCGCCGGGTCCCGTTATGGACAGCGATACAATTAAGTGTGTGAACATGCTTCAATGTTTCAACCGATACGAGATTTATCCATATTCATGCCATTTATTATCTTCATTTGGATGCTGAGTGTTCTTTCTTGTTTATTTTTCTCTTTTCTCTTTTCGTTCTGCATTAGCGCTAGCTTGGCAGGTCTATCTAGATCTGCCAAAAGTTTTCTCATATTGGGTTTTCGGCATGGTTTACTCGGCGGTTTCTTTGGTTGGATTCTTGGAAAGGAAAAAAAAATTATGGGTTTCCAGCGAAGCGCCACTGGGGGCTTTAGTTGATGACTCCATAATTTTTTCTTCGGACTTGGGATGGATGGGATTTTTTATGATTTACTTGCAATTGGTCTGCGTTTGGAGCAAGCCTACACAGTGAAGACTTCCCTTCTGATGGAAAATCGATACTGTGCAAGCTCACTCCGTTACGGGTGATATGATTGTATGATTCTGATGACCTGCGATGACAATATCCGTCCTATGTTTGGTGGATTTGATACACACGTTTTTGTCATGTCAGCGTTTGTGTATAGCTTTATTTTGTGCTTGATTCCTGAACCATTCATGTTTATGTTGGATGTCTTGATGTCCTGGGCCTTTGGTCTCTTCCTGGTTACTGGTTTGTTCGCGCGACTCGTTGATGGAGAGAGATTATACCCATGTCTTTATTGTTATTCATTTACTCGTCCACGCTTCTATGTGTGGCGTTTTTTTGATACAAGTATCTGTTCTGAAGTTCCGCGGATTCCACGTCAAGGTCGAACAAGTTTAGCCTCTGTGATCAAGTTCCATCTCATTATTTTGGGAGTTTATGTAGTTCAACTTCATAGTGGGGAAAGCGGCCCCGCTACGGAGTTTTAGGGTCTTAAAATTCATGGCCTTGGAGACTGTAGGTTAGTGGATCCGTTTTAAGATGATCTGGATCTTTCCTATTTCGAGACTTGAAGAGTGTGGATCTTATTGGGTGAAATCATAGGGTATCGTTGCCGCAGCAACATTATCCCATAAACATAGCCCCCCAGCCTCCTCTATGTTCCAACCTCCCCATTTCCTATGAGATTACATTTTGCATATCTCCCATTCTTGTCTTGCCCATATGCAAGTAAATCTGAGGTGGACTTGAAAAAAATCTTTGTTCGCTTTCCAACATTCCAGTGATCGAATATCCCTTCTCACTATCTACCATCCCAGCATTCCGTCGCGTCTCGAGCCACGTGCTCTTGACTGGTTGATCCGCCCACCATGGCTCCAATTCTATCAACCAGGCTATTTTCGTACATCTCACGTATCTCAGTCGAGACTCACGATGTCAGCAATGAATCGACTCCAGACCCCACCCCGTCACCAACACTGAACAAGGTCGCTGCTCGAGCCGCCACAAACACCCATGTCTACGGCGCAGGAACTATCGACCCGCACAGCATCAAAATGCAAGGTCTGCTGGCCCTCTTTGCTCTGATCGGTCTAGGCTTCGTCCTCGGAGCCATCTGGTTCTTCTTCTGGGCCAAGAATGGTGGATTCCAGTGGCGCAAAGGCGACTGGGACGACTACAAGTCTACAGTTCTACGTCGCAAGGGCCCCGATGGCCGTACTCTAAGTAACGCAACGAAGAGCACCAAGCTAGGAGGTGGCAGTATAGTTGGATACAGTGACACTGGCTACACCTACGACGACGAAACAGCAACAATGATAACCGAGAAGGAAAAGCCCAAGCAGAAGAAAAAGAAGTTCACTGAAACAGCCAAGGAGCGCCTTCTCCGTCGAAATAAAGACGAGTCCTGGGAGGGCGAGGGTGACGACGACATGCGTGCGTATCGGGAGGAGAAGCCCGCCCAAATTGGCGGCATGAACCGTGAAGCAGACGGCACATACCACGGCAGCGACTATGACTCTTCCACCGCGCCGTCGCACTACAACCGAAGCGACATGACCGAATCACGCTACGAGCAGCCGCGCCGTGCGAAGACGAAGAACAAGAAGCGTGATCCCTCTGGCTTTTCTTTTACTGCTGGCAGTGAAGATGTTCTCAGCCAAACGAGTGATGAGCGCTACGAACGCCACGAGCGTCGCGAGCGCCGCGAGACTCGTCGCCGTGAGCGTGAGCGTGCTACTGCGCCTAAGACCGCTTCGACTTCACGTACCAGATCTCCCCCTAAGAATGACACTCGTAAGATGCCCGGTCACTTTACCGAGCCTCTTGATTTGTCGTCGAATGGGTCGCGCTCTGAGTACCAGTACTCAAATGTTGATACCGAGGACTCGGGTACTAAGAGCTACAGTCACCCCATCCCGGGCTTAACTAAGGGTTATCGTCGTGATAAGAGAGATAAGCGCAGTCGTCGCCGTGATAGTCTGGATGACAGTGATTGAGCTTACTCATCAGCCGACGAGGACGACGAGTATTTTTTTTTGTATTTGATTTTACGGATATGGATCTGGGCGGAATAGGGACATGGGTTAGGAATGTAAATAACGAACTCAGTAGATGAATAAATTTTATGATTATTATTCTTTTCTTTCTTCTCTTTTCTTTAGCATCTCGTGCGTGTGACCTTGTCAACTCCAAGTTGTGAATATGGCCGTGTGACGCGGTGACCACAAACACCTCACATTGGAGCCAAATGGCGTGCCAGCACACAATATACCTTGATTTCCAAGCAGCTGACAATTCACATTCTTCTTAATACACGACTCTAGTCCTTCATCCTTCCAAATCTACCAATGCCTCATACTAACTGAAACTGCGACCATGTCTAGCGAAAGACAGCCTTTGTTACACACAGATGAAGGAGTGGAGAACATCCAGATCGTCTCGGATCTACCCGAAGAATATTTAGAATATCCAGATGCTCTTCCGGGGGTGAACCATGGAAAAAATCTCAACTGGACCAGTGCATACATTCTGTCTGTGTCGCGAGTAATCGGCTCAGGCATTTTCGCCACGCCAGGTTCTATAGTCAAGTCTGCCGGAAGTGTCGGGTTGACATTGCTGGTATGGGTCTTCGGCTCCATTTTATCAGCTTGTGGACTAGCTGTGTCGATGGAATATGGCTGTATGCTGCCTAAGTCTGGCGGCGATAAGGTAGAAAGAAACCAAACTGTCGAATTAATAAATTGGCCCTGCTGACGGTGGCTGTGAATAGGTATACCTGGAGTATACCTACCCCCGACCGAGATTTCTCGCGTCAACTCTGATAGCAGTGCATGCCGTTGTGCTAGGCTTCACGGCTAGCAACTGTATAATATTCGCGAAATACACGCTCTTCGCCACTATCGATCATCCGACCGATTTCCAGCATAAAGCCCTTGCAGTCGGTCTGTTGACTGCCATCACAATTGTGCATGGTTGCTTTTTGAAAACGGGTATCGCGATCCAAAATGCACTGGGCTGGGTCAAGATCTTCTTGATAAGCGCCATGTCGCTAACGGGGCTCTGGGTTATTCTACTCCATTTCTTCGGCGGCGATACCGATATCTCACCGGGCGTATCAACAATCAGTTACTCCTGGAATTCGATGTGGGAGGGCTCGAACTGGAGCTGGAGCTTGCTGTCGACATCTTTGTTCAAGGTCATCTATTCCTATTCTGGGCTGAGTAATATCAATAACGTGCTGAGTGAGGTGCATAACCCTGTGAAAACGTTGAAGACTGTCGGGCCGGCGGCACTGTTCACGGCCGGTGGTCTGTATCTGCTTGCTAATATCTCTTACCTTCTTGTGATTCCGCTGGAGGAAATCAAGAGTAGCGGGGAGTTGGTTGGCGCGCTACTGTTTGAACGCTTGTTTGGGAGCCATGTCGGCCGGATAATTTTCCCTCTTGCCATCGCGGTGTCTGCAGCTGGAAATGTCATGGTCGTGACATTTGCCTTAGTATGTTCCGTCATCCGGCATTCCAATATCATCCAAAGAAGTGAAATAGAAGTTAACCGCAATATAGGCACGAGTGAATCAGGAAATAGCCCGACAGGGCTTCCTACCATACCAAAATATTCTCTCGTCTTCACGGCCCTTTGGAACTCCTCTCGGCGGACTGATAGTGCACTATGTACCATCCATCCTAGTGATAACCCTACCCCCAGGGCAGGACGTATACAACTTCATCCTGGATGTGGAAGGATATCCAGGCAATATATTCGCTCTAGCCGTGACAGCCGGCCTACTGGTCCTGCGGTATCAGGAACCAGGTCGATTCAGACCATTCAAAGCGTGGCTGCCAGCTGTCTGGCTGCGAGTCGTGGTATGTGTGACGCTCCTGATTGCGCCGTGGGTTCCGCCTCCGAACTGGCAAGGTGATGTTCACTTCTTTTATGCAACCTATGCAATCGTGGGTATTGCTATGTGAGTACAGTCGAGTCCAAGTTGAGTTGTCGCTGCTAATGACGTCATATAGTCTTGCTTTCGGGGTTGCTTATTGGTATATTTGGACTCAACTTCTTCCGAAATGGGGAGGATATGTATTGGAGGAGGCAGAAGAAACATTAGATGATGGCACGACTATAAAGAAGCTGGTTCATTCTGGACGATACTGAGAATACGTTATCCAAATACGGATACGATGATAATACATTGATATATATATATATATCATAACTGCTTACGTAGATTATATCCCTGCTGCAAGAGTAGAATGAGGACAGGAAAGTCCAGATGCCAACACGAACCGCCAGGACATTAAAAAAGCTTGATCTTCCAAGGTTGGAAACAGCATCAACCTCAGTAACATTAATCACTATCACTGGATCTGGTGAATGTATCCGGATGTCCTATTTGCATTCAAGGTAGAAGGGAAGACAACTCCCAAATGCCTCACTGAAAGCGCCAGATTGCCCACATTATATGTTGCTGTAGTCAACATGACCTCGTCCATTCGCTCACTCTAGATGTGGTCTACTCAAGTTCTACGGGCTGCTCGAGTTATGAGCTATCGAAGGGCGATAGACCCTAGCGGTGTATTTAAAAGAACCGGGTATCTCTCAGTAACGAAAACCTAGGTAAGTGGTAAGCTCTTCCACTCTACACATTTCACACAATTTTATGGCATACATCGGTATTAGATCGAGATACTCGGGTTCTTATCTAGAATTTTATTGACTGTTCCAGTTTGTGGGCTACTGGGGCAGGAGAAAAATATTGATATCATAGACGATAAAGATATGGAGGAAAAACATGAAAGATGATAAAAGATGAAAAAGAGAAAAGGAGTGACGATGAATAGAATGATGAAGAAGAGAAGGGAAATGGGAATGGGAAACGGGAAATGGGAAATGGGGGTACCATCAGAAGAGAATATGGAGTGCTCTCCACCTCAGTTCGTCACATGGGTAATGAGAAGAGGAAAGCGAAGTAATACTGAGACGTCAGAGCTGTGGTGATCAATTCTAGCTTAGGTACGTGAGTCTTGCTCTCGTCCTGTCCAGTATGGCTCTCATCATATTCATCTCGAAGAGCTAGCTTTCCTGCCCGGTCCAAGGGGCGATGAGGACAAAATACAATATAAAAGACCCGTTCTAATGGGCGGCGATAGGACAAATTAAAATAAGAAAGTGTTGAGAAAGAAGAAAATAAAAGGAAAAATAAATGAGGGGAGGGGGATTTATAGGACGTTTTTCTGCCTTGGTCACCAGAGTTCGTTGCCTAGTTTACTTCCAGATTACCTACTCGTCCAAATTAGGAAGTGTGTATGTATCAGATCATTTGGGCATGAATCACTAAGTCAGCAACTAAGTCAGCATAGGATAGTATTCTAATAGAACTTTGGAAGTTCAAGGTAGATCATCAATGCTGTTTTCTCGGAATTCTAGAATTCAAGGGCTGCTAGGCTGCAGAGAAATGTATGGTTACTGTGAAATTGTAGAGAAGTCCCAAAAGCTCAAATCACAATAGGGTCCACGGGTGCCAAAGGTTCGCAGAATACCTAGGTATTCCACCTACATATGTATGTAGATCTATTACCTACCTAGACTTACTGACATACGGAGGAAACAGTAATGTAAATAACTATGTGTGTGGTTCAAACACTTCATGTGAATAATACTCCTGCCTCAGTCATGACTCAACAAAGACACGTATTGTGATGACGTTATTTCGTGATGTTTTTAAAAGCCTCAACTGTTTTCTTCTCTACCCGCGACCACGAGGGTCACCAAGCAATGAAAAAAAAGATTGAATACTGCAGATGAGAAGTAATCTTGTTGGTAAAAAAATTCCCTGACCACGAAGGCCAGGAGCAGTCAGGTTGATAGTTTTCAACCAGCAAAAACATAATCTCGGATTCCTCCTCATTGATATACGTAATACCCATGCACTTGGATGGTTGAAGAAGAAAGAAAAATTATTTTAGGATCAGAGAGGAGACGGGACTTATACTTCCTGTCGCGCTAGTGAAGCCGCTAATCCGTATTGAGTGAATGGTCATCAAGTCACGGGATCGAGGCCAAGGGACGATAAGGACGATAAGGTAGTAGGGTCACTCAGTCAACTGAGCGATTGGCTTGGATCACGTCTCCTTCTGGAAAAGTGTAACAGTTTCTTTAAAAATAGTGGCATAAATGGATCTTCGAAAGAAAACCTTGATTGAATCTAGAAGTGGCTGTCAGAATTGGCTGTTTCATATCTATGTCCAGGGCTGCATAAGAGGTTGGTGCAGGAAGAAAAAGAGAAGGTGAGAATGAGCATTAAATAGTCCAGAAAAGTCTTGACAGAGCACAGAGTAATTACCAAGCCGGTGATAGTGTCGGTGGTGGCACCATGAGAGCGAAGTTGATGGAGAGGGCAGGGCTATTACTAGGACAGAGGGCTGGAGTTATGGGATGAACTATGTAAAGTGGCATGTATGGAGATTTCATGATTAGGGCAGTGCACGACTCCTTCTATATAAGCCCTTGGAAGGGATATCTAATTTTTCCGACTCAGTGGTCTAGACTTTTAGCCGCACAGACTTTGCATAGTATTCAATGTTTCGATGAGATATCTATATTTCATCCATATCTTTCATTCATGGATGTCATATGGATATGTCGGACGCTCCAACCTGGGCAGGGCTCCTGAGCGACTTTTTGATTGGGAATTAGGTGCATGTCTCCTCACACTTCTGCGGTAAACCCAAGCTAAATTATAGAGCGATGAGATATCGATCATAGGATACCAAGATCATGTGAATTCACGTATATAGATGTTTGAAAATGCTTGGGTGATAACTTTGAGGCCTTCCAAGGATGTGAGCTTGAAAGTGATTTGGGACTCTGGGATATCTGAATCTCAAAGGAGTCAAAGTCTCATCACAAAATCTCTGTTGATGAGATATCTATTTGCTAACGAGCATCCACTCTATCTTCCAACACTGGATTCAAAGATTTTGAGTAGGTATAGTCAAGAGAAGTAATTCATTGATATTTTACAGCACTGTTCTCTATAAATTTCGCGGTGGATATGTATTGGAATGGAAAGGAAGGATAAACGGACGAGACATTGAACGACGTTGGATTTTGAGGACTTAGTAAATCCGCTTCTCGACCTATCAAAATGGTCAGTACATCCAGGAACAGTTAGCAGAAAGCAATTGTCCCTACCTTCCAGGGGTTGCTGAGCTCGAATCCCTTTGGTGCCTGGTGGTTGCTGGACTGTCCTCTGTGTACACCAGTGATCCGGTAGTCCCGCTGCATCACTGTGTTTGCGCAACGCATGGTTAGTAACCCGGGTTTCCTGCCGAAGATAATCGTGCGGTTGAATCAGAAACTTACTTTGCTGTGAGTGAGTTAGCTAATATATTCTGCAATAGTTCCGACCGCAACCGATTACGGCCAAGGAATAAACTTACACGATCCCAGAGATCCGTGTTCCAACGGGTCTTCTTGCCGTCGTTGACGTAGCGCTTAGTGAAGTGAAGACCAACACCAGTCACGCCGAACATCTAGAGGGAATGGTCAGTCGTAGCTCTCTCGACGAATTGACGAATGACGAACGCCGATAATGATCCCATAGGGAATCAGAGCCTCGAAGGGGACACCCATGTTGTATATTCTTTAAAGACGTGGAAAAGGGCGAAAGGTGAGAGGGAATGATATATTCAATTGACCGAGTCGAGCTCGTAGCGCAGGCTAATATCGGGTGGAGGAGGGAGAGAAAGGCCGTCGGCTCAAGTCTGGAGGTCTGTGATACCCGATATGGTTTAGCGCGCCTGACTCAGCCCGACAGCGACGACAACTCCATGGCCAAGGGGGAAGCGCATCGCATTTGATTGCAATAGGGATCGCCCCCGACCGATTAGATTGCAAGTCTACGCGTCTCGTATCTATTTACCCTTTGTATTGAGCTAGTTTTTTTCTGGAGTAAGTCCTCTTCCTCCCGCGACACGTGTTTGCGAAACTCCATTCAACTCACACCTTTGTTCACCTCCAGCTAGTCCGCGCGCCGAATACTTTCTTTTCTTGATAAAGCGCACATCCACTGCTTTCAAAGCTAAGCTCACGAATACCCTTCTACTCAAATTGCGTGGGCATCCAGATGCCCCCTCAGAATCCTTACCGACGCGAGCGGGGTGGCCCTCAAGTTTAAATTGGCCGAGCCCTTCTTTGAACAACAAAAGCTTCTCGACACACGCGCGCAACCCTTCTGAGCCTCTTTCGCCCTGGCGACTGCCGTGACATTCACTATGGCGGCGACAGTGCCGCCAGTGAATGATGACCCCGGTCAACTCGATCCACATCTCGATCCACTTGCCGATCAGGTGGATAGTGACCTGGACGCCGAAGGGGAGGAAGAAACAGATATGTATGGAATGGATCAACAACTTCAGGATGCCGTTCATCGAGCCTACACTGGCGAATTGGGCGAGGAAGTAGGTCAGAGCTGGACCAATGGAGAAGTGCACTCAGTAAATGCTCAGCCAGATGGTGACAATGATGAGACCGAACCTGTTGGTGCCGTGAAGCTTCCAGATGATGCAGCATTGTCAGATGACGAAGATGAAGAGTCAGCGGACTCTGATCCCCCATTCGAAGACGATGATAATGAGAACGACCGCGACGTTTCAGAGCACAGTGAACCAGAGTCAGAGGCAGAAGAAGACTGGGAAGATGAAAGCAATGGACAAGAAGACGGAGACCTCGACATCCCAAGCCGCGCAACTTGCCTGTATGATGATCGAAAAAGACCGCCTCCAGGCCCGTGCGTATCAAAGCTGACTTGTAGTAGGTTTTGTAGCCAAGACGAGGAACACGACCCCGGTGAAGACTTTGAAGAATGGCTTTCATGTATTGTTTGTGGTGATCATTGTACGTTTTGAAAGTTTTTGAAAGTTTTGGTTTTGACGGCTTTGCGGCCCGCGAAGCTTAACCAAACTCAATAACTCTTGCTGACTCTTCTTAGCCCATCGACAATGCGCCCGTGATCAGGATGCGTTTAATGACAGTGATGACCCCTGGAGATGTCCTACTTGTGCAGGGAATGGCTTTGAACCTGACCCTGCAGAGACCTCTGAAACACAACCAAAGTCTGGGACAACACATCTTCCTAAAGAACTCTTACCTGCTCACACGGGAGCTTCAAACTCTGGATTCCACTCCATTTTTGACACCAAAATCAACGAGGATGTACTGAATAGCTCACGTTCGCTACGAAAGCGAAAAGCGTCGGACGTGGAAGAGCATGTGCCCGTTCTTCGGAAACGACGACGTCAAACAGAATTCTCCCTTTTAACCGATGGAGCAATCGATGGTGCAGATGTAAATGCAAATGCAGGCGCAGGCGAGACCTCCCCTGCTCAGCGTCCTACGCGTTCTCGTCGGGCCCGTGGTCTTGATCAAAACTGCCGAATAGTTTCAAGAGGATTTAGCAAACTCATTCTTGGATTTCGGATCGGCGGCGGCAACGCGGAAAGAGCTATCATCGCTCAAAGTCGACCGCAGCGTCGGAGAAAGAAAGCATCAAAACCCCCACCTGTACCTCAACCACCCCAAGCTCATTTTGCCCCTATCCCCCCTGTACCCTACAACTACATTACTCCCTTTCATGACCGTGATGGTGATGACTCCAAATCCAAGCCGTATGGAGGTATTTTGACCGACACCGAGGCAGACACCTCAAAGACTCTCCCTACGCAGCTTGACCGCGAAAAGTTCGAACACGCGCGCCAAAAAGCCGAAGATGAATGGCAACAGAAAGTCCGAGAAGCTGAGCTTAATGGCGAGGCTCCACCGTCAGCATCACAAAAAGTTTCAGGGCCACCTTCAAAGATCAAGTGCATTAACTTTGGTGGCTATGAGATCGAGACCTGGTATGCAGCCCCTTACCCAGAGGAGTACAGCCGGAACCGCGTGCTCTACATTTGTGAATTTTGTCTAAAGTACATGAACTCCGACTATGTCGCTTGGAGGCACAAACTCAAATGTCCGGCCAAACACCCTCCAGGAGACGAAATTTACCGCGACGGCTCCGTGTCAATCTTTGAGGTTGACGGACGGAAGAACCCAGTCTACTGTCAGAATTTGTGTCTCCTAGCCAAGCTTTTCCTCGGCTCCAAGACTCTTTACTATGATGTGGAACCTTTCCTGTTCTACGTGATGAGTGAGTACGATGATCTTGGCTGTCATTTTGTTGGATATTTCAGCAAGGAAAAGCGACCAAGCTCCGCCAATAACGTTTCATGTATTCTCACCCTTCCCATTCATCAACGAAAGGGGTACGGCAATCTCCTGATTGATTTTTCATACCTCCTCACCCGCATCGAGGGTAAGAATGGATCACCCGAAAAACCACTTTCTGATATGGGTCTTGTATCATATCGCAACTACTGGCGGTTAATTCTTTCATATCAGCTGCGAGATTTGAAAACGCCTATCAGCATTGCTGATCTCTCTGACCGGACGGGGATGACAGCAGATGATTTAGTATCAGCCCTGGAAGGACTTCGGGCTCTCGTACGGGACCCGATTACGAAAACCTACGCGATCCGCTTGGATACCAAGTACTTTGAAGAAGTCATCAGTGGTTGGGAGAACAAGGGTTACGTTCAGCTCAATCCTGATGCTTTGCAATGGACCCCGTACGTTATGGGTCGCAACAACCAGTCACACTTTGAACATGCTCCCATGCATGCCGTTGCTGCTCGGGACGACGAGGACGAAGACGAGACTGATGAAAGCCCCATGATGAATGGCGGATTTGGAGAAACAGCTGGACCACCTTCTACTGCTCATCTCTTAACCAACGGGGTGCATCCACACCGCGAACCATCTCCTATTCCAAATCCGGCTGCCGGGATTCCTCCCTCTCGCTTTGAACTGTGGCCTCCCGTTCATGTTCCCGCATCGAGGGGGCGTAAACCTGGTCGTCCTCCATCAGGCAGAAAAACCAGCCACCGGGGATCGATTATGCCAAGCACTCCGCGCACCAGCGGTCGCAACACACCGCGTCGGGGATCTGCTCTGCCAGCTTTTACCCCGATGACCAATTCACCAATGCGGCGAGGTCGTAGCGCCCTACTCACCGGCTCCCCGGCAGTGGAGGACACTACAGAAGACACTCCTCAAGAGGACACTCCTCAGCCTCAGCCCAAGGGTGTTGATACCGAGGAAGCCGTCGAAGAGAACGCAGATCCCACTCCTTCTGTTGGTTTGGATGGGGCGTTCGACAGCAGAGACGAAACGGCAAATGTGAACGGAGAAGCTGAGACGAACGGAGTCCACTCGGAAAGTCCTGTAAAAAGCCCGGTGCCCAGAACACCACAAAAGAAAACACATTTGTCGCGATCACCCGGAACCGCAACATCCCACCGATCAAAGCGATTCGAGAATCAGCAGAGCCAGAACCAGAATCCCACCAAGACACCCCAATCTGTCGGCCGCAAGGCGCTGATTGAAAAAGTGCAAGTGATGATTCCGGCCGAGATAGATTCACCTTCTCGGCGCGGCAAAAAGGCTGTGACCAAGACCAACGGGATCAGTGAGCATGCCTCGACAGCCGATGATGACGCAGATGCCGAATACGAGGCCGACGGAGACGTGGTAATGGAGACATGAGTAACCAATATCCAATAACCAATATCGCATTGCAATATTCAATTTCGCATAGGAATGGGAATGGGAAGGAAAACCAATACATACAGGGCGCTTAGTTTGAGCTTATCTTTCAATCTTTTGGCAGTAGGGCTTGGGAATGGAATCAGATTCCCATGTCTATTGCTTTTGAGCGTTTGGCATGTTTATGCCGCTCATTCATTCGCTCGGTTGAGTGTTTTTTTTTTTTTTTATCATGATTAGGATTATTAGGATTAGGATTTTTTTGATTTCTAGCCAGGAGTGTGGGTTGCTTCACTTGTGGGTTTACTTTTATTTCTTAATCGACTTCGATTTTTCTAAACCAAGTGAACAGTAAGTCTAGAAGTAGAATATAGAGTAAAGAGTAAAGAGTCCAGCTAAAACAGCCAAGTAGAAGTATAATGTATCATTACTCTGTATTCCTATAGTACTCGATCGGCAAGATCGGCCCCCAAGCTGTCAGTTCAAATGGAGTCAAGCTTGGACCTGAACCAACCCATGGATCCAAACACCGTTTAAGCATAACATTCGGCCGTGGTTCGGTACAAATTAGTGATATGACAGCGGTAGCTAAGACCCTGAAGATCTTCAATTGTACTTTCTAGTACACGCTACTGCATGGACAAGGAATTCTATGGGTCTGGTTGGCCGTATAAAGCCCTAATATTAATCCAGCGGAGACATAATGTGTTGTTCATTCCCCACGTCACTTTTCCCCTCTTAAACTTGGCTTCTGCTTTTTGAAGAAGAGTTTTCTCGTTTCATTTCATTTCTTTTTCTCCATTCCTTTTAGTCTCGGACCACTTTTTTTTTCCTTTTTTCCTTTTCCTTCACTTTGCGCCCTATCCTCCTTTCCCATTCTGCGGCTAACACGTACAATCCAAACTGATCTAGCCTATATTCTGGGATTTGTACTCTGACTTATCTTACTGGTACTAACTTAGTAGCTTGAAACTGGAAGGGAAGAATATCCATGGTGATGACCAATCATCATAGCTCGGAGTATATGATGTCGCATGTGGCCTGCACGGGATCAGTCTAGGACAGTCATAGCACATCAAAGCCCCCCCTTAATTCCTTTTCTTCCTTCTCCTTCTACTACTTACACCCCTCACTCTCGGCTCGGATAATGGTTTTCGTTGTCTTCCTTGGCCTATTAACGCACACAGCTCATCATTGTACCTGTGTGGGTTAAACCCCTCGAAGCGGGGCCCACCAGCTGAAGAATGCGAAATCATTTGGCCCCAACGCTTTACCGGTGGTAACCATAGGCATTAGATCTGACCTGAAGAGTTCACAGTTATTTGAAGTCTCTCGGTATTTGACCTCGGGAGTCTCATGGGCTCGTAGCCAGCTCGCTGTCAGCTCGCCCTAGGGAATGACACCGTCACCCGTCACATTCATGCAGGATGCAGCAAGGCAGCGCGTACCACTGTGTCTCTCAACTCCAGGCTTTCGTCACCACCTATTTAACCCCAATGAGCCCATAAGCTGACAGGTTGGCTAAGGGGGAAAATAACCCTTCTTTATAGGTCCTCGTTCGCATATTCTGATCTGCCGGTGGCTGTGATTTATGCGTACTTTTGATGAAGAGTACTTCATCAGGCAACAGGACAGCTCAATATTGCAGAATCTAGATTCTGTCGAGTATTGACGAATACTGACGAACAAGATTCGCAGGATTTCATCTAGAGTGTATATCCGATCACCCAGTCAGAGAAGCATGAGATTATACTCTCGGACCAAGGCCTCTCCACTTGAATTCTTCGCTAGATCTGATAGACAGATCCAAGATTCAAGATCGATCAATGCAGCCAACCGGCGCACCCTCACCAGCGCACGTACCCTCGTACATGCTCTCGTATCGATGGAGTTACGAGTTGAGATACCTGCATGACACAGGAAATGTGATGTGTCCAATTCTCATCTTTCATAGTCTGTACTATTGCAGTACAAAGTAGGGTTTTCGACTCCCACATACTTTTTTTCATTCCCCTCTTCTCGGACTATGTCCTTTTAGGCTCTTTTGCTTCTTCTCTCCCTTGCGCCTATACCATTACCCCTCATCGAAAGATGTCTTTTTGATTTCGCTAATATACAGGAATGCAAGGGGATTGCTCCCTGTCCTTGATATTTTGCATTCTGACATTTTGACATTTTGACATTTTGACATTTTGGCATCTTGGCATTTCTGGGGTGGGATCTCGAGATCACTTTCTCAGTGTTGAACTTTCTCTGTTGAACTTTCTCAGTGTTGAACTTTCTCAGCGTTGAACTTTCTCAGTGTTGAATTCACTCAGGGTTGTACGATATACTGTGTTTGACACTGGAACACCAGACCTGAAACTGACCTGGGGATCTTCGGATTGTGCACATTCCAACTGATACATTGATACAGGGTTTTTAGCCCCAGGATCGAGCATTGGCCTCTCTGTTGACTCCGAAACAAAGCGAAGAATTGGTATGTCTCACATACTCTCAGAACTGTCAAAGAAAGTCTCGACTCCGAAAGGAACGGATGACATAAGGAAAGCTGAAATTTGGGGTTAAAAATTGGGTTTGGAATTATTGGAATTATTACTTGATAACCGTGGAATTTACTAAAAGATTTACTAATGCTCTATTCAGTTTAGTATATCAGACATTGGGGTCGGATCTCAATATCCGGGAACCCACTTTTGACTGGAATGTTTAGACGCCGGACCAGGGACCGAGTCCACTTTTGGCGTTTAGAATTCACTTCGACGGGAAACACCTGCATTAGTCGGCTATTCTAATAGGAAAGGAAGAGGGAGGGAAACGGAAAAAGAAAAAAAGGAAGACAAAAAAGAAGGAGAATTGAGTATAAGAATCCGAGATCAACTCTCATCTTATAACCCTTTTCGGCTATCAATACAATTTCGGATCAACTGCGGACTTACTACTTGGACCTCGAACTTGGTCGATACCAGCTGAACCCTTTTCTCTAACACCCACTTTTTTTGGCCGTCCTAACCGCTTAAACCTTGCAACGGTTCGATTGGGGGTTTCTTCTTACGGAGTACCCAGGCTATCATCCAATCAACTTGCAAAGAAAAACTCTTCTAATGTTCTGTGCGCCTAAACAGGTCTTACTCTTCTTCTGATTTGTTGCAGAAAGTTGAATTTTAATAGCCGGAAGAAGAAGAAAACCTTTTTTTTTTTTTTTTTTTAATATTCGGCTGATACAGATACTGGCGGTCATTGATTACTACTCAGATCGACATCTTTGTTCGGCCGCTTGCGAACTAAAGACCAAAAAAAAAAAAAAAAAAAAAAAAGAGGAAAAAGAGGAAAAAGAGAAAATCCAACCTGACGACACCACAAGCCGTTTTCAGTTGACGCAGAACATACTAAATTGGATCCATGGGAATTCATCGCTCCTACCGTGAATCCCGCACCTTCACATCTTAACTTTCCCCCACTACAGCTTCCCCCTCCACGACATCGTGACCATCTCTCATTCTTTCCTTCTTTTTTTCAGACCCATTCTTTCTTCTATTCTTCTCGGTCCCTTTCTTCCACTATTCACTGTTCCTCGGATCCGCAGTAATCTTATACTGCGGTCTTATCATTTCATTTCCCGGTCGTCTTGATGAGTGCCGTTTACGACGCTCCTTACAGTCGCGAAGCCCAGAGGTATATATCTCTGTTTTACCGTCAGCTCTTAACTTCGACTGACTTTCCAACTGACCATGTTGATCAATTCTAGTTCTGACTTTGATCTGGCCATTCGCCAGCAGCCCGACCGGGCGCGCGTGGCCGGGGGGAAGGAGAAGGAACGCAAACCTATCGATCCGCCTCCGATCGTTCAGCTTCGCGTTCGAGAGGAGGGCTCTTATCTCGCACAGTACGTGGATTCATCCCTATCCTTTCCTCTGCTCTGTTCTTTGTCTTTTCTCTCTTTCTCTCTCTCCGGTTTTAGGTTTACGGCAGTACCCTCCATCTCTCAGCCTTCCATGTCTTGTAGAGCAAAAGAGAATGAACAAAATATGTATCTATGGATCTGTACTGACTAATGCTCCCTTTCAGACACTACCTTCAAAGTCCTTATTTTTTCATGTGCTGCAGCTTGTACGATGCCTCAGAAGATCGCCCAGTGCCTGTTTCGCCTTCAACCGCGTTAGCTGGAACCCTGGTTTCGTCTCTTCATCGGTTGAAGGACATAGACAACAGTGGTGAGTTGGACTCAAGAACATACAGTGAATCAGGACTTGAGAGATTTATACGGTCACAAAAAGCGGAATTGGAGGCTAATACTGGAGTAGATGGAGGTTTTTTCGTTTTCGGCGACCTCTCCGTGAAGATTGAGGGCGAGTTTCGACTCAAATTCACCTTGTTTGAGATGAGAAAGTAAGTGCTGGGTTTTTGGATCTAGGATGGGCCGGAAACGGGAAACGGGAAATACTGACGTGTAGTTCAGAGACCAAGTCACGTACCTGAAAACCATCATCTCGGACAGATTCACAGGTAAGGATTTCAATACATTGCAATTTATGGGTCGTGCTAACAGACAGCAGTTTCCCCTCCCAAAAGTTTCCCAGGTATGATGGAGTCCACGTTCCTCTCTCGGTCGTTTGCGGACCAGGGCGTCAAACTTCGCATTCGCAAGGAACCTCGGAACATCATGTGAGTGAATTTACAGTGAATCTAAGAGGACTTCTCTGACAGCAAGTACAGGAAACGCTCACGTCAGGATGACTTTCCACAACCAATCCCCACTCGGTCTCCAGATCGACAGTCGATCCAGATCCCTCCAGCGGCCACTGGCTACACTGGGTATCCGGCAGCGAGTCGGGATTATTCTTATTACGGGGCTCAGCCTGTGAAAAGGCATAGGACCTCCATCGACTTTGGCCGCCAAGGCATCTACGACCCGGACCAGCGGATGGCTCGGCCCATGGATGCATATGGTCAACCAGCCAATCTGTACAGCCAGCCGGGGGCATACCAGACTCCAACGATGCAGACTTATGCCACGGGCCAGGTGGTGCCTGACTATGGGGTTCGTTCGAACTACATCTCCACCCCAAATTTCTCTCAGTCTAACCATTTCAGATGTCCTACGGTCTACCGCCGTCAGCCCCAATGTCCCAGATGCCAGATCCTTCTGGTCAGGCTCGGACAAGCCAACAGGCCGCCGTGGGTCAGCTGATGACGATGAACCAGCCAGGCACTCCTGTACGGCACCCCTCCTCAAATCAGTGAACCCTCAATAAGGAGATCCTTGCTAAGTATTTTCTTTTCTCATCGCTATACAGACCCCAGATTCGACAGGAGCGATGATGGCACAGGGATATGCCCGGTCACGATACTCAAACTCGAACTCGACTAGTCCTTCTATTCTTCCTCCATTGCAACGGAACCGCTACTCAGGTCCCAACGGGAACATGCGTGGCTATTATGATCAACCCTCTCCATCGGCCACTCCAATTATTCATTCCCAGATGGTACTCGAAGGTGATCGGTATGGCACCGCGGCCGGCCCGACGGTTTTTGATCCTCAGGGGTCTCCGGACACGCCTCAGTGATGAAACTTGGTTCTTTTTTTTTTTTTTTTTCGTTCTTCTTCTTGCTTTCTTCTTCGCTCCTTTCGTTCAGGGCCTCGACGGTCCTGACCTCCCCTTTTACTTTTATGATGTTACTTTTTTTGTATTCACGTGTTTTTGGTTCCCTAACTGTCTGGATAGACTGGGGTGTTGGATATCTCGATTTTGGGTTTATATCACGGGTGGCTTGGGGGTTTTTTTCAGGCGCTGGTGGGTAGAAACAGGGGAGGTTTTGGTCTGTGATCTTGAAAAGTGAGGCTATAAAAATATCCCCTTGATGTAAATACTGGACCCGTCTGGCAGACTTAATCAACGCAATGGCTCATGCTTGTTCTTACTTCCACTCGATTTATAGCTCTACGTCCAATTGATCTCCATCTCTACACTTTTCTACTTTGGCTCACTTCAACTTTCAAATCTACTTTTACCGACTTTGAGTTTACTTCCACTTCCACCTTCATATCCACTATTATACTCTTCTCTCTCCTTATTCTTTTCCCTTCCATATCTCTCTTGCTTTCTGAATCTCTGAACTTCATCACGATTTTCATCTTCTGAGCTGAAACCCTCTCAACAACCTTGATGACTTTTATCACTTTCTTGAATCACTTTCTTGAGTCACCTTCTTGAATCAGCTTTCTCTTCTTTGCAAGAACCTGATATCTTTCCACTTCCTTTTCACGTGTCTGATATTTACTCCAACTTTGTTGTCTTTCCAGAATACCTGCTTTCCTGTTCCCAACTTGAATTTATTTTACTTTCTGATCTTCACCACTCTTGTTGTCTTTCACGAAGGAGCTGCTTCCTTGTTAACAACTTGATTCCTTGTCACCATCGTGATCCTGTATCTCTTTCTCTCTTTCTTGCTGTTTCATCGGCAACTGAGTCACATCATGGATCCTTCAGACCCCGATTTCCTTTTCACGATGCCGAAACTCGGCGATCACAATGAGACCGAAGTGACCTGCAGCTGGTCCGGCAACCTTGCCGACCCCGTCGAAGCCAAAGTCACCATCAACGTACGTATACCGCTCCCACGATTGACTCCCCCATAGCTAATTTCCTCTTCCAGTTCTGGTCCGAGCCCGACAATGAGGTCCTTATTCTAGATGCCAGCTCATCCAACATTGAAGTCGTGTCCCGCGAACTTGTCGAGCATTACATTCTCCAGAGTGACGGGGACTTTGCTGCAGAGCTTGAGGAATACTGCGCCCGCGAGCAAGAAAATGACGCTATTAAGCTTTCGCAGAAACGCTCCAGAGCTAAGAAGAGCATGGCTTCAGTTGATATTGAATCGAAGTCGGCCACCGATGAGCACGACCTGTTTATTTCCAACTCCGACACCAACTGTACCGAGCCCAAGGCTATAGCTACCGAGATCAAACCTCGTGTATCTACCTTCAGCTTTGACTCCACCGTTACCAAGCCCAGTTCTACAGTTGTTGAGATTGTTTCCAAGTCGGCCACCGATGAGCACGAGCTGTCTACTTCCAACTCCGACACCAACGGTACCGAGCCCAAGACTGAAGTCGTTGCGATTGATTCCAAGTCAGTCACCGATGAGCACGACTATTCTACTTGTAACGTTGACTCCACCGTGACCAATCGACGAATTGCCCCTATACGCAGACCTATCGAGGCTGCATTTGTCGAGAATGACCCTCGTGTATCTACCACTAACTCCAACACCACTGATACCAAGCCCAAGGCTACATTTGTCGAGATTGAACCTCGTGTATCTACCTCCAACGTTGACTCCACTGTGACCGGTCGAAGAATTGCCCCTATGCGCAGATCAGCCAAGGCTACATTTGTCGAGAATGACCCTCGTGTATCTACCACCAACTCCAAAACCACTGGTACCAAGCCCAAGGCTACAGTTGTCGAGATTGAATCTCGTGTAGCTACCTCCAATGTTGACTCCGCCGTGACCAACCGACGAATTGCCCCTATGCGCAAACCGATCAAGCCTGCATTTGTCGAGAATGAACCTCGTGTATCTACCTCCAATGTTGACTCCACCGTGACCAATCGAAGAATTGCCCCCATGCGCAAATCAACCAAGGCCACATTTGTCGAGAATGACCCTCGTGTATCTACCACCAACTCCAACACCACTAGTACTAAGCCCAAGGCTACAGTTGTCGAGATTGAATCTCGTGTATCTCCCTTCAACTTTCAATTCCAAAATTCTCAGAGTGACGAGTCTGATCAACCCATCCACCCCCGCGTAGTGTTCTTTGACGTCGCTTCCGAGTGTCTATCAGACCTCAAAACCTCCAGCAGCAGTTATGCTCCCCAACCCACCAATATCTCTCCCCTGGCCAGGTTCTCTACAAACTGTCAGCCAAGCTACTGTGGTTCACACACACCTGACCCCTCCCCTGTTCAAGAATCAGCCGATGAGGACGATACCATCTTGAAGAAAGCCGGGGAAGGCGATTCTCTTGGATCTCTCTTTGAAGAGCGAGATGCTGACACCGACGAGGGTGATTCTCTCGATTCTCTCTTTGAGGATAGAAATGCTAAAAATGATGCCCCATTTGAGGAAGCCGAGGAAGGCGATTCACTTGGTTCTCTCTTTGAAGAACAGGATAATTCCTGTGGTTTTTTCTTTGAAGACCATAAGGAGCAATCAACTGTAGTGAGCTCGAGCCGCCTTGAGAGACTCATTGATGAACACGAAGCCGAGAAGCGCAAAGCCAAGGCCGCATCCCATGCCAGTTCTAACGCCCTGGCTGTCCCAACTGGACGCCGTATTCTGACTCCCGCTCAAGATAGTGCCCGCCGTGGTGCCCCTATAAACGCAAGCCCTCCATACCTTTCCAATACAGAGCGGTGCACTGGCTCGTTCGATGATGAGAGCGACTTCGGAGATTCGCCCCCTCCTGGCCTATTTGACGGCCCAATCTCAAAGTCACTCCCCGGAAGCCTTTCTTTTGACAGCCCATCACCTCGCGGTCTTTGTGAAGATGATCAAGTTGCCTCAGTTGGCGAGTCGGGCAGCGTGGCATCTTTTGATCCACACTCTGCGACTGGACCCGTTTACACGCCCTGTCACAATGCGCTCCTGTTCGAAAACACCTCGACCGAGGTTTCTTTGGATGGGGAGGAATGGACCGATGATGATCCCGAACTCGATATCCTCGCAAAAGCCGAGTATAACTGGGAGCTGGAGGAGCTCAAATGGCCGAAGTGGACCTTCGAAAACGGTTTGCTTAAGGTCCGTACCATTGCGATCACCGAGCGTGCCCAGTGGCGCGCCGTCATCAGGCTTCGTGTGAAGATTGAGCTTGGTGATGACGGCCTTTTGGAAATTAAAATTCCAAAACTGGGCCGCTTCGTTGCCGATAGAGATAACTGCGGACTCATTTTCAACCAGGATAAAGGTCGAGGATTTCTGTACGACTCCTCTAACTTCAATGATGCCCACCTAGTTGGAAATGGGTTCGCAGGTGCGTGGACTGGTAGCGAAGGGTTGCTTCTTCGCTTCCGTGAAGTGAACAAAGATTTCCACACTCTGAAGGATTTCAAACTCATTTCTACCATTGTGGAAGAAGCCATTCCGGGTGATGGAAAGTCGCAGGCCCTTCGATACACGGCCTACTGCGCGGTCAAGCTAGGCTATCTCTTCTCGAGTGATAATTGTGTGATGACACTGTTTGTCCAGGGTGGCCCAGATGGCCGCCAGAGCTTCTTTTTGGAGGGTAGTGACGTCGGGCAACAAATCAGCCTCGCTGCTTTTGGGCTGATGTCAAAGCCCGGCGTCACGGAGCTCAAGGTAGTGTGCACTGCCGGCAATCTGGCAGGTTTCAGCATCACCTGGGACTTCAAAGAACATCAGGCCGAGCGCCACCGTATTTTCCCTCAAATAACCATGGACTGTGACCTCACTGCCGTCAATAACCACTTTGGTCTGGTCCGAGGCTTTCCTCCAGGACACACCCCAGAGTCAGTGCCCACAGAGCTTCCGGAGGAGGAATTGATTCCAGAGAAGCCTCTTCTGCACGCATCTGCAGACTGGAAGATCCCCTGGGAGTTCATCATCCAGGGGGTCATTGTCGTAATGATGATGGTACTCTGCGCAGGGCTAGGTGGTAGAGAGTATATTAACTCTCGCCCGGCCCTGCGCAAAGCCCTGGGCGAGGCCCTGATCCATGTCATTCGTGTCCTATTTGGAATTGCCTCTCCGAGGTGTGCATGCCCGGAGAGGGTCTTTGCAGACCCTGTCTTTATGGTCCCGGATGGACCGCTCTCCTTCCGGGACCGGGTGGATTATGCGCTCGGGTGGAAGGGAGGTGTGGATGGGCCGTATCATGCGGCCTACTACGCCTCTTATTTCTCCCCGGCCGCCAGGGTGTAGGGGTCGGTGACCTGAGAAGGGTTACTTGGGAAGTAGGAGGCGTAGATGGCCTACATCATAGAGCTATGTACGCCTTGCTGGTCTTATAAACACAAAAAACTTAAAATTTATTTGTATTTATTTCTATATGTCATAGGCCGAGGCCACAAAAAACATTTCGATGACTGGAGGGAGTCGTAGATGGCCCATATAATTTAGTCATCTACGCCTCATAAACCTCTTCTCAACCCCCGAGGTCGCAAATAACAGACCTCGGGTTGTTCAATACATAGTCAGTATTAATCCTTGGTATCTATTTTAGCAGAATTTCGATATTATCCAATAGTTATTATCAATTTAATGTGTATTTCGAAGTAAACACCAGGGTATAAATACCGGTCAATGCCAACTATAGTATTCCAAGGGGCCTCCTATGATCCATCCTTGGAGCCTTGGAGCGTACCAACTTGCCTAGGTAGAGTTCCTCAAGAAAATACCAAGTGTGCTCCCCCACATTCCAACCTTGTAAGCATGAATATCTTCCGGAGGCAGGATTTGATCCAGAGTGTTACCCATGCATCGGATCTCAGAAGCTCCCACCAGAGACCAACTTTGGAATCAAGTCTTATATACAGGTGGTTAAGGTCCTAGAGCTGTGCCAGAAATATGAAACTTTAGGACCTCAACCTTGGAATTAACCCAATCTCACTTCACTATCCAGTATCAGTTCGACATTGCTCTCGCTTTACCTAGATACACTTACAAATTCCAGTCTCTCATTCTCAAAATGGAATAAGAGAACTTCTCTCGATACTCTTCCTAGTTAACCTCCTCTTATTGATATTTCCACGGCCGTATCATCATTCCTGTCCGAGCTAGTGCTCACTGTGGCTCCAACATGAGCGCAAGCCATCCATACCTTTCGAATCCGAAGTGATACACTCGAAATGATGTCGGGGATTCTCTCCTGCCTAGCCTATTCGACGGCCCTATCCCCAATTCACTACCCGGCGCCACAAACACTCGTCAGAAATTGGCCTGCAACGGTCCATTGGCTCATTAGTCAGTCATATGCGCAATGTCGTTACAGACCATTCGGGTTTGATACCTTCTACATTGGAATCGGGGCCACTGTCTCCTTTGAACACTCACTCTCCTCAACAAAATCTATTTATTTAGCTTAGTCCTGGCACCTGAGGGAGTGGGACATCTTTTCCAAAACATTTGGATCTGTTAGAGGACGAATATGGTGACGAGCTGTCGGTGATTGAGCGCGGCATGGACTAGTACTATGTTAATGATTTTTCTTATTTATTTCCATATATTCAAGTATTTGTATTTTCTTGTTTCATTTCTTCTTTGATTTTTATCTAACTAATTGGGTAGGTTCCAAAATATCAATTGATGCCCAGGCGTAGATACCTACTTAGGTGTTCATCCATACAAACTAGTTGCCGAAGATCATCATGAGGTCTTCTCACATTATTTCTTATCTCATTGTATTCATGGATCTAAGATGAGATGACATTAATCAATTATTATAGATATTTGTCACTATTGCGTTCATATATTGCGGTCACGCAAGCGTAGAGCATGGAATACTTTGAAACGCCATTGCCATATGTTCATGCCTTCCTAATCGATTCCCATATTTGTTGACCTCTCTAGACTTTACATCTATTTTTCTTCTTCGCATTTTGCTTGAATTTCTTTGCAACCAGTTTTTCACTGTACCCTGATCTGCTGTTTTGTTTTCAAAATGCCTCCCGTTCGTTCGAAACGTCGCAACATCAACTATTCAGCTGCCTTCACAGTTTGGATTCCTCCCAAAGCAGGTTTGAATCTTGAGCACGAAAATTCTCGGACTGAAAAGCGGAATCGACTTCTTTCACGTTTAACCACGCGTAAGTGTTTTCCTTGTTTGTTTGTTCTTGCCATGTACTCAATGCTGATATTGCCGTTCACACATCAGATCATTCACTTGTTGGGTCAGTGGTCCTTTCAGAACCAGTTCCAAAAGATGGCTCAGATTCCCTCACACATCCTTCCCTGGATGGTAAGTCACAGACTAACTCTGAAGCACGATCTTCGGAAGACAGTTCTAGTCATCAGGCCGCTTCAATCACGTCGTTCAAACCCACACTTAAACAGCCAAATAAACCCAATCGTGACAGACTGATGATTGAGTCGAGACACTCAAAGATTCAAAGATCGAAAAATGCTTTCACTGCCGGGGAGAATCTCTCGTCTAAGCAGTCTGGGCACCTTATCCATGATGCACCTGTTGATATCCGGGGACAAAATTCACTCGGTCTAGGAATTGGTCATATTCCCATTGCCAGTTTTAGTCTTTCTGTTGAGAATCTCCAGCGCTACAGTGAGATAAATCCCCAGCTTCTTTCCATCGAGCGGAGAGGACAACGGCGATCTCGGCAACGACAGACATTTCAGCAACAATATGAGTTATATTCAAATCATGGTGGACTTCGTGGAATCCGCGTTCAGGATCTCCAACGGTATGTATATGCACCTCATATTCTGGCTCCAGCTATCAGACTTCTACGACCTGCTCCTATTTTTCGATCAATAAAGAGTGAGTCTTCTGTCAAACACTCAATTCACGCTTCTCGAATCCACTCGATCCCAAAGTCTAACCTCCTTTCAGACACAGATGATGTATTCATTGCAGGAAGTGTTGGAGAACAACCTTCTCGACAGCGTGTTGTGGCCTCTGCAGTCAAATCTCCTCCTCGTCAGAAGACTCGACTTGACACTTGGAATTGTGGTGACCTCCATGGAGTGGGGTATGGATATGGATACGCAGGATATGGAGGAAACCATTTTCATCTAAATGAAGAACCCAACTTGCCACGCTCTCTTACCACCTATGAGATGCTGACTGACATGCAACGTGAAGAGATTATTCGTTCTTTCCATGCCATGAGTCAGAAGGATATGACCCTGCTATCTGTGGTCAGTACTGAAGATCTTGCTGAGCAGAATGCACTGTTGGCAGGCTTGGAGCAGAGCCTGGATCTTTTCCCGGGTGTGAAAATTAGTGCTGAGGTGGAAGATGATTCTGATGTTACAATTATTTGAATGGAGTAAGATGATGAGATGTTTGTTGGAATATCCATGAGCTCTGTGGTTGGTCTGATGAGGATTCTGATGAATGTTGACGTTGTTGTTGCCTTTTATCTCGGCGTCTGCTGTCGTTTGGCTTTGTGTCTCAGCGTTTGGGAGATTAGGGTTCTCTTTTCACTATGCAATTATTTGCATTTATTCTAAATCTGCCAGGACACTTGGATATTGTTTAATGATATTAAAAAGTCCCCGATGGAAGACTTCCGTGTTCTGATAGACATAGTTTCTCAAAAAAGAGTTTGAATACTGTGGTACTTGGTAAGGATTAACATGCCTGACCATGATCTGATTTCACTCTTACTCTTATTCTAGGAGTCTCACTAACTTGTAAATCTTGAATCGATATGTATTATAGCCTCAAGTTTTTCTACTTAAATAATTTCTCTTCATTTCTCTGCTCTTCACCCTTTCAATGGAGAAAAAATGGTCGGCTATCCATGGATAGAACTTGGAACATTCTGCACCGATATAGCTAAGTAGCTCATGAAACAACCATAGGACCAACGAAGAAATCAATGACTCTTTCTAGAGGGCGTTTCTCATTATCAAGACCTTCTATCTGCTGAAAATAGCATTGAGGACGTCACCTCCCTATATACCAGGACGAGCGAATTGGACAGGAGAGCAGTGGGCCAAATCACTTGTTTGGACCTTTGCACCTTAGATCAAGTGAAGGAAGAGGTTACAAATTGCGAAGATAACCTTGGAAGTCTCGTGGATTCAGATAACCAACTAGTTGGCAGTAGAGGTCGGCACGGTTTTACCGATATCCGTATCCGTAACCATAACTGTAACCGTAGAATTTCTACGGTTACGGTTACGAAGAAATGCCCTCTATCCATAGCTTATATCACGTGTCTAGAACGACCTGCAGTTCTAATATATATTTCCACATTTATAGAGGTGTAAATCTCATATAATTCTCAAGTAAAAGAATTTTCAATTAGGAATCAAAACCATATACATCTCTTAACAAAACTAACTCTCTATAGTCTTACTGTTCAGAGATTGTCGACGAACACCTAGGATATCCCTTACAAAACTGAAAAGACTTTCTACTGAAACCTCAGCTGCTGGGATACCAAGGTAGTCCCTTGCAACTGCTGCCATCCTGGGGTATTGATCCTTATAAGCGTTCCACCATGAAAGCAGCCACTTAGAGTCATCTTGGTCTTCTATTAATCCTTCTACTTAAATAGGAGGTTCATCAAAATAGCGATCAAGATCAGAAGACCGAGATACTTCTTGAATGTACCTTTTCTAGAAGACGAGCCCTCATACCTGGTCGAGCAGGATGATCCATAGTTATAGAAGTAGAACTAGAGATGGAGGTAGCCAAATGGGGATATTTCTTATGAAGAAAGACCTTAATGTTCTGAATGATTCTTTGGATAACCCCATCTTTAAGCTCTTGTTCTAAAAGAGCAAATTTGACACGTGGATCAAGAGTAAGAGCTATATAATAGATATCTTGCATATCCATAAGATCATAGTATTTCCTATACTTTTGCATTTCAACGAAGATAGTAGAAGATATATCAGGACTAAGCCCTGCAAAATCGCCTTTAAAAGAAGCTGTTTCTATAAGGAGGTCATGCAATTCATAGTAAATAGGAGTTACTAGACTTATATGAAGTTGCCACTGAGAGATAAGTTGGATAAACTCATAGAATCTTGAAAGAACCATAGCAAGCTCACGAAGATTAGACCAATCATCATTTACAAACGATATCAGCTGATTCTGAACCTTATTCCAATGTTTAATATGCTCTTGAGCAAGGATAGCATCTTGAATCTTAAGATATGTCGAGTTCCAACGTGTCTCGATATCATACCTGGAACTATAAGTATATATAGGAAAGAGAGAAAGGAATCTTGCTTACCGAATGAGCTTATCAGGTAATCCATGCGTCTGATAAATGATTTGCCAATGCTGCTGTCTTTGATGACTCCTAGATACCCAAAGGGCTAGGATTCGTACATGAGCTAACGCAGAATGCCCAGCTGGTAAGCTCTTATGGTCCGTTAGAATACCACAGACATCTAAAGAAGATTGATAGTCGCCAGACCCGGCGTGGTAGGAGACTCATTCTATGAATGAATAACTATTTAGATATCAAATTAGGGACTTGGGATGATAAGTTTCTATCGCAGTATAGTATGATTTATTTAGGCGGTGGCATAATATCACGAATATCCGTAATCCGTATCCGTAACCGTAGAAATTCTACGGTTACGGATACGGATATAAGCTCTCGACTACGGTTACGGATACGAATAATCCAAAATCTTACGGATATGTATCCGTGCCGACCTCTAGTTGGCAGCAGGCATATTATGAGATAAAGATATCGTTTCGACTCGTTTCGGAATGAGAATTTCATACTTCGAGCTCAGTTGTGCCGTTTCAGATGACATTTTGACTGTCTTTGGACGTGTTGAAAGTCTTCTGCGGCATTTACAGCCGATATCTCGGCACGTGACTGTCATACTGAATGCGGTCAATTTTATGAGTGTTGAATTATTCGAACGTGCCTATTAGAAAACTTATGGCATCGCTCTTATGTATTAATAGCTCTTTTATATTCTACCGTCTTAGTCTACAGGATCCGCTGATAAGAGATAAGAAGCGATAAGTTCTTATCGCGATTCCGACTTCCATGTATGGTTTGTAATGATCTACAACCCTCCAGGTCCAGGGCTCCCTGAGTTTCCTCCCACACTTTCCAGTTTCTATAGGCAGAGATAATAGATCTAGTTGTGTATCCAGGGCAGCTAAAATTAAGTTGTAGTATGATCCATAGGTGGCGCCCACTGCGACCTCGGGATATTGTTCGTAATTTGGACAGTGTAGTACCACGTACCACTGGTATAACCTCTATACCATAGTCTTTACTTTCCAATGGTAGTACCCGTGGTCCTACATAGGTGCCTAAATAGGTACATAGGTGTATAAGATCCTTCCAAGTCTGGAAATATTAAATAGAAATGAAATGAGATGCATACCTATCCTATGGCGTTGAAAGTGCCTTGTTGGAACCAGAAATGAAACTAAGATATTTTGACGATATGGAAATTCAAAAAAATATGTCATTAACTGGTATGCCCAGATCTAATCAACCCGCAACTCCACAACAGAAAGCTCATCGCTAGAGGCATCTTCCAGCAGAGCCGGGACATCTTCAAATGAGACGTCCCCCTCCGACGCCAAAACCGAGCTATCCAACTCTTCAAGATGGTCACCAGGTTCGGAATTGTTATCTCCGACGGCGATGTTGCTGTCGTCATCTTCGAAAAGGTTATCAGTCATGGACTGGCTACCATCCGGGGAAACAGGACGGTTGAAGGTCCAGCTAGGCTGGCTGAACGCGATATCCAGAGGGTTGGAATCGGAGGCGTCTTCCCCAGGGGTCGATGGTGAGGACGAAGCTGATTCGGGTTGTTCGGGCTGTTCAGGCTGCTGGGGCTCTGGGGCTTCCTCCTGTCGGTATGCAGCAACAATTCGCTGCAACTCGGGGCCACCCAGCGGGGCGGCGGATTGGCGTCGGTAGAATAATAGGTATGCGCTTGAAGAAAACATACGCGTGGTGTCCTTCATGATCGATGCGCTGGAGTCTATAAGGTATGGTCAGAAAGTGCGTACCAAATTAAAGAAGAAAAGAAACTTACCATTGAAGTCACACCAATCACCTGTAACCCAATTCTTGGCATACGCGAAGTAGTGACCGCCACTCATGGTTCCAGAGTGGCAGTCGACGCCAATCAGGTCATATTTGGATCCCTTTTCATGGGGACCTTCAATGTATTCAGACAGATCAAGATCATTCAAGGGGAAATCGACCACTGTGCTAAGTTTTGATCGTCCTCCGCGGCCATGTCCCGACTGGGTGAAACGCTTCAGATGGATCACTAGAATATCGGGAGCATACCAAATCTCAAACTGCTTCTTGGCCTGTCGGTGCTCCTTGCATCGAGGACAGTACCAAGCATCGTCTTTAGAAAGAATCTCGTCCTTGCGAAACTCGTTCAAGCACTGGTCAAGGCTAATTCCCTGGTCTCGCTTGGCATCACGCTCAGCGCGGAGCTTGATGATTTCTGGGTCGTGAATGTACTCGATTGTAGACCAAGTAGAATTGCCCTGGCTGCTTGGGCGCTTGCTTTTGTCTCCACCAAACAATTCGTGACGAGCCTCCTCTTTCCATTCAAGAACGATCGAATCACCCTGAGATAAAATAGACTTTTGGTGAGCAGTGGCCCCAAACTCAGACTCATCGGAGTCACTGCCGTTGTGTTCATCGATGCAGTCCTCTGGAGAATCATCGATTTTGGGGGTTGGAAGGCGCGAAGCAATAAGGGGGTATTGCTCAAAAGCATTGAAGTTGCGACCATGAGGAATTGTTGAGTTCAAGTTGCGACGACGAGTGCTCCCTGCTGGGTATGACGCCATACGAGCAGCCTGTTCTTGAACAGTGACATCGAACAAATTCAGCAGTTTGGCTGGAAAAACGCTGGCCAAGGACCGAGGTAGAGTATTATCAGTCACCTCAGTTGCGTCGGTATCTTCAGTTCCCGCATTGCTGGACGGGGACATTTGCTGCACTGAAATGTTCACTAGACTATCTTCGCCATCGACAGAATCAGTCTTCACACGAGGGTCGGAGTCAGAATCTTCCGCGTTCATTATAACGGTATCCGATCCTTCCGGTGTCTGAACATCCTCGATCTGATCGTTCGTCTCGTTAAGAATGTCACGAGTTGTCATGGTGGCCACATGCTTGAAGATCTTGCGATAGATGGATTCAAGATCTTTGGCTTCTGCCTGAGACAGTGTAATGATAAATGGAAGTGCGAATACATCGCGTTTCATCTGGCTTTTCTTACCGCCACCGGCCTTTCGTCGATGGAAGATAGGAATTAGAACGGTGTCCTCCACGATAGGAGAATCTAACTCGACAATGACCACGGAGTCTTTGGCATCCACGTTGAGGTCGACAAGAGATGCAGTCTCTCTGTCCATTATCTGCCAGAACGCTCCATCGCTCAGTTCGGCACAAAGGAGCAGTTCAGGATCAACCTGTCTCTTGGAGGCAACCCAGTTTTTGAGTTCGCTGATAGGAGCCAATTTGTCGACTTCAACGGTGAAGCGCTTCGGAGCCGAAGAAAGAGGCATGTAGATAATCTCTCGGTATATCACGTTGCGCTTCTCCACGGGGATTGGCAGCGTGAGATTGCTGAAAGGATCGAACATTATGCTGACTTTGTCACACTCCGGGCAGGTCAGCGTCGACTTGTACATTCCAGCAAACAAGTCAATGATGACGGAATCGTTGCGAGCCTTGTAGTCGGTCCACGACTTGGCAGCAAACTCCTCCAATAACTTGCGATGAATGACCATGTCATCGGTGGAATCTGTTTTCTCAATATACGGCTTTTTTTGAATCCGGTTGAGGTCTTCGGAGAGACTGTCCAATGTGAACATGAGAAACTCCTGGCTGTCCTGTTGATCCCATCCCGCCATCATTGGGTTGCATCGTCCGACCTGTTCACGGAAGCGTCGAGGATTAACGGTAGGAGACGGGGAGCGGTACACATTGTGGAGCAAATGGGCGTATGCTGATGCAAAGTTGCCATTGAATCCAAGAACGTTCGTATGGTTGAGGTCCGCCTTGTGAGCGTTCTGAAGGAAATAAACGCTTAATTCTTCAACAGCTCTGAGACACTGAGTGGCGGCGTTTTGATAGCAGGTATTGCCGAGATTGTTCAAACCGGTCACACCTAAACGATTGCCACTGGGCTTGTGGCCTCCTGGGAGGTTCAGGACAGGGCTTGATTTGCCACTGCTGGCGGTGCTCTTGATCGATGGGACAATATCCTTCTTTTGATCGATGGGGATTCCCATGCGTTTCAAAGCCAAAGCCGACACCTCGCTAGTCCATTCACCACCACCTGGACCGCCAATCTGTTCCTCTAGAACCACTGCATTCGTTTCGACCAGACCTGCCATGATCAGCGTCATACGGCCGTTGTAGTTCTGATTGGATGTCTGATCCTTCACGCCCTGCAGCAGTTCGCGGTCTGTAGTTTCAGCCAAAGATAGAAATGTGTTCACGTCAACAGAAATGGTCTGGTGGGTAGACGAAAGAAGGGAAGAAGCCTTTGTGGGCGAAGTAGCCCGAGATACGGACGGAGTGCCGCTGGGACGACTACCGAGAATCTTCCACACGCGGACTTTTGTCGACATGTCAATACCAGCCAACTCCTTGACCTTTTTCAACCATTTTTGGAAATTTGTCTGGCGACCTGCCAGTGCTCTCGCGGGCGGAAGAGACTTCTCCTTCAAAGCTTGAGGAGTAAGAAGGGCGGAGGGATTTGACAACTTGTAGATACTGACAACAGGGGGATTCAATTCGTAGAGAACGTTGGAGTGGTTTCCAGTTTGGATTGTTTCATGGGCATATCGGACAATCACAGAGGATGGGCTCACCAGGCCGTACCAATTGATGATCAGGTCCCAACCTTCCTGTGGAATGATCTCGTAATCAACACCCAACTGTAAATCTGGACGCAAAGGAACGAAAATCTGGTCATGTTCATCATGGAGGTTGATATTGGTGGGATCGTCCAAGATGACGTCTGTGTTGTCGACAGGACCAAGTTCGTGGCTCAATGAATCCTTGTCAGCGAGGTGCGAATGGGTGGTGCTCCGTGCAAACACTCTGTTCAGCCACACTTTGGAGATGACGAAACCTTTTTGGCCATCCTTGAGAGGTTGTTGGCTCAAAGTAAGCACCTGAGCGACCTGTTCGTCGATGACATTAGGGGAATCCTCAACGGCGGTTTCGGCCATAACAGTATCCTTCTGCTCGCTGTCGTCGATCTCAGATGCCGGTCGCTTGGAGTTCTGCTCCGAAGACTGGCCATCTCCATTCGCAGGAGTGGCTTGTGAATCGGACATAACGAAAGAGAGCGCAATGTCTGCAGTGGCGCCCGCGGGGATAGGCGAGCGACCACTGGAAGAAGCGGGTTCAGCGCTGGGAGGACGTGACCGCAGATGAGCCGGAACGTATCGGTTCGGAGAATTGTCACGCTTTCTGCGGGGGTGGGAGGCCGAATATCGCTGTCTAGAGTAAAATCGAGGCAGACAGGGCGGCGGCGCAGAGCGGCCGTTACGTCCGCCTTCAGGGCTAATTGGTCGGGCTTCAGGCGAAATTTTACGACGCTTGGTGGGAGACGTCGTGGCGGGGAGCTGCGCGTGATGCGACAGCTCAGGGCACCGAGGTAGGAAAAAAGAAAAAAAGAAAGAAAAGAAGAGAGAATCCGTAGGGATCCTTGTTGTAAAGCGAAGAGGCTGAGGCAGAAAAAGCGGTCCCGATTAGTTTTTTTTTTATCCTATTTTTCCGAGCCGGGGATAAACCGATAAACTCCTATGTCACTTACGAGCACAGTTCGATAAAATCAAAAAAACAAAGTCGAAATTGGTAGTAGTGTGTTCGAATATTCTTGAATAGTAGAGCAAAGATATCAAAAGGGAAGAGCAATTACGGGGAGTGAATGGCTGCTACTTAAACAACATTATTTAGTATGAGAGGCCCAAAGAGGATGTAAGTTGAAGTCGAAGTAAACTCGAAGTACATATAGCCCTGAGCCCTAAATGCTCGCGGTAGAAGTGATGCGGTAGTCATTCACTTCTGGGGTTTTCATCTCAATACAGTACATATCAGAACCTTTTCGAAGTAGACGCAGATGTCAATATATCCTCAGTCCTATTGTTCATCTGTCTCATTTGATCATGTCGACACCCTTACTCCGAGAAATAATAGATCTAGGATCCTGGAGGTTGTTAATTGTCTCTATAGACTTTTGTTCGTAGATCCTTCCTTTAACTATTGACACTTGCCCAACGCAGAAAAGTACATATACTTGAATGATGAAAGGTGGAGAGCTTACAGCAAAATCATCACCACAGCACAAATCTCAAGTGTTTTAGTTCCCAATCATAGTCCCAAACATCTGGATCAGATGATATCAAAGCATAACCTTTGTTCTTCCAGGGTTATTGCTTGTCGTACTCTAGCAGAGCCCCGGTTAGACCTCGGATCCTGTGCACCAATTATAGTGGCAATTTCGAGTAATTCCAAGGTTTACTGATGCATAGGTACGGTACATGGGTACTGGAAGCCTAAGATTTCTTCTCGGTGTAAAAGATTCATATTTTACAAGACTCGAAGTCTAACACGGCATTATCCCAAGATAGATACTGCTTTCATATTCAGTCCTAATAGCTATACAAGCTTTCACTTTCATAACTCTATACATTCACGATGGAGCACCGAAGCATCCATGAATCTTTTCGAGTGAAGTCTATAAGAGAGGTATCCAGGGAAGATGCTCGTGCTGAATTGAATATGATCACTCAACCAACTGGCGATGAATTGAACTACTAATTGAATAAACGTTTCTGAGCGATGCCGTCCCAGGAGTGACAGTATATGTGCATGACACGACGAGTTCTAAGGTTCTCAATCCCCGGTATATACAAGAGTATGGTAGCAAAAATACTGCCCGGTTAAATGGGTCAGATCAGGGCTTGACTGTGGTAAAATTTAGCCACGAAGTTGGATAAACACGAGTATGTAGTGGCCTTACGATCTCTGTATCAGTAACTCGAGAGATTAATGATTTAAAGTTAGCTTCTGCGATAGCTGACGAAAAGTATGGCTGAAGTAAATCAGACATGTTTCCAGCTACCTTTGTTAAATCGCATTTCAAGGTTATTGTTGGCCCTGCTGATCTTAATGATTCCATCTTCGCTCACGAGGGATGAAAGATAGATTAATATTTCGGCCCCAGAGATAATCTTCTGTGCAAATGGCCAGAGGTCTTGAAATTCTGGCATTGAATGCTTTTCTGGTACTTGCATGTCGGCGCCAGATGTTTCTAGACTTGCGGCATACTTGTTGTCGACTGAGCCTGAATTACGAACTAACTACATAAGGGATCTGTAGCTGACTTTTAACTAGGTTATATACGTCCCAGATCAAGAAAGCGTGAAGTCTACCTAGGTATGCGTTTTATATGGAACAGACTTGGAAGGAAAGCCAGCGGATTACTTGGGAAAAGATCGAGGTTTAGGCTCGATATTTGTCTATCACGAAAATAGTCCCAGGTGGGCGGCACCCCCAGCCTCCGGGGGCCGTCTGAGCAGAGATATCAGATGATAAATCCATGGATGTGCTGTAGCTATCAATCTATACAACATCCAGGGTTTGATTCGATGTTCCTTATCTATGTACTCCAAATAACTCCAATCCATTTATGGCAATCTTTATGTACAGACAGAACGCCAATGATGAGCGAAAACGCGGGGTGACCAGATTATGTTTCCCAAGAAACTTCATGATATGCAATTAAAATATGTCAAATGAAGACTCAGATGCGGGATAGGGTTGATTAAAAAGTCGATATATGTATATTGAGCGAAAAGCTTAACATCCCAAGTTGTGGTGTTAAGGTTGATGATGTTCGAATCATTATATGTGTTTATGATGCAATCAAGCCTGTGCAACAGGCCAGCCATTGACGTACTTCAATGGGTTAAAACCAAGTACAGCATCCTGGAATATGTTAGATACTTCTAATTGCGATTTGCGAAATATTTGGCTGTAAAGGGGGGATCGACATAATTGACTCCGCAACCCAGCACAGAGTTCAAACTTACCGCGAATGCATAGCTCACTGTCCGGTTTTCTGTCGTTGGCGATTAGATGATGTCTGGGAATGTCGTGGGTGAAAACCGGGATTGAACTTACGATAGTGGTAGTAGAGGATATCGGTATCGCCACTTCTGAGCACACCTTGCCCACCTGGGGCATAGGTTTCACCATTAGAGCCGTAGACGGTGGTGCCGCCACCTTTGACGAGATCTTTCCCTGACTTGTCGAAGAAAGGGCCTCGGGGGTTCTTGGAGCGACCGACACGAATACTATATCTGAAGAGAATAGAGTGTTAGCTGAGAGAGAAACAAAGGCTATAGTCAAACTTACTCGTTTCCAGCCTCTGGAAGCTTGCCGCGATCCAGATCACAGCATCGTCCATGACTGAACCACAAGTAGTAGTATTCACCGTTGTGGGAGATAAAAGCACCCTCGATAGCATGTGCTCCAGTCTTGTCGCCGCATAGAGCAGTTGCCCTTTTATTAGGTGGGCTGAGTTTGACTGGTTCGTAGGCCAAGTGATGGGCATCGGGTGAAGTAGTGCTCAATGGGGATAGGAGGTCTTTGCTAAGTGGGACCTGGTAGATACCTGTCCAGTAGCTTCCAAAGGTCAGGTAGCCTTGACCATTGGGAAGGACCAATACGCTTGGATCGATGGCATTGGAGAAGGTGTAGGGCGCTATTTCGGAACCTATGCCTGTGCCTGTCTGGATAACCGCTCCATGGTCATACCAATTTCCTGGACCGGGCGAACTGGACGTTGCCACGCCGATAGCACTGTCTCGACATCCGGCCTTGCTCACACTGTAGTAGCAATAGTATGTTCCATCTACCTCAACAACAGTCGGTGCCCAGGGCACAGCACGATCACCCTTCGGAATAATCGAATTGGCATCAAGAACGCTGCCAACATGTCTCCATGGTCCAGCTAGGGCGGGTGCCGTATGAATGAATATATGCTCGCCGACAGTATAGAGATAGAAAGTATCGCCGACATGAATGATGTTCGGATCATGAGTATGCTGCTGAGACTGGCGTGGCGGAGGGAAATAATTGACCAACTCCCCCTTTTCTTCACTGATATCCCTCATCTGATGTAGATTCAAGTGAGAAGCGAAACTAAATGAGAAGAGACATATAAAAGCGAATAAACAGAGCATCCTGACCCAGCGACGAGGAGTCAAATGATTCCAAAAAGACTTTAAAGACTGTAAAGACTGAAGTGACTGAAAAGATTGAAAAGATTGAAATAACTGTAAAGACCGTATCGACCACACTTGTCGAGAATCATTGATTGACAGGGGAAGGGCATCATCGACTATCATAAGTGGTCCCTCTTGGCAATCATACTGGCGATGACGGTTCCAGACCCACATCTTTTTTTTCAGTTGTGACGCACGGCGTGCCACCTCGGAGAGCTGGGGTCCCTTTGTGATGCGGGGATGAAGGTCCTTGAGGCAACACAGTCCACTAGATAGCACAGCTGAGATCCGCTGGCGAGGTATTCTGCAAGGCACGGAATGCAGAGTAAAGCCTGCTGCACGTTTCTTCAAGGTGGGACGAATGTGGAGGGATCTGTAATACTAAAGATCCAACAGGATTCCGATGCGTTAAAACGTTGAATAGTTCACGTAGTATTACTCCAAGGCTGCAGACTGCAGACTGCATACTGCGTAGCTCGTGAAGTAAACCTTCAAGCTCGTAGTACAAGCACTGTAAACGGACTGGAGCAAGGGCGAGTTGAAGTATTTTGTTGAGGTCAAGATAGTCAAGGCCGATCCTTAGCTCCTAGACCCACTAGTTAAATAGACCAACGAACTTGTCTGAATCTAACCCTTTCAAGTATATATTCCTGGAATGCTATTAACCAGTTAATCTAGGTACTACCGTCGGTATCATTTACTACTTAGGTATGCTCCTTTTAGGCCGTGTTAGGTTGCAACGTGTAAGACAAAGAATAGTGCCCTGTATCGCAAGAGACAGAATCACTGGGATCTGGAGGGTAATGTCTCTAAACGATTGATAGTATCAAGCTTGAAACTATGGAAGGAGTTTAGGTTGAAATGAAGTTGAGCCCAACGGTCAGGGCCGTAGAAAAGCTACAGCGCTAGTCTCGCCAAAGAAGATGTTATACGAAAATGCCCTCCCAATAGAAGAAGATTGAAAAAAAACAGCTCAACGCCATCCCAAAGGATCTAACGAGGCCACTAACGGGCAACGATCTTATCTACCTCGTCTTTGGCCTCGGTCCAAGTCTCCAAGTTCTTCCGCGCCCAATCCAAGTGACAGCGAGCATAGGCAACCTACAAAAAGCATAGTTAGCACATAACTGGGAAACAGAGGGAGATGGGCTTACCATGTATCGCCGGAGATCGGCTTCTTTGTCCTTCTGGAAACGTCGGAGATCCTGCAACACGCCCGCGCTGGCATCCTTGACATCCTTCTCTGATACTCCCAATGCTTGTTCGAGCTGAATCAGACTTTCTTTAGTCTTTCCGATCTGATCCCGACGTGTTCGTTCAGGATCTACGTCAACAAAGCCGTGGACGGCATGGCTTATGCGACCGAAAATCTTATTCGCCACGAAAGTTCCACTGGACGTCTTTCGGTGTGCTGGAGATGTGGGTTCTGGTCGCCTGTATGCCATATTCTGAGAGGGTGACGGAGAGTTAATTGACTCGCCGTGAGTAGGCGGGAACTCTGAATCTATAGAAGAATCCCCAATGCTTCCACTTTCCCTGCTGACTGCTGATGAAGTGGACAGGGAACGCTGCGGCTTAGTACCTCGGGAGGAAGAACCCGTGCGATTGAGATACTGCTCAATGCGCTGGGCCTCCAGCTCACTTTTCTCGAGGGATTCCAGCAGCACATTTTTCTTTGCCATCTCGTCACGGGTCATTTCCTCTTGCACTCTCTTCAGGACTCTGTAACGTAGTACCCCTCGGACTACGCTAGCGAACTGGGCGCTTTCCCGCATAGGTTCGGCAAAGCTTGAGCTCAAAGAGTTGGAAAGTTCCTCGGTCTCAATGTAAGAAGTATCGGCTGCTTGACCGATGCGCTCAATCGCCGCAGCTACCGATGGCGACTGTTCAGAAAGCGAGAAGCCGTTGTAGCGAGCTCCAAGCTCCATCAAGTCTGCGGATAGAGAAGACAGGTGCGCCAAAGTTCTGCGATTCACCTTTTCAATGTTTCCTTGCAAAAGCAGTTCCAGTTCCCGAGTGGAAGCCTCAAAGTTTAGAAAGTATGGATCTAACTCTTGTTCGCTCAGTTTACGCGATTCTGGTGGGAAGCGCCCAAGAGAATCAGACGCTTGATACAGTGTTGGTGGCCCTTCTGTATTATCTCCTGGCGATGTGGGCGATGCTGCAGTCCCAGGGGAGGTGACTGCACCACCGCCAGACTTCAGCTTCGCTGACGAGGAGGGAATGGGTAGCCAGCCATGAGCTTGGGTTGGGTTTGCTGGATCGAGAGGTGGAGCTTTAAGATTGTTCTTCGGCACGGATGATGCGGGATGTGAGTGTAGGACCTCGTTCTAGATATGGATTAGCCATGCTTCGGTGGGTCGCAGGGTCATTTGCAGCACTCACCCAGCTAACATTAGGGTCGAGGAATCGCCACCATACTCCATCCTCACGAATTTCATTCATCTGGCGACACCGATTTAGAAATACGGCCAGCATACGTTTCCGAAGGTCGATAATAGCGGTATCTTCTTTGGCCTTGGTTGGTTTGGCCGCGTAGTCTGCCATGCTGTGCTTCTCTGGAATCGGGGGCACAATTAAAGTAGGGTGCAGGTTGACGAGTGTCTGTCGCAGCGATGCGAATTCCGAATAACGTCGGCGAACTTCAAGGTCCTAGTTGAAATTCGGTCAGCTTAAGTGCGGCTGGGATTATTCTCACGAAGCCTACCCCAGTTCTGATAGTGTAGACAATAAAGCTTCCCCCTCCTTCATGGTTCTTGCCGGCATCAGTAATTAAGATCTGCATATCTGGGTTCTCATATAAGATCTGCTCGATGCGACTGTCGTAAACATTCTTTCGGGGATATTCCTGGCTTTCAACACCATACTCGGCCTCCTCGGGGTCACTCAGATCATCAGAGTGAGTGATATAATCAGGAGGGTCGTTATTTGACCCACGGCTAGAGGGCGGAGTAGAATCGTGCTCATCATCATGCTCGTACAAGGCTGCCGAATGTTAGAGACATCGCTGCAGCAAGCCGGAGAAACGTACGAGGAGAAAGAGCAGCGGAGTGAAGTGAGTCCGAAATATGAGGTTCGTGATTCTCAAAGGCCCCGTAGGGATTATTATCCTCGTCGTTCCACATTCTAAGGTATTACCTAGGTATGGGTTAGGCGACACCTTAAAAAAGTGCCTGAGTGAGGTTGAAAGCTGAGAAGCTGTGGATCTTTGCGGGGGCCACAACGTCACTACTGTGTACAGTGGGCGGTAAAAACCATAGGTATAGATTGCAATCACGTGATATCAGCTGGAGAAATCGTGGAATGAATCTACTTGTTTGGAACTATCTTCAAATAAAGATTAGTCTGTTGATATGAGTCAACTAGCCACTGCTTGAGATAAGTGTCTACCTATATATTTGGTCTAATGGATACATATATTCCAAAATTAGAAGACCTCACTCATCTACCTGGTTTTAAACGTCTGGAAAACATTAACCTATAATTAAATTTGATTGAACCTTGTAGTCTTTGACCATATTGCAGGCGGCCCTAAGAAACAGGATGAAAATTTGTAGAAGAGACAAATTAAACGTCTACCTAGGTATGGAATCTGATCAAAACTTCAGCTTCAACTTTCAAGGCTAGATCTTGCTATCATAATTATGAAGCGACCAAAGATGAAACTATCAGCACTAAGTAATAGCAATGGAGTCATATCAGATGTTTTGAAATTTTTGGCATTGAAATAGGCATATAGCCAACAAAAAGCTTCAAGTATCTACTCCTAAGCGACGTGAGTGTATATGGATAGAGCACCACCTACCAATGATTATGCTAGATGCTAGACTAATGTGGGATTGATTCTCTCCAGGTTCATTATTTAAAATTGTGCTCTCAAATATGTGGATCAAGAGGTTGTAGTCCGTTTCTTGCTCGGGAAGCAACGGCGCACCTAAAAATCTAGCTCTTCATAGGTGTTGTAGGATAGGTTTCTCCGAATCTTTGCTACTTTTTTTTCAAAAGTTTCATCACATCATCAGATGAGGGTTTCAAGATCATCATCTCCATATCCAAGACCGGGTTTCCAAAATTAAAACACCAACTACGTATATCATTGCTACGTCGAATAATACCACAGAGAATTTGGAAAATGACACAATTTACTCAGAGATCCTCTCAAAATTTGGGCAGATGAACGAATTGACAAGTTTGCATTCTCTCCGTCGTGATCTAGATGTCTATTTGTAAAAGAACTCCACCAGAAGCAATGCAATGTAGATCGCCGCCCTTACCATGCTTGCTTGAAAGTTGGCCGGTTAGGGGATCCAGGCCATTCTCCGGGAACGGTTGTATCTCCATACTGGCCATGCTGAATTTCAGCTTGATGACCATTTGAGTAGTGGTTTGTGTCAATATTCCATGAATCGCCATGGCCTTGGTTATCATTTGAGTGGTGGTTCGTGTTGGTATTCCATGTATCGCCATGGCCCTGGCTATCATTTGAGTGGTGGTTCGTGTCGGTATTCCATGTATCACCATAGCCCTGCTGATCATTCGAGTGGTAGTTGGTGTCGGTAGTCCATTCACCATATCCTTGGTGATCATTCGAGTGATTTGTATCATGTCCTTGGTGGTTGTTCGAGTGGTGATTCGTGTCGTGTTCCCATTCATTTGAGTAGTTGTTTGTACCATTTCCTAGGTCATCATTCGAGTGGGTGTGTGAGCTGCTCTGCTTCGATTGTCGTGGACTCGATTGGTTACTCTCCTTCGCTTGAACCAAGATACTAACTGGGCGGCTGTTATCATTCTGCAACTGTGAAAACTGACTACTCTTTTTCTGCTTCTCATATTCCTTCTTTTTATTTTCCTCTTGGTGTCTCCATTTATTGTCCCGCTTTTGCTGGCTCTTCGTTTGTTTTTGCTCACCTCGCTTTTTGTTTGGTTGCTTTGGGGGTTGCTTGTGGCTCTGGATCTGGCCCTGGCCCTGGCTCTGGTTATTATTCATGTTCATATTACTGTTCTGGCTCTGGTTCTGGTTGCTTGTCTGGTTGTTGTTAGCTTCATTGCGCTTAGAATCACCACCATTTACAGGGCGATGAATAGTTGCCAGGAGCGGAGGCCTAGATCGATGTTTCACCTTTCTGACCAGAACCCATTGATCTCCCTCAATATGTGGTACCTTTGGACGAGCTAGGCTACCTTTGACCGTGCGTAAAGGTGGCTCAACACCAGCTTCCAGATTATCAGCACAGTTTCGAAGATGAATTTGATGTCCTAGGATAGCCCGCTTGACATATTGTCGATACCAGACGCTCGATCCAACTGCGAAGCAAATAAGAAATGCCATCGCCAGAACGACGCCAATGAGTGTATCACCCTGCATTTTGCAAGTGTACGATCGTTGAAGTGAATTTTATTCTTGTCGCTCGTCAAAACTGGATGACAGTCTCCAAGAGTAGGAAACAAGTCACTATGGGACCAGAGAATGAATAAAAAATAAACCCTGACTCGAGGAACGAGCAAAAAATTCCTGATTCAGGCTGTGGTTGAAATGATAGCTTGTTGAAATAAAAGAGGGTCACAAACAAGTGAAAGTGAAGGAAGACTGAGATTGAAAAGGTTGAGTTCCCAAAATTATGTGAGGAAAGTAGAGATTCACAAGTCGTCTCTTTACGCTAGCTTGAGAGAAATTTAGATTGAAGTGCGTGAATGAATAAGGGAATGAGAAGAAGCGCGTTCTCCAAGCATTTACAATCCAGCCCTATAAACAATATCTTGATACTATCAACAATGATGTCAAATACAGTGACATTTTTCAAGCCTCACATCTGCATTCACCTCCACTGGAGTCATCAAGCAATTAAAAAATTGAACATTACAGATGAGAAGTAATCTTTTGGGTAAAACAATTCCCTGGCCACGCGAGTCAGTAGCTGTCAGGTTGATAGTTTTCAACTACCAAAAAGTTGATCTCGGATCCCTCCTCACTGATTCACTGATTTACGTAATACCCATGTACTAGGACGGTTGAAGAAAAAAAGAAAGAAAATAAAAGAAGACGAAATGCGATTTTGATGTTCTAGTGAAGCCACCACCCACTAGTCCGTATTGGGTGGTCTGTCAAAATAGCCAAGATTGGTCTGTTTGCATGACCCACTCTTATGTACAGATTCTGTTAGGAAATCCAGTTTCATTCATTTGTGGCATTTGAATGATTGGTCAGGTTAGATTCTCAAAGTTGACAGTTATGAGCCCGGATCGCCAATAAATCTGTTTCTGGCCAGCTATACTCGACTGTGCCTGTTGAATCATATGCCTGCCATCACCCCTCCGTTACCCCTGAATCGAGCCAACTACACCAATAAGATCTGGGATCTTAAACTCCGCGATGTCAGGCGATATAAGACTAAAGGATGCTGCTCAATGGCAGCATTGGTATAAAAGTGTGAAAGACCTTGCGATATCTAAAAATGTCTGGGATTACTGTAATCCAGAGCTAGGAGGAGAGCGACTGGAGCTAGGGCCAAAACTAAAGAATTACCCTTTAAAGCCAGTCTTATCTACAGCCACAGACAACGAATCGCGAAAGAATAATGAAGCTCTCCGCCGAGACTGGAGAGGTGATGTGAAGAAGTTCAAATCCCTCACCGCTGACCGGGCCAAGACCCTGAAGGCGATTGGCAGTGTAAATGAGTTTATACTGAAGCATTTGGACTCTTCTCTAGCTGAATTAGTCCTTCACTATGAGCAGCCACATGAGCGTCTCCAATTCTTAAAGGATCGCTTTGGAAACTCCTTGTCGTATAAGTTTGAGATTTTTATGCAGTGGAGAAGAGCGACGATTACACTGCCAAACAAGGATATTGATGCTTGGTTAGAAGCATGGGAAAGCCGACGTCAGAAGGCAGAAGCAGAAGAGATAGCTTCAGCTAAGGGCAAAGAAGCAACTTGGATATTCCTAGAGCTTGTACGCGAGATTCTGCCAGTTTGGTGGCAGAATTGGCATGGCCAAATCGTCGTTGATAATAAAGATGTGTCGATCAAAACCTTGATTGATAGCTTTAAGAAGACATACCATGCCCAGAATCAAGCCAGATATAAAAGGAGCATTTACCACGCTCCAGGCACACCTTTTGAGCTAAAGGGGTGTCCCTGTGGAAAATCCCATTCTATTGAGAAATGCTATACTCTAAATCCAGAGTTAAGGCCGAAGGGGTGGGAAAACTGGGAGAAGTCAGAAGCGAAGGTTCAGGCTGCATTTGAAGCAGAACCAGAGTGGAGGAAGTGGGTTGAAAAGAGGATAAAGGCTAAAACTAAGGCTCACGCCTATTCAGTGTTAGGATATAGACCTGTGTACTAGCGTGTGTTTACGTGGTTGTTGTCCAGTAGCTGAAGGGGTGTGTCAAAATAGGCAAGATTGGTCTGTTTGCATGACCCACTCTTATGTGTATTTAGGGCAGATTCTGCACTAGTTATGAAATTCAGTTTTCATTCATTTGTGGCATTTGAATGATTGGTCAGGTTGGATTCTCAAAGTTGACATGGTCATCAGGTCACATGAACAGGATGAAGTGTAATTTAGCTGTCTAATCGTCAAATGTTGATAAAACTGAATTTTCTATCCAGGGGTGAGAATCTGCTGGATATACGCCCATTTTGGATTCTGCAAACAGTACAGACACCACCTCGTCTGTTTTCCAGGATCACATGAAGGGATGATAACACGTGATTATTGAGGTAGAGCTTCAAAACTGATATTCAATTTCTATTATTTTTTGTTGGATCTAAATCTCACTCTAGCTTCGAACCCCACAATTCAACCCCAACTCAATCCTTCTCAGCCACTCATCATGCAATGAAACCGACTTGCCAACTTGCGATAAAGATTGAAGTTGGCTTTGTAGTGTTGACTGCTCGACATCCATGATATTGGGGGCAGGGAAATCTTCAGACACTAGTGCTGAAGCAATGCTAAATATCCGTATTCCGAGGATAAATGTTTCAGGTTTTGAAGTCCAGCCGATGAGACCATCTCCTCCATCACGCTGAGCCACTGAGTTCGAGATATGGGATAGGCCCTCGGAAACCCAGCTCGAAATCTGACGAAGAAGAGTTTCCGGGTATGCACTTCTTTTCATGCGTAAGAGTGCTTGATACCAGACATCGACCTCACGCACATCATCAATAAACAGGTTCTGTTTCTCTTCGACAAAGAGAACTGTGCTGTCTTGGTCATACTCGGCAATAAGATCTGCTACCGAGATGAGATGAGTTTGTTTATCAGAGCCACTGATACGAGGCTCTTGACCAGTGAGATACTTGATCAGTCGCCTGGATAAGTGCAGAGAATCCGAGTAGTGGTCGATAATGAAGCGAGAAAGCTGCAGACTAGCATTCAGCGGACCAAGCGCGATTGCTGTGGTGGGCGAAACAGAGGAATATGATAGCACCCAGGATGCAGTATCCGCAGCGATGTCGCGTAGGTCTTCATCGTCATCATTGAGCATATCATACATGATCAAATAGATATCCAAAAGAATGGGATCGACCTTAGGAGAAGCACCTTCGGGACGAAGGCCTCGCTGGAAGCTGTGAAGTGATGTCACCGCAGCATAGCGAGTTGTGAACTCCTAGAGCAAAGTATTAGTACTAAATTAAATACGGAAAAGTTGGACGCAGTAACTCACTGTTTCCTCGGTAAGTGCCGACCGAAGCTTGATAGCCCAACTGTAAAGGTCTACTTTGAGGGATTCGAGTGATTGCCCTTCGATTGATGAGACTCGAGTAGCAAGCAAACATCCCTGAAGACGAAGCTCTGCGTCAGTTGCTTGTCTGTTCCACTGTTCAAAATGGAGCTCAGGCTGGAAGCTCTTTCCAAGATGTTCCCATGGGAGTGCGAGTTGGGAAACAGCACTGGTTTCAGAAGAAAGAAGATCTTCCAAGACGGAGGTCAGATTTGAGGCGGCCATTGTTTTCACATCCTCGGGGTACTTATTCAATAGAATAGAACTGTACAAGTCAACCAAGGGTTTTCTGTACTTCTCATTGGTGCCGAATTTCTCATGGACCTGTTCGGAGATCCAAGTAGCAACATTGACGTCCAACAATGCAACCCCATGATAAAACTCAGGAATACCGCTCCATTGAGACAATGAAAGCATCCTAAGTAGTGTACACCAAGCAACTGCTCTGCGTAGGAGAGAAGAAGCACGCGTCGTGCTAGTAAGATTCCAGCCTGCTTTGGAGGCGTCAAAGAGATAATTCAGCACTCCGTTAAGATCGTATTCCTGGACCATAGACTCAACAAATATGGCAGCCTTGTCTGTGGGTAAAGTTAGGACTATGACAAGGACTTGGACTAGGTGGCTGATTTACCTTCAATGCCCGCGTTGATACTTCGCTCCAACATATCATTCAAAATTTCAACGAGATCAGTTGCAACATAGGGAGACTTAGCGACAGGGAAGACCACTCCCAAGACATAACGTATAGTAGCCATAAGGTCATCGACATGAGCTAGTATTATTAGTGGATGCGTTTTTGTAGAATATTAGGGGAAACTGCTTACAAGCCCAGAAGACATTCGTTGTGGCCGCAAATCGACGAAGAGAATATTGAACACAAAAGACTGTTCCATGTGCGTAGTTTTCGGTACACTCTACTTTGAATTTATCAACCAAATGACGGACATCCCCGAGGATGTTTGTGCGGGTCAGTAAAGACGCATACACACGGGCTGCATGCTCCCTGATACCCCAGACAGGACTCTTTAAATGCTCCAAGACAAGGGCACAAAGTATGGTATCGTAGTTGTCAGAGAAAGATGGAATTTTCTCTCCGATTAGTTCAAGGGCTGGGAAAATGCGCTCTGTCATAATCTCAGTTCCCTCATGAGCTGCCGCCCCCTCGGAGGATGCAAGAAGCTGAGATAGCAACTCAATCAGACCTGTATACTTGGGGAAAGAAATTTTAGATCCTGGTTCTGACCCAGATTCGCCACCAAAACCTGTTCCATTTCCAGGGACTAGACGACACATCCGAATCAGCAAAGCGCGGAAGAGCATCAGTCCTGAATTTCGAAGAGTCCAGCTATTGAAATGTCAGATATAAGAGGTAATAGTTGACGAGGATCAATGAGCTTACATTGGCGATCCGAGTCGTTCAGCTGAAAGGATAAGAGCAGGCATGATAAACGACTCAGTGAATTGACCCAGTTTTGTGTTTGTGAAAATGTCCTTCAAGCAATTCATGGCGTGAACTTGCGGTAGTTCCAAATATTGTTGGTCTTTGTCATATTCGACAGGCAAGCGTGAAATATCATGAAGCTCGTTTAAGGCTTGGTTGAAAAAGGGCGAGCCGGGACTAGAGGAAAGAATGCCTGTCATTAAAGCGGGCAATCCAGCAGATCGTCGAGTAAGTTTGGCGGCGGATTCAAAGATGGTATTTTTGGCTTCTTGATACCAAAAGCGAGGTAGTTCTTGAACAGCAGGATCATTAAATGTACTACATCGCGTACAGCACGTAGCGAATGTCTGCGAGACAGTCGAGAAGGCACCTCGGTGGCGCAGTTCAGCCAGTTGGGTGAAGCTTGTTCGTCCAACATGTTCAAAATCTGAAAGCTGAAGCCCGATCTTTCCAGCTGGGGCGTATTGCTGATTGAACATTGTCGCATGAAGCAGCAAACTATGTCCATTAGTAATCATCAACAGTCACTTTGAAAAAAAGGATACTTACCTTGACTCGCGCAAAGATCTCCAGGAATATGAAAGAATATCTTTTGGTCCAACTGAAAGCTCCTCATTCAGGTCATCTGAGTTCCCCTCGGGGGAATCATCACATAGGAAAGGCTTCACTTGTTGCCAGACCTTATCGCATATGGCAACTATCCGGTCATGTACAGAACGCCAGGCGATGGAGCCTTCCTGGGTAAGGTATGAATGAAAACTTGGCATGAGAACGATTTGTCTATCGGGACAGTCAATATGATAGCTCTCAGAGCGAGCAGAAAATGTCTTACCTGAGACCGGACATATGTCCATGCAGGGGTGCCTCTTGCATAGAAGAGTTGAACAAGCCCTTGGGGCTCAAAAGTCTTTCCTCTAGCTTCTCCAAAATGGCATTGACTACCGACGCCTTCGTTTCCCACCAGCCTGAGCCAGCTTCGGGGGAATCGCTTGAAAGAGCAGCGGTGAATAAAACGTGATATAATCGAGCAACCGTGTCTGCATGATCTGCTCGACTAGTTTTACTCGCGATGCTCTCAGCTCGAGCTAAAGCATCTGTGAGACGTAGTCCAGGTGTTGGGTGCTGATCAGTTCCATCACGAAGACCTCTCATCATTATTTGTTGAGGGAAAAGGTTGATGATTGTCAGGGAGGCTTGTCGAACTTCATCAAATGGATCAAGGAGCAAATCCACCAAAAGCCGAAGAAGACGGGGCTCAAAAACATCCATTTGTAGCTGCCATCGAGTTTGAACTTCCGACTTGGGAGGGATAATACCTGCCCTTGGGTCAAGCCCGGAGTCTAGTAATAGCTTGATAGCCTTCAATGCACTGATATGGCGCGGATATGAGGCTGTGATAGATAAATCGCTTTCAAGGAAATCAAGGTATTCTCGGAGAAAGAATTTGGTCTCAGAGTCATTCATTGTCGAGGCGGGCTGTTTTTTGTCTGCTGCTGACTCCAAGACAGGCCCTTCTCCGAGAATTCCACCTTTTAGGCGGATGATAAACTTGCGCGTAAGGCTCATAATCTCCCCTCGACTATATGAATCAGAGTCGGCATGCATGGAGGGAAGTCCATTCAGAATGGCCCTAGTTGCAGCTTTGGTGAACGGCTTGGCCCTTGAGAAGGCAGTGATCAACAATGCCAGAGCTGCAACTCGAATTGTTGATTCTCGATGTAGGAGAAACTTGCCGATAATTTCGCTCTTCAAGATTATGTGACAGGAGGCACTGCCCTTTGCTAAACCAGATTTTGAAGAGTCATCTATAATTGTCAGAGTCCATTGAGTTGGAAATTGCAGAACAAAACTTACAGTCGTCGTGAACCAGATTGGCGTTCTTGCCCATTTGTAGAGAAGTGAAAAGAAGTAGATACTCCGAGTGTGCAGTATCAATCATGTCACCAGCCAGAAGACTCTTTAATGGAAGACGTTCCACAAAACAATTAAATCCTGCCGGGTCTGCAATGAATATCGGTTGAAGAATTTGGTTTGAAAGAATTTCCAAATAATCCATGTTCTGCAGCATCATATGTCTCACTGGGGACACCCAGATAAGAGACACGTTCTGGTCCGGAGTTTCCAGCTTCATCTTTTGCAAAATCGAGGCAAGAGTAGTTCCAGATGTACCGGCCATTCCTCGGTCATTTGTGTGAGTCAACAAGCCTAGGAACAAGACCCTTGCTGCAAGTTCATAAGATGGCTCGCCTGTCATATTAGCTGACTCGGGATTATGCTGTCCATAGTAGAGAGCTTCTCGGTCCTTCTCATACACAGGTACCCATTTGTTCTGGTGATCAAGTAGCCATTTCTGAACAATCAATATCAATTCGGAAGCTGTCATAGCTTTCTTTCGAATGAACATTTCAAGACACACGAGCGAGCCCTTTAGTCGAGATCGAAGCTCGCCAAGGATGAAACTTGGAAGTATGGCATTAGCAATAGCTCTTTGGACAGAAGCTCTTGTCTCCCCTCGGTAATGCTTGAGCATAATGTTGGTGAGAGAGGCCAGTAGCTGCTTCAAAGGTTTCGGCGTGACATCCTCGTACCGGGTCAAAAACACATTGAAGATTGCCAGCCACGTCTCTGAAGATAGAACAATCTGCCTTGTCTGCTCATTCTTAGAATTTACAGCAGCATCGATAAATGCAGAAACGGCATTGCACGCGGCATATGTATGCTGATGAGAGAAAGATGGTGACGACAGTGTCTTACTGAGTGACTCCCATACTCGGCTCACTTTCCTTTCGCCCAAAGTTAGCCCCATGTACCTATACAGTGCAGACACGAAAATTCTTACTCATTGTCAGTGCATGTCAGCGTGAACTTGACTAATGGGCCTTTGGCAATCTCTTGCAAGGTCTTTTCGGGCAAAATTTGTATGTTGAGGGCAATTTCCTCCATACTGGGAATACCGATACTTTGAGCGCCGTAAGTTGAATCAGCTTCCATGATTAAAACAGTCACACATGTCTTGTTTCTTATTTATCAAAAAAAAAAAAAAAAACAGTAATTGAGTGCAAATTCAGAAATATCGAATTTGATAAGCTCCCCCGCGCTGCCTGAGGCTGAAAATTCGATAAGTGGGTTTCCAAATCAGTACTAGCCTCCGGAATGGTTCAACAATTCTCCGTACCCGGACAGTCACGGGATCGAAGTTTTTGCTGTTGCCGACTGTGGAGCTGCGATCAAGGGACCATCAACTTCGCTTTCTTTCGTCGTTGTAATTTAATAATCAAGGATTTTATATCCGTTTCCTTCATCCCAAATCCTTCATAATGGCTATTTGGGACTCTATCACCGGTCACAAACAAGGCCAAACTGATTCTTTCGACTCATCCGCTGCGCCAGATGCCACTTCTTTCCTTTCCGAAGTCGCTATCCCAGATCCCTCCAGGCTTCATCCCCTGGCTGGTTTGAATCAAGATACTCTCGATTACCTGACACTCGAAGACTCCGCCCTCGATGAACTACCAGGGTCTCGATCCGTTCTCCCGTCTCGCGGCTGGTCCGACGACCTTTGCTACGGTGCTGGCACAACATATCTGGCTGGATTGACTATCGGAGGCGCGTGGGGTCTAGCAGAAGGTTTGAGAAAGACTCCGGCAAATGCGCCACCAAGAATTCGCCTCAACGGCGCCTTGAACTCGATCACCCGACGCGGTCCGTTCCTTGGAAACTCCGCTGGTGTGGTTGCTATGGTTTATAACGGATTTAACTCTGCAATTGGATACGCACGCGGCAAGCATGATGCCACCAACAGTGTTATTGCAGGTGCTTTGAGCGGTGCGATCTTCAAGAGCACACGTGGCGTGAAGCCAATGATGATTTCGGGTGGTATTGTAGCAGCTATTGCTGGTGCTTGGACTGTATGTTTTTCTCCTCACCTTAGCGTGATTGAACCCCACTAACCTAAGTCGTCATTAGGTGACTCGCAAGACCTTCTTCTAAAGAGCACTGGAATACCCTACCTTTAAATCCATCTTCCTCCGGTGTTTCCCTGGTGAAACAACCTTCCATACATACCCTTACTGATCTCCACCATCGACATTGGCGGTAACCCACAATCGCCAACCTTCTGTCTTCTACGCACGATGTATTAAAAACGGCTTTTTCTTTTCTTCTCTCCTACTGATCTTCACTCCGGCGCTCAGAGCATCCATGTTTCGCATTTCTGCATGGGTAGGGAAACGGGGTGTGCAACTGGGTTTGTACTTTTATTGCTTCTGTCTGTGTAAATAGAGAAAAGTCTCTTGCATTTTCAGGGCTGTCTCTTCGGGTAACCTTGATGCTACGTGCAAGTGACTTCAATAGAGAACTATTTCCGCATACCGATACCTTTTGGCAACCGCTTCGATACTACTGGTTTTGTATTAGTATCCCGAGTACAGAGGAACGTGGGCTAATACTGGTGACGGTCTTTGGCAGACGGACATTCGTGTAAGGCCAAATTACTGCAATCATTCTCCGGTAGATACCGTAGTCGCCGATCTTATACTTAAAACGCAACATGCCTCTCATAGCAGCTTCATGCCCACATGCAGGTGTGAAGCCAATTGACACGATATCATAGGAATAATTCCGCTGTGCTTGGTGGCACCCAGTTGCAGGTGGCTTCTCATTTTCTTACCAGTGAGAGATCAAACATTCTGCTTTGAAAGTTGTCTCCGCTACAAAGTGCATATGGCTTGTGTAACCTCACTCATTAGTATTGATGCGGGGTCTTCAGGGGCATCCTCATAGATTTCCTGTTTCCGAGGCAGATCTCATGCATAACCACGTATGCACTCGTGGCATCGATCAAGGATCTCCTCACATCGTAGTGACCCGCCTCAACTGCTGACCGCTGAAATATTGAAACTTAGCCATGACATGCTGCATATGACACAGCCCTTGTCCACAATACGAATTAATAAGATACCGACACCCCCAGTTCACAGCATTATACTTCCATCAAACATACCCCTTCACACGCAAAATGACTGTAGGCGCACACATCGAGACTGATGTTATTGTCATTGGAGGTGGCTTTGGAGGCTGCAACTCCCTCTACAAACTCCGTCAACTCGGCCTCTCTGTCAAACTGATCGAGGCAGGTGGTGCCTTCGGTGGGGTATGGTATTGGAATCGGTACCCCGGAGCCCGTGTTGACTCTGAGATGATCTCGTATCAATTCAACATCCCTGCTATCTACGAAAGCTGGGCCTGGTCAGAACGATTCCCAGGTGATGATGAGCTGCGCCGCTACTTTCAACACGTTAGTTCAGTACTAGAACTAAACAAGGATACCTTTTTCAATACAATTGTCACTGGAGTTACGTATGACCCCATTACTCAACGTTGGGCAATCAGAACCAACACCGGACTGTCTGCAACCTGCCAATACGTTATTGCTGCCACAGGGTCTTCCTACAAGAAATACTACCCAGAGTTCAAGGGGCTGCAGCAATTCACGGGAAAGATGGTCCATGCAGCCGACTATCCCAAGTCTCTAAATGTGAAAGGCAAGCGTGTGGGTGTTATCGGTAATGGTAACTCGGGCGTTCAAATCGTCCAGACTTTGGCACAAGAGGATTGCCAATTGAAGGTTTTCATTCGCACTCCTACCTTCGCACTTCCCATGAGGCAACGCGATATTCAGCCAGACGAAGTAAACATGCTCAGAGGTTACTATGAGGCGATTTTTAATCAGTGCTACCAATCCAATATTGGCCTTCCGTGCAAGAAAAACCTCCAATCAGCTCACCAGGCCACACCAGAAGAAAGGAAGGCACTTTTTGACGAATTGTGGGAGAAAGGAGGATTCGGCTTCATGATCTCCAACTACGTAGACACTTTAGTTGATGAAAAGGCGAACGGCTTCATCTACGACTACTGGGTGCAACGAGTGCGGGCCCGTATGACTGATCCTGAGAAGATGGATTTAGTTGCTCCTTTGAAACAAAAAATGCCTGTTGCAACTAAGCGGCCCAGCCTAGAGCAGAACTATTACGAGATGATCGACCGGGACAATGTAACCCTCCACGATGTAAATCGGGCGCCTATCTTGGAGTTCAATGAAACCGGGCTGATGACCGGAGACGATGCCGAAAAGCAACATCACGAGCTAGATATCATTATCTTGGCTACAGGCTATGATGCAGTTACTGGAAGTCTGCTCGACCTCTCTATCCGGGACATGAACCAAGTCTCACTATCAGAGAAATGGAAGCATGGCATCATTACTCATTTGGGAATGATGGTTCCCGATATGCCCAATCTGTTTATGGTCTACGGGCCACAAGCTCCGACATCTCTCACAAACGGTCCAGTATTCATCGATATGCAAGTCGATTGGATTTGTAAAGTGATTACAAAAATGCAACGGGATAATCTAGTGTTTATAGTACCTACGCAAAAGGCTGCCGAGGAATGGCGAGATCACGTTCATCTGGTGAGCCGGTTTACTTTGCATCACAAAACCCCGGGCTGGTATTTCGGAGTCAATATTCCTGGCAAGATTCAGGAGCCTCTGATTTACTTTGGCGGAATCCAGCTGTGGTGGAAGAGCTGTACAGAGGCACTGGAACATTTCAAGGGTTTCTCTACTCTAAGCAGGGATGTTAAACCTTTCTGTCCAATTTCTGCAAGTACTTAAAGGATTAAGTAGCCTATTACTCTACATAACCAATGTCTTCGCACTTCGCAAATGAACCCTTGGAATTGAGGCACCACCTCGTAAAGTGGGGCATGCTCCTCGAAAGAATATTCAAATGTTTTTGTTCTTCAAAAAATGAGAACTAGATAAATGGCTCCATTTTATTTGTAGAATTTGTTCGGTATTGTTAATTGCATCAAATGAGATTTGAAGATTTCAGCAAAAATTCAGTCTCCAGTCGTACCTCAGATCTGGGGCTGATCCTGGGGGGCGAGGCTTTTATGGACTAGAGACTTATAAAACTTGTATGACAGTTTTGGTTTTACCGAGCACCGGTCTCGAACCCTCACTAGTTAATGGTTGGCAGATTTACTGACTTAACCACTAGAGTATAGTGTCTTGGGGATATAATAGTAGCCAATTTTTGTCCTGATAAGCTTGATCTGTAATATCACGTGGCAGTAATTTGTCAGTTATAGAGCCCCACTTAAGGTCCACGGCCTGGCCCACTTTAATAATAGCAGTCATTGGCCGAGTAATCTATACGTTTGTATCTCTTCACACCCTTTTTTTTTCTTCTATTCTCACCCTGTTTTCCCTTTGAAATAAAAATGACACGTGACTTTTTGTTCACCAAAACGGTTCGCGGTAAATATGACAGCAATCTTTCGAGCCGAAGTATGTTATTGTCTGCCGTTACTGAATCGGCCGCTATTGGCCCCGCAGCGACTAGCCCTGGTATTAGCGCTACCTCAGCTGATGCGGATATTCCCAAGCTCTACGTCAATCTAAGTAGACCTCTATCCGATATTGAACTGTTATGCAACCTTTTACCATCGATTCTTAGGCTCAGCTTTATTTCGCTCGCTTCTTTTTAATATTTTATTTTCTCGGAATCTCTCGTCGCTTCTGTTGTGAGGTTCGTGAAGTTTCTTCCCTGAGCAGAAAATATCAAGATAAATCAATGATATATACACCTGAAATACTTAAATTATCTGTAGTAATACCCACCTGGACAGTCTTGAAGGGACCATACCCCGAGAAAGAGAACCTTGAAAGTAAGTACATACGATGAAAGTATCATCTGCCTAGCTACGAGGTAGCCTTTGAATCAATTCTGTCCTCTAGTTCAACGGCTCAATTTCTTGAATAGTGCAATTTAAAGTTAAATATGAAAATACCAGTAACGAAGAAATTTTGATTTCTTGCATGTTGAATGCAGAAGGTTCCCAGGGTTTCGTGCCACAAAATGAATATTCCTTATCAGATACGTTTCTGCTCCATTTCATCCAGACTCAGCAGTCAAGAGTCAATAGTCCTCACGCCTAGCGACACCACTTTTGCCACAAACAGCCCTGTCGAACAGCGTAGCAGTGAGGGCAGCCATTGTTGTTTCGACAGTTAGCGATAGTGCCACAGAACTGGTAGCAGCGAGAGTTTTGGTTCTCGATACCCGCAATGTCTCTCTCCTGCACGCTGTCGAGCGAAGAGCAGCCAGCTCTCTTCACAACAGAACCAGAGGCTGAATCGCTAGAAGTTTCGGCAAGTGGGAATTTCTCATCGGCTAAGGCTGAGGTCTGGCGGAAGTACTCTGTTGCGTTGTGGCTTGGGGTGAAAGAAGCAGTGATGGCGATTTCGTTTGTTGGGTTCTCGTAGACGTCGATCTTGACGTGGCTGTCCTCGAGGTACATGTCCAGAAATTGGGAGTCGGTTAGGTTGGACAGGAAGACATCGTAGTTGTCGAGGTCGTCCAAGTGGATCGCATCGCGAGCTTTGAGCGCCATGGTGAGGGTAGCCCAGAAGAAGGCGAGGATGAGGAAGCGAAGATTCAACACCGACATGTGTGTTGACAATTTATTATGAGGTAGCGATGATCTAATATTTCTCTGTGAACTTTAGATTAGAAAATAAAATTATGATATAGTAGCAACGCGTGGACTGACTTAAAGACAAGATTTGTGCTGAAGGGAGGAGATGAATCGAGTAAAGTGGGATTGTTGATGAGACCAGAGATATTTTCATTTTAGCAAGAAGGAAATGGGTTTAAATATTAATTGGGACGCGAAATCGAAGGAAATAGCAATCAAAAAACCTATCTAGTATCTGCAAGGCTCTTGATTGCGCTGACTATAGTAGGTTGTACATGTTTGAGTCAACACTCGTGTAGTACCTAAGTAGCTTTACGTACCGTTTTTTACAACGGGGTTAGCCGCCGCCGCTTTTATAAGGGCGATCAGGGTCAGACTCGCTGAGTAAATTTCAGTCTGAGCTCTCTAACGTCGAATCCGATTTCATAACACCGTTGCGATTCACTCGTAGAACGTAGGTCTGTTACAGGGTCTTGTTGGCTATCCAAGCCTATAAGAATGGTGATATCTCTTTAGTTCGTAAATCATGGAGTTTCTCTTTTATTTTTTCTTACAGGTGGCAGTTTACAATTAATACGTAGTTGCAACGTCCATTACGAGGCTCAGGAATAACGTTGACTTTAAACAATTTTCACGAAACATGAGCCAAATAAAAGCTTCTTTGAATGTAGGAAATGGCAGTCGACAATTTGAGCAAATAATGGTATATTTTATACCTCACGTGATTCCACTACAAGGAACTCGATCACTCAAACCTCGGTGAATAAACATTCTTGTGCGCTGAAGTTCAGAGATCTTGACTCCACGCCTGATATATCTCCATCAGCCAGTCGGTCAAAGTAGAGGAAAACCACACTGCGCCACAGTCATGAGGCTAATTCCATGTGATACTACATAGAAAATTAGATATAGTAGATATGATTTCTTTGAAATATGTATTTATTTATTCCCTTTATATCTGACTCATAATTTCTTATTCAACTCATTATTTCTTAAGAAATGAGGAGAATATGTCATATCTAAAAGGATAGATAGTCCACTATGAGCTATTAATTAGATAACACCACCTTCAGGTTTACTTGATACTGCCTCCCCACAGGTTTCTCTCATTCTTACTTATTTCAAAAAAAATAACATCTTCAAAATGAACTCGCAATCTCCATCCCCTCCTCAAATCGCCATTCATCTCGCGTGATTCCCTCGAAACGCTCTAACTCCCCTTCAAAACCTCTATTACAGAAGGAGATCTCTGTCTCTAAGTTCCTTACTCACGATGACCTCTGTCAATTCCTGATCACTTCTATTAATAATAGTGAGGAGATCTCAACTTTTTTTTTCAAAGACGTGGATTCTCTTTTAGGATCCTCCGCGGCTAATTTCCAAGAATCTCAACAAGAATCTCTACAAAAGAGGACGTGGTAAGTTGAGAATCCCTCTTGATTATAGACCTTTGCCTAATTTGTTGAATTAGTGTCACATGGAACTCAGTCACCCGAATCCTACAGGTCAAAATGTCCACCTGGCCTTATGACTGTGGCGCAATGTAGTTTGCCTCTACTTTGACCGACTGGCTGGCTGATGGAGATATATCGGGCGTGGAGTCAAAATGTCTGAACTTCAGTGTGGGCACAAGTATGTTTATTCACCGAGGTTTAAATGGACTCTATTAATAAATTATAGGTGTGAAATTTACGCAGGGCCCCTACCGAGGAGACGTGAAACAGCCTGATGGCTTCTTTGTGCCTTTCAATAGGGCTACCAATCAATTTTACAACTGGTATGGCCAGATTGCGCACATACCAACAGTGGTCCTCGAGTCTGGATGGTCAGAATTCTACAATCATTTATTAGAGGATCTGAATCTGAATCTTATAGGAGGGAATGGAGCTGTTCGGGTCGTGTTTTTGGCGGTATGGACTATTCGGGTCGCGGGAGTATTCTGTCGGATTGAGAAATGGGGACTAGATCGTAATGGTATCCCGTAGATGTCTGCCTCAGAAGTTGTTTTTCCTGCATCCGACCCGGCAGTTCCACAAACATTCAACATTTCATTCGGAGACCTCTTTGGCTCGAATATTACCTGGCTGCCCAACCGGCAGCCTCGAGACATATTGACCATGGATGTATCTCTATTCCGGTCTTTTGCGATTGGGGGTCTTGTACAAGTTCAGCTGCAAGCAGCCACTTAGGTCTCTGGGCTAGTACTATTAAATGAGCTACCAAATACATCATTGTTGCTCAAATTGACGCCCGCCATTTCCTACATCCAAAGAAGCTTTTATATGGCTCATATTTCGGCGTACTCCATCCTCAACCTTGCTCAATTCAATATCCTTATGAAGCCCGTCCATGAAAGTCTCGTTTAAGTAAGGGGCGATTCAATTATTTATTCTTAGATTGCTTGTATATGAAACGCTTTTGAGTCCCATGAGAAGCCAGAAATGTTAGCTGATTTAAACCGAAAGCAAAAGATATAATTGTGTAGACGTAAAATGAGGCTATAATAGCTGATGGAACATACACAATGTATTCCCCGAGCTTGCGGCCAACCATCTCAGTAATTTGGATCTCTTGGTATGTCTTTCCACTATGGACGGCAAAGCGCAAGCCAATGAAGTTAGTTCGACCTATTATAATTCTGTTCAAGAAAGGAGTCGAAGGCACTTTGAAACGTTTCATAACTATCCGCGATACTTCGAATTATCCCTACAAGATAATGCTAGACTTCAATGCTAAGGTTGTAAGAATTTGTATATGCCAATACCAATGCCAAGGTCCCAAGTTCATTCTTGACGGAAAACAATCGATGACAGAGCATTTCTGAGGCATTACTCCCAAGCTGAGTCGCTATAAGGTATATACGCTATACTTTCCCAATTGGGCAGTTCTTGCACTAGAAGCATTGAGATTTGCAGGTGTAGTCATCGCGAGCGAATGGCTTAGCGTAGGATCAATTGATATGTCTCGAAAAAAAAATATCAGAGTAAACTTAGTTTAGAGTGGAGATCATTCCTCTCCTCTACATTGCTGAGAAAGATTTTTGATGTACAGAGAATGGTGAACACAATTTTTGACTGGGGAAGCATTTAAATATGTCATATCTATATTAAAACCCCTCACGTTCTCTAAAAAATGTTCAATAGTAATCTCAGGGATTTATAAAACGATCTGGGATCCTAGGACTCCATAATTCCTGGATAATTGGCTCACTAAAAGAAATTAATCTCTCCAGGAAGTTATCGTAGTAGGTCAAGTCTAGCTCCTAAGAACAAGCTCTGTGGAAGCCAATGGTTTCCGCATTATAGTATTTTCCAAGTACCAGCGTACATTAATTGCTGATAGTAACATTAGGTCTTTGCACTCTTATTGGCGGGGCAACTTGTCATTCGCCCTCCCTCTCGTCTGATGTCTGGGCTAAGTGAAGTGCTTCCTAGGAGCTTACATCTAGGGATAAGAATTGATAGACCAATCGAATAAAATGCGCAGTAAGATTGTCTCCTGAACAGGAGTGAGGCTCTAGGATGAACGACCATTCTAGTGAGATCCGACATTTATTGATTGGATAATGTAAACAACCTACGTAGGAAGGGACGGGACTAGCGTGTTGCATTTTGTTGAGATACTTACCCAGCTCGCTTAGTGAGCTAATCATGGCGCCCACTGAGCAATCGCCGAGTGCTCCCTGAATAAATCGCTCACTGTTTGCTTCCTGAGTGTTACCTGATACTCAGTGAGCAGATGAGTGAGCTTGTAATGCTCAGACACGTGCTCAGTTGTACTCGGGAAGCAAAAGCAGCGAGGGGGTGAGCACTAAGTACGGAAGGGGATCGCCTGAAAAGCAACCTCATCGAAATATTGACCTACCTAGGTATCTGACCACTATTATGTACCGGGCAGCTGAGTTTCAAGGCTTATGCTCTATTTCGAAGGCTCCCTGCAGCTTCATAGAAAGTTACTCTGATACTCCCTAGCTAGTCCCTTTAGAGGACGTGCCTGGATACCAGCATTGGATTTTTTGGTTGGGTTGAAGCTAAGAATTGACAATCAACCTCTAGAACTTGAATGCTCCCAAAGCATAGGTCAATAATAACCCAGAGCTATCATTTGTGCCAAAGAAGCCAACGACGAATACAGAGCACCCAGGTATTCTTGGACTGAGACACATCCGGGGCTATCAAACGGGGTGAATTTTGAAGACACTTGATAGGAGGTAAACCTAGCAGCCGGCTTACTGAGTTCGCCTCTTGGCTTCAACTCTTGGCTTCTTGTTGATAATGCGTGCAAGCGTCCAGGTATGCTATGATACAAGAATGAATGTCAATGATGTCCATAGATAGCCTAGAGGTAGTCGAGTAGGGACCACGATGCTGACAGTGTTACCTAGTACCTACCATAGAGTGAATTGAAATGCGTACTATGAGGCTTGGAAGATAAGTGGCCAATTGAATCAGAGACCTCGGAATCTTATGTTATGTACCAAGCAACCTACCTAGATATCATTCATCATGCAACGGCGTAATCCACGGGTACTTCTGGATAGCAAGTGTTTCAAGGAGTAATGTGGCTGAGCGTGTTGCATCCCGACTGCTATGGTGCATTTCATGTTGTCTGCTACACCTGACTATTCTAGCTTACCATCTTTCACTTCATCTGGTGTTCTCTTATACGAGGCTCCAGAAATTCTTTCAGGTCTCCATTTGAGCCTCAATGAGGGATTACCATCGATGATTTTGCGCATTTGCATCCACGGACCCTCAAATGGAGGTGGTCATAAGACTTATCAATTGACTTTTGCGCAGGGACATCACTGATCGGGTCGTACTAACCTTGGAACATGCTGACGGCCCAAGGTCTGAGTTTTAAGTATTTTGAATGATAACTAACAGTCTGATTCGACCCAACATTCGTTTCACATATTATGAAAGTCCAAGGCTCGGAACTTAAAGACAAAGATTTCAAGGTTTTTCATGATAAAAACCTTGGAAAAGTGTGGCGTTGTAATTTAAAGGTATGAGAATAGCATCAAAAAGATATAATATGAACACTGGGATGCCCGAGAAGATGCTTCATTTCAGAGCCTTTCATTCAGGACCCTTGATTTCAGCCTTCGCTGATACAGCAGATTATTTGCATAAATAAGCTGCCAATTGCGACCAACCTTCAACGTTGAGCAGATGGAGTTTACACAGCGTGAGGCGACATCCGGGGCTGAGCGGAAGTTACTTCTTCATCATCCAAGACTGAAGGGGACGACGTGGTAGATCCGTTCCCATGTTTGGTTACATATCAACACACATGCGACATTAGCCAAGGTTCCAAGGTTCATCTCAAGCCAACCTCGCCGTGGTATCTCCGCTATTGACCCCGACGCTGTACACCAATCTCCCCCTTTATTATGGTGGTTTATTCAAGTATTTAGTACACACTGCCCAGGTGCATCTTACACAACATGGCAACCGCGTGGTTTCTCACAGATCTGGACGAAATCGAGCGAGAGAGTGTTTAACCATGAGCGGCTACACAACAGGGTTAGATCTGCGACGTTAGTCGCCAACATCCAACAAATCAGTCTTAACCAAAGTACGCTTTCTCGTACTGTCCAATGAAATCGATCAAACTGAGTGCGAGGTTGGGGGCCGCAATTTGGTTCGTGCTTGAATTATTACATAGTAGCTAGTGGATCGCAGTTCGAGAAGTCTTACCCCGGGGCCAATAGGTTAACCACGGTACTGCTTGAAGGGGTCTTACTAAGTATTGACGTCTTTTCCTTTTCTTGACCCCTAAAACAATCGACGTACTTCCAGTAGTAGACACGGTCAATTTGCCCCTTTTAAAAGTCACGGTAAGGGCGGCTTCTCAGCAGAAATTAAGATATGCAGGATATCTGGTTTAGCCCCTGCGTCATTGATTCCTCCACAATCCTTGTTTAATGATAATCCTAATTCTTTCCTTATGGGGAACCGGGATTCCTGTTCCAGATGGATTACATTCTGACTTCGGATTCTTTGAGATGTCTTGACAAGGTGAGAGTGGATTTGATCATGGTATTTACTGTGTACGCGTACCATGTATTGTTCTAGAACGTCTCATTTCCCGATCTTAACAAATAGAAATCCTGCAGGCTAGCCTAAATATAGTAAGTAATGGGAATACAATTCCAAATCTGGCGCTTCCGAATGCGGGGTGGCCCATATCAGCTGACCATCACTTCCCGTGTTTTTTCGATCGTAAACTCCTCTTTCTTAATCCCTCTCTTTCTCTCTCTATGACTACTACCTGCAATAAGAGGGATACGTTCGATCGTTGACCCTTAGAGGGGTCTTTTCACTAACCTTGAACCCTCATCCTTAACTCCTCTGGGCCATTTATCTCTTAAGTCTGAATATTTTAGAAGGTTTTTGCCCTTATCTATAGAGGGTTAAGCCGTCGCGGAATCTTCCGTTTGCAGTTTTGAACCACCCCCGGGTTCAATGGTTTCTCCTGTTTTAGAGACCAACAGGTCCAAAGATCATTGTCATTCCAGCCAGGGGCTTGTTTACAATGATGCTTGCCTCCAATCTTCCGAGTCTATTCGGACTCAGCCAATAGACATCGCTGTTTCCGAATCGAAACCCATAACGTCGCAATTGCCCTCGCTTCAGATTCGTACTGATTTCCAAATTCGTACTGATCGTCCGAATTCCCGTGAATCCGATACGCCATCCTTTGGTTTATTATCTGGCAGCTATCCTAGACGTACTCCAAGTCTTCGCGCTCTTATCGCACCGCCCATCTCGAATGCAGGCTCTTTTTCTCCCGCATCGTTTATATCATCCCCGCAGTTGAACGCAATGGCTGACATCACTCCTTTACCCTCTCCAATCGGTGGGGCTTCTCCGTGGCAACCAGCCGGCCTGCCGTCGTTGTCACGTACGTCGTCTACCGCATCCCGAAGCGCATCGAGCTTGCGGTTGAGTGAATCATCGCAAATGATTGTCCCGCCCGTCGCACGCTCTCATACCAAATCATATGCGCCGCTGGAAGAACACGGAGAACATGGAGAAAACTCTTCATCTGCAAACCAGATCCGTTATGATTCACCTTCCAATCATGCCCGGAATCGCAGTTTGAGTGATTATGCGCCATCCGGCCGCGTATCTGTTCCCCGACCAATCGCTGTTTCTGGGTCCGGCCCGAGCATGGCCCAGTCATCTAGTATTGACTCCAAGTCTGGATTACAACGCGAACAATACCTAGCTGTGCACCGTGGTATCGCCCTACCCGTAGTACGTCCTCCCAGCCCTCCTCGTAGTAGTGGCAGTGGGTATGGGGACAGTGACTCAGAGCCAATGCTTCATCGCCCAGTCATATATTCGGTCTCGTCATCAGATGAAATATACACCGTCAAGTCTATCCGTACCAAGCAGGCCCGGATATATCGCAAAATCCGAGTTTTAGGCCAGGGTACCTTCAGCCAGGTGAGCCTGGCAGCGCGTATTGAGAATGTCGTTCAAACTCCGCTCTCGCCCATGGATGAACCCAGTGATATCGTGGGCCTGGCAGCCAACCAGCAGAAGCTAGTAGCTGTCAAGGTCATCGAACTTGGGCCCGCCGGAGGTGCAGATGAGGAGCGCGTAGAAGTGTCTTTGAAGCGTGAGGTGGAAATATTGAAATCAGTCAATCACCCATCATTGGTTCAGCTGAAGGCATTTGGAAGTGATGAGAAGCGCGCACTGCTCGTACTTGACTACTGCCCCGGTGGTGACCTCTTTGAATTCGCAACATCAGCTGAATCTCGTCACATGTCACCACCTCTAATCCAGCGCATTTTCTCAGAATTGGTCAGTGCAGTCCGCTACCTGCATTCAAACTACATCGTCCATCGTGACATCAAACTTGAGAGTGAGTGTTTTCTGTTATCCATTGCTCCCTCTTTTTCTTACACGCGACAGATGTTCTTCTCACGATGCCTATCCACATCATGGAGACCATCCCTGACTGGCAGACTTACGATCGTGCAGTTATCACACTAAGCGATTTGGGTTTGTCACGACGTATCCCAGAGCCTCCGCAGAGCCCTCTTCTCCAGACTCGCTGTGGTAGCGAAGACTATGCAGCCCCTGAGATCCTGATGGGCCAGCCTTATGATGGCCGCTCCACTGATGCTTGGGCCCTCGGTGTACTCCTATATGCCATCATGGAAAACCGTCTTCCATTTGACGTTCTTCCCGGTACTCGTGGAGACCCTGCAAAGCTCCGGGCCCGGACCCCCCATCGCATTGCCCGTTGCGAATGGAGCTGGTACCGGTTTGCCAATGAAGATGAAGAATGGGATCCTGTTAAGGGCAAGGGTCTAGAAGGTGCCCGTGAGTGCGTGGAAGGTTTGCTTAAACGCAACACTAAGCGTAAAACACTCGATGAAATAGCCGCCATGCCGTGGGTGCAAGAAGGCATCAAAGTCATCAATGAACTCAAACGAGGCGACAAAGAAGTGCCATAGCGCTTCACTTCATTCACATTCAACATCTGTCTTTAATTTCTTACTGCCCTTTTTCCAGGATCCATTTTCCCACATACTTGACTTACCTTCTTTTGCACCAACGAGGTTGTTTTGCCCCTGAAATTCACCGTGGCTTACTTTATTTGGCCAAACATTTATTATACCCCATTATATACACCGGACGGAGATTCCGAAGAGCAGCCTGAAATAAGATTTGTTTCACTCAATTTAATCTGACGAGCATATTTATTTGAAAACTTGGTTTCTGTAGCATCAGCTCTAGAAATAGACTCAATGTGGAACATTTGATGATATAAGCTTTATACCTCATGAACTACTAATATGCAGGCTTTAAGAAAAGACGACATTTCTTATTATGAATGAACTATGGAGTACCCAGGTACTGTACAGTATTGATTATGATTGGTGCCATGTCATTATTATTACGGAGTAGAGTTTTCGCATAGCGAGACTAAAGTGGTAATATATCATATCCACTTGACGAGATTTTTAAATTGAGGGGCTTACAGGTCATAGCTGGAGTATCAAAATTGAAGATTCGCGATCCTACTCGCCATCAAAGGTGGACTGAAGCTATTAAAGATTTCCTTGAAACCAAGACTTAAATAATCAGTCATCCTGCCATCTATAAGATATCAATACAGCAGATCTCGGTAGTTGAGATAGAGCTACATAACTTCAATTGGCTGATTCATATAAATTATACCAGATGGATATTATGCATATTAACCTACTAATAATAGTCAATATGCGATTCAATATTCGGCAGTGTTGGAAATTTACCATTGTGGATCTAAGGTCCAGTATTCCTTCGCCCCTGATTTGTGGAGGCTATAAAACACGGGACTAAGTTCGCTAGGTTCCGGCGTATCAACGGTCTGAACTGCTTTGGACTTTGGATATGTGGCGCTTGCCTGATACGAAAGTGGGTGGACACAGTGGGCAAAGTGGGCCTGAGCTGTTGTCCTTCCATATAGCTGCTGGAAGAATGTTTCGTTATTAAGACGACATCTCCGAGAAGAAGAAAAAGCCCTGCTACACCATCTGCTTCTGCTTCAGATTCAGCTTCAGCTTCAGCTTCATCCTATGTGTAGTGCCTCCCATTTGTCATGGCTACAACTTACGATGAACGACGCCGGCAAGTCGGTCGGTCTGAAAGTATGCCCACTGCTTCTCAAAGTGCGCGGAGATCCTCTCTATACCTTAACCCAGCACATTCATCTACTGTGAATGCTCAGGGCACACAACGCCCACCATCACTCCCACCTCGCCATTCGAGTTCGACCGGATCTACGATTCATCTGCCTCGGCCGAAGGCACAGCTTTCATTAGCCCCGCAGCCAACCAGCAGAACACGAGGGCATCGACCGCTATCCGCGCAATATTTTCAGCCTAATTCGGCCTCGTCCGAGCTCGCGAGATGGAAGGCTATCACCCAGATGCATCCAGTCACAAATGTGCTTTCTCATACTACTGGTAAAGCCAATTCCACTATTCAGGAGCTGGAGGATCTGATACGGCAAAGCCTAAGTGGGGGCCCACATATTCGTGAGATCACTTCTAGAATTCTGGATAAAGTTGTTACTTTAATTGATGGCGGCTCGTTCTGTGGCAGGGAAAACGACCTTGGTGAGTTATGTTTTGATGTTGAATATCCTTCTCCGAGCCATTAACTGATATATAACAGTCGCCGCATGTTCGCTACCATTCCAATCTAATAGACATGGACGAACCATATCTGGATCAATTGACTATTTCTCTAAAGTATACTCCTATGCCAATTCTCGCATGCCTTCTCAACTACCAAACCTGAGATTGTAAGTATACAAACAGTACAAGTTGGATGACAATATTGACGACTATCCAGTTATCCCGAAATTTACCCCCTACTCCGTCTAGCAGCGCATTACTCACGCTACGTGTATGAAAAGTCAAAAGGCCAAGAACGAAACTCCTACGTGGAGTCTGATTGGCGCCAATGCACCAAAGCAATGGTGATAAAGTCGGTACCAGTAGACAACATGAACACAATCGTCTTCGCAATCCGCGGAACCCAAAGCTTCATGGACTGGGCCGTGAACGTGACAACAGCACCCGTATCACCCACCGGCTTCCTCGATGACTCGTCCAACTACGTGCATCACGGATTCCTGTCCGTAGCGCGCAAGATGGTCACATCAGTCGCTGCTCGTCTTCGCACACTTCTCCAAGAAGACCCCAGTCGCATGTCCTACAACCTCTTGATAACCGGCCACTCTGCAGGCGGGGCTGTTGCAAGCTTGATCTACCTGCATCTCATGGCTGAGTCTCCAGCCGTGAGATCGGAACTAACTTATCTGCGAGGCTGTTTCGCGCATATTCACTGCGTCACATTTGGTGCTCCGCCCATCTCACTCTGTCCGCTACCCCGCCCTTCAACATCGGTAGCATCAAAGTCTATATTCTTCGCATTCATCAACGAAGGTGACCCCGTCGCCCGTGCGGATAAGAGTTACTTTATCTCTTTGATGGATCTTTATATTTCCTCAGCTCCTAGCTCGAATTATGATTCTAGCTCTGGATCTAATTCTGGATCTAGTTCTGGATCAAGTTCTGGTTCTAGTTCTGGTGACTCCTTCGTTAATACACGCCGCAACTCCAGACAGGCCGCTTACTGGAAAGTCCCACAAGCCATGCTCTCAAACGCAGGCCAACTCGTTCTCCTCCGTTCTCACAGCCAGCCAGATTCTCGCTCGTCAAGGGTTCAAGCACTCAATCCAGGGCCTCCTCTCCCACCACGGGAAAGTGTAGAAGCATGCGGAACGACAGATACAGAGCTGCGCGGCTTCATGTTCGGTGATCCTCTTATGCACTCGATGGATCTTTACACTCGTCGAATTGAGACATTAGCTATGAAGGCTTAATTCAATCTAATCCGATCCGCATTCACCGGCACCTAGCAATTCCGAAATCATGAGGCATATTTACAAGTCTAATTAATACCCACTTTTACTCTACGACGACCAAAGAGTATATAGTTTTTACAGTTCTTAGCGAATAATGACTATGCATTTTTATTTTCATTCTCATTACAAGTGGCTTCGTCTGTAAGCTTGTCATTCATCTCTGCTCTCCATTTCTCAATCTGTGTTATTCGAAAAAGCCCTATCTCGCGATTCAGCGCTACAGAGCAATCAACACACATGCCTGCAACGAGTTTCCGGTTCTTGCCTGGAATAACGTGGCAGAAGTCCCAGTCCAAGAGCTCTTGGTGGTGGCATTTTTGTCGTTTGTAGATCGGTATGTCTATTTCAGAGCATTTTATTAGCTTGTTGCGGAGAGTGTGGCCGCATTGGAATGTTGAGTAGAGTTGGCGGCACATTTTGATTGTTCCAAGGATTGGGACTTGTCTCTTTAAGGGATAAGAAAATGAGCTACGTTTTATTGTAACGAGAAGTCTACATCTTGAGAAAGAACAATGGCTTTGTTCATAGGCAAAAGACAATGGCGGTTGCCGTCAAAGAGGGTATTATCTTGAAAGAATTAATACAGGATTCATTCTTTTAGGGATTTATCCACTAACAATAAGGAAGTGGAAAGGGTCGATTTCCCAAATCGATCACCAAATCCGACGGTTCTTACTCCACATGCGAATGAAGTCCAACTTCTCCTTAACACCCAGGCCAACCCGTTTAACGCGACCCAGTCTCGCAAGCGACTCGCCAACCTGATCAAGAAGCGCCTTCTGCGCCTCGGTGGCTCCATCCAGCATATCAATGATATTGGTGTTATAGGACGAGCCTGAGGATAGAGAGGCAGGGGCATCGAAGGCACCGGCATTGTTGACAATGCACTCGGCGATTCGAACTCGGATACAGTGTGTCGGACGGCTGAGCAGGGCCCAGAGGAAACTGATGTAGCAACCTGGGAGCGGGGTCACGACGTCGACAGGGGTGTAGCGGAGGGATACGGGGAAGATCTTTGTCTTGGTTGGAACATCTAGGAGCGAGGGGCTTAGTGGTAGGATGCCACGGCTGTTCGTTGTCGTGCATTCTGGGAAGACGACGATGGGCCGGTTTGGGTATTTTGCAACAAGCGTGTGCAGCTCTACCAGCTTTGTGTCAGGTGTAGGCTGGGTCGATGGTTGGGCGAAGGCGCGGAGAATTGCCTGGAGCAGAGAAATGCGGGCTACTTTGCGAGTGTTTGGGTACGAAGCAGTGAAAACCGGATCAAAAATTGCAGCCAAGTACACCGGGTCGATGGGAGAAGTGAATGACGATGCGATCACAGAGCCAGGCTGAGGGAGACGAGCTTTCAGGTGCTTAGAGAGGGAGCTGTAAGTTGTGTTTTATTTAGTAATTGCCCATCTAGATCAGTTACGCTTTTTTTCTTTTTTTTTTTTTTTTGTTGTGCTTACCCTCTGCGTACGCCATCAACTTGAAGGTCGATCCACCAGATACTAGGCACACCCAAGATACACCACAAAGCTGCTTTCTTGCCCAGAGCTCCTAGGGGAAGCCATTGCAGTACCAAAAAGTAGGCTAATGTTAAGAAAAGGAATAAAGGCAGGCGGAAGCAGAACAGGAAGATGCGGATAGGGGCCTGCAACCCAAGAGACTCCGTTGGAATAGGTAGGAAAGGAGCAATGCCCGATCCTAGAAGCTTTGTTAGCTGGAGTTGGGAGTGAATGATAGGATAATTCCACTCGCCTCGATCCCTGAACTGGGAAAATTTCTCCATTGCGTGTGCTATGGGGGTGTTTATGGAGGTTTTGGTTTCTAATAACATGTGGCGGCCTTTGCATGTGAGAGCCACGTGACATTATTTTATCTTATCGGGTTATCGGGTTATCGGGTTATCGGGGGGATTTCTATAGCGATCGGATCCTGCTTATTGTGGATAGCTTACTGTGGTTGTGGTCACTACTTGGAGGTAGAGCTGGAGGAGTTCAAAATGATGAATAAAAAGAGAAATGAAAGTAAGATGAAATCAAAATGCAGCCACCTAATTGCCAAATTCACCAAAAACACCCTAAAATGAACTAGTTTGGTAAGATTTACTATACAGGCTTATACTCTATCAACGCATATGCATTCAAACATCATCATCCTCAAACTCCCCTACCACAAACTCAGGACTGGTAGGTAGAGCTGGGGGTAGTTGAAACAAGAAAATTGAGACACCAACCATACAGAATAAAGTACTTGTCATCATCCAAGCAAGTCCAATCCAGAACCCACCAAGACGAAGACCAAGCTGAAAGACAGTGGTGATGGACAAGCTGGCAACCACATTACCTATAGATTGAATGATCTCGACCACAGTATATAATCGTGCTGTCTCATCCCGTTCCACGAGGGTAGTGATAATTGAGCGGGTCAGGAACACAAAGCCGGACCCCGAGGCTTGAACAATCATACTCGGGATCAGAGTGCTGATGGTGGGTGAGAGTCCTATTCCAAGCGTACCCAATGTGAGACAGAAGATACTTGCGCGAGCAAGATATAGATCTTTCTGTGTTGCTGAATGTCGTGGAGTAAAATAATGCTTCTTCAGCATGGGAAGGACGAACAGGAAGAGTGGAATCGAGATCGTGGGTCGACATGATACTAGCAGATTGGCCTGTGCCAGAGTCCAGCTGTACCGAGTCGATATATACTGAGTCAAAAACCATGACGAGCCACGGCTGAGTCGGTAAACCAAAAATGCCGTTAACAGAAGCAGCACCGACTTTCGATTCAAGATGAAGAGGTAGGGCTTCACGTAGAAGTGGAGACTAGCACAGAATTTGGCCCACAGGGATGAATGCTGTCGAGATGGATAGCTCCAAGTCATATGGCTTTCATGGTCCTGAGCGCCCTCCACATCGCTTTCGCTATGGTGCGGTTCGGGCAAGTGGGGCTTGGGAAGATCATCTTTAGGTTCCATATTTGACAGCTCAGAAAGCTCCACATTCGAAGGCTCCGGTGAGCGGGGTGGCATAACATGCTTCGTTTCAGGTAATACCAAAATGAAGCCTAGCCCGCCCAAAACAATGGCAAATCCTACTAGGAAGGGGATCCAAGGGTTCAAGGTCATCAAGTATGAACTGAAAGCGCTCGTCACAAAGTCGGCACCCATTGAGACGATGGCAAACTGAAAAAAGAGGGTTGCTCTGGGTAGAAAGATTAATTGCTGTTCAAGATCATCGCAGAAGGGGGTTATCTACCTTTCCGAATCAGTTGTCACGTCCGCCATCATCGTCCAGATGATTGCGAACGCAACAACGGGACCACCGCCAATCAGCCAGCCCAAACAAGACAGCCAGATTGCACGTAATGGAAATATATCAGAGAACCACAAGACAACAATTGTGATGATCGCATTGACGGCGAAGCCGGGTAAGCCAAGAATCAACGTGGACCTACGACCGACACGGTCTGCCAGCAGACCAAATGGAAATGCAAGAATTGCGCCTATTCAGAAACGTCCTGTTAGAACCAAAGCACAGCTCCAATGGTATTGTCCGACGAGTCCATACTCAATAAACCATCAAAAAACATATGATAGCCCTTAACAGCCGCCAGCTCAGCTTGTACTTCGGCAATCTTGCATTGATCCTCCGGCACCTGGCCAGTGGCATCAATTTTGGTCGGATCTGCTATAGCAAAGTACTGGCGACAGGCAATGTCCTCCATGATGCGTACCTTCGGCATACGTCAGCAATCATATCTATATTCAGATGCCTGAATTGCACCGTAGACACACCATAGGACCCTCAAGGAACGCAAAGCCAACCTCCACCGCTAGGATCATTAAGAATAGGGCGAGCTTCAACCGGAAGCTAATCTGCTTGGCGGTGACATTGGCTTTCTCTGGCTGGCGAGGTGGCTTCGCTTCACGAGCTACAGGGGCGGATGCGGGTTCGGGGGCGAGGAAGGGGGCATCCTCGCGGTCCTGGTCGAGCTCATGTAAGTGTTCCGGGGCCATCATGGCCGGGCATGCCGTTTATATATATATATAAGGAATAGAGAGTTGAAAAGAGGTGAGAAAGAAGGAGTATAGTTGTCCTGAAAATGTTCCGTGATAATGCGATAATGCGATAACGCGGCCAGTGTCTTGGCGCCAGATCAACTTATCAAGATCCACATTCAGGGGAAAAGAGGCCAAATTACGCGTGGATATTCTTCATGAGCTTATTGGTGTGAACGCGCTTTATATAATTCCCTTGACTCCGGACTTACTCCGTAAATTCTATGTACAACTCAAGTGTATCCCGCTTCTTCAAAGAGACTTCCTCGTGTTTGCACCACGGCTGCGAGCTCTAATAAAAACTCGTAGAGGATCACCACGTTTGTCAGGACGTGGCCAAGGGTTACGACTGAGGGCACTTCGGTCTCGCTATCAACTGCGTCGGCATCATCATTGTCCGTTACATCCGTGGATGGCAGTGCGACCGGGGGGAAGGGCGTGGCCAGTCGCTGCCGTAGAGCCTCGGCTGCTGCGGCACGGGATTCAGATGAGCCACGCGATATGTTTGGGCGGAATGATTCGCTTGTCAAACCTGAATAGTTGGCGGAATGAGGAGATCGGCCCCGGGAGACCGGAGACGTTGGCTCGGAAGATCCGGGGTATGACTGGTCCTTTGGTGTAGGTGGCTGAGATGAATCTCGGGACCGTGGCGGGCTTTGAGAAACGTCCGTTTGATGCAGCACGTCTCGTCGCGCAGCGACTAGGACATTAAAATCGGGGATGTCGTCCTGCCACTGACGCACCTGGTCAACAAGCCGCTGTAGCGCCGAGGTTAGAGTCGGTGCTGCATTGCTCGGCCATGTCGGTGCCTTGTAAGCATTGCGGATTCTGTCCAGCTCATTTGGCGGTTCTTCTGGAGCAGGAGAAGTATTGTAGAGGTTAGGATCAACCAATACCCATCCGTCCAGCGAGAAGAGATGAGACGAAGCTAGGCTCATCAGCATACCGGTGAGGGCAAGGTTCACTATGACACTGTTGGTGAAGAATGTGTCAACGCAGCTAAGAAGCCCCTCGACGATCGGATCGTCCTGCTGAATTTGTTGTGGAAGGGGAATGGCATCATCGCCTTCATCTTCCGAAACTGGAAGACTGAGACGGGATTCAAGTATGAATGTCGCGTCTGCCACGTAGTTGTCATAAGACTCGTTCAGAGTGGGCTCATTGATAATAGTCGTAGCAAGGCCCAGAAGTTGCTCAAGCTCGGCATTGAACGCACCAACGGACCGCTGCTGTGTCGGTTGACCGCGCACTGTATGGATCAGCGCACGCGAAAAATTATGGTGTCGTTGTAAAACAATGTTCAATAGCCGTATTGTGGCCAGCACCGTCTGGCGGTTTGTTGACTGAATTCCGAGCAACGCCAAGTCACGCAGATTGAACAGGGAAGGTGATGGCTGGACTTCTGAAGCCATCGCAGCCAGTACATGGAGCGATCTGCGTCGGCTTACTGACATATCCATTTGCTCCTCAGGGTGTGGAGAGGAAGCCAGCAAGAAGAGTAGGATCCGATGTACCAACTCGCCTTGCTGGATTGAGTCTAAGATTCGATAGAGATAGGTCAATACTGCTGCAGTGGAGCCTCCCGCAACATCAGACGATTCCAACAAGGAAGGATATCTGCAAAAATTCATCAGTTATGGGATCTGATCAAAGGAAGCGGGTTTCATTACAGGAGTTGTTCAAGAAAGAGTACTTGGAAGTGATCCAGAAGAGTGTCATTAACCTCGGCAGATTTGCAATGGTTGATGGTATCCTGCCAGAACAGTAGGTATGACATGAAAGCATCCATAGCTTCGCCCAAGTCGGGTATAAGGGCCGTCTCCTCTTCGGCATGATCCGAAAGTGCAATGATTCGCGGCACATTTTCGTTCGTAGACGCAAAGAACAGGCTCAAATAAATCAGTATTCTGCTTCAAATTTGATCTGACCAAACTCACCTGCCCAGCTGACTATAAAGAGCACCAAGACCAGTAGCCATCAAAGTAGCCAAGTCACTCTCGATAAGCCACTTCTCAAGGATCTTGGAGCGTGACGCCGTCTCGATAAGATATAGGAGGCCGGTGCGTGCAAAGTCACCCGCTCGGCCGTCATTGTGAACATAATCGACAAGGAGATAGAACAATGGGAATTCATCCTTGCGAGTTGCACCTGCAAACTCGGTGCCGCTTGGGGTTGCCGACTCTGATCCATCCTCGCCCAATGGGGTCACCCGCGGAACAAACCATGCGGGCAAGATGACAGGCTGCAGCCGAATATTATTAGCGATACCAAACAGCAGCTCTACCAATCTGCTTTCGGTCTCATCTGATGACTTGTCAGCCCGACGGACCAGGTCCACCAATGCACGGGCGAAAAGCCGGTTATCTACGACTCCGTCCACCTCGGCGTCAATGAGGGTGTTGAAGAAGGCCGTGGCAGCTCGAAGGATCCCATCATCGTAGTATGATAGGGCCAATTTGGTTACGGTGACAAAAATTTGGGAAGAAGCCGCGTATGCTACGCAGGGGTGTGGTGCTGGTCCTCGGGATTCATCGCTCAAGATCGAGTTGAGTCGTTCAAGGTATGTGCGCGCGTGGACGATGGACTGTTCGCCTGAAGGAGCATTGGTGGAGCGCCAAATTTGCTATATTCCCATCATGTCAGCCAGGGTCAACATTATTTGCCTGAGATCCTTACCTGAAGAGAATTACAGGCGCGCTTAAAGGTCGTTAGGCGCTCGGTGGGCGAGGAGGCCCGGGAGGTCTTTGGCAGTGAGCGTGAACCGCCGATGAGACGAGACCACTGCAATGAATTAGAAATCAGATTGATCTCGACGATGAAGGATCACGTACAAAGTCCATTCTGTGACAGCATGACCTCACGACCTTGGCGGGACGTGGAATGTGATGGGGTTGAAGATGTGGGTGGAGTCGGTGGGAACTTGGTGCTATCGTGTTGATCGCCTCCACTATTGACTAGTTACAGATTACGCAACGCTTCGACAAGAAAAAAAAGAATAAAAATAGAAAACAGAAAATATTACGTCCGAATGTGTTTCATTTGGACTTCCGTTAATTCAAGGCCTTGCCGCCTTAAGAAGTAAAGTATTCACATGAAATAGTGCTGCTAAAAGAAATTCCAAACCATCCAACGCCCCAGAAATCATGACTGAGAATACTCCGTATCTCTGTTCATCAATGCACCAGATGCCTTATCCCATCTAGGATATCGTCAATCATTTCCTTTTTGAAGAGAGATATTTATTCGCTCTCCTCCTTAGGCTTGCGTCCACCGCGCTTCTTGCGACCGTCGTTCTGGTCGCTGCTCTCATCTTCATTCTTGCGAGCGGGTTGATCGGGGACCTTAGCCATGATATCGGCGAGGAAATCAAGGGTCTCATCCTTGCTGACAGCGAGCTTGAGGTGGGAAGCTGTGATGCGCTTGGAGTTGCGCTCTTGCGCCTCATACGCAGCTTTGGTAACAAGGGAAATCATGAAAAGTTCGAGCGCCTTGGCTATCTGGGGGTCAGTAAATAATATTACAAGGATTCTGTCAATTAGTCTACACTCACAAACTGCGATCGGGGTCACTTGCGCAACTTTGCCGACATCTTCATCTGCCTGCATGATGCGTTTGATGCGCGCGACGGGGAATTTGGTCTTGACCTCAATTCCAGCGCCAGCAGGCGCAGGCTTCTCTTCGGGAATTTCAGGCGCGAAAGTCATGGTCTTGCTTTGGGGTTCTGGTACTTGTTCAGTTTCGGCCTCGATTTCAAGGTCGTCAGACGCGTTTTGGTATTGGGGCGCGTCTTGGTACTGTAGGCGGGATGAGCGACGAGCCATATCCTCAAAAGACGAAGGTGGCACGTACGATTGAGGAACGCGTTGGGGGCGTGGGGATGAAAAAAAAGGCGAAGAGTCGTAGTCGCAAGAAGCACGATGAGTCAGGGGACTCAAAGGAGTGTAGGTAGTAGTGGGTGGAAATGGGAGAGAGGAGAGATCGGGGGATTTAGGACGATAATTCTCTTCTGTCATGCTGTGGAAAATATAGACATGGAGTATAGAAGTGGTCCAAGCTCCCTGAGAAGTGATAAAGGTAGAAAACGGAGGGCGGTGGCGCCCTTTTTAAAGAAAAACGATAAATGGACCGCATAAAATACAGAATTGAACGCAAATGTCCTAATTGGGTTTAGTGTCGTGTATGAAATATAGCAGGATGTGGTAATTTGCTTGTACATTAAATACGGCGCTAAGCCTAATCAAGCATCGGGGGTACAAATATTATCGTTTGCGGTGGAAATTCTTTTTTCTCTCCTTTCTACACGCCGATGAAGTTTGATGACTTGACTATTTTGCTTTCAATTCTTTTCAATCTATCTTAATTTTGATTTTCGATTTTTAATTAAAATAGATTGAAAAGCATCGAACAATGTTATTTTAATTCTTCGTCTTTAGTATTATTCGTCCATCTTATTCCCACTCTATGATGATAGAGCTAGTCCGGAGAGAAGGAAGCTGATGAAACTTTTGAGTATCGCAGCTTCATCGATGATGGACCATAAATTACTTGATCTAATCTGAGAGTAGACCACTAGCATATTGTTATTAGTTAAATGAGATAAAGAAATATGTAATTAAAACAGACAATAATAGGATATCTTGGACTTCTACTATGGTTCCTTACCTACGTCGGCAGAACTGTTTCTCCGACCAAATTCTATATGTTGTTTGAGTGCATAATATGTACTTTCATCTCCCATCTCCTACTACTCTCCGGATTGTTCCTTCCTTTTGCATCCAAATTGAAGTCCGCTGACATGGCCGTGGCGGATGCGCCAGCTGGTCTTATGGACATTGCAAGGTATATTCGGCTCTATCGCAACTTATCTCCAACCTTCTAACCCAATTGCTAGCACGCTATCTCCGGACGACATCCCATTTAAGCTGCGATGTGCCATGTGCAGCAAGCTGGCGGTCAACGCCTTCCGCTTGCCTTGCTGCGATCAGTCAATTTGCGAATCTTGTATAGTGTAGCCCAGAACCAGTTTATCGGCGATTGCTGACTTCCTCTCCAGGTCATGAATCCCTACCAGACACCTGCCCTGTCTGCACACACAATCCCCTCACCCCCGATCTCTGTAAGCCGCATAAAGCGCTTCGTACCACCCTCAAAGCTTTCTTGCGAACCGCGGAGAAAAAGCGAAAGGACCAACTGGCAGCTGCTCCTCCACCTGCTTCAATCCCTACACCCGCAGAAGACACCGAACCCCCCACGGAGGCGCCCGTCGATACTCAAGTTGCAGCATCTGCAGAACCTGTAGCTCCTGATGTACAAAATGAGCCCCCGGTGTCTGAGTTGACGAACTTCGATGAGATAAACCCTGTGCAGGAGGGAATTGAAGGCAACGTTGAGTCAGTAGAGGCTCTCAAAGAGGTAATTACTGGTTTAAACATTGACCATTGGCCATCCTTCTTATAATATCTTGCTTATTCGATTTCACACAGGCAACCAACCCTGCTACTGAGCCGCCCGTGGAAGCTCCTACAGAGTCAAATGCGCAGTCCGAAAGCAATACGCCGAATGAACCTACCCAGCCTTCTATGCCAGAACAAGAACAACCCAGTACTAACATGATGAATGTGGGCCCTGGTGGCTGGAACGGTATGGGTTGGAATGGCAACTTTAACGGCATGAACCCGTACATGGGCAATCCTTTTAATTTTCAGAATCAAATGGGTATGTAACTGCCTGAGCAGTGATATATTTGACACTTTTTACTCACATATTATAATAGGGATGCCGACGACCGCAAATCCGGGAATGTTTGGAGGAATGAACATGGCTGCTGGTATGGGCATGAACAACATGGGCAACTTCAATGGACAGGGCATGTATGGATCTGTAGGATGGGATGAATCTCAACTGAGCATGTGGCCAGGCGCCCAAGATAATTTCAATCCAAATGCATTCGCAAATGGCTCTGGACCTCCATACGGAGGAGCGTTCGGCGGGTCTAATATGTCTTACCATTCTAACCACGGTTATCAGTCTGGTAACTACGGAACTGAGTATGGACGTGGAGGTTATCGTGGACGCGGACGTGGCTACTACAACGGCGGTCGAGGCGGTTATGGAGGCCACGTACCGGCGTACTCTTCCCACGCTCCCGATGGTGGATATTCTAACACTCAGGTCCCAAGTACGGATTTATCAACAACTGCCAATACTGAAATCTCCGTTCAAGCCGGAAATCCTACGGATGAAGAAGGTGTACCGACAAGTTCAGACTTGACGGAGGTCGGCAACCAGCAGTTGCAAGTAATCCCAACGATTGATAGCCTAGATGAGTCCACGGGCCAAGGGCCATACCATGGATACCTGGGTCAGGGTTATGGACGAGGTGGGTATGGAGGTATGGGTGGGTATCGGAATGGACATATGTCTCAAGCCCATATTAACCCTGGAGTGGAAGGTGCTCCTGCCGCACCACGCGCCATGCGACAAGGCCTACCAAATACTAGTGTCCTTCGACAGCGTGCGTTCCAGAACAAATCACGGGCCTCGGCAGGCATTAATGGACCCGGACAATCGACAAAGTAATTACAAGATGTCGATCTATCTTGGAATGTTTACTGACAAATCTGCAGCGCGGACTCTGGAACTCCACCAGACTCGACTGGAGCGCGATCTCCTTCCAAAGCCCCATCTCTGCCCCAGCGCGCAGAATCACCACCCCATTCACCCTCACAGGCCGCAACCCCCCGACCTCAATCACCAGCTCCCCAAAATATAGCGACTAATTATGATATCCGAGATCATCGTGATGAAGAAGCGGCGCGGATTGATGGTCACCTCTCTCGCTCTCGCTCTCGTTCTCGATCTCGCTCTGCATCTCAAGCTTCTTCGCGTCGAAAATCTTACCGAGATAGTGATATAACTCGCCGCAAGGACAGGGACCGCCACAGTGACCGTCGTGATAATCGGTCTGAACGCTATCGGCCTCAGGGCGGTAGTCGCAGCAAGAGCCCATCTCGAGCTAGTGAACTTCGCCGGTCTGATCGCCAGATTCTGGATGAGAACCGGCGTAATGGCCACAAAAGAGCATCCCCAGAAGCCGTTGAGCGTGATTCAGGTCGAGGCGGCAGAAGCCGTCGAATAAGTCGCGACCGATCTGTGCGTCGTGACGAAAATCGGGAACGCACTCGAGCCCGAGAGAGTGACCGATACACTCGCGATCGCCGTGACCGAGATCGAGGTGATCGAGATCGAGATCGTCCCTCAGAGCGAGACCGCCGTAAGGATCGAGGTAGAGATCGCGAGCATGGTCGTGACCGTCGCGAGCGAGACCGAGGCAGAAGAGACGATAAAGATCGCAAGCGATCCCGACGTGATCGTTCCGAGTCGCCCAATGGCGGTGATCGTTCCCGGGCCCGACGTATCAAGCGCAGCGATTCCATTGACCGGGATGGTTTAAAGACTGTTCCCTCGGAGACTGCGCCTGCTCCCGAGAAAGACCCAATCACCTTGGAACGTGAGGCACGCAACAACGAACGTATGGCGCGCGAAAAACAGCGCCGCCAACAGATATCGAACCATGGTCGCCACTATTAAACGAATATGAAAGATAGTTCTGAGAATTTGAGAAATCGTCATATCCGATGATTCAAAGCAAAAAGTAAATGTTAGGACGGATATGCCTTCACTATTTGCTTCCATATCTACGATTACCTCCCGGACATCTACCTGGTAGATAGGAGTTGGTCAAGCCTTAGCTTCCCCAGCTGCCTCAATCAACTGGGAGATTTTAACATATCTATTATCTATGATCTTTGTCGTAATTCATAATGGTCTATCATTCGAACGGGGCACGGCTTCAACAAAAACATGGTAGTTAAGAAGTTTACTAAACTTGAATCTCTTTCTTGCCATTGCACTCTTGAAACACCATTCAAATAGGAAATTAGCCTGTAGCTATGTGATGAATAAGAAAAAAGATCAATATTCATAAGTTCCATAATAAATAACACGCCAGGCAAAGGTCAACCGACCCCCCAAAGCTCACTTGTTAAACGGAGGGAATCATCCCATAACTCCGCCGGAGGTAGAGGACAGGGTCGTTAAAGACCTCTACGCCCCTTAACAAAAAAAAATCCAAACCATATGCAAAGACAACGGCAGACCAAAGAGGTATCATATTCAATCGCGGACTCGTGATTGACGCTTAGCAGTGCCAATGTGTGTGTTGTGAACTTTCGTGGCGAACTTCAAGCTTGTCAATGTCTCCGACAGGTGAGCCTGTAGCGGACTGGCCATGACAAACATGAGCGTTTTGGAGTTACCTCCGAGCGAGAATTGGAGGAGGTAGGTTAGCTAGAATAGAAGGGTTAGCTCGTTGCATGAGAAGGATTCTTTTTTATGGAAACTTACCTTGCTGTTTCTGTAGGGGATGTGTCCACCTTCCTTGCCTTGCCCAAGGGCAGAAATCACATCGCCGAGGGAACTGAGACTACGGTTGATGTTTTGAGTCTCTTTGAGACGCTCCCCTGTTGCTTGACTGTGACTAAGGCGCTCACTACCTGCCAGATCCACCAGATTGAGCGTGCCCTCGCTACGCTCTCCTGTCATGTGATTTTCGCCAATCAGCTTGAGAATGAAGACGGAGTGTGATCGGGAAGAGCGCTCGTTAGCCTTGGTGGCAGCAACGGAGCGGTTTGAATCTGCACGGCTGAGGATAGACTGGACCATCTCTGGCGATTCCAGGGTAACAGTAGTGATGTCGGTAATGAAGGTCTTTCCGCGCTGCATATCGTGGCGGATCTCATGCTTTGACTTATCAAGCTCGTCTGGGTTACCGAGAAGATCGTTCAGGTTCTCATTGTATACTTCAACGAAATTGCCTTCCATCTTGTACCGCCAACCCTTCTCCTCCAGGCCTTGGGCAGTCTCGTAGATTTGATGGACAGCGCGAGGAATCATACCATCTTGTGAACTCATCGTGTGAGTCTTACCGCTGCCAGTCTGGCCGTAGCAGAATATGCATACGTTGTAGCCATCGAGCGCACTCTGAACCAGCTGGCTGATCTCATCAAAGACCTCGGCGTTTTGGGTCGAAGGTCCAAAGACACGGTCAAAGGAGAAGGTATTATTCTTGCGGGAGATAGTACCGAGACTACTCTTCTCCTCTGGACCCAGGACATTGATCTCCTTGGCATCATCAGACGCGTCAGGGTATTGCATCGGGGTGATCACAGAGGCAGGCTCATTGTTGAGAGTTGGGCGAACACGACAGAAAACACGGATGTTGCCCTTAAGCTCTTGCACCTGATTGTGAAGCTTTCGACGAAGTGTTTCTTCCTTGCGAAGCTTTTCCTTTGTCACCTCGGTCTCGGCAAGCGCATCCATCATCCGACTATTGCATTGCTCGAAGGCTAGAGACTGTTCTTCCCGCCCACCCTCAAGGAACTCAATGCGAGCCTTGAGGGCTCGGATGTTAGATTCTAAAGTCACGCTGTTGGTGTTGGCAGTGTCAAGATTCTGGCGAACGGCGTGGAAAGTCTTTCTTTCTCGATCCAGCTCGACCTTGAAGGTGTTTATCTCGGCTTTAAGCGAAGCGATCTCGCGGGTTTTGTTATCTAGTTCGACCTGTGATCTCTGAATGTCTATGGTGGACTGCGATGTGAGCTGGTCAAGCTCTCGGACCCGCTTGAACTTCTCGTCTTCAATATCGACCTCGAATTTTCGCCGTTGTTCTTGAATTTCGCGAGCATGTTGAACAATCAGTGCCTCTCGTTCTTTCTGACTCTGATGTCGGATAGATTCCATCTCGATGCGTTGACGTCTATCCAGATCATCCATTGTTATTTCGTGCTCTCGTTGTGCGTTTTTCAAGACGGTTTCGGCGTTATTCAATTGACCCTTCAATGATTCAGTCGCAACACGGAGATCGACATTGGCTTCTAATAGTTCCTTCTGGTACCGTTCGAGCTCGGTCGCTAGGTTGAAAGGTCAGCTATTGCATATCGTATGGTTCTTTTAGACTTACTTCGACTCCTGAGAGTTTCTATAGTATCTTTGAGGACAGAGGATTCAGACCGGTCTTGTTGCATATTCAACACGACTGTATCCATCATATCCTGCATTGCTTTCTCCTTGGATGCATGGTCCCAATCGGTTCCTACATAATTGTTAAAAACTGAATAGGAAGAATCTTTCGTGAGAAACGACGCCATTGATGGAACTTTTGGTGTCCGTTCCGGAATTTTGAATGGAGGCTGACAGGGCTTTGGTGGGCTGACCAAAGGGATCCTGGCGGCTTGACACAGTCTTGCGACTGGCAAGATGGCATGTTCTGGCATCTCGACGCTCCCAGGGGACGAGGTTTGGAGTAGAGAAGGGTTTCGACTTCGGCTGAAGCTGTCTTTCGAGATCTCGAAATCCTTTTCACCAGTACCCCGGGAAGGAGTTAAGCGCCGAGCATCACGCCACAGTTTATCCGGATCCGGTTTCGGGGGAGCTCCAACGGGAGGGGAACAACAATGATCGCGAGGAATTGGGGAAAATGGCCTACCCTTTCGTTTTCCCAAGACGCTTGTGGCGCTATCTTCTGGGTGTGTATTTAATGAGGTCGCACAGCGGGGGAGCGATGTGGGATTGAGCTTGCGATTACCAATAGTCGAGTGAAGGCGGGACATTGCAGACGCAGGGCGAGCGCCATATCCGGAGGTGGCCGAAAATGAGGGATTAGTACTGCGTGAGATTGTCGAATTGGCTCTGTTCATCGTGGATGATGTGAACGAGTTACCGCGGGTGTGTGTCTTGGGTGCAGTGGCGACTGAGCGGGTAAAATGTGCTGGCTTCTTCGGCTCTGGTGATGAGGGAGCTTTGATACGAGTCGCTTCAAGTTGTGTTAGTATAAGCCCTGTCTCAGTAGTACTCCTTGCTGATGCGCTATCGTCCTTACGTGAAAGGGAAGGGTTTGCGCCAGAACCCAGCGTCGGAATGGCTGATCGAGCATTGGTCTTTGCCGAATTCAACTCCTTGAGGCCTTTTGTCGGTATGCGCGACTGAGTCAACGCTCGCGACCGAGTTTGCTGCGACAAGTCAATATGCGATGAAACCACTTGCGATGGAAGAATATTTAATTTACAATGTTTTCGTTCTCCATGTTGGAATTGCTAGGACGCCAGGTCACCGGAGAGTAAAGAATCCGGGCGAGAATGAGAAACTCACGTCCAGCCACGGTATCAATGGCCTGTTTGGGCGAATCGATAAGATGCGCAAGAAGAGGGATGGAAGGGACTTGCTGCGGAGAATAAATGAGCTCCGGTTTCTCCAACGACAAATGTATAAACAAACGCTGAGTCAGCCCGTCATATTGGACCAACTTGGGACTAGTGGTATCATATGGGTTGGTTATGGTATTGTTGTAATATTACGCTTTGTATACCTGCACGTGAGTTGGTTGGGTTGAGATGGACACGAGACCGTTGGAACATGCCATTTCTATATCAATTTCAATATCTCAACTCTTTCTTGTCAATCGGCTGAATCTTCAGGTTGACCATTCAATACAAGTTGTCATTGTATCAGAGCAGTTTACTACTAAAACACTCCAAACTCCAAGCGCGGACTCCACTCGGCCCGCTCGAACAGCAAAGGACCCAGTTCCCGCATTCTGGTTGTTCGCGGGCAGCTGCCGGATCCCCTCCTTCATCATCAACTCCTAGCTTCGTTTCTAGCACTCAATTCTGAACCCCCTTGCCCTTGGCACCAATCATGTCCGGGCGTTTTGTGCGTTCTTCCAAATATCGTAAGTGTGATGATCTGCTCATACTACTGAAGGCACCCGCTAACCGTTGAGAAGGCCACGTCTTCGGGCGTTCGACGAAAAAGGTACGCTCGACATGAAATACTATAACTCCGGGCGAATATTCACCATGAATACAGGAACAATGCTACGATAATCTTCGTGTATCGAGAAATGCGTGGGATACCAACCTCGTCAAGGTTCGTTCTTTGCGCCACTCCCCCTGACATTTTGCCGCCGTATCCCAATCTAACAATCGAACGAAAATAGGTTAACCCGAAGCACCTCGCCGTCAATTGGGAAGCTGGTGGTGGTGGCGCATTTGCTGTCATTCCCCTCGAAGAACGGGGCAAGTTGCCAGACCGTATCCCTCTGTTCCGAGGACACACTGCAGTCGTGCTTGACACCGACTGGTAAGTGGCGCTGGTCGATGAATTGGAACTTCACATTGCTCACGCTAGTAGGAATCCCTTCAATGATGATCTGATTGCATCCGGCTCGGACGACGGAAAGGTACCGTGATAACCACAAAGAAAAAGAAAACATGAACGGCAACGCAATAGGACTGCTGCTGACTTAAAGGGCCTAGGTCTTCCTTTGGCGAGTTCCGGATAACTTTACCGTCCGCCCCGATGTCGAAGTGGATGATATCCAGGACATTGCCCCTGTTGGTAAACTGAGCGGCCACTCCAAGTGAGACATCCCATGCGGTAATAGACGCTAATGCGGAAAGCTGACACCTCCCTATAGGAAGGTTGGGCACGTGCTCTTTAACCCCGCCGCTGAAAATGTGCTGGCCACGGCCTCCGGCGACTACACCGTGAAGATCTGGGATATTGAGGCTGGTGCTCCCAAATTGACCCTTGACATCGGCGACATCGTACAGTCGCAGTCATGGAGTGCCAACGGTTCTCTGTTGGTTACCACTTCGCGAGACAAGAAGCTTCGCATTTGGGATGTGCGCCAGGAACGCCCTGCACACGAGACTAATGGTCACTCTGGAGCCAAGAACAGCCGTGCTGTTTGGCTGGGAGAGCGCGACCGGATCGCGACCACCGGTTTCTCTAAGATGAGTGACCGCCAGCTGGCCCTTTGGGATATCCGTGCAGTTCGTGAACCCATCAATGGCTTCAAGACCCTGGACTCGATTTCAGGTGTCTGCATGCCCTTCTGGGACGACGGTACCAACTGCCTGTACCTTGCCGGACGAGGGTGAGTGATTGCTGGACTCTGATCAAAATTTACCATATCTAACCCCTTCACAGTGATGGAAACATCCGCTACTTCGAGCTGGAGAATGATAAGTTTGAGTTCCTATCTGAACATAAGTCCGCGGACCCCCAGCGAGGCATTGCATTCATGCCCAAGCGCGGTGTGAACATGCACGAGAACGAGGTGGCTCGCGCCTTCAAGACCGTGAACGACGGCTACATTGAGCCTGTTTCATTCATTGTTCCCCGTCGCTCTGAAACCTTCCAGGACGACATCTACTTGCCCACCGTCGGTCTTACTCCTGCTATGAGCCCCTCTGAGTGGCTGAGTGGTAAGGAGGCAATTCCTCCTAAGATCTCCATGGCCAGTCTTTTTGATGGCAAGGGATTGAAGGAGGTCGAGGGTGTACAGGATAAGCCCACTGGCACCTTCGATGCCCCTGCTCCCAAGCCTGCCGAGCCCGATATCAAGAAGACTCTTGATCCTATTGTCACCAAGGCACCCGAGCCTACCCCTGTGGCTCGTCCGACCCCATCTATGAAGGAGCAAGGTGCCTCCATGGCATCTATGGTGTCGAAGTTTGCTGATAACAAGGAAGCGGAGCCTGAGGATGACGATGACTCCAGCTTCGAGGAGGTTTCTAAGCCAGTCGAGCGCCACACACGCTCTCCCGTACAACCTTCTTCTCCTGCAATTAGCAGTTCTCCTCGCGTGAAGGAGCCCGAGACAAAGGCCCAACCCGCTGCTGCTAAGCGCGACCCCACCCCAGCTCCCGCCATCTCTGTAGGTCAATCGGAACCCCGTCATACTGTCAAGATACTAACTTTCCTAGACTCCCACCACCCCCAAGATCGAAATCACCGAGCCCACCAACAGTGTCGGCGAGGATATTGAAGAGATCAGGAAACTGATCTCCGAGCAAACCAAGTTGATTTCCTCTCAGGCCCAGCAGATGCAGAACCTCACCTCTGAGATTGAAGCACTGAAGAGCAAACTGAACTAATATATACCTAGACTTGCTCGCTCGGCATTTTCTGGTATCTCGTGGCGGATTAAGGGAAAGGGAGAGGTTTACACTCGGCAACACTGTAGGCGTGACACTATTGGTGTCTTGACTCAACGTGAAGAAAAACTACTGCGGTCTTCTGTGTTTTAGCGCATTTTTTTCAGAAAATTAGCCATTCAAAGCTGATTTTGTGGTGTTTATCCGTAATTTTCCTAGTAGCCCAAGATAACCTGGAAATAAACGCTAAAGTACTCCCGAGATCTCAAATTTCATCCCGAGGTACTTGGGCTTAGCGTCAATTTGTGAGCCTCATCAAACAGCCTTATATCGCAGATAAGCACACAAAGAACGTCATGATTATTCTATAAAAATATCCACGGGTTGACAAAGACAGAGATCAACCCTTGTTTCGAGTAGCAACGCTATCTGTACACTTCCTCCCACTTGTCCATTTATATCTGCTCAGACATCGCCGACAATGGGCCGTATTACCAAAGCCATCTACGCTAAAAATCAAGAACTCAAGTCAATATATGACCTTATTCTCTACGCCAAAGATGCAGAGTAACAGACTCGTTTTCAGAACCGGCTCTCATGGGAACTAGCTCGACATGTTGTAGACGAGTCATCTACCCAGCTCTAGAGAGCTATTGCCATGACAGGGACAAGAACGGGGATTCCATACATGGCTATCCCTTCGAACTATAAGATTTTACAACCATCACAAGGTCTACCATGAATTATCTACCTAGGTATGCAAAGCTCTGAGAGATTCGGAAGTTACTTGGATCCAAGGTTGACTATTATATATCAACTTTGGAAAATGAGCAGTAATCCCAAGGACTATTTTTCCCATTGGTCTCTTACTATTATTGATACGAAATACATCAGAGAGAAATTGATCACCTTCCAAAGCTTCCCAACATTTGATCCACAATTTCTTCCTAGCATGACAATCCTTGTGGAAGATCTAGCCAATCTCGAAAACGCCATTTCAGCAGAGGATTTAGCATTTTCTTTTCGCCGGGCAAAAATACCAGAATGCTGATATGCTGATGACGTTGCCATTAGATAGTTTGTCTCGTGCGTGAGAAGGATTAAACATGGCAAACTAGGCCATGTGTTTTAAAAGGGGTTTAGTTCGGAAAGTATGGCCCGAAGAGCTTAATTTTATTCTTTGTGCGGCTTATCTCAAATTACTGTTTCAGCCTTATTGTGTCTATATAGATGGCTAAGGGAGGAAAACATCAAAATTAAATATAATCTATTCGATATCTTTCGGGGCAAAAGGCCGACGTCAAGTTCATGTTGGGCGCCACCGGATTGGAGAGTCAAATTGTGGCGTAAATTGCCCAGGTGTGCTCCGGATTACACTTCACACAGCTTGAAGGCCTGGATGATGAATTCTGAGTTCATGGTAACCTTGGAATTCTTGCCGTACGGAGTATAGAAAAGGGCTTGGAATTTCTGCACTTATAACCCCTTCCACACAGCCCAAGCACTAATCCATACATTCAATGTTGGATTTATGATTGTTGATTCCCTCCTATTTGAACAAGATTTCTGAAATCAATATGTCCAGCCATGTGAATAGACAATCTCAAGCAAACAACCAGAATAGCAAGCTGGGTACCAACAGTCGACAGAAGGCAACCGACATGGAAGCAACACATGCCGACGGCAAGAAACAAGGTAAGCCACCATACTTCTGAGTAAAAGTTTTCTTAGCTTGAAAGACAAGTCATATGTACGAGCTAACGTTGAACTATGATTTAGTACAAGAGGGGGTGGATCAGACTCAAATTCTGCCAGACCAGATCCACTACATCCCATTGTTGGATCCCGAGACGGAGTATGAAGAGGAATATGAAGAGCCGTTAGAAATGAGCCACCACGGCCTAGCTTAATAGACAAAGAAAGATTGAATATGACAGATCTTAATCAAGAATTAGCAAAGTTTCAATTTGGCATTCTACACTATTAAAAGATCTAGATCAATTTGCCAAGACTCGGCTTGTTCACTCCACTGCGGTCCGGCATTGTTTTGATTTACCAGTATCCCGAGTCCTGCAACAACTGGAGTTTGAAGATTCCATGAAGATCTGAGGATCGGCAGATCTGAAAACCTGGGATTTGCAGATCTGTAATCTCCTTGCACTACAAGAATGTGAGGTGAAATGATCATCCTAGACAAGGAATACATTAACATTGTTCGGAGGGTACGGAGAATAGAGTATTCTAGACCGTCTTTTGTGTACAGATTGTAGCCCCTGAGTTAGTACACAGTAGTAACATGAAGTGCCTCCTGTTTCACCAATCCACTTCCGTCTTTCATGCCGAGGCGTGTTTCAAGTAGACCCACACTAAGTGCGTTTAGTGCCCGAACTAGACCAGTCACTTATACAGACAGGCCCCTCAGTTCATTGAAGGTTGAAGAATGGAGATGCATTCTGGTCTCTGATTGGATTATATTAAATTCTTCCTATGTAGAGACTAGGTTACCTGTCTCTTGCCCCAGAGGAACCATGCCACTCAAGTCCCAAGTCTAGACACAGTCGACTTCTGAATGGTCAATAGCGCTAAAAAGTACTCTAGCCTAACATTTGAGTCAACACCCAATTATGATTGGTGCGCTGTAAAGTGGAAGTAAAAAGTGGAAGTGGTTTACGACGTAAATACCTTTCAATGTCGCTGTTTGGCGCCCTTCGGTTTATTTTTTTTTCTCTTGCATTCCTCATTCCTTTCGCCTTTGTTGACAATCTGGGATTGTCCTGCCTTTCCTTTCTGAGGTAGCTTTTAGTATTTCATTCATTTACAAAGCTTCCATCCCTTCTTTTGCATCTGATCGGCTCTCTTGCCTTCAGTTGTCTGTTAATCTATCTATACCAAACACCCGGTCGTGTTTCGTTTTTTTTTTTTCTCGAAAAACATGGTTTTCTCGAAGTCTTCACGGAGCGCTGGATCGCTTTTGCTCTTGTCGCTGGCTGCACCCGCCATCGCTTCTTCATACTCGCTCGTCGAGACGTGGCAGGGAAAGAACTTCCTCGACTACTTTGGTTTCCACACCGGCGCTGACCCAACTAATGGTTTCGTGACCTATGTCAATCAAAGCACTGCCGAGAGCTCTGGCCTGTTGAAGATTACCGACTCCGGCAGTGTTTACATCGGTGTTGACCACACAACTACTCTCAGTCCTAGTGGAAAGGGTCGTGACTCTGTGCGCATCGGCACAACAAAATACTATGATCATTCTCTTGTCATTGCCGACCTTGCTCATATGCCTGGTAGCATCTGTGGTACTTGGCCCGCGTTCTGGTCGGTTGGTGAGTCGTGGCCCGGGGATGGCGAGATTGATATCATCGAGGGTGTCAACTTACAGGACCACAACGAAATTGTCATGCATACGTCTGGTACTTGTGCCTTGACCGATGAAGGTATGACAGGAGCTGTTAATGCTACCGGCTGTGGTGAGGATTTAGGCACAGTGGGATGTGTTGTGGAGGGTGCTGAGGGGAGCTATGGTACTTCCTTCAACAAGCAGGGCGGTGGTGTGTATGCCATGGAATGGACTTCTTCGTTCGTCAAGATCTGGTTCTTCCCGCGCTCTTCCATTCCAGCTTCAATCACTGCTGGTGCCCCTGATGTCACCAAATTTGGTACCCCCATGGCTCTTGTGCAGGATGGATGTGATGTCGCCTCCAGTTTCAAGGCTCAATCTTTCATCTTCGATGTCACCTTCTGTGGTGACTGGGCTGGTGGCGTTTTTGCCAAGTCCAGTTGCCCCATGGGCTCCAGCTCGGATCCTTCGCAGAGCTGCATCAATTACGTCGCCGAGAACCCCTCTGCATTTGAGGAGACTTACTGGGAAATCAACTCCGTGAAGATTTACCAGACTGGGGTGCACGCATCCCTTTCGTCGACTTCGTCTGCCTCTACTGTCTCATCCACCACTCAATCCATTAAGTCTGCTACCGCATCAGCTGTCAGTACTGAGCGCAGTGTCGCGTCTACGACACTTGAATCTTCTTCCTCTGCCTCTGAATCAACTGCCGCCGTTACCTTCAAGGTTTCCAAGACCGGTGCCCGCACTGTCACCGATTTTGTCACCGACTTCACGACTATCTGCCCCGAGACCGAGGCCGCCCACGCCACTCAGGCATCTGCGCAGTCCAGTGTTGTCCAGAGTGTAGCCACTACCCCCGTTTCCGGTGCTTACGCTCTCGGTACTTCCCCCGTTAGCACCGGTAGAATTGTTACCGATGTCGTTACCGATACAACAACCATCTGCCCTGAGACCGCCAGCGCATCCGCATCCATTCACTACCAATTCTCGCCAAATGTCGATTCAGATTCCGCCTGGGAGACCCCCAGTGTCGGCTCGGGAGCTGATGCCTATTCCAGCCGAGTTGGTGTCCCATCCTACCCAGCCGTAGTCGCACCCTCTGCAACCCCAACTGCCTGGGGTGGTGCGTCCGCAGACTACACAAAAAAACCATCCCAATCACCAAATGTGTCTCCCAGCACCGTAACAGGCCTACCAACAATAATCCCAGCCCCCGGTGTTGTTCTCGGCTCAGCCAACATCCCAACATTCTACCCATCTGCAACCTCAGCATCCGGCAATTCTGCCGCTTCAGTCTCATTTGATAGTCCCTCCAGTACTTCCAGCGCTGTTTTCAATGCAGTATTCACTGGCGTAGCGGATAAAAACTCTGCTAAGTATTCATTACTTGCTGCTGCTTTGGGTCTTGCTTTGGTTGCATAAATTGAGCATTTCTGGGTTTTTTGGCGGCTGTTTCTTTCTCGGTTTTGTCGGATATAGTCTTTCTTTCTTCATATTCATTGATCCCTGCATACTGGGCTTCGTTAGACGAGTAGACGTTTTGTGGTAGTTAGTCAATTCAATTCAAAAATGAATAGTACTTTTTCATCATTGAGATTCTTCAATTTTGTAGTCTTGTTCTCAGAGCCATCCTCATCATTCTGTCCGCAGTTTCCTCTTACTCAAATCCTATATCATGCTTGACTGAATCAACTATTCCACCGTACACTTCATGGAGTAGCTGATAGGTCTGCATGTAATCGGAGTCATCTTGATAGAAAGAAGCAGCAGATAAAGAGAGTTTTTTTTAACGATTTATTGCTAGTAAACAAAGGGCCTACATTTACCCCAAATTATACAGGGTGAGTAATATTCCATAATATTATTCTTTATAGACAAGTTTTTGCTGATCGATATGAGATGAGCGATTTCGCACCTGCCAACGCGACATCATCAACCACATGAACATTGCGGAATTCCAATCTTCTCTCTCGTAAGAAGTGCCTCAGAGCTTGTAGATATCCCTCGTTCTTCATCAAACCACCCGCCAGGACCAAGTCCGTTTCATCTGGGACAGCATAACCAGCACATCTAGGATTGGCTAGACGGCTCAATGTTTTGTTCACAAGATGTGATATTTGGCCGTTCACAATGCCATTTGCAGTCTTGTTGCAAGCTGTGAACCTCAGGACAGTCTCTGCAATACCGGCAATACAAGACTTGATGTTTCGTGACTGGCTTTGTGAAAGAATTTTGTTCAAAAGATCGATACTGCCATCGTCTACGACTTGACAACCAAGATTCTTGATGATTGCTTCTTCAAATTCGGTCAAGTCATTCTCTTTCACACCATGCATCTTGTTTTCTAGGACGGCTAGGGTGTGTTTGACTGCCTCCAGACCAATGGAGAATCCACCGCCCTCGTCGCCCAGAACATGTCCCCATCCGCCAGCACGAGCATTGCGGATATATTTTAGATCATCGGTCCAAGAGTACCGCATTACCACACTTCCTGTTCCTGCAATCAAGACAATAACGGAGTTTCCATCGCGTGGTGAGACAACGGCAGGTAATAAGTCCACGTCATTGGTCAGCTTTACGTCAACGCCAAAGGCTTCCCCAAGCTTAGGAACTAGTATTTCATACAGGTTAGTCCGATCCAGACCGGCTATTCCAACCCAGACAGAGCGAAAGGTGGCTTGAAGATATTCCTTCCAACGTGATTCCGATGGTTCCGTGCCACTCTGAATGTGCTCTCTCAGTGCATTTCTAGTGGCTGTAAGAAGGGTCACCACAACTGCGTCTACATTTGCAATAATATCAGTCCTGCAAGAAAATTGTCAGCAGGTGCTCCGGTATCAATGTATATTAAATCTCACAAATTGCATGGACCGGCATAACCATGACTCGCGGTGCCATTGGCATCAGTTACCACAGCTGCGCACTTGGTACCTCCACCATCGATACACAATACAAATTGTCTATCTGGCATTTGCGACTGAGTGAGTTTAGATCTTTTATCCAATGCTTTCGCCAGAACACCGCCAGCTAATACTAGTTGTTGCTCGCATGCCTGAACAGAATTACCCGTTTCAGCAACTAAGATAGCGAGCTTGACACTGTTGTTGCACTTGGTAAGGAGCGTAGTCAGTTCAGAGTCAGAAATGCCGTTGCACTTCATACTGAGTGTTCTCAGCATATTGCGAGATCGTTGCTCCAGTTTGAGATTTGAGGCTACCATATCAACCATCTGTGATAAACGATGTTAGTGTCACTCAGAATACCCCTGGAAATTTTGATTCGTACCATATTGCCGTAAGTTTTCCCAATTCGAATCATGGTGCCGGTACTTAGCATGTTCAGCACCATTTTCGTCGCGGTGCCAGCCTTTAGTCGTGTGCTACCAGTAACAACCTCTGACCCAGGCAGAGGCGCAATCAAGTAATCCACATTACCTGACAGGCTCATCACAGATGGAGCCGTACATAAAACACCAATAGTGAGGCATCCGAGACTTTTCGCGAAAGCAAGACCTCCGAGCACATACGGCGTGCGGCCGGAACTTGCAATCCCGATGAGACTGTCACGATCGGGGTTAAGAAAAAGACATTTCAAATCTTCAACGCAGGCTTTCTCATCATCCTCTGCGCCTTCCTGTGCTTGCCGGATAGCTTCATCGCCACCGGCAATGAGCCCGATGAACTGAGAGTGGGGAACAGCAAAAGTAGGCGGGATCTCTGAAGCATCCAGGATGCCAAGTCTATGTATTCCTGCTGTTGGTCATTGTCGGGATCTGACTATTGACTGCTGTTCAACTAACCTGCCACTGGTTCCTGCTCCGACATAGATTACTCTGCCGCCCTGAGCTACACGCAAAGCCAATGCATCAATTGCGCCCGCGATATCAGGCAGACAGGGCTCAACACTATCCGCGACTAGGTGATCATCGACATTGATCACCTTGCACATTTGCAGAGTTGATATGCGGTCGATGTTGCGAGTTCTAGGGTTCACGCCCTCTGTTTGCAGCGTGGCCAAAGTACTGAGATCCATGATGAAGATAACAATCTAAGATTCAACGACCGGAAAGGGTGGAAGATGAATAGATTCAGATTAGAAATTTAAGAGAAAATCTTCTAACATACCAGATAGACAATAGCCTCTAGCAACCACGCTAAGCAGCTAGGGTCCTAATCCCGAGTTATCGGCATTGTTCTAACCTTTGAACGGAAAAGCCGAGAAAAACATTGAAACGCGGGGAATGTTACTATAGAGTCGCATGGCAATAAAGCTGAACCATGGATCATGAGATTCACGTGGTTCAAAGTAAGGGAATGAACTTAATTTCCCCAGACGAAGGACACCTTCCCAATAAGGACATTCTGCTCTCTTGGCTATCAACCCTGGAAGATATCATGCAACTTCGACATTAGTCTGCCATTATAATGTTGCGGTAACTTCCTTCGACCCTCGCATCAGATTCCTGAATTTTTCGAGTGTGGATATCAGCTGCGTTGTCGATCAACTCTCCCGGAGTTCCGTCTTAGTGAAGCGATGGAAGCTGGCCTTGGGAATCAGACCTGTAACAGTGTAACAGTCATTGTGAATACATACCCATGGATACCATCGTCATCATAAGATCTCATGGGAACCTGTCCAAACCTGAGAAGTTAACACCTAGTCGATTCTATCTCGAATATCCCGTTCAGGATCTATGGATGAAACGGCAAACCCGAAAGAATCCAGAAAGGTCCAATAAATAAGCGTTATAGCTGGAAGAGGTGGAGAACTTTCTATCTAGATACACAGAAGCTCTGCATCTGTTATCGAAACTAGCTAACTAGATGTATACACTATGAGGGCAGATCGATACCTGGAATAGTCAATTCGCGATGGATACATTTCATAATCGAGTTGTGCCAAAGATGAAACTAGCACGATGCTACAATCTGCAGAGCACAGTGCCATTGCGGCTTGACCTAAGTTAAGAAGGAACCCTCATTTAAAGTCCCAACGTTGGATAGAGTTGTGGGAAAGCGGAGGTACTCCGCCATTTAATTGTGGCCGAAAATACAGGCATTAGCGTAGCCGAGGTCGCATGTATCTGATAACGTCGCATTTTATAAAGAGGCACAGATATTGTATATATCAAACAGCCCTCGAAAAACGAGTACTTGATCTCCATTTAGCATTTGCACTCTAGTTTCCTTTGCACTATGGAGTCGACAATCATGACTGGAGATGCTCCAGAGGACACCAAGCGGTCTACTGTATACCAGATCTGGACCCATAGCTGGTCTCAGATCATTTTGATCAGCTTCATCTGCTTCTGTTGCCCTGGAGTAAGTCTTGAAATATTTGATTCTTTTTGGTTCATATGCTGACTTCTCATAGATGTATAATGCTCTCTCTGGGATGGGAGGCTCTGGTCAAGTTGACTCTACCATCTCTGCAAATGCAACTGTTGCTCTTCTCTCTGCGACAGCTGGTACTGCTTTATTCATTGTCGGTCCAATCTTCAATCGTGTTGGTCCTCGCGTTTGTCTTCTTCTCGGAGGCTGGGCCTATCCATTATACGCAGGTAGCCTGCTATGCTACAACTGTATGTGATAATACCAGTTCCTCAAGCCCGGATCGTACTAATTGATAATACACAGCCACCAGCAACGGTACGTTCATCATCGCCTCCGGTGCATTGCTAGGTATCGGCGCATCCTTCCTATGGGTCGCCCAAGGAGCCATCATGACAACCTATGTACCTGAACATCAGAAAGGGCGCGCCATTGCCGCGTTCTGGGTTATCTTCAACCTCGGCGGTGGTGTAGGATCGCTAGCCAGCTTTGGACTCAACTATCATTCAAAAAGTGGAACCGTGAATAGTGGAACATATATCGCGCTGATGGTCATTATGGCATTTGGCTGGATCCTCGGCGTCTTTATCTGCCCACCCTTCGCCATTCGCGGGGCTCAGGTGGAAGTGAAGACAGAGGAAGAGAGGACCTGGCGCCAGACTCTAAGTCTTGCCATTTGCACAACCAGCGACTGGCGCGTGATATGCATGTTGCCTCTGTTCTTCTCGGCCAACGTGTTCTACTCCTATCAGCAGAACGTTGTGAACGGAGAGACCTTTAACATTCGTTCGCGCTCGCTCAATGGCGCGTTGTACTGGATTGCACAGATGCTGGGTGGTTTGATCATTGGTCTGATTCTTGATATGCCCCGGTTCGATCGTCGCATGCGAGCCCGTGTCGCCTGGATCTTTCTCTTCGTCACTGGCATGGCTATCTGGGGCGGTGGATACGCTTTCCAGAAGTGGTCTGATAGTCGCTTAGCCAAGGGACTAAAGCAGGATATTGACTACAAGGATGGTCACTTATCCTCAGGCCCGATCTTCCTGTACATCTTCTACGGCGCCTACGATGCGTTCTGGCAGTCCTTTTGCTACTGGCTTATGGGCGCTCGGTCGAACTCTCCCGCTGTGACGGCTATTCTGGTCGGTGCATATAAGACCTTTCAGAGTGTTGGCGGTGCGATGGCGTGGCGTGTGAATGCATTGGGGAAGCCTGCTATGACCCAGTTTGCCATGGACTGGGGTCTGTGTATGGGGTCACTCGTCGTTGCTATTCCCGCCGTTCTCGCCGTCACTTTGACTAGTGATGCCGAATCGGACCTGCCTGTCAGTATCGGCAAAGAGTCGGCTGAATCCGACGCGCCTCCAACCCCGCTGAAGAACTGACCGGTTAGGACTTTCAATGCAAAGTGAATATATCCGTAGTCGCGCGCTAATACACAAGAATGTTTAAATAACTAGTTAGTTCTATAATACACTTCGTTCTTTGTAATGCGCCATGGAAAATAAGTAGTATCTACACCATCTTCCGATGCTATTCAACGGACGCAGTTCTTCAACACAGCGGTCTCCATCCACAACTTAGTATACTGCTTATGCAGCCAGTCCATCATCGAATCAAAAGGAGGAGCGTCGGCCTTGCCCTCGCCTTGGAACAGACAGCTTTTCAGAGTAAACTCAGCCACGCCCTCCTCCTGCTTAATCACAGCACCTATCTCGAAAAGGCCGTCAGAGGGACGCACGTCACGGTGGAGAGGGGTGTCACCACAGCGCACGACGATGCGCTCCTCGTCTTTCTCAACAACCTCGAAGTGGTCGGTGATCAAAGTGCCGATCTCATAGCTGTTGGAGATGAGGTCCTTACGATCCCAAAGTTGATCGGCAGTTTCAGGGTTTTTGTTGTGCCACTGGAGAATAGCACGCTGGGGAATGTATCCTAGAAGCCGAAAGGAACATGGATGAGAAATAGAGAAGAATGATTCAACCGGTGACGGTAGACTTACCCATGCCTCCCCAAACACCAGCACAGAAAGCCTCTACCAACTTGCCCTTCTTCTCTAGAAGCTCGGGTCTGATCTTTCCTAACTCAATGCGGCGGACACACAGGTCATGGAAGGTCGGGTTTTGGTTCGGGTTGAGCTTTTTGAAGATGGGAGACTGGAAGATAGGATCGGAGGCGTCCATGGGCGTAAAGATGTCATTGCGCGTGGCACCGAAAAAGATACTTATGGATGCAGCGCTACCAGCAGCGCTGACTTTTAAGAAAGTCTTGAAGAGGCCCATTTTTGCGTGTGTACTATGTACGGAGTACAAGAGAATGAGGGGGGAGATGATTGGAAGCGGAGTTGCGAAGGAAATCGGAATAATGTCGGCAGGCTTATCGCCATCCTTATCTATGCTCGCGTGCGATTGAAATATATAAGTTTTTAGAGTCCTCTATTCATGTAGATATGAAAATACATAAAGAATTCCATAGTTATTCTGCTGACTAAAATTAAAGAATTAAAAGAAAAACAGCCTTGCCAGACTTTTCTCACTGCGCTTCAAAATGTGTATAATCTCTTGCTCATTGAAGGTTTCCTCAGACGGCTGAGCGTCAGTCATGTCGATCAGCCGCGCGGGCAGATAAACGAGGTGCTTAACACGAGGACCAGAGACAGTTGCCCTGGTATTGACCTTCACTTTGGCGTCGGCATCATCTGAACTATCAGACTTGGTCGGCAGTGCCGTCCATCTCAACCTCTATGAAGTAGCTGACAAGAAATCAATAATTCTTTATCTGCTCGGTGAAGGATTTGCTGGCTTGCTTTCGCGCATTCTTCTAAAACTTGTCCATGTCCTGAATCAATGCCTGAGTCGTGGAGCAGTGTAGTTGAGAAGCTTTGGCTTATTTTGGTGGTATGCGAAGGTCTGTCCTGAATAAACAGACCCGGGGGATTCGGATGAATTTTCTGCTGTATTTTGGGTCTCTCCTCCAATGGGGTTTCCGGGTTTCTAGTCTTCATCAGAGCTGCCGTATTTCGACGCTCTCTTTCAGAACTATGGCGCCATGTTAGGCGCAAGTTCATCATGGAATGTATTTTTGGTCCTCATATTCTGAACTGCAGCTTGGGTGCCGAGTCAATCATGTCGTCGCTGCCATCGTAAGCTCGTTGAGGCAGCTCAACATGTGTTGACTAAATTAAAAGATGCGTAAAGTGGAAGGAGGAAGGTATATATAGAAAGGAAAAAAGTATATACAGCGAGAAGCCACCTCATAGGAACACCTAGGCTCTTAATTGGAGCGACAGGAGAAATGATCGTTCGGGCCACTTTTGGCGACCAGAGTTGGTGGCTATTCAAGTAGTACAGTGAATGTAGCAGTGGGAAATTTGTCGGCCTGGCTAGAGATAGAGAGGCTGCAACTGGTAGGGCTGGAACCTCAGGAACTGAGACCTCAAAAGGGTTCAGATCTCTGCAGATGGGTATCGGGGAGAGTCCTCGTATTATTTGACAATGCTGTGCACCAATATGTAATAAGAATCTCATCTATTCAAAGGGTAAAAGGAGATAAGAAATTGATAACTTCGATGTACATACCTCGAGATATGACGTCATGAAGGCTACATGTATCAGGTGATCTTCACTAACAGGTCCGTGCGCACAATGGTTATAAACAAATCTTCTGCCGCTCCAGTTCATCTTTTTTCTTTCCTTTTTCAGCTCTCTTTGCCAATTGGCTTAGATCAAGTGTAGTATCTGTTCTTTTCAGTTTAATCTCTGAAAGTCTTCCATTGGAAGACACATTGATTATCCTTATTTTTGATAATAGCGACCAGCCTCTGTGCTTGCGCATGCTGGTCGCACTGTGTCACTGGGCTTACACTATCCCCGGTTGATGCGAACCCCTTTTTTCATCAACTGCTTCGGCTTGTCCGATCGCTTGGAGAAGAATTCGTTTTCAATCTGTCATTTTCTGTTTCAGTCTGTGAACTGATTGAACCAGTTGGCCTGAGGCGTCCTACATGTCACAGGAAACACTTAATGGGAGACAACAGGTATTTAAGCACTAGAATCACTAGTTTTATCTATTCTCAAGTCGACCACTCATGATCAGGCTCATTTTCGCAGCCTTCTAACAGTCCATGAACACCATCGCTAAGGGTGCGGTGATTCCATTATTGCCCAGTTATAATGATCAATCCAAGGCTACTCAACCGTAATCTACGATAGGTCTTGACCAGAGGCGACGAACATATGGTACAGATTCTATTAGATCAAGGTGCCAATGCCAATACTGGGCACCTAAATTGGGTACCCCACTTTATGCTGCATCGTTTGAAAGGCCTCGGACTGCACTACAGGCTGCGTTATCTCAGCGTTTCATATGGGGACCATATCTGGAGGGAGTTCTGAATAGGAGAGGTAATGCTACAAAGTAGCAGGAAAAGGATCGAGCATATGGAATAGTGGTAGACTTACTACCCGATCGAGGTGCTAGTATCGATATTCAAGATCACAATACAGGGTTGACTACATTTCCCACCCCTTTCTATCATCTCTTGGCATGGCCTATCAGAATTTTATTTTCTACCTAATCTATTATGCTGATATTCTCTCGGTAAGTGTAATGGGAGTAAATTAAGCACTTTACATCAGTGAATTACTGAAGCTAAAGTCCCCGGGACCCGCAGCTTCCTCCATACGACCAAGTCCAACACCCCAAGTCACAGATGCCATGGGAGTTCTTTCCTTGTACCAAGGTCCATAAAAGCGATACTGGTCGTCATTGTACATTGTGCTTCACTTCTTTGTTCATGAGAATCGTATTGAGACGGGTAGCTTCAAAAGGCTACCCCACATTCCTCAACCCTATCAAGACGATCTCTAATTGGAGAATTTTGGTATCGATTAAGGAATGTAACGCCAGCCGGCTCATACGACCTCAGAATTATCCTAAAACATAATCAGATCGCTATAAAGAGAAAGACAGGAGATCAATCTTAAAGAAGCTGACTCGTTACTTATTATCCTCTACAAGCAGCATTCTTCAAAACCAGAGCTCTATAATCTAGGCATCTAGGTAGGCAAAATGCCAACTACCAATTTAAATGAACCGACTATATGTTTAGTCATAAGCGGCTCAAATAACCTTGGAACCAACATCTGAGATCCATGGTACTTCTATAGGTAGTATCTGGTCTGTAGGACCTGGTACCTGTCAATTTATATCCCTAGTTGGGCTTCCAAGGTTCTCACAACATGAGGCGGTGCCGGATATAGACCTACCCACTCACAAAGAGCTCAAATACACCATTTAACTACCTGCCATCCATGGATCCGAAGATGTCATTGTAACATCTCATAATGCTCTTTTCTAAGAAACCGTATATAGTCAAAGACTCGGGTTGATTCTCCAGTCTACGGTGTCTTGCCAAAATTTGATTTCTAAATTTCATCTTCATCTACCTCCAGGACGTTTGGTACTCAAAATTGCAATATCGAATCAACAGTATCATTCGCATGGATAGTCGAAAGCCTACGTAATGCACTATCTCGCCCTAAACATTTCTTTCCTGTTGGTTGTCTCGGCTTCTTTTACCGCTGGTCAGAGTCCCACCCCAACTGCAAGCCCTACAAGCGCACCAGTAGTTGACGGAACATGTGCTTCCCAAGAGTAAGCCTCGCATTATATACACCTACCCAAACCTCAATCCTGATAAGAACTAGTCTGGTGGATGAATGTATAGCAGCAATGAAAATCGGACTCAACAAATGCGCAGAAGATAATTGGGATTGCAAATGCTCAGGCATCGCAAACATTTCCAAGTGAGTTTTTACTAACCCCGCCATACCTGATGAATAATTCCAATATGAAATGAAAAATACTTACTCGGCACAAGCTGTTATGCTGATTGCCCAGACGACCCAAGTCATTTCGCGGCCGAATTATCAAGCGAACAAATTTGTGCTACTGCGAATGCGTATGATAAAGGGTTGACGGCTGTTCCAACTACGTGGACTACACCCGGTCCTCGCGAAGCGACACCTACCGGTACTGTTGATTATGGAAGTGAAGTTACTACCACTACTGGGCCGACTCAGACAACTGTTGCAGACGAGGAAAAGAAATCAGGTGGGATTATCGCTATAAAAGTTACTGGTAGCTGGTTGGGACTTGTGGGGTTGGCAATCGGGGTAATACTATGAACCTTGGAAGGATTCAAGTGTTCTTAGGCGCAATACTGAGTAGACTTAGCATGTGTTGACCTAAATTTAACTTATTCGTATTGGAATGAACAACGTTGGAAGAGAATGGTAATAAAAACCTGTAAGAAACCCGAAATTATGAAGTGTAGTTCTCAAAAATACGAATGAACAACGTTGGAAGAGAATGGTAATAAAACCCTGTAAGAAGAAACCCGAAATTATGAAGTGTAGTTCTCAAATTTAACACGACAAGGTCAGTACCAGCAGACCCCATCTATTGATCTACATGCCCAAGCATCCCAGAGTCATAAACGTCAAATTGCAAAATATGTGCAAGAAACCAAACCGGCGGGGGGCGATCCACCCAAAAATCATCATCATCGTCATCATCGTATAAATGGCCTTAGAGCTGATTAGTTTTGATTGCATGAGTGAGGACCTGGAAGCTCATTCAATTCAATCGCGATGGTCTTGGCAGCGTCCGTATCCTGTACAGACTCCTCGAGTGGCTTTGACTCGGCTAGTTCCTCTTCCACGGCGAATCGCCAGCGATTGTCCGGACTCATAAACATGCGGAATCCATATCTCTTGTTCAAAGTTGAAAGATGGTCGCTGCGCTGAGTGTTTGTCCATGAATGCGTGCCTTCAAAGTCACGGAGCATCCGACTATGTACAATCCAGGGAATGATGCTACCGATTGACCGAGGCAGTCGGGGACCTTTGAATCGGCCTCGACGGGTCCCGAAGACGACCAAAACTACAAATGTGTCAAACACAATGATGACCAAGCCAATTATTAGTAGTGGCACTGACGAAACTAGGAACCAAGAGCTTTTGATTACAATCGCGTCGACTGCAGGGATAGGTTTGGCCAGAGGTTCGAGATAGACGTCGCGCCATAGCGAAAAGTAGGTACCGTACACCCATTGGTACACTTTTTGGCTTAATTTTATGAGACGGACAGGTTCCAGGGAGTCAAAGTCAGGATCTTCGCGCTCGTAAAGACGCGCAACGAGAAAACCCGCCCAATCGTAGGACGAGATGCTATATGAACCGTTGGAAGTCGTATTACCCACATACCTCTCTGGAATAGCGGAGAACACCTTGTTAAACTGACCGAGGCTCACAGTTGCATTGTTGTACAATTCACCCTCTGTGATGAGTGTGTTCGGAACATGATGGTGGGTGAGCACCTGTCCCCTCATGTCAAAAGTCAAAGAGTAGTTCTGCAATAGTACTTGCGGTTGACACTGCAATGCGACGGTATTATTGCTGGTAACTGGATCGGCATATAAATAGTTCCATCGAGCAACCATGAGAACAGAGGACGTACGACAAGCGTCGGTTTGATTTCCGTCCGGCGCAAGAAAGTGCATAGACAGCGAAATACCCGCGTCTTCGTTCTTGAGGACACTCATGCTAGCTCTGCACTCCGTGGAAGGGTCATTGAATAAAAAATATCGCCAGTGATGGGCGTTTGAGGTTTTATTATGGACGTAGTCCTGGCTAGGGGATAGCGAGCGGCACTCCAGATTGGATCCAATACCGAGAGTAGTAGACCTATAAGTAGCGCTGGAGTCTGGATTGTTCAGGTGAAGTGGAACGAAAGCGTGACTAGGACTCGACCAGGGCAGGATCGGAACCCCACTAGTGATACTTGTTTGGATCAAATCATACTCAGTGAATGCGGCGGCAAAGTTCGAATGTGACAAAACGGATTGGCTGTAGTTCATGGTCAAGTCATTCGTTGGGAGGGATGACGTGACTAATTTCTGAGTGAAAAGACCACCAGACACTACGGTGAGAGCCATGTTTAAAACACATGCGAAGGACACAAATACCAGTAACACATGTCTATCGCGGACAGATTTGAGAAAAACAGCGAACGGACTCTGTGAGGCGTAATTCAGTGACAGCGAGGTACGGGCTGAAGCCATTCCCCGCTGAAGATGAACCCAAGGCTCAAGGACACTGAGATTCCGGTGGATTGATGTACATAGAGAGCCAACAGTCGAGGCCACAATAGCAGGGAGGATGGAGAGGATGGCCTGAAGTGCACTGGAACTGGATTGATCAAGATGGCTGAATTTGCCATCGCGCGCAAGAGACGAAATGATCAGACACATGAGAATTGTCACTCCCGCCAGAGCCAAGAACTCGATAAGAAAGAATGGTACGAGGAGGAAATGTGGCATTGGATCAGCATGTACTCGCAGATCCTCTCCAAGCTGGACCGGTGAGCCGTCTTCCGCGATAATTTCTAGTCGATTTCCAGTAGGGTCTGAGACCCAACGACACCAGGCTTTTTTGAATATACGGCGCAGTTGACCTGTTGAAAATTGGTGGAATTCCACTTGCGGACGAGCCAAGATATTAGAAGGGTGGAAAACGTCGGCAGCAATGCTGGACATCGCACCGATAGAGCCAGGATCGCTCCGCAGAAACGTCTCCCTTGTACGGTATAGAAATAGCAGATATATGGTTGTGAAGACTGCCAAGAGCAAGATAGCCTCAGACCATAGCGCAGCAAATGTCACGATGCTGATGGCCACTTGGCTTTTAGAGCGGATTGCAGTGACATTAACTGAAGTGTGGTCAAACAGGCGGCCAACAGTCATTGAAAATGTTTGTTTCACCTCTAAATTGATCGTTTTTTCAAATTGAGCTGCTGTCATAAGGGAAGATATTTCTGACACAAGTAATGAGCTAAAATCGCCGGACTGTTCGCTAACTGCGGGTAGCTCGGTCTCGGTCAAGGTACCGGTGGAGGAGTTTGTTTGAAGAAAAATCATATCACTGGTATAAGGAGCCTGTTCAAAAAGAATTGCCTCGAAATAGTCGATGTTGAAATCATTAGATGTCAGACTGCGTTTTGTAGTTGGATGGATCTCAATAGAGAAGATAGAGCTGTTGGAATGCATGTTGACGAGAGCATCTGCTTTGTAGTAGTTGATTTCACATGCGAGGGCGGTTCCAGAGGCGATATATTTGGTATCGGATGAAGAGTTGCTCGAAGTCGCATTGACGCCAATTAACATTCCATAAATATCGTGCTGATCACACCCGGAGGAGGAGAATGCGTGTGATCGGTTGGGATACTCAATTTCCGTTGCGTGAGTGGCGGCAGGCTCCCAGTAGCGGACTTGGAGATAATCTGAACCCGGCAAAAAGACGCTCTCATAGCTGAAATCCAATCGGCAATTAGTCGCGTTACCATTACCGTACGTATCCCCAATATCAACACCACTGGTATTCCACGAGACTGTCGGATAGCCACCAGTCGACGAATTAACATTGACCAAGACTTCATCATGATTGATACTTTCGCAGGAGACTTCTGCCCAGAAGATGGTTGAATTCATCGACCAGAGAGTCTGATCGTTTGATCGAATGTCTGAATCGGGAAACTCAACAGGCACGATGGCATAATTAGAGGACCGTGTGCTTTGGACTGTTCGGGCGAAAACAGAATCAAGCTTGGCGTTTATTTGAGCTGACATCCAATTCGCTTGCGTGTCCAAACTGACCAAGTCAGGCCACGTTCTCAAGTCTTCATGCGAAAGCTGATTCACTTCACGAAGTTCAAACAGGGTGGCTTGGAGAGCGGGTAGAAGCATGCGAAGGGAAAGCGTGATCAGAGAGACCCATACGACGATCCAGTGGCGGCGACGGGCGGCATTAATGGGAGTGAGGACTGTCTGGCCAAAGTTATAATTGATGAATAAGATTATGGCTGGGGCTCCGCCCGGCTGCGACAATTGGAAATACGGCTCTAACCGGAGGATATCAAAATCAGTGACGGTCCAGATCATGTATAGGATGAGAGCGGCGATGATGGGCACATCATTGTATAGGAACGTTGCGAGGGCGGAGACATCGTCGGTATCGTCGTAGAAGGCCAGCCCTCCCATCCGGTCACTGTATCGCCGTAATCCTTCTAGCGTGAGAAATATTGTGAACATTAGACAAACGAGTGAAGCCAAGTAAGGCGGGCGCAAAGAGATCGGTCGCCATCCTTGCGATGGTCCACGGCCAGGAACAAAGGGAGCGATGAATGCTGAGAGTCAAGATGGTCAGCATCGATTCCGACGATCGAAAGAGGAGCCACTAACCCGCCCACTGTGTCTTTAAACCATTCAGCTTGGATCCATCGGCGGACATGCTAAACAGAAGGGGGCCGAGAGGCTAAAAAAAACAGAGTGCATAGTCAAGTCGCCGTTTAAGGTAGCATAACCATGATGAATCACGATGAGAGAAGTCTTTAGGATCGGCAAGCCAAGAAATCTCTGTACCCCCAGAAATTGGATAAGTTACATGACGCTGGATGTAGAGCGATTGGTTCGGAGGACGCGCGGTCTCTATGTGTGGGGCTGATCCTTGGTTTCCGACTCAAACAGTTTGAATAGAGAGAGAGAGAGAGAGAGAGGGTCATCCCTTACTTGAATTTCCTATATTATATGCTGAAATTGAGATAAATTAATCCCATGGTTGATTAAACCATAATGGGTTCCTGACCCGACTTCGGATTTTCACGGACGAGTCTTGGCATCAGGACCTGAACTATATAACTATACGAGGGCTTCAACTACGCATTCAACTTCGACTGTTTAAGGGTCAGAATGTCATTACTGTCTGCAATAGCCATACTCAAGAGTCAAATAATAAATAGCCCTGGGGAATATACGAGCATTTCAAATTTCGAGTTTGAACTGATGTTCACGGCTTCTGTCAATTTCACTAAGGGCTATCTGACTCGTCACTCATGAGTGGTTGTGCCTTTCTCTTCGGCGTCATCGCTCACTGGAGCTGCTGGAGCTGAAGATAGAACACTGGCCTCATGTATCTTACCAGCCTCAATATCGCCACGTTCAAGAGCAGTTGTCTGACTGGTCGACACATGGGTCTTCCAGGCTGGAGTTCCAATAAATCGAATACCGTTCGGATCTTCGAATATTGCCTCGGTTTCCTCTAATGTCTTACCTGCAGTCTCAGGAAACATGAAGAAGACGTGGATAAACATGGCAGCATTGAAAACACCAAACAGAATGTAAGTCTTCCAGGCGATGTCCGTGAATGCAGGTGGTGTGAATAGACCGAGCGCTGTGTTGAATGCCCAGTTGGCTGAGGTAGCCATGGCGACACCTTTACCACGTAGACGAAGGGGAAACAGCTCTGGAGGGTAAGTCCACGAGGCTGGACCCCACGTAGGCGCATAACTCCTATATGAGATATTAGCAAGCGGTTCTTCGCCTTTATTCATCAAAACTTACGCGACAAATAAGTAGGTACAGGCGATCAATCCTTTTGCAGCCGCGCCTGTCACCCTCATCGATTCCTCGGGGCTGGTACGATCAGCCATGGGCAGAACAACGCCTGAACCTCCCAGGATACCCGCGTTGGAGAACATGAATGCACACATGAAGAATGCACCAACAAGCATGGTCTTGCGACGTCCCCAGCGATCTTGCCAGATTAAGGCGGGCACTGTCATAACTACATTGATAATATATTGGATAGATGAGGCAAGTAGGTTGGCATTACCAGTATACCCTGCCATGCCGAACACATACCCGATATAGTACACTACCATATCATGTCAGCTAACATACCATCATCAGACTCTCAGGGAGAGGGTAGCTCACTCATGACATTCATGCCCGTCAATTGGGACCAGATCTGAGTGAAAATTCCGATAATGGTCCGGTTCAACATGCGTGGAGTGAAGAGATCCAAGTAGGTAACGTTTTTGAATTGTCGCTCCAACTCACACATATCTCGGATATCCTGCAACTCAATAGCAACGAAGGGGTGGTTGCGGTCGCCTTTTCCATGAACCAAGGCCAGGACTTCGTGGGCATCCTCCCAACGATCCATACGAGCCAGCCAGCGGGGGGACTCGGGGAGGAACATCATGGCGAAGAATAAAAGGACGGCCGGAATCATCTGCAGTCCCCAAGGAATGCGCCATGCTGCAGTAGAGTAGTCGTTTGACTTGTTGTTGCCAATGAATGAGCAGCCATACGAGATACTGTGCTAGATTAGCATATTTCACAACCCACCAAATCTAGCCCTGAAGATAAATTTGAGATACGTACTAGTACATTATCAGAATACCCCATGTGATTGCCCATTGCTGCATGCCCACGAATCGGCCTCGCTTCGATGGAGGCGAGATTTCACTAATATAAACCGGCACTTGTGCTGATTCAATACCAATAGAAAAGCCGTTGATGATACGACCGACGATAAGCATGCCGACATTTTGCGAAGCACAGCAGATCGTGGAACCAATCAGCCTGGACGAATAGTCAATAGCTAAAACCAAAGCATGCCCAAGTGGTGTAATGACTCAGCTTACCAGAAGATACAACCGAGCATAATGCTGTACAGGGGGCCTGGTTAGCATGGTATGTATCAAGTAATATGGGAAGGCTCTACTCACGAATACTTTCGACCAACCCTATCAGAGACAATACCCGAGACCAATGCGCCGAGCCAAGAGCCAGCAGCCATAGAAGCGGTGACACCACCCTGTCGAAGTGAAGTCAAGCCACTACAGTTCTCTTTATCATTGTATGGGTATCCATTAGGACCGTCATTAAAATAACACTTGAATGAGTTCTCTGTTAGTTGAGCCGATAAACTCGAGATATCAAACCCAAAGAGGCCTCCTCCAACGACTGAGACAGCCGCAATCACATAGATGTTCCCAATCAACACCATGGTAAGTCGGATTTGGGAAAGTAAGTCTTGTAAAAGAAAAAAGAAATGCTGAAATGCGAGTACTAGGAGGGGGATTATATAGGGTCAGCAAGGCTCTAATATTATGTTGAATATATCCGTGGACCTGGCAGGGTTACAACGCTATGCGCATAATGTGTTTCTTTGGTTTTCTTTTGATTTTGATAGGCTGGATTAACACCAGTTTAGTTCATGATGTAGTATTTAGAACTAGTAGTCTGACTCGCGACTTGCGACTCGGCTGGGGCCGAATTAATTCCTCCATTTAGCGTCTATAATCTGGGGGAAAAGTTGGGGTAATCGACCCACTTGTTCATTCCCCGCAATTTCTTTCTTAGTTCCTTTTTCCACACTGCCTTGCTTATTCTTTTTTCCTATTTTACATCTTTATTATAGTCTGGAGCGACATCAACGGATAGAGAAAATATGGGAAAATATGGCAAAAGTTTAGTACTGATAAATTGTGGCGTCGCCTGTTGCTTCAAAACACGAATTTGAAATCGCCTTCCATCCGCCATAACGGCACAAAGAGGCCTAAACCCCTCCGAATTTCAGTTTTGGGTGAGCCAGCTCAAATTCACTTCCCTTTGGCCTTGGCAAAAGAAGAAAATACGGGGAAACGACTCGAAAGGAATACGACCCCTGTCTAGCGCCGCCTGCATCATCCAATCCCCACCTGTGGTGGCGGCCGGGGGTGTGACTATGAACGGCTCGATCGACATGGACACTTACCATCTGCACAGTGCGTTGGTTCAAGTTCAGCACCAGCAGCGCTGAGCCCGAGTGCCTCTCTGAAGGGGGTGGTACGATGGCTTGAAGCTTGGAATCCTTTAAAGAGCCAAGAGAAATCATGTTGTCGTAAGGCATGAGGTACCTAAGTAGGTCCTTTGAATACGGTCTTAGATTCAATTTGTGGGGATCCCACCTCTTACCGAAAGCCCTGGGGCTTGTTTTGTAAGAGTCGACACGAAGAGTCTTTTAAGCATTTATATTGCCTTCTTGATTGCATAATAGGGACTCAACAACCACTCTCGATTTGGATTTTAATGCGGGGAGGTCGATCTTACCTGTGCTTTTCAGGGTATGCGCTTTGACGATGGAGCTTGGGGCCAACAGCCTGATGTGGCCTGAGCAACAAGCTCAATAACCCCGATGGGAAAAGGTTACCCGTGCGGTATACCGTATGTTGGTGCTCGGGTTTGTGGAATAATCACCTGCCATGTATTTGTAAAGCTATTAGGGCAATTCGGATTCAAAGAACTGGCTTAGGAATGGCTCTAAACGCGATGGCCAATGTCACACATTTCCACGTTCTACAAACTTTTCCTTCGTATTGATAGAAAATCCCGCTTGGTTAATTTTGAAAGTCTGAGAACATAGGAAATTATAGGTCCGTAGGCCCCGTAAAATACTAAGAAGCTTGAAATTTCAAACCTGAACTAAGTGAACTTAAGGGAAACCTATCGAATTGTCACTTGTCAGACTCTCCTTCCTGGGCCCAGTCGTGAGATATAGAGCGATGCCGTACTGCTAGTCGGAAAGTAAGATGGATAATGGAACAGTGGAACTAGTCCAAATATTGAATCCTGGAGGCTGGAAAGTTGATAGTTGATTTTCTCAATACTCACGAATCACTCACATTTCTAAAAGAACTGCAAACTAGTTAGTTATCAAAACCTCCGCATCGATTAGAGTTCCATAGAACCCTTCGGCACAATATTAACCCGCTTATCCGGATCCAGATTCCAGATGCTCGACTTGTCTCGTCTCTATAATTAATTTCAAGGTTGTTTCGAGGAAATTTCAATCGCTAGCTTACTTTTGAATTTTACGCCCTCACTCAGCGCTAAGCCTAAGCTCTGCAGAAATAAGGGGACTAGGGTCTACCGTCTTATGAATTACACTCGGAATTTCATATTCATTATCGACATAGGGGGTTACCAGCTATAAGTGTCCATTCCAAGATTAAGGCTATCAGAAAAGGCATGGCGAGCACTCATCCTCAAGATCGATCAATGCGGAAGATAGTCAAGTGGGGCCTGTTCGGGCTTGCATTATCTGCGCTCTATTACCTGCTGCACGACATTCTCTTCGTCTCAATAGGCATCGGCCGAAAAATCCAGACTATTGAAGAGTTTCCATGGACCTGTACCCGACTTCAACACCCTTTACTGGAGGGCTGCGAGGATATGTGGCTGGATCATCATGGCCGCAAGCTGTACGCGGCCTGCACGAGTATTGAGTCCCGCCAGGGATGGAGTCCCGGTGGCAACTTGTTCAATATCTCAGCTCGATCTCGCACAGATCATATTTCAGTGATTGATATTGACCGCCCTATGTCTGATGGGCTATATGGGCTACGTACGCTGAAATTAGATGGATTCCCGAGGGACATTGATCTTCACGGATTTGACGTCCATCGCACAGGAGACCGGCTTCGGTTCTGGCTCATCAATCACCAACCGGCCGTTAACGATGCTACTGGAGAATTTTTGGATCCAAAAACTGCTGGAGCAAATTCTACCATCGAGATATTTGACTTGGACAATTCTTCGGAAGTGCTCCAATATGTCAAGACTATTGCCAGTGACTCCATCGTTTCACCTAACAACGTCGCTGTGGATAGCGATGGGGTGGGAGCTGTCATAACTAACGATCACAACTCAAAGGTTGGCACTTTTCGTGATTTGGAAATGCTTACTGGAGGGGGAGTCTGACATATTGTCGAATCGATACTGGAGACTGCAATTTTGCTGCCAAAAATGGGTTTGCATTTCCCAATGGCATTATCAGGGGTCAGAACGGAATGTTCTATGTTGCCAATTCAATTTCCGGTGTAGTGGGCATCTATCGATTGAAAAATGGCCAATTGAACCAGGTTGACACCGTTTCTTTGGGATATCCCCTTGATAACATATCAGTTGATTCTCAGGGAAGTGTTATTGCAGCTGCAATTGCTGATTCAGTTCAATTTGTTAAATCTATGGGCAATCCATATAACGTTGTCGCACCGGCGGCGGTTTTCTCTATTCATGAAACAAGCGACGGGAAACACGAATTCAGAAAGATGGTCGAAGATAAGGCCGCCAAGGCACTTCCCAGCTCAACAATAGCGGTGCATGATGTGCAATCCCACCTTTTATTTCTCGCGGGAATTTTCTCACCATTTATCACCAGGTGTGAGAAGTACGATTAATTGTATTTCAAATAGATAGGCAATATTTTTATCATTTGGATGTATCATCGGTAATAAAAGAACTCCGCCGTGAATGAGCATTCTTCTTTCTCTCTTTTACTCTATCCATGTATCCCAATCGCCCTTGACGTTTTCGGTCCATGGATAAGACTCAACGGCCACATTCTCCAATGTCGGCAGCTGGCTTTTACTCTGTTTACACACAGTGCCTATACTGAGACCTCCATTATTCGAGTTCAACATCGCAGGCGGAATGACAATCTCCCACTCGAGCGTTGCTGCATCATCATTGACGATCCGAATAGCCGTTGTTGCATCCGCTCCCATGGCAGTGATATATTCATTGATCAGTTCATGATTATTTTTGAAATTTTCGTGGCCAGTGCCGCAATAATCATCATCATCATCATCACTGTCTTCTGCGCTATCGTCATCATCATCGTCATCGTCATCTTCCACTAATTTTGCCCCTGGCATTCTGAGTTTCTCGGCACTTGCGAAGGCAGCTGTATTGGCATAAACCATACAATACCTAATACACAGAATGAGCATTCGATATCAATATATACTAATGGAGTGGCACGCTTACCAATCTCCTGATGACGGGATCCAGTCTCCAAACTCGCGAAGCAAATAGACACCATTGCCATACCATCCCCAGTATCCTGCAGAAAGTGCTGCATCCCACGTTAAAGTGTTCCCTGCAGCTGCATATGATCTTTCTTGAGTCTGAAAAAAGTATTAGCATATCCTGCCGTGTTCCCCTGGTATGTGCCCAGGTGTATGTTTCTTACTGGATGGACAGAACGATATCCAAGCAGTGTTTTTTCACTCCAATCAAAGGCTGAGGCAAAGCTTATAAAAAGCCAAAGAGTTGATAGAAAGGCCATAATTTTCTAGAGATAATATTCCAGAGCTCAGCCCTGAAAATAAATACTGAAAACAAGATAAAACCTAGTGAGCAGTCTCACCAGGACATTTTTTGACTATATATATCCCCAAAGCAATGGGGCGATAATTCAATCTACCTAGGTAGTTTTGACATCTGGACTTGAATATTGACCTAGTTGACTGGATTGTTGAGATCAGCCTCACGTAAGCCTATCTTATTCCCGAGGCCTACAAGGTCATTACTAGCTGCAAGAACTAGATAACTATTATCTAGGTATCACATAAACAGATCATTGTTCAGTGATGTCAAGCCAGTAATATAGAGCTGACTAGTTGGTCCTTCACAGCCCTACTGCTAAAATTCAACTATTCAATTTACGCTAACAATATCCAAGAACCCTATCTTAGTTATCATCAATCCCACTAATAAGACCCATTTTTCCCATCCTGCAGGATTCACCTCGTTGTTTTACTTACTGTGTAGTAAAAGTGCTCCCATTAGTTAAGGTAAAGCTAGCAAGGCTTACAAGGCGACCCCTGTATATTACACATTATCATGTGAATTAGATTGTTATGGCTGATAAGAAGGTAAGCACTAACTGAGATGAATACCAACCCTCTAAGGCTGGAGGAACCTTGACACATATGGAGTAGATAGTGCTAGAGCTACTCCGTACAAGTAGCTATCAATCCCAAAGTTCCCCCACTCCTTGGTCATTCCAAGATTCAGGAAAGCCTCTCGAAGATTATGATTGTCGATCACTTATAGAGTATGTATAAACTGGTTGATCGTAAAATCACTCACTATGAGTGCTTAGTCATAGGTCCACTGGATCCACAAGGTTGAACCACATAAAAGCTTAGCCTCCTTTTTCAACCAATCTCCATTCTCTTCTTTCCTTCTTAGAAGATACGATTATGCTCATAAACTTTGATGTTGAAAAATACAATTCAGGTTCCTGGATATGTTTTCATTTGGTCAGCTATCATTCACTTTCTGGACAAATTTTTTCACAATAAAGCAGTTGGTGTAGAAATTGGTACTACGCCTCGCTCTCAAGCTAGAAGCTCCGGTTCTGAGACCAGTTACTTTGCTCTTTTCCCTTTTTTGGATCAGTAGAACACTTCCTTAGCCTTTTACCACTCGTTCACCTTTTTAATTCAAAGCCTTGACACTTGACTCGATGATCTAAGATTTTCTGAATATACACATACTGAATCGACATTCTTAGACTGTCTAATTTTTATCACTAGTTTTCGACTTAGGCGTTCAGTCCCTCATTCATAACAAATAATGCAAGTTGGTAGAGTGGTAGTGCAGCTCACATGCCGAAAATCCGCATGCTCCACAAGGATCCCCGGTATCTGAATTTCGGACCTTGATGTATTCTATTTAATTCTTTTTGCATTAAAGGAGATTTGATTAAGCCTTTCACAGCTTCTCTTTCGCTCTCACTCTTTTTCTTTGTTCCAAGGTTGATACAATATAGGTACATTCGTCCATTTTTTACTTAGCTCATAAAATCAAAATCCAATATATGAGATCCTCGGTCGCCAGCACCAAATTTAAATCCAAATCTGCCCAAAATCTCAAGAAAACCAAATTCAACATTGGAACATGTGGATTTAGTCTTGTGTCAAAGGCCCGATTCCATTTACAGTTAGTCTATTTTAGTCAGCATTGGAATCCCACAATGGGATTCCTCCATTCTACAATCTATACACATACACACTTTGGTACGCATACTGCGTTCTCATTTGCCCACTAGAATCCACTATTCCTTGGTAGTCGACCTCCATTTGACAGTTATGAGCCCGGTTCGCCGACAATTTACCTTGAAAAGCATATTTTAAGGGTAAACGAGACTGAAGACTGTGTCCGCGATGTCCGGCGATATAAGACTGAAAGATGCCTCTTAATGGCAGCAGTGGTATAGGCGAGTCAAAGCCGTAGCCACTGGCGGAGATGTATGGGAATACTGCGATCCAGAGCTTAGGACTGAACGACCAGTCCTAGGATCAGAACCACGCGACTACCCGATCAAACCAATGCTTAAACTCGATATGGATCGTAAAGAGTATGATCGGTTACGACAGGACTGGAAGGACGATGTAGAGGATTACAAGTTCCGTCTTTTATTCTACTAAACCAAGAAGCGAGCAATTGAATCTGTGAATGAATATATCCTAAAGCACTTGGATACATATGTTCAGAGTCTTGTTTTATAATATGACGAACCATTTATGCGACTTAAATTCTTGTATGACCGCTATGGAATCTCGTCAACAAACAGAGCCAGGGTATTCTACCATTGGCACAAATTTGCGGTTACTCCACCTGTAGCTGGCGCCGATATAGGCGCCTGGCTTGAAGAATGGGAGCATTCGCGCCTTGAAGCAGAGGTTGAGGGCGTCTCAGCTGCCAAGAATGATGATGCTGTGTGGCTCTTTTTAGAGCTGGTAAAGGATATACTGCCAAACTGGTGGCAGTCCTGGCATGGAAAGATTATAGTTGATCGCGAGCAGATCTCTATGCGTCGCCTTCTAGATCATTTCAAAACCACCTACCAGAATCAAAGACCAAAGCAGCCAGCCATCTCAAAGGGAGCGTTCACGACGTTCCAAGGACACCAGGAAACAGCTGGCTAAGCCAGTGCTCCTGCCCCTTATGCTCCTGGCCAACCTAGTGCCCCTGGTCAAGGGAAGAAAGCTCTGGCTAGAGCTCAATTCCTACAGGAGCAGAAAGCAAAACCATTTAAAGATAGGGCATTCCCATGTGGTTGTAGCTACCCTGTCGATAAGTGCTTCAACTTAAATGGTAAAGGCAGCAGAAAGCCAAATGCTGGCATGAAACAGAAGATAAAACAGGCCCTGGACGGGGATTTAGGCTGGAAACAGTGGATCGACACTAAACTGAAAGAATCCACCAACACCAGCAATACCCCAGCCGAGCCAGCCAGGCAATCTATAGCCGTAAACCACACTGCCAACTATACTACAAAACCAGTGTTTTTCGCATCTCAAACTACCTATGCTGCCGATTTAAGCGACAGTATACAGCTCGTAGGCACTGCCGAAGACCAGTTTCTCGGCCGAAATACTGCAATCTCAGATACTCTGGACATAGCTTTAGATACTCTGAACACTCTGGACATAGTTTTAGATACTCTGGACACCATTCCAGACCTCTCTAGTGCATTTATAGACTCTATATTTCTACAGAAATCAGCTTTCCTGACCTAGTCTGGTCAGGAGCTCTAGAAAGATAGCTGGGTGCTAGACATAGGCGCTAGTGCGCATGTCTGCAATAACTTAGGTGCATTCGTCAATTTCGAGCATAGAAGAGACACCCTTCAACTAGGATTAGGAGAGGTTGAAACCCTTGGTAAAGGACAATACGAAGTCAAAGGGATCCATCCAGTAACCAAGGAATCGACATCAATCATCCTGTCAAATGTCCTCTATAGCCCTGAGTTTAGATTGAATCTACTCTCTTACTGCGCCCTGAACGACAAAGGAGGCGATTGGGTGCCTTCGAAAGACTATCTTATTGATAGGGACGGGACACCTGTCCTAGCCATTCAAAGGATTCATAACCCAAATTTATTGATCGTGGAGCCATCATTAGCTAAACAAGATTCAGATAAAGAGATAGATAAAGAGACACCCGACGAGATTTTTTCGGCGGAAAAGCATGCATACATGGGCAAGGATTCCAGAAAACCACTAGAATCTAAGGCACCGACAGAGCTCTGGCATCGTTGTCTAGGTCATTTACACCATGATGCTATATAGCAGCTTCCTAAGCTCGTTGACGGAGTCGTTTTGAGCGATCAACCAGACTCAACTGAACCAGTCACTGACTATATAAATGGCCAAATACAGAGCCCATGCTCTATTTATAGTCTTACTAGAGCTCCTAGATAGATATCTAGACGTCATCTAGGACATAGGTATGGTCGATTCGGACAGATCTCTCTAGACCTGATCCAAATATCAATCGCGTATAATAAAGAGCGTTGGATTTGCTATTTTTACGTTGACGGAATCCACTTCCATTAGGTCTTCACCTATCATACAAAGAACCAGATAAATGATGCGATTCGACACTTCATTAAACTCCTGAAAAACTGGTGGAATTTACCTATTCGAGCATTCCACTACGACAATGAGAAAGCTGTAGGCCTTACTATAGAGCGGTTTCTGGCAGATCAAGGTATTATAGTAACGTATTCAATTCTAGGACATCCTGAGATGAATGGCCCAATTGAACGGGCAGGCGGTATCATAATTACACGCGCCAGGGCCCTCCTAGAGGAAGGAAAGCTCCCTATCAGCCTATGGCCAGAGGCGGTAAAGGCTGTGGTTTATATACTAAATCGTACGCCAACGAACGTAAATGGTTCCTGGATAGTGCACTAGGAAGAGGCGCGCAAATACGCTAATTCAGACCTATAGGACAAACAAACGACACTGCCAAAGTCGAATCTCGCGAACATACGTCTATACGGCAGTCTAGCTTACTACAGAATCCAAAAGATTCCGAAATCAGACAAGATGCTAAGAAGGGCAGAGATTGGATTCCTTGTTGGATATATGGCATCTAATGTCTAGAGAATCTGGTTTCCAGATTCAAGGGGTGGTCAAGTCAGGCCAGTTAGAGACATCGTTTTCGACGAGAATAGGCGATATACAGCTGATTTTATACCACATAAGCTGGTGGAGATGCCTGTTTTTTCTGGTCCTGAGCCAGTTATCCTGACTAAAGAAGAGGCTGACGACGTCCTCCAGAGGGAGATTGGAGTCCTACAAACCCACCTACAGACCAATTTATAGGAGATGTTACCTGAAACACAAGTAGTTGACCATTCATATCTATCTGATCAGGATACTAATAGTCCTGTCCTCTCTCTCGATGCTCGATCAGTTCAACAACCTGACGCATTTACTGGAAAAAGCAACCAGTCTGGTGTATCCATCAATGCCGAAAACCCATTTTTCGGCCGAAATCCTAGACCAAATACACCACGATACCCTACACCAACAGAACATAACTGGATTCCTAGGACATTCCTAGAAGACCCAATCAAGCCTGATATAACTGATGACACACCGAATTCACCAGATTCGCTAGACTTAGTGCCAAATCAAGGGGTGGGGGTGGCTCCTATAGAGCCAACTAAAGGGGATTCGCCCCTGTTTACTGCTCAAGATAGTGAACCACAATTCCGATAGATTGGTCTAGACTTAGACGAGTCGAACATTATCCCTGGTAAACATATTCGCCATCCAACCAAGAGAGATGATGCCTACTTTATATAGCTTATGCTGCGGCCAGACAAGGATCCAGATAAGCTTAAGACACAATCTAAAGCTTATTACCATATATTCTACACCAGAATGGTGCAGAAACCAGCGAGCCAGATGCATAGAGACGACCTTCCACCACCTCCGAACACATTCAAGGAGGTAAAAGGGCATGCGTTTAAAGATGCGTTTAATACTATAATATAAAAGGAGATCGATAGTCTTACTAAAAAGCACATATTCTCAGTCGTCCCAAGGCCAAACAATAGATCAAAGCAGATTCTGCCCTTGAAATGGGTATATGCTTACAAGTTTGATGAGAATGGTTTACTCCTGAAGTGTAAAGCTCGTATCTACATACGCGGAGATATGGAGTGGATATCTACTAAAGAGAAACGTTCAGCTATACTAGCCATCAAAACTATACGCATGCTATTCGCAATAATAGCTATATTCGATCTAGATATACATCAAAGAGATGCTGTCGCAGCTTTCCTGAACAGCTTCCTTGAAGATAAGGAGGTTTACATAGAGCTTCCCTCTGGCTTCAGGAGCACCAATGGCCAAGTTTGGCACCTCCATAAAGCACTATACAGATTACACATCTCACCAAAGCTCTGGCAGAAGGAGGCCTCTAGAGTCCTGTTAGGCCTAGGTCTTATACAGTTACTAGAGGATCCATGTGTCTTTATAGGCGACGGAGTCATAATATTCTTCTATGTTGATGACTTCCTGATTGCTAGCCATAAGACAAAAGCTTAATACGCAAGGCAGCTTGAATCGGAACTCGAAAAAGCATAGGAACTGACTGATCACGGCGACACAGAGTGGTTCCTGAACATACACATTATACGCGATCGTAAACAATATAAGCTCTGGCTATGCCAGGACAGCTATATTGATAGTATGGCTGCCCGTTTCGGCCTAAATAACCGACCATCAGTGGCTACACCAATGCCAATTGAAGAACTCTTATCGTATGAAGGAACTGCGTCGCCTGATGCGATCAAACTCTACCAGGAAAAGATTGGTTCAATACAGTATGCAGCTACTATAACCAGGCCTGATGTAGCTAAACCAGCCACTAAACTAGCCCAATTCCTGCAGAACCCAGGTCCACAGCATTCTGCTGCGGCAGATAGGACAATCACTTATCTGTTCCACACCAAGAACAGAGCACTTAGATATGGTTTAGGACACCATTCTGACCATTCAGAACATTCTGATGACACCTCTGACCCTGATTTCAGCCGAAATAAGGATCAGATCAACGACGCAACCCACCAATCTACAGGCACATCGGCATTAACCATCGCTAGTGACGCATCTTATGGTGACCATAAAGACCATAAGAGCTCTGCAGGCATGATATACATGCTCTTCGGCGGCCCTATAGATTAGAAGGCGTCTAAACAAAAGACGGTGACGACGTCCACTACCGAAGCAGAATTGCTTGGTTTATCGGACGCAGCCAAAACACTGGTATGGTGGAAGAGAGTACTAGTCCATGTTGGACTAGAAATGGAATACGACAATATAACTCTCGACTGCGACAACCAGAGAACAGTTGATCTGCTCACTAAAGAGGGAGCATTTGAGACCAAGCTACGTCACATAGACATACACCGCAGCTGGCTACGCCAGGAGGTGCAGGAAGGACGTATTAAGATCAGATGGGTCCCAACAAAGCTTATGGTGGCAGATGGCTTCACGAAAATCTTGCTAAAACAGAGATTTGACGCCTGGATTCGTCTTCTCAATTTGGAAGATATAAGTGAACTGCTCTAATCTAGGGTCTTACCCCTAGATTCAGAGGATTTAGAGCATCAACTGCCTAAATCAGAATATAGACTGCGTTTTTAGAGGGAATTGAGGCGATTCAACAGCCTAAATCGGCCCTGTGTTTAAGGCCAGTTTACACCTTGGAGGGGTGAAAACTGAAGGGGTGTGTCAAAGGCCCGATTCCATTTACAGTTAGTCTATTTTAGTCAGCATTGGAATCCCACAATGGGATTCCTCCATTCTACAATCTATACACATACACACTTTGGTACGCATACTGCGTTCTCATTTGCCCACTAGAATCCACTATTCCTTGGTAGTCGACCTCCATTTGACATCTTGGCATTATCACCAAATCGATACTAATCTAAATTAGGTTTAGCGTATCTGGACCCTGAGGGTCCAAAAGAAAAGGAGAAAATTCCCGTTCTCTCCGCAATGTTCTTGTTCATTTGAATTCCACCGTCCCTGTAATACCGTCTTCAATAATCCAATCATCATGATTCTGAAAACACTGGCTATATTAGCGACTCTCGGTCTCGCAACTGCACAGACCAGCGTCGTCTCGCTTTTTATCTACGATATCGACCCACAGCCTTTGGTCGCTTCTATTATTGCCGAGGTTCGTACCGAACCGACTATGACCAAGAAGATTAGAATTGACAAGAATCTGACTTTAATTGACAGGGCTCTGGAACTACCACCTTTAGCATCAATTGCCCACCTGGTACCGATGGCAGTGACTGTGGAATGGGGCCCGGGCTATACTATACCCTTGGCCCGTCAACGATTGAGATGTCGATGAGCGAGCCTCAAGAAGGATTGTAAGAAGGCCCATTTCTATTCAAAGTATTTCCCGCTGATTTTCTCATCTTTACCAGCTGGGATCACATAGGCTGCACTTCCAGTGGCACGACTGCCATCTGTACAGAGATTGCGAGTGGCACTGGCGCAAACTTCCCTGGCACATCAACAACAGCTATTCCAAAGGGAGAAGCCACTTTGTTCCCCGTTACCGTAACTGCCGGTCCCTCAGCAGGAGCCTCATTATCTACTACCGCAGACCGGACGACCCAGACACCGAGCAGCACCGATAGCTCCGAGAGGACCACTTCACAAACTTCGGATAAATCTTCAACACAGACCTCAGGAAAATCATCTGCCAGTGCCACCTCAGGAACTAGCACCGGTGGTCTCCCGCAGATTACTGGTAACCCTGGCCTTGCCTTGGGTAGCGCAGCAATTGCCTTGATGGCTGCTGCCCTTTAAAATACTCTTAACTAGTAGCTTTCCTACAAAGCTTAATTGATCGAATATGGGAAGACCTTACATTGGAGGGAAATCTTCTCTCGCCTTTATCATTGTTGTTGTCGCTCGCTTAGCGAGCGTAGATAGCTAGTCGCTCGTTACTGAGAACGGTGCTCGAGTCCTTACTGCAGTAAAAGGGAATTGGAGTTTACTGCAGTAGAAAGGAGTTGGTGAGCTTCAACAAACCACTACTCAACACCGTAGACAAACCACCAAGTGTAGTGGTCTCTACAGTACTGAATATTGTGGTTGTTGTGAAGTCTGCTTTTTCATTGATGAAAGAACTAGCTACTTATAGTATATGGGCGCCCCTCTGCTCTGGACGAATGTCAACATTCGTCCGAGACAGAAGAGACGGTGAAGACGGGACATTACTGTCGCGAATGCGCATCGCTCAAGGGTGTCGTTTACGATGAATGCATATCGTTCAAGGATGATGATATACTAATCCAGTTCCGGAGTCGCTGTCTCGGCAGAAGCTTTTTCGGCCGAAATACTTTCCGTCTGTTGATGGCCTTGTTTCTCGGCTGTCGCAACAATACCTGCTACTGCACGTACTAAAGGACGATATCGTCTCCTAATTCTAGATGGCCATGGTAGCCATTTAACACCTGATTTTGATAGGATTTGCCAAATCCATGATATCATACCAATCTGTATGCCGGCGCATGCATCACATCTCTTACAACCTCTTGATGTTGGGTGTTTTGCGGTGTTGAAACGCTCTTATAGACGGCTGGTTAGCTCTAGAATGGAGCTTGGTTTTAACCACATCGATAAAGGAGATTTCCTTGAAATTTATCCTACTGCGCATATAGAAGCTATTAGATCTGCATCTAATGCGTTCGCCGCGACTGGAATCGTGCCATTAGATCCTAATAGGGTGCTTGAAAAGATTACTATTAGGGATCATACGCCAACACCACCACCATCTAGAGATAGTGATTCTAGTCGAAATTGGACACCAAAAACACCAAAATCACAGAAGGATTTACATCGCCAACATCAAGCTCTACTCCGTACAGTTTCTCGAACACCACCATCACCCTCTAGGAGAGCATTAAATCAGATAATAAAGGGTGCTAATTCCCTATATCAGCAGAATGCTATCCTACGTCAGGAAAACACTGCTCTACGCGCCGCGCATGAAAAACAGATCAAAAAAAGGAAGCGTGCACGTCGAAGAATGGCTATAGAAGGGGGTCTTACTGTTCAGGAGGGTATGGAGCTTATTAACGCTTCAATAATTGCTCCTGAACCTGGCGATGCCAATTCTACACCCCGGAATCAGGCACCTTTTCAACAACACCACCGCCCACATCGATGCGGGATATGCAGGAATCCTGGTCATAGGAGAGAAACCTGTCCCAACCGACCGACTGGATAGTTTTTTTTTTTTAGTTTCATAGTTTCAATGGAGTTATTGGAAAAATAAATGTATAAGTGGGTCTAGGTGGCCAGCTCGCCCGGGTGGCCAACTCGCCCGGGATTTACTTTAGTCCAAAATTAGTTATATGCAAAAATAACAAACACCCACAGTTTGACAACTAGCCCTAGAGCTCGGCACGAATAATATTCGCACTCATTTCAGGTTATTCGTATTCGCAGTCGCGACCACTAGCCATTATTCGTATTCGCACTTACAGTTGATGCGAATATTCGCGAATATTCGCAGTTTTCTGCCACCGCCCAGTTATACTAGTATACATTTGTACTAGTTAGTTGAGTATATTTTTATCCTATGATAGTATTTTTTCTCTTACTGTAACAGGTTGAATCCTGGATGGGGGGTACTGGGCTCCTGAAAAATGTCGCACACGTGATATTTTTATCAGGCTTAGCGTCTTGGCGTAAATGTTTACAATCGCGTCTAGGTGTTCATCCCTATCTATACACGCGTCATTAAAAATTACCCTGCACCATGGATACCACTACCTTTTTTTGCTCGAAATGCCGTAATCCCCGTCCGACCGAGGATTTTGATCTTAATAAGCAAGGGAAGCGAAAAAGCCTTTGTAATCGTCATACGAAGAAGCGTTCTCTTCAGCGCGATGATTGGGATGAATTTACTATGCTTCTCTCCCAGCCTCAGCCTCTTAATCATGACTTTGAATTTGATCTTGATGCTTTGCCTATCAAATTTGGCTCTGAGTTTGATAAAGAGGAGATGGGAATAGCAATGCATAGTCTTTCAGATTTGATCTGGCAGGAAGGTGGATTCCGATTCCGCCATACCTCAACTGATTCCCAATATCATCGGTATAGATATCATTGCTCTCAGGATGAAGCGCATACCCGAAGCTATCAATCTAAGGTAGAAGTTGAAAAACAGAGAGATGGCCGCCGTATAGAGCGATTTCCTTGTGGAAGTAAGCTTATTATACAGCCATCCTTACTTGATCGGACCCTCCGTCTTTCTATTCAACATCACTGGCACCCGCCTTATAAAGATCTTCAAGTTCCGCAAGTCATACACGATCTTATTGACTCCCTTGTCTTGACCCATGCTCCTGCAGAGATTTCCCGCCAGGTTAGGGAGCATCCTAAAGGAAAGGAAGTGTCAAGGCACCAGGTCTATTATATCTGGCATAAGGCAAACTCAAAGAACTGGCGACGCCATGATGATCCTCTTACCTCAGCTCAAATGCTTCTAAATGAGGCAGATTTCCAGAATGGAAGGTATCAGGCCCACCAAGAGATCTTTCAAGCAGGCAACTTATCAGCATTAGGTAAGAGCAATATTCTTTTCAGCCACTAGCTTAGCTACTAGCTTAGTATTAGCTTCGGTATTGGTATTAGTATTAGTATATTAGTTTATATATTCACTGACATCGATATACTTTAGCCTTCTACCTCCCGGAGACTATTAAACCACGTCTTAATTGGGCTGAACAGGTTAACTCACAGCCTCAATTAGCCATAGATTCTACTTATGGCACAAATAATAGTGGGATGGAGCTATTTACTGTGTTAGCTGAGCTTGATGGCACTGGTATACCACTTGCCTATTGTTTAGTTGATAAGCAGAATGTTCAGCCTGATACTTATCAGAGAAGAAGAGCTGATCCAGGCGCAATGTTGTTTATCCTTTATGAGTTTCTTATAAAGCTTAAGGGGTTTGGGTTTGATCCCAGCTTTATTGCGACTGATAAAGATCCAGCAGAGATTGGAGCAGTCAGACTAGTCTGGCCAGAGGCTAAGCATCAGCTTTGTTACTGGCACGCGAAGCGCGCTATTAGTATGAAGTTGAAGGATTCTACTAAGACAGCGACGCTCAATCAGTATGATCCAGAGGCAGCTGCAAAGGTGGTTGGGAAGGATCATCTTGAGATTTGCTGGGGATCAATTCCACATAAACGGCCAAAGGTGTCACGGGGCGGGCAGGTGAATAGAATTATACTAGAACTGGACAGACAGTATTGCATTGACTGACAGGCTAAGACGAAGACATAGCTTGAAGAGCTACATTCAGACAAGGTTCTGAGTTTACATGAGGTTGCGGGTCACGTGGCCCGCACTATCTAATCAATCAGTAGTCGTCTGAGCTGGCACCGTGACAGTATCCCCCTCCTTAGAGCCGAGCTCCATAGAGGCGTAGACAGGACCTGGCTTAGACGGGTAGCGGAGGTGGAAGTTCTTCACTAACTATCCACAATTTTCTAGGTGAGCAGCAGGCTCTTCAGTTGGGTCATCGTAACCGGTCCACTTAACCACGTATTTTAGATGTGGTGTTCCCCGGCGACCATGTTTCTCCCAGCGGGAGTCTAGGATCTCCTCTACCTCCCACTCGTCGATTCCGTCGACTTCGACAGGTGGGGCAGGTTCTTGTTGCTGCGCGGGAAGCGGGTTATCGTCGGCAGGGCGTAATAAGGAGACGTTAAATACTAGGTGGATCATCATTCTAGGGGGAAGCTATAAACGGCAGGCGTACAGGCTTAGAACTTCGGTGATTTCGAAGGGGCCTAAGTTCTTCTAGTCTAATTTCTTCTAGGGGCGACGGGTCTTGATGTTCCGGGCGTCTAACCAGACTTTCTGTCCTTTAGTGAACGTTCAGGCAGGCTGGCGGTGATAGTTGGCGAATTCTTTATAGCGAGCTTAGGCGGCCAGGATCTGGGCTTATATAAAGTTCGTGATCTCCTCTATATAAGCCGCGAACCTCTCTGCATCGCGGGCGGCGGGGTGATTACTCAGGCGGACAGGCTCGAATCCAACGACTAGGTATTGGCCGTAATTAGCAAAGAACGGGGTGACGCTAGTCGACTCGCTTTATACAGAGTTAGAGGCGAATTCGGCTAGCGGAAGCCAGTTAGCCCAGTCGTCCTATAGGTAGTTTATATAGGCTCGGAGGTACTATTCCAGGATAGCATTGGCTCGCTCGGTCTGTCCATCTGTTTCCGGGTGAAAGGCAGTGGATAGCAGGCTCTTAGTCTTTAGGCGGGTCGTCAGGTGTTTCCAGAACTAGCTTATAAACTAGGGGCCTCTATCAGATACAATTATATAAGGGAGTCCATATAGCTTCTAGACGTGTTTCAAGAACAGGTAGGCGAGGTCTTCAGCGTTACAGGTCCTATGGCAGGCCAGGAAGTATTTCATTTTAGTCAAGCGGCAGACTACTACCAAGATTGCGTCAAATCCTTGGCTCTCGGGCAGGTGTGTGATAAAGTCTATTAATAGATCTAGCTAGGCGCGGGCAGGGATCGGGAGTGGTCGTAAGACTCCTTGACGGGCTTCTTAGGACGGGGTAATTCTGCGACAGGTATAACAGTTTTTGGTCCATTGCTCGACATAACAGTAGAGGTTCGGCTAGTAGTACTCGCGAGATATAAGCTTATATATCTTTATGCGACCTAGGTGTCCTATTACTAGGTTGTTATAGCAGAGTTAGGCTAGTTCAGCTTTAAGGTCGTCGTTGTCTAGGACATAAATACGTCCTTGGTATAGCAGGTTGTTCCTATCTCTCA